GGTTATAGTAGTTAGATAGTATCTTTACTAGGCCCTCTAAAGATATACTAGTAAGCTCTAGGTGCTATATCTTAAATACTTAAATAATTATAAGTAGCTCTTTATTATAGATTATATAGTTAGTCTCTATAGGGGCTATCTTCTTTAAGAAGAAGGCTACTAGATATAGCTTACTATTATATATCTAGGATAGCATACTAGTAGTTATAAAGTCTAAGGTATCTATCTTAACCTAGGTCTCTTTATTAGGGTTAAAGTGCGCTAATATAGGGGTATTAATAAAGGCTTATTTTAAGGCCTAGAAGGCTACTTCCTACTTAGGATTCTACTTAAATAGTTAATAGTATATATAATATTTCCTAGTCTTTATTATATATATCTTAGAGCCCTTTATAATCTTATTTAGGGGGTGTATTAGCTATAAGAAGGCCTTAATAAAGTGCTAGTAGAAGCTATAGAACCCTAGGAAAGCCTATATATTCTTAATAGACTAGGGGGTCTCCTAGTTAAGGATTACTTTAACCTTCTTAGGGTCTATCTTAATACTATCTATGCTTATAATCAGGCTAAGATACTTAACTTATTTAATACTAAATTTGTACTTGTTAATGTCTATATATAGGCCTTAATTAAGTAGCTATTAGAGGACCTTTAGTATATGGTTAGTATATTCTTTAGCGGTATTACTATATACTAGGATATTATTAAGGTACATGGTATAGAAGATATTAAGGTAGTTAAGGATTAAGTTATTAATATAACTCTAGAAGGTCCTAGGGGCATTATAGAGGCTAAATAGTATAATAAGGTATTTAAACTACCTATAATATATATTAAATATAGTAAGCTATTCCTTCCCCTCTTTTATATATATCTAGTTAAATATAATAATAATATTAAGCTTTATAAAGATCTTAGCTTAAGAGAGCTTTACTAGTATGTTAGTAATAAGTAGGATTAGATAGTAGTTCTTAATAGTAAGCTTATTTAATATATAGTAGTTAATATATATATAGAGGCTACTACTAGGCTTGTAAATAATAAGGACTAGGGCTACTATTAGGGATAAGCTAGCCTAGATAAAACCCTTACCTAGGTACTCCTTTATATATTTTAGGATTATCTTATATTCCTAAATATTCATTAGCTAGTAGTTATAGGAGAATAGAGGTTTAGTATTATTAATAAGCTAGATATTATAATCCTTAGGGTAATATAGGGGGAGCTAGTTTACTTCCTCCTTTATAAAGACTTTAATTATACTATAGTACTTATAGGGGACATATTTCTTAAGCTCCTCTAGTATATATTTTAGGGTACTAGCTATAAACTTATTATAGTCCTTAGGCTATATAGCCCTTATAGTTATAGTATAGAGCTACTTAGCCTACTACTAGGGTATTATAATAAAGCTATAGTAGTCATGGCACTTTACTAGTATAAAGAATAGGTAGGTACTTATAAACTAGATATTAGCTATAAAGGTTTTATACTTAGTAGGCTATATAGAAGAGCCCTAGGTATATATAGTATAGGGGTAGGCATGGTTAAGATATCCCTTCTTAAAGCACTAGGCTAAATTAAAGTAGATATAGTAGTTAGTAAAGTTAACCTAGGGGTTATAGTTACTTAGCCATAGGTCTCTAAGGATAAGTTTATAGGTTAGGAGGGAGGTAAGGTAGATTAGGTATTATTTAGTATACTTACTAAAGCATAATAGGGCTAGGGCGGCTTTAGTAATAGTCTAATAAGGGGAGTTATTTATAAGGTATAAAGAAATAGGGAAGGATAGCTTAAATATAATAAGCTAGAGTATATAGGCTAGAGATAGATCTAAAATATTAACTTTATTACTATTATTAACTAATATAGGGGTCTTCCTATTAACTATATAATAATTTAGGATAAGATACTACTCTTTTTATAGATAGGCCTCTATAGAGGGGTTAATAGCTAATAAAGATAAGTAATAAAAATAAAAACTTTTAGTTTTAATTACTATCTCTAGCTTCTCTAGTCTCTAATTATAATAATAACTAGGGACTATATATTTTCTACCTACTTAAGGTCCTCTATAATAGTTTCTATAGTAATCTTATTAAGTTACTTAGAGTAGCTACTCTACTTAGGGTAGACCTTATATACTAAGTAGTACCTAGAGCCCTAGCATGCCTAGTAATAGCCTTACTAGTAGAGTAGAGTTTACTTCTTATTAGTAAGCTACTTTAGGCTACTCTAGGGGTTAAACTAGGTACCTACCTAGCCTTTAGGCTTAATAGCTACTAGGCTAAAGTAAGTATTAGGGTTACCTACCCTTAGGAAGGTGATAGCTCTAGGGGTTATTATAATAGTCTTAGGAGCTATACCACCTAGTTTAGGGGTCATGCTAGTAGTAGTAGGCTTTATAGTAGTTATATTATAGGGGCCCTAGGAGTAGTAATAAAAGGTCTCTAGATAGCCTTCCTCTACCTTCTAGGTATTATTAAGTATAGTATATATAGTAAGGTAGTCTTTAATATATAGGGTAGTTCCTATACTAGGGATTAGGATTAACTTAAGCTTCTTTATATAGTTATACTTAGGCATATTAGCTTAGTCCTAGAGGATAAGTAGCTAGTAGAAGTACTAAGTTACTAACTTATTCTACTATTAGGCCACTATCTAGAGCTTATAGTTTATAGTATTAGCATAGAGGTGCACGCCTATATAGTATTTAATATTACTAAGGAAGTCTACTAGAGTCTTCTCTAAGGTATACTAGATAAGTATCTATATAATACTAAAGATAGGCTCCTCTATCTATAAGAGATCTATAAGAGCATGTACTAGATATATAAGTAATTACTAGGATATAAGAGCTAATTAACCTTAAACTTATAGTTAATAGTATACCTCTATAGGCTATATTTACTATGGCTCTCCCTCTTTAGTAGCTTGTTTAGGTGCGTGCCTTAGGAGCACTAGTTCACGTAGGTATTATATATTAGAGGCTATAGTATAGTGTAGCTAGTAAAGGGATAATTTAGTAGTTAGTTTAGGGCATAGGCCCCTAGAGGATAGTAAGTAAAGGGATACTTTAGAGGCTTATTAAATAGGAGGGCGCCTCTAGAGGCTATAGTATATAGGGGTAGTATAGTAGTCTAATAGAAAGGTTAAGGATAAGGAGGGATAGATAGAGACTTAAGGCCTAGAGTAAAGCCTATAGCAAGGCCTACTAGGGAGGTATTATAGGCCTAGTAAGCCCTAGGAGGCATGCTATATAGAGCCTATATTAGGGGCTATAGAGGTTTAGAGGTTTATAGTTCTAGAGATAATTAAGTATTAGCTAGAGCCTAATACTAAGGGGTGCTAGAGGTATTAGCTACTATCTCTAGGAGAACTAGTTATTCTAGGAATAGATTATAAGGCTTATAGGTACTAAGGTACCTAGAGAGCTCCCTAAGCATGATATACTAGTAGTTAAGCTCCTCCTATAGTAAGATAATCTTATTAAGTACCTCCTCTACTATAGCCTTATATTTCTCTACGTGGGTATATTCACCCTTATAGCTATGCTAAAGGGTTATAAGTTAGTAGGTAAGGTTCTTAATATAAGGATTATATATAGTAGTAGGCTTAATTATAGGGAAGGCAACTAGTGATTATATAGGTAGGGTTATTATAGATTTCCTATAAATAATAGTAGGTATAGTTAGTATTAGTATTAGGAGCTTAGGAGCCTTGCCCTTAGGATTACTCTTAGAGGGGGCCTTAAAGGGATCCTAAGGAGGTATTATAATACTACTAGAGGCTAAAGGTGGTTATTCTAGGGGAGATAAAGCTAGGAATATACTAGGCCTAGAGATACTAGATATATAGGAGCTAATTAAATGGCTTTAGCTCTATATATAAGAGGCTAGGCTATTACTAGCTATAGAGCTCGCGTAGGAATGTTTTTAGGAGGATTTACTTATAAGGAATATAATTAAAAGCTTAGCATAGGTTTAATAGATATTATTAGTCTAGGAATAAATTCTAATATAGTAAGGTAATACTAGGGGTAAAGTAATAGGGATTATTAATAATAACTATATAGGGGTCGTGGAACGATAAAACTAAGATATAGAGATAAAGTATAATATAGAGAGATAAATAGAGAGCTTAGTTTAATACTTTATATTATATAAGGAACGTCTCTTAATGAATAAGGTTATATTAAACTAAAATATAAAGCATGGAGAACTAATCAAGGTTCTACAAAGTGGGACCAACTATATACAGAGGATTGTCACGTGGCGATGACCTAAGCGGGACGAGGCCCGTGACACCTACTAGGCTATCTAGACTATAGTATAACTTTTACTCCTAGTAGGGTTAATACTAATTAGATCTATAGTAGGTAGCCCTTATATATTAATACCTTAATTATCTAGTTAAGGAGGGTTATATATTACTAGCCTTATCTTTATTACTAGATAAGATAAGATTATACTATCTTCTCTAAATACTATTAGATCCTAGATGTATTTAGTAGTTACTATATTAATTATAAATAGCTAGACCTAGCTATCTAGTATACTACTTAAGAAGATCCTAGTAAGAATATATAATATATAATAGGAGGTAGTACGCCTAGAAGAAATTAAGAATAGTAGCCTAGTCTAATTAACTTAGACCTAAAGAAGAGTAAGAATATAGAAAATCTAATTAACTTAGATCTAAATAAGAGTAAAAAGAATAATCTAATTATTCTCTAAGATATATACTTTATTTTATTCTATCTTTACTTTTTAATAAATTAAACTAGCTTAGTAAGTATAATTAGATATATAGATTTCTCTTTACCTAGTTATATAGGCCCTATATATAATACTTAAGTAAGACTTATACCTCTATATTAGTACTTAAGATAAGTAACTATTTAGTAAAACTAAGTAAGCTATCTTATATATAATTAACTAGTTCTAATAAAAGTTTTACTAGCAGAATCCTAGTATAAAATACCAAAAAAAGTTTCTACCCTTTTGTCCAGATCGTCCCCCGTAATAACCAAGAACTGATACAGAAAAAAACCAATATGATGATATTGCCTACCCGCGCCTATTCCGCGATTACACTTCGGCCAAAGATGGAAGCCCTGAGCCAGTCACCTGTAATGAAATATCGAGTCCGGGCTGGATAAGTGAGTCAGTATCGATACCACACTAACGTAGCGTTCTTGCCACCAATGCCTAGGGGCTCACATACCACTGATACACATCTTTATATATGCTGCACGCCACAGAACATGGGTCAGCGGTCCAGCACTCGCTATGCCCTTGCCAAACATAGATAGATCCGCGATGGCATGATTATTCCCAACATATGCAAGAGTTCCTTGGTGGGTATATTCGAAAGGCGGTAAGGCTTGCGTCTTGGCCAAGTCTTCCTCGATACTTGCTTTCATGTTGAGACTTTCCGCGAGATAAGCACCCTCTTGGTGAGCAACTTGCCCAGTTGGACTGTATTTCGTGGCAGTACAGTCACCGATGGCCCAAACATTCTCAGTACCCTGGACGCGGAGGTAGTCATCGACCAGAAGGCCACGACGGGAGGAAGCTTGCTCTGGGAGTTGATTCATGAAGTCTCTGACGACGGGGCGAACTGCATTTCCAGCAGCCCACACCAAAAGCCCATACGGGACAAGTTCAGATTTAGTGCTTCCATCAGGCTGAAGCACTTCCGTCTCAATCTGATTATTGGTGATTTTCTTGACTTTTGTATTCTTGTGAATTCCAATCTGCTGTTCTGCAAACCTGGACTCGGTGTATTGAATCAAACCTTCAGAGAACATTGGAAGCACCTAGTTTGGAAGTGGTATTCGTCAGCACTTTGAACGATATTCATTAGCAGAGATGCCCACAGTGAGAACATACAGAAGGGAGAGCTTCCACTAAGCTCACTTTAACCTTGTCCGAGAGATGTGGAATCTGATGTTTGAGATCATCCTTGAAGAGGTCCCTCAGCTCTGCGGCTGTCTCAATACCAGTTGGCCCACCACCGACAACGACCACGTGCAGCATTCGTTCAATCTCTTCGTCACTTTGCTCTTGGGAGGCCTGTTCAAGGCAGTTCATCACACGTTGCCTGATGTGCCGAGCATCACTAGCTTCCTTCAGGAAACATGCGTACTCTTTGACGCCCGGAATCCCTGTCAAAATATGTCAGATACTACCTGTCTATACCCACAACCAAGGTAAATGAAGAATGCGACATACCAAATGTAGCATTCTCAGCCCCAACACCAATAACAAGCATATCAAATGAGATTCTGTCTTTCCACGTGCTATTGCAGCCCAGTTCGGAATCATTGAGATGAACGACACGATTTGCGTAGTCAATTTTAGACACACTAGCTTTGCGGAACTTTACCGACCCGGACTTTTGGCTTAGAATGTTACGAATAGGCTCCGTAAGAGACCGGCCCTCTAGAAGACCGGTTACACACGATGGTAACAGAGGAGTAAAGAGAAAGTGATCCCGAGGGGATATAACAACAACGTTATACTTGCTGGTGTCGAGGCCTTTGAGTAGAGAGACAGATCCCCAGCCAGTGCCTGCCAATATCAGTCTCATCCGCCTCTCTACCGGAGTCCATGTTCATACCTAAAATCAAGAGTGTCTTCTTCGACGGATCAGCCGCGACTGGTGGCTGCGGTCCCCGGTCGCTGAGAAGACTGTATGCTCCTAACGCTGCAGCACCGGCAATTGTCGAGGCTATAGCTATAGTGACAGTCGGAACCCATGATTTTCGTTGATTGGCTCTCCAAGACAACCGATTGGGATCTTGACGGCACCTTGTTGTCAGGGATCGTTTGCTACTAGGCAAGAATACTACCTTGGCCTTCAATGGCCCGCCCACCAACTTCCCCGTTATGAGCCTTGTGCCCCGCCGGACACTGTGTTCCAGCTGCATTGTTGAGTACTCTTGTCTCCTTGAGAGGCTTTCTCCTAGACGCTTGTGAGCAAAGGAAAATAATAGATAAAAAGTCAGTTTGCATAAAGGCACTCCTCGCATATTTATCTACTTGCGTCAATAAATACACAAGCCATAACTACATGCCTTAGGGTCTATCAAGTTGGTGCCTTCGGGTGAGCTCGGAACCAAATTTAGTAGTTCCGATTCCTAATCCTAATTTCCGATCCGTATCCGCTCCGTTCCGTAGCTCGGTATGCCGACCGATCTAATCTTCGGATGACGCCGCCCCGAATTCTAGACCACATGTCGAAACTTCCGTCGTTCCCTGGAAGGAGAACATGAAATCAGTAGCATCTAGAAGTGGGTTCGTACGAGGATAAGGAATGGACTTCTCCATCCGGACATCCCACACTAATACCAAAAACATAGGTTTTCGTATCATACCTTTGTTATGACGGAAATATATATTGACGCAATCCAACACGAACATCCCACTGAACATCTGTGTTTTGTTGTCTTTCAACGTGTTTGTGCTAGCAACTTCCACAATGATGCGCCCAAAATCCGTCATCTGCCCTGTTCAGACAGGATGGGTAAGATCAAGTTGCCCACTGAACCCGCATCTGCATCGCACCTCTTTACATAAAGGCCGGTCAAGCCAGTCAATCTTCTACCCACGACGTGGAGCATTTTCAACATCGGCTACTTTGTCTCTTAAGCAGCAGTTTCCTCCTGCAACATCCAATCGGATCAAAGACACAGCTATTGTTTGGAAACACCCAATGTTAGTCCGCCGATGCTCCTATATTTTTCCTTGTCTCTAACTCTCAAACAGCTACACAGAGGAAGAAATTCAGGCGGTTACAGTGGCGCACCGTGAAACTAAATGTCGTTCTGACAAGTTTGCCCTGGGGTTGGTACGCCTCCTTCGCTGGTGCACAGATCGTGCTACTGGATATCGAAACCCTGAAGGAGACAAGAAGATTGCCGACAACTTCGTCATGACAGAGAAGAAATGGCTTATCCGATTCATTTTTCTGGAATCGGTTGCCGGTGTCCCTGGTATGGTGGGCGGCATGCTTCGACATTTGAAAAGTATTAGGCAAATGAAAAGAGACCAAGGATGGTCAGTATCACGCTCTATCACTAAGCAGTCTGACATGACCTTAGTAGAAATATGAACTAATCAAACATAGGATTGAATCGCTGATTGAGGAAGCCTACAACGAGCGCATGCATCTTTTGACATTCATGAAGTTGGCCGACCCAGGAATTTTCATGCGCTTGATGGTCTTGGCTGCTCAGGGTGTCTTCTTTAATGCGTTCTTTGTTTCCTACCTAATTTCACCACGTACCTGTCACCGGTTCGTTGGTTACTTAGAGGAAGAAGCTGTTATTACCTACACCCATGCAATCCATGAGCTCCAAGCCAGAAAGTTGCCAAGTTGGGACAACTTACCTGCGCCAGACCTTGCAGTCAAATACTGGAAAATGCCGGAGGGGAAACAGAAGATGCTAGATCTGTTACTCTATGTTCGGGCAGATGAAGCAAAACACCGTGAGGTAAACCACACATTAGGTAATTTGGACCAGCAGACGGATCCAAATCCGTACACAGCGCTGTATCACGACGGCAAAGGTGCTATCCCTTCGTCTTCACCTGATGCACGAAAGCCCGTGGGATGGGAACGAGAGGAAGTTATTTAGAATTGGACTTTCATATGGAGTTACCGTTTGGATCTACTAGGCCTTTTCCAATCTCTTTCCAGCTTCTTACATAGCTTCGGTGAAGTAGCCTACGTTGATGGTTTACTATTCACTTGCACTTCTCAGGATACATATAGTACCAAATCATGTCTTTCGACCTTGTAATTGAAACCTTATGGCATGAGGTAGACTAAAAGGGCGCCCAGAATCCATGTCCTGTCTCGTCGTTGATTACCTTTCCAAATGAAACCGGCCAGTCGTTCGAGCTGAAAGGGTACACATCAAGGGCATCTATGCCAAGGCCTTCGGACCCGAGCTTTAGATTTAAATCCTCAAAAGGCGGTTCTCCCATCGGCAGGTCGACCCTCGAACCTTGCGGTTGATAGCCTTCAGTTCGAGCTGCAGACATATTGAGCGAAGATTTCACTTTTTCATTTAGCCGTTTGAGGGTCACCCGACATTTATGAGCAATATTGGTGGAGGGCTCGCAGCTTGCTAGCACCTGATCGACTTGTTCCAGTAAAACGTCGAGTTGAGGTTTATCGACATGGCCCTCAGTGATTGAGAATAATTGTTCCGCGATGAGAACAGTCGCAGCCATATAAATATCTTGGAAAGTGAGCTTGCTGACCGGATTGTCTTGATTCTTTCAGCATAGTAGACTTACAAGAGATGATATACCAATGTGAAGGAAGCGTGTCTTTGTCTAATGCAGGAGTCTTGCTGTTTAACCCATGGAAGAAGTTGATGATATCCCGTGCAGAGTCAGTGCATTTAGTTTGGCAGTTTTTGACTACTGCATGAATGACTTGCTCCTCAAGAGAGCCGCTGCTCGCTTCGGGCCATTTCTCTGGCTTTCTTCCCTGTAGGAAAAATGGGCGGAAGCAGAGCAATCTCACGCAAAGGAACCTGGAGAGTTAGCTTAGCATATTCACCTTTTTAGAAGTATTCTTACCGAGCATGAAGTACGTTGGCTGTTCGGGAGCTCCCTCGGCCGACATCCACCCGTAGGTGAATTGGAAGAGCCGAGTACCAAGCGGATAAGTCGGACTCGATCCGAAACAAGTTGGCGAGATTCTCGCTATCCAGAACTGCATTGGTTTTGGATGTAAGTGTTGACTCGGTCTGTGTAATGCCTGCATTGTCAACGCTTAGTGGGTAGAAACACTCCAATATGTCACCAAGTAGAACATGAAGTTGACAAAACGCGCTATAAAAGTCGGCATTGGCAACTGAGGGAGGAATTTGCCCCTCCTGCGCGGTAGTATTAGAAGCCGCAGGCGGCACTGCAGATTTCTTGACAATTTCTTGGCAAACCTGAGGCTTTGAACCAAAGGTCATGGCTGCAATTCTACTGAGATGTTAGCCGCTTTTTCAAATTTCGGAGTCATTTGTCAATATACCTGTCCATGATGATACAACCAAACCACACTCGTTTGGCAAGCATTTGTTCGTTTGTATTGGTAAGCAGCTGGCAAGACTCTTGAGATTGCAAGCCTATAGTCCTGGCAATTTGAATAGCTAGTCCAATGCTCTGAAAAAATTCGTTCGCCAAATTTGTATGTTGAAGATAGACCGCGGAGAGGAGAAGAATCTGAATAATCTCCAAGCTATGCATTTCCATAAGGTTGAAGGACATCAGCTGTTTAGCTCTTGCGTAATAGACATTCGCAGTGTGGGTGTGCGTGTCGACTTCATTGGCGCTAGCAATCTTGGAAGATGTGGCAAAGATCAAGTTGAGGATGCAGTAGAAGGCCTTCTCGTTCACATCCAATGCAATACCACCCCAGATCCTCTCGTACCCGGCATTGATCGTGTTCTGATCTAGCCAAGGGAAAATGGGGTCAACGTGCAGCCAGTATTTCTTGACAAGTTCATCAGACACCTTTCGAGCGGGAAGAACAAAGAGAGCCGCGTAGTATGGTTTGTTCTCTATTAGCAGTGGCAACTTGGGCAGAATTTGGAGACATTTAGCTGGTTTGAGCATTGGGTCACGTGATGGAGGAGTGCCTGCCGCTACACTCTCCGCTACACTCTCAATCTGACGCACGAAATGTGCACCAGTCGATGCATCAACGAGGCTCTCACTAGGCAGAAGAGAAAATTCGTCATTGGAGGGCGACCCTTGGCCTGAAGGCTCATGTGTTGAAAAGAAATGTCCACTGCCAAAGATAGGCGATGGGGGATGGGAGAGATCAAGTCGGTTCAATGGAGAAGCTCTTGCTGACTTGGGCCTGAATGAGCACTATCCTGAAAGGGAAGGAAAGCTAGAAGCCCCACAGCCTTACATTTTCTGCCTTGTGGCCGCTGACGCCGCCGGTTTAGCGCTCCTTCCTCCATAGCTCTTGTGAATCACGAAGCACTCACTGTTTCTGTTGCATGCCAGGAGTTTGCTCAGTTCTGTACACACACTCTGTCGCTCCATTATTCCGTCTAGAGCAGGGACCACACACTAATTCGATGACCGGTCGGGTGAGCTGTCGATGATTTCGAGATTTATTGATTAGGACAAGAATCGGATTAAGAGCACATACCTGGCCGAATACCATCGCATTTGGTCTTCCTTCGTTTGCAAAAGTTACATGCGGCGCTGATCTTCTGCCTTTTCATTTGGGGCTCTGACACGAAACTGTAGGGGGGATACCTACTCGCCATATTTAGCGGTCGGATGTGCAGGAGTCAAGGGCGGAAGCAGACGGAAGAGAAGTTTAAGGAAGAGAAGTTCTAAGGTATCCAGGTTACAGGTGAGGTGCCGCGCTAGAAAGTCACCTGACTAATATTACGGCTTCCGACGCTAAACGTAATAAGTATTAATTACTGGGTAGCTGAGCTTTACGCATCCTTGACACTTATAATTAATAGCATTAACTGCTTTTTAACTACTGTCTAGCTAATTAATCTTTATATCTCAGTATTTCTCTAATGTATCTTTGCTCGATGTTCTATAAGCTCTAATTCTTTCTCCTCATTCTCAAGCTGTTTTGCCTAGTTTTGAAGCTAATTCTCACGTATTTCTTGCTCTTTATCCTTTAGTCAAAGCTCTAGCTCTCGGAGTTCCAACGCTTGTCACTATTACTCAATGGTAAGGATCTTCTGCGATGACACCCGACGGAGGCTTCGGGAAGAGACGATTGAACTACGTAGCAAGCAGTTAGTGAGTAGTTAGTAACTGGTTAGAATGTGTTGTATTATATCCTGAGGCCCGTGACTGTGATTGAGATCTTCGAGGTTGTAATTCATCGCGGGCGCTTGTTATTGAGCGACGTCGCTTGCGTGACCCTAAGAAAGTAAAGTGTTTAGTTAAAATTTTTACTATTCTTACCATCCCGTGACATGTTCCGTAGGAAATTAGCTTCCATGTTTGTTGTCTGATATGAATTGTGAATACCAAATCGAGTTCGATTTATATATTGGAGTGTATCATGTTGGTCGAGTTTCGCTGAACTAAAGGGAAGACTCTGTTAACTACTTGGTAACTGCTTGGTAATGTTATGAACCTAGCCAAGCGGTCAGACGTTCTACCGGCAGAACATTCAGCGGTTAGAATATTATCAGATAGATAATGTTCCTTAATAATAAGATTATCCCTAGGATAATATTATACTTATAATAATATTAACTATGGTTAATATTTACCTTATAATAACTTTACTACCATGATAATATTATAGACCTTTAGTATTAATAGGTAAAATACTAAGTGCTTATAAGCTATGCTAAAGATAAGCTATTATATAGTATAGCTCACCTAGAAGCTGTCAGAGAGCCGCGCTAAGACACGGGATACTGTCAGCCAATGGATTTACCTCGTAAGATTACGGTTGACGTGCTGTCACGTCAACAGGACGGACCAAGGTTGATCCGAGCGACATAGCGATACGGGAGTATTGATATGTGCCAAGAGTTGCGCGATAATCGCGACATAGCGAAAGTGATATGTTTGATATGTCCGCCCACACAGCAGACATAGCAGGAACGATATGTTGGCTATGTTAAAGAATAGTATTTAGGAACACTCGTTCATGTATGTAATTAGTTTTAGTTACTGTCTGTTACTTTCGGAACCAAAGCTACCCTACCTTTCGGAAACCCAGTTTACCTTCTTAGTCCGTTAAGAAGCAGTCTTCTTACATCGATATAAGAATACCTTAAGCCCTTCCAGGCCTTAAGCAGGATCGGTTGGACTTATCTGACAGAAGCTAAGTACCTATAAACACCTAATAACTAATAGCTAAAGACTAAGAACCCGCACTAACTATGAGCTAGTCTAGATCATGGTCTTAGGACTACGGGCCTGGGGAGACTATAGGTCTAGGAAGTAGGACCTATAAGGATTATAAACTATAGCCTAGGAAAAATAGAGTTCTAATAAAGTATAATTTAGATAGGGGATATAGGAAATAGCTACACCCTAGCATACTAAAGTAGTTATATAAGTATACTATTAAGAGGACCATCTAATAGTAGGAAAATAGTAGGAGGTATAATAATAGCTTATTAGATATACTATCTATATACCATCTAATAGTAGGAGGATAGTAGGAAGTAAAGGATATATAAGAATACTTATTACCTACCTATATTTAGTCTTACTTATTCTTTATAATTAATATTATTATTATTTAAAGTACTACCTTTAGATTATTCTAATTTAAGACTCTTATAATAATACTTTATCTAGTACTTCTTAATAGGCTTTATTATACATAGTAAAGGCTAGCCTTACTTCATTCCACCTTAGCTAGACCTAACCATGACTAGTCCCCATACTAGTTAAATATTGAGCAACCTGAGTAAGTCAATCCATTGTCAGGGCTTAGGTCAAGACGATCCCAAGGTTTAGGAAGGCTCGAGAGGTCGACCTTCCATAACAGGTAACTGGCTTTAAGTACTTACTTTTGGATTGCTGCTACTAATGTTAAGCGCTTGCCTGCTATATTAGCCTTGTGATGTGACTATTCAGCTGAGTTAGTATGATTCCGCATAGAATCATAAATAGAGGCTGGAATATTTGAGTAGAATTTATTAAGACCAGCTTTGATAGCTGGTTGCTTTTTATGCTCTGCCCGGGCCTGCACTTTTCGTTCTGAATACCCTATATTAGTTAGCAACTGAATGCAAAGCAGTTAGGAAGTACTTATGAATTAGTAGATCACATAACTGGTCATAATCACCTTCAGACTTGTAGTTAACTAAGGCTGACATTTGGCTCTATACCCCACACCCCTTGTTCTGATTTCCAACCGCCTCTGTTATAGTTCGAAAGAAATGAACATGGTAGAATATAATAATTCCTTTTAGTTGCCACAGGATTGGTCGGTGGAGGGGATTAATTTCTTCAAGGAAGCGTCCAAGTGTAAGCGGCGAAATTGGATTAGTGGTGGTTTTCTGGTTATGTTGGCCAGCCGGATCCCTTCTAGAATTTGGTACGGGTGTATTTAATTAGCTCCCACTCATAAAGTACTCAGAGGGCTCTAAGAACAGACATATTACTTTGTGAGTTCCTCCATACCTTATGTTTTGACTAGGTAGCGATGATGGTTGATTCTCCCTGCTCATGTCCTCTACCATGTGCTTGCTGTACTTGGTTTGGAGATGGCGGATCTTGTTGTATATCTTCCATATACATAAGTAGTATGACAACAATTGTTAATAGCACTGCGAACAAGCGGAATTGTTGACAGAAAGTGGCCAGCCTGTGTATATGTCGTCTATCAGAACAACGGCTCGAAATTCTGTCGACTGTTGTTTATATTCGTCTCCGGCCCAAGATGTGCCATAATTACCCAAGTCTCAGAACGATATCCCGTCTCCATCCCTCTCCCTGACCTGGTGTCTTACCGTACCAAGTATCCCAAGAGACACGCCTTAAATCCGACTCTAGTATTATTCGCCCTTCAAGAGTCATAGGGCTTGCCTTAGTTGGATCTTGACCGAGCGCCACATTATACTCAGTTTTCTTTTCAATGGGGACGCAGTACACATGAGTCAGTTAGCGCTAAGGGAAGAAAGAAAAAACGTCAGTATAAATTCGGTAAAACTTTCCGGATTAGTCTAGGCTCCTAGGCTTCATACAAATGGCTGTTTTCCTTGGGACGATCAGTTGAAGCAACGTGCAATCAGGGAAGCTGGTCGTCGTTTGAGGCGCCGCGGATGGCGCAAGATTCATTGACGGACGGGCAAATCGCCAAGATGCGCGAGGCGTTAGAGTTGATCCTGCAAGCACAGACCAGGAATGTGGCTGGCAAGTTGACGAACTGGTGGACGACTGGCACGCTCACTTTGCGGAGAAATCCGCGCGCACCACATCAGACAACAAAGCTGATCGACGTTTTGTTCAATATGGTGGGTGATACTATGGAGTATTGGAATCCAAACTATCGACCACTAAGTCGCGCAAAGCCGCACGCAAGGTTTCTTTTGTGGGGTTTTGAAGCATAATCGGTGCAATGAGATTCATTGTGAGACGAAGCGGGTTGGATACGAGGCTGGGCGCGGGCGATACGTTGGGGCGCAAAGAAGCTGAGTCGCAATTCCGCAACGCCTCGTGTGCCCAGTCGGGCAAGATTCGGGCAACGCCAAGTGCGTGACGCCCTCCTCTTTCTGCTCGAGACACTCACAGCCTTCTAAAGGATATTACCACAAGACTTATATGTTGAGGAACCTATTTGGCAAATTGGATAGCTCTGTGACGTCAACGGCCGCGGTCTCCGGGGTTTCGTAACTCATTGGGGGCATTTAAGATATGATGGTTCATCAAACATGCGAACTTGACCTGCATTCAACAATTTCCAGCCCGGTAGGATCACCCGATACCGAAAAACAAATGCTACAGCCAATCGGCGCATCGAGATCCTGCCCAGGGTGGCTCTCGGACCAGAAAAACTCGTGTTCTAATCAAAATACGAGGTGCCCAGCTTGCTCTATTTTAGCGCGGTTGATCCTCAATTGTCGATAAAAGATGCCTCCTTCTCATTGCCGTTTCACTCTTCGGCAAATCTTTCCTCATCGTCACACTCACAGCCATGAAATACTCCATTGCCCTAACGTTCCTGGCTTTTGCCCGATATGGCCTGGCGACTGAGCGTTCCGGCCCAGCGGTAACGCCTCAGGACACTTCCCCACTGGGAGCCAGAGCCCTGCTCGAGAAGCGGGACACCTGCGAAGGTGGAGGTAGCTGCATTGTTGGTCAATGCTGTGGCATTGATGGATGTGCCATGAACTGTTGTGGAGTGGATATGAATGGAGAAGGAGGTTCGTTTTCCTTCCTTCCTCCTGCATTTTAATATTCCCCTTTTTTTCCCCAGGCACGGATAAACTGACTAATAACGTCTTATTTAGTCGGCTGTAACATTGGAGCAACATGCGATTATGCCAACGAAAGTGTTTTCATAGGATGTTGCATGGACTTTCTCGGGTATGTGCCTTCTAATATACCTTCAACCCTTTTCATACGCTTGCAACCAAACCGAGGAACAAAGTTCTGATTGACGTAGTCGGGGCTGCACCGGTACCCCCACCATGGTAACCATGAGTACCATATACGGCGACTACACACCCACAAATGAGGCCACCACTACCACGACGCGAGAACCAACATCCACATCGACCTCAACAGACGAACCCACTGAAACTGAAACACCAACTCTGCCAACGGCCACCCAGACGTCTCTCCCGACTGCCACTTTGACCAACTCTGATGATGAAGACCCCTTCGAAACGGGCACCGATGACGATACGACCACCACCCGGCCTACCTCGAGTGCAGATGACGACGACGACTTCTCGTTCCCATCGGAGACCACTACTGCTGATGACTCCACCGACAACAATCTAACTCCGACTCTAACTGCTGAAACTCCCCAGCCCACTGAATCAGACGACGCTGCGACCGTTGTCCATCCCAGCTTGTGGTTTATTGCTGGGCTGGGCGCGTTGCTTGCTTTTTAATAGTTGCTGGTTGCTCTCTGGGAGGACTTTAAAATCAGGAAACCGCCTCTGGTGATTTGTAACTTTATTAATTTGCTTCGCGTGATTGAATAATATCATAAAAGGGGTGGACTTGACTTGTACCAGGAGGGATAGTTCCACGTGACTTTGGAGTGTATTCTGAAATGGAAAAGCTTTGGACCTTTTTTTTTTTTCGTTTTTGCCGGTTAACAACCATCATGGGACTTGATGTGATCTGCTCAGTTCGGCAGGCCGCTCTCACGGGACGATGATCGGACAGGCGCTGAACAGAGGCATCTTAATCATCCGTTCGAGCCACGCACATCTTGGTGCTCAAGACAGGGCGTACACAGAGCATGAGAGCAAAAGGTGTAATATTTGGGAAAGTCAGCACATAACCATGGCACCACGTTCAGTGATAAAGGACCACAGGAGCAAGAGAGGATGTCGCTTCCTATTTGTTCTGTTCGAATCGGGCTCTCGCTGTGTATCGAGTCCAAAGTAAATGTCCATAGTAAATGTCCATACATAGGACCCCGCTAACCTGAAGGAGGATGATGACGCCACATCGGCTGAAAAGCTTAATTGCCGACCCACTATGCCTTCATCCTCGATGAGCCAGAATTGATTGCTGGACTGCTCTCGACGTAATATTTTGTGTGGGGGAAACAGTATTATTGTGTCGGCCCCGCCAGTAGACCAGCTCCTCGGGAATCTCTCATATCATGGTCTAAGATATTTACATTTAGCCTACGAGCGGAGAGGCCCATGGGAATTATATAAACCTGCCCCAGGCCATGGATAGACCTCTGAATCTTTGGTTCTATCGTATTTATAGGCCGACTAGCGCGCTCAAAATAGCCCTCGGTAGAACTGCTACGTGTCTGAGAATTGCTCACGAGATTTTGGGTTTGAAAAGGGTGACTCCCAGTAGAACAATATATGCCAAAAGGAAACTTGTCGTCTACACATTGCAGCCGGAGGCTTTGCCCTAACTCGGACAGCTTTTGACATACGTGCGGTTGCTCAATCAAAAAGGTAACAGGTCTCAACCATACAACAACCAGCCTTTCTGTATGCTGCAACTATCCAAGGCAAAAGAATTGTTAAAAAAGCATACAACTACTGTCTATGGCTGTGCTCACCCGCCCGCCTCTCTGTCCATGCCTGCTTTGGCGCCCGGTTTCTAAGCCTTCAGGCAGGCGGCACACTCGCCTGAATAGTCCACACCCAGGCTAGCAAAAGATGCATCACCACAAGAGCGCATACGGGTCCTACAGTGGTAAGTATTCTCTTAACCATAAGAGAATTACCTCTAGATTGGACTCGTGATCTCTGGCTGACGGAGGGGCAGGGTTGTTGGAGAGTTGTCGCCCGATAGCCAGGTTGACTTCCACGATACGTCTACGGGTTCTTTTCTCTGGTTGCTGGACTGTCCGTCTGGCCCTTTCCGTATAGTGCGCCTTAATTCAACATTCGACAGCCTCCTGATTGTTCTGATGTTCTGTTCGACAAGGAATAACTCGAGTTGCACCCAGCTGGGACCCAGCCGGGCACAATTCGGAACCAGCCCTTGAAGAGGGTGGGAGGTGCTGAGAGTTGGATTCACCGACACTACAACTAAACTAAGTCTTTCGACCTTTCCGTCAGGCGTTGAAGGTCGAAGTGTGACAGTGGTGTTTTGTCACTAGGATAGGACGAATCGAGAAGTCTCCTTGGTTATCAGTCTACCCTCCGATAGTCACAGTCATGAGATCCAGCCACAATAGTTTAATCTAAGGATTTCATAGTACTCCACGCCCAGACCCGGAGGAGGGCTTAGCGAAGATTATTGACGCATTACTTGCAGACGCCAAAGTGCGCCATGCCTAGCCAACTCTGACCGAGTAAACTTCATACTATTCCAACACAGCCCGCTGTCTGGAACCGCTACAAAACCAAAATGTTGCTATGATGCGTGGTTGTCTGCGGATATTTAAGCCCCCAGGATACGACCTGAGTGGTTTTGAGATTACCATCCAAATGAGAGGTGCTGTTTTGACAGTTGCGTTAAAATCAAGAATACCGGTTGCTTAACTATTTAGCACTATCCTGTTAGTACGCTAGGGAAGTTACTTGCTAGGTCTCTCCAATATCCCTCTCGTCACCCTATTGGAAGCCATGGGCTTGGCCCTTGTATAGTAGTAAGCTACCCTCGCGTGAGGTAAAAGTGATAGGTAGTTGATCAGGCACTGTAAATAGCTTATTGATTTCAAGCGCAGAGCTGGAAACCAGATGGTTAATACTTGGCATTGTTTATTCCAATCACAAATATAAGCGAGCCCTCCTGTGGAGCGCACACGTGGAAGGGCCGCTTCTGAGCCACCCGCCAAAGGTGTTGTAGCGTTTGGGCGCCTTGTTGCAGAGTCTACGGTGCGTCTATGCCCCTTGCAGAGAACTTTAATCTCGACTCTAAACTGTTCTGCAGATCCAAGGAACAATGTTTCGAAAGGATCACTACCTCAAACACCGGCACTCTTGGCAGGACGAACAGCCATCCAGGATTATTGCCCTGACAGCAGCATCCGACAACTGCAGGTCCCTGCCAAGCAAAGAAATTAAGAATACGAGGTTGTGGGAATGAGGATGCTGAGACACCCGCTCGAGCGGGCCAAATACGAAGTTGTCGACTCCTCCAACACCGCTTGAAAAGGCCCTTCGTCCCCATTGTCAAATCCAATTCTTGGGAATACAAATAGAACATTTTACGATGCTGCTGAATACCTTGGTCACCTTCCTTGCCATCATTGCCCGGCCTGTGCTTGCGTCCTGGGCTGTAACACATCATGTCATTATCCGCAACATCACCACCGGGATACTCCCTGACTACATCGTAGAGAGCACCGTCTACCCCACGGCGTCCGTCTTCCCAACCTCCACCTCGATAGCCGTGTGGACAGATTACCTCCCCGCAACACAAAACGGACTCGGCCGCGCCGTGATCAATGTGACAACCAGTTATCTCATCCTCCCCACAAAACCGACGAATCTTCCCGTCCTGACCGATCCGCCAACTGCCTCTGCAACCCCCATTGAGACAAACTATTACATCCCCGTGACCGTGTCAAACCCAGAGTCCTGCACCCTAACCGACTTCACCTACACAGACACCATTGGAATTCGCGTCCCGACCCCGCTGGCCGCGCGTGCAACAGGGTCCGACCTGGCCCTCCTCGTCACAACCTACGAGTCAACCATCAGTACCAACTTGGGTGGCCAGCCCGTCACGACCCTTGTCTGCGACGTGTATCTGAAGTCCGGCGCAGTCCCAGTCGTTGATGGCGATCTGGAAGTCTACGGCGCGGGGTTGCTGTCCGAGTGTGTTGACCCGCGAGAACACTTGTGCACCAGTCCCGGCCAGAACTCGGCGGCCACGGGGTCGGGTGGGTGTTTTGGAGCTTACCCTCCGACGGCTGTCGGCAGCAGCAATCAGGCATCAACAACCGGGGCGGCTGACTCTGTCGCTGCGCCGACGGAAACAGGTGGGGGCCCAAGAAGCTGGAGCAGCCAGATGAGCTACTTGATTGTTTTGGGCAGCCTTGCGGCTGTCTTACTCCTATGATCATAAAGAAGAGAAGTAGTTTTCTTTTTCTTGGTGCAAGAGGCACTTGATTATGTCGAGCGTTTGAAGGAGGGCCTTGGAAATCTGCACCTAGGTATTCCATAGAGTGGTCTCATCCAATTCGAAAGGCATAACTAGGATCCCATTGAATTCTTCTCAGTGAGTAACATACGTATTATTCTCTGTATATATATTTTCGTTATAACAGTATTCTTTACTAGGTAATAGGATTACTTAGTATACTTTTAGCTTATTTTCTATACAGTATATTAGGCAGATTCTAAAATAAGGCTATACATTAGGTTATAGTCTTTAAGACGGTCATATGTTAGGTGCTTATTATATGAACTACTCCTACCGTAGTATAAATAATCGTTCTAGAGTATAGTATACTCCATCTATGTTGATACCTACGGCCGTCCATGGGATGCGCGCCTAACCCGGACCAAAGGCGGATCGGTCCTTATTAAATACTACCACGTTAAACTGCTGGTTACTAAATCTGGCAAGAAGTGTCTTGACTGGGCGGGTCACGGCATGATCGGGGATGTCCATACATAATCAAAGCGGACCCACGAGATTCGAGACGCGGTTCACGGATGAGACCAGTTTCAATATATCCCTCCAAATTACGTGCTCCGCGAGAGCTTGTCCACAACCCGTATCAAGAGGGCAGCGCACGGGAAATGAGATACAACATCCCATCACAGAAATGCGCACTTCCTGTCGGGCATCAATGCCGCGACGGAGAGCGCCAGTCAGGACCCGGTGGCGTGGCGTGGTTGCTGCATATGTGCAGGGTCCGGCGACAACGGGAATGGACCAGCTGTCACAGGCACCGGGATCAACTGGTATGGTTCTTCGCTGGCGGACGGGGCGGTAGCAGATAACGACCCAGAGTACTACTACTGCTTGGGCGGGCCGGCAGCGAACTACTCGCCATTTACGAACTAGATAGGGTTTAGGGAGATGTTTGACCTGAACCAGGAGACGTTAATGGCATAAGTCGAGTGGGGTCCAATCCATGGCTATATCTCGGACGTGTTTCTCGTGGTCTCGGCGGATGCAAAAGCTGACCCGAGACTCATTCTCGCGATTGTTATGCAGGAGGAGCTTCCACGAGTCTTCTACGCGCGACTGCTGATGATCCTGTGTCCAAGCCAGAGGCGAGGGTAGTGGTGGAGAATCTAGAGGCCACCTGGGATAGGAATAGTGATATACATTCCGAGACTAGACTGCCTGGTCAAAGTTCTCCAGACATCCCCGCCACCAACGTCGAAAGTATATATATGGTTCAACGCTCAAGATCCGACAGCCACATTGAATCTGGTCTGCTTTATAGAGATGCATTGATGCGCAGCTGCTGAATGTAGACTTTTTGAAATTTGACACTATAGTTAGCAGTTTATCAACTCCCTGCTCTCTGTAGGGCAAGCGAGGTGAACTACTTTTTTACGGCATAAGTTGCTCTATCCATGGCAGAGCCACCATTTGAGCTTCTTAAAGACCGTGTATGGTCTGCCAATTTCACTATTTGAGGGAAAGAAAAATTAACCTCGTTCAATAAGTGATACAGCATGTAACTGGCTGTATTACCAAGAGAATAGAATAGCATGTGCTTTCGCAATTATCATTGCCTCTTATTGTAAACTATAGAACCTGACTTTCACAGCCTAGCCTCATCGCCGCTCCATCGATCCTCAATAGCCAACTGAGATCAAATAGTCTGCAAGGGCATCGACAGTGGAATATGCGTTACTAGCTACTGAAGTCTCGCCATAATGCCCAATTATTATCGCCTGCTTTGATTTGGCGATGGCAATTCCACTTCGGCCCTAGCAAGGGGTTACCAGTCAGTTTTCAGGGTAGTGGAAAAGCTGGAAAGCCAGGGTTTATTGGAACTTACTGCGCACGCCCATATACTCCTGTCCTCTGCCCGAGCGAGGACGAAGCGCTCCCCAGCCACGTAGAGGCCGTCAGCGAAGGCGTTGTCACGCTCGCGCTCGGAGCCCAGGAGGATCTCGGAGATGATCCTCAACTCATCAGGGCTGATCTGTGGACATGAACGTCAGCTTGTGCCGAGAACTCATATAATATAGACAGCGCATGTGTTTGACGCCGACATACGTTGTAATTCGGCGAAGCGGCCCAAATGGAATCGCCTTCAAGAGCGGCGATAATCGCCTTGTCGATTTTGCCTGAGCCGACAAGGCTAGCCAGGAGTCTTGACTTAGTCTTGTTTATTGCATTTTGGTTTGATTTGTAAACGACTCCATGGAGCCACGGTGTAAGAAGAAATGTACCTCGCATCGATATAACCTGGAAGCAAACAGACGTCTTGTCAGCTAGCTCGACTTTGGCACGCAGAGCAGGAAAGGCTAGACAAACCCTGCCAGGACATTTCAGGTAGTTTTCAAGTGGTAGTAATTGAGCGCGGGAGGTGGGAGTAGAAATCGAGATGATCTGCAGATCCGTCGACGGAGGCCATCTTTGATCTGATGCGCGGTGCAGTCCGTTCTCATGTTCGTCGACCCCGCGTCACTCAGCCAGCCATGACTTTACTTAGTGGGCATAGCCTGAATATCCGCACCGCTCTGATTGGTCATGTAGACGCACACAATGCACAAAAGAGAATACAGCTTTTTGCTTATTGGCCTACCATGAGGACATGTGAATTACAGACAACATCAGCCTGCTTAGTTAGTAGGTAAATACATATAAACCTGATATTGTATTTACTCCTATGGATAGCACTAACATTAAGATAATCAGTACTGGACTGCTAAATAACTTGGTACCTGCAACTACAGGGTGTGGAGAACAGGGCTTCCCATCTGCTCAGCGGCACTTAAGCCGCACTGATAAACATAGCCAGAAGTTAAATAAACCCCGCTCGGGTAGCTATAACCTCGTATAGTAGTTATGAATTTTCGTTAGTTTAGGCTAAGGATATCGCAGGCTGAAGGTACTACTGTCCTCACTCCAAACACGTGAAGGTCACATCGTGTATATCTTAGAAGATATCTAGTATCTAGAAATATTAGTTAATAGAATAGAAATTAGTAAGAGGCTCGAACCCCTAGGATAAGTAACTACTACAAGGGTTGGTGATTTAGTTCCTATTCTAGGTTAGTCCTCATAATAAGTACTTATACTATCTGTGGTACAGTCTCCTTACTTGATATTCCTATCTTACTCTTATAGTACAACACGCATTACTGTAGGTCCTCTAATTCCGATGGACTAGCGTGATCTGTTCAAGCAGTAACTAGCACGTTAAGTAGTATTATTAAGATCGGGGTGTCCGAACCTGCGTGCTGGTTAGATATGATATATATGTACTACCTGGTCAAGCAGCTCATATGGAAGATGAACGCGTCGATGAAGTCGGTCGTTTGCAGATACTAGTTGTCGCTGCTTTTCGTTTATTTTAGTATAACCTCAAGATATTGTAATAACAGCTACAGTCTTTTCTTGTAAGCTCTCCTTTCGCTTGTCCTTCTCAAGGGTTCGATTTGGATAGTTGGGAAGCCACCACCCGAAATAAATATCTTCCGGATATTTATTATGTGAAGAATACTGGTGCTAAAATAAGTTTAATCACGCAACTATATACGTAATTTGTATAACGGCATATTTAAGTACCTACCTATATATTAACATGCATAGCGCCACGCTACTGTTTGAATTTTGGGAGATTCGATTTGACGGTTGCGCCTCGGTCAGGTGCAAGAACGTCCCCCTATCGCTACAGCTAGGTATGGAATTTCTCTGGCTGTAATTATAGCTATCTGCCAGAAACCAGACTCCACACGGGGTCTTCATCATCCCAGAGCTCATCTCGGCAGCACTCTACCATTCCATCCGCCTTCAATCTCCTAACGCTCTATGACCGATTGTACCCCAACAGACATCGCCGCCTTTCACGAACATGCTCAGTGGGCCATAAATTCTCCCCCTCTCGTACCGAGAGGCCGCAACTCCAGAACCAGATTGCTTCATTGGTACCATGGGTTACACCTGCTTAACGCAATTTGTGGTCCGAGTAAGTATGCCCGCCTTGGCACTTGGGCTTGTCCCTCGTTCTCTCGGCGATTAACCTCGGCTGAAGTGGGAACTTCAGAAAATTACTCAGCATCCGCTCCTGGATGTAATCACCGAGCTAGCTCCACTCGAGATTTTACTGTACTATCAACAATGGTGAAATTTGCCATCGGCACAAAGTGGACCCATCTGGGTGAACATTTCTAATCAATTGCAGTGATTATAAACAGTATCCGATCTGAGGATCAGCGAAGTGTCAACAACGACCAGTTATATACTTAAGATACTCCCATGAAGGCGAATATGATTCTTATCACTACTCTTCATCTCTCCATATCTTCATCTCTTCATCACAGCCATGTCTACTCAGAAGGCAGTCATTGTTACTCAACCGAAGACCGCCGGCTTGGTCAGTGACCGTGCTATTCCCAAGCTCCGCGATGATTACGTCCTCGTCAAGACCGTCAGCGTGGGTTTAAACCCCACTGACTGGAAGCACGTCGACTTCCTCTCGCCGCCCGGGGTACTTTTAGGATGTGATTACTCTGGTATTGTTGAGGCCGTTGGCAAAGATGTCAAGCTACCCTGGAAGAAAGGTGACCGTATCTGCGGTTCCGCCCACGGGGGTAATGCCGTCCAACCCGAAGATGGCACTTTCGCCGAGTACATTGTTGTCAAGGGCGATGTGCAGCTCCGAATCCCCGAACATCTTAGTTTCCAGGAAGCTGCCGTGCTCGGAGTAGGCATCCAGACTATCGGCCAGTCTCTATATCAATACTTAGGGCTGGCTCCACCGACCCAACCTATCCAAGATGCGACTCCGATTCTTATCTATGGTGGTTCTACCGCTACGGGAACCCTGGCCATCCAGTTCGCCAAGCTCTCTGGTTACCGGGTGCTCACCACCTGCTCACCACACAACTTCGACCTCGTCCGTGGCCTCGGCGCCGACGCTGTCTTTGATTACAACGACCCAGAGTCCGCCGCTCAGATTCGCCAGCAGACAAACAACAACCTAAAGCTAGTCTTGGACTGTATCTCTCTTCCTTCGAGTGTTGAGTTCAATGACAAGGCACTTTCAACCGAGGGCGGCGAGTACCTCTCACTCTTGCCCGTGAAAATCGATCGCGCGAACGTCAACAGTCGCGCCGTCCTAGTCTACAGCGCCCTCGGCGAGGCTTTCAATTTTGGCAACATGGCTTTCCCCGCTAAGCCGGAGGATTTCGAGCACGCCAAGAAGTTCACTCAGGCGGCTCAGGCTCTTTTGGATCTGGGCAAAATCAAAGTTCATCCCCCGAAGGTTGGAAAGGATGGTCTACGTGGTGTCTTGGAAGGACTAGAGCTGCTCAGGACCAACAAAGTGAGTGGTGCAAAACTGGTTTATAATATTGCGGAGACCCCTTAGTTAGTGGCACAGATCGACATATCTTTCAAGTGTGTAGTGAAAGAACCCATTTTTTTTGCCATGATTGTCCACACGATTGTCCGGCCTCTTTCCCAAATCAGATTAGTAAGCATCTAGAGTACCAAGGTAACTAATTTGGTACGTACCGGTGGATCCTAAGCGGAATGATGAGTGATCATGCCGAGGCGAAGATTAACCGTAACCTGGCCTCCATGGGGCAAGGTGTAACTATTGGTCCGATTCCAGGTCGATCAGGGAACGCCCGTCAGATTCTAATACAGTCGGTCCTCTCTCATGGGCTGACAGACTCGCTTAACTTCACTGTGAACTTATCCGTGACCATCTTCGGCCCGTCATGGACACATATGTTCCTCGCGAGCTGCCTGTCTTTAATTGGGGCGATTTCCAACAGAGTCCCCCGTCGTTACCGGACTCCATGACCTCGGATATCACCTCATTGCTCTCGGTCCGCTCCTATCTCCCGCCTGAAGCATATACCTCACAAAATGCTCCAAGTAGTACCCCGTCACCCAGTCCTGGCATCCTCGCCCTTGAGCTCGCATCTTCCTGGAACCAGACAAACATAAGCCAAACGCCCCTCTCCAAGCCGATGCCACAGCGACCACAGAAACGCCAGCGATGTGGATCCAAGAAGACCTCATCAGCGAAGGGGCCTGGGGCGCCCCGAGAAGTTGGTGAGAGCAATGAGAATCCTGCCGAGGTTCGTAGGGTACCAGCCGACCTCTACCAATGTTGTGAGCGTTTCTAACAGATTACTCTTGTAACAGCGCCGTCGCATGCGAAGTCGCGTAGCACAACGTGCATATCGCGAACGACAGCAAGCTACACTCAATGGCCTCAAGAACCGCGTATCCCTTTTGGAGACCTCCATTGAGAAAATGAGCTCTGCGATGCTGGTATTTAGTGAGGAGCTGGTCCAAAGTGGGATTCTAAGGTCACACTCTGCTTTGACAGGGAAGTTACGGGACACGATGAAAGTCTTTTTCACCATGGCAGCCGGATTAAGTCTCGACGACGACGACGAGCTAAGGGTCCTGGTTGACTCGAATGACACAACCAACTCATCACCACGACCCCGTCAACAGCCCCCAATCAACCGCCTGTCACTCAATCTTCCCTCCCACTATCGCCTGGATGGTACTGACTTATACCAACCCAACAGTGCTGTCCTGCCACATCCTGTCAATTCACCAGAAGTGTCAATTATAGACGTATCCGCATTTATTCAAAGGCTGCTGCTGGAAGCTCTCTACCAAGGACATCTCGCTCTAGGCGATCCGTCTATCAGTTTGAGTCAACTCCAACGGCCCTTCGGGCTTATCTTTAGTATGATGAACCGCGAACGTTTGACATCTTACTTGAAAGCAGAATTGTATTCTCAAATACACCAAAAGCCACTTACTGGATGGGACGAAGTCCCCTTTTTCAGGCTGGGGGGTGCGGGAACCCATTATCCCCACTGGAGCAGCACCGGCCGCCGTTCCACGTTTGTAGCTCCTCGCCAGAGTGGGGGCACCGTGGAGGATCCCTTGACACTGGTAACGGCAGAATTGCGAACGCAGCTACAAGGAGATTGGTTTGACCTGCGAGATCTGGAGTGGTTTCTTCGAGATAAGAATGTGCTCCTCATTGCGTCGCCTGGTGAGCCAACGATATCCTCAAAAGTGCAGACCAGGATCAATGTCTCACGCTTCATGTCAGGTAAGCGCCCCCTGCCTCCGTTTTCCATCGTTGTAATGATACATTCTGACCCTGATAGCGTTGATCAGCAGAGGAGTTTGCCTGGGTCGGACACCTGGATTTCAACGCAATGATGTGGAGGAGGCCCTGCAGCTTTCGAAAGTTGCTTAGAGTTCGTGTACATTATCATTAAGAACTAGTCGATATACGCCAGAGGTGTCTGTCCAAATCGCTGTCTGTCTGATTTGATGTCTACTTAGGCATATTAAAACAATATTGAGAGACCGAATGTGTAAGAACCCATACGTATAGTTTGTATAATTTACCGGATCATACTGTGTCCGTAAGCCGCTATAAAATGAAAAGTGGGGTTGATGAGGTATTTGGTGGCGATTTGATCCGGGGCTATCACTAATCATTGATTCGTGCTGCAGAATGCTTCCTATTAACCTTTTTTTCTCAAAAGCTTCCTCGCCACGATTTGAGCTAAGCCAATGAATCCTCACGTATGCTTTGCGAAAAGAACGGAATGGGTATGGTACCATTGTGGTTGTAACTAAGTTGAAGGAGGGCCGAGAGCATTGCTGAGCCGAACAATGGAACCGGGATTGTCACGTTATCAAGCCGACAGTGAATGATCTCGCTAGATTGAGCTTCTGATGAACGCATTGATTGGTAATCTGCGGAGGGACAGTACGCATTGGGTTCCAGTATAGATGGCCCATCCCATCTTTCCACTCCTTGATTATGTATCGTACCTATTTTGCTCGAATTTTGAATATTCTTGCTTTTTAAAGAAACCTTCCAAGTTGGACTACAAACCATTAGTCGCAAGCATGGGCCAAAAGACAGTTCTCATTACCGGTTGTAGTGAAGGTGGGATAGGTGACGCTCTAGCAAAAACCTTCCACAAGAAGGGCTTTCGAGTTTTCGCGAGCGCCCGGAATACCGCCAAAGTCCAACACCTCAAGGACATGGGTCTCGACATTGTACAACTAGATGTAACCGACGAAAGGTCAATCGAACAGGCAGTGTCAGCCGTGAAGGCTGCGACGGGTGGATATTTGGATTTCTTGGTCAAAAACTCGGGCTCAGGTACCTAGTCTCACGGCTTCATCAAAGCAGCTTACCTGTGGCAACAAAACGCTGACCATTCTCGATAGGTTACGGCATGCCTTTATTGGACTCGGATGTGTCAGTCGCCAAGAAGATGTTTGATGTCAACGTCTTTGCTGTCGTGACCGTCACTCAGGCGTTTGCGCCACTTTTGATCGCCTCGCAAGGAACGATCATTAACATTGGGTCAGTTCTTGGGAAGATGCCACTCCCATGGTCAGGATATTACAATGCAAGCAAAGCGGCAGTTGCCATATTGACCGACCAAATGCGTATTGAGTTCGCTCCTTGGAAAGTCCGCGCAATCCTCGTCGATACTGGTGCAATTCGAACCAAGTTCCTCGACAACCTTCCAAGTGCACCACGTCTACCCGAGAATTCTCTCTATTACCCTGCAAAGGATGTGATCGAGCCAGCATTGGCTGGAACTGAGGTGGAGAAAATTGCTATGGATGTTAATTCCTATGCCGAGGTCGTGGTCAACAATGCGATCCGATCAAGCCCTAAGAAACATCTTTGGTCAGGCGGAGGGGCATTGATTACTTGGCTGGCTTCAACATTTGGCTGGTCAACTATATGGGTAGGCAGTTTTCCGTCAATCATGAAGAACCACTGCCATTTAATTTTGCTAACACATACACTTAGGATACGTTGCTCCCCCCACTCGCCCACATGCCAGATATCACCAACAAGATCCGTACAGCGGAGAAGGCCGAACAGAATCGCGAGAAGACAAAATAATCGCTCTCGTTTTACCATTCTTGTTTGAAATTAACAATCCTTTCGTCCCTTCTTTTGTGGTCCTTTCGAACGACTCGCGTTTATTTCTGGCGTTTCACTTTGCGTACAAGTATATATATACATATAATCTGGAGCACAAATCTTGTCCTTTTTGTGTATCTTGTTATTTGAGAATCAGTTTGTCTAGAATTTTCATTCAACCCTTGAAGCACAGCTCACTATTATTTGTAGAAAGTTAATATTTTAAGAGCAGTGAAGTAGAATTTTCTATGCGTTAGACCTGGGAACCAAGCTTGCCAACATACACTTCAACGCTGAAGCGATTCTTAAGCTCTATTCAAGATCCTTACTTATAATGCATTATCGCGCTGAAGCTAGGACAAATAATGCTGGCATCGAAAGCAAGATCATATTGTTATCTAGCGTAGCCGAGGTGCGCCATCTTTCTCTCGCCCCAAGAAGCGATGGAAGCGGACATCAAGCCCTGTACGGCAGTGAAAATGAATCGCCCTGGATGCTGATTGTACTCACCTAGGGTGAAGCGAAGTGATCTACCAAAAACAAATTACATCAACGGCTTCCTCCGAGAGATATGAGACTTGACTACGTAACGCTATCTTGTACAACGTATGCCCTCGACACTCGACACGTGGAGACTGCCTACCAAATAGCAGACAGATGTGATACAAGAACGGAAGTGATTTAATTCCAACAGACTTAGCTGTTCAAGAACAACTCAAGGTGCTTTCCGTAAAGCTCGGGCACCTGGACGAGATGCCTGTGGCCCCGGTCAGGGTAAAGATGTGGCTGGGCATTTGAGATCTCCTGCTGCAACACGAAACTATTTGAAGTGGGCGACATAATGTCTGTATGGCCGTTGGTCACAAGAACCGGCGCCTTGATGTCTGTCAACCGATCGAAGGTGCTAGTATCAGTGGTGAATTCAACAATCGCCGTGAGCTGCGACGCGACTCAGGCCCGGATTCAATATTTCGCTCGCGAATTCGCTTCCACCATGCATGACTGAGGGTGTGACTAGTCTCGGAGGGATAGAAGAAGAGTTTCATCATGTCTTCCTTAGTTTGCGGCTGGTCACTGTTTGCTCCCGCACTCTCCTGGACCTCCCGCGGGGGCAAAGCCACACCTGGGCCGATTCCGGATTGAGTGCCCGCCAGGATCAGTTTGTTGACAAGTTGAGGGTACGTATATCCCATATACTGGACAATGCCGCCACCCATGGAGAAGCCAATGAATCGGCCTTTGGAATTTCAAGGGAAGCGAGCAAGTCGACGAGGATCGCGACCATCTTAGAAATAGAATCCGGCACTGTTCCTTCACTGTGCCTGATACTAGAACTATCGTAAACAATCACTTCCCGGCTTTTAGCAATGCTGTTTGAACAAGAGCGGATCGAGCGTGTCCATGGTACCACAAAGATGGTTGACGTAGACCAAGGGCAATGGACTGCTTGCTCAAAAGCGTCTATAGGCAATTCTCAGTCCATTGACGGAGGCAAAAGAAGTCGGAACGGTTTGAAGGGTCGTCGTTGCGGTGGTTTGTTCAAAGAGTAATTGTGAATGAATCAGTTGCCTTGAAATGAATAATGTTGGAAGGAATCTCATGAGATAAAGATGGTTTGTATGTTTCATACAGTTGATCTGAACCTGCATGATTCTATGCTAACTTTTTGTGACCTGATTAATGTCCCTCCTTGTTGTCACAGGATGTTTGTCAGGTCTGATGAGTCTGAGGCAATTCCAACTCCTTGTGGGGACTTGATCGGAGGTCCTTCCCTAGTTCGGATTCAGGCGGATGAGTTAATGACAGCTTGAAAGTCGGGCATTTAACTAATGATTCCGGGGCCGAGGCCCCGCTTCTGTCCAGAGTTTCGTGGAAACTCCCTAACTGGCCGTAGAGTTATCCAAGTTTCGGTCATGCGGTCAGTTTATAAGCGTCACAACGATCCAATACGTTCGCCGCTGTTCCATACACGCTGTTGAAGCCGACCAGCAATGCGATTTGCCATTGAGCTATGGGTTTAATCGCCTGGTGATTAGCCCCTTGTTGCCATCGGCCTGCGGTTCATCCGACCTTTTCAAAATAGTCGGGTTTTGTAAAGTTTCTTTTCATGCTTTTCCGTTGATTCTTCCCGAATATTTTCATACAAGCATAAGTCATTTATCTATTCAGTATCTCCCATCTTCCTTCTCCTACCAACTCTACCTGATCTTACAACGCTGCCAAATTAAGATGAAAGCGGTCATCACACAACGATTCTTGCCCAAACGTCTACTTAGTCTCGCTCTTGGTAGTCCACTGGGGCAGGGCGCACAAGTCAACGATGTCCCGATTCCAACCATCACCGATGATGAGGTCTTGGTCAAGGTGCGTGCGGTCGCCCTGAATCCGATCGACTTCAAAGACATCGATTTTCTCTCCCCACGTAATTCGGCGATTGGCTGTGACTATGCAGGCGAGGTGGCTCGGGTCGGCAAGAATTTAGGGCAGCGTTGGAAGGTTGGAGACAGAATCGCTGGCTTTGTTCACGGTGGTTTGTATCCCGACATTGGCTCGTTCGCCGAGTACCTCAAGGTCGATGGAGACTTGGCCTGGAAGGTGCCTGACGAAATCACTCTGGGCGAAGCGGCCACCTACGGAGTCCCCGCAGCCACCGCAATGCTGAGTCTAGCGTACCTCGATATTCCTTGGGTGGATATTGAGAACGGACGCAGCGCTCAACAAGGTGACCAACCAACCGTTCTCATCTATTCAGGCGGCTCGAACGTGGGTCTTTTCGCTATTCAATTAGCCAAGAGAGCAGGATACACGGTTGTGGCAACGGCCTCGCCTCGTTCCTTCGACCTCGCAAAGCGCTATGGCGCCGATGCAGTATACGACTACCGTTCGTCTGCATCCATTGGCGAAATCAAGAAAGCCCATCCAAACATCACAAAAGCTGTGGACTGCTTTTCCGAAGGCTCCTCTGCCGCCTTCTGTGCCGACGTGTTGCGAGAGGGCAAAGTGGTCACGCTTCTCGATCAAGGAAAGTCGAAGAAGGCAAACGTGACGTATACTTTCCTCATGGTCTACACTGCGTTCGGTCGCAAGTTCCAGCTGTTGGCGCCCCTCGGCCCCGTGTTCCCAGTGAAGCCGGCAGACCGCGAGGTCATCAGCAATTTTTACCGTAACTTATCCACCTTGTTGAGCCTTGGCGTTGTGAGACCTCCACCCATAACGACCATTAAGGGCGGATTCAATGATATATTTGAAGGTCTAGAGATACTCCGCCAGGGGGGTGCTCGAGGCACAAAGCTTGTCGTCGAGTTCCAGTGATCGACGTCCTGTACTTCTCACCCATGTCTCTATAAATCGTGTTATTCCGGACCTGGGATTCCTGGGATACCACTAGCTCTTGTTGGTCAATTCCAGTTGCGTGAAGGGAAATTGGCTCTGGACGGTGGAAGATCCATTGTTATGAATTATGCATGGTCAAGGTAATGGTGCAAGGCCATACGTCGGGGCGAAGTGATGGGCAGGCCTTAACCTACACGGTGATTACCATATGATATTTTATATATATAGTTAGTTCTACTTAAATAGAACCTCTTGATTCTCCACGCTTCTTATTCTATTTAATTAACATCCTATTTCAGCAGAACGCTCCTTACACTTTGCTTGCGGGGTATAGTTAGCCATTGGCGCTCCTTCGCCACCTACGCTTGGACATGGTCTCATGAATCGAGTAGGTACCGATCAAGCAAAAGGAGCAGGGATGAAGTTGGTATTATGGATGCATGAGATAAGGAATGGTGGTGATATTTGGATGAATTGACCTTTCTGTTGATGCGAAGGAAGATTTGAGGCCGGCGGGTAACACGGGGTTGTTACGGGGTACATACACTCAGCAGGTCACATGACTTTACTCCCCGTCGAAAGACCACCACTGTATATTACTATGTACGTAGCAAGCGAAACACGGGGAATGCCAGATTGGAGCTGCTGACTCCGCACATTAATCGCGAAAAAAAGGACAAAAACATACAACAGTAGGGATTCGCATGTGGTCACCCACCATACTACTAACCTACCGGCGTGTGGCTTAAGTACGGCTGAGCGGACGGGAAGCCCTGTTCTCCACACCCTGTGGTCGTATGTGCCAGATTATTTGCTGTTAGAACAGATATAGTAGAATTCAATTCCTATCTTTGGAGATTATACTATGGCTTGATTTGGGCCTTCAGCCCACCTGTCCAGAGGCTTCCCTATAGCGTGCACGGTGAAATATATGGGCCATGTCGCTCTATTGTGTTGCCATACTCTCTTCTTCGCCAGCTGTGGCGCGCTGGAAATCACGTTTGAACGATATTCTTCGTTTTACCCAAGGTAATCAGTAGGCTTGCAGACAATGTGCACCTTAATAGCGCGCGAACGATGGTATGTACATAAACCTGGCGATCGTACCAGGCTTATCAGCAGGTGTTCTCCCTGTTTCCAGGGACTGAGTATGGGTGCGGGGAAAAGGTAACCCACAGAGAATTTCTCATTTCTACTAATCTGAACCTATTATAGGTGCGCGGTATCAGGGCTTAGACCAATACACCGTCCCTGGCAGCTCAAAAGCCCGCCTCGCAACCTCACACTTGGGGTCGGCACTCGCAGCGAAAATAACCACATATGTTCCAGCCTCGGCCTTCCAGCTTGAATCCTCCTCAGACCAAAACGACAATGCGTACTTGTCGATCGTCAGCCTCACAGTCTTCGTCTCTCCTACCTCCACATAAACTTTCGAAAAGGCCTTGAGCTCTCGCGGCGGCCGTAGCACTGAACTTTCTTCATCGCTGATGTATACCTGTACGACCTCTGAGCCGGGGTACGAGCCGCTATTGGTGACGTCCACGGAAATCGTCATCTCAAATGCCGCGTCCGGATGAAAAACCGTAGGGACAGTAAGGTTCGAATACCGAAAGGTCGTGTACGAAAGCCCATGGCCAAAATAGAAGAGCGGGGCGCGATCTACGGCCTCGTAATATCTATGCCCGATAAAGACCCCCTCGCCGTACATGATGGTGTAGTCAGACTTTCCGAACGAGAGATAGGCAGGGGTGTGCCGAACAGACTGCGGGAATGTCATGGGGAGGCGTGCGGCCGGGTTGACGTGTCCAAATAGTATATCAATGAGGCCATGACCCGTCTCCTGGCCTCCGTACCAGGCGTGAAGCAAGGTGTGTGCTTTTGCACTCCAAGGCATTTCGATGGGACATCCGGACTGGGTAACGATAATCTGAATGTAACGTCAGTCCGTGCAGTAGAGGGGATGGATGGATGGATCAGAGGAGGCTTATAGCGTTGGGGTTCGCATCAAGAACAGTCTCAATAAGCCGGTCCGCACCAGGTGGAAGCCTCAGATGCTTCCGATCACTATTCTCACTCTCATGATTCGTCGTAAGTCCCGTCATGACAATCGGCACATCCACAGCGCGAGCGACCTTCGCCGCGTCACGAAGTCCCTGCTCCGCGTCTAGAATCTCATACCCCCCCAGACGGCCCGCGAGCGTAAATGCCGTTCCCACGCCCCCCGTGATATCCTCATTCACCAGGACCATCTCGATCGGGATTTCCTGCCCCGCAGTCACATCGAGGTCATAGAATTTCTCCATGGACAGCCTGTTGAAGCACGGTGTATCCTCCGTCTTTGGCGGCTGGCTGCTCCACAGATCGATGGCGTCGTGCTTGTTAATTTTAACCCGTCCTTTACCCGCGACACTGAATCCGAAGCGGAATCGGGTGGACTTCTCGGCGGTATATATTGTTCTGGCGCGCACGTAGTATTTCTTTGGGAAGAGGTGATGTAAGCTCTCGGGGATATCGATGAGGTCTTTGTCGGTGGGTGAAGAGTACAAGGGCATAGCATGTGGGTTGTCCTCTGGATCTTTGCCATAGATCTCAACGAGCCAGCCTGCATCGCCTGTATCAGGCTGTTTGAGCTGTTTAATAAAGGGGCTGAACTTGAAGGCTAGCCAAAAAAAAAAAAAAAAAAAAAAATTTGCAGACGCCCAGGAAACGTCTAACATGGGAGACATTAGGGCACATACTATAACAGCCGGGTGTGTAAACAAGATTCTCCTCTCCCACAGCCTCGACCATGGCCTGGTACGGTGTCACCGAGTAATACGGATCCCCCTCGGCACTTCCACCCCCGGAAAGCGTAGGGTATTGAAAATGACTCCCAATCAACCCGTAAACCTTGGCCCGATCTGCATCCGAAGAAGAGAGCGGCAAGACGTTCGACTCGTTTTTCAGCAGCACAATACTTTCCGCAGCCACTCGGCGGATGAGGGCGCGGTTCTCGTCTGTGTTGACATCGCCATCGAAGGGCTCACGCCCGACCGCGGAAACCTCCTGCACGAGACGAAGGACATTCTTTACAGCCTTGTCAACAGCAGCCTCGGAGATCTTTCGCGTCCTAACAGCGATCTCCAATAACTTCCCCCGAAACTGTGTCGGACCAGGCATCTCCAGATCCAGCCCTGCATTCAGCGCTTCCGACGTGCTATACGTCCCCCACCAATCGCTCATCACCAAACCGTCAAACCCCCACTCTTTGCGGAGAATGGTCTGCAAAAGCAGCGAATCTTCACTCGAATGTACCCCATTAATACTGTTATATGAAGTCATAAACGCCATCGGCGCCGAAAGCCTTAGCGCCAGCTGGAAGGGCATGAGGTGCAGCTCACGGAGCGTCCGCTGGGTCATACAGACATTATCCTCAATTGAGTTGGACGATTGGTCGTGCGCGGCAAAGTGTTTTATACATGCTGCGACGCCGTATTCCTGGATGCCATTGATGTACGCTGATGCGAGATATCCCGTTAGGATGGGGTCCTCGGAGAAGGCCTCGAAACCGCGGCCCATTAGGGGTGAGCGTAGAAGGCATACGGTGGGAGCTAGAAGGACGTTGACCCCTTTATTTCGAGCTTCTTGGCCAAGGATGTTTCCGACGCGGTGCATTAATTCGACGGAGAAGGTTGCGCCCATGCCGGTCGCGGATGGGAAGAGGCAGCTTGGGACCTTTGATAATGGGAGCTATTAGCTTAGACGTCGAACAACGAGCCAGAGAGAGGGCACTGGATGGCAGAGATCTGGTCTTCTGGTTTACATACACGCATGAACCTCCGAGCACCGCGTAGGCCATGTGGCCCATCCGACGTCTATTCTATGTCAATATGGCGTGGCACCAGCACGATATAGACACTCACGAGTATGGAGGGGATGCCCCTGTTGGGGAGGGCAGCCGTTTAAAAGGACCCTTCCCCGGACAAGAGTTTTATCTTCTCGTCCAGGTCAAGCTGGCTCACCAGAAGGTCAATGTTTCCCAAAGGCTGTATTTCTCGCATGCTGGAACAACAGTGGACTTTCGGTAAACGAGAAAGAGAAGGAAATTAGGAGACTAATAAGGGGCGCCTGGTATAGAGGAAACTTTGGCTTTTGGATAAGCAAGCAGGACACGGACTCAGCTCTGGCATAGAGTTCAGTGACGGGGCATGGGGCGATACAGGCGATTGCTAATGGCGCACACGAGGACCTTCAAACGCACCGGGAAAAAGCAAATGGGCATACCGGCGTTAGATACCCCGAGAATAAAGCATCTTTCGGGTTTAGCGAGTGTCGATGCTGGTAGAGCGATGACGAGGTATTCGGGGCAGCACACGTAGCATTCCCCGAGAGGCTCGCCGCGAGGCTTCGGGGCAAGCACCCTCTCTTCCCCCGATACTTGGCGCCCCACAGCATGAGGGAACCCCCAATCAACAACCACCGCCTCTAGCATCCCGGATTCCCACGAGTAGTCGCTCGGGGTCAAGGTGGCCTGCCATTTACTCTCACTCCTTGGCCAAAGGCATAGCCGTGATACAGTACCCCACGGGGAGAATGAAAGGTCGTGCCACCGTCGTGGGGGCTTAGAGGCAAGGGGAAAACACATGAAAGCCAGTTCCGAGGCTGCACCAGCTGGGATACGCCACTATCTGCGATATAAAAGACGCGAGAGGCCTTCTCGAGAAGTCCTCAACAAGACGGGTTCTCTTCTCCTCTCTCCAAACAACAACGTTCATTATGACTGTCCTAAACTCGATCCGTCGACGCCTGCCGGCCCCAAGGCAGGCTCAGCGAGCTCGCAATGCCCGCAAGCAGACCGGGGATATCGAAGACGCCCAGAATACGATTGCCCCCTCGACCATTATCCAACTTGCCCTTAAAGCTCCGATATGGTATAAATCCCCCGCTCGCCGGCACCTGTACTTCCTCCTATTCCCAGCCGCTGTCTGCTCGTACACAACGAGCGGCTACGACGGCTCGATGATGAACGCTCTACAAACAGTCTCGTACTTTGACGACTTCTTCGGCAACCCGCGTGGGTCGCGCCTTGGCCTCATGAGCGCAATTATGCCGCTGGGCAGTATCTGCTCCACGCCCATCGCGCCCTGGATAGCAGACCGATTCGGTCGTCGCTGGGGAATTACCGTGGGCAGTCTGATTATGATCGCGGGTGCGATTCTTCAGTGTGAGAGTACGAATTTCGATATGTTCTTGGCGAGCCGGTTTTTTCTAGGGTTTGGGTTGTCTTTCGCGACGACCTCGGCGCCGAGTCTTGTTTCGGAACTGGCGCACCCGAAAGACCGGGTTACCATGACGGCCATTTGCAATGCCTGGTATGTTTACTTTCATATTCTCGTGCTGCGAGATTTCCCGTGGCAGGAAACTTACATTTTCGTAATACAGCTGGACCCTCGGTAGCATCATCGCCGCGTGGGTGACATTTGGCACAAGAGAGATCGCGAGCACCTGGTCGTGGCGCCTCCCATCTCTCTTCCAGATGATTCCCAGCGTGATACAGCTGTCGACGGTGTGGTTCCTACCCGAGTCCCCGCGCTGGCTTGTTTCCAAGGACCTTTACGACGACGCGCTCGATGTTCTTAAGAGGTATCACGGCGACGGCGAGGAGACGGAATTGGTGAAGCTGGAATATCAGGAGATTCGGACGGCCATCCTCCAGGAGAAGAGTCAGTCTGGTTCTCTCTAATGATATCGGGTCCCCCTACTAACGCAAGAACCTGAATCAGCCTCACAAACCACAACCTGGAAATCCATGGTTTCAACCAGCGGTAATCGATATCGAATGTTTCTTGTGCTCTGCATGGGACTGATGAGCCAATGGTCGGGCAATGGTCTAATCTCCTACTGTAAGCGCTCGCCTCACATTATCCCTCGAATCTTGCTAATGTTCTCTGTGCCAGACCTCTCCCGCGTCATGGACTCCGTCGGGATAACCAGCAAAGACACGCAATCCCTCGTAAACGGCATCCTCCAAATCTGGAACTTCGCCCTCGGCCTCACCGCCGCCTTCTTCGTCGAGCGCCTGGGGCGGCGCTTCCTCTTCCGCACCTCCACACTCGGCATGCTGGCCGTCTTCATCGCGTGGACGATTGCATCGGAGCGCTTCGACGCAACCGGGTCCGACGCCGCCGGGATCCTCGTGATGGCGCTGATCTTCGTCTTCGGCTTCTTCTACGGGATCGCGTTTGGGCCGTTGAGTGTGGCGTATTCGGTCGAGGTTTTGCCCTACTCGATTCGCGCGCGCGGCATGGCCGTCTATGTTTGTTCCACTAAGGCGGCGGTTTTTGTCAATCAGTATGGTGCGTTGTCCCTTCACTACCTTCCAATTCCTAACCCGTAACCGATAGCTTCTATATGTATGTAGGTTTCGCCTGGGCGATATGCTGACTGACAAATCGTTTAGTGAATCCCATCGGTCTCGAAAACATTGGATGGAAGTACTACATCGTGTACGTATTGTTCCTTGCGCTGGAAAGTTTTGTCGCGTATGGATGGTTTCTTGAAACCAAGGGGAAGGGGCTTGAGGAAATCGCAGTGCTCTTCGATGGGGAGGATGCGGACCATCTCGTACAAGAATTAACGACCGACCGCAAGAAGGAAGTGCATGTTGTTGAGCATGAAGAGGACTACAAAGCCAAAGCTGCCTGAGGCCGTGGGTTGCGAATTAGTATTCGGGGATACCGACCAGTGTAGCTAGCTGTAGGCTGCACATGTGTTCTGGGATTGAAGAAGAAAAGAAAGAAAAATATTATTCGAGATTTATTGTAAATCTGCACCTAGATTTTCAGAACCTAGTTCTACTCGCAAATTCATTATTCCTTTCAGTCCATTTCTAAAAATCCGAACAAGATCGAGATCTCAGCAGCGCGATGGAAGAACACTACAATGCAACAACCACACAGAACGAACCCAGCAGCCTATTCCTATTCAATGTCCGCACGACCGATTCATCTCCTCCAGAAACCCCAAATGCCAGCGGAACTCCTTAATACTGACACTGAACCTGCGAAGATTGCGCATCCCCGTCGCGATCACCTCCTCGATGTTGTCGGGGATAATAGACGTAAAGTGCGGACAGATGGTCGCCACGCGGAGGATTATGATGTAACTGAATGTTCTTAGTTCCAGTAGAAGAGATTAGCAGACCCACTCCGTTTACGAAAACCCAAAAACGAGGTAACGGTGCGAGGGTCATCCTAGAAACGTAGACTTACGCGAGCCCCGTCGCAAAAAGACACGTAACACTATTCACATCCTCGACATCAAAAACATCGATGAAGCCGATACAGCCCAGGAGACACAATCGGCACTTGCCCAGGATAACATCCCGATCTGGATCCGCGTGGAAACTCGCGCTGTTCCCCAGGACATATTCGACCAGGGGGCGGTGGATGATATGCTGGCATGCGTAGTACCGACCCCTCAGCCGCAGTACATTCCAGGACTCATTGCCTATGCCCATGCCCATGCTTGGAGAACAGGTGGTGACAGTGTTCGGCGGGGAGAGCTTTTGGTGGTTACGCTGTCCGCGTTGCGGCGAAAGCAAAAATTCCGGCACATGCTTGTATATCGCGTCGTGGTACGCGGAGAACTCGTCCGTCATGTTCAGGAGCCAAGGGGCGCGATGCCTATGTTCTTGATGGGTATACACGAGGCTATGTACGCGATTCAGGAAGCGGCGTATTGCGGCGTTCGTGGTTAGTTGGAAGACCACGAACTCGTCGTTGGGATCGCGCGTACTCAAAGAGCTGGCTGTTGACGGAGTGGGAGGCAGTGTATTGGCGGTGGTGTCGCGCAAAGAAGCGCATTGGCCTGGATAGGGAACGGTATCCTCGTGCATGGCCATTCCGGAGGGGAGGTTTATAGATATCTCGGAGCCATAGTCACACTCGTATATGAACGCGACCCAGTAGAGGCGGCGGAGAGGTTCCGGGAAGGCGTCAGCGTGGTTTGAGGGGGACGGGGAGGATGTTCTACGTTGGTGGTTCCATTAGCATGGCACGGGAGAGGGTGTGAAGCGCATGCATACCGTTTAACTAGATGGGCGCACTTGACGGACGTCGCATGTGCCCAGTGGTATGAATCCGCGACGCGACCAAGGGCGCCCATGTAGATACTAGAATATGTCTCAGGGTTAGTCGTTCTCTTCCCGGGAGATACCTGTGACAACCCAATCACATACCTTGCGATCATAGAGCACTGCGCTGCTTCCAGAGCTACAGTTGACGAAATATAACCGAGGAGCAGACTAGCCTTTTTCCATAGGCTGCCGTCCAAGGTCTCTATGCATTTATCCCCATCGTCAACCGCCTGCCCGTCCGTGAGGCGAACCTGATTGCCCCCTCGACGGATGAATGCACCCAGACACAGAACTAACAACAGGAGGCAGTAGTGTGCTACGGGTTCGGGTTCAGCGCGGCAGGCAGGGCCAGCCGACTGCAAACTGGCAACGACATTCTCAAAAACGCGGAGGATCTCGCTGCGGGAGAGTATTGGGTAGACTAGATTAACCTCTCCAAAATACGCATGGATGAGCGAGATGAAGTTTTCCACGTTCACGTTAGAGTGAACGGCGGTATCGAAGAGGCGCCATGACTCGTGTGGGTAGGTTGATGCTGGCGGGTCGGTAGGTGCTTCGAAAAAGACATCCGTAGCCGAATGGGGCAAGATATATGTACGTATTCTGTTCTGTCCGGCGCGGGAAAAGATCTCACAGATGACAGGCCAGTTTAGGAGGTGGTTCGCGCCGGCTGTGTGATGATAAGGGAAGGGGATGTCGCGATCAGTTTCCGGTTCTTTTTCCTGCGCTCCGAGTGGAGGTGACCCCCTGCCCGTCATCTGACCATCTCTCCCGCTCGGCAATAGGGTATCCGCATGTCGCTCTCGGGACGCAGAGAGAGCTGGCGAAGCGAAAAGTCGATCCTCCAGCGCCTGAATGCGATCAAGGAGGAGTTTCGCGGTGGGATCGATTCGTGGCTGCTGGGAGTCTTGGTAGACACATTCGACATCCAGTGCCGCGCACAAGCTGCACTTTGGCTTCGCTGCGTTGCAGCGCGTCTTCCGGGCGCGGCAAGTTGTGCAGGCGAGCCAGACCCGGCGGCGGGTGGGGATTGGGCGTGAAGAGGGCATTGGTGGTCTTGCACAGTGGTGGATGTGAGGCGGGAGAAGGGGGTTTTCAGAATCGGAGCCAGGTTTCCGAAGCTGGGCTGATAAAGTGGGGTAGATCGTCTACTCCGAGGCAGGCTCTCGGGGGATGATATGCATATATGTCTGGATTTGGAGCTGAGGAGGAACAAACGCAATAATGAATTGCGGAGCGCCAGCTAACTCCATTTGGGGCACTCTTTGAACTCTACTGAATATTGATACGACCACCCAGGGTGGGAGATTCGATTGATATATAACTGTCACCCAGCATAACCCAGACGCTATACTGTTCAGACTGCGCCTACAGACTATGAGGCAGATTTTTTGTTTCAATGCAATGTTGATCTGGGGTCAGATTCCGGGGTGAGATGGTCTTATATAGGATATGCTACGGCCTCGCCTGTTGCCATCCTGTCGCTTTTGCGGCGCGCTGGTGGGCTGGCGGGGAATGCGGACACGGAGATGGGGAACGGGATTGGGAACAGACGGAGACGATGAGGCTGCCGTGGTGCCGAGATCTGGGGCCAGCGGAATCCCGGAATCTGTGTGCAGCCCGTGCGCGCCTAGAATGGACGTGGTGGGTTAGCGTGCTCTGTTCACCCACAAGAGTGCAGCAGCCTGGCGACTGGGCGGGTGGATCCGCGGAGTGCCGGGTCCAGCGCTGCTCCTCGTCGCCCACCCTCGGACACTGATACACCAAGAAGATGCATTTCTCCCTTCTGCAGACCGAGTCTAGAATCTGAGGCATAATTTAACGCACTGTGTATCTTGCCATCTGTCTCTATATACACTCTTGCATATCCCTCCTAGCAATAGCTACCTCGATCTGGCATCCTGCCTGGATGGAAGAACCCCAAAGCATTAGTAGGTGCCTTTATCCACTTCTAAGTGACTATTAACCTGCTAGGCATTCCTCCATAGCTGCCCATAGATTTCACCGTGCAGGCTATATAAATAGAACTAACTATATATACAAAGTATCATTGTCGTAGAACAAATGTATTATTTTCGTACCAGTGGGCGACTCCGTCACACGACGTCCCACACCTGGTTACCTAAGCACGCCCACATCCACTAGGAAGGCCCCAGTGTGCTTGTTACCCAATAATGTGGCTTCCTCTCCGCGCTGCCTTAGGCCTCAACGGTGCATATATATTGATCCAGGACCTCCAGGTTGGCTTCTCGACAGCACCGGGTACCAATAGGGCCAACCACGTGGAGGCAATGTCTTATCTAGTATTCTTCGAATAATCATGGAAAGTCATACTCGATAATCAAGCTAAAGGCTCTGAGAAGGCCACCAGAACACGAACTACACAACCGTGTGTATAAACTATCGTTTCGTAGTCCTAGCACATGGGCGAGTGTATGTGTTTAGGGGCTGGGAACCGGAAATTCTATACCTTATGCTCGCGTTATTATTTTGAACTGTAAGCTTGATATTCTTTTAGTCCCACAGCGGTTCCAGGATAGCGAGACCCAGCGACAGGAGACCTCTGCAAGTTGGATTTTATCTCTTCCATATCCTGCATATTCAGGCCAATCTTGGTGGAATTCTCCTTGCCACTCCGCCTACGGATCCAACCAAGGGCAAGCTGTCTGGGTGTACACCCCTGTTCGCGCGACAGAGCTTCGATCTTCTCGACGAGCCGCGCGTTTTGAGAGAAATTCTGTGGCTGGAACCGGGAGTGCCCGGTGGCGGTTATTTGAATCCATTTCGTCGACGCTTTTGATCTTCCCTGTCAGCATACCAGCCCCCAGTGGGGTGTGAGCTTCAAGCACAATGCCCAGCTCACCACACGTGGTCGTAATACCATTCTCAAACTCGCTTTGACTTTGCAAGTCGACCGGCAGAGGAGCACAGCATTTCCAAGGAGCTTAGTATAGGGTGTCTTGACTAGAAGAGAAGGTGTCAGTAAAAACGGACTAAGCTTGGGGTACCTCTGCCAATTCAGGTTCTGCTTTATTGTCAAGTGCTTAGTCCAATCATGACCAAGGTGTGCGCAATCTACCGAAACTGACTTGTTTCAGCTGTGCTGGCCGCCACTGAATACAGGGCTGGGAGCAGACGAGTTACCTGTATTACTGTAGTACACGGCCCACACCGGCCAATGCGCCCACTTTATCTGCGTGGAAAGGTTAGTTATAAACTCTCGAGCAGCTCGCTACCAAGGGCTCACCAGTGTGATATCCATTGTCACCTGTTCCTGATCAATAGTGCTGTCTGTTGGTGTCAACACAATATTACTGAGTTCCATTCCACTACCACGCACAGAGCCTGAGGGGCCATTCCATTAATAGGCAGCGGCCTTTATGGCGGTACACTAGGGGATCACGCGGGAAGTTGTAAGCAAGTTGATCAGAACCTTGGTTCTCCAGATACACGTACAGCAGTGAGGCAGCTGTACGTTAGCCACATAATTTTAACCTTACCAACCATCTTTAAATTTTAATTACTTTACCAATTTTGTTGTATAATCGATACTAAATTAATATATTTTAAAAAGAACGCGGAAATTCTAAGTTTTAATGATAAGGCTGCACAGGCCTTCGTCGATAGCGAATTGACGGGTATGTGTGGCCAACTTGGGGGCAGGGATTGAGCTTGTGTCAGTTATGTGCTCTTAAGAACCCCTTGGATGACAAGTATGTGTCTCGAAGATCAGCTGTTGGACTGCCAAGGGGTCCACTAGCGCGAGCCTGCTTATTGAGATGTTTGCGGCTGAGCTCCTTTGCTGGTAGATATTAATATCTTTGTTGGTGATCCTGGGCTTCTATTCCACATTCCACATTGCATGCTTGGGCAGAATGGTTGAGGTGTTCTTGGGCGCATACTCGGCGGTTTCCGCATGGTTTCTCGCCATCACCTGCACATTAACTTCAGCACTCGTGCAAAAGGACGTGGCGATCTTTTTATATTTGACGTTTCTTACTCTGCAATAGCTCCATGCCTGAGGCTCTCTGGCGGAACCTGGTTGTTGAAATATGGCAATTCCTGAGCTCCACTCCCGACATCGCCAGCCTGTGAACAGCCGCTTCGGGTGGCTTGCGATGGGCCTCCCCTGGGCCGATTCCACAGCCCCAGCCTTGGGATTCGGAGTGCAGCGAATACAGATGCACCGCGTTCTCATGGCAACATCTCTACTTAATCTTCTTTATCCAAACCAACATATCTAAAGACAACCCATTTACTGACCATCCTAGTCATCGGACCCTATGTTATAATACACAAACTCGTCAAGACCCTTCCCAGACGGTACCATTGGAAGTGACAGCACTCTCTTAGTGATCATCACCTCCAGAACCGCCGGGCGCTTTGTACTGAGCAGCCATTTTAGCTTCTGCTCCACCTCGCTTGCTGTTGCGCAGCGATCAGCCTCTACCCACATCGCCCTTGCAGCTCCCACAAAGTCAGGGTTGGTATGGTCGCTATGGCAGTAGCGGTCCTCATAGTACACGGACTGCAGATGCGTCACCATTCCCTGCCCCTCGTTGTTCAGAACAATAACCTGGACGCCAATGTTGAATTGGCTCGCAGTCAGTAGTTAATTGAGGGTCATGATGAACGATGCATCCCCGTCAATGTCAATGACGAGGGCTTCAGGTCGTGCGGCCTTTCAATGGCTGCTGGCAATCCGGAGCACATGGTCCCGAGGCCCCCCGATGCAATCATCATGCGGGGGTACGGCCAGCGGAAGTGCTGGGCCGCCCACATTTGGTGTTGTCCGACTCCAGTTGTTATGATTGTGCGGTCTTTCATCGGCTGCACGAGCCGGTCCAGCAACTCAATGAGCGCCTGGGGTTGAACCAGGTCCTCTGAGGAACCGCTGCCCCTGCCGCTTCTCTTCTGCTCAGATCGAAATGGAAACTGCGTTTTCTAGGCAGCAACCTGCCCCAGCCATTCCGGTCGGCTCTTCTCCTTCACGAGTGGGAGCAGCAGCTCGAGATTCTGCGCGCAGTCGCCAATAAGCGCTTCCGTCACTTGGACGACCTTGTTCACATTCTTCGGCGAGACGTCAAAATGAACAACCCCCCACGGCCCTCGTCAGCCGCTACTTTGGCCGCGGGCGCGAATTTACGAATGCTCCCTATCACCCGGTCGTTAAATCTCGCTCCCAAGGCTATAACAAGTCCGCATTCTGCATTGCAAGATTCGCATAGCTGGATCCATTCAAGCCGAGCATGTGCAGAGCCTTTGGGTCATGTTCGTCATACGCGCCTAATCCCTGAAGGCTTGTGGTTACGGGGATTGATGCTTTGTCGGCAAGCTTCTTGAGAAGATGGGGACCGTGTAGACTTGCAAGCATGCCCTGCCCGACATAGAGCTCCGGCTGCTTTGCAGTGTTGTTCAGGTGCGCCGCCCGTTCAAGTGTGCGATGAAGCTCCAAGCGCTGAATATTGCCCATTGCAAGACCCAAGGTCGTTGGCCGGTAAGTTTCGGATTGAGGAATCGGCCTCCGCAGAATCGACGCCGTGACATCAATGGACAGCCAGCTCAACCAGGACTGAACCGGGGCAACCAAACGTGACAATCTCAAACGCCTCGTTGACTGGGTTGGAAGCTCTTCAACGTCTCGCACAGATACGTCCCATTTGGTGTATGGCTGCGACATGCCCAGAACATTCGCTTCCTGGAACGCATCCAATCCGACTCTGGCTGTGGCGACTTGGCCGCAGAACGCGACCATTGGGGTCCCCTCTGCAAGGGCGTCCATCATAGACATAATTAGATTCGTTGCCGCCGGACCATAAGTAACGAGAACAACGCCCGGTTTCCCAGGCGCATGAGAGTACCCTCCTACCATACGGCCGGCTCCTTTCTTGTGTCGTGGGAGGATAAAGTCGAATTCGAGCGCCTTGTGGATGGCATCGAAGGCCGGGAGGATCGCGCCTCCAGGGTATCCGACTAGATCCGGTCAATTAGCGGGGAGTCCCTAGATTAGGAAGTGCTTGTGAGAGGAATGCGGCGGCCGTACATATATGCTTCACACCATGTTTTACCATCATCCGATGGAATATGGCTCCGCCGCTGAGTCCCACGAACCTGTAGGTTTTCACTTGATTAGCATCGCCGCCGCGATCATTGTAGGATATCCCTACTCGTCATCAAAATCTGTCGAGGTGTCTTTAGGATACGAGCGTGTCGTCAGCTCTGACCCTCGTGGTTGCTCGCGCGTGCTGTGACGGGCTATAGGGGCTTAGGATCTGAATCTTGAGATCATCATTGCACGGACCCTCGCACACACCTATGGCTATTGTGGTCCTACTCGTGCGTCCGGCCAGATGTGCAAAAGCGCTCGTGCTATACCGAATGTTTCGTGCAGGGGATGGAACGAGGCACGGCCGCATCCATCCCTGCCCGGCCAAAGGCAAGCTAAGAGGTGACTGATGTCTCAGACCGCGTGGCATCATGGCCAACAATTACATGGGACGCAGTTTGGTGGGTAAAAGCAAGGACACGAGAAATCAACCAAGAGTGAGCCATCATCATCCGAAGTAAGCTTTCGAGGACTTTAACTCCGACAAATCGGTGTTGTGACTCAACGCAACCTCGGAGGCTACAGTAACTAGCACCGACGGGCCTTTCCCCGTTCGGTCGGCTGATTTCCCCCGTCGCTGGGCTATAAAACAGCCGGATCATGCTTCCAGCTCCTTGTCCTTGTATTTAAAGTAAATCGCATTGTACCCCCTTGATGTTGAAGAGAGTACCATCATCACAAGCGATAGATCACCAGCAATACCGCGGAACCAAACCTCAAGCCTGCTGCCACAGGTACCCACCCGAAGGGGAAAATCCACCCATCGCGGTACGGACCGTGTCTTCTCATGGCATCTCTCTTGCGGCAAGTTTATCATAGTGTAGTCTTTTGCGTTAAAAATTCCTCCATGTTTTGCCTTCACCTGAGCACCTGTGGACCTGGCTCCGGCTAGATAGCCGACGGTAGGCGTTCGATCTTTGGAAATTTGGCGGCAAGAATTGCGCGCTGCATGGGTATTGACATATATTATAGTTTTGAGGAAAACAAATTTTTGTATAAGAAATAGTGACAACAGACATCGCCCGCCCTTCTTCAGAATGCAACGCAGTCGAGAACCAAGGAACTATGTAGACTACATCAAATATGAGTCTATGCACCTTTATCATTTGGATTTCTAATCCAGGACTATTGCTACTTAACTAACTATAGTTAGAGTCAGCCGACTAAACAAAAGGGCCCGGAGAAACTTCGGCAGAGAGCGCGGGGTGACATGCCCTATCAATGAGATGAGTGACCTCGTATTCGGCGACACGGTCCGCTCAACCGCGCCCCCCAGACTCGACGGATTCCAAGATATATAGGAGGAGCCGAGCGAAGTTGTTGTTTGTGAACCACCGTCATCTTTATTTCTTTGCGGCTCACGGCCGAGTTGCGTCGTCACCTGAACGAGATTGCAGGCTCGATGGATCGCCTCACTTCGCCAGTGTCGGGCGAGCCCCAGCACGTCTTCGAGGCCATCTCAGCCAACCATACAACAAGACGGCGTCTCGCAATTACTGTATTTATTGTGCTGAGTAACATGGTGCAGGTAACTATGCTTGAGCCCCCGAATGTACGAACAAGCCCAACATTGACGAGATGATATCCAACATGGTCGGCCTGGCCGCGGGGCTGGAGATCAGCAAAGCCCTCAACGCCACCGTCGGGCCGGGAAAAGCAAACTGGGCAGCAGCGTCTTATCCGTGCGTCCATCTATAAGTATACAAGATCCCACAACATAGTTATATGGCTAACGATATCCGCACCTGCCATCCTTCCTAGCACAGACTGACCCAAGGAACATTTGTGCTGATAAGCGGCCGCCTAGGTGCCGTTTACGGCCACCGCCACGTCCTGATCGCCGGCGCAACTTGGTTTGTCATTTTCACGCTCGCGAATGGGTTCTGCAGGAGCTTCGTCGCATTTAATGCCATGCGCGCACTATCGGGTATCGGCGGCGCCCTGATCATGCCCAATGCCGTTGCGCTGATCAGCACGGCGATTCCGCCGGGCTCCCTCCGCAATGTCACGCTGGGGTTCTTTGGCGCTTCGGCGCCGATTGGGAGTTATCTGGGCGCAATTTGGGCGGGCGTGTTTGTTAAGTATGCGAGTTGGGAATGGATCTTTTTTAGTCTGTGAGTGTTGTTTTTCCTCCTTTTTTTTCATTTTTCATTTTTTTTTTTTTTTTTTGCTCCACCACAAGGACAACGAGAATGATATCTGATAACTGGCTTTCCAGGGCGATTGTGGGAACGGTCATCTTCGTTTCCTTGGCAGTATTGCTACCAAGCGACTATCCAGTTGACAAGAATGGCAGAATCGACTGGGTTGGCGCGTTCCTTGGTACAGCTGGGCTGATTGTCTTCAACGTCTCTTGGAAGTAAGTACATCATTAACCTTCTCCCATGAGAGGTAAATTCATGACCTCTATCGATAGTCAAGCCCCCGCCAGCGGCTGGGATAAACCATTCGAAAGTGTCCTCCTGGGGGTCTCCGTGCTCCTGCTCATCCTCTTCGGGATCTGGGAGCACCAATTCGCCAAAACTCCCATCATGCCCCTCGGCATCTGGACGGCGCCCTCGTTCGTCGCCGTCATCTTTGTCGTCTTACTCAGCTTCATGTCTAACGGAATCTTCCTGTGGTACATGGTCGCCTGGCTGCAACTCCTGCGCGGCGAGAGCATCCTCGGTTTTGGCGTGCAGTGGACGCCGTTCGCAATCGTCGCTACGGCTGGTACATTCATCGCCGCGTGGCTGATTCCGCGTCTCGCCGCGCAGTGGATCCTCGCGATCGGCGCCGCGGCGATCCTGGTCGCTAACGTTCTGCTGGCCACCATGCCAGCTCACGACCAAAGCTACTGGGCGCAGATCTTCCCTGCGACGATCTTCATGGCCTTCTGTCCGGACTTTGTGTATGTGGCTGCGCAGATTGTGGCGAGTAACAGCGTCCAACGCGCGCAGCAGGGGGTTGCGGCGTCGCTGATCGGCACGCTAAATCTGTATGGCAATAGTCTTGGTCTCGGCTTTGCGGGGACGATTGAGACCGAAGTGAACAAGAAGCGGAGCGATATGGTTCTCGGATTCCGTGCGGCACTGTACTTTGGGGCTGCGTTGGGACTGCTTGCTGTTTTCGTTGATTTGCTGTTTGTGCGGGTTGTCAAGGATGAGAGAGAGGGGTGGAGTGAGCCAGCTGATGGAGGGGCCGTCGAGATGGAAGAGGGGATTTCGACCGCGGTTGAGGAGAGGTCATAGTGTCCGCTTTTCTCTCCAGGGCTCCTTTCTTAGAGGTCTAATAATTGGCATGGAGTCGAATGTGGGCGCCGGTACAGTGTCGTCTTCATGGCGTTCCTTGCATGAATCCGTACATCTGCGTAGAGTTGTTTCCTGCCGCGCTCAATACACAACTAAGACCTTCAAAATTAATATTAGATGAGAGGTAAAAGATTATAGCCTATGTAAGGTGGATTAATACGGCCACTGGAGGAGGCTGATGCATTTGCCATCTAGCTGTCTAGGTATATGAGTTCACAAAATAGTACTTTTACTGGCCTGTGGTGAGAAATAATGCCTAAATTAGTAACTACCAAAGCAGAGAAGATAGTAATCACTTATATATAAGTATAAACAGAATATCTGATATTGTTTATGGCTTTCATTTTCAGACTCCACCAGCACTGATGGTGGGCCCCAGGATCTAAGTTAAGCCAATAACACACACAAACCTCTACATTATGGTCCAGGATCACACAGCACAGCAAAAGGCTAGTTTTTGATTCCATTATGACCCTACTGCGTATGTTATTACGCCACAGACAGGAGAGAACCTCGACAGGGAGGCTTGAGAGGGTATTTGTTAGTCTCTGAATCGCTTTCAAGGTATTCCAGCCATAATATTCAATCTATGTATCTCGAAAGACTCTCATCACGCTAATACCCTTAAGAACAGTTCAGCAATCCTTGTGGACGGAAAAGAAGAGTTCCTAGTTGAAAAGGTGCTAAAGAAGGAGCGGGTTAGGAGAGGACGCGCGAAAGCATACCTACTATGCTACTTGGTGAATGGACGTGCTACGCAAGGCCAACACAGAACCAGTTGGAAACCTAGTTGATACTACCGCCACTCATGATTTGAAAACCAACAAGAAAGTCCCGTGGGGAATACCGGCTCACCTCGATATGTAACCAGAAGAACAACCAAGGACTACCCGACCCTTCCACCGCAAAAGAAGGCCCACGCCAGGTACCCAGAATAAAGAACTTATTCCCGGATAATTTCGATATTTGGTCTTCTGATCGGGATGAAAGCTCCAGACTCCTCCATTAGCCCAGTAGAAGCTTATCCTGCCTCTGGAATAGTCGCTATGATCTGGGTGTGAAGGGGCTTCTTCAATAATAGACTTCGGTAGAGTCAATTGCGAAAGCATGAGGGCGCATTCGCACCACTTAGAGTTTCCCAAGACTTGGAGATTCGATCACTAATCCACCTAAAGCTCTCCTTATATTATATCTTATAGCTCTTTAATTACAATTCGTTGGTTGCCTATTTAGATTCCACGTTTACTCCAAGGGTTGCATTGTCAGCTGCCAGGAGAAAGAAACCCTTCTAATTCAGGGGTAAAGCCAAAGAAAGATAAGAAGTAACATTCTGGAATGTCCACCAAATACCCACCCTGACATGGCTGAATCTCTGGCATGTAAAGCAAGCTAGAACTCTGTCTATGTTATTTTGCTTTAATTCTCAGCCAAACTCGGTTATGCTTCCTCTCAGCTGCTTCCAATCCCAAACGTTAATATAAACATGCGGCTCAAACACTGCCCTATAACTAAGAGGACAGTTTTAGTCTTCACGATGGACGGGAGCCTTTTGGTAGCAGCGACATCTTAGTTGAACATGGTTGCCTCATGTCGTTGCGGAGTTACGGTCTCTAACAAAACCAAAGGCACAGGGAAATGAGTTGGCAGCTGGACGAAAAATATATTTGGATATTGACAGTTCACACTGAAGCAGACTATCCAAAAGAATGACCACATCTTCTATAACATGTGGCGTTGGCATGTCATATTTATGCTCTGTTGCTAAGACAGTCCTGGATTCCGTCCTCTCCAATCAGTTTAGACATGACACGGTTCACACGAACCAAATACACTAAAAAGTACCAAGAAAGAAGAAAGCAAGGAAAGAAAGAATAAATCGCTCTAATTCCTTGGAATACTGGCTATAAGTACCTGCATTTACTTCTGTTCCAGACTGAGCACCCATTCCCCCACCACCACCTGCTTCCTGAGGTCCACTGAAGAGCATTAACGTGGGAAAGTGTGTTATCAAAGTTCCCGCTGCTGCAAGATGACCTGGAAGGAAGAAGGACTACCAGTCCTAAAGTTCGGTTTAGAGAGAGATCCAAAAAGAGCACGACCTGAAAGCTCATTGATCTCATACTTTATCCACTTTCTGCGGCGCTTGGCTGTACAGCTCTTTGCCATTGCCCAAACAGCGTACGAAATCATAGTTGCGTTCCTCCTGCGTTTTAAAAGCCGGTTCGGCGCAAGTTTTTCGCTTCCAACCAATATTCCATGGTACTTCTCTCGGCTCGTTTCAACTATTCCGGGAAATATCGATTGTCTTATTCTGTGGAATAATCTCGTCGAAGAAATACGAACGTACAAGAGCGAGGGCACCATGGCATGCATTTCCCGCTTCCTCGTCATTACCGTGCAACGCATACGCAAAACTCTATACAAAACTCTAAGTGCTTTCCTTCTGTCCTTCACTATATGTCGGCTCTATGCAGTTTGCATGCTTCTTCCTATCTATATTTTGCAAGTGCTATCTCGGGTTCTTCCAACTATTCTCGGAAATGTCTTTCGTTATATGTCGCGGTGGGATAAACTCATCGAAGAGACGGAAGAATACAGACGGCAGGGTGCGGTGCAGGCTCAACTTCAGCTGGAAGGGAAGTTTGTATTCCCGGCCGATGAAGTTGCTCGGGTCGACCTGTCTAGGGAGCAGTGGATAAGAGATGTTCCATGGCATGATCATATTGAAGAGTTTCTTGTCTGTGGAGCAAGAGTGAGGTTTGTTCATTTACGGCCGGCTGCCGTTAATACCGGTGATAGCAGTGATAGCAGTGATTTGACGAAGAGGTCCATCGTATTTCTACATGGAGATGGGGGCTGGAGTTATATGTGGAGAAAGGTTCGTTAACACTTTTATTCCTTTTTTTTTCTTTTAGTATGGGAGATTGCAATCTAATAAGTGCTAATATTTACTCGGATATAGGTTATGGCCAGACTTTACCAAGAAGGCCACGAGCTTTTTGCTCTGGATTGGCTCGGTCATGGATTAAGCGACAAGCCTACCCAAAAGGAGTCTATGACATTCGAACTGCATATACGGACTTTGATTGCCTTTATCAACCATGTGGAACTCAATGATGCTATTCTGGTAGCACACCACTGGGGCGGGTATGCAAACATGACATTTCAGCCTTCCAATTCAAGACATCTACTAACAACATCCCAGATGCATAGCTCTATCCTCCATCCCTTACCTTCCTCCCTCGTCTTGCAGCGGTCTTTTCCTTATTAATTCCTTCTTGCCGCTTCGTCCTCGCGAGATGAGCGTTTCCAGCCACCTTCTCCACGGGGTCTTGTTTCTTTTGAGCGGGATCCTAGATGGCCATGTGTCCCAGTCTAGAATCACAGAGTTCATGTCTCCACACATTTCGGAGCAAGATCTTAAAGTGTACGGCGCACCTTATCAAGACCTGCCCGCAAGCACCAGGTCTAGCGCGGATCGGTGGGCACGCCTTGCCCCTGGAATACCACACTTTGTTCTGAGACGCCTCCGCGAGACACCGGTTTGGAAGTGGTGCGAAGCTGTCCTTGGCCCGAGAAACTTCAGCGCCCTGAATACCCTGGCACTCCTATCGGAAAGAGATGAATTTGCGAGACGTTACTGGCAAAAGAAATGCCAAGGAGATATGGATAACGATGGGGAGTGCATGCTGAAGACAGTAGTGGCCTTTGGTGAACAGGATCTACTGCTGAAAGACTACAAGGATATCCTGGTGCGTGTCATTGGCAAGGGTAACCTGGCTGATTGGGCACCAGAAGGGATCTGGCTCCCAACTGCTGGTCACTACCCCATGGAAGATAGCCCAGGTGATATTGCAGGATTGATAGCCAGATTTCCCAGCTCCAGTGACGAAATCTGAACTCAGTCTAAGCCTCCAATAATTGAGCCCGTCAATGCTCCGCTATAGATTAATGGTCTCGCTACTCGGGGAACCAGGACGATTTGGCATAAGAGCATTCTCTTCATACATTGGACATCTGCAAGGATCTTTATATCTAGTGGTGACTTCCCAACTATCTGAATCAAGCTATTGACTTCCCGACAGAAAGAGAACTTCGCATCCATTAGGACAGATCTTGTGGCTCTTGTCTTCCCGTACTCAAATAAAAACACGGCCACGTACTTCTCTCTGTAAACTGTGAGTCCCGGCAATGCCCTAAAGATATCCTGATCCAAAGCACCTGAGCGAATAACTGTAAGCATCCTATCCACGGCCCCCGGCTCATGATTCAAAATCACAGCAATGAATCGTCTGAGAAATTCTTGGTAATAGTCCAGGATTTCAGTAATGATTTCGCTAGCTTCATGACCATTCTATCGTTGTAATTGCTATTTCGAGTGCTCTGTCTGCTTATCTAGTAGCTAGCAAACAATTTATAATAATGACAACCAAGATACTAAGCCCTAGATTCCTGAATATGAGGGGATTCTTTACCTTTTAGCAGGAGAAAATTTTGAACCCAAACGAAGACCTCATGATCCGCCTTCCAGCGCCCATTCTTATCTTGAATAAGGAATAATAATGATATATTAAGATTCTGCCTCTGTCTAATTAGGCTATATATATTATGGTGGTCAAGCTACTCTCTAATATATTATTTTTACCATAGGGCTCCATTGGTGGTCAGTAAAGCTCGTGACGTATTAAGGTAGTAGGGTGACCTACTTGTTGTAAGAGATATCAGCTACCCCTAGAATAATAAACATTGTGCTCAGTGCTTCGGAACTATCTCCGGCAATTAAGGCGCTGCTAGCCTTGTAAGTACGCATTTTAGATAGTAGGAAGGGGATCGCCACCTTTTTCACTGCCTCGAATGTCAGGCCAATCAATGACAAACGGTCTGCAGGCGGCGCTCACATGGTGTGAGGTCTGAGTAGCCTACTGGGCAATACAGGATGGCTGAGCCAAAAGTGACCCTTGAATGACCTTATCACTGTTTATAAGATTTACAAGGATTCTATTCCCAACTTCGAGGACCTCCTATCCGAGTATAGGCTTTTTCAAGGCAAGGTTCATTTTGCCTTGGGAGTATACCCCTCGACTGAATTCAGCCATGAGCAGAAGCGTGACGCAAAGCTGAGGTTCAAGGGGTGTATCAAAGTTGTCAAGGGTTTGAAAAAGTTTCTCTGGGACACACGCCGCCTTGCGACACCTACACCTCGGTTGAGAGACAAATTCCAATTCACCCCTGAAAAGGTGGGTTACTGGAAGGGCAAAATCGAGGCCTAGAAAGAGTGCCTGAATCTGTTTCACAGCGAGCATATTAGGTGGGTTGCTGCAGCTTTTAATCAGGTTCCATCATGACACGCGAATAACCTTGAGGCAGTTTCAACACACCCGAGATTGTTCGATCGCTACGGTTCCTTGTATCCAGGGAACAGTCCAGAATACGAGGTCACTCATCAGTGTCTGTGTGCACCAATGATTCTCTATCAACAACCACCAAAGAGTACTGGTCTGAATTTTGCCGAGCCTGTCGGGAGAAGGGGATTTCACCGCGGATATTGGATGCCCACAAAGACAAGATCCTGCCGGAAATCGAATTTATAATCTCTGGGAATGGTGCAACGGCCGCACAGGCACAAGGTAGCATAAGTCCCCCATTTCCTTTGAATTTCGGTGGAACAATTTTGAAGATGGGTGGTCCATATTGACTAACCTAACCCTCCAGAAGAGAACCCCGCTCTGAAGTTATCAACTATCACGGCTACCCTGCTCCAGCCGGCAGAACAACACAACTGGCCAGAAGTCAAGCGTCTTCTCGAAAGCAACCCCAATATAAATGTCCAAAGTCCGGGTTTGCGCGTGATCTATTCGCTAGCCATTTACCAAAGGCGTTGGGAGATTGTCGAAGCGCTCGGGGTGAGAGGGAACGATCCCAGCTGCGAGCTGCTGCGCTCTCAATTAGCTGCCATCATGGCTTCAAAACCTGAACCCTGGAGTACGATCGTCTTCCTCGCTGGAAAGGGCGCCGACCTGGAAGTGCGGGATACAAACGACCATACTGTACTCCTCAGGGCGGCCAGCTGCCAACGCTGGGACGTGGTTTCTACACTGACCACCGCCGGCGCAAAGTCCAACGCCACCTCTAAACGACCTTGTTCCCTTGGGTCAGTGCGCTCTCTTATGCTGTTACCTATCGCGACTGGGACCAGGTACCACCGCTGCTTGAAGCAGGGGCCGATTGCAACTCTCTAGCCTTGAATGGCGATCCAATCCTGGTTGTAGCTGCTGCTGCCCAACGGTGGCCGACCGTGCGTCTGCTGGTCGAGTGCGGCGCGAATGTAGATGCTACGGACCGCCATGGGAAAACAGCCCTCTCCTATGTACTCCAGTTGTTGGTGCCACATCTTTGTAGTGATACCAGCAACTCGGCCAGGGATTCCAACAATCAGGACGCTGTCACCCGTGGACTAGAGCAAACGGCCTACATTAGGCAAACTTTTTCCTTACTCTATAGGCAGACTAAGAAGGTCAGTGTCCACGACTTGCTGCCGCTTGGCGGAGGAACCGCGTCTGCCAGCGTTCTGCAAAGCCTTTTGGAGAATTCAGCGCCTCGCATCACGGTCGACGATTTCAAGTTATTATCTCCGCCAGTGCCTGCTTATTTGGTTGATAGCCCCGACACTTTCTTAGACATAAATGCAGACTGTTTAGGGATACTTGATTTGAAGCAGGCGAATAACCGGCCAACTTACTTCCTACACGGGCTGCTTTACCCAGACCGGTCTCGCTCAACGAACGCCTTACCACTAATACCGGGGCAGTCGTATCACATACTGACTGATGGCGCCTCAGGTACACCTTCTTTCTACGCTCAAGAAACCCGTGAAGAAGAAGAGACGCAGGAATACACCCCCTAAATAAGATAGGAAGGAATACCCGACGCAATGAAGGTTGCTCCTTCCTTCTACTCTCTGCTCGACCAGCTGTAATGGAGCCGCTGGATAGGTTTCCCTCGCGCAGTATACGACATGTATGTGCAACATTAGTAATGCTGTCCAAGAGGGCAGTGGGTCCCAGAAGAAAGACTAGCGGGCCCCAGGGCTGAATGGTGGACAGCAGTACTCGATTACTGATCGTCCCTAAGTTCCGCCTTTTTCAACAGAGACCATTGGCTTGCAAATGCACAATAAACGAATCAATGGGGTCCAGAGAACAGATGAATAATTCCATACTCTGTAAATAGTAGCCGAGCTGAATATATCGCTGTGTATAAGCGGCCCCTATCCCGACTTGGTAGTCTCATTCTCGGTGAAGATAGCGAACCCGAAAACTAGGCGAGAACGCCAATGAGGCTTAGGGATCTAAAACCAGTGCGGCTGAAAGTGGAGTCTCCGGATTTCAACTCACTCCGGTAATACATGTACAAGAGAAGACTCCGGCATCAAGCGAATACCCAGCGGAACTATAAAGAGGAAGGGTGTCCCAGATACCTCCCTACACAGTGCTCATCCTGTCAGTACAGTGGCAACGTCTGCCTACCGAATTACAAACACAACATACATCACTACTCTTCCACACACTTTCCAATGAAGCTCCTCACGTCCCTTATCGTCTTATCACCCCTTGTGCTTTCTGCCCATGCGGCCGATTGCTCAGAGCCCGATAAAGAGGTCTACGAGCGGGCAGCATCGGAGATGATGTGGTCAATCCGTGGCTGGCTATGTTCCAACGCCTGGTGGCAATCCATCACGGCTGGTCCCCAGGGAGCGTGGTGCGATAATCAGGGTGGGATCGTCGGTGCGTACGAGGGGCAATTCACAATCCACGGAATGCAGAGTCAGCAGCAGTGCTGGGTACATCCTTTTCCCTCTCCCTCGCTTTCGTTCTTATTTTACCTGATTGGCTGGCTGATGGGTGGCTGTATAGGATACCACTGAGCAAATCATCCGGCAGTGCATGAAGCTCGACATCAGTGCGGGCACTGGACCGGGGCAAGCGAAGAACCTCAACGGCGGCACATGGACCTGGGGCAGTGTCTATGCCGGTGGGTGGTTTTGGGCCGCGCACGGCGAGCAGTGCCAGAACCATGTCAAGCGGTCGGGTGAGCATAATGAGACTGTCGAGGTTGGGCAAAGTCACTCCCTGAGGCCGAACTTTACCCTTGCGGATGGGACTGTTCTGCAGGCTGAGAACCTGGTGACTTTGGATGTTACTGGGGATGAGCCGGTTCTTGTTAAGCATGAACGGTTCTAGACTACTAGATTTCCTGTTATCTCTGATGTTGGAGAATGTGGTGAAGTAAGATGGCACTTTCTCATCGATAGGATGCCCAGAGTACATGCTCCGGATTTATCATACTGGCACTTCAGGAATAGAAAGGACACAAGCACTTGGACGGTGCGATTATTCCTAACTCATTTCTCGGTTTCGAGAATCAGGATATATGCATTTTCTGCCTAGTATCATCAACCGTCCAATCTCTAATCTATAATTGCTGTCGAAAGTACTTCTGTGTCTATGCCTGTAGTAACCTCCCAACCTTGATCGGGGCCAGAATAGGCAGTTCAACCCGCTTGGGGATGTGGTTCTGCTGCCAATAGACCATCCCATATCTGAGCCAAGCCCCATAGGTGCCCTCGAGCACATCTGCTCCGGGGTTATCTCTCCAAAGTGACCCAAGCGTAACCTTGTTAACCCTCAAAATCAGACCATGCGCAAGCTTAAATCCAAAGCTCCGGGTAAGACACGCCTCCACAATCTCCCTGGCCCTCTTCTGCTCGGCACTCTCTTTCTCGCCATTCTTCGGCAGCCGAAGGGACATCAAGTCAAACGCCAACTGCCCGTCCCAATTCGTAAACTCGTTGATATACTGCGACCCGGACATGAACTCGATATTGTAGACATGTCCCGCGCTATACGCCGGTCCGTCCCAGTTATCCTCCTCATCAACAAGCCCCATCACGGCCGTAATGGCCTGGCCCTGGATAATGTAGTCTGAAAGCAAGCGACGAACCTCCTCAGGCCCAATAAACGTTCCGTCCTCTTCGGTGATGGTATGCTCCCCACCCAGAAGCGGCACCCCCTTCAACAACGGACTCGCATGCATCCCATCCGTATTCGTCTTACCCCCATCGGAATCCCAAAGCGCCATAAGAAGCGCATGACACCGCGCAAAGAGCGGGTTACCGGGCAGCGAACCGAGAAAGTAATTCGCCAGACTGTATTTCGTGTCGCCGGTGGGACTATACGAAAGGACCTCCCAGGGCGACTCCAGATCCCCAATCGTCGCATTCCAGAGTCGATCCAGGTCGCCGATCTGCATCATCCCGACGTCCGCATACACGCCGCCATATTTCAGGAGGAGCGGCCAGCGCACGAGGTCGGATGTATGCTGGAGCTTATATGTGCCTGAGATCGTGCCCTCGCGAAACGCCTTAGGAAAGAGCGTTGGATCCGTGACGTCGAGGAAATTCGCGATGTTTGATTTGGAGTCTGGAGACGTGTCTATCACTCGGATCGTCCAGCCCCTTTTGGTCAGGCGCCGATGGTACGCGCGGACTGTGCGCTTTGCGTACGGGTGCATGTAGGCGTAGCCTGCGTGCCAGAAGAACCAGATGTTCTTGACAGATGTTACCGGTGGTGGGGTTTGGAGATCGGCGTCGATTTCGGTGTCGGGGCGGAGGTCGAGGTCTTCTCGGGGGATGAGGTGCATTCCCTTTGGGAGTGGGTAGTCCATTGTCAATTGTGGAGTGAGAGATGTGGTTGTAGTTGTAGAGACAGAGTATATGTAAGCAATTGAAGCACTAGCTTGTTGTTACATGGCCACTTGTCGCATTCTCGCCGCGCAACTATATACTTCAAGCTGCCTCTGGTACTCATCATGACTCATGCTTGGCGCGGGCTGTGTTGGTGTCTGATTGGTTTGGAGAGTCTCCACAGCCTGGCCCTTTTTTGCCTTCATTTCGCGCGACAGGATCATCCCAGGGGTCTCTCCGCGTGGCTTGAGTTCACCCGAGCAATCTGCGATCCATCATTTCCTATCTACGAACGATGGGAGCTCTATCTTAAGCCACACGCCGGCAGGTTAGTAGTATGGTGGGTGACCACGCGAATCCTTACTGTTGTATTTTTGTACATGTCTTTCATGTTTCTTTTTGCTGCCAGGCTTTCCACTCGTGCTGCGCTCTAAATCCAGCCGGTTCTCCCCGTCTGAGGAGCCAGATTCCGAAGCACCTATCCGAATTTTCACAATAATCCTATTATAATACCGTAGTGTAGTAATTCTTGATGGCGTCCATACCATAAGATTGACCACATAGCGTAATAGTAAGCTCTAGCTGGCGTTCATCTCTGATCCAGCCTCTCAGATTCTCAATCTCCTCCGGCAGCCTCCTGACAGACCAAGGAGAGTCACCATTCTGAGCCTCATCATACAACCTCCGGGTGTCTCGCATACTGTCCCGGAGTTCTAGTGATCCTTTGTAGTGGCCAAGAGCAATTGTGAGAGCATTTATTGAATGCAGTGCGACATGTGCGGGACCACGGGGTGAACACAATGTCCCGCGAAAAAATCGCTACGCCAGCCTCACCTCTTTTAAGCCGCATAGAACTAAGGCTCCCCTGGTGCATTGCCCGTAGTGATGAGTATATGGCTATTTGTGACACGATTGGAAGTTCATCGTGGAGTGGGGACCAGGATACGAGCCTCAAGCTGTCACAGACATCGTTCGTGGCCAAAATGAGCAACATCACCCTCTTGCTTGACCTTGAGCATCAAGGACTGCTGCAGTCATGGACTCTCCAGACCCTAGTGTAAGCTTGATGCTCCTACCCATCCACAATAGCAGACCTGTTGGAAGTACAACTAACGCCCCATGTCCTCGGCTCAAAGCCCACGCCGCAACTCCTACTTTGGCCACGCCAATCTTCCAACTACGGGAAGCACACGGCCTGACATACACGGCGAATCTGACATCATTTGGTTCTAAGCGTAGGGACGCAGCAACCTACCCCACCTGTCGCCCTACTGCCACCTCACGACCCGGAGAAGCCGGCTACTAGGACACATTGGACACCTCCGGTGGAAACAGAGGTGAAAAACCTCCAAATCGCTCATTGGCGAACGGTCCGGCAGGGCAGAGAGACGTTCCTCTGCTCCGTTTCCTAGCACAAGAACTATCAATATCTTCCAGATGCGGTTGCCCCTCATTCCACACTACCCCCATTATGGATCTTATATACCGTGCCCGCAGCCTCCCACCTACCCGTTGCCCTCCTATAAGCCCAGTGCGACCTCTCTTCAAGCTTCGCTTGCACTGCACTGCGCTGCGCTGCGGCCTTTGCGTACGGCGCTATGATACGTTTGAAACCGCAGAAACATGTAGGCATGGAATAATGTATTGCAAACATCACACTTGCTGTGGCGGTGACTCGGGCTGCGATTGGCCCCGCCGTGTTGCGGCAGATGAACGCCCTATTGTCGCTGAAGAGGAGTATGAGGCAACAGTTGTCGTCGTCTGATCTCCAGGCGCACTGTGGCCCAGTACGGGTACGTACATACTGGGCGCATGAAGCAGGTATTTGTCTCTCCAGGCTTTTAGGCTCCAAACTCTGTCTGATTCACGGGCCGATACTGACAGGCGCGGGAGTAATAATTATAGTACTCTGATGGTAACCGACCCCGGGGATCTGGGTGGGGAGTTGCTATTCTGCTGTTAACCAAGTCAATATCTGGGATGGTGGGATTTTATACAGCATGCGGCTTGTTGAGTAGCAAGAGGACCTATCAAGAGAACAATACACCCAGCATGCTTGGCTCTGATCCCCATGGGACATCCCCCGGTCTTCGGGGCGTGATTATCTAAACAAGCTCCGTTGCCAGCGTAGACATAGACATAGATGGTCGCGTAGTAGGTCGCCGGCACGGGGCAACTAGGATCCATAGAACTATATCGCTCATGACATGGCCATCACACCAAAAGGGTGTGAATGATTTCTGGATGAACACGGTAAGAGCTGCCCCCGACCCCTTTCTTCCCCAATGCATGGATGTAGTCCGTAGTGTGCGCCTACTGTGTCTGGGCACTGCACTGGAAGGCTCCCGGTTCTCCAGTGCTCATTTCTTACCTCGTCTAGCAAGGGCTCCCCTGCCAATAGACCAGGTAATACTGCGAGGTTGCTTGGTCTGTACTGTTTTCTTCTTCCTGAGGGTCCAGTAGATCCCATAGAGCTTACTCACCACATTCAAGCCAGTTATGAAACAGCGAGAAGAATAGCAAATTATTTCTCTCTAGGCTTGCTGTCCCGGGGCGAGATACCAACAAAAGAAGAAGCGACCGAGAAGTAAAAAGCAAAATCAATGCTACACAGAATCTAGCTCGGTCTGGCGAACACCCCGCAAACACGCTCACCACCTCGTGTGATACCACTTTTCCTATTTTATAATGTCTTGCATGGCCCATCAGCACCAGCAGTCTGATCCCGTCTTGGGCTCTCTGCATCCTGTGTTGCGATGCGTTCCACATATTGGATATCAACCCTGGAACGCGGGGATGACACTACGTACAGGCAAAGGTTACACGAACGCAATGGTTCTAACAGCTGCAAGCATACACAGCCAATCATAGCAAGATTGCTCTCCGATGGATCCGACAAGGAGTAGGCATATGAGGATAAAGCCTTTGAGCCTCAAAAGGGTAGTAAGCGGAAGGTCGGGATGAAATAGACGACCTATCTTACAGTATCTGGTGTGCAGATTCTTCTCCTACCTTACCTTTGCATGGCTCGCTTATAGTGATGATTTCTGCTATGAGGTAGTCATATATATATAAATATATATGTGCGTGAGTAAAATCAGGGATACTTGGCCGTCCAGGAATCTAGAAGATGTTGAGCAAACAACGGGTTGAAAGGCAAGCGAATTATAAACTGGATTCAACCAGACAAAATTGGCTGGGCAAGACGGAGATCCCGATCAGTCAGACCTTCTATAGTGCTTCAACTGTTTAGGGAATGACCGCGCAGAGGTGACCAGTACAGCTCCACAGCCCCGCGGATTGAAAAGGCCGCGTATATCTGCAGCCATGAGTCGGAGCAGTGTAAGGCTTCACCAAGGATTTCCAGCCCAAGTAAGCATGCTATAACGGGAGCAGTGATGGAGAGCCTTATGCACGAAATTTGGAATTCTTTTACTTAGGCCCAATTAAGCTGAGGCGGGGCTGATACAGTCTGCGTACTCTCTTAAAAACCTGGACAAGACGGTTAGATTGGCGCATAGAGTAGCTCTCGTACACGACACAACGCTTTGATTTTGTTGTCCAGCCTGGGTGACGACTGGTGTGACTCGACCTATCATGGTGTAGCAACCGCAGCGAGTGCCATAAGAGTCTCGTTGAAGTTCCTTGCCGTGTTCGAGCATAAGTAGTATCATTAGCAAATAAACTATTCTTCTTTCATGCCCCGTAATTTGCATCTTAGTTGCGCGACATATTGTGGCTGGCAAGCAATATACAGGGACTGGAACACTAGGGCCTCGGAGGAGCCACAGTAAGATATAATCACGAGTAAGAGAGGGTCTCACTAGAAAGTGAAATAAACTAGAGATTTATCCAGCCCCCAGAGGCTACACTTTAATTGGAAGTAGGCGGCCTTCCAGACATCGCAGTCTGTCCCAGGTCTTCATGATTTAAAGGAAAGGTATTAAAAAAAAAAGACCTTATAGCCCGCCTGGCCGCCTAGTAATAGGGAATGGCGTTAGTTACTATTAATAGTAGGGTTATATTCCTTCCTGACTAAAGCAGAAAAATTATCAGCAGCCAATCCAGGCTCTCTATCCCGTGAACATCCCCTATCTAATATCCATATGACACTCTCGCCTGGAGCACCATAACGGCCACCCCTCTGGATGCGCTGCACCGATACTTGTTTTCTGAGCCCTATCTGGAAGCGTTTTAGACGGTTTTCGGTTGCAATAGAGCACAAGGCGCATCCGAATCTCTAGGGCTATGGTCTGTAGTTAACTTGATATCTTCAGGCGGCTCCACGCACTTAGGGCAGCTACAGAATAAGACCGGGATATGACAGAGGAGGAATTGGGCTATGTAGATTATTTTCTGTACTCCATCTGTGTCGTTTGCTCCCGCGTAGTTAGAGGCAAAATATGGGGAAATGTTACAGCTGGATTCAATGCTGTATCAGACCTTGACTTGGCCATGAACACTGGAATAGTATTCCGAGTTTAGATCGATACCTCGCAAGCAAGTATCAGTGCCCTGACTTGCTATTGCCTGCCTTAGTCAGCTCCACCTCCAGCCTCATAAGCGAGCGCCCATGTTTGCGCATCTTACCAGGCATATTGTACATCCTGTCAAGCAAATAATAGTTACTATTCGTCTCTATACCGGAAGCTGGTATAAATTTGTCTATCTCTAACACGGAATAGTAGGGTTCTTGCCTGCGGTCAGCGGCAGGTCAATATTGAGGGCATTTATGGGCTCTGGCGGTTTTCCTTGAATCCAGTTGCAACGTTGGGGAGAGCACATTTAACATAGGGCTCCATTCGTGGTAAGTATAGCTCGTGACTTATTAAGGTAGTGGGGTGACCCACTTGTTGTAGGACACATTGGTTACGTCTACAATAATTAACATTGTGCTCAGTGCTTCGGAACCATCGCCGGCAACTAAGACGCTGCTAGCCTTGTAAGTACGCGTTGTAGATAGTAGGAAGGGGATCGCTATCGACCGACCACACGACGCCACTCGAACTAGTCACTTTTTACTGTACATGTAGATAGACTTCCAAACCTAGAGACGAGATGCCCACGTTTATGACAACAGTATCCTCCGCTGGTGAGTCCATAGCCCTCGACCATACTAGTGCCACTCCCACCTCCTGTCATCCGGCACTCTGTGGTTAGTTGGGACGCACCATCAGCATGATTGGATGACCCTCGCGCTTGGAATCCGCCGACGGCTCCTTGTGGAGGAGGCTCCTACTAGTACAGAACTTCTAGAAGGCGGTTCGAATGCACTGCTCGGGTCCAGGAAGTGGGCCCCGGCCGTGCCCTTCGCGAAGGACGATGCATCGGAACAGCCCTAGTATCCGCGTTGTCGCGTTAGCCATTATTCAAATTCCCAACACCATCAAAGCACCCATCGCAGAATATAACCTGATACCAAGCCATCTGCTACCGGGGTCGGCCGAGAGATAGCAATAGCAGACGGTAACATGTGACCTGTGATGGCCCAGCTGTCTGGCACTTCACCAACCCAACAACCAGATGCTCGGTAATCCTTGGCTTCGTCACAGTCAACGCTTAGCAACCATCGCGGCAGAAACCGTTGAACCTTATCGTACAGCAGACAGGAAGCTCCACCCTTGCGGATGTAGTTGGAGAACGGTTAACGAGGGCCCTGACGTCAGGCGCAAGGCGTCCGACGTCCGAACTTCCCAGACCCCGGGCCCCGGGTCCCGAGATGGTGCACACGCCATGGCATGTGTCAGGTGCGTAGGCGTTAGCATCGAGGCTTGCAGGGGGTCCATGCGCCGCTGCCATGCTTCCTGCAGGATCAGAATGATTAGCAATGCATGACGGGTGCTTATATGATTGTCGGTACCGCGGAAGCGGGGCCGATTTAGATTAGGTTGTTCAACGGGCCATGAGAAGGGGGTACATATGACACCTTCCATATGGCGACCCACAGGGACTGGACCGACTGTTCTGGGTTCTTGGCCCATGAGGCGTTGTGGTGATAGTATGTACGCATCGGTGCGAGCCGACAATGTCTCAAGAATAGGCAAGCGGACTACGAGCTGAGGCGTTCTCGCTAGCCTGGCGACTCGAGATTGTCGAGGCGTGCGTGCATCGGTGACTGCAGTCTGTCCCCATCCCACCGGCTCCCTTATCCTGCGGCTCCATCTCGACCGTTTTGTGCAAGCCTAGGGCAGCACCATCACCACTTAGTAGCCTGGTTGCATAGGCAGGAGTCAGTCACGAACTTACCAATCCTTATCTATACTCGGTGCTAGTCCGATTCCTACGAGGACGGCGTAGGCGTACAGGTCATGAGGCTCAGCATCACGTAAGGAAAAGAAAGTCGCAATCTCAATTCGTCAAATTTCCTCGCAGTTATTGCAATCTCACAAGTACTTCTGCCAAGAAAAAATAATAATAATAATAAAAAACGCCTTGTCCTGTCCCTAATCCCAGTGAACGCTGATTCGTGTCTATTCATTTCATTCTTCCAGATGTTTCGGCGGAAAAATCATCCACCGATCCGCGGAGTCTTTTCCAAACAATTTCGCCAGAAGTTTTCGATCCCTCCGGAGAAAGCATGGTTGCCAGGATGAGATTCCTCATCTAGCAGGATCCATCTTTACCCCGTCACGTTGGCCTCGGCGCAATGTACGAATCTACCAGGTACGTTAGCACACCGCTCAATCTCAATCACCCCTGCAAATGCAAGACAATGGGGAGGAACTCACAAGACGCCTTGAGCAGCAGCTCATTCCACAGATCCTCCTCAGCCCTCTTCTCGCTCACCTGCTCCGTATAAAAGTACGTCGCGAGCACACGCCTCGCTGCATCCCACTCGCCTAGCCCCAACCGTTCAACCACATCGCTCAACGCGTTAACGAACCACCGATGACACTTGTACCCCTGCGACGCGAGACTCCCAATGACCAGCATCCAAAAGAGCAGCTCGGGCGTCTCGGCCTGTAGGTGCGCGAGCGGGACCTCGAGCGCTGTGCGCAAGGCTTCAACCATATACTGCATAAAGGGGAACGACTGGAAGTGCCAGACGCGCAGGTTCAGGTAGACGATGAGGGTCTGGCGCAGGGGCTCGTTGATGTCCGTTGGATCGGTTGTGGCGTAGCAGGCGGACAGGAGCTGGTGTTCCATAACGAGGAAGAGGTCGTTGTCTGTGGGCATTACGGAGGAGGGGTGCCGTTGTGCGTGTTCGTAGTAGGCGATTAGGCGCTGCATGACCTGGATGAAGGTCTTCATGCTTGGCTCAAGGGTTGGATACCAGGCGGCACTGAAAAAGGAGGTTCCGAGGGCGGCGAGGTCTTTCGAGGTGTCGAGTTCATCGTGGGTGAGGAAGAGGCGGCTGTCTTGGAGGATTTCGCTGCGCCAGCGCGCGGAGATGGGGAAGACGGGGCGCGTGTTGTAGAGAGCGGCGCTTTTGACGTCGCTCCTGAAAATCGTTTGTTAGTAGCTATTAAGGTGTAAGAGGCGGAGAGGGCTACTGGTAGATCTTGGACAGCGTCATGTGGTCCAGTGTATCGAGTCCACCCATCAGGGAGACGAGCCTTCGGAGGCCCTTCATGTGCGCCTCGTGGGCTTCCACGTTTGCATCGACGGCCTAAAAGGGAATTAGCAATCCATTACCAGCGACCGAGAAGACATGGCGAGTGTTGCTATGGATGTGTTAAAATACATACCTCGATCGCAACAAGCGAAGCAACAACCAGCGTCGTAGACTCGGCAACCGCCCTAACAGGATCCATCATGATGTTGTTGAGGGTTTTGAGCGTGTCGCCGCGCAGATGAAGCATATCCCGCATTGACTTTTGGATAACACGGGACGAAACACCATTGCTAGACTCCAATGTCGCCTGATGGCCGGCCGTTAAGAACAAGAGAGCCTGTAGTAGGGCTGGCTGTGTGATGGCCTTTTGCCACCACCACTGGCTCATCCGTGTAGCGTCGAGGGGGTAGCATGCTGCGATTGTGTGGATTCTGACTGGATTAGAGTCAGCGCTGCCTGTTTCAGGTAGGTAGAACTGTATCGCGTACAGTGATGGAAGTACAGATTCATCGAATCCGTCATCTTCACCGCGGACGCAGCGAACGGATCGACGTAGCCCTGGCTGAGGAACGCCTTGAGCGACCACATCTCCGACCGCAGGGCACTTGGGTTCGAAGACGCGTTCGAAATCTCGCGTTCATCGACCCATCCATCGTTCGCGTTCTCTTTAGTAGAGTCCGTATCCTGCGAAATGAACTGCTCGTTGCTCGAGTATCCAATCTGCAGACGGTTACTGGGGGCATCTCCGGCTGCCTTGGAGGGCGCCTTGAGCCGCTGGATGGACGCCTGCTTCTTGCGGCGGTGGTAGTTTTTAAGGAGAAAGCCCTGCTTTTGGGTCCGGAGCTTCTTGTTGGTCGCGTGGTCGGCTTGTGAGTCGATGAAGAGGAATGTCGACTGTTGCGCGGCGGGTTGGGTCGATCTGTAGGGCAGATTCAAGGGGACTGCCAGGTCGTCCGACGGACTCGACCTTGACGAGCTGGATGATGCCGTGGAAGTCCAAGACGGCGAGGAGAGCCTCGACGAGGCAGACGACGATTCCGTTAAAGTCGGCATCTTGATCACGATATTTTGCTGGTTACTCGGTATCCTCGTGAAAATGGCAGGTTGGACCGCATCCAAATCCAAGGCAACAACGGGTCTCCGGCGGTACAAGAGCCCGATCGCTCAGGCGTCGAAAAACGGGCCCGTAATTCCCGACCTCAGGCCCTCGATCTCGCTCTGCACGCCTCCCTCGCATCCCCAAGCGCTAAAAGCAGTGGAGGACGGTTGACCAATGGCAGCGGGGAATCCACAACCCCAAAGCAGCATGGTCGACTTTCGTTTATCGCGGCCCGAATCAACGAATGCTAGCGGACTAGTTTCACCGTGCGAATTGCGAAGGATGGTTTAGCCTAACGTTCGGGGCTCCTCCCCTGCTGGCCACTAGGAGACGCACCCCCAGCAGCCTAATGGGACTTCCTCTGAAACCGGGCGAGACATGTGTCGGAAATCCGAGATTTGAGCAGACCAGTATTTGGAGTCGAGGTTGTGGTTCATCACTCATGTTCAACGTGGAAGTCTTTCGCTCCAGTGTGTGCAAAGTCGACGACAGATCAGATCGAGGAGTCAAGATCGAGAATCACGACAAAGCACGACCCCGCATCCACAAAGTCCGGAAATGCAAAAAGCCCACTGGCCCAGTCGTGGAACCGTTTGCCTGGTTGCACCATTTTAGCGCGTATCGAGTTCCAGCTCGGGGATGCGAGGAGCGTTCCATTGTTGAGACTGCATCGGAGGTTATCCGAACCGTGTCGAGGAGGGAAGGTCCTTTCTGCGATTTCGTCTAAAATTAGCGGGCGGACGAGGCTTTGACTCTCTGGAGAGATGTAGCATTTCCGGCCCGTGGTCGAGGTGTTGGAGTGGATTAGTTCACATGTCACTTACTTGGTGATCAGCAGGGGGGATTGGCCGGTTCGGGGCCTCGAAATTGGCGCATTTTGGCGGGTGGAATTCGACGAGTATGGGCTTTTCTCGTGGCCGTACTATATAGAGGCAGACTGAGGAGAAGAGAATAGTCGTCCTCGTTCTTGTCCCCGGGGGAAGACGCTGAACTTATTGAAGTCGGTCTCAGGTTATGACCTCTGGGCCTCGCAGCAACGAACAAGAGACGAGGGGAGCATGACTAGAAATGGAATAGCTCTGTTTTGCACTGTGGTTAGAGGCGTAGCCAATCACCATCAACCTAGAACTGTACAGATCCGGTATAGTCGCAAGTTCTCCAGCAGTCTATGGGGGTCTGTCATTTTGTGCAAAGGTGCGAAGCGCGAGATTCATCATCAGACCACCAATTCCGCACTATCGTGATGATATCTGCACCCATGCTACACCATGGAGCATTCCTAGCTTCGCCAAAACTCGGTTGGCGCTATGCTTCCCCTCCGTTGTCCGGAGTCCGGAAGACGGTAAACTTCGAGGCTCATTCAGCAATCATCATCCATTGTCAAGCTGACAGGGACCTGAGCTCATCCCTCACCCCCGGGATCGATTCGCCTCACCGACTGGCTGCTTATCCTGCGGGTCACCGTTCTCCCACCGGCAGGATGTTGCCGGTGGGATAGACTCGCATTGGGCTGACAGGCGATCGCTGCAAGGAGCTTGGCGCATCCGGCGGCACAACGTGTCTGAGATTTTTGCAGCAATAATGGGAGGAGGGGCGCTGCAGCAGTGGGAACAACCCACGATATCCCGCCAATGCCAGCGTCGGGTCCGAATGGAATTAGTTTCCATGCAGCATCTCCCAGTTTTGACCAAGTTCGGCCAAGCTCCACTCGTTATCGCGGCCAGAACTCTTCAGCAGTCTGCTGCAGGCTGCACCGTTCTATTTTCGCGGATCACAGTTGAACCAGGCCCACCCATTGGTCGCCTGCGGCCAAAGAGAGCGACTAAGCCCAATCAGGGTGGTCCTGAAGTGGCTGTGATTGGCTGGCATTGCAATTCCAGGGGATCGGCGGGGCTCCAGAGTTGGCTCTAATCAATTTAAACTAATGTCAGTGTCATCGACTCCCTCGACCGTGGCTTGTTTGGCGGTTCGATGCTGTCTCATCTGACTTTATTTCCCCCCTCCCTGGCAATAATAATATGATTTCCACAGCAAATAACCGCTCGTTGCATGGCCAGGCACGGTCCCACAAGCCCACGTTGCTTCGTCCTCTAACCCGCAAGGGGAAACCTCATCCTTCCTTCGATTAATTGGCCTGTCTGCCGACTCGCGATGCCTCGCGTAGACGATGGCCTGGTCCATGGGTCTCCATCAATAATCGGCCGTGGCTGGCGACTAGGGATCCCAAAGACCCTAGGATCTCCGTTGGAGGAGCTTGTAACTGAAGGAATTCGCGCTATACCAACTTTGGTGCCATCTTTTTTTGCTCTCGTTGGTCGGGGGATCCAATATTCTAGATTTTAATCCATTTTACCGGGGCCTGCAGTCAGAGGGCGAGATTGATAAAACTGACCAACCTGTGCAACGTTGTATATATTGCGCGCGTGTGCCTCCTCGATGAGATTACATCAACATCCAACACGCTACGCGGTCGCGAGAACAGAACTCTAGACATAGCCAATTCAACTCTCAGCTCGCTCTCAAGTCAGCTACACACGCGCAATGGAGGACTACTCGTATTGGAACTCCCAGAGCCCCGGCCCCTACCCAGCACCGATGGGGATGCCCTACAACAAGAACGGCGAGATGCCCATGATGCGCAGCGGAATGGTGAGTGCGCCCTCGCCTTGTCGCAACAAATGCCTGTGGTGCCGCGCTGACTTGGGCAGAACCAGATGGCAGCATACCCAGACTTTGAGCTCCCTCCCACCTTTGACGCCTCGATCCCTCGATCAGTCGACCCCAACCTGCAGTCGCCGCCTGGGGTCTATCAGATGGTCAACCTCAACTCCACTTTCCCCCCCAACACCGCCATTTCGCCGCCCGTCACGCCCACCGCGTCCGACTCGGATTCGCAGGAGAACCAGAGCTCAATTTCATATTCAATGGACGCGACGAACCAGAAACATAAATTTCAGAGTGTACGTTGCGCACTACATCACCTCACCTTACCAACTGGAAAACTAATCGCATACAGGTCAAGCGACGCATGCAGAACCGCGAGGCGCAGCGACGATTCCGCGAGCGCAAAGAGGAGCGACAGCAAACACTCGAGCAGCGGGCGGCCGAACTCGAGGCAAAGTGCCAAGAGCTGTCCGAGGGGTTTCGCCAAAAGTCCGAGGAGGTGACGCGGATCCTCCAGGAGAAGGAGGCCCTGACGGGGGAGATGCAGGATCTGCGCAAGCGGTGGCGCCTCATGGTGATGCTGCTGCAACGGCCAAACGGGCTGCAGTCGCTGTCCAGCCTGCTGGCGAGTGATTCGTCCTTGTCGTCGACGCCGTCACCTTCGCCTCCTGGTGGTTCATCTTCTCCGTCCCCTGCTTCGCCTGCGACAGAGGCTGCGCCGCTGGATGCGCCGCTGGACGAATTGTTGGGGTGTCTGCACGCGTTGCTGGTACCAAATGAGACGCCCCACAGCTCCTCTTCGTCCTCGTCTTCCTAGTCGAGTCGCTTAATCCCTGCGTTCTTTGCTTGTTGACTCTTGGCTTCTTGTTTGTTGCTTTAGCGATCCACGGATAATAATGATTGTTCTGACTACTAGAAGAAAACGAATCTCATTCCATCATACCAGGCCAGACCATGTACATACTCTTAGCTCATTCTCCTTGTCTGGCAATAATTGACGACTGGCGGCTGAAATTGCGGTCCCAGATTTTCCCATTTTCCCTGCAGTTTGCGCACATTCCAGACCTGGTCCTGCACAGTCAGAACTGACTAAACGACTGACTAAGAGACTAGCCAGCCTGCTTTCTTCTCATTGGCCGTTTCCCTGCATCACTGGAAAATGAGGGCCTCCGTCCTCCGTATCGCGGAGCCGTCCAGGTTTCTCCGCCTGTCATGGCCATCCCCAATCTCCATCTTTCTTTTCCATGGCAAACTCTTGTTCCCATACCACAATACTTGGCCCCCAGTCTGTCAGGCATGACAAACAACCGCCATCATCTCCCAACCGAACTGCTGGTGAAACAGACTGACGAGGTCAAGGCACCACCACCGGGCTCCCCTCCGGTCGGCTACCAACGCCCAAATCCCAATTTAAGCGACTCACTGCCTTAGCGCCCCCGGGGCTGAGGCTGTGCGCTATCCATCCATCAACGTCTCCCATCTTATCGTCGACACAGGGATGTCGCACCCTGAAACTTCTCTCGCAATTCGCAATTCGCATGCGCATTGCGCATGCATTGCAGGGTTCAGCCAGGAATAGAATACATCCCAACGCCCGAATCCTGCGTGCTTGCCTGCTCCGGGCCTCCGGCACGGCTTTTGACACGTGCTTCGCTGCGGCACCGTTAGTTATGAACTTGTGCCATATGACGAGTGGGCTGGCGCGGGCGTTATCTCGACTTATTGACTTTTATTCGGTCAGCAGACGTCTAATCCAAGGAATTGCATTTGCGTCCGGATCGTACGGCCTCGATCAATCGCCTCGCCGGTTGAATGCGGAAGCAAACCATCGGTCCAGTCGCATACTGCGGTTCGCCTCTCGAGTCTCGCCAAATCGTAGCAGTCCTTACTACTCTGTAGTACACTACTAAATGACCAGGGTACTATACCTGCCCCCCCGCTCGCGGAACGCCGGAGGACACCCCCCGGCGGCCGGAAGCGCTGGGTAATACTGGGCCAATGGGTATAAACGGAGGAAACGGGTCTGCATTTCCGTGCATAAACCAAACGTCCTCCTTGGCGACGTGATTAGCCTTTTCCAGAACGGCCCGGCGGGTCGTGCACCTGCACCAGGGCTGCGTCAGATATAGACAGACTACTTGTATAGTACAGTGCATGCACGTCTCGGGCCCTGGGGCCTGTCGCCTGGCGAATCATTACTCCAATACGGCCACTTACTAGACCGGACACAGACATTTTACGCGAATGTTTATACCAAGCATCGCTGAGCTGTCGATCTGCAGGGTATGAAATTCCTGAGCCATGGCAAGTCGGATTTATTTTCAAGGTACTGATATAGCTTTGTAACTACGTATAGACATCCAGCTCCAAGCCGCTTCAGCATGCCCATCTGCCATCCCACAAGAGCCGAGACATGGACCCAGGAGGATCCCGAGTCCCTTTACCTCGCGAGCCTCGCGCGACTATGCGAGACACGGCGGAGATCCGATATTCCTTGGGTTTCAGCCTTTAATCTCTCGGGGGTGTCACTTGTCAAGTAGCCTACGCAGGCTGCGCTTGGCTGGGCTTCTTCAGTCTTGGGAAAGTCCACAGCGAGTGCTACGGTGGCATAGTTGACGGAGTGCCAGTGGGCTGGACTCAGGACTGGTCGAACCTGGTCCTGTGAGTGATTCTACTAGGCAGTATCCCTACTCTCGCGCACGTGTAAATATACACGTATCTGAGGTCTCGATGTCTTGTCGTTGATATTTCCTATCCTGATGAACGGGCTCCATAGATCTCCATTCCATATCCATATGGCATATTGATAGAACGTGGATACTCCCCAAAGTCTATTTGTCATCTATCCAAGACAACGTTGACAAAATAATCGAATTATTGACCTGGTATTTTCGATACTTTGCCTCCCGAGCTCTAAGATGCCCAGCCGCCACTGATGTCTCAGGGCGCAGATCATTGATAGACTGCCTGAATGGAACGGCTACTCTCCAGCGTTTGAAGTCGGCGACCCACACTGCTTCAAATTACCACAATATCACTGAATTCTTCATGTCGACTTGCTACAGGGAGCCGAACATTGCCCTGGCGCGCCGAACAGAACCCCCTACGGCGTTCTAGATTCTAATGGGAGTGGCGTTCCGTGTACACCGACAGATCCGACTGAGACATCCCAGACCATCAAGACAAGACAAGCACCGTCGAGGAGGATCAACACGGCGCCTTCCTCTTGAGATCGGGCCTTGGTTATGGGTGAAATGGGAAGGTACAATCAGCACCGTGGACCGCACTTTGCCACCGTTCGAGCCAGGCGTGTCTCCAATGTTTCGTGGTCGACTCGACTCCTCGTCGTCTGTCCAGAAGCTCATGTCTTTGGCGGACGATGAGCCGAGAGCTGTTTTTTTTGAAGGTCAGGACGGGGCTATTGGGGGGTTGATCATAGTCCTCCCCTCGAGGCGAGACGCTTCTTGTGATCTCGTCTGGTTGTACGTTTCCTTGTTGTGCGATCCTGAGGCATACCATTCTCAATTGTGCCCCCTCGGAGTCGGTCTTTCCTTATTTCGACCGCAGCCGTCGCTACCTCGGTCGCTCCTTCCGAACCATGTTGGTCGTTCCGGTTGAAATGTCATCTCTGCTCGATCAGAAACTACTACCAAGTAGATATAGAGAGCAAGCAGGGCAAACAATGCCTGGTACAACTGGGTGAGCTCACCACATGCCTCCTAACCCCCTAGGTGGCCTGCTCGCCCACAACCAGGCCTACGAAAATCTCCTGTGCTATTTTGTCAGTCATTACTGACATTCATGCTTTAGGTTGGGAACCTTCTCCTTAACGACGACGACTCCTCTCAATAGCCACTCCTATTACGCCGCTGCCATCACTCAAGACCCGTTTCCCAGTCTTCCCCGCCCCGGCACAGCGAGATGGACCTGGAATGATTTCAGTGCCTCCTACCACAACATGAATACGCACTTCTTCCTCGTACCGGAGAGCTCAGGGGCAAACAAGGAGTTCTTCAACTCTTGTCCTTGATGGCTTGCACGGGTACAAGATGGGATTGAGCGACGATGTACATCCCGGCTCGCCCTTGCCTTCAGTTTCAGTACCGAGTACTGATTCAGACCGGCTATATCCATTCCTTTTGTTTTTCGGACTCGCCAGGCAAACAGCTACAGTAGTTTCACTCAGTGATCTGTTGAAGCTTCACTTCGATTGAGCCTCTCGGTTCAAGACGACCTCGATCCAACTGGTGGCCGAGTTAGTATGCGCGTTCGCGATGCCATTTGCTAAGGCGAAAAACTCCCCCCGCCGACTCAGTCTTGCCTCCAGCAACCAATGGGTACCTAGTAGTCCCTAGGGACCTCACCTTTCTGTTAGTTGAAACTCGGCATACCGGCAACAGAGTGATGACAAATTGACTTCGGAGTTAAGGCTCCGGCCGTTCCAAGTTGGGGGCGATCTTCTTGATCATCCAGGCTTGATTTATCATCAACCCCAATCTATAGTTAAAGAGGCCCCAGCACATCTTGTACCTAGCAAAGGTGTACTCTGATCATCATCTTGAAACTGAGAGTCCTATATCCGACCGGCATTACCCTAGAATATACACAACCATGACAACAAAGGCAATCGTCTACGTTGAAAAGGGCAAGGCCGCCATCCAGGAAGTCCCCATCCCCAAGCTGCGCGACGGGTACATCCTCGTCAAAGTCAATGCTGTTGGCGTAAACCCCACGGATTGGAAAGGTGTTGATCTCGGGATGGGTGAAGTCGGTTCCAGGATTGGCTGCGACTATGCTGGCGTTGTCGAGGAGGTTGGACCGAAGGTTACCAAGGCGTTCAAGAAGGGCGACCGCATTACTGGGATGGTCCATGGATGGTAGATTGAATTACTCTTTCTTTTTTATCAAATACATGCTAATATAGGTTCCTAGTGACCGCACCCAAATTGAGAATGGAGCGTTCGCCAACTACATCGTTGTCAAAGGCGATGTTCAGATCAAGATACCAGACAACGTTAGCAACGAGGATGCCGCGACGCTGGGCGTGTCCATTTCTACAGTCGTAAGTGTACCTTGATACCTCTTGTCTGCAACCATCTCACTATCACACAGGGCCAAGGACTCTACAAAACCCTCCAACTCCCATTCCCAACAGAATCCACCAAGGAAAACGATGCGCGGTACATCCTCATCCACGGCGGTAGCACCGCAACAGGTATCTACGGCATCCAATTCGCCCGCCTGTCCGGCCTCAAGGTCATTGCAACCTCCTCCCCACACAACTTCGACTACCTCAAGTCCCTCGGCGCCGAGACAGTCTACGACTACAAGTCTCCAACAGCCGGAGCCGACATCCGCACGTACACCAACAACGCCCTGACGCTCGCCTGGGACTGCACGGGAAGCGGGGGGAGCATCATCGCAAACGCACTCAGCACCGACGGCGGCAAGTACGCGTCCATCATGCCCGTGAACAAGGACGAGGTCCTCGCCATTAACCCGAAGGTCGACGGGCCGTACATGACGCTTGCGTATTCGATCTTTGGAGAGCGGTTCAGGAGGTATGAGGAGGTTCCGCCCCAGCCGGATGAGTTTGAGTTTGCGCAGAAGGTCTGGGAGGTTGCGAGGCAGCTTCTGGAGCAAGGGAAGCTCAAGGCGCCCAAGACGTTTGTTAATCGGGGGGGCAATGGGTTTGAAGGGGTTCTTAAGGGGATGGATGAGCTTAGGGCGAATAAGGTCAGTGGCGGGAAGCTGGTTTATACTCTGTAGGTTGGATAAAAGGCCGTGTGGTACATACCAACCCTGCTTCGCACGTGCCCAGACCAAGCTTACACCTAGCTACAAGGCACGGGATATTGCCAATTTGGTGCCTATGACCAAGCTGTATGGGGGGGCAATTATTGAAACACGCCATTCAAACCATGTATTCAGCTTGGGTATATCTGCAATCCTCCCGATAGATGAATGAAATGTGCCTGTTTCGACATTGTATCTCTCACTGCCTATAATTGGTTGATATTTTAGCCGACGCTGAGGACGCTCTATCCTCTGAAAGCGAAGACTGCCTGTCCGTCCCAACATCGAAAATATTCATTTAGATGGCGAAAAAAAAAATGAAAGAAAAGGAAAAAATAAATGAAGCCCAACGCGGGGGTTGAACCCGCAACCTTGAGATTAAGAGTCTCACGCTCTGCCGATTGAGCTAGCCGGGCTTTGATTGACGATGGGGTTCATGGTTGTAGCAACATAACTGGCCATTAGGGAGCCAGGTAAAGTGGGTCGAAAACGATTCTCAGACACTCCAGACATACCACAGTTTGAACTAGGGGTTAGGCCACAACACTGATCAGAGATTATGGTACGTGTTGGCTATACCTGGATCACAGTATTAGGAGAGGCCGAGAGTCCTTTAAACGTCATTTCTGCTATGTGAAGGGGGCAGGAAAATTCTAATATCCGTAAACGCTCCCAATATATATATATTGCTTACCCATGCTCAGTGGTAGTCATTAAGCGAAACCTCTTGATTATTGTATATACCTATTATAGGACTTGGGCGGGTCATTAAGGCTATTTTGCTGCTAATTCCCTTTTTCCTTTTGCTGACTGGCAGGATCTTGACCTCATCCCTTGACGGCAAGATGGCTGCTTCTGCCAGAGTTGGGAAGGTGACAATTATCCGTACAGTGACGAAACATGATCTTGGGAAGCAGTCGTGGCATCACAGCGAGACTCTCACGGACAAATGAATGGTCTCTGTTCAGCGAGAACTGGTCGAGATCGACGTCATAGCTTAGATCATAATCATCATAGTATCGTGGCCCACGGCGATGGGATGTGGATAGGTATTCAGGACGCAAACTATTGCAGTGTCCTCCTTTGCGTCTATGTCGATGTCCAAGCCAGATCTCCTTTGGGTTCGAGACATGTTTGAATCTTGTTTGGTAGGCTTTGAACCAGTCGTTATACACCCAGACTGCTTCGACCTTTTCTCGCCACCTCTGCACCCTCTTGGGGAGTCCCTTGACAGACGCAAAGAAACACTCCGCTTCCAGGTCTTCGGGACAGGCGGATGCCCACAGCTGTCGGAATCGCGCGATCCGTTCCACATCAGCGACATCAACCAGCTGCACCGGTGCATCCCCCACCAACCCAAAGAGCCCAGACCGTCGCCCCGCCTCCGGGGATGCATGGATAATACACATGTCCATGCTAACCAGCCATTCATCGCTCGACCGATAATCGTCAAAGTGGTAAATCAGCCAGCTCGCCCCCTTCTGCCATGGCGTTTCCTCTGGCCGATTGTTCAGCGACGGATAGAATACGCAGAAATTGTCTGCGGTAACCCCCATGCCCTGGCACCGACCGCGGAACTGCATTACGTTGGGGATTGCTGACTTTCTATTCGCCGAGATCATATCGTCCCAGTCACGGAAGTGCACTCCTTCTGCGTTAGTTCCGTCCTTGCGTTTCCAGTGCTGGAAAATCACGTCGCGGTCCGGATTCAGCCACCCCGTCTTGTCGAACTCGAGGGTTGTCCAGCTCCCTCCAGATTCCAGAACCACGGCGCGGGACTCGCTGCAGACGTGCGCCAGGGCGGGGATCTTTAGGTTTGTTGATGTTGTGCGCTTGCGCTGACATACAGTGGCCCGGTTATGTGTGCGCCTTTCAAATTCGATAACGCGGCGAGGGAGGCATTCTTTCCAGATCATGCGGCGGATCTCGAGAGGGAACTGCATGAATGGGAAGGTTTGTTGTTCGGAACCGTCGGACATGGCTGTAATCTTGGAAAGATCAGAAGGTTGAAGTGAAGTAAATACTGCCCAGAGTGGGAAGAAGAAGGTACACATGAAGCTATATATCAAGGCCGAAGCGTCTTTTGATGAGCGTTGCGCTTGGCAGCCCTCAGCCACCACCAGACGGTCTGACCATCTCACCGAATCCAATCACAAGTGCCGAGTATATGTACTGATACTGTTGCCAAGGCTAGTTAAATCTCTTGCGATTTGTTCGAGCAGGGTGTTCCATGTGTTTGTTGTGCGGCACGTGGTCGGGGTCCTAGATAGTATTAGTATACTTTTGCACTTCCAGTGCACTAAGTAGTTCTCTATTGACCTGATAGGAAGAGGTCAAGCCCGAAGCCCGAAGGATGGCCAACATATGTCTATTTTGCCTCATCGTCTCCGGATCTCTTTACGGTTGGGGCTGTGCTTAGCCAGGAGTATATGCACAGAGTGTCACAGACGTATAGTGAGTCACAAGGGGCCATATACCGTTATCCCGCTAGCAACAGGGGCTAGAAAGTTATTTTTAAGCGCTTGCCCTACCAGGTTGTTGCAGCCGAGAATGCAAAATAAACAAGAATTCTACATGCTGGGCACGGGCTAAATCAAGATGGTGAGGTGTGCCTCCTGGCCTCGATTGCGCAGTTTAGTCGCGTAAGCATTTGTAGTTTGAAACAGATACAATATCAATCATTTGTCACTTATCCATGACATACCATTAAGAGTTCTTGCTAGCAGAGGTTTATTGTCCCAATAGATGGTTCAAGTGGATCTGCCGCCGTGCCGACTCGTTCTTCTTGGAGGTGGTGGAGATACCACCTCCAACCATCTCCAACAACACCTCCATGGAGAGGTGTTCAGCTGATAATCAATAGAAAACAGACAAATCGAGCCCATTGGACTAATAACAGCGATACTTTCCTTTAAATGTGAACCACGTCAAACATTGTTGTCGTCAACCAGTTTTCAGACCAGACGCTTGACATATCGCAAGTCTATCGCGGCTATACTTTTACCGGGCATCTTGGGCTCCTTGTTGCGAGACAGAGAGGTTCTTGTTAACTCAATGCATGCTCACTGGGTACGCGATAGCTTACTCGGACACACTGTTCGTTTATTCGATAAACCATCTTGGTTGACATACCCGGAAGAGAATTCGTATGGCGGAGAGGCAATTGACGAGAACCCCGTACCATTCCACGATGATACCGGTATTCGCGTGGACTGGTATTCCGCGGATGACAAGGAGAACCCTCATAACTGGCCTCAAGGGAGGAAAGCATTTGTGCTTGGGGTCATCGGAGCCTACAGCTTTGTGGTATACATGGCCGCCGCGATTTACACTCCTAGCGAAGGTGATTTTGCTGAAGAATTCGAGGTTGGCGAGGCTGAGGCTTCTCTGGGACTATCTCTTTACGTGTAAGTGGCAAGCTTTGTTTATTATTTTCTGCGATCTTTGTACTAACTGTCTCTCCAGCCTAGGCTATGGTGCCGGGCCCATGTTCTTCAGTCCCCTCAGTGAGATTCCTCGCATCGGCCGCAATCTTCCATACGTCATGTCCTTCGTCCTCTACTGCGCTGTGAGCATACCCACTGCTTTGGCCCCCTCGGCCATTAGCTTCCACTTCCTTCGCTTCCTCCAAGGATTCTTCGGCAGCCCTTGCCTGGCTACCGGTGGCGCCTCGATTGCGGACATGTACTCGTCGAGATGTTACCTCACGCAATGGCAACCTGGGTGTTGTGTGTCTTCTGCGCACCCCCTATCGGCGTGCTAGTGGCTGGATTTGCAATCCCAGTTCTTGGCTGGCGGTTCTCCATGTGGGAAATTCTGATCGCCTCCGCCCCAGTCCTCATTCTTCTCCTACTGCTCCCTGAGACGAGCTCTGCTACCATCCTACACCGGCGCGCCCGACGCCTTGCGAGGAGGGACAAAGCTGGAACACGCAAGTACTGGACGAAGGCTGATGTTCTACAAGGGGATACTTCTTTCTCTGTTGTTGTCCGTGAATCCCTGCTCATCCCCTCGAGAATAACACTCCTGGACCCGGCGATCTTGTTCTTGAACTGCTACACCTCCCTCACCTACGGCATCTTCTACTCCTTCTTCGAAGCGTTCCCAATCGTCTATCAAGACATATACGGGTTCAACTTGGGCGAAATGGGACTGGCGTTCCTGGCAATCGTGGTCGGATCAATCATCTCCTTCGCAATTTACAATCTATACTATATCCACCATCGCAGAAACGCACCGTCAACAGCCCAAAACCAAGACCAAGAAAACAGCACTCCCGCCTCAGACCACGAGAAAGTGCTAGTCCCAGCCCTATACGCTTGCATCGGCCCCCCGCTCGCCCTGCTCCTCTTCGGCTGGGCTTCGCGCCCCACCATCCACTGGATCGTGCCTACAATCGGAATCGCCATCTACCCGGCGTGCGTCTTCATCCTAATGCAGTGTGTGTTCCTCTACGTGCCCGCGTGCTATCCGCACTATGCGGCAAGCGTCTTTGCGGCTACGGACTTTACGCGCAGTGCGTTTGCCTGCGGCGCTGTTATGTTTTCGAGGCCGCTTTATGTGCATCTGGGGGTTGGGGTGGGTTGTAGTATTTTGGCGGGGTTGACAGTTGTTTGTGCGGTGGGGGTTCATTGGCTTTATCGGTTTGGGGAGGCGTTGAGGCGGAGGTCGAGGTTTGAGGAAAAAGTTTGATTACCCGCTATTTAGAACAGTGTATATGTATTTGTCTAGACTGATCCTGATACCACCGTCTGCGAGCTCATGAAATCTCGCTCCCACGTATCGGCGTACATATCAAGCGCATCGCCAATGACTCCGAGCAACGGCCATTGTTCGTTCCCTCTTATAAGGCGTGCCCACAGCTTGACAACCGCAAAGCCAAGATACGCACATTCAGACGGGTTTGAAGGTCTAGGCCAGAAATCGTCATCTCCTGATGCTCGTCCCTCTTCGACGATATCGCTGATCCAACTCACAAGCCGCGCTTCGTGTTCTAGTATTCATGTTAGGGAAAACGGGAACTTCTATGGAGTGATGTAGAAAAGGCACGTACCATCCAGAGATCTTCGCGTCTGACAGTCAGCGAGACAAGATAACCACTTGCTGAGGAAGATCGCAAATTCCAACCCACAAAGCGAGTGTTGCACACTCCACACGAAAGCATGGCTCCGGGCCACGAAATTCACGCCCAGCTTGACGGGTATACTAAGCGCATGCGTCGCATGCAGAGCCGCCGGAAGAAGGTGTGGACCCGGCGGGAGTTGCGGTATTCGCAGAAGCCGAGCCGCGATTTCCTCCTTGTTGCGGGTCCGAAGCAGCTTGTACGAGCCTAGGTTGAAACCCAGACGGATATATGCAACCCCCAGTAGCGCGGTCGATGTAAAAGGCACGGGGCCATTCGGGTTTCGAGGATCTAGGCTCGATTCCGGGGCTCGCTGCCAGAGAGAGGTCCATGCGTGCAGGGCGTTTCTGCGTTGTGGATTAGGGAGTAAAACTCGGTCAACGGGATGGTTGACTTACCGCATTATTTCCTTTTGTCCTTTCATCGAATCATTAGTCAAGTCATTGTACGGCCCGATAACATGATACGAAAGTAGAACCCTCTGGATGAGAGCATGAATGAGGATGTAGTTTGCCAAAGGAGAAGGTACAGCCGGTGTGTCTGCTGAACTGGCCTCTTGAGGGAATTTCATGACATGACAAAGGGCATCCTGGAACAGCATCTGTTCTCGATGGCCCGGCCTCCTAACAAGATTCCACTTGTGCTCATCTGGAGCGATCCATTCAAGACAACTACATGGAAGGCGAAGGTTGATTTCATCAGCGAGGATAGCTGGTGGCGTGCCAAATGCAACAAACTGCAGGTTGAGAAAGGCAAAGGAGAAAAGTTTAACTCTCCTGTCTGTCTCTTGTTGGATCCAAGAATGCCAGTCAGTCGTGACATTCGTGGGGTAGTCAGTCTCTTCCAGCCCACATTCTCTGGTGCATCTGGCCAAGAAGCTCTGCAGATTGAACGCCTCGCGGGCTATAGTTTCGTCGCATTGCCAGGCTGCGAATGCAATGAGTAGGAAAGCACAGCGCGCCTCATCCATGGTCTGCCGATATTGCAATGTGTGGTGACTGGGAGTGTAAACCTGTTGGTCCGCTGTGCGAGAGATATTATTAGGTGCCAACCAATCCCCATTCCTCGCCTTGTGCTGGAGTAGATCTCTGGCCGCATGGAACAGTATTGCCGCTTTCCGATTCTCGTGGCGGTACTGAGCACCGAGAGCACACATGGCCAAGAGAACTTCTGGCGCACCGTCGCTGATTCTGAATGTTGGCATATGAACCACTGGCATATGCGGATAGAATCCATCGAGAAATCCATTAATAAACCGTGTCAGTGAGTGGCAGGACGGTAGGCTGCTACTGGCTTTGGAGGAGTGGCATTGCATAAGCGCGTGTAAAAGTCGCTCTCGCTGTTGAGATGTAACAGTCAGGATTGGGAAAGTCAGAACTCCGAATTCCGCTGTGGCACTGGTCAGACTGCTCACATCATTCGAAGTATACCAAACCTACCGACGGCTTCTCTCTCAGTAGGGAGCTTGCTCAGCACCTGTTCCGATATTGGCGGATGCTCGACGGGTGGATGTATAATGGACGGCGGGGGCAGGGCGCTGGCGTTGGAGTGTGTATCGCCAGCAAATATTTGGACAATGCTAGGGTCAGACGGTAGATACCATTCATTATTAGGCCCCAGGTTGTTGCAGAACATTTCCAGGTCTTGAAGGACCAGGAGGTCCTGGGCGCTGAATAGCGAGTTTCCTGCAATACATTAAAAGGTGTTAAGACCATGTAGCCACAGATATCGCCCTAAATCCAACCCTCCATGCAAATTTACGATGAACTCACCTTCACAGTGTCCATCCCCAAGTGGGCCATTCCGACCGACTGGGGCAGTCGGGATATTCCGAGAGTCTATCGCCTCCGTCAAGGGCTCAGCTGCACCGATATACGAGGTATCCGCTCGCGACTCAACGTTGCTGATTTCAACGACGCCGGTGGGCGAGGGATCCGGCGTTGAAGGGATGATTGGGGCATGGCCGATGCTTTGATGACGCCTCAACAAATCCTGCCGGCTGAACGAAGCACCGCAATCACATTTGTACGGCTTTTCATTGGTATCTAGGATTCAATATATTCAGCCATCACGATACGTATTCCAGGTCTACTTAGAAATGGCTGCACTAACGGATGCGGAGGTGCCTTTGGAGATGCTCGTACCGCCGAAAAGGGCGTTTGCAGTAAGGGCATACGCGAGGCTTTCTTCTGTTCGTTGGGGTATCTTGTGATAGTTGCCCCAATTGCCCTTCCATTATAGAGCCCGCTCCAAGAATGTGAAAGGCGTAGGTTGAGTAAATGCGAGAATTGGTTGGAGGTTTCAGGGGACGGAGGTGAATGTTCTCCAGTGGTGGTTCCGTGGAGACCCAAATTTGCTCGGGTATTTCAACCTTCAGCCCTTTCCTATTTGGGATTAGCCCATACGGCGTTTGCACGATTTACTGCCTTTACTTGCACATCACTGCTGAAAATTAGAAGTCAAGATCTTGGTACTTGGTATATGCATGCACGCCAGCAAAGCTTCAATACAAGAGGAACACACTAATCCTACAATCACTCACTTGACCCATCTACAGCGATCACATATAGAGCCATCTGCCTTCTCATATTTTGCGTTTGGGCTATACCTAATGCCCCCAGACACATTACGACAACACTTGGCAAAGAAAATGACAAGTTCTATATTATGTTATCTGTGGCATCCAGTGCCCGCCTGGGTAAAATACCAGCTCCTGAGTACGACATGACCTGTTATGGAGGCGCGATGGTACATGAAATGGAGCTATGTTTTGAGATCAATCCATAAAGAATATCCAGTTTTCCGACTCCTTGCAAGGCGTCTCGCATGGTTTTGAGCTAAACCCGATTCCATATTAATCGATGCTATATCTCGGACAGGTTAGTGGCAGGACGTACCGCGCTATTTAGCTATCTGCATTTCTATGATTGAGACTTGAATGCCTCCACCTCAATCTCAATCCGCATCGCCGGGAAAGCAAGGCGAGGGACAGCAATAGCAGTCCAAACAGGGCGGTGTCCGGGGATACGCGTCTTGAGCTTTTCAACCACATAATCGTAAGAAGACCCCATATCGACATGGTACGAGCGGACAAGGTAGACATCTTCCCATCCTCTCAGACCCGCGGCCTATAGTACCCGATCGACATTCTCAAAGGCAAGGTCGACCTGACCGCGGACATTTTCGGCGTCGAGATCACCAGAGTTGGTCCAGCCACCCTGTCCGGCGCATTTAACGATGTTTCCAGGGAGGAGGACGGCCTGGGAGTAGTGGCACAGGTCGCTGTGCTTTTGGCCAGCACCGGGTTCGTTGATGTAGGTCAGCGAGGACATTCTGGCGAGAGAGCGTTAAAGTTCGGTTCAGAAGGAAAGAGAGAGATCGAGGAGGAAAAATAGGGAGGCTTAACAGCGTTTGAGCGAGTTTCACTGGGTCTGGAGTTTCGAGGCAAAAAATCGGCCTAAATACTCCTTTATTAGTGGAGGCACAAAGGCTTGACTCTTTGGAGCCGGCTTGGCAATTTGGAGATGGTCCACAGCAACAACACCTCCAAATCGCACACTTCCGAGAGCTCAAGTTTTCAAGAATACGCTCTGTTCGCGATCGCCTGAAAACCTCTGATGCTCTAACTAGCGACATTCTACTATCTCGAGTTGCGAGCTCGAGGGTGTTGCAAGGGGAAGATGAAGGAAGCCGTTACGGCATACATCATCAAGCATCTTGGGCAGTAGGTGGGCGACTTTCCAGGGTGCTGTATGTGTATAAAGATAGGGAAAGAATTCGAATTAAAGCGGTTTAATAAGGCTGCATGACTTGTGTTATGGCTGTATGAAACATGGGTGTGCAGCATTTTCTGTTACTGCCGAGCGCCAGGGGCCTGTTGACTCTGAACATGTGGACTCGGTCGTAGGAAAAGATGCAGATTTCCTCCGAAACCCGGACAGGTATCCCTCCAATACGATCTTACATCGCCCAAGACACGAATGATATACGGTGAAAATGTTTGTTGCTGACTGCAAATAAAGAAGAAAAAGTCTCTCCAGACGCCCAGTAAACCAGTTAGAGGAATTGAAGGCGTCTTCGGTGCACTGCATTGCGGCATGGCAAACTATATCTGAATCAGACGAGGGTCAAAAATTCATACCTTGAATGACGCGTGGTCGGGACGTGCTAGCCAGAAGCTCAGGAGACGGACGGTATCTCGTCGTCTCCGGCGTACATGAAGGGCAGGTTGCGCGGAGTGCGTCCGTGTCAGCATTCAACTCCCAGGCAAGCGTGGCCTAGGGACATTAGCACAATTAGCATAACCACCTTGACTTCGAAACACATCTGAGATAACAAAAACGGTGGCACGCACAGGATCATGTACCCCATGTTCCTCTGCCGCATGGGGCTGCCAAAAGTGGGCCTGGCGCTCTTCAAGGCTCGCGAGGTCCGCACCAGGTGCAGTAAATATGAGACCCCGGGACGTGCTGGTCTCGATGCGGATGCCTTCAACCGTCGTCTTTCTCGTGGGCTTATAAACGCCATTAAGCTTTTTCTCCTCGGTGCTATGCCGATAATAAACAACAAGCGATCGAACTGTTTCCCCGGTCAAAACATCATACGCGGTATGCTCCTGAAACCACTGTCCCAGTATAACAGTCGGGGTATTATCATGATACTCAAGCTTCATCCCGCAAATGGCCTTCTCAGAGCGGGATCGCCCGGGTATACCGATTGACGCTGTGATCATCTTCAATGCAGCCAGCGGGGCGTGCGTGTGGTATGTGTAATCGATTCTTCCACTAACAAACGACCTTATTCTACTCTTGAGCTGCGCTTCCTCCTCTAGTGGGATGGGTAGGGTCTGTAGAGGATGTTGTTCGGTGGTGTAGTGGCGGGCTCGCTCTGGTACAGTCGTTGGCTCTGGATGCCGATGCGAGCGAAGCCGGACGGGCTGTGTCCTTGCTGGAAATCTTGGTCAGTATCCATAGTGCTATACAAGAGAGGCAAAATAGTCTCACCGGCCTCGATGCCACAAATCCCGTTATGACCTCGCCATCGGGTATCTCGGGTAGGCTTATTGCACCAGACTCAAGACGGCTCTGAATCGTGCCGAAGAAAGCGCTGCGACGATGGTTCGTTGAGAGCTGCAGTCCAGCCATCCCAATCCTCGGAGAAACCAACAGATTCACGTGGCTGATACGCTCCCCGGCCGGCCCGTCAATCAGAAATGAAATCTCACAGGCTGCTCCCTTTGTAGTAGTCCCAAAGCGTCGCGTCGTCTGGTCCAGATACTGACACTCCACACCACTAAACGGCCTCGCCATACTCTCCATATAGAAGACCATTCTAGTCAGCTTACTCAGGAGATGGCCACCAGGGCCACCGAAGTCGATGTTGCATAAGGGTCCATTCAAAGGTCCGAAACCCTTATCGTACATGGCTGGCAGTATAGGGCCAAAGGTGGTGTCTTCATGGAGGGGAGGGTGTGGCGTCCACAGGTAGTTTTGGATGTCGAGCGCTTCAGGGGCTTCAAGGTGAGCGGGATGATCTTCTGGGGGAGGGCTGTTTGAGAACAAGTTAAATCCAAGCGAGACGATTTTGAATCTCTATGCAACGTTAGCAGATGTCAGGGGGTCGGCCTGTCTCCGAACCAACGCATACATCAAAGCCTAGCAGCAGACTGCAATGGGCCTGTCCTACTGGGACGTCCAGAATGCCGCGCGTAATACCCTCGCCGCTGTGCTGCCCGAACCAGGGTGAATTGGCGCTGTTCTTGAATATGAATCTAACACCCATGAGCCCCTCAGGTCGAAAGGCGACTTCGACTGCTTGAAGGGACGAATTTGATGGTATATGCATGGACGCCTCCATTGGCATAGGAAATCCGATTTGCTGTGCGTTCGTGTCGTCTTCCTCTGGGGTGAAGAGTTTGACGCCGGAAATGTACCGTCTCGTTCCAATCTGCACCAGGGTGACACCTAACCGACCCCCCTGCGAATGAAATGCCGAATTGAAAACAAGGACTCGATGGAAGAGGATCCGGAAATCCTCCCCTGCGCGTTCAGCGATCAGAGAACGAACGGGCTGCACGAACGGCGGAAGGTCGTGCAGAAGTGCCCCATCAAGTTGAAACTCCTTAGGCCGGTACGGAATATTCTGGGGATCTAATGGGCGAACTAATATACCATAAGGTTGATCCGGTAACATTGAGGCTACTTGAACGGTTGCCGCGATCGGTTCAATGACGTTGCGGATCCTGTGCCGGTTTGCCAGCGTTGGGCAGCCCTCGCGGAGAAGGAATTGGACGCCAAAGTACAATCTACGCCAGTCTCTGGCAACACGAAGGTCAGCGGCGAGAAAGTCGCCCGGATGACCCAGGGCAAATTGGCGTCGCCAGTATGATTGCGGGAGAGATTTAGTGGCCGAGAGTAACCTCTGGCTTGCAAGACGCACCGAGGAAAGCTGGTTGACGGAAAGATAGGAGAGTACCTCATGAAGCACTTCTGTAGAGAGCTTGTGAAATGGATCGCTGGTTTGTGCTGCTGTCCATTCTTCGTGGTCTTTGGTCAACCACGTTAGTGTTGATGGGACAGCACGTTCAATTTCTTCCAGCGAGCGAATCTCAAATGGATCAGCTCGCTCCGCCGCTTCGCGCGTTTCAAATGTCTGGCCGTAGTCAAGGCCTAGGTCGGGCTGCTGCCAAGTTCGATTTGCTTCATGAAGCTGATGGAAGACCAATGCGATAATATCCCCCTCGGCGACGGATCCCTTGAGCTGGTTTAACAGAATCCTCCAGCACGCATCATGAAAGGCTATAACCACCGGCCCTGGATGGTACGGGAGTTCATTGAGGTACAGTCTTTCCAATGGCGGATCGTCCCGGTAAGATTGACTCTTCTTAAGGGGCACCTTGACACACAAGTGGACGGTGGCGACGCCGACACCCGCCAGGAAAATATTTCCGCGCTCGACATCCTGCGCGACGAGCGCTCGCACCTCGGTGGACCATGGGCGGCGATCGGTGGGCCATGGCGCGGGTGGGGCGTTGAAGGGGGCCCTGGGGGGGATGTGATCACCAGAGAGAGCGTCGGGGTAGAGGGGGACGCCGCATAACGGGCAGGAGTGTGTTGGAGACAAGGGATCCCGTCCGTGGCCTGTGCGTTTCATCGTTTAGGATCAGAAGATACAGACGGAGGGCTGCGAGATAAATCGGTCACATGGAGTCGCGTCTAGAGGAGGGGGCCTGGACTGTATTTTTAAGACTGCGCGAGTCGTCTGAGGGGCCTCGCTGGCTGAGTCAAGGGCAATATAAGCCACCTACAATCAGTTTAGCATTGTTGTTCAAAAGGGCTAGCGAGGCTTGGAAGAGGCTTGGAAGACTTGGCTCATGAAAGAACCCCCTCTGGCCCACCCCGGTGTTTTTCACTCTATCTCGGTTCAATGTTGTGATAAAATGAGATCTCCTGGGCCGCCATGTCTCACTATCTAATAAGGCGTTCTTCATACGCCAGAGGACATGTAATGGTATACAAGAAGGCCTTGGAGCCAAACTACACTGTGACCGGAATTCACTGGGCCACGGGAAGGTAAGATACTGCATCAAAACATTGGCCTGGTGGCAGAGTACTCAAAGAGCAGCAGCCGAGTTGGTTTCGGTGTTTCTGTTCTATGCACCAATGAGGTATTTCAGGGTTGGCGCCCCCTCTCCCTTAGGAAGCTCAGGATACTTGTACAGATATTTGACAGCCCTGTTCATCGACTCCAGATCCACTGCCCGGTTGATATTCTCCAAGTCCCCGGCCTGCAACTCACAAGTAACCCGGGCATGCTGATACTTTTCCTTTACAGCATTCATCGCCGCTTCCGCTGTGGCTTTCGCGGCCTCCTGCACAGGCCCTTGCCTCTCATGCTGAGCCCCAGGCCATGGCCGTTCATAAAGCCGTAGCCTCTTCGCGTCACCCATCGCATCCGCACCATTGAACCCCAGGCCCGACGAGGCCGGACCAAACTGATCTATCCAAGCCATTAAGTCCCTCTCTGCAAGCATCTGTCCCCGAACAGGCGCATTCTTCATGGCGACATTCATCGCGATCAAGCGACAGACCGGATGCATGCCCTCCCAGAGTCCCGCACTTCCATAAGCACCAGCCGTCTCAATCTCAAAACTCTCCCAGAGGAGCTTGTGCTCACGGAGTGTGTTCTGAGCGTTGCGGGGGAAAAACAGCTGGGTGACATGAAGCACGACGTCGAAATGCTTCAGGCCGCGCTGCTGGACAGCTTTCATTGGGTTGATAAATTCTGCGTCTTGCAGGAGGTGGTCCCTGCTCATGACGAAGGCATACGTCGAGGTGACGAGGAGGGACTGGAGACTTGGGAGGCCCGAAATGGCTTGCCAGGCGCCGATGTATTGCGATTTGACGATTGGATACACCCTTGAGGTCAAGGGCTGTTTTGGCGGCACGAGCGTCGTTATCAGACGCAGGGAGCGAAGGGCGTTCAGATAGCACATGGGTGTCTTACGGTAGAAGGTCCAGAAGGTGTGCGCGTGGCTGCCGTCCATGCTGAATGTGTGCTGCGCGTAGAGTAGCTGGATGCTTTCGAGGTACTGTAGTCCGCTGCGTGTTAGTATTGTTTCGTTGGGGATGTTCCGAATGGACCCGACATAACGTACTGCGCGTCGACACGTGAGAGGGAATCCGAGCAAATTTCCCGCGCTAATGGGATGCTTCGAGCAAGCAGTGTGGACATAGTTCCAGCGAGCGTCCCAATGTTCAATGCACCTGGACATGAAACCTGTCAACGGGTATACGGGCATGGCCGGTATAGGCAGCATAGCTAGTGTAGAGGCGATGAGATAGACCAACCACGTATGACAGACCCTCTCTATCCTTTCTGTATCCTCTGCACAGATCGTCGACAGGTGAATGACATTACGTGAGAAGACGGCCTTATAAATCACGGCGCGGAGCTCGTATGGGAGAGACAAGAGCCGGGACTGTGGCTGGGCGTGAATAGGGCAGGATTCCGATTGGAGTTGTGTCAGAATGTACATTTCTGATGCTACCTTATGCCTAAAAGGGTCAAGGAGTAGGTTCAGGCGAGGAGAGGGAGGGTAAAGGAAGGTGAAGCTCACCAAGGCGCCGTGCGGGGTCCCCTCAGGCCAAGCCGTCGATACGAGCCCCTCGATCTCAGTGCCCGAGAATTTGGAGCCTGCACCTGCCGCTCTGACAAAGTCCTGGCAAGACTCTCCCCCACCGCAGATCTTGGCCGAAAATGTCGATGAACCTAGGACTCTCTTGTTAAAGAGTCTCTGGACCAATGCGTACGAACAGCTTGTTGATGAAGCACCGGACCCTGTCAGGGCCCTCGAGGCCGATTTGCTCCAGCACAGAGCCAGAACCAGCAGCCTGCACAGAAGCCCAATCTCACCACCGAGCAGCGCCTCCAGACGCTTGTCCAGCAGCAGCTTGTCGAAGCCGAAGCCTCCCGTGCGGGATTCACGGTCGGCGGCAAGCCGGTGATGGTCCGAGAACAGGCCGGCAATCGTCTCGGTCAAGGATTTCATCTCCGCAGCAGTCAGTGCAGAGCCACATGCTCCGCTTGCTTGAGTCGGTGTTTTGGTGTTTTATAATGTTGGTTCTCTTCGAGTTGCTCGTTTGTCCGACGCAGCCAGACTGACTTGTTCTTGTAGCCTCTCACCAACACTATCACTCAACATGAAGAAGCAATCACAGCGCTGGGCTTGATCTCAAGCCCTTTGATTCGCTACACACTGACAGAAGCGACACATGCCAATGCTTACAACAGCGACTTTCATCCTAGGTAAACTATCACGCCCGCCTGCCGAAGATTGTTGGTCAGCATGAGGAGTGGAATCGTCGCCTTCTTCAGCTCCTTAAATGTCACTCGGAAGCTCCTGTGCCGTGGACAATCTTATCACAGAACCGCCGCCTGATAGTCATGTTGGCCGAGTCCGGCGATACAAGGTGGCTTGTCTTCGTCAATATGACCACCAAGAGCATTTTGAGGAAGAGCACCAGATATGACTTCCGGAAGAGGGGATGGCATTGGCCACGGAGTCTTTCTGTGGCATGTGGTGCCCGGGAAATTCCTTCATGGGCTCCGGCGCCACACACCCCGCATAAAGGCCCTGGTTTTCCCTCCAAACAGCGACATCCTGGTGGCTCTGGCAACTGACGAGACAATCCGAGTGTGGGATACATCATCGGGCAAGCTGCGAAAGACCATCAAATGCCACAATGTGGGAATCACCGCTGTAGCCTTCTCTGCAGATGGGCTGATGCTTGCCACGGCTGGTAGCGACCGGGTAGTGGGCGTTTGGAGGACCACCAAGGGAAAGATTATTAGGGAAATTGATCCACCTGATGGTATGCTCTGGCGGTAGAAACACCTCGCATTCTCTCCAAGCGGCAGGCCAGCTTCTCGCCCCAGCAAACAAAATCATCAGGGACACCAGATATAACGTAATTCCCGGTCGATCCGATCGATCCGATCACCCAATGCACTATACAAAATGCCTTTTTTTTAAACCTGAATATCTCAACTACTTCGAGTTTACTTGTTTTTAAACTAAGTAACCAAGCTTTCAACCTCCATTAGAACCTTTAAGGCACCCGTATAAGTACGAATAGCCCTAAATACTATAGATAAATCAAAATAAAATCAAATACAGTGTAATTTATTTTTCCAAAAGATTTACTTAGTTTTAGGAGCTATTATCTTGTTATATACTAATAATATATACAATATATATGGTTACCACGTAATAATAATATAAGCTTAAGATACTTGACCTATTCAAGTTTAAAAACTAGCATTTTGTATAGTGTATCGAATCGGTCGGGTCGATCGGATGTACCGGGTTGAGCGGACTGGCCAGGAATTACGTTATGGTTCATCGAGGTCATCGACAGCCAAGTGTGTTGTCGGCGGGACTAGCCTCAAATACCTTCTTCCAGACCCGGCCAATCCTCGGACTACCGCAAGGGGGCTCTTTATTGATTCAGGCTGGATTGTTGAAGGGGCGGAGGAGGTCCTAAGGCTCCTAGTCCAGTATAGGCCCGCTGGTGTGGCTGCAAAGGATGGACTGTTGGTCGCAGCGACTTTTTACGGGCGCTTGTTGATGTTCAAATTTGACTAGAGGGAAAGTCTCTGCGTTGTTTTGCTAGATTCTTCTTAATATAGTGATGTTGCACAAAATATATATAGATGGGATAGCCTACACCGTCTCCTTGTAATAACTATATCCTCTTTTACAGGCCAAGTGCATTCAAGACTATAACTAAAGCGCATTCACCCTGCCACGAGAAATGCTAAGAGCAGAATAAATTCAAAGATGTGCGCCCCAACGAGATTACTATACTGAATGTCGTGGATTCCCAGTAACAATAAAAATAAACAGACATGTCAACCCGGCTTGCAGATATCCTCCTCTTCCATTCTACGTCCATGAGATCACACCAACCCAGTCAAAAAATGCCATACAAGTTGAAGACTTTGTGTAACCTCTCACTCAAAAACATCTATTCAATCCTCAACCCACTCACACCCCGACTCGCCAATCCGCATCTCCTTGGCCTCATCAATTGCAGTCGCATGCGCGCTCCCGCCCCCGGGGCCCAGCGCATGGGAGTTATCGCAGACCTCGCCGCCGACGGGATCCGTTCCCCCAGACAACGTTGATGGCGGCGACGTTGTTGAGTCCTGGACCGAATTGATCTCGATACTTCACACCTGCAGTAGCCCCAGCCCGCCAAACATCACCACCGCCGCCCCTCCCCACAATCCCCAAACCCCATTATCCCATCCCTTTGGCCCCTGAATCGTAACCAAAGTATCAACCACACAAACAGCAGTCCATGCCGTCAGCAGACCGCCCAACTCCTTGTCCTTTCCTTGATGAGAAAACCAAAACATGGCCGCAGCCACAGCCAAGTCACGTATACCGAGGAATATCATTGCTTTGTTGGCGATCTCGCGACCTTCGGGGGTGGTTGGTATGACCCCGAGAGCCTCGGCAGCGGTGGATGGTTTGACGAAGCACAGTGCTCCCAGGGAGAAGACGGTCGTTGTCAGCCCGAGGCCGATCAGGCGCCATGTTGAACGGGCGAAGAGGCGGTTGGGAAAAGCCATGGCGGGAGCGGCTGAGAGAACTTGATTTTCTGGGTTCGATAATCAATTTAGATAGAGTGCAATTGAGGTGGGTTACATATAGAGACAGGAATCTGCGGCCTCCATATAAGCTGACCTCCAATCGTGGACGAATGTATTATCAGGACGTTGCTCAGTGTCGTGTGTGGAGACTGGAGATCTTTCAACTTGTACTCCGGAGTAAGAGGCTGAGACGATCCCAAACAAGGTGCTGATAAATGATGAGAAATCAACATGATCTGCAACTGCAAACATGCCCAGAGTTGATGAAACGTGGGGCAAGCTCCTACGGAGGACGGCGTGGTTCACAGTAGTACGACAACGTGTGTGACGACAACCAGAAGTACATCGATGTAAGGTCTGGGTCGTAAAGGTGGAGAACTGGCACCGGTGTGGAACCATGGAAATGATTGCAGAGCATCTAAAGTGGAACCAGGAATATCCACCTTTTTAGATCACTCATCAGTAATTCCTCATTAATCAGCCGGCTGGGTTGGTTGTCAATCATCCTCGAGTCCAAAAACATAGGAAATTGAAGATACTCTGGATGAATCGGGAGATGAACGACGGTGTAGTAGGAATTGCTCCCGGGTATCCGGATCAACAATGTCATTCTATCCTGCTTTTACGAGTGGTATCGGTGTGAGGTGGAAGGTTCCCCAACCGTGGTTCGGCAGCAATGGCACATATATATAGACCGACTCTCCCATGAACAAACGATTCTGTCACTCATCTACTCAACAACAATCTTGAGCAACAGTCTATCCAAATGTCGAACAAGAAATTGATTGTTATCCTCGGCGCAACGGGAAACCAGGGCGGCTCAGTTGCCGAGGTTTTCCTCCAAGAGCCGGAATGGCGTGTCCGGGCCGTGACCAGGAACCCTGCCAGCGCAAAAGCCCAAGCACTGGCTGCCCGCGGCGCGGAGGTTGTCCAAGCAGACTTGGACGAGCCATCAACTCTCTCGGCGGCCTTTAAGGATGCGAATGCCATTTTTGCCGTCAGCGATTTTTGGGGGCTTTACGGTGACCCTGCAAGCGCAGCCAAGGCGAAGGACCAACCGCTTAATGTCTGGGCTGCTAACCATGAGACGGAGCAATTAAAGGGCGTTATTGATGCTGCCGCCAAGGTGCCTACCCTGGAGCGCTTCGTGTTATCGTCTCTTTCCAACGCGGCCAAGTGGTCCAAGGGAAAATACACGCACGTCTACCATTTCGACTCGAAGGCCAAGGCCGAAGAGTACGGGAGAGAAACGTACCCCGAGCTGTTCAAGAAGACTAGTGTCTTCCAGGCGGGGTTCTTCCTGAGCAATTTCCTGTCAAACCCGATCATGCAACCTCAGGTGGTAAGTCTTGTTCCCAATTGACCTGGTGCGATGGATGAGGGCTGACCTTCCCTGCAGACCGCAGATGGTGTAGCCCAGTTTGTGGCCCCTCTCGACCCAGACATTAAGCTGCCTTTCATCGCCGCTGAGGAAGACACTGGACCGATTGTGAAAGCGCTCGTGGAAGAAGCTCCCGGAAAGAACGTTATTGGTTATAGGGAGTGGAGCACCCTCCGCGAGGTCGCCGAGGCGTTTACGCAGGCCACTGGGGTCAAAGCCGAATGTATCATGTTGAAAAAAGGAGAATCGAACGTTCCACTGCCACCGGATCTCGCTCAGGAATTGGAAGACAACTGGGCTTATTGCAACGAGTTCGGCTACGAGGGCCGGGATGACCCCACGATCATCCACCCCAAAGACGTGAGTCCGTTCCCGGTATTTAACTGTTTCAACTGCTAATTTTTCTAGTTGAACTCGCCTCCAAAGTTGGATAGCATTGTAAACTACTTCAAGAAGCAGGATTGGTCCAAGGTCCTGGAACAGAAAAAATAGGTACTTCTCCAAAGCGTATGCACGAGGAGACCGTTGACTATATGCGGAGTTAGCTAAAATATATTAAATGTGAGCCTTGTACTTAGAACATGACGTTTAAACTCATTAGCTTGTCGACTTAGACGTTGGGAACCCAGGAACCCATGCATGTCAGTGTGGATAGCTTGTGCTATTCCGCCAACTTGATTAATCTCATATTTGAACAGGCAGTTCTCTACAGTCAAAGCAAGCTGCTCTGATGAACCATAGGAAGCCACTTGGAAGCATGGATTCGACGCATAATCTTAGGCAAAGAGCGAATGGCCACTAAGAACCCACGTACTCTTCTTTAACAATAAACATCATTGCTATTGACATCCATACAGATACGGCGTTAGTTAACTTCAATCAGTTTTCTTGTATTTATCTCTTCTGCTCTACAACCCTGGAAGCCCGCTACAGTATCCGAACCCAGACTTAACAATAAGCAACAGCTCTCACCAACGCACCTGATAGCCCAGTAATCATTCCTCATAACCCACACTAGTTTCAGCATTGGGTCAATTGATAGGATCTAAACCCGATCATGCCGTTCACATCACGAGCCAACTACCAGGAAGACGTAGCTGATGGACGCTGAAATGAGCATTGACCAACTGCTGGGCCATGTTCCTCTTTTCCCCCACGATGGGGCTGCGGCTGCCGTGGGGAGTCTCCCATCTGGCCCGCTCGGCGAGCATGGTCTCCGCGTGCTCTCCCTCTGTAATGTCCGGCTGAACGCTGCGGATCACCAGCTCCAAGGTGCACTCGGTCGCGATGAATCTCGTCTCGTTGTTCACAGTGTCTACGATATCCCAGGTAGCCCCTGGACTCTTGTTGGATCCCACCCCGAGGACGTACTGCACGACGGGGAAAATGCCGCTGGTATGCTCGAGTGCGTTGGTGGCTGTTGTCGTCAAGACGTCCATCACTCGAGCGATGGATCCACCCTCACGAGAGCATGCTGTGGGGCCATTATCGCCGAGACTGGCGCTGCAGTTTCGAATATCCTTGTACTGGGTATCTAGAACGCAGGTATCTACAACTGACGTCCTGTTCAGCTTCGCGGTGACATCGGAGCAGTTGGGGCGAATCGCGAGCGTGGCGATCGGATTCCAGGTGCAGTTACCAGTCGCGCATGTGTAGGCCGGACCTTTCCTGTTCTAATCGCGCGTGTACTAGTGCCAAGTTTGTGTGCAGCCGCAGCTAAACCGCTTCTAGGAAGGCCTCGACGGCTTCTGTCTTGTCGGGAGCCTGCGTGCAACGGTGCCATCAAAGGAAGCCTCCATCTCATCAAATCCTGTGGGACAGAAGAGATCTGACGTGTATATAAGCTTCCCAATTCCTTCCGTGCTCGAAGAATTGTAAAAGAGGTCGCTCTGGCCTCGCCATGCTGCATCACTGCACTGAGCTGGCTTGGGCCGAGCCGCGATTTTCCCCACGGCCGTCTCCTCAGCCATGGCACGGAGTGCCATAGTGCTGGCCTCCCTCTTCTGTTTCCTTTTCGTTCAGCCGCATATTCGATTCGTACCTCCAATGCCTATGATTGCCGATATGGACCAGAGCTCTTGTTGGGTGGATCTGCACTCCGAGTGCTTTCGATTCTCGGCTTCGCTCTTCGCACTCTGGCCCCCAACAAATTACTGTCGACACCTGACTCGAGCTGAAGATGGCTCCACCAACGTGCCATCGAATGACCGCGCGAGGTTTTGGGGCCATATTCACCAGCACGGAATTCGAATTCGGCGAGCGATGCACTGGGCGGGGGAAGGGTCCGCAAAAGCTCCCCTGTACAAATACTGGACATCAGCTGTAGCAGCGAGCTGCAACACCACGACAAACCCTTCGCAGCGAGGACACTCCAATGAGCAATCAGCGTGCTTCCCCTCCCACTCACGCAGATTTGCTGTTCGTTCATTACGACCAGGATGACCCGCAGAATCGCTCGGTCAGTCGGACGAAGGCCAGCTTCGCGCAGAAGGCTCACCAGCGCAAGAAACGGCTCGCAGGGATGGAGAGGCTCAAGACTTCGTCGCTTGCCCTGCGTCAACGACTACCATTCGCATACGATGCTGCATCGGGTTTCTCCAGAAGAAGGCGGGGCGAAAAGAGCAAGCATGATGGTGCAACACCAGGACATGCTCCGGCAGTGGCGACTGAGCGTCTGAACGACATCTGGGGGCCCCAATCCCAGCTCGGCCAGGGCTTTATAGACCCGTTCTCAACGACTTCAGTTCCAATGAGCAATTTTATGAACTTATGCTGGCATCACTGTACGTAGACCTTTGGGTCTGTCTATTCAGACGTCATGGGAAGTCATCTAATACAGGATAGACCGGCATTTCATCCTTCCTCTCGCTTATCCGCTCAATAGCTCACCCATGGGCGCCTGGTGGTGGCAGCAGGGGCTTTCTGAGCCCGTCATTCACCTAACTCTACTTGTCTCAGCGGCAGGCCACAAGGTCGCAATGGACACAATTAACAATGCGCCCTCGCACGAGCTGCAGCAGTCAATCGGGCAGTTTCTGGGCGTGCAAAGAGACACAATAAAAAGGCTGAATCACCTTCTTCACGATCCGGATGTTGTGGCCGAGTCGACAACCCTTACTGTTGCGGCGCTACGCGCAATAGAGGTGTGTATTATCGCTCCGTCGTGGCTCTGTACCTATGTTCTGCCCTCACAGATCATTTTCAGGCGATAAGCTGCAACTTCGACGGTGTCGCTGTACACACAAAAGGCCTAAACGCATTGGTCCAGATACATGGTGGCCTCGAGCACCTGGATCACCAGACACTTTTCCAAATCTACCAGTACGCGCTGTCTTCCACTTTTTCCTTTTAAAAAAAGTACGTGCCTGAATAGATTGGCATCAGCTCCGATATCATGTACGCCGCTTTGACAGATACAATCCCGGCTCGCCCTTTAATAGCCAGATGGCGGAGCGAGATTCTGCAGGAAACGATGGTCTTCCACTCGAGTAGCGACTTGGTATCGCACCTAGATAAAGAAACTACGGCGCGTTTATCCATGCTCGGTACTTCTGTTTTCGAGGCTCCCTGGTATAGCGGCCTAGCCGATACCATGAGGACTCTTCTGCGCGCATCCCAACGTCTAATTCAATACTACGAGGCAGCTCGCTTACAGACCTCGACCGCCCTGCTGACAGATAATAGCCTGTTCTTGGTCCTCGGACACCAGCTGCTTTCCTCTCGGTATACGGCAGCAGCAGATATGGTGTGGGAGCCGCGCACGGTGTCATGTCTTCTCAATGAGCCCCTCCGCATCACCCTCTTCATCTACCTGAACATGCGCATCTGGAATTTCCAGGAGTATCCCATAATGCAACGCCTGGTCAACTCTTTACGAGACGTTCTGCTCTGCCCCTGCCCCCCAAGTACTAGAGGATCTGCAGACCCAGCCCACGGTCCAGCCTCAGCTCCAACCCTAACCCTAAGCCATATTAACAACTCCGCGCCAGACGTTCTCCTCTGGATCCTCTTTATTGGCGCGATGGCAGCGCAGGGTCACAATTCAGATACGCATGCATGGTTCGTACACCAGCTAGCTGATCTCGCGGCGTTTCTGGAATTGCGTGAGTGGGAAATGGCGCGCGAGGCTCTTGGTGGATTCTTTTATACCGACCAGCCAGGGCAGCTGCGGGGTGAGGAGCTGTGGAAGCAAGTTGTTTCGACTAGGATTTATGGACATCGAACACATGAGGAGACGTTTGTTCTAGTCTGAAGAAGGGGGCAGCGGTGAATGCGTAATTAGGTCGATTGTCAGTGTTACAGCGAGTCAACTGGTGTCGAAGCATCCAAGGACAGACAGAGACTGGATCGTATCCCTTTCCATATATTTATTTAACTCGAGTGTATATGCAAAGAGCACTCACTCATGTTAGTATGAACGCCATGGATACTTAAATAGAGATTCTTATCCATAATCTTCCCGTTTAAGATCGCAAAGCAGATGTAATTCCCTGGGTTGCGACGAGGCGTCCCCCTGTCGCGCCATAAAAGGAGAGGGAAATCCTGACCCACCCCATCCAAATCCACATGGAAAAGCCCTATGTGGCTGCGGAATGGGCCAGTGAGGTTGGAGATCGAATGCACAATCTGTCTTTTATAGCTTTGCTGATATTGAGCGGAGTTATCCAACGATCTGGTAGCTCTCTCCAATGGAGACTACGCTGTGTAGCCTGCAGGGAAAGGCTGCCTTCAAGTAAATTAGGGGGATGTCGCGTCTACAAGCCATTGCAATTGTTCTATTGGACAATCAGAGCTACCTACAAGAAATGGCTTGCTCATCGCGCTTCGACCTGACAAAGCGACTTGGCTGGAACATAACGTCTTCGCTTGCCGTTTCAACCCTGAGCTTGGTCTGTATCGTAGGTTTAATTCGTTATACCCGTCTTCCTTTATTTCCTTGGCGACACCTGATAGTCCCCATCCCGAAAACCAGCTTCAGGCCGAAAGCACTACAATGCTCCACATAATAAAAGCCATCTGCAAATCGCGGTGGGCGGTTGACCTTGTCAAAGGCCATGGCGCAGACGCGGTCTTCACCTTCCCTTCAAGCCTCAACGCGACGCAACTCGGCGGCGCCTGGCACATGTAGGTGAATAGTGTTGTGGAGAGTGAACACCCGTATGCCGCGAGGTGAGTGCAGCTCAATTGTCGTGGCGTAGGTAGCTGCGTAAACGAAATCAATCTCTGAAGTGGCCGCCTTAGTACTCTCCGGGAGCTGATGATGTTCTGGGTCCTTGATGAAATCACGGACAAGAAAGATTGGGAGACGAAAATGTTCAATGACGAGATCGTTTCCAACTGGAAGGAAGATTGCTGGCGCCTATTTGTCGCTTACTGGGCGCAACAAGAGGGGCTCGGTGAGCTCACCGACCGCTCCTGGCAGTGGGTGATGCATGAGTTACGATACAGGGCAAAGCAACGTGGCGAGCATGGAAAACATGCACCAATCCCGGTCTTCGAAACTGACGTAGTCGAGTCGGATTATGCCGTTCCTGTGTCGTTGAAGGAAGCTCTGAGGGCAGCTGTTTCCGTGCTGGAGAATGTCCCCGAGGCAGGAAAGGATTATCATCCTTGGGCAAACGAGCAGGTCCTTGATCTTATTCATCCTTCTCTTTTCCTGCTTGTCTTTCGGCTATCGCGCGTAATGGTAGACGTACAACTCTCGGTCTCTCAGGGCATAACTTTAGCAGGGAAAGGGGAGGTCATTAACCACGTGAGGGACAATTAGAGGATGCATTGCGGTCTAGGATCTTCACAGCCGCTGCAAAGGATATTTACAGCGATCGATTCCAGTGGCTGCCATGCGATGTGGCGCTGAGTTTCCATAGCGCAGACTCTGAGGGTATTCAGTGCGATATAAAGCTACATCAACAACCTTCACCCTGCGGATCACAGTGATCTCTACGAGACAATCGAGAAGATTATGGCCCACGCAATTCCTCTGTGGAACATCACCCTAGGCTAACTCGGGAAACGGATGCTATACCCGCAGGAATTCTATCGCCGGATCAAGTACGAAAAGGTGGAATGGGAGGCCCCTACTGGAGAACAAGCAGGGGTAAAATATGAAAGACCGGTCGATGGCTCTCGATTGGTCTTCCCTGACGCGGAACAGTTGCACCGCCGCCAGAGCCGAAAACCAGCGTCGATCTCTGTCGGGATTATGGAAACATACAGGTTATTCTCAAGCTGGCCAATATTCAGCTTACGCCCGAGAAGCCCTCATACCCCGGTGGCTCATGGCAGGTTGAATGCCAGATGGTTAGCAATCAACCCAGTCATAACTATAGATTCCCTTGCTCTCCCCTAAGCCGTTACTAGAACGAACACATCTGCAGCACAGCGCTATACTACTACGACAGCCAAAACATAACCGAGAGCCGCCTCTGCTTCCGGCAAGTCTGTTTCCTTACTGGAAACCAGGTCAGAAACCCACAGGACGAACACGACTGGATGGGACACGTATTCGGACAGGGAAACGGCGACTCGCAAGTGCAGACCATTGGTAGTGTGGAATGCAGGGAAGGCCGCCTGATCACATTCCCGAATACGCTGCAGCACCACGTGGAACCATTTGAGCTGAAGCATCCAACGAATCCGGGCCATCGGAAGATTCTTGCTCTTTTTCTTGTAGATCCGAATGTACGGATTCCGCCGACTGCGAATGTGCCGGCTCAGAGGCGTCACTGGTTTGAGAGGCAGGTGCCGCCGCTGGGAGAACTGCTGTCGGCGCTGCCTACGGAGTTGCAGTCGAGGTGGAGAAACATGCTGATAAGCAGTTCCCACTTTCGATGGAGAAAGCGAGAGAGTTGCGGCTTGAGCTTATGCAGGAACGGAGTCACTTTGCCGTACGACACACCGATGGCATTGAGAGGGCTCAGTTTGATCTCTGCGAGCATTAATTATGATTGCACTAAGAGATTAGGCTAGAACAGGCCTCGCAGCCCAAAAAGATCCTACAGTGGTAGGAGAATTGTCTATAATAAAGGAAGATACAATGCCCGTTTTAGACAAAACACGGCCATTTTTGGGCCAAAAGGCTGTTCCCATTTCGCCGTTTGGCCATGATCATGGACATCATGGCATGAGTTCTTGAGTTTAACTAGATATCCAGTAATGTAATGTTGACTATATACTGCATACAAGGCTTAGACAGAGCCACTGATCAAGGCTGATCCACCACCGAGTTGCACTTTGAAGAGATTCAATCGTCTCGATCCAGTAGCTGGTACTGCGACAGTGGTGGAATGACTGCGAAACTTGCGAAATCCATATTCCCCAGTCTGGTGAGCTCAATCTTTCGCATCAGGATCTTCAACCAGGGCCGTTTGAGGTTGCCTGCAAATGCCCTTTTCTCACTGGGCTTCTTTGTCTCCCCTTGATCGACATTGATTCCTTTTTGACTAAGCTCCCGTGCAATGATCCACATAAAACAGACAAATATATGCTGCGCAAACAGTTCACCTGGAGTTTGGGTTGATACTTTGGTTAGAGCGGCATCTCGACCACCAACAACTTCACTGGGCTCTGAAATCCTCTTGGTGTCGAACGTGACCGTCTCACCCTCATTTTCCCTACGAGCTGTCTCCAAGAAGTCTTCTTCCATCCCAGGAATCATGTCTCTGTCCACTGATATTCTGAGGTCCTGCGATTGGTCCATCGGTGGCACTTGGTAAAGACCAAGGTCATTGATAAGCCCAAAATGTCGCAGGTCCTGTGCAACCCGTGGGTCACTGGGACCCACAAACAATAGACCTCTTTTTGGGCACGCAATGTGTTGTGGGTTGACGATACTGGAGGGAAGTAAGGATATAAGAGCCTCCAGGACCTTTTCATCAGCATGCAGTTCTTTTTCGGTCCCCTGGATAGTGAGTTCGACTTCCTCAGGAATTCCATCGTCCACGCGAAGTCCAATAGTCCATGGCCAACATTAGACGTCCTTCCATATATTGAATTGAGATGTCGCCTGGATGACAATGTCAATGGCTGAAGCAAGGGATGATGCTAGGAGTCTGGGATGGCCGCCTTCCTCGGTCATATTGGCTAGAAACCGGCGTGTCTGCAGCAGGTTCTGCGCACACCTGCATTCGCCAAAACGAGAGTCTTGGTTGTCAATCTCAAGAGCTTCCAGCTTCCAATGAACATCGGGATCGTCCGATGGTGGCGCCGACCATAGATTCTCTGGGCTGAGAACAAACATTTTCGCAATCCAGTCTTCACAGCAGCCGGTCTGTATCTTCTTGGCGCGATCTGGAGAGTCCTGTCCTCGCAGATAGCTCCTACAAACGAACATGACTATGGTGGCGATAAACTGGATCACCTGAGGTGGCCAATGCATTGTCGACAGGCCGATTGCTTGCATGAGGAATCCAATGGTAATCGAGCTTATGATTAGAGGTGAAAATTTCACATGTGGCTGTACACCATACGGACGGTGGGAGGTGATAAAGTCGGTTTTGATCCTTTTGGTGATGACGTACGAGGTATTGCCATCAGCATCAGAGCCTCTCTGAAGCCACATGACTGTCACATTCGGGCATCTAGGCTTCCAGATTACATCTCGACTTGCTCCATCAATTCCTGCTGCACATGCGACAAGGCCGATAAAGAGTAGAGCGCCACCGATAGCGAAAAGGTAAAACGGCCAGTCTCGGGAATTGAAACATTGGGCTAAGGTGGGGTAGAAGGTTGTGAGGCTGGCCACAATGAGCACAACGGCTTCCAAGAAAATACCCAGAATAGTAGTCGTCCAGAGTGATGGCAGCCTGTTATAGGGTCCCAAATTGAGCATCATATTTGGCGGGTAAACCTTATCGTCTGTCGAGTCGATTGTTGACTGCGACTCAGGATGTTCGTCCCAAAGCCGAAGTTCCGTATTAGCATGGTCAAACATCCATTCATCTGCAAAATTGGTTAACACATACCGTCTTTAAAACAGAGTCAGACATACGCTTTGTTTCCAGGACTCCATCACGGCATTTAGCTTCTTTCGAGGAATAGATCCCATATGGCTCTTCCATGCCATTCGCATTTAGGCCGGTAAAGAAAAGCTCCGAGACTGTAGACGGATGAATGACTCTGATAACCTTTTCTCCATCCCAGATTTCAGACACTTCATCAGAAGTCGAAGACAGAAGGTCCTTTTCGACATCAGAGACTTTATCCTCGGCCAACCCAACCATCCTCTTGAGGAACTGCATTTGGGAAGTGCGGATAACGGCAATAATAGCGGTCGGTACCCCTAGTGGTGCCAATGCAAAGATGAACCAATCAAATATGCTGACTGATTGAGATAGGAAACGATTTGTGGCATCACGTCCAAACAGGGATATGAGACTGCAGAGTAATCAGCACGCCATAGTAAGACAGCTAGAAGTAGGTATCTTACACAGTAACTCCAGATATGAAATTCTTTGTGGTGGAATCTGCGATAGCGGAGCTATTAGAAAAGCACACGCCGCTTGTTGGGGCCATGAGTGGTATCTCGCTTGTCCAGAGTATATTATTGTTCTGAAGATCTGCAGGTTGTAGGTCCGGCTGGAGTGCAAGTGTACTGCCAGATACTCCAAGTGTAGCTGGAAAAACATCTCGTGGCCTTCATGACATGCTCTAAAGATCTAGAGCAACGCAACGAGCCTATCGAAGATTTGGCTAAATTGTACCATGGTAACCACAGAGGGTTTAGATCCTAGTTCATCTAGGTCTGAAGTGGGACAATTTGTGGTGAGATACCCTGTTCCATGGGTCAAACCAAGAGAAGACATGTATAATGTTGGGGCCCAAGGGTCTAGATGTTATAGATTATGGGGAACAGCATCATGTACCATGATTAAGATATTGCAAACGGAAACATGCAATGTTACTGGTTAATCACTCGATAAGCATAATATAGGTCTTCTTGATTTGGAGCAATAAAATAATAATTAGCGCCACACAAATTCGCTGTAGTCAAGACACAAAAAAGGAACACTGTGAGTCACCATTTTGGTCTTGCTAAGACTTGGCCTCATCGAATAGAAAGGGCTACATGGTAATTGGTTAAAATGATGATAGGGTCTTTAAGTCACATGTAGAATACCAGTCGTCTCCTGCTTCTGGCTGAAGGCATCTGATCTGGTGAGGCTGACCTTTGACATCACGAGATAGAGTAGGTACCCCACTGTGCCCGTATATATCTCTTTGAAATCCATGCCGCTCACACTATTCATTCTCTCACAAGAATCTAGGATGGCGGATTTTGTTTCTGATTCAACAATGGGGGAATCGCACCTGGAGAATGTTCAGCCTCCTCAGAGCTTAGAGACAGGTGACGGAAAACCTGCCGATGGTCACAGTCCCCCACGGTGCCATTTTTTTAAGCGACTTCCTGGGAAGCTTTGGCCTCGTCAGGACTCAGAGCAACGTGGCCGAGAACCTGCCCAGGGCTCCAGTTCCCCACGGCGCAATTTTTGGGAGCGAAATGCTGCGGAATGTAAGTGCACAACCTTGGACTAGTATACGCGGTGGTACCTAATTGTGAATGTAGGTGTAGGCCTGATAGTGTCTCTTGTACGGTGCTACTTCTTTTACCAATGGCCATGGAAGAGCATATCCTTAGGTGAGATGGGGATGAAGGTTGGTCCTGATGGAACTTCTGAGGTGGGTGGTGATAGAGCAGTTTACGTCAACCCTGTGACTTCAAGGCTTGTGCGAGTCAAGACATCCGCCAGAGTCCTTGAGCTTTCAGAGAAAAACTTTGTGACAAGATTGGGGAATTTCTCACTTAAACCCACAATTTGTTACCGAGTTTCTGACGTACGAACGTTTCTCGAGAATGTGGAAGATGCGGACAAGTTTGTGACTTCTTGGGTACTAAAAGATGTTGGATACTTTCTAGCAACTTCAAAAAGCGCTGAAGACGCGACCACGGGACTTCAGGGTGACCACTTGCGATTCTCCAGGTGAGTTAGCAGCTATGCCAGACTCATTGCCAGACCTTTGATGGATCACCCATATCAACCAAGTCACGTCTGAAAGCTAACCGAGACTAAATGATGGTCAATAGCATTGCGAGAAAGAAATCAGGAGAAAGATGGAACATATCCAAAGATGGGAATGGACAAGCGCCACAAGGCCAGGAACCCCAACCACCACAGCCTTCCCAAGGTGCGATTATACAAGCAAAACAAGCCCATGACTTGCAGTTACTAAGCGCCGCCTAAGATGCAAATCGACAAGCGTTACAAGGCCATGAACCCCAACCACCACAGCCTTCCCAAGATGGGAACGGACAAGCATCACAAGGCCATGTTTTGCAGCCACGACCGGCTCTCCAAGGAACACAGAGACCTTCTAGTTTGCAAACACAAGACCCTCATATCTCACGAGCACAGCAACCTGAATATTTCAGGATGATAACTGATGAATATGGAATCGAGATTCTATGGGTCGAATTTCGAAATACAAAGTACAAGAAAAACCGGATATGGGACGTGCCAGACACACCCCTGGAAAACGTGTCTAAGATAGTATAGACCTGAGCGACTCACTGTCTGCTATAATTTATATCGGGTTCAGCTTTCTGCTAACACGATTTATGAGTTCATGGGTCAAAGCACATGTGGTGGTGATGTATTTTCTATTTCCCTAGTAGATGATGTCACATAACCTCGACCACTCCAAAGTATGGCATCAAGATGGCTTAGTGGGACCCTTGCAAGGATCAACATTGCAACTGGGTAGCCAGCTTCAGAGTAGGAATAACCAGTGAATGTGAAATAAAAGTGTTCTCGTACTTACAAACACCATTACTTAAGATAGTTCAGCGTTCGCATTCAAACTCTCAATTGTTGATATAAGGGGCCAACCTTATAAACGGCAGCAGACTTCACTTTGCAGGAATTATGGGAAATGGAGCCTACGGATTGCAAGTTTTGACCCCAAATCTTAACCCCAAGTTTTAACCAAATACAAGCCCAATTAAATAGACCAAGGTCCTTCTCACATGCTCCTGCTGAGTGACGAGCATGGATGATGGGAGATGGTTTGGAAGAAGCCAAGGTAATCTGGCCTCCAGTCATACTAGGCATTACTATCCCCTAGTTAAGCTCCCCTCAAGCGAGCGAGGTTAGTTAGCCACCTCCCGCGCGGCTGCTAGGGTCGCCCAACAGTCTGTTTCTCGGTAGCCCGTCTAGTAGACGGCGGTACGGGTTTGCATGTACTTTAGCATCATTAGGGAACGTCTTAGTTGTACACTTACCTCGAAATACGCGGGGATACGATAACAATCTGGCCAGGGCAAAGATATGTACAGGTCCTATCAGTTATATTGTTAACTGGCACGATCGTCAAACCATCTGAGTATATAAAAGCAAGAGAAAGCCTAGCCTTCAGAGAACAAAACACGAATATGCTACAAAGGTTAAGGGGGCACATGGCCCGATGCCTAACATAGAGTTACTCACTCCACCTAATCAGCACTTCCTTGCTCGCCTTCATGAATATCAGGCAAAACGCACACAGTGCGCCCCCCTCCCCCAAGAGGTAACAGGCCGTGACGGAGTACGCAGCGTAAGCAAGCGCTGTATCTCGCCTGGCCGCGAGAGCGAGTCGGCAACTCATGTGTGGCCTCTTCTGACATTGGTCTCCGCGGCTTCCTCGAAAACGTGAGGTCGCAAGTGAAGCTGAGGCCGCTGCGTCTGGCAACGCTGTTGGGCTCCTTGCGGAACAAAGGAAGTCGACGGGGTCGGTAAATTTGTAGAAGAGCTGCATCCCTGTTCTAAGGCAGGGGTAGAGGCCGCAGTTAGTGCAGAAGGGCATTTTGGATGTTTCAAAGTTCCGTAGTAAGTGAGTAGAGATGGTTGAAAGTGGTACTTAGGTCCGATGATTTGGAGTGTTGGATGTTGAATATATTGTGGCCTTGGTGGGATTCGAGAGTTCTAGTATATCTTTACTTTTTTTCATTGTCCTTTTGATTTTCTTACAGGATGTCTTAACTAAAGGCCGAGTATCAGGTTTGCTTCAGCAGCTACAAGATACTGGGCTCTACCTTGGTATCACTTGTTTTTTTGAATTTTTGTGGTCTGACAATGCCACTTTATGTTTGTTTGGCACCTCAAGTTTTTGTCTGGCTAAGTTTATTCATTGTCTCTCTACATACCTGTCGTTACTGAGTATTGAGCTTGATCGTCTGTTTTGTTGCATACCCGCTCTGCTTTTCGCCAGACTCCCGACGTTGAGTCAAACTATCCCTAACGATTTGACCCGCTGGCGAGCTTGAACGCCAGCTGGAAGAACGAATACCTCCAAACCAGGCTGGTGCAAAAAAGAAAAATCGAAAATAATTTCTCTTACTCTTGTGCGCCTGGGTCTGGTCTTTCAGTCATCCCTCTAGAGAATTTAATGAACTATTTGAATGAGACGATCATCAATGCATAGGCTGGGACGTCAGTAGGAGTAGCCTGTATCACGTATGATCGAAGACTGCGGCACAACCTACGGAGGACTTCAATGACCTGGAAATCAATGTTCTCAAGACCGTAAGGGGTCCATAGATGGATGTGTTTCGGATGCACGGTTGCCCCTCCGATATTAATCAAGGAGGGCATGGGTAGCTCGAGTTTTGAGTCAACGTATCTATACCCTACCGAGGGTCTATCTGTCGACTTTGAACAATCTCCCTATTGATGCTGTATTGGTGCAGTGCCTACCCCCCCCACCTATATAGAAGCCAAGAAACTCCAACCGGAAAACAGCTTTACGTCTAGTTAAGGGTTCTCTTTCCGCACCAACCAACCCACGTCTACGACATTGAGACCATCGAGGGACAGAGCAAGGCAATTGGGAAGGAACACAGTCCTTTGGCCCCCAACCCGGGCGCGTGTTTGACGTCATGCGGCTTCTTGGCTGTTGAATCAGCGGCGGGCGATCGACACGAGCACAGCCGAGTCGCAGCCCCAAACGGGAAGAAGATATGCCATCGCCAAGCGTCGCTCGTTCCTTTCGACCCTGAAATTTATTTCTCGCTGCTCCCCAGCTTGGTTTCTCTTTTCACTCTCCTCTGACAATGTGACGACGCGGGTGGGATCTCAATCCCACAGCCATGTTCTCCCGAACCTCCGAGACGACCGATAGCGAAGAACTCGGTGAAAAACCTAGGTTCTTGGGAAGCCTATCATCATGGCGCTCATTCTCCACGAAACTCTCGTCGACAACCTCCTCCGAAACAGCCCCTGCCCACGGCCGCCTCTGGATAAAAGGCGTCGTAATCTGCTCATGGGTAATGGGCTCCGTCCTGGTCATCAACACGATCCTCACAATCATCGCCGCGGGCCTCGCATACGGCGGCAACAATGCGCAAAACTTCTCCTTCGCCTCAATGTACAAGGGGAAATGCTCGACGGCGAAGAACTGGTCCACGGGGATGCATCTCGTCATCAACATACTCAGCACGCTGATGCTCGGCGCGAGTAACTACTGCATGCAGTGCCTGGCGTCGCCGTCGCGGGCGCAGGTGGATGAGGAGCATGCGAAGAGGATTTGGGTGAGGATTGGGGTGCCGAATATTTGGAGTTTGCTTAGTCGGCAGAGGGGGAAGAGGCAGGTGCTGGGGTGGATCTTGCTGGTTACTTCGGCGCCGATTCATTTGATGTTTGTGGCTGTTTTTATTGATATGGCTTAGTTGCTGATGTGGTCTCTTTAGATACAACTCCGCGTTTTATGTGTCTCTTAGCCCGATCAAGTACCAAGTCGCCGTGGGTAATGGCGGGGCACTCGACGAGAATGCCACGCAGGACTTCAAAGATTGCATGTTGGAGAACGCGGACGTTGGCTTTGGGGCGTACAATAACGCGGTGAATGACGGGAGTTTCGAGCTGCTCTCGATGCAAGATTGTGTCGACACATTCGCGCAAGACTTTGCATCGACACATCGGCTGGTAGTCCTGGTGACCAACAAATCGATGCTCGAAGAGGAGCCGCTGGCCTGGTACGACAGGGGAAACTACATGTCGTTCAACGACAAGAGCGGCAGCAAGTTCAGCTGGCTGTGCAACGGCGACTACAACTGCGACAAGGAAATGGCGGAGGATTTCATCGGGAACCTGTCAGTCCGGCCGTACAAGTGGTCAACCCAGAAAATATTCCTGCGGATCCCAACGAATGACAGCTTCTACGAGGCCTCCGGTTATTTCTATCCTGGCGAGCGAGGCATTCCCGATACGTATGACTATTGGCACCTCGAGGATATCATGGAGCAGTATCCGACGACGGAGCGCTTGCAAGCTGAGCTCGATGACCCTTCTGGGTGGGAGAATGCTTCGTTTCCAGGCAGCGTGACGATACTTGGCCACGAGGCCCGGTGCGTCAACAACCCACTGGACATCAACTTGCTTCCGGAGTCGTACCCTGTCGACCACTGCATGGCGCTTCGAGCAGAGGAGACATGCCAGCTGTTCTTCAGCCCGCCCATCTGTCTGGTTGTGCTTGGCTGCAACCTGATCAAGCTGCTATGCACCCTTTTTACCGCGCGAGATGATAGAGAGGAGGTCTTTTTGACGATCGGAGATGCGATCGCGTCGTTCCTGACGAGACCTGATGGCACTACCAAAGGGGCCTGTTTGCTATCGAAGCCGTTGATTGGCAAGTTGACTCATGGTTGGGATAGAAAGCGCAGCAAACTCCGCTCGATCCCACGAGATGTTGTCTACGGGGATCTGCCGCTGCGGCTGCCCGCTCCAAAACGCTGGTTCCAGGCCGTAAGCACCGAGCGTTGGCTTTGTACAATGCTCCTGTAAGTATCCCCCCTCGTCCTCGAGCCGCTCCTTAGCTGACCGCATCGCTTCAGCTTCGCCGGCATGCTCACGCCAACTGGCTACCTTCTCTGGGTGGGAATAGCCGACTTCCAACGCTCCTACGGGACGCACACAATCTGGGACAACGGGCTGGGCCAAGTCACCACAGGCAGCATCCTCGGCGGGCTCAGCACAAGCCCAAGCACAAACGGCATCTTCCGCATGGTCCTGCTAGCAAACACACCGCAACTCCTCATCTCCTTCGCCTACTTCATGTACAACGCCCTGCTCACCATCATGCTCGGCGCGGTAGAGTACGACAGGTACGGCCTAACCCGCAAACCGCTGCGTGTGTCGTGGCCTCGTGGCGCGCAGCGCTCAACGTATTACCTCTCGCTTCCGTATCGATATAGTCTCCCGCTCCTGGCTGTCTCGGCGCTCCTGCATTGGTTCGTCTCACAGGCGTTCTTCTTCGTTGATATTATCCCGTTCGAGGCAAATGGCGAGCCGTATACGCAAGGGGAGGTCGTAACCTGTGGATACAACCCCGTGGCGATTATCTTCGGGATTGTTATCGGGGGAGCCATGCCCGTTGTCGCGATTTTGCTTGGTCTGCGACGGTTCCGGTCAAGGATGCCGCTGGCGGCGCAGTGTAGTGCGGCGATCAGTGCGGCTTGTCATCCGATGACTTCAGCCGAGGTTGTCGCTGCGAATGGAGTGGATGACCCTGCGGTTAAGCCGGTTATGTGGGGGGAGTTGCCCGGGGTGTATACCTCGCCTAGTCCGTTGGGGTTTGAGAATCGGGTTAGTGATTCGGAGGGGCAGTTGAGTGGGAGTGAGGATAGGAGGGAGATGTTGCCCAGATCGCATTTTGAACACTCCCCGCTGGAATCGGGGTACTATCATTGTTCATTCACCTCGGACGAGGTGGTTGAGCCGAGTACGTCACGACTTTATGTATAATGCTTTGCTATAGGATAATGGCGAAATACTGGGGCTCTTTAGATATCTGTTGGTGTTGTTCAAGAGTTCATACTTATAATTATACAGATATCTTCATTCCTGCCTATCCCAGGACATTACCTATAATTTGATATATATCTGGCCATTTTCGTACCACTAGTCAGTTCCCTTTGACCTCTACGCGCCAGACCAACTACAACTTGGCCTCATTCCTCCACCCTGGCATATCCGCCAGATCCTTCGCAGGCGCCGCCCGTCTCGACTTGAGCGCATCGCCCCCAGGCCTCCACCGCCACTCGTGCGCAAGCTCGGGGCTCAGCGTCCCCTCCAGCAGCTCGACGATGTGTTTCCCGATACTCGGGAGGAGCTTGAAGCTGTGACTGTGCGATTATTAGCCACCATCTACGGGCAACATAAGACAGAAAATAGCATACCCACTATCCCCGGTGGCGAGATAAAACCCCTTCCATTTCGGATACTCGCAAACGAGCAGGTTCGCATCCGCCGTATCCGTGCACCAGCACATGGAGCGGTTAAACAGTTCCTTGTTCGTGAATTTTGGTAGGAACCGCGCGATCGCTTTCCGGATCGTCACCTCCGACGCGTCGGGGTATGTATCTGTGGGGTGCTTTGCGTGCGATCGGGGGACTGAGATCCGCTTTGGGCTTGTAGCGCCGAAGGGCTTGTGAGATTTGAAGTGGGTGAAGCCGGGGAATTCGTCGCAAATTTTTATTATGCCGTTCCTATCCAGTCGTTAGTTCGGGCTTGGTTTTGCGGATGGGACGGTGGGTGTTGGGTAGGATGCATACTCATTCGGCTCAAAGAAGAACCCGTACTCGCCGTCGTAGACGACGGGAGTGTCTTTGTACGCGGCGGCTTCTTGGGGGGTTAGTTGGATGTGGGCGAAGACCCAGGCCTGGTCATGGTCAGTCAATGTATGCCAGAAGAAATGGGTTGCTCAAAGGCATACCTTTGAAACGCACTGATCCTCGAGATCAACCAACGTCGAACTCCAAGCTCCAGCGGCGAGAACCACTTTATCGGCGTGATACTGCGTGCCATCGACCGTCTCAACACCGATACATGTTGTGCCGTCGGCGGCAAAAAGTGGTTGTTTGAATGTGCCGGCGCTGTGCTCGGTTAATATCATCCCCGAGAACAAAATCGGAATTATAGAAAGAAGCAAAGCGAACATACCCGCCAAACCCAAAGTTGACCCCTTGCTCCTTCAAGAACAGCCCAATGGCATTGATCGCCTTGGCAGCCGCAAGCCAGCCTCCGTCGCCGCAGAACAAGCCTTTCCAGCCCTGGCGCCAGTGCTTAGTGACTCATCGCGTCTTGGAGGTCTTGGACTCTTGGAAGACATACCTTGACCTGTTCTCTGGTGAAATGGGGTAATTTTTTGAGAAGGTCGTCTTCGGAATCTAATAGGAAATTCGTCTTTTCTAGCCCGACACCCGCGTCGATGAGCTCTTGGTGTTTTCGCTTCAGGTTTGCGATTCCTTCTGGTGAGGAGGATGTGTCGATCTAGCCCCATGATCAGTATGAATTCCGAACCATAACTTGCGCTCCCCCCTGAGAGGTGAAAAAAAAAGTAGATAAGAAGAGAGACAAAACCTACCATGCCAACATGGTGAAAGAACGGCTTGAATAACGGATCATTCTTCCACATGTCCAACGCCTCGAGCGAAAGCTGTAAATCCGGGGCATTGCGCAGCCGAATACTCATAATTTTGTTCAAGTCATAGCCCGCTGATTGCGCAGAGGGAATGGGGTACACATCCAGAACGGTGATGTTTGACGGTGTGTAGCCGGAGCGGATGAGGTGGAGGGCCGTTGACGAGCCCATTGTGCCGCCGCCGCCGACAATGACGACTTTTGTGCTTGCGCGGTCTGCCATGTTGAGGGCTCTTTCTTGGCTTGGTTTGGTGGTTCAGAAGGTATTCAGGATAGAGTAAGAGAGGGAATGAACTTGTAAATTCTAGTGATAGATAGTAAAGTAGATAAGTGAGATAAATCAGCGACTCTTGCTTAGGAACGTTTAGGCTAATAAGCGATCGCGAGCGCAACGAACCGATCATGCCATGTCATGTGAGCCGGTGGAGACCAGCTGGAATGCGACGGAAGCGACACGGGGCCGGCCCACAGATAACTGCCCAGAGCTGGGTATCTGGAGATAGGCCTATCAAGATGATGATAAGGAAGCTATGTGTATTGAGTTTGCTTGGGAAACAACGACGATTGGTGATAAATACGCCCATGTTTCAGGCAAAATCCGGAGCGGACCTGGTTGTATCGCCTGGACCTTCCGCCGTCTTGTGTGGAGCGGAGCCCGGTTGGCGCTACTCGTTCGCGTGGACCTTCCACCAAGCGCCGCCAACCCCATGGCACGGGGGAACTGGCTGTTGGAGAACGTGGGGAACAGATAAGCTTACCCATCGCGAGATTAGCCGATATATTTCCCTGATACCGAGGGTATCTGACTTGAAGTGTATAAATAGGCGAGAATGGCCGTTGGAGATGGTTCGATCATCAGTCTCAAGTTCAAGTTTTCCCTCTGTTCGTGCTGGAACCGAACACGCATACATTCACTATGGCCGACACGAAAACCACTACCGGGCAGGAGGACCCTGTCCCTGCCAACGAACATACCCAAGGGGAGATGGTCAACATGGAGACCTACAGAGACACTGTTCCCAAGTGGAAGCGAATCTGGCAGCACAGTTTGACGCAAATGATTCTGCTGAGTATCCAGGCCTTTTGTGGGCCGGCCATGTCGGACGCCATCACTGGTACTCCACCCTATGCCTTATTTACCTGCGAAAAGGAGTTGCATCTAACAAGCATAGGTCTCGGTGGTGGTGGTCTCGCAACTCCTCAAATCTCCAACATTTCGACCGCCATTCGATATGCGCTCCTTGCCGTCGGTACGTCTGGCCTCTGCTCGGAGAAACCCCGATGCTAACAACAACACCTAGTCTGCTTCATGGGCGGTCCTATTGTCAATAAAATCGGCGTCAAGTGGGCTCTCGTGATCGGCTCCATGTCCTTCCCTATTCAGGGATCCGCGTACTACTGCAATAGCAAGTTTGGAAACCAGTGGGTGAGTCACAGTTAATTCCGATACTGTGCCGTTGCAAACCCTCCTGGCTGACTTTCTCTCCCCACAGTACCTCATTCTTAGCGGCGCCATCAGTGGTATCGGAACAGCGTGTTGGTACGTTGCTGAAGCTGGTGCCATCATGACGCTTGCTCCGTCTGGTGCGCGTGGAAAATATCTCGCTCTCTGGATTGTTTCGCGCAACCTGGGACAATTGGTTGGTGGTGCTATCAAGTGAGCCACTTTTACTCTATAACAAGGGACTCGACTAAAATTGCTCAGCCTAGCCAAGAACCACGAAGCAGGAGCCGAAGGTGGTGTCACTCCTGATACATTCATCGCCTTCCTCGTCATTGAGTGCATTGCGTGAGTACCTTAAACACCTCAAGGAAAGCACAGGCTAACCCACGTAGTTTGCCATTCGCCCTTTTGATTGTCCCCTTCCAACACGTCGTCCGATCTGATGGAACCAAGATTGTGACTGCCGAGACCCTCTCCACTAAAATGGAGTTCCGCCGCATTGCAAAGACTGTCACCTCCAAGCTTATTGTTCTTTCCTCTGGATGGGCTCTGTGGTCCTTCTTCTATACGTACGCAGCCACTGCTTTCGCGAACACTTTCCTATCGAATCATTGGCGAACAATACTAATGGCAAATAGTGGTACCTGGTCCACATACCTAGGAACCTACTTCTCTGTCCGCGCTCGCGCCCTCTCTTCTCTCATCTCGCCCTTCTTCTGCATGTAAGTTGTGAACCAATCTCAAGCCAAACTAAGCCCCTCTAACCTGCTGTCTAATAGCATTGGCTGCTTCGGCCTTGGCTTTATCCTCGACATGAAATCCCTCTCACAGCGCCGCCGCGCCCAACTAGGCCTATACACTGTTGTTATCCTCAATGTTGGCGTCTATATCTGGAGCATCATTATGCAAGTCCGCTTCAACGAAAACAACCCAGGCCACATTGACTGGTCAGATGGCCTCTATGCCAAGTCGTTCCTCCCCTACTTCTTTATTCAAACCACGGGACCGCTCAGCCAGAGTTATATGTATTGGTTGCTGTCCAGTTTTGCAACTGATGCACAGGGTCGGCTCTCCATTCAACCTTATCCTCATTTTGAGAAACTGCTAACGTCTCGATAGAAAACGTCCGAAATGGCGCTGCCTTCCGCTGCATCGAGGCCGTTGGGCAGGCCATCGCGTATGGAATGAATACCCAGACGACCAGCGACCCTCTGATTGGATTGTGAGTTGTCACCGTTCTGGATACCTTTCCACGTTGCCGAGACCCTTTCACTAACAGTCTTCTCACTAGCTGTGTGACATTTGGCCTTCTTGGGATTTCGCTTATCCCTATGATCATGCTGGTGAATACGACGCCCGACCAGATTCCGGCTGATATTATCGCTGCCGAACAGGCAGCCGCTGATGAAAAGGTTGCGGCTGTGTAGATCACCCATTTGCTAGGGGAGAGTGTACGCTCAACAGAGAATGATTTTCACTATATTCATAGCTAGGAGCATCCGGGCGTCATGCCAGAAGACAAATATACAGTTTCGAGCTTCCACAACCTTCAGCTCCAATCTTCGAACAAATTAATCATAATACTTGGCAACAAGCCCCCCAATAATCCTCTGATCCCCAACCTCACTCCTCGGCCCCTCGCCCCGATCAACCCCCTTCCTCACCCTCGCCTTCACCCACTCCCCCGCCGTAATCCCCACCGCACTATTATCCACGACCTTGTCGAACCCCAACCTCTTGAGCACAGCACTCTCCACAGGCCTCAACTCCGTGCCATCCTCCGGCCTTACAAAATACAGCACCCCCAACCGATCAACGCCCGCCTGATCCGCCGGCGGCGCCACCACGCGATGGATACTACTCTTCAGAAACCCATTCGTGAGGAACTGCAGCGAGTCCGCAATGTTGACTGTGATGCTCCCCGCGTACGGCTTCACCCATCTCCAAGCGCCCTCGGGCGTGCGGACCTGCAGGGCCGCGACGGGCTGGCGGAAGAGGAGGGTGAGACTTCCAAAGTCCGTGTGGCCCTTGGACCAGATCCCGCTTGCTTTTGCATTTTCCTCGGGGGTTCGGCGGTGGTATTTCATGTACCGTAAATGGCAGTCGCTGGGTTCGTCGTACCGGTGGACGTGCAGGAAGTGGTCTTCGGGGAGTTCGAGGATTATGGCGATGAGGATGAGGAGTTTGCGCACGATCGAGTCGTGGATGTGTCGGGCGAAGGGCTCGATGACGCCGCGATTGGCTGTTATAATCTCTGGGTGCGGCCGTTCGTGTGTGGGGATGAATTTGGGGATGTTGTAGATTTCTGTGTTGTCGAAGATGCCGGGGGCGATTTCCTATGCGGTCAGGATTAGTGAAGTGATCTTGAAGTGTATCTCTATATCGTATCGCTTGACGAGATTAAAAAAAAAAATCCAAGGTCGGTAGACGCACTCGCAGCCCAGCCGGCTTATACCCATTATACCCGCCCTTCTCGAGCTCAGCGCGGTACTTGAGTTTCTCCTCGAGGGGGAGGTTGAAGATCTGTTGGCCGATGGAGAACTGGCGGTCGACTTCTTCTTGCGAGAGGCCGAAGTTGATGATGTAGAAGAAGCCTGTTGGGAATTAGTTCTGAACGTCCGCAGCGTAGAAAGTAGACGGCGCTCACCGATTTTCTGGATCGCTTCAAAGAGCTGCTTTGCGAGGCGCTCCTTGCCTCCTGGCTCGTCGAATTGGGAGAGGTCAATGGTGGAGAGGTCGGCCCAGTCGACTATATATTATGGATTGAGTTAGATACAAGTGTTTATGCAGTGGGTATGGGGTGTATGAGAACGTACGGTCATGGGTGGTTTCAGGTACCTGGTGGTACGTCGGAATCTCGAAGCCTGTAGAGGCTGAAGCTGGGGTTTGAGTGACGGTCGCCATGGTGAAGCGATGCGATATAATCACGGCTCAGGTGGCTTGTGGAGACGTGTCTGAGAAAGGACAGGAACAGCTGGTTTATCAATCTTGGACGTCTTCAAGCTCCCGCATCGCGTAGACCTATCGGAAGCTTTCTGGAATCAACACGACGTGGAAGAACCCCAGCAATGCAGTCCATGCAAGAGCGGGGCGTACGAGTCAGTCCGCGTGCATCTCCCATTCGCCATGATTCCCTCCGCTGGCGTGATCGCCAGCTAACAAGCTGCCTAAGAATCGTCCGCTACCCCACCATCCATGTCAGCTCCAAATCATGAAGAATGTTTCGCACGACGCTAAGCATTTTAGTTGACTCTTGCTCCGGTTGCCCAGAGTCTTCGACTCGGTCGGCCCGTGGAGGCCCGGAGAGAAGCCGATGAGACAAGCTGTGGCGTGCTCGGCGCCGAGGATGAGCCAAAAGCTTCGGAGGTTTTATCAGCACCCGGGATGGCGGTTTAAATAGGTAGATTTTCTGCGTGTACTGCTTGTTGTCGGTGTCTTACCGACAGCGAAGTGACAGCGACATGGCGACTAAACAGAGTGAACAGATTTCTGCCGAGCAATTGGGTACCGCGACTGCGACGGGTATCGACACGACGAGCGACAAGGGCGCGAGCCATGAGCTTCATTTCGCGAGACGCGGCGAAGCCCTTGCGGAGGCTTCGTCGTCGCAGGAGAGTATTGAAGGCTACGACCCGGAATTGATGAGTGGTCGGACACTGCTCACGGCCGAGGAGGAAAAAAAGTTGCTGCGCAGGATCGACTGGCGGCTCATGAGCCTCTGCTCGCTGATTTTCATGTTCAAGAATCTGGACAGCAATAATGTGCGTATCACCCGCTATCGAGGGACCAATGGGGTTGTTGCATTGCAATGCAACGCAAAGAGAGTGGTGCTTACAACCCCGGGCCTTGCAGTTATCCAATGCCCGAATCATGAACAAGGGGACGGACCACAATATCATGACGCAGCTTGGGATGACGTCAGATGAGTACAACCTGGTTACGGTCCTCTACTATGTAAGCACAGCTGGTTGGAATCACTGCCTGCGTCCGATAGTCACTGACCGGATGAACTAGGTCCCTTATATCGTTTTGGAAGCGCCGTCGAATCTGCTGCTAAAGCGCTTCTCCCCTTCGAAATGGCAGTCCCGGATTATGATTAGCTGGGGTACTTTTCTGCTGTGCAATGTTGCTGCGAAGAACAAGGGTGGTATTTATGCCACGCGGTTTCTGCTGGGAGCGGTAGGCCTCACTTTTGGGGGCGGGTAAGGGAATCGGCTAACATGGCACAGGCTGAGGCTGGCCAATTCCCCGGTGTCATCCTTCAAATGACGTACTGGTATCGCCCGGACGAGATGTCTCTGCGATTGCTCTATTTTTGTACGCTCTTGATATAATCTAACAGATTAGAGACACACCGGCTGATAAGAGACAGATATTTGCGGAAACGTTTCGAACATTTTTGGCGGCCTTCTCGCCTATGGCTTTGACACTGTATCTGGCGCGGCCGGACTATCTGGATGGCAATGGTAAACATCCGCTCCTCCGATCTTTCCCTCTCCTAGGGCAATCCCTGATCTATCACAGGTTATTTCTCACCGAGGGCATCGCAACTGTCATCTTCGGCGTTGCTATCTGGTTCCTGCTTCCTGACTGTAAGGCCCTCTATCGCTCAGACTGATTTGTGCTCCTGTTCGATTTGATATAATAACTAACCTGGCCCAGTCCCCGAAACAGCCTCATGGTTGACTGAGCGAGAGAAGAAATTCATCCAGGCTCGCCTCCCATCCAACGCGCCTCGCGCCAACGAGCACAATTTCAAACTCCGCGAAGTCATCGACTCGCTCAAGGATATCCGGCTGTGGCTCTTCACCCTCATCTGGGCGACCTTTACTGTCGGAACGGATGGAGTGACATTCTACCAGTCCACTGTGATTGCTAACCTTGGTTTCACGTACGAGTCCTTGTCCCCCCTTCTCCCATTCCTGCATTGCAGCTCAGCTCACCAGAAGCGAAAGCAAAAGCACGATTGGTACGCTGCGGTTCAACTAATAATCTCACTATAGGACAATCGCCCAAGCCCAACTCCTTAACCTCCCCATCACCGCCACGGGTCTGATCTTCATTGCCATCACAGGGGTCATGGCAGACCGAAGCCGGATCCCGCGCCCGCTGTACCCGTTGACCTTTCTTGTCATCATTATCGTCTGCTACGGCGTGTTTGTCGCGTACCCGGGTACCGGTGCCGTGTACGCCGTCACGTTGATCGGAAACGCACTAAAGGCCGGGTGGTATCCGGTTATGTGGTACGTTCCTCTTTCTCTTCCTCTTCCACCCTACCCCCGATACGTTCCTCCCCAGACCACTACTAAGAAATATCCATCCAGGCCCTGGCGCGTCCAAACAACCTCCCGCGCAACGGGCTCGGCCTTCTCAATCGGCTTCGTCAACAGCTACGGGCAAATCGGCGGCGCGATTGGACCGCAGATGTTCCGGAGCAAGTACGCGCCGCGGTACGTAGTTCCGTTTTCCGTGGCGATGGGGCTACTGGGGCTTTGTGCGGCACTTACCCTCGTGACGTGGTATGTGACTTGGGAGACGGAGCGCGAGACGCGCAGGCTGAAGCTGGCCAAGATGGCGGCGGAGAAGAGGGGGGAGGTTATTTTGGAGGATGTGGTTGATCGGGATTTGAAGAGGAGGTGAGATCCCATTAGTGTGTAGGGAGGGGAAAAGGGATGGGATAGCCTTCAAAGGGCCTGGCTAGGTTGTATGATAGAAGAGAGAAGGACGTATGGGGCGAAATAAAAACGTCCGATTCGATTCGTGATTGCGCCATCCTGTTGGAGATGACGGGGCAAACCCTCCGAGTACATCAACACAGGACCTCGTCATTACTCTCTCCTGACATTTGACTTCATGTGTTTCGTTTCTTATGACTGTGCATGGAGGATACTGAATTATCGAAATCTCTCTTTTCCAGGGTTTGGTTTTTTGTAATATATTCCCTAGTCAATGTGAGACCTGGCGTATTAAAGGAGAAATTTCACCACCACATGCAAACGGCAGGCGCGAGCGTTTCTCGCCTGATGACACAAAGAAGTGCAGACTGCTCTTTAGGTTACATGATCTTAAAAGGAGATATTACAGGGTGGCCCTACCTCTGGATTATTATTGCCGTTCCATAGAGCATTCTTGGAAGCTCCACATTAATGAACATCTAGTCATCTACATATTATTAGCTATGTCGGGTATTAGATGGGACATTAAAAATTCACTTGTCAGTAAGGAAGAACAGGGTATCTGCTAGACATAGGATATTTAAACTTATTAGTTTACTAGTAGTTAGTAGATTTACTATTAATAGAACCTTCTTACCATTAAAGCTTACCTTATAGTAGGGGATCTATTTAAATAGGATACGTGGCTACCTCTAGATTATTATAAGAGGCTAATATATCCTCTAGCTAACTATATTATCCTAATACTGTCAACATATTAAATAATAAATCTATTTCAAGATTTGCACTTTTTTGAGGGCCTTCTTCCATTTCTATATCTGGTCCGTGCTTTGATGAACCTAATCTAATTGTCTCCAGCCCACGTTGTTGAACAGAGATTGAACAAACCTTCAAAAGCTAGTCTTCTTTGAAAGGGGAAAAGGAACAGGGCAGAAACCACGGCTTTCTCTTGAAGGCACTGCGAAATGTACTTCTTCCGGCAACCAACGCTAGGAGTGATTACGACTCGGGACTGCTTTCTTTCGGAAAAACTTGTGAAATGCTGAAGCTTCACTTCCCACACTGCAGCGCTTCAGTGTCTTAGCGTTTCGGCCATCAGCTAAATAGTTCTACCTACTTTAGAATTCATAGAAGCCGCACCACAGGGCGGCAACTTAAATACTGTACCAAGGTATTGTATAGTACCGCCAAATCACTCTCCAGACAATGATGAGTCGCGAGATCGATTGGAACAATTACGTCAGATTTTTGCCAAGATTTCAGCCTCAGCGACTGGAGCTTGCGAAGAAGCTCGGAGCCACGCATACGGTGGTTGGCACGGATAGCGACGTGGTGGCGCAGATGCAAAAGATATCTCCCCCGAGTCGTTGAGAAGGCACTGGACTGCTTGGGGACACGGGGTAAGGGAGCGACAGTGGGCGCGCCAACTCCTGGCATACGTGCTGGAGTCGATGTGTTTTCTCACTTGGTGATGGGCTGTCAGTATGTAGGATGCTGCGAGGGTGATAGCGACACACACAAGGTACGTACACTCATCCTGGTAAAAGAATGATGGCTGAGAGGTCTTAGTTCCTGCCATATTTAACTAAACAACATGCGAAAGGATAATTCCCGATGGATGAAATGCTCATGCTCACATATTATCCTGTTAAAGGCGGCGTTCAAGAAGTTCTCTATCGGAATGAGCTAGCGTAGTAAAGAACATTTCAATGATCTTGCACTAGGAATTCAAGGCCTGATGGGTATGTCCACAGTATAATCTTTAGTTGTTTTATCCTAAGTGTAGACTGGACGAGGGGGTTGTAAGAGGGAGTTCTGATAATGACCCCCCCCCCCACCTCCTGAGGGACCCTTAACAGCAACTCATGGCTTCGGAGGTATCTCCCGCTGGATCTTAACAGGTCTCTCAGCACCCGCAAACCAAATATCTTTCCCGATAAAATCCTCCTTCACATCCCTACCCAGCAGCCGTATCTCAATATTATTCGAAGTGACGAACTTGCGCATAGGAGCAGGCTGAGTCACATTAAAGGTCTGTTCTTCCCCATCATGGACCCCAACTTCGACCGGATCAGGAACAAGCATTGGAATCTCCGTCTCTACTCCCCGCTTATTCAACAGGCGAACCGTCTGGAATTGCTGGCCGTCATTGGCGCAGCCGCCAGGCACAGCAGCATCGCAGTAACGCCTGCGGCAGCCATCGGTATTAGTTTCAGAAACTGATAAAGGAGGCATAACCACTCTTACAGCCCGACAGAATTCGTCATGAACGTAAAATACTGGCCCCCTGCCACGACTCCGTTTACAACGAAAAACCCTGACAGCTGGCCCCCCTGCGAGTAGTTGTCGGCTGCGGGGATACACCGCAGATACGCTCCGTCACCACCCTCTGTTGAGCTCGCGAAGGGGAACTCGTCGCACGATGGTCCGATAACAGGGTTTGGCGCAGTCAACGCATTGCAGATTGAGCCTGCGCAGCCGGCTCGCTTGCGTTGGGCTGTTGAGCTACCAGGTGGGCCGCGCGTCTGGACAGGGTTTGCATTGCCGCATTGCACTGCGAAACAGGAGTTGATGCACGCTTGTGGGCTGTTGGCACAGTTCCAGGCAAAGTTGGCCTGGCAGTGTACGAGGATTGCTAAGGGTAGGAGTAGAAAGAGTGAAATCATCCTGGTAGGTGGAGTGAGCTCCGATCGTAGTTGTCCGTGGCAGTGGGTGCACACACCGACTAGGTATTTATTCTAAGTCTCTTCGCCATTGGAGCTCTGTATCTTAGCCTAGATGGGCTGAGCTGAGTGAGCAGCTGGAAAAGTCCTTCGCTTAAGTTTACTCTTGTTGCGTGGTTGCCGTGAAATCCCCACGTCTGGCGGGGGAGTGAGTTGTTAAGGACTGAGCTGCGAGATGGCAACTTGTGCCGATGATCATGCGCTGCAGAGCCCGACTGAAGTGGGGCCCAGCCTGTTCAGCCGAGCAGAGAGATGCGCGTGGTAGTTCCCAGACGATACTTTTGATATAAAATACCCGTCGCTCTAATGCAACTTTCGCCAGGACTGGAGTCTACGCCATCATCGTTCTGATCGAATAGATACAGCTTTTTTCAGGTCAACTGCCTGGTACATTGTACAAGAGTTATCGGGCCAACCAACCAGCCGTCATGATCCTCAATCCCCTCGTTGCCGTATTCGTTACCACTCTCCTGTTCACAGAGACGGTATGCATGTCTATGTACATTTCGCGGAAGCAGCTCGTCACTAATACCATCTAAAACGAAACAAACAGGACATGAATCATCTCCTACAACAGGCGTATCAGGACCTCCCTCGAGAGCAGCACGCCCTATACGTGATCCAATCCGTGGACCTGCCTCCCCCCGACACCCCACCAACCGAGTCCGTTCCACTACTGAGATACCCCTTCGTGCCGTACAGCCCGGAGGACATCTCGCGCTTCCTGCACCTGCACTGTGACGACAGGTGCGCCCTCTCGCCCCTGCAGTTCATCGTGATCGATCGTCGTACAAAGAGCGGCGACGGGACGGTTTTATATGCGCGGTCGGAACCGGGGAATGTGGATGGACGAGAGCTGGAGATGGTGAGATTGGAGCCGCACGAAATGAATTTGATTCCTGTTGCAGTGGAAATCGGCGCGGCTGGGTTCGATGAGGTGCGTGAGGCGGCTGGGCTGGGGCTTGACCTGTGAGAATTCCATATTTGCTAGGAATGATGGAGTTGCTGGTTGCCTTACGAGTAGACCCAAAGTTTAATTTACGGCCTACGAACCACAACAAGGCAAATCTTGGGAAAGTGGTTCCGAGACAGAAGGAACGCCTATGGCTTTAGCTTCCCTGGGGTTGGTGCTGAAAGGAGCGCTTAGCAATCTGATAAAACGGTCGTCAGTAGCGATTGGATCAGTTTGATGTGAATATCCTGCATGTTTGCCAGCCTGAAGAGCTGGGGGTGCTCGGCTCGGATGTGGCTTGGTCCAGCCCAATCGCTGGCGTTTTATCTCAGAGCAAATACGATAGGTCGTCTAATAACTGTCGATTGGGTTTCGAGGTGGAAGGCTTAAGGAAGGACATGGGGCGTGATATTATATATAGCAAACAATCTCATTCGAATTCAATACGAAACTAAGCAAGACAACAACTAGTAGCATTCTGTGCTCATATTCTTGCTCTAGTTCCACCGCACATCAGGAGATTTAAGCGAATTCGAACTGCATCTGGTCATTGTGGACGAGAACAACATTGTTGGTACCACGCTGGTTGAAATCAACCGCAATGGTGGAGCCTTGCTGTTCCACCTTGACGAGCTGGCCAGCATCAAATCTTGAGCCAGTGGCAACATGGTAGATCATCTGGGGCTGGATCTGGTAGGTGGAGCTGGGGTACGGGGTGAAGGTTCCCATGGCGTGGAAGATGTCGCCATCCTTCGAGTTGGCGATGCCAACCAAGAGGTTGTCTATCATCTGTTATCTCCTGATCCCTAAACAAGCTATGGACAGGTGAAAAGCTTACTGTTGACAGCATCCTGATAGGTAAATTGGTTGGATGCGGTAGTCATCTGGAAGTTGCCGATCTTGCCGCCACCGGGGTTGCTGGGAGGACCGAGATCGCAGGTCTCCTTCTCGATAACATTGAGAGCAACGGTGGATCCCATCATGACAATGCCGGAGGACTTAGAGCCCAGGGTGATAGGGACCGACTTGCTCACGGAGACGCGGACGCCTTGCTCGGGCTTTCCCTCATAGTTACCGCAGATGGCGTAGTAGTTTTGCCAGATGTCTAGGGACGCCCTGGCGCCATTGGGGGTATTGTTGGCTGCCTTGAGGATGTTGCTCCAGATCTCGCCCGAGGTGCCACCGGAGACGATTGGGGAAGCAGAGAAGAAGCAGTAGTTCTGGGGAGCCCCGGTGTTGTTCACGATGGTGATCTTGTATTGGTTAGGCATCTTGGAGATGAAGGGACTGAGATTTGAGAGTAGTTGTTGATAGACTTGAATTCAAAGACCTGATGACTGATGTTACTGATATGAGAGACGACAAGGTCCTTTATATAACCAAGTCTATATCATGACAAGAAGTAGAAGGCAGAATGGGACAGTACAAACCCTCTGGCACATTGTAGCAGAGTGGCTGGCTGAGTACACGATGAATTGTGGTAGTTTCAAGCGAGCTGAGCCGGCATGCATGCCTCTTGGTGTGGTCTCCTCTTTTGCTTTTGAATTTCATCTTCCCTCAACCTCGACGCCCACCAACGATCCATAGAAATCATGACCGTGACTCGGCAAGTCTCTCCAACAGCATCAGCCACGACCATTTCCTCCACCATGAACAGCACGACGCAGGAAGGCGACCCTGCCGAAACCTACTCGTTCACCATCGTGAACCAGTCCGGTGTCAGCCAGAGCTACGCGATATTCTGCAAAGAACCAGCTGTCAATCCCCCCGCCCATGGACTCGTCTCGCACGCTGTTCTCGTTGCACATGGAGTTGCATCTGGGTCTGGCACAGCATTTCTTACCCTGCCTCGCACCGAGCTCTACGCTCTCTGCGGCATAAATTACAAGGATGCATCTGTACAAGTTCGTGTCTTAGATCGGCGTCCAGTTTCCCTGGGAACAGGCTCATCCCACACACTGCGCCATGGCACGACCTGCGTGACTCAAGTGACTTCAGCCACGCCGTCCTTCGCCCTATGGGGCGGACCAGCAGATGATCGTGGAGAGGTTGGCGCGTTCTGCATCGAGACCGGAGCGGATTTCACGTATGAGCAAGCTGCCGCCAGTGAGTTCAAGCACTTGTCTCCTAACCTTACACACAGAATGACGAGACTAATTGACTACAGAAAACTTTATCCTCGGCCTCGGCCTCAGCTCCTCCGCACACGAACTTGTGGGTCTCTACGCTTCCTTCACTCCAGTTCCGCGGACAACATATCAGATCAGGCCTAGCAAAACGTTCTACGTTGTGCCTGAACAAACGGAAGTTAATGCCCCCAGGACTGCTACGGATCTTCGAACTGCGTATGAAATTGACTTTACTATGCGCCTGCCACATGTTCAGCTTGTACATAATGAGGGCAACGTGATCGAGATAGTGGACCGGGATCCTACCCCCGGGTCTGCTACTCCTTCGAAACTCTGACATCCGCTTTAACTTATTCGTTCATCTTCAGATTCCAAATTTGTGCTTTCTTCATAATTCCACTGTCTCTCATTATTGCTGTCACAGTCTCTTGAGTATCCATAGCTTCTTGCAGCCACCACATCTCGCCGGACCAGCCGTTCCATTCGTAGAAGCGGCCTGATCCATCTTGTAGCAGAAATATGTCTCCTTCAGTATCTCGTATGACTGGGCGGAGAGAGTCAAGCCCGAAGTCGGTTGCCAAGTTCGGCTTATTTGGGTCGAAGTAGGTGGTCAATTCGAGCTGCGTGGCGTCGTTGGTCCAGGTGCAATGTTTTGGAAGGTCAACAGCGATAGGAATTGGCAAAGGTGCAGGAGGATTCGGCTTTTCCGTATCTCCTTCTCTCGTGACGTTGTCTGGTAGATGGTCCATTCTGCTTGATAGGTATACGACAATGGATGAAGGATGTCAGTTCAGGCGGAAAAGGCTAGCGACGGCAATTCAGATGCATGATCTGTTCGGTCATCGAGATATGAGCAGCCCGTGGTGGGGACTCAGTATGTTAAGTATTTGCTAGCGATCTGAGCCGTTGACTGGGTCGCTTGGAATTGCCGTGTCCCTTGCGTGCATAAGCTCCAGACCCTTCTACCCCGTATTTGGCGGAGACTAGCTCCTGATGATCCCTGTTCTTCAGTCTTCAATCCCGTGTTATGGTCGGATTGGTTATGAGCGATAGCGTAGGATTCTGCAGTAAACTTAACTTTGCAGTTAAATCGGCCCTCCACGAACCGTCGTTCATTTGCCGCCTAGAATTACCTTCCCACGCTCTAGGCGGTGCACCTATTTCAAAAGTCTCGTAGGGCTGGCTCATCCTAGCAGACCTGTTTCACACAGCCACTGGGTTGTGATCGGTTCTCTTTCCTATTTAGCTAACTTAGCTGCATCGTCAGTCACCACTATCAAACCTGCGTCCAGTATCGGCCCCGTTCGCAATCACCATGGCATCATGGGACTCATTTTCGGCGTTTAGTGGAAAGCTGAACCCATCTCTGCTGATGCCTGCTCTAGACTCAGCTGGCAATGTCGATTACCCAGCCGCGGCTCGAAGATTCAGTCAGTGGATCCGCGATTTACGACAATCTCCAGCGGACTATGGCATCCCACTTGAACGGATCAAAGATGTGCAGAAAGTACTTGACACATTCTTACCAGTGCCAGCTGAAGGTCAGCCAGTTCAGCCACGTCGAATCAACTCTCACCAAGGGTTCCCTGCGTCTCTGCGGCAGATAGTCCCCGTTGAAGTTCAGTTCGGACACCAGAACGCAACTCTTCCCATCGTTGATGCTCCTAGTGCACTGGGCTACGTCTTCAGCTTTGCGACACCGCCTGCAGGAGCAGAGAAATTAACATTCGATGGCTATTATCTTCCACTTAGCGTATACTATGCGTGGTTTCTCTACTTGGCGTTTCTTTGGCCTGCGTCCTCTCCTACGCCAGTTATCACGAATGTCCCGCGCGAAGCATGTCTGCTTTACTTGCCCGAGTCACTCCAGACTACTGCACCAGTGTTTTGGTTCGGCGCGATATGGTCTGGCGCTGACCCAGCCGACGCAGAAGGCGCTGGTTTGATCTGGGATGATGAAGCTCAAATGGATCTGTGGCGACAGGAGCACTTGATCGTACCCTTGTTCGCTCGCAACGCTACTGTGCAAATGCCAGACTGGACACCGACAGTTAGACGTACAGCAGCGAGGCGCCTTAACGAGTACATCCTTGGAAAGAAGGGCATCGACTCAACGGCAACCCCATTCCTTGACTCGCTCTTTACTGGCGTCCTGTCGAAGCTGCCGGGACTTGGAGACAGCGCTGGCCTCGCAGAATATCTTGAAGCTGTATCGCTACTCGTGAAGGTGGACGCTAAGCAGCCCCTGGGAGTGAGCACAGCGCCCGATTTCCTCATTGCTCATTCCAAGCTGAGCTCTCAACTGATGGGTCTGTTGTATGCTCTCGTGGACTCATTAACCAACTTGGAAGATATACCGAAGCTCCTTCAAAACATCCAGGCTCTCGTGCGCTTCTATGTCACGCCACATGTATTCGACCCGATAACAGACCAGGAGCTACCGCTCGGGGAACAGTCAAGTCCAGTTGTCGAGACATTGATGGCAGCCCTTCCTGCATTGATCCTTGAGCCCATGAGGAAAAAGCTGAAGAGCCTATACTGCCATTTGTACTCTCTGTATGAGAGCACCGACGACCAGATTCGCTACGTGGAAAGATCTTATTTTATTGACCAGCGCAAGTCTTACGCACGTGCACCGGAGGCATTACCTGCCTTTGCGCTTTCGTGAGTTGCTTCCCCTACCCCTATCCTTCCGGATCCAGCTCACCCATCCAAGGCCAGAATACTTCGGTGATAAGTTACCAGCGTCTTCTATGTCTAAGACCCGAGGTGTCAAGTTGTCCGTTCGTGTTCTTGGTCAGGCCATAATGGGCGGCGCCTTCCAGGAAACGTTTTCTGCGGATAAGCTGGACAAGATGTCCTTTCAAGCCATCCAGGCTCAGATGGTGCAGACACCGATTATTTCGCCCCCGGATGCAGAGAGTCGGGTTTTACTCACGCATGCTCAGCTACGGGCTGTCGATTCGTTGGCAGACTACAGTGCAGATGCTCAGGCCGCCTGTCCGAAGACGTTTGATTTATTTTCTTGACATAAATTAGGCATTGTTATCCATTATCTTGTCTTCTGACCTGGCCCGCATCTAATCCAAGCCGCGTCCAGTTCTAGTTAGATACTAAAGCAATACGTTCCCAGCGGCTAATTTCTCATTCAAGCTATCAAAATAAACTTCACTGCACACAAATTGTAAATTTGACTCCTCAATTACCGAGAAATCACGATCCACGGTTACTGGCGTAGAGCGGGAGAACTCCGTCTGTTCCCCACAGTCCCGGAGTATCCCCCACACGGTTCGAGGTTTCACAGCTCCCGCCCTCGCTGTTGTTCCACATCAATGAGAATAAATCCGGATAGTGTAAGTCGAAATCATCGAAGTTGCCGCAGTCGCCGTCGCCGGCATCGTCGCTGCTGACGTTTTGGTCTTTTTCGAGCCTGATGATGGTATCTGGACGAGGTAAGATAGCTGATACGCAATAGCCTCGGGCAGCAAGACATGGTAGACCTGTAGGAACCTTTGTGGAATAGTATTCGGACGCTATTAACTAAGCCACGGGTCTTTAAGAATATCCTTCGCCGAAGCTCTCGCCGACGGCTCGAAACACAACAACCGTGAAATAATATGTCCCAAGCTCACAATATCCTCACTACTGAGGTCGTGAGTGCGAGACCCGTCGAAATAAACCTCTTCAAGCCATTCCTGCAAGTTAGGTGCGGGATCCTCTGCGTCTAACTTCTCGCCTTCACATATCATATCTGCCATCTTCTGCCACCTCTTGGGGAGATCATCAGTGGCCATCTCTCGCATTTGGCTGATAAGAATTGATGGCGTTATCATGAAGCTATCAAATGGTGGCTGGCCCGTGAAGAGCTCGAAAATCTGCGAGAATGTGGGTTAGTCTAGATATTTCCAGGATCCGTTAATTCACCTACCATACAGCCCATGCTCCACAGGTCAACCCGGTAATCAAGACAATCCTGGAAAATAACTTCGGGTGCTCGGACCACGAGAGGGGTATGTAGCGTCTGAGGCACAGTATCTTGTAAGAACGATTCCCCAAAGTCAATCAACTTGATCTCCTGTGCAGAACTCCACAACTGAGTCTGAGGTGCTGCAGGCTGGACGATATACTTGGGCACTCCAGGTTCCAGGCTTTCTCCATTGCCATCGCGCCTTTGTACCAGGCCGATCTCTGGCTTGCCTAGTGTTTCTATGAATGTCTCCTGTGGTACTTTGTCCAGGAAAGGCATGGTGAAGGCGAGGTTGCGGGTATGTTAGTCTGCGGATGTGAGAAAAAAATAGTTAAAACCTGGGCGCAACTTACCTCCATGGCCAATCCCCAATTGATGCAAATCAGCCAGCGCGATGAGGCTCTGCTTTGTAATGGCCTTGGCAAGCTGTCCAGGAAGCCTGCCGCCAGGAAATTTCGCATCAGCAAGGTCCGGGACGCTCGGGCCTAGCAGCTCGTAGACCAAGCATTGGTGTGCTCCATTTGGGCCCTTTATATTGAATTGGTCGAGCAATTGCACTATATGTTTTAGATGAGGACGGTGAGACACCAGCTCCATGGTCTGGAGCTCTCGCACCGGGGTTTCGTCTTTGTGTTCTGCAATGCCTATCGTGACAGCAACATAGACTCCGTTCCTATACCCAAAAGAATTATCTGTTAGCCATGGTCTAGAACGAGCGTACGCTGTTATATGGAATGGACAACCTCGTGTCCCTGGCTGCCCAGACAGTTGAGCAACCTCCCCATCCTAATTTGTGTAGGATCTTGTATTTTCCCTAGTAAAGAGAGTCCCCTAAGAGTACCGGGTGGTAGCCGCCTTCTTGATAGCGATTCAGTGGCTCAGCGTCAACCGGGGAAATGTACAGAGACTGGTTCATCTTGCTCCCAGTGGAATAGCCAGACATGCATCTAGGGATAGTTGATAGCTTTCGCGCTGCCCGCAAGGCGTCAAGATATCGTGGTAGAGATCGGGCAATGTCCGTCTGGATCTTGGGGATTGCCTTGTTGATGGTTGAATGTCCTACGCGCTTGAGAACTGGAGATGACGCAGTCGGCTTGGGGGCTCTCCAGCTTGCGGCTAGGATATCTTGCCTGGGCTAGCGTGCACAGGCCTTCTGTGACTGGGAAAGCGAGCTCTTCTTCTAGACGCTTGCGGCAATTAGATAGGATTGGACGAAGAGATGTGTTACATCCATTCATTCGCTAGCAAGAAGGCAAGGCGTTGGTAACGATGCATCCTTGGGACGCCAAGCCAGTTTGTTGTTGAAGAGGTTTTCTGTACAGAAAACCTCTTCAGAAATGGGTTTAGCCTCCCCGCATAAGGTCCCACTCTTAAGTGTACCAATCAAGACCTAGCGATAATACTCTTATTAACGCCGAGACAAATTGTTTGTGGCAGCGGTACACAGCACATAAGACTCAAGAGTGTGGAGGTCCTTGCCATTGTGGGTCGAATGCGCAGTGCTTGAAATGCAACACTATCCCTGCCCGAGATCTGAGCAATTGCTCTTCATCAGCCGGTCCGGATTGCATCTAATAACCTTGGTATAAGTACCCTTTGATCTCCTCGAAACACTCAGCCGACTTCTCATAACTCAAGCAGCTTCTCATCAATCAGCTACAGATTTATCGTCCAGTTCTCATTCCTGCAAACAAAAAGTGTGTTCACCATCTATCAAAGGCCGTACTCATGCTCATCATAAATGGCCCAGCACTTTAAACAGGATGGCCTCCAGTCTATATGCACGGTGCGCAATATTTGGGTGCAGCCAGACTGGCATCCGGCGTGGAGAGACATGCCCGCAATGTGGCTTGGTACGCCCTGCGGACGATAATAAGAAGGTATGAAGGAACTCTACTCTAAAGAACTATGACTTACCAGGTGGAGTAGCCTTGTTGCAATACACCTTAAATAATTGATTGGCATGCTCGTTCTGGAAGGTGCACTGGGATTAGGAAGGGAAAGGTCAACACGATTATTACTATATCTAAATGGCACTCTTTTATATTCTCAGGCAGATGTCTATACAGTACAATCACGTTAACTCCTAGTTTAATCAACTCCGCGTTGTATAGGCTAATAGCTGGACCTACAAGTTCTCTTTAGGAGCTACTAATTAAATTGCTTGCTGGTTGAGGGTTTATTAAGGAGCAGCTGAGCCTTGGCATCTGATTTGAAGTTAGTGTTACGGAAGGTTGACCTTTTAAGGCTCCCTAAACCTTAGGATCGTGTTGACCCAAGTCCTGCCAATGGATTAACTTACTCAGGGTTCTCTAACATTGAACTAGTATGAAGACTAGTCATGCTCGGGTTGGACGTAGGAGGGACAAAACAAGGCCAGTCTTCACCACCTATGATGAAGCCTGTCGGGTAGTACTAGACGAAGCGTGTCGCAAGAATCTTGAACAAGCTAACTCAATGGAGTAACGACGAAGGTAGGACTTGGAGTAATAATATACTATTGATCACGAAGACCAAGTCTAAGTACAGGTGGGTAGTAAGCGTCCTTAAATATCCTTCGTGTTTCTACCTCAGCGTATACGAGGAAAGGTATCTGGCCGAGAATAAGCAAACAGGCGCTCTTCCGTTGTCTACTGGGGAGTCTACAGACGTGGCCTGGTGTTACCCGGCTCTGGGGCATGATTCTGCCGATATGAACCGCCTTCGGTAGGTTTCATACAGTAACAGTCTGCGGCAAGGAGGCGCTGTGGTCCACGCGACGGACACTTAAGATCCAAAGACCTAGTGATGCCTCCTTAGTTAACAACATCTTGACAATACTTCCTGCTCTTTATGACAATGGGGTCACTCGCAAGGCTACATTGGAAGGATGACAAGTATTACCATCAACACCCTTCCCGCAAAAGACTAAGGGATGCCTGCCTCGAACGAGTGAACTGGGAAGCACTGTGCAAATATGCCTCCTCCAAAAACTCAGGCTTGTCGTGCAGGCTGCTCGACGAGAGTACAATTGGTGGGGTGCATCTTGTTCGCCTACTTGCCTTCAGAGACACTCAATGGATTGCTAGAGTCCAGCTTGAACCATCAAGGCAATCAACGACAAGCCTCCTGAGTGCTGAGATAAACGCAATGGAACTTGTCAGAGCTCGAACAGACATTCGCGTGCCTGAAATCTATGGATACGAGACCAACGATGACAATAGCGTTCATGCCGCGTTTATTCTTATGGAGTTTTTGCCCGGTTCTTCAGCGATGGATGCTAATGGGGGCTATGAAGTTCATCAGGGACAGTTCCCCCTTGAAAAGAGAGTGGTCTTCTTCAAGGAAGTTGCAAATATACAGGTATGATGCGTCATTAGTACACGGTATGAATATACTTAAATTTGTCTTCCTCGAAGGTCCAGCTATGCTCGGTCAGGCTTCCAAAAATTGGTTCTGTCATTCGGCGTGATGATGATACCTTTGACGTTGGACCGCTTCCGCGGCTGGGAGGACCATTCTCGACAGCGACCGAATTCTACCTCGCATGGGCGAAACATGCAAAATTCCCTACCAGTGACAGCGATATTCGAAAATTCATGCAATGTGGGCCAGTGGATGATATTCTAAGCTCTATACACAAATTTCCAGACGGCCTACGAGACCTGGCCAGCAAGATATCAGCATGTGATAACGGGCCTTTCCCATTATACCATCCAGATTTCTATCACAGCAACATCATTGTTGATGAGTCTTTCGCGGTTCTTGGTGTTATTGACTGGGAGGGGGCCTGTACTGTACCCTGGGAGTTGGTTGAACCACCGCTATTCCTCTGTACCGTGCCGCCGGCCATGGACAGCCCGAATAATTACAATGCAGATGGGCAGCACAAGGATATCAATGTCATACATCGCTTTAGGGAGCGGGCCCAGTATGTTCAGTTTGTCCAAGAGATGGAAGAGGAGCTGGGTATGGATCAGAGTTTGTCCCGAGTTCTGATGGATCCCGATATCCAAGGACTTGCTCATGCGATAAAAGTGTACCATGACCCAGGAAAATTAGGGTTTTACTGTAATATACTAAAGCCTTTCAAAGGATAGAGAGTCTACCCACCCCCTTTAATTTGCCTTTTGCTGGACTTGAAGACGGGGAAATGAGATCATGTAAAAGGCTGCGAACCACCATCTCCCAGAAGACGACCCGCCATTTTGAGGCGGTTTTGACGTCCGCCTCGCCGGTTATCATAGATTAGTAAGTGTTAGGTGCCATTGTTGATAGTAGATGTGTTCTGCAGATGAGCTTTGGGTTGATGCTGGTATCCACAGGCGGTTTCTTAAGACGACAGTCCTTTTATGGACTCATCGATGGTGCATATGAGGGCTATCCTATCCTGCATGGTAGAGTGCTCAGATGCCGATCTGAATGTGAAGGGATAAGGTTGCCGAGGCTCTCCTTGTACTCCCAACACCCTGTCCAGGCCACACTATGGATGTAGATGAGTGATCATTTCGGGGACCGAAGATACATGGTCGAATAAATCCGCCTCTCCGCATTCAGCCCGTTCAGTCCTGTACCCTTGTGTCTGATCTACCCCCAAAATTTACATCTCTGTTCGACGTTCCGATTTCGTGTAGCATAGAGCCATAGAGAAACCACGCCTTCGTCATGTATGTCTCGTTTCCGTCAAACTAGGGCGAGGAGGACCGTCCGACACAACGATCAAGGCAAGGAGTCGACCGAGCGACGCTTGGAAGCAGCCTGCGGGCAATTACCGCATGAAAGAGGTAAAGGTAATTGATAAATTTGTTTTACCCTATACGCGAGGATAAGGTTGAGGCACATACAGCGCTGTTGTCAGCGGTTATGCCTGCAACGTGCATATCACGTACGCAACGAGACGCACAAAAGGGCACTGCAGCACCATGTCGCTCAACTAGAGTCTGCTCCAGACCAGACAGCGCAGGCCGTCATATCGTCTACGCATATCGTGATTGGTTCGGGAGTCCTGACTCGACGCCTGCATATTGTGGGGCGTGTCCATGATATGGTCATGCCGTGCTTTGATTTGGCGCTATATTGGGACAGCCATCAAAAGCTCGCTGTCAACTTACAGGTACGTCAACCCTGTTGGGGGCTCTGTTCCTCTGTCTTCCACCGAGTTTCGTCCCCACATGGTTCTTTCATGTCAATTAGCTATATATAGCAGTTTCCCAGCTAGATACCCTTTTTAGTCTGAATTCTTGACATCTGTAGCGATAGCTTAGTTCTCTCCAGAAACTGTTGCTCTCTGTCGAACCTTCGCTGGAAGTGCAGACACTGTAGGACAAAAGGCCCACCACAGTAAGTGAACAAGGGGAATCGGGGGTGTCAATCGACCCTCTTGACTGGCGCATATTGACTTGAAGCTCAACTATAGAATCTGGCGTGCAACAGCGATTAATGTCCGGGCCTTTGTAGATCAATTGAGAATATCAAGTCTATACTAAGGGTTGCTGATACTTAATAGCTCCTGCGTGCCCCTTCAAGCATTCAGGCGCCTTTTTGCCTCCTTCTATCTCTCATCACGCGACAAACTATCACATCTTTGTCTGAAAATTGCTTGTACACCCGGCTTCATAACAAGCGGCCCGACTGCCCCCCCGATATTCCATGTTTAAAGCTCGGCGGGGTTGGCACGCGCGACATTGAGTTTGGGGCCAGCAGAGGAAAAGGATCGTCCCGAGATACGTGAGGTTTCGTTGGCCTTCGTACTGGAAGCCGAAGAGTATGTTGCTTGGTAGTGTTTTAATCTGGTCGATTTGAGGGGAAACCCACGCTCGCAAGACATTGATTGCGCTTTCGATCGAAGCATCTGGTCATGACGTGCGTGGACAAATGATAACTGTGCTTCTTTTGACGGCACTTGTGAGCAATGTGGACTCAATCAGGCACCAAAAATGTAGCAGCTTTGGTCGAAAAGGGAATATGGCTGCGGTATAGCCCTGGGTTCAGGCGGAGGGAGGTACGTTGAAATCGCAGTCGAATCGTCATCGTGGAGGTCCTGCTCTACGAGCCGGACTATATTATACCGCATGTATTTATGGCGTCTATCTTGTAATGTTTGTTCTGTCTATGTAGTGACTACAGCTTCCCCTCCCCTCTCCCCTTGCCATTCCTCGCTGGGTCAGCCACCAACGCGACCTGCGTACTCGTCGCAACCAGCGCCCCATCCTGATCAAGAATAAGCACCTCCAAATCCGCACGACTCCCCCGAACCATCCTCGTGACAACCCGTGTATGTAACCACTCCACCCCTTCACGTGGGAGCCTGCTCTTTAAATCGAAATTCATCGTCACAGTCGGATACCAGAACTGCACGAGTGCTTCTCCCGTCGCAACCTTATTCCCATCTCCTCCTTTGGCATTACCTCCAGTGGCACGGAGAACCGCCGTTTCCTCCATCGCCCCCAATCGATCCAACGCCGCAGGAAATATATCAGCAAGGTACACGACAGCCTCATTCGACCAGCGCGCCGGCACTCCCCCCGGCGCAAACCGTGACCATTGATCAACCACCTGCTTCGCACGCTCCTCGGTCGTCTTCGGGCGGAGTATCGATGCCGGGCTATGTGCCTGGACATGCTTCGCTGCGTGTAGCATTGGAGTAGCCACGGGCCCGGCTTTCCATTCCCCGTCGACTCCATTCTCCCCTAGTGATTTGAAGTCAATCGCTCCACCCGCTAGCGAGCCCGGTGGCGGAGCAGGACTCAAGTCCCACGTCGCCGTCACCGCGGGACCTTCCTCGGCTGCTGGAGGACTAAGCGTAACGTACGCGAGGACTTTGACCTCAAGATTATTCCTGTCCAAGGATTTGAATGCCGTACCTGTCGCTGATGCAGCGGCAGCCCCGCGCTCGTCGCGCGCTTGCGAAAGCGTGACTTGGACTGTACTGACTCTGGCGCCGAGCTTTATTTCCTGCACGGAGAGAATCGCAGGCCCGGCGAATGTTCGTCGCTGGAAGGTGATTTGGAGACCGATGGGTTCTTGAGGGGGTTGCTGTTTGTGTCCGCGTGCGTTAGAAGCACCAGCTCTGGCGGCCTTTTGTACAAAATGCGTTGTGGCTGTGCGGTAGAGAACGCTTGCGGTGTAGCCGCCATGGGGAACTGTCCGCACAGTCAATTCGGGTTTTCCCTGCGATAATGCTCGAGGGGCGGAATCACTAATGTATCCCAGGCAGCTAGAGACCTACCCTGTCCGATACACCACGACGGATCGAGATGCGCCGAGTATGTATTCGTGTCGATTGGCGTTACATGTATCGCTTTCTCGAAAGTCGTTGAATGGGCCGGTGCGGTCATCGTTTGTGGTGGTCTATTGCGGGAGGGGGCTTAGAAACATGGTAACGACTGGGAGGGAACGCGTCTGGTTTTGACGTGTTCAGGAAGTATCGTAAGCGTATTCGCAGATGTCCAGGCGAGGCATTGCGCTGTGAGCCGAGGCACCCTGCGTGATCACTCATCATTGCCGTGCATCACTAATCACGTCAAAAGCCAAGCAATCCAGATGTGGCACAGAAGAACTGGGGCGCGGGGCCCGGTGATGTTTTGGTTACCCAAATCGTGGGACATTCCAGTGACGTCCTCCGCCAACTCCTTCCAATTCGATGCCTTAGCCACCGCATCCTCAAAATCCAAAATATACTGGCGCGTCTTGTGCAGATTAATCAGCCCATCGGCTGCTCCCGCCTGCTTATGGCCCGCAACCAATCTGTGGGTCTAATGCCTCAATCGTATTGAGTGCGCGCAGCCACTCCTCCCTTTTGGTAGTCGTGTTGGCCTCGCCATGATACTGGTGTACGTCGCCATAGATCGCGTCGGCTTCAACAACGAGCCGAATGATAGGCACATGCAGGACAGTCGTGTTGAACGTATCCATGTGTCCGGCCTCGACGACGTGGAACTCGTGGCCCTCTAGTTCAAAGGTCGAGGGACTCGTCGCCTCTGCGAGGTCCATCTCACCAACAGCCGGAATCTGTCCGCCTGGAAACAGAGCCAACCACGTCCCCTCGAAGACCTCGGGCTTGGCCTGCTCAGCTATGTGGGCTACTTTACCGTGCGTTGCGAGCGCGCGCAGATTCGGCCCCAGCTTGCGCAGCGTGGCGGTTCCGAGCCAGTGGTCGCCGTGTCCGTGGGTTATGTAGAGGTAGCGGAGGTCCTTTTCCGAGACAGTGGTTTTGATCCAGGCTGCCACCTCTTCCGTTTGCGAGATGGAGAATGGGGTGTCGACGAGGACGGCGGAGTTGGCGCCGTGGATTAGAGTGCAGGATACGGGCGAGAAGGAGCTGGGTTCATTGAGGTGTTTTATTGCCAGGGGAGACGCGAGGAGACGTGGACGTCGGCTTGAAGGATCGATGACCTATTGGATCAAGATCTGGAGAGTCGAAGTGGGAAGGTGGTGGGCAGGGTGCTCTGGTTATCCAGTATCCAAAGGCACTTCCTCACCGTGTATCCATGGGATTTCCCAGCCGCCGGACACGCGGTTGTCCCGAACGATCACCGCATCCAGGCAGCCAGTAACATCCAATACGGACCACGCACAATATATCTCAATGCACGTGCACGCAAATGCAAGCTTTAGGTTGATGGATCGCTACGGCGCGACGAGGATCAAGCTTTCCGGTGGAATTGCGAGTTGAGAGAACGACGGGCGGCCCCGACGAGTGCTTCTGGTACTGTTGGGAGATCAAGGGTATGGAGGCTCGAAAGATAATAAAATTATGGGGCAACCTTCAACCATGCGCTCCGGACATAGCTGAAGAGAAGTGTAAGCGGGGCCTTGCTCCCTGTCAGGCTGCTCATAATAGGTGTCGGACCCTCAGGCAGACCAACGAGATGCCCAAGTAGAGCGGGTGATGTGAAGGTTATTGGAAGCAGCATTTGCTTAAAAATGTTGATGAAACCCTGGTTTTGGCTTGTGGGTCGTGTCCTTCGCTCGATGAAAGGCCGATATTTCTGGCCTGAAGGCAAACGGCCCATTCCACACTGTGATACGAGTGAGATGCATGCCACAGCCAAGGCCTTGGCCAGAAAATTGCCATCGCATGATCGAATGATGATTGAAGGAGTATCTTAGCGCAGGTCGGTTTTGAGGCTTCGGCTTGGGCTTGGGGTCCAAGTGTCGACGGAGCCCCTCAATCCCGATACGCTTACGACTGCAATGAAAGGCGACGCAGTATATATCTTGTGAGACCCGACCGTCTGGGAGAAGGATAAGTTGCTCCGCGCCACGTTTTTCTCGTCGATGACTGATGACTTTTTGTTTCTATCGCCGATAGCGATGATCATGAACTGGGTAATTGCCCGGTCCATCGCGGTGGTGCTGGGATTGCTTCCCGGTATTCCTCTTCCGCCGCTCAGATTATGACGGGCATTGCTAACTATCCTAGGCGCAATGGCGCAGAACTCTTCAACTTGCAGTGGCTTGGGAACGCAACCATACTATCAACAGACAGGCCGATGTTGATGAGCTGGTTGAAACAGGCTGTACTGAGCTGAATGGGCAGATTATCATCAACCAGGCATATAGCGGGCCCTTGACGTTCCCAGGTCTGACGAACATGACAGGCGGGGGTATCGAACTGGAAGAGGGCTCTTGGGTGACGTTGATTGACTTTCCTGATCTGGAAGCGGTAGGTCAAGTGCCCTTTTCCATGTTAGCTGTCCTGGAGCTGACCTGATCAGCTCGAAGGATCTCTAAAATTGAACGCAGGGCCTGCTCTGGAGAAGGTCTCGATGCCAAAGTTGAAAGACTCTGAGACACTGTTTGGACGGTTTCCGCTTGACGTCGACTTGAACTTCCGATCTTTGACGTCAGTCAATGGTTTGGACATAATAATCGGCAACTTCACAAGGTACTCGGTGAAACAGCCAACCGTGACAATCAGCTCAATGTGCTAACATGTCCCTAGTTTGCAATTCGATTCGCTAGAGACCGTTTCTGGGGTACTGCAAGTTTGCAATAGCGAGGACTGCGACTCCAAGGCGTTTCCAGCACACAGTACCATGTATATCTCGCTCCCCGCATTGGAATCGCCCACTCGTTCCATGTGGAGGGAAGGGCATCGCAGTACGTTTGCATTCCTATGAGGCGAACGACCATCACCAGAGCCTATGGCTAACCGATCATAGAATTTCAGTCCCAAAGTTGAATTCTATTGTCGGCATGGATTCTGCTTCGAGAATGGAGCAGGCGGCCACAGCGTTGGGCCTTGTGATTGATTTGACAGGCCCAGTGAGCATTAACTTGCCGGAGATAACTCGGATCGAGCCTCTGGCGGCAATCGACAAAGAAATAGCGAGGTAGGAAGCTCTATCCCGTCCATACACTTAGGCTAACAACCATAATCAGCCTCAACCTGGACTCGTTGAGAACATAGCCCGGGCAAGGCCTCACACTGCACTCAGATGCAACGCTGAGCCTTGAACTACCAGTCGACGAGTTGCTAGCTCCTGGATTGATCCTTTCCGGGCGGATTAGCAGGTATGTTCCTTCAGCATCGCAATTCTCCTAGAATCGTTTCACTCACCATTTCCAACAGCATCCGCCTACCCAATCTGAGTCACGGCTTTTTCAACATCACGTCAGAGCTCGAACTAGATTGCGAATCACTCATTGATGGTGTCGTTGCGAAATCCGGAAACGAGGCGATCAGGGCAAATGTCCACTGCACCAGCGCTGATAGCGAGAGCTCAGCTCAGAATGATGACGGTGGGATGGACGTGGGATGGCGGGCAGGACTATCGGTCATTATTGTTGCGGCGATTGCTCTGCTAACCTTTCTGGGGCTCTGGGTTTATAAGAGGCACAAGAGGATCGTGCAATCGAAAGCTCTGGCGGAGGAGCGTGAGCTGGGGACTGCTGTTTCACGGCCCCCTGCACGAGTTCCTGCCCCGGACGCGGTAGATGACATCGCACCTCCTCCTTATACTGTGCCGCCGCCGTATACTCCGCGGTCGGAGGTGGGGTAAATCTTGGTTTCGACTGAATTTGTATAGAGCGACTCAATGGGAAAATATCCTTGGCATGATTTCTTGATCACAAAAGGATCTGACATGTGTTTGTGTTGTGGATGAGATGCGGACAATTCGCCAAGACGAAGCACAAAGGGGTGGCATAAAGCGAGATGACTCAGCACATGTGCCTTGTGAGTGCGGCTCGGGCCACAAGACCACGCTAGTCTTGAAAAGGGAATCCGTTTGTCGCCCGGCGCCCCGTCGCGTTGCTGTTGCCCACCATTTGATGATCCGACTCGACGCGACTGCTTCACACGTTGAGGATCCTGCGATCAACATAGACTGCTGCCTGGTCACTATTTTTGCTCTCACTATTATTAGCATCTGTGAGGGGGAAGGACTCCGAGCAGATTCTGATCTGTGGATGGTAGTTTCAGGAAGCGCCGTGGTGGGGTCGCGCCCTGCACTAACACATGGACTGACAAAGGCGCTTAGTAGCTCACAGACAACACTCCTGTTCCTTTACCAAACAGGCCAGCTCAAAGCAGGACCATTGTTTGCAATGCTTTGTGTTCTATTGTGAGACAGTCGAGGGGTTGCGAAGCTTCCAGCATGAACCAGAGGACAATGAATACGAGCCGCGGCGAGCAAAAGAGCGTTGAATGGTGAATGTCTCGAGAGCAGCTGCGTCAAGGATTCTCCAATCGACTTTGGAAGTCGGTTTCAAGGACAATGACCTGTCAGACACTTTCTTCAATGACGCAAGCGCCTATTGGCTGACTCCTGCGACAGGCGATTCGCTCCGGGGCTGAGCGTCGGGCGCTTCTCCCATGACTTCCGGCATCAGCCTTGCTCGGGCAAAGATATAACCTCGCGGAACCCCGCTCCCAAACTTTACGCGCCTCTGCTGATTTTAACACCTTTATTTCGTCATGTTTTTTGTCTTCTTAAACCCTTCTACCTTTTAATCTATCGAAGACTTTCCCTTAATCTAATCATCCACACGATGCCGCAGAGCGGCAGAGACGATTCATGGCTCCGTGCCTGGTGCACGAAACTCAACGTCCCAGTAGACGATTTTCGACCCCTTCTACCGTTATCATCCACCTACGTTGCCACGGCGCGGAAAGAAGACGAAGACCAAGCCAACCTTCTCCTCGCGCAGGCGTCCGAGATCCGAAGAACCGGGGAAACCAAGATCGCAGCAGCTGGGAAGATAAAGAAGGACAAATGGGCATATGAGGACTACTGTGGTGTTCTGACTGAGCTCGTCAACGGCTCAGGCTCAGCTCGCGTGGCGGAGAGCATCTGGAATAGCTTCCAACTGCAGAAGCCCAAGAAAGCGAGGACTGGCCGATTCGCCCGCCGGCAGCAGGCTGCAGACGAGGAGACCGACGATTTGCTATTCAACTTTCTTTGTAGCACTATGCGATACAAGCAGACGGATATGTTCCACCTCTTCGCCCATTGCGCGAGCACTGACGTCGTCAACCGCATCCTCCCAACCGCCCTCCAGATGCGAAGCTTCAGAAGCGCACAGGTTCTGTTAGAGGAAAACGCAGACCCGAATGCGAGCTCCGACGAATTCATAGGCCTTGTTCGAGCTGGTGAGGAAGAGTTTGTCCGTCTCTTGCTTCAGGCACAGATCCCCGTCGAGCTCGCTACGCTTACTTCTGCCCTCCCCGATGCCGTCCAACGCGGAAGTGCCACAATCGTCCACCTGCTCCTCGCCCACGGCGCCGATGCGAACGCACATAGTGGTCTTGCGATGGAAAAGGCAGTTCGGTCGAAACGTACCGATCTTATCCTCTCGCTCCTGATGTCTCCGAACCCGCCATTACCTCATACCCTTGCTCCCATCGTTGCCTATGTGTTCTTCAAAATGGACGTTCCCGACAACGAGAAATACCTCCTGATCGAACTTTTGCTGAACGGAGGTGCGTCTGGCGACAACGTGTCACTTGCACTGAACGGGGCGGTACAACAGGGCTGGAGGGAAATGGTCCAGCTACTTGTCGATAACGGGGCGTCTCTCAACCATAACGACGGGGAGGCGTACCGGAATGCTGTCCGCGCGGTAGACCTAGAGACAGTCCGTATTTTGAATCAAGGAAACCTCGATGACGGTTTAGCCACTGACATTTTCGGCGAAATCGCGACAACGAAAACATCGAACTCTCTATCCCACGAAGACTGGCGGGCACTCGCAGAACTCTTGCTTGACCAAGGCGCCGTCGGGCATGTTGTAGACCAAGCCCTCATAGACCGAGTTAAAGCCGGCGATTTAGGAAGCGTGCGGATGCTCCTTCGTCACGGTGCATCGGTCGACTACGAAGACGGACTTGCCCTTGACTGTGCAGTTATGGCCGAGGATGAGGAGTTCCTGGATAGTCTTTTGCAGCAGCAACCTGCCGTTCAATCGGTCAATTCAGTCTTCCCACGAGTTGACAAACTCTCACACGGTGTACAATTACGCTTTACTCGCAAGCTTCTCGATGCTGGTGCAAATGGCACTCCAGTTGACATGGTCCTCAAGTCAGCAATGAGCCGGCCAGTCGGTGCACGAGACAAGGAGATGATTCAACTTCTAGTCGACCGGGGCGCGGACGTTACTCAGGGTGATGGAGTCTTGCTCCGCTCAGTTGTTGGGTCATCCGAGGATGATATCTTGCAAATCCTTCTCCTTGGATTCCCCTCGCCTGCGGATTTGGCATCTTGCGTACCGCTCACAATGAGTCTTAGCGAAAGCCAACGATACAAGATACTGCACATGCTTCTTCACAACGGCGCAAGAGGAGACGAGGTTTCTCAAGCTCTTATTGATAGCATCGATGGGACAGCCTCTGGGTGCCAACTCGCCTCGTTATTACTCACGACTGGAGAGGCCAGCACCGCGTTCGATAACGGAAAAGCATTCAAGAAAGCGATTAGTTCGACGAACATTGAGTTCCTTGAGCTTCTCGTCCAGTATAACCACCTCACCGAGGCCGACTTTTGCTCTTGCCTCCTGGTTGCGCTTGACCAGCCCAGAGGAGATAGCGCCCGGATGGAAAAGATCCGCATTCTGCTTTCCAGCGGTCGGGACATGGCTGGAGATACGGGAACAACGGCACTTCGACATGAGATGCAAGGACTCAAGCGGCGAGGTGAAGCGACGCTCAGTGTCCTTCATATGTTACTCGAGGCAGGAGCAGATGTCAACAACCAACAGGGCCGCATCCTCTTGGACGCTATCGAGATGAATATGTTTGAATGTTTCAAGCTGTTCCTTGCTGGCCATCCTTCTTTCCAAACTCTCGAATTCGCTTTCGACAAGGCCCTCGTTACCGCTTTCCGCACGGCTGACCTGCGATACCTGCAACAACTGCTAGCTACTGGTATACCACAAACGACATTGGACAAAGCCCTGCTTCGGACCACTGAGGAAGAGAACAATGAGGAGCTGGTTCTTCTTCTTCTCAAGCACGGAGCCTCCGTCAACTACCAAGAGGGAGCTTGTGTGCGCAAAGCCATTTCGCGACTTGACCTTATCCTCCTCGTACATCTTCTCCACCACGAACCCAACACCGTAACCCTCAACAGCGCATTCGCACTCAGCATGACCCTTCAAGATTCCCGAATTAAATACGAGTCCTATCGAATTCTTCTTAAGACCGGACCCATTCCGAAGCGACTCCTCGAAGAGGCTCTTGTCTCCGCTGCTGATGGAGGATGGGCGATGGCTTCAATTTGTGAACTCTTGCTTGAGAACCGTGCCTCGCCTAGCTACGCTAACGGCGCTCCGATTTGTCGTTCGATCAAATCTGCCCATTACAGAGTTGAAATGACAAAGCTCTTTATCCGATTCGGTGTCACGGAAGAAGCTGTCGCTGCGGCATTGGTTGCTGCATTCGAAAGCCTTCAGAGTGAGACACGACTGTCTACCATGGAGCTTCTCCTCACGGCAGCGAAACCGCAGCTGACCCTTGACCAGCTCCTGCTGAAAACCGTAAGTTCTGATCGTATCGTGCTCAGTACACTGCTAACAGTAATAGGTAACTGCACCCTCATGCGACCGTAGACTAGCCAAGTGCTTGCTGAAAGCGAACGCGTCTGTCCTCTACCAGGGGGGCGAGTCCATCCTCCACACAGTAATGTGCAATGACGTCGAAACGCTACGTCTTCTCGAACCTTATTTCCATGGCCACTGCGGCGTTTCCGAAATCTTCATGACGGTTTGGGGTAACGGCAAGCGAGCAAACTCGCATCTTGAAGAGGCAGTCTTGTCACTCTTGCTGAAAGCCGGTGCTACCGGTGAATGCATCAGTATGGCGCTTTTGGAAACCATCAAGACGGTCGCAAATACGCCCGCCGGATTTGCCTTCATCACCAACCTTCTGAAAGCGGGCGCTGATGTGAACTACAACGAGGGCGCCAGCTTGTTGGAGGCGTCGACACGAGGCGATCTCCGCGTGCTCAAGGAGTTACTCGCATACGGCCCTCGAAGAAAGAATATGACCCGCGCGTTTCCACTCGCCTTCAGGTCTGGTACCGACAGTCGCTCCATTCGCGAGATTGTTGTGGCCTTCTGCTCACACCCGTCCGCACCTGATCTTACCTACGAGCATCCAACCCACGGACCAATTCTCTGGCAGCTGCTGCAGGCCTATCCGGATGAGCGCGAGCTGCTTCAGTATCTGATCGACAAGAAGTGCTCAGTGGATCCGGTAATTAAAGCAGCACTGCCGCTGTCACCGGGTGAAGAGAACGTGTCCTTGCTCTGCTGGGCTCTAGCCAAGGAGCAAAGCGTACTCGACGAGGACATTATAAAGACCCTGGTTGCTTCAGGAGGTAAGTCGCCTAACTCTACTTTGTCTTTCCATGCTGACGTATCTAGCCAGCGTCAACTTCCAGACAAGCCTGTCGCAAAGCACTCCTCTACAGTTAGCGATCCTTGGCTCCCGTAGCAAGTCGGTCGCTACCCTTCTACACTTTGGCGCCGACCCCTCTCAAGAGTCATCCAACGGCATCTCGCCGCTCTCTCTCGCAGCATCCATCGGGAGTAGTTCAATTGTCCGTCAGCTCCTCAAGGCCGGCGCGGCGCCCGGCGACGGAAGTCTGCATGAAGCGGCGCGGATGGTCAACGTCAGCGTGCTTCAAGTCCTCCTCATCGAAGGCAAGCAGCGCGACTATCCATGCTCAAGGTTCCAAGGAAGAACCGCACTCGCTGAACTGTGTCTGATGGCCGGAAACAAGCCAGTGAGCCAAATCAAGGCGGCCATGGGCTTGCTAAAGGCGGCGGGTGATGTCAAGCGCAAGTCCAAGGGCAAGTCGGTGCTCCATTTTGCGCTTGACAATGCGAACGCGATCGTCGTCACGCAGGCACTGCTCGATGTGTTCATGGCCGAGTACGTCAACAGAGACTTTAATCTTTTTGAGGACGGTCGATTCCGATATTCACCTCTCGCATATGTTGCCAAGGGCCTGAATAAGGCGCCCCCGTCTCAGCGCGCCGAACTTGTCGATCTTCTCATGGAATTTGAATGCAAAGAGCGCTTCTGGGCAGTCGAAGGCGAGCAGCCTGAAGACATGGTCGGTGCCCCTGACGAAATCATCCGAGCCATCAAAGCACAACGCCAACGCCAGGAGCGCATCCAAGAGGAACAAGAAGACCACCACCGTCGACTCATGCAGCGACGCGCAGAACAGGCGGAGGAACTCGCAGCACTCAAAGCGCGTCACGACCTCAGCCTCGAAAACCAGCGAGAAATCGCCACCGAAACCGCCAAGATTGAATCCGAGACCGCAACCCGGCATGCAGGCATCGCATCCCAGCGGTACGACGCTGAGCTCGCCTATATGCGCCAGGTGACCGATCTCGCGAACAAACGCAAAGACGACGCAAACTACCGCGACTTTGAGCACCGGCGTAACCTCGCCCTCATGGAGAAGACGCAGCGCGATGAGAATTACGCACACGAGAAGCAGCGACGCGACGAGGAAGCGAGCTTCATTCAGCGCCGCGAGAGACTACTCACCTCGGGCTACGAGGATCGGGCAAAGATCGATAGTCAACGGTATGCGGACCAGATGCGGCTCTTTGAGTCGCAGAAGAACATCATGCAGATGAACTCGCAGCCGCGGCCAGTGCAGACGCCCCGTCCGGTCCAGGCACTCACGGATGGGTCCGAGCTGGACTGACGTGACGTGGCAGGAATGAATTTGTAAGATTTAGGCGTCCCTTTGGATATCAGGTATCTATTTTTTTATTTTATTTTTTTCTAGTTTGTAGCGAATACCATTTATCGTTTTGTTCTTGTATTCTCTTAATTCGTCACATGATTGTTTCCTAGGTTACGATCTGATGCAGCTCTGTAGGTGTACGTATACTCTCAACATATATATTCTCCACAGCCCCTCCATCACGGCTCACTGTGTGAACCCCTCTACTCATTCCCCATTCCCCAAACCCAAAGACAATAATCCACCCTAAAACCATATGCAAAATGTCCAGGCCCTCAACCCCCTCTCCATCCCCAAACCCCACCCTCGACACCATAATCTCCTCCCTCAAAACCGGCGCCACAAAAAACATCCTCATCCTCTCCGGCGCCGGCCTCTCGACCTCCACGGGCCTCCCCGACTTCCGGTCTCCAGACACAGGGCTCTACGCCAGACTCTCGCCTCTCCAACTCCCCTACCCAGAGGCAATTTTCCACATCTCCTACTTCAAACACACCCCCGAACCCTTTTACGCGATCGCGCGCGCGCGACATCCTAGAAACGCCGTTCCGAGCATCGCGCATGCGTTCATTGCCCTCTTAGAGAAGAAGGGGGTACTACGGTTCGTGGTTACGCAGAATATCGACGGGCTCGAGATCGACGCGGGCGTTTCGAGGGAGAAAGTCCTCAACGCGCATGGGTCTTGGAAAACGCAGCGGTGTCTCAAGTGTCGCGTTCCCTATCCGGATGCGAGGATGAAGGACGCTATTCTCGCGGGCGAAGTGCCCATTTGCGATCGGGATGGTTGCGGCGGGACAATCAAGCCGGATATTGTCATGTTCGGCGAATCTCTACCGAGGGAGTTTGATGATGTTGAAAGCACAATTTTACCGGAGGCGGATTTGCTGCTTGTTATGGGGACGAGTCTCAAGGTCGCTCCTGTTTCGGAGTTGCCGCGCAAGGTTGGCGCTTCTGTACCCAGGGTCCTGATTAATAATGAGTGCGTGGGTGATTTTGGGAGTCGAGAAAGTGATGTTCTTCTCCTTGGAGGATGTGATGAGGGTGTCCGCGAGATCGCGAGGAGGTTGGGGTGGGAAGAGGAGTTGGAGGCGTTGCATCGAGAGGCGGTCGAGAGGAAGGAAAGGATTACGAGGGAAGAGGGGTGGGGTGATCAGGAGGGACCGAGTCTCGATGAGTGCATTGCGAAGGCCGCGGAGAGGATGAAGGTGCGCATGGGGGTTTCGGAGGGCCATCGGCGGATGCTAGAGGGGCATTTGGGGGAGAAGATGTGGGGGATTTTGCGGCGGGATACGTAGATTATTCCGAATTCAAGGATGGAATGGAATGAGAGTGCTGGTGATATCAGGTTAGGGTTGTGGTTGCGGCTGTGGCTTCCTGGAGTATCGTGGTAGGAACCTCTATAACCAAACTACCAGGTACCCCACAAAGCGAAAAAGAGCCTCAAAGATGCCACGCGGCATATCAAGAATAATGACATAATCATGCTTCTGGATCGACGCCGTCAGGCACCAAGCTTTGTTGTTCTCCAGTAACAAGGACCTTGGGGTTAGCATCAAGCTTGTGTTGACGGCGGGCGGGATCAGCGCTGCCTTGACTCACGTCTCGTATACAAGAGGCCACCGTGGCAATCCTTCTTTCCCCAAACAATCTCGTACAGAAAGGAGCAAATAGGTGGTGTGCCTACCAGGCACCATAAATAACCCCGAGAGTTAAAAGAAAGGGGCCGAGCAACGTCTCCGACCCAGTTGATACGATTCATCTCAGGTGGTATTTGTAGGGGTAGGCAGAAGCCAACATGAATAGTGAGACACACACACACCCTCTTCCCTCCTCGAGACTAAAGATCGCTGATCTCTACATCAGCAATAGCAAAATGGCTCTTCGGCATCAAAGACTACCGCGTCCTCCTCCTCGGCGACGACAGCAGCGGCAAGACAACCCTCCTGTACCGACTGAAATTCGACTCGGTCCCTGTGGACCCGATCCCGACGCGGTATTTCGAGGCTGAGTGGGTGACGTACCCGGCGACCTCTGAGTGGTACATTTGGGAAATGAGGAGTATGTCTCGCCCCCGCCATCTTTTCTTTGTTTACTGCCCGCTCGCTCGCTAGCGAGTGTCTGTCTACACGTGCTATGGATGAATGAGATTGAGCTACATACTAACGCGCGCGCAAAGCGAACCGCGAAATGCAACCCCTGATATTCCGCGAGCTGAACCCTTCTCTGCTGGTCCTCTGGCTGCACGACTGTACGAGGAATGAAGATGGTGTCCCGGATATGTTCGAGCGGGTGCTTCGTGAGATGGTTCGGGCCGGATGCCGGTTTATCTGGGTGGGGCTGAACAAGCAGGATGATCCCGGTGTGGACTCAAACACAGTGCGAGATGCGCGGCAGATGTACGAGGAGGTTTTGCTCAAGTACAATGGGAAGATCAGTTGGAAGGTCTTGACGCATAAGTTGAGTGGGAAGACAGGGGAAGGCGCAATCGAGGTTCTCGATGAGTTTCATGAGACGGTGCGGAGGGTGGGTTTGATTCAACGGAGTGAGGCGGCGCATCAATCTGACAAGGAGAAGGAATCCCGTGCAAAGCAGGAGCCTCGTCCGGATGCAGATCTGTCGACTGAGCAGCTGCATACGAGGTTGGAAGAGCATATCGCTCGAGACACCCTGTCCGCAGATGCCTTCTGGACGGCGTTTCTCGCTGGAGAACTAACAGACTGGAATCACTACAGCTACCTGCGCGCGATATACTTCCTGATCCTCGACTCGAAGAACAAGGGCGACGTCTACGCGATAGGCAAAGAAGTCTCCAAAGCCCTAACACGCTTCAAAGAAACATCCCCACACCTATCCTCCGACATGCCGCCGCACTTCAGCGTGACGCTATCCACATTCTGGACACTGCAACTCGAACGCACAATCCAGCTCTACCGCAAGTCCACAATGAGCGAATTCCTCCCCTCGCGAGAGGACTTCGCCCACGTCCTCCGACACACCCCCTTCCTAATGAACAGACACCTCTGGGTCGCGCACTTCCGCAACGACCCAGATAAGCGCACAGGCAGATCGCCCGATTTCTTCCACAAGCCGGACCTGCGGCCATTGAATATGGAGACAGAGTACCTCGCTGACCCCGCGACGCTCCCGGTTCCAAGTACGGGGCCCGATCGGTTGCTGAGGTATGCCTTCAGCGTGATGCGGCACTTGCGAAAGAGTGGGACGACGCAGCGCGGACTCGGGATCGAGGATGCGCTTGTTTCGCTGCAGCAGGCGACTTTTCGGTCTCGGACCTTGGACGAGAGTTTGCCGTGTTATTCGGAGACGCAGGCGTATTTCTGGATTCTGGTTGTTGGTGCGGCGATGGCAGTGCTGGATGGTCTTGAGAAGAGGGAAAACGAGAAGCCCGTCGATGGGAAAAGGTTGTCGTTTTCAACATTCAAGAAAATCTTCCAGATCCGTCCTGAGCTTTGGAAGGAGTATTATTCGAAGAAGGTGTGGGAGGGGATCGGGGCAAGGTCCAAGTTTGTCATGCCGGATCGCAAGCCGCTGCCTGACGCCTTTCCATGCGATGCAGAGAGGGCGAGAGAATTATCATCGATCGATAGATCCACAGACGACGAACCGCATCTCCCTTCCTCAATCGAAGAGCGCCTCTTTCGCTTCCGCCTCCTCAAGCGCGAAATCAACGACCTTGACGTAGCTCCCGCGCTCAGCGAGGCAATCACCACGCACGGTCACCTCCTCTTCTACCTATACACAGCATTCGCCCGAAAACCGGCCCCAGAAGAGGAAGGTGAGAAGGAGACGACAACACTACTACTCGCGCACCGCGCCCGAACGCTCTTTAGCTCAATAACGGGACCGACGGTAGCCGGCGCGACAGCACGCAACTTCTGGATCCAGCAGGTGGGCGTTGCAATGTCGCATTGTGGCAGGGATCAGGGTCATTCGACATTCACCGAATTTATTACGCGCAATGCGCACCTGGTGCTAGATGATAGTCTGCCTGCTGTTTATTACTCGCCTAGGACTTGGGCGAGTGCCGAGGCGAGGGAGAGGATCGTCGCTCCCGATAGGCGGAGGATGGAGATGGTTGTTGAGTTGGAGGAGGAGGATAGGGAGGGCGAGAGTGAAGAGTGGGTGCATGTCAAGACGGGATGATGGAGATGAGTATACTGTCTCAGAATAATCTCAATAACCAAGAACATCACGGTCTCCTCCGTCTTCTGATTGCGATGGCGATTGCAATTCCAACTGGCATTGCACGCGATAGCAGTCATCCAGCCATCCAGATGATAACATCTGCCCTAAGAGCTCCTCACCAGCGTCAATTGGCTGGTAGTGCAGCCCCTCTTCTTGGCTGTAACCCCAGCTCCCCCCGGCACGCGAACCAGCGAGCAGAGCACCCGCGCCTCCACCATTTCTTATCTGCGTCCGCGCTCTTGGCCCTGGATCATGCAGCGCCAAGCCGCGAGTCCCAGGCACGCGATGTAACTCGAGGCGGATTCGCGCTTTTGGGGAGTGATCGACGGGAGACACCATTGTGCAGTGGTGAGTGGCGTGGCGTGAGGGGGAGGGGAGACTGCAGGCTGCGAATCTGCGAGTGAGATGCGGAGCTCATGCCCAGGTTATAAAAGGGCGATCGTCGCTCCCGAGATGAGGACAAAGAAGTCTAGTGCAGGCGTGTTTGCTTTTTCTTCTTTCAGTTCACGATGAAGTCCCTCGCTCTCCTTGCCTCCCTTGCCTCCCTGGCACCCCTGGCCCTCACTGCGCCAGAGGCGTCCTGGAAGAAGCTGGTTACTCCGGTGTGTCTCCGTCTTTCCCCCTCACTCACCGAACCCAGTCGCAATTTCAATTCAATCGCAATTGGCCCGACCCCAAGTCTAACAACCCCCTAGGAAGCCCTCCAAAAGCAAGTCCGCCTCTCAGACCTCCTCGAAGGCGCCAAGCAGCTCGAAGAATTCGCCTACGCCTACCCCGAGCGCAACCGCGTCTTCGGCAGCAAAGCGCACAACGACACGGTCAACTGGCTGTACCGCGAGCTCAAGCGCACGGGGCACTACCATGTCTGGAAGCAGCCGCAGGTGCACCTCTGGAGCGACGCGCAGCAGTCGCTTGCTGCCAATGGGGAAGATTATGAGGCGACCGCCATGACATATACACCCAGCACGGAGGTCACTGCTGAGCTTGCTGTCATTGATACGCTTGGCTGCAGTGCCGAGAATTTCCCCGCTGATGTCGCGGGGAAAGTTGTCCTCGTGCAGCGCGGCGAGTGCACCTTTGGTGAAAAGTCTGTGTATGCTGCGCAGGCTGACGCCGTCGGGACAATCGTTTACAACAACGTCCCTGGGTCACTATCGGGAACACTCGGCGCAGCAGAGAGCGAGCTGGGCCCCTACTCGCCCATCGTCGGCGTCAGCCAAGAAGTCGGCGAAGCCCTCCTCGCCCTTGCTGCCGAAGGCACCGTGACCGTAGACCTGGTCATCGATGCCAGGCTGGAGAACCGAACAACATACAACGTCATCGCGCAGACCAAGACCGGCGACCCAGACAATGTCGTCTCGCTAGGAGGACACTCCGACTCTGTCAACGCCGGCCCCGGAATCAACGATGACGGCTCGGGCATCATCTCGAACCTCGTCATCGCCAAGGCGCTCACGCGCTTCCGCACCAAACACGCCGTGCGCTTCTTCTTCTGGACCGCCGAAGAATTCGGCCTCCTGGGCTCCGACTACTACGTGTCCAGCCTGACCCCTGAGGAGCTCGCCAAGATCCGCCTGTACCTCAACTTTGACATGATCGCCTCGCCCAACTACGGCATCCTGCTGTACGACGGCGACGGGTCCGCGTTCAACCTGACCGGCCCGCCGGGCTCCGACTCGATCGAGAAACTCTTCACAGACTACTTCGCCGACCGCGGCGTCGGCTCCGTCGAAACCGCCTTTGACGGGCGCTCCGACTACGAAGCCTTTATCCTCAACGGCGTCCCCGCCGGCGGCGTCTTCACCGGCGCCGAGGGCCTGAAGAGCGAAGAGGAAGCCGCGCTGTGGGGTGGGGAGGCGGGCGTGTCGTACGACGTCAACTACCACCTGGCGGGCGACAACTTTGAGAATCTGAACCACGAGGCGTTCCTGCTCAACTCGCAGGCGACGGCGTTCGCGGTCGCCACGTATGCGAATGATCTCTCGAGTATTCCGGCGCGGAGTCCCGTGGGTGTTGTCAAGAGGGCGGCGCATCATAAGCGGGCGGTGTTCCATAAGCCTGGGAAGAGGAGCCCGAGTCATCGCCATGGGACTGGCTGTGTGCATGATCGGGTTGCACTTTAGATGGCGATGGCCTGTTTGTATCCATGTAGCATGCCTACCTTGGGGTTGCCCTGTGAATGAGGTGATATATGAAAATGACCGACAAGAACTCATGACCGTGACATGATGCGATGTAATGCTTCTCTTCCAATATGGCAGGGAGTATACTGTGCGTGATCCTAGATAGGCTTTCCAGGCATATCTACTCTAGAATAAACATCGCAGGCTGTTGCTCGAATACGGGAACAGTTGTATCTATTCTGCAGACAAAACCGGTGAACTAATATCCGTACCTTCCTTTCCTTCATTTGCCTCATTCTCCCTTTCGCCTTGCCTTGGGGATCAAAGAGCATTCCCCCCAGCCCTCCACATTTTATCTCAATACGCTCTCACAGCCGCCAAATCCTACCTTTGGGGAATCCATAAACATATCAATCACTCGATTCCTTCTCAACCAAACGCTGCTCCCCTCCCTTCCCAAATCTGACGCAGGACGCTTTCCGCGGTCTTTAAGTAAAGGGGCTGTGTGCACTGTGCCATTTGGCTTCTCTGGAGCCAGCCGAGGCGGAGATCTCGAGCAGTAAGCATGAAGAAGGGCGCGCCGTGAGATTCTTGGCTACGGGGTACGTGTGAAGTATTGGGAACCGAGATTTACTCTCCATGGCTAGGTAAGCATCACCCGCTACAAACGAGATCGATCAAATGGGAAGGAAAAACTGGACAAACAGCCTCACTGCCCCCGATGGTCTTTGGGATCTATGCTCCCATACCACTAAGATTGTATAGCTCAGGGCAGGTGGGTAGCGCAGCGGCTTGGCAGTGACCTTTTCGCGCTTGAAATACCCACCATACATGTTCTTCCATCGTGGTTCTTACCTACAAAACTGAGGCCGTTATAGAGCTATAGTACAATACCCTATTTGAAACCACCTACTTTCGGACGGACCACCCCCAGCTCTACAGGACTAAAGGACTAACTGGATTAGAGGGTTTAAGAGAGGGTCACGACACTCTGAACCTGGACCTGGGCTAGATGTTCAGGAATCAGGTCGAATGTAGGGTATCGCATGTTTTCCGCAATCGCGAGATTGGATTCTCAGGTCCTCACGCATCGCATCGGACCTCGCAGCCAGTAGATGCCCGCAACCAACCCCAACCCGCTTCTGGTTCCCTAGATTAGACGCTTTTCCTTCCGTGAGAGCTTCACCATGAAGAACGAGCCCATCGACAAGTCGAGGGTTGAATGGAGTCTCAATTTAAGTATTCGACGTCCGGGGTCGAGGATGTATATGCTCCTTAACGGCTGCGATGGATTCAAATTCGTTTCTGCGCTGAATATATAAATACAAATTATCCTCTCAGTCCCTGTCGCATACCGGTGCGATCAAGTCCGTCGTCAATCTCGCACGAGATATCATAAACAAACCCCCACCCGCTCCTCTTGTGTCTGGTTGGTAACATGACATCCCACACGCCGTGCCCTGTTACCCTCACCGCTTATTTTTTCCATCCGTCGCGCCTCCCGACTCAGATGCACCGCGCTCTCCAAGAGCGTCCGAGGCGTCCTTGCTTCTCTTTGGCGCACCTCTATATCCGAGACAAGCTGTCAACGTTGAACGGAGGCCATTGAGCCGGAAAGAAACGAAAAAGAAAAAAAAGAGGGGAAAAAAAGGTCAAAAGGATGAGAGAAGCGACGGACGACTCAACTCACATATTTATCAATAGCCTCAAAGTAAAGCCAAAGAGCGCGTGCCTACTTCGACGTAAGCGGGCACTCAGTCCCCTCCTTCTCAGACTTTTTCATGGCAAAGACTGCGGCGAGGAGAGCCTCGGTCCACTCGAATACGGTTGCGCTTGTGGACCATGGAGGGAGTGTTGTTACGATAGGGGCGATTGCGCAGGCGGAGGCGGAGAGGGAGGGACACGTTAGGGTGTTGGAGGTAGAGAACATGGTTAATGGCGTTTATAGGACGTCTTGTGTGATGATCGAGATGGTAGTGGACTGTGATATGGAAACTAGGCAAATAGTGGTTGGTAGTTGCAGATATCACGGTAACTGTTCATGTCTTCGCTGCTAGGGCGGAGTAGGGGCTCAGGGCCGTACCTTCCTCATGGGATCTAGTTTAATGTAGCTATAGAAGAAAGCGCAGAGAAGATATGCCTCGGGGCTCACTTACTAGATGTCCAGCTTGAGTTCTGCTGTCGAGGGGAGAATACATGGTCGTGGGCCCTAAAACAAGGAGGTATTAGGATATTCTAGGGTTGTCGGAAGTAGGGCCTGAACCATTCATCCATCTCTAGTCCCGCTTAGAGTAAAGGGTCATTTCGCCCCACATAAATGCGCACACGACTGGTGTCTCCTGTTCAGTAGAGTCAAGCTTTCTTAGTCCTGCACCGAAGGTTATCCTGCTTAAATAGTCCCTCTGCTGATACTAGCGCGTGGCACCCCCCGTAGAACTATTGCCTTTTACTATCTCCCTTACAGGAACGGGCCTCGTTCTTGCTGCCCTTGCGATTAGAAGTGCCCTCGGACAGAAGGAGGTAGGGACAGGGATTTTTGGGATCGACTAGGGCTCGAGAGTTGGCTAGGGGTAGTTATCTTGCCCGAGGCTTGCCTTACGCCTCTTATTATGCTGCACAGACGCCCTCTTAATCAGGAATAAGCAGGAATCTAGCGCTCTCTTCCCAATATAAGCGGAACAGCTTCCCTTGACTAAACGCACCCATTGTTGGTTGCACATCTCACCCCACCAGTACCTGACGTGGATGTGTATAGTGCTGATTCCAATAGGCGCAGGATTACCGCGCACAGGGCAGATCTCAAGCGGTGTAGGCTGTTCAAATATAGATGAGATATCCTAATAGTCCATTACGACTTGAGCTAGACACGGATTAGGATTATAATGTAACTGGTACAAACAACAACTTGAGGATCAGGAGCTGTTCTTTGTTTATTACTAGGGCACAAACGCATATTAGCAATGGCTTGATAAGGAGAGATCAGGCAGTCTTAATCAAAACAGGGCTACAGCAAACGACAGACATAGCACAGCATGACTATCGGCTAGGCGAATCGGAAACATCAGGCCATCTGCACGAATGTTCTATAGATAACAGCATCTCAAGCGCCTTGATTCCACTCTACAATGCATCTTACTCTTCTGCCATCCACCTCAACTCTCACCACGTCTCCAAACCTTCACCATGAACTCCACGTCGGACGCTGACCGGTTCGACTACATTATTGTTGGCGGAGGCCTCGCGGGCTCCGTGCTCGCAAGCCGCCTCTCGCACCCCGATACCAATCACAGCAGAACCAGAGTCCTCCTTGTGGAAGCCGGCCCCGATGCCTCCAAGAATGAAATTATCCCCCACGCGAGCAATACGGCCGCTCTGATCGGATCCGAGCTGGACTAGAGATATCGCATGGTTCCCCAGGGGAATCTGGACGGTCGCTGTATCAGTAACCCTGCGAGGAAATGTCTGGGAGGTGGTACGGCGATCAATGCCTGTGAGTATCTCCATGAGTCTAAATCTGACGTGATGTTTGCCCAGCCCAGGGCTGACTGAAGATGCGATGCGCATCTATGCAACAGGCGGCTAGACACGAGGCCATCATGCCGACTTTGATCAATGGGCAGACCACCTTGGCGACGAACGCTATACGTACAAGAATCTGCTGCCGTACTTTATTCGAACAGAGGAATACCATGATGCCAATGTCACGCCAGAAAGACACGAACACGGCTCCAACGGTCCCGTGTACGTGGCTACTCCCTCCTCCACCGGGCGCCGCTATCCACTCCGCGAGAAACTCGCTCAGGCCTGGAAGGAAAACAACGTGGAACCACTCCGGGGGCTCGATGGTAATGCTGGGTGCCCCGTAGGCCTGGCCGAGCTTGCAGAAAACAGACGTAGGGGGTTGCGTCAGCTCGCGAGCTCGGTATATCCCCTGGATGGCGTGCATGTCCTGACAAACACCCTCGTTAAGCACATTCTGATTGAAGAGAGTGCCACAACGTCGTCGCAGCCCACCGCCGTCGGAATCGAAACTGCAAATGGCGAGCAGTACCTGGGAGGTGAGATTATTGCTGCTGCAGGGTCCTATCGCACGCCACAGCTACTCATGCTCTCTGGCATTGGGCCGAGTGAGATCCTCAATGGCCTCGACATCCCCGTCGTCCTCGAGAATCCAGAAGTCGGTCGTAATCTCTCCGACCACCTCCAGCTCACCCAGTACTGGAGACTCAAGGACCCATCCGCGGGGTACGCTTTCGGATCGCCGAGCTTTCCCAATCACCCGGAGTATGCCCTCGGTCTACCGGTGGACTGGATGGTCACCACGGACATTCCAAAGAACGGCCTCGCCGAGGCTATCGCAGCGGACAGGGAACAGCCTGCCTCATCGCAATCTAGCCACCCGCTGTTGAGATCCGAACGTTCTGTCATGGAGCATCTGGTTGTCTACGTTGCCGCGAGCGCCGCCGATCCAGCGATTGTGCACGACGGCTCAGCTTTTCCTCGGCACAGAGACTGGCAAAGCACTCATCGCCGCCGAGACGCCGCCAGATGGGTTCGAACCTATGGGGCTAGACTCTGACGACAAGCACCTGGATGCGCGTGTGCCCCATGGAGCGTTGTATGACATTCTCCCTTACTTTCATCTTCTGACAAAGAAAGACTAGCACCCCTCCCGCTCTTACAGCTCCTCCTAGCATCCGACTGGAACCTGCTCGATGGGCAAGGTCGTCGATGCGGACTTTAGGGTCCTGGGCGTATCGAACATGCGGGTCGTCGATGCAAGCGTTATCCCGGTCCGGATTGCGGCGCACATACAGACGACGGTCTATGCGCTGGCAGAGCTGGCTGCAGTAGCGATTTTGGGGGTGGAATGAGTGTCTGTGAAGAGGTTTTGTCACCTAGGCTGTCCTCGCCTTCTGTGATGTATACAGCAAACCCCAGTACGGGAGAATCTTATGCGCAATGCATTTACTGACTCGATTCGAGCCAATCCTATCTGACTCAACCTAACCACCGTACACACAGCCAAACTCCCGCTGCACTCCTCGGCCAAATGAAACTCTTGATCCCACATTCGCCACCTCGCCACCTTGTCCCCCCTCAACTCAACGCCCACGCAGTCTCACAACACAACGCACCCATCTAGTCAATGCGAGCCCTTGGGCGGATACTCCTTGCCGTCGCGCTCAACCTTGGGGGTACAGGTGCAACGCTCGCTCTCGGGGACGGAGTCGAGGACGGCGGGGATGTGTGCGCCGCAGCCCCACCAGGTGGTTTTTTCTGCGGGTTGTTAGTAACGTTTCGAGGTTTGGGAAATAGATAAGGAGGGAAGTAGTGGGTGGCGTACGGCAGGTTGCGCAGGTTGCTTTCATGCACATTTTGGTTCTTTGTTCTGTTGGGAGCCAGAGGTTGATGGAAGAGGGAGATGAGGGGGGAGAAAGTGCAGGACGGACTGCAGGTGAAAGAACTCGAGTGGGGCTCGACTTCGCCGATTGATTTGATCCCCGAGACCCCGAGGATTCTGCGGGCGGTGATTGGCTGTTTCTCCTTGACGTCTTTGTACTCGTAGAACTCGGGCAGATCTCTTTAAAGTCTTCCTTGGTGGTTGGGAATGCTAAAAATAGCGGCCTTGAAACGGCCTTGAATGACTAACCATGCGAAGGGCAAAGACAGCTGAAACCGATCGAGGTAGTCTGGCTATGGACACGTTTGGACCCCCCCCCCGAAGACTCGTCATCAGAGACGGTGTGTTGAAAGGACCTCGTAATGAATAAAGACCAGGGGCGCACGAAATATAAACATCTCTCGAACTCGTTCCAAGGACGCATGATACATGACTCAAACTACTATCTATATTCACTGGGCTTCAAAACTCCCAATTTACACCACACCATGGCAGACCAAAACAAAGTCATGCAGTGGGTGCGCGACCTCTTCAAGCACACCCCCCAGCCGGGCGAAGAGCACTTTGGCGTCTACATCCCCGACAATGCAGCCCAAGGCACCTTCTATCTCGGCGTCGGCAAAGTCATTGAAACCGGCATCACCCCCAGCGGCGGAACCTACGTCTGGGTTGAGCCCTACGCCAGGAGAAACCCGTCCATCTTCGACGGGTCATACGAATGTAACAAGGGCAAGAGAGCCGCCTACTACCGCTTCTTCCATCCAGAGTCTGACGAGGAGATGCCCGCCGAGTACCTGCCCCCGTACCGCCTGAATCAGGACGAACTGGACCTGGCGGGCCCCGGGCGCGCCGGTCGCCTGCCCAAGCTCCACCACCTCCCGAGCCGGGGGGAGGAGGCCAGGGGCCTCTATATTGCGCCCGACACCCAGTTGTACGAGGGCGTTGGCCGTGTCCTCCAAGGCCACGCCAAGGGCCGCGGGTTCTTTGCCTGGGTGGAGCCAATCCCGGGCAGGAATGACGACGCTTACAGGTTCTTCGACCGAAACAACGACTCGGATATGCACTACATCAATATGCCTTGCTACGGCGCCCATGACGCAGCGATGCAGGAGTTGCTCGCCAACCCGCGACCCAAGAAAGACAGCGCTCAGCCGCGAGGCAGGAACTCCGCTAGTGCTGCCCGTCATGATACATTCCCCAAGCTCGGATCCGAAGCCATGGGGACCTACTTTGCCCCCGATGGGAGATTCTACATTGGGGTTGGAAAGGTCACTGCCATTGGACTTAATCACTGTGGCGCAATCTACGCGCTTGTAAAGCCCGTCCCAGGCAAGTCCGGGGGTGACTACGACTTCTATGACGAGCTCACCCTGGAACATATGCCCGACTTTACGGGGCACGCGAGTTCCAAGTCCAGATTTCCATGGCGCGACCACTTCAGCAAGACCGTGGAGGAGCTGGCTCCGAAATTCAAGGGGAGCGGATTGAGGGCGTTGCTTCCATTTTAGGGGATGCAGTGGACAAGGGAAGAGGCCAGGACAGGGGCGTCTTGTCCATGTTGCAGCTGAGCTTGGTTATTTCTTATTTGTTTTATCTCTTATACAAATTGTATTGTACGGAACGATAGATAATGGAACCAGAGCTAAATTTGCGAGTCTATAGACCACCGTACAAACATACCGTGACATTCTAGAGCGGAACAAGGACACATCGAGATATACAAAACAACGCCAACTAACCGCAGGCAAGCATTCCAACAAGTCGAACCAACCAGGACCAGAAGGTTCCCGGAGCAGTTTGATCATCAGCCGGCGAAACACCCCACACATCCTCCAGCGGCACCGCCAGCCTCATAATCCGCTCGAATGTCGCCAGTTCCTCGCTCTCGTCAGGCCGTAGCAACGCCCGCATCCGCTCCACGTCCTCCCGAGTGACCCTTTCCATTTCGCCCCGCCTGTGTCTGACCTCCCGCGTGTTGAGATCAGAGTGAAAGGTTCGGTTGCGATCAGCGTAGATCCGCACTCCCCAATACAAGTCGCGGTGTTGCAGTTCGGCCGTGCACCCGGCTTGTCGTATCCGCCGAAAACACGCGTTGGCTATCTCAGGCCAGCTGCCGTCCTCCAGAGGCTCCCCCGTACCCTCAATGTGGTCGCCGTAGTTCTCCACCTCGAACGCATCGTAAAGTAGGTCGACCCTGCGTTCAATCGTGTTCTCGTCGGTGGACCGGAAGAAGGTATTCGAGACCCGACCTGCATAATCGCCCACGCACGCAAGCAACCGGTGGCAGCGAAGGTCCTCCAATGCATCTGCAATCTCATCCAGCTGGTCTCGGCGGATCTCAAGGTCTCCTCCGTCCCTTCGTGCCCTATCCAACGCCTCCATCAGCCCCAGGAGGTTGTTGTAGTTGAAGCTTGGTGCGGTACGAAACCCCTGGTTCTGTGTGGGAGCGGGCGCAGGGCCGAGCTGGGAAGGCTGCGAAGTTTGCCATTCACCAAGGTCAAATCCTGTTCTACCATCGTCGGAATCGGGAAGCGAGGGCGGCCGTTCTAACAAAATATCGGAGAGGTCCAGACTGACTAAAGTGGCTGGGGACCCGCTGGCGGAGGTGTCGAGCGATGGGAAATCGTCAGAGTCGCTCGATGGGGAGTAGAATAAGGATTTTCGGCGTGGTGAAGCTGTTTGAGGGGAGGATGTGGGCGCAGCTCTGGCCGACGCGGTACTCTCCGATTCGGAGTCGGTGGATGATTCTGTCGAAGAACCCTTGGAGCAGGTCTGGCTTTCCACGGAGGACGCAGTGAAGGAACTCGTTGTATCGGCTGATCCTCCGTCGGGCGGCAATGCCTCTGGTGAAGCCCATGGCTCTGGAGCGGTTGTGGTGGGGGATATTGGTGCGTCCTCCCGGCTCTCTGGTGTGGCAGCGAAGGTCTCGGCAGAGGCGAACGGGGCATGAAGAAAATCGCGCTCAGCTGTAGGCATTGTGAAGGGGTCCTTTGTTGTACTTGCGCTTCTTATCAACGTGGAAAGAGTACAACAGATTCGTCCGATGTTGAGGCTGCGAGGGAGTCGACCTGGGCAAAAGGGACAGGGGGCCCTACCTTCGTTTTTATCTTCAATGCCATACAAAGAACGAGCAGAATGATCCACCTAACTGTCAGGTTCGTTGTCCTTGCGCATGTCGAGTATGCGCCTAGTGTGCCTCATCTTGTCTCTCAGCGAATTGCTCACTCGCCTCTCCAGAACAACTCCCCTCTATTGCGGCGCACGCAAGCAGTGCTAAGGTTGACCAGACAAGCCATGAGGCGGTTCGGACCCCATTCTGAGTATCGTTTGAAGTCTTGAACACGGTGAGCAAGGAAGCAGGGAGACGACACCAGGATGGCAGCGTGAGTCCCGTCCTGCCTGCCTGACATTGTTTTGTGGGCGACGGAGCTTTGTGAAGCAGACAAAGGGTCTGTCAAGCCACAGTGCTATTGAGATCTCCTGTCAGGAGTCTCCAGACCCTCTTCAGCGACGCCGCAGCCAATAAGCTGGGACGTTCGCCAATTCGCCTTCGCCATTGGAAGAAGGCCAAGAGAGAGACGACGGGACGGAATCATGTCGGGGACCTGTTTGAGCAGCAAAGACTGCCCTGAGCATTTCGTGACTCATCAGAGCGAGACCTATTTCCTATGTCTGCTCATCATGCAGCAGCGTCTCAGCGATGAGAAGCTCGTAATAGCCATGAAAAGAGCGACAATCTCCCGCCCAGCCTGACATGTAACCGCGATATATGGTCATGACAAAGTCGCAAAGGAGAAAGTCCCGGCGGAGAGCTGTAGAGGGACACTTGGAATCCGCACCCAGTGTGCGAACCCCTGCGCTGATCACGGATGGCTGATTCCCAAACCAGGTTTCAGCCCTACCCTCGCGGGATTGGTGTCGTTCCGGGCTGATATTCCAGCCACAACTCAACTGCGCTGCCCCTTTTCTGCCTTGTTCCTTTGCTCTGCAATTGGATGCGATTTGTTCCCAATTGACCAATGTGTGTTACAGTAACCTTCGACAAGAAACCACTCTTGTTGGGGCCCTTCGCGCGGTCTCTTTGAGCTTGCAGTCTCGGAGGAAGCCGCACGGCGAGGCAGCAGCCTTGATAAAGTGTGAGACATGCGACACTGAGACTTCTGGCACTGCCCCCTTCTGCATTTTCTGTTTCCGGATCTTGTACTCACATCAGAGGGGAAAATTGCCGAGCAGAATTGTGCACTCTCGTCCAGCCGGTACCCAGCACAATGGAGCCGAGCATTGACTGAGCCACCGCGGGCCTGTCCAGACTTCAACGCAGCCAATCGCATCTGACATTATCCACATCAGGTAGCACGTTGCCTGCGTACAATTCAAGCACGGAATATCGATCGAATACTGTGGAGCAGTCCTTTCTGCGCACTTTGGGATAGATTCCGCGGATCCCCCTCTCCCTGCCACGATCCACCCGCATGGGCTCTGCAGTCAGGGCTGGACGCATTCCTTGACGTGTGAGCACCTGGCCAGATATGCTGCAGCCATGCTTGCAGAATCGTAACTGGTGTGCATGGCGTCCTTCGGGCCGAAATGTGCCTGTTCACAGTCCTTCCAAAGGGCACCCTAGTTGTGGTCGGTTTGCCGAACCCGGGCCGTCCGAACATGTCTCCATGGATCCCTCGCCCCTGGGGGCGTGATACCCGGCGGTGCTGCTTGGGCATCGGGTTGTTCTGGGTAGTCAATCCCGCCAGATATCGGACTGAATAGGTCGGAACGCCATCGGTGCACTATGGATATGTGCCTTTTATTGGACGAATACACTGCAGACCTCCGGGGAGTCAGTCGTCATATTTGGCGTTTCTCGCTCTGTAGACTGGGAACCCAGTCCGAGCCCTGCTTTTGTGGCTTGCCTCCAATCTCATACCAACGTTGGAATCATTCAAATCCGTGTTTTTCGGAAGCTGCGCGGGTTACGATTTAATCACAACCAAAGTTTCCCCCCAGCCGAAGCCGCATGGAACGATTGAATGATGGGCGAGGGAAACGAGAAATTGCGGGGATTGACCCCGAGGGCGTTCTGGCCCGATCCTTGATGAACCGGGAAGGGGCATGATATAGACCTCATCACGCCATGCACGTGCCGCTGGTGGCAGTCCGCCCATCAGGTTTGCTTGATACCTGAATCCCACCATCCCCTGTATCTTGCAGCGGGGTGAAAGACTCCCAGGAAAGTGACAGCGCGACTGTCCTGGCGGCAGACAAGGAGCTCGAGACGCGGCGCGGCCTGCCTCAATCCTGAGGCTATAGTTTTGAGGAGATATGGGCCAGTGCAGCTGTGGTCTTGCTCCCCAAACAAGGTATAGTCAAGGCCGCTCCAGCCCCCGGTGTGATGTCAAGAACTCGAAAAGCGCCATTTTGGTCGTAGCAAGGATCACCACGTTGCGAGGTGGGCAGACGGGCGATTGCAGGCAGACATCAGCGCAGGTGACTCCAGTCGGGTCTGTTCAGTAACAGTCGCCTCGTTCCTGAGAAATTCCTTTGGGAAAATAGGGTAAAAAGGAGCCCAAAATGAAAACATTGAAATATATCACGTCATGCACATCACTATCAGAATATACACAGACTTCGACATGAAAAGACAGGGCATTCAGCCCCTACCCCATCTGCCAAGGCGCAGCCTTTGAAGAAAAAAATCAAGTCTTGCCATCCTCATAATAAGAATGACAATAATCATAAACCGACAGCGCCTGCGCCTGGAGCTCACCCGTAAGTACCTTCCTCATAAGCAACGCCTGCCCAATCCCCATGCTACTCCCCAGAACCTGAAGCTGCCCCAGGGCCCACTCTCTCAACGGCGACCTCGGCGGCTGCACACTTGCTGCAACATACAATGGCCAGGAAATATAATACCCGCCCAGACAACCACCCGCGCGTCTCCAGTTCACGCCACGTTGAAACGAGGCGTATTGTGTGGCGATCGCGAAGGGGACGGTGAGGAGGACGTCCGCCGACAATCGCTCGATGTTCGCCTTTGCTTCTTCCATCAGTGGTTTCCATTCGGGATATGGTTGAATCGCGAGGAAGGGGAGGAGGCGATCGCGGATGAGGAGGTTTAGCATGATGCGCGCGTTCCGGTAGTAGGACCAGATGTTGCAGGCCCAGAGGTCGCCGTACACGTAGTAGTAGTCATTGTATGACAGTTCGGAGATGACATTCCCCTTCTTTTTAGGGGCGCTCCGGAGGGCGCATTGCCACTGGGGTGGGAGGGCGAGGCTCCAGACGTGGAGTCTTGTGTCAATATCGCGTGCGCGACCGATCGCTTCGACTGGGTCTGGTAGGCCGTTGTCTTTCACGTCGGCGAGGAGGTCGCTTAGTTCGGCTATTAGGTCGACGAGGTCCTCGACTCGGGCGTCGTTGGCTGGCCGGCAGGATTGGACGATTTTTGAGAGCTCTCGGACTGTCTTTGGGACGCGAGTTTGGGTTCGGAGGCAGTTTGCCATCTATCCAAGGTCAGAGACTAGTACACCACATCGCGAAGATGACTGACCAGTTCTGTTCGAAGTTGGGTAAACAGTTGCATTCCTATCGGGCTGCGAATCTGGCGTGTGTTCCATAGCTCAAGGAACGCCGCAGCCCCGCCGATATGCTTTTGCCAGTTTTCTAACGACTTTGGTGCTTCGCAAGAGATGACCTTTCCCTGTCAGTGTCTCCTCATCCACACGATAGGAGATTCGTACCTCAAACATTCCCAACAGCATCACCGCGTTCAAGGTCGTCTCCTCCAGACACTGGCTCTTGCTCCGGAGCGCTGTATTTGTAACCTCCAGAGCCCGCGCATAGTCTGCTCTCGCATCCACAAGCAAGCGGGGATTATTTCTCATGTTGGCCATGATCGCCAAACCGATAGCGGACATGGCGAGCCGGACTGCTTCGTTGGACGTCGCATGGTGAACGATCTGGGACGCGATAATATGGACTCCACGTATCGTATCATCTGGCACGTAATTGTGTAGGTAAACACAGACCGACTGGTCGGCAGGAGAAACGGCCAAAGGTGGCGAGAGCGACGACGTGCCTCGAGAGCTGTCTGAGGAGGAAGTCCCAGTCACGGACTCCGGATATCGACGGGTTGGCTTTCGACCGGCGCCTCTTTGCGATCGGTCTGCTCTCTGAGCCCGAGCACGGATTGGTACTGTTTCCTGATAGCCTTCACAGTCGTAGTGAGCGTGCTGGCACCGGAGGCACGCGGGTTTCGTGCGGTCGCACTAGAGAGAGGGGTTTAAGCAGTTGCCGAGGTTATTCGTATCGCTGGACGAGCGCGTACCTTGAGCCTCCTCTTCCGGCAGTTCACACAGGGAGTATCTGATCTCTCGTTGGATTCCATCGCGAATGCGACAGAGGAAGAATGCAGAACGTCATTGCCGGGGACAGTGCAGGAATATCAGCTGCAGGCCTCGAGTCAAAGCTGAAACACGTGGGGGCCTCGGTATCCCTGCCCCACTCCTTCATATTGAACCCTTGGCCTTGCCTAGGCCCTAGGCTGCTTATTTCGTTAGAGCCTAAAACTAGCTCTGTCGCAGGGTGGTCATCATTTTGACTCGTCATTTGATCCAGTATTAGCCTGAGACTCTACAAGAGGCATAGCACACGGTGGCTGACTGGGAGCCCGATAGTACTTGTGGACTTTGGGACTTGATTTGCAACAACAGCGATCTCATTTCTGCGGATTGAGCATCAATGGCAAAGGATATATCAGCAGGCCTCGTTACGGTCGCAATTTGCGGGGCAAGCAAGTACCGATCATCAGCGTTCGATGATTGGACCCTTTACTCCTTGAAATCGGTACTTCTCCAGACATCCTCATAATGAGCCACAGTTTCGCTCAGCTCAGCTGCGTGCTGCTTTATAAGAGTCCCAGAATCCGTTCCCAAGGGTAGCCTCAGCAGTTTGTCCTTGCCCTTCAAGAGTCCTTCATCAGCTACATACTCCCAGATCCTCGCAGCCCCTTCCTTGGGATTTCCAGGTTGAGCTCCGTTGTACTTGGTAAACGCTGCGCGAGCCTCATGCGCTGGCGTCCCCTCATACACCTCCAGCGCAGGTGCAATGTTCGCACCAGCCGCGACAGAAGTCAGGAAGGCGGTGCGGAAATACCCGGGCTCAACGATCACAGCCTTGAGCCCGAATGGAGCTATTTCAGTGGCAAGTGCTTGAGTGATGGCTTCAACGGCGAACTTGGTCGCGCAGTAGATCCCGTTGGAAGGGTAGGAGACCAGTCCGCCGATGGAGGAAAGGTTGATGATGGTTCCGCTGCCTTGGCTTCGGAGACCTGGAAGTACCGCGCGGACGAGGCGTAGGAGCGCGAAGACGTTGGTATCGAACTGTGCCTTCACTGCGGAGTCTCTGTGGACGGTTGGATTCGAATACACGAGCAAGGAAGCATGCCAGAACTTACTCAGACTCTTCAATCGCTCCCATATACGAGTAGCCGGCGTTATTGACGACTACATCGATTTTTCCAAAGGCGGCGAACGCCTTCTCGGCATAGTTATTTATATCCTCCTGCGGCCAGGCGAGGTCAAATTGCAAGACTTCGACTTCTGGTCGCTTGAGGTTGTCGGGCACTTTAGAGGGGGTTCGGACGGCCGCAATGACCCGATCGCCTTCCGCGAGAGCTTTGAGGGCGAGCTCAAGGCCGAAGCCAGTGTTTGCTCCGGTGATATGCCAGACCCGAGCCATTGTTAGTTATCAGAGATTGGTTCCGTTTGGCGAAGTTTATGATTTGAGTGAGAGAGGATGGTTAGCACAACGGACTTGAGAGAGAGGACAGGGTATTTATACACCACATCTTTACGCTCTGGGGTGGTAACATGCTGTTGGGAAGGATTCCGCAGCGACATTTGAGCATGGTGTTCTCGTTCAAGTTGCTGACGACAGAGGATCCTTGTCTCGTTTGGCTCAGCCGAATACCCCGCTAACGCCACATTTCTCCCGGATAAGGAATTTTGGAAGCCTACAACAGGTGCCGCAATTCTCAGGCCAGTCCAGACCCTGCCGTTCCCACTGGATTTCCCTCGTTTTCCAAAGGTCGGTCTTGGCTGCGTCTACCAACCAACAATAACTCCCAGGGTCATGATTTCATTGGGAAGCGGGGCGGGGAGGCCGCCCGAATGGCCAGTCTATTGCCCGGAAGGTTGCGCCGCTAAGATCCTTCTGTACAAGCTAACGCTTTGCCGCTAGGGGCCGACCGTGCACCGCCGTTGCTGTACAATGCGTTCGAGCAACCTTGGGTTTGCTCGAGCCAGGCCCTTTGGATAGCTGGTCACTGTTATAGGCTTGAAACTGGCTGGCCTGCCCGTGTTTACTGCCCAGCCGCAGGTACCAAGAACAACGAGTACAGAGCCAGGGCTCCTTTGATGGCGTTGGCATTCAGCCGCAGGGACTAGGATTGACGACAACGGAGAATTACTATTTCATTGCACCAACCACCAGGCTTGGAAGACCAGTAAGCTGATTGGTAGATAGACTTGGCTTGGATATTCATTCGTCAGGTATGGATGAGTAAAGTCCGCGTAAGACGTCTCTATGCACTTCGAAGGCTGCAGCGGGCTGTAGCCTTGAAGCCAAAGGAGCAGATGCTGAAAGGGATTATGGCCCTCATCCGCTTAGGACAAACTATGATGAAGTGACAGATCGTCCGTAGCGCGCCCAAGCTGTTTAAAAGAGTAGAAATGCCACTAACCAGTGTTGATGCACCACCCAAGTCACACAACAGTGGTCCGGAGATGGCAGACTTTAAGTCGATTGTGATTTGACGAATGGAGCTGGCACCAGATTGAATCCCGTTCAGAAGAAACGGAGCAGGGTCTGGCATGGGAGGTCAGGCAGTTAGGCGAGGTTGCCTTGCCCAGAGAAGCGTAGACAAGGAACAATCGCAATCCTTGCCTGTAATTCGTAGCATCAGAGAGCCGAAGTAGATGACGACAGAGGGGTCCGGCGCGAAAACTGGCACATGGCAGACGGGAACACCGACACCACTCTCGCCGTTATCAGCGAAATTTTTCCTTATAACGATTTCCGCGGCTTAATTCCATAGTCGACCTTAGTTATGTTGTCGTGGATGTTTCGCCTCGTGCCGATAACTGTAGGCAGCAATTCAGCTGCTCGAGCGGGGAGGTTTGGCGGGTGGCTCCCTCGTCAATGTTGCGTCTCGGAGAAAGTGCGGGGCACTTTTCTAGCTTCATGAGTGTTATCATTAGCACTGTTTTCTCATTCGCTTCCATATCGTGGCCAAGCTGCGACCTACGAGACATGGTCCCTGGCAGTCATCTTGACGGCTGAAACCCTGGCTTCATCCCGGTGACGTGCGTTTGAATGGCTTGAGGCAGGCGGCTGCCAATAGCTGGCGAAATGCTGCAGGGTTCAATACGATCTTGGCCATCAACAGGGTCCGTTACCGTTCGTACTCATCGCAACAGAGAGAGATCAGGTATGCGAGTGACAGATAAAGCGCCGACAAATGAGTCCGCAAACTGTCACAAGAAACGCAAGATAGATTTTGTAGAAGAGCCTTCAGCGCGACAAGAACTCTGGCCGAGTGGTTGCCAAGAAGATTCACTCCGCAGATACGAGCAATTCTCCCGTTGCTGCCTGGTCAGGTGATGCGGCTCGTGTGCTCTACCTTTCAAACACAGCTCCAAGGCGGGGGGTTGACGTATACACCTCACTTGAACCTCACTAAACTTCTCTCTCTTCCAACCTTTCCTGTTTCTTCCTCTTCGCACAGACCACCTTGAGGCATCTCCATTTCCGCTTAAAGATTACTCTACATAAGCTTCAAAGCATCCTCCCTCATGCCACCAACACTCCGTCCACGGCCGAAGAAGATGCGTCGCGTATCGCTTCCGAAGAAGACATCGGCTCGGGCTAAGCCACCAGTCATTAAGCCATCACCTCTTCTCGCACTTCCAACCGAGTTGCTTGTGACGGTGTTTCAAGCTTGTTTCTCGTTCAAAGACGCCGCGACCCTTGCTGCGACATCGAGACAGCTCAACGAAGTATGGAAGCAACACCACACTGCGATTTACAATAGCATTGCCCTGACAACGACGCCATGCTATCCCGATTTGCGTCAGCTTCTCGACGACATGGGAGAGATTCCTGCAGACGCACAATCACTCTCACGCAAAAACATCGCTCGTATCCTCGAATTCTCAAGGATCGCGGATGGTTTCGTGGCCGAATACACGGCGATCCGTAAACAACAACCGTATGACGATCCACAAGTCCCAATTACCCCCTCTGCGGCCGAGAAGATGCGCTTGATCCGCGGGTATTATCAGATTCTCGGACTGCTGAAGTTGAAAGCCAAGGATGAACACCTCGAGCGGATCAAGTCACTGGACCTCAAAACCCTGTTCCTCCTTTCAGACTTCCTCTGTGTCTGGTCGACCCGAACCATCAAGGATCCAGCTCTCCGTGCCATTATAGATACCGATGCCCATAGGCCCAGGATATTGCAGCGAGAAATCCGATCGCAGCGCAACCACGAATTCCGGAAATTGTATGGGCATGCGTACCACCCGATAGATGTTACACCATACGAGCAAGGGGGCCGCTCTGCGTGGTGGTGCGACCGGCAACAAGAGATCTTTCAGAAGATGGTAACTGGACGAGTGTATGAGAGGTCGGAGTCGCCACCGAAGGTCAGGAACGACATCTGGTATGATAGCGCGGAGGAAGACTGAACGGCGGACGTTGCGGGCGGCGTGAATAATGGCTGACAGACAGAGGTGGGACTGGCGTTGGAGATTATTGCGCACTAGCGGTGTGGAGGAGGTTCATTGGGGCGGGCGTTTATCTGAATCAGGGACGAGCTTAAATTGAGGAGCAGGAGTTCCGACTTTGTTATCTCCATAGGAGTTCTTTGCAGAGAATCAATCAGGGAATCATCTAGGCGAATGAAAACGTGAAGAATTTATTGAAGTCTCGTACGGAGTACGTAAGAGCGCGCCCCACTGCGGTCGGGTTCCTGACCCAAACCTCGACAACAACAAACAACAAGTCTAAACACGAGTACGACTCACGGCACTTCATCATCACGAGGTCGCCGGAAACCAACACAGACTCCTGCTTCTCTCTCCTGTTTGTCACTACCATAGGCTGACGATTTCGTCAATAGGCGCCCGCGATGAAATGCGACCGTGAGCAAAGAACGCCCAGAACGCCATCTCCAAGTTAATTTCCCGCGCCGAGTGCCGATCCACCCTCATCGCGACTAGTCAGGAACACACAGCGCAAAAGGGGGAGCACTGACCCAAAGGGGAAGATTTCCCTGTCGCTGAGGGGCCTGTCCCTGACTTCACTGGTTCGTGCCCACCGGTCGCAAAGGCGCAATTCCAGACTCAGGGTCCAGACTCCAGACCAGATTTTGATCAGCGTGGGTATCCAGGACTAGGTCAGGCTCGTAGGGCGCTGGTGGAATGAACCACGTAAGGGCGCATAAGGCACAAGGGGAAAGAATGTGGTGACTGATGATGACTCGGGCTTTGTTGTCGCTGGCGCTGGACCTGGGGAAGACGTTCCTGAGCCACGTCAGGGGTTCTCGTGAGGGATTCATGGCGACAAGAGGATTCAAGTTGCGGTCACGGTCTTGGATTGGCCTCAGCCCGCGCTGGTTTAATTAACATGTGCTCTAGCCCGGACCTGGGCGACTAACGATTCGATCTGGGCGCTAGGGACAAGCCCCCAAGGTTGCACAGTCGTTCTTGGTGTTGTTTTCCTTCTTTTCTGCGCACCCCCGGTCTCCACTCTCCCTGCACCCTCAGCCTCTGTCCTGGGTCCCCTTTTCTTCCCGCGATCCCTCGCTTTCCCTTCTGTTCTTCCTTGCTATCCCACACCAGTCGCTCTTTTGCCAACCCCAGCTGTTTACATTCCTTTCTTCGGACGTTGATGTGAATTGCCTCCATCGCGTACCGCACAATGCAGTGGAAGTCATTCGTTTTTATTCTCGCCACTGCCGGGCCGGCTCTGGCCAAATCCCACGGCCAGCACAAGCACCGACACGGCGTTCGCCACCAGCATGAGGAGCGCTCTGTCCAGGGTGCTGTTGAGGAAATTGGCGGATTCTTCGACCTCGAGCCCATCACCGTGACCGAGACCGTCTGGGAGTGCTGCACCACCAGCACCTTCTCTTTCACCCCTACCACCCAGCCCGCGACATTCATCGAGCTCCCGACCGAGACTCCTGAGCCTGAGCCGACAACCACCAGCACCCCCGTCGTTGAGGAGCCTGAGCCTACCTCTACTCCTACTCCTGAACCTACGCCCGAGCCCGTCCCCGAGCCTGAGACCAGCACCAGCACCAGCACCGCCGCGCCCACATCCACCGTCAAGCCTCCTTCCTCTTCCACCGCTCCCGACCACTCTGCCTGGACAAACTTCCCCAGCAACGGCGAGTTCACCTACGAGGGCTTCGGAGGCCGCACCGAGCAGAAGATCACCGACAACAAGTTCATCTATCAGGGCAACGTCGGTGTCCCATGGGGCAGCAACATCATCGAAGTTAGCGCCGAGGAGGCTGCCAACTACAAGTACGTCGTCCAGTTCCACGGCAGCAAGACCGAGAAGTGGACTGTTGTGGTCTGGAACAAGATTGGCCCCGACTTCAAGATGACCGGATGGTACGGAAACGCCGCCGTCTCTTTCAGCCTCGAGCCCGAGGAGATTCGCTACGTTGCCTTTGATGAGAACTCCCAGGGCTCCTGGGGTGCCGCCCCTGGTGACTCGCTCCCCGTTGATGAGTACGGCGGCTACTCCTGCACCTGGGGAGAGTTCGACCTGGGCAGCGAGGTCAACGGTGGCTGGTCCGGCTGGGACGTTTCGGCAATCCAGGCCGAAGCTGCTGGTGCGCACATACAGGGTATGTCCATGTGCTCGCACGAGGGCGACAACTGCTCGATCATCACCACCGGCGCTGCCAAGGTCATCGACGCCTACATGGAGAAGGACAAGTGGGTTGATGGCATCGGCGGCAAGGTTGTCCCTGGTCCTGTCCGCATCGTGACCTACCTGGACTACAACGAGTAAATCAATCTACGAACGAATCCATAGTACGCTGTACATATCCTAGCGGAAGCGGCTGTCATGTCAATGTATAGTTAATTCCTAATATGCACATTCTATCGGCTCAGGCCTGTTAATACAATCTTAATCCTTTTCTGAACTTGAATCTCGTCGCCGTAGCCATCTTTCTGCCAGCGCTCAGTCTGCCGTTCAGCCTGCGACTTTGGCGTGTTTCGTCGTGTTTCACGAAACTCGCCAATTGTCAGGCCAACCTATAATGTTGTCCTGTCACAAATAGATTTTCGGAATCGCCTATGCAGCGAGAATTATTGAGATGGCTCCCCTCCTCGCTCAAGTCAACGAAGTTCTATCACTGTCCTCTCTTTTGTGTCATCCCCTAGGAATATATATCCGCGCACCCCGCTCGCTCCACACGATTTCGCGAAGCACCAAAGGAGATTATACGTTCAAAGATATATTATGCATTCTGTAATCCTCAAAGACCTTGATAAACTCAGCGCTTACTACTTATCGAAGACGCAACCTCGTTAAATCGAAAGGCGCAAGGTGACATCTGTCCTTGTCAATCGCAGGGCGGAACGGAATGGTAAGACGTGATTTTTGCGATTAGCCGTAAACTGTGGGTCCGCTCAGTATAAATGCCGCCTCGTTTTTCGACAGTTTCAGCGAGGTTCTCTTCTCTATATATCCATTGTTGAGAGAAGAAGATCTTCCAATTATCGTCTGTGACAATGGCTGAGCCGAAGAAGCCATCTGAGGCTATGGCTGTCTCTGAATCTGCCCAAATCGAGCCCGAGCAGTCTCCGGCCGGGAATAACACAACAGACACTCCAACGCCAATCGAACAACTCGACCTCGAAACAACCCCAGCTGAAGACTCACCATCACCGACGCGATCAAAGCGCCGCATCGCAGCTATAATGACTGCACTCTACGTACTTACCCCTCCCCATCCCCGCCTCAGAAAATCAAACTAACAATCCAGCTCGTCCTCTTCATAACCGCCCTCGACCAAACCATCATCGCAACCTCCATCCCCACAATCTCCGCCGCGCTACACTCCGCTTCGGGCTACACCTGGATCGGAAGCGCCTACCTACTCGCCACCGCAGCCGCCGGCCCCATCTGGGCGCGAATCAGCGACATCTTCGGCCGAAAACCCGCGCTCTTAGCCTCCGTGACAGGCTTCGCAGCCGCGAGTATCCTCGCCGCGCTGAGTACCAGCATGCGCATGCTGATCGCAGCTCGGGTACTGCAGGGCGCGAGTGGCGGAGGACTCATCCAGATGGTCTACATTACGATCTCGGATTTGTTTAGTGTACGGCGGCGGGCGCTGTGGTTTGGGTTGCTTGGGCTGATGTGGGCGGTCGCGGGGTCAACGGGGCCGCTTGTAGGGGGTGGGTTGACGGAGAGGGTGAGTTGGCGGTGGTGTTTCTGGATTAATCTGCCTGTTTGTGGGGTTGCGTTGCTTTTGCTGCTGACGTGTCTCGATGTGCATAACCCGCGGACGAAGCTGAAGGATGGGGTCGTCGCCATAGACTGGTTGGGAACACTCGCCATCGTTGGCCTCACCCTGCTCCTTCTGCTCGGGATGGAGTTTGGAGGCACGGTCTTTCCTTGGTCGAGTCCGAAAGTCGTCTGCCTGATCGTCTTCGGGGTCGTGATGATTGGAGTCTTCATCGTGACGGAGAAGAATCTCGCGCGGTACCCGCTCATCCCAATGAGTCTTTTCCAATCCGGTCCGACAAACGCAGCATTTATCCTAGCCTTCGCGCATGGAATGGTCTCCTTCGGAACGGAGTACTACCTCCCGCTCTACTTCCAAAGCGTGAAGCAAGCAAGCCCGTTACGAAGCGGGCTGTTCATCCTTCCCATGATGGTCACGGAAGCCGGAACGGATATATTAACGGGAATCCTAATCCACCGGATCGGCCGATACAGGGAGATTACATGGGTCGGAACTATTCTGATGGCGCTAGGAACAGGTCTATACATCAAGATGGACCGGGAAACGAGTCTCGGCACCATCATCGCGTTCCAGATCGTTGGTGGGATCGGGACGGCGATGCTCTTCCAGACGCCCGTGCTGGCGATCCAGAATTCGGTGAGTCGTGCGGCGGATACGGCGTCTGCGACAGCGACGCTGGGTCTTGCGAGGAATATCGCGACGAGTTTTTCGATTGTGCTCGGTGGGGTGGTTTTCTCGGATGGGATGGATAGGAGACGGTCGATGCTTGCCGCGGCGGGTCTTGATCACGGTATCTTGGATAGGCTGTCCGGGGACAGTGCTGCTGCGAATGTCGATGTTGTCAAGGTGCTTAGTGACGAGGTACAGAAGATCGCGGTGAGGGATGCGTTTGCGTGGAGTGTGAGGAATATGTTTATCTTTTACACAGGTATTGCTGGGGTTGCGGTTTTGGCGGGGGTCTTTATCGAGCAGAAAGAGATGAAAAGGGAGCATGTTGAGACGAAGACGGGGGTTGGAAAGCTCGCGAGAAGGGAGGACGCATAGGCTGGCCAGGCCTCCAAGGCCGTCATCTCTCGTTTGGACATCGACTGCTGTGGAGAAAGACTCAGGAGTCTTCAATCACCGGGTGCCCAGGACGAAACTGATGCCTCAGGCTGCAGCGACGCCCGCGACTCCGACTCAGAGTCTCGTATGGTATGCGTGTTACCGCTAATCCCCTTTGGCATCCAACACCTGCAAAAAATGGCGTTCAATACGGTATAAATAACGGTGACTTGGCCGGTGCTGGTCAAATCTCAAACCAGTCGGATAGTCGGATATCTCCAACAAACCGCAATCCAGGCGGGCAGCGATGGATATCATCGACCTGGCCTTGAAGATCTAAGACACATCAGGCAAATCTACCGCCACCTCCAAGATCTTCCCCACCCTTCATTTTCTTTGATAAGACAGGTGGAGCGGTCAAGATAAACCTAACCCAAAGGAGCAAATCTCTCGCCGGCCCAATCAAATCTTTCATATGTCTATCATCTCCAACTCACTTCGCGGAGTATGCAACGTAAGTGAGGGGCAGACGATGGGTATAAGACGTCCGTCAACCCTCTAAGCAATTCCTTCTCAGTTCCATATCGTCAATGCAGACAATCTCAAAATGACATCCCTCCACCCCTTTGACCCGATCACCCCAAGCGAGATCACCCTCGCCACCAAAATCCTGCAGGCCGCCTTCCCGGGGGTATCGTTGCGATACAAGAAGATCGATATCTTCGAGCCCATCAAGGCAGAGGTTGTTCCATACATTGAGGCCGAACGCCTGGGGAAGCCTTTACCTGCGAAGCCGACGCGGTTGCTCCAGGTTCTCTTCCACCGCTTGGATTCGGGCGCGTTCTTCAAGGGGTTGCTTAATGCTGATGCGAAGAGTGTGGTTTATGTCAAGGAGTTACCGAAGGAGATTCAGGTACATTCACTGCCTAATCTTAGCACCATAAAGTTTCTTATTGACCGTATCAGGGCCCCGTCGACACAGACGAGCTCCTCGCCATCGAGGCCCTCTGCCTCTCGCACCCAGCAGTGCAGGCCGAGATCTCCAAGCTCCAACTCCCGCAGGGCGTAACCGTCTGCAACGACCCCTGGATCTACGGCACAGACGACTCAGCCGAGACGCGCCGCCTTTTCCAATGCTACATGTACATAGTGGCAACGGACCACCCGCAAAATAACCACTACTCAGTCCCCTGCAAATTCTCCCCCGTCTTCGATGGATTAACTCACGAACTCGTCCGGATGGACTACTTACCCACCACGGCTGATGCATCAGTTGAGTCTGAGACGCAGCCGTGGAAGCCCGTTGAGACGATCCAGTACGCGCATGATCTGCTCACTGAGTCGTTGAGAAATGATCTGAAGCCGTATATCGTGCAGCAGCCGCAGGGGCCGTCGTTTGATGTCCGCGGGAACGAGGTGGCCTGGCAGAAGTGGAGGTTCCGCGTTGGATTCAATAGTCGCGAGGGGCTTGTTATTCATAATTTGACCTATGATGGAAGAAGTGTGTTTTATCGACTGTCGGTTTCCGAGATGACGGTTCCTTATGGTGGTAAGTAACCAACACCTCCTTTTCCGCCGCCCTTTTTGTTTTTCTTGTTTGGTGAAGCGGAGGGCCAGCATGGGACCAATGCTGATGGATGAACAGACCCCCGCGCACCCTTCCACCGCAAACAAGCCTTCGACGTCGGCGACGTCGGCTTCGGAATAACCGCAAACCAACTCTCCCTCGGCTGCGACTGCCTGGGCCACATCAAATACTTCGACGGGTACCGCTGCGACAGCAAAGGGAACCCCGTTCTCCTCCAAAACGTCATCTGCCTGCACGAGCAGGACAACGGCCTCCAGCACAAACACACAAATTACCGCTCGGGTGCGGCGACCGTCGTGCGGAACAGACAGCTCGTTGTGCAGATGATTTGCACGGTCAGCAACTACGAGTATATCTTTGCGTTTATCTTCGACCAGGCGGCGAATATTGAGCTTGAGGTGCGGGCGACGGGGATTCTGAGTACGGTTCCGTTTGATAATGAGAAGTTTGGGACGACTGTGCCGTGGGGCACGAACGTCGGACCGGGGGTTATGGCGCCGTTTCATCAGCATATGTTTTCGTTCCGGATGGATCCGGCGATTGATGGGCATAGGAATACGGTGTTTTACCAGGATAGCGTGCCCCTGCCGGAGGATGAGAAGAACCCGTATCTTGTTGGGTATACGACGGAGGAAACGGTTCTCAAGACCAGTGGTACGGCGGAGACGAGCGTTGAGAGGCATCGCGTGTTCAAAATCAGGAACGATGCGCATATCAATCCGATAACATACAAGCCGGTCGCTTACAAGCTCATGGCCTCGCCAAGTCAGATGCTGCTTGCGTCGCCAAAGTCGTTTGGTCATAAGCGCGCTGTGTTTGCGACGAAGCCGATCTGGGTGACCAAATATCGGGATGATGAGTTGTTTGCTGGTGGCGAGTTTACGAATCAGAGCAAGGGAAGTGTTGGGGTTGAGAAGTGGGTTGCGAGGAATGAGAACGTGGAGAACGAGGATGTTGTTCTCTGGCATAGTAAGTTTTGCCCCGCTTTCATCGTGGCTTATTGTCCTTTCGGGGATTGGAAGGGTGCTCTGTCTATTGATAGACTAACCGTTGATAGCCTTCGGTCTCACGCACAACCCGCGTATTGAAGATTTCCCGGTCATGCCCGTTGAGCGAGTGAGTGTCATGCTGAAGCCGGATGGCTTCTTCACGAAGAACCCAGCACTGGATGTTCCCCCATCGACACAAGCGTTCAACAAATCGACGCTGCATCCAGAGGCCTCGGCGTGCTGCTCAGGGGTGAAGTTGTAGGCGCATTGGTTTTCTGCGCTACGGATAGGACCACGTGGCAGTCCCTGCTTATCACGCATGGCACTGATCATCGGGGATACAAGCAGTTAGAACTGAGAAAGTGATCTGATAGAAGCTGCTATACTTAGAGCGATTAGCGCTTCAGAAGTATGCGAACAATGAAGACTTGAAACATGGGCGAGGGGGAAACGGGCCAATCATGTGCTGCGCTGATTGCCCGACCTGACCCCTCACCGCACTTTATAACGCCTCCTCCGTCTCCCCAGCTGTAGCAGGAATTCAAGCAACGACGCAAAATGGTGAGCTCCGACTTGTTCCAGCGCATGTTTCGTCGGGGTTCCACCAGGAGCTCATCGGTTTCCCCGCAGCCGGGAGAACAACCCCAGCTTTTACGACAAGGAAACTCAACCAACTTCAGAAGATCACCGACTTCGGAAAGAGACATACCACATGCACAGATTCCTTCTTGGCACCGGGCTGTCTTAGGCTCTCCTGGTATCCGCCCCGAGAGCTGCAAAGTCAAGGGCTCTCGCTTTTCCGCGAGCCAACTCCCGGTGTTAGCTGAAGACCACGCCGCTCTCTTCACGAGTCTCAATAATGGTAGCGGGACGAATACAGAGCTCAGTTCACAGGAAGAAAGCCCATTCTTCACCAAGTTACCGCCCGAAATCCGAGACATAATCTATGTCTTTGCCTTTGGCGACCGGCGCATTCATATGGACTTTGACTTTCAGGGCACATCGACGAAGCGCGGACGATGGGGATGGTGGCATCGGGTGTGCGACGATGCAGACAACTGTCTTGCGAACAAAACGTTCGTCTGCGCCGAGACTGCAGCCGCTGAGGAGTCGATGCTTCGACACGGGTCTGTCGCGTGGCTCAAGCAGGGTTTCGAGTATTATGTTTCCGCAGTGAACTGGCTGAGGTGTTGCAAATTAGGGTGAGTACGACGCCTGTTGACATGTCCGGATCGTCTCACTGACATAAGAACAGGTATTGCGAGACTTTACCCATCTTATACAGCACAAACACGTTCGTTTTTAGCCACGGGATCGATCAGCTCCACCGACTGAACAGAATCCTGCCGTCTGCACATCTCGCAATGATCACCTCGTTACGTGTCGAAATAGACGTGTATCGAGCGTGTAAAGCGATCGTACCGCCGAGAATGCACGAGGAGTTTCAAGACTTCTACCGCGGGTTCTTCAACATTCTCGAGCGCCGCCTTTCGGGCTTGAAAGAGCTCTCAGTAGCAATCGCGGGCCTGCCGAATCCGAGGCAACGACTCGAGGGAGAGGAGACGGAATGGAAAAGCGAGGATGAAGACCAATGGATTGGGCCGTGGGAGCAGTTGGCGGCGAGTAGGAGATGGAAAAGATTAGATATTGCAGTGCCGGTGGTCTGGTCCGATGAGCTAGAGGGGGTCGTGAAGAAGAGAGGCAAATTGGAACAGTGTGACAGGTTCGAGCTGAGGAAGGGGGTGGACCCGTTTCAGAAGGGCTGGTGATGGCCCCTTCCTTGCTGAGGCCATCCTGCGACTTCGAATTCGTCGCTTCGGGCTTCTGGTGTCAATAGCAATTCTCAAAAATTTTCAACTCTGTGTAACATTGTGTTTCGTGATCTTCAAGCTGGGCGTGTTGGATGATTCGCTGGCATGCACCGTCAAATGCGCCACCAACTCAGCCCCTCCGGCAGCCTTGCCAGCCTTGCTGACCGACCCCTTTATCATGCCCCGGTTTCCCAGCTCATTCCCAACACCTGCCAAAACCTGCATCTCAACACGCTTGTCTCCACCTTTGACTCACCACGAAGATTCGACGAGGATCTGCAAGGCTACACCGATCGATAGAGAACATCCGCGCATGATGGACATCAATTCTTTGGGGTTGGACTCAGGATCGGACGATATCAAAACCCCCTTTCCAGATCCAAACGACGACGATGACAATAGCACTGTGTTGGCTCTCCAGGGAGATCATATTTCCGACCATCAGAATCGAAACTGCCCTGAGTCACCCCGGATCGACTCTGACCGTTCTGAAAATCTTCAGAAACCGCGAGCGCTTACTGAGAAGATTGATAGACGACTACCCTATGCATGTATTCTTTGCCCTGAGAAGGACAGAGAGCATTTTAGGTGGAGTGATGTTCTTTTACCCCACGTTTTTGAGAAACACTACCACTTGTACGAGTACAGGTGCCTACGTGATTCCTTTGTGAGTGGAACCAAGGATGAAATGCAAAATCACTGGCAATCAGAACATTATGGTGGAAGCGTGCTGCCCGACCACAAGGGGATCGAGTACCGGAGTGGACAGCGGAGCGCTCCTCCGCAATGTTGTATCTGCAGCCGAGCTGTGCTAAACTGGGGAGAATGGTCTGAATGTCTGATCCGTCATTGCAAAGTCGATGGTCTACATCACACCAGAGCAAGCCCGCCACACGAGCCCCAGCCCAGTTCCAAGCATGCGGGGAGGGTCACTCCAGGAGATCCCCTCGTCAACAGGCCCTGCGCAGCCGAGTCAGAAGATGAATTCTCCCCTTACATCCAAGAGATCCACCCTCGAAAACCCCCGCCACCTCTCTCACCAGTTACTTCCAAAATACTATCGCTCTCCAAGCCACGTCCCAACCTGGGAAAGCATGCAAGAATCAGGAGTGGCTGCTTGTCTTGTCAATCCCGTCGGATCAAGTGTAATGAGAATTTTCCCACCTGCAGACAATGCCAGAAAGGAAATAGAGAGTGTGTTTATTCTCGGGAACTTATTTATGCTTATCTCACCAGTTCGGGTTTTGTTTCTACATTTTCGGCGACACTTTTGTGGAGAGTGGTACCTGACCATCCTGATCCAGATGCTCTGAGAGAATTTCTGATAGTTCTGTCTGATACTCTTTCGTATTATCTGGACAAGGTCAGATATGATGGAGCCGAAGTCAACAAGAAGATCGCAGATGCGCTGTGGCAGAAACGAAGGTATGTGCCTTGACAATCCAGCGAGCAAGAGATTTGATTAGGAGACGTAATGACGAGCTTACTGCATTCTCAGCGAGATCGTGAGTGCAGTTTGTGCGTTTTGTCGAAAAATCGAACTTGGCGTGAGTACTCGGAAAAGCCTGAAGAAGGAGATGGGAGTCATAAAGAACCCATCAACAGGGGAGCCAACGAACATGACAAGCGCAGATCTGGTTGACTTATTTCCTTCTTGGTTGTGGTTAGTAGCCAGTCTTCAAAGAGTCTTTCTGATGCACAACACAACCCAGGGGCCCATGGGCGAAATCGCGGCTAAGATTGATCGATCCATAATAAGACGTCGGACACATGGTTTTAAGCCTGCACTATACCGGGCTAGCTTTTCTGTGGATTGGGATATCAGGTCATTTCTGACAGTGCAGTGTTGCAATGACCGCCCTGAGGAGACCCTCGATCATGTTATCACCTTGAGCGGTACACCCAAGGATGGACAGGCTCTAGGATGTGCGGAGTACTTGCGTCAGACATGGCCGTCTGGCGGGGACTGCGTGCTAGCCCTTCTAAAGCACCTACTTGGGTTGCCTGATGGACAGGGTTTAACCAGACCAATAGACTTTACAGAAAGAGATAGCGAGGTCACGGTGTCGGGCTTCATCAGTGGCTCATCACTGACTGTCAATGTGCATGGCTTGTGCGAATCGATCATCCGGATCGGACAGCAGCTGTGCTGGCTTGGAGCCGTCCTGAGACTATCACCTAGGGATGACCGGATTGCATATTGCCAGCCGATCTTGAGTGAGATTGAGGGGGTTCCGGGTCAGATACCGTTTACGATCAAGTTTGATATTCGCCTGGAATCCAGGGAAGATCCAGCTGTCAATGGAGAGTGCTGGCAGAAGTTATTTAAGAATCTGGTCATTGCAAAGGGCTTCCCCGTTCGACGACAGGTCGTACAGCACACGGGCTTGGAGGCTCCGCTCAACGTGCTGGGACGTCTTGTACCCTCGCGGTGGGTGTCAACCTTTGACGGCAAGGTCTACATCAAAGGCTATTCCTCGGTCCTTGTCCCGACAATGATAATAAGGGATACTGTTGTCTGGCACCTGATAAGCGACGATGAAGGGCAGTACTTGTCATACGTGGACTCCCGAATTGAAGCCACCCCTGGGCTCTACCCTGAAACTCTGGACTGCAATCTCGGTTCGTTCCGTCATATTGTGGGCTGGTGTGGCAAGGCGAAGACTCTTACAGGTATGACCATACTACCATTCAACGTAACATTCCTAACCCTGTGCAGGCTCACCGGACGCCAGTTATGATGTTGAATGGTCCGGTTTGAACAAGGTCGAGAACGGATGTGGTTTAGCGGGCGTGACCATATCGCGAGGCACTGCAATTCCTAACCTCCAAGCTCCTGCCATGGGTACCAAGGACAAGACTTTCGATTCTGATTTGGGTGAATATATCGGACGTCTACAGTGGGCGGCAAGGAAGTACGTTGTTTTCTATGACGTGGGAGGTAGGCGAGGCTGGCTTGTTGACGGAGCAACTGCTCTCCTACACCTGGTTCGCGCGTCCTTGAGATTCAGTTCGGCCGAAGATGTAACAGGCGAGTTTACGTTTGCTCCCAGCAAGTTGCAGGAAGCCCCCGAAAATACGACTGCACGATCTGCCTCAATTGCGGTCCTCAAATCTCCACACAATCTGGGCTTGAGATTATATCAAGCCATGCACGAGACTTTTCTGGACAGGGTTGAAGCGATCTATCATCTGCTAGAGAAGGTTCTTGCTCATCAAGCACAAATCGGAGTTCTCAGGCAGACGCGGATTGACACTGGCCGGTGCCCCCAGGGCGTGCTGGAAGGCTTTGACTTTATGGATTTGGCGGGGGATACCGATAACTTCCGTGCTCGCATGATAGACCCATCCATCAGCTTGCCTAGATGGCTTGTCCTCGCAGAAAACCTTGACGCACCTGTTCTATTCGGTAGGGAGTTTGGAGACCTCCTTCAGCCGTGCGCCGTGCTCAACGTCTGCGATTCGTGGACAACCGTGCCGTTAGAGAAGGACTACCTGGCGGTTCGGGTGGATGATATTGCTGGGATTATGAGAAGAAAGGGAAACAACTTCTGGTCTCCATGGCGAGTGGTCAACGGCATTTACTGGCACTCCCCTGATATGCTTTTCGAAAACTGTCCCGAGCTTCGACATAAGCCAGAGGAAAAGTGCAATCATGCCCAAGTATTGGTGGCGGAAGAGGAGGCCCGGAGCTCGCGTGGCAAGATTATCAGTCCTGCTAGGCTGGAGCCCCAGGGTGCCGTCATCTTCGATGGCTCTCCGGTTTCTCCTCAGTCTTCCTCGATAGATGTGCCCTTGGTCTCGGCATTGGCTGGCTCACAGAGCCCAGATACTGACAGCGGGATTAGTGTTGAATACAGTCCCAATTCAGCAGGTAATTCCGGCACCACTACGTTTGCCAAAGGTAAACGTCCCATGCACACCTTAGTCGCCCCGAGTGACCCTGACAAGCGACGTTGTCATGGGCCCTCTGGGATATCCACCGGGGCATTACGATCGGATGATGTTGCGAGATTTGAAGTGTCTTGTCCTGATGGACCTGACTTGGATCTCGAAAAGCCAAACCAGTCAGCTAAGTCATCCACAGTATGGACTCGGCGTGCAGTGAGAGGATTGCATATCCCTGAGATCGACAATGAGGTGTTTGATTCTACTCCTGGTGCGTACGCAGATCATGCTACCATCGACCCAGATGATTACACAGTGGGATGGATCTGCGCATTGCATGTTGAACTCAACGCCGCCCAAAGAATGCTGGATCGAGTCCATGCTCGAGGTTTCGGTCACGGCATGGACTGCAACCTATACATTCTAGGGCAGATTGGAAAGCTTAACGTCGTGCTGACCTGCCTGCCGAAGGGGCAGTATGGAAACAACATCGCAGCGGTGGTTGCTACGCGGATGATGAACAGGTTTCCCAGGATTGAGATTGGACTTATGGTGGGCATTGGGGGTGGCCTTCCGAGTCCGAAAAATGATATCCGCCTGGGGGACGTGGTGGTGAGCATCCCACATCTGCAGTATGGAGGCGTCGTTCAGTATGACATGGGGAAGTTCACCAAGGACGGGTTTGTCACCACGGGCTCTTTGAAGGCACCACCAGAAAAGCTGCTACACGTGCTTAATTATATGTCTGCCCACGGCTTACCTATAACGGGCGAACTTGAGCACGAATACCCAGGTGCTGAACTCGATCAACTCTTCGAAGCATCCTACCCACATGTCGGGGGCGAAACCTGTGAGGCATGCGACAGGGAGCAAACAGTGCAGAGAAGTATTCTCCGGGATAGCACGACGCCGCATGTCTTCTACGGCACTATTGCATCCGGAAACTCAGTAATCAAGGATCCAGGGATCAGAGAGACATTGATCAAGAAACATGACGTGTTGTGCTGCGAAATGGAAGCTGCGGGGCTCATGAACACCAGATTCCCCTGCCTCGTTATTCGCGGCATCTCCGACTACGCCGATTCGCATAAAAATGACATTTGGATTCCATACGCGGCTGTCGCTGCCGCTCAATATGCGCGGGACCTGCTCCTTGCTATGCCGGCGGCTATTACGTTGTCCGACACCGTGGGCTGAACAGAAGAGCGACCTGAAGAGACCAGATCAGGATGATTGTCGGCAGCGGACCGTGTTGAATATAGTTTGTGACGGCGATTTTATCTAGGGAAGATTGGGGACTGATGTCAGCTGAAGGGCGCACTTCTTCGGTGGGAGCGGAGGTCCGCTAGTCCACACGCACACGAGCCAGTCAGATCCTTTCTACAACCCCTCATCTACGACCCCGCCATTAAGGCGCCCTTTGCCAAGAGCTGCTGAGAGGTGTACATGATTACCAAGCGTCAGCCGCACCAGGAACTCTGTATATAGTCTGGAGAGGCAGTCTCTCAGTGAGCGATCCGGAAATCCGCAGCACTCTGTTATCAGCCAGAAGCCTCATTCTCAGCCAACTCCAGTGAACCTTTAGTGACATTCGCACTATACATCAAGATGTCACCTACCGTCGGACTGGTTATGGGGGCGAACTCCTTCCTCACGCAAAATAGTTTTGGAGGCTATGACGGGATGAAGGAAGCTGCCTCTATTCTCCATGCAGAGGGTGTCAGGAATATCGACTCTGCCGCCATCCATGGTGCGCACGAGGATGTTATGGCGGAGATTGGCATCGCGAAGACATTCGAGATTGATTCTAAGTGGTCCGGGGCGGTCATGCCAGTGCCGTCGACAAAGGAGGCTATCATCGCAAGCGCCGAGGCGAGTTTGAAGAGGATGAAAGCAGGACAGGCAAGTTTGGCAAAACTCCTCGTTAGAGAGTAAGCCCAGCTAAGGAGATCTCATGCTAGTTCGACGTCTACTACCTCCACGCCCCGGACCGTCGTGTCCCCTTCGAGCTCCAGCTTGACGCCATCAACACCCTCTACGACAAGGGAAGGATCAAACGTTTTGGAGTCTCGAATGCCTTTGGCCACGAAGTCGAGGAAATGGTCCGCATCGCGAAAGAGAACAACTGGGTGGCGCCTTCGGTATATCAAGGCAACTACTCCGCTGTTGCTCGTCGTCAGGAAAAGGAGCTCTTTCCTATCCTCAGGAAGTACGGTATCGCATTCTACGCCTACTCACCTATCGCGGGCGGCTTCCTGGCCAAAGACGCGGAACAATTCGAGAACGGACCACAGGGGACCGGGCGCTGGGATCCTACCAATTTCGTTGGAGGGGTATACCACGCCATGTACAACAGACCCGCAATTGTCGAGGGCCTCAGACAGTGGAACGCTATATCAAGGGAGAGTGGGATCCCAGGAGTCGAGCTAGCATACCGCTGGGTCGTCCATAACTCTGCACTCCGCGGCGAGAACGGCGACAAGATCCTCATCGGTCCGCAGGACTTGAAGCAGATGAAAGAGATTCTAGAATTTGTCAAAAAGAGCCCGTTGAGTGAGGAGATTGCGAAGAAGATTGACGACATTTGGACGGTCGTGGAGCAGCATGCGCCGCTGGATAACTGGAATGATGTCATGTCAAAGATGAATATCGCGCCGCAGAACCATGAGGCGAAGGAATTGTATGGAAAGGAGTGAAGAGCCCAGGCTCTGCGACAAGACAGTGTCATCTGCGCTAGAATATGGTCTGCATTCTATTTTGCGATGATGCGATGATGCGATGTTGCTTTCTTGAGACACGCAATTAGAAATAGCACCACGGGAATACTACCACTGTGACTTTCATTAACGGTGGATACAGAGTGTATGCGCATTTGAGCTTTGTCGGAAACTGATTTTGTGCACAGCAAGTAGCTGAAACCTGCTTCTGTCCGGATGAAGGCATCGCGAGTTGCGAGAACGCAGCATTTCTGCCCTGACATTTGGACAACAATCACCACGTCCACTCGCAAAAGAGTCTGCCTAACCAGCCAGCTCCACGACAGCTTCAGCATTGGCCAATGACAAGCCAAGCGAGGCTAAGCCGCTTCACGAGTGAAAAGACCCTCGGAAGACCCTTTCGGCTTTTGGCCCCCAAATCCACGCGGCGGCCAATGATACTGGTATGCGAGGACCCATTTTTTCAGGCATCTGCCAGTCGGAAGCGAGGAGCAACCATCCCACCCTGTTGCTTGCTTGACTTCGCGCTAGGCGGGGTGGTTGGTCATCCAGAATCCTGGTCTGAGAGGAAACGACCCTTGGAGAGATTAACAAACCGGCCGTGGGGAACTGGATTCTGGATTCTGGCGTAGCAACCGACGGGGTTGGGGTTGGGTTTAGGCAAACGCGTTTCTGCATACACTATATCTTTGCTCAATTGACTTTCTCGGATGGTCTTGGTATTTGTTTATTCAAGCCTTTGTTGACGATTTGAGAAGGACGTGAGAAAATGGCGCGTCACCTCGTCGGCTTCGCTGCCCTCGCGATGGGACTCATCTTAGGTATGTCTCACCCACCTCAATCAGCGGCAGTAAACATTGAGAACAATTGTGCAGGTACAACCGCCCAAGAACCCCAAATCCCATCCGCCTGCTCAAACAGCGCCTCCCTCTCAATTCCCATCGCCACCCAATCCGACATCTACACCCTCCTCAACGCGGGGTGCACGACACTATACGGGCAACTCCGTATCCAGAGCAGTTTTGAGGGCGAATTCGTTCTCCCCAATGTGACGACCATTAAAATCGACGGGATCGTCGTTGAAGATGACGGGGATTCGCGTGTCACGGCTATTGAGCTGCCGGATCTTGTTGAGGTATCGAATTCGATTGTACTGGGGACGCTAGGAAAGGTAAGACGGGTGTCGATGCCGAAGCTCAAGACGATTCCGGGGAATCTTTCGGGGAAGCTTTGGGTGGAGAATTCGACGGTTGAGTTTGATGCGTTGGAGAGTGCTAAGGGGTTGGATCTTGTGGGGAATCTTACGGGGTATGTATGCCACTCATACACTGAAGCCTTGCCACTTTATTCCTGGCCGTTTTGTTGACATGTAGCAGTCTTGACTTCCCATCATTGCGGAAGGTCAACAAAACAATTTCGATATGCAATGTTCCGGGCTGCGATCTGGAGTACAATGTTGCGCGTACCGCGATGGACATATCGTTCCCTGTGCTCGAGTCTGTTGGTGTGTTTTACGTCAAGGGGACGGCGTCAAGGTGAGCTTCTATCCCTCTTCCCTGCTCAAAAGCCAGAAAGGATCTGTTCATCTAATGGATATCGTCTGCAGGATCTCCGCGCCAAACCTCACTGCCGTCGGGATGCTGCCGACGGTTTTTCCAACTGCAGGAAATGCCACCAACATGACAAACTCCACGAGCGTTGCGAATACTACAGGTACCCTGGATACCAACAGCACTAATCTTGAGTCCCGAAGTACCACTGGCCAGCAGGACGTGCTCCAGGGTCTGAACCTCCATCTTGAGAACGTGCCATTGAACATCAGCTTTCCCAGTCTTGTCAATGTGACGCCGAGCGCGGACTTCAAGGGTCCTTTGCTTAGGTACGTCCCTCACCTATATATCCACATTAAACGCACTCGAATGCGTACACAAACAACTAAACTAACCCTTTGACCAGCCTGAACCTTCCAAACATGACAACCTACCCTGAAAACTTCACTGTGCACACCACCGAGAGAGCAAAGATTACCCTCCCCGTCATCCACGCGCAGAACCTCGAGTTCCAAGGGTGGATGGAAATGTGAGCTTTCTCCCCTCCCTCTCTGCCTAACCCCATCCCATCCCCATTCAGCGCAAAACCAAAGCTAACCTCGGCATGTAGCCTAAACCTCACACACCTCCACGAACCCTTCTCCCTAACCGTCTACTCCGACGAAACCATCCAATGCAGCGACATCACCGTTCCCGGAGGCGCACGATCCCAACCAAACGTCTACTGCTCCGACTTTGACGGCCCATACACGTACATCCCCTACCACAAGCCCGGGCTCAACACGTGGCAGAAGGTCGTTATCGCAGTTGGCGTGATCGTCGCCGTGGCGGTGAGTGTCCTTGCGGGAATCCTGCTATGGAGACGGCGCAAGGCGAAGAAGGGGTTGAAGATGGGGCTTGTGTGGAGGCCAGGTTCTGTGGGGAGTTGGAGGAGGAAGGATAGCAGCGAGAGTAGTGATAGTGATGCGGATAGTGGGTTGGGGAAGGAGATGGATGTGGTGGTTTAAAGGAGGGGATCGCCGCCGCCGTATCCTCCCAGGCCGGAGGCGGTTTGAGGAGGATTTGCACGCTAAGTCTTAGATGGAGATGGGTAAAATTTGGAAGCGAGTATGAGAGCCGGGGTGGTCGTTGATGAGTTGATGAGTTGATTCACTGATAGAAGTTAGATATAGTTAGTAACTTTTAACGATATAGATGAATGATGAAAGTGCACAGCCTCAAGACGGACTCCGAACAGACCAATAAGAGACTGCGTTAGCATTACTAATGCCCGCGGAGTCACTGGAAATAAACAGAGCTGAAAGCGATCTGCAACCTGTGCTCTTCCACTGCCCCGCGACTCAATCGCGACATGTCGCTACTTGGCCTCCCCAATGAACTGCTCTTGGAGATCACAAGCAAGCACCTCTACAAGGAACGGGAAATCTACTCGTTCATGCGCACAAACCGCCGACTCTACTCTCTCGCAAGGCAAGAGCTCTACCGATACAACGCAGCCTACGACAATTCCAGCGCCCTGCATGTTGCAGCTGAGACGGGAAATCTAGAGACAGTAGTATACGCACATGAGTACGGAGGAGCGGTGCTCAAGGCGGCGCATAGCCGATACGACGCTGCGACGCCGCTCCATCTTGCCAGCAGGGCGGGCCATGTCGCGATTGTCGACTTCTTGCTCGCCCAAAATGTTGCGGTGAACACGCGCGCTGGGCTTGATAGGACGGCCCTCAGTGAGGCCGTGCAACATGGCCATTTCGCCATCGTTGAGAGACTGCTGGCGGTCGACGGCATCGATCCGGGTATAGCGGATTCGTTTCGTCGGTCCCCGTTGTGGTGGGCTTGTCGACGCGGGCATCTCAAAATTGTACAAGCTCTCCTTTGCAGGGAGGACGTGGATGTCAACAGGGGGTGCGACGATAACGAGACGCCGTTATTTGTTGCAGCTTTCTGGAACCACGTCGACGTTGTAAAGATCCTGCTGGCGGACGACAGAGTCGATCCGAACCTCGTTGCTGGCTTCACGGAGACGACTCTGATGATGGCATGCGCGAAAGGATATGAGCAGGTTGTGCGGGCGCTCTTGGCCTCACCAAAGACGGAAATCCAACCGGACATCTACGGTCGACACGCCCTCTTCCACGCGGTGGAGGGGAACCAGACGGGCATTGTCGATATGTTACTCGACCATGGCGCCCCAATCGATGCTCCAGAGCACTCCGGACAGACGGCACTCTTCCTGGCCGCGCGCAATGGTCTAGCGAAGATGGCATACCACTTGATCACTCGCGGAGCGGATCCCTCGCCAGCCAGTGCCAGAGGCTACACGCCGCTTTGCTGGGCAGCGCACGCTAACTCGGCGTCGATTATCAAGATTCTGCTCGAGGATCCCCGGGTTGATGCCAACCGCGTCACTCCGAGCGGCTCCAGGCCAATACACATAGCCGCAGTCAACGCGTGCGAAGCGCTTGAGCACTTTCTCCAGAGGGATGACGTTGATGTGAACTGCCAGGACAGGATTGGGAGGACGCCTTTGATGTTGGCTGTATGGAGGGCACGAATGTGCCACATTGAGCTCTTGCTCGCGAATGAGAAGATAGATGTCAATGTTCAGTCAAAGGACGGATGCACGGCGCTCGTGTACGCAGCGAAGCAGGGGCGCACAGGTGTCATCAAGGCGTTGCTGGGCCATCCGAGGATTGATATAAATGTGGCGGATGGAGAGGGTCGAACTGCTTTGTACTGGGCGAGGGAGGAGGGAGATGGGCAGATTGCAGAGCTCTTGGTCGCCGCGGGTGCGAGGGAGCGCTCCTGACGGCGTTACAACGCAGCTGGAACCGGCAGGTTCGATGATTCTTGGTCGACGTGGGGACTGGACGGTTCAACGAGATTGATGGGATCTAAAGGTGGTCCCATTCGGGCACTATAAGTAGACTATGCACATAGGGCTCATACTCTTCAAGAGCCCCCCGGTCTGGAGCTCAGTTGGAGACGGCGAGGCGATTATTGGCTGTAATCCCACGGTCGGGATTCCGTTTCCGATTTGGCAGGAGCGACCGCTGGCTTAAGGTGGGGGCACCTGCCTCACTAAGCGAGGCTTCTCCTCTTCTCCTCATTCTCCAACTCGAAGTTATTCAGCTGCCACTCAACCTCCCTGCATCCTCACCTAGCACTCACCATGGCACACGCTCTAGGTGCCATATCGATTGTGTCCGAGTCTGTCCCTCCTGCACACACTCCTAAGCAGCAGGTACGCGATGATGCCGCTCAAATCACTCCCCCGAAGGCGCTCGAAAGCACACCGCCACCCACAGCGAGGCCAGTGGAATCACGCGCAGCACCAACTACGCGCATCCAGAAGCTGCGCCTGCTGAGTACTTGCATGATGGGTTTCGGAAATGGCCTCAACGACAGTGTTCCAGGAGCGCTCATTCCATACATGGAAACCCATTACTCGATCAGCTACGCCATCGTGTCGCTTATCTTTGTTACGAATGCAGTTGGCTTCATCGCTGCCGCGCCCCTTACAGATCTTGTTGAGCAGCGGCTCGGCCGTGGCAGAGCGTATATCCTCGCCGAAGCTCTCATGGGCGCCGGATATGTGATCATCATCTGCACGCCTCCGTACCCGCTGGTTGTTTTGTCTTTCTTGCTCATTGGCCTCGGCGAGGGAATGGACCTCGCGTTTAACAATGTGTTCTGCGCCAATTATGGCAACGGGACTACGGCTCTGGGGGTTCAACATGGCAGCTACGGACTGGGCGGCACAGTTGGGCCGTTGATCGGAACAGCGATTGCATCCAGCGGTGTGATCTGGTCTCGTTTTTACGCCGTCGCGATCGCAATTGTAGCTATCAACGCCTCCTTTGCCGGATGGGCTTTCTGGAACTATGAGGCGCCGAAGCCACGAACTCAGGTGCCGGAGACCATCTCCCTCGAGACCGGAACCGCAGTTACTGTAGAACCAACCGAGCCCTCAAAACGGACTCTCCTGAAGCTCGCTCTAAAGAGCCCCGTCACAATCCTAGGCGCCCTCTTTATCTTCGCCTACCAAGGCGCCGAAGTCAGCATCTCGGGCTGGGTCATCAGCTTTCTCGTGGCAACCCGCCACGGCGACCTCTCCTCCGTCGGCTACGTAACTGCTGGTTTCTGGGGCGGAATCACTGTCGGCCGCCTGGTCATCTCGCCGATCGCCTTCCGGCTCGGTGAACGAATCTGCGTCGCCGCCTTTGTTCTGGGCAGTCTCGCCTTTCAGCTCGTCGTCTGGTTTGTGCCGAGTATCGTGGGAAATGCCGTCGCCGTTGCGATTATTGGATTGCTCCTGGGACCCGTGTACCCGTGTGCAATGGCTGTGTTCTGTAGGCTTCTGGATGCAAATCTGCAATTGACGAGTTTGGGCTTTGTGAGTGGTGCTGGAAGCTCCGGGGGTGCGGTTGCGCCGCTTGTTACGGGGTTGGTTGCGCAGAAGAAAGGGACCTGGGTCCTGCATCCGATTTGCATCGGGCTTTATGGAGCGATGATGGGGGCTTGGTGTTTGTTGCCCAGGCAGAAGAAGAGGGACGAATGAATAATGTGATAATGGTAGATAAGGATGGCTTTGAGTGCGCAGTGGATATTATGCTTGCTTTGTTCCGTACTTAAGTTATATCAGCGGTACCAGAATGTGTTTTCAAGGTCATCAGCTTTGGAGCTACTGCAGCTCGCCAGGTCCCTGGCCTAACATTGTCCTGTGCGCTACTGGGCCCCCGCAGCGTTACCGATCTCTGATATTCAAGTGCAGGACACTGTGCGGAGCAACGGGCTGATATTCCATCCTGGATTTCGTGTCGCTAGCTCTATGTATGTCTCTGGGTTCAAATCTGGCATCTCAATTACACGAGTGACCGAAACCACCAAGGCTGTTATTCCCCAATGCAATATAACTCTCTAGCTGTATACTGCTTGACTTTGCTTACACCACCCCCAGCGCCCCAAGAACGATATCATTACACCTCCCCAAAACACCCATAACCTCCTCCTTGCCATGCCACGCATCATTATACGCCGCACTCAGCGTAAGTCTCCCCTTCCACGTATCCAAAAACAACCCGAGCCCGGTCCCCAGCTCCTCGCCCGTGACCCACGGGCTATCAACACTAAAACTGCCATACTGATGCCGAATAACATTGTCCAGCACGCCCATACTCGAAATCGACGCAGAGGGGGTCTCATTTCGCGGCGGGATCGCGGGCGGGTCCTCCCTGGGTCGCGGGAGGATCTTCATCGCCCAGTATGCGGGAACGAGTTTGATGTGGTCGGTGTTGTTGCGGATTGCAATGTAGTAGTCGCGCATGTACTGTGCGATGGGGAGGAATTCATCTTTGCTGGTCTTTGCCAAGGTAGATCCGGTTGCGGGGACGGTGAGGTCGACGGCGAGGCCGCGGCCGGAGACGGAGTGATACACGGAGACCGGATGCGCTGCTGTCCCGTAGGGCGCGTTGCAGTGGTTCCGCTCGTTGATCAGGCAGTAGCTGATATACCGGACGGAGCGCTCGGTGGCTTTGCGCTCCTGGAGATCGCGGACGGCGAGGGCGACGGCGGCGTGGTAGGCGTGTGTGACGCTGAGGCTGAGGCTGCGGCATTGAACCTGGAGTTTGGCTGTTGTTTCAGCGGAGAGTGTGACAGCAACCCGCTGGTGCTTTCCGGGGGTGGGATTCGCCTTGTTGAACGGGGGGCTGGCGAGCTCGACGCCCTTTGACAGCGCGGCGTTGTATTCGAGGACGTCCTTTATGGTGTTTTCGAGTTCCGGCTCGAGGGTTGCGGCGAGCCCGGCGGCGACACGTAGTGGAGGGCTGAGGTTCTTGTGCTCGTCGCCAAACACGGGCGTTGCGCTATCGGGGATCTCGTAGGCTTGCGCCGCGTGGGTGAAGAGGTTGTTGAAGAGGAGAAGCGTGCCCATGCCGTCAATGATGTCGTGGTGTGAGCGGAGGACGAGGTCGGCGTGGAACGTTTTCTCTGTAGATGGGGGCTTGACGAGGAACAGCGTAGGCAGATCAGGCACTGGCGGGTCGGAGTTGCACCAGTCGAGCCCTGAAACCCTCTCTTCCACGATGCGGAACGTCTCCTTCACCCATTTATCCTGCGAATTTGAGTCGCTGAAAGTCTCATAAATCTTCTGATACTTTGATTCGGCGCCGTTATACTGAACTCTAGACGCAATGGTAGGGTGATCATATCGCAGACGAAGCCACGCCTTGGCCAGTGCCTTTTCGACCTTTGCCTCTGTTTCCTGCAGCGACGAACCGGACTCGACAGGAACAGACAGTGAGACAAAACCCGTCATGGCAAAGAAGACTCGCCCGGTCCCTGCAAAGTACTTGGCGAGCGATGAGTAGAATTGTTCAATCTCGTCGACATCCCTCTCCCACCGACCGGGCTGGGTAGCCTTCCAATCAAACTCCTTTGCCATGGCGACACTCAGTTACAGTTCTGGTGATGAGAGACGAAATCGAGATGCTGGGATCCAAGGACGCTTCGTCGAGTGACTGATTATCCAGCGAGACACTTAAATGCATCTCGGGGAACGTCGGGCCGACCAGCCATGGTGCAATTCGTGGTCTTCCAAACAGTGGACCCGACACTCCCCCGCGTGATGGCTCGGAGCTGGCCCAATTGCCCGATACAGGAAAAACGGCCGCAGCCCCTCGCAGAGTGTTTCCGCTCCGGTGCGTTCTCCGCAGCTGGCGTCAGTGGGCAGTTTCGCCGATGTTCTTCCGATCCCCTACCCTGCGGAAACGTTCCATCTTGTCTGGATCGTCGCTGTCCAAGCTTCAGAAGCTTCCAGGCCAGCCCAGTGGTCCGGTTTACCCGCGGCTGAATTATCGTCTCGGGGAAGCCACGGGACAGTGTTCCTTTGAGAGGGCGAACGAAGCCTTCCGAGTCACCAGAGATAACGCTTACGCTGCCTACACTACCATATCAGGCACAGAGGCATCCTTCAGAGTGCTGACAACCCTTGGCAATTGGGGCTGGAATTTATAAGCTTCCGTGGGCCGTCTTCTCTGGTGAGTGCAGGTCCATCTGCCGTTCCGTTCCAATGGAGGCGATGAGCACAGAGACGGAAGCGCCACCGCCGCATCGGCTGATCCTCAAACTCATCAGTGCACGCTTTGCGATTCTCGTGGCGGGCATCAATGATGGCCGTCTGGGACCAGTCATTGCGCATATCCGAGAGAGCTATGAGATCAACGAGGATAAGATTGCTATCATGTATGCTAAGCTCACGCCCATTACCTTCACATGCATGGTGACACTCATCTAGTTAGGCTGCTACCTTCTGTGGCTTGTGGCTGGTTCGTCACTGCCCTCACCGAGAGCAACAGCTATCTACCAGGTCACAGCCTACATGGGGCAATGATTAGAAGGTAGAGATCCTCTAGACCAACAATTGTTCGATGAGATTAGGGCTGTGTGTACATGAGAAAGTTGGGATGATGAATAGCCAGGCACCCGCGCAACGTGAATGATACTCACTTCAGCTGGCTGAGTTCGCGGCATATTCTTGGGCCTCAGAGCTCAGACTAGACGATCACATTCCTATAGGGCGTGAGGGTAACGCTCCCGACCAACCCTGCTTCACCCGCCGGCGGTGGCCCACCGAACCGCGACGCCGAAACACCCGCCGAAACAAGGTCGTTGAAGATCGTCCGCAAGTAGTTCCAAAGCGTCGTCGGCACAGTAAGCCGGATAGTATTCTCACCACGGCGCAGGTAGGGGCCGATATCTGCCACGGGGTTCGTGAGGTCCAGTGGCGGGATCTGCTGGTCGTTGACGTAGACGGTGATTGTATCGATGACGCGAGAGAACGCAATGTATGCCCCGAAATCGACCTGGTTAGAGGGGCAGTGGCGGGTCGTTGGGGCATTGTGCTCCCGTTTCGGTGGCCAAGTGAATGTCGTGTTGTAGTAGCCCACCCCGGATGTGTTTGCTAGGGCTGGGAGTTTGGTCCAGGACGTCGGCGTGGTGAGCTGGTGGGTTGTGTTGTATTTCACTGTATGCTGGCTGTCGTATAAATCTTCTGGTGCCTCCCAGTGCTCGGCGGTTAGGGTCCAGCCAGAGAGCTGCAGTGGTCCAGGGACACAAGACGTATCCAGTGAGACCTTCCGGCCGGTACTGAGAACGGCTCGCGATGTGCTTTCCGACCGAGCAACGTAAAGGGCGATCCTTCTGTCATCTGTAACTTTATTACCCAGAACGTGGGGCGGGGCGGCTTGAATATGATAGCGAGGGACAGGGTGGTCTCTGGCAAGCTTATTCGAAAAGGCAAAGAAGAGGGTTTGGTTTCCGGCGAGGTTGATGGGGATTGTGGTTGTCGAATGGCTCTGCGTGTAAACAAGGACTGGTGAGATGTCCCCTGTCCATGCGTTGAGAATGAAGGGCGTTTCTGTGCTATGAACGGTAATACTTCCCGTTGACGGAACCAGGTCCGAATAGATGACTGCGTAGCTGTACTCTTCTGCCTCGCCCCATGTAGTATAGCAAGTACCATTTGTCTTGACCTCGACCCTCGGCCGCAGACCCAGTTCTCTGAGTTTGCGCGCAACGGACCCTGCAGCCACCGTGTGTACATTCCGTAGCCGTAGTAGACGAGCGAAATCCCGGTCGTACTTGGGCTTTTGCGAATCACGCCCCGTGGGATAATAACCTGGTGTTCCGCCACTGAAGATTATCGGTAGGCCGTTGCGTGCATAGCGATCGAGAGTTTGGATGGCGTCTAGGGTGAGGTTCTGCGTGGCCTCGACGATGAATGCCTTCCATGCCGGAGCATCCGGGGCCAGGACTCCGTTGCGGACCTTGGCTTCTTTGAGAGCGAGATTGTCCGCCGACAGATAGTTCCAAGACCAGCCTACATTCATATGCGGATCAGTTGCAAACTCTATAGGGTTATTAACTCGGGTGCATCAACGAACCTTCCTTCAGCAGGTCCTCCCCCTGATAGATGTTGTCAATAGTCGTCGCCGACTCCTTGTGATACAGCACCACGTCTGCCTTTGGTACACTGTTTTGCAAGATAGACTGGCCCCTAGCAATATAATCCATGGTCTGCCTGAGGCCATGATCCCAAGCGGGCAAGCGTGGGGAAAACAGGTCGGAGAACATGTAGTTGAACGGCGTGTGCCCTGGCCATGTGGTGTTGGGATAAGTGCCCGAATAAGCCTGGCCATGCAAGACCATCTGGTTGACACCGCCACTAAACGCCCGATTGACGGAGAAAAGCAGCGAGGGCAGGTGATAGTTGTAGGCTGAACCGCGGACAGCACCCATCTCGTTGGAAACGATTCGCTTGCCGGACAACCGGGCAGGACCGGAGAATGCCCGGTACATGTCGATGTTGTCGAAGAAGGAAAGACTTTCGCATTCTGGTGCGTCTAGTGAGGGGATCGCAGACAGCATGTCCATGACCGAGCCGTATACTGGCTGAGCGGAGAACTTCACGCCGAGGTCATGGGCCCAGACAGAGAGGGCAGTGAGGTATTCCTTGTATCCTGCGACTAGTGTGGCACGAAAGTCGTTGACAAAATTCAAGCCTTGGTCCTCGGTGTCAAGTACACACTCGAAAGGTCCCGGCTGATCTTTCTGCATTACAACGGTATTTTGCCGAAAGGTCAAGAGGGGAAGATAGGGCTTGATACTGTAACCGTGCAACCGCTGGAACCGTTCGGGTAGCGAGCGCGACCACGTTACGTTGAAGTGCATTTCGAGGCTGTCCTCCCAGGCTGTACACATGGTTAGCAGATGTGGTATATCCGTTTTGGGCGATGTACCATAATTTCCAGTTCTCGACAGCAGGGCGGATACCTCGTCGGTCAAGATGTGGTCTTGCCAAAACTCCTTGACCACAGCAGCACCTCGAGCGTCAAAGTGATCGACGGTGTATGACCCATCGTCAAAGATGTCGTCGTGCTGGTTGGACCGAAACGCAAGATTCCTAGCCCCAGCTAGCCGTTCATAGAACGCGAAAAGGCGGTAATGTGTCCCAGAACGGGCCCTGGGCAGACGTAGGCTCACGTTTCCATGCTTATCGACGCGGCGTGTCTGTTCAGTCAATGTTTCGTGATTGAGGACAAACCTATCGTAGGTGACCGGGACAGGAAATCCGGCAAGACCGATTGTTTCGAACGTAATGGTCACGTTTGACTCGACGAGCGCAGTGACCAGGGCGACGAGGTTGCCCGAACCCCAGCCGGGGATCTTCCCATCATATCGGCCACTTTCAGGAATTGCCGCTGTGTGCGGGGTCTGTACACTCAATCAAACGCTGTTTCTCGAAGAACAAAGACTAACGCACCATATCCCATTGTAGCCCCTCGTTATCCGGCTCGGCCGGCACCCCCTGTCCCTGGTTCGGTCCGAGGGCAAAGTCCATAACGAGTCCATGTTCCGTATGAGCTTTAAGGGCGGTACTGAAGAGGTCGACAAACGGTGTGGTTCCGAAATTGTATACGGACCAGTCTACTGGAGGATTGGGGCTGAAAGTCCCTCCGTACTCGAAGAATGGGACCAGCTCCACACCACCAGCTCCAATATCAGCTGTATGTTTGATGTCCCGGGCAACAACATCACCATCGACACTCGCGTCCGGTAACCAGTATCGAAATCGTGGACGCACGTCGGCAGGGGGGTCAGCGAAGGTATGGAGGCTGCTGCTGAGCTGTGCGAGTGATAGTGGTAGGCTTCCCAAGCAGAGAGGTGCGATCAACAAGTTTCGCATGGCGCCAAATAACATAATGGAGGTTGAAAATAGCAAAGCCCAGATAACTGAGAATGGATACTTATAGGCTGCATCGTAGTCGATAGGTAATCCGGGGAACCCCCTGACTCTGGCTGGGGACCCCGCAATCCCGCAGTCTCCCAGCCCACGATTAATTTCCAATTTGCCCAAACCTCGCTTCTCGGATGATATTGACGCGAAGGGTGTGGGTAAGGTCCATTAACTCTTATGATTCGTTCTTCTCGTCTAGAGACATCAATGCTCGTCAGAGCCCTTGTGGCGCGCCCGGAGATTTGCTGGTTGAGGACAAGTCTCGGGATAACGACACAGCGAAGTTTTTCTAGCGTAGGTTGAGAATCCTCCGGAGACTGGAGAAGAAAGGCACCGACAAGAAGACACTGGAGATTGGAGAGCTCTGACCTGCGAAGCTACCGTTGTCGAGCGAGTTTCCAGGCTACTGTCGAGTAGACCCTTGGCGCAATGGTTAGTCTGGGGGTGATGGCCAATAATGCTGCTATCCGAGAAACCCGAGGTAGCCAGTGACTGGGACCGAGATTTGCGGGGTAAGCCCCAAGGGGCCCCCGATAAGCCTGGTAGGGGAAGTGCGGATGGCCACTGACCCAACATGGCAGGCGCATGGTACCCCGGGGACTGGGGGAACCACTGCACTTGGACCTCGTAGACCCAACGATCGGCACCACCTACACCGAGCAAAGATGATAAGAGCTTTGTCGACGCTGCCATGTGCTGCAAAGCTGATGGAATGTTATCACGGTGATTGGTGGTGGGAACGCCTGCTTCCTTGGCTCTTCGACTGTTGCAGAAATTGTTACGAATACGGCCGGGGCGCGGAACGAGGCAACTCCTGATTGGGTACCCCATATTTGTATGGGTCACAGCTGACCGGGGGATTCCTGGAGAACCTCGCTTCCCCAGTCTGACTTTGAGATACAGGCATGAGCGCCTTTGTACCGAGATTCCGGTGGCGTCCAGACCAGGTCAGCTACCTCGTGCAGCCTGCTGTTGCTCGGGCATATTCCAACCGAGCAACGACCAGTATAAGATGCCTCTACGATGGTTAATCCGATGTATCCAGCAAATTCCAGGATCCGTCGGTATCCCCAGACAGCATCATGGGCATCTTCAAGAAGGGTCGGCTTACCGTGGCCGACGACACCGTCACCAATGCCGCCCAGCTGACACTGAGACAGTCCCTGCTGCCGAACATACTGGGTAGGCTCTCGATATCACCTGAGCAGTTCTCAGAGACTGACAATATAGAATAGTAACCGTTCTCTTCTTCCTCTGGGGCTTTGCATATGGCCTCCTTGATGTTCTCAACTCCCACTTCCAAACGACCCTGAACATCACCCCCGCAAAGGCATCCGGCCTGTCCGCCTCGTACTTTGGTGCCTACTTTCTGTGCCCCCTCACGATCTCCGGATGGATCCTGCGACGCTTCGGCTTCCGACTCACCTTCGTCACTGGTCTGGCTGTGCTGGCTGTTGGCTGCCTCATGTTCTGGCCCTCGGGGATCAAAAAGTCCTTTGGCGGTTTCTGTGGCTCGATGTTTATTGTTGGTGCTGGACTGTCGACCCTGGAAACAGCGGCCGATCCGTTCCTTGCTATCTGTGGTCCTCCAAAGTACTCCGAGATTCGGTTGAATTTGGCGCAGGCTGTTCAGGGCGTTGGGGGGTTCGTGGCGCCCCTGTTGGCTAGTCGTGTTTTCTTTGCTCATACAGGTATGTACTGGGCCATTTCATGATCTTTTTTCTCGGTCATTTGCACAAGAGTGGGGCTAATATGAATCATCCTGTATCAGTGGACGATGACCAGGGCCTTAAGAATGTGCAATGGGTGTACCTCGGAGTCGCCGGGTTCGTCGGCCTGCTCATCATCCTGTTCCTCTTCGTCCCATTCCCAGAGATCACAGGTATGCATACCAGCAAATACTAATCCCACTAATCATGGTACTAATCAGCCATCCTAGATGCCGACATGGGCGCCCAAGAAGCCGAAATCTCCGACCACGACTCGGGCCCCTTCCGCGCACAGTACACCCTCTTCCTCGGCGTCTTCTCCCAATTCTGCTACGTCGGCGCCCAGGTCGCAGTCGCAAACTACTTTATCAACTTCGCTGTCGAGGCCGGCAAGGACAAGGCTGAGGCGAGCGATCTCTTCGCGGTCGCGCAGGCCGTCTACGCGGCCAACCGGTTCATCGCCGGCGGGCTGATGGTCATTCCGGCGTTCAAGCCGCGGTATATGCTCCTCGTCTACCTGTCCATGTGCACGGTGTTTTCGATCATTTGTATCGTGACCAAGGGGACGGCGAGCGTGGCCATGTTGATTATGGTGTTTGTCTTTGAGAGTTGTTGCTTCGCGACGATTTTCTCGATGAGCATGAGGGGTTTGGGACGGCATACGAAGCGCGGTGGGAGTTTTCTGGTTGCGGCGATTAGTGGGGGTGCGGCGTTTCCTCCGATGATGGGTGCTGGTACGTCTTTACCCCGTTTGCTATAGATCCCCTCTACGACGACCTTTTCCACATTCCATAGTCGGTGGGTGGTACGTACGGCTAATCAAAACCCGGAACAGTCGTCACAAACAAAAGCGCCCATACAGCCATGGCGATACCCATGTTGGGATACATTCTCGCGCTTACTTTCCCTGTCTATGTCAATCTCTTCCAGAAGGAGAGGATGGATTCGCACCGCGTGTCGGCAGTGGGGATTGCTCCGACTGAGAACAAACTGGAGCTCTCGACAGAGGAGGGCAAAGGAGGGTCGCAGACTCATATAGAGGAGGCGAGCGGCAGATGAACATCACAAGCCAGATCAAGTCGGAAGTTCCTGGCCCTTGAACACGTGGCTCGCACAATTGAACTCGGATTCCTGAGCCTAGCCACTTTAGCCGGCCAGTCTCGCCGTTGAAGCTGGAAATAGGAACAGGACATTTCTTTGCAATCTAGATCATAAGTTACATCCCTAGTATAGTGCGCAATGAACGCATGTGATGAGGTGATTTTCTCCAATCTATACGTACCCGATCTAATTATAGATGCGGAAGCGAACGTGGGTGGACGCAGTGAGGCTGAGCGGAGACCATCCCACGGCTGAAGTGCCTGGGCCCGCGCTGTACGGAGTATCTAGTCTATACAATGATACGCACTGAGGATAGAGGTGTATCCATAAAACTCGAGATCCATTAATAGCTCATGGTATATACGGTATAGATCTATTTCCATTGCCATCTTTAGGTTGTCGTACCCCCGAGATCGCTTATATCCATTGAGGCGTAGGGCTATCGGGCCGGCCATTCGCAGCCCCCTACGTAAGAACCACTAGCAATGTCCGGAGGAGGCGGTATGTCCTCTTTACTGCCCTGTGACCGAGGTGGCAGTGCGATGGAGTGCACCGGCTGGGATATCGAGACTTGTAAAGCGGCAATCTCCCCATTTCAGAAAGGAGTTACGAGCTAATGGCAATGAGGAGAGATACGTGACGCAAAAGACCAGGATCTTAAAATAGCCAAAGGCCAAATGGGTAAATGGTCCCTGCAGAGATTCCTTTTCCGCCATCCACGGATCACAGTAGAAGCCTTGTTCTTTTGCCCTAAACGAAGGGAGTTTGATCCACCTCGAGGAGCATTAACACTGTTCAAAGCTCTGATCATAAAGATCCCTCAGTTATGTGGTTCCTGGCTGTCATTTCAGTCTGATGGGACAGGTTCAGTGCCAAAGCAGGGAGAGATTTTCGAGCACGTCATTATGGGCTGAAGGTGGCGCCCGGGCATATCGATTCATTTCCACAGCGGCGCCGGACTTTTCCTTAGATCCGGGTAGATCGGAGAGTAGAAGCCGGCCGGATTCAGAAAATGAACTCCCTTGGCGCAAGGTCAATAGGGCCAAACGAGCCTGTTCATAATGGGAATGTGCAAGTAGTAGGAACTATTGGCGCAGGTGCAGCAACTTCGTCTTATCTCTGCCAATAATACGTTGTCAAAGAGATCGAGTCGATCGAGACTATTCAGGGAGAAGCAACTAAAGTCTTATTGACGAAATGCTCAATAGAGATCCAACCACAAGCAGCCGCATCCTCGGTTCAGGAACAAAGAAAATTAGGTTTGGGCGGCCCCAGTCACACAAAGCCTGAAGATCCCCACATCAGACTGCTTTCGGCTCTGAGACCATCAGCTGCTCCATACACTCTTAGACCATGTTCACGCTGCGCTGTATCGCGCACGGGTACCTTGAGGTGGTTATCTTTGTTGTGCGTATACCTGGGCGAGCTCTTGGAGGTGTGTATTGAGGGGAGCGAAGGGAGGGGAGGTCGATAAATACATAGTCCATAACTATCCATCTGACACCCCACTATTCACAAGTTAAACCTTCTACCATCGTACCTTAGCACTGATCTGCTGCCCTGGTCATGGATACGCTCCCGCCCAACCTTGATCAGGTCCCCGCCCTTCCGCCGCCACCTGGCGAGACGTGGAACCTCGACAGTGGTCGCGCGCCCTCGCAGACGGCCATCATGGCGGTCGCTGGTATCTTCCTACCTTTGATGCTGCTGGCGGTTATTACAAGGGTTTATGTGCGCACGCGTATCATCAAGATATGGGGCATTGAGGATAGTGAGTTCAGCAGGTCTTGGTTTGTACATGCCTGACTAACAATATACAGCAATCTGCATTCTTGCAGCCGTGAGTGCAGCTAGAACTTCTGGTGAAATCATGTTGACAGTCATAGTGCGGTTCCATCGCGAATATTGGAATGTACCTCAATGGTGTGGCGCAACGAGATGACCCGCTGGCTCTCTACCAGATTGACTGACATTTGCAGCTGTATCTCTCGGCATGGGGAAGCATTCCTGGAACGTCCCCATCACAGTCGTCATGAGCGCCACGAATCTACGAGTAAGTTCTCCCCCCCCAAAGCCGCCCTTGACACCGTCACCTTTGCAAAATCCTGACACCGCAATACGCCAGGTCCTCTCCCCAAACGTAACCTACCTCTTCGCCGTGTGTTTCGCCAAACTCTCCATCCTCTTCCTCTACCGGCGCCTCTTCCCCGTCCACCGCGAGAAGATCTTCATCTGGATCGGGATAATCATGAACATCGTCCTGTCGACCACCTTCATGGCCCTGTCAATCGCCAACCTCATCGAATGCATCAAGTTTACATCGGGCGTCACGGCCTTTTGCAGATTCGTCCACGAGGAAATGGTTCTCTGGGTCACGGCGTCGAATGTCTTTACAGACTTTTATATTGCCATCCTCCCGATTCCGCGCGTGCTGAATCTGCAAACGTCGAAGAGGCGGAAGTTTGGACTGTGTCTCACGTTTGCAAGTGGGCTTTGGTCAGTCCTATGGATTGGATTGAAGTGGTCTTGGCCTAATCTCATTCGCTTTGAATAGTGCCTGCGGCGCCAGCGTCGCCCGCCTCGTCCACACATGCAGAAACCTGTACAACCCCGACGCATTCTGGGCCTCAGCCGACCTTGCAATCTACTCGTGAGTTCCCATCCAAGTGCCCTGCCCCGATGTCACTCTATACCTGTTCCGTCCTAATGACTAACAACCAACTCCTTTACATCCGCAGAATAATCGAAGTCAATATCGGCATCATCGTCGCGTGCGTCTGTACATTCCCCGTCTTCTTCCGCACCCTCCGCGACTCGCCCTTGTCCAAGGCCTTCAGCTCCTCCGTGCGCTCGCTCCTCGGTTCCCCGCGCCGGGGCTCCAAGTCCGACGAGTCGGGAGGAAGTGTGCCGTTGAATGATAAACAGCGCCCGGCTGTTCTGGTCAACTCGATTTCGTCGGGTGAGAGCAATGGGCGCGAGATGAGGAAGTTTGATCCCCGCGGGTCGCTTATTGGGGCTGAGGTTGGGTATCGGGTTGATGTTCATCAGGAGGTTTGATTGTTTCGGAGTTTGGTTCTGGGTTTGGCGATTTTGGGTTGGTATTTGTTATCAGATGTTCATTGGATACTTGCAAGTTAGGGGAGGAGACGATTTAGGAGTATTATTACTCTCTTCCGTTCGTGAATGTTGTAGAAAAATGCCGCAGAAGGTGGTTTACCAATTGCGGAGTGTGCGCGACTGACGTGCGGCATGGAGATCTAAAGCCCTTCTCTGCTCCCATGAGTTCTTTTCTTCCGGAGCATCATCCAAGTCACTACATTCGGGACAGCGGCCTTGATTGGGAGGATGGGCATTTGGTCAACGCTGGGGGTGGATCTCAACTTGCAGTGGAGGGTCTCGGACGTCAATCCCAATGGCCATGTGCTTCGAGTAGAAGATTGACAGGTAAAAATTCCATAATGCAACCCTGTAAGCATATGCTAATCTATTCCGCAAGAGTCAAATGATAGCTCCCCTGCTCGAGAACCACCTCCCCTTCCTTGCCCTCCACCCCATTTACCCCCCCAACAACTCTCCACCCCTCTACCAACTGCAGCGTACAAGTCGTGCCAGTTGGAACCTTCACATCAAGGCCAACACTCTGATCCCCCTTCCTCTCAAACCGAACCTCGATATTCCCATACGGACACTCCACACTCCCCTCCACAAACCCAAACTCACTCTTAACCGGCGGCCGCAGCGTCCAAGAGCGATACGCATCACCCACCGGTTTCACCCCCAACACAGCCGAGTAGAACCACTCGTAAATCGTCCCCAGCATGTCATGGCACTTGCTCCGACACGCATCCTGCCAGAACTCGAGGAGCGTCGTTTCGCCGCGGCGCAGGAACCGCATGTAGCTCGGGTGTTGCTCCTGCCGCGCCATTTCAAGGACGATGTCGGGGCGGTCGACGTCAGCGTCACCCAGCGTGTTCCACAGGTACTTCAGGCCGATTTCGCCGGCGCGCATGGTGTTTCCGGAGTCGGCGCAGTCCGCTAAGAAGGCCTTTATGACGTCCGGGCGGTGTTCCGCGGGGACGAGGTCGAATTGCAGCGCCGTTGCCTGCGCGATCATGGTCCTGTCGTGGACGCCGGGGGTATCGAGGGATGTGTAAAACGCGTAGGGGTACTGCTTCTTATCGGTAACGAGGAGATGGCGGTTATACACCTCGTAGATCCTCGCCGCCCACGTCTCGAACCGCTTCTCGTCCTCGCCGTACCCGAGTTCCCGCGCCATGAGCGCCACGTTCTTCAGACACCGGTAATAAACCGCCGTCTCGATATTCGCCTGGTGGTTCCCAAACGCGATATCCCGTCCCCAGTCGCCGAGTCCGTGTTCAATCAACCCGCCACTCCGCTCCTTTGTCCGCATATACTCCATGTACCGCACAGCGGGCTGATATATCTTCTGAAACACCTGCGTGCTCCCGTAATACCGTTTAATCATCTCCGGGAGGAAACACACCGCACACCCCCACGTAATCGTATCATGCAGCGGGCCACACATGTACCGGATCTCGGGCGCCATGGTGGGGACCAGTCCGTTGGATTCCTGCGTGTCGATGATGTCGTCGAGGATCTTGCTGTACAGCGACTCCATGTCGCGGATGTATTGCGTGGCGGGGAAGAGGAGGGACGTGACCTCGAGCCAGCCGAATTTCTCAATCTGGGGGCAGTCGGTGTGGTAGCTGAACAGGTTCGAGGAGAAGGACCAGTAGCAGGCGTTGATCAGGGCGTTGACGTCGTCTTTGTCGGTCTTGATGGAGCCCAGTTGGCGTGCGCCGGACGAGACGTGTCGCGCGGTGACGGAGGTGATTGTGGGGAGGGGATCGGTGGGGTCGAGCGAGGCGCCTTCGATCTGGATGTAGCGTGCGCTTGTGAATGAAAAGTCGGGCGTCCATGTTTCTGGCTCGCCTGTGCCCGCGAGGGTGAACTTTGCGTAGACGCCGTGCTCGAATTCCTTGAAGAGCGGGTCGGGCATGTACACGAAGCCGTTGTCGTCGATTGTTTCCGAGTAGCGGATTATGATTTCGGAGCCTGCGGGACCTATTACTGACACTTTGACCATGATACTGGAGTTCTGGCCAAGATCGAACATTGTTGCGTCAGGCCGGAGCTTCTGCGTCCGGACCGGCTCAAATGTATTATGGAGAACAACAGGTGGCTGAGATTGATATCTCAATTTCCCTCTTGGTCCAGTCAATGGCTTCGCATCAGCCCACGAGTCATCACCATCATCGAAACCGGGACTGTCCCAGCCAACAGGATAGAGGCGTCGATCATGGTCTTCCGACGCATAGATATTCGCGAGCGTCGTCGCGCTCTTTCGAACCTTCCAGCTCGGATCGGAGATGATGGTCTCATGGCTCCCATCCTCATAGTGCACATGCACCTCGGCGAAAAAGCACAGCTCGTTTCCGTAGCGCACGTACGTGTTATCCTCGTACATGGGCCAGAAGAAGCGATCGCCTTGGTCACCCGCGTAGAAGCCGTTGCCGACGTGTGCGCCAATCACGTTCTCTCCTTTATCCTCGGAGCTGGACTTCCAGTGCTCGGTTACGTCGTAGCCGACAAACTGCACCGTGCGGTGGTAGTTTGTCCAGCCCGGGTCGAGGACGTGTGCGGACGCTGGGGAGCCGTTGATGGAGAGGTTGAAGTGGCCGAGACCAGACGCGAAGACGATCACTCGTGAAACTTTCTTGGTCTGTGAGAGTGTGATTGGTTTGCGCAGGTAAAAAGGCTTATCGGACCCGTTGCCGATCCAGACGGCCTTCCACCGGTCGGGCTCATTTTCGAACCATGTGCGGAAGATCAGGGATGTATGTGGCATCTATATGATTGTTAATCTTAGGTCCTAATTGCTTGAGTTTGAAGAGAAAAGTTCGGAAGGGCCTACATATGTCTGGTTCATGCTGTATGGAGGCAAGAGCCGCGAGGAGCGGGTGTATGAGGTGTAGAACTCGTTGATGGCACTTTTCGAGACATTTCCATTCTGGTCCCAGACCGTTACCTGCCAATAGTAGAATGTCGTCGATTTGAACCCAGTGACCGTTTTGCAGGCAATGTTGCGTTGTGCGCCGCTCTCGACTCGTCCTGAATCCCAGGCGTCCGGCCGCGGGGTTGCGGGGAGGTGGTCGAGGTCGGACTTGACAGACACCACCACCCGGTAAGCAGCCTGCTTCGAATTTGACCCATTTGACTCAAGGACCCAAAAGAAGCGCAGCTCATCGGTATCAATACCAATGGCTTTGTGGAAGCCGTGAATGCCGCAACGAGTGACTTCCATTTTGACTCTGCAGACACAAACTGGGAGGGAAACGAGGGGCAAAAGCAGCACAAAAGAGCGATTTATCTTCAACTCACAGCTGACCCGACCATGCTAGCTTGAAATAAGAAATGGCCAGCTCCACCTCGTCAGCCCATCGGCGTTGTTTCCACCGAGACCCGCTCGTGTGCAGCTCGTTGGGTCGAGGCTGCTTCTCTTCGGAAGTCCCGAGCATTTGCCGATGGCGACCCCGTGCCCTACTCTCTGTCCTCTTCCCCGGTCTCCTGTCCACCTTTTGTCCCGAGCAGTCTGACCACACGGCCAGCGGGCGCTCCGGGCGGAGAATGATAGGTGAAGGGGTAATTTGCTCTCGGGGTATCACTCCCCGTGTGGCCCCGCATTTGGCAGGACATTCCAGTGTCTGGCTATTGGTGCTTGAGCTGTCTGTGGCAGGATTTTCTGGGGTATATAATGTCCCTTGAGGTCTTCCTTGGCTGCTGCTGTCCTGTCTCTCGCCCGCTCTGACCCCCACAGCTTTGGTTTGCAACTCGATCACCATGTTGTCCCTCAAGACTGTCTTCTCCGCTATCTTCCTAGCCACTGGAGGTTTGTCTCTTCTCCGAGTCTTTCTATATGCTTGCCATCTCTAATCCAGACTACATATAGGTTTCCTCTTCGGCTACGACAGCGGCATCATCACCTCGACCATCTCCCTCCCCACATTCAAAGAGTACTTTGGCAACCCCAGCGACACCGTCACCGGCGGAATCGTCTCTTCCTTCCAGGGCGGCGCCATCCTCGGCACAATCATCAACATGATCGGCGCCGACTGGGCCGGCCGTAAAAAGACCGTTTTCGCGGGTGCCGTCGTCTCGGTCCTTGGATGCGCTCTGCAGGCTGGTGCCGTCAACATGGAGATGATTATCATTGGGCGATTCATCGCTGGTGTCGCCGTGGGGATGCTCACAAGTACGATTCCCATGTATGCAGCGGAGTTGTCCGAGCCCAAGTGGCGTGCTACGCTTTCGGGGCTGTTGCAGTGGATGCTTTCCTGGGGGTTCCTTGTCGCGCAGTGGTTGGGATACGGGTGTGCGTTTAACAAGACCGAGTTTTCATGTACGTCCCAGCACCCATGCCCAGTCTTCCCTCCCTCCTTCCTTCCATCCCACCATTCTAACAAAACCTACAGGGCGCTTCCCTCTTGCCTTCCAAAACCTCCCCGGGCTCATCCTCATCGCGGGAATCTGGTTCCTCGACGAATCCCCTCGCTGGCTCATGGAAAAAGACCGCCACGAGGAAGCCAAGGAGGTCCTGTACCGCATCCGCGGCAACGTCCCCGCCGAAACGGTCGAGCTTGAATTCCGCGAGATCCGCGACGTCATTGCCGCCGATCGCGCGGTCGGGAATACCTCGTGGAAGACGATCATTACGAAACCCTCCTGGCGCAAGCGCTTGATTTTGGGATGTGGCGTTCAGGCGTTTGGCCCGTTGAGTGGGATTAATGTTATCAACTAGTATGCATTCCTCTCCACGCGCCCCCCAGTAGACCTGAAAGCATCAGGGGAAAAAAATGGAGCAAGAGACTAATGACATGGCACAGCTACGGCCCGCGCATCTACGAGATCCTCGGCATCGAAAACAACACGACGCAGCTCATGATCATCGGAATCAGCGGCGCGCTCTCCATCGTCTACTGCTCCATCGGCCTCGTCCTCGTCGACAAGGTCGGCCGCATCAAGCCGCTCATCGTCTCCGCATTGTTCCTCAGCGCTGCTCTGCTCGTCAACGCCGTGCAGGGGCAGTACTTGAACCCGGATAATGCGAACCAGCTGCGCTCGATGGTGGCGATGAATTTTGTGTTTAGTCTCTTTTATACGCCTCTGGGGATTATTTCCTGGGTGAGTCACCCTTTCCCTTGTTCGTCTTTCTTTAGACAGATTACTGATGCGTTTGTGTCGACAGGTGTACCCCGCCGAAATCTTCCCCGTCGAAGTCCGCGCGCTCGGCAACGCACTGACAACATTCACCAACTGGACGGTGAACCTGATCTTTGCGCAGTTCACGCCCGACGCTCTCTCCGCCGTCGAGTTCAAGTACTTTTACCTGTTCTTCGCGCTGAACCTGATTGCCGCTACGTGCTACTACTTCTTCTACCCGGAGACCAAGGGCCGCACCCTCGAGCAGATTGATGAACTGTTTGGGGACCAGCTTGTGCCGCATGCGATGGAGGATCCGGAGGGGGCGGATGCGGCCATGGAGAAGGACAGGGCGGCCACACAGTGGGAGGAGAGGGTTTAGCGGGGCATGGCAAGCTAAGGGGCTGGGTGGTCTTCTGTGTATTGGACTCTGGGGTTTAGTGGTGATGGGCATGTCGCAGGGTACGGAGTACTTGGTAATTAGTCGGGGTGGCCGGTCAATGAGTCAATTAGGTCGAGTAGGTAGGCTAATGATACACCCGAGACTCGGAAAGTCCGACTCGCCACTCGAAACGTGTTTCCATGCCATCCTGAACCAGGTTTTCACGACTGTCTGAGGCGTGTCGTTGTGGACGTTGAACCCCGTCCAGCCTCAGCCAGTCAACGCTGGACATCATTCTACGCTAGGGCACGCTAGCGTTGACGCTAAAGCCTAGCGGCGGCGACTGTCCGGTAGAAAAGCGAGAACGCCGCCGGCCAAGCGCTGCGGGGATTTCAGTCCTTCAAGAGAACAGCGAATCAGCTCGTTGCATCCCAAACGAGCTTCTTCTCCACAATGGAACGTGGACATGCAACTCCATGGAACTTGCAGTGCTGGGACCCCCCCACCCCCACTGCTCGCCATGTGGTCTGAGACTTCGGTAAGAGCAGAGAATCCTTCCATCCTTCGTCCGCAGCTGCTATTTGTCCTTTGAGGAGAGAATGATGCCCCGAGAAGGTTCTGCGACGTCTCACTCGGGGTATTTCGTCGCGGAGCGGATGCGTATGCGTACCTTGTGATGTTCCACATGTCTCTCATCGGGTTCTTTCTTCGGGAATATCACGCATCAGAATCCAGAGTGAGGCAGATTCGGGCCGCGGTCTGGAATGCTTGGTCTGACTCGGGCCAGTCAGGACCGAAGCGCAACCTCTGCTATGCGAGTGGTGTGTGTGGAAAGGCGAAGCACATGGGAAGTTCCAGACATATTGACTGATTATTGACAACGCATCCTTAGGCCTATGTATTGGCACTCGGTGAGGTGCGCCTCTGTCTCTAATTACTAGGGGTATCATGATGCTACAGGAACCATGGACTATAAACCAAGCTGAGAGGATATATATACAAGCCAAGCGCCGGCGGACACTCCTCTAGCTGATATACTGTCACTGGCGGTAGGTAGGATTCAATCATGAAAGAAATTGTATTGTCCTGTGGAAGTTGTCTCATTCCTATTAGAATAACTGTCAGGCTCCTCACTACCACTATTGGGTTGTTCAGTCGGAGATCCATGATACTGACCCACCGAAAGTGTCTACACCCGACATACTGTTGCTCAGCACTCCTATGATCGGCCACACCAGGAGATTCGCAGAGAAGCCTTGCCTCGATGATTAGGAGGCGGTTATACCATAAGCGCTATTCACCCAGGAAAGGGCCTTTACTCCTGCTGAGACGCCGGACTGGAAGCGCTGGCAGTATGCGAGCTCCTGATCGGAGCTTGTCAAGTACTCGCCGCTGGTCTTTGCGATGGGACGCTGACTGGATGAGGATCTAATTGGCCACAGATTCAAGATCTTTCCAGGGAATAGGCTCGGTGGTCCGCAAGAGGCTGCTTTTGGCCCGGGTCGGCCTTCCCATAGGTTGAATCCGAACGTGTTGGGGAAACATCTTAGATGGGCCCCCAGAAATCGCTCATTGATAACTCGTTAGATATCTCGTCATCCTCACTTTTCCCACTTTGACCATCTACCTCACTCGTGTCATGATCAGAGTCTAGTCCCTCTTCATCTTGAATACGATATCTCTTCTGTCGAATCATGCGGCGGCGTCTCCAATTTGACCGTTTCTGTGCAGCACGAATATCTCGGCGGAGACCAGTAATCTCTTCGCACGCATCGGCCACATTCCGCATATGCCCGTCCAGGGATTCCTGGCTTTCAGCATCACCCTCCGCGGAGATATAGACAACCTGGTCAAAGTTGCTGTGGAAGGTAGCGAGGTCTCGTGATGAGAACAGGGCGGACCACCTTTGCCACTTGATGTCTGTCTGCACACAAACCTGTCATATGGAAAGACTAACATCTGCCATCCCCTTTAATGTGTACTCAGTTGACGGTGAAAACACCAGCAAAATCGAAACCAACCTTTTTCGCTGACACTGCTGGGACAAGCAGCTGCTTGCCAGGGATATCGAGCGGAACCATAGCATTGGGGTCGGATCCTCCTGGGCCACAAGCCATCCGAGACGCAAGGTCCCGCCCAGCAAACTAAGCGATCGCCAATCCTTGCATGGCCCTGACTGTAATCTTGCTCTTTTTGATCAGGCTCTTAACGATATTCTCCGGATTTACCAGCGCTGCTGCCCGTCCACGACTTCAGATCGGCAACGGCCTATCCTTTATGACCTCCTTAATGCTATCCTTCAGTGCAACTGTCTCCCCCTTCGAGGCTTGCAGCACACCGATCCCTTTATCAACGAAGTAACCAAGATAGTCGTCGTTTCCCTCAGGAAGAAGCCACTTGAAGAAAATCTTTAGATCATCACCACAAGGCAAGGAGTAGGCTAGCATATCCGGTTAAAACAGCGCGAGAACAATGGCCTTCGTATCCGAGGGGTGCAAGCAGATTCTTATTTTACCACGTCCGAGGAGATGATACTGCAGGTTCCCTAGTTCTCCATGCTCCTTCTTCGGGCGCTTGCCTGTGGACCAGCGTCCAATACAGTGTGTCTTCTGTAGACTGACTTGGCGAATTACCCCCTTATTAGTCACTGGACTAGAAACACAGACGATGAGTTTCCCATTCTAACGAGCACCTTTTACCCCATTCCTTGGCCGGCGCAGCGCCGTGTATAGTACAGGGGGTATGGTAGCATGTTCGCAGCCGCTGGCTGGAACAGCCGGCCAGACTATTCTCGCAAAGGGCGGAAATGCAGCTGTGAGTACGTGAAATGAGAATGTGATTGTAGGGCTTATGGGATGGCCCTTCCGGCGTGAGTCATTCGAACAGGAGCTCCCAGTCCACAGTCACTCTGATGGCTCGATAGACAAAGTCCGCACCTGCAGCCGCACCGGAGTTAAGGTGCAGTCCCCTTGTTACCGAATCATGTGACTGGCCGCCTCCCATTCCTCTTCCCCTCGAGTCGTCGTCTATCCAGCTGCTATGGTACTGCAATCTCTCTACCACTTCATTATCTTTACGGCAAGGGTTAAAATACACATGTCGGGACAACGGGCAGCTCTAGTCTGCCTCACCTGCAAGGCGGGCAAACGCCAATGCGATAAGCGGCTTCCAGTGTGTTCGCGATGTGAAAAGTATGCGAAACCCATGACTCCAGCAAGGAACCGCTTGCCGTCATTATATACAGTGCGAAACTAACCCTGGCTACTTTGACAGGCTGAATAGGCTGTGCGACTATCCAGCTCCCTTGCCAATTGAACCTGCGACTCGACGAATCCAACGCGAGACTACAACGAATAGAGTATCGTCTACTGCATGCGCACGGTGTAGGGCCAATAAACGTAAATGCGATCGGATCGTCCCAAAGTGTTCGAGGTGCTCGAGGTATGAATCCCAAGCTACACGGGCCCAGTGGCCCATCCACTTAACAATATTGACATCAATGGCGTTAGGATCGGCGCCAGCTGCACATACCAGCCTGTCACTGCGCAGCATGCAGTTTCTCCTCTGCACCGTGCGGGAGCGGGAGCGGGCGCGCATACGCCATAGCCACGGATGGGCCTCGCTGCTGTGACAGACGTCGAGGTGGGAGTGGCGCCGGACGCTCCTATCAGCTACCGCCCGTACATGTCTGAGCTCGTGCAGTTCTGTAGGTCTCAATCCCCCCTTGTCGAGGAGGCTAACCTGTCAATCCCGGCAAGTCCTCACATCCATCGCGCTACCCTCGGATACCGTGATGACGGATAGCCTGGCACACCATCTTCGTTCGCACTGGATGCAAACCGCCATGACCGACCCTTGTTTGTTTCACGCGACATTGTTTAGTGCATCCGCATCGATCGACATGCTGCGAGGTCAGCAGAGCACCACACTAACTCTATATCACCAGACTTGGGCTATTCGTCTGATCAATGAACGCCTCGCACAGCGCGAGCCGGTCTTGACCTACGGCACATTGGGGGCAGTTATACCCTTGTTATATTACAATGTATGTTCCGGTATCATGTTCACTGCACCAACATTATTATCTAACAATACGTAGATGGTCGCACTCGATCGAGAGTCCGCGGTCGCACACCAAAAGGGCCTGGTGAAGATGCTCCTTGCGACGCCAAAATCCTTCCGGGCTGACATCGGTCCACTTATCGCCATTGTCAAGTTGTAAGCAATATTTCCTCTTCTGTTCCTCGGAGTTCTGGTTATCTAATGTAGCTCCCAGGGCAATGCTTTCTTTTGCCTGTATCTACGACATGCTCCCGATATGGGACTGCTTATACTCGAACACTATCCGTCCCAACGCCCTGCTCAGGAACATAGTATCAAGGGCAGTACTAGATAGTGAGCGGATACTTTATTATAAAGAGACCCTCGACGCCATTTTAGATGTCTACGAAGCTGTCTCTCGACTTGACCACCTCGTTGACGCCGACGAACCTCGTATCTCTGCTGAAGTAGACACCGTGCTGTCCTTCGCACGGAGCAATAATACATTGACACAGACTGAGCACTCTCAAGAGTATGACTCTAAATGGCGAATAAATCTCTGCTGCCAGCTGTCCGCCCAACTACTCTGGAATATCCTGCGACGACCACGTCAAAGCCGAGGACACGCCGAACAGATCCAGAACACCACTGATAACGGCGGAAGCGAGATTGAAAGAATCCTGAAGCACATCCAACAGGTAGAACCGCTCTACTGGATTACCCATGCACCAGATGTATTCACATGGATCGTTTTTACTGCGGCCGCTGCATCATCTACCCTACCCGTCCGCGTTGCTTTCATCAGCCGCGCCGGAACGGTTCTGACAGCTGTCGATGGTGAAAGTCTTTCGTTGATCAGACAGGGGTGGAGATACTTCTGGCTTCTACGGCGCCTCGGTGGACTTGATGAACCGCATACTGCTCGGGGAGAAGACTGAATGGCAAGAATATATTACACAGTTACTTTACTCAAATCCTCGACTTGCCAGCGCCCTCTCCGTCCACTCCCAGAGTTCCTTGGCCATTTTCGGATCTGCTCCCGCCTTACTTGTCGGCGATAGCTTTCCCACAGGGAGCAGATATGCGCCATTGTCGAATTCGAGCTTCAACCTCGGGGATACGGCGGCAAAAAGGATATTTGCCGCTCCCTTCCGTGGACCAGGCGCGGCTAGTTCGACAAGTGGTTTTATCAACCTGTATAAAGGTGTTGACGATACTGGCCCTGCCGATAGGTTTCTAGAAATAGTTAGTGGCCTTCTTCATGGCAGTGAAACTGATGGTCCTTCCGGCATACGTCTTCACCGTTCCCGGATGCGGGGACACCGAGAGGATATCTGGATACCTCTTTGCCAGCTCTTTTGAATGCAGGACGTTTGCCAGCTTGGAGTGTCCGTATCGAGCCCACACGGAGAAAGTATCCTTCATGTTTATGTCTGAGAAAATCATGCCTTCCTTCGGGGCTAATTTTGCGTGCCCGTCGCTGGATACGTTCACGATACGCACGCTCCCCTTGCTGGATGCCGCTGCCGTGGTTTGCATTGTTGGTAAGAGGAGCTTTGTGAAGAGGAAGTGGCCAATGTAGTTGACCTGTATAATCATCAGCCAACCGAGCGAGGGTTGTGCGTGGAGACAGGGCACACCGCAATCTGCATCTCGAACCCGTCCACGGTCTCCTCGTATGGGACGCACATAACCTGGGACGAGTTAGATCGACGCTGCGCAGCTCACAGTATACTTGATGGAGGACACTCAACACACCCCAGCATTATTCACCAGCAAATGAAGACTCGGCTCTTCCCTACACATTCATCAGTATAACTTCCTCGCCACCTCTCCTATAGCATAACGTACTTGAGAAACCTCTCCGCTGCCGCCTTCACACTACCCAAATCCGCCAAATCCAGCGACAGAAACCGAACGTCAGCGTTTGGACTCTCGGCCAGGATATCACGCTTTGCATCATCGATTTTGCTCGCCGAGCGACTGGCGATGTACACGCGGGCACCGTGTTTCGCCAGCTCGATACTTGTCCCGAAGCCTCTGCCATACAATCTGGAATTAGCAAGGGGACATTCGGCGTTGATAGTGCAGGGTGGACAAGTAGACTTGATAGAACGAGACGTACAGCCCTGTATGGCCACCGGCTACGATGGCGACTTTCCCGCTGAGGTCTGGAATGGGGATCGGGGGATCATTCGCCATTCCTGGATCGTCGATGCTCGAAGCTGTGGGATTTGTTTCTATTGTAAGATCCAGCCGTAAAGATGTCGACTACGCCCGGGGTGTTCTTCTTATACTGCTCGTAGCAGGCAACAGCCCATGGACACGTTGCTTCTGTGCAACCCGACTCACAAACTCAAAGGTCTGTAGCCGCGTACTGTCCTTAAGTTTTGGGTCTGCATACTATCGTATTGGCGCAAGGTAATATACTCTAGAGAACCCCAAGTTTAGTAGCGGTGATGCTGATGTGTGGATCCGAGGGATTTCCCTTCCAGTGAGTCGGTGCGGATGCGGCTGCAGGTGCGGCTGCGGGTGGGGGACGCGGAGTGTCATTTTTTGTGGCATCAAGCTTTGTAGCATGTACGTAGTGTCATTGAAGCGTTCCAAATTTCATTTGCTATTATCGATAAAGACCTGAGAGTCATGCTAGCAACGCTCGTTGCTGAGATCGACATGGTCACTTTGGCTTGGTGGATTGATAATCCGCGAGGCCGTAGCACACTTGTCTATCTATACCAACAATGTGCGCTATCTATATCGGCAACACCTGTAGTCATTACTAGTAGTACTTTATACTCTCCTATGGCTTTAGAACAACATGCCCACCCCACCCACTCAATTTCGCCGCGGCCTCCAAGGCATCTTCGATCCCCTCAAGCCCAAACTCCTCGGTATGAGTCACACCAGACTTCTCTCCCAAGGGCAATAATCCCGACTCCACCATCTGAATCATCTGCAGCACGTGCTTCCGATCATACATGAACCGGCCCTGGATGCGGATACTCTTGAGCATGATCTCCAGATACGGGAATTCAATATTCCCCAAATGGCCACCCATCACGATACATCGGCCGAAGGGGCGGAGTGCGCGGATACCAGATGCGAGGAGTGATGACCCCTGTACTGCCGGCGGGGAGAGATCAAGGTAGACATCCGCTCCGTCTGCTTTGCCTGCCGCCACACGGAATGCCTCTGTATTGGCTGCGGCGTCGTCGGTGAGTTGCACGGTTCGTAGTCTCGCAGTGCCATGGATCCGCTGTAGAGTCTCGAGCGCAGACCCATTCCGGCCAGCCGCGATAACAGTCGCGCCCATCGCCAGTGCAACGGCCACAGCAGCGCCACCATACCGCCCCGTCGCAGGGGCGATGATGACAACCTCACCAGGCTTGACATCTACCTCGGACAATCCACCAAACGGGACCAGACCAACAGGCATAAGACACAGATTATTGATAGTATACCCCAACCTCCCCAGGAGAACATCCTCATCCAGCGGATACAGATTCTCCAATGGAAACCTTGCATACTCCGCATAGGTCGCATTGCGCCAGACTCCATCCATGAGTTTCTGCGCGGCCGGATATCCACCTCCATGGATCCCGTAGAGAATCGAGACAGACGGATTATCGCGCGCGCGGATGGTAATGTCGCAGAAGACGAGCTGGCCCGGCGTGAGACTGACTGAATCGGGTCCGACTTCGTGGATGCGTCCGATTGCCGTGTTTCCCGGTGTCATGGGGAGGGAGAGCGGGTAGGGGAGTTTGTTGGTTAGGACTTCATTCATGTAGGGGACGATGTCGGCAGCGAGGATGCGGACGATTGCGTCGCCGGTTGAGACCGTAGGGCGGGGGACGGTTTCGAGGGTGAGGGGTGCATCGCGCGCATGGAGAACTAGGGCTTTGTGGGTAGACATGATTTGAGCTGTAGTGAGGGGTAGAATTGGGAGTTCTTTCGTTTGCTGTCAACAGTTCTGTCGAGGAGTTCCTGCTCGGTGGGTCGTATAGGCTGATATATGCTTCTGGCAACCCCGGTTAAGCCCGTAAAGTCCGCATTGGTGGCGAGCATGGGATCAACCGTATACCGGAAATAAAGATTTATCCCCAGCCTCTATCGGTCTTTCAGGTGTGATGAGCATGGGTAGCTCGTATTGCTGGCAGGGATGCGGCGGCGCGTGCGGCGGCGCCTAAAGTGACGCAGTGTATACAGTATCCCTGATTAGCCGTGGCAGTTTGAGACGTGCGCCGAAAACCATTTCGATCAGCCCAAAAAAGGACAGTGTGAGCTTTAGCGAGGTATTCGCCGCAAACATGCGGCTTTTTATGGTGAGAGCTCTCTCTATCTCTCAAGCCACTACTTACGTGTAAGTGTCGCGGATAACCATTCCCGGAAGGCAGAGTTGACGTCTTATCAAGGTATGCCGTTGATACTACTCATGCTTGATTCCCGATCACAAGTACTCGTCCTCTGGAAAGTCATCAAAAATCCAATTCTGCTCCAGACGCATCCTCTCCTCCTCCGACTCAACGGCCTCCAGGGCGTCAGCCTTGAGCTTTCTCTCGCGCTGTTTTGCCTCGTTGTAGTTTTCGAGCGGAACCCATCCCTCACTCCCAACCCCAACAATATCCTGACATGTTTGAAGCTGTTCGTCTGCTTCAACTTGTGCATGGTCCAGCCGGAGGTATTCTGCCGACTCTTCTTCTGAGTATGTTTTTGGATAAGGCACGGTCTCGTAGATATCTAATTTCGTCCACTCTCTCGACATCCTGACCAGATCGGCCTTTAATGTAATGTTGTCACCCTCCCAGAGCTCGCTCGCATGTCGGAAAAGGCGCCGGCGGAGGATACTCAAAGGGTAGCTCAAGGCTTCATGGTGAGTCCTGTTCAAAGCTGCGGTTTTCGCGAAATAGAGATAGTGAAGATGTCGCTTGCGAAAAATCTCGACCACATGGTACTGGTCTTCCTCGCCTAGGTCATCAAAGTTGGGTACAGCAGGGACCTGTAGGGTTTCCGACACTGGGTCGCCGTAATTTTGGAGACTATTCGGAACGCCACACTGAAGGAAGAGGGGAAGAATTGACGCGTGCTGCCAGTCGATCACACTACTGATTTCCAAGTCTGGGGTCACGAATACGTTGTTTGGTTGTAGATCGGGATGCCGAATGACTGGGCGCTGAAGGGTTGGATTCTCGTTTGGAATAAGGTGAGGAGCGGCTTGTAAAAAGGTGTTCAAGGTCGCTAGATGCTCGAGGTGAGACTGTTCTTTGTAGTCATACAACTCCCTCCTGAGCCGTTGCAATGGCTGGATTGGCCGTCCGTATTTTGTGAGATATGCAATCTCTTTTTTGGCACCGGCTGTGAGTGCTGATAAACTGTCGTTGTCTTTGATTTGTTAGTTGCAGGGTCATCACTCAAAGAGAACCAATATGGGATGAAGCTCACAAGGACCACGGTCAACTAATAGCCCCAGTCGCCTTCCATACCACATCCCAAGCGACATATCAGGACCAATGCAGAAATCCTTCCAAGTATCCGTGTCTTCTCGTCGCGGAGGTACTCGCGGAGGTACTCGCGGAATGTTGTCTGCTAAATCTCTTGAGTAAAATAGACTGCCAGAAGCAGGAAACTGCAGCGCAAACAGTCTCGATTCCAGCTCTACCAAACTGGTCACAATTTTCTCCCTCTGTTTCCTCGTTAGAGTAAACCAGATGTCGCCCAAATTAATACCCTGAACATATTCCATGAAGATATACTCAGTACCTGCTGCATTATCTTCCCTGATAGCGTAGTCAAATATCTTAGGGACGGGTATGCCATGAGAGCGGACAAAGTCCATCGTTGCAACCTCGCTTGCTATCACCAGGGCCTTGGGCTCGGTGACTGGGTAGGGAATCCGCGCGACTAGTTGACGCCCATTCTGCAATGTGATGAGGAAGCTTCGATTGAAGCCTCCTTCAGCAAGCTTCACGAGGTCGACCACGTCTTCTTCGCGATGCTGGACGGACTGTGCGGCGAGGCGCTTCAGCTCGGGAACGTTGAACGTCCGTCGTCTCTCTGCGTGGCGAAGGGCGTCATTGTACCTGTGGTGTCTAGTCAGTAGATTGTCAAGAATGGAAGTTTACAGGAGAATCTTACATCCACCGACCAGATGTGTACTGGAACAAGTCAGATACTTGATGTCTTTTGTTGCTTGATGAGAATCGACGTTGTTCCCTGCCATGCTTTGGGGACAAGTTAGACCTTGACCTAGCTGGTCCACTTTGACTTCGCCACGGGAAGCGCTTGGCCATGGCTGCTTGAGTAAAGAAGCAGTAATTGGAGGGCCTAGCCCGAGGGGTTCAATGGATCCCTTGTTTATGTGGACGTCAGAGAGAGCTCGATGACGGCTGGTTGGAGTGGTTGGATCGGTGGGTGGCTGAGACTCTTATGTAATCAGGACAATCTGTACAGTCAGTACTTTACTTCACAATTGAGTATTAAGATGTACTAGCTTTTTTCAATTACTTTCATTCAAGCAGCCTTTCTATGGGAGTTATCGTCTCATCTCAGGCTGAGGATAAACCTGCCCGCCCAGCCAGTTTCAAGAGTGACACACCCTGGCCTCCTCCCAGATTGAACATCCGCTAGGCCTACGAGGCCCATTCTAGAGCCGGCCGTTCCTTTCATTGAACAATCGATAAACAAGCACCTCCTCTGGCCTGACCTGTCCCTGTCCAAGTCGTTCCCATGCGCCTTCGACACCGTTGTCACCCACAACTCCCTCCCCCCAGACCAACTTTAGATCAGGTGCGGCACACTCGCGATGCTCGAGCCACTGCTTCCATCTCTTATTGTAGTCGGCGAAGTACGGGGTAGCCCCTTGGAGTTCTATCGCAGTCTCCTGAATAGCGGACGTATTCGTTCGAACCTTGCCCAAGGCCACAACTTCCATTTGAGCTGCCTGGGATTCGCCAGGGGTGTATACCTAGACTATAGTTAGTTTTGATTCAATTAAAGCTGGGAGTATGGAACATACCTTCTGTTGATTGCCAATCTGCAAGATAGTGACCGTCACTCCCTTCGACGAGTCGCTGTTCTCGATAACGCCTCGCAGTCCGTCAAGTGCTCCATCTCGAGCACCGAAATCCGCAATAATGATCCTTTTGGCCTCTGCATCATTCAGCCATGCCCCTACCGACTCAACCTCGTCATATCCAATCGCCTTCACGGGAAATTGAGGTAGAAACTTATCAGCTGCCTCCGCAATGGCTGCCGGTGAGGATGTGACCTGCAGGAACCTGAGTGGGCCGGACCCAGCAGGGCGACAGTAAAAGTAATACGCGAGCGACCTCGCCGTCTTCGTTGATGCGGACAAACTGACGAAAACCGATTTCGATAGGTCTGCCGTGCTAGAATCCCACCCCTCCGTCCCACCAAATGGGTGAACTGGCGGATTAAGCTTTGCGTCCGGTGTGAACACATACTGGCTTAAAACGTAGCCTGCGAGAAGGACGGGCTTGATGCCGTCTTCCCAGCCAAGGCTTTCGCTGTCCCTACCAGATATGTCGAGAATATCGTACCGATTGTATAAAGGCATCAACGCTGTGCGGTGTGCTGAAGTCTCGCGCCAGTGTCCGGGCACTTCACCCGCAGCCAGCTGAAGGTCCACCGCATGTTGAGAGGTTGGCCAGTAGCCATATAGGGTCGTTCCGGGGTCAATCCCAGGGATAGTGGACTCGATAACGGTCGCTAACCCCCAGGCTGGAACGATCCCCCATGCAGAATTGTCGTTGTACGGGGCTGGGGCGGTAGCTGGGACGGGATACGTATCCCACCAGTGCAGTCTGGTTCCTCCGAGAGCGTAACTCAGATTATTCGACGAGAGGGTAATCAGAGACGCGCGGACTCGTACAGAAGAAGGCTGGAGCGGCTTCTGTTGCTCAGAGAGTTGGAATGTCGCGTGCTGTCTGTTATCCGTCTTGGAGACGACGTGAACAGCCATGTTGCTGGTGGCTGATGGTGGCCGAGTTTGACGAGGGGTTGGTGGGGCCAGGAACCATGGAAGGCGGACTGGATAGCGTCCTATATAGCACGGGTGACTCACTAGTGTCAGCACTAAGAGCCTTGGTCTGTTTGTTTCTGGAGAACTGGATCCACCCGGACGCCGGTATTGCTGAGTATGTCGGAGGGAAGAGAAGGCTCCCTAACAGCGTACATTTGCTGAGAGATCACCCGGGGCCGATGGGGATGAATTGGGCCGATTTCGCGTGCCGAATCAGAATAACTCGAAGCATGACGGTACGGATGGATGTATTCATCCGATCATTAAGAAAGCAACAACTTCTTTTTTTTCTCGGTCTATAATTCCACTCCCGCGAGCAACATGTGCTGCGAGACAGCGAAAGGGCTGTCCGCTCGACAAAGGTCCTAAACGAGCCGAGGCTGATGTGCCACCAAAGGGCAAGGTCCAGAGAAGCAGCCAGACACCATGGGCCTCTCTTCCTATCGAACGGCCCTCGCCTTCTCTCTCAATCTCTGCCCATAGACCCAGAGCGCCGCCGGTCCAGAGACACCGACAAGGATAGTGACGATTGCAATGGTACTGTTTCCCCACCCATATCCCATCACTTCATACATCCTTGGCGCGAACAAAGGAAACAGAAAAGCCGTCAAGCTCCGCATGAACTGAGAAGCGGCCATCGCACTGCTCACATGGTCTGGGTATGCCTCCATCACGTACGCAGTAAGTGGCATATCCTTGATCTGCATACCGAGGAGCGCGATAAGAATACCAAGATCGACTACTGCCCAATGTACACGGTACTGTGCAGTCCAGCCATATATGAACAGTCCGACGGGAGCAATTATGGCGCCTGGAATGATGGAGGGGAGGCGAAGTTCAGGGGAATGGTTACTCTCAGAGCGGACGGTCATTCGATGGTATAGTGTGTCCATAACGCTGGCGCAGATTTGGCTCCCGATTATTTCGCCGAGCGCACAGGCGATATAATGCAGACCGCTAATATCGACGGATTGGTTGTAGTGCTTGGTCCAGAGGTCAGAGAATGTTGATAGGACAATGTACAGAACGCCATATCCGAATCCGGATATAATGGATGTAGTCTGTATGATTGGGTGGAAAGCTAGAAGGCGTAGGGGTCTGATGAGAGCCCGACCAAGAACCCGCCATGGTCCAGTGCTCGTATGTTGGCGTTCATCGAGGGTATAGTAGCGGTTGTCGCCGGTCTCCTGACGGATTCGCTCCGCCCGTGACCGAAGGATCAAGGGCTCATATGTTTCTTGAAAGGCTGTAAATGAGACGAGGATCATCACAGCTTGGAATATAGAGGTTGCCCAGAACATCCATCTCCATGTAGTCCGACCAGCCATGAACCCTCCAATGATAGGACCTAAAGGGCGATTAGTGCAAGTAATTGCCTGTCAGAAGGCCCTTAACATACCGACAGCAGCACCAAGGAGCGGTATTAGGAGGTAAACACTCAGTGACCGTCCACGCTGCTCGGGTGGCCAGATATCACCAAGGACTCCATTGGCGAGAGCATAAATCGCGCTAGCACCGAATCCAGCGAGGAATCGCGACGCGATGAGCACCTCCTTACTATTCGCAAACCCACATACAACATTCCAGATGAGGAACCATATATTTGACGCGTGAAGAATCGGTTTGCGACCGTACACTTCGGAGAGTGGCCCAATAACCAACGGACCAAGCGCGGTCGCGAGAAGGTAAATGGAGAGTGCCATCGCAGACTCTGCCGAGTTCATGTCGAACTCCTTGGCGATTAAGGACAACGCCGGTGCCATAATTGTTGAGACCATAATGCGGTTAAACCCAGTTGCGGAGAGCACGTCGGTGACTGCCCACTTGCGGCCAGTTGGCCAGTCCTTGGGGTTCTCTGCATCGTATGGCTCTGTAAAGGCGACGAGAAACGAGTCGGTTTCTTTGCTCTGTTGAGGGTTAATTGAAGCGAGTTCGACGTCTGAAAGGGCGACGCGGGTGATGATATCATGAGGAATCTCTGAGGGGTGAGTTGGCGCCATTGTTGCAGAGGTCCTCAGGTAAGCAAGGGATAAACACAGGAACAAGGTGGTACGCACTATTTATGCTCGAGGTCAAGCTTATGGATGTCGGCACAGATCAACCCCCAGGATCTGATAAGATCGCTTATATGCTATTGGATCTATTTAAATGAGATGTAACCATCCTCTTCCCCAAAGTTCGAGTCATTGGTCAAAGTTGGAGTCATAGCAATGGCCCGACGCGGAACCATCAGAGCCGAAGCCAGGGACTCCAACTCAGGTCAAGTGCATGAGATTTGCTGGTGCCTACCTGGGTACCTAACTCTGCAAGAACTACCAGTCATCTACTCGATCAATATGAGAAATAACCTAATCCGATTTCTAGATAAGTCGTCAATTATATGTAATGCATTTTCTGTGTTGTAAAACGCAAAACCAGCACCAAGGTGGGATGGTTGGGCCTATATTGACAGTAACCCAGACTTAACCGGCGTAGGGAGACGTTTCCAAGGTCTTTTACCTCGTCGAGATAATGAACCAGGCGCTCCATTTGTCTCAGGACATTATATCTGGCGATTATGTCCCCATCGATAGGTAGATAGTACTAGATTCGCATCATGGATTCAAGTAAGGGAGAAAGTAAACCAAAGCTTGGTTATGCTGGTACAATTACTCGAGTGAATGATACTATTCCCATACCTCCAGAGGGTGCAAGGTGGCCGTGGTGATGTCTGTCGCCTGAGGCAGCTGATGGTTGACTTCTTAGCGTCTCTCCCCAGTGTTACCCATCTTCCTCTCACCACACTCCTCGCTTCGAAACGAGAAAAGCCCCTCTCAGCACTGCGATACCACTTCCATCATTCTCTAAATCGAGACTGAATCTCCGCAATGCTCACCGACCTCCCCAACGAGATTCTCCTTCTCATCTCGAGAAACTTGCCCGATACTAGCGATGTGCTTCACTTCGCCAGCTGTTCCCGAGACCTCCAAGAGCTGCTTCTCTCGCAGGCCTACTCCTGCGTGACCCTCAGACCCGACTGCATCGCAACTCTGAGCCGTCTGACTACTGTCCTCTCTCACAAACCGTCTCTAGCAGCCCGCGTCCGTCATTTGCATCTCGCTTCCACCGAGCCCTGCTCCCACAAATGCAGAGCCCGGTACAGCCCCAATCGTGTCCATCAAATTCTCAACAACCTTGCACTTACCGAGGAGGAGCTGACTGAGTGGAAAGATGCTTTGGTTGGAAAAGGGGACCGTGAATGGGATCAGGAAGACGCGTGGTGGGCAATGCTGTGGACTTTGCTACCGAACCTTGAGAAGCTGGACATTGCATGGGAAAATGGCACAGACTACAGAGAAAGGGTGCTGGAAAGGATAGGAGCCACTGGTAATCGGTTCAACCTTGGATCGACCTTTACCAAGCTGCGCGAAGTCAATCTAAAGTGGTGGAGGACAGAGGTTGGCATTAGCACTGAAGAGGTGCTGCTTTTCTTCCGCCTTCCCGCCCTTGAGCGTTTCTCGGGCTATTATGTCATTGAACGCTATGGGGATGACGAGGACACAGATGAGGAAGTGACAGAGGGAGTTTCGACTGTTACGGACATACAGCTCCACTCGAGCAACTCGAGCACGGGTTTTGCAAGTCTCTCCCGTGCAGTGGCAGGCTTGAAATCAATCGTTTACCACCATGCGTTTGTTTGTGACTGCGAGAGACCCTTGATGGCACCTGAATTTCATCAGTCTCTGTCCAGGCACAAGAGCACTCTGGAATCCATCTCGATGGCCGGAGATCCTGGGTACGGACTAGGAACACCCGTATTCTTTGGACCCCTACTGGACTTTACCGCTCTCAGGCAACTCAGCATTCCATCCATGTGTCTTCTCGACTGGGAAGAAGGTGTCCCTTCGCCTCGGAACCATTTGTTCGATGTCCTGCCACCTTCTTTGGAGTCTCTATCCGTTGAAGCCTTCCACGACTGCGTGAACAAACAGGTTCTCGCTCAGCAGCTGGGAGATGTCGTCAAAGCAGCTCCTGGGCGCTATCCAAGTATGACTGACTTGATTCTCGTCGGCCACTTTTGCGACATGAGCAAGCCGCGTGCTAAGATTGGCCCCGATGACGAACCACCCCTAAACCCCAAAATCATGCGCATTGCTGCTAAACTGGGATTCGACTGTATTACCATGAGCCCTATCGACTTCGGAATCTTTGACTCGGTTTACGGTTGGATTTCCGCGGAGAACTTTTGCCCATGCTGCATGTCCGGCCATAGCTGGCATCCAGATGACCTTGATGATTTCGAGGATGATGAGGATGAGAGTGATGATGATGATGACGATGACGATGGAGATGAGGATGACGATGACGATGACGAGGAGCCAACATCTGAGAGCGACGGTGAAACCAGCAACGACGACGCTGGCGAGATAAGTCCCAATGAGGAGATCTGATTTCGTTTTTCTTTTTCTTCCCTGTTTCTTCGTACTCGCATGGATCTGCCGATTATTGCTTTTCTGCTTTACCGATGCGTACAAGTTTACTGATGGGTCCAAGTGGCCAGCCTCATACGGTGGACGTGCCAATGACCGCATTTTGTCGGAGTATTTTCTCACATATTCTCGTTTTCTCATGGCGTTCTACAATGGTGGTATATCTGGGAGGGTTCTCTCAATTAGCATTTGCTGCATTTTCTAAGGGCATTCAAACGGCGTATCGGCCAGAAAAAAAAGTTACTAGAAGAGGGTGGAATAATATTGTCTTTTTATCATTAAAGTCTTTCGAAGACCAGAGGCGAAGAGGTGATGCTTCTTGACAGTAGTACTTTACAAGTCGCGCCGCATTTTTCTCTCTCATGGTGGCGAGTCAGCCAGACCAACACAACACCTCTGTGAGATGTACTCCCGCAAATCGGGGACTCTCAACCTCCGGAAAAGCCGTTTGCTTTACCTCCATACCTCCGGATGCCACTACGCGTGGCGCTGGCATTAGAGAACAACCGAGTTTCGAACCGCGCAGCGGTGCAGTGCGGTTAGTTGACGTCCCCGCAACATGCTCCAGCAACAGAACGGTCGAGTGACAGATACCAATGCTGACATCTGCTCCTTCAGTCCAGCTTTGACCACACCTTTGCCGTATAACCTTCGTCGGCTGGCTCAAGGGCAATACGTTCTCAGTCTGTCTCCTAATAACAAGAATTCCGCAGAGAAATCCACCGCTTGAACGCGGGACCCCGACAGCTACAGCCGGCCCTGGATTTGCGAAATACTTGAACAAAAAAACACTGCACTGAGGACGTTTATTCGGCCTGGCAGCCTTGGATGGGAGTAGGGATTTGACTGGAATCAACAAAACACAGGTACTGCTCCAGGTTTGGCGGATTGCTTCGGCAACTGCTTACACAGTTCTTCTTCCTAGGCTCAAACGTGGATGAATTCTGTACACAATAACCGGAGTGCGTCTGAGCGTGATCAGAGCTCTAGACCCTCAGGCCACGCCGATAAGAATTGAGCGCTCCGCCGCCCCGCCCGTGTATTCTTCAGGAGAACTCGAGACATGCCTATGAAGCATCGTGGTCGTCTCATCTTGCTTCGAGAAGCTATAGGGAGCGCCATTGAATAAGTCCCTTTCTCTACCACCCGAGATACCGTATATGAGTGCTACGATTCACTCCCAAGACTCGGGTCTCGTCTGCTTATGCTGTGGCTGTGGGTAGCGCTAGGGCTGGAGTGGTCGAGTCCTCGGATCTTAGGCACTAACGTCAAACCGGACAAGGCCACCTTTCTGTTTACCTCAGGTAGCGCGTGATCCCTTTGCGTACTGAGACCGCATGTAATGGCTGCTGGTTAATTGACAACGGGTTGATTCCCCTCTCGAGGTCATTTACAGGTCCGCCACCGGAGATCAGACCGTTCATCACTTGATATGCTGATAACGCTAGTTTCTAGGATACTGCCGCGGCCAACATCTTGAGAACGTCTTCAAAACCAAGGTTTTTATATTGGCAATACTCAATGAAGGCACACGGTTTCTTTAAAAGGTCGGGATGATCGCGGGACATCCATCAAGTACTCCTTCCGGCGGTAGGCGCAGCTGGTTCATAACGAACACAAAGAAAACTTGACTCATGGCCTTCTTGTGGCGGGAATGCGAAGGGGCGCATTTCGCGATATCAAAACGAAGCTAGATCATTGTCTGTCTATCCTCCCGGAATTACATTCCTTCAGTTACCGTCGGGCTTAGACTCTACTGATATACTGACTGCTACAGGGCAACTATAAGCTATATGGGTTTCGGACTATCGAGAAGCAAATCAATCGCGCCAGCACAGTGCTTTAGAAAGGGGGCGCAAGGTACGGTGACCTCATGGACCAATTCAGGTTCTTGACTTTGTTTCCATCCAGCTTATGACCATCTGGAACTAGTTAGGCTACTATCGTGTTTTCCCCGCGACTGTTCTCCCTTCATCCGGTGAAGCTAAGAAATTGTAGGGTCACGCCGTCTGTACCAGTATGCGAGGACATCATAAAAACAACAAACAGGGGTCCCAGGGCAAAGAAGTGCTGCAGCTCATGGTATTTTCTCTTGTTCGGGTATTCCGTTTTCGATGATGGCCATCCTATCCGCAAGAATATTCTTCTTGGGGTCCCGAGTTGGCTGTGCCTGGACCCATCGCGGAGACGGCGATTGCTCGCGTTCTCCATTGATACAGTACGCATGTCCTGCCCTCAGGTTCGAACAATCCTGGTTCAGGCTCGGATTCCAGAACCTGAATTCATCGAGCGTGATTCCATACAACGATTCAATGCGGAGGCAGCTGTCGCCTGATCGGACGACGTACCACTAACTCAACATTAGCTGTGCAGATGCCATTGATGCCTTGGGGAACAAACATCATAGCAGTGGGATGTGGTGCCACTGGGTGTGGGCGCCGGAGCGCTGGTGTAGGTATGAGCCGATGTTGTCGTTGTCGTCTGGTTCCAATCTCTGGTCGGCGAGACGCAGTAGTACAAGCCAGGCACCAGGTTCGTGCAGTCGTTATTGATGGAGGGATTGATTGCTTGGAACAACGGCAGCTCAATGCTGAAGTTGTCAGCAATGAGCTCGCAGTAGTCTCCCGCTCGGACTCGATAATATGCTCCGCATTTGTGCGTGGTACCGTGCGGGGTCTGGCCAGGTGGTAGAACGGTTGAAGTGGCATAGCCACTCGTTCTGACCGACGTTACAGTGACGAATGTGGTTGTAGTAACTGTTGGGTGCATTCCTGATCCTGGGCGGCCGATACATACTTCGTCCCCGGCGATTAGGTTGGTACACTCCGAGTTAAGGTAAGGGTTCCATTCGTATAGTTGGTCTATTGTGATTCTGTTGATGTCGCAGATGGCCTGGCAAGTGCTTCCGGCACTTACGGGGTACAGCTGACAGGATTGTGGGACACATAGTACCTGACCACCTAGTGCATGTGAGAAGGCGCAAGGATCCAAAGAGGGCGGGCAGTCACATACTCCACAGATTCGCACAGTCGGCGTTATTGACTGAGATTAATAATGCCGTTGGGATACTGTGCGCCCTTGCGATCCTCCTACAGTCATCCCCATGAACAACGGTATAGGTTATGTTCGAGGGACATTGGGCGGGATTGCCTTGGGCGCTGCTTGGTGGAACAAACAAGAGGCAGGCGATAAAGTTAAGAACGAGTGTGAAGAGCATGGCTACGATGGGCCGAGGGTTTCTTGCAAGCGAATGGCTGTAAGTTTGAAGCGAAGATGGAGAAACTGCCCGAGTCACAACCCAGGTCACTGTTGGGCTTTACTCTCAAGACGGACAGTCTGGAACTGCCGCCCTTTATAGGTACGAGGACATCTGAAAGTACTCATCGTGGGCCCATCGACCGATGTTCTCCTTTTATCACTGTGTCACGATCCACGCCCGACGGTAGCTACGCTGAGATCCGTCCATGGCTCCGCGTGTAACAATTTCCAGTCCATTCTAACATCGTCAACGCACAGTGTACTGTCGGATTTTCGCGTTGCTGCAGTCTAACCAGCCGGAAGTTGCCCAGGTGTTGATTCCGGAGCAGCATTCGAGATGGCTGTCCGTATCCGCAGGTAGGACGAAATCATCATCGTAACGTCCACTGACACGGTTAGCATATGGCTTGTCACACGACTGGAAAGGGTCCATGTTTTAGACCCCAGACGGCCATGGCTCTCTCGGTGCCCGTGTGTGGGCCCGCCCAGTAGTCGCATCTTGTACACACTGTAGAGATTTTGAGACATTAGATCAGCAAGTGACGGTTTTATTGTATAGGAGCAGGCGCTACAGATGATTATGAAGGAGACCAAATAATCTATTCGGCGAGTATAATGATTAATATGGTCTTTAGCCAGGATTCCGATTGAATAGTTACGAGCAAACAAAGAGAGGGGTTATATGTGCGACCAGCGCATAGTAGGCAAAGTGTGGCCCCTTATTACTCCCGCACCGCATCATCGGGCCAGTCTATCCAGACCTCGTCATCACTAGGCGCAATCTCCCACACCGTGTCACAATTGGCGAGCGCCGGGTAAAACCTTGCCAGCAAGGAGGAAATCGCCACTTTGATGACACGCGGGAAGGCTGATTCCGCGTCCGCGCCCAGGACAACATCAACGGCTTTGACAAATGGTGGCGATTGAGAGTCCGTGCCTGCGATCGACTCCATACTCTCCTTATCGACAATCAAGCACATTTTGGTCTTGAGCCCCGGCTCGATGTCGCTGAATATTCGATACGCCAAGGCTATGTGCGCTGGGATCTTGTTCGCCATACAGTCATCAGACACAATCTCCATGTGCACCTTTTCCAAGATCTCAGAAGTATCGGCTTGCGAGGGCGATCCCAGTCCCGCCCGGAGGGTCGCGTTGTACTGTTCGACAAACCGCTCCCATAACGACTCATCTGTGTAGTATGTCCGAAATAGAACAAAGCCAAATTTGTCCCACCCTTCGCGATCCAAAATGTTTTTCAACGCCTCCAACCCCGTCAGTGGAGAGTTGTGCCCATCGTGCCCGTCCGTCACTGCGCGGTCCGTCTCGGCTCGTGAGTTCGGCGGGTCGTCGCATGCTAAACCGACGGGGTCGAACTCTGCAACACTGTGTAGCGCGTGTGCCTTGATTTGGGTCGGTTCGCTGACTATGGGGTTGCGTGCCTCCTGAAGATGTAGTTTAGGACGGCTCTGTGCTAAGCGGGGAAAGACAAGCAAGCAACCGGAGTCCGCAACTCTACCTCATCTGAAAGAGCACCTCGGTCGTCCATTCTTGTGGCTTGAAGTCTCGTATAAAGCCGACACGGTTTCGAGAAAGATTATCCAAATCAGTGGGCTCATGAGATAAGAAGAATGCATGATGGAGAGGGGTTGGGGAGCTGAGATGGCGTGAGGTCGGCAACAGTTCCGTTGCTGGGGCGCAAGCTCCCCGTTTCAGGCTAGCGTAAAGATTGTCGTTTTAGGACTAGCGTGTTTGGGGACTGTTTCCACCCGTCGATCGCCAATGGAGGTGGAATCTGAGGTTCTCAACAACTTCGAAACTTGCCTTTGAACTTAGCTTGCTTTTGGCCCGTAAACGCGATCGAAAGGCAACTTAGGCGATTCCAGGCTCCAGGCAAACGACGTCTCACATAAGCACTGTTTCATCACGCTACGATCGAGCTCTCGGCCGAGCTCGGCTGGTGTCCTGCCGCGCGACTGTCAGCCATGTGTGTGCTCAATTGGCCGATTTTTGGTCCCTTTTACAGGCGGAAGAGTGGTAAAAATATCATTGTGTAGCACTGAGTACGTACGGATCAATTTTAATCTATTGGCCTCTTACGAGTCTAACGCCTGCGCTTGGCACTGTTTCGGTCAGCCACCACACTCTCCCTGGGTCACTCAAACTTACCATCTGGAAATACAGCTCTCTCTTCTGTAAGAGTTCCTGATGCGTTCCCTGTTCCACGATCCGCGAGCCTTCTTTTCCAGTGCCTTCACGGAATACATATATGCAGTCCGCGTTCTGGATGGTAGCAAGTCGATGAGCCACCGCGATAATGATCATATTCCGCTTTCCTGCGAGTCGCTCGAGAGAGTTTTGAATGAGGCGCTCAGACTCCGAGTCAAGGCTTGATGTTGCCTCGTCTAACAAAAGGAGGGAAGGGCACCGCATGAGTGCCCGCGCAATACAGAGTCGCTGCTTTTGTCCCCCACTGAGTGATACCTGCGCATTGATCCCTAATTCGGTGGCATAGCCGTTGGGCAATGATGCGATGAAATCATGAATCTCAGCGTCACGGCACGCCTGCACCATCTCTGTTTCAACCTCCTCTGGCGAAAGTTCAAGACCAAGAAGGAGGTTTTCACGAATGCTGCCTTCGAAAAGTTTCGGCTCCTGGCTAACCAACGCGACTCTCCGTCGATACGAAGACTCGTTTATGGATCTAAGGTCTCGGCCGCCGAAGATAATCTTACCGTACGTTGGCTCATAAAATCGCTCTAGAAGGGAGATAAGGGTGGACTTTCCACACCCAGATGGCCCGACAAATGCGACGAACTGCCCGCCGTTGATGCGAAGGCTCAAATCTTCTAGGGTTGGTGATGTACGGGAAGCATACTGGAAGGTCACCCGTGAGAATTCTAGATTGACTGGGCCGTCAGCCGCAATCAAGCCGTCTTCTTTGCTCTCCGGCCTCTCCACATTAGCACCCTCGGTCAGGATTCGTTCTACAGAAGCCCGTGTTTGTGCGATATCCGGGCCGAAGCTGAAAAAAATTCCCGCTGAGGCAGCAGCCTGAATGATGGCAATGAAGACGACGAAGAAGTCTACCGGATCATATTCCCGAGACGCTAACAGCTGACCCCCATACCTACAATTCAGGGCACTGTTAGCCTCTTTCTTTGGACAATAATGCCATACGTACCAGAATGACAGCGCCATCGCCAGAAATTCCATACTCTCAGAGAACGCGAAAACAACACTCGAAAACCACAACTTTCTGGTGGCGTTGATCCTCTGTTCACCCAGAAGCTTGATGTATCGGTTGATGATAAAGTCCTCCATGGTGAGCGCACTGACGGTTCGGAACGCTCTCACAGCTTCACTGATAAACCTGGAGCTGTCGGCGTAGACCTCTGCGTTGAGTGACTCCAGCTGCAGCTCATACCGGACACGCAGATACGCAGCAGTAGCAAGAATAGGCATGATGGCAATGACTCCGACCGCAGATAACTTCCAGCCGTAAATGAACGCGATGATCATGCAGCCAGTCACATTCAGGACAGAAATCATCGGAAAGGCGCTTGGAATGCCACAGAATTCCTGCAACTGCTTCGTGTCCGAGGATAGACGAGAAGCGACGCTACCGGAGGCGTTTTCTTCCTTATCGAAATATGGAACCGGGTTTTGAAGGATCTTGGTGAAGTAGTCCTTGCGTGCGGCTGATCCAACGTGCTGCTGCGGATCAGTATGTGCACTGTGCCAGCGAGTGACAGTGTAACTCACCATTGATATCGAGTTGGAAGAATATCCTATCATCGAGTAGCATGTCCCCATGCCCAGGGCTAGGATGAAAAACATCAAAGCCCAGAAATCGGCCGCATCCAGCAGGTCTTCCCCAATGTACCGGAACGTATCGATAAGCTTTGCGAACAGCCAACTTTGAATAGAAAATCCCACTGTTTGGCCATCAGCATTAGATCATGCGTCAAAAACGACTTGGCTTACCTCCAGCACCAAATGCCCCGATCATCGCAAACACGAAAAGGAACCATTGTCTTTTTTGTGTAGCAAGAATACCTGCAACGCCTTTAAGTAGGCTGAACCCTCCTCCTCGCTCGCTGTTGTGGATCGGTCCGTCTTTTCCACTATCGATTCCATTAAGCAGCGGCTCAAACGGTTCCTCCTCTGCGTGTCCCAGCAGCTCATTTTCCCCTGGGTTAACACTGACAGAGTCTGTACTGATGCGCTGCGCGTCGACCAACTTCTTGTATAGACCGTTCATACCCATAAGTTCGGTATGGGTTCCTTCCTCGACATTTGATCCTTGTTTCAGGACAATGATATGGTCAGCTTTCCGGATGGTTGATAGGCGATGTGCAATAACAATCGTCGTGCAATTCCTTGCCACGCGATCCAATGCGGCCTGGACGATCCGCTCGCTATGAATGTCGATGGAGCTTGTTGCCTCGTCGAGTATCAAGACAGACGGCTTGCTAACAATACTGCGAGCGATGGCCAACCTCTGTCGTTGACCCCCACTCAGAGTAATCCCACCCTCGCCGACAGTGGTATCGTACCCGGACGGAAGGTTCTGGATGAAGTCGTGCGCATATGCCTCTTTGCATGCAGCGACCACCAGGTTCCACTTGACGAGGTTGGCTTTGTCCTCCCAACGGGACCCGATGAATCCTAAGCAGATGTTGTTGTAGATCGTGTCGTTGAATAGAAACGGCTCCTGCTGCACCAATGCCACCTGGGATCTCCACCACTTGAGATCGATCTGGTCGAGGTTTTGTCCACCAATATAGATTCCTCCTCCAGTTCGGTCATGGAGCTCGTACCAGGCTTCAATTAGCGCCATCGCGGTGCTTTTGCCGGAACCGGATGGGCCAACAAGAGCTGTTGTCTTTCCCTTCTGGAATCGAGCGCTAAAATTACTCAGGACTGGGACGGTCGGTCGAGTAGGGTATGCAAATGTCACGTTTTCAAAAACAATGTCCTCTTCGCTCGACACTTGGGGCTCCTTCAACCCGGTGTGCGGTCGCTCGCCAGAATCAATAATATTGAAAAAGGAACCAGTCGAACCAACCGCTTTCGAGATGATCATCAGTGGCGCGGCAATCTGGCCCATGACCATCACCGCGATGAGCACGGAGAAAAAGACCCTTCACAGCGTCAGCACAGCAAAGATATAACGCGGAGTTCTCATACGTTATTATCGTGTTCACATCATTGATGTGTCCATAATAGAACTGCCTCAGCCCGTACCAGAAAGCCAATGAAAAACTGCAATACACTCCGAAGAAAATCAAGCCCAAGTGAACCGCGCCAACAACGCTTATCTTCAGACCTCGCTTGCTTGCCTCATTTACCCAACTGACATACCGCTCTGTTAATGCGCCCTCGGCGTTGAGCGAAAACACGGTCCGGATTGAGCTGAACACATCCGTTGCAATCGACATGTGTTTGTCCTCTGCCTCGCTGATGCCATGGAGCAGGCGAACAAGTATAGGAGTTGTGATTGACATGCAAATTCCGATGAAAAGAATTGCCGAGCTGACAACCAGTGTTAAATGCCATGAGTAGTGGAAGGCAATGGCATACGCTGTGATCAAGAGAGCCACTGTCTGAAACAGTGTGGCCAGTCGATCCGAGATGCTTTGTTGGATAGTATTTGACGAGCTTATAATTGCATTTATCACCGTGCCCGGAGCCATCTCGTCTAGTTTGCTGACGGGCTGGTCGAAGAGTGCGCGGATATACTTGAGGCGCAACGTGCTCGATGCCTGGAGACCTACATATCTAAAACAGACCTACTCGTTCACGGCTCCATCAGTCTGTGTTCACAGGATGAAGGAGGGGCCGATACCTCCTACCTTGTATATATAGGTGAGGGCGAATTTGAACGCGAAGAGGTAGAGGATGAACGTCCTGCAGTTGGTAAGTCAACTCCCTCTTCAAAACAGCGGGTATCAGCGAGCTTGCGTGTTTCTTGCTACAGCAGCGAGGAATTTCTCCTTCGTCATGCCTGTCCCTGGAATAAAGTACTGCGTGAAATCTCCCACCAGCCGGCCGAATATGATGTTCATAAGTGGTAGCGCCTACATCACATCAATAAGCTTTTATCTTAGAATGGAGATACTTCATGCGGAAACCGACCACTCCGGATCCCATGGCCGCAATCAACCCCAGGACTATCGCGAGAATCCCTCCATTTCTTGCTCCGTAAGAGATAATTCTCTAGGCAAGGTCAATATCAGCGGAAGGCAACATTTTGTAAGATGGACGCACCAAGTAGCTCCAAAACAGGCGTGGTTTCGAGTCGCCCGTACGTTCGTCTTGCGCATCCGCACCAACATCAACCGTCTCTGGAACAGGACTGATATGCTCAGGCGAACCTGGATCAGACGGGCTACTCGCCTCACATGGTCGTGAAGCAGTCGAAAAGCTCATCGCGACAGAAACTGCTAGAGTATCACACACAACGCAACACCTACCTTAGCCAGCGGTTTTCTGCGGCGGCAAACTGATAGAGATATCTTCTGCAAAGAAAGGACAGCAGCCAAATTTGAACATATGATCTCACCTGCCCGTGGCAAGTAAGAGGCGCAGTCCCACCCCGTCAAGAAGCCAAAACACCAATCGTGACACAGTTTACATGACGATCTCGAACTGACGCCCGGCAGCTCGGGTCCAGCACGGGCTTTCCGAGGTAGCGAATCGCCTGCCGAGCGCTTGTCGATTTTGCTTGCGCACCTTGCAATAATGCGAGCATTTATGTTCCCATGGTTCCATCAGTATTGGTTGGCTGTGCCTGTATCGCTGGTGAGTGTATCTACATGCGCAGTCCCCCTGTCGGGTCGGATCCCTGTGTATTGCGGCTACATATTCCAACTCCCGCGGATCAAGCTCCTTGAACGGCGAGTTGGATTCACTAGAGACCTCATGAAACTTTGACAGGCAGAGTCTGTGAGCGTACGCCCCTTCCTACTACCGTGTCTAGTTTGAGACTTAAGGAGGGCACCACAACACCAGGACCTATCTTTCATCAAAGCCTCATCAGGCATTCGCACCCGTGTCAACAAAGCTATGGTCTGAAGCGACCCCAGGAGAACATTCATTGATTTCTCTCCTCTAGGGAGATGACTCACAATAGCGACCACGGTGAGAGCTTTTCCCTCGGAGAGGCAGCAGAATTATATAGGATGAATAAACTACTGCTGTGACATCCTGAAAGGTTACACACACTCCAGACCAGCCTGTTGGGATCATGGGCGAGCGCGATATGATATTCCGGGACCTCGGTCTCAGGATGGTCATGTGAACTGGCGTATTGCAGCGGTATAGGAGTCGGGTAGGCGCCTTCTCCCTGAAGGCTCATTTGGTTGTTAGTACCCTGACTTCATATATGAATACGCCGTGCGCTATATGCGCACAGGGTATCGAAAGAAAGGAAGATGACAGGGCCTTTCGGGTAAAGATTGCGGGTTGAAACAACAACTGTTTTTGGATACGTCTCTATTGACTTGGGCCAATTCCAGAGACCCGAATCAACTTGAAGGACCTCAACTGTTCGAAATACATATCAAAATAGATAATACCATGACCCCAAGGCCTGCTGAAAGGTCGACAGCGTTGCAGCGGGCACCTGAACGTGTCTCTGGGCCAACCTAAAATGCGTCCCTCAACACCTGGCACAACAACACAATACTCTCTTGGCTATGTATCTCCCTGCCGTATCCACTTTCGCGGCTGGTTCCCGATCTCAACAACACGGACAGACTCCGAGATGAGGTCTGGGCCAGAGGAGCTGCTTTCTGAAAGCGGAATCCCCGGGATGCCGAGGAACTTGGCAGCGGAACCAGATTTCAGGATAAGGAGGTGGCTTACACGATACGAGCTCGCGAGGAAGTGCGAATCGTTGGGACAAGTGGACTGCGAGAAGTCTGAAAGAAATCACGATCAGTACTACTTGATTGCACACTGCGACTGTCGACCTCACCACAGGAAGAGAGCGGAAAGCCGTTCTTTCGGTGAGATGATCGTGACTTGGTTGTCTCGGGCACCCAAGACAGGACAAGAAGATGGCTGAGGAGGCTGGAGCTTGACAGATACCGACTTCACTCCCGATGCACGTTCATGCGACCGGAGATGGTGCGAGCCAAGAACTCAATGATCAGGAATCAGGCCACTGCAAACGTCGTGCCTCGGGTATTGCTCTGACGTCTTTGTGATTACCCCGGCTAAAACCTCGAGGGACCTGCACAACTTTAGCCTTTACTACGGTCCAAACGACCAATGGAAAGGCGTCGGATCCGACCATGGGTCATTTATGCGGAGACCATTCCCAATAGGATGATCAATCACCGGACTTGGGGCAATGGCGTTGGATTTCGAGATGCAGACCGCTTACTCGTGAGAAGAGCTGTGGCGCCTCGATGATCCCCCGGTCTCATCAAACTTTCTTTTCTCCCTGAACGGAAATACTCCGACCCCCACGCAACGCGGATTCTGGCACAATTGGATCCAACGGATGAAGGGAGCGGCAGAAGGTGCAGGCTAGAAAGAGTCGGGGTGGAATTTGTAGACCCTGGATTGGTGGAGAAGGCCCCCCTCATTCGTGTCTGACTCCATTCCCCCGGCCTTTCTCCGCACTTTCCACTGCGACCATGCTCCACTCGCACGCTCAACGACGACACGGAATCAGGTTGACCCAATCAAAGATGGCACGAGCTGCGTTTTGACTCTTTGTGGTGCCCACTCTCGTCTTTCTTCCAGAGCAGCTTGATAGTCATCCAAATAAGGGAGGAGGAAACGGTCATGCTGATGTTCCATGATCCAGGTCTGTTGTGCCACTCTTTCGCTCAAAAGTTCGGGTATAAAGTCCGCCTGCCCGGGACATTGATCTGCATTCTTGATCCATCATCATCCTTGTCTCCTTTTTCACTTTTACTCTTATCACCCAGTCCCGGCACCAAGTTACGATGGCCGACCTCACCGCCGAGAAGGCGAACCTTGCTCACGATGAGGAGATGAATGCCATCGGGGAGCTCACGCCCGAGGAGAAGGTCATTGAGAAGAAGCTACGCCGGCGCATTGATAGTATCATCATGCCACTCGTGATTCTCGTCTATCTGATGAATTACATCGACCGGTAGGCCTTGCATTTTCTTTTTAACTACCTTCAACTAACGAATGTAGGAATAACTACGCCGCTGCTAAACTGCAGGGGCTCGAGCAAGACCTGAATCTCAACGATCAGCAGTACCAAACTGGCCTTTCTATTCTGTTTGTGGGCTACATTCTCATGCAAGTTCCTTCGAATCTGCTCCTCAACTATATGGGCCGGCCAAGTTTCTATCTCGGCGGCTGTACCGTCGCCTGGGGCCTGGTGTCGGCTGTGACGAGCCAAGTCACCAGCTATGGTGGTATTGTGGCCTGTCGGTTTATCCTCGGTCTGGTCGAAGCCCCGTTCTTTGCCGGTGTGCTCTTTTACCTGTCCAAGTGGTATACCAAGAGTGAGCTTGCCCTTCGCATGAGTATCTTCTACTCTGGCTCCCTTCTCTCTGGCGCCTTTGGCAACTTAATCGCTGCTGGAATCTTGGACGGCATGGCAGGCGCCCGTGGCCTCTCTCCCTGGCAGTGGCTGTACATCATTGAAGGTGCAATCACAGTATTCGTTGGCCTCGTTGTTTGTGTGCTTCTCCCAGACTTCCCGGAGAACTGGCGCCGCCTCCCCGAGGAGATGCGACATGTTGCGATAAAGCGTCTAGCAGTCGAGGCCCGCCAATCCGACGTCGATGCGGGCACTGGTATGAGCCAGATGACAGGCCTAAAGCTCGCCTTCAAGGACCCCAAGACTTACGCGCTCGCCATCGCCTACATGTGCATTACCGGCGCCAGTGGCTTCCAGAACTTCTTCCCCTCCCTCACCGCAACGCTTGGGTACAGCCGGACAATTTCCCTCCTCCTCGTTGCTCCGCCCTACATCTTCATGGTCTTCTACTCGATGGCGCACTCGTACCTATCCGATCGTTTCGGAAAGCGCTTTTGGTTCTTCATCTACCCGATCCCAATCACCATCGTCGGCTTCGTCATCTTTCTCTCAACCGACGTCTTTGGCGCGCGCTACTTCTCTTTCTTCCTCATGATCTTCGTCTTTGCGCAGAACGGAACCGTCTACTCGTGGATCGCGGGTGCTATTCCCCGACCCCCCGCCAAGCGCGCCGCCGCCTACGCCTTTATCAACTCCGTTGGCAACTCGGCTAGTATCTGGACGCCGTTTACCTATCGCGAAAAGGACGTGCCATACTACCGCCCTGCGATGGGCGTATGCATTGGCCTGCAAGTCGTCGGAGCTCTCATGGCTGTCTATATGTACTTCCACCTGACTTCGCTAAACAAGCGCCAGGAGCGATTCGAGGATGAGAACGCGACTCTCACAGAGAAGGACCAGAAGGTATTGCAGGAAATTGCCGAGCAGGAGGGGATTGACGTTGCTGCTGCTCGCCAGCACCAGAGGGGATTTAGATATGTTATCTAGTGGATGCAATGTATATAGCAGTTCGCTCACATATCATGACCAATGAGATGGTGGCTTCCTATTCAGGAAATCTAATGACAAGACGGTCGTTCCTTCCAGTTACTTCCTTCTCTGCCAAGGGCGGATGACTCCTCGTGCGTACTTTTGGTGGCACAGCTGAGAGGCCGACCGGACTCTGCCAATGCCGAGGGAGTCGACTCCCCGCTTCGTATCCCAGCACAGCGCACCAATGTCAGCTGCCATACTCGGGTTCAATTATCATACGACGATTCATTATCGTTCTTAGCCGTACGGCGAGAAGATATCACGCTGCGGCTGTGCCCGGGTCTGCGTTTGAAGTATCCATCATCCGATGGATTGTCTACCGCATGATTGTTGCAGAGGGATTGGTATATAAGGGGTCTCTCTCGCAGTCCGTTTTGTCTGTTGCCACATTCCATCAATATCGATAACGAACCAAGATCAGAATCAAAGCAGAATACAACTTGAAGCGAGGGCAATGTGTATCGCAATTCTCTCGACCACGCATCCCGACTATCGCTTTATTATTATCAACAATCGCGATGTAGGTTTCGCAGTTGTCTCTCTCCTTTCTTGTTGGCTGCTTTTGCGTTAAATTTTACCTACTTTGTACAGCACTAACCGAGTCCGATAGGAGTTCCTAGCCCGTCCAACATCCAGGGCAAACTGGTGGCCCGAACCACACACACATATCCTCTCCGCGCGCGACCTCGCTCGCGCCGCACACGGAACATGGCTCGGAGTCACAAGGACTGGCCGAGTCGCCGTGCTAACGAATTGTCTTGAGACGAACTGCGCCCGTGCGGTCGGCACGCGAAGTCGCGGAGACATCATCAACTCCTGGCTGACTGCCTCATCCGAACACCCTGCGGCGGCGAACGGCCATGTGGAGGAATTTATCGACGAATTGAAGGCAAGCCAAGATCTCGACTCCGTGGGCGGGTTTAACCTACTTCTCGGAGATGTCAGCGAGCCAGAGCCCGGAGCGTTAGCGATTGTGTCGAATCGCAGTGCAAATATGGAGTGCTGTAATGGCGATGTTCAGGTACGGAGCGTGAATGGAGGGAGTGGGTTGACGGTCGCGTTGAGCAATATGACTCTGGAAGGGGAGGGCGCCGATCACACAAAGGCATGGAAGAAGATATTGCTCGGGGAGAGCTTAACAGCGGATGCGGTCGCGGCGAGTCTGGAAAAGGGCGACGATGAAGATGCCCTCGTTGAGCGACTATTCGGTGTTCTTTCAACAGATACCCTTCCCCGACTTCCTGGTGGGACAAAGGCGGAGGCCTATCTCGGACTATTCAAGGAGAGCATCTTCATTCCAGCCATAGGAAAGGCCTCGGAGAAGCATGAAGAGGGCGAAGTGGATTGGAATGCGAAGCTGCTCGACCCGTCATATATGGAGGGTATGTACGGCACGCAGACGCAGACTGTCATCCTGGTGGGACATGACCGACGGGTGCGGTATGTCGCGCGGACACTGTATGACGAGGATGGGCAGCCGCTGTCGCCAGAGGAGAGGGATCGATCTTTTGAATTCCAGGTGGACCTGTAGATGGCTCTCTGCGCGCATATCGTTGCATCATGGTGCAGCGCCCGTTCTTGCTGTTCTTGCCTCAGCTAGCGAATACTTCAGTCACCAGTCAGATTATCCAAGCATTCTATCCCAGCACAGCCTCCAAGGCACATACCTTCGGCGAAGGAATCCATCCGACATCATCCCTTTCGCTCCTGGTCCGGCCACGCTTTGCGGAGTCCCTCGAAGCCGACCGCGGTTCAATGCGGGGAGGCGTCAAACCCCTCGCAGATCAAACCGGGGAATGCCATGCGGAGGGTCGCGGAGCTGTGGCAAGGAGAACCAAAACGGAGGACTCTCGTCCGCAGTCTCGTTGAGGATCGACTGCGCTTCAGTGTTCTGGTTCGTCGCATCTTCCACGCTACATCATTCTCTCAGCAAAGGGACGGTCACGTGTTCTCATGTGAACAAGAGTACCTGTCGCATATATCTACGTTGAGATACCTATTTTCTTGAGCTAATTATCTAAATCAGGCTTTTGTGGATTCAGAGCTATTCGTTCTTTTTGTCTGTTGCATATCGACCCCTTATAGTACAACCAAATTGTCGTTGACCATCCACCTCTCCATCCTCCGGATCCCGTATACGTATGTACAGTATACCCACCATGTCCATCAACGCGCGCCCCGCCCTCAACCGTAGCCTCTCCTCCAGCAGCAACATCCCAGGAATCCGGCCCTTCTCAATCGCCATTCCAGCCCGCCGGGCAAACGAATCGCGTCTACCTCCGCGACCGCGGGGCTATCTCGCAGAGTACGTTCCTTTCCCGCGTTAAGACGCTATGACGTCATTCTTTCGTCCCATCTCCTGTGCACAGCACAATCACATATGACTTTTTGGCTCTGAAGGAAGGTATAAGGTGACTAATCACGCATAAAATATGAATCGTATAGAAAAGGCCCATTCCCTTACCGAGAACGTGCGACGTCGTACGAGTGTATTCATACACCTTCGGCGTCGGGGTCAGGGTTGTCGAGTTCTGCGGAGGTGGAGACATTGAGGGTCAAGAATGTTGAGCAGAGGGGAAAGATTGAGGCATTGCAGAGGGCCATGTGAGTTGCATCTGAGCACCTGGCATGGATAGGCTGCTACCTACTCAAGGCGAGTTTCTTACCAGTTGCTTGATAGGTCAGAGCTTGTTGGGGAACGCGGGCAATGAAGTGATACACCTGGAGGGCTAGGATGAGTGTCGATGGTGCATTTTGAAAGATCTATGGATGTTCCATGCTTTGATTCTGGAACTCGGGTCAACCGTCATGGGCAGGGCTACCGGGTTATCTCCTATCGCACGATTATAGTTCCATAGAAATAATATTCCATTGGGCCATGACTCGATAGTGAGCTCCGGTAGAGATCGGCTATGCTATGGAGCCGATGAATACAAACAAGAATCACAGTCATACCTCGCATGAGGACTGTGTCCAACATTTTGGAGCGTTTTGATTCAGACTAGTAACCCTGATGGCTTCCTTGTAACCACATCCTAGAAGATGCCGCGCTGAGTGAGATTATCCAAGTAAGTCTGAAACAGACACCGAGTCCACATGCACACATGTGCAAACTTTGCGACGGATTCAAGAATGCTTTCACGACCAATATTCCGTTAGTCAATGCATGAGCTCAGGCCGCGTTTCAACACTGGCTGTTTGGCGAATGTCTTCCGGGCTCATGCATCATGGCTAGGACACAATCCTCCCTAGATAGTGAGATGTCGTCAGAATCATGAACTTCATGAAAAGGTCCTCTCCCCTGAGTCAAATCTCAAAACCGATCAGGCACCTCGAAGAGCCCACAATTCTCAAAGTAGTCGTGTATGAAATCGAGGATCTCCCTTCTCTCCCAATTCTGGTTGTCTTCCCAGCAGCGCCGAGCTTTCTCCAAAGCGCTTGGATATCCAGCCCCACCATCTAGTGAGGCCTCGGCACCATTGTCAAGAAGCAGCTTCACACATGCCAATGATCCGCATGCGATAGCCGCTTGGAGAGGACGCCCATGGCTGCCGGATGTGATATTCGCTTTTGCACCGTGTTTCAAGAGAAGGCGAATCATTGCTTGGGAGCCCGTCAGAGCGGCTACGTGGAGAGGGGTTCCATAGTCTCCCACACGCAGATTAACGTCCGCGCCATTCTCTATAAGGCACTCTGCAATGTCGAGAAACCCAAGATTGACAACTGTGTGAAGGGGAGCGCCTCTACCGTAGGAACTCGACTCCGCATTGACATCTGCACCGTGGGCAACGAGGAGGCGGATAATAGCCTTCGTGGTGTCGGCGAACTCGTCGGGCTGGACCCATGGATCGCACCTTGGGGTATATGCTTCGATTGCAGCGAGCAAGGGCTCGTAACGGAGGCTTTGGGCCGGGGCGCCGTGTGCCAGGAGGAATTCAACCATGTGCGCGTGATGTCCAAAAATCGCGCTGAGCAGTGGCGTTTCGTTGATCTTGCACTCCTCATTGATATCGGCGCCAGCCTCAAGAAGGAGTTTGGCGACTTCTACGTGCCCTTTGAAGGCCACGGAACATAGTATGTCTTTGCGATCTCCTGGGGGATATAGTTCGGCGCCGTATGCCAGATACGTCCCGACCATTTCCACGTTCCCGTTGATAGCGTGGTCCTTTAATGTATGTTTGTAAAAGAACTGGCAGCACGGTAGAATTATATCCACTAGGTCCGCCCTGTTTCTTTTCCGGGCAGCGTTAACTGCTTCCAGTGTACACTTGGCTCCGTTGTCAATGAGCAGGCGGATCGTCTCTTCCGAAGCCTGCTCAGCAGCCAGGTCCAGAGGGAAATACAAATCATTATGAACAGGTATCTCGATGAGTTGCAAAGGTCGAAGCAGATTGGAGGGCGAATGGTCGTACTCAAGAGGGAGATATGAATCTTGATTAACAGGTATCCCGCTGGATACCAAACGTCGAATCAGATTAGTGGATGCACGATTCTTAAGAGCACCTTTTAGAAGCACGGAACCACTCCACTGAGACTCAGAAGGTAGATCGACATGCTCAAGAATCAAGAGAGCTATATCCTCCACAAGCGCAAGGTCGGGCCGCTGAATGACCCAGTGCAAAGGCTTTGGTCCAGGCGTTTCTGATGGCCGCTTTAGATGGAGGCCGTGTTTGATCAAAACCTGGACCATGTCCAATGTACCATAATAAGCCGCCCATTCGATCATAAACATGGTATAGGGTGCTCCATAGTCATCATCATGACTGTCTCTCGTGGTCAATAACAGCTTCACATCTCTCCTAACGCCCACACTGAGCAAGTAATCGGCAACCTGTGCTTGGCTCTCACGCACAGCGACCATGAGCGGTGTCTGTTGTCCTTGCCAATCTGCTTGATCGAGGTTTATTCCCCGTCTGTGCAGCAGCTGCAGTGCTGCTGTACACCCGGTTGAGACTGAGATATGAGGGTAGCATCCTGCTGTCCACTGATTCTCCTCCCAATGGCTCAGGAGCTCCTGGTAAGAAAATTGGTCCATAAGCAACGCCATGCAATCCAAGAACCCTCTTTGGATCGACAATGCGAGTAGGTCTTGCCGTCCAATATGCCAGCCGGGCCGCGTATTCCCAGCTCGCTTTTTCCTGGTCAACCAGGATCTTACGGCAGCTGTGGCCTGGTGCTCGCTCCCTTTGGAAATGACAAACTCAGTTGGGCCATACACGACTAAGACCTTAGTCATGAGCTCTCTCCATCCCTCTTGAAGGCATGTCAGCTTGGACTGAAGCGGAGAGGGGTTGGCTTACTGCAAACTTTGAGACAATTTCGGATGTCCTCGTAAGCAGCGCATGCACCGCAGTCCTCTGATTTAAGGTCCCTCCGAACAAGCTCGTTTTCATCATCTTGCAGCAGGAAAAGGCCGCCCGGCTCGCCCAAGCGATGTAGATCAATTTCACGGCGCGATGCGATCTCCTTGAGTATTAGCGACCGTACATCTGCTGGCAGATCAACCCACTTCATCCTGTTCGAACCCAAAGCAGCGTTTTACGATGCAAACGCGAATGTCTTATGATGAAAGACTGTAATGGTGCTTGGCGAATGAATATCAACTCACAAGCCTGAAAACTTGATACCCGTGAATTGAAAGCGAACGTGTTAGGCAGGTGATGGGCGCGGCCTGGGATCATTGCCTAACCAGTTAAGGCGTTTCTCCAACTGACCAGGCTATGACCAGGCGTGTTTCACCAACGTTGGTTTTTACCCCAGCAATCAACATCTTGAAGAACACATCAGAGCTTCTAGTTCCTATGATTGCTGCACAAACAGTGCATGAGCCACAAAATTTTACGAGGCCCACCGACCTTTAAAACATGCGTAGGTGGTACTAGGGCAGCACAGAAAGTATGCCCACTACAGCCTGCGAAAAAAATTCGAGAGAGAATCAAGTCACAAAAGGGTTTTATTTTGCGATTGAAAGATGTTGGGACCGCGTGGCTATGTTGTTTGCATGATGACCGGCTTCTGCATTCAATAGTATCTGCAATCGCATTTTCCTGCTTTTGTTGTTGTCGATCGACTCGATCGTCAGCGGAGCCACCCCTGTGCGTACTCGGGTATGTTCTCACGGAAATATATACTCCGAACGCACGAGAAAGGTGAGAGGATTCAGAAAGACAGTCGGCTCAAACATAACCTGAATGTGGACTGAACCTGTTTCGCAAGAACTATACTCGCTGCGAATCTGCAAACAATATTCTTGGATGGTTCGCATCTTGTTCCAGACTGGCGGGGCTTGCCATGTTTCGAGTTTGGGATTCCCGGAGACGTCGGGGATAAGAACGGGAAGCCGAGCAATCACAATTATCGCAGCCTTCAAGGTCGGTCAAGGACTAGACCACGATCCGAGAAACTATTTGCGGAGCTACGTAATAGTACAAAAGGAGTTGACCGGCTGGCCGTAATCGTATGCTCATTGTGCAGGAGGAATTGGTAAGCAGTCTCGTCACCTCTGCTGATTGTTCACTCCGTATCTCGCTCGATGTTTGAGGCCGGACGGCACCAAGACCTCGGGCGTCGGAGCAACGGGCAAAGCGAACCTGCGATAAAGCGATTGAATTTCCAGAACGAGCGAGGAAAAAGGGTTGTAAGACGGGAAAGCTCCGCTTGGCTAGGGTATCCACAGGGCCCTTGTTCATCACATGGAAGCCTGAGTGGCCGAAGCGAGATCTGTAAGAATTTGGTCTGCTGGGTTGAGCATGGATAACAAATCACAAGAAGATCTGATGAGTCAAAGTCCTGCCCTGCGGGGAGAACGGTGAGATGAGCTCATGGCTGCCTGCCTGGGTGGTCTGGCGCGGATGCAGCATCACTTGTGTTTGACAGTTGACTTCAGACTGCAAATCATCAAGGCCTGTTTGCATCTAAATAAGAATTCCAGACCCTAGGCGGTAAGCCATATATGTAGATGGGCGCGTGTGTCGCGAGGGCGTCCATTTAAAGACCGCATGAAGGGCGCAGTGTGATGAATTGGTGATCTTCATGGCGTCAAAATTGATCATGGGAGCATCGGCTTTAATCGGCGAGGCGCGAGAACCCGACATGCGAAAGATCCTGAATCTCAATCAATTGCCTATCGGATTCCAAAGGGGTTCCCGAGACAGCCTCGAAGTTCAAAGGATGACGATGATCTGCTATCTGATACGAGAAAGGCGCAGTTCGGGCTGACGCCGCATCCTTGACCCGGATGTTTCAACCTCTTGGGACTTGGTCGAGGCTTTCAATTTTTAGCCAACAGCTGGCGAAGCTCGCGCCGCTGAATCAGCGGAACCGGGCATCTCGGACAAGCAAACCGTGTCCGATTGGCCAAGAGTGCTCAGTCAGCGGAATCTTGATAGACAACTTTTCGAACTGATGTCGGAGATGCCACGCCGACTGCCGACTTTTGACCCACACCTTTTCACTCGCCATCTCCAGAAAAAGACTCTGCACCGGAACATCCCTAAATCTGTCGCTTCCAGGGCTCTCCTATTGGAAAATATCGTTTCGTCCGTGCTCCACCGCCAATCTCCGTGAAAAGCTCTGCGCTGTTCCCCCATTTACTCAGCGGACGTCTTGGAATTAACCAAAAAAATGTCGGACATAGGAGAACCATGTGGACCTTCTAAGCTCGGAATCGGCTCGATTCTGACCCCCGACTGGGTGGTTGCTCATTCAGGCCCTCCCGGGCCTGACCCACTCCCCTAGGCGGCGGTGTTTATATACTTCTTCAGTCTGCCCCCGAAAATGTTGCTGACCGTTGAGAATCCTTTCCGACAAGGTATTTTTGCCCTGTGCTCGGCCGATCACCATGTCTTCGCTCGAAGTGGAGGATAAAGCCCTCCCTCACGAGTCCAGGGAGACCGTGGCCAGCAGAGACTCGGATAGCGCAACCACTGTCTTGGGCGATGAATCCTCGACACCTACGCCCGACCCCAATGCTAGCCGTGCCGACGGCTGGGCTCTCATGCCCCAAGTGAAACAACAAAATGAACGTCAGATGCAATCAGGGTTCAAGCGCCAGGAATTGGGAGTCACATGGCAGAATCTGAATGTGGAGGTCGTCAGTGCCGAAGCTGCAGTGCAGGAGAACTTCTTATCGCAATTCAATGTGCCGCAGCTGATGAAAGAGTCTCGCAACAAGCCGCCTCTTCGGACAATCCTCCGCGACAGCCACGGCTGTGTCAAGCCAGGAGAGATGCTCTTGGTTCTTGGCCGACCGGGATCCGGTTGCACGACCTTGCTGAAGATGCTCGCCAATCAACGCCTCGGATACAAGTCGGTTTCTGGAGACGTTAGGTACGGCTCAATGACAGCGGAGGAAGCTGACCAATACCGCGGCCAGATTGTGATGAACACTGAAGAAGAGCTGTTCTTCCCCAGTTTGACTGTGGGTGAGACCATGGACTTTGCCACGCGGCTCAAGGTTCCGGCTCGTATGCCCAATGGGGTCGAGTCTCCAGAGGCCTACCGTGAAGAGACGAAGAAGTTCTTGCTCGAGTCTATGGGCATCTCACATACTGTTGATACAAAGGTAACAACCCTCCCAATTCGAAACCAGCTGAGAGCTAACTGTTACAGGTCGGAAACGAGTATGTCAGAGGTGTTTCTGGTGGTGAGCGCAAGCGTGTCTCCATTATCGAATGTCTTGCCACCCGTGCATCAGTCTTCTGCTGGGATAACAGTACCCGAGGTCTTGACGCCAGTACTGCCCTCGAGTGGACCAGGGGTATTCGTGCGTTGACTGATGTTCTCGGATTGAGTACTATTGTCACTTTGTATCAGGCAGGCAATGGTATATACGACCTTTTCGACAAGGTCTTGGTTTTGGACGAGGGAAAGCAGATCTACTACGGACCTATGACCCAAGCCAGGCCCTACATGGAGGCCCTCGGATTCGTCTGCCGTGAGGGATCCAATGTTGCAGATTTCTTGACCGGTGTTACTGTGCCCACGGAACGCAAGATTCGGCCAGGTTTCGAGGCGCGCTTCCCCCGGAATGCGGATGCTATGTTGGAAGAATACAACAAGTCCGTGGTGAAATCAAACATGGTCAGAGAATATGATTATCCTGACTCTGAAACCGCGAAGCGCTGTACCGAAGATTTCAAAGTTTCCGTCGCCGAGGAGAGGGCAAAGCAGCTCCCCAAGAATAGCCCCTTCACGGTTGACTTTATCCACCAAGTGAAGGCTTGTATAAATCGCCAGTATCAGATCCTCTGGGGAGATAAAGCTACCTTTATCATCAAACAAGTTTCAACCCTCATTCAGGCACTTATCGCAGGATCTCTCTTCTATGATGCCCCTAACAACTCTGCCGGACTCTTTGTCAAGTCTGGTGCCCTATTCTTCGCACTTCTCTACAATTCCCTTCTTGCAATGGCTGAAGTCACCGAATCATTCCAAGGACGACCAGTCCTTATCAAACACAAGTCATTTGCATACTTCCACCCCGCAGCATTCTGCATAGCACAAATCGCGGCAGATATTCCCGTTCTTCTCTTCCAAGTCAGCATCTTTTCAATCGTCCTGTACTTCATGGTCGGGCTTGAGATGACCGCAGCGGCGTTCTTCACATTTTGGATTATCGTGTTTGCTACTACAATGGTAAGTCACCCGGAGCGATATGGGAACGTTGGGGTACGCTAACACTTAACAGGCCATGACTGCTGTCTTTCGGGCGGTAGGAGCTGGTTTCAAGACTTTCGATGATGCGTCCAAGGTTTCCGGCTTCTTGATTTCTGCCCTGATTATGTACACAGGTTACATGATCCGGAAGCCAGAGATGCATCCTTGGTTTGTCTGGATCTATTGGATTGACCCTTTGGCGTATGGTTTCGACGCCCTGCTCTCAAACGAATTTCATGGAAAGACTATCCCATGCGTACTTACAAACCTTGTCCCCAGTGGGCCGGGCTACGAGAATGCCACCACCCAGTCCTGCACTGGTGTTGGGGGTGCCGTTCCCGGTAGGAACTATGTTTTGGGTGATGACTATTTGAACTCGCTTTCATATGATCATTCTCACGTCTGGCGCAACTTTGGTATCCTCTGGGCCTGGTGGGCTCTTTTCGTTGTTCTAACTATCATCGCAACGAGCCGATGGAAGGGCGCTTCGGAGAATGGGCCATCGCTGCTGATTCCTCGTGAGACCGTGGAAAAGCAGCGCCAAAACGTGCACCGTGATGAGGAATCCCAGCCAACCGAGAAGGGTACCAAGAAGCTACAAGATGAAGGTTCGCAGGATCAAAGCGATATTGACAACCAGCTGGTCCGCAACACATCCGTCTTCACGTGGAAAGATCTTTCTTACACTGTCAAGACCCCGTCTGGTGACCGTCAGCTCCTTGACCATGTCTATGGATGGGTGAAGCCTGGCATGCTTGGTGCTCTTATGGTAAGTCCTTTCTCTCAGGGGCTAGTAACGAAAGCTAATAAGTCTAGGGATCATCCGGTGCCGGGAAGACCACATTGCTCGATGTTCTCGCCCAGAGGAAGACAGCTGGTACTATTCAAGGCCAGATTCTTGTCGATGGTCGACCATTGCCCGTCTCCTTTCAACGATCTGCTGGTTACTGTGAGCAGCTTGATGTACATGAACCCTATGCAACCGTTAGAGAAAGCTTGGAGTTCTCTGCTTTGCTCCGACAGCCGCGCACCACACCCCGGGAGGAGAAGCTGAAGTATGTCGACACCATCATTGACTTGTTGGAACTGCATGATATTGCCGACACTCTTATCGGTCGTGTGGGCGCTGGTTTGAGTGTTGAACAACGCAAGCGTGTCACAATTGGTGTGGAACTTGTTTCCAAACCCAGCATTCTCATCTTCCTGGACGAACCGACCTCGGGTCTCGATGGCCAATCTGCCTATAACACCGTACGCTTCCTTCGCAAGCTGGCTGATGTTGGCCAGGCTGTGCTAGTCACGATTCATCAGCCATCGGCCCAATTGTTCGCAGAATTCGATAGCTTGCTGCTTTTGGCCAAGGGCGGAAAGATGGTCTACTTTGGTGACATTGGTGACAATGGCTCTACTGTCAAGGAATATTTCGCTCGCCACGGAGCCCCTTGCCCTCCAAATGCTAACCCTGCTGAACACATGATTGATGTCGTCTCTGGCACTCTTTCGCAAGGCCGCGATTGGAATGAGATTTGGAAGGCTTCCCCGGAGCACACGAATGCGCAGCAGGAACTCGACCGGATTGTTAGTGATGCAGCTTCTAAGCCGCCTGGGACCGTTGATGACGGCCACGAATTCGCTATGCCCCTCTGGGAGCAAACCCTGATCGTCACTAAGCGCACATGTGTCGCTGTCTATCGAAACACTGACTACGTGAACAATAAACTCGCACTACACATTGGGTCTGCCATCTTCAACGGTTTTTCATTCTGGAAGATGGGTGAATCTATTGGAGAACTTCAATTGAAGCTCTTTGCTCTGTAAGCTGCTCCCTCACTCATTATTTCATTCTTAAATTTACTAACAAGTTCAGGTTCAACTTTATCTTCGTTGCCCCTGGTGCCATTGCTCAGCTTCAGCCCCTCTTCATTGAACGCCGTGACATCTACGATGCTCGCGAAAAGAAATCCCGCATGTACTCATGGGTTGCCTTCGTGACTGGCCTTATTGTCTCTGAACTTCCCTACCTGGTCCTCTGTGCGGTGCTCTATTTCGTTTGCTTCTACTACCAGACCGGAATGCCCACAGAGTCCGACAAGGCCGGTGCTGTCTTCTTCGTCATGCTCCTCTACGAGGGTCTCTATACTGGAATCGGCCAGTTCATCTCCGCCTACGCCCCCAACGCCGTCTTCGCCACCCTCACCAACCCCCTTGTCATCGGAACTCTTGTCTCATTCTGTGGTGTCCTCGTCCCCTATGCCCAGATCCAGGAGTTCTGGCGCTACTGGATCTACTGGATGAACCCCTTCAACTACCTCATGGGCTCCCTGCTCACCTTCACCGTCTTCGACGTCGACATCAAATGCCGCGAGCGTGAATTCGCAACATTCGACCCGCCAAATGGATCGACCTGCGCTGATTACCTATCCACCTTCATGCAAGGCATGGGCGCCCGCTCGAATCTGATCAATCCCGAAGCCACCGAAGCCTGCCAGGTTTGCCAGTATACCCGCGGAAGCGACTACCTGTACGGCCTGAACCTGTTGGATTACTACTACGGGTGGCGCGATGTCGGCATCATTGCCATCTTCGTGTTCAGCAGTTATGCTCTTGTCTATGGGCTCATGAAGCTGCGCACGAAGGCTTCCAAGAAGGCGGAGGATTAGCTTCCTCCTTGACAAAATATCTGTTTGCGAGAAGCTCGTTGATTTTTGACTATGCTTCTCATTTACTTTGGCATGGCGGGGATGGTATACCCAAGGGGTACAATCCCCGCCCTTCTGTCCTTTAATTGTGTTTTCCTCAGTTGGCGTTCCATGGCTTATAGACATACCTGCATTGCGAGAGCTATACTTAGACATACTCCTTTCTTAAAAATTAATAGAATCGTGCTTATCGCCACACATGTCCATGATAAAGCTAAAGCTTCATTTGAGAAACAAGTTCGAAATATACTGAGATAGCGCCAATAAACTGCTCTAGGATGTCATTGAGTTCATTCTTGACTGCCATAACTCGTCCGGTTCAGACACTCTGGCCGTTAGAAGTTTGTCCCTGCTCACTGTTGCAGGGTAAGTGGCTGAAGTTACCAGAAAAAGCCAGACTCCGATAGCCCCCTGCTATACAGTACATGCATGTGAAGAGCATGTGCATGTAAAGATGCCGAAAATTTTCGTGTTGAAGCCTTCAAGAAGGCTGTCCTAAGTCCACTTTCCATCGACGGCATCAGGTCTAGTCACTTGCGCAAGTTCTATGCTTTGCATCATTCCATACCTAGGAGGCAACTGCGTTCTCAGTAGGCATAGGTCACGGGTAGAGCCTGATGGCAGAATAATTCTCGCTGGCTCAATGCAGGGCTTGAAACGCCAAGGCTGGCCTTCTTCGGAGATAAAGGGTCCCGGCACGTGAGCATTCCAGCTGATTCTGCCAGTCGGCACCGCCCCACTACATCACATCCACCTCCAGACAGTCGCCGACCCTTTAGGACCCCACATTCGTTGCCCAACTCTCAATACCTCAGATCCAGCAAAATGAAGATCGTATACATTGGTGTAAGCTGCACGCTTCTCTCTGACACCACAGAAGCTGAACCCCGCAGGTCCTCCGGAAAGCCCAGCCCGACGCGGTCGAGCTATGCTGCGAACGGGAGCTGAGCAGCTACTCCCGCTTCACAAAGGGAAGCATCGCGGAGTTCACAACCATGTTTAGCAAGATCGTCACCTCGCGCACCGAACCTGGACAACGGCAGGATATTCAGGAGAAAGGCAAGTCAAAATCTAGAGATATGACGTGGGGAGATTCCAGCTTGATTACTGCTCAGGGGTCGGTGGGATCCTTGCGGTGAGCTATCGCTAACCAATGTCGGATATCTAGATTTCGTCTTCCACGTCTACGCCTCCAGCCAACAACGCGGTCTCACCGGTGTTATCATCAGCGACGACGAGTACCCCTCCCTCGCTGCCCACCAGATCCTCTCAAAGGTTCTCGACGAGTTTAGCACACAGCATCCCAACGCTGCAACCTCCAACGGTCCCATCTCCTTCCCCCCGCTCCGCAACTACATCGCCCAATACCAAGATCCGCAAAACGTCGGAAGTATTCTGAAGATCCAGAAGGAGCTGGACGAGACCAAGGTCGTCTTACACAAGACTATCGAGAGCGTGCGTCCAACATCCCCCCAGATAATTACGGTACCGAAATCCATTCTAACAAGCGGTATGTATAGGTCCTGGAACGCGGCGAGAAACTCGACGACCTCGTGCAGAAGAGCGAAGGCCTCAGCTCTCAAAGCAAGATGTTCTACACAAGCGCGAAGAAGCAGAACTCTTGCTGCATTGTCATGTGAACGAACCATGAATCTACCTGCCCCCCTACCTCTCTTCATACCTACCTAGCGCTGCGCCCAGTTTCCCTCGCTCATGACCTATACCTCTGTCTACAGAGTCCGATCTATTTTCGCCGATCTTAAGCGTCTCTGTCTGTCGTTTACTCTGTCTGGCTCGACATACGCTTGATGAACACACCCCTGGCTGATATACTGATGTTATTCTTTGCTTTTCATGTGGCGGATATGAGTTCGATGTGATGCTATTGCAGCCATTTGTGTCTGGCATTATACTTGCTCTCTCTGTATGTTGTATAGAAGCACGTGTTCGGATGATGATTAGCCGATTAATGATTGTTGCCTAGTCGACGCTCCTGTCATTTGTAGCCCCCGTCATTCTTTGAACTCTTTACGTACCCTTCAGGACCCGATCTACACGTTTTTGTGGCTCATGGCTATTTCAAGGATCGCCGCATCGGGATTTACAACAGCATGGCGTACAGGCCTGACGACTAGTGGGTCCTGCTTGAACTCTATATACATTGACCACTTTCGGAGATCGCTCGATAATGTCCTAAGACCTGTCGTAAGGAACGGAGATTCTGGCGGTCAGGGCTCGTGTCCGTGAGAACTTATATTCGCAGTCGTGGAAGCACCGTCCAGCAAGAAATACAACTATCGTGGCATACATCCTCTTCCGTCCGCGGTTGATCAGATACACAAAAGCACCCTGTAGTTCTCGAGCTCCCCCGGCATAATGTGGAGTTAGGGCACAGATACACTGGGTGGCAGACAGTATACTCCACACAATGGCTTCCGGACCCCGGCACCGGGAGCGAATACGATTTACCGGGCCAGATATTACCCCCAAGGCCCTAATACATACCCTATTTATAATCCCCGGATATCCAACTCGCTTGGTGTAGATACCAAATATCGTCTCAAAACCTCAGGTCCAATGTCCAACGGAACCCCCTTCTTCCTTCCCGCCTCCAAGGCCCAAGGGCTAGCAAACTACCCCCACGCCCGCCTCGCGCCAACAGCCCCCCACCGCACGATCTACGTCTCCGGAACATCCTCCCGCCGCGGGGACGGGACCTGGGATGGGGTCACGGAGCACGCAGACGGAACATACATCCTCGATATCCGAGCCCAAACAGCGGCTGTGTTACGAAACATTGAGACGATAATTCAAGGTGCTACGGATGGACGTGGAGGACTAGGAAACGTCGTCGATGCGACTGTCTTCTTGGTCGATTTACCGGAGACCTATGCGGGGATGAATGAGGAGTGGAATCGGGTGTGGCCGAGGAGAGAGGATGCACCTGCGAGGACGACCATTGGAGTCAAGGAGTTGCCCAATGAGAGGTTGCTTGTTGAGATTAAGTGTACGGTTGTTGTTGGGTTGGAGTAGGGTATGGGTTATCTTTTGATGGTTCTCTCCCTTATCCTGGCCATGGTTAAGTGGTCGTGTGCAACTATATATAGCCGGATGTGGTAAATGTCAATGGTCTGTCAAGTAAGCAAAAACACCGACAATTGCCTGTAAGTATACCACTTATTGAATGAAGCTTTGCAAGCACTCAACCCTCACCTAAATGTCAAACCCACTTTTGCACTTGAAGATTAAGCCATTCCCTTGCCCATCCGTGTATAGCCGTGACATCACAACGGCAAAAGTGGGGGAAAAAGGATTAGTAATAGCAATCCCGTCAGTGATACAAAAAGAGGTGAGGAGATTGGGCTCCTGTATCGGAGGCAAACTTTCAGTTTTCGTTTTTCAAAAACTTGATACAAGAAGTGTCCGAAATTTGGAGTCGAGTGTTTATTTAAATCTTTTCTAATTGGTGTTATTCTGTGTAAGATACTGGACTTGGCAGCCTATTCTGGCAAAGAGAACCGCGCGATACGCCGATTCTGCTTCTCCGCGGATCACGTGTTGGGCTTGCCCCTCCAGCGCGCTGATTGATAAGAAAATCGCTGACCAACCGCCCATCAGGCAAAGGGTTCGATTGCTCAATCGGAGATCTCTGAATACTTTCAACATTTCGCTGCCTCTGACCATCAACTCACCGAAGACGATCATTCCACCTCCCGATATCGCGCTGTACGCATTTTCTCGCCTGCATTTATCTACGGCTTGCGCTCCGCCCCGCTGCCCTCGAGGCAAAAATAAGCCTCCGCCGTTGCACCTCTTTTCCATCCCTCCTTATTCGCCGCGTCTCATAAACCTCATAGACCAAAGACCATAGACACAATGGCGCCTTCATTCGTCACAATCGATACAACCCCCGACTTCGACATGGCTCCCACTCCTTCCAAGCCAGTCGAGTCGAAGCGCACTCTCCTCCTCGCACCCCCTTCCATCGCCACCCAAGAAGATAAACTCCGCGCGCTGTTCACAACCTACGACCGCAACACAACCGATCTACAAATGCTTGACCGAGTCTCCGCTGGCTTTGTCTCCCTTCCACCAAACACATACGACCTCGTTCTTGTCCTCACTGATACCGATGGCACTCGACGGTCCGAGGCGCTCCAGTTGCTCAAGCGCGAGGTTTACAGCGCGGTCGTCCCGTCTATGAAGGGCGGTGCGAGACTTCAGACACAGGATAACTTTTTCGGCGAGGCGGAGGAGCGAGAGGCGGTCCTGGCGGGCCTGATTAAGTCGGCCGCTGGATTTGAGAAGCTGGATGTTGGGACTGGTGGTGCGGTGCCGTTGAAGCTTGGGAGGAAGAAGAAGGCCGCGGCCGCTCCGGCTCCGGCTCCGGCTCCGGCTCCTATCCCACCGCCGATTATCAGTTTGGATGATACAAATGATTTGAATGATGATGAATTGATTGATGAGGATACACTTTTGTCGGCGGATGATCTCAAGAGGCCGATTGTTCCACGTGAGTTATTGCCGAACCCACATCTCTGAAAACTAGGCTAACATTATCACAGCCCCAGAGTGCCAACCCAAGGCTGGCAAGCGACGCCGCGCCTGTAAGGACTGCACATGCGGTCTCGCAGCCCAACTCGAGGCCGAAGACAAGGAGCGCCGCGAGACAGCAGACAAGAACCTGAGCGCATTGAAGCTGGACTCAGACGATCTGAATGAGTTGGATTTCACTGTGCAGGGCAAGACAGGATCATGCGGTAACTGCGCCCTTGGTGATGCCTTCAGGTGCGACGGCTGTCCGTACATCGGCCTGCCGGCGTTCAAGCCGGGCCAGGAGGTCGAGATCCTCAACAATGTCGCGCAGCTATGATTCGTTTTCATTTGGATGATTATTAATGGGTCCCCCCTGGTGTTATTTGATTTTCATGGCGTCTGTTGCACACATTAGACAAAATCAGTGGTTGGTATCTGGGATTGGTCTGGGTTGCTTAATGTCAATTGATTATATTTTCTACTGAGGCATCTTTCGTAACGCATGAGATATCATAGGCTGTCGGTAATAATAACTACTACAATCAACACCTGCAGGGATCAATGAATGAGAGCTGCAAAGCCTGGTTTCTCCTTTCTTGTTTCTCGGAGCACGCGCCTTTCTCGGCATGACGATACGCGAGAAGAGCACCTGCAGGTAAACTAAATAAGTCGGAGTATCCTGGAGCAATATGGAAGACGAGACCCAAGTCGCCAGGTGCTGGTAGACTACCTAGGCCTATGATACCGGCAAAGGTCCAACAAGACTTGAAATGGGCCCATTGCTGCCTGTCAACCTGAATATTCTTTCTCATCACTTATTCTCAGCGCCCCAAAGTATCTGAGTCAATATAATCATGATTAATCTAATCACCAACCATAAAAACAGTCATCAAAGCCGAAATGACCTTTTGCGCCCCGTGTCGGATGAAGGTAGAATCAAGACTCGAGTTGTTGATGGAACCTCGGCTTGACTCCGTGCGTAGGCTCTGTGCGCTGCGTCTAATCACATTTGGCCAGCGCCACAGAACGCCCTGTTTTTGAAAAGGTCTGGCTGGGTCAGTGGTCGCAGCGCGCTCTTTGTGATTGATGGGGTTCTTGATTGTGCCAGGCATCTGGGGAAATTGGGCCTTTGTGGTAATTTCCTGGGGTTGTTCAATCGGACCTCGAGGGCTTTGTTAGCTGTGCTCAGGCGCTATCGCACCCTTCTCGCTTTCTGACAGAACCGCCAGTTATGGTCTCTGCCTGAACCTTCCGAGTCTGGAGAAAAGGTGCGAGGGAATCATTGAGAAAGCATCGGGAGTTCGGCGGAGTGAGAGCGCAGAGACCAAAAACAATTTAGCGGACTCGGATGCGGGGGAGTGTCCACTTCGCTTCTCCTCCCGACCCCAACGTTCCCTCTTCTTCTTCTCACCCAATTCACTCCGATAGGCCTGGATTCACAAACTCGGACCCTTTACCTAAGGCTGAGAGAGCGCCCACTGGTCTATTGGCCTTTGTTGCCATGGTCGACGCCGATTCGCAAAACCGGGCATTTCGGAGAGGCAATGTCTCAGAACCCCGCGACTGTGGCTGGGAATTTATGAGCTTCAGTCATTTCCTTCGCTTTTTACTGGCAGATGTGAGACCATAACATCATGGGGTCTGAATTTCCTCGAATCAAAAGACTGATCATTAGATGAAAGATGATTACTTTCGTGTTGCTGAACGGTGAACCACTTGCAGTCAGCGTGGCGGCGGCCTGCCCATATCGCGAGATGGACCGTTCCTGGAAAGGTGCCGACACCAAGCATTGATGTTCGCAGACATTGCCCGCGGTGGACTAGCTCATGAGCTAGTTGTGTTCCTTGTGCAGTCTCTCCAGGCTCAGGCAGTCCCTCGAGTTGGAGATGTTTGGGCACTGCGTATCTACATCCTCCCAATTGTGTCCATACCGGCTACGGACATTCAGGTATACACCCAACATCCAATCTAATATCTTTCTTCCGGTGCTAACACTGGGGGTTCCAGGATGGACTTCATTGCAACGTTACCTCCTCTAAGGCCGAAATGAGCCTAGTCATTGACCGGCTTCTACGCCTAGCGTCGCCAAGTCTATGTGAGATTGGAAATGAATGGGGCTTTGGAGAAGCGAGGTACACTCCCTGGCCAAGCAACGGTGCATGTGAGCCCTGCGCAGAGTAATAAACACACCGATCCTCCAAGACCCTCTATGATTCTCTTCTCCGAGCTCCACTGGCACCCCACACTCGTTTAGCCTGAAATCTTCCTCCTGCCAGGAACTTATATCACAGCACTTCCCCACTGATCTCCTCTGCTACTCCTGGGAACTCTGAACCTCAGCATTGCACTAGCGTCAAGATGAGATTCAGCGCATCCGCCGTCCTGGCTGGCCTCGGAGCCGTATCTACGGTTCTAGCCACGCCTACAAAGATCACTTGGGAGCCGTCTATGGTCAAGCGTGATGCTGCTGCAATTGTCAGTGTTGTTGCTGATATTTCCGCCCGAGTCTCGGCTCTAGGCGATGACATCCGGGGCTACACTGGCGGAGATATCTCTGCTATTGAGGCGGCCTCAACCGAGCTTGTCAACACTATCACGAGCGGGACTGAGGTAGTCCTTGCAAGTGCGCCCTTAACCGGCATCGAGGGAATCGCTCTAGTTGTCCCGATTCAGGAACTTGCAGCAGATGTGGAGGTTACCATTGATGACCTGATCTCCAAGAAGGAGCTTGTTGTTGAGGCTGAGGAGGGACACAGTGTCTATGCTCAGCTGGACGCCCAGCTGACTGCCGCCACTGGATTCGCCGATGCTGTTACAAGCAAGGTCCCGGAAACCCTCAAGGAAGTCGCAGCGGAGCTGGCCGCCACCGTAACGAATGCTATCCAGAAGGGACTTGATGCGTATGAGGATGTCAAGACTCCACCTACTACGACTACCACTACGACAACTACTACGACAACTACTACCACGACCTCTGAGACGACCACTACTACGGACGAGCCCACGACGACCACTACGACAGAGGAACCGTGCGAGACAGAGACAACCACCACCACCACCACCACAACTACTGAGGAACCCTGTGAGACCGAGACAACCACTACTACGGACGAGCCCACGACAACTACTACGACAGAGGAACCCTGTGAGACCGAGACAACCACCACGACCGACGAGCCCACTACTACGGACGAGCCCACGACGACCACTACGACAGAGGAGCCATGCGAGACGGAGACAGAGACCACGACCAAGCCTCCTCACCCAACAACCACCGACGAACCTTGCGAGACTGAGACCGAAACGGAGACCACTACCAAGCCTCCTCACCCAACAACCACCGACGAACCTTGCGAGACTGAGACCGAAACGGAGACCACTACCAAGCCTCCTCATCCCACAACTACCGACGAGCCTTGCGAGACTGAGACCGAAACGGAGACCACTACCAAGCCTCCTCACCCTACAACCACTGACGAGCCTTGCGAGACCGACACGGAGACCACCACTAAGCCTCCCCACACTACTGACGAGCCATGTGAAACCGACACTGAGACTCCCCCAGAGCCAACCACCACCGATGAGCCCGAGCCACCAACCACCACTGACGAGCCCGAGCCGCCAACTACTGATGAGCCCGAGCCCACAGGCCCCGGCCCCGTCAACCCACCCGGTGGTGACTCTACAACTCTTATCCCCACCACTCCTCCCACCGAGACTGAGCCACCAACCGACGTCGACCCCACTGGCTCGGGCCCTGAGGCTCCTGAATTCACTGGCGCCGCCGCCAAGAATGTGTTCAGATCCTCTCTTGCCGGCGCGGTGATTCTCGGCGCTGTTGTTGTGGCTCTGTAAACCATTCCTTTGAATGTACCTTTCATGCTCTCATGGCACATGCGATGCTAAACTGTAATGTCTATTTCTATTCTAATGTACTTAGGCCTATCATATAGGTAGGCTATAGTACCGTCTAGCCTAGCCAGACAATTATAATGCTTTCGTTCTCCTAGCTACAAACATCCTCGCGTCTACTCCTCTAAAATGCTTACAACCTCCTCCAACCCATCAACAACCCAATCCGGTCTCATCCCTTCGCACTCCTCTCTTCCCCCATACCCAAACCGACACCAACAGACCCTACACCCCAAATTCCTCGCAAACCCAATATCCGCCACCGTATCCCCAACAACAAGCACATCCCGCCTGCGACCCCCTTCATCAACATCCACACCCTTCTCTCTCAACCGCGGAAGAAGCACATCCTCAAAACTCCCCACATCAGGCTTCCTCTTCGCACCGGGAGTTTTGTCACCAATAATAAACTCCTCGGGGATAAATCCCTCAAGTCCATTATTAGCCAGCGCCGTCCTGACAGCCTCCACGCCCTTGTTGCTAATGATACTCATCGGGATACCTTTCTTCTGGACGGTCTCGAGAAGGGTCTTCGCGCCGGGGTAGGCTGTGACAAGGCCCTGGCCCCGCTCGGCATAGATCTCGCGGTACTTTGATACCCAGCTCTCGAATTCAGCGGATGGGAGCGATGAGGAGGAGGAGGAGGAGGAGGATACGGCTGCTGCGTGGAGGGCGCGGAATGTATCAGCAAGCCCCGCACCCGAGGCGATCTGGGCTTCGATTTCGGAATCCAGCGGCGGTAGGGAAGTGGGGAGGAGGGATGCGAATGTGAGCCTTATGGTTTCCCTTATGGAGGCGTGCGTGTTGAAGAGGGTGCCGTCGAAGTCGAAGATTATGAGGGGTGGGGTAGGCATTTTTGCGGTTGGAATGGGTAGATCTGGAGTGCGATGAATGGGTCTTGAACAGGACTCGAGAGCGACGGGGAAGTGAGGACGAGGGAAGGACTGAGGGAAGCGCTGATGACTCAAAAGAATTGGGGGCCGAATTGCAGATGGGACTCTGGACGTAGGGCTGCGGTGGGTCTGCGTTGATAGCGATAACGCCACGGACATTGTATGTAGGGCTTTCGCGTATAGACAGTGAGTTCCGACTTCTTTTGTGCGAGTTAGAGATCAGTATAAATTCCGAGACTTGTTTGTATGAGGGCAATGTTAACAGAGATAAAGCGTCGGGTTCCCAATTGGGCAGGAGCCCTGGCTGCTCGGGTCGTACCTGCCTTGGTTGGCATCCTGACATGCGCGCACCACGGTATGTCACTCAAGGAAGGTACGACCCCAAATTTGCCAGTCGTTCTTTCCTTATCTGATGCATCCAGAGTGTTGCCCAGGTGGCGTGTTTTGTATATATGCAGGACGTGGAGCGTTGCGCGAGACCGGGTGATGGAATCTGTGAGAAGGCCATTAATGCGTTGACCAAGATAGAGAGAAATTGAACTAGACTAAAAGCATTGCTAAGTGTGTGTGATCATTCTGGTGTCTCCAGGGGAGTTCAACGGATCCTGACTGCATATCAGAGCCGGCATGGATGCAGGTTTTCTGTCATCGGGCGATGGCATATTAGCCCAGATGTCATTCCGACCAAATGCAGACCAGTCTGTTTTCTGAAGAGGGACGAAACCTTTCGCCCACATTCTTGAATTCGTTGAAAAATTGCTTTGAGGATTGTCGCCAGCTGTTGATTGCCGATGGGAGTCGGTTTCAATTGTTTACTGCAGGGATCTCGACGAGGAGACGGTTGCCATGGTCAGCAAAGATTGTAAAGCAGCATGGCGTTCTGAAGCACAGCGGCAATCCCAGCAGCAATTTCATCCTCTGGAAACTTGCACCTCCTTTGGGAGGCAATACACAGCAGGGCTGGACATCTCAGAGGTCCTCTTCGTCATCGCCCAGGAGAAAATCAGCTCCAACAACAGCAAGCTCGATACCTATTTTGGTATGAATACTTGACGCTGATGTGAATGTCAACGCTAATGATGAAAGTGTTGATCATTCTTGTTTGGCCCCGTCACAAGTCCTCGCTGTCTCAAGATAACCAACCCTCCAAGCAGCTGCTCGTGTCAAAAATACCTCTCAAGCTGGCGAAGCAAACAAACATCGCCTCCTCCCCCTTGCTGTCCACATTCCCAAAATACCGCTTATCACAGCCCCCAGCCACTAACAGGCCCTCCCCACCCACCACAACCAAAATCGCGGGGTCGCAGCGCCGCCAAGAACCCGGAGGGGTGGCCAATCTCACAACACCCCTTGTTCGCAATTGGACACGTCGAGCGGGGTAACCACCGCATTCGTAAGTGATATGTCCAATGAAACGAGTCTCATTCGAATTTCGCGTCCAGACACACGAGACCTCCTGAACAAAGAGCGTTAGGCTGAAAGATGGGCTGACATTTCGACGTCCCAGTCCCACTTCGGAGACCGGAGACGTGAGAGAATGGAGACGGGCTCTGGTGGATCCGGGGTATAGCCCACCCCCACTACCGGCCCCATTTCGCGATGAGCTTCGATTTTACCTTGTGGGCTCTGCGATGGCGGGTTTTTGATATTGATATTGTGTTGATATTGACTTGAAGCCTGAGGATGGTCTTGCGATAAAATCCATTGGGAACGAGTCTCTTGTGTTCTTGGGACGCAGAGGTCAGCCCACGAGATTCGTCCATTGGAACACGCAGCCACTGACGCATCATAGGGGTGACCTGAGTGGCCTGAGGTTTCTTATTGGGTTTTACATGGTTCTGACGGGTGTCTGGAATAATAGTACTTTGTGTTATACGACGGTGATCCCTGCTGTGTGGTATTGAGTGTAACCTCCTTGTTTCTTACTTGATACGTGAGGTCACGAGTGCCCCCCTGACGAGGGACTTTTGCCGCCCCTCCTTGAATGACACGAAGATGGTTCTCATGGTGATATTTCAGATTCATTTCATGATAAGTAACGAAAGACACGTAAAACTCCTGTCACATGATGTCCATAATTCAGTCCTCCCAAGTCCGATCCTAATCCCGGTCCCAAACATAAAGAAGTAATACGATAAATGCTGTCTATCAAAGACAGTTACAGTTCCGCCTCTAGGTCTAGGCTCAACCACGTCTTCGAAAGTGGATAAATGATTCAGTAAGAAAGTTGGAATGTCGATGATGAGACTAGACTGGAAGGCGCCGCATGTACTTCATTGCTAAGAACACTGCGACCGCTGAGGTGTAGCCTGCGCCGCCTGCAGTAATCCAGACAGGACGGTGCGCGGCAAAGGAGGTCGTCACGAGCGCAGCCCTGTTCCTTCGCTTCTCTGTAGGACATTAGGATGCTGGAAGTGAGAGAAAAGAGATGGGAATCCCTTACCTGTGTTGAGGAATCTGTTTCGCAAAGTCGCCAGCTGCTGTCTGACAAACCCGCCCGCGGGTCCACTGGAGAGGTTCTGAACGACCTGAGGAGCAGACATTGTGTCGATAGTTCACTTAGATCACTTAGATGGTGGATAGTAAGAGTATCGTGATGGTAAGAGATGGTATTTGATGTGAGAGTCAAGACTGAGTTCCTGAATTTCAGAGACTCATGGGGTCGCACAAGGTTTATATATACCTTTCGTCATCAGGTTGCGGGGTAAGTCACTGGACTGCGCAGGCCGCAGCTCAGGCTGAGAGACCTGTCCAGCCCTTTTTGTCGTCAATGACTATTGGACTGATTGGCGATGCCGGTGGCGATTGATTGGCGCCCTTGGTTGGTGAAGGCAATGGCCCTTGGGTTGTAGGTGAATGACAGGAGGGGCGAACGCTACCGATGACTCGACAAGGCAAGACAATCGTCTGCGAGGTGACGGTGATCAGCGGGAAAACAGATCCGTCCTCTGTGGATTGAGACTGGTGGAGATGGTGACAGCAGAGACAGTGGCGTGGTGATCAGAGTTAAGTAAAGGGTAGTGGAATGTGCCTTCCCTGGTTGTAACAAAGCGGGATATTCGCGGCTCGTTGGAAGCCATTCACCGAACTCAACACAGGACACTCCAACCAAGTCTACTCCTCATCACCCCTGATGCGCATGATGCTCTGAGATGGAGGCTGTCTGGCTTGCTTAGACGCGTCGCGACGGTCCATCATTCTATTTGTGGATCAACCATATATTGAAGCACATATACCCACCCCTCCCATGGGATCTCAGTCACAACCACTGAGCTGCTGACAGGCCTCTGTGTTGGTTCATATGGAGCCGCCCCGCCCATGGTCTGTTGCGAGCTCCCCAGGGTAGGTTTCGCTTGACAGCTCCCTTATTGCCTGTATTGAACCTTGACAGCGTAGAAACTTGCTAATTATGACAGGCCACGAGCCTTATTATTACCTAGACATCTCAAACTCTTGCGGTGCCCATGCTCATCCCTCTCGCAACGCGCAATCCCGCTTCCTCGCACAACTTGGCGAGAACTCCACCACACCACGGCGGACACATAAGCAGTGTACCTAACAATGACGTCTATACTCTTCAACTCCACGGAGCTGCGATGACAGCCCGGTCCCCGTAACCGCGGGCCCACATATGCCAGATGTAACGCCTGATACACTGAATATCGAGCCATGACAACGTCCGCGCATCAGCAGACGACATTCAATCCCAAGCTTCAGGCGATCTCTGTAGGATATTAGGGAAGCAGGTATAATGTCGGCCTGTTAGCGAGGCGGAATGGTTTTAGGCGTTGCGTGTGGGTTTCACTTTAGAGTGAGTCCTTCTCAGGGTCTCTCTTCAACTTCGTTGACCCAAGGCGCCACTGTATAGTATTGCACCTCACCATCCGTATACCGCGATAGCGAGCCATACTCCCAATTATTCGAGGTCAACTGTCGGCGCGTTAACACAATGAGCAGGAGCGGGAGGATACGTCTTGCGTTCCGGGCGGCTCGTGTGCGATTGGTGTCTGCTTTGGATGGAGAAGGACCTTGCGAATCAGGTTCACGCAGAGTATACACTGTCAGTATGGGCTTGACTGCGAAAGTCCGCCTTTGAATCAGGAGCAGGAAGCATCCAGATGAGGTTCAAATTTGGTGGGTTGATGCCTGGCGATCAAAACTGTGGGGAAGCTGCTTACGTGATCCTTCACGATCGGCTCGAGACAAAAGCAGCAATTTCTGAGCTTGACCTCCGCAAACCCCAGAGGATGTCAGCAGGCCGAACACGGGCGCAACTGAAAGGCGCCCCCGACTACGATGATCCCTCTTTCTGGGACACGAAATTCGCCACAGGGCAAGATGTCGGGGAATGGTTAAATCCCGGCGAAATTCTCCTTGACGCAGTCATCTCCTTTCTAGAACTGTCTGCGACCGCGACGCAAAACAGGCCTCGAGTCCTGCATCTGGGTCCAGGTATATCTAGACTCGGAACAAAAGTGCGAGACGCGTTCTCGGAACGAGGCTGGATGGGGAATGGCATCGTGGTATGGCCTGAATTTGCTATTCGAAGTGCTAGAACCCTCGACTAATGTCGTCTCTCACAGAATGTTGATTTCTCCTCCGAAGCGGTTCGTCTTGGCCAGGAAGTCGAAAGTAAGCAAGACCCTTCTCAAGCCATGCATTGGCAACGTGTCGACCTCAGATCATGGACCGACGTGTCGCGGCTACATACCTTCGCTCCTTTTGATGTGATTTTGGACAAGAGCACTAGCGATGCCATTGCGACCTCCAGCCCTGTGAGCTTCACACCGGAATCAAGCAGGTCAGACATCTGCCCTACTGTACACAATATCGTTTGCAGGAATGAGGAAGCCGTTACCATTCCCCCGGTTGAACTTCTGGCGATGCACTTGGTGCCATTGACGCGAAAAGGGTCCAAGTGGTTCGTGCTTTCATACTCAACCATGAGATTTGATAACCTCTCGGATCTGTCTGTATACTGGGAAGTAATATCCCGCATACCATTGGAAGCGCCACGTGGTTCGACAGCGTCTGGAGCTCATACGCCGCCGGTCTATCACTGGATGTATACGCTACAACGGAAGTAGACCAGCTATATACAGACGTCACAACTAGAGTACAAGATCATCGATGAGGCCACCTGCTGATACGATCGTACCATGGGTTAGACGATCATTCAATAACTGTAGATGGTTCAAGCTTTTTTCTGAACCTTACTGCGGATACTATATGCACATATTGGGTATAAGGATTGGCTTCCGCACTGACAACGACTTCCAATTTCCAATACTTCATATCAATTCTGCAAGAGCTATACAACCTCAGGCGGAAATGTGTTTTTATATTCCAAGAGACGCGACGCCATCGACGTCAATTAAAGAGACTCCAGGTCTATCTGACGTCCCTTATGATGCTTTCGCTGAGACGTATGCAGTCGATTGTCTTGTTGCTGTCTGCCACTAATGCTTGTGATCAAGTTACCTACCCAGCTTTCACAAACCTCTGGTTACCATAGAAATCGGCAACGCCAGTTTTGAGGTATCGAAGCCTCTTGTCTGCCGTCACTCGCCATACTTTTCGGCAATGTTTGAAGGGGACTTCAAAGAAAGCAAAGAGAATTCTGCTACTTTGGCTGAAGTTGAGGGAGTCGTGTCCGTCCGAAGCTTCAAGCTGTTTCTGCAGTTCGTGTATACAGGCCGTATCAGGCTCGGCGACGAGCCCCCCGAAGACTAGATATCATATCTGCCTTGATCGAATTCGCACGACTTGCAGACATGTTGGGCGTTGCAAACACAGAACGTCAAGCCGCTACGCACATAGAATCGATCATTCGGAAGGACTTGGCTCATGACCATGAAATAATCCGAATTTATCAGAGAAAGCCGGACGACAAAATCCGTCTCATATCACCTTCTCACATCCGCGATGCAGCATGTCTTCCCGGGGGCCACGCGATCCGGATTGTCTTCGCCAGAGCAGCAATCGAATCATTCCTACTCAGACCAGACGAATTCAAATTCGCCCAAGAAACTGAAGAAGTACCGGAATTTGCGGTCGACCTTTTGAGGCAGGTTGGTCCGACGGTTCGAAGCGTTCGTGCTTCGCATGCTCAAGTGATTTTCAGAGAGCCCTTCCTTCACAGAGAATGTGCCTTATTGACTGATCCGCAACAAGCGGTCGATTGGTAATAGGTACGCCCACTAGACGCTCCTGGGAGGTCAAACGCCGATTCTATTTCTGAATGCTCCAATCATGGCTGCGACGCAGAGAAAAATTACTCCTCTCACGACGCAAATAAGCTTAGCCAATTCATTTATCTTTGTGATGTAGCCCTCGCTCCTGACTCCTACGCCCTCTGGACTTGCGTAGGTACATTCTCTGGTGCCTTGGGCGTTGGTAGAGTTGGCGGGTGGCGTCGCCAGGCTGAATAGTTTGACCTCGTATAGCGACGCTTGAAAAGGCCCGCAATACCCCGCGAAAAAATCACGCGACGTCTTCGCATAAATCCTGACCATCGGATCTGAAAATGCCAGGAAATCCGCGGAGACGACAGTCGCTCGCAACGATCCCTCCCGAGCTTCAGCTCGCGATCATTGAGTATCTAGACGCGCAAGGCAAAGCCGCCCTGCTCGACAGCGATCTCCTCTCCCCAAATCTCATTATCTGCGAAAGTACGCTTGATGAGTGCGACTGGTGTGGCCACACTCTCCTCCACGCAGCTGCAGAACGAAACTATACCAAAGCAGCGAAGCTTCTCCTCGCCGCTGGCGCCTCACCCAGCCCCAAAAGCAAAGCCGACAACGACGGCAGCGCAACACCACTCGTGCTAGCCTCACAGAACGGACACCTGCCCATCCTCCACATCCTCCTGGACTACGGCGCAAACCCCAACGAATGTAGCCACAGCGACGCAAGCTGCCTTCACCTCGCCTGTGACGAGGGCCACACACACATCGTCGAAGCGCTCCTTGACCACGACGCCGACGTCAATTCACTCAGCTTCGATATTGGGGCTCCGCTCCATGTCGCAGTTGCAGCTAGACGTGCTGACATTGTCCGCATCCTACTCGCCAACGGAGCGAAAGTGAACATCATGCGCCGGCACATGTCCGGTATGACAGCGCTACACACAGCAGCTGCAAATGGGGACGTTGCGTGTGTCCGGCTCCTTTTAGACGCAGGCGCGATAGCGACATATGAACCTGCGCCCGAAAACCCAGGGTGGTTCATCCGCCCGCCCAGTCTGCATGAAATTGCAGCGGGCCCGCATTACATTGCCGCGTGGACCTGGATCGACCGCGGCTCACGAACATGGACAGCGCCTCCTTTGGTCTGGAAAGAAGGCGAGAAGGATGCGTACACGGAGGTTTTGCGGTTACTCTGCGAGGCTGGCGGGGATGTGTCGGCAGAAGTCGCGGGGCATGAGGGTACAACACCGCTGCATCTTGCTGTTGTTGTGAGGAATTGCGCGGCAGTGGAGGTCCTGTTGGGTGAGGGTGCGAATGTCAGTGCGAGGACTAGCAAGGGACAGTCGGCTCTCTCGTTTGCGAGATTGTTGGGGTATGAGGATATTGCCGAAGTTTTGGAACGGGCTTTGGTGGCGAGGCCGGAGAGGAGGAGGATGCCGATCGTCGGGCCGAAGCCTACGATAGAGGCAGTAGAGATGGATGTACGGGGCTGTGAAGAGTTATCGTAATAATACAGTCTTCATGTTGGGTCATTATGGTGAAAGTGACCATCAGGCATCGAGGGCATCCTCTGCATAAATAAGTTATGCCCTTCATAAGTGGATGACTAACTGGCTGCATTAGCTCTTGAAAGTGCTCTTCGAGCGCAACAGGCACCGCCAACGTTGCCTGAAGCCAAGTCTTCAGGAAATGAGTCAATCCACTTTTCTGCATCGACAGCTCTCGAAACAAGTCGAGCCCACTAGAATGCAGATCTCACTTCTTCTCGGCTCGATTGGAAGGATTTGAGTCTAATACGAGATGGCGTCCTGGAGACCGCACCTAGGCAACCGCTGGCGCCTGGACAGCTGGTCTTGCGACTGAAGGATAAATATCGCGAAAGACACGACCTTGAGAGCTATAACTCAGCTGAATGATTCCTCACTGAGCAATTTCAAAGCCTGAATCTATCTACTTTCCTCATCATGGCTCCCCAAGCCTCAGCCCTATCCCAGACTTTAGAGTCTCTGACGCTGAGCAAGATCCGCGAACTCGAAAAGCAACGGTCGAGCTATGAGGAGCGCAAAGCTCGCATCCTGGCTGATGCAGAGAAGCACACGAACCTCTACTCGCGCGTCACGACCATCCTAACCGGGACCAAGACCATCCTCCCCAATGTGTCTCGGGATGCCGTTGTCATGAACATCGAGCGATGGCTAGAACAGCACTGCTTCGACCCCTCGGTTACGCACGAGATGCTACAGGAATATGAGACCGAACTGCGATCGCGGTTGGATGCGCACAGTCGGAAACTCAGCCTGGCCGATCTGTACTCGCGACTGCTGACGGAGTGGACGAACGCGGATGGGGACGAGGAAGTGGATGTCTCCGAGGAGGATTATATGGTTGTTGATGAGAGGCAGAAACAGCGCCTTCAGCAGCTCTGCGATCAGTTTGAGCAGGTTGTGTTTTCACCGCTTGAGACAGATGCACAGGAGATCCACAACTTCTTCGATTCGTTTTTCCCGGATGATGATAAGGTGGAAGCGCTGAATGGTCTTCGGTCTGACATCAAAAGTTCAAGCCTGGAGATATTTGAGGAGGAGGCGCCTTTCGATCACTCTACGTTGACGGCTACGATCAAGGGACTTCTGACGGAGGACATTCTCAGCGAGGCGAAGCAGGAAGTCCTCAAGGATTTTCTGAAGAACAAAGTTGCTTTGACGGAGATTGCAGATGTTTTAAACATGCGGTGGGCAGATTTAAGTGAGTGGGATTGGTTTGCCGGTGAAGACGGTATCCCCGTTCTGCCTCGCCAGCAGTTGAATGGGAAGTACCGAATTTGGATGGATGAAGACGTTCTGCAACTCATCTTCGTGCAGTATATTGGGACGCGGCTATGCAACCTGCTGAAGATAACTTTGAAAGATTTCATCGATTCGCCAAAGGTGTGGAATTGGGATGCCGCACTGCCCATGACGGATGAAGACAAGGCTCGCTATTCATACTACACTGGCTTAACGCCATCCGCATACGGCCCAGAAGCTACCCGAAGATCCGATTATATTGACGAATACTTCCTTTCGCAGCTGCCACTGTCTTTGACTACCCTTGCAGATGGAGGGGCACCATATGACGACGACGATGATTCCGAGGTAGATGAGGAGGCGAACGATAATGGATGGGGAGCTGCCGATGCGCCTACCCCGGGAGCACATCGTCAGATCAAGCAGCGGTTGTTGCGAAAGATCGCAACCGAGACGCTCGTGCAGAGATTTATTTATGGAGAGGCTGCCGTTGTTCAGTCAGATCTCCGCTGGTATGCCACTGGGCTCCCGCACAGTACCATCTTCGCCGTGATGTCGTATATTGGGTTCTCCGAAAAGTGGATCAGTTTCTTCCGGAAGTATCTGGCCTCTCCATTGAACATGGACAAGTCGTCAGAAGGGCGGACGCCAGTTGGACCGCAAGTCCGCCAGCGCGGAGTGCCAATGGCTCACTCCTCCGAGAAGTTCATCGGCGAGCTGATTTTATTCTTCATGGATCTTGCTGTTAACCGCACCACCGGCCTACTGCTGTATCGCCTGCATGATGATCTCTGGTTATGCGGAGAGCCTGAGAAGTGCGCACAGGCTTGGGAGGTGATGAACTCGTTTGCCAAAGTGACCGGACTGGAATTCAACCTCAGCAAGACCGGATCAGTGTACCTTTCAGATGCTGCTGATCCGATGCTTGAAAGTCGACTACCGAAAGGCCCGGTGACATTTGGCTTTTTGGCGCTGGATCCATCAGGGGACTGGGTCATTGACCAGGAGCAGGTTGACGCACATGTCAAACAACTCAAGACTCAGTTGGACAACTGTGACAGTGTGATGGCGTGGATCCGCACATGGAACAGCTGCATCGGGCGCTTCTTCAAAAACACATTCGGCCAACCAGCCATGTGTTTCGGGCAGAGGCACGTCGACATGATCCTCGCAGCATACAAAGCGATGCAGGACTCTCTGTTCGGCGATGACGCCGGCACCGTCACACAGCATCTAAGGAGAATGATCGTAGCTCGATTCGGGGCCACCGACATCCCAGATGCGCTGTTCTATTACCCGGAAGAGCTAGGCGGACTCGGCTTGCGCAACCCAGCGATCTCACCGTTCCTAGTTAGAGACGCGCTTGAACCGTCACCTCTGAGATACATCGCCGATTTTCAGCAGAAGGAAATGGATCAGTACCTCCAACTCAAGAAAAACTTCAGCGAGCTATCACAGGCTGCAAAGACAAATCGATTCACGCGCTTCATGAGCAATGACGAGCCCCGCTATGTCTCACCACACGACAGGGATACATTCATGCCGTTCGAGGAGTGGTCCCAGTTTCGCTGGTCGCATAGTTCTCTCTTCTTTAAGCTGTACGCGAAACTGCAGGAGGTGCCGGACCCGCGCGGCATTCAGGCCACGAATGAGGTTTCCAATGCGCTGCAACAAGTGTTGCCGAATATCAATTCTCTTGATGACGAGGAGAGGTGGATTGTCCACATGTATGCGCCCGAGGTGTTGAAGAATTACGGCGGTGTCAGTCTGGTCGACAAGAGGTATTTGCCCGTCGGTGTTATGGCTATGGTGAAGGAGAAGCGGGTGAAGTGGCAGATGGTGCTTTAATTTTGTTTTCATCCTTTTCTGTATATTCTTGGAGTTGCGATCAAATTGCATTGAATATTTTCGGGGCCTCAAGTATCTAGTCTACTCCGATTGGAGCCGAGTATACCGTCGGGGTCTGCCGAGCACAACGGACCACGATGACTCTTCTTTCGATTTCTCACTGCCATCCGTTTACAGTCACCTGAAGTGCATTGAAAGGGTCACAGAGGGCACTTCGACTATTGAGTTCACCTCGATCAGCCCAAAATGTCTATCTCAGATTCACTGACCGAGGTTGCTGAAGCCCCCATTTCACCAACCAAGCCATGGCAGGCCCGGATCCGCGAACACCTGGTGATCGTATCACTCTACCTAACGCTCTTCCTGTCCGCCCTCGACGTAACAATCGTCGCTCCAGCGCTGCCAATCATCGCCAGCCATCTCAATGCCACCACGTCTGAATATACCTGGGTCGGCAGTGCCTACACACTGGCAAGCACATCGACAACACCACTATGGGCGAAGATATCCGATATATGGGGTCGCAAGGCTGTCCTTATGGTGACGAATGTTGTCTTCTTGTGCGGAAGCCTTATCTGCGCGCTTAGCGTGTCGCCCATGATGCTCATCGGCGGAAGAGTTGTACAAGGTATCGGTGGCGGAGGAATCATAGTCTTGGTGACCATCATCATTGGCGACTTGTTCACATTGCGTGAGAGGGCGAAGTACTACGCTTTGACAGGAATCGTGTGGGCGATCGCCAGTGGTGTAGGGCCTATACTGGGCGGCGTCTTTACGCAGACAATTGGATGGGAGTGGTGCTGTACGCTCCCCCTCTTGGAACGATCCAATCGTGAACTAATATTAGTGAAGTCTACATAAACATCCCATTCGACGGCCTCTCTCTCATTCTGCTCTTCTTCTTCATGCAGCTAAAGCCCACATCCGCACCCTTGACAACGCTTCGCACATTCGACTTCACTGGCTGCATCTTCGTCATCTCCGGAACGGTATGCTTCCTCTACGGCCTCGAGAGCGGCAGCGGCTCCCACGGCTGGTCGTCCGCACAAACCCTCGGCCTCCTACTCGGCGGTCTAGCCCTGCTTATCCTGTTCACACTATACGAATGGTACGTCGCGAAGGAGCCGATCCTACCTCTCCGACATCTCCTCACGCGCCCCACGATCCCCTGCCTCCTTACCGCAACCTTCCACAGTATAACCTTTATCCCATACACATACTTCAATCCGCTCTACTTCCAGGCCGTCCTTCACCTCTCACCGATAAAATCCGGCGTCTACCTCTTCGCCCTCGTTCTCCCTCTCTCGGCAATGACACTCGCAAGCGGCCTCTACGTGAAACGCACGGGGTCCTACCGACCCGTGATCTGGATCTCCGGAGCCATAATGATAACCGGAACGGCCTTGTTCATCGACTTCGGTACGCATCTGCACCTCGAGAAAATCGTCCTCTACCAACTTGTCGCGGGTCTTGGCGCAGGCCCTCTCTTCCAAGCGCCAATGATTGCGTACCAGAGTTGCTTGGAGCCGAGCATGGTCGCGTCGGGGAATGCGGCGCTGGCATTTTTAAAAAATCTCGGGACGAGTTTGAGTCTTGTGCTTGGTGGGGTTGTTGTGCAGGGGGTTGGTGGCGGGTTACTGACTGCGGGATACCGGGATGGAGAGGGTGGTGGTGGAGGCGTGCAACAGGAGGATTTTATGAAAGGATTGAAAGCCTTGTGGATCTTTTATACAGCGACTTGTGCTGTTATGTGGATTGCTTCGTTCGGGATTATACGGAAAGATTTGGACGGGAAGGATGGAGGGGAGAGCGAGGTGTCTGGATCTGACGGAGGAGAGACGCAGGTTAATGAGAAGGCTAGCTGATGTTCGGGGTTGAAGATATTTATTCTATAGCCTCAAAATAAATACCCTAGCCGCTCTATCCACTATCTCCCACTCAGGCCTGCCTCAATTAGGTACCCACAGATGATGCCAGGGTATTTCAGCCCAAATTCAATATCGGGTGTAGTCCAGAGAGGAACATCATCCTAGTGGTTTTTGACGCATTTAGAACAAGATGTTCGGGTCTGATTGGGTCTAACCTCCGGTTGGTGTACGGAGTTGCTACCCACTGTACGGAAGGTGCGCCGTGGTTGGCGACACGATCCAAGTATCCGGTGTCCTGAGCTTATTTAGGAGGGGCAACAACGACATTCCCGGAAGGGCTAGCTGGGTGATACAACGCGGTGTTAAGGTGCCCAAGATATATTCTTAAAAGCAAGCTTCCCGCAGAACTGAAACCGAAACTACACATCTTTCTCCATCGTGAACCATTGTTGATTTATTGGAAATGAGTTCAGAACCTTGCACAGCGTGTAGCTGGACCACTGAACGCCAAAACCATTGCAACTACTAAAGCTTCCTCAAACTGTTCTATGAAGCAGGAGATCGAGGCGTCTGGTCATTAGGCTCCAAGTTGATACTGAAAGATCGAGGTGCTAGCCTTCCGACCTTTGAGGTACCAAATATTCAATTTGTGCGGGAACAAACATCCATTCCTGTTCCCACCGTTGTCGAATCTTGGGAGGAAGGCAAACACGCCCTCATATTAATGCGACGCATCCCCGGCGAACCACTCAGCGAAGCTTGGCCGAGGCTTTCTATGGATGAAAAAGAGCGAATAGCAAAGCAGACTGTTGAGTATCTACAACAACTTCGCAAACTCCAGTCTGATAAAATTCAATCTCTTGGCGGCCGTCCGGTTTTTTCCAACTTCCTGTTCAAAGATAAAAACTCCGAGACTCCTCACGGCCCTCTAGCATCCGATGATGATCTTTGGGATGATATGGAACTTGGATTGCATGAGACGGTTCCTGAAGCTGCTCGAATATGGCTTCGACAATGCATGCCTTCTGCTACGCCTTACACCTTTACACACGGAGACCTCACCAATGTGAACATTATGGTTGAGCATGGCTCCCTTACTGGCATAATTGACTGGGAGATGTCTGGCTACTTCCCAGTGTGGTGGGAATATGTGTGCACCTCGGTTCCTGATAGTGAGGAGGACAGGGAGTGGAAGGCGTTGTTACGAAAATATATGCCTGATTATAGCGCCGCACGTGAATTTTGGCTGGATTATTACTATCTTTGCAGGGACCCGGGTAGTGAGAGAGCTACAAAGTTCATGGCAAGAGCAATAAATGAGGCCCGTTAGAAGATGCGTAGCTTTGCTTCTTCAGATGTGTGGGTTTGTGTTAGTAAACCAAACACTTCGTCTTTCTACTATCATGCCTAGCACGTAAGCTTTCTGGGCAGGAAACTATCGAGGACTGCTCGGGAACAGTGGATTTGTATTAATCCTTCTTGACGAGACAGTTAGGCTCGGAAGCATAGGGAAAAGGCTCATGGAGCGATATATTTAAAAGAGGAATGTTACGATCAGGTACGAAAAAAGGAATATCAACCACCGTAGTAGCATTTGCGAGACACCAAGTATGGGGAAGGAAAGAAGAGCGATGGTGTGAGGAGGTCTAAATACAAGTCGGGTGTCTACCACAGCAGGTATCAAACCAGCCATCAACCAGCCACAGGCATCCACACATGTGAATTGTCATACCGCACATATAAATGAGTACAAAGAGCAAGTTGATGGCTCCCAAGTAGCACAATAAACACAGAGGAACAAATCAAGAGAAGGACACCGAAAGTGTCTCGAGAGACTCAAACACAGCACAGCCATTTCGCGCGTGTGACAGAGAGTATTTCATCGAAATCGATCAGCTCAAAACTCTTAGTAAAAGGAAAGAGGTATACCAAAAGCTTAAGTCAGGCCTTGTCTTAAGCTCAACCATTACAGTTCGAGCCCTTTCATAGTTATAGGCAGCTGAGCACCACCTATCTCGCAATCGTCCTTGTAGGTAGGGTTATTGTGGGTGCATAGTTGGAATCAGTCTCCGAACTTTTAAGGAATTTTTCATGAATGAACTACACTCTCAATATCATTCCTCCAGTTCACGATTAAGCCTTGTTTTTAGAATAGGCTACTCCCGTCAGATGACGCTGACGAAGAAATAATCCTTATTCCTTCTCAAAGGGACTCTAGCCACTCATGCTTCTAAACTTCCTGATCCTCCTCCTTAGTTCCTTCTGCAAATAGCGTCTAGTAGAATATCTTTCGCGTTGCCTCTAATAAGAGATTTTCGTTTAGGTTATAATCGTTTAATATATACCGCTTGATAGATTCTCTCAACCCTAAATAGATGATAGGAGGCAAGCAAAGAAGAATAGATATAACCTATAGGTAAGTTAGCTATTATGCTATTAGGTAACCTAGAAACAAACCTTTCGAATAGACTTAGCAAGACGTGTGATGATCATTAATCAGTGTCTGCAGGCTGCGAGCCTATCTCGATAATCTTAGATAATACTAATCCATCATCACGCTTGGCCTGCCCAGCCTTCGTTATCTAATTCTAGTAGAGATAGGATAGTTTGTGGCTATAGTTTACATGTAACCTAACCTCTAAAGCGCACTAATCCAGCCTTACTAGGCCGAAAGGCAAGTAAGGGCTTAACGGTGGTGATCTATATGTCCAGGACTCGAAGTTAGTGAGGTAGAGTAAACAAACCTTATCTTCGCGGGGTATCATCGATCGACTATTATGGGTGTAGATAGGTACTTTCTAATAGTTTTCCAGGTCTATGAATGACTATGGAGAGGTAGTCAAGGCATTTGCTTCTAGCGAGATAGGTAAGATATGTGATCGATATATTCAGGTAATATGACATAGCAAGCCGGATATAGCTGCTCCTAGACATAGAGTTGCGGCTTTAGATCTCCGCTAAGCAAAGCTATAGAGAATATTATTAAGCTTTTCTTCCTATAAGATGCTTGGTATACTCTCTTCTAGTAGTAGATTAAGCTACTTATTTACAAGATTACTAGGGATCTTCTCATCCTAAAGGCAACTCCCCAAGCATGATATAATAAAGCTGGGATACTTGAAAGGCATAAGAAGTGTGGGATCTTATTAGAACTTAGTAGTTTGCCCTCGTAGATAGGTTCGAGATCTAGAGGTGAATTATTAGACGACTATATAGGCGGCGGTAAAGTAATATAAAAGCTAGTCCTTGCGTGACGAGGAAAGGTAAGAGTAGTAATAAATATAGCAAGTAACTAATTAAAATAGTTATACCATTAGGCGAGTTTGTATAGAAATATTTACGCCTTATTAGACGATGAAGGGTGTATATCTTTTAAGAAGTGAAGCAGCGCATTATACTTTAGCTTAAATAAACTAGGATCGCCTAAATGGCACTCCCAGGGTGGATACTAACTTTTGCTATCTCGTTTAAGAATCGCGTGCTAGCCATATTCAGGAGTAAGGAGTACAGCCTACTATTAAGCCTCTATAGGATCATAACCATTAAGATTAACTAAGAAGCAAGATCACGAATCATCTAATATTACTAGTAGTGCCTAGTTACTAGTATAAAAGACTTAATTATCTACTATTCTCTAGCGTAGCTCTATTAGCTAAGTAGTAAGGATGTATAACCATCCTAGTGCTAGGATACTAAGGTAGTTTCTAGACAATATTAGAAGATGATTAAAGCCAGTCCATTTTACAAAGTTAGCTAATAGGCGGCAAGTAGTAGGCTAGGAAACGCTAATATAAACCCTTTACGCGCTACTTTTTTTTAGTCACCCTAAGGAAATAGTTATTATTAGAAAATAAAGACCACTCCAAGTAGCCTTCTAAGTAGAGAGAACCACGCTTAGTATTCTCAAGAATATCAGGACTTTCCTGTATAGATAGAGTTCGGAATAAAAGGCTTCTAATTTCGGTGCATGAAATTAGAATTTTAGGCTATTAGTATAGAAAAAGGGCCCTCTATATAAGCCTAGAGTGAATCAAGCACTTGAAAGACTGTAGAAAGAATGGTCAAAGCGTGTCATTTCTGTTCCTACCAAGGAACAGCATCGTCGCTGACAGAATTCAAGGGATGGCTACCGTTGGTGTGAGATAGCAGATTCGATGTCCACAAGTTGGTCGTAAGCGCGTTTGGTTTGAAGGGGAGAGCGCTGGTTATGAAGGGGATGAGGTCAGGTGACTCGGAGCCCGGAAAGCGACATCACATGTAACAGACTTTTGGTATATTAAATTAGGAAAAAGATATTATTTGGTCCTAAATAGCGAAGAGCGACTGAGGTGGATAGTTATTAAAATTTTACTTAACTAATAGAGATTATAAAAGGGCTAGATTCACCCTAGTTCACCTGGCAAGAATCCACAACTATCTAGTCTAGACCATCATGCAACTTCGACGTTTTCGACCTGTACGGCTCGAGCCTTCGTATTTTTCTGAATCTCTTCATCTTCATGTTGAATATACTTGAGAGGACGCTTGACAGACGTGGCATCGGGGTCAGTAATAACAATCGGGGACGGGTTTGAGCGGTAATACGAGTCCAGATCTTCTAGAGTGCGGTTGGCTGGGGAACATTAGCATATCCATAAGTAACACACAATTGTATATTGAGGAATGAAATGACTTACAGGTTTCGGGATAGAAGAAGTAGATGACGGGCAGGAAAGCGGCGTTGAAAACCGTCCATACGATCCAGAATCGCCAGCCAAGGTTCTGGACTCCAATTGGTGTGATTTCAACAACCACGAAGTTCGTCATCCAGTTAGTAGCAGTCGCAACAGCCGCTCCCTTGTTGCGCATTGGTAATGAATTAATCTCAGTTGGGTAGAGCCATGGCACTCCCAGCATGCCCATGCCAAAGGTGATAAAAAATAGGAAGAAGAAGGCAATGGACGCAGAGCCGAACTTGTCGCTGTTTTCACGGGTCTCTGCGAAGCGAAGTAGGATAGTGATAATGAGAAATGAGAAGCCCTGACCAGCAGTCGAAAACAGCATAAGGCCTCGCCGGCCCCACCGCTCAACAAGTGGAACCGATAGACATGTGAAGAGGAGGTATGAGACGGAATTGCAAGCCGCAAGTAATCGGGACATACTCTCCGATAAACCAACCGAATTCATCATTATTAGCGGAAAATAGTAGCTCATGATATTAATTCCTTCGAATTGCTGAATGAACTGCGTTCCTGCACCTAGAAGAAGTCGTCTCAGGCTCTTGGTGTCGTTGTTGCCCTGCTTGCGGAGGAAAATGTCTTTCCAGCTTGGGGCGTTCTCACGCTCGTATTGAACGCTGAACTCGATTTCGCTGCGTTGCACTTGGATATAGGGGTCATTTAACTCCTTACCCTCAATGGCGGCGAGGATTTCCACGGCTTCCTCTTGTCGGCCTTGTTGCATGAGCCATCTAGAACGTGGTTAGTGACGTGCGATGATACGGGGAATCAGATATGCCTACCTAGGTGACTCAGGAAGCCATGGAACAGTGGCAAAGAGAATAAAGATGAAGAAGAACTGAAAAGCTATGGGAAATCTCCATGCAATAGATCCGCCAACGAATGACAGCCCATAGTTTATCCAATTGACCATGGAATACCCAGCAATGTTCATGACCATCTCAAATAGAACGAGCTTTCCGCGCCACTTGTGGTGCGCAGTTTCCGTCTGCCACACTGGGGCGGTAGTAGTATTGATACCATTTCCGAGACTATACAAGGCGTTTTTAGTGAGTTTTGCTTCCAATTGTCCGTCAGACTGATACGTACCCAAGAACAATTCGCCCAACAAACATTTGGGCCAGACTGTACGAGCTCGCCTTGATGATAGTCCCAACTGCCATAATTGCTGTACCAAGAAGGATTGCCTTCTTGCGCCCTAGCCTCTCCCCCCAGGTGAACGCAATAATCGCGCCGAAGAAACAGCCAATATCGTAGATTGCAGTGACAGTAGAAAGAACTTTGGTTCGAGAGGGCCCGACAAGGTCATGTAATTCGAGGAAATCCTGAGAAACAGTGACTCCACCTACAAGGAGGTTAGCACTTGCAGATATGCGATGCATCGGGCGACATACTGAATACTCCTTGATCATACCCAAAGAGGGTCATATCAGTAGCGCAGGCCACCTAGTACACGTTAGATATACGGCCTCAGCGAATGCACAAGCATAGTTACATACTGTTAGCCAAACAGTGAGCCATCCTCCTGTTAACCCAAAGAAGGGCTTCTTCTTCGTGTCAGAAATCATCGTCAACAGCCCAGGTAATACTATCGTCTTTGATTCATGAACAGCAGCGTGCCGAGTCAAGGAAAAGGGTATCGGAGGAAATTTATACTCTAGCAATACGTTGCAGGGCACTCTCCCGACGTCATGCGATAAAAGCCGGCTTTATATAATGCCTCCGGAGTCCCGGTTTGGAGACAGTGGGCACGCCGCCGGACCTGTCCCCAATCCCACGCGAACACTGCGCGGGGAGGACACGGATGGAGCCATTTGAACCACAGCCAATCATTGCATCAGATCGCAATTACCCCGTGGGAAAGTTTTGCTCTCAATGCTGATCTGGGCTTTAGCCGGTTCCATCTCACCGATTGGTGGCGTTCCTTGGATTAAGGCATGAGCGGTTCCGCAAGCGGGTTATTTTATCCTCTGAAAGGGAAGAATGACACTATGGTTTCACCCGGAAGTGACTGCCAGAGCACGGAGTTGGGCCGACCTTCAAGCTGTGCAGAGCCCAGATATGATTCCCGAGTGTGAAGGAGAGGATTTGAAAGGACCTAGAACAGAGAAAGGCTTGCTTGGAGTGGTACTGAAGTTTAGAAGCAGCATGCGTGGTGAAGTGAGAGAAGGTGAAAATCTGGGGTTGTCCAGGCTTCAGCCTGCGGCTGGTTGACAAGTTGTGGAGTAACTGACTTTCCAGGAGGAATCGGAGGGGTAAAGTTGGAGTTGCTGGGCCTCGACCACGGGATGAAGGATCAGGAGGTGGGAAATTTTCCCCATACAGCACAGGCGAATCCTGCGCCAAGCCCAACCTGGGAAATTAGCCGACCAGAATTTCCCCACAGACACTGAGCCATCTGGAGCACGACCTCTCCATTCAACACTCGCTGGTTTTTCTGCTCGTACGATCCTCGATGAGCAGTCGGTGGAATCTGACAGTCGCATTATTTTCCAAAAACCAACAGTCCATGACTCTTGCCAATGGCAGGAGACCAGCCGGCGACTCCGACCCGCACCGCCAAACGGGACAGCCACAGATCCCGAAAAGGCTGGTATGCTGCTCCACGCTTGAACCCCGTGGGGAGAGAAAACCTCTGACCTCATTGCAGCCCTGAATGCCGGAGTCGCAAGATCAAATGCGACGAGCAGAAACCTGAATGCGGCCAGTGTCTAAAGAGCGGTCGAGCATGTCGAATAATAGACAGCATATTCAAGCCGCATTCTTATTCATTCCGGACGACACCGGCGCAGAGACCGCAACTTGTTGATCGGGTCGGGCCCAGTACACGACTGCCACCCGAAAGTGCGGCACAGAATGGTGTGATGTCCTCCCTCTTGCCACTTATTAGCTGGGAGACTGAGTCGGTCGGAGCAGCTGAGGAGACCCAAGAACTCCCGATACAACCCGTGAATACAGACTCGCCGATTACATCACCGTCCCAAGCGATACTTGGCAAAAGGATCTTGAATGTGTCCCCAATCACTGCTCACGATCAAGGTACGGATTGTGTACTTTCCGGGCATACCGTGAATGAGACTGTGGATCCAAATTCAGGGCAAGACTCGGCATCACTGCTGGCATCTCCCCATGGCATCGAGTCAACAGCCAGGCCGTACGCTACTCCTATAGGCCAACTCGAGGATAACTATCAGGACCGCTGTGAGATCGCTTTCTTCCTGCGGCACTTCTCGGAAGGACCAGGGCAGTGGATGGACGTGTGCGGAGACCGATCTTACTTTAGCCAACAGGTGATACAGCTCTCTCATTGGAGTCCGCTCATACGGTATGCTGCTTGCGCTCTCGGGGCAAAGCAACTCGGCCAGACGAGACACCCTGAAGCTCAGATCCGGCACACAAATACCCAAACTCTCATGCTCAAAGCTCTCATCGACACCAAGGTTGGGTTCACCTGGTATGGGGCCAAGTACTACGAGAAAGCAATCCAATTGCTTGCGCAGCAAATTTCGCAAAGTGGGAATCCGTCATGCTCACTGTCGCCCAACTATATATACGGGACTGGCTTGACGCCGCAAAGTGGTGAGTTTGATCTTCCGCGGGACCACGATGAAGCAGCTGCACCCTTTCAGATCTTGGCGGCGTGTATTCTGTGTCAGTATGAAGATGTAAACGCCACCCTCCGAGCGTGGTCTGGACATATTGATGGAATCCACCGGTTATTACGGCCTCATTTACCGGACCTTGTTGCATTTCGCGTAGCCAAGCGTATTCCTCAGCCAGAAAGAGCGTTTAACGCGGTATTCTGGTTCTATGTCGTTAACGACATGCTGAATGCGTGTAAGTATATTTTGCAGTCCCGATACACTACACTTACTAACGACCTCTATAGTTATTTTAAAGAGGAAAACTCGCGTCAATACTGACGACCTTGTGTTGTGGCGAAGGATGGGCGTACCACTTGATGATCATGGTAACCTTGCTAGAAGCACCACCGAAGGCCAGCTGGAGGTTACTCTGTTCAAAACTCTGGTTCGAATGATGTGCCAACTAGTCAACTCCGAACTAAACGACGCTGGGCAATGGGCAATACTGAAGGCACACTTTGACCGCTGGCAGAGCATGGTGCCCCAATCTTTCTACATCCCGATTACATGGCCTCCTGTCGCCGAACCGAGCAATATCCAGAACGTGGACGCATTCACTCGTGAAATCTGGTTCGCCAGTGACATATCAGCAATAACTCTCGCATTCTACCACATGTCGCGGATGATTCTGCTTGTCAACTGCCCAATGGACCTATTCATTAATCAACGAGAGGACCTACTGTCGGCGTACAACATTTTACAGCAGGAGCTACGACAACACGCGATGGAGATAATCCCAATAATGCATGCAAAGCCGAGCGAAACTGTTCAAAAGTACATGCTCCAGCCACTGTATGTTGCCGGCAGATGTTTGACAGATGAGAAGGAACGCAAGAGCTTACTACAGATACTTCGAAATATGGCCGATGATTTTGGACTATTCACAGATGATCGTATTAAGGACCTCTGCGAGGAATGGGGTATGCCGTGCAATGGTATTGATAGGAAAGATGGCCATGGCATCTTGACATGATACGTCTTATGATCATGACAGGGACTGTTAGTATATCCTTGAGTCCAAACTGCTCGCCGTGGTTTGTAGACTATGCTTCGGCGCACCTCAAGCTTCCGTCTTGATATATGGGATTCCCGTCAGCTTGAATGCGCGTTCATTCAGCACGGGCTCCTGAACCGGCCTGTCCCGACTCTTTAGGCAAGGCTCTCCATTCCGCATCGCGATGTTCGAGCCTGCAACATGCACGGCGTTGGGCCAATGGGTCGTCCCCAATCGTTCTACACACAGTTAGTACAATCCGCCTGGCAGCCTGGGAATCAAACACAAGACAAGACTAACGCTCAAAAGCCCCTTTCTTTCTGACAAGATCCTCCTGGCTCGCCTCGGCAACCGGCATATAACAGGTATAAATGGCCAGCCGATCCTGTTTTCCTGCGGGCGGCAGGTTATAATGTGGTGTCCTGCTATCCCACACAATCAGGTCTCCAGGCTCACAGCAGACCTTCACCCATTCTAGGCCATGGTCGGCCAGCCACTTCATCCCCTTCTCGGTGTAGCCGAACCACTCTGGTGTCCAAGCCGGGATGCGAGGCTCATCAGCCATTTCCGCGTGGAACTGCTCGGAGAGCTTATGCCCACCGGGGCACACGATAAGACCGCCATCGTTAGGGCCTGCTGGATTGAGGTTCACAAGACCTTGAAGGCCTGGGCGAAATGTGGTTAGCATTCCCTTGAATATGGCATATGGACGTCAAGGAGGCTGGTGGCCTACATCGGAATCCGGGCTTGGATGGATCCTGGTCCTGGTGGGGCCACGGCTTGCTAATAGGTGTCAATCACCTGCCTCTTGCTATGCTGGAGAATCGAAGACCGATATACATACTTTTCAGGCATATCCTCACGGCTGGTTGAAGACATTCGTTAGCAGGTTTGATGCCAGACTCTTTGATAAAGAGAACGAAGACGGGGAAGGGATAAGAAATGGCCGGGAACATACTTGGCAAACTGCACATTCACAACATCGAAGGACACAATCAGATCCTCATCGTCATAAACCTTTGCAAAGGCATCGATAACACCAGGTTCTGAGCGAACATCCCATACCCATTTCTCATGGGTCACGCCGTAGGCCAGAATCATCCCCTTCTCATTTATAACGGGCAGGTTCGCTCGCTTGACGGTAGATGGCTCGTCACGCTTGTAACCAAGGTCGCTTCGGCTTCATGTCAATGCTATCTCAAATAGGGACACGATGCCTTCTAGGAATCTTGACTCACAATCCCTCGAGATATGTATAGAACTCGTTCGCATATTTCTTTGCACGCTCGAGCGGGATAGCTCCCTTGACGACGGCGTACCCGTCGCGGTTCAGAGCATCACGAAAGTCGCCTAATTTGTGGGGGAGCCGTCAAGAAGCATACGGCCCTTTGGCGGTGCGACAGAGACGGTCAGGTCTGTCGAAGGGGTTTCGGTTGTTGTGGTGGACATTTTCTCTGCTTTGCAGTGCGAGGGTACTTGGCTGTTCTGGGCTCGGGTCGGTGCAGGGTGATTCTGTTGGCTTGTATTTTCTCTCGCTTGGTGTGGTTTTATCTCACCTGGGTACTCTCAGTCCGGCCCAGAGATTGTGATTTGATGGCCTGACGCTCGTGAGGCTCCGAGAATTCGGGGCTCGGAGGGTTCGGGGGGCGCCGAGGTGGCTGAACACGCTCCGAAGAGCCATATTCACGGCAGTTGAGGGCAAAGAGCCTTTACCGTCTTAGTCGGCCCCACATATGTCATCTCTTCAGTCATTGATCTCCCCCTCGAGTGAGTTGAGCGAACTGTAGAAAACCGAAAATGGGACTAAGTGTGATTATCGTCGGCGGCGGCATCGCTGGGCTCGCAGCAGTACGTTTGCTCTTAAAGATGTTTAGCATTACCACAGCCTGACAGACAGACACAGGCTATTGCGCTTCGGAAGGATGGTCGCCAAATAACAATCCTCGAGCAATCACCAATAAGCGCAGAAATTGGCGCGACTATCTCGCTGCAGCCGAATGCGTCGAGAATTGTTGAACAACAATGGGGTCTGGCGTCTGCACTGAGGGAGCGAGGCTCCATGGTCGACGAAGCGTTTGAGGTATACAACCTAGACGGTGAGCTGCAGATGCGCATCCCGCTCTCCACGACGGAGAAGTATGGTGCGGAGAGGATGATGTACCACCGTGCGGATCTGCATGCGGTTTTGAAAGAGCGAGCGATGGGTGCCGAGGTTCCTGGGAAGCCTGCCGAACTGAAGACGTCGACTCGGGTCGTAAACTGTGATCCCGAAAAGGGCACTGTCGAGCTGGCTGATGGCGAGATGCTCTCAGCGGACCTGATTGTTGGAGCTGACGGAATAAAGAGTGCCATCCGGCGGAATATCCTTGGCGACGAAGTCATTGCTCGACCAACGGGATTCTCCGCGTACAGGATGATGATCCCGGTTGACCACCTCGAGCGAGAAGCAGATTTTACAAAGGTCATTGATCCCCGCAAAGGTTGCACAACAATGGTCGTCGGTCGATCCCGCCGGCTCATCATGGGCCCCGCCCGAAACGGCACAATCTACAGCATCGTGGCTCTAGTCCCAGACGAGAACATGAACGAGGACGCTACAAAGACTAGCTGGACGACAAAGGGTGACCATGATAAGATGATGGCCACATTCGCAGACTTCCCGCTCTGGGCGCAGAAACCGCTCCAACTCGCAAAGACATCTACGTCCGAATCGGGGCTCGGACTCTGGCAGCTTCGCGATCTTGATCCGTTGCCGACCTGGTATCGGAGTCGAGCGATTCTCATCGGCGATGCGGCGCATGCAATGCTGCCCACACAAGGGCAGGGAGCGAGCCAGGCGATTGAGGATGCCGAGGCCCTGGGGGCATTTTTCGAAAGAGCTGAGGAGGAAAGCAGCAAATCTGTCGGGACACTGGAGACTATGAAGCGTCTGAACGAAGCGGTATTCAGGTGTCGCTATGACCGGGCGTCCACGATCCAGGCCTATAGTCGCCAGGCTGCGAAGCCTGCTACGGAGCCTGGGAATCGCAAGGTGAAGATGAACCCGGCGGAGTTTATGGATTATAATTGTAATTACGCCGGAGCCATTGACTGGATGCAGAGGCAGGAAGTTGTGGCATGACACTTTCCACATTCTGGATTAGCTCAATAAAAGTTCTTAGGAGTTTTTCTTCTAGAGTGACTACTAAGGTGACGAGAATTAGTCGATTGGTCCTATCTCTGTCTACTACTGCAAGCGCCATGACGGAGGATTTTCTTCAGCGGATAAATAGTGCGGCCTTGGCCCAATATCTTCACGTTTCATGCTGAAGCCATCAGTATCCAAGTCCATTTAGCAGTAAAGTAGCCCAGCCCTAAGCGGAAATATCCCGACGGGGCTTGTCGATCCCCCACCCAGCTTCCCCCGACATTATGACCTCCGGGCCTATAGCTTGTGACATCCCATCTCGAGAGCAGGAGATAAGCGAGCGCATCTATCCTCCGTACCGCTCCACGATGGCGTCATACTCACTCTGCGTCACCAGAACCACATTGCCATGCTTCAACCCCACCGGAAACCCCGTTCGATCTGACGCCGTCCAAGCTGCAGTGGCGACATCGCTGGTTTCAAAGGGTACATATTCGACATAATTATCCAGCAGTAGGTGGTACTTTCCGGGTTCGGCAATATCGGGGAACGCCGCGGGGCCCTCGTAGACTATTCCATCCTCGATGTACCCCGGGGACCGCGTCCACTCCCCGAATATTCCGTCTGTGGTGGTTTCCTGGTAGACGTGCAGGACGTTCTCATCCTTGAGGAAACGCACGTAGTGTCCGTCCTCGCCGAGCCAGAGAAACTCTTGGTCGATTAGGGGAATGTTCGCGCTGTCGAGCGCGACGTAGTCGGCGGGAGGAGCGAAGGTGACGAAGTCTGTGGTCGTCGTGTAGCGGATGCGGTCAAGAGTTGCGGTTCCCCCGTGGTTTGTGTCAGCTGCGTCGTAGAGGCGAGAGGCCCAGAAGAGGTAGTATTGGCTTTCGGTGCTGTTGTAGATTACGGAGGGGGCCCAGGCCATTCCGGCTGTTTCGTCTTCGATACTATGGGATCGTTAGTATAGGGATCCCGGGTTCGATGGCATTTATATAGATAGGAAGGGGGCTGGTGGTCGTACATTGCAAGTGTAGGCTCAGCCCAATCCACTAGATTCTCAGATCTCCAGATCGTGAGCCCGCGGCTTCCGCGGCGGGTTGCTTCGTCCCAGGAGAACCCATCCGCGTTGATATCGAGGTCTATGGGTTGTTTATCTTAGCCACACTCACGCTGGATTTCCAATTGTGGTTAGAAGGGTTGAAGGACATACCCGTGGCAATCACAAAATACTCCGACCTGTCATCATTTGAAGTCAAGAATATATCACGTACTGCCTGAGTACCAACAGTTGACCCAAGAACCGGCTCTCCGCCATTAAGCGGAGTGAAAGCCAAAGGGCTCTCGGCGGTAGAGAGGTACCAGAAGACACGAGGGTCTGCGTCTGTGAAGGTCGACAGGAGATATCCAACGTATGGGTTGTCCTGCCGGGGTAAGACAGCGGCCGTTGCCGTCACGATGAGACCTATCGCTGGTAAGAAAGGTAAGAAATGCATATTTGTTGTGAGTCGTCTTTGTCTGCAGCCAGTGAACAGAATCGGAGATGGGTATGGGTTCACTGATATAACCTCAAGATCATCGGGCTTCCCACCTGCGTGTATGGGATGTCGTGAAAAAACATAATAATAGCGGACGGCTAATTTCAATCTCTCCACCGGAGCTGCGATTACCCCAGGGTTTCCGTAGCTCCACCGGAGATGACGATCTTTGCACTATCAGGTGTATGCACTGAAGGGTTCCAATCAATTGAGCGCTCTTTCATGATTACTGCTCGGGTATATCCTCGGCATTTGTCTGAGGCGGGTGGTGTTATATATTGTGATAACCTTGGCTTGTTGTCGTGGAATGAGGCCTATAGCGTTCCTGGACCAAAAGATTCAAGGGGTTTCATGACAGAGTTACCGTCAGCGAATCGCGGAATGAGAATTAGTGGTGGATAGACCAGAGCTCAAGCCACTAGGCAGGGCGGGATGCTGTGCTGCCCGAGTCGACGCTCTATGGTGGAGCCCACATGGAACGATCAGAGCATGGTTTTGGCATCCCTTCTCCGTCGCTGACAAAAGCAATATCAGGAATTGAAGTAAACAGCAAATGGTAGACTGGTTTGTCGTGTCTGGACAATGAATGTATGAAGGGATCTCGAAGTCGAAGGTGCTTGTTGTGTAGTGGCCGAAAGAGGTATAGCGCTGACGCGGTTTTCAGTTGTTGAGCTCTGCTTTCCGTTTGCACAACCGCTTCCCTCGCCGATAAGCCTTTCGGACTCAGACAATCCACCGAGGATACGAGGCTCGAGAGCTGTACCAACTGGACTTCCTCCTCCCGTGGACCGCGACGACAAAGTACAACAACACGGAGATGGGCCGCAAGACACGCGAATGGACAAGAGCAGGCAATTAGAATGATATTCCGTCGCCCAGATGGGGCTGGTTGCTCCAGGACTTTTGCTGGACAAGGCCAATGCCTCCTGCTCCTGGCCGATGCTGCAGAGTACAACAATGCCATGGTTTCCGCAGAAAATCGCGCCAAGAGTCAGGCCCAGTCGCAAACTGCTTATCTCAGAGGAATGGGCAGAATAGGGTAATACCATAGCAAAGGCAGAGCTACCAAGTATTGCTGGATAGGAAAAGGCTGGCAGGACACGGACACCAAACCCCCGATGAACTTCAGCGCGTTCCTTGGAAGTATCAAGGACCGACCTCTTAGTCTTGAACCATGCCCACTGCTACAGCAAATACAACGACTCATCGACAAGGCAAATGGCTTGACCTTTAACCACACTTGGCATTATAGTATTTCAGTGCTAGGAGGGCTATCATAGTACATCATCCAATTCCAAAGCTCCTCAACGTTGAATCCTTCGAAGGGAAATACCTGATCAATCTCAGTTGGAAATTCGCCCATACCAGCTGCCGGTCCACCTAAGAACGAGATGTCTGAAGAGTCTAGAGGGACTTGGGTGTCCAAAGGTTCTTGCTGCGTTTGAGGCCATTCATTATGGATCCCCAATCCATTCCTATCAAGGTTAGGGACCGGATGGGAAAAGGATTGGGCTCTCCGGGGCATTGTCGCTTGAGCGTGGTGATGCCGATTGATACTTTTTTCTTGACCGAGGTTGCGCATTCGGGCTGGACTGGTTGGCTCATGAGTCGATGGGGTTGGCAGTTGAGCAAACGCTTGAGCACTTCTATAGTACTTGACAGCTTTTGGAGAGGAGACATGTTCGCTGTAAATCGCTTGATGATGCCTCAGTGGACTCAGCACTCTCGACTCAGCGCCCTCAAGGTAAGCCTCCAGCCTGACCTGGACCTGATCATAAATCATCGCCAGCCCTTCAATGAATCTCGGATCGATATTGCTCTGCGCCATCCTCGTACTCGAATACGCCAAGCACGCTTTCAGTAGCTGCATGTCCATTGCCTGGAGGCGAGACGTTGTATGCTTCATCAGGTATATCGCGAGTGATATACATGCGAGTACTGCCGTGCCCGCCGGAATAAGACAAGAGTCTAACCCACGATCTTGTAGCTCGATACTCAGTTTCGCAATAGCGCGTGCGCTGTTCACACATATGGATTCGCCGCTCGCCAGCCGGAACCGTGACGGGTCGTCAGAGCAGTGCTTCATAACTTCTTGTTCCATCTTGGCTCTCGGTGCGATGAGTGCAGCACGGTGAAGGGCTATCATTGCAGCATGATACTCGATGGATAGGAATGCAGCCATGTGAAACTCGTCGCTCGCGCAAGTAATATCATTGCCCGGGCGAAGCTCGACAGGAATGTCGTTCGCCCACAAGAGGAGATCCCTGTCGAGGCGCGCAGTATCGACTAGAATTTGTCGCACACTGCGGGTACTACGGCCTGCGGGGTGACTGTACAAGTGGTCGCTGATGCTACCCTGGTACCCAGCCAAGCCAAGGTGCCATTGTAGGAATTGGTATTCTGTCCCCTTTAGGCTATTGCTTCGGGCCATGAGGTCGTCTGAGATTAGAGTTGGCCAGCCGGAAGCAAGGTGCATCAGCTTTTCGAGAGCACAGCACGTTGCCCATACTCGGACACGGATTCCAGGTTTCTCTGAAGCGCCGACGGGGGACTTGGATGGCTGAGCATGGTGAAGGCCGAGTGTGTAAGCGATACGGATGGCCATTCCCAGTGTCTGCCATGCGAGGCCCTCTCGATTGTGGCCTCTATACGCGATAGTGAAGTGCAGAAGTGCTTGCACGGTATGCAGATAAGGCACGACGATGATATGAGCGAGAAGGCTGGCCGCGGCATGAAGATAACGCTCCCCTTCCTCGGTCGGGCATTGGGCGTATTCGTCTGCTCCTATGCTCATGACGAGATATGCACACACCAGGAGCGGTATGTCGTCCCGAGGAAGCGAATTGAAGTTCGACATTGCGGCTAGTTCCGCAATCCCTGCTTCTAGACGACTTAGGTCGAACACGGGATACAATGGGTAGATGCGTGAACGGTATACCGACATGTACTTTGCCCGCTTCTCGGTGTCGGGGAGCTCGGGGAGTAACAAGGCAAGCACGAGGTCGAGCTCTTCGGCGTGCCTCATCCCGTGCCGAAAGAACTCGGAGACAGGCTGCATTCGAGCAGCCTTGAAGTATACATCGAGGGATTTGGCAAGGCACTGGGAGCTACTTCCCCCGAGAATCTTTGTTCGCTTTGTTCCATCTTCGGTATTTACTGAGGTGTCGAACGGCTGGCGGACTGGTGAGACTTCGCTATCTGCGCCAGTATCACCGTCGACTTCAGATGAGTCCGGCTCTTGTAGTGAATTCTTTTGGGTGTGGGCATTTTGCAAGTACTCGTTGTTCTGGATGCCTGCATCGACAGTTGTGATCTGTAGCTGCTTCTCAGGGACGTCTAGCCACTCGCGCAGTCCCGGACATCCAGGTCGTTGAGGATCAGTCGTGACACAAGCCTGGTTTCGGACTCGACAGTTCCGGCATTTTGGGTATTCTGCGTCACATTTGACCTTGCGCTGGCGGCAAATGTTACATGCCATTGACAGGCGCGGACGCTTCGAGGGACGATCCATTCGGATGGTGCGAGAGAAATTCAATGCTATGCTCGGTCAACTGCGGAGCAGAACTGGATCAGGCCACCTTCATCGGCGAGAGCCAACATATCCCATCTGCCCATCGGAGCGTTGTGGCCACCCCCACGGGGAAATTCAATGCTAAAATGCGGGGTCGGAAAGTGGGGGACATTTCGAGCGACGACATGACAAGCGAGATGTCAGCTTCCTGCGCGGCAGTCGAGACCTGCGACTCACGTTCAAAACAAGGTCACTGTGACTGGCCTGGTAATTCTCTGAAGACCCCCACGCGCCTATCTCCATATGGAGGAGTAGGTGTCCCTCGGGTCCAATCGGGGCTGCGACATTTGAGATCACGCGGCCGAAGGCCAAGCGGTTGGGGTAATTGCAGTCGCCGAAGAAGAAAATGTGCTCCAATGGAAGTCCAAGATTTGTCCATGACTCCATTCCATTCCAGCTCTCGGAGGTCTTATGCAGACTTTACCGGCAGTCGCAATCGCCCCAGGGCCGCAAAGGATTTCTGTGTCCCATCCATATGTGAGGTTGCTGCGCGATGTTTCATTCAACATTTGTCCCCGAAAGCCCAAAGACAAGATATACGCGCGACCGGGGCAGGCAAAGGTCTATCATATAGGCGTGATGCTGACCAAAGTTCTGATCTCAGCTTCGTTGACTGCGGGCGTGTGCGCGCCATTCATCGCTCCGTACGTCATGTCAAGGTCTAGATCGTGGAGTGAGAATGACCGGAGAAACCCCGAATGTGAAAGGTGTGCCTAAACACAAAGTTACCACTGCTCTAAACACGAGAACTCATTGTCGACAGGTTTCGAAGATATCCGGCAATAGGCCCCTTTTTCCACCTCTATTGATCTGGCACATTTGAATTTCTGTCCCCTTTGCTGCTAGACCCATATGGCGTGAACACGCGGCCGCGGGTTATTTTCCCGGATGACAAGAACTTCAAAGTCCAGCTCAGTCTTAAGTCGGCCAGCCCTCAGGTTGCTCTTTGCGTTTATCCTTCTTTGGCCAGAAAACGAACTACACCACCGAGGGAAGGCACCAAGATGGACTGGTTCTTTTCACTTGTGCGAAACTAAGCGACGCGAAGAAAGTGGCCGTTGGGTTATTTACTTCTGCTCAACATGTTCGGTCATATCATGTACTTATTATTCGATCTTTTGTCCAATGTACAAGTACTGCGCAACTACATTTGCCATACACCTCGATCTGCATGCTCTGGCCGGGATCCATCGCTGCTATGCCATGAAGGCCAACCTCCTAGTTCCACTCCGGTTCCGCCTAGTCGGCGAGAGAAGCATCTACGGATCAAAGCATTCGCAGGGACTAGGTAAGCCAAATAGTGGAAGATGCGTTTGGTGCATTCTGGCCTGCAGCTAATCGGGAAATCGGGTCTCTTCGAGTCACATTTGCATTCTATATTCCATGGGCTTGTCCTAAGCAACTATATGAACGGCAAAATAACAGTACTGGGATATTCCCCACCGCAGTGAATAAAGTGTTTGCCACGGTTCAGCTCGTGTTCTGGGCGAGGCTTTGACCAAGTCTTGTACTCGGCGATGCTCGGATATTGACCGGATACCTGCTCCATGTTAGCTCCTGTTCCACGGAAATACGCAAGGAATCGTCTTACCCGGACGCTAATTGTCTCCCCTGCATCAAAATCGACCCCCATCGCCCAGATGCCGATTTCGAGCTTCACAATCTCACCCGGACGAACCTTCTCCTGGGACTTGTGAGGATGGAAGGGGAACTGCGAATGGATGCTCTTCTCCGGATCGATTGCGCGATGTGATGCTCTCAAGATACCAGTGGAGCCCAGATGGAGGTTCAAACTCGCTTGCTCTTTCTGTGGGATCTCGTCGATGGATTTAACCGGTGTCGCATGGAATGGGAAGTTTAGGTGCATCAATGGCTTGCCGTTCTTATCCTTCTTGCGAATGATAACAAACGCTGTGAAGTCGTCGCGGTCGTCACAGGACATGTAGAGCACAGCCTTTGGCAGGCCGATCAGTCGAGCTGGCTTGTCGAAGGTGTATGAGAATTCAGCGAAGCTGGACGCTGCCTCGGAGTCATACGAGATCTTCTCATATGTTGAGACAGGACCTGTGTTCAGCTTCCCAGATGACAGGAAGAACTCCCGGTATTGCGTGTTTGGAACCGGGAAGTCCTCGAGGACGATATCATCAATCGCCTCACGATCGCCGAACTGTAGCGCAGACCAGCGCACCTTGGGTGTGCTCTCCCAGTTGTTTTCGACCCCTCTGAGGTACCGATCGAAGAACAGGAACAGCTCGTCCAGCGACTCGGGACAGCTATACAGCTCGTACCACTCCTGCTTGCTACCCCATTGAATCCATTTCTTGTCATGAGGCACCTCGAGCCAGCCACGGACCGACCCCATTGTATGGATCGAACTGACATCACTGCCTCTGATAAAAACTGGACACTTTACCTTGGTCAAGTCCGCTCGCTTATCCTCCCAGAATGGGCTCGAGACCGGTGACCGACGATACATCTCTTCCATATCCTCAATTCCAGAGCTCGCGGGCCCGCGCACGATCTCGTTAGTAATTAAGTCGAAGTTTGACATGGAGAACCAGCCACCACGACAAAACTGCTCGCGGTAGATGTCACCCGATCCCTCCCATGGTGCAATGGCCTTTAATGACGGTGGTTGCTGCGAAGCAACGAACCACTGAGAGATTGCCAGTGCCGAGTTTCCAGCCATCCCAATGCATCCATTGCACCAGTCCATGGAGGCGATGGCCTCGACAACATCGTACCCGTCCTCCGCATCCTGTTGCCCCATAACACCAATCAGGCCGTCACTGTTTCCCGCTCCGCGTGTGTCCACGCTGATGATTGCATAACCTTTGGGACACCACGTCGCGGGATCAAGCCCTTCGAACTTCTCTAGCCCGCTCAGGTCTGAGCGCGGCACGCAGCAGTTCCACACGCACATGGGAAGCATATCCAGTGCGGAATACTTCTTCCCATAGAACGACCAGCTTAGGATGGCGGGAACTTTCTCGTTCGTCTCCGCAGGCCTGTATACATCAGCGTACAGTCTAGAGCCGTCGCGTACAACAATCTCGACATCGTGGTCGATCCGAATGGAGCTTGTCAAAGGCTTTGCGTTGAATCCGTTCCAACCTGCAGGCAAGACTTCTGTTTTGCCGGGTTGGAAGCCGGCGTAGCCGTTCTCGCCCTCTTTGGGGGCTTTGATGCGTTTGTAGGCGGCTTGGACGGGGGGCGGCATGGTGAGTGAACGAATGATCTTGGCTAAGTTGATGCTGATATCATATCACAGTTCCTCCATCTTTTTATCATCTTTTTATAGAATCTGCGGCGCTTCCATCCTCGGATGTCCTCCGGTTCACCCTGATCGTGGACGGTATACTGGTGGGGGGATGGCCCGTCTCGGGGCTTTTTAGCGCCCGAATGCTCGGTCCCCAGTCTCCGGGCCTGTGGGGGCTCGGAGGGCCCCGAACAGCGACATCACCCGCCGAGGCGTGGAACAAGGGGGGTATCGACAGCAGCCAAGATCCGGAGCGTTTACTTAAGTGATTTTCGAACACCCATCAGTTCCCCCGACAGAAACCAAGACAACCAAGTCACTTCCTCCTATCAGACAAATCAGTCAAGCCAAGCTACAGCATGTCGACAACCACCCTCCAAGAGATCGTCGAGGCGACGACCGAGTCCTACACAGTCAAGGACCTCGTCGACTTCAGCGACCGCCACTATGGCGACTGGCGCGACGAGTTCCACAAGAATGGTTGCGTCGTTCTCAAGAACGTGATTAGCCCCGAGCGAGCCAAGTACTACTGTGACAAGCAGATTCAGTGGTTGAAGAATTTTAACCTTGGGTTTGACGAGAAAGATGAAAGCACTTGGACCGCGGAGCACCTTCCAGTGAGCTTCAAGGGAGGGTAAGTGTTGTTATTTGTTTGGCCGAAGCCTGGGCTAATGAAGCTAGGATGTATTTCGCATATGGCGCAACCCATGAGAAGATGGCGTGGGAAGCTCGCTCCGAACCTGCTGTAATCGAGATTTTTGAGAAACTGTGGGAAACCAAGGAGCTGCTTTGCTCTTTTGACGGGCTGAACATCTCGCTTCCCCGCCGAAAGGATCTCAATTGGAGCCCATGGCCGCACTGCGACCAGAACCCGAATCGGAAGGGGTGCGCTTTCCCACTTCGCTTCAAAGGAAAGGATGGCGGCTAACTGTAGTAGGATGCAAGCCGTCCAAGGCCTATTGAACTTTGCCCCGAATGGTCCCCGCGACGGCGGCCTCATGCTCATGAAGGGCTCCGCCAAACTCTTTGACGAGTTCTTCGCTTCGAAGCGTGACGCGTACGACCATGAGGATGCCCCACCACCCGAGCTCAAGTACATGGACCTCTTCCTCTTTCACGAAAAGGACCTCAAGTGGTTCGAAGAGCGTGGGTGTGAGATGATCAAGGTAAACATGGAGCCTGGCGACTTTGTCCTCTGGGATTCTCGCACTATGCACTATGCTTGCTTGCCCGAGGGCGACCAGATTCGCCATGTGCAGTATATCTGCATGACCCCGAGACGATTTGCCACCGAGAAGGCGTTGGAGCTGAAGAAGTATTGTTTTGAGAATTACATGGGGACGACACACTGGCCGCATTGGTATGTTTCCTTACGTCTTTCGGCGACTAGATTTAGTACTAACTCTATTACTAGCAACATTCGCCCTGCGGCGGAGAAGCCCATGCGAAATGGCGAGGTGTGTCCGGTGTATCGGACAGAGCCATTCGAGAAGCCCGAATTGACGGAGACGGTGTTGAAACTGGCTGGTGTCAAGCCCTACTAGACAGATACGAGGCAGAACTAGATAGCCAATGCAATCCTGTTATGATTACATCTCACGTTCTATTTTGCTCCGCACTTAGACCAGTAGAGGGTTGCTTACCGAATGTGGTCGAGGTAGGCTGGGTGGAAACTAGAGCAGACAGGGGGAGAGCGCCGAGCATCATCTCCCCAGCTTACCCCGCAAACCTCGCCCCGAACTTTGTCCCCATGTTGGAGTTGAGCTTATTCCTCCGGGAAATCGAGATTCGCATCTACCCCGAAATGTGGCTTGAAAGAGCGCCCTCGGAGCCTGACCCTCGGCGACCCCCCGAAACCAAAGCTCCGCCGAGACTTGGCCAACCTTCTGGTCTCGGGGATGCGGAGGTCTCCTTTCTCCTGCGCTCCAGCCGCGTCAACCCTCGACACAGCCCTCCGCGTATTCGGCATGGTGGACGAAACCTAGGGTCAGTTCAGCGTTCACCTCCAGGTTTTGAAATCTTGGTCCTATCATTGGCGTCTCTGGGCATCACGATATATACCGCGTTCATCCCTGCCACAACAAACGTCGCCACAACACCGCAGCCTCCGCCCAACCAATAACCCACAGCGGAACAGAGCAAGGAACAACAGTCGCAATGACAGACACAAAGAACGACATCACGCATGTCGAAGACCTCGAAGAAGCCGGCATCGCTCCACCAAAGGACAAGGTGATGGGAACCGTCAAGCTGACAGATGGTTTGATCGTGTATATTCCGACGCCTACCGCGGATCCGCAGGATCCATTGAACATGCCGCTATGGCAGAAGTGGATTGTCCTCGTCGTCATTTCCATCTGTCAGTCGGCCTGGATAGTTTACGCTGTGGTCCCGCTGACAAGTCGCAGTTTCCACGCTCGGTCTCGCGCTCGTGAGCGGCTTTGGTGGACTGTTAGGCTTCTATATACCTGGGTATGAGGCTGTTGGCAAGGGGTATGCGGATATTACGCATTTGATGACATATCCGACTCTCTTCATGTGCGTCTTGCGTCCTATAACTACGGAAGAAGCATCAGCTAATGGTCTCAGGGGTATCGGAAACCTCATCGGCATGCCCCTAGCCATTGGGGTCGGCCGTCGAATTGTTCTTCTAGGTTCAACCGTCGTTCTCGTCATCGGTGCAGTTGTCTGCGCGCTGGAACAGAACTATGAATGGCATCTCTGGGCGCGCTGCGTTGTCGGACTTGCAGCCGGGCAAAGCGAGGCGTTAGTTCCTATGATCACACAGGTATGTACCCCAATCTACTTCACGTCTTTCCCTGTCTGCCAAAGAAGCGGCCCAACTAAGGTGGCCTGATAGGAAATCTTCTTCCTCCACGAACGCAGCAAAGGCCTGATGGGCCAACAAGCCATCCAAGTGAGTCTAACCGCCGTCTGGGTCCTCTTCGCCGGCCCAATCGCGGACAGCATCACGCCGCAATGGTGGTACGGCCTCGGCGCTGCGCTTGCCGGCGCCCAGCTGGTTCTCGCCTTCTTCTTCGTCCCCGAGACGAAATACCAGAGACCCATTGCCTCGTTCCAGGAGGGCGAGTCGGGGGATGAGACGGACGCCTCGTCGCAGATGAAGCGGGATGCTGGGGTGGCTATGTGCACTGAGCGTCCACCACTGGATTTCGAACGGTACGCGCCTCGCACGTGGAAATCAGATATGCGTCTCTGGGTTGGGGAGCCGGATTGGTGGAAGGTTTGGGAGGTTCTACGGGTACTACTCCTCCCCTTCTTCCCTTGTAACATCGAACCTGTAATCTCAATGCTAACCACCTTCGATGTAAACAGCAAACCTTTGAGCTCCTCCTCTTCCCCAACGTCTTCTGGGCCCTGTGCCTAAACGGCCTCACCATCGGCGTCAACATCGCAATCGGAACAACTTACGCCAACATCCTGCACGCACCGCCCTACAACTGGCCCAACAAGTCCGCCTCGTACGTCAACTGCGGCCAGATCGTCGTCGCACTCCTTGCTCTCCCTCTACTCGGCCACGGATCCGACTACCTCGCCAAGTACTTTGCGAAGCGGAACAATGGCGTTCACGAGCCCGAGACGCGGATTATCAGTCTGATCTTCCCGATTATCGTGGGGACGTTCACGGCGGCGCTGTATGGTGCGGGAGGCGCGAATCCTGACAAGTATCACTGGTTTGTTTTTGCTTGGGCCGTGGCCGCGTATTATTTTTGCTTTGTAGGTGCGAATATTGTGGCGATTACATACCTCTTGGATTCGTATCCCGCGCGCGCTGGGCCGTTGCTTGTGATTATTTGTGCGTTCCGTGGCATCATCTCGTTTGGGACGAGTTATGGGACGGCGCCGTTTGTCGAGAGTCATGGATATGATGGGGCATTTGGGACGTTTGCGGGGCTCACGGCTGCGATGTGGCTCTGTGGAATACCCATTTACGTTTTCGGAAAGCGGATTCGAGGGGTTACGGGGAGATTTGCGAAGGACAAGGTTGTCTGAGGGACTCGGGCTTATGCAAGTGGCTGGATACTTAGGCTTGATGGATGATATATAACGAAATGTGCGTCGGGACGGAGGGATGGAGGGACGGAGGGATGGAGGGACGGAGGGGTAGGCTCAAGAGTCTGCAATGAGATTACTCTGGAGCAGAATTGATTCCTAAGCTAATTCCTAATTCTCTATGTGGGCCACTGCCTCGCGAGTTATTTTATAGTCTCCCTAATTTCCATTACCACTGTCGTAAGAGACTAAAATACAGGGCAACGATGGGTTGTAGTCGGCTCTCAGCTGACCTACGGTATATTACTCGTCCACCTTTCCCGATAAGGGGACAATCAAACCCTCCGTTTCTAGGTATTTTGGCAGGTGATCCAGGCCAGGTTTCACTGCCCTCGCAGAAGCAGCCTTATCCCAATCCCCATAGATCCGTGGAGTGCTGTTCATCGGTACCTCCGGGTTCTGATCTAACAACAGCTTCAACGTTTCCTTTCCACTGGCAACTGCAACAAGTATGAGTGTCTCGCGCCGAGCCTCCGACGATGTTGAGCATTGACTTCACGATATCCAAATATTCTAACTCAACAGCCAGAGCTATGGGAGTTTGGCGTTCCCTATTTCTGGTCCGTAAAAAATCCGTGCCCCTCGTCGCTAGTAGGAAGTCAACCATGCTCTGCTTGCCTGAGAGTAAGGCAAGGTGCATGAGTGTGTTGCCGTCACCATCCACTGGGTCTCTATCCACATCGTCCCGTGCTAGAAGCATCTGCATCATTTTTACCTGTCCCTTCAAAGCAGTTGCTGCAAGAGGAGTGCGGTCAGCACCATCACGAATATTGACATCGACTCCAGCATGGGCGCGTATCGCTTCAAATATTTCCTGCACTGGCGTGTTGATCTTGATAGAGAAACTGAGAGCGCACTCATACTGGCCGCCCGTATCCGTGCCCGAGCAAAGGTTGATGTCTAGCCTAGGATGCTCTAGAACAGCCTGGACTATCGCGGTATCCTGCGACTCAGCTGCCCGGTGTAGCACAGTGTAGGGTAACTATCATGGTATGTTCGTTTATAATTAATAGGGAAGTCCACAAGCACTAGTAAAGGACTGGCCACTTCATGCTTTCCAGAATCAATTGCAGTGTGTACAGCTGTTTCAGAGTAGACGATTTGGTACTCTTCCAGCATTTTACGATTGCTGTCGATCATGGTTCTGACGGTTGTTGTCTCTCCCGCACTTAGTGCACGCCGAAATATTGTACACTCCTTCCCCATGACATATGGGTCGCTAAGAAGGGCTTGGACCACATCCTCTCTCCCCATGATGGCTGCTCCTGCTAACGGTGCCGAGTCCAGCGGCGCTGTGTGGCTATACTTGGAATCGGGGTCCCTCAGGATCTCCACAACGACATCACTGTAACCGCGATTAGCAGCCCAGTCGAGCGCGGCTTCAAGCTGCTGGCGTTTTTCGGGGACATCAATATAATAGGTCAGAAGTATGCGAACAACATCTGGGTTTCCTGCTGCGGCTGCCCAGATCCGTGGAGTATCGCTTTTGAGGCTCTCCAATCGAGGGTTGACACCATGGCCAACGAGGAACTGGATGAGGGAGCAATGGCCAAAGAGAGCGGCAAAATGGATCGCGTTCTCATTACTTGAATCATTCGACCGCATCACAGTATGGGGATCTGCACCGTGTTCGACGACGACTCTAGCAGCTGTTTCCTGTCCGCCAAACGAAGCTGCGATGAGTGGCGGATATAGCCACGTAGCCTCATGGTTCCGATTAACGTCCAGACCTAGGGTTATCAAGTGTTTCAAGTCTCGAATGCGTCCGAGATAAGCGGCGGCCATCAGGATAACATACATCCAGTCGTGTTCCTTTTCGTCTTTAGACTTCTGACGGTCATCAAGGCAATCCTCCTCGAGATGGGAGACGAAATGGATTAGTACGGCATAGCCCATGAGTCCGGTGTATGTCTCCAGAATTCCATTCAAGTAAATCTCTCGCACTTCATAAGTATTGTCGTAATACCTAGTGCGCGAAAAAAGCCCCTCGCACTCTTTTATCGCAAGTACAATCGGATTCAGGAAGTAGGATTGCGGCCCTCCACGTTCGACAAGCATTCTAAGAAGCTGCATTCCCATTGCCATAGTCGAGCGGGAGATCGGTCCGTGCCAGAGGGGTAGATGGGTACAGTAATCGTCCACCACGATACTAGCATAGAAGTATTTGATCACGATGTCATTAAATACCGCTGTCAAAGCAGGTCAACTGTCAGTCACTGCATAGAGAGAGCGGATTGGGTACCTACAGCACATCAGACGTAGATTGAGGAACGCTGCCATGTCATTTCGTTTAATCTTGAGCTCTGCCCAAGCCTTCAAAGGCCAACCCCAATCCCAGCTGGTGGGAGCAACCTGACCTAAGATCTCATGGACGATTTCAGGCGGAAGCTTATGTAACTCATGTTCACAGTTCAAGCGAGCAGCTCAAAGAGTGTATGAAGACTGTTGGTGGCGTATGTGTAGTGGGCGTTGGAAGGTTGAAGGGGATGAATAGGGAAGGGACGACATGAATATGTTACTCGGTCTGCGTCACTTGGCCTCTTCCACGGCGGCGACGGCTTGCAACTCCTCATATTTCTACCAAGTATCTACCATGTCTAAGCGGTTTTATTATGATTTCTTTCAAGCGGATCATTCAGGTCCAGCGTCTCGGCCGCGTGCCTCAGTTCGCGCTTCCTCCAGACAAGCATCTCAACCGAGTTCCTCAAATCCCACCTCCCTCATACAAGCACCCCAAACAGGGCTTTTAGGCCCGGCCTTCTCCAGAGAAGTCCCTCAGTCGAGGTCTCCAATTCCTGCTTCCTCCAGACAAACACCTAGGACAGGCTCTTCAGGCCCGGCCTTCGAAAGACAGCCCTTTCAGTTCAGTACTACAAGTCCAACTTCCATTCCACCAGCTTCTCAACCGAGTTTTTCCACCCCAGCTTCCAAAGCACAAGCCTCTCGCACTAGCCCTTTAAATCCAACCTCCTCCGGACAACCTGAGGTCTTTGATATGAGCTTTTCGAACCCCACTGGCTTCGAACAGGCCTCTCAGGAGCGTTACACAGACCCAGCTCCCCAAGCAAGCTCAGCGTATCCAGAATTTATTACATCAGCCTATCACACTACTGTACCGCCCTTTGAACCAAGTTCTGCAAATCCCGCTCTTGCTACATCAGCCTATTACACTACTGCATCCGATTCCCAAAGGGAGTTTTCGACCACAGCATCCACCGCACAATTCCCACAGCAAGTTATCGACACCGTTAGATATCCGGACGGCGGGGGTGTTCGACTGGAAGACATAGACCCAGCACCCGTCCCTGCTGTGTAGGTCCCCAGTTAAGCCTCAACTGCCTTTGAAGCAACAAAGGAAGTAGCTAGCCAACAGAGCCAGTGTCATGACTATATTGGTGGACGCGCAGGGCCACGTCTCCCGTCAATATTGGATAGAATGCCCCGAGCCAGGCTGCGAAGACCCGGATACTCTCGACACGTGGCTTCAATATAGACGGCTTTGGATTTCCAAACATCAGTTCCACTTGTGCTCGGAGTGCCGCATTGTCATGACACTGCATGACCCTTGCCGTGGGTGTGTAGACAGGCCGGGAGGATTACAGGCAAGGAGATATGAGGCCGTCCGGTGGTCTTAATTGGCGTGGATACTGTCAGCTTGGACCAGGTAGTATGTATGGTGTCGTCGGCCTTTGGAGTGAGCGCGTTGAACTTATTATGTTCCTTGTACGGACTATTGGAGTAGTAAACGTAGATGAGCTCGAGGCCAGAATGGACCTTAGCATCAAGAGTTGCAGCACATAAAGGGCATGGTGAAAATCAGAGTGCCACTGCCTAACCACGTTCCAAGTGGCTTCAATGAAGGCTGGACCCCTTCTCCGGGGGCCACACGTCGTACTCAATGGGAAATGGGGTTCCAAGACACGGAGAAACCCTAAAACGCGAGACATCACGACAATCTCTCTGTGGGTTCCTTTAATCGTCGATTTGCTAGGGAACGCAATGGGATCCAGCCCTGTGTACCTAGACGACGCAGTGATTTTCGGGATTATTCAAATGTTTGAAAGAAGCCATTGAGAGTCATGGAACTCAAGTTCAAAAAGCTGGTAGGGTATCCCTTGCGGTAGTTTAAACAGATGTTATAGTACATGGCTTAGCGATATTGATCACCGCGTGTGCATGGACACTACAGGCAGCGGTTGCTCTTCGCTCGTTGCGCCCACGGAGCTGATTGAAACGAAAAGTCAGGGCAGGATTCTTGTCCTTTCCGTAGCAGAAGGCTCAAAAGAACAGGGGAGATCAGGAGCTGAGCGCCCAGCTGGTGACAGACAATACAATGCTCGATCCGGATTCCGGCGTGAGGCTCCAGGCTCTTATCATGTTTAATATTAGCTGGGGCCCGTAGTGATCAATGCTCCTGGATATGGCCCTAAGCCAGCCACGAGGCTCGCGTGTTGGTTATCACATCTTTGGGTAATTGGAAAGAACCCTTGTGGCCTTATAATACACTGATGACCGCCAGTCGCCACCTGGGCGAGTGTAACGGTCAAGTATCCGTTGGAGGATCTTGAAGATTTTTGCATTTGGGTTCGATGTTTTCCTGGTCAAGTCGTGTTTTTGCATATTGTCAAGCCGAGATTCCACCGGAGTAGTCTAAATATTTGGAGAATAAATTGTAAAGAACGCACGCGGAAGCAGAAGGTAAGATGGTAAAACTATCCAGGATTTGGAAGCATTGACTGGGTGAAGGGCTAAGCTGAGACCAGGGAAGAGCATTGTAAAAGAGATAAGATTACGTGCTCTTTGTATCCCCAAGTCTCCACTTTAGTTAGCCTGGAGAGCCCTGAGAGCTTTATGTTTCCTGGTGTTGCCATGATAGTCTTTGTTATTCCTTCTCTAAATTATTCTCTTAATTTTAAGTCCGCTTTAGGCTACTTATAATAACTCCCTTACTATTGACAGCCAGGGAAGTGGGGTCCAATGCATGATCCTGCTGTTAGAATGTCTCCGCGGGTTTCCTCATATTCTCTCTATCTAATAGTCTTGAAAGCCTCAGAGCCTTAGTCGACCTAATGACTCCGACTTTGATTTCCACACCTCAATAACCCCAATCCGCTGTTCTTCCCGCTTTGCGCCTTTTGGTCATGTCGCTGCTGCCTTGATTGCTCTGACCGCTCGAACCTTGTTCTTGCTACGCTGCATCACACAGTTACTTTTAAATTTTTGTTCCTCTTTATCTATTAACACTTCTTTTCACCACGGTGACTGCCTCTTCCCTTCATATTACTAGAGCTGCCTATCAAGCAGCAACTTGCCTCCATGAAATAATATTCATAATAAGCAGTCTACAGGGTCTCTATCGCCCACGTGGTATTCTTAGTCTTCTGCCTAAGATTCTGCACTATATTTTTAGCTATTTTAAGTACTCTTATAGTTTCTATCTAGCAACTATAGACTAGAGTACCTAGAAAGAAGAACTTATACCAAATAAAAGGGATTAGGAAGAAAGAGATTATTACTTTTGATTAGCTTTATATAAGTATCTACTAACTGTTTTTTTGCTTCCTGTATGGTTTTCTTAGTCTGTTCAAGATCCTGCACCACATTTTTTTGGCTATTTTAAGTACCCTTATGGTTTCTATCCGGCGATATATGCATGGGAGGCAAGGTAAAATCCAAAGACCAAGGGCGGAAATTAGAAGGGGCCTGCAGAAGTGCCCAAGTTCAAGAAAGGCAGTCTACTCACCCGTCGCGTACTCCGGTCAAATTCAATATCTCCAGGGTCACCGCTTGCCTCAGCGTCAGTCATATTACCGTCGTCAGAGCGGTATAAATTGTCAGTTCCGGGTCCGACTTTTCATAATCACCGTTGAATCAGTGGATTTTGTGGGGTGTTTCATGGTCTTCTTCGCTATTTCAGTTTTGACCGACTCCTCAGACCTTGAACGGCGACCTGCCAACGAAAGGAATAGGTGGACGCAGATGACAGTATACCCCCTATGACGGGTTAACTCAAAATCATCTAAGGTCATTGCGGCTTACCACTCGTATCTCCATCACCAGTTATGAGCGCAGTGGACCCAGCGATCCTGATTGTCCAGGCGGCTCTTTCTCAGTCGAAGAACCATCGCCTTTGCTTCAGTTTTGTGTTATCTCAGCGCCGTCTTCCGATGACGTGAATGTTCAGCAACGGCTGTCGTACCTCAAGTACCACTTTCTAGCACCGAGTCTGGATTAACAAAGATCATGTCAAGAGTGACAAGGGTTTCTGGGGTAAGTCCATAATGTCATTAATCGCACAATGCAAACCCTGTTTCATGGTGTACCAGCGAGTCAAAGCAACGCAGGCTCTCCTAATTCTAAGGCGAAGGGTGTGGCTGGATCACGTTCTAAGGCTGACTAGGGAGCGATATTTCAAGGCAATCTTTGTCTCCAGACATCGGCTAATCGTGGATTGCACTGGTGTTTTATTGACAATTTCGGCTTTCTGTTCGACAGAAGATTGTGGGTGTATAGTGTAGAGCGCAACAGAAATTGAGATAAGAGTGGTGTTTACGTTGGGCCATCCGGCAACCAGAAAAGTATTTCGGTGCTTGCTCGGCGACGCGGAGTTGCATAATGTGATTGGATTATAGCAAGGTATTCTGCAGACGGCGCTTCTCCTTTGATTGCTTGTAGATCATGCGGACTTGATGGCTTCTGTGTTCTCCTTTCACCCCGGCGTTGCTTTTCAGGTGTTAGCAAACCACGCTGCGGGATGGCTGTGGAGGTCCCATCTCTCTAAACTCACTGCAGCGCAAAGATTCGCGCCAATGCGCCTCGTCGAGCCGAGATCTGAAAATCGGCTGTGGTGTTGTTCTTCCGCGGTCGACGAATGGGCGCAACCCGGTGCGTTGCGATTGTTCCAGCCAACTCGGCAGCTTGTGGGAAATGGGCCGATGGTCTGAGGTATTCTGGATGTCCGAAGAGATTTCCCTGTCGGAATTCGTCAGGGATTGCTGGGTAGGGCTGACAGACGATGGCTGGAAAGGTTTGCGATCGAGGAGGAGGGCGACGCGATGGCAGTAGGGACGAAGGATGACGACGAGAAGGAAATTGAGAGGACGACAAGTAAACAGACGTAAGGATTGCAATGCAGACTGGATAAAACAAGGGAAAAAAAAGCCAAGCGATGGTAATAGGAAGGAAGGCTCTTGATGTGTTCTGGGACCAGAGCAACACGCGCGTGTTGGTCCCCCTGTAGCTTCCTCGATGCTTTCCAGGCAGAAGAGATGAAAGGCGGTCACGAGCGGAATGGGGAGAAATATAGGAACGGTAATAGCAAGAGAAACAATGAGATGGAAATAAATTGGAATGATCAAGTTGCAAGTGGTGGATAACAGCTTCGGTGAAAAGTTTGTCGAATAATGGTTGCTGGGTAAAGGATAAGGTCGAAGAATAGGAACAATAGATTGAAAAATGAGATAAGAAATAGGGCAGTCGAAAAGAAAGAAACAAAGTAACAATGGGGAAAGGAAATAAATGAGAGCTTTTGCCCGAAGCATCTTGCCAGGCTGGTAACATAAATTTGGGCAGTCTCTTAGACACTATCCTTGCCAATGCAAAGTCTCTTGGTTTGGACGCCTCACACAGCCTCATCAATGCGCTGTCTTGCCATTATAAAAACGGCACCTTGTCTCTTGGACACCTCTGGATATCAGCTGAGGCATTCTGCCCTGAGGACATACTGCTTCCGTACATCCAGTCCCCTGCCTGGAATCTCCGCACTAGTACTTGCATGACCGGCCTGTGGATAGGCATTAGCCCTGTTCACCTGCCTTTATTCGGAAAACCGAATTGAAACGATGCGTATATTCAATATGAATCACGCTTTGGGATTGCTAGACGTCAAGCCTACACAGATAAGATTAAGACGTATATAGATACCAGACAAAAAGTGTGAAGGCACAGCTCTACGCCACGCCTTGGCTACATCGAATTGCCCGCTCAGCCGAATCCAGATGCCAGCGGCATATGTTCAGCATCGAATCCAACTTACCTACCTGCTCGAGGGGCAAGTTGCTGTTGAAATGTACCAAGTCAGAAATAAATCCGAATGCATCTTGCAAGGCAGCCAGATCCGTTCTTGAAGTTAGATCCCAGGGCTCGTCTAGTATATGCATTGTCAGAGTGACAAAGGAGGCGAAAACAGCCATTAACACACTCCTGTAATTTGTCAGTTGGAACGCAGTTGAAGCTCATAACAGGTACAGTAAGGCATACCGAACAGCGACTGGTGCGTAGATGGGACAATAGCGAGTGAGGCTCAGGGCCTTGCGAGCTGAGCGAGTGCAAGCTGCGAGGGGCCCAGCCTGGAGTTGTGGAGTATCTGCATGGGCGAGATAGTCTGCTCTGTGCAGGGTAATGACAGTGTGATGATAGGTGAGGAGAAGGAGGACAATATAGAGTCGAGAGAACGAAGACTCCTCCATAATGTCGAGCGAGGCCTCGCACTCTGGGTGGACAGATATTCGCCACGCTCGTAGCTGCGACGAGAGATCTTCTATTAATGACGGCTTATAATGTGCATTGCTAGAGTAGAGCATGGTAAAGATGCGTCCTCGAATAACGGCGAGCTGGCATACGTGTTGGCCGAAGGGGAGCCTGAATCCATTGGGGAGGATTATTGTGCCCGACTGGTCGTTGACGGACCGTGGCATGTCAACATCGAAGTTGCTGTCGTCTTCGCAGGGGGCGAGGCCTTGAATGAAGGATGTCCTGGTTGTGTCAGAGTCGTTTACTGTAAGAGGGAAAAAAAAAGAAAAGAAAAACTGGCATACATCTTATCAAGAACGTAGGCGACCCAAAAGACACGCGCTCTTCTCTCTTGAACGACTCCTCCAACGCGAAATGAATGGGCCTGCTCCGCTCGAATGGTCCTGGCTTTGCGGATTGCGACACCAAGCAGACCATACGTTAATGGGTATTCGAGACTGCAACTCATAAGAAGTACCTAAAATGCTTAGATAGTCACTTAAGCTGGCAAGGGTGTCTTTACACAAACCATGCCTAGTAAAGCTTCCACATCGCCTAATGTTGGAGACTTGAAGATCAATCTCGGTATAGTGTCTATAGCATTTTTGAGATATCGTTCGCACTTAATCTTGTTTTCTGTCGTGTCCGGATACCGTAGGATCTGAGACTTGTAGCCCATGGCGAGCACGATATTAAGAGATGCCCAAGCTGGTATGTCATCACGTATAGATGGATCTATATATGTTCGCTCAGTGAGCCACTGGTCGATGTATTCGCGAAACAAAGGGAATGCCAAGTGGACCGAGTCAGAGAACACGACAATCATCCGCAAGAGCTCGCCTTCGTCCGGTAGAGGAGCGAATTCCTGTGGAAGACTCGTCGTCGCGAAGAAGTCTGTTTCGCAGCGACCTGTGTCGACTTTTGCAAGTTGTGAAATGGCAAACTCAACATTGTGTCGAAAGTCATCCGCAAAATTAGCGAGCAGGCGAGGATCATTGAGCAGGTCGCTCGATCGCGCTTTTTGGGTTAGTACAAGGGTGTAGAGAAGGAGGGAACGATCGCGTCATACTGTTTCCATATATCCAGTCGTACAATACAACCTTGGACCGCTGCCTGCTGGAGATGAAGGTTGAGGCATCTGAATCAGATGTCCTTGGAAAGACATGCGATGGACGTGTCCCCATCTGCCTAATGGTCTGAGGTGTGATGATGCAGGCGATTCCTCGCGCTTCGCAGGCGATGCAAGATGGAGACCCGTCGGTCTTTTCGCATCTGCTCTTGCTCCGTCTGCAGTGGTCACATGCCTAGAACAAGTCAGCAGAGACATCGGACGACACTCTGATCAACGACCTTTCGCATTCGAACTCGAGACCATTTGCGTCCGCTAGTGTTTAGGGACGAGTCCATTGAGATACACTGCACAATGCCTTGAGATGAATTCCGGCGGCGCGGATAGAATGAGAGAAGAATCGATCACCGATACCCGACGGAGCTTGTGTTATGCGCTGCCCATCCCATAAGTGGAAAATCGCATTAGGGGGTATAATCCCACGCCAGGCCGCCACAGTGGGTCAGATATCAGCTAACAGGGTGAGCTGATATTAATCTTATTGGTGGTCTTACAACACTCGGGTCCACTGTGTCGGCAGTTATGGAGACAAGCTCTGCACAAGAGCATTTATGCAGGATGGCCAGGCATCGCACAAGACATGCATAAACCGGCCAGCCAGTGGAGCAGTGGCAGATGATACTCTGGGGTAGGATTGTGCACTTGCAACCGGTGTTATCGGTTCTTGGCTCACCACTCGGCCCGGTTCAAGGGTGCATCGCACGGAGTCCCGAATGCCAACTCGGCCACGAGGCCATCCCCTAAATACTCGCAACCCGTCCTCACTCCGTTTGTTTGCCCAACTCGTCCTTATCCCACGGCGATCATCCCTCGCATAACACTTTGGCAATAGATCTTCAGATCCTCCGCACGTTCCTTGTCATCTTATTTTCCTTTATACTTCTATCACTAGTTCTTTATTTATGGAAAGTCGAAACGACGCACCCGATGGACGACTGTCAGCCATGTCTACCATAGCCGAGACCGACAACTCACGACTCGAGGAGCGTGACGTTGAAAAAGAAGCCAACCCCGAGCCTGGAAGCAACTCGACAGCAGTAAAAAAGGTCTTCCCTGAAACTGACCTCAGTCGGGGCATTGTGGGGTGGGAGGGACAAGATGACCCCAACAACCCCCAGAACTTTGCACCTGGCAAGAAATGGGGTCTGCTCGGCTTGATCAGTGCATTTACCCTGGTATCGCCACTCGCGTCAAGCATGTTTGCTCCCGCTGTATCCTACATGGCTGCGGACTTTCGCGAAACCAATCAGACCATACTGTCTTTTACCGTCAGTGTTTTCCTGCTAGGATACACGGTATGTTATGACCTAGCCCTGCAATATGAGCTGTGACGAGTTCAATTCCTGCCTTGGCTGACCAGTGTTCGATCTACAGTTCGGTCCTTGCCTCCTCGCCCCGCTCAGCGAAATCTATGGCCGCCGTGTGGTTCTAAGTTTCTCCAACTGGTTTTTCGTTGTCTGGCAGATCGGCTGTGCCCTAGCTCAAAACATCGAGACGGAAATCATATGCCGGTTCTTCGCAGGCATTGGAGGAGCGGGCTGCATTACCCTCGGAGCAGGTGTTATTGCAGACCTCTTCCCGATTGAGCAAAGAGGCAAAGCCACTGCAATCTGGGGTCTTGGTCCCCTCATGGGCCCGGTCATTGGTCCAATTGCTGGCGGGTTTATTGGTCAGGAGGCCGGCTGGCGCTGGGCCTTTTGGGTTTTACTCATTGCCGGTGGGGTCCTGAGTCTCGCCATCGAAGTCCTCAATCGGGAGACGTTCGCCCCGGTGCTTATCAGATGGAAGACAGCCAAGCTGGCAAAGGAGACTGGCCGGACAGATTTGCGCAGTGCCTACGAGCAGGGAAATGGAAAGCAGGGTGCGGAGCCAGTTCGTGTGGAAGAGGCTCTGAAGCTGGGTTTGCAGCGACCTTTCCATTTGCTGGTCAAGTCTCCAATCGTACTCCTCCTCTCCACTTACATGGTGAGATCCAACTTCGACTTATGGTTCTGATACGGACGTAGCGCTGACGGGCGGGTCGAATATAGTCATTCGTTTACGGTCTCCTATATCTTTTCTTCACCACGATTTCCTCCGTCTTCAGAACGCAGTACGGTTTCTCGACAGGACTATCCGGCCTCGCCTATCTCGGTATCGGAATGGGTTTCGCAGTCGGACTTGCCTTTATGGCCCTCACCAACGATAGAATGCTCGTTAGGGCCACCAGGCACAACGGCGGGGTATTCGAACCCGAGATGCGTCTACCTCTGATGATTATCTTTTCGAGCATTCTACCCATCTCCTTCTTCTGGTACGGATGGACAGTCGAGAAGGAAGTTCACTGGATCGTACCCATTATCGGAATGTTCCCCTTTGGCGTGGCTATGATGGGTGTATACATGCCCATCCAAACATACGTGATCGATTGCTACCCGAAGTACGCCGCGTCTGCTAACGCCACCTTGACTGCCACAAGGTCCTTGGTTGGTGCGCTGCTGCCACTTGCGGGGCCTACCATGTTCAGTGACCTTGGTCTTGGCTGGGGTAATTCGCTACTTGGGTTCCTGGCTCTGGCATTTGTGCCGGTCCCTATCCTCTTCACGCGGTACGGGAAGACCATCCGTGAGCGGTGGCCTGTGGACCTCGATGGGGGGAAGGCTTGATGGGTGAGGGTACATTCCACCACCATACAGATCTTTTCACTTTGATACAACATTATTAGACTTAGAGCTGGTATAGACGGGCTCGCCTCCAGCAGTCATTATCTCCGCTGTACGCGTTTTTGTTATTTACATATCGTATAATCTGAACAGGCATTTCTTTTCTTCGCTTTGCACAACGTATTTGGTAAACGGGCCATTCGAAGGTTCCATCAGTTGAAATCCTAGTGATAGCCATGCTATACCATTACGTTCACATCGCTGGACACTATCATAATCGCGCATTATACCGCTCATGTGGATTCGCTGCTTTCTGACGTACCAAGTATTACAGGCGCACTCACCTGCGAAACAGACTAACGAGCATAGACCTCCGATATAGTCACCACAGTCGTCTCGAAGATTTCGCTTGGTGAGTGGGGAAACATATAAAAGTACCGGTTAGAGAAATCTCCGGATGGCTAGGCCAGAGCGAAGTAACTTGGCCGATCTGACGAATGGATAAGTTAAGACCCCTGGGTGTGGTGGTCGATATCACATGCTGCGCCTCTTTTCCAAGTGCTTGGCTCTGCGCTTGAGTACCAGACAAGCCAGCGCACATGGGCAGTGGCTAGTTATTGGCAGTGATCCAGAGAACCTCGTATTCCCTTCGTGCCAAGCGGGGCGCAGGGCTGAACCTTGAAAGACCCTTGATCTTGCTTGATCATGGATAAAACACAAACAACACCCCCTCTTTTCCCCACAGCCATCCTCGTCGTCTGTGATTCTCCGTACATGCAACCCAATTCATCTCAGCTTCACTCCACTAAGCTCCACAATGTCCCCCTCCATCGCAACAACAGCTACAACCGCCCTCGTCTGGACAATCCTCACGGGCCTCGCAACCAGCGAGATAACCTACCCAGCAGCCGTCTCAATCTCCCTCCTCTTCCCCGCAAACAAAACCTATAACACCAACGCGACGCTCGGCTCCCCACCGGCAATCCTCGCAATCCACAACGCCGAGCTCGCTTACCGCCATGAATTTAACATCATTTGGCGCATTGTCAATGCCGACAGTGAGCCCTATGAGTGGCAGACGCTCCAGACCCGGACGCAGAACAAAGCGCGCGGCCTCGCAGAGTCCGATCTCACCACAAACACCTTCCAGTACCACGCCAACGGGCTCGCCATCGTACCACTGCAGGATCCCATTCGGACAGAGGCACGCGCGGGCAGCTATCGCGTCGAGTGGGACTATGCGACGACAGCGTGTATCCCCGAGGGCGAGAGCTCGGTGTATTCATCCACGCGCCAGCCGATTGCGTCCGGGGCGCACTGGTTCGAGCTTGTGGATGACGGGTCCGGGGAAGAATTTGGCATCGACGTCGAAGAGTGTCCTGGGTATGGGTCGTCGTGGACACTGGAGGATAGCACGGATTGTCCCGCTGAAGGGACGGAGGTTGGGGACCGGGACCGGGAGGCGTGTGCGTCGCGGCTGCAGAGTGGGGAGCAGGTACAGTGTATCTGGGATTATCTAAGGACTGGAGAGAACGAGACGGAGCTGTGTCTCGGGGCGTTTGATAGAGTGGATGCGGATTGGCCGATGTATTACACGCCGGGGAGCGGTGCTTCTGCAGATGATGAGGGTGACGATGATGATGATAGCGAACAAGACGGCGGAGATGAGGAGGACGACACTAGTACTGGCGACTCTACAGATGGCCCCCGAGATCTTGCGCCTTCACATCGGCCGGCTCTGGCTGGGCTGCTTGTTGCGGTGTTTGCGGCGGTGGTTATGGCCTTGTGAAATCTTGGATACCCGGTTTGGTTTGGCTTGCTCGCTTTTCGTCGTTTCATTGTGATAACCCCGGCAATTGCCATATCCGATTCTTGGTTTCACCATTATACCAAAGCTTCTCAGCCCAAAATACCAAAATCACGTACTGCTGGATGGATCTCATGCTCAGGTTGTCTCCACTACCTCTAGCTCGAGTCTCACGCTTAAAGTCAAGTATTGGTTCATTGAATTGAACTCAAAACGCAAGAAGCCACAAGAAGGGCTTTGTTGGGAATAGGTTGCCCAAATTAGGTTAATTTGAAAAGCCGAGAGTGCAGGTCGAGCATCCTCTCACCAGGTTACTCTAATTTCCGTCACTCGAAAGCTGAAGAATCGTGTCTTCAATATCTCTTCATGAATACGCACCGGGATGAGGTGCATCAGGTAGTCATAGTAAACCCGTTTCCTGAATGGCGAACCCTCCTTGCACTCCACATGTGCTAGGTAGTGTCCGCACTTCACTCGACAGCCCCCTATGAATTACCGTCTGGGGACAAGGCACATCTGGCGACCAGGAGCGGGCTAAGAGCTGATTCGAGGAAAAAAATATGATTCTGACATGCTCAAACCGAGCTTGCTTGGCAGTGCCATCCTGCAGTGCGAGGCGTACTCCGGGCGTACACCGTGTCGATCCGCTTACGCCTTACGGGGGACCCAACTGGGGCGCCTGATCACGCCTGTGGCTTGCGCCCGCGCTAGCCGGATCCCGCCTAGATTCGCTCTCGTCATATAGATCGGGGTTAGTGGTTTTGGCGGGGTTGGTTGCGATCGGCTCTATAAATCATCTTCTGTTGCTCCTTTCATGGAACACTTCCAAATCAATTGCCCACTTTCTCCTCTTTCCTCTTTCTTTCCCCCTTTACCGCTACAGTAGCATTCGACCATATCAGGAAATCAAAATGCTGGAGAAAACATTCCGCTCCTACACAGCCGAACAAGGCAAAACCTACGTCCAGAACCGGCTCGACTACCACCCCAACCTTTACAACACGGTCTTGAGCCACCACACCTCGACCGGTGGGAAGCTGGACCTGGTCCTCGACGTTGGCTGCGGCCCTGGCCTAGCAATTGCCAACCTCGCGCCGCACTTCACCACAGCCATCGGTCTCGACCCGTCCGAAGGAATGATCGCGACTGCGCGCTCCCGCGTCGCCAATTTGCCCACCTCCGCTTCGGGAACGCCCATCCGCTTCGAGGTCTCAACGGCCGAAGAACTAGGTCGGGACCTTGACCCCGCCGTCGCAGACGCCAGCGTCGACCTCATCGTCGTCGCGACCGCCGCACACTGGTTCGACATGCCGGCCTTCTGGACGAGTGCGGCCCGCGTCCTCAAGCCCAGTGGCACCGTCGCCATCTGGGCGAGTGGACACATGGCCGTACATCCGGATATGCCCAACGCCCATGCAATCCAGGAGGCCATGGACCGGATTGAGACACAGTACGTGCAGCAGCATTTCACGGCGGGGAACTGGATGACACGCGACCGCTATGAAAATCTCGGTCTCCCCTGGACCATTGAGCCCAGGGTTTCCGGGTTCGACCCAGCGTCGTTTGTGAGGAAGGATTGGGGCGCTCGGGATGAGGACTTTTATGCAGTTGGGCAGCCGGAGGTGGGGCTTGATGCGTTTGAGAGGATGATTGGGACAGGGAGTCCGATCACGAGGTGGCGAGAGGCGAACCCAACCCTTGTGGGGACAGAGAGCGATGTTGTAAGGATATTTAGGAGGGAGATTGAGCGGTTGCTGAGGGAGACTGGCGTGAAGGAAGGTGAAGAGAAGGTTCGGGGGGCGACGACGGGGTTTCTCCTGATGGTGAAGCGGGACGCTTAAGTGGTGGGAGTAAGGCAATAACACACTTGCCACATGGTTGTCCAGGAAAGATTGAGAGCGTACCTAGTAGTAGTTTTCAATAGATCGTCATCATGTGTTTTTTTGATGTACGTAGATTGCATCGCATTGCATACTAGCATGCCATGGTACGTAGGGGTCCTTCCTGCTCCGGTCAGGAAGGTGCGTCTGGACTGCTGCCATGGAAACAGGACGGTTGCGCCTTCCTTGCGATGCGACTTGACACCCAGGGAAGGAGCGACCTTGACCTTCTTCTGGGCTCTTTCCCGTTCTATCATAGATAAGTACAGCTGTTGCGCTGTAGCCGGACATAGGTCGCGCCGACGAGTAATTAACTTGTTCAGGGCATTGCCTATACGTGTTAGTAATCTCAAGCATAGTCTGAATCTTGATTAGAACAGGTTATGTGCGGATGCTGAAACTGCTATGGCGACTACGACGTTATGAATAACTTGACAGTCGCAATGCGAAGTCAATGAGATGGTCAAAGACAACATCGGCGGTATCTCGGGTGATTTGTTCGGAGTACTCGGTAGAGACATCGACCGGCCGTTCGGGGCCGCCGGCTATTAGGATAAATCCAGCGAATCTTTCTTGCACACTGCAAACCGGGTGGGGTTGAGGAATGGAGTGGGACAGATAGATCGGAAGAGCTGCAAAGGGTGTGGCTCTTGGGCAACGATTGACCAAGTTTTCATAGTAGAAATATAAACGATGTGATTATTTTGAAAAGCCTGCTCCGATGCTGGCTTGGCTTCTCTATGCATGGCTCGTAATCTTCAATATTGCCATGACTATCGCTCGATATCCTCCCATGAGATCCGCGGGCAGCTCCTCGTCGAATGGCAACGCTAGCAATCGAGCCTGCTGTCCGAACGCCTCTGCACACTGCCACGTATGATTCATACCCTCAGCTACATCAAGCTCGATTTCCGCTCCATCTTTCTTCGCCTGCAGCACCATATCTTCAATATCATAGAGAAAGACATACTCTTCAGCGCCGGCAGTGATCACAGTGCGATTCGGCAGAATATCCGCCCATGACCCGCGTGCTTCACGGCCCAGTGCGAAGTTTCCGTAGACGAGATCAAGATCGGGCGTGGCGTCGCGCAGAATCCACTGGCAGTATGCATCAAGAGATCTCTTGAACAGTCGTTCCTCCCAGTGGAGGTCCAAGGCGCGTGGGTGTGATGTGTGCAGATTCATCCATGGACTTACCAGCACAGCAGCCGCCGGACGGAGGTCATCTCTATCGGCGTCAGTGTCTGGTTTTGGGCCGCGTCGCTCGTTCATGCCCACAAGAAGAGACATGATGACATGCCCGCCTGCCGAGTCACCAATCACCACGATCTTGGACGAGTCGACAGACAAGTCACGACGGAGCCAGTCGTACGCCGCTATAGCTTCATCGCGCTGTTTTGGGAACGTGGCATTGGGTGCCAGAGTATAGTCCAACGAGAATATAGCGGTAATCACGTTGTGCCGTTGGAGAACCTCGGCGAGGAACACATGTTCGGGCGCACCGACGCTTGGATGACCTGAGACATAGCCACCGCCATGAGCGTGCAGGAGTACAAGATCGGCGTCGCGAGGTTCGACAGGTTCAGCAGACAGTCCCCGACAAATCCAGTATCCATAAAACTCGGATGTCCGTACAGGCTCAAAAATGTGTGGTATGTGGCCATAACGGATTGAGGTTTTGACATTAGTGCCGCTGGTATCGGATGCCGTGTACCATTGCCAGACTGAAAGCGGGACATGATTTCCCAAGCTGCCTTCCAGAAATTGTTTAGTTTGTGTATCGCAGACTCTCGCGTTAGAATTCCTACCATGTCATTGTATGTCGGAAAATATGCTCGCGCAATGGTGGAGGCTTATATGTGTTCCACGGCCACCATCGCCGGAGCAACGTGGTGCTTACTACCCATGGCAGTCGAAAACAGAGGGTGAGCCCTGTCTGGATAATATCAGATACCGTGACAGGTGGGCTTGGATTTGGCTCGAGAATCGACTCCATTGATTTTGAGGAAGATCCTGGGGAGGCAGCGCCATGTCTGCACGAATTGGGGGGCGAAGCTTTTATAAGGCGCCTCCAAATGAATTGAGGCTAATAGCCGCTGTCGATGAATTTATCCGAATCGTCCCTTCGATATTCTACAAAAATCTGCATCAACAAGGTTTGCGATAACTACCGTGCAGTTCAGCTTCAGAGCGAAATATTGAGTCGTTGTGTTGCACATGGAGGACATTCCTCGAACCATGTGAACTTGGGGACAGCTTCCTGTCAACCTCGGTTCTCCGATTTTCTGTCGAGGATTGATCAAGAGTGGAGAGGTACAGATGGAAACGACTGAGACGCATCCGCCAATGAAGGCGCGAAGGGTTGATTCAGCCATTGTCGGCGGATCGCAAGTGATTCCGGATCAGGTTTAGGCGGAGTGGTCATCTTCTCTCAGTCGAACCATTTCCGCTACATTCCGTCGATCCCAAGGTATATAATGGGCTCGTCGGCATGCCTGACGGAGGAGTTCTTTCAGCAGTGTCAGAAACCATGGCCGCCAAATTCTTCCTTCCACTGCTTAGCTTGTTCGTCTTCTACGCCATTTTCCATTTCTTCGAAATCAATGGCGCGAACAAGCTCGTCCTCGAATCTATCAAGGCAAAAAAGCTCCCAGCAAGCGATGCGTCCTTGCGCACAGTTTACACGGGAATCGCGCCTCTCGATGAGCTACTTGCTGTCTTGACTGTCTTCTTCTGGCCGACTACGGACGGCAGCAATCTTTCTTTGCTGGTGCACTCGATCGCGTTCTCAGGTACCTTTGGCTCTGCCTGGGTTCTGGTGAGCTTGGAGGCATGGAGGAGGGGAAACGCCTGGACGACTGTCGCCTTCCCCATGGTCATTGGTCTTCTCGCGCAGGTGATGACATTCGCATTTGCGGCCCCGCTCTACTGTGCGATCCAATTATTCACGTCTGTCACTGCTGTGAAACCGAACGCAGAGAACATTCGGGTTCCTCGGGCAGTTCTGAACGCGCTCCCATTCGTGTTTGCAGTTGGTTTCATGCTCCCGACAGGGTTATTGCTTCTTCCCGTCTCCGAGCAGGTTGACACAGACCTCAAGCAGCTTATCATCGCTCTTTGGCAACCGTGGCCTGCATATGTCTCCATCCTGCTGACCACTGTCCACGTCCTGTTCTCCCCGTTCACCAGTAACGACCACACCGTCGAAGGCGGACGCGCAACTCTGCGGTCCTTCCGATGGGTTTACGCCTTTGCCTTCGCTCTCACCACCATAAGCCACATTACCTCGTGGATTATCCCTCTCGCGACTGTTGCGGCGCCGCAGTTGTTCAAAGAGGAGTATTTGGAGGCTCTCCATCCGCTCGCTGTATTCAACATTCCGAAACCGTGGGAGACACCGACTCTGGTAGAGGACGTTGGAGCTGGGGTGCACGCTTTCCTGCGCTGGGATTATATCATTGGTTCTGTGGGCATTTTGATCTGGACCGTCAGCTTATACCAGACGGCTCACCGTGTCGTATACGGTCGCGCCGGATGTGCCGGACTGTTTGTCAAGGTTGTTGCCCTGTCGATCCTGGCTGGGCCGGTTGGGGCTGCTGTCGAGTTGATGTGGGAACGTGATGAGTTAGTGATCAACGAGCTGGGTGGATTAAAAAGGACAGCACCGGTGGGCAAGAAGGTGGCGTAGGAGCTTAGGAGGAGGTGGAGGATGATTGTTTATTTTCTCCAGAAGATTGCAGTTGCAAACACTGCAAAAAATCCTTGTTGGGGAAAAGAGCACAAACAAAGCTACTGACCGCTTGCCAGTTTGGTAGATCTTCCGCTCACCCCGCAGAAAGTTCCGGGCTCAGAAGTTCAGGATAAGCTCTCGCTTTATCTTTGTAGTCTTCGCTGTAATACTAGCGTTCTATGGTCTGAGTGGAATCTATTACCTTTTTCTTGGCCAACAAAGTTGCATGACTGTGGCTTCGTCTGAACCGGCTGCCAGCACACGGACGGCTTGCGGTTCACCGGTCCTCGTCGCTCCTCGCAGTCAGCTTGGCCAGCCGTCGCCAGACCCCAGTCCAGGCCGGCGAGAATGCTCGGAGACAGCGAGCTTCAGGCGCTCAATAGCAGCTTGAAGACAGTTGCCGACGATAATCAGCGCCATCATCAAGAGCTTCATAGGCTACTCGACCAATTTCACTTTTTGTTGGAGAGCTATAACCGACTCAAAAGTGACTATGAGGAAGAAAAGGAAGGACGTGAGCGATACAAAAAGCTTGCCAGAGCCCAGGTGTGCCTGCGTTTATTACATCTACCACAGCACTGGGCTTATATGTTCTGTTCAGGAGCGAAATCCATTTATCCTCGTCCTAGTCGATGGTGATGGCTATCTGGTAAGCTCAGCGTTCCTGCGCGTGAATCCATGAGCATAACTACTAATCTTGTATAGTTCAAGGAATACTTGATCAAGGCTGGAGCCGAAGGTGGCGTTAAAGCCGCTCGGGTACTGAATGATTCTATTAGGGACCTTGCACACGAACGACTGGGAATCGAAGCAGACCAATGCCGAATCATGGTGCGCATATACTCCAATATTTTGGGCTTGTCGAAGTCTATGGCACGGTCCGGACTGGTGCGACATGAGGCGCGCTCCTTGTCAACGTTTGCTTCCAGCTTTACACGCGCACAAGACCTGTTCGACTATGTTGATGCTGGAGATAAGAAGGAGGGAGCGGATTACAAAATTAGGGGTATGGCCTGCTGTAAGCTTAGACGGCGGATGTGCATAACTCACCATTGGCAGAAATGTTCCGCTTGTTCGCAGATAACAATCAGTGCAAGCATATATTCTTTGCTGGTTGCCATGATACTGGATATCTCTCTTTGATCACACCATACCGGGGGAAGACAGATCGAATAACCCTTGTCAAAGCTGCTTCTTTCCATCCCGAATTTGAGAGGCTCGATCTGCCAGTGAGGGAGCTTCCTACTGTGTTTATGTCGACTCAGTCAGCCGGAAACCGTGCACCGTCGCCAACCATCTCAATTCCAACTGCTCCTAAACTTTGCACGTACTATCAAAAGGTAAATCATTTGTTTCTCTCATTCCCGAAAGCATTGGCTGAGTTTTGATTTTGTCCTAGGGCACATGCCGATACGGTAGCTCATGTAAGAAGATACACATATCGCCTGGCCAGCAGCTCTCGAAAACACCCGAGCATTCCACCCGGCTCTCAATCTCCTCGCAAGATAAGAACCATACCACTGCGCGCGAATCAGAATTCTACTCCAAGAACCTTCCGTATATGAATGTCAAGTCGCTGGACTTTATACCGGTGAACAAAGACGGAGAGCGTATCGACACATACGTGCCGCCGCCTTCTCCGGAAGTGTGGGAAGGATACGTTCAGCGTTCGAAAGTACGTAAGTTATGCAACAATTATCATCTTGGTGGCAGTTGTGGCAATGAAATTTGCGAGTTTGACCATAGTCCCGTGGACTCCGACTCACTTAACGTCATGAAACATATACTCCGCCAACACGTGTGCTCAAAAGGCACCAAGTGTCGCGCTTTGAACTGCTATGTTGGCCACCACTGCCAAAAAGGTGGCTGCCGGGGTAGTAAACCCTGCAGGTTTGGCTGGCGTGGTCACACACTGGATCTCACTGTATCTCAGTGGGAAACGCCCGTTGAAAGGTCGACGTCCGCAGACTCTTCAGCGAGTCCGGATTCGGTTGACGATGACTCTGGCGCCTGGACTACTACCGGCTGGGGTGATTCGAATGGATCTCCTCTTGAGCCTTCATTTAACCACACATTGAGCAATATGCGACTATGAAGAAGAAACATAAACTGGCCACCTCTGCGGAGGGCAAGCCGCGTATCGATATATCGCCGGGATACGCAAAGAATCGAGATTGAGGAATGAGAAAGACCGGTGCGCAAACCGGTGTTGGACAAAACGGGCTCTTATGGGGCCGGGAAATATTTTTAACAACCTACGTATCCTCTAATAAGTGTGTCGACGTCTATGAAGTTCTAAATTGCGTAGCAGCTTGTTCAAATTGACCTATTCCAGTGCGATTCGCAGAATCTTGGTTTCCCAGATATTGATCAACCTTGGCTTGCGATATGGTTCGCTGATCGCGCCAAGATGAAGCCATATCCAACCCCTCCTCGTATTCCTGACCGCCACAGTCAAATCTGGTTAGCCAGTCCACATTCTCGTATTCTCAGCATGCTTCCCCATTTAGTAGTGGCCCCTCCCACTCCTCTGACCCCAAAATTATTTTCTGACATCCACAGTCATGGTTGGAGTTCCGCGCAGCAAGGGCTGCCAGACGTGTCTTCAACGGCGCGTCAAGGTTGGTCCACATGTCCTTGAGATATGACGGTATAATTGTCTGATCCTAACAACCATCCTTTCGTGGTAGTGTGATCTTACCCATCCAGAATGCCTTCAGTGCTCGAGACGCCTCATGAAATGCCCCGGCTTCGAGAAGCGATGGAAGTTCTGTAACCAGACCTCTGGACTGATCGAAAATAAGCCTCGAGCTCGATCCACACGCCACGCGCGACCGACCCAGCTGCGTTCTGCCCCGGTAGCGTCATCGAATGGCACGATTGATGAGCGCGTGGAGCCCAATCTGGTGGTTCGGGCGTTTGATCTGCAGGGCAAGGAGATCTTCTGCAGCTTCCTGCTGGCTAGCTTCCCTGCCCAGTTTGCATCCTGCGGAGGAAGGGTGGACGTAAATTGGATAGATTACGCGCGCCAACCAGTCCTTGATGCACCACAAGCTCTCACCTGGGCGTTCCGCTCGATTGCGACGTTGCATATGGGACTGACGTATCATGACCCCGAAAAGATCACCAGTAGCAGACACATGTACAGCCAATCCCTGAAATATCTCTCGGATCTCGTCTCTCATCCTCGGTATCAGCGTGGTGCCGAGACTCTGGCTGCAGCTATATTGCTGAACATTTATGAAATGCGAGATGGCATCAGCCCACTCTCTTGGCTCGCTCATGCGCAGGGCTTGGCTACAATTATTCAACTTCGTGGCCCGGAAGCCCATAGGACGGGATTTGGAACGACTCTGCTCAAATCCTGTCGGTCGATCCTGGTGTCCGAGGCCTTTATCCGCGGTGGGAGATGTTTCCTGGATAAACCTGAGTGGCAGACCTTCCTACGCGAAGTAGTCGAATCAGAAACTAAAAGCTCCAGGGGCAGCAAGCTCGGCATACTTGTCGACCGTGCTTTCATCGAAGTCAGCTGCTGTCCGAGGTGGCTTATGGAAACCAGAATGCTCCTGGAAGCGCCGCTCGATACCGCCCCATCCACATCGATTCCTCCACTCGAGCTCTTGCGCAGAATGACGCAGAGTAGAGATACGCTCAGCATAATCCAACAGCAGCTAGAGATTGCCCTTTCACGCCAAGGCACGCCAGTTATTGATACATCATGGGAGGATTTCATCGGCCCAATAGCGTTCAACTTCATCGGCGCTTTTGCCCAGTCGGCTATGAATGGGATTCGATTGGCTATCGCGCTCCTAGACCACCTTGTTGGTCTAGTGCGGGCGCATTTGCTTCTCTATGAAGATAACTCTGGCGATTGTCTGTCATCCTCCTCAGCGTCAGGAAGCCCGCGGTCTTTTATCGTCAACCCCTGGTCTGATCTGGGTTCGCACAGTGCGGCTTGGCAGCTGGATTTTGATCCGGATTATGGGTTGGGCTTGTTTTATATGACGAGGGAGACGGCTGGCTGGATGGATCGCATGATGATGTCAATGGGGTTGCTTGGTGTGAGGCCGAGAGGGACTCTTCCGACCTACTAGTGCATCCTTCTCTTTTCTGTTGGTATTAGCGCGCATTTTCAGCTGGGTTCGGTAGTCAATCTCAACATTCACAAGCAGCTTCCTGTATAACTATCATGTATGTAAAATTTGTGTCCGCAAACCCTATGTTAATTAGAGAAAAGCTCGTACCCAGCTACTGTAGTAGGTCATCAACAAGACTGACTCGGCGTGTGAATGTAACTCTAATGTATGTGTCACTTTTGACTTCATCTTTAGCTTTACTTTAGTAGTGACCGCAGACGCGTTGACCCTGCATCACTCCTGCCCCCATGAGCTCTATTTAAATGACTTATCTCCCACTTTTGGTCCACCTTTCCCCATATTTTAAGCTCATTGCCGTTCTCTCTTAGCAGCCGCGATACTCGCGCTCCTCATCCCAGCAGCCTGAATATTTCCATGCAAATTACGACATCATACACAAGCCTCGGAAATGAATGATCTACATTTCCATTACTGCTGTCAGGCACTGCACCAGCCTCTGGCAAAACATCTTCATGAAATGCTTACCGGACTCTCAAAGACGAAGTCGTGGCATGGTTAATGGGAGAAACGCGAGAGTATCGCGTTCGAATAATCGACAAATCCTGGGAGATGCTCGACCATCCTGTATTTGCGCAGTTGCTTTATTCAGCGTTCTGTATGTTGAGACTACTGTTCTCTCCTGCTTGGCGTTGTTCTTTATGCGCTTGATTATTATTATCATTAGTATCATTGCGTCTTCGCCATGGACATGAAAGCCAACCTCTCCCCATACTCCACATACTCGTAGACCTCGAAGCCAACCTTCTCCAATACCCTCAAACTGCCCACATTCGCACATTTGGTGGCCGCAAAAACCCTCTCGTCTGCAAACTCCCAAGCGCGCGGTAAGCTCCACCACGCCTCAACAACAGCCCTCACAGCCTCAGTCGCGTACCCCTTCCCCCACGCATCCGGATGAAGCATGTACCCCACTGACGGAGCGGGATCGAGCGAGTTGATACTGACTGAACCGAGAATCCTCTCCTCCGGATCACCCCTGCGTCGAATCGTGAAGCAGAAATGCCGTGTCTCCACGGAACCCGCGCCGTCGGGCGTCGAGAAGACCTTTCCTCTCATCCAGGTTTTCGTAGCATTCATATCTGTATCGGGAATGAAGGGCCACCTATCGATTGTCAGTCCATAACCCAAAAGGGATATCGCAAGATAACCCCCCGCGGATGAAAGTAGGAAATGGAAAAGTAAAAGTATCCATACATCCACTCAATAACATCCTGCCTCCGCCGAATATCAAATATCGCCGCGGCATCCTCGTCGTCGTCTATACGCAGAGGGTGGAGAACAAGTCTCCCTGTGTGCAGTATTTCTAGATCTGAGGGATGTGGGACGATGACGGATGGCTTTTGGGTTGGGTAGGAGGGGGCATTGGGGGGGTATATCGTGCTCATGGTTGGTTGTGGTGGGTTGAATATAACGGAATTTAATGTAGTGGATGTGGTTCTTGTACTGTAAGTATCCTTGGAGGAGGTTCGAGGCTCATACCACCCCGTGAGTAAGGGTCCTCAGGCTGCATGAGCATACTTGGCGAGTTAAATATGCTCTATATTTGGGCAGATAATGAGTCTTTATGAGTCAATCTTTTAGCCCCCAAGCTAGTAGTCTGTAGCTATGGGTGAACGTATAGAAGTGCTTGCTACCTTGTCCCGGTTCTGCGCCCGCGTCGGGGACTCTTTCTGGATATCGGCGCGGCGCTAGTTTATCTGGATTGATTTCCCCGACCATGTGTATTCAAGCAAACCTTGACCCACGAATTAATATCTTTTGAGTACTAGTATCTTTTCGAGTAAAGACTTCTATTACTGTATCCTGTTCACAGGGACACTTCCACCAAGTCAAGGAAAGTACATAATCTCCCCTTCCTCCCCCAGATGTTGCAACATTAACTGCCGTATCGCTTCAGGAACCTCCCATAGCCGCTCCATCGGAAAACACACAGCCCAGCGCCACTTCCTCAGCTGCTCCTCCGGCTGCGTCCCCCATCCGACATCATCAGCCTCTACTCCCGGCGCAAGGCACTGAAACGACACTTCATTGTCAAACTCTCCGGGGTCCCTCGTCCGGAGTTCCAGCGTGCGCAATTTGGGCATCTGCATGGCTGCTAGAATCATGCCGCGCTGCAGGGGCTCAAAGGTCCTGGGGTCTGGATGGCGTCGCCAGGTGTTATACGGGTCGTTCCCGTTCAGACAGGCCTCGCGGTAGTCATGTATCTCATCGTGGTACTCGGAGTTGAATGAGGAGCACGAGTCTGAATCAGAGTCTGAGGCGAGTTCGTGCTGTGAGTACGTTGGCACCGCGTTGGCTTCTTCTTCGTCTTCGGTGTTCTCCGTCGCGTCGCCGGTGTAGTACCAGCGACCGTCGTAGGTGACGAGAGCGAATTCGATCTTGGCAATCTCGAGGTGCGGAAAGGTTAGATCCAGCTTGTCTGTGTCGAGATTGTCGTGGGAAAGTCCCCAGATAGCGGGTGAGATCAGACACGGTCCGACCATGTAGAGCTCGCGAAGCCTTCTTTGCGCGAGCTTGCACACGGCGCGGCAGAGATGGTCTCCGTCGGGATACACAGGATCTTCCTGGAATGCGATGCGGAAGTTGTGGTTGTACGGCGTTGCCTCGTCCATCTGGACGCGGAGTATTTCTAGGCTATGCAACATGGGACTCTCTAGTACGCGTGCGAGGTCATTTCGCATCTCGGCCCGGAGGTCTTTATTCTTTGGTTGCACGGGGAAGATTGCAACCTCGAGCTTTCGAAGATTCGACAACGAAGAGATCATCTGGCTGATAGCAGTGGGGTAGATGCGCCTTCCTGACTTTGCAATTTCCAGGGTCGTAACACGACACAGACCAGGAAGAAAGGATACTTCACCGGTATCATCCCAGAGCGTCAGACTATGCTCCGGGAATGCCCAGCGCCTGTCGCCAATACCAACCGTAATCGGTAAGTCATCCCCCTCCCGACCCCGATTCATCGGCGCCTCGGCCGCAAGGACAAGTCGAATCCCCAAAGACAAATCCTCCTCCCATGAAGCAAGCTCCGCCCATAGCTGCCTTACACCGTCTCGAAACGCAACGAGGTTTTCCTGGTGCTCGCGTCGGCGCTCAAAGCAGAACCTACGATCGTCACTGTATAGCGGCAGATCGATGGAGTAGAAGAGCGCTCGCAGGTACCGCTTGCGCCATGGGGACTGATTGAATACCTGCCTCATGGTAGGAAGGTCGCCGCAAAATGTGCTTATTGCGGCGAACGTGTGCCGCTCGATCGCGTGCTGCCACGATCGCGAGATTGTCGCGTATCGCGCGAGGTTCTGCGGCGGCGGCAGGGATGCATTTGAAATGTCGGAATATGTTGGGGGTATCTCGATGAGATGTGTGATGATTAGATCCAAAAGTTCTAAACTCAGGGTATTGATATTGGCGCACATTGTTGCGGATTTTCCCGTTTCTTCTGAGAGGCTGAGCTGCGGTTGGTCCTGGTGGGCTCGACTCTCGAGTCATGGTGGGTGGAGCCGTGACCCGGACCCCAACTCGTACGTAGTCAAGTGGGCGCCATGAGGCTGGGATCTAGGTCCATTAAGAGGGCATGCAAACCAGAGAGAGCCCTGTATGCATCGATTCCAGGAACATTCCCGTCGACATGAAGATATTCCATCCTTATCGCTCATCCCGAAGCTTCGTCGCTTGTTCCTCAATTGTCATGACTTTTGCACTTTCTCCCACCTCTCGCGTCTGCCCGGTACTCGGTGTGTGTGGGTCATCGAGATTCTGGCGAAGCTGAGGCTAAAGAATGGAATTCTTCAAAACGCACGGGTTAGTTTTCGACCGGCCAGTGTCATGCGAACCTCTTGGATGATGGCTCACATACCGTCTCTGTACGTGTAATTGGCCGCTGTGGCGGGCAAGAAGGATGTTAAAGGAGAAGAAAGGAAGGCTTGCGATATGCCTTGAACTCATATTGACTAGCAATTCAGCAATGGACGGCGGCAGATAGTGGGATGTGTACAGTCATGGTGAGGGTGGTTGGCTGGGACACTGCTTCTAAAGGGTGAGTAATTGTTGTAACCTCGGGAGGCCCTGATGTGTTACTTGCCCGGGCAAGTTGTTTCCTATCTAGGCCCTGTTGGGAACCACTGCTCCACCGATCTGACCACGCAAGGCTCTGCGCGTTGCCTGCAGCACCACGAGCATATTTGCGCTAATTAGAACTAGTTACCTGTCTTGTATGGGGAGAGGACAGACTAAAAAGGGTCCAAGCTTAGTTGTCTAACCTGGAGGCTGACAGCAGTGTCATATGATAGATATATGCGGCTATAACCTGTCCAGTTTAGTTGCGCATGATTGAGCACAATTCTTGCCTTATAATCTATAACCTTGTAAGCTCGGTCTATTCGCTTCTGTTTTGGGAGCAGAAGCAAAACAGAGGAAATCCTTGCAAAGGAACACTATCTCTGCTTGCATTGTCACCCGCAGAACCGACATGGATATGAACATGGATATAGGCACAGCCTCGGGTAGTCTCAGCCATCACGACCATCACGAAGCCCACGACTCCAACACAAACACGATGGAAATGCCCATGTCCTCGACATTCACAGCATCCACAACAATAACCCTCTTCTTCTCCTCCTGGACCACGGCCTCACCATTCACCTACACAGCCACGCTCATCTTCCTCTTCCTCCTCGCCTTCCTAAACCGCTTCCTCACCGCGCTCCGGTTCCAGCTCGAAAGCGCCGATGCACGATCTAGCGGACTCTCTACATCAGTACCCATCCTCGAACCCCCGAAATCTCGACGGAGGGGGCTCGGCGTGCGGATTCCGAAAGCGCGGCTCAGTCCATTGCCCGTGTACATGGGGGTCGAGAACGATGGGGATAAGGATAGAGACTGTGAGGAGGCGATTAATAGCGAACAGGAGGTGCGTCTTGCTCTTCACGTGCCTTCTCTAGGTGAAAGTGAAGAGGAAGAGAATTCTGGATCCGGCGCAAGGACGACGCGGATTCCGGCCTGGAGTCGGATACGAGGCTTCTTCCCCTCCGTCATCCCACCCTGGAAGTGGAGGGCGAGCGCCTCCTGGAGTCTACGGCAGGATGGCTCGCGCGCTATGCTAGAGGGCATACGGGCGTTTATGGGGTATATACTGTGAGTTTGCCTTTGAACGTTTACTCTGGGGTAGCAGTGCGTTCGCGGTTGGAGAGCTAATGAGTGATGGTGGTGAGCAGGATGCTGGCGGTAATGACCTTCAACGTTGGTGTGTTTATTGCTGTCCTTGCGGGCATTGTATTCGGGGAACTGGTGCTAGGCCGGTTTATGCGGCATTCGGCGTGGGAGGATGGAGCGTGCCATGATTAATATGTTTATCTAGCATATTGAGAATTTTCGCTGTTCATGCAGGCATTCCCTTTGGTTCATAGATACGACCATGCTCACTGCTCCAAACTTCTGAATAGCAATCTCCGTTGCTGTAATCGGGTCTATCAAAAACGCTCGGACCGCGGGGACTCGCCTTGCGTGAAACTTTTCAGAGTGGAAGGAACAATACTAAGTACCGGTTACTTGGCACGTCTCAGCTATAGGCGCTATCATATAGCCAGTCTGGCGCCCTTTCCTGGCACAAGTAAATGTCCAGCCGGATACGAAACACTTGGAGTCTCAAGAAGGTAGCAAAACTACAAGGAGGGATCTTGGGTGTCAGATGGACATTGGTTGGAAAGTAGAATAAGCCGCAAATTCGCTCAAGAACGCTTGGCAAATGCCCTTTAATAGGCAGAATTGATGAAGAGCGCAGCCAATGAGACTGATGTGCACACTTCAATCGGTGAGGAGGGTCCAAGCTTCTGGGCGTCGCAAGTACAGCAACTGGAGGAGAGGGGAGGAAAGATGGGTTGCAGGACAGTTGATGGCATTCCTTGGTCCCTCTTATCGTTGGCAGGTTATAAAGAGGTCAAAGGTATCCATATCTGTTTTTTTTCCCCCTCGCGCGAGTAAGATTAGCATACCTGGCTCTCAGAATGAGGTTCTCTATCAGTCGCGCCCTCAGCAGGCTCTTGTTCCTATCTGGTGCTTCTCTTGTCGCAGCAGGTGAATCACAAGACTACCTACTACCTGCAAGCAATTTCTAATGAATGTCAGAGCCAACATCCTCGCCAACACCGACCCCAGCATCAGGGCAGGCTGCACCGCTTCCAAAAACATACGGAATGCTGCTCTTCCGTGGTTACGAGCTGCTCGACGTCTTCGGCCCCCTCGAGGCTCTCGCAGTTCTAGCCAGGCGCACGAAAATTGACCTTTACATGCTGGCCGAGACCCTCGACCCGGTTACAACGGAGCCATTGATGCCGTCCATGAACAGCTTCAACTCTTCCTTCTTCCCTACAGTCAACCCAACTCACACTCTCGCGAACGCACCTGACATTGACGTCCTCATGGTCCCTGGCGGGATCGGAACTCGATCCCCGTTCCTGAACGACACCATTGATTGGATCGCAGAGACGTATCCGAAGGTCCAGTATCTCCTCACAATCTGCACGGGCTCTGCGCTTGTTGCAAAATCTGGTGTCCTGGATGGCCGTCGCGCGACCACAAACAAGGCAAGCTGGAGCAGTATGACGCTGTATGGGCCAAACGTAGAGTGGGTGCCAAAGGCGCGGTGGGTCGTTGATGGCAATATTTGGACTTCTTCGGGCGTCTCTGCGGGTATTGACGCGACAATGGCGTTCATTGAGCACCTATACGGGGAAGACAATGCGACTGAGATTGCGAATATCATGGAGTACGAGAGACACACGGATCCGGACTGGGATCCATTCTCGGAGATCTGGGGAGTGCCTAACGCTTGAGCATCCACTGGTGAAGCTATTGTTCCCTTTCACCAGATCAATGGCGCGGCTTTCGTCGGAGGTTGTGTGGCCAATTATGTATAGCAGGCTGTACTTTGTTTGGTTGATTGAGTATCAAGATTGCGTCAAATATTTCTCGTATACTCCCCAAAACCCTGTCGTATTATGCGCAGAGGACATACTGCACTGACGGGTCTGCACAAGAGCAGTAAACTCAATGAATATTGAAGAAATCAAGGTGCTCTTGCAGAATCCGAAGGCCAGTCAGGGAAGTTTGGCGTCATATGATGGTAATTCGTCTCGCTCTGCCCTGAATGGTTCATGTCATGCCCGGCCTCAAATACGTCGCGCGGATCACCCAATGACTGGGATTCTTGAACAAAATAAGTATTATCATTGTGTATATTGGACATCACTGACAGCATGTCGATCCCAAGACCAGTTGGTAGTGCGTGTCCGTGGGAGTTCGAGGATACAGGGTCGTCTAGGGGAGCAGGAAAATATGAGGGCGGCTGGCAATCAGCCGCGGATTTCGGGGCTGGAGAAATGATGTCGAAAACGTCAGGAATATGAGGAGGTCGTGGATAAAAGTTGCTTTCAATCATATGGTGCCAGGCATCGAGGGGGTTCGGTGAGTAAGGCTCGGGCGTATACGGTTCTTCCGAATTGTGAGAGACGTAGTAGACTGGTTGACAAAGAGATTTCGGTTCTGATGGACAACACGGTGATTAGCAAAAACAAGATCAGGAAGGAGTACTATGCAATACCATAAGATAAACGAGCCATGACAGCGTACGACTTTCGACAGCCACAGTTCCGTTTGGCATGTGGGCACCTTTTTGAAGGCCGCCCTGATTTGGGAACTTTTGCCATCAATCTGTCAAAGTGCTGGCATTTGGATGAACGATGCCCACGAAGGCACGGGTCACTTTTGGAGTTAGAAAGTGAATTCCAAGATTCTGGTCTCATGCTTACCACGACCACTTGTTGCCCTCCTCGTCGAAGGGCATGTTTTAGTTATCTTCGAGGTTTCCGCGAGGGTGAGACTCAGTGTAGAACACTCTAATGCCACTGGAAAGACACAGCAGGGGGAAGAACGACTAAAAGCAAGATTTGAGGCGCTGGCGGGGGTGCAAATATAGCGGCCAAGGCATGGGGGCATGGGGTGACCTTGCAGGTAGTGACCAATTAGCGAGAACGAGCATCGGCCGTCTTTCCATTCCACAGACTCTCGCCCATGATTCGTATTGAGGGATCGCAGGTGGAAGGCCAAGTCGATGCTGGTTCGCTGCCATCTCGGACCGCTTCTTTCGCGCTGTAGATGTGCCAGTTCGCCACTTGTGCTGCCAGAGGAGATGGGGATAACGAGATCCGGCAAGCAAAGGACGCTTAAATCACGACATTAGAGCAGCGATGGGTCTAGTGGTGCATACTCGGAGGCATAGGTGCTAGCCTACTCCTCGGCTACTGCTCCCCACAGTCATCGAGAGCAACAAGCGGACCGATTCCGACGAATGGTTATGCATCGTTACAGCTTGGTTTCAGATTCCAGCTCAAATGGACGCAGAGTCCCTCACAATACAGGCAAATTGGGGGTCCCCGGTCATATGGAGAAAAAAGGAAAACTAGAACCATGTCGATAGGACTCCTCGAGGGCTGTCCGCGGCGTGTGGTGAAGATTCGACGATCTGAACTTGGCTCATGCAGCTTCTCTGCAGTTGCCATTGGCTGCCGTAGAAAATAAATGTGCTCAAATCTGCGCACACTAAGCGTAGCGTTGTTGACTTTTATCACTTTAAACCTTTGCATGACAACAACAATGTTCATCCTCGTCTTTGATTTCTTGAGAGGAGGTTGAAGAAAGAAGTTGTGTCTCCATATGGTGGACTAGAACTCCTAAGCGGCATGTCCAGTCGAGGAAAGAGCCCCTCAGACCGGAAGGATCCGATGTGCGGGAGACAGGAAACCGGTCTGAACAAAAACTACTATTACTAACAGGTGTCATGGTAAAGTTAAGCCACAAGAGTGGCTCCAGACTGCAAAACATAATCCGATGATGCTCGAGTCCAGACGAGGAGCATCAACAAAGATGACAATAATGTCACCCATGTCCCAGAAAACGTAAGTAATTGGGGCTATTGATAATAAGCCGCAGACTCCGGCCGCATAACACAAGCTCAGAGGCGATCACTACCTATATATGAGACCTCTCGGACTTCATCAAATCGTGGAATGGACCATTGGGGATTTCAACATTTCGTGAACGAGGGCCGTCACCCGGCCTTCTTCGCAACAATCATATCCAAAGAAAATTCCACCAACGTCCCCTGGTTGTGCTTTTATTGCGCTGTTTGATTATTGGCGCCAAAAGGTCACCGGTCGATGTCTCATCCAAGGGTGTAATCTCCTCTGCGGGCTCGTCAAGATTCAGCACGTGCTGACCCTGAAACGTGTGTACCGAAATCCTTGGCTGGAAATCTCCTCTAGCAACTGCAATACACCAATACTCCAGTATCAGGCTTTCAGAACTTGGTGCGCACCACTGGGTTTGGTCCTTCTGATTCATTGCCGCAGCCCGGTATGCAGGATCCAGAAACTCTCCATTTTGACATATACGCCGAGATCGAGGTGAAAAGTGAGCCTAGGTTCTTGGTTTCTTGCAGACAATCTGCGTTATAGCGCACCGGATATGGATCGAGTCGTACTTATCCTCCAGCTCTAGGAAGAACGGGTTGACCGAGAAAGTCATGGAAACCGCGAGCATTGAATGCTCTATCGAAGTGATCCCTATCACGTCGAACTATGCATGGCAATTGCCCAGCAATGTCACTGAACCAGCTCACCGTGCCGCAAGCTATGTCGGCTGTTTTGACAGAGAACGACGTTAGAACTATCCCTCGTGTTCCGGACAATCCTCGCTCTGAGGATGGCCTGAGGGATCTCTCTGCGAACAAAGTGCTAACGGCTGATCCGGTACGTGTCTTCTGTCGCAGAACAGATGGAGGCTTGCTTGACAAAAGTAGGTACTCTCGATCTGGTGTGGTGAATCGCTTCAAGGACCATTGATCAAGAAGAGGGACCAGAGGAGCTGAATCCAAGGTTTGGCCTGAGGTGCTTCTGCTCCAAGCATTCTTCCACTTTTCGAGCCCTGCATTATATACGGCAATAATAGCGCCGCCGGAGCAGCCGATATCAAGAGACTGGTATAGGAAGATACTTGCCAGAAATACCGTCCATCAAGGCCGGGGACATGGCGCAACTTATCGTTCCACAACGCGCACAAGCCACCTGGTCGATATCCTACTCCATGTTTAACAACCCCAAAAGCGCCTTGCTCATTCAAGGCCCGTCGGAATGGCGTTGACGGTGAAGAATCGCCCGGACAGGCCGCGGTTTCTGGGGCCGAGATTTAGGCGCGTCGCTTGAGTCGACCCGAGGAGAAGAATCCTAAGACGCCATCGAGAAAGAATATTCCACGGTACAAGCCAATTCAGACAAGCTTCGTATACCGTATCTCTGATCTCGGCTTAGGCCTTAGTCCGGGCAACGCCGTTAGCACCGTTCAGGGCGTCCTTGGCACATCGACCAAAAGCGCCTTGAAACCAAACAACGAGAACGGCAGCAAGCAGCGACTAGAGAAGAGCGTACCTCGTACGTATAATATAGAGGCCTTCACCAAATATTGACCCAAGCTTCCTGCAAAATGCATCTTGGCATGCGGAATGTGTAGCGTATACGCATACGCATGCGCAGTGGACCTGAGGCTGAACAAGGGGCAGACTGCGCCACGCGTTTGAGATCTGAAGAGAGAACGACTGGAGAGGATCTGAAATGAAGGCTCCTGTTAAACAGGGCCCCAGCAGTGCCAAGTAGGACTAGACTCGGCACATGTACTTTACTCCCCTCTGTCGTGATCCTGGCCACCGTACGCATAAGCGTATTCGCGATCTAGATACATAGCCATATCTTTTGCATAGCCACAACTATAGCTCAAATACTGGTTTGGTAAGAAGATAAATACTCTGTAGATGTCGCTTTGCTATCAATCTCACTATCATCATCAACTCATCTCTACACAACCGCACCACTAACTACTACTCCTCATCACAATGGCTCAAGACGATCTCATCGACTTTGAACTCTTCAGATATACCCCGTCCCAAGCCGCCGCGGGACTATTCGCCGGGTTATTCTTCATCACAACCCTTTTCCACCTCTACCAGGTCTACAAGTCGCGAGCATGGTACTTTATACCATTCGTCGTCGGAGGAGTCTGTAAGAACCGAACCCTCTCCACCACAATGACACCCATGTTATCATCCAAGCATGCCATGCTAACCGCACCCACCTTCTAGTCCAAGTTGTCGGCTACCTCGTCCGCATCCCGGCACATTCTAACCCCGAGTCCGTCCCGGTCTTCGCGCTTCAGGCTCTCCTCATCCTCCTCGCACCCCCTCTCTACGCTGCGTCGATATACATGGTTCTCGGGCGCTTGATCCAATTCCTAGGCGCCGAGCACCTCAGTCTGATCCGTGTGAACTGGATGACCAAGATCTTCGTCACGGGCGATGTTATTGCTTTCCTTGCGCAGGCTGCTGGTTCGTTCCCCCAGCCTCCATCCCGGCCATCTTAGGACCGGGACTCAATTGCCTCTGAACGCGTACTGATGCACATGATTCCAATAGGTGGAGGACTCATGGCCTCCGACAACGGCAACAGCTTCAAGACCGGCGAAAGAATCACAATCGGCGGTCTAGCCGTGCAACTCGTCTTCTTCACCGTCTTCATGGTCTCCTGCGGCGTCTTCCACTTCCGGATCCGAAAGGCCCCCACGCCTGAGGTCGAATCGCTCGCCGGAGGAGTCGTCAGCCCCCGCGAGAAACAGCAGGGTACAGCTCGTCGACGACTCTTTGGAGTGTCTTGGGAATCCATCATCGTGGGACTGTACATCGCCAGCGTCCTCATCCTTATTCGCTCGATCTTCCGTCTTGTCGAGTATGTCCAGGGGAACGATGGGTATTTGATTAGCCATGAGGTGTTTCCGTATGTGTTTGATGGGGCCTTGATGTTCTTCGCCATGGTGGTTATGAACTTCTGCCATCCCAGTCGGGTGCTTGGGGCACAGGGGAAGGGGGCTGATGTTGAGAGCGGAAGTCTCGGGTCGTCGGTGACAGCGACTGGGGGTCGGACATGAGCTGAGCAAGGGTTCGTCAGATGAGATTGGATACTGGATGCGTTTGGATATGGCAAGAACGCGGGATTGGCTTTGAATCGGCGTTGGATTATATGTTGAGCGAGAGGTGTGGTTTCCTATGTTTCCCTGTAATGTATCTTGACTGTGGTTAGACTTGATTCTTCGTACATAGACTTGATTTATACCTATTGGATAAATCACTCAACTGATATCATCCTTGAGCCAAGTCCAAGTCGATGCCCCATATTTTTCTTCAGTAGACGGTCGATGAACCTTGTCAGTGGGTACTCAAGGGTCCACGGCCGGGCAGCCATTTAAGTGTCTAGTGGCTGAATTCGAGGTTCCATATAAGCTCTTCGTCGGTCGTTCCAAGGTGGAACATCATGCGGCTCTTTCTAACGTAGCATCTAGAACGTAAAAAGCATGCAACAGGACGCATATACGAATTATTTCCGCATGCTCGTCAAATGGAGCAATACTCGACTTGATCGCAGCCTACGCGTCTAAGCCGCCTATGGTTGCCTTTCACATGCATTCAAGCACAAGACCATCCTCAAGAAGCTTTGAGCTTCAACATTGGCGGATGCTCAACGACCTTACTGGTTCTCTCCTGGCCAGCTGGATCAACTTTGTGCCCATTGACAACTCTCCTCCTCTGAATTAGGAATCCAGGCAGGATCTTCAATGCTCTTCGGTCGGATGCTTACAGTATCTCCGCGATGTCTGCATTGAATATGGCGAAGCTCTTGGCTTCAGTCACAGTGACGTAGGTGTGTTCCTGATTGACCATACCATATTCATCTTTGCCCGTTTCCGCGAAAGCAATCCGCGTGTTTCCATGTCAGCAATGGTGTCATTGGTCATAATTTGAGGCAGTAGAATTGACAGCTGAGACGATCCACGACGATCTTTCGCACGGACGTGTCGGAGAAAAGTGGAATATCATATCCAACAGTTCTGGCTCGTGGGAGAAGGAGAAGATCAAAGGGAGGATTCTTGTTGAGCAAATCCCTCATCAGATTATGTTCTCGGAGAGCGAAAGATCAACAAAGAGCTTGGGCCGCTGCGAGCGTCGATCATATATATCCGGCTTCCGCGAGAACCGCAAGCTGGTCGAGACCATTCTGGTCCTGAACCCCTGGACCCTCAGTTGGGCAGCCATGTGTTGATGATCGATCGAAAGAAAGCTCTGAAGGGCACACGATGGCTGTTTCCAAGCTAATGCGAGTCATGGCTCTTTTTCCCCACCGAGTCGAGATAGCTCTGTTTGTAGCTCAAGCAGTAACTCTGACAACTCTGTCGAACTGATTTCAGCCGGAGGGGAACACTGACCCGGCCCGCCGGCAGCCGATGCCAATGCAAGCGCTTTGATTGGAGTCTCGGCGAAGCGCCTCGCGGGAAAGGATCCACAGGGGCGCAAAAAAAGAAAGGAAAATTCGCCGCAACACAAGAAACGCGCACATGGTTCTGCGTTCCACGAAAAGCGGTTGGCGGTTCCCAGAGCTTGGGGATCACTCAAGAAAAAAGTCGAAACATCGAGGGGCGAGACTCGGGCTTCGAAGTGATGGACGTCTGAAACGCGAGGCAGCGTCTTGTCGGATTGTCCCTGAGCATTGGCGCTCATTTGATCGGCCGGCAATTGTCCTATCATAATTCTATCACAACATCGTGCGCTTCTATAATTGCCCGCGATTGATCCACCACCGAACACTCTCTGTCCCATGAGGTCATGCAGTCTCGGAGGGTTGGGTTATAATCCCCACAGGTGTCCGAGTCTCGACTCTTTATCTTCCCTCGCACCAGTTCCTCAGCTCTGCCTCATCGTTCTAGACTCGACTTATTTTTGGCCCGCTGCGTGGCTTTCGTATGGCAAATCTCCACCCAGGGTCCGTTCGCTGCTCGACATTGTCTAGATTGCGCCTTGAGTGAAGAACCCTTATCGTCTCATCTTCTAGAAGCTTGCGTGGGTTTCTGGTTCACCGTTCTCGACTACAAAATATACCCACTACCCCTCTCACTCCCACAACCCACCGTTCTTTCGCTTGTTCCCCAGTCCCCTTCTGCTGTCTTTCGTTAAGCACGACCTTCTCGCCGGGGCGTCTCAATGTCCGACCATCCCCAGAACCAGCCCTCTTACGAATTATTTCCCTCAGAGAACATCCAGCCAGGCGCGGGTGCTCACGTAGAAGAATCAAGTCAGCATGAGCCGGCGTCTTCCGGAGCGGCAGCGGCTCCAGAGGGCCCTGCAGAAGCACATGCGGCAGAGCCCAGCAGGGGCAACCGTGTGAGGTTCCGGTCCTTCAGCAGCTTTCGCGAAGCAGACGATCGCACTCCAGAGCCAGAGCCAGAGCCAGTGCCGGTACCACCTCGCCCAGCCTATATGCGAAATGATTCCGACTACTCGGTGCGCTCATACCACTCCATGCACGACCTCATGCCACCGTACGATACGTCCGCCAACACATCCAGGGAGTCCATCGCGAATTACGGATCCGCCACGCCTCCACATGGCAATGAAGTACCCGTTAGCGAGCTTGGACGGCCTCAAGAGGAAGTGCAGACGCCTGACCGAGCCAGGTCCATGAGGGAACGATTCCGACACGCCGGTGACCTCATTAGGGAGCGGACTGCCTCTCTTGGTGAAAGGCTCGGCCGTGATAATTTCGATGATGGAAACGATCTTGGTGCCTCCCTGTTACCGGACGACCTGGAAGGGGGTCTACCCCCGCTTCAGCGCGACCAAGAAAAGGCCGCGCTCGACGGTCCTCATGGAGTTCCGCCTGAGCCTCTTCCCAGCGCCGAAGCCCACCGTCTCGTCCGCAACGTCACACAGGGCCAGATGCGGCGGCGTCGGCCACGGTCAGCGTACTTTCGTTCTGGCCAGAGCACGCCCGATGGACATGGTCGGCCGGATTCGTGGTATGGCACTGGAAGGCTAAGCTCTGGAGGTGGAGGTGGAATTCTGGCGCAGCTTCTCAAGCTGCAAGGGAGTCAGGGATCCGGTACCGCGAGCACAGCCGTGAGCGATGATTCCGATGGCGACTCGCAGGTCTCATCTGGCGCCGCAACACCAAAGAAGGAGAAGTTGAAGTGGTACAAGAAGTCGAATCACCATTCAACCGCCTCGTTGGTCGAGGCCTCGATGAACTTGAGCAGGACAAGTTTGCCAGCGGCTACCGATGTGCTCATGACGCCGAAGCGAGGAAAGAGAAAGGGCAACCGCAGGACTCGTCTGGAGGATGAAATCCGGGTGACAGTACATATTGCAGAGATCCTGGCTCGCCAGCGGTACATCATGCAGCTCTGCAGAGCGCTCATGCGATACGGTGCCCCGACCCACCGCATGGAAGAATACATGAAGATGACAGCACGGGTCCTTGAAGTAGAGGGCCAGTTCCTCTACCTCCCGGGGTGCATGATCATGTCCTTCGATGACCCCACGACCCGCACAGCAGAGGTGAAACTCGTTCGCGTCGTACAAGGTGTGGACCTCGGGCGCCTCGCAGATACCCACAACGTGTACAAAAACGTCGTGCACGATCTCATCGGCGTCGAAGAAGCCAGCTCCGAGCTCGACGCAATCATGGCCCGCAAGCCCCGCTTCAACAAATGGCTCCTCGTCCCCGCCTATGGCTTCGCGTCAGTTGCTGTCGGCCCCTTCGCCTTCGAAGCCCGCCCTATCGACATGCCCATCATCTTCCTCCTCGGCTCCCTCGTTGGCCTCATGCACCACGTCCTCGCGCCGAAATCCGTCCTCTACTCCAACGTCTTCGAAGTCACCGCCGCAGTGCTAACCTCCTTCCTCGCCCGCGCCTTCGGCTCCATCCGCATAAATCGCAACGGCGAAGACCAGCACCTCTTCTGCTTCTCTGCGCTCGCGCAATCCTCCATCGCCCTCATCCTCCCAGGTTTCATGGTCCTCTGCAGCTCCCTCGAACTCCAATCCCACCAGATCATCGCGGGCTCAATCCGCATGGTCTACGCAATCATCTATTCCCTCTTCCTAGGGTACGGCATAACAGTCGGAACAACGATATACGGACTCATCGACAGCAATGCCTCGTCCGATAAAAGATGCTCGAACCTCGACGTCTGGGGAAGCGAATATACCCGGCGATTCATCTTCGTCCCTCTATTCGTCATCTTCGTCGCAATCATCAACCAGACGAAATGGAAGCAATTACCCGTAATGATCTTTATCGCCCTCTCCGGCTACGTGACAAACTACTTCAGCACCACGAAACTCGGCTCGAACTCCGAGGTCGCGAATACAGTCGGCGCATTCACAATCGGCCTCTTGGGGAATCTATACAGTCGTATCTGGCGCGGCCACGCCGCAGCTGCAATCTTACCCGCGATTTTCGTCCTCGTCCCCTCGGGTCTCGCATCGACCGGATCACTCGTGGCCGGATTGAACTATGCAGACTCCGTCCGGGACGGGTTGAAGAGCGGCAACGCGACGGACGTCGCGAGCCAGGATACCTCGATTGCGAGTCTTGGGTTTGGGATGATCCAGATTGCTATTGGGATTACGGTTGGCCTGTTTGTTTCGGCGCTTGTGGTTTATCCGCTTGGGAAAAGGAGAAGTGGCCTTTTCAACTTCTAATTCGATTCGGTGTTCATTTCTTTGCGTCTTTGATGGACTTAGAGATGGCTTTTTTCGTGCATATTGGTGGCTTTCCCCTTCTTTATCCTATGCGCCATTTTGTGTTTGTCTACGTTTAGGTTGGATCATTTGAGCGAAGCGGAGCGTTTTGTATATCTTTTTTTTTCTTCGGGCTGTCATATCTTGCGATTTATACAGATTCATAATCACGAGTAACGACTTTTAATCTTTCTTCAAAGAGTACTTGCGAGCTGGAGTCGTAGGTTCATATTCCCATTGTAGTCTCGCAAAGTAAGGGGAGGTCTGCAGTCTATGTATAGTGGTACGGGTTTTAAAAGAACCGAGAGTGATATATTATTGTCGCAAGAGACGCTCAGAATGTAAAGCTCTATAAGACTTTGCTAGGATTAATCCCGAAAGAATCGCCAAAATCATAATGTCATAAGGTATCATATCAGTGCAAGACGGCTGCCATCAGACGAACAAAGGGCTGGATCGTGGATTCTCCACGTTCTTCGCGAGATCAACGATGTCCCCGGCCATCTCATCATTCCATCCGTACGATTCGGCGTCACTATCGACATTGAGCGGAGCGAGGCCAGTATCCGAATCACGATTGTTGGATGACGGTGGTGTAAAATGGACTCTCCGCTCTCGCGAACTTAGACGGGATCCGGGACTTCGTGACGGCGTTGAACTGGCGTCAACTGCTATTGTGGGTGAAGCTAATTTCTCTGTGTGGGGCTGGTCACGAGAGTATTTGCGTATTGATGAGCCGAATAAGCTGCCTCTGCGCAAAGCCTCACCTGGTACGGATGAGGCCGTGTTACCAGTATTGTTCCTCCTCGGAGAGTCTAAGAATTCATCGAACAACCGCCGTCTGGGTGTAGGTCTGACAGGGGGTCGCGCAGCACCGTCTCCTGTCTGAGTCGCCGCATCGGCACTCCGTGCTCTCTTCGCAGGTCGTAATGACGACGGCGACGCTGGCTCTCCAGTCCCCTCCAAGTCCCCAACACCGCTATCAAACGACTGTGTATCTGCCTTGCTCTCTGCCTTCCTCTTCGTAGACGGTGGTGTGTATAGTCCGAAATCACGAATATCTTTCTGTTTGCGCGGGGTTCGGAGCGATCGCATCTCAGGAGGTATTAACTGGCTCACGCGGTCCTTCTCGTCAAACCAGATCCAGACATCGCATTGCTTCGGATCGCGGCTGTGTTTTGCGCAGGCGTAGTCTGTTTCGTTGATTGTTCGTACAAACTCGGACAGAAAGACAAGAAGCAGGGGGGCTCACATTGCTGCCCGTAGTAGGGACTCGCCTTCTTCTTCACGCGGTAGTCTCTCGTCGGGAAGCCACACTTGCAGACAAAGTTGCCGTCTCCGTCGATTTTGACTCCGTCAAAGGACGATCTGACAGTGCCGTTAGACATGGTAACGGCGATGGATATGGTATCCAAAATGAAGGCGCGTAACAATCGCTCAATAACGGGGAAAAGGGATGCGTGGAGTGCCGGCGGCTAGATGTGAGAGCACCTGCATTGAGGCGGGGTCACCATCGCAACCTGATCATGCAGGAGGATCTCCTCCCAGCCACCTTGTTTGAGGCTATGTTTGCCTGTCATCCTGCTGGTGTTGCGCCTCCAGCAATTCTCTGCGTCCATATCCAAGGACCTCGATGGTGGTTGCTATTTCCGATCGATGGAAGTTCGCGTTGCGATCCCCTTGCATCTTGTACCAGCGCTCCTCCGTGGAGGGGCTGGCTGATAAGGGTCACGTGGAACAACAATCAGCCCAGGAACGGCGCTAGCCGTTTTCGAGGGCGGTATGTTTTATTCTGCCTCCTGATATCGTTTTTTGACTTTTTTTTCTTCGGCGGCTTGGTTGGAGGAGACAGCTCGTCAACGCCGACACTGCAGATATTATTCTTCAATATTTGCTTTCGGAGCAACTCAATTACCAACTGACTCACTCGCATCAGCAGAATGCGCCCCCTCACAGAAGAAGAGACCAAGACTCTCTTTGAGAAGCTTGCCCATTATGTCGGATCATCTCTGAAAAACATCATCGCGCCCCTCGACAACTCTCCCAAGGCCGATCGCTATGTCTTCCGAATCTCAGGCTCTAGAATCTACTACGTGAAACTCTCATTAGCCAACCTTGCCGTTTCCGTACCCCGAGACACCCTCCTATCACTTGGAATTTGCATGGGTACGTACATTTCAGATCAGCAGAAGCCTCCGATGACGCTGCATCCGGCAAACAACGTAAATTCACCAGCTAACCAATTTCACCTCATGTAGGCAAATTCACCAAGACCGGCAAAGTCCGCCTGCACATCACCGCCCTTCCCATCCTCGCCGAGCACGCCCGCTACAAGCTGCACATCCGACCAAACGGCGTCATGCCCTTCCTCTACGGCTCAAACCTGTCGCGCGCGCATCTTGCCCGTCTTCCTCAAGACATCCCTGAACATTCCGGCGTCATCGTTTGCACACAAGATGATGTCCCTATCGGGTTTGGAATCATGGCCCGCAGCTCGGCGGAGGCGAACCGGTTGGACCCGACGGGCGTTGTTTGTTTCAGACAGGCGGACTGCGGGGAGTACCTCCGTGATGAGGATACGTTGTTTGCGGGCTAAATCTGAGCATGAGTGGTTTGTGGAAACGGGAGAATTGGGGGTGATGAAAACTCATGAGACGTTGTTCTGCGCGGGACATACCTCTTGAAGCGGAGGAACATCAGGAGACCGGCCGAGGACTTTCGATACTCGAGATACAACGGCGGACAATCTCTGAGGAGAAAAATGGATGATTGACAAAAAGAAAATAGCACGTGTGGGTGGTGCCGGGTTTACACTTTACACATGGAGTATCGGCGCATTCTGGGAGTGGCGCATTGCCGTTCTTCTCTTCTTGGGAACATTTTGAAGTTTGAAGGTATCATATACGCACGCTGGCTGGCAGTTCAAGCTGCCCAGGTCAGCGCCGCGGATGATTTGCATTTTTATCTAGTTCATCTTGATATCCTGCATAATATATCAGCTTACGAGCCTCATGACCATCAGTCGCATTAGGTATCGTGTATCATTAATCCTATAGATCGACAAAACATGGCCAATCCCGCCTAGATCTAGCTATCTAAGCAGCGAGCTCCCAACGACGCGAGACTTATAAAGCAGCCTCAGCCGGCTTCCGAGCAACAATTTGTGTCAGGAAATAATCCACAAGAACCCCTTGTTCCCACTCCTCCAGGCACCTCTCGATAATCCTCTCTATCTCCTCATCACTCTTCCCTTTCGACTTCCAACACATCCTCGGAACACCCGTGTAGAACGCGTACAGTAGAGTGAGCCGGTGATCCTCGCAGAACGGAACATACTGGGTGCTATGCTGCTTCTTGTCGACGATCTCGAGCCCCTGCGACGCAATCGTATTGTGTACGTCGTCGGGGAAGTCGAGGCTGTACCCGGAGTTCTTGACCCAGTCAAAGATTATGCGCCAAGTTGCGGTCATGTATGCTGGTGGGCAGTTGTCGATTTGTGTTTGGAAGTCGTATTCTTCGAGTTGGAGGTAGCCGCCAGGTTCTGCGATTGTTAGAGATGCAATTCATGCCTGGATGAAGGAGTAGTACTTAGTAAAGATGAGATATTCTGCATAGCGAGCTTTAGGTCCTCGGCTCCTCGAATGGTGAGACTGAGATGTCTAGCGTGGACGAGGTCGTATTTGCCAGCATGTTCTTCAGGGAACGGTTGGTAGAAGTTGTGTGTTGAGAAGTCGATGTTTAGTGTTTCAATGGCGTCTGGCTTGGGGAAGAGTGAGTCCGAGATATCGAAGCCGTGGTATTTGGTATCAGTTGAACCCGAGTTTTCTTTGCGGTATTTGATCAGGTCGAAAATCCATGTTCTGCGCTGTTAGTTGGCTCCAGGAGTTACAGAATATAAGGGTTTATACCCATTTCCTGTAGCCACGTCTGCGATACGCTCGAGATTCTTTGGGATTTCCGGGTGCAGCATCCTCTGGTTTAACATGTGAAGATTCATGCGATGCTGAATATCGAGTCTAGAGGCGGCGTCAGCTCGTGTCCTGCTCGACTGACAAGGTCCTTACCTCTGCGATTCGTCTGTCTCAACAGCACTCAAGAGGTAGTTGGACTTGTGCCGTACAGGCTGCGCGAACCGAGCGCTTGACATCGCGAAGCGATAAGCATTGCTGCTCTTGGGAATCGATCCCAGCAGGCGTCGTGTCAGCATTGTGACAGTTGTTGAGCTCCGAGCGAGGGGGTGTGCAGCTCAGGTGCCAGCGCAAAGAGTCACGGATGGGTGAGGGGAGCATAATGGTCGCAGAGGGGGCCTGGAGGCCATTGGCTTAATAAAATCGTCGCATATCCCTTGTCGTTCCATCCGGAGCCGAACTCAGCGCTATGGATGGAGTCTTGCTTGGTCTGGGTCAACCATGTGGAGCGGCAGCGGGTCCATTCCGACATCAACAGACGCGCCCGAAGAGGCCATCCTAGGACCTGTGTTAACGACCTTGGATTTTGGTCAGATACGCTTGGCTATCGTGTCCATCCAAGTTCCTTGTCATTCAATCTGAGAGCAAGGTAGTCAGTCCATCGACTGACTATATGCGCAGTGCGGGCAATTGCCGGATGACAATGCAGGATCAGCCCGGGGATGCACTAACTTAGCCTGACAGGACGGTTGATAGCCTGATGCCTGGCTGGACCGTTGGCAAGCTGCAAGCTCGGCACACTGAACCCATCAATATCTTGGTTAGTGAATACGATGCGTGTCATGGGGTATTGTCAGTAATCCCGCATTAGCGCGCATTTCGAACCAGCTGAAAGGTCATACAGCGGTTTAAGCCGGCATAAATGAACTGACAGTTGTTGCAGCTAAGATGAGTCGGGCTAAAATATACGAGAGAATCCCGTTTGTGCTTCCTCGGCATTTCCTGAAAAAGACTTTATGCACCTGTGGAGAGACTTACGAAGCAAGCACATTTGCCCTCTCTTTGCCCCACTTTTGGTGTTTCCTCACCTGCTCACCTGCATGACTTGCCAACATGATGACAGTCCACCGAAGTCTTTCATCGTCTTTCAATTCTTGCTAGCCCAGATGATCCAAGACCTTCCGCCGAAACTATGAGCCCATATCGCGGATCATTTTCACAATGATAGCGCCTCTCTCTCCCGTTGCGCTTGAGCATGCGGTCAATAGCAGGCTCTCTTTGAGCAGCAGCTATATCGCAAAGTTTCCGTGCGGAGGTTTTGTTTCAGGGCAGATAAAGGCATTCTGTCCGAACAACGATTTCGACGGTTGACCTCAGGCCCAAATTCTCGCCGACGAGACTATGTTCCTCATGTGGATTACACGATTATCCTGCCCTACTGGCTCCGGGACTACTACAGCACAAAGCTAGTGGGGTATAGCGAGCAAGATTCCATCAGACTCGCGAACAAGGATGCCTTCAAAGAAGCCTTTTGGGCAACTAAGGATACTTTGAGCAAATGGGGTGACGATTGTCGGGTTACCCTGCGGCTACATATAACATGGCACGGCACGGAAGAAGAACCGCAAAGAGAGGAAACTTCTACGTACCAGTGGTGGAAGGCCACACTTGACGGGGAGTTAGTCGTTCGTCGGTATTGTGCGCGGTTCCCAAATCATGATGCCTCGAGTTTGCCTGAGGTATCTCGCATTGACCAACTTATCTCTAGCGCAAACATATGGCCTGGGGCAGTATTGCAGCGTGCCCAGCGTTGCGTTGCACCGCGCGAGTTGCACTTGAACTTGTGTGAAATGATACGACTAGATCATACTGACTATATTCACGGACGCCGACATGGTGAGTCAACATTTCCTGCCGTCATGCAACTTGGCTGATCCTTACGTATAGCTATCGCATGGGACTTACCAGACTCCCGCCTTCCACCAGAGTATTCCAGCTTGGCTCTCTCTTAAACGAGTCTTGGAGTAATGCCATTTCCGCAATAAACGTCCTGTCCAGGGACGGTGGAGATATGCTTGCAGTCAATCTTCGAACCCTTAGCCAGAATCTGCGTGAGCATACTACATACTGACAAGTTCCACCGCCTGTTCATTTCACTGGGTTATGCGGCCCGGCGGATGCCATTGCTGAAAGTTCTGAAATTCTCTTTGGAGCTCGGAGACCTAGTTGAATTTGAATTCAACTCTCGCGGTTCTCTAGAAACACCTTATCTGATATCCGACGGGTCTTCAGCGAATTTCAAGATGATCAGGGCGTCCTACTTAGGTTATGGACCTGACGCGCGTGTCGCACGGGCATGGGGGGTTCAATTCAAAGATATAAGCTTTAGCGAGAGAGAGAGAGAGACAGAACGCGATTATGTGGTGCTGGAATCAATGGCAACCTTAGAACGGTTTCCTCCGGTGGAATAAAGCTAGCATTTTTCTGCGGCTTGCTGCTCGGCTCAATAGTGCGCCTGCTCTGTGCCTGAATTCAACCCTGAATTGCGACGCTGGTTCATATCTTCAACAACTTTCCGTGGTACTTCATTGCACCTTCTCTGGAGTACACTCTGCAATGCCGTCGAGGCTCGCGTTCAGATCTAGGGCAGTGGAGGAACCCCGGCAAAGTTGACAGCAGGCATACAGGGCCATCACAACGGTTTCTGGGCCTCTGGCTTAACGAGCAGTGCTATGGTTCGCCTGGAAAACGGCAAGCGGCAAGCCCACCACCGTGGACATGCGCCTCGATCCTCGATTGCGATTCGGTGATATTCAGCCCTGCGATCCAGCGGGTGGCCTTTTCTGGACAAATTGCGTTGACTTCGCGCCTTGGCAGCCCAGGCACCCCTCCTTGGCACTTTCACCATCTGATCCTCTCTTTACTTTCGATGTCCTTTCCAGAACCGGAAAACCGCCGCTAATAGGTCATCCAGCGAAGGTACTTGCGCGAAGCGAGCAACATGCAGAACATGAAGGTGACTGGAAGGATTAAGGGAAGCCAAACTGAGCGCCCCCAAATAGTGCCAAGAGTCCGCATGGATTCCGGGGCGTTTGTTGCTGTGGAATGAGTCTAAGGCTGAGACCTGGACTGACGCTAAGAACCCTCTAAAGTGTGTCCAATATATAAACGAGGTCAAACCCCCGCATGGGCTCATTTCCAAAATGTCCAATCCTCTATCGCTCCTCCAGAGCCACTCATTCAGAGCCTCAACATGGCGCTCACCATGAGATCGTCGGTATTAGCGATCTCTCTGGCACTGCTCGCCAAAGCACAAACAGAACAGGACTTCGAAGCATGCGACCCACTCGACCTGTTCGATCCATGCATCGATCCAATGACGCTGGGTACAGTGACCCTCAACTTTGAGCCGCTCTTCCCCGAACCCGTGGACTTTACCTGGGGTTTCGCCCTGCAAAACAACTACGAGTACTACCCCGGTGCTCCCGATACAAAAGTCGCCTACTGGCTCGAGTACAATTCGACGCAGCCTCCGGCGGCCGAGCCCCACGACACCTACATGGTTATGGTCCTGGGAGGTGCAGGGGGCATCACGTCAGGCGGGCACAACGGGTGCGACGGACCCCTTGGCGAGGAGTGCGCGGAGAACTTCGCAGGCTTCATAAAAGAGCACATTGCAGGCCAGGCAAATCGAACGGATGAAATGCTAGACGAGGCTCTGTATGCCTTTAGAGACGAGGGTGTACCACAGTCGATAGGATGCGCGGAAAACTACTTCAGATCCTTTTACGCGGTTACCCATTATGAGCTGTTGGACGGAAGTATGTTTGCCCCCATGCATCCAAAACCACCCCTAATACTTGCACGACTACGAAGAACTGACTCGGGCAAATCAAGTCCTTGCTAGGGAAGACGGCGAATCGCTTGATATCATTCAATCCGGCAACGAGTCATTCCCCTTCAATACTTATGTCCATCAACGAACACCCTATGGCTATCTCATCAATAAGGTTGCCGTCCCTGTGATTGTTCGACTGCCATCCGAGGGAGATTCCTGGCGTGATGTTGAGAATATTCAGGTCGAATTCGGCTGCGCTAGGTCGGCGCCTGTCAATCAGCCCGACTACCTCGATGAGGAATCCGAAGACGTGGATGAGGAAGAAGATACCGAAATTACGGATGAGACCGACAGCACGGAGGATACCGAAAGCACAGAAGATACGGGAGATTCGGAGGACTCGCAGGCACCAGGTGATCAGTCGGAGACAGAGCCTAACAGTGACGAATCAACAACTGACGAACCGGTCACCGGGGAATCTTCTAGCGGGGAACTACCCGAAGAAGAAGCGGGCAGTTTGTCTACGGAGTATGGGGGCAATGGCGCAACGGGCATGATGTGGAGTGCAACACTTGCCTCCATCGCTGGGGCCATTGCCATCGCGCGGATCATGTCATAGCCTAATGTAATATTCGACCTCGTTGGTTTATGTCCCATGCTTGTCATGGCGATGGGAGCGGCAACCCTTCACGGCTGTTAAGGCAATAATAGGGGGCGTTCAGACTCAGTTTTGAGACTCCGTCAAATGTATATAGCCATTCTCTGTATATATCAGTCAAATGATTACTATGACGGGCCTAAAATATCCCATGAACCCATAATGTATGCAGTTTCCCAACCTTTCAGTGCCAGCACCCAATGCGCAATTCCTGATAAGGTAAAATCACTCCAAATACTTCCCACCCGTCTCTTCATGTATGACATCAAACAACGGCTTCGCACTGAAGTACCCTGCAAACGGCGTCCCAACAGCCTTGTACGTAAACGCCGCATCGGCCTCGTTGATCTTCACGGTCTCCCCTCCGCGCCCCGCAGCCGCTGCATCTGCAAGCAGCTGCGCATGGCAGCATTTCTCGAGACTCACAAACCAGAACACGGTCTCTTCGATTGACTTTCCAACCGTCAGCAGGCCGTGGTTCTGCAGCAACGCAGCCTTCTTGTCACCCAGCGCCGCAGCGATATTCTTGCCCTCCTCCTCCGCGAGCACGACACCATTGAATTGCGTGTAGACGACATGGTCCTATCATCTATTAGTTCTCACACCCTGCCAAAGCCGCGATCAAAATGAGAGAGGGGAAGAGGTACATTATAAAAAGCACACGAATCCTGCGTAATGATATCTAGCGGCCGGCCCAGTGCACAAAACGCCCTCCCGTAGAGACTATGGCTGTGCGCTGCGCAGAGGACGTCGGGACGCGCAGAGTGGATGGCCGAGTGGATCATGAAGGCCGCGGCATTGAGGAGGCGGCAGGGCCCGCCGTCGATGACATTTCCGGAGTGGTCGACTTGGATCAGATCCGAGGACTTGATCTGCGAGAAGGCGACGCCGAAGGGGTTTACCCAGAAGGTGCTCGGGTCGACTGGATCCCTAAGGGTGATGTGCCCTGCTACGCCTTTTCTTTGGTTAGCTAGGTGCTGGGTCTGGTATTGGGGGTGTGTAGTGCGAGTGGTGGATGCGGAATGTAGAGGTCTGTAGAGTGGCGTGCAGTGGACGGTAGCCGGGAAGTAGGAGGAACCTACCTTCATCGTATCCATTCTTCCCAAAGATTCGAAACGCCGCAGCCAGTCGACCCTTGAGATACTCGCGCTCCTTGTATTTATCCTCGAAGACGGGCGGCTTGGGGAATCCGCCCATCTTCACCTTGGCCTTTTCCACGCCGGCCTCTTGGCTGTTACCCGAGGGTGGGACGGTGACCGTCGCGGGTTCTGTGGCGGAGGGGGGAGCCATGTTGTACTAATATGGAGATCTGCGGATGGTGGTCGGATGGACAATGCGATAGTTTGATGGAATCGATCAAGGGAGGCAGGAGAAAGGAGTTGAAATAAGATAGCGATGGTTGGCCCGACGCGACTCCGATTACTATTGCAGCCGAGGGGTTCAGACGGACGCCCTTGTTCGACAAGGGAGGAGAGAGAGAGAGAGAGAGAGAGGATGACATTGGCTGGCATGTTATCTGCGGGGTAGATGACGATTCGACGGCTTATCCGAAGATCCTGGACACACCGAGGCTCTCCGCACCAAGCAACAAAAATTATCTCAATTCGTGTCTGAAATCACAAAACTCCATCTCGCCCTTACCCTTCCCTAATTGCAAGAACAAAACACCAGCCTCTAACGCACTTAACCCAGTCTAGTCCGATTGGAAACCTCCCTACCTCCCTACGACGACATCCCCTCCGCCCTGAGAAACTCCCCGCGCCCCAACGACTCGAGCCAGGCATCCTTCCGCTTACAATAGATCTCTCCCAGCAATTCCGCCCCAGCCCGATGCTCCTCGTCCAGTGTCCCCCATTTCAACGCGACAACAGGCCAATCGGGCATGGCGGAAGTGAAATGGCAACCGCAGTCGCCGCAGATTTCGCGCGGGAGGAGGTTGCCGCTGTCCGTGGAGGGGTCGAGGAATACTTTGGGGGTGCCGCTGGTGTACCGGAAAGTCTCCCTAGGGATCATGATGTTGGTTGAGAAGCCGCCGCCGGAGTATCGCTTGCAGCTTGTGCAGTGGCAGAGGACGACCTGGGTTGAGGAGGGGCTTTGTCAGGATTAAAAGCTCTGATTGTGGGGCAGCTGTGCAAGGTGAGTAAGTACCTTGGGGTTTGGCTCGGTTGCTGGGAGGTCAATTGCGTAGGTAATTTTGCCGCACAGGCATGCGCCGGTTAGAGTCTTGGTGGCCATCATGAGTTTCGATTCTTCGTTTGAGCTCGATGATTTCCAATTGTCTTGAGCTCTGGCAGAACGGAGAGCTGGTGAGGGTCCTTATAACTCACGACCCCACATACAATTAGTAAGAATACGAGAACGAACTCGGGCAGACAGCTCCACATTGACATTACCAAGGTAAGAGTACAGGAGGCATATACAACTCAAATGGGAATATGCACAAGATAGCAACACGTAGTTAGAGCGGGAAATCACCCCTGATGCGCTGCGCCTCTTCAAGTAGTGCCTTATACAAAGTCGCGTCGTCCACACTCCGGACGGAACGTTCTTCCTCCATCTTACCCGGGTTTCCCAGCAACGGCTTCAGGTCGGCATCGCAGACTGTTCCAGCAGCCGGCAGCTCGCCGGCTTGAAAGTATCTACGGATGGAAGTGCTTACACATACAGACGGAGCAGCAAGGGTGCAGTGCTGTGTCCAGGTCAGTACTATACGTCCGTCCGGAGTGAGTGACTTACGCCCTCCGAGTCTTGCTGGAGTAAAGCCGAACCGGGAAAAGCCCCATGCATGTGTTTGGCGCTGTTGATATCAGCACCTGGTCACACGGTATATCAGTTATCCATACCTTTGCAGTGGGGTAACCGGATCAAGAATGTTGTTCACGAACAGCAGGGGATAAGAAGTGTTTCCGGCCACGGGTACTGCAAAGATTAGAAAACGAACATTGAAGCAATAGCGCTAACCTACCAGGCATCTTCCACTTTGGCTTCACACTCCATGCTGCACAGTTTAATCGAATGTGGGACCAATAATCACCGAGAGAGCTGCTGAGTTCCTGAAGAGACCGCCAATGTTGCTTGAAGCTTTGCTCATCAGCCGACTGCATGTATTCTGCGTCAGAGCAGAGAATGGCAGAGCTCGCGTAGAGTTCATTTTGCCCCGATACTTGGCATGCCGACGACCAGGGTCCAGCAGCAAGACACTCATCCGTGGGGCAGGAGGGAGACCGTCTGGCGTGCTTGTAATCGGCCAGCTTTTCTCCATTCCCATTGAGAAGGTCGCTAGCGATGTCTGCGAGAAATGGAAACCCAGCGAGGGGTTGATAGACTCCAATCCGCAGGACGCTCTTGAGATCCGTCCACGTTGCCACCTCTGGCCCTCGCGATCGCGAAGGAAGAACAGACATTGATGAATTGAGTAAGGCATTTTCCAATTCCTGGTAGGACTGCTTAATAGCCGCCGGACCTCCAGCAGCGTAGAAGGGACATTCCTCTCCTACTTGATCACAGTAAAGAGCAAACTTGTCAAAAATTGCATCCGCGTCTCTGATGGGTTCCGGCCCGACACCTGAGTAGTATTTGTCTGAGTCCACAACGCCATCCAGCACAATTCGTCCAACTCGGTTGGGGAAGAGCGCCGCAAAGGTAGCGCCCAGGACAGTGCCATATGACCGGCCCCAGTACAAAAGTTTCTCCTTGTCTCGCTGCCATTTCGTCCTAGTAAGGATGCGCTGCTCTAGGTCGTATCCCTTAGATCTGTCGTGCAAGCGTTGGGCTTCTCCTCCTTGGATCTCACGCCATTCACCGTGTCGCTCAATTATTTCCAGCATATCTCGGGCCACGGGAGGCGTGTTTGTGTGCTCTCCAAGTACATCTGCGCCAGATTCGGACGGTGTGGAAATAGCCTGCGAGCAGCCCGTGTTGAGCGCGATGGCGCGTTGCCAATTCCGCATGAAAGAGTCCACAGAGCTACCGAGCATTCCATCCGCTTCTGCTTGAAGTTCCCAGTTCTTTTGCGAGAACAGGCTAGGAAAACAACTGAACCCGGGGGTCGTATTGTTGACCCCACGAGGGTCGAAGCCGATGATGTCGAAGTATCGATCCTCTGACTCTGCCGTATCTGTGGGAACAGCCGCGGCGTCGACGATAGTTTGCAAGTTGCGACCGGAAATTAAGACTTGAGCAACTCCAGAACCTCCAGGACCACCTACACGCCGTCAGTAAAGATTCCCGCCACGGGAGCTTTTGTACGCTATACCGGGATTTATCAGAATTGCGCCACCGTATCGCGGATCCGTCACGGGGACTTTGGCAGGTAGCCGGGTAATGGCGATAGCCATGCGAGTCCCCTTATCGTCTTGCCTATGCCAATCCATAGGGACATCAAGACGGGCGCAGGAAAAGCCATCGAAACATTCATGATACTCAAGTGATCGCGATGGAGTGACCTGTCGCTACGTTAATACGCAAGCTGTGCGTGATAATGCGATGTATATCATACCTGGTCCCAAGAGAATGGATCCGTTAAGTCAACAGCCTGGCGAGAGTGTGTTTCTTGTGTCGGAAACAATGCGGGGACAAACCGCCATGACAGCACCACTAGGGCCGTCAACACCATTATGGCGGGACTGACCATGTTCCTTCGGGAGCGGCCGCCCTGCCATGTGGAATCGCCATTGCAATTCTTCTGGCGACTTGAAACCCTGAAATATTTGAGATTGTCCATAGGTCCTCACCGCAGTCGCTCCACGGTGTTTTCGGAATACATCCAAGCGACTGGCCCGGCAGAGTCGGCGGAGGAAGACAAGCGTCTTATGTTGGAATCTGTGGACCTTATCAGGGCATTATTGGGCGGCGCTGAGATGCAGATATTTCCTCCGAAGGTGATCGCTGACCATCCGCGATATGGAATGGCCGCTGTCGCCCACGAATGAAGGGGGAGGAATATGCAATCGCAGCAGGACGAGAGGCAGGGAGTGAGACGGTGAAGGCGCCACGATTGGATCGAGGATGCTGGAGGAGAGTTCTCGGCAAGGGTGGGCTCTGGGATCAACAGCAACCAGAATCTGGCGAAGTGGAGCTGCCGAATGAACCCATCTCTGCTATCGCGCTAATGTGCTTCAGTCCGATAGTCTGAAGGGTGATTCTCCTACATCCAACAAAAGCGGCTCCTCTGCTGGCGATCGGAAAAACAAAGCAATCATGGACCATTCATGGCCAAAGAACCTCGTAAGAAAAAAGAGGGGAAAGCGAACATGTGTACTATACGGAGTAACAGGTTCAAAGAAATAAGCAAAACGTGGGACTCGGGCAAACTCTAAAGTTCAAGCCCGAGGTGGTTCCCTGGGTGCGTCTTGCTCCAAAGCCGACGGGCAGTCACCGCCTTTCTGGAACAGCGGCGGCAGAAAATAACCTTGTTCCCAGCGAAGCAAGGACGCATCTTCCTTGTCAACTCGACAGCCAACATGAGCACTGAACCCATCCCCTCCTTGAGTGATATCGATCTGGCTGACCTCTCGTCATGAGACTCAAACGGAGAAGATGGAATGACGACAGTGATTAGCGGAGGGAGAAAGCCACGCACGGTGACACCACAGTGTTATTCAACGAAGAACTAGCTAATAACACATCAGTGATTACCATACTCTTGTCCTTAGAACATCACCTCCGCTTCGTCGACTCCGAATCCTTCCACACTTCGCGCTCCTTATATCGTGCCTACGCAATGAAAGCTACCCGAGCGGCCTGTGGTATGCGGTGTGACGCGGAGTTACCATCCCCAACGGCGGCCTCGTTCTAGAAGGGTATATCCAACAAAGAAGCAGGGATCCGATCGAAACGGATTGGAGTACTCGTGAACTAGAGAGGAGATCACAATTCCCATAGTCAAATTGTACAACGTGGCGGAGCTCGAGGATTTTCGTCCAGGTCATCTACGGAGAGAGTCCCCCAATCTTGGTGACGAACCGTGTCGGTGATACAGGAACGGACCCTGCGCCAGGCTGATGCACATCGAAAGAAAGCTACCACAGGGCGCCTCCACGGAACCCTCGCCTTCGCCGGAATAATATGCACCTGACCGGATACGTGCATGACTGTACTCGAATAGACCGGATCTTGTGCACCCAGACACTGCTGGAGGAGGTATATAGGTCTGGGGCAACGAAAACCGCGGGAGTAAGCTCGCCGCGCCTTCGAATCCCTCGAATACAAATTCATCGCGGTTGGTTGACCAGCGGAGGTGAGATCTTCCCATAGACTCTCGGCCCGACCAGTCCGCAACATCTTTTATGACAAAGAAGCTGTCGGACTCAATGGCAACTGTCTCCATAGTAGAGCTTCGGCAGTGCCTATTCCTGCGGCGCAGTTTTGATGCGACTGTAGAGGCAACATGAAATTCGTAGACTTAAAATTATGCCGTACATCCTGTTTGCAGTATTACATGATTTAGATACTGGCCCAAATCTCAATTGAGACAAGCCACGTTGAGCATGCTGTCTCTGTAATGTAGCTGGTACTTATGCATAAAGTTGCACAGGGAATAATACAAGGAAATATACAAGAACAAACACGTCTCCTAAGGGCAGAAAACAACTTGAGATGCAAGGCGGTGATATTAGTTATTTGGTTGAGAGAGAGAGTAACAGACCTTGTCATGCCTTCTGCAACTCTTTCAGAGCTTCGCTGATTGAGGAAAATCAGTAATCCCTCCCGATGCCAACCCAAAATGCCTGGACTCTTCACAAGAGCTGCCAAGAAGGTCGGCTGTTTGCAATTGGGTGTTGCTGTGAGGGGTTCCCTCCCCAGACTCGCACCGCCTCACTTCATCACGCCGGGATTCACTTTTCGTCGAATAACAAATCTCCTTCGGTGTCCTAAACGGGGCGAGTATTGCGGCTTCCGGAGTACACGTACGCAGGGTGGTGTCATGAGATTGAGAGCGGTTTGAATGCAGGAATTGTGCACGGATGATTGACGGCTTGACTGCCGGTGGAGTCTCCATGATGATCTGCTCCGCGATCGAAAGCCCAACTCCCGCAGTTGGCTTTTCCTGACTCAGTCATAATCGCGCACCCAAGGTTTGCCAGCATTGTCTGATGCTCCGAATTCCTTCAACTTTCAACACTCGGACATCGCTCGGACCAGGGTCTCAGGTAACACCTTGAGCACACCAGCGTCTCACCGCAGTGCTTGGCCCCTGTCAATCGTCCCTTTTCTTATTTCTAGGACCCTCATTTCTCCCACATGCCGGATGACGTATGGTATGGGAGCTCCACGTGCTCCCTCTCAAGCGACGACATGTCCATCAAGAAAGGGGTGAACGGCGGTGTCTACAACCACTGGCCTTGTTGTCCCGAAAAAGCGATGGCTATCGAGGTCAGCAATCAACCCACGCCTAGCCCGGGCCCGGAAGTGGCCGGTGTCACAAAGATAAAGGCTGTTGAAGCTGTGGGTGGAAAGAAGGGAAAGTATCTGATGTACGCTGGGTACGTATGAAACCGGCTTCAACTGCTTAAATATGGGCTAACAGATTGCAGATTGGCCATGATAATGGTTATCTAGTAGGTTATCTGTCGACATCAGGTCTCTTATGGTATTGACATTCGGTTTCTAGCGAATTGGACAACTCGACTGTCGGTACCTACAGGTAGACAAGCTCTAAGAGTGCATCTGCCGTGACTGTAGCATACTAATCACGGTGCAGGAACTTTGCTGCGTCGCAATTTCATCAGCTAGGCATGCTCGCGACACTGAATACTGCAGCAAGCATTATTTCGGCAATTGGCAAGCCCCCTATGGCTAAGTTAGCAGATGTCCTCGGACGAGGAGAAGCCTATATCATTGCCGTTACGTTTTATATCCTGTCGTACGTTCTCTGCGCGTCGTCACAGTCGTTCAGCACATATGCCGGAGGCTACGTCTTCTATTCGCTTGGCCAAGCGGGCACTTCCATCCTCAACTCGACGATCGTTTCGGATTTGTCTTCGATGCGCTGGAGAGGCTTTGTTTACAACATTCTCTACGTGCCATTTCTGATCACACCATGGATATCTGCTTTCATTGTGGACAGCGTGGTCAACGGAATCGGTTGGCGCTGGGGAATTGGCATGTTCGCTATATTGATGCCCTTTTGTGCTAGCTTCATTATCATCACCCTCTTGGTGTTCCAGAGGCGAGCGAAACGCGCAGGTCTCATACTAAACGAGCAGCTTACCATCTACAACTTCTGCTCGCGAATCGATCTCGGCGGCATACTTCTTCTCAGTGGTGGATTTTCCATGGTGCTGATTCCAATCACTCTGGCAGCTACTGCCACTGACCGATGGACTACGCCATGGGTGGATGCTCTGATTGTCCTAGGCGGCCTAGTTTTGATATCTCTTGTTCCCTATGAAAAGTACATTTCGCGCCATCCAGTTGTTCCCGTGCGCTACTTTCGGACGCTCTCTATTGTGCTTTCGTTTCTCCTCGGGATAACGGACAATATCGGGTATGGCGCCACGCATACATATCTTTTCGTGTGGTCGATGGTCTCGCACAACTTCTCGCCTCGTGATGCTCAGTTCCTTACCTACACAAACGGCGTTTCTCAGGCTCTCATGGGCATGGCGACCGGTCTACTCATGTACCGGTATCGGACCTACAAGTGGATTGGAGTTGCAGGGGCAGTAATTCGTCTAGTTGGATATGGGGTCATGGTTCGGCTCCGCACCAACGAAAGCTCCATTGCCGAGCTATTCATCGTCCAACTCGTACAAGGGCTTGGTAGTGGGATAATTGAAACCATCATCATTGTCGCAGCGCAGATCTCCGTTCCACATGCGGAATTGGCCCAGGTCACCTCGCTAATCATGCTCGGTACATTCTTGGGCAACGGGATCGGGTCTGCTGTGGCCGGAGCGATTTATACCGGGCAGCTACGGCAGCGGTTGCAGGTACACCTTGGCCCAGGGGTCGACCAAGAACAGGTCCGAAGGCTGTACAATTCCATCACGGAAACTCTCCCGGCATGGGGTACTGATGAACGGACTGCTGTTAATCAAGCCGTAAGTCTCATCCTGCTGAGATGGTAGATCTAAGTTATAGCTAACATTTTCTAGTACTCTGATGTTATGGGGTTCGTATATCTCATCATTCGGAAGACAAATGCTGACCGTAGCAGATATATCACGATTGCAGCGCTGGCCTTCGCTGTGCCGATTGTTATTTTGTCCGTTTTGCTTCCGAACAAGAAACTTGGGTGCGTCCATCTACCCTCCTAGCAGACCCTCAACTAACTCCGGTAGTGATGGACATAACCTGGTGCAAGAGACGCCCGCCGCGAAAGATCCACAAGCAGAGTCACTCGACATCAAGAAAGCCTATATATGATATACCCTCACACTACGCATTTATTATGACTGCCTAACATGAATGAAATGACTTTGACTTATTACTCCTTCTTGCTTATGCTCACATATCTAGTTATACTTCCCCGCGGTTCCAATCACACAAGGAAACTTCCTCCTATGCTGATCATCCAAGGCGTTCTTCACAATGTTCCACACATTCGGATCATACGCCTCCCCAATATGCCCAACCAGATCCTTCGGACAGAAATCCTGCACCCACAGATTCTGGACTCCGTCCTCATGCACAAACGAAGTCGAAGTCGGGGTGACCATCTCATCAAATCGCGACGCAATAACCGTCAACCGATTCCCGGGCTGCACAATCGCCTCCCCATCATTCAACCTCTCCACGGCATCCCCGCCTGGTCCCAAATCATCACAAGCAGCACACCCAAAAAGCCTAAGGACCTGCCCGACCAGCTCCCGCGAAACATCGCCCAGTATATACGCCAGGTTATACAGCCCGATAAAGGTCGTCCCCCGCGTCGGCGGCGCAATAGCAACGATGCGCTCGACGAGCTCCGAGATCCCGTCCTCGAATTTCGGCACGTACAGCGCTTGCATTGCGCCCTCGGAGTGGCCGACGAGATCGACTTTGTCGGCGCCGGTCTCTGCGACCACGCGCCGGATGTACGCGGCAATTTCACCGGCGGATTCGGAGATGGGTTTCAGGCCGCCGACGAAGGGGAACCCCGGGTAGTCGCCGTAGGTCTCGGCGTAGGTGCAGTAGCCTTGGTTCTGGAGCCAGGCTTGCAGGAAGTTGAGGTCTTCGTAGTATGTAGCGCCTAGGCCGTGTAGGAACACGATTGGGTTTGTGTGGTTGGTGCTGCGGCAGGAGAAGTCATTTATGTCGAGGGCTTGGGCGAGGAGGGGGATGGTGAGGCCTAGGCCGATGGAGAGGGGCTTGAGTGAGGGGAGGAGCATTGTTGATGGTGTTTGATTAGCTGTAACGATGATGTTTTTATGAATATGAGGATGGATTGATATGCAATGAATTCAAAGAGCGACGATGATGGAACGAGTGTGTTTATATCAAGAAGATATCTATGAAAAGTATAAAATGAGTGTCGCGAGAGTCGCCTGAGCAGGACCTGCGTCTCAACGTAGAAGAAGCAAAGAAGAACAGAAAGCAAAAGTGACAGCGGGGAGCTGAAGAAAGGGGAGCTGGAAGTGATCCATCGTCCCGTCAAGTGGAGAGGTTGTGATGGATCGTCGATCGCAGACGAACTATCGAATTTTTTTTAATTAGCAGCCCGCCAACTATGTCATTTAAATCAACAATCGGGTCGATTGGCGGTATTGGCAATATCATGTCAGCTTGCCAAAGATCGGGATTTGATTGATACTTGAGAGGACTTCAAGGTTAAATATATTCTCCGAACAGAGAGCGTCAATGTCTGTGTCGTCTCGCTCAGCCATGACCAGAAAAGCGCCAAGGCGACAGTTCACTTGCGAGGTTACATTTCACGAAATCTCGCACCACATCCCACCAAGATATGGCTTCTCTGGCTGAACTGTCGTCGTCAACATGTGAGCTGAGTTTTGTGGCGGTCGATGTGGGCTTATGAGAAGTCAAGATCAAGACAGCTCTTTCTCCAATTCTCAACAACGAACATCCCCAGTACTTTCTCGCCTCAGAAAGGATGGTGGCACTGCCAAGTCTGAAAGGAACAATAGTCGCTCGAGGGTATCCGGGCTCGGGGCATGAGCGACAAATTTCTCTCTGTTAGAGGCTTGAGACGCAATGGTACGATCCTTTGCTTGGGACTTCACTCACTCAGTGTTCCGGAGCTGCTTACTTTGCCGCGGTGTCCGCCCCTGGATCAGACTGATGCTGCATTACAGTCCAGAGATTTGCCGGACAGACAGGCGTGCAAGTATGTTTTCTTTCTGACCTAGTTCGCGTGCAGTTCGCCAATATTCAGCAAACAAGCCTCTCGATCAACCGCTGTCGGGACTCATCGAAAGCCGGCGAGCATCGAAATGAGGGGAAGTGGCAATTCGGGCAGAGCCGGCGTGGTGGGCTCCCTTTGATGGTCGAGCACACTTGCCATCCATGTCTTCTCATTGAGAGACTCGAGTCTGCAAGCATAAATGGTACTGGTCGCCAAGAAGCTCTGCGTTGGGGTCACGGTCAGTTCTGTAGAACTGTAGCAGACGCCAGGACAATTCCAAAGAGCTGAACAGCAGGCCCCATTGCAATTCATATCCCTGCATTCTCTCTCCAAGGGGCTTCCCTGATATTCGAGATGGTGATCCCGTTCTTTGTTTTACGTGCCGGGATTTGCTGTGGCGATGAATGGCGAGAGGCTGAGGGCATCCAAAGGACTGGTACGTAGTTGGCACGGGGTTGAGGATGGGACTGCATAGTCAGGCGTCTTGTTTATCTTATGTGCTTCAAGGGTGAAGGCGTATGAGAGATATATACTGCAACACAAGCATCACACCGACCGATAAAAACCAACCAACCAACATCGGCTTCGGGCCTCGGAGCCGTAAAATATCTTGATCGACGAATAATTGATCGCCGTGTTAGCAGGGGTATTGGGACCGTGCTTACTCTTCGGTGTCTGTGCAGCACTGCAGTGTGAGCTGATCAATCACCAACTTGACCAGTGGACTGGCGAGAGGGCAGGGTTTGCATTTGATGGAAAGCTCGGTGATTGGGCGGTCGAGGAATCACATTCTGAGAGCTCAATCTCCATGTGGTGCAACGATCAGCATCCGAGGTTGATGGCTGGCTGAAGCGTGGATTCGTTGAGCCTCTCGCAGCGCACTGGTTGGCTCGAGTTTGCCACCTCAGGCTCCAGTTTCCGCTTCTCCACATACTAAGCCGGATCAGGAGCTGTTGCCATCGCCGAAAAGGTATACCTGACGACGCTCCCGAGTTTTTGGTTTCTGGCTCCCTCCCAGGTCGCTTTTCTTTGATCACATTCAGAGGCCATCGAGTGGCTTTTTAAACACGTTCGATACGCTCTGAAATGTCGTACAGACGCACTGTATCCATCTGACACGCATCTCTTGTCCCGTCCTGAGACCCGCGAATCAAACCCCACATATAACGGCTCTCACGACTGGCAGGGCTAGAACCCACACATCCCGTGCTCAGCGGCTGTAAGCACTAACCAGGGCGCCCCTCTCGAGATCTCGGTCTTGCTCGCTCGGATCTCGAATGCCTCAATTCTGCTGCGCTGTTGGTTTATTCCAGATGAAGCTTCAAAGACCCTCAACCTTGAACCCCAATACGCGCTGTCAATTCTCCTGCGAGCTTGCGGTCACGGGCTCTGCTCATGTCTGATCACTTTTCGAGAAAGGTAGCCAGCTCCACACAGGGCCTTCGCCAGTCGAGGTCTTGCAAAGTTTGTCGAGCTCGAAAAGTCAAGGTGCGCCCCGAGCCCTGCTTCAAACGCGAAGCTTGAATTCCTGCATTGGCCTCCATTGAGTCGCTGTTTTTTTTCATGAAGAGTTCCCACTAACTGAGCACAGTGCGACCGAGTTAAACCATGTCATGCGTGCTGTACCCATGGGTACCCGTCAAAATGTGTTTACGAAGTTGTTCCAGGTGAAGACTTCAAGCCGATCTCGCAAGCTGAAGAAATCCGCAACCTGCGGAACGAAATCAAGGAGCTAACTGCCCGAATAAATGGTGGTGAGCTTTGGATTCCAATTACAACATTAGCTTACGCATTGCCAGGGTCGAATCGACCGCAGCGACGCCTCCACCAGTTACAGACACTCTTCGAGACCATCCGATCTGCCCCTGAGGATGTAGTTGAACGCCTTATCGCCGAGCTCAGAGGCCCTCCTCGAGAGACAAGTCGCCAGAACCCGCCTGTTGGACAATGGGACGACACAGAAGGTACGCCTAGTCGCTCAAGAAAATCGTACAGTGCTGTGCACTGACCGCGAGCTGTTGATAGGGTATGATGACGTTCAACAATTAGACGGCGAAGGTGAATATGGAGATGCAGTTGAGGGGGACGACCTCTCCAGTTTGGTTATCCGACGTGAATTTCGCCGAGACTCCTCCGAATCAAGTGACGACTCTGCTTATGGCTCTATAAGTCGAATGGATACGTCAAAATCTATGCTAGATGTCTTTATTGAACGTTTCGTTGATGCCTTCAGCCCAGAGGTCGATGCCAAAGCTGGACAAGCGGGTGCAATCCGGCGCGCGGCCGAAATCCGCATGTTTTCACCAATTTTGACTGATGCCTTTCAAGCCGTTAGTCATGTCTTCTTCGGCCGCTCCGTCCAAAACAAAACCATTGAAGCGACCGGATTTTCCTACTATCCTCGCGTCCTTAGGAGCTTGCAGGAGGCTTTATTAGACCCAGAGCGGAGCAAAGCTGAATCTACTCTGGCCACGGTAATTCTGTTGATGGCATTTGAGGTATTTCCCCTAGACTTCACGTTGGAGAACTTCCTAACACACACCAAGGCAGTTGAGCGGACTTCTCAAGCATCCATTACCGCACATGTCCAAGGCGCTGTGCGACTGATTGAGCACCGAGGCCCGGAAAACCACATGTATGGGGTGGAACACCTTTTCTTTACCGAACTACGTCCATACTGGGTAGGTTTCCTACTGAATTATTCGATATTTGTTTGATTCAACATACTAAGAAAAAACAGGTTTCTGCATCCTTTTCACGCCGCGCCCCTTCCTTCCTTGCTCGAGACGAGTGGAAAACAATACCGTGGTCAGCTGGAACAACTGCGAAAAACATCCTCCATTATCTCCTCGACCTAGCAGTGGAAGTACCAGGGCTGTTATCCCAATATGATGAAATTACCACGGGAATAAACTCGAATATACTGAGCGCACACGAACGATCGGTCAAACAAGCAGCATTGTGGAACGGACTCGCTGATCTGACAAACCGTTTTCTCCTGTGGAAGATCAACTGGGTAGACGGATACCCAGATGGACCGCCAAGCGAGGTAGAGGCCACAGACGAGGGCCTGTTCCCCGTTTTCCAGTGTCGTGACCTGCGCACCGGCGCCACTATTACCCCTACAAAATTCGAGTACCCAGATCTCCTTCTCACGCAGACAATGTGCATATACTATGCCACCCGCCTGATTCTGTCGTCCGTCGACACGCGGCCGGACGGAGTCAGTCGCCCCGAGCAATACCAACTGGCATGCGGTATCTGCCGCAGTCTCGAGTGGTATATCCTAAAGTCACCCGGGAACATGATCAACCGCCTCGCCTTCCCGGTTCGTGTGGCATGGGAAGCATTCCCGGACGGCGGACCAGAACGCAAGTTTCTCTACGCGGTATTGAAACTCGTGGAGAAGCGCCACTCCTTGGCCCTTTGGGGTGGTGGAATGGAAGAATTATCATCGCGGTACAACTCGCCTCCGCGGACGGATGTATAAAGTGGATATAGTTACAGTAATGATCTCACGATTTGTGCGTGGACTGGTAATGACACATATGGGAAGCTTAGAGGCGCGGGCGCAGTTCGTATATAGCTTCTGTCCTGGAGACGGCGTGAAGGGGATTGTCAAGCGATTTTCGGATTGATACCTAGATAATATACATATTATCCTCGTTTTATCCTTCTTGCGAGTTCAGCTGACTACATACGTATATACCTGGCATGTCATATCCGTCTTCTGTTCTTGGACACCGTAGGTCAACCGGAACTTGCTCCCACTTATTCTTCGCTGCAGTAAATCCCATGCTGGGCATGCGTAGGTCTTGGCGCGTGAGAGAGATCCTCTAAACTCGGTTTAGCACGTTAAAAGTACCACGATGTCTCTCCCATCTTGACCCAGCATATTGACCTCGACTTCTTCTTGTGGTATAATCAAACCTTTCAAGGTATTTCATTCAATATAAGCCATTATAAACTCCAGTCCACGGCCACCAAAGCTCGTCCAGACCCTTTATCCGCTTTATCAAAGCCCGATAACACATCACTCGATCCCACGCTGCTCGCGCAACACATGCGAGGGCATGATACGCCAGCGAACTATTCAAAGCAGAACGAATTGAGGCTTTCCAAGCTCAACAACTGAGGGTAGCCCTAGAAAGGTAGCCATGCTCTTCTGTCACCACTTGCCAATCATCGGCCGGCTTTCTGGTGACACGAGACTATGCATAAACTCTGGTCAAACGCCTGCAGTTCTACCAGCGCATAATAGGGGTACGGGCACCATTCGCCCTGGGTGATACGACACAGCTGATCACTTATACTTCGCCTTAAATCTTCATATAACACACTCTATAACAGAGGCACGGCAGCAGCAGCGATTTACGCGTCTAGCCGTTTGCTAGTAGTTGAATACTTCAATCTCAGACAGAAATAATGTCAGCCGATGACTTTGATTCAGTGACAGAGTTATAACAGCCGCGGCGATATTGGCGTGTGATGAGGTAAGTATTGTTTCCTCCATTGATCTCTATCACTGCTATGGTATATCTTTTTACGAAGGAGAAAGCAACTTCCAAGCACCGCGCCGAAAGAGCCGCGCTGCGATATCTTCCATGAGGTGCTTTTCCTGGACAAGAAGGATGATTGATTGAGTATCTCGACAGCTTATATTTTTATTCCCGTTATGACTGGTAAGTATAACTTGGTTCGACAGCCGGGATCTATCATGATGTCGCACAGGGCATGGGAGGCGGATCGTGGGTCCTTATCTGGCTAATGAATATGGACGGTTTCACTGCGTATCATGATCAAACGCCCACAACTGGAGCCAGACCTCTTTGCTTTTTGGTTCCTACTATGATTCCTGCGGGTAAAATACTAAAATTAGCCCCACAGATCCACTGCGGTGCGCTTGCGTTTGCAAAATTTGGCCTATCCAAACGCCCGCTCCCTATTATATCTTCTCCCCCAGACCGCCGTGCCTTCGTTTCTTCGCTCGTGCCCGCACTTCGTCTTCATCTCCTCATCTGACCTATCTGATTCAACATGGCAAAGGAACACTCTCTTCCCTACATCAAGTACGCTGTTTCCTATTCCGCTTTGCGAATGCGAACCGGCTGACAGCTGTCTAGCTTCCTCCACTCGCCCACCATCTCGCTTCAAGCGATGGAGGCAGGTCGACCATTCCATATCCACCGAGACCTTCTAGCGAGCAAGTCAAAGAGTATCAGTGCAGCATTCGAACGCGGATTCCAGGAGGAGCTGAAGGGTGTTTATACCTTCCAAGATACCTCAGAGGGAACACTTGCCCGGTTCATCGAGTGGGCCTATACTGGCGATTATCCGGCCATTATCGTCCCTGCCCAGCCCACCGGAGCGCCGGCGAAGAAAGAAGAAGAGAGCAATGAGACGGACAAACTCCTCACGGCTATCGGGGGCCAACCAACGGCTACCTCCATGCCGGGCAACCATCAGCTCCCGGCACATATGCGGATATACATATTCGGCGCGATCTACCTCATCCCTAATCTGCGAAGTCTGGCCTTTGAGCGCGTAACTGCGTGCTTTACTGAGCTCGACAAACCCGAAGATCTCGATACCCAGCTTGCTGTCATCGCTGCACTTCGACTTGCCTTTCGGAAGCTATTGTCGGATGACCCGCTGCTTGATTGGCTAGCGCAGTATGCCGCCTATAGTATTGAGAAGCTCCGTGTACAGAGAGACTTTCATGATCTCCTGCTTGAATCTCCTCAGCTGAGTTCGCGGATGGTGCTCTCGTTAATTCCGGGCCAACAGCCGCCGTGGAAGTCGCCCCCGCCCAAGTTTACATTCGGCAAATATGTGCCCGGGACGGAGTATGACGTTGAGTCGGAGTATTAGTGGTCTCACCGGTTGGGGACGGAAGAATTTCTTTGAGGGTGCAGCCGACAAGCTGAGCATGCATCTTTTACCTTTGATGGCAAGAAACAAGGGATGGATCTACAGAATGCACACCACTTACCCTGCAGCTTGTGGAATGTGACTAGAAACTAAGCCTTTGCTCCTTGTACCGTTTACTGGCCCCACATCAAATGATCACCAGGGTTCTCCCCCTAAACGTTCTATAGAATTCTTCGTCGAGGCTCTAGTCCTTTACTAAAATTCTTCACCACGGAAGGCTTAAGCCGTGGCGACCATCGCGCCGTCCAACTACATAATCTGGCTTGCGCTACGGCTGCAGGTTTTATTTCCCTTTCCGTTCTCTCTTGTTCCATCTTCTCTACCGCGGTTTCGTTCCCATCATGGCGTGTCTCAAGGACTTTGCTCTGCTTTCGGTACTCTTCCTGCAGGCGTTCCCTGTCGGCGCAGCACCAGCCCCTGTCGATGGCTATCGCGCCTTGACGGACCATAATCCTCTTCACCTTGCGAATATCGAGCCCTGCGCCGGTCCTGATGATTGTGGAGAAGGTGAGGAAGGAAATGGCGCAGATAGCAATGGCGATTCTGGTGACCATGAGAGTGGGGGTGATAACAAAAATGGTGGAGATCCAATCACCACTATAACCGACTGGTAAGACGGCCACTGCCCTAGATACTGCAACCATTGCCTTACTCGACGATCCTGACATCAACAGCCCCGGCGTCCCAACGACCACAATCACGATTACCACTGATAACCCTGACGGCACCGCAACCGCAACGATCACGTCGACGACAACAATCACCGAAAAGACTACGGACGGTGAAGGCACAGCCAACCGCCCGACGCAGACAGACACGATCATCCAGACTATCACCGACTGCACCGCGACCACAACTGACTATACCACTATTACCGCGGACGCGTCCACAATCACCACAACGGTCACCACCGCTGGCCCAACAGTAACGAGCACGACGACGACGACCGAGGGTGCCGAGACTGTTACAGAGCCGGGCGTGACGACGACGGAGACGCTCACGATAACTGTTGACGAGACAGTCACCGAGACAACGACGTTGACGTCTCACCAGATCGAGACAGAAACTCTCACAGAGACTGAGACGCAGACGGTTACGCTCAACCAGACCATCACGACGACCAGCACCACGACGTCAGTTTCGACGACGAGTATAACAACAACAGAATCATGCTCCGCAACCAGCACGGCCGACCCCAATCCCGATCCCACCCCAGAGCCAGAACCCAACCCGGGCGTCTACGGAACCTGCACAGACCCGACAATAAACTACGTCCTCAACAGCAACGGTCAATACATCTATACAACGAACAACCAGGACGACTTCCCCTTTGGCGAATCGCCGACGATCCAGAGTCCGGCGGCACTGATCTGTAATCGGCTTGAGAGCCCGTGCAATGCGCCGCCGGAGACTGTGGCCGCTTGTCGGGCGACGATTGACGGGGTGAGTGGGTTGGAAGGGCCAGCGGCCGCGGATGCGTGGAATGCGGCGTTGTTGGGGATTGTTGGGTGAGATTATCACTTAAGTGGGACTATCAGTTCTGAAATTCGGCTATGGATGGATGGGAATACGATAGATTGACTGATCGGCCTGGAATATCAGAGACAAAATCAATTTTTGATAATATTATCATCAGGTTTTTCGCTGGATCGCTCGCTGTATAGACGTTCTTGAAAGTCGCTCACATGCTCACTTCGAAATCGCGTCATAGAGCTGTGAATGAAATCGACATCCTCTTTGATATACCCACACCTACCCCTTCATCGCCTCACTCGTCATAAAACAACAATGACAGACAAAGCCACACCCCCAACCATTACCACAGTCATTGAAGCCCCTCCTACTCCCCCTCCCCCTCGCACGGTAACTCTCCCCGCCCCATCTGTCTCACTCGCCGTCGCATTCGGAAACACCCTCTCGCGACACGTCCCCGACAACCCGCCCGCAAACGCCCACTGATCACGCGGGTCGCACTGCGCGATACACTCGATCATCGGTAATCCGTCGAGACCGCGACATACACATTCTTCCATTGCGCGGCCCGTTTCCTCGCCGCTGCACCAGGACGCGCTGGGGTGGGTTGTTACGCAGGTGTCGACGCAGGGCGGGTAGCGAGTTGCGAGGGTTGGGGTTATCAGTAGGTTGACGAGGAGGATGATTAAGGTTAATAGTAGGATGTTTGGTGAGAGGAGTGGTAGTGGCGGTGTGAGTACTGTGCGAGGCATTGCGATTTTCTTCTTTCGCAATGTGTTACATAGACAAGTCTTGGTCCTGAGGAGAGGTCGAATCCGTGCCCTGCAGACGTGGATGGATTGGTATGAGATCTTTTGGAGGTGCACGAGGGATGAACTCTGAAAAAATGAAGTCCAGACAAAGTTCACCGGCACCCACGGTTATATCACATGGCAACCCCAGGAGAGAAAAGCAAACCTGCGGACGAGCTTGATTTGGATCCTTGCGGGAGTCCGGCTGGAACTGGGCGATGTGGTTGGAGGCTTGAGTCGATAGTGCGTCATTTGGACGGGGGATCGCCGCGGGGTGGAGATCATTTCCCTTGCTGCGATTGCGAACCGAACCGTGGGTTGACCGGAGCCTGGTTTTGGTACCGTGCTGTGTAAGATACCAATTTGTTGTCTACAGCCATCTAGGCTTTGGACCTACTTTACCTCTGCCCATGGTGGCCTCGGTTTATGCACGTAGTACATCCGAAGACGAACTAGTAGAACCTTGTAGAAGATAATAGAGTGGTGGGCGGCCAACTGGAACTGTTCGTTGTGATCCGAGAACTAATATATATATATATATCCTAGGATAGCAAGGTCACTACTGAACCGCGAAAAGGATACAAATATAGGGCGGCAGGGTCTGTTCAGGGCCATGAGGAACAACAGTTGACAGAGCAGTATATAGCAAATTCCAGTAGTTCAGGAATCTGTCGCGATTTCGCTTCCCCATCCCATGGTGCGGCAAATGCCTGAGGCCAAAAAACAGCAGCCTTACGTTATGCCCAACAGGAGCGACGAGTGCGAGGCTAAGCCAAACGAGGGAAGGCGCGACCCGCAGTAGCTCCTTCCTCAAGGAACCACCAGCTCAGCCATCTTCAGTTGAAGTCAGGTCAGCAGCGGGTTTTAAAGAGGTGTGTCAGTCATTGGGACTGCGCAGATGGGCTCACGCATTCCAGTTGCAATGTATCTGCGAGATGGTCTACTACGGCGCTCTAAGTAAAGGCTGTGAACTGTGCCGTCGCCGGAAAATCAAGGTCCGTCACCATCGCCAAAACACACATCCAAAACCACAACCACAACCAGGACAAAATCCGTGCTAACTCCGCCAGTGCGACGAGCGAAAACCGAGCTGTCGGAAATGCGAGATCTCGAATAGACCATGCCCGGGGTACCGCGATCTAACTGCCATTTCCTTTCGCGATGAATCGTCTCGCGTGATACGCAAAAGCTGCCGACAAAGCGCGCCGCGTTCAACGATCGGAGGAGGAGGCGGAGGAGACAGTATAATCTGCACTCCGTCGTTATCCTTTCCAACTGCAGATCTTGCGGCGGGATTCTTCTTCGCAAAGTACAATATCTACAACGGGCCTTATTTCTCCAGTATATCGCATGACTGGCTGCGCGAGGTCTATGTAAAGGATCCGACGTGCCATGTCCTGCAGACCGCCATTGAGGCTGTTGGTCTAGCGGGGTTGTCCAATACATTATATGCACCTCATTTGGCTGCTCTGGCTCAGGATAGATATGGCAAGGCGCTAGCAGGCTTGGACGGGGCGTTGCAGGATCCGTGCATTGCGACTCGGGATACGACGCTCATGGCGGTTATATTGCTCGGTCTATTTGAGGTCAGTGACGCGGCCCTTCAAGATAAATTGTTCATCTCACTGACTTTATACAGGTGGTCGCGTCTGATGCAGGGGACGAAAGTCGGTTTTGGATAGCGCACGCTGCCGGGGCTATGGCTTTACTACAGCTTCGAGGGCCTGACCAGTTTGCGCGACCGCGAGGAGGACAACTGTATGTTTTCACTCGGTCGCAGATTGTGGGTGTGAGCCTTCATAATATGACAGACCGCAGCTAACTGTTGTGTAGCTGTCCGCCTGCATGATTCGGAAACTTCCAGTTCCTCCAGCACTGGTCAATGTCACGTACGAGTTTGAGACCAGCACTCTCCGCCAACTGTGGAAGGATAGCAACCTCGCGACACCTGGTTCAATAAGCGAGATATGCTTTCGGCTGGTGAACCTCCGAGCGGTGATTGCTGACAAATCCTCTGAGGATCCCGCTGCTATTCGCGAACGGGCATTCTCAATTGATGCAGATCTTGAGGATTGGAAAGTCAGTGCTGGAATTAGATGGACGTATGATGAGCTCTGTGCAGCAAGCTCTACGAACTCTACCTTGTTCATGGGCAAGTACCATCGCTACGCGAATCTCTGGATCGCGAGAGCATGGCTGAATTTCCGTGTCATGAGGATCGCCGTGAATCAAATAATCATCGAGAATGCGGTCAAATTTGAGTTTGCAGATGAGATTGTATCTCGGGCTCGCTATCTGGTGAGGGATCTTTCCTCCGAGATATGCATATCCATATCGAGCTTTGATGACAGTCCTCGTAAGTACTGTATATGAACCGGCAGTTTCGGTCCCGACTAACCAGCCTTGTAGATCTTCTCCATGTCATCCAACCTCTCTTCCTGGTTGCGGAGGAGCCACTCAATCCAGCGTCGATGCGATCTTTCGCCGTGGAGCAGCTATACCGGATTCACAAATCAACTGGTGTTCGACGGGCAGGCCGTCTGGCTGAGATTGCAGCACGATCTCTGTGATCAGGGGAGTTGACATCTCATTGGGCAACCAAACCACTTGTACAAGTGCGTCGCCCTGTGCAAGCGGCTGCTACCCCCATCCCAGGACCTGAAGAGGAAGACCAGTATTTCCCTGTTAGCCTAGCTCGTCGTTGTACAAGAAATGCGAGGCGGGGATTCTGCGCTGCGTGGCCAGTAGAGATGGCAGGTCGTGTGGCTATCGTGGCTGACGTGGCTGGCGCTGACCCTGCGAGTGTTGGGATCTCCGACCATCGTTTCCCCACACCATCATCCACCTCCGCCATGCATCGCCTCCCAATCGAGATTATCCAGTACATCTGCGGCTTGGTACGCCCGTCTCCACTGAGAAGAAATGAAACTAATGAAACCAGCTTAGGGACGATGGCTGCTCTGATCTTTCTCCGCTGCGGCTCGTAAATCGCCTCTGCTGCCTGGCGGTTACGCCCGTCGTGTTCGACAACCTGACCATCAAACTACGAGCCGGTACCGACGTACACGATCTGTTACTCGAACTCGATGATTTTGGTATTGGTAGAAATTATCTCCAATATACCCGTCGGCTCAACCTGGTCTGCATCCAGCACTGGCTTCCGCGCCACACAACTCGGGGTCTCAAGGAGCTGCAGCCTAACCTGTTTGGTTACATCCCCAGAGCTGCGACCGACTCCTTTCTCACGCCATATCTCACCACAGCCGGAGTTCCAGGTTCAGACTATGAGCGCTGGAAGTGGATTTTTAACTTCTACAAACCCGAAAGCTGGAAGCCACTTGTCGACCTGATTGCCAAGTTCCATCGTCTCGGCGTGCTCAATTATGGCCTGGCAGATATGTTTCCTCCAGCACTGGCTGAGGCCTTTAGACTGTACCACCCTGGCTGCACCCTAAATATCTGGAATAGCTATCTTCCCGCAACAGCCGGCAATACTAGTCAGCGAATATCTCTAGGCGCTTTATCTTCTCTCAATCCTCGCAGCTTCGTTGCAGTTTGCCCGGCCCAGAACATGGAAACTCCAAACCATGTTTACGGCATTTTACTGCGCGAGATCCTTCCCGGGCTTGCCGCATGTTCAAATCTCAAGCACCTGGCCATCCATTGGGGGAATCCCACCCTTCTCAACAGATTGAATAACCTGGTCAAAGACTGGTATACTCGTCCACAATCCATGTCTCGGCCATGTCTACAGTCCCTCATTCTCCGGGGCCCCAGCCCCCTGACCAATGGTCTTGGCGCATTATCGAGGCTCTATAATCTGTCTCAGCTACGCTCACTAGACTTGACAGCGTCCTCCGGGTTTGATGTTCTACGGCAAGCCTCCTTACTTTTCAAGCATCTCCAGAAACTCTACGTTTCGCTGGACGCTGAACCTTATCCAGCTGCCCTGCACGATATCGAGGATAGAGTAGACATCCTCCAGTCTTTTAAACCTTTACAGTTTTTGTGTCTTCGCGGTGTTCGACAAGAACGTACCATATCTGATATTCTCGCAGTCCATGGCTCAACGTTGCAAGGCTTGATCATCGAGGTGACACGCCGCGGGTTTGGGCCTGATTGCTCTTTTCAACCCTCCAATTTAAGCCCTCTCTGCATAAGCGACATAGCCGAAGCCTGCCCAAATCTACGCGAACTTCGGATACCGATACTGCGGACCAAGGGGGACAGATACGAATACGCAAAGTACAAAGCACTGGGGCAATTCCACCACCTGCAAATTTTGATCATCGACCTGCTCTGTGACCCCCGATCGACTGTCCCTTCTAACCGGGTTCCATCAATGGCCGACATGGTAGGGCACAGTCTCGCCAACGCGGCGACGGACAGGAAGCTGGTTGAATCCATTTGGAACGCCATCTTCCAAAACCAGTTGACCAAGCGACTCCGAAAGCTATCGTGTATTCACTTTGGGTCAGAGTGCTTTCCGTGGACGCAAGAATGGGTCATGCTGCACCTTGCCCAATCGTTCCTTGTGCAACGTCCTGAAGGCGCCACTCACCCCGTGGAAATACAGCCGATCGGGCGCAAGTCCCTGGCCCTGCGCATGGAGGAGAAATACCGATCTGGCAGTCGGAGTGGAATGGATGTAGATACGCAAGAGGTCTTTGACGAGCTCTGGCCAGGGGACGGGCCTTGGGAGACGAGGTGGAGGAGTTTCCCCCTTGACACATCCGGTATCTGGACTGGTGCTGGGCCTTCCGATCAGTCACGTCAGCAAGTCAACTCTGACCCTGTGTCTCACCCTAGAGTGACGGGCCCGTTCATCAAGGTCATCCGTCGGCGAGCGCGCGGTATGTCTTAAAGCCTATGATAGCGGACTAGCAGTGGCACAAGGTACTCCAGCAGCGTAATTGGTTAAACTTATCCTCATGGGATCTCTAAATTGTCTTGAGGCTTATTTCATTCAGATCCCCAAGTGGATCAATTAAGCTTTACACAGATCATACCTATTGTAGGTCTTCAAGCAGGCCAACCAATCAACTATATAGTAACGCTAGAAACACTACTCCCTCCAACGTCAGAGTCAGGATCAGATTCAGCATCCTCTGAACCCTCACTAGCCCCCTCACCCTCATCTAAATCAGGCCACACAAATTCGCCCCAGCCGTCATCATCATCCTCTTCCATCTCTCTTACGCCATCACTACCAACTTCAACCCGATCCCAGAACTCACCGTAAAACCCCTCCTCGGGGACATCGTTTGTGATGACAGGTAACGGGACCGCCTTATCTTCATCGACGCTCACCATCCAATCGTTCCGAAACAGATCCAGAACGAGATGCCACCCGTCCTCAGACTCATAGAAAACAATCGGTGGGATGAGCAGCTCGGGCGTCTGCACCTCGCCGTCAACGACGATCGTGATAGACGGTAGACAATTTCCCCAACAGGCGGCGAAATTCAGCGGCGGCAGGGCCCCGTGCGCCGTCTCCGAACCAGGGCCAGAACCGCGCAGGACAAAAATCTTATCATCCTGAACTAGGATCTGCGATTCATTGATAAAGACCTCGTGGCCCAGAATCACGAGCGGGACCCCGAATAGCCGGTCGCGCGTATACGCCCAGCACTTCCGGTAGTCTGTGCGGACGTCCGGGTCTCGCCATGCGTCGAAAGTCTGCCAGCAGTGGAAGATGCAGCAGGGTGGGTGGGACTCTTCATATTCGTCGTCATCGGCGTCTGGAGATACGCCCTCCCAGCGGCGGCGTATGAAGGGTTCATTTGGGTGTGTGCGGATCAGCGGGGTGATGTCGCTGGTTGTCAGGCGGGATATGGCTGGACGCGTTGAAGTCAAAGGGATGGGCTCGTCGTCTGCGTCGAAGAGGCGCCAGATGTCGGAGGTGGATGAGAGGGTGGCGCGGAGGGGTTTTGTGTCGCAGAGGGTGCGGAAGGGGCGTGTGGTGATTTTGCAGTTGAGGTAGTCGAGGACGGCGAGGATTGCGCAGTCGGCTGGTGTCATGGACGCGTCTGGGTCTGGCGTGCGCTTGAAGTAATAGTCGTACCCGTTCGTGATGAACTGCGCGGTTCGAAAGGTCTTGTGGAGGTAGAGCGGTGCTTTATCTGGGGCGCTGGTGTCTTGTTCGAGGGCCCAGTGGAGGGAGTTTGCTCGCTCAAAACACTCGTGCGCGTACTTGCCCAGCTCCTCGCCAAAGACGTCCTGCCCCGTGAGATAACACGCCGTGGAGAAGAGGGGCGCAATTCGAGTATCGTGGATGAGGGTGTCGTCCTTGAAGATGAGCTCCGTGCGAAGGAAGACTTTGTCGCGGGAGAGGAACGGTTGACCCTCGTGATGGAGCCTCTGGTCGAAGATTACGCAGGTGAATTCTTCTATCTCTTCTAGATCGACGTTGTCGACGCGAAGGGCAGGATTGCCGGTGCCAGAGGACAGGTATATAAGCAGTGTGTACTTTGATACATGGGAGCGTTCGCTGTCGTAGTATGGTGTGTCGAGGTGGTTCGCGAAGCGGGTATCCCCCGGTGAGAAGCGGTTGCAGCGGAAGACGTAGTTGACGAACTCAAAGGCAGGGGCAAGGGAGCCATCCGTTAGATTCGCTAGGATGCCGCTGTTGCGGATGGCGCTCGTGAGCGCTTTGCTCAGGAGGGCAGAGTGGAAGATGAAGCGCTGGCCGCCGCGCGCCTCCTTGTTGAGGGGTTGCGTATAGAGGTCTAGCGAGGAGAGTTCCTTCAAGAGGCTGACGGATTCCCCATCGAGCTCGCATGTTAGGATGTCGTGCAAGAAGCTTGGTCGTTTTGGAGGGGTGAATGACAATTCGAGGTTCCCTCCGTGTGCCTCCATCCACCGATCCAGCGGGACAATGTTCTCGAAATTGTGATATGACAACTCCAACGGGTCCACAAAGACAGCGAAGAGCCTTGGGGTCTCGAGTATCTGTGCGAAGAAGACAACGCTCAGTACGTCGATCTTTTGGTCAAGGTTCTCGATGAATTTGAGCACTTTGTGGCTTGCTGATGGACAGCAAGAAACTTGCATGCCGTCGATGCTCGCGGTTTCGATTGGCTGTCCGATCACCTCGACCATACCATGAAGAATCCGCTGCTCGCGCTCATCCGCGTGGCCCTTCCACGCAGCAAGATAGAGATCGCGAACGCCGGCCGCAACAATCCATTTCCTGTTCTGACTTAAATCCCGATATCGCTGTTTCCCGGCGGCCCCATCTGCAATCAACCCCTCGAAATAGGGCAAAGAGCGAAACCAAACACTCTCCCCATCGTCCTCGCTCGCATGCTCAAAAATAAGCGGCGAGATTGCTCCGCCGATCGCGTATCCGGATAAAATGTCGCGGATTAACACCGGGCCATCACGAGCGTCCGGCGTCAGATGATTCCGAATAATGGTTTCGTCGATTGTGTAGCCACCATCGTCACGAAGGGTGCACCACTTCGCGCAGGGGCCTTGGGATCCGCGTGCGGTCTGTCCTGTCCGCTGCTCTGCGTCTGCACGGCCTCCCTCTCGCTGGTCGCGTTTCTGCGGAGGCGTATCTTGGCTGTCTTGCGATAGCTGGCGCTTCCGGCTGGTGCTGGGATGGTCCATTCTGCCTTTGTCAAGGCGAATTTATGGATCCAGGCACTGAAGTATCGCGGGCGCATCAATTGAGAAGGCAGCAGGGGGCTGCGGCCGCTGGAGCCTGGAGGACAGATCCATCTCGTATCTGGGGCACGTGCTCATCCCGATCATCCTATCAGCGACGTTGTCAGTGGAGGCCGAAGAAGGCCCTTTACACTTGATTAGCTGGACGCTTTCAAAGTAAGATGGACATGGTACAGGAAGGGCCATGGGGTGAAGAGAAATGAGACTACTGCCTAGTGCGTTGAGTTAGGCATGACAGCTTTAAGGTCGGAATAACTACTAATGGGAGGCGGGCATATGAAAGATGCGTCTTGGACTGTCCAGCGTGGACTGGGCCTCCAGACATGGGAGGTATATTCTGGACTATAGTACATCAAAAGAAACAGACGGTGAAAAAGGGGCAGGCGTTGGTAGTAGAGGGCGCTTTGGTAGTTTGTCCAGCGTCGTGATCCTTCCATAGTCGAACCCTATGCTGTAAAGGCGCCTTCTCTAAGGAGAAAAGAAAAATTGAAATCCTCCAAATCCCATTGTGGAAGGAGTAAAGAAGAAAGAAACGGGCATTCTACTGCACATGGCGGCGTCTGCGACGACGGCGTGAGCATTCCTGGCCACCCTTGTTACTCTCATCAGGCACCGGAGTCGAAGTGCTCGAGGGAACAGTAGATGCCGAAGAGGTAGAAGGACTGGAAGGCGTCGAAGCAGGCGAGGGAACAGAGGTAGTAGCAGGACTCGAAGGGGCTGTGGAAGAGGTCGTCGTCGGAGTCTCGGGGCTCTCAGAACTCCCGTCACCTTCAGCGCCGGCGGGCAAGGGCGTGCAATCGCCGTCGTCCGGGCTCTCAAGCGTGTTGGGCGTGTGGTCTTCGCAGTCATTGGGCCACACGGCCGGGCCAGGGGCCGTGTAGTTTCGGAGAGGTGGCCAGTACATTCCCACGAGGATACCCGGTTCGTTTCCAGTGTAGGCGCCGGGGAACTGTACGGTGGGACCTGGGGTTCCACTACCACTGCCGGTGACCTTGATCTGCGCACAGCCAATGTAGAATTGTGCGCCGCCGAACTCACCGGCGCCATGCAGGGCTAAACCCTCACCGCGCATTAGATACTCGCCCGCAGGCAGGTCCTCGGGCAGGTTAAAGACAAAGCTTTTGATACCGACATTGTCTTCGAACGGAGCCCAGGTGATCGGATCAGAGGTCAGGTTCGAGGTCGTGAGCGAGTAAATCTTGAACCAGTCGCCGTCGCCCTTGTACGTCTTTGCTGTCTCCGGCGCCTTGCTGAGGTATACCTGCTGGATGCCCGGGTGTCCCCAGAGATCGCGGACCGTGAAGCCGACCTGGTCTCCCGGTGCGACTTCGTACGTTTCGGTCTCGGCGAGGACGTCGTCGTCGATTCCACCGTTGTTGCAGATTATGTCGGTGGATGTGACGTCTTGTACTGGGCTGTTGCTGTTCTTTGTACGGCGGACATATTGGTACTCTTCGGTAACTTCACCGTTGACGATGAGCGAGGCGAGGTTCCAATGGGCCGTTACAGAGGGGACGAGGGCAAGGGATGCCACAAGGGAGGGGGCGATCCAGCGCATTTTGAGTGAATGCAGTAGGAAGGGCTAAAGAAAGAATGTTCCTCTAGTTTAGAAGATAAATGAACGAAATCCAGACCAGCTGGTTGAGAAAGGAGGGTGTGGGAATGGAATGGAATGGAATGAACGTGGTGAAGAAGGGTTTTCGAAGGGTTAGACGCCATTATTATACTGTAACAATGTGCTTCTCTTCCCCACTCGATATCCTGAGATTGAACCCTTGGCGCTGTCTCATGTTGAGGCGCCTATGCAAGGTGCTGACGTTCTTCCCTGAATCGGCGAGACGCCCTACTCCGGAGTAAACTCCTGTTGCGACCATGGCAAACAAAATCTCCATGCAGTCCTGCTTGCAATGTTTCATATTTAGACGGGGATGGGGCATGAACACCGATCCTTGCCCCTGGAGGCTCGCCAGGGTCGGCGGCTATCTTCCGCCCAGGGGGTCCACAGTGTATGTGAAACAGGAGCCGCCCTCCCAGCCACTAAGAATGCCGCATATCCCCCCTTTGCCTGTCAATCTGAGGCAGCGACAGTAAAAGACAGATTGTTTTCGCCGAGATACCGAGCCTCCTTTGTGCTTGGTGATATTCATGTCAAGTGAAGAAGGACCCTTCGAGGACACAAGCTGATCTGCGATGCCATTGCACTTACGCTGTCGTGGCACTGCTAAATGTCAAGGAAATGTAACTGGCTCGCCAAACGCTGCCATGATTGTTGTATACCACTGCCGGAGTCTGGGAAATATCAGCATGTTTGGTCGAGGTTCAGGACAGAAATCACGACCACGACCTGAGCTGAGCTGAGTTGGCGAGTAACACGAACCCGCACCCCGCCAGTCATCATGACAACCTTCAACAACCATGAAAGTGTGCAGAACCAGGCTACCAACCAGACGTTCTCTGGTCCAGTCTACTTTGGCGGCGATGCTTCGCAAAAAATAGTCCTTGCATCTCTCGCTTTTTCGGGCATGCTCGACCGACGCAGCGCCATACACGCCCTCGCCCGGACGTGTGTGAATGGATCTTCGGGCTGAGGCAATACACAGAATGGAGAGATCGCGACCGGGGCCTATTATGGATCAAGGGAAAGCCGGGTGCGGGAAAATCCACTTTGATGGCGTTTCTTCACAAGAGGGTGAAGAAACAGCTTGATCTAAACGCTCTTCTCGAGTTCTTCAACGCCTGAGGTTCGGAACTGCAACGCACGCCGCTAGGAATGCTACGGCCGCTTCTCAATCAGCTCTATCTCCAGGATGAGCGTGTTCGAGGAGCCTTACGCAAAGTCTACCAAGAGAAATGTAACACGTTTGGCCGCAATATACTCGAATCGAGCGACCGTCTGTGGAGCTGGCAGGAGCAAGACCTTCAAGACTTACTCCAGCAGTTTATTACCCAATCACCCCAGCTCCGAGCTTTGAGTACTTTCGTGGATGCATTGGATGAGGACGATATCGTTGCATTTATACATGACTCCTTTAGTATGATAGACAATGGTCGTACGATGAGTAGCAGGCTCTCAAAGATGAGCTGATAGAATGTGCCAAAGGAATATTCCAATGGGCGCGGTTGGTCGTATCTACGGTCGCGACCCAGATTCGTGAGGAGCGTCACTAAAGAGCGTTTATCGACTCATCATTCAGGGCCTCATTGACTTCGGGCACAAGAGGGACGCATACTCTCTGTTTCAGCTGGAATGCTTTGCGGAAATGCCATTAACTGCCCGAGGTTTTGTCGCCGCGATGGCTAGAAGCGACTCACTATGGTCAGATTTTGATGCTGAATGCGAGGCTCCAGATCATATTCTTCAGCTGATCGCTCGGAGGGTTCACAGCCGCTCCGGAGGACTGATTGAGATTGTCTCAGAAGCACATTCGCCAGGCCACAAAGTTGCACAGGCCATCCATCAATCAGTGAGTGATTTATCCTCGCCCAAGGCCTGAAGCACATGGATGCATCTCAAGTTGACAGGGCTGGCCCATTCCATATACAGAAATGTCAGGCCTTCCTTTACCGTTTGTGTCTGACATACTTTGCCACTACTAAGTTCGTGCAACGCAGCTTGACTGCTCGGGAAATGGAAATCATCACCAATGTGCAGGGCCCGTTTCTTACATACGCGGCAATGAATGTTTTCTGCCATGCCATGAACGCAGGTCTGTATCGATCAAGTGACGTGGAAGAGGAGGTTGGAATTCTTGAACAAGTCATTCCCCAGTGGTCACAGAGGCGGTTTCTATCACCCTACCTTTATGGGCTACACCTAGGCAGGATTGGCGACAGACTATTGGATATTGCCGCTTCCTGTGGCATGTATGATGTGGTAGATTACTTGCTCTCGCACGGCCAGGGAGTCAACGATTGCAATGACGAGGGATACACTGCGCTTCATTATGCAGCCCGCTGGGGACAGGAAGACGTGGCCAAACTACTTCTCAGGATAGGGGCGAATCGGTCGGCAACGAGAACTAATAATAATATGCCAATCGCAGAGGCAGCATATGGGGGTCATCTCCAACTCGTCAAGTTATTGCTCCCACGAGATCCTGATCGATTTCGCCATATGTCGTTATCGAAGAGTCAGGCAGACGCTGGATACCTCGGGAAGGCCCTTCAGCGAGCAGCCGGTGCTGGTCGGGAGGAGGTAGTGCGTCTCCTTCTTCAATTCGGAGCAGATGTTTTATCTGGGACTGGAATCAACGCATTACCTGTGGCCTCGCGCCGGGGTCATATCCGGATAGTTAGGCTGCTACTTGATGTTGGTGCTGATATGAATGTCACCACTGCGCTATATGGAAGTGCTTTACAAGAGGCCTGTTCTGAGGGCAGAGATAATGTGGTGCAGGCACTCCTCCAGCGAGGAGCCGATATCAACCTTCACTCTCCGGTCTTAGGTACCCCGCTACACGCAGCCTCGCGCGGGGGATACCCTGCGATTGTACGAAGGCTGATCGCTGGTGGTGTAGAGGTCAATACCTTATGTTTTACCCCAATGACTGGCCACCAAATTAGTGCGCTGCACGATGCAGTGCACTACGGCGATGTTGCGACCGTCCAAGTGCTGCTCGAGAGCGGAGCCGATATAAACGCCGGCTGTGGAACTTGCGGTACACCTCTGTTGTCAGTCATTAACAGGCTGAACCCACCGGAGAAGCAAGCCGAAATATTTGAACTGCTCGTCGAGTGCGAAGCCGATTCATCCATACCAGACATAAATGGCAATACACCACTACATCGTGCAGCATCCCAATGTAGCCCTGTCCTACTTAGGTTGCAAAACGAATCTGACCTTTTCAGCATACGGGATCTGTTTGGAAGAATACCGTTGCACTATACCGTCAGGGCATTGGAAGCCAATCTAGATGGTGCCTGGATGGTCCTTAAGCATACTTAGGACCCCCTTGTGCTAGACGGATATGGCAGGATCCCACTGGGCTGGCTCTTAGCTACCCAACGACATTCTCGTTCAATGATGTTGACAACTATCTCAGATCCCAAGACACAAAGTATACTTCAACGCCTGATCCTGTTAGCCACGCTATTGTTCACCGTTCTGTGAGCCGGTTGGCTCGTGCCCTTTTGGAATCCGGCTCCAGAAGCCAGTCACCTGGATATAATGAATTGGGTCACTGTCTGCTACTTCTTGGGCCAAACCAGGAAGCCCTGTTCGCCTTTCGCCAGCAAGTAGCAGGGTTCGAAACCGAGCCACACATCCCGCTATTCTTCGTGCATTGTGACTGCTGTATGACGGGGGTTCTTTCACGAGCACTTTTCTAAGTTGGCAACAGGCGTTATGGGCAAAATATTTGCAGTGGCTGTTTTTGGAGAGACGAGGAAAAATACGGGACACCGGGGGATCTTTTACAGGTCGTATGTGAAGCGACAGATTACCCAGGCGCTCGTGATGCTGATAGCAGGTTGACCGACGATATACCAGCCAGCGTGAGAGAATGGTTATTAGGGTTGATCCAGCAGTATCCTGACAATGGGGAGCGATGCTCCATGCAATACGGAGGGAAGCGTCTCAGTTTTGAAGATCCAGAGCTCGTCGCGTGAAGAGAGCTGAGATTTCGAGAAATTCCAGCTGAAATGCCGGCAGCCAGCCAGCCAGCCACAACCCCACTAGCACCTCACCACCAACCTCGGCATCGAGACTGCCTGCGTGCTGATGAATGCGGGGAACCTGCGCCGACCTTGCGAGCAGCTTGTTGAATTTGCGGGGGACCATTGATTACTGGCACGTAATCAGGGAATTACCAATCGGCGGACAATTCTATTGTCATCACTTGGTGTGCATAGCAGGTATGTAGGCGATACGCCATGCATTGTGCCAATTACCAATGCATCAGTTAGGCGTGCCTGCGCTATTCAGGTCTCGGGGCCGAATGTGGGGGGATCCATACTCGGCACGGGCGAAAGTGCACAGCCTACTCCGTAGCCTCCTTGGTACTAACGAGACGTTGAGGACACCTTGCTGCAGCATTTAAAGTCTGGATGACTCCCTCTTCATCATCTTCTCCGCTTCTCTTCAGCCCACAAGATTTCCACCACCCACCATGACCACCCCCGCCCCCACCGTCCACGGCCATTGCGACCCCCGCTTCGCGACCGTCGCCTCAGCGCTCGCGCGCCAAATCTCCAGCGGAAACGAACTCGGCGCCTCGATCTGCGTGAGCCTAAACGGCGAACCGGTCGTTGATATCTGGGCCGGCCACGCAACCCCGGCAAAAGACAAAGAGTGGGAAAAAGATACCATTGCGCCTGTTTGGTCGATCTCCAAGACAATCACCGCCCTCGCAGTCCTCCTCCTCATTGACCGCGGCCAAATTTCCCCGGATGACCCCGTGCACAAATACTGGCCGGAGTTCGACACCGAGGATAAGCGCGGTGTCCTTGTCAAGCATTTCCTAGCGCACACCTCGGGCCTGCCCTCGTGGGACCCTGAAATCAGCGTCGAGACGCTCTTTGACATCCCGCTCTCGACTGCGAAACTCGTCGCGCAGAAACCCTGGTGGGAACCGGGAACCGCAAGCGGGTACCACCTCATCTCGCAGGGCCATTTGCTCGGCGGCCTCCTGGAGCGCGTAACGGGCAAACCGCTACCGGAATTCGTCCGCGACGAACTCGCTGTTCCGCGCGACGCCGACTTCCACCTCGGTCTTCACGACGAGAGCCAATGGCCGCGCATCGCCGAAATGGTCCCCCCGCCACCCATGCCCAAGGAGTTCATGCAGGCCGCCGCGGCATCCAGAGCACCGGGCGGAGGGGGACCGGGGATCGGGCTGCGCGCGATGTTCGGATGTCGTTTGGACGCAGAAACATGCAATACGGCGCCCTTTCGCACATGCGGGATCGGGTCCATGGGCGGGATCTCGAATGCGCGCGGGTTCAACCGCATTCTGGATATCGTCACTCTCGGCGGCGCGGCGGGCGGGAAGAGGTACCTGAAACCGGAGACGGTGGATCTGATTTTCGAGACGCAGGCGGATGGGATTGATCTCGTTCTGGGATCGCCGCTGAAGATGGGAATGGGGTTCGGGCTTGTGAATGGGAGTCTGGCGTGGATGCCCGAGGGCAAGGTCTGTTTCTGGGGTGGGTATGGAGGGTCGCTGGCGGTTTTGGATCTGGATCGGAGGATTACGATTACGTATGCGATGAATCGGATGGAGATGGGGACGTTGGGGAATTCGAATGCGGAGGAGTATGTCAAGGCGGTCTATAAGGTGGTTGAGGGGTTGGGACAGGCGAGTTTATGAGGTGCAGCGTTGGGGGAGGAGCATGTACCTTTTGCTGGGTTTGCTGTTTGAGGGGAGGACTCGGTGGTGTGTACATAACGCCGACATGGCAAAGCAGATCTAGAATTGGAGATATAATTCCAGGACGTAACTACTTTTCGCACATAATTTGGTCTTCTCGCTAAGGGGCAGTCAGTCCGGTTTAGCACTTGATGATCAGAGCAACTCTTACGACTTCATCCTTGTGAGCCTCCTTCCTCTAGTGCCGGTCGCTCTTTCCTGCCCTGCTCATTGGGTGCTCCTTCCAAAAACAACAATATAAGTCAAGCTCAGGCCCCAGTGGGAAGGTGCGATGCAGCCGCCATTCTAGGAAGGAGCTAAAACATCATCTTTCGTAGTTTTGAGTCCTCGTCTCCATACCTACAGAAGGTTGCCAGCTTGAATCTGTCCGACCGGTGCCGATTGCAGTCTGTCTTCTGTTGCACTATCCAGTTGAGTCAGCATTCTCTACCATCATCCGTCATTTGTGAAAATTCGAAGGGCCAACAGCTCCGGCAAAGCCTGCATATCAAGCCGCTAACATTTGGTCCGTTCCGCGAATTGACACAGGGCAGAAAGTCGGAGCAAGCTCGAGCGGCAGGCTTCGGTTGTACGGCCAGGAAACTGTCAAGTCTCGTTATATCATCATGGACGAGTCTGTAGAGAAAAGATATAAGAAGGACAGCTTTGCTTGAAGGGCGAGGTTCGCCAGGGCTTCTACTATCGCATGTTCATGAAGCATTCTTGTATCATGTTGCGTGGTTTGTGCGCTTAGGTGAGGCTGCTGCTCGTCCAAGTGCCGTCTGAAATCTGGCGGATCTCTTTCAGTTGTTTGCAGGTTCAGCCTGACGTGTGGTCCTGCTGCGGAGGCATGAGGACCTGCTCGGCACCGCGCCAGGAAAATAATAACCTCATCTCTCTCCAAACCTTGTGGACACCAACAACTTGACCATCCTTGTTGTGAGGAACATGATTGCGGGGATAGCTCATTACTTTGTCGCCTGCCCTGGTCCTTTTATGCTCGTCTTACAGTCCGCTGCAAACTGTGTTCGCAACGCAGGTTACACCAAAACAAGCATTGCTGTCGGCTGGAGCCGCTGCTTACTCCGGACTGACTGGAGCGAAGAACCTCCACAGGAACCTCACCTTCCCTGAAACCTCTCTTCACCTTCAGCATCCTCCTTACAAGCATGTTCGACACCACGGAATTCACACCAATGTCAGTCTATGCATCTCCAAATCTCCCCGTACGGCACTCTGCGGGGGAGTGTGGCCCTCTCGAATATCAGGACTTCGTGCGTCATTTAGCGTTGACCAAAGAACTCGCCCACATTGGGCGTTGGCCAATTTTTAAGCGCCCGTATGCCTTGCTGCTACTCAATTGGGAAAACAATGCCAGCAACCCTGTAATGAAGGATTTGGACGAAGAGGGAATGTCGCACGTCGAGACGGGATTGGCGGGGCGGTATCCAGCTTTGGTGTCGAGTGCAGTGGCGTGCGTAGTTGGGGCGACCTCTGGAAGATCCGGGGGGGCACTGGCCAGGTGATTGGTGAGGTGATTGGACTGGATGAGGTGCGTGACATGCTCGAGTCTGCCAAGTATCGTTTCTTTGTCTCCGCTACGCACACACTGGCCAGGACTAACCATTCTCAGTAAACAAGCGTGGAAATTGTCCGATTTAGGACCGGGTTCGACCTCTGATTGGTTGCAAGCGAGTTATACAGATCGACACGGACGTCGGTCGTTTCCGCTCCTTTCTTTGTCGTTGAAACAGACTACTTCCTTCCGGATTGACCATCACTTATTTCACGCCTCAACAGCTTCAAAATGGCTCCTCCGTTTTCAACCCAGTTCATCAACAGCCTCGCATTGACCATGTCTATGCTTCTCAGCCCTTGAACATGAAACGAGGCCCTGGGGAAGCGCCCACGCCGTCAACTCATCAATGGGGGAGACCACCTCCGCTCCCCTGTCCCCCATGCCAGCAACAGAAACGTCGCTGCGATCGCAGCCTGCCCTGCTCCAATTGTCGCCAATGGAATCTTTCCTGCGAGTATTCCCTAAAAAAGCAACCGCCTCAATTCCTTGATGATGTGCCGCCGTCTCCTTCCATTTGGTCGAAGAGCAGGTCAGTACAATCCTGCCGTCTTCTAGAGGCTTCATCCAACGCTGCCCAGGAAAATAGACGAGGCTGCAGTTCGCTCGGGGGAAGCAGACCTGGCACCTCATTTGGTAGAGGACACCGTGCCACGAGAGACTGGCCGGCTTGAGATTCGCTTCACTCGGTTCAACTCGCATTCGCCGCCCAGGCCAGGCCACTGGCTCCCGTCGACTGCCTCATCTCTCGCTGCGTACCTGCCACCGAGAAATGAGGCGAGGATGTTGATCAATCACGCGGAACGAGCTCCAGGTGCGCCAACATGCATCCTGCACGCCCCCTCGATCCGAGCCTTGTTACAGCAGACTTATGAAGTTATGCTTGACGGCCAATACCCCGACCATACTAAGCTACTACTATTCTTTGCGCTGTTTGGGCTGGCAACATTAGACGCCACACTCGAATTCTTGCACACTCTAGACACCACACAGGACCAGGCCACAGCGGCCCTCAAGACGTACACGCAACTGGGTTGCTTTATTGCCTCCCAGCCCCAAATTCAGCCATCAACCAACGCGCTCGTAGGTATATGGATCTTACACTGGCTATGCACCTGCGAGAGCGGCCATTCGGTAGAAGCCCATCTACTGCGAGCCAGAGGTATACTAATGGCTCGCGCGATGCAAACACAGTGGCTCGACACTCCCAGGGCGCGGGAGGAACGGAGATTGAAGGGCTGCGATGTGGTCGAACTTGAGGTCAAGCGGCGGCTGTGGTGGATGATGGTTGCCACCGACTGGTACCGCCTGTGCCCCCCTGCATCTCTCGATATTCCCACTCACGACTTGCAGGGTTGTTGCCTACTCCACAGGGCCCCAGGCTGGAACATACCTGTTCCATCCCAAGCACATGTGCGTCCATTTACCGACTAATGCAGACGACGAGCACATCACGCCAGACGGTATATCGCACGTGCAGCCGACAACCGAGCCAACGGTAGTAGTAGGCATCATTTACCGTGTAGGGCTCACCACGCTGTGTCGAGAGACCGTGGACGCATTACCCTCTGCAATATTTGAGGGCCTGGAACCCGACTACAGCATCATCCTCAGTTTGGATGCACGGTGGCAGGAGTATCTCAGAGGTCTCCCGACGTTCTATCAGATGGACCCAGAATCCATTCGGCAGTCCGAGAAGATTTGCGCCCAACGTCCCGATATTGCGTTTCAGCGGACGACGGCCAATGTCGCCACTCACACCCAGTTATGCCGGCTGCACCGTCCATATCATCTCAAGGCGTTCAAGAATCAAAAGTACCTGCCTTCGCGCCAGGCCTGTGTCCGCTCTGCGCAGGCATTACTGAACCTTCGCCGCCCGATTAATGGAGAGCGAGATTCTCCGCCTGCGCAGACACCAAACACTTTCCGGGTTGCTGTGCCGCATCTCCTCATGGCCGCGCTGACTTTGGCAGCCGATACCTTTTTCAACCCTACCGCGCCAGACGCAGATGCACGAGAAGCCAAAATCCTCACGGCCTACGACATCGTTGAAAACGCGACCGAGGAATCATGCGGGTTTCGGCTGAATAACCTACGCACGCTCATGTCCATGCTGGGAAACCGACAACCCGCTGCCCTTCCTCAGCCAGGCAGCTTGATAGCCTCGTCCGATGGCAGGGGAACACCATTTGAGCGACAAACCTTTGACAGCATTCTTCTCCGTGGAATCGGCCAGGAGACGCTGAATGAGCGTGGGCCTTGGAATCAGAACTGGCCTCAGCTTTGGTCGGAGTTTCTGGTGGTCGCGCCGGGGCTGGACTTGAAGTATTGGGATATCCTGTTTGATGGTCCAGATGGAGTCTGAACTGCCATCTCGTTTAGCAGTGCTTGAAATGGCTTGACCTGCCGTTATGCATATGCTCAGCGCCGACTTTATCCTAAGCACGATATTAGGCAGTGTCTAGTCTCACTTGACGGCTGCCATTACTTCTAAGTATTATCCTGTACAGATTCAATGAAGGATGAGAATCAACCACGCCTGTAGCGGAGTCTAGGCGTATACTGTCGTCAAAGATTCTACTTAGTTCCAAGGGCGTCTGACAGCCTCTCCAGGACTAATCCCGTCAAGCTTTCTCTCCTGCTCGTTGAATATAATGAAGAAAAATGGCATTCAGGAAAATGACTTGTATATCAGCCACAAGTTAACCTTGGTTCAAGTCTTGGTTTCGTGACCCGCCGAAATCCACTGCTACTGGGATCACCACTCCGGATTCAGGAAACTAAGTCAAGGCGACGGGCTGTCAAGTTCGTGCCTGTCTTCAGTTTAGTATCCTAGCATCGCGCCGCGGTAGTTAGATGGTTTGCACGAGGTTAATTGATCCACCCATAATCAGGTAAGAGCCGAGTAGTCGGATGGCACTGCTGGATTTCCAGCGTCCTTTGTTCTATAGCTAGCTACCTAACACCACATAATCCTTTAGGCTCCATACAGCCAGTCCAGCTCAGCTCGCTTCTGAATAGCTAGCTCACTATTCCTGCATACATAAGTGTACATACCGTAGCATGCCCATGCCCATGCCCATGCCCGAGCCTCAGCCTCAGCCTTCCCCCGGTTCCCATCCAACCCCCCTGTCGGGAAACATGTCCGCGAGATCCCAGCAACAGCCAAGCATATATGATGCCGATGGGCTCACAAAGGCGAGGCGAGGCCGAACGTGCTGCAGATCTATGTCCTATATCCCCGGCTGCTTTTACTGTACTGCCTTTGTGTGCCCTACAAGTTGCGGCCGACCGACTCGGGATTCAGGTTATCATGGTTGTCGGATCCGATTCAGCAGTGGTAAGGCATCCAACTTGAAGGTATCAATCAGTTCGCCTCCCTTCGCTTCTCGATTCACAATACGAAAACTTGCCGGCTGGCTCACGACCCTAGGTAGCTTATTTTTTTTTCTTTCTTTCCGGAACGATTGATCTTCGTTGAGTGTATCAAGAACCAGAACGCTTTATGCGGGCTCATTGTTGCACCGACCTTGTATTTGTTGCTGTTTCAACCTCAGAGCAGGACAGAGGACTGTTTCTTTCTTTCTTTCTTTTCTTTGTCCCCCTGTTGCCTTTCTGCTCGGTAAGTAGGGTCCTTTGTAGTGTCTTGGGACTCGGGGGTTTCACGACTACAAAGCGGTCTTTGCACCGAGGATCTCAAGACGTGAGTTGATGCTGGGTGTCTTTTGAGATATGGAGATGGAGTTGCTAAAATAGGAATTCTTTTTGATCGCTGTAGAGTATAGAACGACCTTTTGCTTGGTCTCGATGGAGGAATAAACATATAAAGATCCCTAGATGCGAACTAAGCATAGTTTGGATATACATTCATATTTACAATCAAGAGATACCTTCGTATACATACACCACCATCAACCTGTATAGCGCCACCAACACCCCAGGATGGCAACACACCTTTTGTACCCAGGCCTCCCACAAGAGGTAACCGACCAGATCTTCAAATATGTCTTTGGCGGCACCCTCCGAGAAGCAGACTTCAAACACCCGCCCACGCCAGACCACTTCGTCATCAACCACGCATGGTACAACACCGTCGCGCGCTTCCGCTACCTCAAATTCGAATACTTCAGCGAGCCCGACGTCGCACCCCTCTGGGAGTTCCTGAGAGCGCTCGTCGAGAACCCCGGACATAGAGTCCATGTCAAGCATCTGACGTTCTCGACGATTTATCTGTATCGGGAGTTCCCCCCGCACCAGCTGCCAAGGATGTTTGGGACGATTTGGATGTTTGGGCCGCAGAGATTCCGCGCGCGCCGGGACCCTGCGCAGGATGCCGTCTTGCAACCGGGCCAGCTGGAGCCGCAAGGCCCGCACCAGGTCTGGCAGTGGCTGCAGGCCGGGTATCTGAACCAGCGCGGGGAAGTCCGCGCCGAGTTCGTAGAGGAGATTCGCCAATGGCACGGACAAGCGCTGTACAAGCAGCATCGGTCGTGGTTTGAGCGTGCCATGCGCGCGGTGGGCTTCCACAAGGGTTCCGGGGATCTATTTCGGCATGCGTCGCGGGTTCTGAGCCAAGGCGTCCTCGCGGCCGGGTACCAGTGTCCGCTGATTGCGGTGATATTGGCGTACTGTCCGAATCTGGTTCATCTGTTCCTCCACGTGTGGCACACCGAGGATGATCGGTTCCTTGATCGGATCATGAATTATGCGACGGTGCGCGGCGGCATGTGGCGCTCGCTTGCGGGACTGACCCCCGACGATACGGATCCCCCGCTGGGCAAGGTCGAGACGCTCACTGCTGCGGCGAGAAAGGTCAGACACTTCCAGGGCCCACTGGGAGACCACGACGGCTTTCGACCCATTTTTGACGGCCACCAGTACCCGTTTGTGGTCGACGCCACCAAACGGCCCTACTGGCGTCTGCCGAAGCTGGTGGATTTCACGGGCATCAGTGTCACGGGCGACGACAGCCTCGCGCACCTCGACTCCGCCAGCAGCATCCGCCACCTGACACTAAACTCGCGCATCATGTTCCAGCTGCAGCTGGGCTCGTGGCTGCGGTGGTGCACAGATCTCCGCACGCTGAGCATCAGACTCCCCGCGGACGAATTCGGCTCCGTCAGCGATCCGAGTGAGAATAATGGGCCGGACCTGTGGAACGCGCTCTTTGCCGCGTTGGCTCCCTTCACCCAGCAACTCGAGTACCTCGACATCTACCAGAAGCGCATCTACCCACAGACCGACACATTCGACAACTGGTTTGACCATGAGAAACCGTGCTGCCCGCCGCTGGCGACCTTCACCGCGCTGCGCCAACTCAACATCCCCGTGACGATCCTCGCGGGCTGGCAATGCATCCACACGGACGGGGCCCGCTTCGCCACGCACCTGCCGCCAAACATCGAGACGCTGGGCGTCTACACCGAGGACCCGCAGACGTTGACCGAGCAGATGCACCCGGCGGTGATCTACAACGAGCTGGTGGGCATGGTGCGGTGCGCAGCGGCCAACGGGCTCGCGTGCCTGGTCTGGGACACGTCTCACGCACTGGTGCACAGGCTGCCGGAGGAGCCCATGCTCGATGAGGCGCAGAGGTTGAATCTGTACGTTGAGTATGGCGACGCGCGCGACGTGCTGCTTTGTGCGGGGGGCGAGACTCTCGCCGCGGTGTCCATCCAGGATGGATCGGTCATGCCGAGCAGGAGGGCGCAGGAGAGGAAGAATAGGCGCTTTGCTGAAGTTATTCCCGAGGGGCTGCAGGTTCATGGCCTTCGCGGGCGGATGCGCCATGTTCGCCAGCGGGCCCAGACGGTCCCAGCTCCGGCTCCGGCTCTTCCGGCTCCGGCTGCAGATGACGATGATCCTATGGACATTGACAAGTGAAAGAAGGATCCAGGTTGTTTGGTTTCCGTTGCTGTATATAGAGAAGCTGTTTGTACATAATTGATGACCGCGTCATCTTTGCTGATCTTGGACACTTGCTTTAGCGTTAGACGAAGAGCTTTTTTGCTTTGTTCACTTACCGAGGTACTGTAGAAGCGCACGAAGTATACGAGAAGTCGCATAATTCAAGCCTCGGGAGGCTCAAAGCCATGCCGAAAGCAGGCATCAAGACATAGTTAGACTGCCCGGAAATAATAATGCTTAGGAACTGATCGAGCCAAGTTGTTGAGCCTCTATCTCGTGGGCGTGGCGCAGCAAGGCATACACGAGCTGGCTCCCCGCCTCTAGCGAGCCAGCGTCCAGCAACCACGGATGAGTTCACCACAATGCCATCTGTGGACGGAGTAAAGTTCTGACGTGATAAGCCTGAATCATTGATCGTGGCGGAGCCTGAAGCGGCAACCCACCCGAGTTTGTGATCTGCACTGCATTCTTCCTTTCCAGGCTGGCCGGGCGCAAAGACCAGGTGGAATACGAGGTGCGGGGCAGGTCGCAGCCCTATCATGTGCCTTTGATTTGCCAAGGGAGCAAGGCTGAGCACCGCAGTCAAGGCCATTCCTCTTGTGCTCTAGTTTCCTCGTGTTTCCTGCGGCTCTTGAAGCCTCAACGAATAAGGGCGCAGTGTTTGTGATATGACGAGATGAAGTCCCCCTTTTGTCTGCGAGGCAGTGTTGGTGCTTCCCCAGCGCCCTGCAGAGCAGGGTCATAAATACGACCGTCACTCTCGTGTCTCTGCCCTTCTCCTTTGTCCTTTTGGCAGCAAACCGAAACTCCCGAGTCACAACAGCAGACATGGCTCCTCGACGCGGCGGTGGTTATGGTGGCGGCGGCGGCTCAAGCGTCTCCTGCAGCGATAGCGCTTTCAGCTGGGAGGGTTCGCGAGTCACGATTGCCTTTCACGCACTGTTCTTCCTTGTCGCTCTCGTGCTCTCAATCATCGGGTCCAGCAAGGCCAAGCGCGCAAAACAGAATGGGCGGCCCCTCGTCGCCTGGCCGTGGCTCTACACTTCTATCGTCTTTGCCATCTTGTGAGTCCTTTCCCTCGTCACCTTGCGTGGTCATGTCTGTCGATAGCTCGACCTAACATCGAATCTCCAGCGTATACATCATCTCGATCATCCTCCTGGTCCTCTCCGAGTGCGCAATCTCCTATTCGGACGAGATCTACCCCGGATACATTGTCAGCAACTGGCTCTCCGAAATCTTCTTCTTCATCCTCAACGCCGTGATCCTCACCTCCTTCTCCAAGAAACTCCACACCGACTTCGGGCAGGGGCCCGCGACCCTACTGGGTGTGCAGAAGGGTTACGTTGTGCTACTCCTCGTCCTCATGGTGACAGCCTGCTCCCTCGAAACGGCGTACCTTGTCCTCGGCAACTCGGATGATTACTCGGATCGCCGGAAAATATACGACCTCGTTGAGCCACGGAAAGGGATTTGGACGACGTACTATACTCTGTCTGTTCTGGGGATCCTCATCGCCTCCGGGACAATTGTCAAGAGTGTCTTTGGCGGAGCTGGGTTTTCGCGTCCGAGGGTAAGTTTCCCCTTGTCTTTTTATCCACCCATAAATTCATACTAATGTGTGCGCAATAGAAACTCACCAGCTGGGTCTCCGCCCTCCTCATCGGCGCCCTGGGCTTCAACCTCACCCAACTCGGCGGCTACGTCAACGTCATGTTCAAAAACACCGCATCCCTCTCCAGCTCCGAGATTGTGGATCTCCAGCGGTCCCAGCAGGCCGTCTACTTCCTCATCTCGTTCTTCTACTTTGTCGCCTTCTACGCTGCACTCGAGGTCGGCGCGTTCGGTGCGCAAACGCCGGCGGCAAACCCAGCCTACGCTGCTCCTGGGGTCGCGCAGTCGCATAACCCGGTCTACCCGCAGCATCAGCAGCAGGGGTTTAACTCGGGGTATCATTCGGGGTTCTCGAGTAACCCTGGCCCGCAGTATCCAGGGCAGGAGACGGCGTATCAGAGTAATAACGTTGAGTACCGGGTGCGGTAGTCATGTCATTGTCTCGTGCACAAATTAGTAGGGTGTGGGGATGTTTATGTTATTTTCTTTTTTTTGTTCGATTCCCATGAAGCGTTCAGTCGCGATACCTTTTTTCCTATTCTGTCCTAACGACTTGACATGTGATGCGAGTGCAATGATTTCTAGACATGCGATACAAACTAGTACTAATACTAATACTACCTACAGGCTCATGTCATGGCAGTCTCCTCAATCATGTATCTACCAAGAAATATTCTCGACACATGGCAGATTTGTATAGATCCCCCCCTTCATCCTCGTCCTTCCCCCTCCCATTGGCCAGATTCGAACAAAACCGAGCGGATCCTGTTATATGTTCGGTTCGGCAATCTCGTGCGAATACCATCACCCATCAGTGCGGCGTCTTGAACACCTGGGGAGGGATGGAGCTCAAGGGGCGTCCGGGTGTGCGCGGCGGGCCTATATACAAACCCCCGCCACCTCACACTAGATCTAACCAAAATACCGTCCCTGAGCAGCACAGGGCGCACCCAGGTCCTGCGATGACACCCGACTTTTCACAATAATGGAGCGCACTACGGAGAGGGTCCATCTGCGCCAGTTGTCTCATACCGAGAGGCAGGTCAGTGCCACAGCAGTATGGTGTCGCCTTGTACAACTCCCCTGGTTGTTTGATCTTTTTCTCCTCTAGTTCAGCGGCTGGCACGATGTCGACTACCGGTCAAAACCACTCTCTACCTTGCCATACGCGAACTAAACAAGTCAGGAACAATGTCATCCTATTCCGAGCCACTTGCTTCAAGAGAGCCAATCGTAATGCACAAGTGAAAGGTCAAGCCAATAACAGGGTCCATCACAGACAACTCAGTTCGAAAAGCTCAAGAGGTCGTCCAAGCCCTCACTGGCAACCTCCTCCCAGCCCGCCGCTTCCGCACCACCACCAGTAAACCACTCAGCCTGCCTCGCATCCCCCTTCAGCACCCACTTGAGCCAGTTCACCGCCGCAACGCCGAATTCCCCTCCCTCGGGCTTGGCATAGGTTCCCATGTGCCCGACGGGGTAGTTCCCAACCCACTTTGGCACTCCGCTCAGCGCAGCGTAATCAGCCATGCCCTGCACCAGTCAGCGTCATCCGAATCTCACCACCACCATCATCATCATCATCATCATCGTCGTCGTCGTCGCATCAAAACGCCAGTCGAGATTACGATGAACTCACATTCGGATACGCAATATCCCCCTTCCCACCCAAAAAGTAAAACACGGGCAACCGCACCTCGTCAATGGTCTCGGGCCCCTCCCCCGGAATCCCCAACAACCCACCCAGAAACCCCGGGAGATCCAAGAACCCACTATTGAAGATCCCCAGGTACCCAACCCGCGGGTCATCACGCATCTGGTACGCCTCGAGCCCGCCACAGCTCTGCCCGGCAACGGCGACGCGGCCGGCGTCGACAGCCGCATACCGCCCAGGTGTCCCCGCACGCCGCTCGATCCAGTCGAGCGCATCCGTCATGTAGCTGGCGTCGGTGCGGCCGCGCCCGTTGGGGCGGCCCGAGGCGATGGCGATGAAGCCGTACGAGGCGATGTTGGTGAGCAGGTTGCCGAAGAGCGTGCCGTTGGCCGAGCATGCGCCGTTGCCCCAGATTAGCACGGGGAGGGTGGTGTTGGGCGGCGGGGCTTTGGGCATGTAGATTGTGTGTCGGGGGAGGGTGATTTCTGTTGTGTGGGACTGGTTTGTTTAGGAGGGTGCGTGTTAGTGCTGATTGAGAGGGGAGGGGAGGGAGGGGAGAGGAGTGGACATGGGCAGGGGCAGGGGATAGATAGTACTGCAAAAGGAAACGTACAGCATCATATGGGCCGTTGCCCGCCGCAAGGGACGGGGTTGCTGAGACGAGGGCTGCAAAGGTAGGGAGATGCCACTTCATCGTGATTCGAGATCGACTCGATGCTATACGGAGGGCACGGGTATATTCGAGAGTGCGGAAAAGATATCATGTGCGAACTGGAACAAGATACGCATTGAAATCGGATGGTCGAGGGGGTATAAATACCCAATTCCTCGTCCGCTCAAACATGGATCGTCGCGTCCCTCTCCGTCTCCCCCGCACCTCGGATCGAACCCTTGACATGGATATCTAATATCGGGTCTTCAGATTCGGGACATGGACGGCTTTGCCGAGTTATTAGTATGGATAGAGAATGGTCAATCTGTGTATCTGCGCTTCGGCACTCAACTGCCGTCGCGTTGCGGACGCGGCAGTTTTGAAGCAATTGGGATGTTTCAACTGGCTGCCAAGGGCTTGAGTGATTCGAGCGGAGTGCCAGTCTCATATTGAGAGAGGGTATCACATCTATTGAAACGATGTGCATCAAGTATGTATTGGGGAGACAGGATAGGGTTCCATTGCCGCAGCCCTACCAACACTGAGATCCATCAGTGACGTCACATACTTACTATACTAAACCAAAAAACCACCGTTCAAGGCCCGAATCTGAACCACGTATATGATACGACTAGTATTTGCTCATCGCACCGGGAGTTACTGGACGTCTACTACAAATCGCTTCGCAAATACGGCGATGAGGAAGAGGGAGATGGTGATGTGCCCCGTGAGGAGAGCACAAGCCCATGCCCATGCCAATGATCATGTCAATGCCCACCCATACAGTCGAGACGCCCATGTGTTCAATTTGCCTATTTCGCCACGGGCTCTGGCAATGCTCGAGCAGGTTGCAAAAGAGGCCATGCGGCAGAACAGCTGATCAGAGTCGTCGCGTGGAAGCTGTAGGCTACACTCTTCGTCTTGGAGACGGTGGCTTTGTCCTGTCCGTGATGGAATATCCTTGTCGAGGGGACAGCACCCTCACAAGGGCATTGGAGATGGCTGGCACACCCTGTGGATGCTGAATGAAGATTCTGAGACGGGCCCCTCATTGTATGAATACTAGCAGCAGTTATAGATTATACAACCTTATCCTTTACATTGCGGGTATGATAATAAAGCAAATAAAAAATGCACCATTGAATACAGGCTCTCGACGCCCAAGAGACCGCTTCCCACACGTTTTCTCTACGATGGACGGGATCAAGCATAGTGTACGGGTGGCAGGGCCAAATTATGACTCCGTAGTAGTGGTGCGTTCTACCAAAAGCTTGTAGCCCTCGCAAAGACTCACCGGCCGCTATATATAGCTGATCGCCTCGCTGGAGTCAGGTTCCAGCCAGCCTTCCATCTATCCATCTCTGACCCCGGGAGTCTCATAAACAATCCGCTGTCCGATACCAAGCCCCTTCTTGTCTGGAAACGAACTGCTCAGCAACCTCGCCATCATGGTCATTGTGATTGTTGCCTGTCTCGGCACTACAGCACTTGGGGCAGGGGTTATCGCATCTCATTTCGCTGTCCACGATTCTCCATGTCCTGTCTTTGACTATCCGCCGCAACAGCGGCGCTACATGCGGTCGCTTCGAGGAAGCTACCTGAGACCCGGAAGATAAACCAGAAGACAGCAGCAATAGCGCCAATACCGTCATGGCAGTCTAGGCCCTTGAGGACGACGCGGAGGGCATAAATGGTCTCGCTGTAGGCGCTTTCGCCACGTGCCGAGGCGTGGCTCGAGCGTAGTGCATTCAGCATGGGAATGGTGGCCTCGTACCTCCTGCCGCGGGCCATCGCAGCTGATGCGTCTGGAGGCTCCTGTATCCTGACCAGCCAGGCAAGGTCACCAGCCCTGCACCCAATCCAATGTTTGCTGGAGTATGCGGACTGGGATAATACAGCCTACCCGGGACGACATCAAGGCCTACTTGAGTGTAGATAATACATCCAAAGGCTACTCTACTTGCTGAACTTCGTCTTAATCTACTTTGCTTGAGTGAAGGGATCTAGTCAGTGCAAGTGCTAAAAACAAGCAAATGTGTTCTGGCCCAAATAATCACATTATATACAACTCCAGTCAAACTGTGTATCAAAACAAGACAAAACCGCAACGATTAATAGACAGAAATATTACGAAATACTCAAACCTTCAGCAGCTCCAGCATCATCCTGAGCGAAAAGTTCTCCTCGCCAAACTTGGCCTCGAGGCTATCCACCTCCTTCTCGAGCTCCGCCTGCAACGCCCGCAACACCCCCAGGGTATACTCCAGGCTCTTGGTCTTCTTCATGATATCCAACACCTCGCGCTTCGACTCATTACTCAGACTCGAATCCACCCGCCTCTTTATCAGAAACGCGCGCAAGGCCATCTTCTCGCTCGCCAGCGAAGCCTCCGCCTCGAGCGTATTGATGCAATGAATCAGCGTGAACGAATACTTGCCCTCGTCCAGATCCTCCGCATACCCCTTCTGGCGGGCATACTCGGCCGACGCCAGATTCTGATAGTCGTCGCGGATCTGGAAGAAGCGGCCGATGAGGTGGCTCAGCGGGTACAGGGTCTGGTCGAGGATGGAGCTGCGCGCGGGGCTCTCGGAGACCATCAGGCGGGTGAGCATGCGGAAGAGCCCGCCGGTCTTTTGGTCGACCATCTTGAGGTACTCCGGGATGGACGGGCACAGGGCGTTGTGCGTCCAGTAGAGGTCGTAGCTCTGGCCGATGTACAGCTGCTGGACTTCTTCGAGGTAGATGCGCAGGGAGGTCGGGTTGGGGAGGCGGGCGGCGAGGCCTGTCGCTTCGGTGTATTGGTATGTGGCGCTGTTGATGGTTTGGGCGTTGCCGTAGATGACGTGGGTGGAGGGCTTGCCGCGGCGGAGAGGCGAGTTGTCTTCGATGTCGTCGAGCCTGGGGGAGGGTTAGAGGGGAGGATGGGTTGGCAGAGGATGTGCTTACATCAACGAGGCGCTGTGCAGCATCTTGATCACGTCCTTGATCATCTTGGTGGTCTTTGTGGGGACCCTGAGCCATGTGTTGAGCGAGTCTATCGCCTGGTCACGGAAGCCCTTGGATGGCAGCGAGGTGAGGTATTTGTAGGGCTGGACGACGACCTGATCCGATGCTGTCAGTACAGTCTCGACAGAAGAGAAGAGGGGAAAACTTACGCCATCGCTCAGGTCTGGAAGGTTCCAGTCGAGGCTGAGAGCCACAATATCCTCAAGAACTAATGAGTCCCTGTACTCGAGAACATGTGCTGGTTTCTTGATCCCATTGCCGTTTGTTCGTGCATCATCTGCAGTCTCTTCTCCGCTTCTTTTTCTCTTGCCATTGACTCCGTTGACTCCGTTGACGCCATTAATGCCATTAACACCGTTGACCCCGTTGGCGCCGTTTTTCCTGTTCTCTAGCGAATATCGCGCGGGATACTTTGCAACCCCATGCTCTGCCCTCAGCATCTGCAATTCGTTGAACTTGGCATCAGCGTGGTACCTCGGGCACTGCGTGCTCCAGGCCCAGTTGCCAGAGACGGTGTACTGCATGATCTCAATATACCTCTTCAGGTCCAGCGAAATATCCGTTCTCGCGAGCGTCTCCTTGACAATGCGGGCATACTTGCGGCATTCAAGGCGGATGCGCTGCTTGCAAATGTCTCGTGCCTCCTCCTCACTGCACTTGTGGATTTTCATGATGACCGCGACCGCGTTCTGCGGGTTATTGTCGTTCTTCTCCTTTTCGTACGAGAAGAGATCATTCGTCATCAGGCACGCAATCACCGCCGGCTCGAGGAGCGTCCGTCTCTCCTCCTCCTCTTCCTCGGGGACGGTAATCGCACACCCAAAGGTCACCAGCCCGTGCCAGTGCATGTACCCCAGGTCCATACACCGGAAGGGGATGTACTCGTCAAGCGACTTCCAGTCCTTCTCCTCCACCCGTCTGGCCGAGTGCTGCACACCCTGCGCCCAACTCTTGGCCAGTGTCATGGCCCGCTCCGGGTCGAGGGCCATCATCTCGCGGAGCAGCTGCGCGGCCATCTTGCGCTTCCCCGAGGATTTGGTCCCCTCTTGGATCTTGCCGGTCGATCCGCCCTGGGCCAGGGCTGCGCCGACGTCGTCGAGCTCGGCCTCTTCGATTTTCGTGTCGATCTCGTCTAAAAGAATGAGTGGTGGGCGGGTTAGCTTTCGTGTTCGGCGCACAGGCAAGCAGCAACCATGACATACCATCATGCAGGAAGCCATAGTCAAGCCCATAGCTGATGGCCTCTAGCCTCTCCGGCAAACATTCCGGCACGGTGTATGTGATGAAACTGATCTCGGGTCCCAGGGAGCCCCGGAACGGATTCTCCACGGGCCCGACCAGGCGGCGCCAGTCCTCCTGGACCCGGAACGAACCGACCTCTTCCAGGTCCCCGGCTTCGTGCTTCCGCAGAGGGATCCCCTCGATCAGGCCCTCGGGGTCCCACTTGGAACTGTCGACGATGGTCGAGTACTTATACTCCATCTTACAGAGCGGTAACGATGCTCGTGGGAGTGTGCGGGGTTTCCAGGAATCGAGGCTGCGCTATGATAAGATACAGGTGGTATGCCAGGAAAGTGTACAGGGCGAGGAGAAGGATGTGGACTGCAACGAGGTTTCCAACTTGCGTGATTGTTTTCGACATGGACATGGGCGTGGTCATGGGTCTTTTGTCCCCTCTTATCTTGGACCATTCACCGGCTCTTTAAATGGCCTTGTTCACTGTCGCTTTGATTGGTACCGGCTGGTCAGCCCGAGACGGCGCAGAAACCACCGATAATCGGCATTTCGCGCGGGAGTTCTTCTTTGGGCTGCGGCATTAATAGCTAAGATCTGCTTGATAATCGTCATATAACCAGAAAGCAAGGGTTGAGCGATACGATAGGCCCAGCCCCGAGGTGTGGTGTCGAGCTGAGACCGCAGGTGTAGGGGGTCCTTCCTAGAGGGGAATGGCCGAATTGGGCAGACCACCGACTTGCATCCAGGCCGTCGTCCGACGCATCCATTGTAGATCGGGGTTTGGACGCGAACGGAAAATGCTCGCAAGGTGCTATCCTTTGCACCGGGCACGGTGCACTCATATAAGTTGTTCGCTTAGGCGATACGGTTTCCGCCGTGACTTGCATACCTCTCACCTCTGCCCTGGCTATACCTGACTCTTGCTTCAACCAAGATATCTTTCATCCCCCATATTGAAAATGGAGGCCTACCTGCCCCAAGCGAGTAGGGAGGCTCTCGCCCGGCTTCTACCATCCCAGGCGTCGACCGCCCGTTTAGCCGAGGTGCAGGCCTACCTGACTCGAGATGTTGCTGTACGTGCGGGCCTCGCCGTGGCCGCCATCTACATGGTCTATCTGTCTGGTCTGGTCATCTACCGCCTTTACTTTTCTCCCCTGGCCAAGTTTCCCGGTCCCAGAATCGCCGCCGTGACAGGCTACTACGAGCTCTACTACGATGTCATCCACAAGGGACAATACATCTTTCAGATTGAGAAGATGCACGACAAATATGGTATGTTCTTGCTGCCTTTCTACAAGAAATCTTGCTGAGCTGATACCCAAAAAGGCCCCATCGTCCGAGTCAACCCGTTTGAACTCTCCATCCGCGACTCGGACTACTACGACGAGCTGTACGTCATGGGCAACATCCGCAAAACAGACCGGTACGAGGGCTTCGTCAGCGGCGTCGTCGATTTTGAGGGCTCCCACCTCGCCACAATCGCCCACGACCTGCACCGCAAGCGCAGAAAGCCCCTGGACGTGTACTTCTCCCGCCAGGGGGTGACCCGGGTCGAGCCCATGGTCGCCGATCTGACCGCGAGGCTGGTCGTGGACCGGCTGGAGAGCTTCAAGGGGACGGGCAAGGTCGTGCGCCTGGACCACGCGTTTACGGCGTTCTCGGGCGATGTCATTAACCGCATCTGTGTGGATAAGCCGAGCGAGACGTATATCGACGACGACGAGTTCTCGCCCTGGTGGTTTGATCTGTTCCATATTGGGGCCGTCTCGTTGCCGCTGTTTATGGGGCTGCCCTGGTTGATTCAGTATGTTCTGTTGACTGTTCTATAGGCGCGAATTGAATTGGCCTCTGCTAACACGCGTCCACAGTCTCATTCGGCTCCTCCCAGTGGGCATCGTCTCCACCATCAACTCGAGCGCTGGAAGCTTCAACAAGTTCAAAATCGTACGCCCCCCTCCCATCTCCCTCTCCCTCTCGATACATCCGATACTAACGAGCCAGATGTGCGACGAACACCTCACCGAAGCAAAGCGCGAAAAATCCTATACCTCCAAAACCCAACCGGCCTCGGGCCGCCTGACGCTCTTCCGCCACCTCGTCGACAGCGACCTGCCCGCCTCCGAACTCACCGACAGCCGCCTCTCACGCGAGGCCCAGGTCCTCATCGGCTCCGGCACGATGACCACGGCGGGGACAATGGGCTTCCTGTGCTACTACATCATGTCGAACCCGGCGATCCGCCAGCGGCTCGCGGACGAACTGGGGCCCGTCATGAAGGACTATCCGCGCACGAAACCAACCTGGGCGGAGCTCGAGAAGCTGCCGTATTTCCAGGCGGTTATCAAAGAGGGGTTGAGGTACCGTGCTGACCCAATTTCCCCTCGGGCGAGCGAATGAGCGAGAAAAAAAAAAGAAACTAACCTGGTCAATACAGACTCAGCTACGGCACCATGCACCGCCGCCCGCGCGTCTCGCCCACGCAGCCCCTCCTCTTCAAGGACTGGGTCATCCCCGCCGGCGTCCCCGTCGGCATGTCCGCCTACTTCCAGCACCGCGACCCCAACGTCTACCCGCGGCCCATGGAGTTCCTCCCCGAACGCTGGCTGGGCGAGGTCACCCCGGCCATGTACAAGAACTATATCCCGTTTTCCAAGGGATCCAGGCATTGTCTGGGGATGAAGTACGTACTTTTGTTTTCATTTTCCCTCTTTGCTTTTTTTCCTGGTTTCTTTTCCTGGTTCTTTTCCTGGTTCTTTCTCCCCTTCCCCCATTTGTTTTTCAGTCCTCATCACACGCACACCAACACATACACACGCTCTCTCTCTCTCTCTCTCTCTATATATATATATGCGAGTCTACCTCCAGTAAACTAACACTACCATGTCCAGCCTCGCCTACTGCGAACTAAACCTCATCATCGCGGCCCTGTTCCGCCCCGGCGCCCCGAAATTCGACCTGTACGGGACGGACGAGTCGGATGTGCGCCCCGCGCACGATCTCATCGTCCCGATGCCCAGATTGGATTCGTTGGGTGTTCGCGTTGTGTACCATTGATTGGCGGTGTGGTGGGTTGTTTGGTCCTTTTGAGGGAAGGGGAGGGGGGAGGGGGGTTTGGTTCGATTGGTGTGTGAGAGTTGGGGGGGCGTGTGTAGCTGACTGACTGGCTGGCTGGCCGACACCAGATGCATGGAATTGGACCAGGGGCTGGCTGGCCGCTGATGGAAGGATAGATTAAGTGGCTCCGGATGAGTTCGTGGGTGGAGCGAGGGTGAGGGTGCTGGTGATTATTTGCTTTCTTTTTCTCATTCTCATCGGGGTACCCTCACCATGTAGATATACATGGCGTCGATACTCGAGTTCTTCAAGGGTACATGCAGTAGTCTGCCGAGTAGTTTGCAGTATCCAATGAGAGAGGGGGCAACTGATGATCCGATGAGCGGCCCTGGCCCGCGAGACCGAGAGGCGGGGATCGATTGGGCGTGATTGGGCGTGATTGGCCTGGATCGACCGGGGTTCGTCGGGGCTCGAGCCCCCGCCCAGCGCCTGCTGCAGTGTGATGAGAGGAACAAACCTTTTGTTCTTTGTTTCTTTTTTCTTTGGATTTAGACGTTTGGTCGCTGATCCCGATGATGATGACGATGATGATGGAGTGGTCGGCCGTGTTTGCAATCGAGCCCAGTAGTGGTTGGAATTTGCAAACCAGGCAGTGACGTGGCGCTGAACATCTCATTGATCAAGTTCCCCCTAAATGGCAGTACTATCTCGCTAATCTAGCCGTGTGCTTGGTACTTCTTGATTGTCGTAAGCTTCAGTTAGCCTGAAAGCCAGTCTGAGCTTCGTTCAACCAGATGATTCTGGATGGATTCCTGCAATATATCCTGTATCAAGTGTCCGAATGACCATATAGTCTAATTCACACCAACTACCAAATAGATCTAGATATATGTAAAGCCACTGGCAACGCACCCCTATTCGATGCAATTCAAATCATGGAGTATAAAGCTCCCTCCGCAGCTGCGCTAATATACGCTCCGAGCGTGCCAGACTCGCCATCCGGCTCTCCCCCAACGCCTCCCCGCACACATTTCGCAGATCCCCTAGTAACTCAACCACACCCCTAATCTGCAGCACAATCAGAACCCGCATGATCTGTTGCCACTCCGTGACCGAGCTGATTTCGTAGTCACCCAGGAGCATTTCGCGCCAGCCGGGTGGCATGTACTTGCGGTCAGGATCGGTCCCGATGTGAGTGGTGAGGGAGTATGTATTGAAGTTGTTGAGAAGCTCATCGAATGTGTCATGGTGAAAAGGTGGAATAGAGGGCGAGGCGCAATCCTTCTTGTGGTCAGACTGTCCGGCGCCTGCGATGCTGTCTCTGTTCTGGTAGATGAGGACAATCTGGCTGCTTGCCGAGACGAGTTTCTCGGCCATAAACGCTAGCAGGACCAGGTTTTCTCGCTTCAGTGGGCAGGCGCTGCATTTCAGCATCAGGCGGCAGCGTTTGATGGCTTCCTTTTGGTAGGCGATGATGGAGTCGAGTTCGGAGCGGTGCCCTGGGTTGCAACTGGTTTCGAGTTCCTCCACGGCAAACAGAACCGCAGCGAGGCATTGGCATGACTGTGTAAAGGGCGGCGAAGGAGGAGTGCAAGGAAGAAGGGCGGTCGTGTTGAGCGCTTGAAAGTGGTCGACTGGAGGGAGGTGGAGATGTGAGAGCTCGTCCTGGAAGCTAAAGGGCGGCGAGAGTTCAGGGGTCTGATAGAGGGCGGCGTTGGGCAGGAGCGAAGACATGAAGGCTCTAGAGAGATCATCTCCGTCTTGAGAGATAGGTTCCTGACAAAGATCCGGCATAAAAGGCGGATCAAGCTCTGCTAAGATATCAGAACGGCACTGTGCCCCAATTATACTGCCATCGATGGTGCAGTTCCCCCGGGGTGGAGACCCGATGCCCCCATGCGCTGTAGTCTGGAGGTTCCGAGAGGAGTCCGCTGTCGTATGCGCGAACAGGTCTAGCAGGTGCTCATGCTGTGTCATGTTGATGCTGCCTTTTCGAATCCTCCGATTTGCCCCGATATGCTTCGCTGGATTCGAGGTACACTTCTTCCCAAGGCGCTTGCATCGGGTGCATCCGTCCTCTGTAGGGTTGCATTTGACCTGGACATGCCGCGAATCCGTTAGTAGGATCCAGCTCAAGAGACGGAGAGCGAGAATACCTTTTTGGCTCTGCATCGGTTGCAAGCCGAGTTCTTCTCTAGGTTTGACGAGCCATGTGGCCGCTCGATAAACATTGCCTCCTTGTCCTGGGAGGCCAAATGTAGGGTCCCGAACATGGTGAGACGAGCCGTGTTTGCGGTACAAAGCAAGGGACTGTCCTCACAAACCTTGGTCGTCTTCAGAATCACAATCGGCTCTCCCTGCTGCGGGTATCCGCCAGATATATGGCGCTGACCGACTGCTCTTGTCTAGTCCGAGTGCGATTGTGAAAGAGCCCAGGAGGGGTGGTCGGTCCCGTTGTTGATATCCAGAGGGTATCGACGCAGGTAAGAGACGACGCCATCGAGGAGAGATAACAGGAACATCAGGGATTGATTACCAGCAAGGCGAGTTGCATCTGACTGCATACGAGAGCTTGCAAGTGTACTGGCTGGTCGGGCCGGAGTAAATGGTCGGCAGCAAGATCCTGGTACAGATCCCTACCTGACTGTACGACTCTGAGCAGATATACGTAAGAGATTGGTCGTTCCTCAGCTTGAAGGTCGAGCAAAGAGGCTACGATCGAAGCCAGCTCACGAGGGGAGTGTGAGGCAGGACCAAAGGGGAAAGAGCAGGGGAAAGAGCAGGGGAGCCACAACATCTACGACATCAGTCGCCTCATGTTCGATGCATGTTGGGAAGGCTCTGCGAGCAAAGCACAGTGGGTTGGCCAATAGAGAACAGCAGAGAAGGGTTATTGGTCATGGCGTCAGCAGAGAGGGCCTGATTGGTCACGGGGCACGGGCTCTACAGCGTCTCGGCATGCACACTTCGCCCGGATTCGGAACCCGGCGATGACAAAGACGCGAGTGCGAAGATTTCTTCATCGATAAAGCCATTATTGAACAGGCATGGTTTGCTGGTCCTCGTATTCGCCCTCTTTTTGGCGATCTTCTGCCGTTTGGATGGATGCGTGCCGCACAGTCCAGCATGTTTGTTAAAACCAAAATTTAGCTGCACCATCTTGCAGTAGGCTCGGGGTCGATCCGGCAAACTGTCGATCGTGGAAGCGTGCGAGCAGTGCTATATACCATCGGAGATTCGGCAGCCACGCACAACTCGATCATCGGAGAGCGAAGACTGGCGGCGGGTTGGGCTGAGGCTTGGCCCACCCCCGACGGGCCAATCAGCAGTGGCGCCGGGGTTGCACAGCAGGGCGGCTGACGTGAACCATCTCGGGCCTGCGTCTGCGTATTCGCCCTTAACGCCGGCTGCCAACATGAGCCAGTTGATCAGCCACATTAGGGGGTGAATGCCGCCTCCTACTCAAAAGCATTCCCCTGCCCCGACTTTCACCACCCACATCCATGCCTCTCACTCCGTTGAGCAGTTCTCTCGCCCTCCGCGAGCGCCATGGCCACATCAAACGATTTCGACGACGGTATCGACTTTGCCGATGAGAGTACGAGCAAAAGCTCTCCCAGCACAGACAAGCGAGAGGCCGAGGTCCACCGACTCGCCCGCGAGTTTACACAGCAAAGCGTCTACTCGACCGACGGACAGAATCCCTTTACCGCAGATGTCGGATCCCCCTTGAACCCGAATGGCGAGAGCTTCAGTGCCCGCGCATGGTGCAAGGCCATGCTGCAGCTCCAGACGCAAGACGACCAGGCCCATCCCCCTCGCACCCTCGGCGTCGCCTTCAACGACCTCAACGTGCACGGTTTCGGATCCGATACGGATTACCAGAAGAGCGTGGGCAATGTCTGGCTCCAGGCTCTAGGTCTAGTGCGCAGGGCCTTTGGTCAGCGGCAGCACAAGATCGACATCCTGCGTGGCCTGGACGGCTTGGTGGAGGCTGGCGAGATGCTGGTCGTTCTCGGACCCCCGGGATCGGGCTGCTCCACCTTCCTCAAAACCATTGCTGGCGAAACCCATGGCTTTTATGTAGACAAGAACTCGCAGCTCAATTATCAAGGTATGGACCACTGTGTGTCTGCCAGGGCTCCAGCTAACCGTGCCAGGCGCGACTGCCAAACACATTGCCCGCAATTTCAGAGGAGAAGCAATCTACACCGCAGAGGTCGACGTCCACTTCCCCAGACTCACCGTTGGAGATACCCTGTTTTTCGCCGCGCGCGCTCGCGCTCCGCGTCACATACCTGGAGGAGCAACCGTCACCGAGTACGCATCACACATGCGGGACGTTATCATGGCCATGTTTGGAATCAGCCACACCAGGGATACGATCATCGGCAATGATTTTGTGCGCGGGGTGTCTGGTGGAGAGCGCAAGCGTGTCACCATCGCCGAGGCCTGTCTCAGCATGGCCCCTTTGCAATGCTGGGACAACTCCACGCGTGGTCTTGACAGCGCTAATGCAATCGAGTTCTGCAAGACGCTGCGCATGCAGGCGGACATCAACAACACCACTGCGTGTGTATCCCTCTACCAAGCCCCCCAGGCAGCCTACGACAACTTTGACAAAGTCCTTGTTCTCTACAAAGGTCGGCAGATCTACTTTGGTCCTACTGCTGCAGCAAAACAGTACTTTTTGGACCTCGGATTCGCCTGTCCAGACCGGCAGACTGATGCGGATTTCCTTACGTCCATGACAAGCCCCAAGGAGCGGGTTGTGCAGCCGGGGTTCGAGCATCAAGTTCCCAAGACCCCCGACGAGTTTGCTGCACGATGGAAAGCCTCGCCAGAGCGAGCACGCCTGGTCCAAGCCATTCACTCGTACAATGATCGGTACGCCGATGGCCAGCAGCTGGAAGCGTTCAAACAGTCTCGACGCGCTCAGCAGGCCAAGCTCCAGCGAGTCACGTCGCCGTACACTCTCTCCTATTTTCAGCAGGTCATGCTCTGCCTGTGGCGTGGCTACCAACGGTTAAAGGCGGACCCCAGCATCACCATCTCTTCCCTATTTGGAAATTCTGTTGTCGCACTCATCCTGGGTAGCATGTTTTACAACCTCAGGGACGACACCAACAGCTTCTTCCAGCGGGGTGCACTGCTCTTCTTTGCTGTTCTCGTCAATGCCCTTGGATGTGGTCTGGAAATGCTCACTCTCTATGCCCAGAGAGGCATTGTTGAAAAGCACGCGCGATACGCTCTGTACCATCCATCTGCCGAAGCCTTTGCCTCGATGTTGATGGATATGCCGTATAAAGTTCTCAACACGATAAGCTTCAACCTCATTCTTTACTTTATGACCAACTTGCGAAGAGAGCCCGGGCCTTTCTTCTTCTACCTGTTTACCTCGTTTATTCTGACCCTTACCATGTCCATGATTTTCCGGTCAATTGCATCCCTGACACGGACACTGGTGCAAGCCCTGCCCGCCTCCGGGCTCATCATCCTGGGCCTCAGCATGTACACCGGGTTCGCCATCCCCATAGACTACATGCTTGGCTGGGCCAGCTGGATCCGGTACCTGAATCCGATTAGCTTTGGCTTTGAGGCTCTCATGATCAACGAGTTTCACAATCGTGAGTTCCGCTGCGTCAACTATGTCCCGTCCGGCCCTGGGTTCTCTGATGTCGGACCGGAAAACCGCGTTTGTTCGACTGTTGGCTCGATACCCGGGCAGCCGTTTGTGAACGGTGACAATTACATCGAGTCGCTTTACGCCTATGTCGCCTCGCACAAGTGGCGGAATATCGGTATCATCTTCGTGTTTATGATTGGCTTCATGCTAGTCTATCTGGCTGCCACGGAATATATCACTGAGCAGAGGTCCAAGGGCGAGATCCTGGTGTTCCGCCACGGGCACAAGGCTCTGAAGAGCAAGGCACGGGACGACGAAGAGGATGGCAGTGAACGCAGCGTTGCAGCGGAAAAGACCGAGTCCGACGACATTGCTATCATCGAACGCCAGTCCGCCATCGTCCAGTGGAAGGACGTGTGCTATGACATCAAGTTGGGCAAGGAGAGCCGCCGGATCCTGGACCACGTCGACGGCTGGGTCAAGCCAGGCACATTGACCGCGCTCATGGGCGTGTCTGGCGCAGGCAAAACAACCCTCCTTGATGCCCTCGCCACCCGCACCACCATGGGAGTCATCAGTGGAGAGGTTCTGGTCGATGGCAAGCCCCGTGATGAGTCGTTTCAGCGAAAGACAGGGTATGCGCAGCAGCAGGATCTGCACTTGAGTACGGCGACAGTCCGCGAAGCGCTGACCTTTTCTGCTCTTCTGCGACAGCCTGCTCACGTTCCATGGCAGGAGAAGGTCGATTATGCTACTGAAGTCATCAAGTTGCTGGATATGACCGAGTATGCTGATGCTGTCATTGGCGTGCCAGGAGAAGGACTCAACGTTGAGCAGCGGAAGCGCCTGACCATTGGTGTCGAGCTCGCTGCTAAGCCCGCTTTGCTCTTGTTTTTGGATGAGCCGACATCTGGTCTTGACTCGCAGACATCATGGTAAGACTCAATCAATCTCTCTGAATGTACAGTACTAATTGAACAGGTCGATTCTCGATCTGCTTGACAAGTTGAAGAAGAATGGCCAAGCAATCTTGTGCACGATTCATCAACCCTCTGCCATGCTCTTCCAGCGCTTCGACCGTCTTCTCTTCTTGAAATCTGGCGGCCAAACCGTGTATTTCGGGGACATTGGCCAGAACTCGGAGCTGCTCATCAACTACTTTGTGCGCAATGGCGGACACCCCTGCCCTCCGAATGCCAATCCCGCCGAGTGGATGCTCGAAGTCATCGGCGCAGCTCCCGGGTCTCACACGGACATTGACTGGTTCAGCACATGGCGCAAATCTCCAGAGTACGCAGCAGTCCAGGAGCATCTCGAAGAGCTCAAGCAGGAGCGCTCCCAGCTGGTCGACCTCACGCGCACCGAAACCGGCGCCAAACGCCAGGCCAAGGCCGACTATCGAGAGTTTGCAGTGCCCTTCCTCGAGCAGTTCTGCGAGGTCCAAAAGCGCGTCTTCCAGCAGATCTGGCGCTCGCCCATGTACATCTACTCCAAGACGGTACTCTGCGCCACCTCGGCCCTGTTTGTGGGCTTCTCCCTCTTCCGCTCCCCCAACTCGATCCAGGGCTCCCAGAACCAACTGTTTTCAATCTTTATGCTTCTCACCATCTTTGGCCAGATCGTGCAGCAGATAATGCCCCACTTTGTTGCCCAACGCGACCTCTACGAAGTCCGCGAACGCCCATCAAAGACCTACTCCTGGAAGGCCTTTATGATGTCCAACATTATCGTCGAACTGCCCTGGAATTCGCTCATGTCCCTCATCATGTTCCTCTGCTGGTACTACCCCGTGGGTCTGTACCACAACGCCGAACCAACCGACACCGTGACCCTCCGCGGCGCGCAAATGTGGCTCTTCATCTGGACATTCCTCCTCTTCACCTCGACCTTCGCGCACTTCATGATCGCCGCCTTCGACAACGCCGAAAACGCCGGCAACCTCGGCAACCTCCTCTTTATCCTCTGCCTGCTCTTTTGCGGCGTCCTCGCGACCCCCGACCAGTTCCCGGGCTTCTGGATCTTCATGTACCGCGTCTCCCCCTTCACGTACCTTGTCAGCGGCATGCTCTCCGTCGGCCTGGCGAATACCCTCGTCACCTGCGCGGACAACGAGTATCTGCACTTTGACCCCGTCAATGGGACCTGTGGCGAGTACATGGAGCCGTACCGCGCGGCGAACGGCGGGTATGTGTTGAATGAGGCGGCGACGGCGGACTGCTTGTTTTGTCCGATCCGCGACACGAATACGTACCTCGCGACGGTGTCGGCGAGCTATGGGGATGTTTGGAGGAATTGGGGGCTGATGTGGGTGTATATTGTGTTTAATATCGTTGCGGCGTGTGGGTTGTATTGGTACGTGAGGGTGCCGAAGAAGACGGATGTCAAGAAGAGCGATGGCAAGAAGGAGTGATTTTTTTTTTTTTGAGGACGAGGACTGTCTGTTCTCCTCGTTCATTACTGGGGGCTTGTTTAAAGACTTTCGTTTTGTTCATTTACTTGTTATGGCATTGTAATAATCGCATCTTTCATCATTGTGTCCTCTTTTCGTCCGCCCTAGTCCATCCCATCCCATCCCATCCAACCTCTTAAGTCGGTCTAAATGTATCTAGCAAGTCTTACCAAAACACCAGATTAGAAAATAGCCAGCGCATTCGGCGGACTCGCCACCCCGCCTCGTACATTCAGCGGCTCGCTCGTGAAGAAAAACGTCCACCGCTTCGACGCCGCACAGTGCTCCGCCAGTCCCTCCAGGTCAAAGAGTTCCCCAATCGGCATCCCGAAGCCCGCAAGGAGGATCGGGTGCAGGAAGAAGTCGTGCGGGGCTGGAGTTGTTTTGTTAGTGTGAGGGCAGGCCATGCGCGGGAGACGTAGAGAACGATAGGGGGAGAGAAGGGGAGAGTGGGGGAAAGAGGGTGGGGAGGCAACATACGCATAGCCTCGAACCCCGGAGCGTCGCAGCAGACGGCCGCGATGCGAGAGTTCCAGAGCCATTCTGCGAGGTCCTGTGCGTTCTCGACGCCGGGGTACTGTAGTGGGTCTGCGGAGACTACTTCCTGTCTCCTGGTTTCGGTTGCGGATGTGTATGCCTGCAGAAAACCTGTTCGATCATTCGAAGTTCGGATTGGTTAGCTTCGGCTTCTGCTTCGATTTCTGCTTCTTCTTCTCCCCAGCTCATGTATCATGCGGCGCAAGAATGTAAGGTAAGGTGGAACATAATGTGGTGGGCCTACTTACCCGTGCGTATAACAAGGATATCCCCAGGCCGTATCACCGTCCCGTTCCGCTGCAGGATATGTTTTATCATCTGTAGCGAAATCTCACTCCGGCCCAGCGCATCGAATGGCAGATTCTCGCTTGCAGCGAACGATGCAAAGTCGACGAGGACGCCTCGGCCGACGATTCCCTGTTTGCACCATGCTGGATGGGTCGACGTCGCGGTCAGTGGTCGAAATGTGGATATCGATCCAGTTCCGAGACATGACGTACCATGAACCCCGATTCTATCTGTTTTATTCTGCTGTATCTCGTATGCCGTCTTCTGCTTGAAAAAAAAAACGTCTTCGTACCCGCAGTGTCGGAAACCGTCCCATTGGGAGCTTGTTTGTGTGTTGAAGCACAGTGTGTCGTCCTATGTTCATTGGATTGTCAGCAGAAGCAAGGATAAGCATGGACACAAGCACAGGCACGAGCGGGTATATCCCTTGGGATCCTACTCACGCCAGTTGTCCGCTAATAAACACTTACATGCATAAGCCCTCCCTCAATAGTGTTGATCTTATGCTCCAATGGCTTTCGAAAAACAGGCGGCGTGCGCATCTCATTCAAGGGCCAATTCAGCCCTATCCGCACCCCAGATCGGATCTCATCCTTGGCCTGGACCACCACTTGGGGTGTCAGGTGATTAAGCGTCCCCAGCTGATCCTCTTTTCCCCAGACGTCCCAGGCAGAGTGTGGAGGGTGCGTGCGGTTGAGTGGCAGGGCGGAGAATGGAGGGACGTCCATGGCGTGGCGAGGATACAGTCCGGAGTAATATGGTCGAAACTGTCAAGTTTTCAGTGATAACGCTTCGCGGGTATTTCTATTCGAGCCTTTCGAATGCTTTAACCGCGAGGGAAGAACGTTTAAGCCAGTTGGGTTGCAGTCCGAAGGATGTTGGGGTAGGCATCTCGCCTATTGAACCTTAAGCCCTGGCCCCATTCCTTGTCCGGCACGAAGGCGAGGGGAAACTGGGGAGAAACGCGTGGAGGTACTCCAACTGTGGAGTCCAAGGCAAAGCCCTACAAGGCAAAGCTTCGCTTCCTCCGGGTAATGCTATTGCCTCTGCTTATCCACTGGTTTGGCCCCCACGGAGAAAACATTGTCTCCAACGTTCCCCAGAGTCCCGGGACTTCCTATAAATCGCCCTGTCAGGCGGTGGTGTTTCCCCATTACTCCATTGCACGCATCGTTGATTTCGTTCTGTTTTCAGGTCCTCTGACAATGTTCGCCACGCAGATGCAGGGCAGAGCCATCACCTGGGGGATCACCGTGGCCTGCGGGTCCGGCTTTTTCCTCTTCGGCTATGACCAGGGCGTTTTCGGCGGCATCCTCAACGACAAGAACTTCCTCAAGACCTTCAACAACCCAGACTCGACCATCCAGGCGCAGATCACGTCGACCTACTACCTCGGTGCCATCTTCGGCGCCATCTTCTCCCGCTTCATCGGCGACAAGATCGGCCGCCGCAAGGCCATCATGCTCGGATCCATCTTCCTCACCATCGGCGGAGCACTGCAAGCCTCGGCGAGTACACTCGCGCATATGATCATCGGCCGGATTGTCGGGGGTGTCGGGACTGGTCTGAACACGACTGCCATCCCCATGTGGCAGGTCGAGACCTGCAAGCAGCATCATCGCGGCCGACTAGTCATCATGGAGCTCGTGCTGAATATCACTGGAATCGCAGTGACGAGCTGGATGAACTATGGCTTCACGTTCCTGCACGATAACTCCGTCTCGTGGCGGTTCCCGTTGGCCTTTCAGTCCTTCTGGGCAATCGTCACCTTCTGCCTTGTCCTCATCATGCCCGAGTCCCCGCGCTGGCTTGTCCTGCGCGGCCGCCTCGACGAAGCGCAACATATCCTCGCCCGGATGATGTCCGCAGACACCAACGACCCGGCCGTCCTCACCGCCCTGAACATCCTCTCCGCAACCGTGATCCACGAACGCGAGGCTGAAACAGCCGCAACGGCCAACCTCCTCCGCCGCACCAACGAAGACCGCACCCAAACCCTCCGCCGCATCGCCCTGGGGGCTGGACTCGCCTTTATGCAGCAGCTCTGTGGCGTCAACATCATCGCCAATTATCTCCCCATCGTTTTAACTCGAAGCGTTGGTCTTTCTGACCGCCTTGCCCTCATTCTTTCTGCCGTCTATTCGCATGCCCTAACCCTCTGGGCAACAGCCTCGATGCTCGCCATCGACTCACTTGGCCGCAAGGCTCTCCTTGTCGCGGGTGCCACTGGCCAAGGCATCGCTTTCTTCCTAATCGCGGCGGGCATCAAAATCGGCACATACAACATGTCCATCTTCGCCGTGGTCTTCATCTTCGTGTACAACTTCTTCTTTGGGATCTCCTTCCTCAGCATCCCCTGGCTGTACCCAGCGGAAATCAACAGCCAGGCGATGAGGAACCTGGGCACGTCAGTGTCGACCGCCGTGAATTGGACGTTTGTGTATGTGATCGTGCTCGTCACGCCGCTGGGGATTGACAATCTGGGGTGGAGGTTTTATCTCATGTTTGGCGTGTTCAATCTGGCGTTTTTGCCGGTGTTGTGGTATTGCTATGTCGAGACCGCGGGGTTGTCGCTGGAGCAGATTGATCGCGTGTTTGAGGTGCAGTTTGATGGGAGAGGCGCCGGAGTGAATTTGAAACAGGCGCGGAAGCAGGTGCTCCTTGAGGCGGAGGTTGTTGGCGGTGGGGATGGCAAGGGGTTTGTCTCGGGGACTCTGGGGGTCAAGGCTGTAGAGGGCGAGGGCGCTGATCATGTAGAGAACATATAGAAAAGGAAGAACGAGAAAACGAGAGATGTTAGTTGGGTGATAATATAGGCAAGTAAGATGATCGATCGAGATTGCGTTCGAGAAATGAGTGCCAATGTGATTCCAGGCAGGCAATCCGAGCGAGCTATGGTGATTCGTTAGTCATTTAGGGATGGAGCCCATTGCAGAGGTTGGATAAACGACTATAACGTACCGGAAATATTAAGGGCAAAGAAGAAAACATCGAGACTCGAAACCGTTTCCAAATCTATAAAACTTGTGGCTATTTCGGCGTTCGACTGATGGTAACCAAAGATCACTGAATGACCACATCTAGATCTACCTCTCGACACCTCCTTCGCTTTCCAGCTCAAGAACACTGAACAGCCCGGAATGGGACATTCAACTTAATCCCATCGACCCCCAACAAAGTGTCTAGAACCTCCTCGACCACCTCCTACGAGGACACCCCGGCCGCCTCACCCCGAAACTACGAACCCATCCGGACAACCACAAACGCAACCATCAGCCGACGCCAGACAAACGCCGAGCTTGCGTGTGTCGAGTCCTTTCGCCCAACACAGCGCTGAACAGTCGGTGGAAAAGCTGGCCCTGCTCCGATGAATGAATGGCTACCCTTTGATATAGGAAAAGATTATCAGCCTGCGTTACCGGATCCGGAGAAATATGTTGTTGAGGTTATACGGGTGTTGAGGATCTGTTGCATCCGCATAATTGGCCGAAGGCGAAGAAGTAGGTCCTTCATTACTTCTGAATTCCTTGGTTTGGTTTGTTTTCAATAGAGAATTCGGGATGAGATAAGATGGTGGTCTGAGGGGACATATCGTAAGCATGGGCTGATGATATCTCGATAGGGTCAGGCTATCTCTTGTCCTTGCGTATGTCACGTTTGTCTCATCGTTAGCGAGTGCAATCTTTTCCGCCGGTGTTGGTGCTGTGACTGAGCAGTCCGGTATAAGCAGCGAGATGTCAACGCTAGGGTCAACTTCTATGTACTAGGCTGCAGCTGGCCTGACATTCTGCGCTCCTGCGCCGGAGCTGTCTGGTCGACGATCGCTCATCACGGCCGGTATTTTCGGATACAGCATCTTCACGATCGCAACAGCACCAGCGAAAGATGTTCAGACAATCATGCTGACTCGCTTTTGCGCTTGCATGTTCGCGGCGTTCGCGGATGTGTAAAGTAACCGGCAAGCCGTGGTCGCGGTTGGGTGTCCCGCGATGGCGGTGTTAGTGAGACAATTTGCCTCGCCATTAACAGGACGTTTTATTGTCCTGAGCTGTATAGGATAGCGGTTGATGAAGGAGCAGACTTACTCGTGCTGTTCTTCAGGGAGACATATGCACAAATGATATGGTAAAGGCAGCGACGCTGCGCCGACAGAGAAGGAGCCGAGCCGTGTATGCAAAGCAAGACGAGGTCGTGGTACACTTCAGAGACCCAGTGATGGTGAACTTTAGCTGGCTCTTCCGCATGTTCTTCACAGGCCCATAGTCTTCCTCGTGACAGGTACATGGCCTTCATCCACAGACTGATGTAGGCGCCGCCGACGGCCTACCCCGTGGTGTTCCAAGGATTCCATGGCATGGACCTTGGCGTCGGGAGCCTACCGTTCATCAGGCTGATCATCGGCGAGCTCCTAGTGGGGATATACACGCTGCTGAGCCAGTTGTCATACACCAAGAAGCTGCTGGCAGCGAATGGGGACATTCCGGTTCCTGAATGGAGATTGCCGCCGACGATCGTGGGCGGGGTCGTCTTCACAATCGGACTCATCCGGGATCATATCTCTCGATATCATCGCCGATAGCTGATGCTGGTGATAGATCGATCTGTAAGCTGACAAATGCCTCGGGTACTGCTGGACAGGGTTCACGGAGGAGATCCATTGAATGGCCCCCCACTGCATCTGGGGTACTGGTAGGGTCTGCGATCTCTTCCATCTTCCTGAAACTGTTTCATCTACCTGATTGACTCGTATCTGCAATTGTAAGTTTGAGCTAGCGATGAATCTGGCTTGGCCCGGAGATTATAGCACGAGCTGATAAGCTTGCGAACAATGCGCGTCGGTATTCGCCGTCAACACCATCCTACGGTCAGCGGGGGAGCATGCTTCCCCTCCGTTTGTCAACCTCGGTGTGCAATGGTCGGGCACATTGCTAGGTTGTCTTTCTGCGATCCTGATTCCGATCCCTTTGGCGTTCATCGCGTGGGGCCCCGCCCTACGCCGGAAGAGCCGGTTCGCGGCGCAGCTGCGTGTATTCGAACAGAAAACGTTGATAGGCACGAAGCTGTTCCTGCTGGTGGCAATTGCTCAGCTCCCAAAGCCCTAGATCGTCAACATGTTGTCAGAATTGAGGAAGATTTTGCCTCCGTAACGCGATTTGTCCACTGATAAGGGGCGGCCAGATACGTTTTTCTCGGGGAGATCCGCCAGGAGGGTCGCTCGCGTAAGACGTGCAACCTGACTCGCAGGCGGGCTCCAGCCATCGTGCGGTTCCGTGGTCGCTTCGGCAGCTCCTTCGCTCGTGGCCTATCGCGCCGGTATCCACTGAGGGTCGCAGAGATAACGATTTTGAAGGTTTTTTGCCCCAGTCGCGTCAGAAATAAAATCTCCAACGTGCCGGTCGTGTGAGTCTTCTGGAATGTCGCTTCTCTTCGCCGCAACTCTTGCATAAAACAACTCCCACCAAGTGGTCGTCTTCGATCTTCTTGTTCAATCTTCGACGCCATGGGCAACTCCGAGTGGATTGGCCGTGTCAACCGCACTGTGGCTCGTAGCCCAGTCGGTCGCTGGTTTCGCCTCGAGGGTTCGAATCACGTACGTTCGAAAACTGTCGCTGTTGCGCATTGAGTGCAGCATTGTCTTTCGGATCAGTTTGAAAGGTTTCTCACTGATTCTGCTATAGCCCAAAGAGCGCAAAGGCTCTTACTTTTTCACCGAGATCCGTGCCGGCCTCGCCACTTTCTTCGCGATGGCCTATATTATCTCCGTGAACGCGAACATCACTAGCGATACTGGAGGAACCTGTGTCTGCCCTCCAGAGGGCGTTTTCGACAACTGCAATACCAACACCGAGTATGCGATTTGCAAGCAAGAAGTCAACCGTGATATCGTGACCGCGACTGCCGCTATCGCCGCCATCGCGACTTTCTTCCTTGGTCTTCTTGCCAACCTGCCTGTCGCCCTTGCGCCTGGAATGGGTCTCAACGCATACTTCGCCTACACTGTGGTTGGTCATAACGGTGGCGGATTGATTCCTTACAGCACCGCGGTAACTGCAGTTTTCGTCGAGGGCTGGATCTTCCTCGGTCTAACCCTCCTCGGTATCCGTCAGTGGCTCGCTCGCGCGATTCCGGCGTCCATCAAGCTTGCTACTGGTGCCGGTATTGGATTGTACTTGACGTTGATCGGTCTCAGCTACAGTGCTGGACTTGGTGTCATTCAGGGCGCACAGGACACCCCCATCCAGCTGGCAGGTTGCATCCAGAGCTTGATCGACGAGGCTGAGGATGGTTTGTGCCCTAGCTATGGCAAGATGCGAAACCCAGCTATGTGGATTGGCATCTTCTGCGGTGGCTTCTTCACCGTGTTCCTGATGTTGTACCGCGTCAAGGGCGCAGTTATTGCCGGTATCCTCCTGGTTTCCATCATCTCTTGGCCGCGCACAACCGCCGTCACCTATTTCCCGCACACTGCGGCTGGTGACGACATGTTCGACTTCTTCAAGAAAGTGGTTACTTTCCACCCGATCAAGCACACCCTTCTGGCTCAGGACTGGAATATTGGGAGCCACGGAGGACAGTTTGGTCTGGCCCTGATCACATTCCTGGTACGTTTTGGCGTCGTCTATCCACAGATTCGGTCGCTAATATCAGCACAGTATGTCGATATTCTCGACGCTACAGGTACGCTGTATTCCATGGCCAAGTTCGCTGGTGCGATGGACGAGCGCACTCAGGATTTCGAAGGCAGCGCCATGGCTTATGTAAGTTCAGCCAGAATTATGTGTCCGTACGTTGCTAATGAATGCACAACAGATGGTCGACGCTATCAGTATCTCGATTGGTTCTCTGTTTGGCTCCCCACCCGTCACGGCATTCGTGGAAAGTGGTGCGGGTATCTCTGAAGGCGGCAAGACTGGACTGACTTCCTGCGTGACCGGCCTTTGCTTCTTCATCGCGGTCTTCTTCGCACCAATTTTCGCCTCCATCCCCCCATGGGCGACTGGCAGCACACTTGTCATCGTCGGCTCAATGATGATGAACGCCACCCTCGAGATCAACTGGCGGTATCTCGGCGACGCCATTCCGGCTTTCTTGACCATCGCCATGATGCCTTTCACCTACAGTATCGCCGATGGCCTGATTGCCGGTATCCTCAGCTACATCCTCATCAACACTGGAGTGTGGGTGATTGACAAGGCCAGCGGTGGCCGCATCGTCCCTCCGAACCGCGACGAGGATCACGACGCTTGGACCTGGAAGATCCCTGGAGGATTCTTCCCGCCTTGGCTCGTGCGTGTTGCCCACGGCAAGAAGGACTTCTGGCGCCCGGAAGCTGAGCAGGATCTGGACTTTGGAGTGATGCCGCAGGAGTCGATCTCTTCTCAGGATCGCGTTGCGGAGAAACTGCCGACGTCGCAGGAGAAGGTCGCTGAGCAGGATTCGGGTAGACACTAGTTAGAGTTGGGCATTGTATATATTGGCTGAGTGTTATCCGGAGGATTTCATATCGTACCTTATTTGTTAAGCGAGAGCTTGTATTCTTTTTGGTTGGTTCCAATAGCGCCAGTTGAATTCAATTCTGAAGATTATTTTTGTCGGAGCACGATTCCGCCAATCAACTTGCGCCAAGCGTTGCTTACCTAAGCGAGGTCAGATGGCAGGGGCAGGAAATGGGTTCCGACGCGCGTGGAAGAGTGGCTGAAGCGGAGAGTCGGCATTCGTTGCGACTCCCTTGTTACCGACGTGCACAGCGAACCTTGGATAATAATTCCAAGTAGTCTCAATTTTTATCTCGTAGAAAGACGAGTGAAGTACCACTCATCGTCAGGAAGAGTGATCTCGAGGATTTCAAGAGTCAAGGCGTATCTCGGGCTCTCAGCGTTGTCAGGAACTCGTGCCACTGCAGATTCCGGGTCGCATGGTGTGATTGGTCACACTGCCAGTTCCTCACATCCCTCACCTGGAGGACGATCGCTCACTCCTCATTCCTTTCAAAAGTTTCCTGACCTCCCAGGTTTCTGGGTCGGTACCGCTCTGTTGGGCGTCGCATAATACTCGACAGCTTCGCCTCTTCGTTGACCTTGTTTCCCTCTCAAGCATGGACACAGCATGATGCCCAACCCGAAATCCCGCCGTATTGCCCCTGTGGCTTCTGACACTGCCGCCAATAATGACACCCAGAAACGCAGAAAGAACGTCGGGACCGCGTGCTTGGCTTGCAAGACTCGCAAGCTGAAGGTAAGTCACTCTTTGAGACTGCCCAGATATCGCTCTCTCGCTCTGGAGTCTCCGCTAACCACATCCCGGTCGCTAGTGTACCGGAGCACCTCCCTGCGCCAACTGCGTCAAGAGCCGTCTCGAATGCAACCTCGATGAATCCGCCGATAAACGTCGCCGCGGTCCGCTGAAGCGCAAGATCGACCATCTGGAAGACAAAGAGGAGGTCTTTCTCCGCCTTCTCGAGATCATACGCGACGGCGACAACCGTCGCATCGTACCCCTGTTGAACCTTATCCGAAGCCATGCCTCCTTGTCCGAGATTCGCTTTTATATTGAACACCAGCTGCCACGGTCGGAACTGCCGCAAGCCTCTGATCTTGCTGACCTCTTCCGGGACATCCGACAGTACGATCTGCTCGAACCGAGTCCGAAGCGGCGCATGCTTGGTACCCCACAGCCCGTCGATATCCCTCGTTTCTCCGTTCCTGCGCGACCCTGGACCTCGGTCATTACAGATGACGACCTCGTTTCTCGATTGATAACTCTGTGGTTTACATGGATTCATCCAACTTGCAATTGGATTGACCGGGATTTGTTCATCCGCGATATGAAGTCGGGCTCTCTTTCCGCGCCGTACTGCTCTCCGTTCCTGGTGAATGTCATACTGGCCGATGCATGCGTATGTGATTGCCTATCGTGGTATGTCAACTATGGTCATTAACGGTTGCGTTTAGGCCTATGCCGATTACGCAGCCTACGAACTCCCCGATGAACTGCTGGTCACGCAGCGATCGCTATTGTACGACGAGGCGAAGCGATTACTCCACAAAGAGGAGGGGCGCATTTGTTTACAAACAGTTCAGGGACTGGGAGTCTTGTGGTTGAAGTAAGCCATAACCTGCCCACAGTTGTCATTACAACAAGCTAACCAGTTCAGCGCCTGCGTTACTGGTAAAGACCGACTCGGGTGGATCAGCCGTGGACAGCTTGCCTACTCCCTCGAGGAGCTCTCGCAAACCGCCTCTCATAATACCTCAGACCCAGACTCCACGCGCATGCTGCAGGTAGTCAATCACACGAAATGGGGGTTATTCCATCTTTCCTTGTAAGCAGCCAGGCCACACCATTGAACAGCGCATGATCGTACAGTCCGTCCTTCTTGTTTATACTGACTACCCATCAGGATCAATGGTCTGTTTCTTAAGAAAGTGCCAATACTCAAGCCACCAATGCAGCACATCCCTCTCCCTGTTGACCATCAAAGCGACCAAGACATATGGTCCTCATACCCGAATCCATCCAAAGGTGTAGCCGGACATACAAATTGTTTATCCAACGCCCTATCGAATCTCAACGGAATAGCATACAGTCTGGTCGCATTCTTGTTCCCGCACAGCGAGTCGTCTGTAGGTCACATCGAACTCGACAACGGGAAGATAGAGGCTTTGCAAGCTCTCAGTGCATGGCCTGGCCGCCTACCCAACTGCTTGATAGAGAGCAAGCGTGATGTTCCCCATGTGCTCTCCCTACAGTAAGTTGTGTCTGGCGTCGAAATGTTTGCGAGTCGGTGGCTGATCTTTCTAGTATGCACTATCACAATGTTATGATCGCAATATACGGCTTTCTCAGAACTCGGCCTGCATACGCAAGTACAGGTTCAGCCTGGAGCCCCGAGCCGCGGATCCCGTTTATTGCCCCCCAGCAAGCTTGGGAAGCTTGTCTTCTGTCGGCTCGCAAGATTGCTCAATTAGTCGTTGTCCACCGCTCCAGCTGGGGGTTCGATCGCATGCCCGGTGCCAACGCTCCATGTATCATGGGCGCTCTCTTTGTGTTGCTAGAAGTTCTGGACGAGCCCGCCAACCGGGACGCCTTCATTTCATTGACAGTGGCCGCCGGGGCGTTTTCGCGGCGATGGGAATGTCCCAGAGCAGTATTCCGCTCTCTTCAGAATACAGCCCGCGAGAGAGGCATAACTCTACCACCAGAGTCGGGTCCCATTTTCATGGATCTCGATCAGCTCTCGGAGAAAAGCACTCCCGTAAAGTCTGAGACCCCCGAGGCGCCCACAATTTGATGATACGCTTGACGATTGCACCATTGTTATGATTAAGTCGCATATATCTGGAGTTTTGTGGTTGGTTGTGTTTCCAGGCTCGGTACAAGGGGAAATAGTCATGGATTGTATGTTGTAGTTAGATAGCATAGCCTCATTGTTCGTTTCTCATATCAATCATTTACATTCGTTCAAATCATGTCGTCATATACCAAGAACATCCCGCGACGGTGCTTGCGTTACACCGTCTCCTGCCGCTGTACCGGCCTGAGCCCGAGGGCCGTTGCGACTCTCTGCATACTCAAGAACGACTCCGTTTTCTCCCTGAACTGATTATTCGCACCGTGCGACTCCTTCGCAACATCTTCATCATCCGAAGGTTTCGGCTTGCCATGAATCGCCCTCTTGTACCACCGCGGGTATACCTCCCGCCAGTGCCAAATGGCCCAGACAAGCACCGTGAGCAGCGTCAGTGGTATCGTGACAAGCCAGTAAATCCAGAACTTGTCCGACGTGATCCATGTATTCGGCGGGTCGGCCTGGAAGCTGAAGAAGTTTGTGCCGAAGAGCCCCTGTGGCCGGTAGGTTAGTATTGCCATTTGAGCAGATTTATCTCACACGTGATGGTTGAGGGAACACTAAGAGAGAACTTACAGACACAAACGTCCCTGGCAGATAGACCATACTCACCACCGCGACGGTCTTCATCATGTTACTGTCCGTCCGCGCGTCGCGACCGAAGCTTTGCGAGACGAGGTTGAATGCCTGCGCGATTATTAGCCCATCGCCTCAATTCATCTTTGACTTCCGGCGAGAGATGTACCAGGTTGATCTCATTCTGATGCCTATCGTTCAGCGATTTCGACCGCGTCTTCAGTGAGTGCGCTCGCTTCTCCTCTCGCTTTATATCCTGAAGAGTCTTGATCCAGGTATCGAGATTCCGCTGCACAGACTCGCTGTCTTCCCTCCGCCAGTGCATCTGCTCTTCTGTCAGCGACCTCAATGTGTGTTCTGCGACCTCGATCGTCTCGTTGTAATGGAATAGGTGCCGTGCGATGTCGTGGAGGAGCGGGAAGTCCTTTGGTTTGTGCCTCTCGTCGGATCGGGCCTACTCGCCGGACGCAATGTCAGTTCCACGGAAGAGACTAAGTATGGTTTAAAGGCGTTGACGTTGCGGGTGTTTACATACCTTCTCATGCCCGCGCACCAGATCCCTCAACATCCAGAACGCCGTGTCGTACAGCTCGAGAACAAGCCTCGCAAAGGCAGCGTGCCAGCAGAACGGATTTCGTTGCCGATCGTCGGGGCTGGGGATCTTCTTGAGGAAGATACGGTGCACTTTCGATGGCAGGCCAAAGATGTAAACGACCTGCCGACCCGTCGCTGGATCCCAGTCAACGTGGACGGTCGGCTGGATCCAGTCGTATTGGTCCGCGGTTTCAACCTGCTTGATCTTGAAGCATGACCACGATACTGACGGTTATGTTAGAGCGAACTCATTACCGCCGCTGGGTGCGAGGCGAGCACGAACCTTTCGGTGAGACGCGGCCGTCGGTGACCGCATACTCGCAGTGGAAGGACCCGTTGATGTCCCCGTCCATCACCTGCCAGAACTCTTCCTGGAATCGGAACTTGTACCGCTTATAATCGGGCAGCTCATGGAATCGGCCGGTCGCCAAACTATGAGGGTTGCGTTAATTAGAACGTTGACGAACTAGATGAACTAGAATAGGTCACGGTCGGTGCGTACACGATAATATTGGTGGTCGGCTTGTTCTGCGGTGGAAAGGACAGGACGGTTAACCTCGCGATCGGAACTCCAACTCGGTGTGACCATTCAGCCAACTCACCTCCAGAATATCCAAATCCCATCCGCATTTCTGCCACTGGTTCGGTTCTACCAAAGGTTCGGGTCGTTAGACTCTGCGAAGTGGATTAAGGGCGCTCCCGAACGTACCACTCTCCTCAAAAATCTGGATCACCTCTTGCGGCAGCGCAGGAGGTTTCGGGGCTTTACCCATCGTGGCGGTCGCAATATATATATAAACTCAAATCAAGAGTGTGGAGTTGTATATATTTCCCCGGTAAAAGAGAGGTTGGTTTTGTGCAGCGAGCGACATGCCACGAGGGCGACGCGGGTATGGTGCGAGTTATATCTTCACCGCAAGACAATGAGGCTGGGCCTCTTCAGCTCTTTATTCTTTTCTTTTTTTGGTCCTCCATTTTCCTGGATGGTGTGGGAGCCGCAAGCTCGGCGCTAACTTGCAGCCTTCAGGGAGACGATTGGCGGAGAGTCGCTCTAGCTGGGCTTGCGATGCACGATGCCGCAAGTGTGTTTCATGGGGTGAGCAAGCATCGATCAGGGGCGAATGGGTGATCTCATTAGAGATGATGTTCATCGGTCGGGCGGCATTTATCGAAATCGATTGCATCTCAGAGTTCATTCTCTGAGGAACAGCGGCAATGTGCAGGAGGCCGATCCGACATAACTGATGTGGTCTCTGGTGAGGAGGCTGCCACTGCCACTGCCCCTGCACAACTTGCGACCGCTGATCGGTGATGTGTCAAACTCAACACCCGGACGCGTCGAGAACTTGAGAACTCAGAGCAGGGATTTTTACGCAAACATCTCCTGTCTGACAATGGCTTTGCTGCGGTCACTTGCCTTCGGGGTCAATGGGTGAAGCGATTGAGGCTGTGCTGGGCGACACGGACAATAGGCAGTCATCCAAAGCACGCTCCATGACCTCACCATGCTGCGAGATCAGATTCAATTCGAAAGGCAACGAATCTATCATTATTTCACACCAAGTCACGATACTGATGGATGACGCCGAACAGCTTCCTCGTCAGGGTCGCCATCTCGCCCCGTCCCCGAGATCCCCTGATTCGTGAGTGCGGGGTTCGGCAGCGCGTAAGCGTATCTAACCCAGTTGAGAATCAGCGCGGACTACTCTTACTATGGCGTACGGAGTATGCTTGATCTTACGCTTGAATGGAGTCGTGACATACTGACACACCCATCGCAAGATGATTCGGTAGCCCATCAGCCAAGTTGAGATACGCTTGCGAGAAGATCCACCACATGGGTTCCTTGGAAGCAGAGACTCCCCCCCTTTCTACCCCGGCAACCTCGGTAGATCTACACAATCAGATCATGGCGGCCGAACCCCGTGCGGGGAAGGGGTGCATTTCTTTTTGCGGGACGAGCTATGGGGAGCGATAAAAGAAGCAGAAGGGGACTCTCTGCACATCAGCTTACAATAGTCGCTCATGAACGATGTCGCAAAAAGCGCCCAAGTCAATCCCGTCCTACAGCCAGATCGCTTGTGTTGGCGCAGGCATTAGTGCGATCGCTCTAGGAGCTACCCTGAAACGATGGTATAGTCTGGACGATATCCGATTCTTCGAGCGGCATGATGACTGTGGAGGGACATGGCACATCAACACGTACCCTGGTATGAGGCACTGTTGATTCTTCAGTTGCCCACGCTGACATCTCTAGGCTGCGCATGCGATGTCCCTAGCGCTCTATATAGTTACTCCTTCGCGCAGAACCCGAAATGGACCAAGCTCATGCCGTCGCATGATGAGATCAAGGCCTACCAGCGCGAAGTGGCGGATACATATGGGCTGCGTCAGAAGATGACGTTTCGGACAGAGGTGAAGGAGTGCTACTGGCGAGAGGATGCGTCGCGATGGCTCATGGTGCTGCGCAAGATTGATACGGACGAGATCTTCTACCACGAGTGTCAGATTCTGTTTGGGGCTACGGGGGTCTTGGTTGAGCCTCGGCCGTGCGATATCCCGGGTGCAACAACGTTTAACGGCTCGATCTTTCACTCAGCGCGATGGAACCACGATGTCAGTTTAGAGGGGAAGAGGGTCGTGGTCGTTGGGAATGGATGTTTGTCACCCAAATATGATCCTCCCAAGTACAGCACACGAGCGAGTGCTAACAACAAGTGACCAGGCACCGCTGCTCAGATTGTACCCGCAATCGTCGACAGCGCCGCCTCAGTAACCCAAATCATTCGCAGCCAGCACTGGGTCGTCCGATCCGCAAACGTCAAGTACACCCCGGGCATGCTATGGGCCTTCCAGAACATCCCGTTCTTGCAGCAGCTGCATCGCTTTGCGATCTATCTAGGAGCCGAGGAGGACTGGCAACTGTTCCCCATGACCAAGAGTGCCGCCAAATACCGACAAAAGCGGCGCAAGCAGATCGAAGCCTACATGCGGAAAACAGCCCCGGCCAAGTATCATGACATTTTGATCCCGGACTTTGAAGTCGGCTGCAAGGTGTGAATTCTCTAACACCTACCCATCAATATATGATGGACTAACAGGTCTATCTATAGCGCCGAATCTTCGACTGCGGCTACCTCGCCGCTCTACACGACCCCAAAACCTTCCTCACAGACGCCAAGATCCTCGAAATCGTCCCCGAAGGCGTCAAAACCTCCGATGGCCTCATCCCCGCCGATGTCATCGTCCTCGCGACCGGCTTCGACACGACTCGTTTTTTACCGGGGCTCACGGTCCACGGTCGAAACGACACAACAGTCGAGGAACATTGGAGTCGACAGGATGGCCCGGGGGCGTATAACACATCTGCAATGAACCGGTTCCCGAATTTCTTCATGCTGCTTGGTCCGAACACGGTTACTGGACATACGTCGGCTATTATGGCTTCAGAAAAGTATGTCACTACGGCTAATTGCGCTTGCAAATGGTTAGTTGCTGATTCCTTTCTTTAGCTCCGTAAACTACGCTCTTCGAGTCCTGAAACCGGTGCTCGACGGATCTGCGTCCTCCGTCGAAGTCAAGCTCGAGGCCGAAGACACATACATCCAAAATGTCCAGTCCGCGCTTAAGGATACCGTCTGGCATTCGGGTTGTAACTCGGTAATTCTCCTCCTCCTTCCTCACCTGACTAGTTTGGTTCTAACCACGTCTAGTGGTACGTCAACGGCAAAGAATGGAACGCGATGGCATACCCGTGGGCACAGTCACATTTCTGGTACAGGAGCTTGTTCCCCGTGTGGAAGGATTGGGACATTAAGGTTCGTTCCCTACCCTTTCTGCGGACTCAACGAGGGCACACATCTGTGGCGCAATGGCTAACGCCCAATCGCAGTGGGTCAAAAAACCAGCAACTCGGAGCTGGAGGAAATTCATCTTGGCTTTGATACTCTTCGTCGGTGCCGGGTCGGCTTCGCTCAATGCAGCCTGGCTAAGGGGCGTCGCTGTTTTGCTGCGGCAGAGGGTTGGGTTGTGAGTGTGCTGATACGGAGTGTGTTTTTGGGGTTTCCTAAGGATTGTGTATTATTATTCAATCAGGATATAATTTGCTAATGGCTCTAGAGCATAAAACATATAACTTATTCTCAGCTATATATTCCGGGAGTGCGGGAATCGCAGCACGCAATGGCAGTGGGCTACGGACTGGAACGGGGCGCGTACAACAATATATTTCTGCCGAGACCGATCAACCAGCCCAGGCAACAGCGGCATAACTCTGCCAATGCACGTTCTGGTACGACAGCGACTTATATACCCCGGAAACAGTAATTCTTCGAACAAAAGCAACAAGCTCCTACATTTCTGCAGCTAAGGCTCTTGGCCGGAGTTAAGGACCATCGACCGGGCTCAAGCATGGAGCTACGGGCCTCAAGAGGTTTCACAACAAGGACAACCCTTTTGCACAAAAAAAAACATTGGACTTAGAATCTGCCGATCCATCAAGCCACCCGAACTTGTGCTGAAGTTATGGCCCTCGATATCTTACTCCGGAGTACATACTATTCTGCCTAGGCATCATACCTCTATCACCGTCGCGCAGCTCAAGCTTCAATGCAAGCAGCCTGTCAGCCCCGAGATGAGACAATCCAGCTTCCCGACTCCGATTGAAACCTGCCCAGACGTGTATTCCGGGATGAACATGATGGGCGTAACTTTGTTACCCCTCCTCGAGACAATCAAGGGCTATATCAGGACAAGTCCGGCACAGAGTGGTGTTGAACTCATCGCCAAGTACCTTAACCTCTCAATCGCAGCATTTACCCTTACCATGGCAGCACATACAAGCATCGTCGGCAAAGCCGTTGGCCCTATCGGCTATGGTTTGATGGGAACGTATCCCGGAGCCTTCGGCACGAAGCAAAGGCCACATCCTCAGCCGTCTACAATGCAGGCTTCACCCGCCCTTGCCCCAGTTGAGCACTCTGTCGTGGCAAAAAACCATGAAAACCGCGTTCGAACAGGGCGCAATCTTCTGACATGGCGTATGAACACCCACTCCTCATCGCGCTCGCCATGAATCTCCAACGCATAGCCTAACCAAACCCAGAATCTCCACGGCGGCACCCCGACCTCAAACCCCCTGCACTTGCCGAGATACTACTTGACAACCTACCTTTCCGACGCCGAAAAAGTCATCCTCAGCGTAAACGGAGCCTACGACGCAGCGACACATACATCCGACGGGACGCCCTCGGCCGTGCGCGCGTCCGTCGAGACTACCATCTGCATCCTCGACGGCGTGGAAAGGATTGATATCTTCGAGTGCGCGCGCGTCGAACCCAACGTCCCCATCCAGACGTCCATCGGAGCCCTCGCGGAGCTCGTAAACGAACGGAAGATAGGCGGCGTGAGACTTAGCGGTCTGCACCGCTACGATCCGTCGCGCGCATGCGAATCCATCGATTGTGGGCGTTGAGATTGAACGTAGTCTGTTTACGTCGGATGCGTATGCGTTGCGCGATAGGGTTGTGGATGTTTGTCAGGAGTGTATGCTGGCTTCCTTTCCTTCGCATTTTGGTTTTCCATGTCAATCACTCCGGATCATTTGTGCATTCGACGTGTTGAAAGACATGGGCTGAACTAATCAGCGACAGTAACCATCCAAAGTAGTCGCCTACGCCCCTGTCGCCCGCTGGCTGATAGGCCAACGGCGGAAATTCGAAAATTCGACCGCGATAGACATGTGAGATTACCTCTCACGCTTCAAGCGCGAGCTTTCGACGAGAACGCGAAGCTCGCTCAGGCCATTGAGGCTGTCGCGAAGCGGAGGGCGTGACTTTCGCGCTGGGCGCGATCCCGATCCCGGGCGCGACGACGGAGGGGAGGGCTCGTGAAAATCGTGAGCGCGTTGAGTTGGATGAGGCAGATATGGAGGAGTTAAGGGGTTTTTAAGGGGATGCAGGTGAGTGGGAGAGAGAGTATGGGGGTATTTAAGAGAGGCTCTTGAATTTGTGAGTGCTGTGGCATTTTGGAGGTGTCAAGGTGGGTGGATTTCATTGAGCCTGATCTCGAGGTAATTTTTGTAAATCTGTGCCGTAAACTCGTGGAAACCAACGCGTCCCACGTTTCCCAAAAATACAGCCAGTGGATCAGATAAAAAAAGTCCGACTCCGGCCATCTGATTACGATATTGCTGGGCCTCCACTGTCGACTCCGCTCGCCTTCTGCAGTCGCAGCCGATCTTGCCGACCTCAACACCTCATCCCGGAATGCACATACCCCGTCCACGGCCTTCCAGTCTCTTATCAATTCTACGACCTCGAACTCGAATTGTACTGCCTCGAACAGCATACTACCCCTCACCACGACCGCAAGCTCAGACACACACTCACACGCGCACAATCATGACACAAACCGACAAACCCACGGGAATCACCCTCCCAAACTCAGAGCAGCTCTATTTGTGCAACTCGCGCGGCGAAGAGTACCTCATCCAAATATCCTGGCCGCTACACTTTAACCAACATGACCCGGATACCGACCGAAATAAACTGCCCATTATGTGAGTACTCATCATTTTCTTCCCCTCCCTCTAGCTACCGCAATGCCACCAACCTATCCACTGCCGCCACAGCATTCAAAAGCAAACCAACTAACAGAAACAGCTACATCGTCGACGGCAACGCCTTCTTCCTAACAGCAACCGAAGCCGCCTGGCGCCGCTCCGCAGAAGCCCACTACGCCGGCGGCGGGATCGTCGTCGCAATCGGCTACCCTCTCACAGGCACGGGCAAAGTCTACCATCGCGTGCGGCGAAACCTCGACCTGACGATCCAGAACCCCGATCCCGCCGGGAAGCCCGTGGGCGAAGGGTACGGGGGCGCGGACGCCCTGCTGGATTTCATCGACGAGACTGTGCGCCCCGCTGTCCGGGCGCGGTTCCCGAATCTGACCGTCTCGCGCGAGGCGCTGTATGGGCACTCGTATGGCGGACTTTTTGCGCTGCATGCGCTGTTTACGAGGCCGGGCATGTTCGATGCGTATATTGCGAGTTCGCCGTCGATTTGGTGGGCGGAGAGGTGTATCTTACATGAGGCCAAGGCGTTTGTTGCTAGGATTAAGGAGATGGAGGCGGAGGGGGAGAAGTTGCCGACGCTGATGATGTATCTTGGTGGGTTGGAGCAGGATCCGCCGCAGTGGGGGGATGAGCCCGAGGACAAATGGGAGGCGCGCAAGCGCACGGCGGCGATTTTGAATATGCGAAACAATGTGCTGAGTTTGATGGATGTTATCAGGGGGTGTACGCGGTTGCATGCGGTGTCGTTTAGTGAGTATGGGGGCGAAGATCATGGGACTGTTATGGCTTGCTCGATGAGTCGGGGGCTCACGACGTTTTTCGAGGAGTGGCCTGTTAAGAGGGTTGAGGGGATCGAATAGTGTTAGAACTAGATCGTGATGTTTTTATTCAGGGAGGTTGATATAGGGGCTACAAGACCACATAATAATCCACCCACATCAAACAAGGAACCAAAGATCCAAACTTTCAAGCAGCCATCAAGATCCCCCCTCAAGAGCCTCCACAAGCGCCCGAGTCCAAGCATCACAAACCGCCTTCGACATCTGCTCATCACTGATAACCTCAAACCCCTCGTTCACCATGTTCAGCACATTCCTCGGGACATCCGCATCTAGCCAACTAACTTTCGGCCAGTACGCCAGCTTATACTCCGGCGTCCTGGAACAAGGAGTATTCGGATTTCCAGTGCGCGCATGGTTCGTAAGATACCGCTGGAACTGTGAGAAGAGCGGGTCCGAGACGGTGCCAGTATAGTTGTCCGGGAGCGGGAGCTCTGAGCTGTACCACGTCGCGGGAATATCGCCAGCGTGCATTGCGTTTATGTCGCCGTCCATGAAGCTATACTGGAACGCCCAGGCGGGATTTGGGTAGGCTTCCAGGACAGCGCGGATGTTGCAGGTGAAGAAGAGGGTTGTGTAGACGGCAGCAACCTTTTCCTTTTCTGTATAATTTGCGTAGAGGGATTCGAAGAGGGCAATCATGAATGAGGCCTGCTTTGTCGAGTTCGGTGGGAGACTGCTGGTGATAAAGTCTTGTAGCAGGCCTTCTGGAACGTCGTCCGGGACGGAGAGGGATCCTTCGTCGAGGACGTGGCTGACGAGGACCGAGTCGATGTCTTTCCAGGTGTTGCCTGAAGATCGTTTGTTAACTTGGTTCCCATCGCAACACCTCGGTTGTTGTGCATCATGGTGAGTGAGTACAAGAGGCGGGTTCTACGTACCTTTCGCATATTCAACCAGTGCCGGACTCTGGATATACTTCCCATCTGGCACCGGAAAAGATATACCCATAAATACCTCCTCGTTTGCCTTCCTCAACGCCGTGCTATTAGCCGAGCGCAAGCAGTGGAGGGAATTGACCCCCTTAGTGGGACACCCTACAGCGGCCGCAAAGGTTTCAAACCGCTCGTAACTAACTTGGGTGTTCACACTAGTATCGACAGAAGGACTCTGCATTATCACTCTTCTAAAGAGCGGGTCAAGCTTTCCTCCTTCTGCAATGAGATGATAGATCAGGGACCCAGCGCCAGCCGACTGACCCCACGCAGACACGTTATCACGATCGCCGCCAAGGAGGTGGATATACTTCTGGACCCAGGTCAGCGCCGCTCGCTGGTCGTGGAGACCCGCGTTGAAGGTGCCGTGATCCTGCAGAGGCTCTCCAGCGAGGAAGCCGAAGGCACCGAGGCGGTAGTTGATGGTTACGACAATCAGGTCGTCATCGGCTCGTTTGATGAGGCTTGTCCCGTTGTAGTATCCCGATTTGACTGCTTGGTCCTTTGAGCCGCTGACGTAACTAGACAGCACACGAGTGAGTAAGTGCTAAGGGGGGGGATAGAGGATCGAGCCTTACGCTCCTCCGTGTATCCAAACAATCACGGGAACCTTGCTTTTACGCTTCTTTAGCACCTTTCCGGGTACGTAAATGTCCAAAAACAGGCAATCTAGAAATTAGAAGCATGAGTTCCATGTTATTTGAGAATGTTGGTGGATGATCATACCCTCGTCTGCACTCGCAAAAAGACCTTTTACTCCAGGCATAAAAAAGACCTCCGGAATCTCATCTTGGATGCAGTTGGGACCGTAGGAGCCGTCCTGAATGCCATGAATCGACTTCGGAGGCGCCGGTTTCGACCAGCGCAGGTCACCGACTGGCGGAGCAGCGTAGCGGATGTTGCGAAACGTGTAGACCTTGACTGTTAGTCTGGATGAGGTGATGGGAATAGGTCTAGAGAATTTACATCTTCTTCGCTATTGAATTCGTACGCTCGCCAGGTTCCGTATGGGAGCTTCAGCAAAGGGAGATCATGGCTCGGCTCGAAAGTAATGCCAATATTTGCGGAGGAAGTGAGGGACGATGCAATAGCTGGAACAAGTAAAGTAAGGAATGCACAGGAGATCAACATCTTTGGAAGAGTTTGATGGGGATGACGGGTTTGCTATGGTAGTGATTTTGGGCGACATCCGGTGAATTTATAGGCCGCAAGTACCGTCGTGCATGAGATCTTTCAGCTGCCTGTTGTTTCCATCGAAGATAGAGATCCGAGAGTATGTCAGCATTCACTTCTTCTGTCCGTATTTTTCTACTTCGATGAGTATAGATCGCCCGATCGCCGCTTGTCAGCTTGCCGAAGCTCGCATTTCGTATCGTGCTGATTCGTCGGCTAAACGAGCTTTCGTCAAACGCTCCACCCAATCATGCCAAGTCGCCAACAATCGTCTGCCTGGTCTCAACGCTCTGGCTGGATGGCGTCCATCGTCGCCGTTGTTGGAAAATCTATGGCTGGTATCGTGGCTATGCTCGGATAGTCTCGCACATCTGGCACGAGTGCCGACGTGATTTCAACGCTTTCCCCTTATTTTAGAACGAAATTATGGTGCTCTAAGACATGACTCGGCACCCGCTTGCGCACCAGAGCGACAAACTCGGAAAGTTCATCATTCCACTCCGGAAAAAGTGTCTTGTGACTGGCAAGGCTCGGAAGCAGATCCAGAGCTAAATACTGGAACTGGTCATATACCAGCATCTGCAGGGGTCTTGGTAAGTCGTTATAGATAGCTTCCGCCCATCGGTAGATAATGAAATCCCCACCTCTCGACTTGAGGATCTGTGGAGTGCTTAGCTTTGCGTACACTGGCCTCATGAAAGAATCAATCGTAATGTAGTGCATGAACAATGCCCGCGATATATGGTCGTCGGAGGATATAAAGTCGCTAAACTCAGAACTCTCCATGTGAGCCCATGAGACATAGATTGTCGTAAGTTGGATAAAGGCTTGCCGATAGGATCCAAGCAAAGAGAGATAACTTGATCGTAGGACATTGTAGAATTTATAATGCGAAGTTCGTCGCAGAAGAGGTTGCAGCCTATCCAAACCTGCAATACACGCTGCGACTGCGCTAGCCTCAACCAGGCATTTTGGCTCCCATGGAAGGGCTGTAGTTTGCATAATCCCGTCTTGCGATTTGACCTGATGGAAGATAACGCTCTTGCGGCCGTTTTGAGAATATCTATTCACGATCATGCTGCTACCACGGACCATGACAGCAAAGTCAATGACACCGTCGCTCATGTAGCGCGCTTGGAATGTCAAGGCCAGGGATGCTGCTAGAGCGCTGTCCATTTCAATAGTAGTACAGTTGTCGCCTTTGCCAAGGATTGCACCAAGGGACCTGAGAGCCTTGCCGCGGTGCGCGATAGCCAGCGGTATATACTTGCGCCCTTGTGTAAGGGAACAGTATGATGCTCCGAGAGAGAGCAACGCATGTAGCAGATGAGGACACTACGTAGAGCATGAAGATCAGTTACACGTATTAGCTGGATGATAGGATTAGTCGCCGCGACATACCTCATGGGCCAGAGCAGGTATTTCGGACGACCAGGTGCCTTCATCTCCGATCGGCAGGCCTGGTTGCGCATTGACAAGGAAATGATGCCAGAACCGCAGGTCGTCTCCAGTAAAAGGGGTAGTAGAGACCCGAGGGGAAATTGAAGGAGACGACGTGTCAGTCTGTCTCTGGTTCTGTGTCTGGTTCGCAGTGACTAGTCTCCATTTGCGATCTCCTTTACTTGGATATACGCAATCGAGCTCTTTGCGCACACAGTTCTTGCACGCTGGTTTCGTTTCCTGACACTGTTATATAACAGTTAGCTATTATTCGAGGGTTCAATCGTCGGCGCGCGCACCTTGACTCTTCGACTCTTGCAATTGAAGCACCCCTGACGAGATTTCGTATGGGCCCTCTTCACCCGCCGCGGACTGGTCGGGCCCAAACTGGGATCCGAAGAGAGGCTCGGTGTTGCACTGGTAGCCAAAAGGGGCGATACAGGACCCGCTTGCTGGGTTTCCATTCCGACAGTCCGTTTTATAGCCTCGGATGCCCTTCAAGGTGGATTCTGAAAGTTTTCTTGAGAGTTGAGCAACGGATGCTGGTAGGCAACACTTCAAGTTGTAATCGAGGCAACACGAGACCACGTGATGTCCGGTGGCTTAGCCAGTTCAACCAGAGACTGCAACGTGATTTGTACTCGGTTGCCGGTACAGATAAGCTTCAACAGTCAAGACTACTACCGATATTCTGATATTAGCCAATAAAAGAGCAAACTTGATGGCTGGACCCTCGACGATAGACTGTCGGTTCTCGGGTACGTACCTGTCAATCGAGACGGTACTCCTCCGTACCAAGGAGACCCCCCAGAACTTGCAGCGAAGCATGACATGAATGGAAGCGTTGTCGAAGCGCCTGTGGCACAGGCTCATTCCCTGTCTCGGCTAGTTCTCAACAGTTATTATACTCGCCATTGCTACGTGGAAATCATAAGAGGTATGTATGTCCAAGTAGACGATATCTTACGGTACGTAAAGCTAGTATCGTCATATTGCGAATTATCACGCGATGTGGGGAATGCCTCCCGGATAAAATCCCCAACACTGAACCCCCAACTCCAACTTTCGCCCCTCGGCGGCATTCCAAGTCGAATTCGTTCTTCGACTCGAATCGTCTCGCAATAATGACAGAAGACAATGAGACTACATCGCCGCTCCTTGGTGACCACCAGCCGCCAGAGTATGGAGCGACTGGAGGAGCGCCCGCTCCCGCCGAACCGCGGACGTCCTTCAGGCGCAACCTTGGAACAGCCGAAGCCTTCAGCATCATAATCAGCATTGTCATTGGGAGCGGTATCTTTACCTCGCCGGGCTCGATCGATACAAATGTCCCGTCGCCCGGGTTCGCTCTAATCGTTTGGCTGGTTGGAGGAATCCTTGCTTGGACGGGAGCGGCGACAATGGCTGAGCTTGGCACTGCAATCCCTGGAGAAGGTATGGGTCTTTCGTTGCCATAGAATGGGTCGAGGCTGACAGTTGTGTAGGGGGCGTACAGCCATATCTTCAGTACATATTTGGCGACATCTTCGGCTTTCTCTCCGCCTGGACCTGGATCGTCGCGGTGATCCCAGCCTCCCTGGCGATCATGAGCATCGTCTTCGTCGAGAGCATTTACTCCGCTGTCGGAGAAAGCAGCCAGGCACAAGGGTTAATACACAAACTTCTATCGATACTCGTCTTGATAATTTTCAGCATGGCCAATGGGATCAGCACGAAAGCGACCACGCGGCTGAACAGTTTCTTCGTCACCTCAAAGTTTACGGCGATTGTGGCAACTGTCGTGGCTGGAATTGGTGTCGTCGTGTACTGTCTTGCTGCAGGTGGCGCAGACAAGACATCGCAAGATTGGCTCAACAAGTCGTGGTTTGGCTACCGAACGAGCGTCGGCCCTGACGGGTCGGAGATCGACTGGAGCAATCTCCACGGTTGGGAGATGCTGGGACATTACTCGGCAGCTCTGTATGGCGCGCTCTGGGCTTACTCAGGGTGGGACAAGGTATGCTCCTGATACGATGCTACCAATTCATACTAACAAGGTCCAAGGCGATTTACATTACCGCCGAACTCTCGGCGCCGGCCCGCCAACTCCCGCTTGCTATCAACACGGCGATTCCCATCATCATTGCTGGGTTCATTGCGGTGAACACCGCATACTACATCCTGCTTCCTTGGGACGTAGTTTCAACTACGGACAGCGTGGCTGTGGTATGTATCCACAACGATAGAAGGCGAAAGGCTTCGAACGCTAACACATGATAGACCGCTTTTAGCCACTTACTAGGTCCTGGCGTTGGCCTAGCAGCCTCGTTCCTCATCTGCATCGTTGTCGCCGGATCCTTACTCTCAAGCTCCTTTGTCGGAAGCCGCATGATCGTCGCGGCATCGAACAAGAACTGGCTTCCAAAGTTCCTCGGCGAAGTCGGATACATCGGCGTTCGACGAGGTAACCCTCGAGCAAGCACCGAAGCCGAGGATTCATCATCATCTGATGACTCTGACGCTCCGCTTAACGCACTCATCTTCTCCACCGCCTGCTCAATGCTCTACATCATCTTCGGTAACTTCCGAGCTCTTATCACGTTCAATGGACTGGGCGAGTACAGCTTCTTCTTCCTCACCATGATAGGAGCTATTGTTCTGCGGTTCCGCGAGCCCAAGCTGCATCGACCTTATAAGCCATTCATCGTGATTCCAGCGGTGTTCACTCTTGTTAGTGGATTTGTTGTTGCCAGAGGAGCCGTCTTTGCGCCCTTTCAGGCGGGCGTGCTCATTGCCGTTTGGGCTTTAGGAGTCTTCTTCTACTGGGCGAGGAGATGGTGGCTGCGTAGGGAGGTCTCATGAGCTGTCCTCTCGCGAATGCTGAGATATTCTTGCTGTGGCAAGTTTGACGAGCCTCGACATCTGTCGTTTGCATTTAAGAGTGTTATGGCTAGAAGCCTGGATAGATCACTTTTATATAGCCTGCATGCTCTGCTGGGTCAGAGTGCGATTAGGTATATTCAGCACTTCGTGCTACTTGTTCTATATATTATTCTGGTCTTCCACTAAAAGTCGCCAGACTGCCACACTACAGTACATTCGCGTCTGATCGTCGGCCGAACACCTGTTGACGAGCGCAAATGAAGCCTCGTAACTGTGAATACAACATCCTTGCCTAATGCGTGGCCTACTCCGTACAGGCGAATTATCACTGAAGTAAGGGACCCACCACTGTTGATTTCGTTACGTCACTCGTCCCAGCCATGTGGACTGGGATCGTCGATGAACCATGATCGACTATAGAGATCTACGCTTTGAAGATCCAGCTCCCTTGCTCTTTGCAGCAATTATTTCAACGTCATCATGACAGCGAGTAGTGATTTGTACACATTAATCGCCTATTCGGGGTTCAGCACACGAATTTACGAAGCTGCAGCCAACGGTACGGAGTAGCTATACAGCCGCTGCCCCCAGCGCACTACGTCAATTGTGTCCCATCTGTTGCGTCTTCACGCTCGACACTCAACTTAAGAACCGCCTGTCCCACGGTTCGCTGCCGTAGTAACATGCTTAATCAGATTGAACCATGACAGGTACACAACTCCATGTCCCACAACAGCCTTGGATCACCCAGCTATTCTACCACGCGGAGAAAACACCGAATCGAACATTCATCCGCGATCTCGGAACTGGGAAAGAGGCAACCTTTAATGAATTCCTGTATGAAGTCCTCACGCATGGTGCTCGTCTCAAGGAGAGATTGAGCCAGGATACCCAAGCTCGACTCCATGATCCAAACGAGGAGGTCTTTATTGGCCTCCTTGCGAAAGCGGGGTTTGAATATGTTGTGCTCCTCTTTGCAATTTACAGTATTGGCGGCATTGCTGTTCCCATGAGTAAGTGACAATCGGTGGTGTTGTACCAGTGGACAACGAGCCCAGATTGATACATGAAGAATTGACACGTTGCCAGGAGCACATGTACACCCAGAAGAAGCTCGATACTTCCTCGGCGCGTGTAACGCAGTCGCCCTCACCAGCAGCCAAGAAGCAGCAGAACACGGCGAGAGCCTCTCCGCAATGCTCGGGATAGACCTCTTCACATTCTCTCCATCACCGGCAACCGAGTACGCAAACGCCCAGTTCACCCTCATGCACGAACCCAACTCAGACCCCTCAAAACCACCCTTCAACCCAGCTCGCTGCTTCGCCCTTCTCTACACATCTGGAACCACCGGGCCCCCAAAAGGCGCACTATACACCTGCAACAACCTCGTCCTCGGAACAAAGAGTTACCTCGACCGCCTCTCCCTCTCGACCACAGACACCTGGCTGCACCAGATGCCCGCACACTGGAAAGGCGGGTTCGACTTCATCCTTGCCGCCGCGTACGCCGGAGCTTGCCTCGAGTTCTGTAGCGCGGTGTTCTCCCCTACTTGGTTTTGGGAACGTATGCGGCGCGGTGGGATCACGGCTATGGTTGCGTCGCCGGCGACGTTGTCGGGTCTGAAGGAGCAGCTTGATCTGATTGAGAGTCGGCAGGAGCGGGAGGAATGCATTCGGGGGTTGAATGAGATCCGGGCCCTCTCTACAGGGTCAATGGCTGTGCCGGACTCCGTGAAGGATATCTGGCGCAAGCTTAGGGGTGGGCGGCCGTTGGTCATCATGTATGGGTTTACGGAGGCTGCGGGGATGATGGCTATGACGGATTGGAGGGACATTGAGACGAGGGAGAGTTCTTCCGTGAGATATCCTTCGTTCAGTTCGCAAGCGGCGCTCGTTCTAATACGTTCTAATGGCAGGGTAACTGTGGTACGCTCGCCCCAGGCATGGAAGCAAAGGTGAACGAGTGCGGCGAGATATGCTTCAAGGGTCCGCTCTTGATGAAGCGGTGAGCCACTGCACTTTCGTGCTTTTACGACGACCATTTCATCTTAACACCTGTGGCAGTTACGTCTCAGCTCAAGAAAACGTCATGTCCAACGTCTTTGACGAATCCGGGTTCTACAAATCCGGCGACTTGGGGAGTATCAGTGCAAATGGCGAAGTATCCATCCACGGCCGCGCAAACCAAGATGGTCTGTGACACTGCCCATCACTACCTCTTTACATCCTGAATAAGGTGAAGGAAGTTGCGACACTAACATGGACCAGTAATCCGCTCCCTCGGCTGGAAGATAAACGCCCTCGAAGTCGAAGACGCACTCCGAGACCACCCATCGATCTCAAACGTCTTCATCCTCGGCGTCGCAGACACCGAAGCAGGCCAACGCATCGCGGCGCTGATTGTCAGGAAACGCGCCGTCGGTACCAAATCCCAAAATGACTTCCGCCTTGTCGCCCTCCGCAAATACCTCGCAGTCGAAAAGCAGCTTCCCGCCTTCAAACTCCCGACTCTCCTGCGGGTGATTCCCCATGGGCAGACCCTACCGACCTCGGATTCAGGGAAGCCGTCGAAGAAGAAGATGGAGGGGGTTTATTTTGGGTCTGAGTCTGTGGAAAGTGGTGACGTTGAGGTATGGGATTTCAAGACTAAGGAGGATTTCCCTGAGCGGCCGTGGGACTGGGAGGGGAGGCCGCCGGCGTAGGTACCTAGATAACCTCAATACCAAATGTGTAACTTCTGTAACGCGACGATACTATCAGAACAGTATTCATCAGCGGATCAGATAACTTAAATGAAAGTTACTAGTGTAGTTTACGCTCGCGTTCCTGAATCCTTGGCCTGGCCTCGAACCTTGGGAGTGTCCAGGTTGCCGCGGAAGACGGGAAATTCAAGCTCGGCTATCTGCCAGCCAGCGGCAAGCTTTCGAAAAACCTTACTCAATCTCGTCTGTCATGATATACAGGCTGTTAGTCGTACCTTCTTGAGACGAGCAGCGGGAATCTCAAAGTGTGCCGACTCGGTCTAATCCGCCTTTGCTCGAGGTATGTATCTACAACAGACTTCTTTCTCACAAGCAGGGTGCCGGTTCCGTTGAAATTTATGGTAGCCGAAAACCGCACCCGCAAGCGCTCGCTCGTCCCACGCATCCATTCACCCCTCCCGAATGCAACCTTGCTGTCTTGGGTCTCGACCACTGGGAACTTGCAAATCCAGAACTGATCTTTCAGTGGAGTCTACCGCCTCCGGACCGTGGCAGAACAGTGAAAAGGTGACTCCCTCCTAATTTCCACGCCCCACCGCGGGAAGCATGCACTGTACAGAGTACTCTGTACAGCTGTAGTTCCTTCCACTCAACGCTCGGCGCAGCTCGGTTACAGACGGTTCATCCATCGCATTCTCTGAGTAGGAATCATTCTCCACGGAAACAGGAATCTTGGCTCCTTGGCGCCGCGCGGAGCGGTGCTCCATACGGGAACCAGGGACGTGGAAGACGGCGAGATGATCTAATCTGATCTGATAATCGGGTTCCAGGATCAGTGCATGCGGGCGGGTTTAAAAATTACCTCGTCGACATCTTATCTGATCTTCCGGCTCTGGCCGTCGACGGTTGTTGATGATGTGTGATATTGTCTGGCCGCCGGGCCTGGTGCTTATGCTCGCGTTGGATTAGATCGAGATCCTTAGAGATGCGAGTGGACGGACGGACGGACGATGAGATATATTCGGACATCTATTGCTCTCGTTCATTCCGCGCCTCTAGATTATCTCTGGGCTGGCCTGTCCATATGCGACGCGAGTCTATATCGCGAGGGGGGACTCCGAATCTGCCCTCGGGCAACTGTTGGGCCGTGGCGAAATGACGTATATCGTCAGATCTACAAGATGACGGAAAAACAGAATTGTTATGCGCAGCATCGGAGATGTCGTAGTATTATCACCGCCAATTTTGAACGAATGTCGACCGTGTCTCATCGAGATCATGCGTCACAACTGCTCCCTCGTATATACATTAAGATAAATCAATTAGACCAAGGCATATATGTAAGTAAAGCCTTTATTTTCACTATCACCGGATACAAGAGGAGTAGAATGCCATGACAGACGGACAATGGGATGAAAAACAAATCGCTTGCGGTCTGCATTCTTCCTCTGCCCGCCGCCGCATCACTCCTCTCTCTCTTCCCCCAGTTGACCAGATACGGGCGTGTAATAAGCTTCCAAGCACCGCTTAGAAGACAACACCCTTGGTCTGCTTCATCTTACCCACGTTATAGTTCTTGATAAGCGCAACCCAAGCAAAAACGAGGACCATAAGCCCCGTTCCGGCAGCCAACATGCGCGTCTGCGCATAGCCGTACGACCTCTGAATCGCAAGACGCTCAGGCGAGTTGACCGGGTACGCCAGCTGCGCTGGAAGCGAAGAGTAGATAGTAATGACGTTGGGGAGGGCCGACTCGGGAAGCTCGCGCTGCAGAGCAGGCAAAAAAGTGTTTGTCCAGATGGCGCCGGAAATAGCGTTTCCGACTGCACCGCCAATTCCGCCAGAGATGAAGAGGACGGATAGAGCCGAGGCGACGTGCTGGTGGTCGACGGCTGCGAGGACGGCGAGCTGCATGATCAGGATGAAGCAGGCGCCAGCGACAGAGATGAAGATTTCGCACATGACAATGTAGCCAATGTACTGGTTTGGCTGGCGGAAGTGGATCATCAAACCCTGGGCGAAGATGTAGAGAGGAACAGAGATCCAGAGAAGCCATTTAAAGTACCCGGTTTTGCGGATGGCGTAACCAACACAGAAGAGGAGGACTCCAGAGACGACCTGGAAGGTGCTACCCACGTATCCAGCTTCCGCAACGCCAAGGTTGCTGACAACCTGTAGGAACGAGGAGAAGTAGCTGTTCCAGCAGTAGTATGACATTTGATAGGTGGCATCAAGCAGGCAGGCGCCGATCACGGTGCGGTCGGTCAAGAACTCGTACTTGAGGAAGGGCTTGGGGGCCAGATAGGCTTGGTATAGGACGAAGAGGACACAGACCACGAAGCCAGTGACGATCATGGCGATGATGTAGTCGGTCTTCCAGCCATTGGGAGCTCGGCTGGCGAGGGTGAACGGAAGAAGGAACACAGTGAGACCACCAGCTAGAAGGATGACTCCGGGGACTGCAAATTGATTAACATGCGAAATTAGTGTGGAATCAGGCTACTCACTATCAAGCTCGAAGAAGTAGTGCTTGATGTTCCCAACAAGAGTGCGGCCACTGCGCTCACGGGGAGTAATAAGCCCTTGCTTCTCGGCCTTGATCATGGCGGCCTTCAGAACGACATAAGTGGGCGAGGCCACAATAGGGATGATAATGGCGAAAGCACCGAATCCCCAGCGCCAGTTGACGTTGACAAGGAACTTTTCTGCAGCCTTTGAGCCTGCAAATGCAGTGATCATGTAGGGAGACGAGGTAAAGGCAAATGCGATACCACGATTCCGCAGGTTGGTCACATCGGCGGCGATGACGCAAAGGATATAGTTCAAACCACCGAATCCAACAGAGTAGAAGACCTACAAATAATGATCATTAGCAATGATCATCCGAGTTTCGTATTAGCACCTTACCTCAGCGGCACAGTATGTTGGTAGATTCTTGGATGCGGCCATCATGATCAATCCCAGTGTGGACAACATGACCATGAACATCCACCCTTCCGCGCGACCCCAGACGTCCAGCATTTTGGCAACAGGAATGTATAGAGCAGAGGTCATGGCGCTGGAAACCACTTGGATCACGGTCAAGAGGGAGTGACTCTGGAAGCTACTTGTGGCGTATGGAGTCAAACTGTAGAGGATAGCTGTTCTGAAACCGTTTGCCAAGGTAAGAAGCCACAGACTGAGGAATTAGCGATTTGACTCAAATGAGCACAAAGGACCAACAACATACAGGCACAGAACTCCAGCAAGCGACCACTTCGTCCAAACCTGGGTCACGGCCTGCATCTTCAACACACCGTCCTGGGTAGGGCCAGCGGGGATCATGTCCTCGCTGGTGGTGTCGGCCTCCTTCTCGTTGGGCGTCGCCGTCTTCTCATCGGCGGGACGCTCAATGTCTGCGGCGCGCGTAGGCTCTTCAGCCTCGCCTGCCGACTTACGACGACTAAAGGGAACTTGGAACTTGGTGATGGCCATTGCTGCTGAGTCCTCAGGTGAATCCTCGGGAGTGCGCAAGCTGGAAACGCAACTGCAACAGCGGACGGGGGGAGAGGCCGACTTTTTAACTGAGACAGCCAGGCACAGAGCTAGAAACAGGGATTTTAACCGGCACCGACATCGCCCGAAGTCGGCAGCTCTGAAAAGCGAAAAACTGGCCACTCAGCTGGTCGTGGTCAGTCCAGACTCAAGTCAGGCCACAAGAGGCGAATGGGAGATCCGCTGGGTTGATTGATTAGATCCGACGCCATTGATAAAATCGCCTAACCAAAACGTGGGCGTCCAGTGGCAAAGCGCAAAGGCAAGCTTGGTTTGGCCTGGCGAGGACGTGCCACATGCAAGGACCCCCAAGGATGGCTACTAGCTCGCATCTTGGAAGAAAACTCTGAGCTCGACGGCGGGATGCGATAGGGCCGAGACTTGGTGCCAAGTAAGCTCTAGCAGTTTCCCAGCAAGCGACGGCAACAGAGGACTTGAAGAAGCAACCAACAGTCACGAGGCACAGCGGCGTTGTGTGGGGCAGGACATTGGCGCACTGGAACATGTTAGCTCATAGAACCTTAAGCTGATTGCAACGGGAAATCCCGCAGGATGGAGAGCCTGACCTTTGCCAGAGACTCTCGCGCGGCCTTATTCTGGCATCCAACACCCCCACGGCATCTCCGCACCTCCAGCCTTTCTCAGGCCAGCACTGCAGAAGACCCCAGGAGCAGCTCAAAATTAAGTTCAAACACGGCTGCAGGCAAGGTCGTATGCATTGGGCAATAAAATTTCCCTGTGCCGTAAGCAGTATCCCGCCATGCCGGTCAGAACGCTAGCCATGGCCAAGCAGACCGTAACACCGCAACAGTCTAAGCGAACATGGCCGCCAAGGCCGTTATCACCATCTAATCTCTTGGCGCCAAGTGTCTCTCTCCCACCTTTGAACACACCCACGTTGGCCTATGCCGACGCACCACCAACTTTGAAGCCTGCAGGTGCTTGCGTTTGCAAAAAAGCGCTCTTCTTCAACGTCTCTTGGCGACTGATTTCGCAATGCCGATCGACCGCTGACATGCAGTGGTCAAGTGTAGAACCAATCGCGCGGTAAGCGCTAGAAGAAACACAGTGTTTCTCGCAGCCAACAAGAACAAGGAGACGCGAAGATTTCCCCGCTGACCAGGCCAAAATAGCTCCGTTGCTGCTGCAGGCCAAGTTGACACTGCGCCAAGCAAAATCAAGAACACAAGTCGAGTGATGGAGCCCTTTTGCCAATCTTTGCCAATCTTTGCCAGTTCTCAGCGTGCAGCCTGCCCTGGGGCTCCAGCGATGTGCTGCGCTTGGTCCGCACATCATACGCTGATGCACCCCCCGATCGTCGGGATCCAGACATATAAGGGCAGAGAGGTAAGGAGGTGAGTTTCTACAGCTCAGACACGCCAGCGAAAACACCCCAGAAGGAGCAGCCACCGACCGTGAAACCCAAAAACCTCACCAGCCCTTCCCGCAGCCGCCATTTGCAGCCATTGGCCCGACCGAAGCTCAACAGAACGCCATTAGGAGCACGCCTCCAGTCAACCCCACCACACACAAAACAAAATTACGGTTACCCAGCAGCCATGCCGCAAGCGACCCTGCAATCCGCGCGCCTCAAATTCGTGCCCCTCGGGCAGGAGCATTTCGAGGTCACGTCGAAGCTCGACCAGGACGCAGAGGTCATGCGATACATCGGCTTCGGTCGCCCATTAACGCTGGACGAGGCCAAGCAAGTTCACGAATGGCTGCTCAAATCCGCCACCTCCGTCCCCGGCTTGGGAACCTGGGTCGCGTACGTAGGCGACGAGCCCGTCGGGTGGTGGATTCTTGCGCCCACGCCCATAGATAAGGACAAGCCGACCGAGAACTTTAGCAGCGAGCGCTCCGAGTTTGGGTACCGTCTGCTCCCGCAGTTTTGGGGCAAGGGGTACGGCAAGGAAGGGTCCAAGGAGCTCCTCCGGCACGCGTTCCAGGACCTCGGACTGAATGAGGTCTTTGGCGAGACCATGACGGTGAATGCGGCTTCGCGCGCTGTGATGGCCAAGTGTGGACTTACACATGTCGATACCTGGTTCAACGAGTATCCTACGCCTCCGCCTGGGATTGAGGAAGGTGAGGTGCGGTATCGGATCACCAAGGAGGAGTGGAAGTCACAGCAGCGGTCACAGTCACAGTCATAGTCACCACTTTTTTAGCTCTACGAATGCATACGAAAAATCCAAGCATATCAAATCCCTGCTCAGCGAATCTAATCCGTCCTCTGGAGGTGTTTAATCTACCACTGCCAATCATCCCTCGCTGAGGCTTGCTGAGCTCTGAGTGCCACCCAACAGCGGCGCACTACGCAGCGACTCTCATCACTCTCAGCATACTCCGTACCGGTTGAGAAACAGTACTCCGTAAGCTCTGCTTTACTCTGCCATATTTTCAGGCAAAAGCCGCAAGAAAGTTGAACATGCGCAATTCGCAGCGCATGGCGCGACACGTCTCAGCAAAATGTCTCATGTCGCGAAGGGCCCAACTGCCACAGCTCAATACTACCGCGCAACGGGATCTAGCTCCAAGCTAGTTAGCCATCTCCGCTAGGCTGGGAAAGAGTCAGAAGCTTGCCGCAGCCCTCCGCTCACCTGAGACCTTCAACTGGAGATTTCTACGATGGAAAAATGTATCGACATATCGAAGTCGATGACTCGACAGTGGGCGCGCTGACTCGTGAGTCGAGTTCGCCTGCGGCCGACCGTGCTCCACAGACGGATGGAGACGAGCTGGTCCCATATGAAGAGGGGCCTTTGGACTTACGATGGAGAACGATGTGATAATCAGATGGGGATGGTGTGAGCGCCCAGAACCCTTTCTCCATCAACCCGCTACCTCTCTGGCTTCTGCCATCCTTGGCCCCTCGTTGACCGTAGGAAAAAGGCTGGGAATCCATCCGCAAGCCCGCGGCCCAAAAACTTCACGCCCACAAAATTCGGCTTGATTTTTGTCTGAATTTGTGCCGCCAGGATTAATCGTCCGGTATCGGCGGGATTTCCACAAAAAATCTAATCAGATGGCGCTGCATTTTCCTCGGGCCATCTGATTAGATTGATCATTTTTCGTTTCTTTGTTTTTCTAAACTTAATTTACGGTAATGATATTACTTCGTACTGTTGTACCGAGTGCTTGCGGCATGTCAATGGGGTTACAATAAGCTCCAAGGTACTGACTGACTGGCATTATGCGTAAAGTTATCGATATTCAACAAGGAGAGAGAGCCTGTGGATTAGTAAAAATTGCACTCAGCTATTACAGACTCAGATCAGATGGTTTCAAGTCCGCTGGTGTTGAGAAACGCTCGGAAAATGGACTCCGACCACTGACACAACATCGTATTGCCACGGGATGTCCCTCAAGTCGTAGCCCAGATCAAAAAAACGCACATGAACAGCGCAGATGCTTATGTCACACATGAATGATGGAACAAGACCAAATGTAAAATGCACCTGTACTGAGATGGTTGCAATCTGCTCCCGTCAGGGTCAAATCTCGGCTCGCACTGCGCTGAGATTCGTCTCGCCAGAATGGTCCAGGCCTATGTGAAGCTGAACAAGGCAGCGGAGAGCGAGCATTGCTGCCTGCGATCTACTATGGGAAGACCTAGAATGGCGAGACGCGAGGCAAATGCGTTCTTGCGGCGAACCCTGCGTTGAGGCCCACGTAGTCAGGATGGCAGTGGGCATTGCATAATCTCGCATGAGATTTGAGCTCGAGTATCACATCTCCACCTTACCTCCTCGTGTTCCTATAGGTTTGGCCCCAGGATCTAAATCTGGCCACCTGGTTATCAAACTCTATCAGCGACTAACGGGCAGCGGAGAACAGGCATAGCCCACGCGCTAACGCCCACGCTGCACTGAGACCACCGGGCAAGCCCCTGAGTGAGGTTCAAGCTTGACATGGGTCAGAGCGCCTTACCTCCCTACCAATAATAGTCATGTGCTGACAATAGGGACTGGTTTATTGGCTCATTGAGAAGTACATCCCACGCGGCTTGGGGTCTGTGTTGACAAGTACGTGTCTCCCTGAATGTAATCGAAAAAAGGGCAAATTCTGGGGTCAATGGGTCTCCCTTGAAGGCGCGAATTATGATCCCTAAGCACCGAGCGTCTAAGAGATGTTGACTTCGTTAGAACTATGTCTTCGCCTTTCAAGTAGACTTTAGTGGGGGGGGATGCAGCCTCGGAGACGCCCCGGGGTATGAAGGGTCACGATTGTATCAATCCAAACTTCCTCGCCCGCTTCGTCTCCTACACGGCAGGGGTGAGGTTCCCTGACTACTGCTGAAGGAGGTTGCAAGACGGACATGTTTTACTCCAGACAGTCCAGGGATGGGGAATGGGTCGAAGCCGCATCCCGAGACCAGGTTGGTGCGAGACCTGATCGGTAGGCAGTATTGATAGTCACTGTATCAGGGTGACTCTTGGGCTACTGAGTCCTGTTGGGAGTGTCGCATTCGGCCGGAAAGTAATACCATGGTGCCTTGGAAACCAAGACTGGCTGGCTCACCCCTATGCACAATAGACCACAAAAACCATGGTTGTCTAGATCGACGCGGCTGCAACAGACCTTCCAGATGTCTTCGAGATGCCGTGGGACCTCGACCTTCTTGGTCTGGCGATGACCTTTTGACCGCGTAAGTCTCTTCACGAGTACAAAACATTTGACGTGATCAGCGATAATCTGAGTCCTCCTGTGAGTGGTGGACAGATCGAACGGGGCACTTTTTTTCGATCTGGCGAGGCAACCCGACCGCCTCCCGCAAGAAGGTCTCTGGCTGAGAGTCGACAAAGCAGGATGCCATTGTTTGAAACAGGCATAGATAAAGCTATCACTCGCTTAACCATTATATGCCTGTCTCCCAGTTGTATATGCATCTATACCCCGATCGAGGGTCATTACCCTACCAAGAAGCACACCACAGACAACACAGCATGTGGCCTTGTTACCGTCGTCCCTGCCAACGAATAACTGCATCTAGTCAAGCTTGAAAGTTATCGTCCTCCTCGTTGAAAAGATGGGTATCCACGGTAGTAAATATTAGAGGATGTGTTCTTCTAGTCGAGTTTGTAGAGCATGTGGACGAGAGAGGAGCGACCGGTTGGAAGAGCAGCTCCGAGGGCGTAGTTTCGCGAAGACCTCAAGTTAGTTAGCGCTGCTAACTCACTTAGAAAACCAGTCTAGGCCGTCGAGGAATATTAGTATGTACGAACCTTTTTGTGAAGCCACTAATTCACCCTCTAATGAGTACAGCGACGCGGCGGCGCGGCGAGGCCAGCCCCCTCACAAGCTGAACCCATTTCCCTGTGTGTAAGCTAATGGCGGAATGCTGTACAACAGCGTATGTGACGGCGATATCTGAGGTCTGGGTTTCTACAAATAGACGGCTGAGCGTATCGACGAGGTTTCTTCGGATTGCGCGGAGTGGTTGTTGTCGGCAGCGTTGCTTTCTGATTCCTCAAAGCTCAGCTCTCGGCATTTGGGCACGATACGACATCGCGGACTGTCGCCTCCTGGCGTAGTTCTGTGGCAAATGTGTCGTTTCCATAGCTTGCTGGGGTTGGACCTGATAGCGGCAGAGGTGAGAGCGGGACTCGTGGGATTGCTTGTCCATTCGCGTAAAGGCGCTCAGATGAGGCGGGGAGGACAATCTAGATAACAACGAGAAGAGGTTTGTGGCTCAAAGCAGAGAATTGGGCCATGAGATGGGTAAAGAGGCTGAGTGGTGATGGGTGAGTGGAAGTTGCAAACCTCCCGGACCGGAGGAGTGTTACTTAGTCTGCCGACCTTCGCTTCGGCCTGCAGTGTTACCATCAGCAACACTCGCTCCCAGGCAGATCAACACTTTCATTCTCCTACAATTCTCGCCTACCCCCTCCAAACGATGGCACGACTGGCTGAACTGCCGAGCGAAGTCCTTCTCCTCATTATTGAGAAGTTTTCTCGCCAACGTGATATCAGCTCTCTTGCACGAAGCACCAAGAGACTGTACAACCTCTATCATCCCTACCTGTGCCGCTACAATGTTCGCCACGACGGCAGCTCGGCGCTGACTTGGGCGATTAAAAACGGACATACCAGACTGCTAGGTCAACTGCAAGATGGAGGTGCCAGCCTCTTGTCTTTCGAGCCCCAAACCCCGGACCTATTCAGTGATGATCAACTGCAGACTATAGAGCAACCACTACTCCTAGCCGCGAAAGAAGGCCGCAGAGAGGTTTTGGAACTACTCCTCGCCTGGCCACTGCCACCAACACTGCTACATGCCGCTTTTCACTGGTTGATTTATCACGGACACGCTGAACTTGTGGAGTTGATGATCCAGAACAACGTATCGCTGGACCCCAGGAACACAGCGGGGAGATCCATGTCTGCGTTAGGCAAGGCAATCTCGGCAGAAAGTGTGGCGATGGCTTCTCGGATTCTAGACGCAGGTGGCCAGATACACCCTAGAGAGCTCCCCAAGCCTTGGCTCATAGCCACCCGTAATCTACCCATGCTCGAGCTGTTGCTCAAGCGCGGCAGGCGACCGCTGACCGAGCACCCGGTGTTTTACGCAGCGTCATATGACAACGAACCCGCGCTCCAACTCTTCATCGACTACGGATTCAATATGGCTGTCTATGGCAACGGAGCACTGTTTGAAGCCATCGAGGAGGGACTTGCCGGTATCGTGAAATTCTTGATTGAGCACGGCGCGAATCCCCACTTGAGCGACGCCTACAAGGCATACAAATACGGCCCGTTTCCCAAGCGCAGCACCATTTGGCTTGCCGTGCGTAAACGGCGCCTGGCCGTGCTCAAGATTCTACTTGAGAAAGGTGTTCAGCCCGACTGTTGTGACTTAACTCTTGCCAAGAATATGAAGTTCGGCGAAGCAATCTCCTTACTGTCAACATTTTCATTCGACGGAGTTCGCCAGAGGCAGGACATAGAAACCTTCGTTAGGGAACAAGAGATGAGATTGAGCGAGAAGTTTCCCGAGGTCGATCTCGACACTTACATGCCGTTTCTTTTCAAGACTGACCAGTGATCATCCTTCCGTGGCCAAGTGCTCGTCGCATGATTTGGTCCTGCTTTGATGCTTTTACAACAATGTACCAAGTAGTACGTATAACATGTACAAGTTTATCATATGTCTCGTTGCATGTGGGTCCGGAGTTTGTTTGCCTGCGTTGAAGTTCATCCTATCGAAATCAGTTCTAGGGAACAAAGATTCCTACTATGAAGAATAAGCATCGACTCCCATTAAGTGTAGGTCTTCGGATGTTGGTAAGCATCATCAGCCTGGTCGTGAATAATAAATAGCTCGAACTCCATTGGAATATTTTATCTAACAGGGGGGATTTTCCTATATCTATCTGATTGTTTATTCCCTAGTTCACCAGCGTAAGTGCCCTGGGAAAAGCCATACAAGACGCGGAAAACGTAGACAACAGCCATGCTACTGGAACCGAAACATAGTTAACGCTTAACGCCTGTCTTTTGTGAGTTAGCCCTTCGCTCAGCGAAGGGGGTTAGGCTAGGAAACGAATAGATAAATAACCCTGCGATTTTCTGCGATCTGGTCTTGATCCAGCCATCAGGGACTACGTCGACATACGTCCAGCGGATTCAAAAACCTCCACATAAAGAGTGTGTATGGTGATGATTCTATGGGAACAACATCTATCTGTACTAAGTATCAACGGTGAGGTACCAAATCTTGAGTGCGACTTGCCATCTTCTTATCTCTAGTAGCTTAGAGGACTACTTAATCCTACTACTACTCCCTCAAAAATTTGCATCCTGCTGTTCTTGGCCTATTGCAAAGATAGTGTAAAAAATTTAAATTCGACCGCACTGTGGTTCGAAGAGGACCCCGAAGGGAGTAGCTTAATTTCTTGATTTGGGAAAGTCAAGGTTCAACCACTCGCCCATACTGCCTGGCATGCTGCCTTTTCCGCTTGTAACATATTACTTAGCCAAAGTCACCGAGCCTCCGGCAAAGATAGCCGGGCGCTGCAGCGTGTGAAATATATATATTGAGATGTGCGTTGATCAGCTCTTCCTGACCCTCATGAGCGCGGACTCATAAGCACCGCTGAGGACTGAGCATCTTTTCCCTGTCGAATCTGAGGGTATGAAAACTCACTTGTCACTACTACTAGTACTACTAGTAATAACTAAGAGGACAAAATCTCCCGCTTTAGTCAATTCTGGTATTCCTTGCTCCGATTTCTTTAGCCGAACATCCTCAACACGCATTACACCTCAAATACCTAGGTACATAACATAAAACATCTCTACAAAGGCCCCTCCACTATTGACAGATACGCTCTCACCAGCCTTGTGCTCAAGGGAATGTCTCCCGTGTACTTCCATCGCAGCGTGGGTTGAGATTGCAATCCCACTCCCAGCCTCCAGATTACTCTAGGTCACAGCCACAAGAAAACATCGATAAAAACAATCAAGAAATGCGGTTTTGAGGCGGTCTCACCTGGTGAAAATTATTCACGCTGTCTCTGATGATGCAACTCCCGCTCGCTCTCTCGGCCGCACTTTGAGCTCCCGCAGTTCCCAGAAGACATGCGGCGTGCTCTCAGCCACTCAGTCTCTAGCACGACCTACATATTCGCCGTGCTATTTTTAGAAGAAGGACGCCAGGGTCAACTGAAGTATCTGCTCCGCAAAGCCATTGGGCGGTTAACAACAACTTGAGAAATGGACGGCAAACCCGCTTCGTGTTACAAGCAGTTTCTGGTCTCACGGTGGGAACCAATACGCCTCATTATAATTGGCAATAGCGCCGTCATCCCGAGTTACAATTGGCATAAATAATGAATGATGACTACCGACATCCGAAACGTAAGGGCAAACCAAGGGGAGTCCACTGCATCTTATACACCACTCTTTTCTGTTCCAAGGAAGACCACAATCATCCACACCTCGCTTTCCAAGCTGCAATCCGTTCACCAGTTTCTCACGCGACAGCCTCGCAACATCCCCAGCAACCCTGCAGTTGTTAGTATGTTTACGCAGCCCTCGACACTACAGGATTGGACCACAACGAACCTCTTCACCAGTTGGCGCCTGCACGATGTTAGCATAACCCTCGCCTCCTGCCCACACAAGATGGATGAATCACATACCTCGCCTTCAGGGCATTCCGGCTTCTCGAGAACGCACACAGCAAGACAAACGTCACTCTCGACAGGTTGGCAACAGCCCCAGCAGCCCTAAATGGTGTTAGATCTTTTAGACGTGCGGAGGAACGAAGTTTACCTCAGAACCAGTCGGGGCCTGCAGATAGTGAGTCAGCTCTTTTCTTCCCTGATATTCTTTCGCGGATGCTGAATCATACCTCGCCAGCAGAGCACTCGGGCTTTTTGGGACGGCACTCCAGAGTGCAGACATTGTCGTCTGCAACAAGCTCCTTGGGAACAGCTGCACAACATCCCCAGCAACCCTAAGCAACGTTAAACTCTCGTCGAAAATAATTATCAAGCCAGTCTTTCCTACCTCAGAACCGGTCGGAGCCTAGAAGTCCTTGTCAGCGATATCGTTGGGGAGAAAAATGTGAAAAGCATACCTCTCCGGCAGGACATTCCGGCTTCTCAGGAATGCAAACCGCAAGACAGACGTCAGTCTCAATAGGCTGACAGCAACCCCAGCAGCCCTAGATTATGGTATTCACGTCAATCGAAGGACCGCGCGTGGTGATCTAGAACCTACCTCGACACCGCCGGCTTCCTAAACATACCCTTAGTGCTGAAACGGAACGTGAGACGGTCGAGTGGGACATACCTCGCCTTCCGGACATTCAGGTTTTTCAGGTCGGCAAACGGTCGTGCAAACGTCTGTTCTGGGAGCAACGGGTCGGCAGCAGCCCCAGCAACCCTAGTATATCCCGTTATACGTTCTGTTGGGACCAAAAATTCGATTTCAGGGGACGTACCTCGCTACCGCCGGCCGCCTATACGTTTCTTGGTCAGTAACTCAGCCACATACGCAATGTAGGAGGAGACACCTACTTGACCCTCAGGGCACTCGGGCTTCACAGGCCGGCAAACAGTGGTACAAGCGTTCTGTGGCTGAGGCAAGGCCAGAGCCAAAGCCAGAGAGGAAGCTAAAGTCAATAGCGATAGACGAACCATGTTGTGTAGGACGGGCAAGATGGTAACCACTATCTTGTACGGGTATGTGACAAGGCAAGATTAGGGACTGGAAGTAATTCTGACGCCTGGGGGCTAGGCTATTTATGCCGCATAGCCTATTTACTGTGACGATCAACAACAAAAAGGCCCAGAAATTGGACCCCACAGCTGAAGAGCATCAATCAGACATAGGATTTCTGATTCAGGATCACAGTGCTGCGACCAGAAGGGGCGAGCGCCGGAACCGCCCCGGAGAGCGCAGCATTACTCCCGTACTCAATTCGACATGGACTCGCGAACCGAGGATCAGGCGCACCGGCCGCACAGCCTTCAGGGCGTCAGACAGAGCAAAGTACGGCAATTACTCCCAGGGGTCCGGCTCCCTTGGAACGGCCCCACCAGTCAGATTCCTTAACTCGTGTTCCCCAGACATGCTGATTCGGAAACACGACTCCGCTTACGAGCCAAGCCAGGCTGCAGACAGAGTTATCGGCTGAATGTGACGATTACCCTGTCGCGGAGGGATATTAACACGAACATGATTTCCCCGGATTCTTGCGCAATATCAAATCGCTCCAGAGCGAGTGTGGTGCACATTGCAGAAACACGGCTTGGCTGTGAAGAATACGAGGCAACGACAGGGGTCGGCGGCTTCACTCTGCGCCTGCTTAAATTTCTAAATAGTCTGCCGGCTCACCCGGTTGCCTTAAAACAGATGGAGCTGAAGGCTGAAGAGGTTGGGACATGAGCTGAAATTTTCTCTCGGGGGACTTGATCTCAGCCTTAACCAGGGTACCTTTTCAGAAAGCTTTCCTGTGCAATCACCTGCGCACGACGCATTCGACGAATCTGACCACCTGGCAAAGCCCTCAAAGCGCAGGAAGCAATTGGGAAGAATCCTGCAGGGGGTTGATCCTTCCACCTGGAAACAACAAGGGCGGAAATTTGGCCAGCCAAGAAACGGTGAATCACTTTCTGACGAGAGACGAATCCTTGTCTGTTTCGAGGCCCGCACATTTTAGCCATGTTCTTTCGGCCTCGTTGCGTGAAATGCAGTCGGAAGAGGAAAGGGAATGACTTAGGGCAAGCCGCCTGATTCACTTTCCATCGCTTTGCGTTTCGAACTGTCGGTTTTGCTAGAGGCGGGGCGCTGGGGAAAGCGCTTGATTTCAGGATCGATGATCTGCACACCAAGACTCTTCATCACTTGAAACATGTCAAATACGAGGTGTACCTCTACCACTGCGGAGACTCGTACTCCGTACTCGATGTGAGAGGAATCCGCATCACCTTTGTTTGCCAACAACATCACTCGTGAAAAAGCTCGCTGGGAAAGTCATCCGGGCACTGTTCAAAGTCAGTGAGCCGCAAAAGAAATTTAAATCCGGAGGCACTTCTTGGGCTCCGGTGCCTTGGCACATCATGTATTGGGACCTAATCGAAACGGCTACGGCCAAAGAACAGGAAATGAACATTGAACAAACCAGTCAGGACTTCGATGCATCTGCCGACCAAGTGGTTCGACGCTCTGCCCGATCTTGCAAATCCACTAAGTTCCCCGGCCCCTCTTCGTTCAAGTTTACTTTCAGCTCGCTTGCGAGGTCAGTTTTGCTCGACAATGCTGCCGGAATTTCCTTCTGGAACGTTCGTTCGCGACTTCCGGAGAATTCTATTTATGTGTCTGACCAATCTTGCTTTCGAAATTTTTGCACGCCATAGGCATTGAAAGACAGTCTACCGCTTTGTTCATTGGAAGAATAGTTTGGCGCAATACTCGATCCACTCGTTTTCGGCACGCCTGATCAATTGGCTTGCAGGGTATCAGCCCTGCATCACTGTCATGCCTCACAAGAATCTCGAGACACATGTGGTAGACGCCAGAGTCTGGATGTGCTCCAGTATCATCGTTTACTTAGTATCGAGCCAAGCAGACCATGACGCATGGAACACTCGACTGAAAATAGTATCATGGGAAGCCCATATTAAACACTTTCCCGAGTCAACGATAGCTGAAACCTATATGACAAGAGTCTAATCATGGATGCCGGACATTCAATCTTGATTCTGACACCATAAGTGACCTGCTATCGTCTAATTTCACGAAATCAAACCTGGATCAAAAGTGATTAAAGCGGGACTTTCTGAGGCCGGGAGAACTGCGTTTTCTCATTTCAAAGCTTATGCTCACTGGGCTGAGGTCCGGTTTCAGACCAAACATACATGTTTCGTTGTGGGTTAGCGCCGCGCATAGCTGCTCGGTACTTTCAACATCACGCAACTTCCTCTACCATCGTCACTCTCGAAGAAGCTTGAATCTTCGCATTGTTGGCTACACTCGCCGGGCAATTACTGTTGCCGCCCTACAATGGCACTCATCTTGAGATTCAGGCTACTGCTGTATTCAGAAAGGAAAACCCATCTGTACGAATTTCCCCACGAAACCAGCCCCAATTAACACCCCCTTACGAAGGTCCGTATAGAGAGTTGAACTCAAATGGTATCAACAGGACCCCATATTGCCTATCATCAGATATTTGCTCGAGGCTTTCATCTTTGCTGCACGTCAACAGCGCCTCCGTAGCCTTGAATAAGGCGGAATAACCTGATATTTACGGTCCTTACGATCTGGTGTCGGCCTTACGAGTCTGATCAGAGACCGGGAATGGCGACCTTCATAGCGAGGCCACATCATTGATCAGCGTCTGCCCGGTCACTCCGACCACCATTAAGGCCTCCTACCTTTACGTCTGCTGGTTATGACCGCCGTACTATTAATTCCAGGTATAGCAATTCTGCCGGTCGCATGGACTAATCTTCTCTGCACTCCCGAAAGCAGTCCGGAGCCCGCAACGAGCTCAAATCAGACCACGCACTTGAAGAAGATGCTGCCTAGCTATCTCTCTCACTTCCTACCAATTTGCCAACATAGTTTATACTCTGCGCAAGATTTCCTGTCCTGGGTTGCGGGCAGCCTTGTTGTCCACCGTCCACGATTCACATGACCGCCTAATATGGACTAGCGTAATCAGACCCCACAACAGCTCGCAGGCAAACCCAGAGCTCAACTTCTACAACACTCTACACCATCCTGGATCATCTTGACTATGGAGCGCAGAACACACAGAAAGTCGCGGAATGGGTGCATTGAATGTAAGCGTCGACACATCAAGGTAGTCATCCCCGATAAGTGACATCTCACTATGCTAAAACAACACAGTGCGATGAGAAGCGGCCAATATGCTCAAATTGCATCTCGTCCGAGCGACTATGCGGATATGCCGAGTTAACCTTCTTAGCAATGCAGCCTGGAGGAGCGGGCAGGAAGAGGGCACGATCACAAGAGTCACCCAGCTCTAGTAGCCCTCCGGAGCTGCCCTCTCTAGCACAGCCAGATCCGCCTGTCAATATGCTGCATGCCGAGTTATTTTACCACCTCTCAACAAAAACATTACCTTCCCTCAGTGAAAATGATAGTAGCCTAACTATCCTACCTGAGGAGACCATAAACTACGGATTAGCTGCACCATACCTCATGAACGAACTTTTGGCCCTCGCCGCACTTCACCTCAGCATCATTCGTACACCACAAAAGGAGTTCTACCGATATCACTCAGCGCAACTACAGAACCATACCCTTCGACTGTTTCACGAGACTAAGCTAGCGCACAGTGGGCAGGTATCCGTGCCGGCATTCTGCTTCTCGTCTATACTCGGATTGCACCTACTCTGCGACACACTAGCATTCAGAGATGACGACTTTCAGGACTTCCTCGACCGGTTTATTCACTACCTCCGTATCCACCGCGGGGTACGTACAATAATCAAAGGGAATTGGGGTTTTCTGAAGCAAACGTCACTGGGTGGCGTCCTCACTGAAGGCGAAGCAAGGCTGGATAATGAGTTGGGGCACGAAGAGGTCTGCGGACGCCTCCTTGGGCTAATAAAAAAAGCAAAACTAGGCCCAGTGACTACACGAATCTACGAACAGGCAATTGAAGCTTTACAACGGTCCATGAATGCGTCCAAAGATGACACAGCGGGGGGCGGAAGGCATGGTGCCACGGCATGGCCCGTTATGGTCTCCGTGGAGTATACCGACATGCTAGTGGAGCGAAGGCCTGAGGCTCTTGTCATCTTAGCACACTACGCAGTTCTTCTGTATCGCTGTAGGGACATGTGGATTTTTGACGATGGTGGGAGGTTCCTAATAGGCTCGGTAGCTCGGTATCTCGGTGCTGAGTGGCGCGAATGGATGGAATGGCCGCAGAGCGTGTTGGTTGGGTCGGCGGACCAGTGCCAAGCTGCTGGCAGTTAACCTTCGGGGTTGATGCAAAAGATGAAAAGAAGCACAACCGTTTGCATCTGAGAAACGAGCAGTGGCGCAAAGGCCTTGTTTGGTCGGCTATTGATCTTGCCGCACGAGCGACGAGGCGGTGGATTTTTCAGGAGACTGGCAGAACATACACAGCAGTGGTCCGTGCATACACGGATCTTGACCCATGATTTGACGAATCAAGTGCGTACGTATGTGGCAATTTTCATCCTTGCCGTTACCCGTCCCAAGGCAGCGGGGGTGGGTCATGGCGCGACCTTGATCCAGGGGCACTGTAGTGTTCAGCCACTCCGGGAGGAGTATCCTTCGACAGCCTCTACATCCCATCCAAGGATGCTAATTGTGCACTAATGCGATGATATGCTTGGAAAAAATTGACGCCGGTGTCTGGGGAGATCTCGCCCGCGAGACGGGCTATAAAAGGGACGGAAATCCCACAGGCTGCCAGTCGACACAAAGCCTGCTTTATCCTCCTGTACCATACTCGATTCCACTATGTTTAATATACTGAGCCTCCTACGCTTTGTGGTACTCAGCAGTCTTATTCACCTGGCTCTCGCTGATCTACCGGTGATAGATCTCGGGTATGAAATTTACCAGGCCGTTGACCCAGGAAATGTATGTTGTCTATCCCCATTTATGTCTGTTGTTCAAGCTTACTGATCGTCATCAGGTTACCAAAAGCTATTATACCTTTTCGAACATTCGATACGCTGCGCCTCCGACAGGTAACCTCCGCTGGAGAGAACCGGCGCTACCTAAAAAGAATCGAACTTCGATCCAGCGGAATTCCCAAGTGATAACTTGCCCGCAAGGGACGCCAACATGGCAAATAAGAACCAGCAATTCTCTGAATGCTTACCTGGATACTGGGGTCGTACCCAACATCTCATACTCAAACTTGACAACTATGCTGCAGTCTGGCCAGGAGGACTGCTTGTTTCTGGATGTATTTGCGCCAAAGACGGTGTTTGATAACGTTGAAAGCGGCTGTCAACTCCCTGTTCTGGTTTGGATACATGGTAACGCAACTCAATTCGGTTCTTGAGCGGGCTGAACGCTAACCACTACTTTACAGGTGGCGGATTCACAACTGGCTCCAAGACCGATTTTGGGTCTCCGAGGACCCTGCTGAACCGTGCTGCTGAGCATGATAACCCTGTGGTGTACGTCGCGTTGAACTACAGAGTGGGTGCATTTGGCTTCCTGGCAGGCCCCTCCTACGAAAGTCAGGGCGGCTTGCTGAACGCAGGTCTCTTCGACCAACGCATGGCTGTCCAGTGGATCCAGGATAACATTCACCGATTCGGCGGCGATAGAAACCAGGTCACGGTCTTTGGTGAATCTGGAGGGTCGGGGTCCATCTTGCACCATATAACTGCGGGAGGCGGCGCTATCAAGCCTCTGTTCAGCAGAGCGATCCTGCAATCACCAGCGTATTTCCCTTACCGGTCTTCTAGCGAGAGACAAGCCGCGTTTGACCTGTTCATGGGCCATGCAAACGTTACTAGTCTCGAGCAGGCCCGAAAGCTCCCCTCCGAGCTCCTGATCACGGCCAATGCCCGCTCCATCGGCGAATCACTGCCATATCATTCCCCAGTCTACGGTCCAACCCCCGACGGCACTCTGGTGCTGGATGATCCCAAGGCCCACCTGCGCCGCGGGGAGTTCTCAAAGAGAGTAGACATCATTACAGCGCACAATTCAGACGAAGGCCTCGTCCTAGTTCCCGCAATCCACACCGACGACGAGTACAGATGCCTCCTGCAGATGATCCTAACCAAAGCGAGCTCGTCCACGATCGACTACATTGTGGATACCCTATACCCGCCCATCTTCGACGGCTCGCACGGCTACAGGAATAATTTCGAGCGCGCGGCCAAAACAGCCGGGGAACTCATCATCGATTCCAATGCCGTGTCCACGGGTCTTGTTTTTGGACGCCACGCGCAGGGTTACTATTTCTCCACGTATCCAGGGATCCACGCGCAGGACATCACATATACATTTTACACTCCCGGTGGAAATCCGTCCTACTCGCGTATTGACACTGGGCCCGTGAATACGACTGTGGCATATGTATTGCAGGACTATATCACCAGCTTCGCCGCGAATGGTGATCCAGTGAGCGAGGTGGACGGCCTGAATGTGATTCCGCCGTATGTGCCTTTTGGGGTGACGGTTCAGTTGGACTCGGTTGGGGTCAACCTGGCTCGCGATCCGGCCATGAATGCTCGGTGTGCCTGGTGGGCGGCGAATGTTGATAAATGGTCCTAGGCTTTCTTCCTAGGTGTGCCAGCAAGCCGATATTGTGGAGGGTGCTCCGCGCGGACAGCCCTGAGGCCGCAGGCCTTTATTCTTCACCGGTCCCCACGTCCTATTTCCTGATCCATGTAGCTCCAGCGTGGCTAGCTTAGGCTCTGAGTGTCTCGAAAACTCCTATCATCCCTACACGTTCGTTTTGACGTAGGATTTGCCGAGTTTGAAACGGCCGAGGATCGCACGCGGACCTTGTGTGCTGACCGACAATATTGCTGCCTATTTCTTAATCAATCAAAACACTCGCCCCGAGATACTGCATGTCTCAACGCCCGCGTAAGGAACCCATGGCCTTTTTCGGGGATGTGGGTCTATCTGCTTTATGCCTCGAAAGGTGGATCCAATTCTCGCGTATGCACGGACCAGTTGCCAATTTGGCTTCAAGGCTTATGCCCTCTTGGAAAGTGTGGTCTTGACTCAAGGGACTCCGAATATAGATGGTACCCCTCTGTGAAATGTGGGACACGCGTATGCACACACTATTTACGTGTGAAGATGGAGTCCAGAGAGCTGCTCTTCGCCTCCTGAATTCCCAATGAACAGTTATAAGTACACTCGGTAGAACATGAGTGCACATGTATTCTAACATTTCATGTCATACAGAGACAGAGAGACAAAAAAAAAAAAAACAAAAACAAACGATGGCCCAACTCGAAACGTACAAGGGGTATTACCTCTGGAAGTACGTCCCCTCGCAAGCCGGCGCGGTGATCTTCCTCCTCCTCTTCCTCACCGCAACTGCCTACCACACCTGGAGGATCTGGAAGCATAAAACCTACTTTTGCATCTGCTTCGCCATTGGCGGATTCTGTACGCCCCCGTTCCTTTCTTCCTGGGCTTCCCTTCTCTGCTCCCCAATTTACTTCACGCGAGGGCATTCTAACCAAAATGCAGTCGAATTCATCGGCTACTGCGCGCGCGCCTCCGCCCACAGCAAAACAGGCCGCATGATGCCCTTTTGCATCCAAAACGTCTACATCCTCCTGGGCCCCGCCCTCTTCGCCGCCTCCATCTACATGATCCTCGGCCGGCTCATTGTCGCCGCACGCGCCGAGAACCACTCCCTCATCCCGGCCCGCTGGCTAACAAAGATCTTCGTCCTCGGGGACATCCTGTCGTTTCTGATCCAGGGCGGCGCCGCGGGGATGATGGTCTCGAGCGACCTCGCGAGTCTAGGGAATAAGCTCGTGGTGATCGGCCTCGTTGTGCAGGTAGTCATGTTTGGCGTTTTTATCATTACGGCGGTTGTGGTGCATGTGAGGATGTGGCGGCGGTCTCAGGGTGGCTTTGCCGGGGAGGCATTTGGTGGTGATGGTGGTGGTGGTGGGTTGAGCTGGGTATCACGGCATCTCGTGACGCTGTACCTCGTCAGCGGGCTGATTATGGTTCGCTCGGTCTTTCGCGTTGCCGAGTTTGTTATGGGCGATGATGGGTATCTGCTTACGCATGAGTGGACGCTGTATGTGTTTGATGCGGCGCTCATGTGGCTGGTCATGGTGGTCTTTGGGGTGCGGTATCCTGGCGATATCTCGATGTATTCGCGCGTCTCAGAGGATAGGGTTAAGCTTACAGGGATGGGGGCATGATTCGGCATGTCATTTTGTTCTTTTTTGTCTTGTTGTGTATTCTGATGGGCAGAATAAGCATTCTTGCGTCCTCCTCGGTGCGGGGGTGAGACTCCATTCATGGAGAGATGAATAGTTCCGTGAAGCAACATACAATACTAGGTAGCTCAAAGCACCTTGTACCTCCACCTGAGTCTGCGAGTAGTCCAGCATACCTCATTAACCGAGTATACAGCACGACTTGAGCACCCACCGACCCCGCTCAACAGAGGCCGGGGCTAGACCCAGCCCTCATGTCTGTTCAGCTCCATGCCACCCCAGGTTCAACACCCCGGATCCCGGGTGGGCATACCTACTAGTACTACCGGCAATTGAGAATCCTTAGTTCAGCAAGATTTACCGTCCACATTCACAATCGCAGCCAAAAGTAGAATGACATCCCTCCCCCCAGCCAGTCTACCCCGGAATACGCGTACACGGAATCCGGGCTCACGAAACCTCTTGTCTGCGGGGATGGCGACGTACGTGGGGGTCGGTCCTATCTCAGGCATGGACTAAGTCTGGGAGTAAGGTGAGATTCGTGGCAGTATGCGTATGGAGGCCTAAGTGAGGAATCCACCAAGTGGAGGCCAAGCTGTCTACCTATTATATCTATCTAGCTCAGGCTCAAGCTCCAGTACGACTGATCCTTACATAGACAACCAGCGGAGACTACAGAGGCTGCAGCTGGAGGAATTACCGTCCATCGGGCTGTGTTCGGTTAGGTACCCTGGGAAAGTAAAGGCGTTGTTGTGAATGGAATCTTCATCATGTGTGTTCTACAGCCCTTGAAAGAGAGGATACGCTCGACTTGGGATGGAGTAGCATGCATCCCATTTCTGCTAGCCCATGCTGTTGGCTAGTTGATGTTACGCTGGCTCGATCCGAGGAGAGGGTAAGGAGTGGTAGTGTATGTGCCCCCCCGCGCCGGGTTTGGATAGATCTGTTGGGGAATGAATCCGGGAGGCAAGAAAAGGACCGTCCTCTGCGTGTGCTTGTAGTATCATTGGCCTGAGAAATGTGTGCATTGAAAAGGACGCTATGGAGCCAGAAATAAACCCCTCCGATATGATTGTCCCATGTCGTCCCACAGCCGGCACCAGCACCACGAGCACGGCCAGGAGAAGCCGAGAGACCTCGTCGAGGCCCATTACATGAAGTTCCCCGGCTGCACAAACACCTCCCCATCCAGTACAGTAGCCAGCTCCCCCGTGGCATTGAAATGATTCTTTGTAACATCCATCACAACATGGAACCCACCGGGGCCCGTCCTCTTGGTCCCATTGACTTTGCCCGTCTGCACAATGTCCGAATACCAGTCATTCTGCACAACCCATGTATCCAGCGCTGTCACCGAAATATCCTCGTACCCGTTCAGCGTCGACTCGCCGTCATCAGATAGATTGTGAAACTCCACGCTTACATGACTGGGGACGGTAGAGTTTGCGGCCGAAATTATTGATACGTCGGCGCTCCCGCAGAACTTCCCCTTGTACGTGTAGGTCCCTGAAAGAGTGGTGTCGCGCGCGGGGATGGCCATGCCTGGTGTGTAGGGTATCGCCCAGGGAATACGGTCGGGACCCATTCTATACTTTGGGACGGGGGAAGGGGCGCGGCTCGTCAATGTTGCGAGCATGATCCGCGTCGTGCGCCCGTCGGGTGCGTTGGAGACGGGGCAGGGGAGCGGGTTCGCACCGCCGCAGGCCGGGGACTTGACAATGGTCTGGTAGTACATGATGCGGGTGCCGTCAAGAGAGAACTGCGGGTCCGCGCGTGCGTTCCAGTTTGGATCATTGATTGCGCCGTTCGTCCCGTCGCCTGCGGCGTTGATGATCTGTCCAAAGTAGCTACCGCGATCGCCATACTGGTCGATGAGGATCGGCTGGAAGAAGCGGCGGTAACCATTGTTCCGAATGGAGGCGCAGACGGAGCTTGTGACCAGGTCGCTTATGGGTGGAATGCCGCGCATGCCAGCGAGGAACATGTTGCGGGTTGAAGCGCGGGTGTCCAGTGCAATGGTCCACCTGTCGTCGGGGGACATGTCAACAGGGTCGACGTACTCTGGGTGTGCGGTCAATCGCCGGACGGCGCCCGTGCGGATGTTGACGGCGAAGGCGTCAAAATTGCATGATTCCCAGGGGTAGCCGATGTATAGGAGCTCGTTTCCGGAGCCGCTGAAGCCGCGGAGCTCGCCGACCTCGAGGGCGGAGAAGTCCAGGGTGAGTTGGCGGTTGTGCTTCCCAGTGAGAAGGCGTTTGCCGTTCTTTGGGCGGATGAGGTTGACGCTGGAGAGGTCGTAGCGCGGAAGGCGGGGCTCGCCGGTCGTCGGAGCCGACTTGAACGTCAGTCGGCCGTAGAAGCCATTCTGGTCGCTGCCTGCAAAGCTGCTCCAGGGGAGGTGTGTATCGTCCGGGTGAAGGCGTAGCTCGCGCATGGGTCCTGAAGGGCCAGACCCGTCGGCTGTTGTCGGCCAGTAGATGGGGTAAATGTAGGTGTTGTTCGGGGTCACCAGGGCGCTATCCACCCGGTAGCCGCCGGTATAGATAATGTTGGTTCCAACCAGGAACCGCTTCCCATCCTTGAAGACGCGCGGGTAATCCTGCAGCTCTTGGTCAGTGCCGAGTTGGTTGGCCAGCGGGACGCCACAGGTAATGCACTTCCAGGAATCGCCGTTGGGGAAAATGGTGTTGTCTGTCTTGATAAGGATGGTCTGGACCCCGCTGTAGATGCTGGCTGGATGCGGTTCAGCCGGGGCCCCAGTGTAGTTGACCGTTGCTACGATGGCTGTCCCGTCTGGGGTAAAGGTGCCGCCTTGTGGGAGTGAGTCGTCGTCGCCGAGGACAATCTTGATACAGCCTGTCCGGCGAGGGTTGATCGAGTCTGTGCATGCACCGACAGAGTCGTCGACGATGGATGGGGGCAAGAGGAGCTCGACGATTGAGATCGGCTCTTCCGGCGGTGGAGGACGGGGGTGAGGCGCCCCGGGGAGTCGGCAGGTACCATGACCATGAGAACTGGATGCTTCCGCTATGCTGTCGAGGAGCAGCACAAGAGCCGTCGCGAGCCTAGAAGCGCGCTTAATGAGACAAGGAAGGTTCTGAAGCCTGTAGTAGGATATCAGATTCTGGCTCAGAAATGTGGTATTTTGACAGGGATCAGCGCTCTACTTATGTCAATCCGCCCAGAATGGGGGGATAAGCAGACGCGACGAGCACTGATTGACCCCCAGCCTGTGACGACAGGAATTGCCCGGAATGAGATCATGAAGGCCAAGCCCCTATTGCCTTCAGCAAACTGGTGCAGTCGACGCAAAAGGCATAATACAAAATGCCCAAGGGAATGGGCAAGCAATATGTGGGATTCCCCGCACATTACTCCGCGGGATCCGCGAAGTTGAGCTCTGTGCGGAGGGTACCTAGGTAGTCTCTCGCAGGATCACTCGGGTCGGAAATCCCTACCAACGTCTGAATGCATATTACCCCGTGGCGTGCTACATGCTTTCAACCGTATGCATTGCCAAAACAGGCTAGTAGCAAGCCAAGGAAATTCGCTGCTGAGACTATCGCTCCAGGAGATATCGTAACTGGTCAAATGGCTTCAACCCCTCCGTCTCCGCTATCATATCCTCTTCCTTCTCGTCTATAGGCTGCGAGAACTGGAGCATAAAGCGGAGCATCCAGCGGTCGAGCCGGAACGAGGTCTGTCTACCCTTTAGGCACGCACTGTGGAAGGCAGCAAGCCGGCTAAATGAAGCAGATACGTTGGGCCAGTACGTGTGTAGGCGAGTGATGGTCTCGAAATTTCGCTCAAGACGCAGCTTGGCGCGCGAAATCTCGCCGTCGTCTACACTGAACAGCAGGCTGTGGATCTGTGCTGTCGAGGCTATGACTAGTATGTGACCGAGCAGGCTGTATCGGAGGTCAACTCCGTGCCTTTCCCTCGCGTTGTATATCAAGTCACATAGTATCGCAGCGTGCTGTTTGCACCGATTCGCGCAGACCTTGGCTGCAAGGTAGCCGTCCTCAGCCCCTTCACTTATGTGAAGAAACTGGTAGAATAGCAATTGCCCTGCGTGGTTGTAGTTGATATGGAGGGCAGCATAAATATTGCAGATCCCATCTGTGGTCCAACGCGCCATGTTGGCGTCGGTATACTGCAATTGCGGGGGCAGGGAAGAGGCCCAGCCTTGGAGCGAAGAGGAGAGGGATTCTGTCGAGTGCTGTGCCTCAGCATCAGACAAGTGATCGTCTACAATCATGGCGTTGAGGCGGTGGATCTCATAGAGTAACTTGTTCAACTCTACTAGGTGAGCCAGTGCCGAATGCGAAGTGTGATCGACCAGAGAGTTGGGGATGGAAGGTTGATCTCGACTCATCTGCGCAAAGGACCACTCATCCACCGGTAACGAGATGTTCTCCTGGGGCTTGATCGCTCTGGGGAGGCAGAGGCTGGCTGAGCACCACGTGTCGGTCGTGACGATTGACCACCAAACTGCGATGAACAGCGTTAGCTTCGAAGTTCCGACAGCGGTATTCACCCACCTCTTAGATTGATTTCTTGCTCGAGTCGGGTGTTGGCCGGGGCGTTGGGAAGATCCAGGAGCAGCGCCATGCGGGCGGCAATTGCGAAATACACGCACTCGGTGTTTGATTCGCCTTGGTTCACAAAATTCAGGGCCAGCAACATGCACGCCTGGATTGTTGTCAGAGATACGGTGTGGAGGTCGAGCAGACGTTCTGCTTCTTTTGCATATGGCATTCCCCGCTCCCAGGGGTTGGTTGCCCGGAGACTGGGATGGGTGGAAAAGCGGGCGGACAAGCCCATGACCCCATACAAAAGTATCAGAGGAATTGACCCATCTCTGACATTGTCCAGAAAGCTAGGCTGATGAAAGAGATAAGGAAAGCCGCCCTGGTAAGTGTCAAAATAGAGCGTGGCGAGCTCCTCGATCAAGTCCTGACCCAAGGCCGCAGCAGACGCCGAGTTGAGATGGGGAACATTCCCATGATTCTTCAAAAGTTCGTAAGGCGAGTCTGTCCTAGTCTGGGGCTTGGGAGCCATCAAACATTCGAGTTTGCGTGCGCTGCAAAACGTGCAGCTCGTGCCTCGATGCAGGCGATCGCATCTTTTCCGCCGCTCGCTACCACGCAAGCGCCTTTAGTGCACTCCCCTTTCAGCGTGGATTCTGCGGGAAAACTCACCGGCAGGCGAGACACGCTGACTGGGGCCTCATGGTCAAGAATGATCTCTACCCGACGCAGGGCTGGGTGGTGCTGTGGTTTTGGTCAGCGGTTGGGTGGGGGTTGTCGCTCGTGTTGCCGTCGGCTTTGGCGTCGGAAAACTGTGGGGCCTGGAAGGATGCTTGATATGGCTACCTGGGTACAGTCCTGTTTGTCGCATATCCCGACAGTTTACCGATCAACACCCTGGGCCCTCTGGGTTCCTCTGAGTTCACTTAACTTGAGCAACACTTGCAGCCTGCCAACATGGATCGCACCTTTTGTTCATCCACCGCAACCCAACCATGTCCTTCCCCAGCGCAACACCAGACTGGAACAACCGCCATGTCCTCCACCGAAACACACTTCCTGCCCGCGCGCACTTCTTCTCGTACACGAGCGAAAACGCCGCCCTGACCTTGAACCGCGAGGCAAGCGAATACCGGTCGCTCAACGGCACTTGGAAATTCAGACATGACTCGTCCCCGTTCCAGGTCCCCGACTGGGAGGACGAAGACCCGTCTTCTTCCTGGGGCGACATTGCTGTCCCTGGAATGTGGCAGCTCCAAGGACACGGCCGTCCGCTGTACTCAAACGTCAATTACCCATTCCCGGTTGATCCTCCAAATGTGCCGCATCTGAATGAGACGGGATCCTACTGGCGGGAATTCGATGTTCCTGCGAAATGGTCCCAGCAGCAAGTGCGGTTACGATTCGAAGGTGTTGATAGTGCGTTTCATGTTTGGGTCAATGGGCATGAAATCGGATATAGCCAAGGAAGCCGCAATGCCACCGAGTTTGATATTACACAGTATCTCCAGGCTTCCCGCAACACCTTAGGGGTGCGTGTTTACGAGTTCTGTGATGGGTCGTATCTCGAGCGCCAGGATCAGTGGCTGCTCTCTGGCATCTTTCGTGATGTTTATTTGCTCTCGTTTCCTGTTGAGAGTGTAGTTGATTTTACCACATTTCCTGACTTGGACGATACGTTCACCCACGCCACTCTCCATACCAGGGTAATTGTGCAGGGTCAAGAGCCCGGGCCAGTCGCTATGAAGCTCTATTGTCCGGACGGAGCACTAGTTGCTGAAAACAATATCAAGCCCTGCGAAACGAGCAGGATTCACGTGTCCGGATCAGCCCTCAGACTCTGTTCGGCCGAGGATCCAGCCTTGTACACCCTTACCATATCATACAAAGGCCGTGTCATTCCTCAGCGCCTGGGATTCCGACGATCCGAACTGCGCGATGGCAACATCCTGATTAATGGAAAACCGGTGATTTTTTACGGCGTCAACAGGCACGAGCATCACCCGCGTTTTGGTCGAGCGGTTCCATACGATTTTATGCGGGCGGACCTCATTCTAATGAAGAAGAGCAATATCAACGCAGTGCGTTGTTCGCACCAACCAAATGATCCAAGGCTCTACGAGGTCTGCGACGAGCTGGGAATCTATGTTATGGCGGAAGCAGATCTCGAGACCCATGGCTTTCTCCCAATCGAGAGGAACAAGATACCACCTGAAGAGACGCTCTCCATGACGCGTACACAGGTGATAATCCGAGCCTTTGAGATGTCGGCTAACTGGGCTTCCAACAACCCAGACTGGCGCGGGGCATATCTCGACCGCGCTGAGCAACTCGTTGGCAGGTTCAAGAACTTCTCGTCAATCATCATGTGGTCGTTGGGTAATGAGGCCTCGTACGGGAGGAATATTGCCGACATGTACCACTGGGTAAAGGAGGTGGATCCTACTCGTCCTGTGCACTATGAGGGCGACCGCCAGGCGCTCACGGCGGACTTGTACAGTGTCATGTATATGCCCGTGGATGACCTCAGAAAGCTTGCTCGAGAGAGAACAGACAAACCATTGATCCAATGTGAATATGGTCATGCAATGGGCAACGGGCCGGGTGGATTGACCGACTATATCAAGGCGTATCGAACCGAGAACCAACTGCAGGGAGGATTCATATGGGAGTGGTGCAATCATGGCCTCCTCAAAAAGGAAGGTGAAATTGAATATTGCGCTTATGGTGGAGACTTTGGCGACTATCCAAATGATGGTGACTTTGTCCTGGATGGCTTAATCTGGTCTGACCATACTGAGGCGCCCGGTTTGACCGAGTACAAGAAGGCCATTGAGCCTATCACGGTTTCTTTGGCCGGGGATGGCCGAAGGATAGCAATTGAGAATCACTACGACTTTAGCGATTTGAGTCACCTCACGGCGACGTACCGACGTGTGGGGGAATCCGGCAGCAGCGAGCCCACCGTCCTGCGTCTGCCACGCATTGCCGCAGGTGAGTGCGGTATCATTGATATGCCCTCGTCGCTCAACATTGGTTCCCAGCAGACGTGGATGGAGATTAGGTTCTGCCTCAAGGAACAGACCACGTGGGCGCCTAGGGGGCATGAGATTGCCTGGAGCCAGTTGCCGTTGTACAACACGGACCAGGCTTTGTCTCTTCCCATGCGCATCTCAATAAGGCACGGAGAAGCGAGCGTCCGAGAGCTACCAGGACGGCTAGTTGTCAACTTTCCAGCCTCACAAACATTCTTTAACATCGACCTGGTGCGCGGAAACATAACATGGTTGAGCAAGGGGAAAATCATATTAAGCAAAGGCCCTGAGCTTGGAATCTATCGCGCGCTCACACAAAATGACCTCGGCGCCCGCGGCAACGGGATTGAATGGAAGAAGCTCTTCCTCAAGGATGCCAAAATGCACGTCAAAAAGGCGTGCTGGGAAATAGTAGAAGATGGATCCGTCACGCTTAGTCTCTCTGTGCGCGTCGCACCCCCAATACTCGAATGGGCATGCAACGCAACCATGACCTTTAACATTACACCAACTGCTTTGGGCATCAGAAACAAAGGGTCCTTCTCCGGGCGGCACCCCAAGCTTATCCCCCGTATCGGCCTCACAATGTCCCTCCCCAGGGTTTATAACCAAGCCACTTGGTTCGGTCGCGGGCCCGGCGAGTCCTATCGGGACAAGAAGGAGTCTGCGCGCTTCGGGACCTGGGGCGCATCTCTAGACCAGCTACAAACGCCGTACGAGTGGCCGCAGGAGAACGGGAACCGCACAGACGTGTTCTGGGCGCGGTTCAACGGCGCTGACACTGATACTGACTGCGAAGTGCCTCCAGTTCTCGAGGCGCGCATGGAGAAGCCGTTTAGCTTTTCGTTCCGAAAGCATACGATCGAGGAACTGGATCGGGCGAAGCATCCGCATGACCTCGTAGAGGCCCAGGATACGATTCTGAACGTGGATTATCTGCAGCACGGGCTGGGCTCTGGGAGTTGTGGGCCGCCGCCGTTTGAGCAGTACTGTTTGGCTGCGTCGGACTTTGACTTCAAGACGTTGATTAGAATTGTTTAGACTGCATTGAGGGCAGGTTTGTGTCGATTTTGAGGTAGGAATGAACGCTCTTCTATACGAACAATTATAGCTAAGTAGGAGACCTAGGACCCGGAGGTTGCTTGCTAGAGTCACGTTGTCGAGATCCAGTTGTCGCTATTCTCCTGGACTTCAGCCGGTCCAATGCACTGCACTGAGCTACTGCTCGATAATAAATTCTAGTCATTCCCCTGTGTAGTGCAGGCTGTCTAGTAGCCAAGAGGTTGCAAGGTTTATTATGCGCCTGATTCTACTGCAATTTCATTTTCAGCTATACAGGCATAATTCATGACTATCTGTTAGTTTACTGCAATAATGCTCAGCAAGGATCACCGTTGCGCTCTTTCCAACCCATTCAACCCGTCCCATGCCTCGCACTCTGTTCCTAAACCCTCTCCCTTTCCTCAACAACAACCCCCTTCGCATTCGAATCCACCACCTCAACCGCCGCCTGATCGCCCTCAATAACAAGGGCAATCTCCTCAAGAGTCGGGCCCTGCGTCTCTGGAAAGATAAAGTACACCGTGGCCGTCTCCACCGCCAACCAAACCACATACGCAAGAAAGAACTTCCACCCCGCATTCTCCATCCCAATGGGGTTGACAAACTGGTTGAAGACCGACGCGATCCGCACAGACATCTGCATCACAGCGACGCCCTTCGACCGCTGGATAAAGGGGAAGATCTCGCCGATGTACAGGTACTGGAACGGCTGCATGAGGTTATACGCGGCGTTGAAGAGGAAGATGAGGGCGACGACGGCGATGCCGGCGGGCTTGTTGTTGTTTTCGGAGTAGACGCCCGCGCACGCCGTGTAGCACACCTTGCCCAACGTGCCGGCCGACTCCGTCCACTACATTCGCATCACCACCACGTTTATCACAGACAAGACCTGCAAGTACCGCTCCGCATTGAGCGTATGCGGGAAAGCCAGGCTAAATGTCAATGGGACCAAAGCCATCGACCTCTGGGCAGACCATCCAGAGAAAACAGATGATACAGCATGCTTCAATAAGCTGTCTATGGAGAGACACGCAGTTGTCGAGGCGCAGGAAGGCCAAGAGTACAACCTAGAGATCCTCATGACAAACGAGAAGCCAGGGACTCGATTCGAGCGGCCCAGCGCGGGGGGCGTCCGGCTTGGTGGCCAGGTTGTTCGCGATGACGAGGATACGTCCATTGCAGATGCAGTTGAATTGGCAAAAAGTGTCGACATCCCGATCCTCCTTACCGGGTTGAGCTCGGATTACGAGTACGAAGCCTCTGACCGGGCGAGCCTAGTCCTTCCACGGCGCGAAAATGAGCTGATCCAGCGTGTATGCGAGGCAAACCCGGATACAGTCGTTATCATTCAAGCGGGGATGCCGATCGAGATGCCCTGGCTTGAGAGCGTGAATACTCTAGTCTACGCCTGGTACGGTGGGCAGGAAGCCGGTCGTGCAATTGCAGATGTCCTCTGGGGTGCAACTAGCCCCTCAGGGCGCCTCTCATTGACGTTCCCCAAGCGGCTGCAGGATACGCCTGCCTTTCTAAACTTTGGAAAGACGGATCGTGGGATCGTCTATGGAGAAGGTGTGTTTGTCGGATATCGATATTATGAAAAGCTCGACTGCCCTCCACTTTTCTACTTTGGATATGGCCTTTCCTACACGCGGTTCAAGTATTCGAATCTGTCTGTCCCTGCAGTCTTCCCGAGTTCGGCGCTGGGAACAATTGGCGTATCAGTTGACCTGGAGAACATCGGGCCATGCATGGGCTCCGAGGTTGTGCAGATCTACGTCTCGGACCTAGCATGTTCCGTGCAGCGTCCGCGGAAGGAGCTCAAGGCATTTGACAAGGTCTCACTTGATAAAGGCGAGAAAACGACCTGCAAGATAGTACTCGACAAGTATGCAGTATCGTTTTGGTCGGAGGAAGATGAACAATGGAAAGCAGAGGCCGGGGAATTTGCCGTAATTGTGGCGACAAGCGCGGACCCCAGGGATGAACAGCTTCAGGCGGTATTCAGGATCGAAAGGGGGTTCACGTGGGGAGGAGTGTAGTTATGATACGATGATTTCATTATGTGGTTGAGGTTGAAATGTTCTAGTGATTTCTCTCGCTGGTCCCCATGGTCTGCCGGCCTATAGTTATCCCCCAAAACGAGTAGATGGCTCACCTTCAATGATCTTCCATAAAGCCGAGGACATAAGCGATCTTCAGCAGAATCTCACGAGAAGACTGCAAGTCACAACTACTTCGAAGCTGACTGTACCTGCTGGGTCTTTTTGAATAGAAATAACTTGCCTCTTGGAGTTAGAAGTACACAGCTATCCGGGTTATCCATGGATCGGCTTATTATGCCATCTGCTGAGATAGTGATCCACCGAGGACACGTTTGCCTCGAACATTTAGTCGACAATATAAATCAGTCCATTCTACTACCCAAGTACCAATAGGAAGAGTTCTGGACGCACATCTATAGAGCAACTATCTGCTGATATGCATCGCTACAGGACCTGGTACCGAAAGATGAGGCCAAACTATTTCCTCTCAGGCCTACGTACCTGATAATGTTGTGGCAACTTGTATACCCGCCATTCTCCCGCCCCTTCAATCCGAAGAGCTATGGCGACTTCCTCTCATCCCACTGTCATGGTCACTCGCCGCCTCGGCATACGCCATGTTCCCGGCGTGTGTATCTGCAAGAATTACAGACTTGTGGCTCTCCCGTCCCGGCTTCGTTATGGTTTTAGACATCATCTGGCTATTTCCACCTTTTGAGAGCCCCATTCCTGATAATCTAAAGGTTGTCCCGCCACTTTTCCCGTGTTCATGGCCAGAGAAAGGATCTTTCGGCGATGAGCGCAGCGAGATGGACTGAACTGTGGTTTTACGCAGCGGGTGCGGACTGCATTATGGCAGCGAACTAGGATCGTCAGATACGATATGTTGTTTCTGCAAATATTCTTAAGCAAGGAGAGGCCCCGTCTCTGGATCGCCCAGATTGTGCTCGTGTTGATGCTTTGGATACTCTGCAACGAAAGGGTGCAGCAGAGCAGGGTAATCAACTATCCCCAGTTAGTTTATCGTTCCACTATCCTGAGTCAATGAACCTCCAAGAAAAACAAATGAGGTACAAATCCATAGGCAAGGCGGTTCCTGAAGAGCATGCACGCCTTGAGCGACCAGATCAGGGCCACATAACACGTCCATCCAGCAAATAGATATTTCAATCCATAGACAAGACCTACAGTCTGTTCTGACCTCAGCGCCGCACGTTTCTCGTCAGTCAAGCCAATATCAGAACCATGTTGAGGGATACGTTTTCGACCATCCAGAGCTCCACCTGATACGTGATTGTCCTCCTTTGGTGTGTCGCGTGCACTTTGAGATCTACCATCCAAGAGAGCAGATCAGCAATCGAAAAGTAATCATCGGCCTGCCAATTATTACCTTGACGACTTTAAACCTTGCGTACAGACAAAAGAGAATTCCAACCACTCCGATACTGTACTCGGTCCAGGCTTCCGTCTGGAATAGCGTAGCCGCAGGCATTATGGCGAACTTTCAAAGGCTGAAAGAAACTGAACATCTATGTATGAAATCTTGAAATACTAAAGCCATGCGGCAAACCGGTTTTGCATATCACTGCTCACGGATCTGATACAAGTAGTGCATTTCTCTTTTTTATAAGAGGCCCAAGATTAAGTTCAAGTTCAGAGACCAACAGAGTTACGGCACAAAGAAAAGGAGCAAGGCATCTGAAAGTTTGGCCAACAAATCACGCCGCTCCATTGTTCGAAAATGGTGCGCCGGGGGTTTCAAACTAAAATATGGCAATGATCCAGATTAGATTAGTGGAGAAAAAGTGCCCTTGTTATTGGATACTTCATGAGGGCACTAGCGGCTCAGCGCCGACCGGTGCCAGTACCTGCAGGTGGGCGACTGTGACTTGTTGAGTGGGAAGATGCGGAGTGAAGAGTTGGCTTTGCACCAGGTTCTCCCCTGCAAGCTTCCCCGCAAAGCAGAATAACACTGGCTTATTCCACACAACAACTCTCCTTCGGGCCATGATCTACTTTATATTCTCGCTGGTCCACGCTGTCCGCGCCGTCGCCTCACCATCAAGGAGCTGGAGGTGTGGAGAGATTGCGGTCTCTGCAGCGGTCTTTCCGCTTTTCCCATCGTCCTACTCTTGGTGCTAGGACTATCGCACCAGAAGCTGCTCATGGATTCAGTCACCCAATCACAAGCATGATACATATTTTACGGCCTTGGGTATTCGACAGGTACGCCTCTGCTATTTATGACAGTGACCCCAACAGTTCGAGTGATAAACCGCGCGTAAGCGGCAACCGTTACCAAGTCCAGGCTTATGCTTAGTTTGTCAGATTTAACTAACAGTGGCGCAGTCATTATCCTCTGCCAACTGCAGACGTTTCGGAACCCAGCAGCACAGCTCAACCTTAAAAGGAGTCGCTAGTCCTCGGGCATTGAGGCCCCTCTCCTGCTGCACTTCAGTTCTCCCTGCGCGTCAAAATGGGCTCCGCCACCGACCCAGAGAACACCTACGACTACATTGTCTGCGGGTACGCCTCCCTATCCTCTCCCTTTACCTCATCCATGACTGACAAGTCTAACTTCAACAGAGGCGGCACCTCAGGCTGCGTCGTCGCTGGCCGCCTAGCAGAGAATAAAGATGTCCGTGTCCTTCTCATTGAAGCAGGCCAACACAACCGCGACCTCGAGAACGTACACATGCCCGGCGGATCGTCTGGCAACTTTGACTCGGAGACAGACTGGAACCTCGTCACGAAGCCCATGGCCGGCGTCGACGATCGTACAGTCAAGCTCAGCCGCGGGCGATTCCTCGGTGGAAGCAGTGGTTGTAACGGCACGCTTTGTATCCGCGGCACCAAACAGGACTATGATGACTGGGGACTGGAGGGATGGAGCGGCGAAGAATTCTTCGAGGCTATGAAGAAGGTAGGAAACATACTTTCCTCGTATTTCAGCCTTTGTACTCGGTACTGAGGGCGCAGTCTGAAACATTCCACCCGAAACCCTGGTTCAAAGCCACCGAGTCTGCGCACGGCTACTCCGGCCCTCTCCACACAGAACCGCATGACCTCGCCCCAATCGCAAGCCGTCTCATAGACTCCTTTGTCGACAAGGGTCTTCCGCTACACCACGACATGTTCTCCACCGGCGATGTCGCCAACGGGTGTGGCCATGTCCCGCGTACCGTGCACAAGGGAATCCGTACCACCGCGGCCGATTTCATTACCAAGGAGCATGACCGCTCCAACCTCACCATACACACAGATACAACTGTTGACCGCGCACTCATTGAGCAGACAGAAGATGGGCTACGTGCGACTGGCGTTGTTACTCGCACAGCAGACGGGTCTGAGAAGATCTTCCATGCCCGGCGCGAAGTCATCGTTTCCGGAGGTGCCTACTGCAGTCCTGCCATTCTAATGCGCTCCGGGATTGGTGCCGGCGATGAACTTGCACAGCACGGCATCGAGTGCCAGGTCGATCTTCCGGGCGTCGGAAAGAACCTCATGGACCACCTGGTACATTTCTCCCCCACATCTCCCCTTTCCATTCTAATGAACCCTAACTTTTCTCATTCTTATAGATTGTCTTCATCTTCTACGAAACCAAACAACCCAACCTAACAAACTGCTCAAAGATCTACCACGGTAACGCCTTTCAGAGCACATACGCCGAATGGAAAGAGCACAAAACCGGCTTCCTCTCCAGCTTCCCCTTCGGCTCCGTCGCCTTCACCCGCATCGACGACCGCCTCGCCGACTCACCCCTCTGGAAGAACGCACCCCGCCTCCCCGGCCGCGATCCCATGGGCCTCACACCCTCACAGCCGAACATCGGATTCTTGACGACGGAATGCTACGGCGGTCCGAAGCAGTACAATCAGTTCCCGGGTGACGGGCAGCACGCGTTTTCGATTATCGCTGAGCTTTTCGCGCCGAAGTCGCGGGGGGGCTGTGACTCTTGCATCGAAGGACCCGAATGTGAACCCGGTGATTGATTGTAATTATCTCGCTGATCCGCTCGACATGCTTGTTCTTAGCGAAGCGTGCCAGTACGCGAATGAGATTGTCACGCAGGGGGCAGGCACGAAGGATATCGTTTCCGGTTCATGGCCGCCCGACCAGACGCATCATCTTTTCCAGACGAGGGAGGACTGGGTTCCGTACGTGAAGCAGCATGCGACGACTTGTATGTTTCTCCATTCTATTTTCCCTCTCCCTCTCCCTTCCCCCTATTTCAAGAACAATACTAATCAACTATCAGGCTATCACGCCTCCGGTACATGCGCAATGGGCCCTGCCACCGACAGCAACGCCGTCCTCGACAACAAGCTCCGCGTCCGCGGCGTGAAGGATCTCCGCGTCGCGGACTGCAGTGTCATGCCCACGCTGCATGGTGGACATACGCAGATGCCGGCGTATGGGATTGGAGAGCGGTGCGCGGATTTTATCAAGGAGACGTGGGTCCTGTGATTTTGGGTTGCTGCCAGGATTTCGGTACCGTACGCAGCTGAGTGGGTAGCTGTATTAATATTCATGTTGAGATAGGGTTGGTCTGTTTGTTTATTTATTGAAATGCATATATCGTATCTATGATGGTTATAGTTAGCGACGTTTATGATGTAATGCAATTCATGGTCACCTTCAAGGTCTAATGATTCGCTCTCTATCATGAGTCATATCTCATCCCAAAACATCAGCACCCATATCTATTCATGATAGCTCTAAAGTCCGGATCCCTCAGAAGCTCCGTCGCCGTTGGCCTCTTCGCTGGGTCATACACAAAGACCTTGGCCATATTAGAAACCACATGGCCCCGCTCAACAGGATCCGCATCCCCACGGCGCAAGGCAACCTTAGACGCAAGGTCATGTTTCGGGTCCGGTTTCGCACTCTGATCATACCACGAATCCCTCCCGCTGGGGTGTGTGTAGCACCCTTTCCATTCCGCCGGCAAGGGACCGAGACATCGAACATGGTCGCCTATCACGCTAGTTTCTATACTGCTGAAGAGCGAGAAGTCAAGATACAGGATCGAAAACACAACCATATAGCTCCAAATGTCACAGGCAGGGCTTGGCTCTTTTCGATGAAGACGCTCGGGGGAGCAGAATTTCAGATCTGGGTAGCCGCGTTGCGATTTGGAATCGGTTATTTTCTGTGAAAGGCCAAAGTCGCCGAGGTAGAAATCGTCTGTGCGGAGGTGGTTAGGGGTGTTGATAGCGCGCACAAGTCCGCCCTGCTTGAAGGGGTGCTTTACGTGCGGTATTGGTTCCCTGAGTGGTCGTCCGAGTTCCTTGTACTTATCGCTCCGGTGGAGATGGGCGAGAGATGTCATTCCCCACATGCAGTTTCCCTCGCTTACGTCTGTAAAGGTTGTTTAACATGAGGTTCCGCGAATCGGGAAAGACAAGGGGCCTCGCTCCACTTACCGCGGTGGATAATCCCAGCGGTATGCAAACTCTCTAGTGCTTCAAGTAACTGCCGGGCAGCAGACATCCTAGTAGCCATCGAAACCTTGACCAGAGTGTGCCAGTTGATCCGTGGGCCCACCAATGGCAAGACCAAGACCTGATGTTCCAATCCATTTGCAAGCAGAGTAAAAGTCGCTAGGGAAGTCACAAGATGGGAGCTGTCCTTCACGCTCTGTGCTATTTCTCTCTGCATGCGTACTTCGTTTTCGGCCCAGGGCCACGAAGACATGACCTTAACGGCGACATCTTGTTTGTCTATCAGGTCATGTGCCATCCAAACAGTAGATCCACCACCAAATCCAAGCTTGTGTTCAACCAAGTATCTGTCATTCAGAACCTCGCCCAGACAGATAGGGTAGAACACATTCTTGTTTCCCTCCGTCTCGTAGCTGTCCCAGGGTTCAACAACCTCTTCCAGGTCCTCTGCCTCGTCTTCATCTCTCACGAAGTCGCGAAAATCATCCATCTCTGGAGCGGCTGTTGTGAGGGTGCACATTTGACGAGGTCCAAAAGATAGACACAGAACAGAAACTTGCGAGTGAAACTAAGAAAAAGTCAAAAGCACCTCAGAGGGAAAATGCAGTATCGTATGGTCTTATGGCGGCATGTGCTTTTGTTGGAGGGTGGTGGGGTATGCCTTGCGAGGGGCGGGTAAATTAACCGCAGTGTATTCAGTGTCAAATATGGCGTCGTGAAGGCTACCACGAGTATGGTAGCTAAGCAAAGGGGAAACCCCCAATAAGCCGATATCAGTCCGATGTTGATAGTGATCTTGATCAATCAGTGAAGATGAGGGGGAAGCAGTCCCAGCAAAGAAATCACGGCGATGGATCAATCCAATGGGGGGATCACATGACTCTATCTGCGATACACATACAATGGGCAATAGCCCGACACTCGCGGCCTAGTAACTGTATTAGTATCATCCTGAAGGTGCAGGTGTCTTACAGGCTAATGGAAAAGTTAAGCTTCTTGATGGGTTTGGTGCCAAGTCGTGACATGACATATCGATCTATACAGCAAACAAAATACTAGGTAAATCATATGTACAGCGTCTAATGAAAAACCAAGTAAATAACTCATGTGTATACAGGTCTAGAAAACCGCTGGGTTGGGTAATACGACCGGGGTATCAACTCTAAACTTCTTCTTCTTCTTGTGAATTAGATCCTTGAAGCTCGCAGACCACTCGACGCGCGGCCCAAGAATCTCCAATCCCCAAAGCTCAGCGACATACTTCAAGATTGACGTATGCGTATACTCCCCCTTTCCATTCTTCGGCGCATGCACAACTGCCCCCTTCTCCACCCAAGGCGAGATCAGAATTGTCGGAACGCGGATGCCCAGCCGATCGAAGTGGAATGTCGTCGGTTTCCCGTCGCCCGCGACCTCAGTGTATGGAATGTTATCGCCGGGTGGAACGTTCTCCGGCGGCGGAACGTGGTCGGCGAAGCCGCCATGTTCGTCAAAGGTCAGGATGAAGAGTGTCTCGTTCCACTGTGGACCTGCGCGCAGCGCCTCGTAGATCGATTTCACAAAGTCCTCGCCGAGATTTATCGGCGACGGTGGGTGGAACGACGTGTAACTGCAGCATTCGGGGTTTATCCAGGTGAATCGTGGGAGATTTCCCTCGCGCGCGTCCGCGTAGAAGTCGTAGATTGGCTTGATGTTCTGCCGCGCGTTTGTCGCGGCCCAGTGGTAAAAGAGCGCGTCGGGGGCGAAGCCGGTCGCGTTGGAGTAGTTTATCCAAGAGATATTTGCTGCAGAGAGTTGTTCGAAGATGGAAAGCTGAGGGAGGGCTGAGACATCGAAGCCGGGATCGTTGAAGCCGTGGCCATGGGACGTGCCCGAGGTGAGGTATGCGCGGTTAGGGTTTGTAGGGCCAGGGACGGACGCGAACCATCTGTCGAAAAGAAGGAAATTTTCTGCGAGTGCGTTGAAAACTGGGACGTGTTCCGGCGTATAGTAGTTTATCACCTCCGCGGCGCGCGAGAGGTCGCTGGTTATCCCGTGGGCGCGCATCTGTTCCGTGACGAAGCCCTGCATAGATGGAGTGTGAATGGAGAGGTCGGGGTGGTAGGTGCCGTAGACCTGTTGATTCCCACCGGCGATACTGTGGTCTGGGTCATCGGCTGCGATGTTTTTGGCGATCGGCTTTGCGCAGATTTGCGGGGAGTCTGGATCGGAGACGTTGACTGGGTTGCAGAAGTTGTGATTCACGAGGTTATCGATGTCGGGATTGTAGGTGAGGCCGCCGGCAATGGTATCGAAAGCGAGGTTCTCCTGCACGAGAACGACGATGTTTTTGATGGGAGAGTGGTGGATGCGATGGGTGCGGTCCTCGGGTTTGGGGAAGAGTGTGTGAGTTGCCAAGAGGACAATGACGACGACGATGGAGGTGATGCTCGTTGTGAGGAGAACACCAAGAACGATGAAGCGGCGCCTTGAGGTCGTCTTTCGAGCGACTTGAAGTGTCGTAGATTCTTCATCCTGGCTTGAGCGACGGCTGTGTTCGTCCTCGTTGAGCAGAGGCTCCTGGTCTTCGTCGACGCGGGGTTCCCGCTCGGCGGGGCTTCCCCGCAGCCAGTTCATGGCGTCTGTCGCGGGTTTATGTGGTGTATGGATCGGAAAAAAGGCTGTCGACGCATCTATCAGGGAGAGTGTCTATGGTTGAAAGGTGAAAAGAAAGGTCGCGGAGAGAAACGACTTGGAGGGCTGGGAGGGATCGCCTGACGGTCGCATAACCGGTTATCAACATAACGCTGCATGATGAGGGGGTGGGCACAGCACAGCTGTTGATTGGTGGCACCAATTATGTAGGCTAATCCCAGTACAGCTAAACTCGTTTCTTGGCCAGCAAATGGAAGTGATAGGAAAAAAGATACTTCGTCTCCGTTTTTGGGTGTGGAATGGCTGGCTCTCGACCACTCGATTCAGTGTTCCAGGCGGGCCTTCCGTTTGACGTTGCAACACAATCCATGGCTCATCGAGTCAAGCTTCCTCCGTCTTCTAGACGTAATCGACTATATGGACTGGTCCAGGCTTTCAGGCTTTTGATCTTCTGACTGCAAGACTTGATACAGAAAGGTGAAGGCTCCACGGATATATATTCAACGGTTACCCGGATATTTTTCTCCAGATGTTTCAAGATGAGCTAACCACTGTAATCACTCACGATGCCGGTTGAAGATTATGGCGTCTGGAAAGCGCATCCTGTTTACCATGTAGTGGAGCGTCGAAAAGACGATCTCAAATCACCGCACCTCTCTCTGTACTTTCATGATCTCGACACTGGCACACCACGATATGATTCGACCTTCACCCGCGAAGACAAAGAAATCCAAGGCTTGTATCGAGCCACGATCAACATAAAGTCTGGCCTTGGAGACCCTCATGATTCCCGTCTGGTCTACTGGGTAAACCACCAGATCGACCAAAATCCTCTCGCCGACGAGCTGGCCGAGCTGAAATATGGATTTCACCGAGGGACAGACCAGATGCAAAACGAGTGCTCATTGGATTACATCCGAAACAGCCTATTCAACACAAGCGACGGCCGACTCCTTCCTCACGAGGTAGCCGGGCAATTCAACGATATAATTGACGTTCTCGAGCCGAACATCCAGCAGGCCATCCTTGAAAATGCAGATGTATACCTATTCGGCTCCCGATACAACAACGGCAAAGCCATGCACAAGATGCACATGAACCAAGGCAACATACGCAAGTACCGATGGGACGATGGGGTCTTCCAAGACGGCGGGCTCATCATCCACTTCCAACGAACAAACTTATGGATCGGCTTCTTCATCGGCTTCGCCTCGCAGGCCGTACACACCAACGATCAAACAGGGCACGCAATCACCGGCGTGATGTGGAGCGACTTTTTGCGTCCGGATATCATCGAGGAGTCCGTTGTCATCCACGAGGCTTACGTTAACCCTGCGAATTCAACCCCGAGGTCGGTTACACTGTCCAATAAGACGAATCGAGCGGTTTCCCTGGATCACTGGACGATCCGCAACAAGGCGGGTGATATTCAGATTCTTCCGGATAATGTGTCGCTACGGCCGAGGATTGACCAGCCGTTTCATCTCCCGGACTGTCCACTATCCGACCATGGCGATACGATCATCCTGGCAAATGAGCAGGGAATGAAAATTGATGGGGTGAGCTACAGCTCGAAGCAAGCTGGGATTAAAGGACGTCCGATTGTTTTTGCACATTAACGTACCAAATCTGGAGCGGGGGAGTTGGAAAGCGGGAAAATGTTGTATTTAATATCCATGATCAATGTAATAACTTTCTTCACCACTCATGAGTACCACACGCCCTCCAAGAAGCCTGAGGAATGCACGTACCCTCTGAGCCTCCATAACCCCTTGCCCAAGTTGAACTCGCGCAACTAGTAAAAGGGAGAGAACATTCTGATCATCGGTAACACCCCAGGGGAGGGGGGGGGTATCTCCGATCTCCGGTAGGTACATCAGCAGCTACACTGCAGTTTACCGTGTTTCTGTCCCCCAATACTACGCGGATAACCAGGAACACAAGATAAGCGCAGCTGACATCAGATCACAAAACCGCCTCTTCCCCTCTTCTCCAACAATCACCTTCAACTCCTCAGCACTCCTCACCGCGGACGCCTCGAACCACAACCCTCTCCATCATGCGCATACCAACAATTCTTACCATTTTCGAGAGAATTAAACACAAGAAACAAATTCATAGATTATATACGTCTATACATCATTACCATCACAAACTTATCCAAGATTCAATTAGAGATCCACAAACTCCCCCTTAAGCTCCTCCTCAACCTCCCGTCTCTTTAGATACCCGGCAATTTTCTCAGACATCCCCTCGATATCAAAGCCGAAGAATTTGTACGCGGCCTTGCCCGGCAAACTATGTCCAAAGCGTCTGATAGAAATCCCCGCATCCGCATAGCGCTCCCACCCATTGGGCGCATACGGCTCGATAACGACCGCCGGAATCCCCTTGTGTCGTTGCAGCACGCTTCGCTTGTATTCGACGCTCTGCTGCTCGAAGAGCCGCTGGCAGGGGAAACTGACTACGCGCGCGGTGATGTTGTTCTTTTCCTTCAGCGTTGCCGCGACTTCAAGGGCGAAGGAGAGTTCGGCACCGACGCCGAGGATCGTTACGGCTGCGTTGGGGATATCTTCGAGGATATACGCGCCCTTGAGGACGCCGTCGCGGCGGGTCTGTTTGAGTTGCGGGAGGGCGTGTCGTGAGGTGGAGATGATCGTGGATGATTTCTTTGCGTTGATTGCGGCGATCCAGGCGCCGGCTGTTTCTTCGCTGTCACCGGGCCGGATGTATAGCAGGTTTGGCATTGCGCGGTAGAGCGCGGCGAGTTCTATGGGTTGGTGCGTGGGTCCATCTTCGCCCATGCCGATTGAGTCGTGTGTCGCCGCGTGGATGACTTGGAGGTGCTGCAGGGCGCCCATGCGTACGGCGGGAGCGGCGTATAGGTAGAACATGAAGAAGGAGGAGGTGATGGGGATGAAGGTGTTGGGGGAGAAGGCTGCGAGGCCATTGGAGATGGCGGCCATGGCGTGCTCGCGGACACCGTAGTGGATGTACCGGCCGGAGTAGTCGCCGTTGATACCGCAGGTTGTGCGGAGGTCGGGCTGTGCTGGTTAGCTTTGCAGTCAAGAAGAGGATCGGAAGGCTTACGTGTTGGAAGTCAACCTTGCCCTTCCAGATCATGTTGACGGAAGGCGACAAATCAGCTGTGCCGACCATGAAGTTGTTGATGTCTTGTGCCAGAGGGTTGAAGACGAGACCAGACGACGCACGCGAAGCAGTCGGCTTGTCGGGGAACTCAGTTGGGATCTTCTCCTGCCAGTCGGAGGGGAGTTCACCGCGCACACGACGCTGGAACTCGGCGGCCAGCTCGGGGTGTGCCTCGCTGTACTTCTTGACGAGATCATCCCACTCTTTGACGAAGCCCTCTCCGCGTGCCGGAATATCAGCGAAGAACTCGCGAACAGTATCACTAATGACAAAGTGCTCCTCTGGGTTGAAACCGTACTTGCGTTTCATCTCAGCGACGTCTGATACCCCAAATGCCGCGCCGTGGGCAGCCGCCTGTCCCTCGACCTTGCTGTCGAGACCAATGACAGTGCGGACATTGATAAAGGTGGGCTTGTCAGTTGAGGCACGGGCCTTTTGCAGAGCCTGTACAATACCCTCAACATCATAGCACCCATCCTCCACATCGATAACATCCCAACCGCAAGCGCTCATCTTGGCGTTGATGTCTTCGGTATTCGTAAGATCGACAGAGCCATCGCAGGTGATCTGGTTGTTATCGTACATGATTGTCAAGTTGTTCAGCTTCCAGTGGCCAGCCAGTGAGATTGCCTCCAGGGCAACACCTTCCTGCAAGCATGCGTCTCCGATCATGCACCATGTGTGGTTGTTGACAACATCGTACCCCGGGCGGTTGTATGTAGCCGCAAGGTTCTTCGAAGCCATCGCTAGACCAACCGCGTTGGCGACACCTTGACCCAGAGGGCCAGTGGTAACCTCGACACCTTCGTGCTCGATCTCTGGGTGGCCTGGGCACAGCGCATCGACTCGCTCGGAGTGGTATGACTTGAGCTGATCGAAAGTCATGGCCTTGTACCCGGTAAGGTGGAGGAAGGTGTACTGGAAGAGGCAAGTGTGGCCGTTGGAGAGGACGAAGCGATCGCGGTTGAAGAAGTCGGGGGTGTGAGGAGCGTAGCGCATGATGTAGCGCCAGAGGGCGACTCCGATGGCTGCCATGCCAATGGCACCGCTACCAAATTAGCCGCGTTCGTCGATTCTTTCGTTTCGTTGTGTTACATACCCAGGGTGTCCGCCGCCAAACTGCTGGCAGAGATCGGCGATAAGAAGCCGGAAGCTCTTCAGGACATGGTCATGGTGGCTGCTCGAGCCGTTCACAAGTGAAGCTGTCATTGTGATGGACTAATGTGAAGTGACAGAGATAATCTTTGTCTGAGCACAAAAACAATCAATTTGCGAGGGATTTATCGCTTTATAACCGGCGGAAAACATGCACCATTACCGAATCAAGTAGTCGTAGGCACTGTACGCCGAATGGGGAAATTCTGGAGCCCAAATAATCGGAGTCCCTCCGGAGCCTCCAGTTTCCCCATCTATTTCCCCTCGCGCATGAGAAACAGGCTATATAATTTTCGTGGCGCCTCTGGAAGTTTTCCACTCTCAGTAATTTCTGTCGACCGACTTGCCCGACCCTCAAACCAATCGATTCGCCGCCATGTCGTACCTCCCCAATCCCTCCCTTCAAATCACCGCCGACCACCAGATCAAGTTCGTCGAAGCCCCCGTTCACGAGCCGGGAAAAGGCGAAGTCTTGCTTCATATTAAGGCGACCGGTATCTGCGGGTCAGATGTTCACTTTTGGAAGACCGGTCGCATTGGAGAGTTGATTTTCAAGGGCGATTGTATTATCGGGCATGAGGCTGCGGGAGTGGTGTTGAAGTGTGGAGAGGGTGTAACACATTTGCAGCCCGGTGCGCTTTCTTTTCTCTTTCGTGACGGACCTACTCAGTTACTTACTGACTACTTACAGGCGATCGCGTCGCTGTCGAGCCTGGTGTACCGTGCGAGAACTGCTTCCTCTGCGATGATGGACGATACAACCTCTGTGAGGACGTGGCGTTTGCCGGCGTCTACCCTTACCCTGGAACCGTCCAGCGATACAAAGTCCACCCCGCAAAGTGGCTGCACAAGTACGTGCTTGTTTGCTCTACAAAGGACACCCGCTAATGATTAGACTTCCTGATAACCTATCCTACCTCGACGGCGCCCTCCTCGAACCCCTCAGCGTGACGATGCGCGGCATTCAAGTCGCCCAGCTCGAACTCGGTCGCGGCGTGGTCATCTGCGGTGCTGGTCCCATCGGTCTGATCGCTGCGACTGCTGCGCGCGCATCTGGCGCACACCCGATCGTCGTCACCGACATCGACGAGAGCCGACTCAGGTTCGCCAAAGAGTTTGTGCCGACCGCTTCGACGTACCAGATCAATCCTGCGCTGGACGCTCAGGGAAACGCAAAGGGTATCCGAGCGCTCTTTGGCGATAACGAGTACACTGCGCCTGATCGAGTCCTCGAGTGCACAGGAGTTGAGAGTAGTATATGCACGGCTGCATACACGGCGAGACGGGGAGGCCTGGTGGTGGTGATTGGAGTCGGCAAGGAGATCATCAACAATCTGCCGTTTATGCATCTCTCATTGGCAGAGATCGACCTCAAGTTCATCAACCGTTACCGGGATACGTGGCCAAGGGCTATCGCATGCATGGCGGCCGGCTTTTTCGACCTCAAGCCGTTGGTGTCTCACAAATTTCCGTTGGAACGAGCACAGGAGGCGTTGGAACTATGTGGTGATCGACAACGACCCAGCATTAAAGTGACGATAGTTGACGAATTAGAGGCCACGATATAGAGAAATACGAGGTTGTAAACAGATTTCAAACGGGATCCCTGTTCTGATCAACGGGGCTGCCAAGTCTTTCTTTGTATGGAAAGAACAATATCAAGCGGCCAGATGCCGGCGATTGTCCATGCCTTGGCGGCCTGGCACTTAAGATGAAGGCCAATCTTTGTACTCTTGGGGCCTCCGCTGCAGGGAGTATTTAGCGACAGGTCACAATGCCGCAGGTTGTCGTAGTTGGTGCTGGCTACTACGGCCTCATCACTGCCAAAACATATCTCCAGGTGACTGGCGCCTACACCCGCTCAGAAAAGAACGAGTACAACGACGAGAATGACATTCTTATCATTGACTCGGGCTCTGAGACAGGAGGTACATGGGCTCGAGATCGCTTATACCCCAATCTTTTGAGCCAGAACTCCTACGGTCATTACGAGTTCAGCGATCTTCCCCTAGCCACAGCTGTCCCAAACACCGCTGGTGGGATAGATGAAGACAAGTTCATCCCTGGCTGGAAGATCAACCGGTATCTGCACATCTGGTGTCAAAAGTGGGATCTCACTCGGCGTATCCGGCTGAACTGCAAGGTGTGTAAATATAGCGGTCATATGAGACGTCTACTCATATTTATAGGTCGAGGGCGTTTCTCGGCTTCCGTCCAAGCAATGGTCACTCAGCCTTATCGCACAGACTGGCGGCACTTCCACTCCGCTCACTATAACCTGCGATAAGCTTATCATTGCTGTTGGTCTTACCTCTGAGCCCAATATCCCTGATATTCCTCGCACCGGGTGCCACCCGATTCCTGAGATACACGCCAAAGATGTCGGTCTCTACTGCCAGGATAAACTAGGCTATGAGCCAGTTCCGATTCAACAAAGGCCGCTCAAGTGCAACGCACAGCGTTCTTCGTTCCCAAGGTCAGTCGCGGTATACGGTGGAGCCAAGTCGGCTTTTGATTTCATTCACCTCTTCGGTTCCCTCCATCGCAATAGTGCATCTCTGCGGCTTAATGAATGCCCTCCGGAGCCGGTCCAGGTGCATTGGATTATCCGAGAGGACGGACACGGCCCAGCCTGGATGACGGAGCCCACTGCCCAGCTGGGCAAAAAACAAGTGGCGAGCGACAAGGCAGCCTGCACCCGTATGGTCGGATTGATGAGTCGATGTGTTTACGAGATCCCTAAGCGCATGGCATGGCCGTCTACAACATCGCGGTATCACATACCACGGATCGAGGGGTCCTGGTTACGGCGGATAATCCACGAGAACCGTTTGGGACGAGCAGCAGTACGCCACGTATGGAAGCAAGTGGACGCTTCGATTCACGCGTCCGCCGGGTACGATTCGCAGCCGAAGATGGAGAAACTTCGCCCAGCCGCCAGGTGACATCCGCCCTTGCAGTTCATGAATGACACTAATCGGTCCAGCGCGATTGAGTGCACCTCGCCTGGCGGCATCGCGAATCACCACGATTTATGGGATACAATCCTCGGTCCGAACGTCCATATTTATCGCTCGAAAATCGCCTGTCTGTCAGGGTCATCGACAGACGCAACTATTCATCTCTCTGACGGCACCTTGATCCCATCACTCGATCTCATCATTCACGCAACTGGTTGGATACCACGTATCCCAGTTGAATTTGATCCACCGGCTCTAAGAACGCAGCTTGGCCTACCAGGCCCAAATGCGGACTATGGCTGGGACTCATCCGAGCAACAGGTTGAGGCAAAAATGCGACAAATCTTTGACCCAAGTGTTTTCAAACATGCGACCTCGCCGGCACCAAATACCTATCGTCTCTTCCGTCGCGTAGCGTCGCCGTCTCTTGTTGCTGAAGGAGATCGGTCGCTCGCCGTCATGGGGGCCGTGTACTCTGGGGCCGTAGCCCTCGTAGCAGAGGTGCAGGCACTCTGGGCCGTAGCGTTTCTCACAGGTGGTCTTGACGGTGGCCAGGATGGGCCGCTGAGCAACTCCGGGCGCGTATACAAGTCCATTGCCGAGGATGTAGTGTGGGGACGATTGACGGGTGTCGGACTGAATGTGGACGCAATCAAAGTGAGTGTTCTTGTGCAGATGGATCGCATCTCTCTAACCGGACACAAATAGTACAATGACGTGTTGCTGCGTGACCTCGGCCTTAATCCGTACCGAATGGGCGGGCGGTGGTGGAAAGAGTTGCTGGCTGTGTATGGACCGTCATCGTACGCCGGGATTGTTGAGGAGTGGATGGCTCTGCGGGGGCGTGGGGAGAAGCTGTGAAGATAAGGAAAGAGGGAGAGTGGGAAAGTGGTTATTGTTGCGGATTGGAGAAGGAGAAAAACGCAGGAAGCAGCAAAAGGTGTGGGAAAGGTGCGGGGCGGCCGGCCGCGGTTGCGACTGCCTGTTCTGGAACGAGCTGAGGAGGGGTAACTGAGAGGTCATGTGGCCGCTACCGTGGGCTTGGCACTCACAAAATGTTGATCTTTTTCTTTGGTCATGTGCTCCCCGAAAATCCAGCTTTCCTCGTTCCTTGTAGACGCATCGGATTAGTATGCGCCAGCCCTGTTCCATGCGGACTGGGAAACGAGACAGATCTAGACCACCGAGCGTTGACCATTCGGAGGGACAAGATTACTCTGACAGAGCCGAGACGTCAACAGTTAATCAATGACGCCACCATGTCAACCACTTTCAAGTATCGCAAATCATCAATCAAGGTTACCCTCCATGGAAGAGCTTGTCAGGAGGAAGCTCTACAAATATACCTCGATCCAGTTGTTCCACATATTGCAGTCGTCATTCTGACAGCAGGAAACTCAATGGCAGTAAAAATGAGTGATAAAAGCAGGAAGAGCTGGGGACGAGGCAGGACAAGTCAGGTAGCCCATTAATTTCGTTGTCTACCGTCCGTGACCACAATAATGACCACCCATACTCATCCGTTGCAAGCAATCGGCCAAGCCGTCGGCGCTGTGGGCGGCGATCCGCGCCCTATGCAGCTCGCGTCGCTATTCCAGGGCGCCAACGATGGTCCCGCAAAGGTCGCGGCTAAATTGACCGGCGTTCAGGGTCCTGGGAAGCGGGCTGATGATGGTCCGTACTTTACCAACAACGAGGCTATCCCATTCCCCGACCCGGCTCATAGTAAGACGGCGGGCGGGCTGCCTTTGGCCTCCGATACGTTCCTCTTCCAGAAGCAGCAGCATTTCAATCGCTCCAAGAACCTTGAGCGCATGGTTCACCCTTGTTAGACCGTCCGTGGTACCTATTATCTTCTTCGATGCCTAACCTTTGCAGGTGGTAGTGGCGCATTTGGACACTTCGAGGTCACCAAGGACGTATCTTCGTTGACAAAGGTAGGAAAATTCGCCTTCAAGCAATTCAAGGTCTGACAATTACAGGCACACTTCCTTCGATCACCTGGAATCAAAGCCCCTGTCTTCGTCCGGTTCTCAACGGTAACTCTCGGTCGAGAGTTCCCAGACCTGGCTCGTAACCCCCGTGGGTTCGCCATCAAGTTCTATACTGGCGAGGGTAACTATGATATCGTGGGACTGAACTTTGTAAGACCCCTCGCTAGCATCAAAGCCAATCACTAATCGAGTGAAGCCAATCTTTTTCTGCCGAGACCCTATCCAAGGCCCCGATGTGATTCGATCCCAATATCGGAATCCGAAGAACTTCCTTTTGGATCACAACTCCTTGTTTGACTTGCTTGCCAACACACCGGAAGGGTAATATGTTCTTCTGTTTGCTGATACCTTCCTCGCTGACCTTCGCAGAAACCATGCCGGTATGATGTTCTTTAGCGACCACGGCACACCCGATGGTTGGACCAACAACCATGGATACGGCTGTCATACATTCAAATGGAACGTGCCAACTCACTCGAAGAGAGCGCTACTAACATTAGCAGGGTGAACGCCAAGGGAGAGTTCGTCTACATCAAGTACCACTTCCTCGCGGACCACGGCCAGAAGCAGTTCACTGCCGACGAATCCCTGAAGTACGGAGGCGAAGACCCCGACTACTCGAAGCGCGAGCTTTGGCGAAAAATTGAACACGGAGAACAACTTACCTGGACTGCCCACATTCAAATCATGCAGCCCGAAGAGGCAGACCCGGCGAAGCTCGGATTCGACCCGTTCGACGTGACGAAAGTCTGGCCCAAGAAACAGTTTCCAGTACGCATCTCATATCCAATACCCTCGGGATTCATGAATGCAGCTAATAAAATCAGCTACAAGAGTTTGGCAAGTTGGTCCTAAACAAGAACCCTGAGAACTTCCACCGCGACGTCGAGCAGGCAGCCTTCTCTCCTGGAAGCATGGTCCCCGGCATCGAAGACAGCCCCGACCCCCTTCTACAATTCCGCATGTTCTTCTACCGCGATGCGCAGTACCACCGCATCGGGATCAACCTGCACCAAGTTCCGGGTAAGCTTCAATATCCGTTCTAACTCCTACACTTAGGCACGCAATCCTAACAACATGCGCAGTGAATTGCCCCTTCATGGCCTCCTCGTATTCCTCCCTAAACTTTGATGGCCAAATGCGCGTCGACGCAAATCACGCCATGAACCCCCAATACGCGCCCAACAGCTTCACAAACAAATTCCGTCCGGACACCGCCGAAGCCCCTTATCAACTCGCCGACAGTCTCGTTGGCCGCAAATCGCACTTCTTCCACGAGGGCAAGGACTCTGAGTATGATCAGGCCCGGAACTTGTACATGGACGTCATGGACGCGCGGGCGCGCCAGCATCTGCACGCGAATACTGTGCGGCTTTTGAAGTTGGTCGAGTATCCTGAGATCCAGGTGAAGTATCTCGTGCAGGCTTTCCGCATTGCGCCGGAGTACGCGAAGGGGATCTATAATCTGCTTCCTGAGAAGAAATTCGCGTTTGAGGAGGTGCAGGGAAGGGCTGGAGAGGAGGCGGAGAAGTGGGGGAAGGAAGCGAAATTCCGGCCTAGTGCTGCGACCGATAAGTTGGTGGGGATGTGTCCTGCTATGCCAGTCTATAATGCGTGAGGGGTTTCCAGTGGAACCCACTGGGCTTTGCAGGTTCTGTTAGTATCCTAATTGTTGTGCTCATGTTCGATTGTCTGGTCGTCCCGCGTACTTCTGACATCGAAAGTCGTGATCAAAATGCCGTAATTCGTCCGCAAAACTCAAAATATATCATAAGTGAGTACGACCTGCATGCCGACTCCGTACCTCCAATGAGCTCGACAAGATGAGAAGAAGTCCAACTCGTGATTCGCATGATCAACTCCGCGTAATCAAACTAGTCCCCACAGCGGAAGATGAGAGCTGTATACTTGGCATGGGTCAGAGCACTCTCGACGCGTGGACTATCCTGAGGAGTTGATCAACAAGGCATCAATGATTCCTAAGCAAGATTGGAGAGAGCAGGCTATGTACTACTCTGCGGAAGATACCTTACTAGGGCTTGCGAATTGCCCAGAATGTGTCCTGCTACGCCATGGCTTCGAAAAATAGCGATGCATGAATCGTGCCCTCCCCTGCTGCGCCACTCCAGCAATTGTCAAGTGGAGCTGTGGAGAAGTGACGGCGTCACCTCGCAAGCTTGGGACGTACTCCGTACGAATCTGGAGAATATTGTCCCGGCTAGCGAATAAGAGCCGAACCTCGTCAAAATAACGTGGCGGCAAACCGTCTGTTCTCCACATAAATCCGAGCCTTTCGAGGATAACCCTGTTTGCCGCGTGGATGAAGCCCCTTGGCAACGCCGCGTCGCGAACTCCTCTATACCACTCGTGAGGGGGTGTGTGCGTAATGCAGACTTGCGTGACCATGTATCTCCTGAGAATATGAGGGGACGTGTCTATCAACCTCGCCGTCCGCATTGGCAAGTTGGTTGAGATTTGTTGTCATGTCGCGATGGTCAGCTTGACTTGGGGTCTTTCACGGCATTGGCGCGTCGACACCAGGCAATTCATCCGTGTCGTTCTTTGCATGCTCATTGCCGGTCTTCTATATCTTTTCTATATCTTTGCCGGCCCTCAGCTAGTCCGCTTTCGCTTTCGGGACGATCTCAGCTGGTATGACTTGGGTGCGTATGGATTCGGCCCGTCGAGGAGTTATGTCTCGTTCCAATACGAATCGCCTGTGGTAGAGATTACTGCTGTCAATAATGACCGGGCATGCGACTCCGGATATACGTTTCTTGCGCCACGCGGAGATTCAGTTGCACACCCGGGGCCAATGATTTTAGATGCGAATGGTGAGCTTGTCTGGATGAAACATAACTGGGGGACGACGCATGATTTCAAGGTGCAGCGCTTCCAGGGTCAGGATTTCCTCACTTACTGGGAAGGTGAGCAAGTTGAAGGGAGAGGATATGGATCGTGGTATATGGTGAGTAGCTTGACTAGAAACAACGATAGCTATCTAACCATATGCTGCTTGCTTAGGTTGACTCGGCATATACGGTTCGGTACGTGATAAACCCAGTCGGAAGTTATGGCGGTGATCTGCATGACTTTCAGATCACGCCTGATGGCACGGCGCTGGTGACAATATATGACCCTATCATGATGGATTTGCGATCAGTTGGCGGACCCGAAATAGGCTGGATATACGACTGTCTCTTTCAAGAACTTAATATTGCGACAGGGGAGTTGATCTTCGAGTGGCGCGCTTCCGATAAATTTGCTGTTCACACCACATACGAGATACTGTCCGGAGAAACAGGCAACAAGCGGGCCTCTGCGTTTGACTTTTTCCACATAAACAGTATCGACAAGGACGAGCGCGGGAACTACATCATCTCGGCGAGACACTTGCATGCCATCTTCTGCATCTCGCGCTCCACGGGGAACGTTCTCTGGGCCCTTGGTGGCAAGGACAATGAATTCAAAGACCTCTCAAACGGCGAGGCCACCGGTTTCTCCTGGCAGCACGACGCCAGGTGGCACATGGAAAGCAGTGCCATTACGCTGTTTGACAACGCCGCTCATGCGCATAGCGACCCCGAGCGTGAAAGCCGCGGCATGGCCGTCCATCTCGATATTCCAAGGCGAGAGGCGACGGTGCTGGCCACATACCATCATCCACACCAGCTGAAATCCGTTTCTCAGGGCAATGTGCAGCTCATAGATGACATCGATCGCGTTATAGTAGGCTGGGGACATGGCGCGGCATACAGCGAGTTCAGCTCCAACGGCGAGCTGCTCTGTAACGTGCATTTTGGGGCGTCGGCGTTCTTCGACTTTGGGCGCGTGGTGTCATATCGTGCGCTTAAGGGTAATTGGGTCGGAAACCCGCAGACTCGACCTGACGCAGTTGTAGTTGACGACGTGGTCTATGTGAGTTGGAACGGCGCGACAGAGGTTGCTGGTTGGCGTCTGGAAGGGTGGGACGGCGACCGCATCGAGGAAGTCAACAGGTCGAGGAGTTTCACGTCTATCGAGGACTTTGAGAAAACCGGTTTTGAGACGGCAATTGCTCTTCCCGTTGACCCGACTTACCCGATATATCGGTTAGCAGCATTGGATGCAGAGGGAAACATACTGGGTACAACAGACTTGCTCCAGGCGCCTTCCGACAGTGGCATCGCTAATGAACTGATCGTTCACGCTGCCCTTGTCATGGGAATATGCGGCCTGGTTGCCGCGTTTTACCAGGTAAAGGGACTCTGGAAATGTCGATTCTCATGCCTGAGGCACAGAGATGCATATGAGTTGGTGCCCCAGTGACTTCGGAGATGCAGTCCGGATCCCGCTTTCAGCCGCGGACAACTGTAATTCGAGTGACGGATTGGATGGTTGGGAGCGACCTCCTCGAGATGCGGACGCAAGAAGGATCAGGGGTGGTGCCTGTCTTATTTAGTCCCCCATTTCCGTTGACTGAATAGTACTGGTATGGGAGCCTAGAAGACCACGATTCCTTTATCAATGCCTTGCAGATATCTAGCCAAGCTATACCAGCTCAGTAGGGCGCCGGGGAATAGAAGAAAGACGCACAGGAAGGCATGCGTCTACCAACTGATGGAAGTCTGGCTTGGAGGTACACGCTTTCAGCCGGCGCGAGGGCTTTGACACTTCATGGACAGGCAATGCACACAACGTACAGTTTTACGTGTATGGTAATTCGGTTGTCGCCACCTTGGGCCAACTACTTGCAGGATGCTTTGATGACTCTATCGCTATCTTCTGATTGAATTGCAAAGTGGTATCGGATTCTAAGGATTGAACGCCCAACTGTGACGCAACCTCCGGACAGGCCTTAATACTCCAGCGTCTGCTTAATGGCGTCATATATCCCTATTGCACGTTAGTAGAGTATACTCAGCTATCACTGGAAAGTACTCACTAGCAACATCCGGTAGGATGAACTTCTCGTACATCAACCCGGTATGGGTACTCCAACCAGCGACCCGCTTGACTGGCGCTTCCAGCCGTAAGAATGCCCCATCCTGGATCGTTGCGGCCACTTCAGCGCCAACTCCGAAGTTTATCATGCTCTCGTGAACCACAATCGCCCGGCCGGTCTTCTTCACGCTATCAAGGACAGTTTGTCTATCCCATGGGTAGATTGTTCGCAGGTCGATCAGCTCAACGCTGGCACCTAGCGCCTTTTCTGCGGCAGCAATGGCTGCAGAGCAGAGGTATAGTGGCTGGCCATACGAGATAATCGTCACGTCGTTTCCGGGCTTGATGACCTCCGCTTTGTTCAGTGGGATTGTGTAGTACTCATTTGGAACGTGCTCCACAGCGGCCCTGTACAAGACTTTTGGTTCCATGAAGACAACGGGGTTATTACTTTCGAAGATGGCAGACAGGAGTAGGCCTTTAGCTTGCGAAGGAGAACGGGGCATGACGACCTGTAGACCAGGAATGTGAGCGAACAGCGCTTCGGGTGATTGCGAATGATACCTAGGCGAATCTATCAGTTAGTCCGATCCACCGCATGAAGTCGACAGCACGAAGCAGAATAGACTCACAAGGCACCATGCCCAACCGCGCCACAAGGCATTCGTATCACCAGTCCACCAGCATTTCCCCCAGTCGCACCCTCTCGATACCTAAACTTGGCAGCCTCATTGACAATCTGGTCAAAAGCTGGGAAGACATAGTCCGCAAACTGGATCTCCGCGACGGGCTTCATACCCTCAGCAGCAGCACCGATTGCAAAACCCACAATGCCTTGTTCTGTGAGTGGGGTGTTGAAGACCCTTTCCGATCCGAACTCGGTTTGCAGATCCATCGAGCACCGAAACACACCGCCGAAGGCGACATCTTCGCCGAAGAGCATGACCTTGTTTGATTTTGTAAGGGCGGTGCGGAGTGCAGCGTTGATGGCTGTGTATAGGTTCATGGATTTTGACGTGCTGGAACCGGGAAGATCATAAGCATTCGAGAGCGAGGACGAGTTGTGGTGGAGGAGCGGAGTGGATTTATAGTCGATTGGGAGGTTGAGGCGTGTTGAGGCGGAGGGAGCGGTTGAGTAGCTGCGGGTACATACCCGCGGTATGCGGCAAGGTCGTAGAAGAGAAGCCATTATGAGGTTGAAAGACGTGAAGAGGACGCAGTGTGTCTCTCCCCCTGGTTTTATTTCCCCAGCATCGGGGCGGCATGAGATCATGCGGGGGAGACCGCGGATAACCGAGATTTGCTGCCTTGCTTATCGGCTGTTCATGCCTGGTGTTTGAGGCCGCAATCTGCTTCTAGTCACGTGAGCAATATCGGCCTTCTGTCGGAACTTGTCCGAAAGCTTCGGCTTTCCTCCATCGCGATCATTCCAGTCACGAAACGCTGTTTATTGCAATTTGCTTCGAAATGATATCTCGGCTTGCGAGGTCGGGGAAAAGCGTCGTCAATACCCCGTGTCCACGAAGAAGAAAGCGGGGATACAACATGGGGTACTAGATTCGACCTGGACTTTGGAGACGCGACGGACGGAGTCAACACCCAGTGAGTTCGGCGATTCTCCACAGATCACCGCGAGGAATCGGTTGACAACTGAGGGATGCTCGGTCGGTCTGCCTTAAACAGTCACTGGTTCGTGGCTTATTTCCGAGCAACCCTGAGCGCATGAATGCCTCTTTTATCTCTCACTGGGTCGGGGTCGAGACCGACGTGAACAGGGAAAAGACATTTTCCCAGAAGTGGTGGAAAAATATCCTGCTGTGCCGATACCGCTAATCCTGTTTTCCAACTTAACCTGATGTTATCTCCAACGTCTTAAAATCCGTTGAGTCAGAAAGCTCAGAGTCAAGCTTGTCGTTTTCGACAATTCACCTTTTCTTGTCGAATCTCGCACGGCTAGTTATTTATCTCGAAACCACAACACTTGCCCTAGATGAATGATGGATCGACAAAGAGCCGCGGAGAAGGCTCTTCATGACCAAACAAATATTCTTCAGCACGGACAACTCCTTGTGGTTTTCGCTGGACTTGCAATCTCGATCCTCATCACCTTCGTCGATCAGAACGGCATTAGTGTAACACTTCCCACCATTGCCGAGGATCTCGACGCACAGAACACCATATCATGGGCAGGAACATCATCGTTGATCGCGAATACCATGTTTACGGTGCTGTATGGCCGCCTCTCTGACATCTTTGGCAGGAAGGGTATTTACATATCAGCACTGGCGCTCCTTTGCATCTCGGACATTCTTTGTGGCGTTTCACAGACCCCAGAGATGTTCTATGTCTTTCGGGGACTTGCCGGAGTTGCTGGCGGAGGTGTGAGCGCTTTAACCATGATTATCGTGTCCGATATTGTGACATTAGAACAGCGTGGAAAATATCAGGGCATTCTGAGCGCCTTTATGGGGTTGGGCAACATCATCGGGCCGTTCATTGGCGCTGCTTTTGTGATCAAGTCCACTTGGAGAGGGTTCTTCTGGCTACTTGCTCCGTTAGCTGCAATATGCGCCGTTCTTGGTTACTTTCTGATTCCCAACAATCACAAACGGGACAGCTTCGCCGAGAGCGCCAAGCGTATCGACTTTCTAGGGATTCTCACGTCATCGGCCGCGGTTATACTTTTGCTAATCCCAATTGCTGGTGGAGGATCGTACTTTGACTGGGACTCGCCAATGGTCATTAGCATGCTTGTTCTCGGAGGCGTGTCGTTGATCGTGTTTGTCCTGGTAGAATGGAGGGTAGCCATTCTGCCTATGCTTCCGAGTATACCTACACTGCCTAAGCAACGAATTGTGATTATGGACTAACACTCAACAGTTTTTCTCTTCAGGAATAAGGTCATCTGCGCTTTATTCATGCAGACATTCCTTTGGGGAGCTGTTTATCAGGCCTTCCTCTATTATCTCCCATTGTATTACCAGAATGCTCGCGGATGGAGTCCAATTGTCTCTGCGGCTTTGACCTGCCCCATGATGGCATGTCACTCGATAGTGTCGGTTGCTTCTGGACAATATATCTCCCGCATGAAGCGGTATGGTGAGCTGATATGGATCGGCTTTGGTCTCTGGACACTGTAAGCTCACTGCTCTACCTCCTCGACCTCGACCGCTAACAAACCTTGTTAGTGGCGCGGGCCTCATGATTAGATTCAGCGGCACGACTACCCCAGCTGTGATCTGCGTGACCGTCGGTATCGCCGGCATGGGAATTGGAAGCACCTTCCAGCCGACACAGATCGCATGCCAAGCACATTGCACCAAAGCCCAACGGGCCGTTGTGATATCCGATCGAAACTTCTTCCGGTGTCTTGGCGGTGCATGTGGTTTGGCCGTTTCTGCTGCACTTCTGCAAGCTGTGCTCCGCTCGAATCTCCCCGACGAATTCAAGAATCTGGCACATTCAACGTACTCATTGCCACCGAGAGACGGTCTTTCCGATGCGGAGTGGACGGCGATCCTCAGTGCATATGCGGCTGCCTCGCGGGCTGTGTTCATCCTGCAGGTTCCTTTGATTGGTTCATGTTTCTTGTTGTGTGTGTTTGTTCGAGATCGAGGACTGGAACGACCCAGAGATCCTGACGAAGAGCAAGCCTCGAGCGGCGTCCAGGGAGACAATCAGCCGTGTGCTGACCGGCCAGTCGAGGGGCAGGCGACAGGGGAAAAAAGGGAAAGCAGCAAGTAGTCGAATGAACTTGAAAACGCCTTGCAACCGATCAGTACCTCTCAGGACCGCTTGTCTTTCCATATGTATTTTGTTGGACGGCAAATCCCCATTTTCTCCTGCCTCGCCCGTTAACAGTTCGAACGAACCGATTCAATCACCGCTAAGTTCCTATGCATTTATGTGATATGGGGGCAGCTTCGATGGCCCCATTTTTCCACTATACAAACCACCAGTGGCTCGAGTTTCTCGAGTTTTCGTAGTTGGCAATTCTCGTTGGATTTATAGAACCAGGTTTGTCCTTCCCACTGGCCGCAACCGAACCTTGCATTCACATGGGGTTAGAAAAGCTGGCAGCAGGGACTGTTCTCTTCTAAAATCGACCGCGACAATTTCTCAATTACACGGTCATTCTTATGTCAAGATGGGCTATACGACAAATCCACTCTGCCAGGTTGCTGGTACCACATTCATCACAAGGCGGTTCGGGTATGACATAGCGTCTGGTCATCTGAGTGGCGTAGCTATTACGGAGCAGGCATCGGCCAAAGTCTCGCTTCCGTCTAAGCTCAGAACGAGATCCAATGGCTCTCTCTCTGGCCGATGTCAACCTCGCCAACCTTGACAAAGTCCAAGCGGAGCTCAACAACCAATATCAGGAGGTTCACACTGAGATTTTTGCCGTGGACGTCACGAAGATGGCAGACATTTATGCATCTCTGCAGTCCGCCGCTTCGAAGTTCGGACGAATTGACATCTCGATTCAAGGGGCTCGCATTACGGGCTTTCCCGCGGCAATGCACGGATTTTCGCTCGAGGATTGGCAACCTGTGATTGACATCAACTTAGCTGGTGTGATACTGTGTGATAAATGAATGGTTCGGCTGTCCTGTCTTCCGTGCCTATGCTTCCACTTGCTACGTTTTGGGTAGGCTACGCCTAGGATACGTAGGCCGTGGGATGATTGTCTACATTGCCTTTATCCTCGGCGTTTCGGTCCCCTGATCTGAGCATTGGAACTGTCGCTTACATTGTGGCTAAGCATGCTAAGTTTTTACCCTGATGTAAGGTCTCGCCCTGCATACTCACGAAGTCAACTACATGGCTGTGGTCGGACTCACAAACCTAGTATGTCGTCCTCTTGTCGAACTCCAACTTCTAACATTAATATGACGCCAAAACGGACGCCCCGCACGGGATCCGCATAAACACCATCTGCTGGATAAGGTGTCCGCCATATCAGACAGACTAAGCTGACCTCTCTCAGGATACGTCGACACGCCGATGACGCACCGGGGTCTCGCCACGCAATGGCTAAACGTGAAAATCGAAAAGGCGGCCTCGAAACGGCCGGATGAGGCCAAAGAACTTGCCAGTACGATTCCCCTTCCCACCTCTCGCATGGGAAGCTATATGTGTGCAAATACTTTGGTTGTTGATGGCGGGTATACTGCTTGAGCTAAATTCTTTCAGTGGTCCATGGGCTGTTGTATATCAGCTTGCTAATATATCACGAAATCTCGGTGCAAAGCTAATATAACTTTCGAAGATAAACCTTCCATGAGCTATTGATGAGTATAGTCAGAAGTCCGTCTCTTCAAATAAACGAATAATTCACTCTACCCTTCCCCGCTCCCTAACCTCCTCCGCAAGCGCAACCATCGGCGAGATCGCCTGCCCCTCAATCATCATAACTCGATCTCTCACCCCTATCGGCCGTCTATACCTTTGCCGAACTGCATACTCCGCCAATATCCTCTCCATCTTCTCGTTCTGCCACCACTTCGCCCACGCAAATGGCGTCCGCCCATGCCCATCCTTACAATCGATCCGCGCCCCCTTCGCCAAGAGCCCCTCAACAATCGCCTCCTTATTTACTGAGGCCGCAACAAGAAGCGGGGTGTGCCCGTGCCGATCGGGAACATCCCACTCGATATCCTCGCGTTTAAAGAAGAGCTCGACGACATCGGCATGCCGAGCGCGGATCGCAGCCATGAAGGGTCGCTCGCCTTTGAAGTCAGGAGAGTCGGCGAGGATGCCCTTTTGCGAGAGCAGAAATTCGGCGACAGACGTCCGGCCGTGTTTCGCAGCGCAATATAGCGGCGTTTGCCCGTGCAGATCCTTCTTGTTGATATCCACCCCGCCACGATGGATAAGATCGCGCACGATCTCGTCGTATCCATTAGCCGCCGCGCTCATCAATGGTGTCGCGCGATTGAACCCCTCCGCTAAATCTAGGTTAACTTTCCCCGTATCCATAAGCATTTTCATCACACCCAGCAATCGCCCCCGTACCGCGTGAGTGAAGGGCGTACACGGACTCGTGGAAACGGGATCCGGATGGGCGCCCATGGAAAGCAAGTACTCGACGACGGCCTCTGATCGATTAATGGCGGCGTAGTGCATGAGCGACATCTTGCGCTCCGGGTCCGCGAAGTTCGGATCCAAGCCGTGCTCCTCGATGAGGATTGATAGGATGGACCGGTGGTTCTTAGCGACGGCGCGATAAACGCACATGTGCGTGTTAAGGTTGAGTTCGGGCTCGATGGCGACTTCACCGCTGGATTCGAGGAGTAGTCGGAATATATCGGCGTGTCCGCCGTCCGCGGCGAGGCGGAGGGGCGTCGCGCTATACGGACCCGCTTGTGCTGGATTGATATTCTTCAGGGTTAAGAGGAAGCGCACGACCTCCGTGTGTCCATTTCTGCATGCGTGCATGAGTGCCGTCCGACCTTGCTTGTCTGCTACTGTCGCATCAACGCCCGGTTGCGTTAGCAGCCATTTCACGAGAGCGAGATGCCCTGCGGCGGCGGCAAGTATGAAGGGCGTTTCAGCGCGCTTCTGGGATGTTTGTGAGAGTTTGGCGCCATGTTCGAGAAACTTCTCTATCGTGCGCTTCTGGTTGTTTGCAGCCGCCCAGAAGAGGCCGCTACTGTGGTTCTGGTCGGCATTGGTTTGGTACAGGCGGTCATTGAAGAAGGAGTGAAATTTGCAGTTCGTTTGTATGAGTGCGTTGAGGTCTTTTTCCTCCGTGAGGTGCGCGGCTATCAAGAGGATGAGCTCCGTTGGGAGGGTTGATAGGGTCGTTGGAAGCGAGGAGGGCATTGTGTTTGCTGTCGGTGATTTGACCTCGACAGGATTGGAATCGTGGAAGATGAGGGTGGTAAATACGAGGTTCGAGGATTGGCGCCTACCCGAGATCGTACTAGGCAGTTGCATACTTCGACAATGATTACGACGCCACGAGAGCAACAGGCAGCAACTAGCGTCTTGCTAATCGACCCCGTATTCGAGGAGATGTCAAGACGGTCTAAGACGCAATCCTACCTAGCCAAGTATACAAAGGATGTTACATCGTCATGAGGTGACGAATAAGATGCCGTCTGATCATACAAGTGCTCACCACCCAGTATCCCTAGGATTGTACCCATCGCCCCAGAGCGGCGGACAAACAACGGTAGAAGAACTACTTGAGGATGATAATCGCGAAAGACAAGTTTCATTCATCGGTCATACGACAATAGCGGGATCGTCCCTCAACAAACGGCTCACCCAATCCACTGAGCAACCTCATCGCGCTCTCCTTGATCTTGCTCCTCCTCTTCATCATAATCATCCTCATCCCCACGCCGTCTATACCTCCTGCTTCGGTACGACCAGCCTCCATTCCGCTGCTTCAGCGCCAATCTCTTCGCCACCTCATTGGCATCGTACAAGCTCACCAGTTTCCTCTTCCCGCTCACGTCCTCCGCCGCCTTCTCTACGCAAAGGTTATGGATGTCCTCGGCCGTATACTTTGGCACGGACTTCTTCACATACTCCTGTGGAGACTTATCCACGAGAGCGCACGCGCTGCGGTTCGAGCCATAATATCCCCCGTAGCGATTCTCTTCTACCTGGGGTGATGCGGGTGGATTTGACGTGACTTTGGCGATCCATTTGTTCTCTGCCAGTTCGGCGGGCGTGGATCCAACGGCGTTCTCGCGGTGCAGGAGGTCGGGGCGGCGCTCAAGGAAGAGCTTCAGAGGTGTTCCGTGCAAAGCATTTACTGCGTTGTGTAGCGGAGTGTTTCCGGAGCCGTCGAGCAGCTCAAGGTGTCTCTGTTCGGAGGGGTTGGCAAGGTCGAGAATCGTTCGCAGGATGTCCACCGCCTGCTCCTCTGCGTCTTCAGTCATGTTGTACGCGCTCCATACGCTCGCCATCCAGAGTGCAAGTGGGGTGACAGAGCCTGGCTCAGAGGCGCAGCGCTCGACCAGCATGGATGAGATAAGCCGTGGGTCGATCAGGGCGAGCATATCTTTGTAGCAAGCTTGGTCGCGGTGCCTGGTGTAGTATTGGAGGAGAAGATGCAGAAGGTTCATGCCGCCCTCACAGCGGACGGTTTGGTTCGCGCCTGCCTTGATGAGGATTTTTGCGAATTCAAGCTTATTGGACCTGAATGCAGCACCAAGGGGCGTGTAGTCCGTCGCCGACTTCACCTCCAGGCAGTGTGGCATGTGTTGGAGCAGGTACTCCACCAAGTGCTTAGATTCTTCCGTGCACTTTGACAGCACCGCGCAGTGCAGAACAAGGTCGCCTACCCACAGTTATTATGCGACCCAACAGTCAAAGAAAAAAAAAAAAAAAAAAAAAAACTTACGTCGCGTATCCAACCAATCCAAGATAGACTGCTCCAATCCCTTGTCCGTGAGAGCAAGCTTTCTCAACCGTGCATCCTTCTTGTGAGCTTTCACAAACTCAAGATAATACCTGCCTGGGGCCGTACCCAGAAACCATTCCACGGAAGCCAGACTTCCCGCTTGTGCAGCAAGCAGGAGGGGAGGACTCAAATCTATCGCCCTGGTGACTGGCATACCGCCGCCCCTTGCAGCCCAGTCAGCTCGTTTCTTGCCATGTACAGACAACCCCTGGTAGTACTTGGGCTTCTCCTTTATCTCGACCCCGCTCTTCTCTGCGAGTTTATCGAGGGGTAGCCCAGCACCACTGCGTTTGATCATTTCCTCCAGGCATCGGAGGCGACCGAGACGGATGGCCATCCTGAAAGTGTAGTACGGAACCTGGTAGGCGGAGTGTTGAGACTGATCCGTGCTGTTGTCCAGTAGCTCCTGGCCAAGAGTGAGAATGAAAATCAGTAGTTGCACGTCGTCTTTCCAGATCGCATACTGAATCAGGTCGCCGATTGCCTCATCATCGGAGTGTTCGTTCTTATCCAGGAAGAGGCGGATGTTGCAAGATCCCAACAGCACATTCTGCGGCTGGATATGGCTTTCGACCTGCTTCTTGACTTCGCCGACATTTTCGATCGTGAATTCGGCGTCGATGACATGGCTCTCGAGTTGAATGTCCTCCGAATCAGCATCAGAATTATACGAATCATCGTCACTCTCTCGGTACTCTCTCATCCGGTAGCGAGTCTTCTTATGCTGATCGTCGTCTTTATACTGCGCAACCGATATGGTGAGTATAGCCTTGGCGGTGCTCAAATGGCCTCGAAGCACAGCAATCGAGAAAGGAGAGAAGTTGCGGTAGTCGGTAACTCCAACCTCAAGAGGCGTCCGGTCTTTGTTTGGGCCCCATGGCGATAGAGTGAGAGCCTTGATCGTCTCGATATCTGCTGACCACGCAGCCTCAAAACTAAAAGAACAAATCGTTAGCTACCTCCTCCATACACGTTCACGGAGGAACTTACAGTTGCATGTACCCTTCCTGCATCTCACCGGTGCACTTCTGCGCCTTGAAGTCGAAGTGTGTCTCATACGGCTCCTGCTTTTGCGAGTAGTCCCGGTAGCTGTTGCGAGAATTCTTCTGGAATTTGATGTCGGGATGCAATTCTGCGAAGCGCTTCGCGCCCTTGGATAGCAGCTCTGCCTCCAACTGCTCAAATTCGGCAAGCACCGCTTTGATGGCGGCTTTCTTCTCCTCAAGTCCATCACAGTTCTTGGATGCCTTGACAGCTTCGTCGAATTGCTTCTGTTCCTCAGTGAACCTATCTCTCGCTTGCTTGAGCATCACCTCCGCCGCCCACTTCTTGTAAGTGCCCTCTTCACACCCCTCCAGATATATAGAGTCATCCGATTCTATGGGCAGTGGCGGCTTCACAGTAATGCTCTCGCCTTGGTACTTTCGAAGTGCCTTGATCTTCCTCTGCACCGAGTCAAGGAGCGACGTTCCAGCTTCATTGTTTCGAGCATACGAATCTCTGACCACTCTGTAACCGGCCCCAGTCAGAGTGTTCGGATCCACGCCACGGCGGAGCAATTCCCGCGCAATGTCGGGGAGGTCTTTCCTCACGGCGAGAATTATTGGCTGGGTAGTATTTTGCTCGAAGCGGCTGGTGTGTTCCCCGATGGAACTATGTCTGTTTCTGGTGGCGTCCGCCGCTTCAACGGCTTTAAGGTATTCCTCCAGACTGATAGAAGGATGCGCGCCCAAGTCCAGTAGCTTGCGGGTCTTGGTAGCATCCTCGGCTGCAATTGCAGACACTAGTGGTGATTCCACTCTGTGGTCGTAGTAATAACCTTGCACAGCAAGGTGATTGATGGCCCTGTCTACTGCGGGCTGGTCGAGCTGTCGGTAGAGGTCCAGCAGCTCGGGGCTACCGGAATGGGCGAGGTAGTGCAAGGCGGTTTTGTGGTTGATGTCGGCCTGGGCTGGCGATGCTCCGACCTCTAGTAGCTTCTTGCTCATGGCCTTGGCGGCTTCCCCCGGAAGCTGAGATGCCAGCACTAGGGTAAGAATAGCGGCTCTTGGGGACTTGTCATAGCTGTTCAGGAGCTTGATAGGAAGGATGACATCGGCACCGAACGAACTAACCAGCTCCTCGACCACTCCCACATGGCCGTTGAGGATTGCAAGATGGAGAGGGGATGCCTTGGTATCCCAGGCGATGGCATTGATATCGAACACATCGGGGCCGAGATCAATTGCCTCATCAGGTACCGTGGACTGGTCGTCGGCTTCTTTTTTGACGTCGACAAAGGATCCAGTGACGTACGAAGTGGCATCCGCGTTTTCGTCATCAGACGGTCCGTCGAGTAGCTCCTCATCGCTCTCCTTGTCTGAGCCAGTCGGCTCGGTATCCTTCTTGCGAGTTTCCTCCTTGCGCGCCTCTTCTTCCTCATTCTCGTCGCTCTTGGTCAGGAGAATGCGGACAATCTCGATACTTCCCCGGGCAGCCGCCAAATGCAATGCAGTACGGCCATCTGCGACACGCCAAATCATGCGAGCTCCGTTGTCCACCAAATGCTGGACGATCTGAGGAGTCGACGTCATGCATGCCAAGTGCAGCGGCGTGCGTCCGGTGTGGTCGCGCCGGTTCACATCAACAACGCCTTCACTCACCAGGCGCTTCACCTCTTCGAGGTCGTTGTCAACAATCGCTTGACAGAGCCCAGCGGAGTTTCCGATGTAGGCCATTTCTGAGCACCGTAAGCAACGGGAAGTCAAATCAGTCATCATGAAACTCACCGGTCCAATCAGTGTCGGTAATAGGGTTAAAGCTGCCAATCTCTTGTCGGCCAGGATTGTCACTAATGAAGGTGATCTCTCCTGAGATGTATATCTTGCTTTCCTCCGCAGCTACCTCTTCCTCCTCGGGGGTCGCTGGCTTGGGGCAGTATCCACAGCAATCATGTATGACGTCCTGGACACTACCAAAAAAGGCAGGGTGACGGTGAAGGTTGACCTCACGGTCTTTCGGCTTGTTCCACTCGGCATTGAGGAGTAGGTCCTTGGTATAGAGGAGTTTCTCGATCTTGCGGGCGTGAAACTTAGGGCCATATGGAATGGTCTGCGCGTGTCAGTCAGGTTGCCGTTACAGTGTAAAGAACCTGTCAGGATGAGACTTACAAAGGTGTGGTAGTCAGACACTTCATCCTGATCGACCCATTCCGCGACCTCATCCTCCCAATTATCTTTGATGTTCCCGCGGAGCGATCTGTATCGGAAATGATTCTCAGCAGGAGGCCGCCCACGCTCCTTGCGTCGTTGCTCTAGATATTTGTCACGGTCATAGGACTTGGGAAGTTTCTCTAGAACAAGAAGACGCGCGAGACCGACGGTTCGTGTGAAGCTGCGCTCGAAGAGAGACTGCATGGTAACAGTGTTAGCATTGCCCGGCACAAGATAATATATGTGGCTGCTCACCGGATCAATCCGTGAACGATCCAAGTCCGACCAGAAAACTTCGAATCCTCGGTGTGAATACTTTGAAAGACGATTCTCGTAGGACGGCGAACGTCTAGAGAGATCTATCTGATTCACTTGGGTAATGTATGCTCCGACAGCACGAGGAGCCAGGTAGACCTGAGTCCCATCATATGCAGCACAGGAACAATCGACATCAAACCCAGTCAGGATCTCAGCAATCGACTTGTACCGGCGAAGAACGATTTGCACATGTCGAGTCGGATACTGCGAAACAATCGTGATGGCGTGTTTGGTGCGAATGGTGGATACTTCGGTGAGTATAGAGTCCCTGATGCACTTCTCAATCTGCTTGATCTTTTCGATGGCTTGTTCCTCTGTCAGACCATAAAGGAACAGGTCGACATCAGAAGCCGGGGCAAACTTCTCATGGTAGAACTGCCGCAGACCACGCTTGGAGCCGTTGTACTTCTCAGGCACAGGGAGAATAGAAGTAGCAACGGCACTTCCAGCGGCAATGACATTGTTCCAATCCAGGTCACTCAGGGAGCTTTCGGAGAAGATGTTGAAATGGGTCTGGAATTCCTTCAGGGTAGAAACAATGGCAGGTGCACCGGACGGTTTACGATACTCGTCCTTCAGAGGCATCAGGTACTTCGACTTGATGTCATCTGTCTCCGAGGCAAGGTCTCGAGCTCGGATTCTGACTTCTGTTGAGCCATTGGAGTCGAACAGAGGCACGAGGTTGAGATGGTTGTTGGTGACGGCCGGATGGTCGGGCTCTTGGGCATAGATCTTGCGTACCACCGCATCAAAGTCATTGTATGGCTTCACGAGATCGGGGATTGACTTCTCTGGGTGGGCTTTGACATGCTCCAGGAAGTCGGCATGCTTCACGGGCACGTCGGGCAAGTTGTGTTCAGGCATTGTAGGTGAGTAGAGAAAGAAGAGGATTCAATTTCTTGTAAGAATTGAGCTCAGAAGAAGAGCGAACAGATGAAGCTAATATAGCACCAGAATGTCCAGAGGCAAGCGCCAGGCACAAGGCGCCAAACGAGCAACAGGGGCAACAAACACGGCAAGTCCAGAGTGCAGGATCCAAACCGTCGGCTGGAGTGGGCCTGGGGCCTGCTCGGTGCCTGGAGCCAAGACTTGCTAGCCTCAGCTGCCCATTGGCCGCCCTTTCCTTCGGAGCTTTATCGATTCCGCTAGGCTACATTTCGACTAGCACCTCCAGAGGGTCCTGTGACCTTTGTTTGCTCAGTGTGGGCAAAAATCATCCCTCATCAACTGCGGATTAAAGCCGAAGCTACACTTATCAACGCTAAAATCTAATCTCAGTGCTGTTACCCCATCCTGTCGTGGACGTATGGTCGTTTGTCGTCGTGGTAAACCACCCTGCATGCGCCCGAGTATGGCCAGTATCCCACTGCCACCCGAATCCGTGCGCGCTATTCTGTACCCAACCCGTTGTCTGGCTGTTGTAGCTTCCGCTGACCCCAGGCCCTGTTAGAACCTCGTGAGTCGACTTGTATACGTTTACACGATTGCCACACCAGCCGGCTTCCAAATGACCTGACGTTGAGACATTCCACGCAGAACCATCATTGTAGATGGCCTGCCGGCGAGGGTGGCCGATGATGCAGCAGCCAAACAGGGTCGAGCCTACCGTGGAGACCGCGCCAAACGCCGCCCCCGCAGCTGCTGCAGTCGATCCAGAGCAAATTGGGCTTCCTTTTGGTTCCAATGTCAGCAGCTGTGGGAATAGGCAACGGTACGCGGCATACCCAGGCTATCGGCAATTCGCGCAAACGTGAACCCACCTAGCGCATCGAATGCGATGTTGAAAAAGGTGATTGGCACATTGAAGGCTGTTGTCTATGAGCATTGAATATCCCACTTGTCGCACAAACTCACCGCCATAATACCACGCAAATGACAGGCATAGCGGCATAGACGCCACGACAGCAGCGATCAGTAGCTCGCTCGGAGCTTCGCCAAATAAGTAAATATCCACAGCACGCCCCGAGCTACTCACCTTCGTCAAGTACTCGAAGCGACACCACCGCAGCCGCAAGTACATTTGTCCCAAAGGACATGAGCATAAGTAGCGGTAGCGCCAGGACAGCAGCCACATTGCCGTATAATCCAAATGACACCAATCCATGAACGGCCATTGAACCCGCTTTTGCAACACCGCCAATCACCGCGGAACGCAAGATCTGGCTGGTCAACGGCTGCCCAGTTACATGGGCACCGACTGCCGCTGCAGCAACAGCAGCTCCTGCTGTGATGCCTATATCAAAAGCAGTTGTCGCTGCCAAGATAATCACTAATACCTATGTCACCAGGGGGTTCTCACGTTATATGGCGGGGTATTTACGCTGCACAGGCAAACTGCGTCGCCTTCCGTCCTTCAGAGACTGGCCCTGAATCTGGCTGTACACACAGCGGTTGATGACTACATCGTTAGTCAAGCGCGTTCAAATCAACATGATATTGCGATGGCAAGTGCTGAACCTACTGGAACTCATTTTTCTCACTCAAAGGGCGGCGGGTGAGATGGTCAGGGGCGGATGTTCGTGTTGTCTTTATATAGCGAGTACCCGCAAACTCGAATCACATGGCTTGATACGAACTTGTCCTCTCTCGACCCATTTCCGCGAATCAAAATGCCGACAGATGTGTGCATGTGGCCGACTTGACTTCGAATACGAGCTTCCAAGCCGCACTATTGCAACCTTGACCTTCACTTGTTTTTCAGCCTCCAACCCGTCAGAGGTGAGATTCGATTCTCTAGAGATTTTCGTCTTGAAATCTAAACCAGCTAGTCTGGAACCACACACGGACATAACCGCTACCATCAAGCCAAAGCATATTCATCCATTTAGTGAGCAAGTCGGAAGTCCAGCCGCTTGTTCCCCTCGTCTGTGGTCGTAGCCAGATACTCGATTTGCTGCGTCTCAGACTTGGCATTCCACTTCTTCTCCCGTCTTTTGTTTGTCCAAATGTAATAGAGTTTGGTGAGGGTGTAAATTGCGACGTTCGTCGTCACCAAGGCTACCAGCACGCGGTTTCCACGACGGTATCGGGGGCTATCGTCCGCACGGTAAATGTTGGAAGCAATGATGCCTGACGATTGCACACACATGTTGTACACCGCGGCAGATACGGTACGAGAACGGACAGTGTTCGAATTGCGCGAGTTCCACCCGACTTGGATTGGGTGAGCTGAAGCCGGACTGTTAGCAACACCGCCTTGCAAAGTCCAGAGGAACGTTACCATTTGGATAACCCAAGAACAGCGTCATGACCACCCAGACAACCCATTTATTTACGGTATTTATGTCGACGACATAGAGATACACCAGGAAGGGCAAGGCCCAGATCTGCCCCACCATGGAGACGAACGTCAATTCATTAACAGTCTCGGCTGTATACGCCAGGAAAAGCATCGTGGTGATGTGCAGTATTTCCTTGGGGATGATGAGCAGGTTTGTTGTGAAGGTGCCAAAGCCCATTCCCCTTAGGGTAAGTGTGAGATACTGCTGCGGGGTGGTCATCGGAGTCTGGAAGGTGAGGCCGATGATGTAGATCGGCCACAGATCGTAGTCGCAGAGACTCTTCCAAAGAAGCTTCGGAGTTATTGGTTCACGGTTGTGCATTGTACCTTTACTCGGATCGTCTCGAATAACTCGGTTGACCATGATTATCTCTTCCCTGGTTTTCGTGAGCACGATGTGACGGGCATGGGAGAGTGACCAATTACCTCTCTGTGAACCAGCCCTTCTTGCCGCGAGCCCAGTTAGCAGTCTGACATGGCCCAGGTGGCATGAGGACAAAGGCAGATAGACCGATTAGCAAGGTGATAAGACCCTAATCATGAGTTAGTCAACCCAACTGAACTCCGAGTATAGAAAACACATACCTCCAAGAGGAACAACCACCGCCACCCTGACTGGCCCTCCACGCCACGAAGATGAAGGAATCCAAATGCGAGAAAACTAGCGAGAATGTCGGCCATACTCATCGCCGTCCAGAAGTATCCCAGTCGGATAGTCATCTCGGCATGCTTATAGAAGTACGAAAGGTACAGAATGATCTACGAGGTTAGTCCGGCAATTGTCAGTCAGAGAAGGAAAAGCTTACATCTGGGATGAACCCTCCTTGCAGGATTCCCAACAAGGCACGACAGGCGAGGAACGAGCTGCGCCCACTGAGCGCGTACTGAGCCATGGCAACACCAGACCACAGGGTAATCTGCGCAGGAATCCATCGATCGGGCCCCATCCACTTGCTGACCAGTTGAGAGGGCAACTCGGCGCAGAGGAAGGAGAGTTTGAAGACGGTGTTTCCAAGGTTGTAATCTACGAGACATCAGCCTGACAGTCTTGGAATATCTGTACAACACATACCATTCGTGGTCAAGCCCAATTCATCAAGGAGGTTATCTGTCAGCGCCTGGCTAAGATTTGCTCTGTCGAGCTCCAAAGCCATAAACATGATACAGGCGAAGACCATGATCCGCAGATCGATCTTGCGAATCAACTTGTTCTCCTCTCCCCACGTCCACCGGGCTGTAGGGTCAAACCGATGAATATTCTCCCAGTCATCGCGCGGCTGGTACTCCTTGGCTGTTTCCGGGTTGTCGTACACGGATGGCTGCGTCGCAATTGACTCCGGGTCGAGTTTGGCACCGCGTTGGAAGAAAAACTTGCGGTTTGACTTGACGGGCTCGCCCAGGTCAGAAGTATGGGCAACAATCGTCGTGGCCGACTCGGAGACCCCATCAAGCTCCGAGACCGTAGCGCGAGACTTCCAAGGCTGGTAAACAGTCGACATCTTGTTGACCGGGGCTTTCTGGAACACTCACTGCTCTGAAAGATGCATCCTGGTTGCGATTCGGCAATTATATACCAAGCGGTATCAGCCTTATTGCATCATTCGGCCAAGAATGGCTCAGTAGATAAGCCAAGTTGACCTGACTCGGGAGGACACCTTATCTACTGTTCAGAGGTATAGCGATGAGGGGATGGATGCACGGATGATGCCATCGCGCCGGCACGCAATCCAGCCATCCTTCGTCGAATACATTCCTTCCCCGCGCTTTTCGGCGATAAGCTGGCATTTCACAGTTATGCATGTTTCATTTCTGCCGACGGCTGGATGCAATGTTCCTATCGCCGAAAATCTAGACCGGGGGGTTCCGGGACCGCGATACACCGTTGCTTCGGCCGTTGAGGTGCCAATGAGGGCTTCCAGCGCAGAAATTACACCATGAAATTTGGTGATGCTGCGTTATATTGTCCTATCAGCGACTGGGTGTTTCGCACCATGGATTGCGGAATATTGCATAATGCGTGCGGGGAATGATGATCCTCCACAGGCCATCTATATAACAGTGTTGAATTGATGCTGAATACGAGCCCTACATGCATCAGGCTTATCCTTTACTATTGTTCTTCAATCCACAGACGAACCATCGCAATGGCGCCCTCCATCTCTGATACTCCGGTCGTTGTTCCTCAGGTATCTGAGAAGAACCACCGTGAACCTCTCCAACTCAGCGGCGCTCTCGAAGGATTCGACTCCTTCGACGTGACCCCCGTCATCGGCCGGGAATTCCCAGCTGCCAGTCTTGCAGAATGGCTTCGCGCGCCAAACTCTGACGAGCTCATTCGCGATCTGGCCATCACTAGTGCGCCCCTCTCCATCTTCCCTTCTGGCCAAGGACGCTAACAATTATAGTCTCCCAACGCGGCGTTGTCTTCTTCCGCAAGCAGGACGGCCTCACCGACGAGCTTCAGAAGGAACTCGTCGACCGTCTGGGCAAGCTCACCGGCAAGCCCAGCACATCTGGCCTACACATCCATCCGATCAGCAATTCCGCGCGTGAGCACAGCACCTCTGACGACGAAATCAGCGTCATTAGCTCCGCACAGCGCCAGAAGCTCTACCAGGGCAAGAGCACCTTCGGCCGCAGCGGGCGCCATGAGTGGCACAGCGATATCACCTTTGAGCCAGTTCCCAGCGACTATGCTCTTCTGCGACTGACCGAGTTGCCTAAAGTCGGTGGAGGTAAGCTTTCCCTTTGTCTTAAAGTATGATACGTGTAGTAACCATGAAAACCAGACACTCTCTGGGCCTCCGGCTACGAAGCATACGACAAGCTCTCAAAGCCATACCAAGCCTTCCTCGACACTCTAACCGCCACATACGCCCAACCCCGCTTCAACCAAGTCGCCGACCAAAACAACTTCTCCATCCACCCGGGCCCCCGTGGCGCGCCCGAAAACGTCGGCGAGGTCCTCGAAGCAATCCACCCCGTCGTCCGCACAAACCCCGTAACCGGGTGGAAGAGCATTTTCGCCGTCGGACACCACGTGCAAAAGGTCAACGACCTCTCCGAGGACGAGAGCAGACACCTGCTCAAGTGGTTTGTGAAACTCATTACGGAGAACCATGACCTGCAGGTGCGGTATCGGTGGCAGAACCCGAACGATGTGGCGATCTGGGATAATCGCAGCGTGTATCATGCGGCGACGTTTGATTATGCGCATCTGGGGCCGCGGACGGGACATCGGGCCGTTGGGCTGGGGGAGAGGCCGTACTTTGATCCCAAGAGTAAGAGTCGGAGGGAGGCGCTGGAGTTGGAGGAGGCTTAGTCTGGTCAGCTCGTAACGAATTATGAAGATCTTGTCCGTTCGCCTTTGAACTCAGTGGACAGTTTGAGCAATCAGAATTTGACTAGAAATACCCAACAAGCATTTTCGAGTCTTCAGTGTTTGTCAATAACTGGGCCTGGAGTAGATACAGCCCTCCATCAGCCTCATTACGGCAGTATTGAATCAACAAACTCCTCGACCTTCTCCACCAGACCAGCAGTCCAACCAAGATGAGGCGAATGCCCGCACGGTGCACGATAGACCGTAAACTCATTACCAGCCTGGATCTGTAGCGATATCATGTACTCCTGATACTCCTTTGGCAGACTCTTGTCCTTCTCCAAAACTAGGTACGCACATGGTAGAGCAGAATACGCATCATTCGTAAGCTTGGCCGTCATGATCGGTGATGCAGTCAGCGTCGCAGCCCAGGATACGGCCTGTTCTTGGGGTATATCATCAAAGAAGTGTCGGGGTGCGTCGACTGGTGTTCCGAGGCCGGCGAAGCCGTGTTTCTTGTACCAGTTAGCACTTGATCGTATAGATATTTAGCAAAGAGCTATACATACATGAAATCGCATAAACGACGGCGTAACCAGCGATCCATCCTTTGGCTGGAAAAAGCTGCTAACCGACTCGCCTACAGGGACAAGGAACGCGCCAATGTAGAAGATCCCAACTATGCCGCCGGATTTTCCCTCTGCCCGACGAGTTTTCGCCTGCAACTCCGGCACGGCAGCCTGTGTCGCGACCCACCCCCCAGAGGAGTGTGCAACCAACAAGATGAGCTTGCCAGCCTGGTTAACTAGTTTGTCAACGACTTCGATCACCTGGTCAGCGTCCTCGGTGTCGCTCGGATAGCCACCTGGAGGAGGTTCGCGGCCAAAGTCGGGATTGTTGATATCGCCCACGTTGAGTTTGCTGAGGTCGCAGGTTGGTCGATGTGGGCAATATGCGTCGATGCCAACAGCTTTTAGGGCTTCGATGAAGGGGCCGTAGGGCGCGGGCGAGTGGTAGGAACCGTGGGAGATGACGACGGCGAGATTCTGGTGAAGGGCCATACTTGTGTTGATGGGCGTCGTGAGTATATGGAGCATTTGGGCGTGTTTGAATGTGTTTATATAGCTCTTGCTGTCATCTTCTTTGTTTACTTCAGCCTTGGCATGGTGCTGGAGCTGAAACAACGCGAGGTGACCAATAGATATGGTGCATTGGTGATTGGGCCCCCACCTCGCAAGGAGACATCTCGTCATCTCAGCGCAGCCTCAAACTCCAGATTAACCTAAGCCTGATTTGGACTCCGATGGGAGTGATATCTTGAGCTCAGGTCTCCGCGGGTAGACGCATATATCCGCGGATTGGTCCGACTATGGCGCGACGACTAGGAGATGTGGCATCGACGATCCACAAGCTTTGAGCGGGGTTCGACTTCCGAATCTCTCCACGTATAGAGGTCGCGATACCCTCTGCTATATATCCAGGTGCATCCTCCACAAGATGCCTCTCACCGCACAAGAAGTCGCACTCGTCGAAACCGCTACTACCACAATCAACAGTATCCCCCTCTCTGAGGACTACAGCGTCGCCAGCACCGTCCTGTCCGCCGACGGCCGAGTCTTCTCTGGCGTCAACGTATACCACTTCACCGGCGGTCCCTGTGCCGAACTCGTGGTGCTCGGAATCGCAGCAGCAGCAGGAGCCACAAAGTTGACGCACATCGTCGCGGTCGGGAACGAGGGTCGTGGCATTTTGAGTCCCTGCGGTCGGTGCCGACAGGTTCTAATTGATCTCCAGCCGGAGATTCAGGTCATAATCGGACAAAGAGGTTCAGAAAGTGTGGTGCCCATCACAGAGCTGCTTCCTTCGTGGTACTCGACAGTGCAGTGAGACAGGTCCCGTGACCTGAGCACGTGATCGCTCTTCCGTCATCTTCGATTCTCCTCCAAACTTCGCCTTCGCACCTCATCCTCGCGCAATACAATGGAGATTTCTCGCCTGCTCATCGTCCTGGGAATCTATCTCGGTACCTTCCCTTACTTTTCCTATTTGCGCCGTCTCTAACAGCACTTAATCACAGCGTTCCGCTACTTCATCCGAGGCCGCAACTCCTCCGACCCCGCCGCTACAATGTCCCACGGAAAGGTTACCCAGGTTGACAAGTGAGTTTCGTCCAGATTGACATACACAACTGATCAAACTACTCACATATTCCTCATCCAGCCCCGTCATCTTCAAAGCCCTCGTCTCCTCCGGCCCCGTCGTCGTCGACTTCTTCGCTACCTGGTGCGGTCCCTGCAAGGCCGTCGCTCCTGTCGTCGGAAAGCTCAGCGAAACCTACCCCAACGTGCGATTCATCCAGGTTGATGTGGATAAGGCTCGCTCGATAGCGCAAGAACACGAGATCAGGGCTATGCCCACTTTTGTGCTCTACAAGGACGGCAAGCAGCTGGAGAAGCGGGTTGTTGGCGGGAACATGAAGGAATTGGAGGAGGGGATCAAGAATATCGCGGCTTGAGGGGATACCAAGGTTCAGACGGATCTCAAATTAGCAAACAGGCATCCAGCGCATTCCAGCGATACGCAAATCCGAGCATAGCAGACGACTTATATTGAGCGTTTACTGCTTACACGTTGTTTCTCAACCGTAGAACCAGCATGTTCCTAGCCACCAATCCACGGAAGGCTCACCGTCAATGAGTCTGCACCTCGGCTACAGTAACATGCTGCTCAGCGTTAGATTCGCACCACAGGCGTGGTCTTGGCTCCAAGGTCCCCAGGACTGTTTCATCCTTATCCCAAATACCCCATGCAATCGGTCCCCCAACTCTTTCGCGTCTGAACAAGCAGAAGACGGGCAGATTTGCTGTCACCCGTCCTCAAAATCAACGTAGGACAGCGTGGCATACCTCGTGTAATCATGAGGGGTCTCCCACTTCGCCACCCACAATATATATTCCCGAACTCCACCAACACTTACATGTACCTAACCATAGATCGGCATTGTTTTGCAGTCTATCGATGGTAGTTTTCTCCTTGAGGTGCATCGAAGGGCTTTATTATCCGTTGCCTATTATATAAACGCGAAAATATACCTAGTAAGAGCCACCGTCGTCTACTCTACGAGTACTTCTGTGGTACAGAGTACGGACAGCTACGGAGCCCAACAAAACGAAAAATAAGACCATAAAACCATTTAATATTCTTTGATATTCTGAGATATTCTGAGATATTCTGATAGACTTCACACCTGCTGTCCAATAAGCAATCGAAAATGAAAAAGCCGTACTTACTGATTGATCCAAATCCTAACCTCTCTCCCTCGAAACTCCCTCTAATCCAAATCTATCTCCATCTCCTCAACATCCGAATCCGACCCCGAGTCAGTCATCGCCGCATCCCCATCAAGATCCCACTCAGGCGCCGCATCCGGTATCTCAATATCAACATCAACAGCATTGATGTCAAGCCACTCCATCATCTCAGGGAGGGCATCGGCCAAATCCATATCAGTATCCATCTCCGTTCCCGCGCCGTCGCCGCCGTTCAACTGAACGTTCAGCCCCTGGACCGACGAGCCAATTTGCTGAAGCGCCTGGTCGAATTTGGCAATCCAGGCGCGCAGGACGTCGCGGTCGGAGGTGGATCGGTTGGAGGCGAGGTCCACTGGCTTTGATGATGTAGGGTTAGTATGAGTATTCTGCTGCGCCTGGTTCTGGGCTGATAACCACATGGGGATGTGGTTTGTCAAGTCGAGTGGGATCGGGGTTTGCGTGCCGCTTCCTGGGTGGCTGTAGATGTAATAGTTACTACAGTTGGTTATTTGCGACAGATTTTGGCTGTGCAGGGCACAGGAGGTGGTGAGTTGACCGTACATATTGGGTGCTCTTTTGTGTTAGATTAGACGGTGAGGGCGAGCTGTCGAGGTAGGTGTGGGATCCAGAGGTGATCGTGTATGAAGCGAGAAGGGATATGTTTCGAGGGACGTACTGAGGTTTATATAGATAGAATGTCCTTTGTCCTCGAAGTTGTTTCGTTGTATAAAGGGATGTTGGTGGTTTATTGTTTTGACTTATCCTGTGGACTCTTTGTAGGCTTATCGAGGTGACAATGGGGTTCATCTCTTGATATAAGAGCTTTCATTGAGATAAAGCCGTATTGACTCGTTCATGTTACAGACGCAACGGGCTTCTAATGATGAGGCTGAGTAGAAGACCCTGACCATGGAAACCATGAGTCTGCCCTTTGTATTGCGTATAGCGGAGCCATGGACAGAGACTTTTATGATATAAAGCTTCTCGGGGAACAATGTGTTTCAAGGAAAAACAAGGATAGGGCCCATGTACTTAGTGTATGTCTCTTTATCGGATTGCCCGCTTACCGTAGGTATAGAGCCATTCAAGCCTCTTGTATAAATCAGGTTGCAGGACAACTAAGAAGTCGGTGCCTTATACAACCAAGGTGACTAGCAGACAGGCCAGACACGGATTAATAGTCAGTTGGTGCAAGCGCGCGCTTTATAAGAATTAAGTTACTGGAAATCTACATGTGGTACGAAGCAGGTAAGTTCAATCCCGTAAATTACTATTCTGTTTCATTATATAGAAACTAAAAACTCGAAAGCAACAACAATTAATGATAAATGAAGCTGATCTTACAGAGAAGCTAGTGTTTCTTCTTCCTCACCTGGACGTTGGTCCTTTGCCATGGGTCGGGGTTGAGAGTCCGTCTCGTAGGCTCTTTGGGTTCAGCATGAGGATGAGTCTCTGCCCACCACTTCAAGCGGTGCAAAGAGGGATGACCAGCATTAGGATGCTGCATTGCTTTCTTGTCAACCCATTTGGGGAGAATCTGGCTCACCATCATCGTTTCGATTTCTCCGCCAGGACTAATCGTAAAGGGGATATCAGCTAGGATAGAGACCTGACGTACCTTGCTATGAACCTTGGAATACTCTGCTTGCAACCCCGCATCGATAGCATCCTCGAATGAAGGCAATGTGAAGTAGCCCTTATTGGGCTTGAAAGCTTTGGCGAATTTAGCGCCTGGGGTTGTCAAGTCAAGCCATGATCCTGGCCCATCAGTGCCGTTTGGTAATCTCTTGACGGCACCATAAACAGGCATATCTTCACAGTTGAACATCTTGGCCACTCGCCCGTGGAAGTACTCGACCAGCTCGCGAGCTTTGTATGGTGTGCCCAAGAACTCGAATGTAAGGATGACAGGGTAACTGCCTTTTGGACAGACCAGGTAACCTGACTTTACGTCGCGTGAAACCTCTCCATATTGGAGTCTGCACTCATCGCACAGACTAGACAGACTAGAGCATTTGTCAGGGGTTGGTTGGGTCCGCTGAGGGGGCGCACAAGACGGGTCCGGAGAAGGTTCGGTGAGTGTGTATGGTACAAGCTGGTTTGAAGACATGTTGACGGTGTTTTGATTGTTTTCAGCTGCACTGGTTGAGGAGAATGAAAATTGATCAGTAGTCGACAATAGTCAATGTTTGGTGAAGCTGTTGTTGATGTTCCAGTCAGACAGGGATCTAAACACCTCTATATAGACATTGTAACAAAGAAGAAGCCATTTCAATGAGAATCAAAGAGATCTTTGCAAGTATAATGGCCCTTTTCCTCAGTTTCAGGATGGCATTGATTCTTGGGCGCGTCATTGTTGCGTTTGATGTAGTCGTCCTTGTTCACATTGTACTGTAAGGATGCCTTACTAACGTGAGACCAGTTGCAAGCAGGTTTGCCGCACATTCTTTGTAGCCCTATACCATGGATATTGTCTTCTTTGAAGTTCATTGTATACTTCGTGTTGGCCCGGCTAGAAGCGGAAGGGCGGGCTCAATCTCGGATCGTATTGTTTGCTCCGAAGCCTCTTCACTCATCTTCAAGGCTCTTCAGCAGTCCAAAGATTCGCTGCATTGACTGCCCTCGTCTGGAGCCGTCACCTCGAGCCACTTTCCCGACAAAAGGTAATCTTCGTCAATATGGCACGGCATAGACATGTATCCAGTCGGAGACCTGGGAAAGGAAGCATGGTAGACTGTAGAGCCGGTACAGACAATTGGGACGGCCAGGGCACGGTCGTCAATATAGATCAGTCAGCTGCCTATTGATAATTGTAAGTTAAAGACTCCAAAGGCTCAAAATCGTTGTGAAGCCAATACTTCGTACCAAACCTTCTCAAATCTTTGTGTGGGATGCGGAGTAAACACAGCACCAGCCACGTCGAAGCCACAGTTGTAAAATGACGCCATCTCCACGGAGCATTATTGGTCCGCACCCGGCCGATTCGCGGTCGTGAAAGACGACTCTTTCACCGGGCGATTGGAAATCAAGTTCGTCCGCGGAGCTCTGAAATACGGGGTCGCCAGCCTGGAGGACTGTTGATTGTCAACTTTGACGCTCTCTGTTCTCTCGCCTGTCCTTCAACATGAGCCTGCTGCAAGGGGCAGCTCGATCTCTTCCCCGGTCACTGAGGGCCGCGGGTAGACAGCAGTACCGAATTCTCCGATTCCCGCCCATTTCGAGATCGCTTTCCTCGACACCGTCGTCTCCGAACTCCTCAAATCCCGCCCTCTCCTTCCCTTGCCTCGATGCACAAGACGCTAAATCCGCCCGTCTTTCTGCCAGATCGCTTCAATCTGGCCCCGAACCCTCTTATACCACCGGCCACCATGAGCGATTCCACAGCGACGAGCCACTGCTACTCGACTGGGGCGGCGTTCTTCCACAATTCGACGTCGCATACGAAACATGGGGTGAATTGAACGCGGACCGGACTAATGCGATTCTACTGCAAACAGGACTGTCAGCGTCGAGTCATGCACATAGTACAAAGGCCAACCCGAAGCCAGGGTGGTGGGAGAAATTCATTGGGCCTGGAAAGCCTTTGGATACAGATAAATACTTTGTGATCTGCACAAATGTTATCGGAGGATGCTATGGGAGCACGGGTCCATCGTCTATTGACCTCGATGGGAAACACTTCGCCACTCGTTTCCCGATCTTGACAATCGAAGACATGGTGCGCGCTCAGTTCCGCCTGTTGGATCATCTCAAGATCTCGAAACTGTCAGCTGCTGTCGGCTCGAGTATGGGTGGCATGCAAAGTTTGGCAGCCGGAGTTCTCTTCCCGGAGCGAGTTGGCAAGATTGTTTCAATCAGTGGATGTGCTCGCAGCCACCCTTATAGCATTGCCATGCGGCATACCCAGCGACAGGTTCTCATGATGGACCCCAACTGGGCACGGGGATACTACTACGACTCTATCCCGCCTCACTCCGGCATGAAGCTCGCTCGAGAGATTGCGACCGTGACATATCGCAGTGGCCCTGAATGGGAGAAGCGGTTTGGACGGAAGCGTGCGGACCCGAGCAAGCAGCCTGCTCTGTGCCCTGACTTTTTGATCGAGACATACCTTGACCACGCCGGCGAGAAGTTCTGCCTAGAGTACGACCCAAATAGTCTTTTATACATCTCCAAGGCAATGGACCTGTTCGACCTCGGCCTCTCCCACCAACTGGCTATGAAGGAACAACGGGCAAAGTACCAGGCCAAGATAACCAGCGGCGGCGGTGGGCAGGAAGCCAACAATACCTCGTGCAGCCTCACCCTTCCAGACCAACCCTACCAAGAGCAGCCGTCGGCAGAAACCCCCGCAACACCACATTCGGAGACGGATACAGCGATAGAACTCGAATCGCCTCCGAAAGATCTGGTTGCTGGTCTTGCACCTCTGAAAGACCACCAAGTATTGGTCATCGGTGTTGCGAGTGACATTCTCTTCCCTGCATGGCAGCAACGCGAGATTGCACAGACTTTGGTGCAGGCAGGAAACAAAAAGGTCGAACATATAGAGCTCGGAGAGGACTTGTCCCTCTTCGGGCACGACACGTTCTTGCTTGATCTTAAGAACATTGGTGGTGCGGTGCAAAAATTCCTTAATTAGCATGTATATCTAGAGCGAACTGAATTTAACCCATCTCAACACGTACTGAGCCTGACTGTGATTCAGAAACCTGTATGTTTCGTCATGTGCCAGACAGTCGGACAGTCGCCGATCGGACCAATAGCCGATGCGGGGAGTGTCGGTCTTTGGCGGCAATTGAAACATCCTCTCCTGGACTGATATATAACTTGTGCCCCTCCTCAACCCCTCCATCCAAGCAACTCACAAAAACACAACAGAAACAATGCCAGACTCGTCCGTTCCCTCACTCTTCTCTCTCGCCGGCAAGACTGCCCTCGTCACGGGCGGGACCCGCGGCATTGGCGCCGCAATGGCGATTGCACTCGCTGAAGCGGGGGCCGACATCATTCTCGTCCAGGTACGCTCGCTACGCCTCCAATTAAAGGAATAAGATGCTGACATCGAACTTTCAGCGCGACAACTCAAACACCACAACCGCAGACTACATCACAACAAACCTAAGCCGTAAAGCGACCATCCACGTCGCCGAACTCTCCGACCGCGCCAGCGTTAAAGCCATCATCCCCACACTCACCTCCCAAGGCCACCACCCGACAATCCTCCTCAACTGCGCAGGCATCCAACGCCGACACCCCTCGGAGAAATTCCCTGACGAGGACTGGGACGAAGTCATCAACGTCAACCTCACCTCGGTCTTCACTCTCTGCCGCGAATTCGGCGCCTACCTCCTCTCCCTCGACGCCGACCGTTTCACGCCCGGGCAAAAGAAGGGGAGCATCATCAATGTTGCCTCGCTGCTGTCGTACCAGGGTGGGATTACGGTGCCCGCCTATGCGGCGAGCAAGGGCGGGATCGCGCAGTTGACCAAGGCATTAAGTAATGAGTGGGTGTCTAAGGGAATCAATGTCAATGCGATTGCGCCGGGGTATATTGACACGGATATGAATGTGGCTTTGATCAACGATAGCAATCGCAATGCGGGGATCATGGCGCGAATTCCGGCGGGGAGGTGGGGGAAACCCGAGGATTTCAAGGGCCCCGTGGTGTTTCTGGCGAGCGAGGCCAGCTCGTATGTGAGTGGGGAGTTGGTTACTGTTGATGGGGGCTGGATGGGACGGTGATGCCTGGTGATACGTTGTACTATGAATATTGTTAGCACTATAGAAACAATCGGATATTCTCCAGAATCTCAAAATATTCAGTTCGAGGTGTCGTATCTTGGGTGCGTGGAATGTTGTGGATGGCAATTCGGTATGTTAATCGGCCGAGACGACACGACCGAAACAGTCGGGTGGCCGGATAATTCGTGACTTCCCCGCTGATACCGCCTGTTGCGTAAATTGCCTTCAGTTTTCCCCGGACAACTTTGACTAAGGTCCTTCGCTGCGCCTCCGATTCGCTGTGCTTTATCCCGAGGTCCCTGAACGCAGCTTTTATAACTTGCCAGCCAGTCGTTTTTAATCGTTTTCGCTCGCTTCCTCTCTGCTTCTCCTCATCTCCCATCAGACATCTCTCGAAAATGGCAAACGGCAAATTAACCGGCGCGGATGTCGCCTCACACAACTCCAAGGACTCTTGCTGGGTCATCGTTCATGGAAAGGCCTATGATGTGACTGAATTCCTGCCAGGTATTTTGTCGTCGGGCTCCATCGCATCAATGCATCGAATACTGACGGTTTAGAACACCCTGGTGGACAGAAGATCATTCTGAAGTACGCCGGCAAAGATGCGACCGAGGAATTCGACCCCATCCACCCTCCAGACACACTCGACAAGTACCTCGATGCGTCAAAACACCTAGGCGAAGTCGACATGGCAACCGTCGAGCAAGAGGAAAAGGCACACGATCCCGAAGAAAGCGCCCGACAGGAACGAATTGATCGCATGCCTCCTCTGGCTGCGTGCTACAACCTGCTGGACTTTGAGACAGTCGCGCGAAGCGTAATGAAGAAGACCGCCTGGGCTTATTATTCCAGTGGTGCCGATGATGAGATTGTACGTGCTTCTGCCCCAGAGAATTGTTGTTGATTGCTAATAATCTTTTCACCAACAGACTATGCGTGAAAACCACTCTGCCTTCCACAAGATCTGGTTCCGACCGCGGGTTTTGGTCGACGTTGAGAAAGTCGATTTCTCTACGACAATGCTCGGTTCCAAGTGCTCAATTCCCTTTTACGTGACTGCGACAGCTCTTGGAAAGCTGGGACATCACGAAGGTGAAGTTGTGCTGACACGCGCCGCACACGACCATGATGTCATTCAGATGATCCCCACCCTGGCCTCGTGCTCGTTCGATGAGATTGTCGATGCGCGCAAGGGTGACCAGGTGCAATGGCTGCAGCTGTATGTCAACAAGGACCGCGCAATCACCAAGCGTATTATTGAGCACGCCGAGGCGCGTGGCTGCAAGGGTCTCTTCATTACCGTCGACGCTCCTCAGCTCGGCCGCCGTGAGAAGGACATGCGATCAAAGTTCTCTGACGTTGGCTCCAGCGTGCAGTCGCAGGGAGGCGCCTCGGTCGATCGCTCCCAGGGTGCTGCGCGAGCCATCTCCTCGTTCATCGACCCTTCGCTCTCATGGAAGGACATTCCCTGGTTCCAGTCTGTCACCAAGATGCCCATTGTCCTCAAAGGAGTTCAGTGCGTCGAGGACGTCCTCCGCGCCGCCGAAGCCGGCGTGCAGGGTGTTGTTCTCTCCAACCACGGTGGTCGTCAGCTCGACACTGCGCCATCAGGCATCGAAGTCCTGGCGCAGGTCATGCCCATCCTGCGTGAGCGCAGCTGGGAGAACAAGCTCGAAATCTTCATCGATGGTGGTGTCCGTCGCGCCACCGATATTCTGAAGGCGCTGTGCCTGGGTGCCAAGGGTGTGGGTATCGGCCGGCCCTTCTTGTACGCCATGTCCGCGTACGGCCAAGCTGGTGTGGACCGGGCGATGCAGCTTCTGAAGGACGAACTTGAGATGAACATGCGGCTAATTGGCGCCACCAAGGTGGAGGACCTGAGCCCAAGCCTGGTTGACGTGCGCGGCCTCGTAGGCGGCCACAGTGCCCCGGTCCCAGCGGATACCCTGAGTCTGGGCGCCTACGACCCTCTCGCAGCTCCTCGCTTTAGCGAGAAGGCTAAGCTATAGTTCGACGAAGGTGTTACCTCGATGCACCGTCGCCGATCACAATTTTACGGCTAGATTTTGTACATAATACCCCAGCTAGATTAAACGCAGATATGTTTGTATTTCGTTTTCGACCGTTTGGAGCAATTTGTCACATCGCCACGCGTATCTTGGAAGTAAAACGGACATTTGGCAGATTTTTCACGGCCACCAGAGCTGCACTTCGAGAGGTTCAAGGTAAGTCGCTTGTACCGTTCACTTGCCTCGTTCGGCTCACTGACTCGCTGGACAGTTCGAGAAGCAAGTCGGCGCCCTGAGTCTTTCAACGGCCGTCTTATTATTTAATCAAATGTACCGTGGATTTTGATTGACAATTATTGAAAATTATGGTGGAAAGCATTGCCATTGGCTGAAAAGTGGTACTCGCCTTTGATCCTAAACTTACCGAACCAAGGTTCACACATCAATTTTTGTCCTCTTACAGACCCGCCGAGAGGGCGTCGTTTCATCTTTTCTTTACGGTGCTTGCTTTGTGCGAAGGCTTGATTGACGCTGACGTGCGAGATGCCAGGGATATCAAGTGCTCGACACTTCCAATAATAGGCGGTGTCTTTATCAGACGTCGAAGAGCACTGCTCTGTCTCTTTCATACCAACATTATTGCAAGTGAAGTAGGATGGGAAACTTTGCCAACGCAGCAAGACCCACTGGACTGGCTTCTCGAACGTGTGGACGCGCAAATCCATCCCTCGCTTGGTGGGAGAGATGCCCCCAAATTGGACCGGAAGTTGGGAGTTCTCAGTCCACAATTTGAGCACTTGGCTCGGTTGTGAGACCGCACATTCTGCAGTGGATCTGTCAGTGCTCTGTCGAGTCCCTGCTTCTCGATGATGTGGCAATACATAGAATTCTGAACTGATCCAGCACACCGCACAACACGGTGGCATCCATCAACCAGCTGTCCACGATGGATATCCCCCATCAGGCCCAAACTCGGCTGTCTGTCCCACATGGCGCTGCCGGCTGACGCCAGCATTGCATTGAAGAGGCGCAAATCGAGTGAGCCAGGGGTCTAGATTCAGGTACAGCATCCACTGCTGCGAATCACAGTCGTTGGAAAGATTCTGGTGGATCTGCGCTTCAGATTCGCCCAGCCAATGGCACTGCTTTTGCATGTTCCACCACGGCTGTTGTTTGTCTGTAGTCTCCTTTCACGATGGACTTTCCCCATCAGTTCCCTGTCAAGCCAGGCCACGGCACTTACGCATGCCTTGCCCAGAATCTGCATTGTAACCCAAGGACGGTCTCGATCGTCGCCGTGGTCGAGGCCCTTGTGGATTATGGATGCCATGACTGCAGCGCGAAGCGACGATGGCAACCCCCAGCTACTTATACCGGGGGTACCCCTCGGTCTGATCTCGATCTCTTCTTCTTTCGTGCAACCCATCTCTCCTTGACACTCTTTTCTACTTGGTTGTTATCCAACGACCTGACATTCCTTTTTCAAACTTTTTTGACTTCACTATCAGTTACCTAGAGTAACTCTTCAGACTCTTCAGTCACCTCTTCATTACACTACCATACCTACTGCTCTACGCAACGCCACACTCCTTTACACATACAAAATGTACTTCACCAAGTCCCTCCTGCTGCTGGCAGCCTTGACCTCTACCACCCTCGCTCGCGTAGAAGGCCACGAGAGACGCCAGGCCACCTCGACTACTTCCTCCCCCTCCACCTCATCCTCCTCCTCAGGAACCTTTTCCACATCCGGCTTCGGCCAAAAGACCGTCAGTTCCGGCAGCGGCATAACCTACAAAGGCAACGTCGGCAACCCCTGGGGCAGCAACATCATCGAGGTCTCGGAATCCGACGCCGAATCCTACAAATACGTCGCCAAGATCAGCGGCCAAAACACCGAGCCGTGGATCGTCACCTTCTTCAACAAGTACGGCCCCTCGGGCAACATGGACGGCTGGTTCGGGAATTCCGCGCTGACACTCACCCTCAACGCCGGCGAAACCAAGTATGTCGCCTTTGACGAGGACACCAACGGCGGCTGGGCTGCTGCCCAGGGCACGAATATCCCGCTGGACGGCAGCGGCGGGTATGCGTCTACCTGGGGCGAGTTCGACGTTGGGAGTACCGGCAATAACGGCTGGTCGGGCTTTGATGTCTCTGCGATTGTGCCGCAGAATGCGGGGCTTACCGTCCAGGGCATGAAGATCTGTGAGGAGACCAGTGGGGTCTGCTCGAGTATCACGCCTGATGCCGCGGTCGTTGATAATGCGTATACCAAGGCGGAGACGGATGTTGGGGGCATTGGAGGGAATATCTCCGAGGATCGCAGGATTGTTCTCGATGTTACGATTGATTATCAGGGTTGAATCCTGATTAGAAAGTGAAAAGTTCTGTTGATCAAAACTTGAAAACTTGACGCGTTATGATTTTATAGACTATATGAAAGATATGTTGTTTGGTTTCATGTTGTTGCGAGTTACGTCGGTGGGCATACTACCCTTCGAGATGATTTCGTCTCAAGTTAGTTTGTATAGAAAACAAAACAAAATCCTTACAATACCTTCAAGTGTCTTCCATCTCTGCTAAAACTGTAGGCCAATATCCGCACAATTCATGGACACAACGATACGTAAAATGTTGGCCAAATAGCGTGATAGCCCCTAGGGATACATACAGGATAACATAACATTCAATAGATATCTAAGCTATATCTATCGACTCTCTTGAACCGCAATCACAACTTCGCCTTCCCATCAACCTTGACCAACGCCCCATCCTCCCGAACCCCATAATGCTCCCCCTCACGCCATCCCAACCAGCTCTGCAGCGTCTCCTTCCCGCCAGTCCCCGGCGTAAGAATGCCCCCCGTCCACCCGCCATCCTCCGCCTTGATCGGCTTCGCCGGCGTCTCCGACAAATGCACAATAGGCCTCTGCTCGTATCCACTGTCCTGCAACTCACCCTGCTCAAGCACAGGGGTCGCACACGCATCCGTCCCATCAAAGACCGCCTCCCACTCGGCCCTCGTCTTCTCCTTGAACCGCCTCGTAAACGCCTCGCGGAGCGCAGGCCAGTTGTCGCGGTCGTCGCGGTCGGGGAGCTCGCCCTTCGCGAAACCCAGCCCCTTGATCAGCGCAGCGTAGAACTGCGGCTCGAGCGCGCCGACGGAGAAATACTTGCCCGCATCCTTGGTCTCGTAGGTATCGTAGAACGGACTCCCGCCGTCGAGCATGTTCGTCCCGCGCGGCCCCCTCCATAGCGGCGTCTGTAGGTTGAGTCGGGGCATGGAGGCGAGGAACGCCGAGCCGTCGACCATGTTGGCTTCGACGACTTGCCCGCGGCCCGTGGTTGTCCGCGCGAGGAGCGCGAGCAGGATCCCCAGGAAACAGACCGCGCCGCCGCCCGCAAAGTCGCCGAGGATGTTCCCCGGCGCGTGTGGTCGTTCGCCTGCACGGCCCAGCATGGAGAGGACGCCCGAAACTGCGATGTAGTTTATATCATGGCCGGCCATGTCCTTGTACTTTCCGTCGCGGCGGAAGCCCGTCATGCGGGCGACGATGAGGCGCGGGTTGTGTTTCTGGAGGACGGAGACGGGGTCGAGCCCGAGGCGTTCGAGGACGCCGGGGCGGAAGGGGTCGATGAGGATGTCGGCGCTGGCGAGGAGGTCGAGGAGGAGGGCGTGTGAGGCCTTGTCGCGGAGGTCGATGTTGATGGAAGTTTTGCCGCGGGTGAGCTGGTCAGAGCTGAAGGATTTGGGGCGGTCGATGCGCAGGACGGAGGCGCCGTAGTCTGCTAGGAGGAGTCCGGCGAAGGGGCCTGTTCATGTTCGTTCTTAGAGATGGTCAGATTGTTGTCGTGTGCGGGGAGACAAACCGGGAGCTAGACCGGCCAGCTCGACGACGCGGACGCCCGTTAAGGGCAGTTGGGCGGGCATTTGCGCGTGGATGAGGGCTCTGTGATATCAATCAATGTCTCGAGAGTCAGTTCACAAACTCAAAACATGCGTGTAGACCCTGAACTGGGGTATAAATGGGGCGTTGTTGTTCTCCGCAGCCGAGGTCCGGCTACGAGCGGGGGAACCCGAGCTTCAGGATGCAGGCCGTCGGCCGTCTGCCAGGTGGTGGCTTTGGCGTGGGTTATCACGTGGCATTCGAATCTGGGAGCCTTTGATGCAGTTGTAGACTTTGTTTATTCATCAAGATGATGTTGTTGCTGATTGAGCAGATTGTTGACGAGGAAAAAAGCCGGGCAGCCGGGGACCACTAAAAGGAGAGGGGGCGTAGACACCTGAGGCATCAACTCGTCACCAACTTCGAGGGTACGATGGAAGCTTTTTTTTTTTTTTTTTTTTTTTTTTTGGAACCAGATGCCAAAGGGAGTGCGTATCACTGATACTTCTACAGTGGCAAATGAATAGTACATGTCAAATAATTGAGCTCATACAATAAAGACAAAATTGTATGTAGTAGTTATAAGCCGTGAACCGGTGACTATTATGAGGGTAAAGCTCTTCTCGCAAGGGTATGTATGGAGGAGACGCATTGGCCTTTCCTTATGGATTGCCTCAGAGCGCTTATAAGTGTGCCAGGTTTGCTCTAGGTGGTGTGCTAGGAGAAGCAAACATTGAACATAAAACCCTATGAATTCCTAGTGGCTATGATGTCCAGGTTAATCTACAGCGTGATTGCCCTAAAGCTGTCCCCGAAGTATTTGTGCGTGACAGCATATGTATAATTTTCAAAATTCGGTCCAGAATTTCAATCACAGTCTATCCAGGCTCTCACAGAGAAAGGTAAAATCTGATCCCATAGTATAATATGTCTATATTCTACTATAGTCATGGATGAACCTGAACCCACACCTTGTACAAAATAAAGCCATAAGGGATTTAAGCATCTCGATGCTGGATAGATAGGTTGGGATTGAAGCAGGCTATTATGAGTGCGTTTTTACCGGCCTAGCGGGTTTGTTCTTCGGAGTTTCTAAGGATCTTTTGACGATACAAATTGAGAATCGGGGCGGCTACATGGCTCTTTATATACCTTGTAGGTAGGGCCTCTGGGACAATGTCAACTTTAAAAGAGGCACCGACATGCTAGCCCTTACGTCGAAGAATATAGCCACCAGTGGGAGTATAGAAGACTTGATAGCTTATGATCATGGGAAGTGCAAATACCAGAACGACACAACAGGCAGCCAAGTAGGCTGTACCTTCCCTCCCAGTTCAACTCTATATACGTACTGTGCAAGCCTCATCCCTGAGTACATGGTATCGTCCCGATAATGAGAGACCAGCCAGTTTGGAGTTCTCCAGCCCTAGTTTACCCATGCTATATGCCCCGTTCCAACTCACCCACTTACTCCTCAACGATATCAACCTTATCCTTGTCTGTCAAATGTCAGCTGTCAGCCGGCATACACCAAAGATAGTAGAAGAGCATTTATAGCTCACAGAACGCAATATAATCCTTGATGTTCTTGGCTGCATCGTACGGCTCCTTGTAGTACCACGCGGCATTCTCGAGTGTTTTGCCTGCTCCACTATCAGTCCGCACTCTTGATACGTGGCTGATCAATTGCCCAGCAGGGTACTATACCATCGACCTTGATGCTCCAGTACGAAGCGTACCCCTTCCAGGAACAAAAGGTGGACAGGTCCGAGTGCTCAAGTAAGCTGGTGTCCTTGATAGCGGATGGGGGGAACTTGGCATGGATTAGCAACGGTGGTCCAAGAAGAGTTGGTTTGGAAGTGTGGCTTGCATACGTAGATGTTTCCCTCGACCGTCTCCCAGCTGTCCGTCTCGGCGACGACGTGGTCACCTACTTTTGCGAGGGCACGAGGCATGGTTTCAGATTGGTTCAGTTCTTTGGGATCGGGAATAGTGCGCTGGGCAACTCGATTGGTTTCTTTTCGTTGTACTGCCTTTAATCCTCATGATTGAGAGACTTGTATATATAGTCGCTCACCAAACGGCGTCGTGAACTGCTCAACCAAGATGAGTTCGTGATTGCGGGGTCCCGACCGGGGGGTGAGGTGAGCCAGCTACCGTAGCCAAGGAAGACCGGGATTGGGCAAGTCCAAGGACATAGATACGTGACTTGGAGGCTTGATTGCGCCAGCCGCAAGCTAAACCGCCGACAGGCCTCTGAACTCCGATCTGGTTCGGAATTTGGAGGGTCGATGGCGCAGGAGAACGTCCTCCGCAACCCTCCGATGCAAAGCTCCGATGTGGCGCCTGTCCAAAAGCAGACTGCTCAGGCGAGGCCACTAGCGCTTGACGCGGTCTGGATTTCGATAAACGACGAGGAGCAGGACAAAAGAGGAAGACTGGAACGAGATAGTGATTGTTGAGATTTGGGCTCTGCGAACCGCGACCGAACACCAAGAACGCCTCTGAATTGCGTGCTGGAGTTGAGTGTTGGGAAGATGGTTGACGGACTCGTGTCTGGATCTACATAAGGAGCTCGATGGGTCATAGAGGATGTTATCAACTATAACCGCATCACCATGGGCGAGATAATCACCTCAGCTGCTGCGAGCCCCGCGAGGCCAGTGGATGAGCACAAGACAGAAGACGATACCTCTGGCTTCTACGAAGATGTGCTCGACACCTCGTTGATTGACCCCGTCCTGACCAGGAAGATGGCTCTCGTGAACGGAGCAATCGACAAGATTGGCATGACCCCCTTCCAATGGAAGCTCTTCTTCCTGAATGGCTTCGGATACTCTGTTGATTCAGTGAGTCGACCTGATCCTGACCATGGAGAGGCTCCGCTGACAATGCTACCCCCTTCCAGCTCCTGATCATCTGCCAGTCGATTGCCCAACCCAGCGTTGTGACCGAGTATGGGAATCCAAGCTCGAAGCTCAAGGGCATCTCGCTCGGGTCCCAGATTGGGCTTCTTGTCGGCGCAGCGTTTTGGGGCCTCTCGGCGGACATTATCGGGCGGCGCTTTGCCTTCAATGCCTCTTTGCTCCTTGCTGCAGTCTTTGTAATCATCGCGGGTGGTATGCCTGGGTATATCCCGTTTGCGGCTTTGTGGGTGCTTCCGGCTGTATTTCCGACGTTAAATCTAACAAGACTATTAGGGTCGCTCTGTATTCTTGGGCCGTTGGAGGCAACTATATTCTCGACTCTACCAGCCTGCTCGAGTTCCTCCCCAGCGGGCACTCGTGGCTCGTCACCTTCATGTCGATCTGGTGGGCAGTGGGTTATACCGTTGCCGGGCTTCTAGCATGGGCGTTTATGGCCAACTACAGTTGCCCAGCCACCGCAACCCCAGACACCTGCTCGCGTAGTGAGAACATGGGCTGGCGCTATCTCCACTTTACCTGCGGCGGCCTCGTGCTACTCCTCAGCATCCTGCGCCTGCTTGTGGTTCGCATGGTGCAGACCCCCAAGTGGCTCATTGCGCAGAACCGCGACGAAGAGGTCATCACATTCCTGTCAAACCTCGCGGAGAAATACGGCCGGCCCATGACACTGACCCTCGACGACCTCCGCCGCGAGGGCAACGTACACAACACAGAGCGCTCGGCCTGGTCTTCCACTCGGGTCGCTCAACACGTTCTAGGCCTCTTCCAGACCCGCCAGCTCGCGTGGTCATATACGGTAATCATCCTTAACTGGCTCGTCATTGGCATGGTCAGCCCGCTGTACCACGTCTTCCTCCCCTACTACCTCGAAACGCAGGGTCGCAAGGTCGGCGCCAGCTCCACGTACACGACCTGGCGCAACTATGCGATCAACCAGGTGTCTGGACTCGCGGGCCCGATTCTCGCTGCCGTGCTCGTGGAGAGCAAGTTCGTCGGGCGCCGGGGCACAATGGCGCTGGGTGCGCTGCTGACGATGGTTCTGCAATTTGGGTACACGCAGATTCGCACCTCGGCGCAGAATGTGGGCGTTTCTGCTGCGATTTCGGCCGCTTCGTAAGTTACCACTTGAACCCCCTGGTCCCTTGTCCCGCCCCCTGGGTGGTAACCGCATACACGAGGTTCGCTAATTTGACCCCTGATGTCCGCAGCAATATGTACTACGGCACGATATATGCGTATACGCCGGAGATTCTCCCGTCCGCTCATCGGGCCACGGGGTATGCTCTTTGCTTGGTGGTGAACCGGATCGGTGGAATTGCGGGCGTGCTGGTCGGGAGCTATGCGAATGTTGAGACGACGGCGCCTCTGTTTGTTTGTGCTGCGCTGTTTGCGTTGCTCATTTTCCTGACTCTGCTGCTGCCGTTTGAGAGTCGGGGGAAGAGGATCCAGTGAGGATATTCGGTCATTGTGGATTGCATCCCTGCAGGGTGAGCGGTCGTAAGGTGCATGGTAGGGTAGGGAGCACAAAGTACTTTTGGGGTGCCAGGATTTAGCACTGGCAGGCAGGGGATCTGCCATGGTCTAAGAATAGCTGGCGCAGACGGGTAGATTAGGATCTGCAGTAAACAGAGATCAAGTATTCGTCTGGTGTCAGATGTCAACCGTTAATGTCCGAAGCTTTTCCAAGCGCCTTGGTTCTCTTAGCCTTGGAATGCTGGGTGTGCAGACCCTCGTATCGTCGAGTCGCTCCTGGCTCGCAATGGCGTGACAGGTGTCGCCATCATAGGATTTGTGAGTGGATGGCCGTTCAATCATACTGTTATGATTAAGAATGTGGCGCTTTTACCTGTGCTTATCAAGATAGCGAGAGAGTTTCAACCACTGTTTAGCAACAGCTTGAAATGGCCCCCAATCGCCTCCCTCAATTGGACCAATAGTCTCGATGGGCGGCGGGCGCTGCGATCGCGACATCTTGCTTTGCATTTCATGCCAGCTTGAGCCGAGTTTCTTCAACATCCAGGGGCGGGGGGCGCCCCAAAGGCACAGCGGAATACGAGTCCCCCTCCCCCGCTACGCCTGCATTGGCAAGGTTTATCAACGGTCTCACCCCCCCCTTTTCTCCCAGGGAGCGGCACAGAGAAAAAGCAAAAGATGCCCGGGATGGGAACACAGAAGCGGGCTCTCAGAGCCTCGTGCGACAACTGTCACCAGGCCAAGGTCAAATGCGTCGCGACAGCGGCAGGATGCCAGCGGTGCGTGGCGTTGAACACGCTCTGCGTCCACAGCCCTCCAGGGCGATCGGGGCGAGTGCCAACAGCGAACAAGGAACACATCCCGACCCCTCCACGGAGCAGCCCCTCGCGACCACAGAGCGATCAGGTCTCGATCATGGACTTCACCACGGACTCGGTCATGATGGAGCCGGTCGACTCGATGCTCTCCGACTGGTTCTCCATGTCGGCTGCAACAACAGCAGCCATGAGCCCCCTCTACAGCGGCGGCACCCAGGGCGTCCTGATCGATCCATCCATCAGCACATTCAGCATGGGCACTCCCACCGCCGCGCCCATTTCAGAGTTCGTCCCAGGCGACCTCTCCGCACCCTCGCAGTCGCAAATTCCCCCCTCCTCCGCTTCAACACAGCACCCTCCCCAGCCCCTCCTACCCGGACAACCACAAACACAACCACAGCAGCAAACCCACCTCCTTTACACCCCACCCCCGAAGAACCACCCACCAAGCAGCAGCACTAGCACATGCACCTGCTTCCAAACCATAGTCCGCGCCCTCGAGAAGATCCAAACGGCCAACATGCGCCTGCTGAGCATGGACGTCGCCCTCTCCCAGAACAAAGAATCCCTCATCCACATTTGCAACGCGCTGAAATGCACCTCGCCGCACGATTCCACCACTCGCCTCCTCATGCTCGTCCTCCTCCGCAAGAACCTCAACCTGTATAACCTTCTCTACCACTCCCGGCTGCGGAATCGCAGGGATCGCGGTAGCCGTGGGTCTCGGGGCAGTAGTGGTGGTAGTCCGTTCTCAGGAAATACCGACTTCGATACCGATACCACGCTCGGCAGCAGACATCCGTCGGACGCAGGCCTCGGATTCTTTAGTGCAGAGAGACATGACGAGATGGATACAAGTGTTCCTCCTACAGATTTCACAGCTGGAGGTGGAGGCAGCGGCGTCGCAGGGGCCACACCAAGCACAGTCCGCCTCTCGCTAGGCTCATACACACTCGACCACGCAGACGAAAGCTCTCTAACAAAACAAATTCTACTCCTGGACGTGAACAAGGTGCCGCGGTTGCTGGAGCGGCTGGACAGGCGGGCGTGCGGGCTGGACGAGGCGGACGGGCTGGATCTGTACAATATGATGCGCAGCGCGTTGATCGCGGAGTTTCGGGCGATTATGACCGAGGTTGATTCGTAAATTCCCAGCCGGATCTCGATGGACGCGGTTTCGCTGGGGTTCTATCTCAGGGGTTGCAGTGCCAGTGGGCAGATAGATACTGTAGAGGAAGCCGCGAAAATACTAGAAGGAATGACATTGACGAGACTTGACGAGTCTTGAAGCTATTCTGAGGTGATGGAGACCGAGGCAACGAGGGGGTTGAAGGTGAAGGGGATGTTCGGAGGGAGATGGAAGCTCAACAAGACATACTGTGCGTAAAGGTCTGATTTCGCGCGTTGACTTTTTCAGGTGCTGATTTATATATGACCAAGTCTGGCAATAGTTCAACAAGGTCCTTTGCACGCTTTGATCTAGCAAGATTTTGGTCGAATAGTGAGCCAAGAGGGCTGCAATAATTGTGATATTCCACTCCATTTCCTCCAATGCACATCTTCCTCTCTTCCAGCCGCTCTGTTTGCAAATATCCATACCCATCCCTGTCTCTACACCTTCTCCCACCTCAGCCCCTTGCGCACAACCCTCGTCGCACTCATAAACCCGCCACAAACCAACAGCGCCACCCCAGTAAACGCCAACGTCCCCGAAAATTCCAACCCATGCACCCCCGCCTCCCCTTCATGGTCATGACTCCCACTACTACTTCCACCACTCTGCCCCGCCAAAATGGCCCCCGCAATTGGCGACCCGATCAGCACACCCAGCGACCCGATCGTCAGCGCCATGCCCACGCGCACCCCGATCTGGTTCAGCGACGGGCTCAGCGAGACCAGGATCGCGGGCGGGAGGGCCATAAGCCCGCCGGAGAAGAACGAGTAGAGGATCGAGGTTGCGAGGAGGCCGCCGAGGGTCTTTGCGGCGATCCAGGCGAGGATGGTGATTCCCGAGATGTAGGTGCAGGGGAGGATTATGTTGAGGGGGCCGAGGCTGTAAAGGGGAGGGAGAGGTTGTTAGTGTAGTTCGGCAAGAATGGAGGAGGGGAACGTGTGCAACAGGCAAGCAAGGGGTTGGAACATACACATCGCCGATAGCATTCGGAACCAACCGCCCGACCATTCCCGCCGCGTTCATGATGCTCAGGGTGTAAAAGGACAACTCGGTGTCGACGCCGATGTTCAGCGCGTAGCTCTCGGCGTAGAAGAAGGGGATGAAAAAGGCCATGAAGCCAAGCGCGAGGCCGATGACAAAGGTCGTGTATGCGGGATCTCTGAAGGCAGCGACGTCGACGACCGGTCCGGACTTTCGCGGTGGCAGGCGCGGCTTCAGTAGGGAGATTCCCAGGAGCAGAGTCGCGAGCATGATGAAGGCCATGGCGCGCACGGCCCAGGGGAACCCGGCGGTTTTGATGAGACGGCGGATGAGGACCGGGAAGATGATTCCGCCTGCGGACTTGTTAGATTGGCTTGGTGTGGAAGGGAAAGATGAGTGGGAGAGGAGGTGTGTATACCAACGCTACTCCCGCTCGCTGCAATCCCCGTCGCGAGCCCCCTTCGCGTCGAAAAGTAAGTTCCAACGAGCGAAATCGACGGGGTGAATAGGAAGCCGGATCCGAGGCCGAGACACAGGCCCTGCGCGAGGAAGATCTGGTAGTATTCGCTTCCCAGCGAGGTCATCATCATTCCAAAGACCGACAGGAAGATGCCAGTTCCTGCGACGGGATAGAAGTAGCCGGCATCAAAGGCGCGGCCGCAGAAGACGCCGACGAAGAGCAGGAGGAAGCCCTGGATGGAGCCGATCCAGGAGATGGAGGATTGGCTGGATTCTGTGAGGAGGGTGGTCGCGTAGTAGGTTTGGAAGACTCCGAATGCGTTGGCCATTCCCCTGGTGAGGGTTAGTTGACGTCGGTTGAACCTTCGAAGTTGAATGGACACTCACCAGGTGTTCAAGACGAAGAGGAATCCTCCAAAGACCTGCAGCCATGCTTGGAGACCGCCATTCGGTGGTGGTGGAATGGCTGGAGCAGCTGGAGGAGCTGGAGGCGCCGGTTCAGACTGGGGAGGTGTGTCTTTTTCGACTTCTCTTTCCGAGGATGAATCCCGCTTCCCTACCGTCTCGTCGACATGTTGGAGCGAGAGATCACGGTCTGTGGAAGAAGTACTCATCTTGCAGTCTTAAAAAGCGTACTGCATTAAACGCTGCCAGAGAGAGATGGGAAGGGAGACGGTCTATAGGGACAAGTTGGAATTGAAAAGGCCCATCGTTTGAGTGAATGAGCTTGACATTCCATCCATAGCTTGGGCTTTCCGCTCCCTGGGTCGGTCTCTCTGAAGGGGATGTCTGTGGGTCGTTGGCAACCCCCCGAGGCTGTCAGTCACAGGGATTATACGAACCCACCGACAGCTGCATTCCCCCATCGAGCTAGAGGATCGACAACCTGGTGCAGTTCATCCAATCGGCGGTTCTCCCCTGTCGCCATTGGAATGCTTCGATCCCTCCACAATGGTTGCAAGGTCGCTTTTAGAGTCTGTCCATGGTTGCTCAGGGCAGGCTATCGACTCGCCTTTCCCGCATCTACCAGACCTTTTGCTGGCTGTCCAAGATGAATGTAATCATTATTGGAGGCGGGATCGCTGGACTCTCGGCCGCGATCGGTTTGCGCCTTGCAGGCCATCATGTTAGGGTACGCTCTCTGGCCCGGATGGACAGTACTATCCCTCTAAATGACAAATCCAGATCTTCGAACGATCGTCTTTCCTCCGCGAAGTCGGCGCAGCCATCAACGTCTGCCCCAATGCCTCACGGATCCTCCTGCAGTGGGGCATCGACACCAAACGCGCCCGCTTAGTTCCTGCACGCCGGTCAATCGTCGCTCCCGGCTCTTCGCTCAAGACCCTGGTCGATGTGGATTGCTCACAGTTCCCGGCGACATATGGGGCCTCGTTCTTCTTCGCTCACCGCGTCGACCTGCACTCGGAATTGCAGCGTTTGGCGACGGCCAAGGGGAGAGGATCGCCCGTTGAGATCTTGCTGCGCTCTGAAGTTGTGGATTATGCCGTTGACCAGGGGTCTGTGATACTCTCCGATGGCTCAGTGCACCGTGCCGATTTGATCATCGCCGCGGATGGCGTCCATACGACGGCAATTCACCAGGTCATTGGCCGTACTGTTCCTGCAGTCTCGACCGGCTCTGCCGCTTTCCGGTTCTTGATTCCTAGTGATGTGTTGCGCGAGGATAGCGAGATCGCGCCGTTGCTTGAGGATGGGGCTTTGAGGGTCCTCGTTGCGGAGGATCGCCGGCGGCTGGTTTGGTATCCCTGTGCCGAGTATGACATCCCCCTCGTTTGACTGGTTGTGATCCTAACAGGAGCTTTTTAGCAACACGGTCCAGAACTTTGTAGGTATCCACGCTGATCTTGGGAAAGACGGGCTCGAGAAGGAAGGTGCGTATCTCCTAGTTGCCCCTCTGCCATGGCATCAAACCTGACCTTGCCGACTTCTATAGACTGGGACCGCGATGCTACAGTCGATGACCTCCTCGCTCACTACCACGACTTTCACCCGACAATAATCAGCATCTTGAAGTTAGTATATCCTCATATGTGAGCAACCACGACCGCGGGCCCAGCTAACAGTGCCGTAGAAAAGCAACATCCATCAAGCGCTGGCCTCTCCTCTACCGCGACCCCATCCCAACCTGGACCCGCGGCCGTCTAGTCCTTATCGGCGATGCGGCACATCCCATGCTCCCTCGTAGGTTCCTTCCACGCTACCTCTTTACTTCCTCTGAATATCAGGTTGTCTGTCGCCTTTGCTTACCTAGCTAACGCAAATTTGTTGCAGACCAAGGTCAAGCCGGTGCCCAAGCAATAGAAGACGCCGGCGCCCTGTCGGAGCTCTTTACCTTTCCAGACCACACAACTATCACTCCGCAAGCGATCCAGTCCCGACTCGCGCTGTTTGAGCAAGTGCGCGTGAACCGCGCATCCGCAATGCAGGTTTTCTCGAACGCGGGGCAGGATGAATCGTGGAAGATCAAAGAGCAGGCGAAAAAGTATTTGCCAGAGGGAGCCGAGGTTCCGAGCTCGCCGGCGGAGTTTATGAAGCATAATTTCGGATATGATGTTATCGCAGATTCGAAGGGAGTTCTTGAGAGGTATTTGAGGCGGGGCGCGGGGGAGGGAGGTGGTTCATAGCTCTTGTGAGGAATATTGGTAAGATGTCAATAGTTCTCTCTACTTTCCATAGCTCATATGAAACTGTCATGTGTCATGATCTCTAGCCGCTTGACTCGGGCACTTAACTACAGCCATACGAGAAAGGTATGAGAGTGCACAAAGTAAGAACGGGACTCTGCATCAAAAACACTCGTTTCTGAACTAGCCCGAGCAAAAGACTTGTCTACTGCACAAGAACCGCCTCAACAATCGTCCCAGCCGCCGCATCATGCCCGCCTCTCCAAACCTTCTTGATGCGTAACCTCTCATCCGCCCTCCTCAACAGCTCCGCAAAATCCCCCTCCGTCCGCTCCCGCGCATTATGCAGCACCATCATCTGCAAATCCAGGTACCGCACGAACCGCTCATGCAGCCCATGTAGCTGGTCCGGAGGCGGGATCACCGAGTCGGAAATGATGATCCGTGACGAGGGCTTGAGCGCAGGGACTAGATTCTTCAATATCTTGACGGCCCAGTCGTCGGGCCAGTCGTGGAGAATGTGCCGGAGATAGAAGATGTCGATCCCCTGGTGGGTTTGCGAGGTGAACATGTCGTGGACTTCGAAGGTAATCCGGTCTTGCAGGGATGCGGGGAGTGAGGCTGCCCCGGAGGTTATTGCGCCCTCGAGATCCTGCACTATGAATGAGAGGCTGGGGTATGCCTCGGCGAGGGCGATTGAGACGTGGCCGTTGCCGCCTCCGACCTGGAGCTGTTAGCCGGTGTACTGGGACAGGGCGAGAGAAGATAGAGGAAACATACATCAACAACCGTCGCCTCGCCCAGCTCACCCCACGGAAACCCCGCGACAACCTGTTTCACCGAGCGCCCTCCACTCTTACTCAACCCCGCCATCCCCTGATTAAACCTCTCGAACCGGTCAGGATTCTTCGCCAAAAACGTAAACAGCGGATCCTCCGTGCCAAAGGCGACATTGAATCCAGCCTGGCTGGGCTCTTCGGTATTCGGGTACTTGCGCAGCGAGTCGACGAGTCTCGATGCGGCGGGGAACGCCTCGTGCGTGCAGTGGCCCAGGAACGCGGTCAGCTCGGGGTTTGTGACGAGGCGTTCGGAGGCCGTTGTGTGCGCGATGTACCCCGGGCGGGGCTCGTGGAAGATTCGGCGCACGAAGAGGAGGCGCAGGATGCGCTCGAGGCGGCCGAGGGGGGCTCCGCTGACAAGGGAAAGTTCCTTGAAGGAGATTTCGCTGTCAAGGGGGACGTGCTGGGCCAGGTTGAATTCTATCACGACGGCTAGGGCGGTGATGTCGTGGTACTGTAGTACGTATCCCATTAGATATTACCATTTTTGCCAATCATCCGGGATCATGCGGACGTACGCCATAGGATAAACTCTTGAGATAATTCTCCGGACCAGAAACCAGGATCTGCAGGTCTGTTGCTGCTTGGATGAGGGAGGCCGCTGCGTCGAGCGTCTCCTTCTGGGCAGCCTCGCTGGTGGGCTGTTTCTGTATAGCCCCATTACCGTTTGCGGCTCCATTTCCAGGAGGCAGGGGAATAAACGACGGAGGTGGAGTAGATGTGTCGAGGCTGTGCCGGGTGATGGTCAGCGCGGCGTTGGAGATGGTGGATGCAAGTTCCAGTAAGACGGTAGGGTTAGCCATGATCATCAGAATTGGTATACACAAGGTTTTGTTATTGACAATGCCATAATGTCTGAGAGACTGCATCCGTATAATATCGATTGCTGAGTGGGGGCACAGCCTCGTATCGGACTTGGACGGCGACGCCACAAGCTCCAAACCTCCGACGGGCTCGCAGTCTATCGGCGGGTACAATGACGAAACAGATTCACACTATCTGTATCATTCCACGTTGATTGAAGAGAGATATACAATCATTCCATTGCTCACTTTAGTGCGTCAACTGCATGTACCCCTGCAACGCACCACTGATCTCTAGCGAGCGAGATGGCGATTCTGACTGAACTGGCCAAGACCAGCACTGGGCCTCCGACATGGGTTATTCTCGGAGCCCTTGCGGTTATCGCTGTATACCTCAAGCTTTTCATCAGCTCGAAGCGCGCGAACCTGCCCATCTACAGCACCCACTCCGGCTGGCTGGGGAGCTGGCACGACTCTCTCGATTATCTCAGAGATAGCCCTGGGGTCCTGAAAGCCGGGTATGAGAGGGTGAGTCTGCAATGAAGAAGAAGGGTTTGGTCGAAGCTGACTGGTCAGTTTTCGAAACACGATCTTTTCTACCAGCTTCGTACGCCCGTCCGATGGGTCATTGTTGTGCCCCCGAGGTTTATCGATGAGATTCGGACGGCACCGCCAACTCATCTCAGTGCAAAGGTGGCGGCCAACGATGTGCGTAGACTGACTTTTCCCTCTCTCAAAGCCATCTCTAATGCTGGACAGGTCCAACAAGCGAGGTACACGGTATCTCCCATCGTCGAAGCGGACAAGTTCCACTTCCATCTCATCAAAACCCATCTTACACCCAATCTGGAACACAAGATTGTAGATTTGCTAGACGAGATCAATCTGGCATTTGATCAGGAAATCGGACGCCCAGAAGGTATGCTGCATTAGCCCATTGTGTGTTGTTATGCTGACCATCGCGGAGACTGGAAACCAGTCGTCATGGCTCGAACCGCCCACCGCATCGCGACGCGTACAGCAAACCGGCTTCTCGTCGGTGCTCCGCTGTGCCGCAATGAGGAATACCTACAAATGTCCATCCGCTACACTATCGATGTCTTCGGAGGCGCTGATAAGCTCCGTGCGTGGCCTGACTTTCTGAAGCGCCCCGTGACATACTTTGTCACCAGCGTCAATGAGCGACAGAAAGTTGCTCGCAAGCATCTACTACCATATATAAAGACCCGGCTGGAAGGGGTAAAGGGGATAGAGAAGTCCTCTCCCCGGGATAAACCTGTGGACTCACTACAGTGGGTCATTGATGCTGCGCCAAATCCGCTGGAACGAGACCCTGAGCGGCTGATGTACCGCTTGCTGCATCTCAATGTTGCAGCCGTGCATACCACGAGCGTGACGTTTCTAAACTGTGTTTATGATCTTGCGCTGCACGCGGACACCCACGCGGAGTTGCGAGAGGAGGTCCAACGCGCCGTGAGCGAAGATGGATGGACCGCACGAGGATTAGCCGGCATGCGCAAGCTGGATAGCTTCATGCTAGAAAGCCAGCGACTGGCTCCAATCGCAAGCTGTACGTCTCCCATTGCCGCAAATCAAGTATGATGTACTAACATGCGCCGCAGCCCAAATGACCCGTGCCGTCACAAAGGATTTCACCTTCTCAGACGGCACCACTGTCCCAAAGGGATCCTACGTCCTCGTGCCAATGCACGCGATGTACCTCGACGACTCGCTGTACCCGAATGCATCAACTTTTGATGCATTCAGGTGGTCTCGTCTCCGCGAGCAACCGGGGGATGAGAACCGGTACCAGTTCGTGACGACATCGCCCACGCACATCAACTTTGGGCATGGCAGGGACGCGTGCCCTGGGAGGTTCTTTGCTGCGCAGGAGATCAAGTTGCTCCTTGCGCATATCCTGCTGCACTATGATGTCCGCCTGGAGGATCCGAGTGTGCTGCCCACTCCGACGTGGTATGATCGGTCTCGTCAGCCAAATCAGACTGCTAGAGTGCTTTTCAGAGCTAGGTAGCTTACGTTTTGTTGCTGTATTGTCAAGTTAAATGAACAGTTCCATGGTGTTGTCAATTCCAACCTCAGGTGTTAGTCGTAGACTCTCGTATAGTCTGGCCCTCAATACCGTTGGCGCGTGGACATCGACTGCCACGTTGCTTGTTACAAAGAACAATGCCAGTGTCCACCGATCCACTAGGCCAGAACGTGCCGAGTTTGTCAGTGGCTATTGCTTGATTAGTTCATCGTGTCAATAGATTGCGAAATGCCGAGTTACTGGGATAGCGATCCCGCTCCGAGCTCAACCCCCCATATACCATCACCCTCCGGCGTGCCGCCACTAAGAATAGGAATCCCTGAGGAAACGGCCCGCTGCTGAAGAACCCACCGAGCCGTTGTAGTCTCGGCGATCTAACGGTCCTAAACGTGGCTGAGCCATCAGCCAGTAGCGGAGCTGCATCTAATCGCCATGTGGGCCGTCGGCGAATTTCGTGCGTCTGCAAGATCTCGCGTGCGATCTCGGGTCGGACTCGCACTTGTTGCCATCGCTGGCATGTTGAGGCCACTAGGGCCAGCACCGCAAGGCAGACCCTCGATGGAGATAGCAGGAGCCTTGTATTAAGCCCAACGTCCCAGTTGACCTGGGTCTAGTCACTCGTAGACACACATCCCAAATGCAGGTGTGAGGATCTCTAAACAGGTCACCATGCATCAAAGAGTACCAGTGGACCGGCTCAACCTGGTTGTCCTCGGAGACCAGACGAGCAATGTCTCTGCACTGCTGAAGAGGCTCTTGCTTGCAGCTCCACACAGCGTCGCCCAGACGGAATTCATCCGGGATGCGAGTGCCGCGCTGAGAGCCCAGTCGGATCGTCTGCGGCCATTCCAGCGCGCGCACCTTCCCTCGTTCAAGAACATCCACGATCTTGCCCGAATATACCATGAAACGCATGGTGCCTGCCACCCCTCAATCAGCAGCGTCTTGCTCTGCGTCGCCCAGCTCCTCCAGATTTTCCGGTACGTGGTCCTAAACCAAAGGCGGTTTCCATCTGATAGTGAATAGTTACTTCGAAGGCCGCGGTCGTCGTCCAGAGAACAATGAGCTCATCACGGTCGTTGGACTCTGCACGGGGTCCCTGGTGGCAGCAGCCTACGCTGCCTCTGCCTCGCTCGACGATCTCAAGCACCTCGCCGTCCCAACAGTCTCCATGGCCTTCCAGATGGGTCTGCAAGCCGCAACAGCCAGTAGCATGCTCCATGAGCAAGGCAGCCCGCTCGGCAGCTGGTCCATTGCCATCCCTAAGATGACAGAGGACGAAGCGCTCTCGGCCCTGAATATCTACGACGCCGGCGGTCATCTTTCCCTTCGGCACCGGTGTTTCGTCAGCGCTGTGGGACTCAAAAGTGTCACCATCAGCGGGTCGCCGCCGGCGTTGAATCGCTTTGCAGAGAGCCTCACTGCGTCTCAGCCTTCGAGAAAGATCATCTGGTTGCCCATTTACGCAGGATATCACGCGTCTCACATCCATACCGTGTTGGATTTCTCAAGCTTCTTATCTCGGTGTGGAGTCGACGCCGAGTTGCTGTCCAGCTTCAAGACGCTCAAGACTCTTCTTTCACCCTTGACTGGCCAGCCAGTCGACTCTCCCACCGCGTTGGGGCTTTTTAAGACCGTCGTGCATCATACTTTGCAAGCGCCGCTGAGGCTGGACTTGATCCTCGACCGCTGTGAGCGGCTGATACAAGATAATGCCATATCAACGGTCCGCATCGACGCAGTCGGGCCGACGCCCGTGGCAGAGAGTCTGGCTGCGACTCTCCGGGGCTTCACCGACGCTACGGTCTCCGTGCATGACCTCGTTGCACTTGACCCAGGGGCTGACGAGTACAGACCTTCGGCTTCCTTTAGTCATGCGCCTCTGGCAATCGTCGGCATGTCTGGCCGATTCCCAGGGGCAGATAGTGCCGAGGGTCTCTGGAGTGTCCTTGAGCAAGGACTGGATCTGCACCGCGTTGTAAGTGATCATCCGAATTGTGCATGCACAGTAACCCTGACTTGATACTAATCCCGCTTAGATTCCCAAAGACCGCTTCGACGTCGAAAGCCACGTCGACCCCACGGGAAAGACAAAAAACACCAGCTGGACCCCCTACGGCTGCTTTATCGACCGCCCCGGGGAGTTCGATCCTCGGTTCTTCAACATGTCGCCGCGGGAAGCTCTGCAGACAGACCCGATGCAGCGTCTCGCTCTCGTGACTGCGTACGAAGCTCTCGAGATGTCGGGCTTTGTCCCAAACCGGACCCGCTCCACGGCGCTGAATCGCGTTGGGACGTTTTACGGGCAGACCAGCGACGATTACAGAGACGTGAATGCTGCACAGGACATCGGGACGTATTTCATCACCGGTGGGATCCGTGCCTTTGGACCGGTAGGTCTACATTCTCTTTCTTGAACTAGTATACTAAAGCTGAACATGGTACAGGGCCGGATAAACTACTTCTTCAAATTCACCGGCCCCAGCTACAGCGTCGACACAGCTTGCTCCTCCAGTCTTGCAGCTATCCAATTGGCCTGCACCTCCCTATGGAGTGGAGACTGCGACACCGCGATTGCGGGGGGTCTGAGTGTCCTTACTTCTCCGGACCTATACTCTGGTCTCAGCCGCGGCCAATTCCTCTCGCAGAGCGGGTCATGCAAGACCTTCGATAACGGTGCAGACGGGTACTGCCGTGCGGACGGAGTGGGAAGCATCGTGGTAAAACGCCTCAGCGATGCAGAGCGAGACAGAGATAACATCCTCGCTGTCATTCTGGGCGCAGGGACGAACCATTCTGCTAACGCGATCAGCATCACGCATCCCCATGCTGAAACACAGTCTAACCTCTACCGCGACGTTCTCGAGCAGGCAGGAGTTGATCCAGCAGATGTGGGGTATGTTGAGATGCATGGGACGGGCACGCAGGCCGGCGATGGCACGGAGATGCGGTCCGTTATTGATGTCTTTGCGCCGGCCAAGGGGTCCAGGGCGGAGGAGAATCCGCTGTATGTTGGTGCAGTAAAGGTATGTCTTGTGGCTCCTTGGGCTTTTCCATATGCACTAACGAGGATAGGCAAATATTGGCCATGGTGAGGCTGTACGGCTTTCCCTCTTTCTTCCATTGGCATGCTTGCAGACACTGAGTATCAGCAGTCTTCTGGAGTGGCCTCTCTAGTCAAGGCCATCTTGACGTTTAATCACTCGGCTCTGCCACCGCACGTTGGCATTAAAAACGAGATCAACCACGGATTTCCTGATTTGAATGCTCGCAAGTAAGGCCTGAGCCCCTGGAATTCCTGTCCAAAGCAGCCAAACTGACACGCAAAGTGTCCGAATACCGTTCAAGATGACTCCATTTCTACAAAGAAACGGCAAGAAGAGAACGATTCTCGTCAACAACTTTAGTGCCGCTGTTAGTCACATTCCATGGATCAGACTCACCCTGCTAATCAGTCGCAGGGCGGCAATACAGCCCTCCTCATTCAGGAACCTCCAGCGCCAGTCGTGTGCCATGATATCGAGACGCGCCCGCTACATCCAGTCACAGTGTCCGGACACACGAAATCAGCGCTCCTGAATAACCTCCATAGGCTGGTCGACTATCTTTCCGCCAACCCCGACACATCCCCGGTCGACATCTCCTACACCACCACCGCGCGCCGACGGCATCACACCTTCCGGGCCACCGTTACCGAATCCTCCCTTGAGGGCATCAAACAGGCCCTGATGGAGAAACAAGTCTCGAGCATAGTCCCCCCTCCCACCTCGCAAAAGACATCTCAACCCGTTATCTTCATCTTTACAGGCCAAGGCACAACCTACTCGGCCCTAGCCCGCGAGCTATACATGACATCCACGCAGTTCCGCGCAGACATCGATCATTTTGACGGGATCGCACGACAGCAAGGGTTCCCCACCTTCCTGCCCGTGATTGACGGGACCGCTGCGGACCTGGACGCCCTGTCCCCAATTCAAACTCAGCTCGCTCTGGTCTGCGTCCAGGTCGCACTGGCACGACTGTGGAGCTCGCTGGGAATCAAACCCGGGGCCGTCGTTGGGCACAGTCTCGGCGAGTACGCTGCGCTCCAGGTTAGCGGTGTCCTCTCGATCAGTGATGCAATCTACCTCGTCGGGTACCGCGCGCGCTTACTAGAAAGCCGGTGTGAGATGCACTCGCACGCAATGCTGGCCGTTGCGGCGGACGAGGCGACGACATTGAATAGTCTCTCCGGGTCTCAGGCTGGCGCAGGTGTAGAGGTTGCGTGTGCGAACAGTCCGCGCGAGACAGTCCTTGCTGCACCAAGAGAGACCATTGATGCGGCGGCCGACTATCTTTCTGCGCGAGGTATCCGAACAACAAAGTTGCGTGTCCCGTATGCGTTCCACTCTGCGCAGGTAGACCCCATCTTGCACGGCCTCGAAGAGGTGGCGAAAGTGGTCAACATGGGCACACCGCAGATCCCGATCATCAGCCCACTTGCCGGTCGGGTTCTGCGCGAGGGCGAGGAGATTGATGCGCGGTACTTGCGAGAGCATTGTCGGCAGCCCGTGCGGTTTGCGTCAGCTCTGCAGAACGCGAAAGAGACTGGCCTCATTGTGGACTTGACCGTGTTCATCGAGATAGGGCCGCACCCGATCTGCTCGGGAATGGTTCGCTCAATCCTCGAGGAGGGTGCACCACCGACGCTTCTGGCCACGTTGAAACGCAAAGAGAGCCCGTGGAAGACGCTTGTTGGGACCCTGGCTGCACTTCATGATCTGGGTTTCACCGTGAACTGGTCAGAGTATCATCGCGACTTTGAGGGTGCCTGTCGGCTGCTTACACTCCCGGCATATGCCTTTGACAACAAGGACTATTGGATTGATTATCGCAATGATTGGACATTGCGCAAGGGAGAGCCAGCAGGACCCGAGCTCTCTGGCACGAAGGAGATCGAGGCCACACCGGTTGCCAAACAGCTGTCCCATTCTGTGCATCGCGTGGTGAGCGAGATCTATGATGGGACAATCCCAGTGGTGTTTGAGACAGACCTTTCGGCGCCTCAGATCCATGATGCCATTGGTGGGCATCGAGTTAATGGGTCCGCTCTGTGTCCCTCGGTGAGTACTTGACCTGTCTACTGAGACCTCAAAAGAATATGCCGACTAACCTCTTGTAGTCGGTATACGCGGATGTAGCGTTGACCATTGCGGACCACATCCACAAGCAACCCGCTTCCGGCTTCTCAATGTCCGGATACAATGTCACCGCGATGGAGGTTCAGAATCCACTGATCATTAAAGAGCCACGCGAGACGGAAACCCGAATCCTCCGTATCCATGCACACCCCGATCGCCAATCTCAAAGCATACGCATCGACTTCGTCTCAGCGGACAGCATCAACAAGTCTGTCGAAACAAAGCACGCAACCTGTCTTTTGGAATTCGGCTCTCCCGACAACTGGCTGCGCCGATGGTCGCATGATCTCTACCTTATTCAAGACCGGGTCGCCTCCCTGCAACACCGCGCCGACTCGGGCAGCGGAGACGTGAGTAGGCTCACCAGCCGCCTCACATACCGGCTTTTCGGTGCCCTGGTCGATTACGCACCGGGATACCAACGCATGGACCGGGTTGTGCTCGATAGCGGTCTCCTCGAAGCGACAGCAACAATCCGATTAGATGGCCGTGGTGCCGACGATGGCGGGTTTTTGTACAGCCCATACTGGATCGATGCGCTGCTGCACCTGGCCGGATTTATCATGAACGGGAATGACTCGCTGGATTACAGCGAGGCCGTCTACATCTCGCATGGCTGGCAGGGGCTGCGGTTCGCAAAGCCTTTGGTCCCGGGCGCAGAGTACCAGGCGTATGTGAGGATGCTGCCGCGGGATAAGACGGTCGTTGGCGGCAATGTCTGGATGCTGCGAGATGGCGAGGTCGTGGGATTGGCAGAGGACCTGAGATTCCAGAGGGTTCCGAGGACTGTGCTTGATCTGCTTTTGCCTCCCGTGGGCGCTAAGAGTGCGATCGTGAAGAAGACAGCACCAAACCCGAGTCTCGTCGTGCCAGAGACGCCAGCTAGAAAGCCAGCATCAGCAGTGGTCCCGCAGCATGACAGTAGGCCGACGAGAAGAGATGCCTTTCTCGACACCATCGCCGCTGAACTGGGCGTCGAGCCTTCGGAGATCTCGCCAGACGATACATTATCTGACCTGGGCGTGGACTCTTTGATGTCTCTAACCCTCGCGAGTAATCTCGTCGAGCAATTCGGTCTCTCGATTTCTCACGCCGACCTCATGAACGCCGCTACAGTCCGTGACCTCCTCGCCCTTTTGCATGACAAGCAGGGTACAGCACCTAGCCCAACAGCTTCAGACAGGAAGCCTCATACAAGCATATTCAGTGAAGCACAACCCTCATCATCTTCATCGACGCTGACAAGAATCTCCACTCCCGACAGTACAACTGGGGAAGCCGCAGAGCTTGTGCGAACGCTCATCATCGAAGAAACAGGAATCGCCTCAGAAGATCTCGAGCCATCGGCCGACCTAAGCACGCTGGGTGTAGACTCGCTCATGAGCCTAGCAATCCTCGCTCGTTTGCGCGAGGCGGGAATTGAGCTACCGACCAGCTTCTTCCTAGAAAATCGGACGGTGAGCGATGTTTTTCGAGGACTCGCGTGCCATCTGGGCGTCGAGACACCGCACTCGCAGACGTCAAGCGCAAGCTCCAGCTCCAGTTTGAGTTCAAGCTCAGGCACATTTCACTCGCGACTGCTTCTACTCCAACGCCGGTCGAATCCCACCAGCTCGGCCAACCTCTTCCTCTTCCCCGATGGCTCCGGCACGCCCTTTGCGTATGCAGCGCTCGACCCGCTCGGCCCGGGCCTGGATGTCTACGGTCTCGTGTGTCCCTTCATCGATGCACCTTCGCAGTACAGCATTGGCATCGAAGCCACCGTGAAGATCTACCTCGATGCGATCAGGCGGAAACAGGCGCATGGCCCGTACCATCTTGGCGGGTGGTCGGTCGGCGGCGTCTTGGCCTACGAAGCCTCCAAGCAGCTGCTCGAAGCTGGCGAGAGAGTTGGCTCGCTCATCCTCATCGATGCGCCTTGCCCATTGACTCTTCCGCCCATGCCCGCCTCACTAATTGACCGCTTAGCGGCCAAGGGGGTATTCGGGCAGTTCGAAGATGTAACCGGCCGTGGCCGGGAGGAGAGAATAGGTAAACGACAAAACCTGTTAGCGCACTTTGATGCAACGGTGAAGAATCTAGCAGGATACAGACCGGCCGCTATTGCAGCTGGTCCTGGGTCAATTCCATCGACATTGATCGTCTGGGCGCAGGAAGGCGTGGATCCCAGCGCCAACTTGTCTCTCGCCTCTTCGAATCCCACCGAGTCCTGGATTCTAGAAGATAGAGCGAGCAGCATTGGGCCACAGGGCTGGGACTTGTTATTGCCGGCGCAGAAGATCTCCACGCGCTCGGTGTCGGGAAATCACTTTACGATGATGGTTGGGCAGAATGTGAGTGCTTTCTCTCCTCTTCCATTTATTCTGAACAGCAGGAGTTCCAGCTGAGGCTAATTGTTTCGCCTTTTGACGTAGGTCGCCTCAGTTTCGAGGCTTTTGCAGGAGTATTTATAGTCTGGGAGGGTAGCGTAAAAATGGACTACCTTCAAAGGTTGAGTGCAGGGGCAGGTCAGATTGCGTTAGTCTAGTTAGATGGAGTATGTTATAACTGCAGTGGTAGAGTACAACTGGATAGTCCTTCCATTGAAATGGTGTGACGAGCTTGTAATCCTGTAGCGTAATGCACTGCTAGTACTCAACAGCCATAGATGATCTAGCACCCTCCCTTCCCACTCTACTCCTTATCAAGGGCAAACTGCTCCCAAAGCGCCACCCCATCCGGAAGCGGCTCCCCATCCAATGTCCCAGTGAACCTCCCCGTAAACCGCCGGTAAAAGTCAAAGTTGATCTGGATATGAATCGTCTCCGCCTGCAGTTCAAACAGCCCATCTGGCGTATCGACGCTGATCGTGAATCCCTCTGGAGCGCCCGTGCGCCGCGTCGGCGGGTACGTAGAGTGCTCACCGTATGGCCGGATTGTGATTCCCCCGCAGCGCGCGACGAGGATCTCAGTTCCTTTCGTCACGTAGGCAGACACGTGCTCTTCGAGGGTCGGTGTTAGGACCGTCAGCCAGACAAAGGCGTACTCGCCGAGCCGGCCGTGGCCCCAGTAGGCCGAGTAGGCGGATTCCGAGAAGGGGCGGCTGCCGTAGTTCTGGTAACTACTGTGTGAGTTCTCACAAGTATCAAGTTGGGGTGGGGATGGACGTCCTACGTACGTGGTCATGGTATCCGCGACCGCGGACACTGAATGGCTTGCCGCGGATGCTAAAGTCGGCCTCGCCGTATCCGTCCGGGATGGCGTTCATCCAGCCCACGCCCGGGACGACCTGCATGTCTTGTCCGGCCTCTGCTGGGCCACATGGGTAATGGGGTGGAACATCCTGTCGATAACCCGTAAGCACTGAAGAGCAAAGCCATCTGATAGAAGAATGCAGTGACCTACCGCTCTAACCCGAAACGTCCCCACAATCCCCTTCTCCGGTGCGTCCACATGAACCGTATACTCGGACAAATCCGCCTCCCCCTCAAACGCACACCCCGTCCCCCTGAACTCCCCACTCGCTCCATCCCCCTCGACCGTAATCACCGCCTCATCCCCAACAAGAACCCACGCATCTTTCCCCCCATCTGGCCAATTGAGGTTGATCTGAATGAGATTATTACTCGGCAGACCCAGGGGAAACAGATTCTGGAACACATCCATGCCGTCGCGGCCCGTGGTGTGGAATGTCATGGCCATCGAGGGGTGGTTCTGGCCGCGCCCGTCGGGCTCCTGCACGACGTCAAAGTACCACCAGTCGAAGGAGGTGTCGTTGAGGGGCTGGTTCATGGGGGCGTCGAAGCCCGTGGCGTTGGAGATCCATTGCGTGTGGCTTTGTTCGGTGCCGGTGAAGTGCGCGGGGACGACGGTGCGTTGGGCCAGGACGCTCGTGGAGAGAAATGTCAACCAGGAGATGGAGACGATGCTGGAGAGAGTCATGGCTCTCGCTTGTCTGTGGTCGCACCGTATGAGGGCGAGCGAGTCTGACAGGCAATCCGCGGTCAAGGTGAGGACGAAAAAAAGGGAAAAGAGGCATCAATTGCATGTGGCCACAGCTCAGCATCTTATAGTTGCTCTGAACTTAGCGTCTGTCAAACGGTCTGGCCATGCTTTTTTCCATTCGCCTGACATGTCTCCGCGCGGGGACTCGACCCCTCCAGCTGAATATCGGGCTTCGCTACAAACGGCAAAACGTAGATATACCACGGGATAATATAACCCAGAGTATACCCACCTCCAACTTCACACGCTAATGATCGGCGAGAAAAGAGATATTTCTTCTGAGGCCCGTTGCCGGCGCCCCTTGCTGAGCTGTCATCGGAGTATTAGAAAGCCCGCAAAAAGGTACAGTACATTGATAAGGATAGCTAGCCCAATCAGAGACCAGGCCGGCATCATATTTTCGACCATTCGGCTTTCCGAAGAAGAAAGCTCAATTGACTGGTTGATTCCAGACACAGGCTAAGCAATTCGGGGAAAAGGTGTCAGTGGCAGCTTCAGCCTCCGGGGTTTAGTTACTCCGCAAAGTCAATAGTCCGATAGACCGCTGCGTTCAGGGGCAGCGGACTGACATGGCAGACAGGGATCAATCTCCTGCATGCGGTCCAACGGGCAAAAGCAATCTTCAGGCTCAATATGACAGCTCCATTACTCCAGACCACTCACTTTGTTGGCTGCCTGGCTGGAGGGAGACGACGCCCTCCATGACGTAGAGCATCATCAGGTCATGAAAGCCAACTGGCATACTTGGCCAGAGTAGCAACTTTTAGCCTCCATTGTTTGTAAGTTCTTCGTGACACGATTGACTTCAGAATATTAGCGTTTGACCGAAGTGTTTGGCTTGGCAGGTAAAGAGAGGAGAGGAGACTAAGGGACTTGAATAGTCGAGTGCTTTACGTATTGTAGAAGACTCTTCAAGGTGCACCATGGAATGAAGCTCAATTGAATTGATTCCGTGTCGATATAGTCGATGATGAAAAGGATGTCTGTCGGAGAGAGAAGTGACGTTTTATAGAGGTCAGCCTCGTTCCTGACGGTATTGGGATTAGAGCTCGAGCTTGCGATCATTTTCTAGCCGTAAAATAACCATGTAACCTGTACTGGTACCGGCATTATCACCATGTAATGCAATTACAGCTTACTCGCCTTCCATGCAGGCTTCCTCTTCTCGACAAACGCCCTGACCCCCTCATGGAAATTCTCGCCAGCCATCAGCCTCGGATACCACTCAGTAATCACCTTCTCAGTCCCCTCCTCAACACTCGCCATCTCCCACCCGTAATGTAACCCCTCCAGCGTCACCCGTACACTGTCCGGACTCCCCGACGCAATCGCCCTCGCCGTATCCACCGCACTCTCCAGCAAGCGCCCATGCTCCACGACGCGATTCACCAGCCCCCAACGTTCCAGCTGCGCCGCAGGGAAGAGTAGCCCCGTGAGCGCGATCTCCGCCGCACGCTGTTTGCCCAGTAGTCGGACCAGCCGCGGGAGCGCACCGGCGACGGCAGCAACACCGCGCTGGACTTCGGGGAGTCCAAAGGCCGCCTTTTCGCTCGCGATGACAATGTCGCAGTTGACGGCCATCTCGAACCCGCCGCCCAGGCAGTACCCGTTCACGGCGGCGATGATGGGCTTTGTGCTGCGGCGCCGGGGGAGGCCGGCCATCCCGGGCGCGTCCATTTTGTTCTCGATGCCGCGGGCGTTGAGCTCGTTCCATTCTGAACAAGAGTAGAGGTTAGAGAAGACGTCGAAGATGTGGTGGTGCTGACTAGGTCGGTCGTCGGTCGTCGGTCGATGGATCCAGCGGCGACATACCTTTGAGATCTGCCCCTGCGCAAAACGATTCACCTGTGCCGGTGATGATACCGACTCGGAGGTGTGGTTGCGCGTCGAACCATTTCCATAGCTGGATGATGTCTGCGCTCACGGCGCGCGAAATGGAATTGCGCTTCTCGGGCCTGTTGAGTGTGAGGAGGAGAATCTCGGGTGTAGGGAATGAGACCAGGCAGCCCTCGACGGGCGGATGTTGTTGCATGTTTGCCATTGTTATTGTTTTGTGAAGTGTGTAAAAATGTACTACAGTAAGAGTAAGTAGTAGTACCTGAGGAATCTAGGCGGAGCAGCCCGCGGATTTCAAAGGCGCAGGCAGTTTTATGTATGTGATCATCGGTCCGAAGACGGGTGGGTGAGTATTGTAATTGGACAATTGATTTCAGACGGATCAACCCGCGGGTTTGGAACATTTCAAGGTACCGTACCCCGCGTGTACGTCAGGTCGGTCCGAAGGTACGTACTCCTTATTGTGTACCAGGAAGCTTGCCCCTTCCGGTAGAGCCTGGGTCACGTGATACGAGGAGCACATGTGCAGAGAAGCATCTAAGCAGGCACCCATACATCCGATCATGGGTTTATTTTTAAATCGGTCAGTTCCTGCTTCCTTATTTGTATGAAGCAAGCATGAAACTAGGCGAACTTGGTTTAAATATTATATATCTCTTTATTGTAGCATAATAATTCAAGACAACTGTTACTGTCATGGTATTCGAATGGTATTGTGACAGCAGTATTGCAAATTGCTTGACGGCTTATTTGTACTCGTACTGAACCGACAATCGGCCTGCCAGTTCTCCACTCTTGATGTTTGCTGTCTTATAGCCATCCCCACCCCAATTCTCCTCGAGCTGTTGAAGCTCGTCCATTTTTCTCCCGTCATCCCTCTCAATACCCTCAAAATGGCCTCTTCACAGTCTACTTCTGCTGAAAAACCAGCGTATCCCTGGGTCAAGCTCCCTCACCCATACCTCACCACATACAAAATCCATGTCGTCTCCGATTCCACCCCGCGAGTCCTCCAGCTCCGACTACACGACACGCAGGTCCCCGGACAAGAGGTCCCAGAACCCCTGCACTCCGATTCCTTGACATACACAGACATCGCCATCGACGAGTCCTCGAAAAAGATCCCCGACAACGACAACAGCCCCTGGGCACGCAGCACAAGAGCCCCCGGAACAACCTTCCAATGGACCAGCGCAGAGCCCCCAACCCTCGCGCAAATCTGGAACGTCATCCACGCAATCTTCCTCACCCACCCCCAGCACGAGGCCCTGCGCCTCGACCTCAATGGAAACGGCAGCGAAGTCGTCCGCGAAGAGTGCATCCGCACCGGCCTCGCCGTCGCATTCCCCACGCCGCGCCTCCCCTTCGGAAACGAGAACAAGCCCACAACGACCCAAACCCTCGTCCTCCTGCGCTCCTCCTTCTGGCAAGGCGCCGCCTCGCCCTTTGGCCCGCGCCCAATCTGGGCAATCGACCAGGGAACCCACGGTGCGCTGCGCCGCTCGGGAAGCCAGTACCCGCCGCTGGCGAAGAACTACGAGTTCTCGATGAAGTTCCCCGAGGAGCGCATCTACGCGCGGCACCCGATTCGGCCGGCGAAGCCGACGCCGGGCTCGCTGGTGTATAGTCGGTATATCCCGCATCTGGATAAGCACTTTTCGCTGCAGGTTGTCGATTGGCAGGATGAGGAACATCTGAAGCGGTTCAACCGCTGGCAGAATGACCCCCGTGTTGCCAAGGGGTGGAATGAAACGGGGACGCTGGATGAGCATCGGGAGTATCTACGCCGGCTGCATGAGGATAAGCATGTTCTCTGCCTGTTTGGGCGGTTTGACGATTTCGCGTTTGCGTATTATGAAATTTACTGGGCAAAGGTACGTCCACAGCAAAAAAAATCCTCTTCTCCCATCCCCATTTCTGACATGAAATCACAATAGGAGGATCACTACGGCGCGCACTATGACGCCGGCGACTACGACCGCGGCCGGCACTCGCTCGTCGGCGAAGCCAGCGTGCGCGGCGCCGAGCGCGTCAACGCCTGGTGGTCCAGCTGCATCCACTACATCTTCCTCGACGAGCCGCGCACGCAGTGCGTCGTCGGCGAGCCCAAGGCGACGGGGTCCACCGTGCTCTCCTACGAAAACGCGCACGGCCTCACGATCCAGAGCTACGTCGACCTGGGCCACAAACGGTCTGTTCATGTGTATTGTTCGCGCGAAAAGTGGTTCCAGCTCTGTCCGCTTTTCTGGGATGGGAGGGAGAGGCCGTTGGAGAGTGCGGATCGGGCGGCGTGGAATGCAAAGTTGTAAAGATGTAGCTAGTTTGGGAGGAAAATCTCCCGAGGTAAAAGCATGGGATCTAGAAGCTGAAAGAACGTATTCAATGCGCGAAAGCCCCGAGTGTTTCCGACTGTCTGCGAAGACTACTGCAGAGGAGTGGATCGTAGCTCGCTTCCGCGGAGAGCCTTGATCAACTGAGCATGGGTTGGAAGTTGGGAGAGCACAGACATCTGCAGGTTGCCATACGTCAGTTGCAAGCCAAAGACCTCCTCCCCCCACCCTAACCAGAAGAAACCACCTCCTCCTCAGCAAATTCAGAAATCGCAACCGAGATACCTGAACTGACAGCAACGCAAGATCCTGATTGAGATTCCTGACGGAAAAGCGATCTGCAAAATCCTTCAGGCCAAGCCGCCCAGTGCCCAGTGCCCACGCAAAAAGTCGCCTGGACCCACCTGCACCTCACTATCAATCTAATCAGATAGTTCGGTGACAAGAATTCTTACGTTTTTAGCTCTGAATTAGGTATCTCTGAAATATTCCCTTGTCGCGAACCAAGGTGCAGTGACGATATCAAGTGACTCAGTTGTGCTCAACGCGCTTCTCGTATGTATGTCCTCGATATCAGCGAAAACCTCATTTGCACTCCAATTGTGCCCTGAATACTACCGTCAAGACCCCTCGAAGTCCCACATGCAACTGCACCTGCCCTCCCACGCTATTCGACGCAAGGGCAAAAAAAAAGAACAGGAAAAAAAAAGGAAAAAATCCATCGCAAGCGAAGTGCGAAGTCGGAGACGTCGGCCTCCCCCACTCCACTGGATCCCCGCCACCCAATAAGAGCGTGATGCTATGACACCACGACGATCGTTGTCTAATCAGATGATCAGATAATTCGCAGATCCACCTGGGCTCGCATGAGTGGGTGAAAGTCGGAGAGAGGACTTTTTTGCATTTGTTGTGGGACGGAAGGCGAAAGGGAGTGTAATTGTATTTGGGTCATGCAGCGGTAATGAGGGTCTGTTTTTATACGTCTCGTATTTGGTGTTTTATGTGGCTGCGAAATCCAAATACCTACAGTCTGTGTTTTTTATGTGGGCTGTGGAAATAAGGCCCGCCCGTCCTGCGATGCTCTCAAGACCACGCACACCTCCCACTCTTTCTCGCCCTCCCGAGCTCAGCCAGCTGTTCAAGATACTATTCCAAGAGCTGCCGCATTCCACCTCCTTTGCCTCAGGAAAATTTCGAGCCTGACACTTGTATTTGCGCCGCAGGCAGAGACGAGATTGTGGAAGTCTGCAATCGTCAATGGTAGGTGTCTAGCTCTTGTGCCATCTATAGCATCAGCAGTATCCTTCGTCTGGTCTCGCCGGTTGTGTAGGAGGTCATCCTCACGAGGATCCCCTTCGAGTGTATTATCGGCCCAGTTTGCGCGCTGCCCTACGCGGCATCCCATACTGGTTGGGTTGAACCCCATTATTTTACCAGAACGCTAGACCCTCGTCAGTAGACATCCGCTAAACAAATAGAATACTGTAGGCACTCACAAATAAATTTATCAGACAATATCCCCCCCATCCCCTCCCAGGGGATAATCACCGCAAGATGTTTCGGCTTCCTGGCCGCAACACGCCACTGCGTTCCAGCATAGTAACTAATCCCCAACAGGGCGACCTTGCCCGAAGACCATTCTCCTCCACGCACCATTCGATGACGTCCAAGAAGGCTTCGCTAGTCCCCCATGACATTGTGTCGAGTTCGCCGGGGCTCTGCCCTGCGCCGCGTTCATCGGCCCGAATGATAATGTGCCCTTTACTCGTCCAGAACCCGGGGTCTGGCGTTTTCAATGACGCATGTGGGGACTTGATTTCGGGGTTTCGTTGGTCCCAGTTCTTTTTGACGGAGGAAGAGCCGGAGAGATCTTTGCCATCTAGATTTCAGGGTCGCGTATTATTAACTTGGCGTCGTGCTTGTGATTCTGCCCTGGACGGGATAAGCTTACATGGGCCATAGGTAGCGATAACAGGGTAGGTTTTTGTTCCGAAGGGTGCTGTGTCCTTGCGAATGTAGACGTTGCATTGAAGGAGACCGCTCTCGTAGGTCTTGAGCGGGAAGTCAAGATTTTTCATAAGACTGTAGGGAAAGTTGTTGCGGTCGACGGTAAGGAAACTATAGTCGGCGATTTAATACCAGATGCTGTGAAGTATGATAATACGAAAGGCCAGGTATATAACGAGCAGTTGCTTTAGATCTACTTGGAGGGCTGGAAATAAGCAGATGGAAACCCCGTAGTCTGTTGCGGGTTTGGGTTTTGGAGTTACGGACCGGCATAAAACGATGTATGAGATTCTAGGTTAACATCCTTGGATAAATACCATACGGCTTCTGATCGTGTTTTATTAGGTCGGCACATACAACCCCTGTCACTTCTACCGCATCGCAGGGACGGCGGGAACCCCCTCGTGTGTGGGATCTATAAATGAAGGAAACCAATTGCAGTGTTCAAAGTAACCCTTGTGTAGAAGACCTAGTCAGCTACCGAGACGTTGTCTGCGTGCACCGTCAGGTCACTCGGGTCGATGTTCACTTGAGATTCCAGCACCAGTCGTCACAATTCATACAACCAATCTCCAGGGAGGGTCTCGCGAAGGGACCATAGTGCTTCTCGGGTACGCGTTCGGACTCTGAGATCAGCGCCCGTGTCGCAAAGAAGCAGATCAGGCCCAGTAAACCAGCGCACGCCAAAAGGGGTGTAGCTGTGGCTTCCCTGGAAAGATGGTAGCTCGGAATAGAGTCGTTCAATCAATGCAATGTCCTCGTCATTGCTGTCACGAAACTCAGTCGGCATTGTCGAGTCAGACAACGATTCCCATAGGATAAGATCAAGACACGCTAGGGAGAATCGTGCTAGCCATGGTTCCCATTCGTCCATGACATTATTCACTATACACGAGCAGTGATACACAGGAGGATCCGGGTACTGCAGGTCTGCTAGCAGAATCCCCCAGAGTGCAGCGCCTTGGTTCTCGCGGCGAAATATCAAGGCGTCGTGGTCGAGATATAGAGCTGTAGGTTCGAGCAAATACTCTGAATTGCGAGTAAGGTCGGAACGGCAACCAAAGAGTGCGTATGCCTCGTTGAATGCTGCGGGAAGGGGAATTCCGAGCCGCTCCTCGGCTGCTGATAGGACCGATTCGCTGTATCCATCAGACTCTTCTAACGGCGTCACCCAGTGGGAAGCGAAATCGCGAATAAAGTTCCAGGTCTCCCGCCGGTCATGAACGGCTGGAGTAATTCGCTCACAGAGGTCAAAGCTAGTACTCATTTCTAGCCTGGCGTGGAAAGACGGCCCTAGAAACTGCTAACATGGTGTTAGAGCATGAATGAAATTGAATGTTCATTTTTGATTACTTCGCATACTTATGACTTTTCAGATGACGAAGCGAGTGAACTGCGGGGGCGAGAAGGTCACAGTCTGGATAGGGGAGGGAGATTCTTAGTTCCCTGGGAAAAGAGGTGATGAGCCCGTGAAGTTGTCAGGTCGCCGGGCTTTTTGGGTGCTCAGTTGGTCTCGTATTCGCTAGCAGTTTCGCATATACTATCGTAATATAGGGAAAAGATTTTCAGTCGTGTCAATCTTGGTCTCCACAAGGCCATCATCAAGATGTACGTTTCATGAAGATGATTCATAGTAATCTCGGCGTCTTCAAAGGCTTTATACTTCCTCTTCCGGCCTGATACCAGGTAGAGTGGATGTTGTCGGAATACAGGGCATGGAGACGGTTGCATGTTAGTGTGAAGTTTGACAAGAGTATATCCCGAGGGACGTAGCCAGGGATGCCGTCTCTCGCCAGATAACACCATGACAGATACCACCATGAGCGTGTGGCGCGGTTTATGGATCTGTTATCGCCCATGGTTTCAACAAAGTGCTTTCACAACCACAATGCTCGCATCTCAAAAACCGGTATCTGCTGGGATGGGGCCGTTGACACCTTTCCTATTCGAACCGACATCTGGAACGATGCTGAGCTTAAACCATTGCTTGAACTGCTTCGTATTCGCAAGGGGCTGGTTGCCCTTAGGTACAAACCCCTGGGAGAAGGATATCGCTGATGAGGCTGATGGCTGGATTCTTGTGCGGCAGATTGTGCATATACTGTGAGGGGATATCCACGCTGGGACGTTGCGTCTGCGGTACGCTACGTTTTGATCAATCAAGCCATAGCAGAATCAACTATCGATTTTTGACCGCAGTTCTATGCTAATAAGAGGTAATCACAGCCACGAACATACGGCTTCGAGTACTAGGGTGCTCCCGACAACCAAAAAGGGGTCAACGGGCTATATACAGACCTTTCCTATAGAAGGAGAGCCTCATGACCCTTTCCACCATCCAAACAACCCCGCCACCAACATAATCACACCTCTATGGCTACCTCTTACTCCAGCGAAACCTCCGAAACCTTCGCCCGTCCAACAAACCACCCATCATTGCCCTTCAACGCCGCCTCGCGGATAGCATAGAGCTCGTCGATGAAGGCAGTCGCAAAGCTTCCCGGGCCGCGGACATATTCCTTGGCCGCTGCGTTTTCAGCCGCGATCTCGTACATGAGTAGTGCGGAGAGGACGGCGAGGAATTTGTCGGTTGGGTGCGTTGCGAGGAAGCAGCCTGATACGGTGCCTAGGGCGCAGCCGGTCTGATTTGGGTATATAGGTTAGCCATACACATATCAGGAAGGATGCAGTGCAGCGCATAGGAATGGAATCGAACGGATTGGAGAGAGGGTGGGGGGGTACATACCCCGGTAACCTGGCCAAGGAACTTGTGGCCGTTTTCGACGGCGACGACGCGGTTGCCGTCGCTAAGGTAGTCGACCGCGCCTGTGAGTAGGACGATGTTTCCTAGAGGGTGTCAGCGCAACTGTCCCAATTAGAAACATTGTGGGATGCAGTATGTTGACGTACGCTCCCTCCGCGCAAGATCCCTCGCCAGCCTCGCTTTAGCCTTTGCATCCAGCGCACTGGGCCCACTGTCGACACCACGCTGCTGCACCGAACTACTCCCCGCAACCTGCCGGATCTCTCCCTCGTTGCCCTTGATGAGGTCAAAGTATCCGCCCGCCATGAGCTGCTTGACGACGCCGCGTCGGATTCCCGTTGCACCAGCACCGACGGGGTCGTAGACCACGGGGTTCCCGCGCTGGTTGTAGGCTTGGATCGCTTTGAGGTACTCCGGCGGGCTCTGTGCGGTCAGCGTGCCCATGTTTATTACCAGGGCGCCGTCGAATTGGCAGAGGTCTTTTGCTTCGTCACCGTAAGGAGACATGATTGGGGATGCGCCGCTGGTTGTGTTAGTTAGAGGTGAGATGTGAGGCAGTTGGGTTTGAAGCTCAAAATGACAACCTACATGGCAAGGGTGACGTTTGCAACAAAGTTCGCAACAACAAAGTTGATCATATTGTGCACAAGCGGGTGGACCTGGACCAGTTTCTGCACGATACCAGGTACGCTCTCGACCAGCGTGGCTGTATCAGAGGAAGCGCTGGCGTCCAGGTTCCGGACGAAGGGCGGAGGAGTGGCGATGAGTTGAGCGAGGTTCGCCGCGGCGGCTTTCGGGTCTTCGGCCGCCATGATCGCACTGACGATTGCAGCACCGTCCAGGCGCTTACGGGGGGACTCCGACTGATACAGAACGCGTTGGACGTTGGAGGCGTTGATTCCGCCAATGCACACCGTTCCCACTGAGTTGCCTGAATCGGCAATGGCTTCGAGGATAGCCTGTGTGCCGGCGGTGCCGATGATCGACTTGGTGTTGGTTTTCCTGGATCGCCAATGTTAGCCTCATTGAGCATGCCCGGTCATGTCTACCCTTACGTAGGCGTCGCAAACATGGTTCCTATCCCAAGATAGTCCGCGCCAGCTGCAACGGCGGCCTGGGCCTCTTCAATGGACGAAGCGCTGATCCCGATGATGGCATCCTTTGGCAGGAGCTTCTTCGCTTCAGAAATCACTGCGAGAGTTAGTGACAATGGCCACTAAAAACTGTAGGATGCATACACATATCATCCTGCCCGAGATGCACACCCTCGGCGCCAACCGCCAGCGCAACATCGACACGGTCATTGATAATCAACGGCACCCCATACGCCTGTGTGATTTGATGAAGCCTACGGGCAATCTCAATCTGAGCGCCCGTATCACTCTTCTTGTCCCGGTACTGGACAACGGTTACACCTGCGTAACGAGGGGTCAGCGAAAGGCTCCGATCGCCGGTGAGGGAAGCGGGGTAGCATCAGCCATACCGCCCTTGAGAGCCTCTTCCACCACGGCGCACAGATCGCGATCCCGGAGGATGGCAGGCGTCGAGTCTGTCACCAGGTAGACGGAGAGATCGAGCTTCATTTTGGCGATTTCTGAGGGTGTCACGGTGCAGATGCAGAGCACTAAACCTGTTTCGCTCTGCCCCCGCGCTGCGATTTATGGGGGAACAATGTATTTCCGGGGCGGATTCGGGAGCCCCGCGTCGGACAACTGCCGAGATTTTCTCTCTCTCCAAGTATACTGAGCTTCGAGGGCGATCTAGCAGTGGAAGGATATCTGATTATACTGCACTGAGCGGAATGACCAGGATCATTTATCTATCAAAATAGAAAGCATCTCCTCCAAACCCCCCATCTCAAGGCCTAACTCCGGCTCAATCGCCTCAATCTCCATCAACACAAACGGCCGATCAGTACTCACCAGTCCATCGATGCGCATGTATGCAATGTCTGCTGCTGGCCCCTCGCCAAACCACTTCCTGAGTGTCTCAAAGACTGCGTTGACAACACTCAAAGTTTCGGAGCCAATTTCCTCAATAGCCACCTGGCTGATGCGTCCACCAAATGACGATTGGCACCGGAACTCGCCGTCTTTCGGTATCTTCAACGCGACATTACAGAGCTTGTCGCCAATAAAGACAAACGAGTACTCGCCCGTCGCAATCGCAGGCTCAAACCGTTGAACTAGCAACAAACTTTCAAGACGTCCCTTTGTGCAACCATCCAGGTACGCCATATCCTCCGCGGATAATGATGCCACATCAGCAACGAGATGAGTGTTTGTCGAAGAGGCCGAAATAGACGGCTTGAGCACAATAGACCCAGACGCTTGAAAACGCAGGAGACGTTCACGTAGCGCCGTCGCCGTAGGGAATTTCTCCGCGTCGACGATCTCCGTCATAGGGATGTCGAAGCCGGCCTTTTGCATGTCGAGAAGATATTTCTTGTCCATGTTCCACCGGACTAGCGGGATGTTGTTTAGCGCGCGTGGAACTTTGGCATTATGACCCGCAGCTTCCGTTATTGCTTGCTCGGCCTTGTCGAGGAACTGCGCGAATTCGTATGGGTGGCGGATGTAGTCTTCGGCCCAGAGGAAATTCACCACGTCGTGATTCAGAATCGCGTCAATGATGTCTTCGTCGAGCCAGCGTTTGATGGTCACGGACGCGCCCAGCTCTTTGAGACGCGCAGGCAGCATCGCGTTCGACCAGTCGTCGATGGAAACATATTCCTCGATGATATCGAGTGGGACGGTGGCCAGGAATAGGATGCGCTTCATCGTGGGTTGTGTTGAGAGTGTGTCGTTTGACAAGAACCCAAGTTGCGAAAGGCTCGTTCTTATAGTTTTCGGCTGCAGTTGTTGACCAATCATGTCGAAATCGGTTGACTTTATCCTACTCGGTATCGACTGGAAAACCGTGTCCTGGTACATAGGCAGGCGCCACTCTCGATTAAGAAGCACCTGCGCCTCTGCTGGGGTACTAGTACTGGCAAACGGTAGTCTACAGACATGTATGACTCTCGAATCCCTTCTTACAATCTTCAGTGCCGCAGTATCCCAGAAAACACGTCCTACACCAATCATCAACAACCGCAGCATCGATACCACATATACAACACCACAGTGGCGTCGTCCCCTGCTCTTCCGCCTCACTCGCCAGCGCCCGTCGAAGTTCCTTAGCATCAGGGCCAAGGAGGTATCTCTCAATCTCGTCAGAGTCAACGAAAGCGGGAGTGTCGAGCTTTGGCAGCCAGCGCGCCCACGAACTCTTCCGCCGAAACGCCGCCATGACACGGAACCGCTTCGAGAACTCGCGATCGACAGCAATGAACGCACCAATGCCTCGGACGATCTCCTTCCCCTGTCCCTCGCCGCCCGCGTGGCGCAGGATAAACTCGCGAAAGGCACGGCCGATCTTCTCGCTTCTTGCCGGCCACTCCTCCGCCTCGGCTACGTTTACGATTGCCATCGCTTCGAGCAGCACTGGAATTGCAATGGGTCGGGTGACCATCGATCGCCAGAATCGAATTGTCTGGAGGATCTGCTCTCGCTTGGTGTAGGCGAGGTGGCGCATCATCATGCCGTTGAAATTGAGCGCAATCCCGCTCACGCCCATGCCCTTGCCGAAGGCAATCAGGTCGGGTTGCAGGTCTGGGTTTTCGGAGTATTCGGGTCTCTGACAGACCCAGGGCGCGCCGCAGCGGATGGCTGTCATTGCTTCGTCGACGAGGAGGAAGATTCGTGCCTTGGTGCAGCAGATGCGGAGCATGCGATAGTGCTCTGGTGGGAAGATCGATCCATCCGAGGCGTTGACGAGATCGCAGATCACCGTGACGCAGCCTTGCTCTTTGGCGGTGCGCAGCTTCTCGAGTAATATGTCCTCTGAAGCAAAGTCGTCCCGAGTTATTGAAAATGGAGCAGGACCAGCTCCAATGATTTGGTACTCCCATTCTTCCGACGAATGTGCCTGTTATTTGCTCGTCAGAACCTTTTTTTTCATACAGAGTTGGGGAAGACCATACTAGCGGTCCAAACGCACAACCATAAATCCCCTGCACGGTCGCCAGCTTGGGTGCCGAAATATGCACATCCGTCCATCCTAACAAGTCCCTTACAAACTGGTGCACCTTTTCTGGCTCCGGGTCATCCTTGAGTAACGGCGACAATTTCGGATCCTCGACGACCAATGGACACGTCGATGCAGTGTTTAGGATAAGGCTGGCGAGGGTGGTGGGGATGAGGACATCGCTGACATGCGCGTGGAAGGTGATCGGCCAGTAGCCGCCGAAGAACGAGGCGAACCGCGTTGTATACTCGTTGAGGAGCTTGTGGTACTGGCCTTCTACTCGGGCGGGGTTTTTGGCGTAGTCCTCCCAGACGAGGCGGGTGCGCTCGTCATTCTTGATCGCGTTGGCGGAGTAAAGTGTGCCCCAGCCATTGTGGAGGTCGTGATCTAGCGGCGGCTGCTCGTGATTCAAGTGGCCATTTGACGTGGCTTTTGCGACTTTTGTCGTCCCGTTCATGATGAATGGATGGATAGCAGCTTGGCTGGACGAAGGACGGCGTCCTTCGTGCTATGACGATAATGTTGAAGAAATGACGATGGAGGATAAAATGCACTCGACTGCAGCTATCCGGTAATGAGACAGTCAGTGGTAAGAGGGTTGTCGAAGGTCAAAGAGGTTCCAGGCGAGAGGCGAAGTTGTTCTCAAGGTGCTCCTTCCCCAACATTACCCCTCCCTTTTATGCTTCCCGCCCATATTGTCTTGGAATGGCTTTGTTGTTGTTCCGGGAATGTCGGCGCAGCTGAACCTTGTGCAGGCCGGGCTGGCTGACGCAGTGACGCAGTGACACGTCCAGCCAATCGCCTCTTGTGCTCTGGAGGAAACAGCCTGCAGGCTTTAGTAGCGCCGATTACTGCACGGGTTTGTCGATCCCTGACACGGACGAACCCTTGCGGACCAGTCAAACCCGGTCTGATCTGCCATGATTCTTGGCCATTCGACAGCAATCGTTCAGCTTCGTGGTTAATGCAGACTTGGTCACACCGTCACCCTGGCCCTGCAAAACTGCAAAACAGGATGTTGCCTGCAGTGCCTTGAAAGCTGGTTTTCGTCGCACAAACCGCTGCCGCCTGCCCATGCGCTTTTCCTCCGAAGGATCCTTCAACCCTGCCCAGTCAGTGCCGTGGCCGCCCCTTCCTTCGGGGAATGCTGCAGGCACCACGGCCCGTGCGTCTTAAAAACACCCACTGCAGAATGTTCTGCTTTTGCATCCCATTCTCCACAGATGCACGCTGGGACGGGAGTGCGCAATGTTTCTATCTTCGGTCCAAGGCAAGCCAATCGCCCCGTGGGGTCGTCGCTGGCGGTCGTCGGACACTTTTATCATCACCACACTGTCCTTAGCTATATTTACAGGTATGTCGTCAAATCCACTCTGAAACCCATCCTGATCGCGTGGCAGATGAGCTCCTTTTCGCATTCATGGTGCCTCTTCTCCCGACCGTCTTGGAGCAGCGCATTGGCCTCGACGCGTCGCTCACTCAAAGATATACTTCAATATTCCTGGCCGAGGGAGCATTCATCACCGTCGTTTCGAGTCCTCTCATCGGATCCATCGCAGACGCGGTCTCATCCAAGAAAACGCTTTTGCTGGGCCTGCTCGTGCTGGCATTGATGAGCGTCGCCTCCCTGTCGCTCGCTAGAACGTGTATGTCTGATTCTTTCCAGACCATAACCAATGCCTGGAGCTGACAAAACACAATTATAGTGCCGTGGCTATTAATTGGTCGCGTTTTCCAATGCACCGTCAGCAACGGGCTGTGGATCGTCGGAATGGCGACCATGGCGGAGAATATCGGATCCGAACATATGGGCAAGGTCACTGGGCTAATCTCCGCTCTCACAGCGGCTGGAACGATTGCTGGTCCAGTTTTGGCGGGCATTCTGTTCAGTATCGGGGGATATTGGTTCGCTTGGGCTGGCGCGGTCGGGTTTCTCGTCGTCGACATGATCCTGCGACTCCTGATGGTGGAGAAACAGACTTCACCACACGTCGACGATCAGGAGGCGCGCGAGGATGACCCTCTCCTCCCAGAACCCACATCAGACAACGGCAGTGACTCTGGTTCCGCGATATCTGAGGAAATACAAGGCTGGCGCTTCTACTCATGTCTCCTCCGCCAGCCCCGATTCAGCACCGGACTCGTCTGCTACTACGTTTTCGCTCTTCTGATCGCCTGCTTCGAGTCAACACTCGCAGTGCACGTGCGGAATGTATTCAACTGGGGTGCGCTACCTGGCGGACTACTGTTGGCATCAATACAAGGGCCAAGGATGATACTCGGGCCAGCAGTAGGATGGCTCAAGGATCGCTACGGGTCACGAACACCAACAGCGATAGGACTCCTGAGCATTGTTCCCTTCCTCTTTCTCTTGGGCGCTCCTGGCGATCAACGGTTCCCATGGGCCAATGGGGAAGACCGAGGCAAAATAATTTACTCTTGCGCGATGGTTACGTTGGGCTGCTTGACGTGTCTTTTGAACGGTGTCGGAATGATGGAGGCAACTGGTAAGCTACCTGCCACTATGGTATTTCACTGTCTGCTTTTCAACACTAACCGTGTCAACGCGCAGAAACAATCGACCTACTAGAAGAGCGCCAGCCAGGTATCTTCGGCCCCAACGGCGGCTACTCGCGTGCCATTGCCCTCACGAGCATGGTCTGGGCGGCTGGCCTGTTGTCGGGGCCTCTTCTGGCTGGTGTAGTGGTCGAGCGGTTCGGCTACTTTGAGTTGCAATGTGCTCTTGGTGAGTTACGCGTTCTCCCTGATGTTCGCTAGTATTATCTAGTTACTAAACTGCGATAGCTATAATTTGTGGCATTGCGAGCGTTATCGCTTTGCTTTTTCTTGACTCTCGCTCCCAGCGTGGTGGCCAGTAGCTGACTGGGAGAGGTGTAGTGTTTAGTGTATATGTATGCATAGTCTTAATTTGTATTATAGCCAAGCAACGCCATGCAGGTCATCAGCACGCTTCTGCGAACGCTCCACAAACTGCGGGCCGCATGCTGTTTTCATGGCCTCCATCATCCCCTTTTGCATTGCATCTGCACAGTATCAGCCTTCGAGAGCCCGTCACAATTCCCGGAGCTCTCGATGTGACAAACAAGTGCATGTGCATGTACATGGTATAGTATGTAGGTGAGACGGACCAGTCACTCGCGGGCATCATCGAAGCCACGAGGGACGAACCAGCCACTCTCGATCCGAAAGATAACCAACCACTCGACCAACCGCGATCGAAAATCTCGTTGCCTCGATAACTCGATCTCCCAATGTCCTCCGTACTCGGTCCAAGCCCCGCTGTCCGTCGCAAGATGTAAACATGCCCCCAGGTCCGTCAGCCGCCTCGGGATCTTATCTTTACCCGTGGACCTCAGCTCGCCACCCATGTCCTGCACCCCTGGCGCCAGAGCCATGGCAGCGCTTAGATTTCACATGGCGAATTCTCCAAGCCACCTGAGTTCCTCCCAGTCTTCAATTCAGCTGCGGTCGAGGTCAGCCTCTTTCCTTTCCCCTTTGGCATGGGTTTCTTCGGGATGGAGGCTAAAAGTGTGATTTCTCCACCTGTCATTTATAACATTCTACCCTGCGCCGGTCCTTGCACGGTACTTGGTAATAGATTACTGGAGTTGAAGAAAGGGTGTATGTTCCTACAGCACCAAGACACGAAGGAACCTTTGACCCCTGCATGCTCTCTCTTCATTTTGTGTGTTCAGTGGTCTAGATTTTTGGCCCTCGCCAGATTATATGTTGGGTCATTGAGGGCTCCCCGTAAGATCCCTCTGCCTGCTTGTAGCAACATCTTACAATCTGAGGAAGGATTAGCCAAAAGTGTTGCTCTCAGCATGTCCTGAAGAACATATCTAACTGCACCAACTCATAATATGTCGTTATGTTCATGGTCAAATGCTGGAGCGCAGCGCGTGGTGATTGGGCCCGTCGGCTGTGGGATTGCGGGGTCGGATAAGATGGCTCGCTCCCGAGGTTCGTCTGTCGCTCAAATAATAATCGCATCCCCACCAGCAGGGCTGCTGGAGATTGGCAAAGGAAAAACAAACATCATGTCCGACCTCCCAGGCTTCGATAACTACTTTAATCTAACCGGCAAGGTCGCGCTGGTGACTGGCGGTACACACCTCCCTGTCCATCCCTCCCCGGACTACTGCCCATACTCCACACTGTATATTTCCAGAACGAACTAACAGCTCAACCAGGCTCGCGCGGCCTGGGCCTACACATCGCGACGGCCCTCCTCCGCGCCGGCGCCCGCACAGTCTTCATAACTGCCCGCAAAGAACCCGGCGTGCGCGAAGCCGTCGACAAGCTAAACGCCCTGCCCGGAATAAAGGGCAAAGCCATCGGGATCGCCGCGAATGTCTCGGCGACAGAGGAGATCCAGGCGCTTGTCGAGCAGGTGAAGCAGAAAGAGTCGCAGCTCGATATCCTGATTGCGAATGCGGGCGCGACGTGGGGTGGGCCGTTTGAGAGCTCGCCGGATTGGGCGAGTCAGAAGGTTGTGGATTTGAATGTGAGGGGGGTTTTTAATCTGGTGCGATTGTATGTCTCGTCTCTATACGCTCACACGCGAGTGTCATGTCGTGTCGTGTCCAAGTCAAGTGCTAAATCCATTCTTAGATTCACGCCTATGCTCCAAGCATCCGGAACACCCACCTCCCCCTCACGCGTCGTAATTGTCAGTTCCGTCGCGGGCTCTGTGGTCTCGCACACGGGTGAGAACGGCACAATCATGTACTCGGCCTCGAAAGCCGCAGCGACGCATCTCGCGCGGAACCTCGCCGTCGAACTGGGTCCCAAGAATATCACGGCAAACAGTCTCTCGCCGGGATTCTTCCCCTCGAAGCTGGCGAATGGACTCATTGAGAAGTTGGGTGGTGAGGAGGAGTTGCGGAAGGGGTATCCGAGGCAAAGATTGGGGGTTCCGGATGATATCGGGGCTTCGGTGTTGTTTTTGGTTAGTCCGGGGGCGAATTATGTGTAAGGTCCTTTTCCCTTTGTTCCTTTGAAGGGTTGCTAATGGAGTACTAGGACTGGAGTTGATCTGGTTGTCGATGGCGGAAGTCGTCTTGCGAGGGGGAAGTTGTAGACTCTGTATTCGACAGTTCTAGTGAGAATGATACTATCGATCATTCTTGATCGACTTGACTGCTTTAATGAAGTCTCTGCATTGATAGTGAAAGCGAACTGCGCTCTACTTGTCACTATGCATCTGGTCAATAGGGCCGCATAGTTAACCCAACAGGGTAAAGAGCAAAGTAAGACCTCTTAATACAGCATCTCTACCACTGCTACAATGTAAGCAACGCCCCTGAATTATTCGGTCAGACTCGCTTCTACTGCTGTTTTTATACAGTTCTCTTCTTAGCTTTCAAGTCCTGAACCACTGTTAAATCCTCGTAGTACATACCAGTGCTAGCTAAGGCTTCCTATTATTGCGGCGAATAGACCAGCCAGCAGAGGGACGAGTGGCATCACCCTGGTGACTATGGGCAGTGGTCGCTCCTTCCCTCTATGCCATCCATCTTTTACGTCTATCCCGCAGGGAAGCTGCGAGCCAGGTTCACGCATACCCGGGGTAACAGGCGTTCCTTCCCTTTATACTGTCCATTGTTTATATCAATCCCATAGGGAAGGTGCGACCTAGGTTGTTGTATCCGGGGCAACAGGCGTTCCTCTCTCGTGTTCAAGAATTAGAAAACATGCTCAGTGTCAGACAGGTCGATGATTCCCGTAGACTGTTATCGCTCTCAGGGAACTTTTGCTTCTGTATTGCAATCCTCCATGTCTTCGATCGAGACATACAATATGGTCGTTTCGTCATCTCTCACCAGGGACAGAAGGGACCAAGAACTATCATGTACTGCCCACTGTAATACAGGAGTCCGCGATGCCCATGGCGCTTATACCTGAGTTGCTCACAAGGCACTGGTTTTCCTGATATTGCACTTCGCGGCCTATTTTCCACACCGGCAAATACCATAATGTTCGACAATCAACGGTGAAGCTATGCTATAACGATGGAGTGTCCCTGGATGTGCCCCTGACAAATAAAGCGGGTTTGAACAAGGCAAGCGGAAAGAATTGTAAGGAAGGGCAGCAAGTTGATAATACGCGCAAAACCCCGCACGACATAATTGCCGCATAGACGGCAGCATGGCTAGTGGGCACAGGTATGAATATAGCCGAATGTCTCACCCACCTAGCTACCTTGGACGAACGGTGAGTGCGGGTGCGTATCGATCCCTGCCCGCGGCGGCGTCGGGACTCCGCCCTCTACAGCGGTATATCAACTATGCAGTGTGGCTATGCAAACACGACAGTCCCGCTCAACGTGACCTGCGGGGGTTATTCCAAATCGTGCCTGGCAGGGCGGCATCCTGGCCGTGCCCGAGAGGTAGGGGGAGTAAGCGGGGTGGTGTGATTTCCAGGCACCAGTGCACCAGACCATACCAGAATCAAGGTCAGATTCCTCCCGCTTACAGATCTCGGGATCGGGCCTTGTCCGGCCCGCGATATATCGCGGATCACGGCCGTGGTGTGGCGTGGCGAAGCTCTATACGGATACGCATACTCGCCTTGGCGGCGACTGCCTCCTCAGGTACCTTATGCTCCCCCAATCCGAATGGCATTATGTCGTCAGAGGTTGGATTCAAGCTTATTGAGTCGTGAAAAAGTATAGTGTGTAGACGGTATCCGTTTTCGAAGCTAGGCCGGGCATTCCAAGCCTCGAGGACAATACGCCCGACTCGATGCAGGACGATACGCGGCAACGGGTATATAAGGGGTAGACCAAGCCATCAAGGTCTGATTCACAGCAATCCAACTACAGCAAAATCAATCATAGCAGCTCCCGGCTTTGGAAAGCTGGTATGGCATCCTTGATACCTTTCGCAACAGCCCTCCTGGCACTTACCAACACCGCCTCGGCCGCCCCCTCCAACAACAGAGGCAGGTCGTGCGTCACCTTTGACATCGCCGTGCCAGTTACCGCCGAGAACTCCATCTACGAAACGCCCCGCGTTGACAACAACATTGACGCCGTCGACTGGATCTGGGATCTGGAGACCTGGACCTCACCCAACATCACGGAGCGCATCAAGGGCGTCAAGAAGGTCCAGGACACGTTTTCGATCAATGCGCAGCTTTGCGTCCCCAAGGACAAGAAGGCGGATAAGAGTGGGATTCTGCAGATTGCGACGCATGGGTTTGCGTTTGATAAGCAGTGCGTTCTTCCACCCCAAAGCCATGGATGTGTACAATCGGGTTCAGCTAACGAATCTTCGCAGATACTGGGACTCCGAGATTGAACCCGAGAAGTACTCTTACGTCGACGCTGCTCTCAAGGCCGGCTACTCAATCCTCACCTACGACCGCCTGGGCGTCGGCAAATCCAGCAAGCCCGACGCATACGAGGTCGTCCAGGGCCCCGTGGAACTCGAGATCCTCAAGGAGCTGACTGTCCGTGCTCGCTCTGGCGACCTCGCGAAATCCATCAAGGGGAAGCATGTTGATATCCCCGACTTTGAGAAAATTGTCCTTGTCGGCCATTCGCTCGGCTCCGCTGTTACCATCGGCGTCCTCTCGAAATACGGTGAGATTGTCGACGGCGCCGTCTCCACGGGCTTGATTACACAGGGCAAGCTGGGACAGACGGGCCAGTCAGCCTTCGGGCTTGAACACGCAAAGAGCCACGATAAGAAGAGATTCGGCGACCGCGGCAGCGGATACCTGGTTCAGGCGACCTTGAGCAACGTGCAGCAGATCTTCTTCAAGAAGGGACATTTTGACGAGAAGCTGCTCAAGTACGGAGAGAAGATCAAGGAGACGGGTACTATCGGCGAGTTCCTCAGCTTGGGGTCCGTCCTGGCGACTCCTGCTCTGAACTACAAGGGGCCTCTTTTGGTATGTTCACTCACCTCGCCCTCGGATACTGTCCAGTGTTTGTTCTTGGCTCACTGACCTCTGTCTAGTTCGCCCTCGCCGAGTACGACTTTGGAACCTGTTCCGGAGACTGTAAGGGATCGTACGACTATGATGCCATCAGGAACGATATGTTTCCTGCGGCGTCGGATGTCGAGGTGCATATCCAGGAGGGAAGTGGGCATGCCTTGACCATGCATCACAATGCGACGGGCCATTTCCAGGCTATCTTTGGGTACCTGGATGCGAAGGGCCTGTAGGCCCGGGGCTTTGAGATGGCCTTGAGGGAGGATGTGTCTACAGTGAGGGAAGAAGAGAAAGAGGTGTGCACATACTTGTGTACTTGTACATGGTAGTTAGTTTCCATGAATCGTACTGGACTGAGTAGCCACCATCAGATACCAATTTGTCCGTATTCACTTTTGTTGGTTCCAGCAAGGCTCACTGAAACCATGGCCAAGCCCATTCATTCTACTGCACCAACCATCTAAGAACTACCCTCAATGTATCAGACTCAGCTCTCCCCTAGGATACTGAAAACCGCCAGAGAGGCATGAGAAACCCACACACGAGGCCCTCTATCCAACCGGATATCCCAAGTCAGGTCAGCCATCCACGGGCTGGTCGAACCCTTCTCCAACGACATCGTACTCGGAAAACGCCCAGCCAAACATCGTCCGGAGATCGAGCGAGTCCACAGTTTGAAGGTCTGATATGGATTCAAAGTCGATTGGGACTGGGTAATCAAGGTCCAGGTCGAGGGCGAGGTCGAGGTTGTGAGACTGTGTTGTCGATTCTGTTCCTAGCGGAGGGGGCGGGGGCATGGAAAAATGGGACTGAGGGTCCTGAGACATGGGTGGGGATTAGCATTTGTATGAAGTGGTCGAGGCCGAGAATCAGGGGAGAGGAGAGGAGGGCAAGGAAGAGCGCGCGCAAAACCGACCAGATGCGGACTGTGATTGCCATCGCCATGATCATGCTCACGAGCCCCGATCCCGTTCCCGTTCCCAATCCCAAGACCGCGATCAGTACCAGCACCAAAACCGGAACCGGACCCGAGTCCCTCTCCGGCTACTCCCTCCACTGGCTTCTGAGCATCCCAGTAGTACTGCCGCGCGATATGTGGAAACTCCGCCATGAGGGACCCCGGAAGCGCGTTGTTCGAGGCGATATCCACGAGGCTGAAATAGCCCGCTGCCGTTTCGAGGAACAGCAAGTTCGCTTGGGATTCCGGGTGGCGTGGGTTATGGATGACGAGGTCGAAGAGGATAAAGACTGCGGAGACGGGGAGGACGGCTAGGATGCTGTGGCCCACACAGGTTAGATTTATTTCTAGTTTGAGGGGGCGTTTCAGGGGTAATAAATGGGGTATTTGAGGCTGTTGACGTACAAAATCGGCACATGAGGCTGGATCTCGATGAACCGCGTCAATTCGATGATTGTTCGCGCGGTGCGCATCAGCCGCGCCTTACTCTCCCGGGCCTTCTCCGCATCGTCGCGATTCAGGTACAGCGAGAGGCGATCCAGCGCAATCACCACGTGGTAGTAACTATAATGCAGCTGCAACGCAGCCAACCGAACGACCCAAGGAGCCCCAGAGGGAAACTGAGTGGCGTCTCCCGGTCTAAATGCCAGCGGCAGCGACTGACGCCACCCCTCCAACATGCCCCAGATGGATTCGATGGAGCACCGCCGGCGCTCAGGGGAGGTGAGCTGTGCGCTCGTCGAGAAGAGCGAAGTGCACACGATGGAACTGATTCGGCCGATTCGGATGTAGGCCATGAACCAGTTGAAGTTGGGCCCGCCAAATTGGGCGTCGGGGAATGGCGGGACGGCGCAGCTGATGTCTTCGTCGGGGATTATCTACTTGGCGTACTTGGTTAGAAAGAGCGCACGTCGAGGGCGAGAGGGGGTTGTTTATGGCTATAACCCACGGAACACGCGCGGCCATGCATGGTCTGTTGCTTTTCAAGAGCGTAGATCACCCAGAATACTCTCAGATGTTTTGGCTCGAGGTCCATGTTCTTGTGGTACCGCAGGGTGATGGCCATGCGGGCAGCGTGTGAAATGAGATAATCGTCAAGCTGCAGGGCGCAGGTGTTCATCGCATAGATGGACTGTTTCGCAGTCAGTTCGGATTCCCTTGAACAATGTGCAACGGATGTTTACCATAGCTGTCAAGGCCTGCAAGAACAGTTAGCGGCGATGCCAAAATGCCGGAATGGCCCGAAGGAGGGACAGACTTGAACGCTCTCAATAGACTCGCGCGGTAGGATTATATCACTCATATGGCTGAGGGCGACCTGGAACAAAGCCCATGACCGCCCCTTGCCCGGCTCGAATGTCCCGTTGGCGAGGAATTGGCTCCCGAGTGCTAGGACGGCGTGGTAGAGCGCCGAGAAGCTGGGATTGCGAGTGAGGTGCTCTGACAATGTGGCGCTGAGCGCCTGAGCTTCGAAATCCGAGCGATCGAGGAATGGGTATATTGAGTGCAGGTTTGTGAAGAAGGCTATGCGTAGTTAGTGGCAGAAATATAGCATGGGACGTTTTAGATATCGCGTCGCTCCAGTCAAGTCACCTTTAATACTTGCTTTGACCTCATCAGCAGGGATGTGGACATCCCGGATGGGATTCCGGAATTGAATACGCGCCAATGACGAGACAGGGGGGAGCCCAAGACGGTGCAGGATAAAGTCATCCAACTTCCGAACCACATCCTGCAGGCGAGAGTCGCCAATCCGCTGCGTGAGGGAGAGCACTTTCTGCTCCGAGAAGAATGCCAGGCCGGAGCTGGCGACTGCGCTTGTCAATACGGGATTAGAACGTAACTAGCTATGTATGATTTCTGTTCAAGATGCCAGGGACCTACCGTGCTCAGCGGGCATCTGCAAGACGATAAGTATGAGTCGTCGCCAGTGCCAGATCCACTTTGTGCTGTGATTGACTTACAGTAAAAATGCTCGATTCATCAGAAACCGCGACATCTTCGGGCCCGTCATGCAGAAGACGATCGATATATAACTCGCCCAAGCCACCGTGGGCAGCAGACTGCGTGCTGGTAGGCTGCAATGTAGGGACTGCATACTGTCAGAGAGTATCAAAAAAAAGGAAATCGCCCTGCCTCTAACTCGCGCTTTCCGCCGAAAGACACTAAATGTGCAGGTCTGTCCACGTTTCTAATGTCGACTGTTGGTACAGCTCTCTTCTACGTAGATATTCATCGATCATCGGGGTCTCACTGAGCAATACGTGCAATTGGCCCGAGAGCCAGAATCCGCATCTGGAACTGTAGTCGGCAGATTGTCAGCGCGTGGACTCGTGGGCATGGAGCTAGATATCGTGAGACCAGATGCTTACTGATACATCGGATCTTGCGGTGCCTGCATTGATCGCATGACCTGTTCAGCTTCAGCGACATATCTTTTCGGAGTAGTTCTGGTTCACGTGGGGTCGTCTTGGTCTGGAAAGGGGAGGGAGGGGTGTTAGGTGGGCAGCGGGGTCGCTGGTGATGCGACGGTTTCAGTTGAAATGGATGTGGGTCGGCTATCCCAATTGCATTGCTCGTATGAGCTCTCGACCACTCACTGCTCAGTTACAAAGCCAAGGCCTTGGCTGCGTGGGGGCTGGACAATGAATTGCGAGGGGCAATGAAGTAGGTACCATATTGATGATTACTCCATCACTGATCATCAGGGGAGTCATCGACAAAAGGGTGGATTGCTGGAGAGTGATTATATTGAGACATACATTGATATGTGTAAAGGGAAGACTATTATGCCATCACTTGGTGCTCGCGAAGAACAAGGAACTGGGGTCCTGATAATTTTGTATACAAAATCCTATGCTGTAAAACTCTTCCTCTATCTAATAACAAAATAAAAATAAACATCTACTCTCCCCCATACAATCTACCTAGTATATACTACTGTTTCCGCCCCCTCCTCGGCACCCTAAACACCCAATACAATGCCACCGCAGCGGCCACGTTAAAGAGTATATAAACCCACAGCACCCCAAAATTCCTCCACGCATCCTTATAGTAGATATCAAATCTAGAGAGGAACTGATCCGTCGTTGAAATGACACAGTACCGACACGTATCCATCGCGTCCGGGTTGAGGAGGTTGCCTCCCGTCTCGGTCGCGAAGGGATCCAGAAAGGCGCCGCAGGAAAGATTCGAGGGGGCCGCGATCTCGAGCATCTCGGTCTCTGTGCATGTTACGTTTGCGCCGCCGAGGGCTGCGGCCATGACCCCGCCGACGAGATATGTACCGGGGGAGACGGGGTGCATGAATTTCCAGAAGGTGGGGAAGTCGGCTTTGGGGATTGCGACGCTAAGCAAGTTGCAATGTGAGTATGCATGTCCTCTATTCATCGTCTATCTTCTTGTCATCACTTCCAGTTTTCGAGACTCACCCGCAAAAGACCAAACAAAACATCCACAGCAGGCTCGCGATGACCCCTCCAATCTCTGCATTCGGGACCCACGTGATGGCAAAATGCGAGAACGTGCTGGTGAAGAGCATGAACATCCACAGGAACAGGAAGACCAGGAACCCCCTGATCTCCCTGTCCTCGACTGCGGTGTTGGCGACGAATCCGATGGGGTAGTACCAGCAGACGTAGATGAGGACAGACATGAGTGTGTTCCAGCCGGCTTCGACGAGGATGTTGGAGAGGAGGAATGCTATACGGCCGTCAGTATGCAATGGTCCCAAGAAGCGGAGGATGAACGCATCAAGACGGGACTGAGCTCAGTACGTACTTGTCCAGTGGTAGATCTTCGACGGCCTTTCGCGGGTCTCGTATAAAGACCGCTGCGGCACGAACATGGGCATAATCTGCTCGTTGATATTGTTGAACATGACGAGGAACATGAAGATCGCGTAGAGCTGGTTCGAGAGGCCCTGGATGGAGTTCTTTGCGCGGAAGCTGAGGCCAATGTAGAGAGACTTTGCATGTTGTCGTTAGCGATGTCATACTTCAAGTATGGTAGAGAGAGAAGTACTCACCGAGAGGATAACCAGAGCAATCTTCGACCAGAGATATCCAGGCGACCGCCAGAAATGTTTCCCTGTCCTGTCAAGGACCACGCAGAGCTGCCTCCAGTACGAGGCAACAAACTCACGATGCTGCGAGGGCTCGCTCTGGGCTGCACTCAGCGCATCGCCTCCGCTCTCTGCCTCTAGAGCAAGGCTGCGTAGCCGCCCTAGTTCAGCCTTGACTGCGCGAAACTCAGGGCTCTCCCGCCAAACCCGGTGCCAGTCAGAGGTCTTGTGCTCATCATCGGTCGACTGCCTGATCACATCGAGCATCCACTCGGCTTGGTTCGCTCCAGGCGGACACATCGGTGCTCCGTTCCTCTCCAGGTACTCAATAAGCGTCCTCGAGTTCGTCCCTAGATCTCCAAAATACACTGTTTTACCACCAGGCGCAAGCAACAGGAGTCTATCAAACTGGTCGAACAGCAACGCCGACGGTTGATGGATCGTACAGAGGACCGCCTGGCCGCTCGCAGTGAGCTTCTTGATCAGTTGCAAAATTGCCCAGGATGTCTGGGAGTCTAGTCCCGAGGTCGGTTCATCAAGAAAAAGGAGCAGCTGCGGCCTCGCGGCAAGTTCCACGCCAATTGTGAGCCGTTTGCGCTGCTCGACGTTGAGGCCTTCACCCGGGGTTCCGATCACGGCGTGCTCAAAGGACTGCATCTCGAGAAGGTCGATGACGTAGTCGACGTAGTCTAGCTTTTCCTTCGTGGCTATCTCGGCTGATTGCCGTAGGAGGGCGCTGAACTCGAGTGCTTCGCGGACGGTCATCGTGCTGAGATGGAGATCCTGTTGCTGTACGTAGCCGACACGATGCTGGAAGGAGGAGTCGGTTGGTGCACCATTGATGAATGTGCTGCCGGAGACAACGCCAACGGAGACTCGGTTGGCGAGCACGTCGAGGAGCGTGGTTTTGCCAGCGCCGGATACTCCCTAATCAAGCGAGGTAGTCAGTGAATGGTATAGTCACAAGGGCTGTAAGTGTACTTGCCATGAGAGCAGTCGATGCACCGGGTTTGACCCAGCCGTCAACGTGATCGAGGATACGGCGTTCCGTGCCCTTGATGCTTACGGTGTAGCACAGGTCCTCCCAGTGGAATATCGCGGCGTTCTCTGTCGACCTAGGTCGATCAACATCGTACCCGATGTATGTGTCCCTGGTTGCGTGGAGAGTATCTCCCCGTCCAGTAGGCTGCAACTCCAGATCATTTGCGTTGGTCTTGGAATGATGCGGCAGCTTGCGAGAAGAAAAGACGAGCACCTCGCCCTTGCTCCGCGGTGGCTTGGCATACTCGGCAGCGATGAGGTATATGCCGAAGAAGAAGACCAAGAAAGCGATCAGTATTCCGACGTCTCTGTGGTATCATTAGCATAGCCCGTCAGGGAGCAAGCAGGAACGGGTAACACGCACCTCCACTTGTTCTCGTTGTAGTACCCAAATGTCAACGCGATATAGCTATCCCCACTAACAATCGTAGACCCAGGGATCGCACCAACGGCCGCGCAGACCCTTGATTCATCAGACAAACTCTGATACCAGGCCCCACGAGGAACAACCTCAGCACAGGAAAACACCCTCCCATGAAACTCATTCACCATGAGTGCCTCAAATGCATACGCAAACGGATTAACATAATTCATCCACCTCGACCACCCCGGAAGATACTCCACAGGGATCGTATACCCCGTATATATAATCAACCCCAGACTCAAGATCGCACTGGGGACCATCGCCTGGTACGCTGCACGGGTGATATTCGCCAGCAAGCGATAGAGGCACGACATGACGAGGGTGAGGATGTATGTTGTCAGGCAGAAGAAGAAGAAAGCGCCTGCTTCGCGGCGGAGGTTCGACATGAAGTAGATGACAAGGTTGAAGACGACCATGTTGATTGTTTTGTAGGGGAGGTCCATGATGTAGCTTGCGATTGCCTGTGCGGATTGGTGGTAGAAGGCGTAGCGGTTTTGCTTTTCGACGATGGGACGTTCGGCGTAGACGGTTAGGACCTGGTTGCTGTTAGCGGGGCTGGGACTCTGCGATTCTTAACTACAGGCTTACCTCGAGCTGGCTGGCAAACGCGTTAAACAAGAGCGCGTAGAACACGATGCCTCCGCGGTAGTAGAGAGACGAAGTGTCCGGTTTCAGATCATAGTACATGCTGCCAAGCAGGAGGGCAACAATAAGGTTGAACAGGAGCGAGGCGACAGTGAATCCAGGGTCCGCCAGTAGTCGCCTGTACCCTCGCCAGACCGTCAGGCGTACCTGCTGCAGGTAAGAGATCACATATGGCGAGCTGGCCCGCTGGCTTTTTGCCTGCTCCGCGCGGCGAGATGTCTTGAATTCCTCAAGACGCTCGGCAGACGGATGCTTGTCCTCGTAGGCATTGAGCTCTTTGAGCAGACTCTGTCGAGCCTGGCTTTGCTCCCATCTGACTGCGAACTCATCTGGGCTCCGGGGAACCTTGTTTTTGTATCCAGTCCTTGGACGCCGCTCACCAGGGCTTGTCATTGACGTGAGAAAGTCCGGCGTGGTCTGTCTGTCCGGGCCTGTCATTGTACGTCAGCTCTGTACGACAATCCTTCGTCAGAGGAAGCTTACACTCAAAGCCCAACTCCTCAAAATACCCCCTCGCCTCCTCCACCTTCCCAAAGAAGATCTGCCTCCCCTCATAAAGCACAATAACCCGATCAAACAGCTCATACGCCGCCTGCGGCGCCTGATACAGCGCAACTGCACTCGCCACACCAAGCAGATCGGCCTGCGCACGCAGATTCTGACAGAAATTAATCGCATTCGCGCTATCCAGGCCGCGGGTGGAATTGTCCCAGCACTGGAGCTTCGCCTCGCTTAGCGCTGCTTCCGCAATACTCACGCGTTTCCGCTCGCCGCCGCTGACTCCACGGACGAAGTCGTCACCGACGCGGGTGTTGTGGGTATGGCTGATTCCGAAGATGGACATTATTACGTCGCGCATTATGTTGCTGGCTTGGGCTTGAGGGGTGCCGCCGGGGATGTGGCGCGCTGAGCGGCATTGGGCGGCGAATGTTAGGGTCTCGCCGACTGTGAGGTGGGGGAGGTGAGCGTCGACTTCGGCGTTGTAGAGGACATCGCCTCGGAGGGAGCCTTGGATGTGTTTGCGGTCGATACCTAGCGGGGGAAGAGTATCAGCAAACCAAGTCAACTAGGGAAAGTGTAGAGCGGACCAACCTCTATAGTTCAAGTAGGCGTCTTTGCTAATTTCAAACCCGCTAGTTTCGCCCGCGAGCGTCTTGAGGAACGTGGAGCATCCCGAACCTGGAGGGCCAAGGACGAGCAGAAGCTCTCCCTGCTCAACAACGCCCTCCAGGTCCCGGAGGATGTCAACCCGGTTTCCCTTGCGGCTAGCCCCTAACAGCCCTGCAAAAGAAGAGATGGCTCTAGGCACCACGTTCAAAGCCGTCAACTGGCGCTCGCTGCCGCTCGACGAACCATACGCGCTCAAAGCCTTGAATGCAACGCCCAGGAAGCGAGGCGGCGCAGCGTGAGGATCACCCTGACACAGCTTAATGACAGCCTTGACCCACGCACGCGCGTCGAAGTTTGGCGACTGTGGATCGAGATTACTGCCAGGTTCGGGGTTGTACGCATTGACTTCGTGGGACGAGGAGTGGGAGGTTTGAGTGAGTTGGCGCGCGAGATCTTTAAGGTCGTTTTGCAGACGTTGATTGACGTCTGGGTCTATCATCTTGCGTGCTGTCAGCGAAGAGGGTTTAGTTGTTGGACTCGTACTGTATCCCTCCAACTATATACTGTGGGTGCCAAGCCGTGAAGCCCGCCGTCCGTCTCACAGCGCGGACTTCAGCCACTGCCAAGCCCGCTCTTCACCACCGTAGCAATATGTGTTGCGTGTAAAGAAAAACAAATTAAAATCAGTAAAAAATCATAATGAGCCAGTCATTATGTGTGGGTGTCGCTGGTGCTCATTCGGGGTTCGCTTTCTCGCTTTTTTTCCCGCAATGCCCGATCAGTCTGATTCAATCCGCAGTAGTGCGTGTGTGCCTTGAATCAGACTGCAGGAGTCTTCTTTTCATAAGCGAAATAATCTGGTAGTAAATGTCTATTCGCGTCTCTGGTATCTTGTCAGGGCAAGAAAATAGGAAACCAACATGACCACACAGACTACACAGGCTACGGAAATGCCCTCAGCGCAGCTATACAGCCCCTGTGTCAATGCGCTCACGACGCACGCCAGTGCCTGTTGTACTAGTCTACTTATTAGTATACTCCCCAGTAACAGTCAACCCGCCTTGGAGACCAAAGTGCCCAAGGAGCTGTCCCATGTGTTGCATGACGGGGACCTGCACGCCGAATAAACATCGCTCTGAGTCCTGGGCTGGTGGATCGTACAGAATCGTGTTAAGGCCTGCATCCATACCTCCCCGAATATCCGAGTCTATTGAGTCCCCAACCATATACGCTTCATGCGGGGTCACCCCGAATGCCTCAAGAGCCATCTCGAATATGCGCCCATCCGGCTTGGGAGCCCCCACCTGCTCAGATGTGAATATCGCGTCAACGAGATGGCAAACTCCGATAGCCTCGGCCTTTGCAGTCTGGTCTTCACTTTGGCCATTCGTCACGATGGCCAGTTTGTACCCGGAATTTCGGAGGCGGACTAGGGTTTCCACAGCACCCGGGGTGGCTCGCCGGTTGGACCTGTATGCGGGTTTGTAGATGCTGCGGAGTCTGGAAATCTCGTCGGGGATGGGACCGGGGAGACCCAGGGTGGAGAAGAATAGTTGGACTTTGAGCGCGTCTGTTTCTTCGTATGTGATTTCCTTGTTGAGGTACTTGTCGTAGGCTTGCTGCAGGGCACAGTCGTACACAGCGATAAGCGCATCCCGGCTGTGGCTGGCAAGCGGAGGCCATTCATCTTGGATGGCGGAGATGGCGCACCTTAGACAATGGTAATGGTCGAAGAGCGTGCCGTCTAGGTCTAGGAGAATAAGCTTCCCAGTCGACCTCCGGGCGAGCGATGGGTTTTGCATCATGTTTCTTTTCTAGTGGTGAGGTATATCAGGCCTTTCGGCATGTGAGGTGTACGAGTTGGGTTATATTACTCTGGTGCTCTGGCCTCTTGTCTTGTCCGTTCTCTTGATGGGCCGGGCCATTGGCAGACTCTTATCTTTGCACAAGCGGGGTTTGTTGAACCAATGTTGAAACGCTCCTCTGACGCCATTTTGCTCCAGTCACAAGCTGATATTGTAGCAGGGGGAGGAATATGGGCTGGGCGGATGGGAACATGAATATCGAACGGGCATTAATAACCTGGATCCAAAATTGATACACATCGCATCAGTCCGTACCTTGAGATATACTGTTCTATACCAATATGACAAGTACTGCCACAGCTGCTTGGTTAGCTCGGATGTACAGCTTCTGAAAGAGGAATTCGTGGTCATGTTAGACTTACCAACGCCCAAATCGTGCCTTTGGCGGTATTATCGCCGCTTCGAGAGCCCTGATGATCTCTATAAGAATAATAATCTACTGTGCCGTGCCGCATTTCGGATAGGCGGCATATACTCCTACCTAGCGGCGTACGATAAGCCAAGCCACTAGGCGATCATTCCAAGTCCCACCGCAGATTCCTCAGGCTTCTTAACTTGGCAGCCATCTTGACCAACATGCCCCCACGAGACGAGCGTACCTGTTTCCACAAAGTACTCAGCTACGCAAGCTCTCCTCACGCAGCTCAGTGTAAATACCAACAGCCTAGCGAGGAGGATCGGCTGGCCGCTACAGAGCCCAAACCGGGTTCAAAAGTTGCTATCCCACGGACGAGAACCGATATCCAGAATTTCCCAGCACCGCTCGTCCTACCCGATGATGATCTCGCGGTAGACCCGGACCGGCCGCAGGACTTCCAGACCTGGCTTGGTGTTCGCAACCAAGTCACCTCGCGGCGCAGAACGATTTACGTTGCCTGTCCAGCTGTTGACGAGCATGTCAATCCGGATCTCCGTTCCGGGGCAAAGCCCGAAGGTGTCTGGGCAACTCAGCAAGGCCAAATACCAACACAGCCCAGAATGCAGGATGTCACAGACTTCCTCGCAGCCTTCTACCATGGCTTGCCGGTCAAAGAACTTCAATCTCGGAACTGCGAGTTTACGTCCTCGACCAAGTCCAGCATCTGGCTGAACACGCAAAAGCAGCGTATGCAGATCCGCGTCCGTCCCTCGCCGGACGGGCTCTACCCATACCAACTCAATCTGAAAGATCTGCTCGAGGCCGCAATGGTGATGCTTCCGAGCGACGCGCATGCCCTATGTTTACTGCTGGATCACGATCTATTCGAGGACGACGAGGATATATTTGTCTGTGGCCGTGCGTACGGCGGTCGTCGTGTTGCGGTTGTCTCGACGGCTCGGTATAACCCGCTTCTTGATGGCGTGCAGGGGGTGGAGGAGGACCATCCCTGGCCTGTTTCGCACTGTCAGCAGTTTATCGACGATACCTGCAGGGCACACGGCGATTCGAGGAAGAGGCCCCGAACGACAAAACTTTCGGGCGTCGACAGGCACAGTAGAGGACCAAAGAATGAGCCACCTCTTGAAGCGGCAGTCGCAGCATTTGTCGAGGCTTCCGCGAGTACACATGGTACAGGCCTCCCAACATCTTCGGATCCTTCGCTCCACTCAACCCTCTGGCTCGCCCGCGTCCTCCGAACAGTGAGCCACGAAATCGGCCACTGTTTCGGAATCGGCCATTGTGCGTATTACGCCTGTCTCATGCAGGGCAGTGCATCGCTCACAGAGGACATCCGGCAACCGCCTTATCTATGTCCGGTGGATTTGGCCAAAGTACTTGCAAGTACGCGGGCGACGGTGGCAGATCGATACGCTGCGCTTCTGCAATTCTGTGAGCGGGAAAAGATCAAAGACCTACCGCATTTTGCGGCGTATGCGGCGTGGTTGAAATCTTCGTTGGAGGGTGAGAGGTTGGGTTGGGTTTGATTCTTGAGCACGGTTGAAGAGAGTTTATCGAGGTCACTGATCATAGATGAACTTCTACATAAGAAGATATTTATATCCGTCTATCCACCACTAAATATCGGATTATCTACATGGAGAAATTCGTAGATACTCATTATCACCCAAAAGTAGGTACTAGTAGTACGTAAAACATATAATGTTTCCCCCGCCTGGGCCTGTCGATTGTTTACATTAATCAGATTTAGCTCGACCTTTGTATTATACCCTATGGGAGAGTCAATATATGTACTGTTCTCGCGTCAACAATGCGAAGGAGTCTATCTGAGTTCGTGGTAAGGTAGTAGCCCAAAGAACAAGGGTTTGAGAACCGGTAGCTCATCAGTAACTAGCACATGATATAATACCGGTTCAGGATTACAGAACCTAGCTTTGTTGAGGGTACATTTCAAGAAAAGCCACATATAAAGCTGCCGCGAACAAAAACGTCCGCCACCCCCTCTAGTCTTCCCCTGTATCACTTCCACATGCTTGCTGCCTCAATAAACCGAAACAAGCCCTAATGACACGGGGGACAAAGTGGATAACCGCCCCACGGGCACAGTATATACCAAGTACAGAAATCCATATATAGCTCGGTAGTCGTCCCCATCGGCGATAAATCATCCACCACCCCTCCCCAACGCGATCCATCCTCACCCCCATCAACCCGGCAGAAAAACTATACCTTCCTATGCTCCCAAGGCTGGACTGCCCGGTAATGCCACTACTACAACGCCCACACTTCCTCTGCGGAATCTGGTGTCAGCCACATCCGACGCGTAGACGGCTAGAAAGAGGAGCCGTTGAGTCGCCCCGATGAGGGTTGCTCCCCTTCCTATGTGCCCAATAGCCTGCCGCTTCACAGCCCCGAGGATGAGAACATCCCGTATTCGAATTCTCAAGATGAACCACAGGCTCTTGGACGATATGAGTGTCTGTGAACGGATGGGCGACCTCATAGATCACGATATGTCGTAGACAGAAAGCAGAGGCATTGATGAGCGGAGGGCACCAGTGGAGCAAACTCGGTGGTAGAGTTCTTCATAGAAGCGTGAATGGGGTGGTGCGTGTTCGTTTCCTGTTGCTCAAGGTTACTGCAGGATATATATATAGACGAGTCCGGCGGCTGTAGGAGAGGTTGACATTTAGGGAGTTTCTCAGATACAGGGTTAGAGTAGTGTCAATTCATAACACAAAATACATGCTCTTCATGAGCTAAGAGTATACAGATATATACTGGGTAGCACACTGATATCCGTATCTCTATTGCGAGTCAGGCCTTAGGCACAAGGCAGCGGGTCCACCGGAGCTAAACCCCTTTCGGCTGCGACCCATGATCGAAGCGGTGAGCGGAGAAAATATACTGCCACCTGAGAAAAACAACCAGTTCGACCTGGGCTCGGTCTTCTCTCCTCGGGACCAGCAACACGCGTCATGTCCAAGGCCACGATCACGGCCATTGCGGCCGCCAGTGCTGCCACCGGCGCCGGCCTTACAGCCCTCTTCTACTCCGCCCGACCATCGCCCCAACAACAGAAACCCGTCCCCGTCCCTGTTCCCCCCGTTGCGCCCTCTGCACCCATAACCGCACCCCCATCTCAGCCCTCCCCTCCGTCCCTCGCCGGAAAGGCGGTAGCCGCCGCAGCAGCCGCAGCAGCTGTTACCTCCCCCGTCGACCCTGCAGGCATCCTCCAATATGGCTTATCCGGGCCCATCGCCGATACCATCTCCTCCCTGCCCCTGACGGGCGCCTACGACCGCCGAACCCGCAACCCAGCCTGGGTGGCCGAACACATCACGCCCGCAAGTGTTGCCCTGAAGAACGGCGACCGCAAACTCAGCACATTCTTCGAGGACCCCAACATCCCATCTCTCTTCCGCGCCAAGCTGGCGGATTACTTCCGCTCGGGATACGACCGCGGCCACCAGGTTCCGGCCGCCGACGCAAAGTGGTCGCAGGAGGCGATGGACGGGACCTTTGCGCTCACGAATATGTGTCCGCAGGTCGGCGAGGGGTTTAACCGCGACTACTGGGCGCACTTTGAGGACTTTTGCCGGAACCTGACCAAGAAGTACCCGAGTGTGCGCATCGTCACGGGCCCGCTGTACCTGCCTGCTCGCGACGCCGATGGGAAATGGAGGGTCAGCTACGAGGTTATTGGCACGCCGCCGAACGTCGCTGTCCCGACGCACTTCTACAAGGTTATCTACGCGGAGGAGGCCCCCGGTCTGCCGTCGGGCAAGGTGGCCCTGGGCGCATTCGTGTTGCCGAACGCGAGGATCCCGAACCAGAAGAGGCTCGCCGACTTTGAGGTGCCGATTGAGGCGGTTGAGAGGGCGAGCGGGCTGGAGTTTGCGAGCAACCTGGACGCCGCCCGGCGAAAGAGGCTCTGCCAAGAGGTTTCGTGTGACATTGTCGTCCGCGAGTTCAAGAAGTCCGCCAAGGCTTGAGCGGTTCTCGCTTGTATCGCTATTTTCTATTGGTGTCTTAGTATTCTTAATCAACATGTACAAAGCGTCTGCAGCATATTACATACTCTTTTGGTCTCATCCGTCTCTCGCGCAGGAGTCAAGTGACACAGCCTGGCCGTTTCACAGCACCGGCGGGGCTCAATCAATGAGGGCGCGTTTTGATAAGATGCCTCCAACACTGGTCACCGATTACCAAGCAGATGCAATCTATCCTGATTGGACCACTCGACTTTATACCTCGGCGAGTCAGCACTAAATGGATTTGCTAACGCTTATTCTGCACCAGATCTGTTGACAAAGTCCTTAGGCGTCGGTTACAAAGCGCCAGCGCGTATAGATATAACTGCGCCGGAAGCGAAGAACAGCATCCCCATCAACAACCTCATTCTCATCCTCTCCACTGCACTCACTACAGTTCCAGTCCTCGCAATCGCAAGACAAACACATACACTCTTCAAAATGGAGACAACAACAATCCTCGACGCCCTCAACACCCGGCGCTCCTTCTACACCCTCACCGCATCCTCGCCCATCCCCGACTCCAAGATCCAAGAAATCCTCAGCACAATCATGCTCAAGACGCCCTCGGCCTTCAACTCCCAAACAACACGCACAATCCTCCTCCTGAAATCCGACCACCAGAAATTCTGGGACATCGTCAAGGAAGTCCTGCTGGCCAAAATCGGCGCCGAGCGCTTCGTCCGCACGGGCGCGAAGCTCGATACCTTCCGCGCGGCGTACGGGACCATCCTCTTTTACGAACACACGCCCACGGTGACGGAGCTCAAGGGCCAGTTTAAGAGCTACGCCGAGCACTTTGAGGCGTGGTCTGAGCAGACGAGTGGCATGCACCAGCTGCTTGCGTGGCTGGCGCTCGAGGCCGAGGGGCTCGGTGCGAATCTGCAGCATTATAACCCGATTATCGACCCCAAGGTTGCCGAGGCGTTTGGGGTTCCGGAGGGGTGGAAGATGAGGGCGCAGCTTGTTTTTGGGACTGCGGAGGGGGGTGTTCCTGAGGCGAAGGAGAAGAAGCCGTTGGAGGAGACGATGAAGGTTTTTCTTGGGGAGCAGTGAGCAGGGCTTTAAGCTTTAGATAGAATGTTTTTCTTATTTTCGATGAATATATGTTCGTTTTGAGATGGCTTCTTTACATGCATTTTGGTTTTTCTCTTTGTACTCCGTAGAGGAGCGACATTCGAGCTGGATAACCAGCCTTGGTCAAATGCCGGCGCCGCGATGGTGCTCCTATCAGCCCCATGTTGACTGTTCTCTGCGGACATTTAGGTGATAGCCCCTGTACCTAGCATCTCAGCAATTGCTTTTCCTTGGCGGATAAATCGCAATGGGCAGACACAGAGATCTGGGCGATGACTGGGGCAAGTTACAGTGTCTTTTGAATACCCATGCATATCCAAAAGTTGGGGAATCCGCGGTACCAGGAATTAGTCAACGGGCGATCTAGCAAGACACTAGATGCAGTAAAGCCGGGATAGGAGGTTTGTACCACAGTGGGATCGTCGCGTGGGACGTGACGCTGAGCTTTAACCAACATCTTCAAGGCAGACTGAACCTTTGAGAGACGGACTCCGATTCGAGCGGAATACGAGACACGCGAGGAATTCAGGCAGCCCAGCCGGGGCCAGGCAGTGCACCGGAGCCGCGCCTCGTATTCGTCGGGGGTGTGGACTCGAACTCAAAAGCCAAAGGCCACCCCGCAATATTGCTCTCGTCGGTCTTGAGCTCGGTTCGGTACTGTGTGCGAAATCGCGGGGATGGACATGAGTCGCAGGCACCAGGACAGGAGCGAGTCAGACGCAGACATCCAACGATCCATCGCGTGGCGCGTCCGCTCAGGCTTCTACACATCTGACGAGATCGTTGAAATCGTGGCACAGCCATTGCCCCACAACCAAGCACAGACGTCAGGTCAGCCGCATATAACAATCTCCCAAGCCAGACGCGCAATCCGTCCGCTCCTCGCGCTCGAATGGGCTCGACAAGTCGAACGCCAACAATCGTGGCCACGCGACCAGCCGACGATATGTGATAAGATCGACAAGGCATTCAGCTCGCTGCAGCGGAATCACGGGATTTTGGCACGGATGAACTTCACCTGCTGTGCGACATGCGGAATAGGGGAAATCGCAGAGGATCGAGACGAGGATACAAGGGGGTATGTTTTCTTCCATGAGCAGGATATGGAAGGGGTTGCGATGGATGGTAGAGAGTTAAGTCTTGTCTTCGGATCGTTTAGCAGGTCGGAGAAGAAGAATCGCGCTGTTGGGGAAGTTATTGTGAGGTCGTTGCGGAGGGTTGGGGTCAAGGTTGAGTGGGAGGGGGAGGCTAGCAAGAGGATTAGGGTGGTCTGTGGGGAGTGGAGGAGGAGGGTTCCGGAGGATGAGGAGGTCGAGGATGTTGGTGATGGGGATTTTGATTCGGAGTGCCTGTCCTCTGGGGAGAGTGAGTCGGAGATGGAATCCGATGGGGTTGACGATCTGGAGGTAAAGGAGCTGGAGCTGGAGGCAAGCATGGAGTAGTCGTTCTGGATATGCCAGGATATGTCATGTGCATGTGCAGGGGTCAGCCAGGACAACACAGATGCAGTGCAGAAGAGCCTGTTCAAACGAGGTAGTAGAGGGATTTTGCAACCCAGAAGTCAGTCACATGCAGTTAGATCGCCCCCTTGTCAAGATTTTCTATATTAAGAATATTACTTCTAGTAACTAGAAGTGACGAATTAGGATAGGCGTTAGAAGTAAATAGTAAAAGGGGAATAGTTCGAGTAATGGTTAGAGCTACAGTTAACGTGAGAACTCACAGCTATAGTTCTATATAATTACAAACTCACAGCTTCATTAGTAGCATGCTGCATGGACCTATCCCTAGCTACCACTAAATTCACCTCCCTCCTATATCACGATTCCCTAGCAAATTACCGACAGATTTATAATGTATTAAAGCTATTCCTAGCTCCGTGCCTGTTACCCTGTATTAATACGCCATGAAGCTACTCTAAGCCTTAATACTAGAGAATCCGAGGCATCGTTGAAATAGTGGTCTAAATGGCTTTAATTCTAATAAATTTGCTTGCAGACACGTTCCGGGGCGTTACGGCGTGATATTCCAGGATTAAGGGATTAATCATCAATGTAAGTGTTTGATGAAAAGTGGATGTTCAGTTTTACTCGATATCACCATATAAAGTTTAACCTAACCTTTTCTGACCCGACTTCCAGCTTGCAGTTCCTGGTTGCAAAATGCCTCTAGTATTCTTGATGGAAAGCTTGTGTGCAAAATCTCCAAACAACCAACCGCGGGATGGAAACCAGCGGATTTCAAGTTAGAGATGTAACGGTCGTCGGCGAATGGGGCCAATTTGTGGAGGAAGCGCGGCAGTCTTGCCCGTTTCATTACTTCCTCGCGCGAATCCGATTGTCGATCTGCTTTGATTAAGGGTCAGCTCCGACACTCCGCGGGCTGCTGATGCGTTTCACAGCATTGAACTTGCAGCGCAGGGTGCATCGCCTCGCACTTTGTTTGCTCTCATGTTGCACTTTGTGGGGATGAAGAAAGCATACCAGACCTTCCAAAGAAAGGGAGGCTCCTGAATCTCGCCCGAGATGCTATAAGAAGCACCTCATCCCCCGGGATGAGGCATTGTCCATACCAGCACACTGCGCCACGATGAAGCACCTCCTCCCCCTCCTCGCCTCGCTCCCTTCAGCCTTAGCCTGGATTCCCGGCGTCGAAAAGGACATCTTCTCCAGCACCGGGGAAAACATCTTCAACGCCACCACAGCAACAACCGACCCCGCAAAACGCTGGCTCCCCTCCAGCGGCAAAATCCGCGGCGTAAACCTGGGCAGCCACTTTCTTTTCGAGCCCTGGATCTCGAATTCGGTATGGAGTAGTCTCGGCTGCGGCGGACAAAATTCCGAGTTCGACTGTGTCATGGCGCTGGGACAAGATGCCGCCGACAAGGCCTTTGCGGGCCACTGGGCGTCGTGGATCACGCAGGACGATATCAGCCTGATGCGCGAGTATGGCCTGAATACCATTCGGATCCCCGTTGGCTACTGGATGAAGGAGGATCTGGTGTACTCGGACTCGGAGCACTTCCCGCGCGGTGCATTCTCGTACCTTGAGAGAGTCTGTGGCTGGGCAAGTGATGCGGGCATGTACATCATTATCGATTTGCATGGGGCGCCGGGGGCACAGCAGCCCAAGCAGCCGTTTACGGGGCAGGTGTGTTCAGTTCCTCCGTTGTATCATGATAGACCCTTTACATGCCTAAAGTATACTGATACCACCGATAGTATGCCAGCACCCCCGGCTTCTACCAAGACTACCAATACGACCGAGCGCTCGAGTTCCTCGAGTGGATGACGACCACCATCCACCAGAACACCCACTTTCGCAACGTCGGCATGCTCGAGCTCGTCAACGAACCGCTTCAGAACGCCGGCCAGGTCGCTAGTATGCGCACCAGCTACTACCCGGATGCATTCAATGTAAGACGACTATCCCGAGCGGCTCCCTCCCACATGACAGCAACTAGATCAAGCCAAGACTAACGATCCCAGCGCATCCGCAACGCAGAAACCGCCCTCGGCGTCACGGCCAACAACTACCTCCACATCCAAATGATGAACGCAAAATGGGGCTCGGGCGACCCTACCGAAGCCCTGAGCGACACCTACTTCGCCGCATACGACGACCACCGGTACCCAAAGTGGGACAGCAGCGTGGCGGTGGACAAAGAGAGCTACATCCGCGCCTCGTGCAACGACGACCGGGGTGGAAATACTCCGACGATTGTCGGCGAGTGGAGTCTGAGTGTCCCCGACAATGTGCAGTGGACGGCAGCGTGGGAGCCCGAGGGGAACAAGGCGTTTTATAAGCGGTGGTTCGCGGCCCAGGTCATTGCTTATGAGAGGCAAGCGGGGTGGGTGTTTTGGACGTGGAGGGCGGATTTGGGCGATTATCGGTGGTCGTATAAGGGTGAGTTTCCCCCTTTACTCTTTTATGGCTTTGGCCTCGCGTTGCTTTCGGTGATAGTATGGCTGGCTGACCTCGTGGTAGATGCTGTCAATGCTGGGGTTATTCCGCGGGACTTGGACAGTGTGTATGACAACTCGCCGTGCTAAGTGGGTTGGTTTGTATGTGGCCAAGGCCGGAAGGCCTTTCAACTTGAGAGTTTTTGGGGACTTTTGGGGTTGATATACATGGCGCTGCTTGTCGACGACATCCATACCCAGCTGGGGTTGTTTCATGTAGTCGATATATCCTCTCAGACCCAAGATCATCCAAGGCGCAAATGAGTATGGGCTTGTTTTGAACGTATCATTAAGCGCCAATCAAGGAACCGTTCTACTGTATAACCACCTCCTGTTTTGACTGAGCATAATATTAGTTTTCTTCGGGTGCCCATCAGAATCCGGAAAGAAACAGCCCTGTGCATATTGCCCTAGTTACTGCGTATCGCGTGCAGCCGAGGCGTTTTGTTAGAATCGGGTATGCGCACCAGAACCGTTGGCTAAAGGGTCACGTTATCCTCTCCAGCAATCCGCACACTTTACTCGAGAGCTCAGGGATGGGCAGGAAGGGCTCGGTCGAGGACGGGTGCGGATACAAAGCATTTTTGGCGAGGGAGGGCTGTCGAGGAGCCGACAACGCCGGTGATGGGTGGGCGTATCAAGACGTCAAAGTGTATACAAAGCCATATCATACCTCGAGTGATGTTACTCCAGAAAGCGCTCAGCTTCATGTGTGGTCCCATGATCGGCTGGGGAGCCGACTCCGAGCCGTGGCCGTCTTGGCACCGGGGATGCAGATGGTTGAGGCTTGAGGTCAGCAGGCTGTCATTAACTTCGGAGCATAAGCTTTGACTTCTATTTCCAGCAGTGGATTGTCGTATCTAGGCCGCTTTTTGTCGTGGCTACAAGGGACCTACCTGGTACTACGGGGCCTGTTGAAGCCGAGGGGGTTCCCGAGTGGGCAATTGGGTTGCTACCAACAGTTCTTACGAACTTGAGAACCATAAGATGGCCATTATCTAAGTACAACGGGATTGATGCGTGTTGCTTGTTTGTTCTAGGATCCTATGCGGGACTAGGAATTATCGCTTGCTAGGAGTCGCACGGCTCAGAATCTGGCAGCTGTCTAGACGGCGGAGAATACTCACTGTTGGAGATTAACGGCAAACGACTTGCGCTGGTCAGCTGAGGTCAAGGGTGCGTTGGCTGTTCCGGAGACTTTGCAGCGAAGACCTCCTCGCGTGACGAGTAGTTATCAGTCTCTTGTTCAAGAGGCTGGGGAACCAAGAGAGGAATGTAAAGCCATTGGAGTACGGCGAGGTATTTCCATGAAGAGTAATAACGAGCAAGGGCCAAGAAACGGTACAAACTATCCAGGACGTGTTATTGAATTATAGATAGACTTTCCCGACTAGGAACGCGGGGAGGTTTGCCAGGTGCAGTTCCCCCTACCTATGCCAAATGCTTGGAGTAAGCAGGCACTGCATAGATAGCGATTGGACCTAGAAATCAACTCCAGATTTGTCCTAGCATCCGTCCTAGCACCTCCGAAATCATGCGGATCCTCCTTCCCTGCATAATCTTTACTCGGTTCTGGCGATCAAACGCCAAACACGGCGGGTCGGGATGTGAACCGTGAGCCGACTCCCCTTCGCCACCGGTCCGGCCAAGGGTTGAACCAACAAACGGTTCATGCCAAAGAGCTTGTGAGGGTTGGCACTCTCGCAAGGCTCGCGAGCCGTCCTCCTGATTACTATCGCACGGTGGCGTCGGCAAGACCCAACGGCTCCGTGTGGGGTGTGGTCTCGACTATCGTCAGAATGAGTTGTAGGCTCGAGATAACAAAGGACGGTCAAGTATATGAAGGGTGGCAGTTCCATGGTTAGGGTGGACAGAACTCTCAAGGCATCGTTGATCAAGATATCGTATCACTAAACCTCATTCTGAGAATCATCTCTTCCATCTCACAATGGCCTCTTTACTAAACTACCTCGGGATCCGCGACACCGCGACCCCCAAAGACGATGAGAAGAACGCAACGCGCGCCCTCCCCGCAAACTGGTACACATCGCAGGAGATGTTCGAGCTCGAGCGGCGCGCCATCTTCTCCCGCAAGTGGCTCATGACCACACACAGCCTCCGCCTCCGCAACACAGGCGACTGGCTGCGCTACGACGTCGCGGGCTTCCAGTTTGTGCTCGTCCGCGACCGGCAGGGCGAGATCAATGCATTCCACAACGTCTGCCGACACCGCGCTTTCCCTGTTGTTACGGAGGAGAAGGGGTCCTCAAGGATCTTTGCGTGCAAGTACCACGGCTGGTCGTATGGACTGAATGGAAAACTAGCCAAGGCACCGGGGTACCAGGACCTCGAGGGGTTCGACAAGAGCAAGAACGGGCTGCTGCCCATCCACGTGCACATCGACAACAACGGCTTCATCTGGGTGAACCTCGACGCAAAGGAACAGCCCGAGATCGCATGGGACGACGACTTCAAGGGGATCGACCGGCAGCCGCGCATGGACTACATCAACTGGGACGACTACGAGTTCGACCATACGTGGGAGCAGGAGGGGGACTTCAACTGGAAGATCCTGGCGGATAACTACAACGAGTGCTACCACTGCGCGACGACGCACCCGGATATCCCGGCCCTGGCAGATCTGGCGACGTACTCGGTTGATACGAAGGATGGGGGCATTATCCATGATGCGCACTCGAAGCCTGAGCAGATTGCGGCTGGGTTCAAGGTTGCGAGTACTTATTATTTTCCGAATGCGTCGATGAATGTTTCGTATGTACTCCTCTGATCATCATTTGGTGAAAACACTAACCAGTGAGATACAGACCACACTTCTTCTTCACACAGCGCTTCGTCCCCGTCGCACCGGGAAAGTCCATCATGAAATACGAAGTCTACCGCAACAAAAACTCGACCGACGAGCAATTCGACGTGATAAGCTCCATGTACAAGCGGATCATGTCCGAGGATAAATACCTCTGCACACTTGCGCAGAAGAACCTGAACGCGGGCGTCTTTGTCAACGGCGAGCTGCACCCGACGATGGAAAAGGGCCCGCTGTACTTCCAGAAGGTGGTGCGGGATCTCGTGGTGGAGCACTTTGAAAAGGAGGAAAAGGCCAAGAGTGAGATCTGGCCGGCGCGACAGGCGCTGCCCAAGGAGGCGTCGGTCAGCGAGAAGGATGTGCAGTTCTGCTCGACTCTGAGCTGCCAGCCGAATGGGGGCGAGTGTTGTTCGAACCTGGCTGCCCAGGCGCCGGCGGCTGTTGCGTGGTGATCTACTGGTTGGAGCGGTTTGAGTATTTACTAGATAAATTTGAGCGATACATAATGATTAGTGAGCTTGGCCTGGACAAGGTAAATTGCATTGATTGTCCATCTTGTTATCTCTCGTCTTATCTACGAAGCCTTCCAAGAGAACAAGAACCACGGATTCCCTCCGATGCTAGCCAATCCCAGTTAGACCCCCAGAATAGCAGCCAGTCAGAATGCAGCAACCATGCCCAACGCGGCCAACTGATCCCGACCCCGCAGCAGCACCCGTGGTCCATGCGCTGCGGAGCTGCCGTCACTTTGATGTCTCCCCTCCTCCCAATCCTCCCTCGCTCCCCCTCATTGCTTCGGGCCTGTCTAGCGTCCCTGGAACTGTCCTGGTTGCGGATCTCCCGTATCCTCTTAGCCAGTATCTCTATCTGCACCACCCTCGTCGCGGACTTAACGGGCTACGCTGTTGTATGAGCATGGCCGAGGGCACGCGGCGCAGGTTGCGGTCGAACCACGCGTGCATCAACTGTCGCCGGAAAAAGACGCGGTGTCCGGGCGAGAAACCAGCGTGCTCGTGCTGTGTCAGGCTTAACCAGCAGTGCTCGTATGGGGCGGCGGGCAGTTCGACGGGCGGGCCAAATGTATGGATTTTGCTGTAACGATGGGGAGATGGAAACTGACCTGGCGTAGAAAGATCGATTGGCCGAGTTGGAAGAGAAGGTGAATCGGATACTGCGAGGAACGGCGTATGTACCCGACTGTTGCTGGATGGCCGGCTACTGACTCGTCGCAGACAGCAAGAGCAACCAGCGCCCGATCATCCGCCGGAATACTCGAACACAGCATCCCACGGCGATCTCACATATCCGCAAGACAATGGTTTTTCGATATTCGGACTGGACGATGCAAGTCCCCAGGCTTCATCGCTGGTCATAGCGAAAGCCATCGATCTATACCTCGAATGCTGCCACCGACAGCCGGTCTGGTGTCTGAACATCAAAGAGCTCGGAAACATCGAATCTCACCCTGAAGAGCTCATCTGTAGTATTCTTGCACTGACCATACGTTTTACACGGGAGCATGAAGAGGGGCGGCGGTACGCAGACAGCGCAAAGAGCCTGATTATGCTGCGGATGGCAAACGGGACCGTTGAGTTGGCGACGATTGAGAGTCTTTGTTTACTGGCCTACTCGTCGTTTATAGGTTTGTCTGACTTGAACTGAGGTATGGCAATGCTAACATGCTGCAGATGGCGCACTACAGCTGGGGCGCTTCTATCTCGGCCTCGGTTTTCAGCTGTGTCGAGCCGCCATGCTGGATACCGAGGCGGCGTATACCCGTGAGGACAGACAGACAGAACAAAAGAAGCGTCTCTTCTGGAGCCTTCAACTCCTAGAGCAGTCCTACGGCCGTCAAACGGGTCTGCTAAGTTGTCCAAGTGAAATATGGCGACCACGCTATCTGTCCGGAGGCGAGCGGAGGCCAGACACGACACCCAAGCCCCCTCCAATCCCACGAGATACCGCTGGATGCTCATCGCCCGACGATACGGGGATCTGGAGCATGAGTATCAGTTTCGGCTGGGTCTGGAGTAAAGTCCGAGCCTATGTCTCGCACTGCGCGAACGAGCGACTGACAGAACCGTGGAGGCACGAGTCGATGTACTCAATCGTGCTGTCTGACCTGACCGAGATCGAAAACAGCACGCCGCTCTGCCACAGATACGACCACGTGCAGTTCTACAGACGCACCGCAGAGGAACTCGCCGTCAACCGAGCGTACTGGGTCCCCTGGGTGAAGCTGCAGTTCATGTACCACGCCATCCTGACCGTTCTCAACCACCCGTTCCTCTACATCATGGCCTCGCAGCGGAACCCCAACCTCGCTATCCCGAATAGCTTCTGGCGGAGGTCTTCGGAGCTAGTTCTGCTACATGCGACGTGGATCGTTCGTCTGATCGATATGGTCTCGGAGAAGAATGTTCGACTCACGGATCCTTTCTTTGCCCATGTCACGGCCATCGCCGCCAGCGTCCAGCTGTACTACTGCTGTGCTGATGACCCGCGGCTCAAGTACAAGTCTCGCGCCGATTTTGCAAAGTGCAGCGACTTCCTTCGCACGTTCGTTCCTTTTTCGCGCGCTTGCGAGGTTCTGGTACGTATCTTCTATTCAGAAGAAGCGCCTGCTAAGAGCTTGCCATGTAGAGCCAGAAACTCGACAACCTGACCCGCATCGCGTCGGGAACCGACATCGTCGACCTGGACGACTGGGTCCCATCGAAAATCCACCTCAACATCCCGCTCATGTGGGATATCCTACAGTTCAACGTCTCAAACCAACCCTCGGGAACAGAAGGCCTCCTCCACCCCTCTCTAACCCCACCCCAATCAACCCCAGGCCCCAACGAAGTCTCCTCCTCAACCTTTGACGTAATCGTCACGGCCTCACCGGAAGTAAGCGTCAACACCACCGACGGCGGCCAGGCCGTCCCAATGCCGCTGTACAGAAGTCCGACGACCGCGACGGCAGAGAGTCTACGAACGACATCACTCCGCGATCCGCTTGTTGCGCCGGTTGATAGTCTCATGCTGAACACGCCGTGGCTATGGGCGGACTCGACGCCCTTTGTGGGGAATCTGGATGAGGTTGAGTTCCACGCGAATGCGTCGAATGCGAATTCGGGCGCCGGCGCGTCGGCGCTACCGGTTGTTGGTGACGTCGAGGGTTCGGCGTGGTGGAATCTGGGGAATTTATAGAATTTTGGATATCTATGCGCATCAACTTGGGAGTTCCTGGTGTCTGACATGGTGTGCAGCAGTGTGTTCCCGACTCTTGTGATTGTATAGTGCACAGCACCCGCTGTCCCATTGCGACAACCCCCCCCTCGAGCGACTCGCCTTTCCCATGCGACTTGCCTGCAAGGGCTACTCTGATGGTATGGCCGATGCCTAGTACCTTGACTGACGCCTGCCCGCACCGAGCGCCCAATATGTTGCCACGCTACATTGATACTCTCGAGCGGCTTCTCGATGACCCCCAAGCGACTTCCAAGTTACTCCTACGAAGCCTCTGCACAAGTCCATGCGACGAATCCCAATGCACCCCCTCCCCATGCAACCTGATAGACGAATGTTGACTATATCTAGGTCCCAGCCGGTCATGGATCGTATCCTGAGGCCTGCCCAAATACCATGACGGAGTATAGGCAGTATGGCTATCCGCAGCGTCAGCGACACATTCTCCAAGCCAACGAGAATCCAACCCCTTTCTAGTCTATAGCAGTGCTTCAATCACCCCAACCGCAACTGTACAATTAACGGACCAAATCGTATTTGCCATCCACGGTCAGGCCCGAGCCAAATTTAGAAATCTTGTTCCAATCCCCAACCGTAAAAAATAATCAATGATGCGTCAAACGCCCCGATAACCATGGACACGCAGGGTGTCAGTTCCCCACATGACGTCCTGCCAGCATCACTGCAATAGGAAGCCAGGACCCGATGCCCTAAACAGGCATAGAGTGGCAGCCTGCGGCCAGCAGCCAGCTTGAACCCGGTGTAGATCCAGGGGGTTCGGTCTAGACCCGGTCGCAGACAGCTCGTGCGGGGTCGGTTCGCGCCCGTGTGACCCGCGCCTTATCGCTGCAGAGGACCGGCTCGGGGACGGTTCAGCTGGAGGTGCTGCGCGGGGTTGGAATTGGCATTGTGAGGGGTTCGAGGTTCGACCATGGGTATAGGTAGTCGTAGTTTATTGCTTCTACTCGATTTCGACGTAGGATACGCTGAATGTTTCAGACCTACACACCCCAACACAGACAATGTCACCCTCACCCTCGCAACACATCATAATCATCGGCGCCGGCATCGTGGGCGCAAACCTAGCCGACGAACTGGTGTCCCGCGGATGGCATCACATCACCGTAATCGAACAAGGGCCCCTCCCCCTACCGGGGGGCTCAACCTCACACGCCCCAGGCCTCGTCTTCCAAACAAGCCCGTCGAAAACAATGACTCGGTTCGCGCAATACACGGTCGAGAAACTGCTCTCGATCCAGAAGGACGGGCAGGGGTGCTTTAACCAGGTTGGCGGGTTGGAGGTTGCGACGACACCTGCGCGTGTTGAGGAACTGAAGAGGAAATTGGGGTATGCGCAGGCTTGGGGCGTTGAGGCACGGATTATCAGCAGGGAGGAGTGTGTCGAGATGTATCCTCTATTGGATAGGGACGTTGTTCTGGCTGGGCTACATATTCCAAGTGATGGGCTGGCGCTTGCGGCGAGGGCGACGGGGTTGCTTATTGAGCGGACGAGGGAGGCTGGGGTACGCTATCTGGAGCGGACACCTGTGACGGGGATTGAGAGGAGAGATGGCCGTGTGACGGGTGTCAAGACGCCAAACGGTACTATCGAGGGGGATATTGTTGTTTCGTGCGCTGGATTCTGGGGAGTCGAGGTTGGGGCGATGGCTGGTGTATCCATCCCTCTCCTCCCACTGGCGCACCAGTACGCGAAGACGACGCCCATAGCTGAACTGGGGGGCCGCGAGGTGAACAACCGACCAAATGGACTCAACGCAAGCCTCCCAATTCTCCGACACCAGGATCAGGATCTCTACTACCGCGAGCATGGCGACAGATATGGAATCGGGTACTATGGTCACAAGCCGATGCCAGTCGTTGCTGCATCTCTTGGTCCCACGCCGGATCATGTTGATGACAAGCACATGCCGTCCCGGCTGCAATTCACCGAGGAGGATTTCCGACCAGCCTGGGAGGAGTCGAAGAAACTTCTACCTGCGCTGCGAGCAAGCCAGATCGATGATGGCTTCAATGGAGTGTTCTCGTTTACGCCAGATGGGGGTCCACTGATCGGCCAAGCACCGAACCTGGATGGATTCTACGTCGCCGAAGCCGTTTGGGTGACACATTCAGCCGGTGTCGCGAGAGCCCTCGCAGAGATCCTAACCCAGGGCTGGTCAGCCGTCGACATCACAGACTGTGAGCTCTCACGGTTCGAACAAGTCCAGCTGAACCGCGAGTACGTCTCGGAAACATCACAGCAGAACTTTGTCGAGATCTACGACATTATCCATCCCATGCAGCCACGTGAATCGCCCCGGAATCTCCGCACGAGTCCGTTCTACGCTCAGCAGGTGCAGCTCGGCGCCGTCTTTATGGAACTTGGCGGCTGGGAGCGACCATTCTGGTACGAGGCGAATGCACATCTCCTTCAGTCCCTCCCTGCACACTGGAAACCTGTCGAGCGGGATCACTGGTCGAATCGATTCTATTCACCCATTACTGCAGTCGAGGCGTGGAAGACGCGAAATGCCGTTGCCATGTACGACATGTCCTCTTTCCACCGATTCATCGTTTCCGGGCCTGGAGCAACACCGCTACTCCAACGCCTGACAACCGGCGACGTTGATACGCAAGCCGGAACAATCCTGTATACCCTTTTCCTCAATGACGACGCCGGCATCGGCGGCGACATCTTCGTCACCCGCCTCGACGAGACAACATACCAGATCGGCGCGAACTCAGCTACAGACTTTGCATATCTCTCCCGCGAAGCACGATACCAGACAAAACGTACCCCGGAGAAGCGCGTCCAAGTCCACGAAATCACATCAAGCACCTGCGCCCTCGGGCTCTGGGGCCCGCGCGCCCTGGACGTCCTGCGCAGCCTGAGCAAGGAAGACTTCTCCGCCAACTCCCTCCTCCACATGCACGCGCGGAGCACAACCCTCGCCAGCGTCCCCGTAACGCTCTTCCGCAAATCCTACGTCGGCGAGTTTGGGTGGGAGATTCAGACGAGCGCAGACCATGGTCGGAGACTCTGGGATGCGCTGTACTCCACTGGGAAACCGCATGGTCTTGTTGCGGCGGGTCGCGCAGCGTTTAATGCGTTGCGGATTGAGAAGGGGTATCGTACTTATGGGATGGACGTCACTGCTGAACATGATCCGTACGAGGCAGGGCTTGGCTTTGCGATTGATGGGAGGAAAAAGGGGGATTTCGTAGGGAAGGAGGCGTTGGAGCGGCGTGTCAAGACGCCGCTTACCCGTCGGCTACGATGTTTGACGATCGATGACGGCGTGTCGATGGTTATGGGCAAGGAGCCGGTATTCCTTAATGATACGGCGGTGGGGTATGTCACCACTGCGGCGTTTGGATTCTCGGTAAGGAGGCCGGTTGCCTATGCTTGGCTTCCTGCTGGGCTTGCTGAGGGCGCGGCGGTCCAGATCGGGTATTTTGGCAGGAGGATCAAGGCGACCGTTGTTGCGGAGCCGGTATTTGATCCTGAGGGGAAGCGGTTGCTTGGGGAGGGGCTGAGTCGGGGTGATGAGGAGGGGAAAGGCCCGGTTAGGGCTGTTCTATAGCGTTGTAGAAATGCTGTGTCGCAATTATCCTAGTACCAGACATAACGGCATCAACAGGAGTAGATGCTACACATTCAGGGCAGTTACATGGTATGAACGGATGATGATTATAATGGGTTAATGCCCAACCCCCACGTGCTACAGCAAAGCTCAATTGTACACCTTGGCCAACAACCCCGGAATAATCTCCAAGTCCTTGGGCTTATACGTATACTTCCCAGCATCGTCAATCTTGGCCTCCTGCCTCCTCCGCTGCTGCTGCGTCTGCCTGACCTTGACCCACTCCTTGGTCGTCAGATGCTTGCCCACCTCCGTGAACGCATTGTGCGTCAACCCGAGCCTCTGCAACAGCGGACTATTCGCAATCGGATCAAGCACAACATGGTTATTCGGCCTCGCAAAATACAACACTCCCAACCGATCAATCCCCGCCTGATCCGCCGGGGGCGCATGCACCCGATGCACACTCGACTTGATCAACCCCCCCGTCAGCGCAGTCATCGCATCACACGTATTGATCGTGATGGTCCCATCCTGCGGCCTCACCCACTTCCACACCCCCTCGGAATTCAGAATCTGCAGCGCGGCCACAGGCTGCCGAAACAGCAGTGTCACGGTCCCCAGATCCGTATGCCCGGGACTATACAGGTCGCCGACAAGTTTATTGTCCTCGGCGCTGCGCGCGGCGTAGTGCATGTACCGGAGATGGTCTTCGCCCTCGACATCGTACTGGTGGTCGCGGACGAGCTGGTCTTCGTCGGGGAGTTCGAGGAGGATTGCGAAGAGGCGGAGGAGCTTCTCGACGACTTCGGTGTGGCATTTGCGGCTGAAGGACTCGATTTCGGATATGTGTGTTGCGAGGATGGGGGGTTGGCTGCGGTCGTGGTGGCCGTCGAATTTCGGGATGTTGTACACTTGCACGTTGTCTTTGATGCCGTTTCCGAGGCTGGTCTTGTTAGCTTTTATCTCGAGTCGGAGGGGGAGGGGGGTGATGTACATGCGATGTCCGGCTGGACGGTACCCGTTGTATTCGCCTCGCTCGAGATCGTGCGTGTTGTAATACTTGAGTTTCTCCGCGAGTGGGAGCGCGTAGAATTCACGGCCAAGGGCAAATTGCCGGTCGATCTCTTCTTGGCTGATGTTGAAGTTCTTGACATAGAAGAAGCCTGGCTTTCTCAGCCCCGTAGAGATGCGGTGCGTGTGGAGAGGTCCCGTGGTACGTACCGACATTCTTGACGGCATGTTCCAGCCGCTTGACCAGTTCTTCCTTTCCTCCTTGCTGGTCAAAACGGTCCAGTTCGATGGTGACGAGCTCGGCCCAGTCAACTACAAGAGTCAGTTTGTCGCCGATCCGGACGGGGCCGACACTCACGGTCCTCCTTGGTCTCGGGGACCTGTTCGTAGCGTGGGATGTCAAGTATGCTTGTCATATTGAGCTCTGCAATGCACGATTCGGGCAATCAAGAGAATCCCGTGCCAGACGCCCATTTTCAATATATATCGCCTACCCCGCCACCAAACGCCGATATCCGATCATCACCCCCGCAGCACGCCATCCATGCCCGACATTGCCCTTGCGAAACCCTCCGAAAGACCCTTACTCGATACGTGAATGCACCCCCCCATTCTCTTTCGCATCACTGACTCGCTAGTCTCAAATCAAGCAGTCCGGGGCGCGAGCTTGTTTTTGGTTGGCGCGATAAGGCGGCCTTGTGCATTGCCAACCGCAGGGGTTCGATACGCCATAGCACATAATGACGGCTGGAAGGGGCGCGGTGGGTTTTTGGATTTGGGAGCGGAGGATTTTTCTGGGGATCGTCTGGGTTAGCTGTAGGTGTCAAGACGGCGTTCTTGTTCGTTTGAAAGATGGGCATGTCAGCATGGCGCATGGCGCGATTGCGTCAAGTGCGCGGATATTCCACCATTGATAATCGAGTAGCTATAAATCGTGCGAGTGCGGAGGATTTTTGCACTTAGTATGCAGGAGACCGCAACAGACGAGAGAGCATGGCCCAAGTCAAGGCAAAATCGCTCCCGTCGCTCTGGGGTGCAGTCAAGGAGGTCTTTAACTGGTATCCATCAGCATATCCGGCCGAGGAGCGAAAACTGTTGTTCAAGCTCGATGTGTCCATTCTGGTCTTTGCCTGTCTTTGCTGTATGTTTGTCATTCTTCAGGCCTTTACCTGCATCAAGCTAACCCACCAGTCTTCGTCAAATTCCTCGACCAGACGAACATCACCAATGCATACGTCAGCGGCCTGAAAGAGGACTTTGGTCTCTACGGGAATGAGCTCAACTACTTCAATATCTGCTACTACACCGCGTATGTGGTGTTTCAAGTGCCAGGGCTGCTGCTGATGTCGCGGCCGAAATTGTACGTCGCCTCTATACTCCACATTGCAAACCTTTTTCTGACTGTACAGAGCGCGATGGCTCCTCCCCAGCCTCGAGATCCTCTGGGGAATCTGCACCTTCGCCCAAAGCCGTGTGACAAACGTCCACCAGCTCTACGCATTGCGGTTCCTCGTCGGCATGTTTGAAGCTCCAGTCTTCGCGGGAACACATTTTATCCTCGGTATGCGATAAACCCCCAGCAATTCTTCCCAACCCCCCTCAGACCCTAATCTGCAAGTCCAGGCTCCTGGTATTCTGGCCCCGAACTCTTCAAACGCGCCGGAACGTGGTTCATCTGCAACCCACTCGGCACAATGGTAAGCGGATACCTCCAAGCAGCCGCATACACGAACCTCTCCGGGGTAGCCGGGATGCCCGGATGGCGGTGGCTGTTCATCATCGACGGGATCTTCACTATCCCCGTCGCACTAATCGGGTTTGTGATTTTCCCTGGGATCCCGGACTCGCCGCCGCCGTTCTTCTTGTCCGCCAGGGATATTGAAATTGCCAAGGACAGGGTGAAGCGGGCGAATATTCGACGGCCGGGGCGGTTGGGTGCGGATGTGTTTAGGAGGAGTTTGAGGCGCTGGCATATTTGGGTTTTCTTGTTTTGTTATGCGTGAGTTCGCTATCTTCGTCTTCTGGCTCCTTACTATCCCCATTATGGAAGAATATAGCTGACGTGGCTGCAGCTGCATGATCCTCTCCTCGTACCCAAGCGGGTACATGAGCCTCTGGCTCAAGGATGAGGGCTACTCCGTGACAAAAGTCAACCAGATCCCCACGGTCATCCAATCAATCACAATCGTCTCTTCGTGGCTCGGAACAACTCTCGCATCGATATACCCGTCCTGGATCATATATACCATAGTCTCTTCCTGCTCACTGTTCTCGACGCTGTGCATGTCCATCTGGAATATCCCGACGGGATTAAAGTACGTCACCAAAACATTTCCCGTTATCCTAACAGCTTAGCCTAATGGGTGGATTTTGACACGTACGCCTAGGTTCTTTGCCTGGTTCCTGTTCGGCGTCTCGGGCTGCTCAAGTCCGATCCTGTACTCGACCGTGAATGCCATCGTCAAGGATGATTCCGAGGAGAGGGCTCTTATCATGGTTCGTTGACCTGGCCCTGGCCCTGACCCTGACCCCTACCCTCACCCTCACCCTCACCCCGTCTCATCCTTTCCAACAACGCATAAGAATAGTGCGTGCAACTAACATAAACAACCCAGGGCTCGATGATGACATTCGGCTACTCATTCAACATCTGGGTCCCGCTCCTGCTCTTCCCGACGGCCGGACCGGACGGTGCGCCGCGCTGGCGAAAGGGGTGGCCGACGACGTTTGTGTTTTATTTCTTCCTCTGGGCAGGGTTCATTACGGCGATTGTGCTGTATCGACGGGATACGCGGAGGAAGGATATTGACGTGGGGTCTGAGACGGGGTCTGAGTCCGATGGTGGTGGGGTCAGGACGCCGGAGGTCGAGGCGGAGGTTGTGGTCGAGGCCACGAAGAGGTGAAGCAGCTGAAACAGGAGAGTGTGAGAACATTTGGAGAGACCCTGGTGAGGAAGGGGTACGTGAAGCAAGAGGTCGCGGGTGTCGAGCACCAGCAGGAAAAGCCCGTACATTATGATACATATGGGCCATCCTCCTCCTGCAGCCGGGTTTCCCCGTCCGAGAACTATAATGCGAATGGTATCTTTTGGGAAGCTGCCATGCTGGTTCACACCAACAATATGTGTCCATTCCTTCTGGACGTCTGTTAACAGGCTGTTGAGCAGCGGCTTGTAGTCCAGGAGAACTAGCCCAGGTATAATACTAACTTGATGCCAACGGGTGTTCTAGTCTTGTATTACTTAGAACACCGGTTTGTTGAACTAGAAACAGCGTACTGAGGAGAGATTGTGTAGCGTCTGTGCTGTGTGTAGTGCCTTTTCCTTCCGCTGTTTATCAGGGTTCATAAGGTCGAATTTTGGCGGTAGATGAATCCGGCCCTCCTCTTCTGGAACGGGCCATTGCCGACGCGGTGGTCGCGCAGTCCGACGTGGTTGGGGGGAAAATTATAGTAATGTCCCGAGCAGGCATGTGCTTGTCTGCTGCAAAGTCTCGACAGATTACGGCGTGTGTCGTGTGGATCAACAGTTGAAGATGGATATCTGGTTACGTCACGCGGTCCGGGCCTCATGCTAAGATGGAGCAGTTTAGTTCTATAACCTCACGCCGTGAGTCACGAGTGGCTCAGTGTTGACTGTTCAACCGGAATTCTTGCCAATGTCAGAGCTTTGTGCCTGTCCGCTCCTTATGCAGGCCGGGCGCCCGGCATTTCTCGACTACAATGGCCCCCCATCGCATTCTCTGCTGGCCTTGGTTCAAAAACTCGAAAGTCGGGACTGCCGTCAAGTTCATCGAGATTGAGCCCGTCGATGATTTTGAAGGGGAAATCGAGCGGAGTTTCGAGATCATGCGACGCATCTCTACAGCTGTCAAGGACGCCGTATCCAAAAAGAATACCTTCCCTTAATCCTCTCGGAAAATTGCGTGGCGAGCGCAGCGGTAGCCCGCGGGCTGCAGGAACGAGCTTTCGCACTAATTTACGTTGATGCGCACGATGATCTCTATTCGCCGAATGTTCATGAAAATGGATACTTTGACGCGATGGAACTGTCCATGCTTCGCGGGGAAAGCTAGAAGACGTTGATGAAGACTGTTCCCGGCTTCCAACCATTTGATTACAATCGGTTTCTGTACTGTAGTCTGAGAGACCTGTCGGAGGTACAGAGGCAGCGTGCTATCGATGTCAGCATGCAATCGATATGAGGAAGTGCGGAGAACAAGTCGACTTTGCAGTCGAGCTAAAGGCCCAGCTTGATATCCGAAGCAGAGTGATCACTTCCACTATATTCCAAAAATCTTCAGGATCCGTAATTATTGTGTCCTCCTAAAATAGCACAAGATTGTAAAGCATCCTTAGCGTTTCTACTTACAACGGAGTCCAATGTTGATGTCCCAGCATCGTCATTTAGTCCACATGGCATCATCAAAGGGTTCGTGCATCTTGAGGGCGTAACATTGCATGGAGCAAAATTGGGAAATGAGTCTCAAGACCTGGCAGTCTTTGCAGGACGGCTGTTCAATATATTCCCCCTGCGCAATGGGATATATCTACAATGCATGGGTTTGCCAAATCCCGCCCGACCCCCAACGGTGGACAAGAAACGGCTTCAAGGTGGTCGAGATGCGGGTCGCCGTACCCACTTTTACGCCTTCTTCGGCGTTCGACCCGGAGCTGCCAGCTCTTCAGGTCATTGTGTATTCATGATGTCATGATGCCGGAACGCCCGCACCATATAAAAATCGGCAAGCCGAACACCAAAAATCAACGTCAACGCCTACCTCTTTGCTCTTCTTACCTCCAGGCCCCACCTGAACAATACCTCTTAAAAAATCAATCATGTCCACCACCAAAACCTGCACCCTAAGCAACGGCGTCAAGCTGCCCGCCGTCGGCTTCGGCACATTCGCCAGCGAAGGCTCGCAGGGCGAGACGTACAAAGCCGTCACATGTGCCCTGAAAGTCGGATATCGCTTGCTAGATTGCGCGTGGTACTATCAAAACGAGGGAGAAATCGGCCAGGCTATCAAAGACTTTTTAGCAGAACACAAGGATGTGAAGCGCGAGGATATTTTCGTCGTCACCAAGGTTTGGAATCATCTTCATCGGTATGAGGATGTGCTGTGGTCCCTCCAGAATTCGCTGGAGAAGCTGCAGCTTGACTATGTCGATATGTTCCTTGTGCATTGGCCGATCGCGGTCGAGAAGGAGACGCAGGAGAAGCCCAAGCTCGGCCCTGATGGGAAGGTAAGAAGATGACGTTACCCTGACTATTATGGTCTTGCGCTCTGTTTCTCTCATTCAGGATCTCCCATCCACTGCGCTTATGCTAACGGTGTCGTGTCATAGTACGTCGTTCTCAAGGACCTAACAGATAACCCGGAACCAACCTGGCGCGCCATGGAAAAGATCTACAAAGAAGGCAAAGCGCGCTCAATCGGCGTCTCAAACTGGACAATCCCGCGCCTCAAGCAACTCCTCGACCTCGCTGAGATAAAACCGCACGCAAACCAAATCGAAATCCACCCCTTCCTCCCAAACACGGAGCTGGTAAACTTCTGTTTCGAAAACAAGATTTTGCCAATGGCATACTCGCCGCTAGGGTCGCAAAACCAGGTTCCAACGACGGGTGAAAAGGTCTCTGAGAATCCGGTCCTGAATGAGATTGCGAATAGGCGCGGGAATACCCTTGCGCAGGTGCTTATTGCGTGGGGTGTGCGCAGAGGATATGTTGTTTTGCCAAAGAGCTCGACGCCTGCAAGGATTGAGTCGAATTTTAAGCCTATTGAGTTGTCCGACGAGGACTTTGAGGCGATCAATCGTGTTGCGGAGGGACGGCATTTCCGCTTCGTTAATATGAAGGATACCTTTGGGTATGATGTTTGGCCGGAGGAGGCTTAGTTTCTAGATCAGGGAATGATATCCCTCGTTCTAGTACATCACGCGATGGGCAACCTCAATATATTCCAGACTCAGTCGATCGTAATTCAAAGATTTGATAACATGAAGCTCGTCCGCAGTCAGTAAAAATCCAGCATTTCTGACCAATTCCAGCGGGTCGTTATTCCACCACTAGTTTTACAATGACCGTTCGAGTACTATGGCTCTTCGTTCTGTCGAGGCCGTTATTACGCACGAAGCTCTGGGTGGTAAGTAAAAATAGGTGTAGACTTTGGGTAAGCTATTAAACTGTCAAAATTCGACGTGAAGCTATCCATGGATGAGTGGACGGTCATCCAAGGATTAGTATCATGTTATCCGGACTAGTAGATCTCAAGAGCTCGCAGCAGCCCCTGGCTCAATAAAGCAGAACTGATAGTCATGCTTGACATCAACAACCACCCCTTCGCAAATGATGGGGGGCCGATCGAGATTTGCATCATCGCGGGGAATACAGAACCCCAGTGTACTCTGACCTACTTTGGGACCAGCACGCCGCATCCATCATCAAGGTGTATGACCTGGGTGTCAGCCAAGTCAGCAATCAGCATGCTCCCCTTGTCCTCGACCGTAGCACGCTCCACGAGGATGAAGTGTTTGAAGGAGAGTATACCGGTTATCGTTCCGCACTCGCAGGCAAGAATTCATGGTCCGTTTTCTTTGCCCAGCCTCACCAGGGCGCTTTCCCCATATGTTGGCGAAGGAAGACCTATCCGTGATGCGCACGACAATCTGGCCGCGTCGGAAATTATATCTCGCCTCCGCTTCGTGTACTTTTTCCAGTTCTCGGATGAACTTTTTGGCATTGTTTGGCCGTCATGCACTCCTGCAAACGAGTGAGGTCCTGAGGAGTTAGTGAAGAAGGCATTGTGTTATGAAGCGGGTTGGCTTTGTTTGAGGTCGTGGGAATTTGGTTTGAGGATAGAGTAGAAAATACTGGCCGTATCGACTGATTGAGGTACGTTATGTTTCTGATTGCTGGTAGATCTGATGCCGAGACGGGGATATTTATATCTGCCTAGAATGCACGTCCATGGGTGAAGAAAGGGGTAAAAGGGACATTAATCGTTCAATGACCTTTCGAATGGGCGTTTAATACCTCGGGCTCGTTGACCATGGCGTGGAACTTGCTTTACATAAAGTTCTTGTTCCTGCTGTCCATACTTGATGCGCTAAAGGGGGAAGGTATACTGGCTTTCTATCAACTGGCAATCCATGTGTAATTATTGAATAAAGGAATGATTCTTCCGATCTAGCCACAAAGGATCGTTTAAATACTAGAGTATAGTAAGCAATCCAACCTAATAAAGCAACTGAGAGAGGCATACATAATGAACCGTGCATAAGTCAGAATAATCTGTTGACACTCTTCAGGCGTTGTGGAGTGCCGTGTTTATCCTGTTTGGGGCGGCGTCTATCCAAGACATCAATCATTATCCTGGTCATTATTCGTTTGGTGGTAAACACACTCTGTTTGTAACCTTGTCTAAAAACGGACGATTTATTTACAAGGATTATCCCCGAATTCGACGGATTCCTGACTCTCTATTCCTGTTCAGTTGTTAGTTGCTTCCACATAATCAGGGATTGCTAGTTACCAATATTGATATCTAGAAGGTCTCCTATGTGAAGAGCGGTCACATGCAGGCGACACTTTCTAAGGCGCTCAATTGATGTCGAGAGCACCATTTCTGAAAGGCGTTCCAAGATAGCGCTCAAAAATCTTCCAACCATCTGCTGTCATGCGAAGCCGGTCAATGTTGGTCCCAATCCACCAGATTGCCGGCAGCCCATTCTCTCTAACCACATCCTTTCGACCGAACACGGCCGTGTCGTCGCCCGGCCAGCCATATCGGATGAGCATTTCCTGATACCGAACAACCACACCTCCATCTTCATCACGATCGACGATGTGGTTTGTAGCGCTGCGGGCGATTCCCGGAATGAAGAATCCGTAAACATTTTCAAAGAATTCCTTCATCTCCTTGTGGCCACTGATAGTACCGTGGCTGTGGTACACAACAGCATTTGGGAGGAAGGTAGCAGTCATTTTAGCATGGTCGAACTCCTCGAAGACAAAGTTATGGCGGTTGACGAAATCGGTAGCGCTTGATCGTTCTTCACTGCTCACGTCACTTAGGGTAGAGCCGCGGACAGGAGGGTAGCGCCCATCAACAATTAACGAAGACATTCTGGACGAAATGAACCGAAGATGATAAGTCGATTATTTGTGGTTTAATGAATTGATGATTCAAGGATGTTTAGAGACGAGGGTGTCCTGAGCACAACCCTACCTGGGTCCTGTTGTCTATTTATACCCATGAGGTAGTCAATGACGTCTCCTTGGTAGCTATACAAAGTTAATAGCATGCTATCGGAGTACATATATAATCTGCAACATGATTATTGATTATTGATCACCTAGAGACCTCGGCAGACCCACTGGACCCGATCATGGGAATTTCATGGGTGGGCCCTCCAGGATCCCGGGAACGAGTGTACCGCTGGTGGACCACGTCATTGGTTGAAACTTGTTGGGAAGGACCTGCGTGCAGTCTGTGGGAGAACATGCGAGTATTGGGAGGGACATGCAGAGGAATGGCAGTTGGCTCTAAGGCACCCTGCTACCACAGGGTGGCGGTACAAGTGCTCCAGCCAGGAATGCGTCGTGTCAAGTCAAGAACCAATATTAATGGATTTCAACATTTCACGCGTCTGACGGCCTACAATGTTATCTAAAAGTACAAAAGATTATTCAGTAAGTCGCGTGTCGAGCGCAAGAAGCCAGCCATAGAGGCTATCAGGCTCTAAGATGCATATGGTTCTAAACTTCAATTGCAACAGCGTGAGAGCACCAAGAGACATCTATATCTGCCAGCTCAGCCTGCACGTTGACTTCTAGCTCGCGCGCGAACGTTTCCTCAAACATGAAACGGACCACTAGTTAGTTCTGCTTAGCTGTGTGGAGACCAGCCTCGCGTTGGACCGCCTCCCAGACGTCACGGCGTGGAAGGGATAAGATAAAAGAGGCTGGCTGTTTTCTCCACCACGGGACTTGGGAGCGGTTCTAGGCCTAGGGGGATGCCTCACCTAGTGGCTGCTAGATGATGAAGTGAATTGGAGCCGTGGTCGTTGGTCTGAATGCTGTGTCTCACGGACCTGGGACTCGAGATATCGGAATATTCGGCATCGCCTCCCTGAAAGTTATAAATCATTGGGATGATAAACAATCATGGATCCGGGGAGGGAACAAATGAGTTGGGAACGATGGTGGACATTGACCAACATCCCTGTCGTTATTCGTTTGGTGTCAACGCACCGCGTTTATAACCTCAGTTATATAAGGGCGATGTAAAACCTAGGATAGTTTTCTGCATTCAACTGTTCTTAATCTCTCTTTCCCCTACATAGCTCTTGGTAACTTCCACAATTAGTATTACTTACTTGTAAATAGCTTTATTTACTTACTTTATTATTTAAACTAGTTTTACCACCTTATTGAAAGGTGTGGCAGTAACTTTTATTAATTATAGATTGAATATATTAAGTATATATTATATAGAGGCCTTTTAGAATAGCTTTAGTAAGTAGTTTTTAATATTTTACTTTACCTTAGCCATAAGGTAGTCATTACGCTGAGGCTCCGGAAGAGAATTCGGATCTAGCAGACGCATGTATTCAGCAAGAGGCTATCTTTCAGGCTGCTCGCTAGATATAACTAAATGACACGAAAAGGAGCCATGCGTTTTAGGATCTTTCGTAAAAGACAAAGAAACTTGATACTTCCATCAAGCATAGATACAGCCTTTCTGACCAGTTCCCGCGGGTCCTTCTCCAAGCTTGACGACTTTTACTTCTCGAGAAACCCAACGCTCTCCGTGCGCACATGGCCCGCTGATTTGCCACTGAGGATATTTTGCAGAACCGAGCGTGAGTTTTCACGTTATTTGATCACCTTGTCGCATGGCATCTTCATGGAACAGCAGACGGCTGTCAGGAGCTACTGATAGCGAAAGGAATGGTTCAAATTGGAGAGAAACCTCGCCAAATCAGCAATATCCTATTGCAGTCGTTGCGGAACATCTTGAATCCAAATCCAAGGAGTACGTCGAGTTGAACCCGGCCTGTCTGGCTAATTTCTATTACTCGGATACGGTTTAAGGCCTCTGCAATTAGTATCACAAAGGGCAGGATCCCAAGGCCACTCCGAATCTTTTACAATGTCCGTCCTAGTACTATACCTCCTCGCTATTACGCATAAGTCTTTTGGTATTCAATAAATGAGGTACTGATTGTGGGTCAGATATGGAAACTGTACCTAATAACAGCCTGAGGCGATTCATTCCATTTAAAAAAAACATACTATTTTCCTGTTAGTTATAAGCGCTGTCCAACGAGCAGTATCATAAACCGGACTAGGTAGTAGATCCTAAGTCTGGAGCCGACCGAGTCTATCAAGCACCGGCTGCCTATGCCGTACCGGCCACAGACTCAACAAAGCAGAACTGATAGTCCTGTTTGATATCAACAACCAGTCCCTCGCAGATCATCAGGGGCTGTTCGAGACTCACAGCATCGCGAGGAATGTAAAATCCCAGCATTCTTTGATTCACCCTGGGAGCAGCGACGAGGGCATTGCCCAGCGCCCGCCTCTTGTCGTCCTCGAGGTGCATGTCCCGGATATCAGCCAAGTCAGCAACCAACATAGCCTCCTTGTCCCCCTCCTGAGCAGGCTCGACGAGGATAAAGTGTTTGAAGGGGAGTATACTGGTTATAGTTCCACGCTCCATTACATACGCATCCTTGTCGTTTTTCGCCCAGCCCCACCAGGGCGCTTTGCCCAGCGCAGGTGTGCCTTTGTTGGCGAGGTCCGCAGCAGTATCGGGGGTGCGCTCGACGATCTGGCCCCGTCGGAAATTGTACATTTCGCGGGTGCGGACTGCCTCGGCCTCAGTCTCCCATGCCGGGTCTCGTTCCAATACTTTGCCCACGGCGACGATCAAGTTAAGGGTTTGTCTGTCTCGTTTGGCTTTTAGGTGCTGCTGTAAACGACTGCTACCATTTGAGCCTGTTGAGCAGGTAGTCTCGCTGGAAGAGATTGACGAGTTGTTTGTTGAAGACATGTTTGTACCGGTTGAATTGACCTTGTTTTGGTATTGGAGTCTGCGTTTGAGGATGGGTTAGGTAAAATGAACGTTGAAGATCGAGGGGGTTCGATTGATGAGTCTGAGTAGCTGCAGATAAACGGGCAAGAAGGAGGTATTTATCTTTCCATGGATCGGAGCACCCACGGCTCGAGTCCACAATGCCCTTTGTTCGATGCCCATGGTATATACTACAAAGCCCATTATACAGCAATAAAGAGCATCCATCATCTCATGAACCAAGATGAACCGAACGTGGATGTTAAAAGGGTACAATAAAGGCGCTTTTTCATATCAAAACTTATGATCAAAGGGCCTTATTGAACGACCATCACGGTCGTCCACTTCTGTAGGGTCGACATATCTCGAGGCCTAGGGACCTGGTAGGTGGCTAAGTCTCTGCCCTCATCGCTACTCATTGTTGCCGGCTGGTATACAGACTATTTAATTGTGGTAGCCATTGTAGTTGACCATGTACATTTCCAAAAGACAGCTCCACTTCTCCAAGGACCCGCGGCTTCATACCTACGCTCGGCCACTAGATCTTCACAAGACCTACATATCATGTTCGCTATGAATCATTAACTTGGTGGCATAGGACGGACTTTACAATCCATGGTATGAGTTGACTCACGCAAAATGCAGAATCATCCTTGGACAGATGAAAATCTATCACTAAAAGGCGCATACAACTTCCTCAGCCGCGATGTTTGGGGGCCCTTGAGAAAGGTCCATCGGAAATCCATCGTCCCGTGAAAATCGGGCCAATTTCACGGGCCAAGTCGTGAGTTGCATGTTTAGGCCTCATTCATTTACGCAGAGTCTTGTGTGCTGATGACGGGAGTGTGACCCCCCAACTGGCCGACAACAGCGTTATGCATGAGCAGAGTGCCGATTCGACGAAAGCTCAGATTAGGACACCTCGCATGCTCGATTATTATTGTGCTACTAACAAAATATAGATACCAGTCCAGCCATCCGAGCATCCCACATACAGGACCGACTCCGTGGTTGCCGAATAGTATTCCTAGCCTTGCGCCGGCCTGGATATTCTCTAAAATATCGTGATTTTATCCTCCACAACCGCCACCGTTAAAAGTCTCCATTATCAGCTACTTTGTTCAGCGTCCAATCGCCAGATTTCCCCGGCTTCAAGAAGACTCAGGCACAAAGCTCAACCAGACAGGAGCCTCGGACCTAAAGTCACCCGTCCAGGTCCCAACGTAGTTTGTCCCCGGGATATGGTTCCAAGTTGGTCCATAAACGGGTTCTTCGTCAGTAGCGGTGAAGTACGAAAGCAACTCGGTAGAGCCCTGGTTCTTCAGGTCAGTAAAGCCATGGTTCCCAAGTCCAAAGTCTAAAAGGAGACGGGAATGCGTACGCCAATCGGGCTAGGTCGTCCCTGCCACTGGAAGTCGGATTTTTCAGTCGCAATTTCGAGCTCGTTCGATTCCTCGTTCAGAGTGAGCCACCCATTGGCAGATTCGAGTCCTCCTTCGCCGTCGGAGGTAAAAATTGTACAGTCAGGGGATGCTTCGAGGCGGCCGTCATCGATAATGCAGTAAACCCTTGACGGATCGGTGATTGTTCCGGTCTGGCCGGCTTCGGGGATGATCCAATTTTGGACCTGCGCGAGGGAGGGAGCGGCCAATGTAATGGCTAGAGCTGAGGAGAGAAGGGAGAGATGCATCGTGGCCGACTTTCTTGCAAATGAACCTGAATGGGATGTTCTTCGGAAACTCGAGGACACTGAGGATACGCTTGCTGGTTTTATAGCTCCTTTCCGCAGAGGGATCTACCCGGAGTCCGGGGTTTCTTGATTGTCCGGTGGCTGAACCGTGTCGATCTATAATCGCAATACTTGGCCACATTATGTAATTTGATCCCATTTCGAGATCCAGCGCGACATCGCATGTAACCAGGCTGAGAGCTACGACGTCCTCAAGTTCCTTCAGCTCAAGCCATTGACTGTTTGTCCGGTCAAGGCAGACCTTTGTGTTCCGACCCTCCGTCTGCATGCGGCACGACGGAGGAATAAGTAAAAAGTTGGATCGTGTCTCGAGAGGGCGCTTTTCCCTGACGTGGCAGACTGGCTAGGAATGTCATATTTCTCAGGTATGGGCCTCTCGGGGAGTCTCACTTGGTGATCGCTCCGTTCAGCCCCAGACCTCAGATTCCATGACTAAAATCTACCTGGCGAGGTACAGTACTTTATTAGAAAGTGGCTGTCCGTTCTAGTATAGCTCCTCTCACATGAAAGAATGATCGGCAACGAAGGATAAGGCCCTGCGGCTTACACTCCCGCCACGTTCACTCCCTTTAAGTTTATTTGTCTGACGCCGAATGGCTGCTCGCCAGGATAATACTCGCCCGCTAGGCAGTCTAGGTTACTCAGCTTCATTTTCTGAGGCTAGAAGTCTGTTCTGGGAAGAAAGTGGATGAAACCGAGTCCAGTCCGATGGCTCAGGGAGGGCATGTTCCCTGCTGCATATCCTGACGTCGAGGATTTCATTAGCCTTTTGTTCTAGGCTTGCCGCACGAGTCTTGGTCTCACTAAGCGTAGTCTTTTGACATTTGAGGTCTGAGTGGGCGAAACAGTTCTCATGAAAGGCGACATTCCATAGATCCTCCAAAACCGTTCATCTAGTAAATCAAGGAGTCATTGGTGGCCTATAAGCCAACGATTTGAGACATACGTATAGGCCCGAAAAAAGAGTGGAACTACACAGAGTTGACCGAGGATGGAAGTTGCACCTGGTTGTAGTACAACGGTGCTCGAGTCGCTGTTCGAATCGCTGAGCGAACTGCCAAACCAGTGACCTGATGCGTCGCGAAACGAATCGCTGTTCGAAGGCCACTTCCTGCAACGACGTCACTAAATCAGTTCTCGCGAATGGAGTGCAATTCGCGGAGAGAAAGGATTCAATGTTTTCCCCTGGAAGTGACAAAAAGCAAAAAGAGTCTCAAGAGGGGGGAACAAACAACGTTTAGCCCCTATCCACGTGACTGCTTGTGGTGCTAATTGAAGGCAGGGAGACACGTGATCGTTGCTCCATCATCATGAGGTCTGACAACGGACGGCCGCTAGGGAAAAAATTATTTTGGGGGATATGAGGAGTCTTTATACGTTTCAGTAACTGCATTTGGCATACAATACTCGATCAATCTATCCCGCCTCGTACAAGCAATGCACCATACCAAGCCTTTCTAACTGCAAACAAGCACATACGACCACAGGGTGTGGAGAACAGGGCTTCCCGTCCGCTCAGCCGTACTTAAGCCACACGCCGGTAGGTTAGTAGTATGGTGGGTGACCACATGCGAATCCCTACTGTTGTATGTTTTTGGTGTTTTGTAGCAGAATCCTTCCTGAATTTTTTCGTTGCCCTGGGTTGGTTTCCGTCTAATCAAGACAAGCTCGCTAGTACATCGGTGTAGACTGTAACTGTTATGCAAAAGTTTCCGGTCGCCCCTGCAACCCCACCAAGATATATAATCGATCAAATGACTTTAAATAGCAGCAAAGCATTCAATTACCAAAATCATTACATGTAATAAAGATGCTAGATACAAGTAATATCCGCCGAATTGAATAGTACTAATATCCCTGCTTAATATCTCATGTACCACCCTTTAGCAGTAATACGCTCCTTCAACCACCGCGCCATTGATTTAATCGACTAGTCAAAGTAATTAGTTAATATCTTCGCCCACGCTTCTTTAATTTTATCACGGTAATATTTTTCTAACTCCTCTACAGTTCCTTTATAGGATTAAACTGCTGGATCAAGTTCAAATATCGTCTCTTTCAGTTAACTACAGGCGTGCTTGACAGGGTTTAAATCAGATGATATCGTAGGCCCCACTAGTAGAGGAATTGCCTCCTCCTTCAACCAATTCTTGACAATTTTGCTGTATGAATATGTATGAATTTCGACTACGGAGTACCATACCTAACTCACGACTCTCGCCTCAATCAAGCCATGGCAATACCCCTCAACCTGGTAAACATTAGTCAATTCAAGGCCACTCTTCGCCAAAACTGCCCTCCACTCCTCCAAAGTTCGTTGCTTCGCACCAAGCGTCATCATTATCAGATCCATCCACCCTTCCTCAATACCGGGATCTCGAACAGGAACAATGATTTCTTCGATCAGGAGGCGTGAATGGCCCGGCTCCATTGCTGCAGCTGTATGTTTCAGGATTTGCACAACCCTATCCTCCGGCCAATTGTGCAAGCATCGGCGTATCAGATAAACCAACGCCCCGCGAACCGGCTGTTCTATGAAAAAGTCGTGTGCCACAGTCTCTATCCCATCTAGATACGATGTAGATGCAGTACCACGCTCAAGTCCAGCGATTACATGCGCCTGATCTTGGAGAATGAAGCGGCCACGTACGTCGCCGGATAGATCGCGGATCCGTGCGATGGCTTTACCCCTCCCCCCGCCAATATCGACAGCGAGGACAGCAGCAGGCCTAGAATCCGAGGCAGAGAAGGTCTTGTGGAAGGGGAACAGGTCGATCATCCAGATTGCGGTCATGGCTTGGACTGTCATTCCGTCGTTGAACGCTTTCACTCTGTCTGGTTTGGTCGAGATGTTCGCGAACATAGTTTTGCCGTTGGTTTGGTGGGCGTGTGTATATGGGTTGTTTGCCGTGGAGTCTGGTGTTTTCCAGGAGTTGAGGGTTAGGAATTCGTGGAGCTTCAGGTGGGCTGGCATGTGTTCGTTCATGCTATTCCCCCATCATCATTAGCTGGGGAACGATATTTGTTGAAAGGGAAGGATACGAAACCCACGCGAATCTAAACATCCCCCTGATCTCAGGGCGCAGGTATACCAGTGAGAAGGGGGTGTGTCGGTACAATTCCTCGCCCGTTCTCTCGAGAGGGCCGTAGAGCGAGGCGTGCCTTAACAAGCGCGCTAGATAGACGCAGGGATATTGTAAGAGCTTGGGAAAACGAAAGTCATTGCCGTCTGAACCTACTGAGTAGAGACTGGTCAACACCCAACCTGGCTGCCAAGTCGCTCGTTGATCGAGGAGTACCATCGTTTGGGAGCTCCTCGAAAACTCCCATCTCAAGCAGCGCTCGGACAGTGGCTAAATGGGCGGTCTAGATGGACTGGCTTAGTAAAGCCTCTGGGGGTTTCCAGTGGATAGTACCTGTTCATAACACGTCGCAGCGGCATCTATCGGCCCCTGAGCGGCTTGGAGGAATCTGTATGCCTCCAAGACCAGCGCCCTCCGCGAGCCCTCTCTCGTACTGAGGCTATGCACATTGTGACTAATGCTGCCAATGTACGTCAATTGACATCGCTCCGTCGCAGCAGTGAGCGACTGAAGCGCCTGCTGGATGGACCGAACATATTCGTTGGTATCCGTGGTGATTTGCATGTTGAACGAGTGGTATCTGCTGCTCTTGAGATGGTGTATCGGACTTTTTCCACGTACATCTACCCGAGGACGGATTAAATGGGTAGTCCAAAGATGGCCCTACCTTCAAAATAGGAAAGACACGCAGCGCAATTGTGGATATCGTGATGTTTCGGTGGCCGAGGACCACCTGCACCACATCCCATATAGTCTGCAAGGACCCGAGTGCGGTGCGGGCCGTAGATTAGAGTTTGGTCGCCGTGCAAGGCTGCGTCGAGGCATGCCATGGGGTCACACATACCGGACACGAAGTGTCGAAGACCGTAAATCCCGAGGACGGCTCTGACCCGACAAGTGAAATGGGTGGTTACCTAGAAGGCGAGTGGGCTTGGTGTCGCTTCGTTCATGATTTCTGGCGTGCAGGGATGCGCGGGCTCGGACCGATAAGGCCTCGCAGTCTCTATTATACCGCACGCTCACTCGGTCTTATACCCGACTATCCATGTCGTTTCAGCGCCAGTACCTGGAATCCACCCAAGTAAACGAATAAACCAGCCCGCAGTACCTGGAGAACCCATCCTCAACGATGAAGCTCATTTTCTTCAGTAACAAGTTCCCGACCGAGGAGCCCTCTGATATCTTTCGACAACTACGGCGGCAAAGCAGATCGGATTCACATATCATTCTGCGTCAACTGTTGAAGGAGACTACTCTTGCCGTCCGTGATGAAATTCGACTACTCCCTGCTGAGCTGCGAAGCTGCTTGCCACCGTTCAGGTGCATTCTGGACCTTGCAGAGCACTATGATTGGCATCGAGGACCGTTGTCCGGTACATTCGAATGCGTATTCCTGTGTCTATCCTCGCTCGGTCTGTTTGTTGGGTAAGATGCCGCGAGAGTTCATATTTCAGACTCAGAGTACTGACGATCAGGGTTGTACCGTGGTGTCACGCAGGGACTACGAAGGACGAGCCCATGAATTCAGTTTCACACAAGAAAACACGGTGGTCACCGGGTTGGGGCTAGGTTTCCTGGCTGCTACTGCAGTCATCGCATCACCCTCCCTGAGCGACTTCCCACATGTAGCGGCAGATGTCATTCGAGTCGCAATAAGAGTAGGCCTCGTTGTCTACCAAACATCCCAGGATCTTGATCCTAAAGGCTTGGATGCGCCCTTGCGAAGCTGGACGACGCTAGTGAAGGGGCTGGGTGAGGAGGCGATCCAGCGTGAGCTTGAACACTTCAACGAGTCTACTGTAAGCGTACTCCTCAACGAGTTTGGAGGAGAGTCTAACTGACCTCACTGGGTTCCTAGGGTGCCATTGGTCCGGGTCGCCTATACATCAGTGTTGTGGAGCCGGATGGCAGCGTCTTTGTCAATGGTCCTCCGAGCAGGATGCAGACCCTTTTCAAGGGATCAGGCCTGCTCGCATCGGCACCGCGTGCACCACTCCCCGTGTATGGTGGGCCGTGCCACGCATCGCATTTGTATGACCGGAGCCATGTCTCGTGGGCCCTACAGCATGTGCGTGCGGACATTGCGCAGCGATCCTGCTTTGGCGCTGCACGTCTCCTCTCAATGGAGGATGGCCAGCCGCTGGGCGCTAATACGGTCTTGGAGCTTTTAGAAAACGCCACGCAGATTCTCCTGACAAGTATTATCCGGTGGGGGAGGGTCGTGGCTGCCTTGAAAGAAGATCTGTGGCAAACCGGCCCGCAAGGCGAACAGAGCGAGGAAGCCACGACGGACCTTCGCATCGAGAGCTGCAGATCCCCTCCAGTCGTTGAGGGCTTGGGGTCTACTTTGCGCGAAGCCCATCCAGACCTTTCAATAACAGCCCATGACCTCGCAGGATGGCTTTCAACAGTGCCAACTGAACATTCTAAAAATGGCGACGATACTAAGATTGCAGTTGTCGGCATGTCTTGTCGCTTACCCGGAGGCGCTGATGATCTCGAGCGCTTCTGGCAAATCCTCGAAGAAGGCCAGGATGTCCACCAGCATGTCCCCGCAGACCGCTACGATGTTCAGACCCATACGGATCCAACTGGCCGTCGCCCCAATACCAGCCAAACTCCCTTTGGCTGTTTTATCGAGAATCCCGGTCTGTTTGACGCGAGCTTCTTCGACATGTCCCCAAGGGAAGCGGGACAAACAGACCCTACACATCGTTTAGCGCTGCTCACAGCATACGAGGCACTCGAGAACTCCGGCTACGTTCCTGATCGCACATTTTCGACCACGCGACAGACGGTGGGGACGATTTACGGCCAGTGCTCGGATGACTACCGCGAGGCCAACGCTGGGCAGGAGATTGACATGTACTTTATCCCTGGAAACTACCGAGCCTTTGCACCGGGACGAATCAGTTACTTCTTCAAATTCTCTGGGCCCAGTTTCAGCTGTGACACGGCGTGCTCAGCAAGCTTGGCAGCGGTTCAGATCGCCTGCGCGGCCCTTGGTCGCGGGGAGGCGAACATGGTCGTTGCTGGAGGGTTAAATATCATCACCAGTTCAGACAGCTTTGCGGGTCTGAGTCGTGCATACTTTCTGTCCAAGACCGGTGGTTGCAAGGTATTCGACGAGGGTGCAGATGGCTACTGTCGCGCTGACGGAGTCGGGTCTTTGGTTCTCAAGCGCCTTCCCGACGCACAGAAGGATAACGACAACATCCTGGGCGTGATTCTGGCCACTGGGACCAATCACTCCTCTGCGGCCGTCTCACTCACCCATCCTCATGCACCGACCCAAGAGAGGCTATACCGCTCTGTACTGAGTGAGGCAGGTATCAGTCCGTTGGATGTGGATCTGGTTGAGATGCACGGCACAGGGACACAGGCAGGGGATGCCGCTGAAATGGAATCGGTCACAAATGTTTTCAGTTCGTCTGATGGTCGCGGTGCTCGCCGCTCAGAGACATTGCATATCGGCTCCGTCAAGGCAAATCTGGGCCACGGGGAAGCAGCAGCTGGGGTCACTGCACTCATCAAGGCCCTTCTCATTCTCAAGCACAACGCCATACCGAAACACGTCGGGATCAAGACCCAGTTAAATTCCAAGTTTCCGGATCTGGGGCGGCTGAATGTTCATATACCCACCGACACGATTCCTTGGCCTCGGCGTGCTGACCGCAAACGATACGTCATGGTCAACAACTTTAGCGCCGCGGGTGGGAATACAAGTCTTGTTGTAGCGGAGCCTCCTGAAAGACCCCCGCCAGACCCCATGGGGTGGCCTGGAATGGGCTTTGTGGTCTGCGTCTCAGCAAAGAGCGGCATCTCCTTACATCGCAACCTGAAGCGTCTGATAGCCTATATTGAAGACCATTCCACGTCCATCCACCTTCCCAGCTTGTCCTATACCAGCACAGCTCGTCGCATACACCATGTCCACCGCATTGCTGTTCATGGATGCTCAATTGAGGAGGTGCTCAAGAGCCTCCGACTGAGACTTCCGGAAACGACGGACGCTGCCCAGCAACGCGCAATGCCTGTGGGGGCCATGGCAGCCCCTCGTATCGCGTTCGTCTTCTCTGGCCAGGGAAGCTTCTACAAAGGAATCAGCCGCGCCTTGATAGAGCACTACCCGCCTTATAAGAAGGAAATACAACGGCTAGATCGACTCTGCTTGCTACATGGATTTCCATCCATCCTTCCAGGGCTCGAGCTCGGCGGCCATGACGTTGCCAATCTGACTCCAATTGTAGCACAACTCACGACAGTCTGTGTACAAGTGGCTTTATACCGGTTGTGGACCTCCCTGGGAGTCGCACCGCATATCGTTATTGGCGCCAGCATTGGCGAGTATGCTGCTCTTCATGCTGCCGGGGCTCTCTCAGCCAGCGAGATAATCTACCTGGTCGGGCACCGAGCACTTCTCATGCAGGAGATTTGTACCGCAAATACACACACCATGCTAGCTGTACAGGCCACTGTTGAGCAGGCCAGGCAGTGCGCTCATGATAGCTCACTATACGAAGTAGCCTGCGTCAACTCTCCCAACAGTATCACACTCGCTGGAACTATAGCCAACATCGATGCCATGAAGATCTCGCTGGAGTCGCAGGGCTATCGCACTGCGCCACTGAATGTAGCTTATGCATTCCACTCGTCGCATATTGAGCCGACCATGGACCGATTCGATGCGCTTGCGGTTCGGGTAAGCACTCGCCCGCTGAAGATCCCCCTCATCTCTCCGCTGCTCAGGGATACCATCTATGCCGGGCAGGAGCTACCAGAAACATACCTGAGAGACGCCACGCGACAAACAGTGCACTTCTGGGAAGCGCTCGAGAACGCATGTGAGCAAGATCTGATCCCACCGAAAACGGCCTTCGTAGAGATCGGCATCCAACCAACCTACAGCAGCGCAGTTCGAGCTATTGTCCCCGACACAGCTGCAATCGTTTCTACTCTGCGGTCTGATGAGGATAATTGGAACACGTTAACGGGTAGTATGGCCAAGCTCTATGAAGCCGGTGTTCCTCTGGGCTGGAATGAGTTGTATAAGCCGTATGAGTCGGAGCTGGGACTTCTCGATCTCCCAACCTACCAGTGGAACCTGAAGAACTATTGGATCCAGCACAACGGAGATTGGTTACTTACTAAGGACCGAGCGCCGTGTACTTCGGATAGTGCTGTTGTCGGAAAGCGTGCGCCTGCTGGCCTTCGCTCTCCGCTTGTACACAGGATCGTCGAGGAAGATTTGTCGTCTGGCAGAGCCAAAGTTGTCGTGGAGTCGGATGCTCATGACGACGAGTTCTTTGCTGTCGCTTCAGCGCACAAGATGAGTGGACGACCGGTGGTGTCGGTGGTAAGCAAACCTGTACCCTGTCACGTACTTTCTAGCTGGGATGGCGTCTAACGCCTGTCTTTACAGTTCTCGTATCCGGACATGGTTTTGTCTCTAGCCAAATACATATACAGCAGGATCAGGCCCAACACCGCGCCACCAGGAATGGACTTTGGCGGCGTACATATCCTCCAGGGCTTACTGCCATGGAATAATCGAAGTCAACCCCAAATGGTCCGGTTACGAATCGAGACACCAAATCTTCATGATACTCGGGCGGAGATGTCGGTCGCCATCTACCTAGCAACGGACGAGGAGCAGTTGGCAACAGGATCTGTCACATTTGGAGACCACACTCACTGGGCAAAGGAATGGGAAAGCATTGCTTATCTGGTAACAAGTCGCATAGAGGCTCTCCATACACTTGCAAGAGACGGGCAAGCAGACCGCTTCACGAAGGCGATGGTTTACCTGCTCTTCAAGAACATCGTCGACTATTCTCCTCCCTACCACGGGATCCAGTCCGTCGTCGTACACGGGCTGGAGGCCGTGGCTGATATTATCCTAACCCCTACACCCGAGGGGCGATGGTCATCTGCACCACCAAATCACATTGATAGCATTGCGCACGTTGGTGGATTTGTACTCAATGCCGGACATGCAACCAACCACGTTGAGACTATGTATGTCATGGAGGGCTGGAAGTCCATGCGGTTCGCCAAACCGCTCGTGGCAGGGACCCCCTACCGCTCATACGTGAAGATGGTCCCTGCTGCAGATGGCTCGGGCTTCTTCAGTGGAGATGTCTATCTCCTTGATGCAGATACTGTTATCGCGTTGATCGGTGGGATGACTCTCCGCCCCCTGCCGAGGATTCTGATGGGGCGGTTCTTCGACCCTCCAGATCCTCGACCCGTTGATGCTACCACAAGGATGCAGATACAAACACAGACAGAGCCACCGCCGACGGCAACAACACCGTTGACCCCTACCAGCGACTCACTGACAAATGCATCGCCCTCAGTCCGATCCGCAGACACGCCTGCTACCCCACCGGATCTAACTCCAGAAAACAAGATATTGAGCGCTAGCTCAAGGGACCCCGCGAAGACAAACAAAGCTCTCGCCCTCATCGCCTCGGAAACTAGGGTCGATCTGCAGGAGCTAACAGACGAGACGCATCTCTCGCAGATGGGGATTGATTCTTTGCTTTCTTTGGTTCTGGTCGAGAAGTTTGCGCTGGAATTGAATATCCACTTGCAGCCGAGCTTTTTCCTCGAGTCACCCACTATTGGTATGATTAAGGCGCAGCTTGCGGGGTAGGTGCTTGCCTGCTCCGTGAACGGGTGGGGCGTGGAAGATGTGTTGAGATGGGGAGTATGGAGTGGAAGTAGCTGCGTTGTATTTAGGTCGTACGCTGTCAGGTAGATTGCCATCTCCGATACAGGCTGGATATAAACCCGCTTATGTCTTCAACTCGCCAGCTGAGTGGTCTGATGACTTTTGCTCCACAGGCACATCTAGCAATAACTGATTTGTGTGAATTCTATGCAGACCGGTTTACTCTGATTCGGACTATAGTACTGTCCCCCTTTATACCAGGTTTGAATCCCATGGTCAAGGCTAAATTGTGTCCAGCTACTGAGAGGTGAAACGTAACCATCAACCTTGAGGTCAACACCATTAACCTTGCCCTCAACTGATATATCCGAGCGAACACGCCAATAACTGTACTTTTGTTGCATTGAGGAGTTTTGAAGGTTTAATTTTAACCAAGACGCGACTCTCATACAGCTTTGCCACAACTATCCACAGTTGTCTGATGTTCAATTTGCCTATTTCCCTCCCACAATATAACCTGACCATGAACCAAGCCGGTTGTCATTCCAACCCTAGATAGAAGCATTGGCACCGCCGTCGACACCACCCGCCCCTCCCTCCCCTTCCTCCACCCTACGTCTAACACGCATATTCACCTCCGGATTCGGAAAATAAATTGCCCCACTCGGATCCATCCTCGAATACTCGGGCATACTCTCATGCGCAAGCTCAACGTCATACGCATGCAGGATCTTCCCAAAAACCATTCGTGCAATCTGCGTCGCCAGGATCCGTGCGGGACACGTTCCCGACCCGTGTGAGAATGTGAGAAAGCTAGGCGAGGTTGTGAACACCTTTGGCGTACAGGTGTTTGTCGCGGCGTCGTAGAAGCGGAACCCGTTGAAGGTTGACGGGTCGCTGTAGATTTCGGGGTCGTGGTGCACGGCGCGGCAGGGGGTCATGATTAGGGTTCCTTCTTTTAGGCGGAGGTTGAGGGATGTGAGGTGCAGGGGCTGCATTACGCGGCGGAGGCCGACGACTAGCCAGAGTGAGAATCAACGTACACGAGACCAGAAGAGATGATGGAAAAGGAAACACGTACAATACGAAACATCATGATACCGAAACGACTCCTTGGAGAAACTCTCGAGTTTCGGTGCGTGGCTGAGGATATCCAGTGTCCAGTCGCCGCCACAGTGGTTCACGGCTGCGGCCCACTCGTCTCGGAGCGCGGCGATGTACCCGCGGTTGTTCATGATAGAGTACAGCATGAAGACGACATTCATCCCCGTGGGCCTGGAGAGCTCAAAGTGGTAGAGGAGGAGCTGCTGGAAGATGATATCAACAAGCTCATCCTCGTTCTCCTTGCGCTTGGTTCGACTGAGTGTGCCGTTTTTGAAGGTCGCTTCTATGAGGACATCCAATAGGGAGAAACAGCCGTCTTCCTCTTTGGAGGGCGTCTTCCCGGCTCGTACCCTCTCAACTCGGCGGTTGATCTCGGGTATCATCAACCTGCGCAGACGCGCGGCATTGGACTGCAGCTCGCGACAGGTTGGCGCAATTCGCCAGACGAGCGGACGGAGGATACGAGGGTAGGCAGAACGGACGACGCGGCTCAGCATTATCCCATCATTATGGCCCATTGACACTGCGGTTATTTCCGCGGCGTCAGCATGGTCAGCGCCGAGGATCAGCGAGGTGGCTATACTCGATGTCGCGGAGAAGACTGCTTGAAGAGTGTTGAGTTCGGTCCATTCTGTGGGTATGGTTAGTATATGCAGTTCGGATCCTGCAGTAGGTATGGCGATACGGACCGTGGTCTCCTCTGGGGCTGAATAGTGGATGTAGGTGTTTCTCTGTCTCGGCGGCGAGGGAGGCTTGGAACTTCTCTGTATCGTGGCGGAATGACCTTTTAGTATATCCTCTATTTTTGTGGAGGTCTTGATACATACTCAGTGTGAACTCATTATTGCACGAATGAACCGCCTCAACAGGCGTCCGAAGAACCACATTCATATGTGGCCACAGGTCCGCGAACTTGCTCAGATATCTTCGTTAACCATCATCCAAGTCCTGTTCGACCATCAGGCCCGATCCACCCAGTCTTCAGGGCTTACCTCGGACAACGCATGCAAAACACTCAACTGCTCATGGCCCATAGCCCTCCACTCCTTGGCCGTACCCGGCGGCAGCGCAATAGCATAGTCGTCATGCTGGATTCTAGCGGCGTACGGTATTCCATTCCTGCTGTACTTCTCGTAGGCGGCGCGATATTCTTTCTCCGGATCAAAGGGTCTGCTGTTCCAGCGGAGCAGTCGGCACAGGTTGCTTCCTTCGTCGACGACGGGGATGGAGCCCAGTTCGCGGCGTTTGCGCCATCCGTCGATGTAGTCGGTAATGATGATTATGAAGGGGATGGTGATGGTTGCGTAGAGGGTGAGTAATGCGGATTTGCGCACAACCTCGATGATGGTTAATAGTACAGTGGCCATGGTGTTTCGAGCAGGCTTGGGGGCAGCTCCTCTCTCTCAGAAAGATGTGAGGTCGTCTTCCAGTATGTTAGCGTCCTACACAGTGTTTCTCTGCCCCCAGCTGACACCTACCTAGGGTAAGGTACCTGCTCGTGTATTACACTCTGCCATGCCACGAGCGGCCCTCGATGCGGTACGACCCGAGGGGCATTGACTTCGCACGCGTAATCCCCGCCCGGAGAATGTGTCACCGCAATTGCGTCGCTGAGCGAAAGGATGGATACACAACGCGCCCAAAGAGCCTGTGCTCAATGACACGTGGGCCGGTGGCCGAGATGGTGTAACGCAGAATAGCGCGCAAATCTCTACCACGGGCTCCATTCAGCCGGTACGACATCTACGGCCGAGGGCGCGTGGGGGGAGGAGCTCAGGAAGCGTCAGGCTATTTGACTTGGACCTGCCGGTGCCCTGCAGATGCTTGCTTCCCTAGACAATCTGTTGTTTGCCTACCGAGTTCCGTCGATATGGCATCCCCCCGACGAGATGGAGCAAGCAGCCACGACCAAACCATGGCCGCGCAATACTCGCGCTGCGCGCGCGCCAGCGACTCGTTCGCAGGACCACTCGTCGAAGCGTCAGGTATAGCTCATTCACCTCTGCACCCGCTAGTTGTTTTCGACACTGCCTGCGGAACGGGCGTCATCGGCAGTACTCTGTATGGTACTCTTCCACGGGAGAAGACCCGCAACTGGGAGCTTCTCTGTGGTGATATGTCGCCGCATATGCTGGCTTATACGGAGCAGCGGGTCAAAGATGAAGGGTGGACGAATGTCGAGGCGAGGATTATTGATGCGCAGGATACGAAATTGCCTAGTGGGCGGTATACGCATGTTTTTGCGGCTTTTGGTGTGTTTCTGAAGATGTTCTGTGTGACCGGGTAGGACAGGGAGGCTGATGCTTTGCGTAGCGTTCAACCTATTTTCCGATCCGCAAGCAGGACTACGAGGTAAACAGCATATTTCTTTTGCTATTCTGGAGGGCAGCCCATGCTAACCAAGATGACGAGCAGAAGCCCTCAGGGTCCTCCAGCCAAAGGGCACGTTGGCAATATCAGTCTGGAAAGAAGGTACAGACCCATCGGCCCTGCATCCCCAAGATACCCTCCTAACCACTGTATCAGGAAACTGGTTCCCAATCACCCGCGCCGCAATCGCAACCCTCCCAGGAAACCTCCCGTACCCATCCCAAACCGAACTGAACAGCATCTACAACTCTGGCTGGGATGACCCCGAGCGCATCGCCGAATTCCTCGCTGAAGCCGGGTTCACCGATATCGACGTGACCACCGGCGACAAGAAGATTGCCATGCCGCTTGACGACCTTGCTGAGGCGTGTCTGATGGTCAACCCGATTATCCTCGGACGGTTCTGGACGCAGGAGCAGCGCGATCAGTATGCGCATCTTGTGCCGGGGGTTGTAAAGAGGTATATCGAGAGTTTGTTTGGGAAGGAGGGGACTGGGTATCTAGAGGCTACGGCGATTATTGCGGTTGCAAGAAAGGGTTGAGGGAATGTCGTTTTAGTTATAGCGAGGATGCATTCACGCCAGTGGGTCTATCACCGAATTGAAGTGTCGACTTCTAGTACTGGTTGACATTATCTCCTGCTGGGTAAACTCATATAATTTATACTCTCCATATAGTAATGGTCCTAGCCCCGAACAGAAGCGCCAAATAGATACACCGGATCGGCAGCTTATTATTGGGGGCGGGGGGCGGCGCCCTCCCCTCGAAGGCCCCGACCATATCCAAGTACTCGTATCAAGCGTGCTCTGGATCTGCCTGCCGATGGGAGCCGGGCTTCCGGACCCCCTTGCTTGCGGTGGGGTGTGCACTGCCCGTAGGGACCAACCCCCTGCATGACAGAGCCGCCGTACCCGAACGGAAATTTCCTGGCTCGACACTAGGGAAGATCGGCCTAGAAGCCTGGCCGAGCCATTAAAGTGACGCAGCTCTCCTCTCGTTACCCTCTGATATTCTACAAGTTCAGCACCTGGAACGAGTTTGTGTCGATAAACAGCTCGTTAGTGATGGTTCTCCAACGACATGGCAAAGTGAGCTGAGCTCCAGACACTCGTGACGAGGTTGAATGTCCGGGGCTGAAACCTCCATCGGTGGTATTTGTCATGGATTGACAGGGGAGGCGCAGGAACAGCTGCATGGCATATATTGCGCCGCCAATCACACGCCAGCCTTGACTGACCGAAGCAGGCTCGATCCTGTCCTCGTGAGCAAATCAAACTAATTTCGGCCAGCCCGCCCCAGCCCCCTTGAATTAAATCTCCTTGGCGTATCCAGGCCTCTGGGACGGGCCGCCGACAGTTCACTCCCGTGGTCCAATCGAATCGGCTGGGGAAAAAAATGCCAATCTCCCAGGTTCCACACAAGGCCGGGGTATGCATCCTTTTCGTTGAAGTGACGAGGAGTCGCTGACTCGACGTGCGCAAGGCTCCCTGGAGCGCTCGGATCCCCAGCATAGCCCTTGCTTTGGGGGCTGAGTTCATAAGCAATGCAACCTCGCGGCTCTTAATAACGGGTTGACCATCGGCCAGGATTCCACGCTTTTTGTTTCGGCCAGAGGGTAGTAAGGATGTCAGCAAAATCACGACGTTTCGTTCCATTTCGTCTTCTCTCACCCTCGCATCCCGAATATACTAGGGAGTGTTCCGCCCACAAGAACGATGGAAAGCGCTGCACGTCAAAAGTGCCAGAGAGCGCGATCGATGAGATCAGGGAATTGCACGGCAGGGTCCAGGAGAGTACTCTAGACGATGACGCCATTGCAGACATATTACGGAAGCTCGCCAGGCTTACGATCTGCGGGCGCCAACTCCGGTCAGCTGGAACCGTCGAAAGAGCCGTGAAGCAGTGGAGGGCCGAGCTTCAGGCGGAGGACGATGGGACTGATCGACCAAACACACCGTTGGGCAATGTCAAGGCGGAGATAGAGGAAAGCGAAAAAAGCCCCCGGTTGACCTTCACACCGTATCAGACTACAGATGTCGATACACTGCTCGCCCGCGAATTTGATCAGCTCATCGACCGCAGGATAAGCCAGAAATTCAATAGCCGCGAGTGGAGGGATGAGCGGGATCACCTATACGTCTTTGAATGCGAAGAGGCAAAGGGCATGTGCAAGCTCGGGCGCACTAAAAATCTCTCACGGAGGGCGAGTCAGCATGACAAGTGCTATCCTCTTCTGACGGAGCGTTGGTCGCTCTATTGCCCAAACGCAGAGGTCTTTGAAAAGGTGGTACAGCTAGAGTTTTCGCAGCGCCGCTACCAGCATGTCTGTTCTGTGTCCAGCAAGACGCACACGGAATGGTTCAAAGCTAATCTGGAGGAGATGGTTGGACGTCTCAAATTGTGGTGTGAATTCTCATGCCATCTGCAAACGCGCGAAAAGCGTCTGCAGTTAACTCTCCCGCTTGCTGGTGCCTCATCAGATCCGGACCGGTGGTACAAGTGGGCTCAAGGATGGGTTCGAACATGGGACGAACACGACTCGCAGACCGCGCCGAACACTCCAGATGGATCTTCTGTCGACAACGCGATTATGATCATCGACGACCCCGACATTGACGACGACGCGCACTCGGTCCCTGGACTCTCTCCTTCAGGCTCTGCGCCCGGAACGCCAGATGATGAGTACAACGACCCTCCTACCCCAACCCCAGTGGAACGGTCATGGAGCGGAAAGCCACCCTTGAGACCGCGATTGGATATACGAACTGTATCACAGTCGGTGTTGGACGACACCTACTACACCCCTGTCGAGACGATGGCTACACCCAAAGGTCCTGTCCTCTTTCCTGTCGTCCCCGGCGCGTTTCCCGACTCCCCAACGAAGGGCTTACCGGAGGGAGGGGAGGGCGATGATTATGGATTGGACAGCATCCTTGAGAGCATTCGGCTTCTCTGGATGTTCTAGTTCCCATTGCACTGGCTGGTTTTATGTATGGAATCTATGCTTCTTTGTAATTTGGATGCTCAGATATATCCTTGTCGCTTTCGTGCTACTTTAGATGTCTGTCATGGTCCACTATTCGTTCGAGCAATGTGAATAAGTTTTCAAATTTCCATTAAAAGAGTATCGATGCCTGGGCGCGTCTTGAGGGGTGTGGGTTTCTATCGCGGCGCACTGGACTGCATTACGCACGAGGCAGGAACTTCCTTACAGGGGGGGACCCACAGCGCATCTGCGATGGAGGAGATTCTCGTCAGGATTAGCAGGACTACGCCGCTCACCTATGTGGTCTTATTGGGTATCTAATGACTGTCTGGGGAGGGTATGGTGTCTTGGGATCCGCATCATCTAGTTAGTATATAGTTGTTGTGCTCTAACAGCATCATGAGAGGATTGAGAACTGTGCTCACCAGACATACTCGGTCTAAGACCAAGAAGGCAACTCTGCGAGAAGGAATCACACCCCTGCCAGCCACTCTTTAGGCCCCGCATAGTGATTTTTGCCAGAAGCCCTGCAATCTTGCTGAGACAGACGACCAGACCCTTTCTCCTCTAACGCCACCGCCTTTGTAAACGCCGTTTTGAGGGGGCGTTTCTCGATAATCTAACGGGCCCGAGTTGAGAGGAGAAATACCTGACACACATCAGAAGGGGTTGCCTCTGTCGTGTTGACGATGGGCTCTGTGCGAGGATCCTACAATTAATTGTAATCCGGAGACTTTCAAAGGGACTGAAATGCCTGATGTTATGGTTCTGTGAACTCAGAATCCAAGCTCTTCGGGCGTGCAGCCCAACACTTACAACTATATATCTCACTAGTACACACCAACACACATGCATCGCATCCGCGCGGTGGTAGTTATATATGATGTACCAAAGTAGTCCCACGGCGATCCCAGGTTGCGAGAAGCGCTCCGCACTAAAGAACAATTAGCAAGAGTGCTGGCACCTGGCAGCGCCAGACTTGCATTTCCATACCTATGCTGAACGTCCTTGAGATTATCCATAAGGTATGGAAGACACCCAATACATAGGAACATGCAAAGGCAAAACGCCCAGATACTGAGCGAGTCAATCAGCCACGGAAAATAAATTGTGTGAGACCGCGATCGTTCCTTACTGGGTGGTGGTACCAGGCTCGTGGGTAGTGGTGGTTTGTGTCCGCTGGCGACAAAACGGACAGTCTACTACTGCCGGTGCCTGGCCTAAAGATGCGATTGGAATAGAGTTTGGATATGTCGTGTGCTTGTCGCATGGAGCTTGGATTTTGATGTGTGGTGGCAGGCTTTGCTGGGCGTGAGCAGAGTTCAAACTGTGATGCTGTAAAGCCTGTACCTGAAAGGCCATCTCGATATACAGTGGATAATTCGTGTGTGGAATCTAGAGAACTGATACTAGTAGAGAGAATAGGATCTCCTGGCGATTGAATGTAACTAGAACATGCAAAGGCATGACAGTGTGTGACGCTCGTCTTGAACGGTTTACTATATCTCGCAATACTTTGTCTCGTGACCCCGCACTACCGGAGCCAAATGGTGGTGACCCGTGGACCAAGTTTTGAATTACTATGGTTGAACCGATGCTTAAATAAGGCTGTTCTAGGCCGTATCACCCCACGATGTGTATGATCGTTAACATGAGCCGCTATAGCACACGGGATCGGACTCGTTAAAGCATTATCCAACGAGAATTCAAGGGTCTGGCTCGGTGGAGATCTGATCTTCTAGAGCGATGATGATCGCCTTGTGGTGGTTAAAGGTCCGATACGACCAAGAGACTCGGACAAAAAAGCCTATAATAACGTATCCACCCTGCACAGAAAGTAAGAAGTGTTGGTGTGCAGTTTATCACGGAGACTACTCGATTGATCCACGGTCGCCATGGCCGAGGAACCACGCTATTCAACTCAAGGAGCGTACGGATTGAAGAAATGTCACGATTCGAAGAGCGCGATAGTTGAGTAAGTGCTCTACGAAGTACTGCTGTACAAGGAGCAGGCTACTAAAGCAATTGAACAGTATTATATTCGTCCACGGCCTAACAGGCAACCGAGAGACAACCTGGACGGATAAAGACAGCAAAGTCTTCTGGCCCGAGACTCTTTTGCCCAGCGACATTCCAGATGCCCGAATACTGACCTTTGGGTATGATGCCGACATTGTACACTTTCTCGCAACGGCCTCGCAGAATCGCATCGGCAACCACGCACAAAATTTCATCAATGTGCTTTCGCAGCTTCGGGAGAAGAGTGAGACTGTATGCAACCATGATCACCATCTAGTATGAGTTTGACTGATAGCAAGTAGAATGATCGTCCAATAATATTTGTGGCACATAGCCTCGGAGGCCTCGTGGTTGAAAATGTGAGTAGCACTTTCCTATATCATCTGTTTGGTCCATTGCTAATCACCAATATTTCCTTGATTCTTAGGCACTCCTGTCCTCAAAGAACAGCGCCGAACGACACCTCCAGCAGATAGTCGAATGCACCGTCGGTATTACGTTCTTGGGGACACCACATTGCGGATCGGATCTGGCAAATTGGGCCAAAATATTTGGAAGAGTAATCACAATGTTCAAGAGAACTAACACACGTCTGCTGGAGACACTGAGCCCGGATTCCGAAGTCCTCGCTTGGATTCAAAAAGACTTCCACACGATGCTGCGATCGCGTCAGGAGGAGGGAAAGGAACCACCAAAGATAACGTGCTTCTACGAAGAGTTGCCTATTCACGGCATTGGCGAGGTAACTAGAATCCTTCCAATGCCAGAGCTAGCTGGCAGAATCATTTCCTCCCAACTCACACATTGGGTAGATCGTTCCGATGCACTCGGCCATCCTGCCTTCGTACAATTCCATCGGAATCCACAAGAACCACATGGACATGGCCAAGTTTTCTGAGGCAGAAGACCCTGGATATCTGGCGGTTTCTATCGAGATTTGGCGATGGGTGAAGGACATAAAGACACAGCGCCAGCTTATCGAGTCGCACCAAAGCCCCGATGTCGAGGCGTTGAACAGGCAGCAATACTACCCACAATACCCAGTCGGTGCGAACCCCCTGCACCAGGGCCAGCAAGCGCTCCCTGCAAACACAGAGAGGGGAATTCCCACATTCGAGGCCTACATGGCCCAGTTTGGGCGGGGATTTTGCCAACCAGGGTACAGTCAACCAGTTTTTCAGGGAGGCAACACCATTTCCGGACAGGCTGGTTCTGGGCATGGGAGGGTTGTGCAGGGCAACAACATCAGAGCAGATAGGGATGTGACCTTCTCGTAGCTTCTTCACCCTTGGCTTCTTGCAGATTGCACGTTCTCGCTCAACCGAAATTGTTCACTGACGCAGGATGGGCCTACGAAAATGACATTGGCGGCGCGTTGTTCGCATTAGTGGAATCCTAATACTGACTATTGCCGACTCCGTATTCTTATCTGTCAACGTAGGCACACTGGAAAGGCTCTTTGAGACGTCATGAGCATGCCCGATGATCGCTGGGAGACTAGTCAGTGATGGCGCGTTCCCGGAGCAGTAGACCTGTCCCGGTTGTTACGAAGCTAGGCTCGTAGTAGCATCCTATTGTCGTAATTTTTCTCTTGCAATCAATCATGGACCGTCGACGCATTTGCTTAAACATTCGGTTTGGGCATCTTAGGCCACTGGTGGTGTCGATCGTCGATCACCGGAGACAGCCAACCAAGGGTCCATTCTCCAAGGACACTTGGTTCTACATTCCTGATTCCGTCTCCTACCTAGTCTAACCAATCCTCTTGTCTTGCTTGGCCCTTGGATCCAGCGCGCATACAAGCAGATCACGCGATTAACCCATTGGTTTAGCTATACGGATGATGCGACGCCTGATCCCCGATCAATGGCACATCTTGCCCAATAGCTAGGCGTCAATGCCAAACTGGTGTAACCTTTGCAAGGATATCTGCAGGAATTATGCCGTTGCCATCTCAGCCAGACTAAGAGACGATGGTAAAGCCTAAGGATTATTAGGAAGGAGCGACGGACCGCTTGGTTGACCCCCATAAGACCTTCCGATCGTGAGTGGAACCCTTCTCCTTCGCCAACATCATCCTTATTCTGAATTGTATCGATACCGCAGCAGTTTACTTGTATATCGTCCATCCTGTATCTTCAACCTTCTCGTACAGGATGCTTTCAGCTTCTTTTCTCTAGCCGATTCACATCCCACATGCCATAACTCCGAAAGCGAACCGCGACCGCGACCGCGTCCCCCATGCAAGGTGGCAACCAGGTCAGTGATACAGTCATCGCGTCCGGCGGATTCGCCATCCTCGGGAACAACCTCTCTGCTGCTGGAAACATCACTATCAATGCAGGCCCATCAAGCGAAAAGAAATGCCTACAAGCATTATTTGCCACGGACCCCGCGGACGACCGGGCAAAACATATCAGTTTCAAAGGCAACCCTGTGCGATCAATCTTCACATGGATAACAAATGTAAAGGCCTACAAGTCCTGGGTAGATCGCGGAACGGGGTCACGTCTGCTTTGGATTTCCGGGGGTCCGGGCATGGGGAAGACCATGCTGGCTATCTTTTTATCAGAAGAGCTGAAGCAAATCGCCGACGACAACGGCCTAGTTCTGTATTATTTCTGTGAAGGGAGAGATCCGAAACGCAATTGCACAATCAACATTCTACGAGGCTTGATATACACCCTGGTTCAGCAACGGCCGCGATTGATGAAACATCTCCTGCCTGACTACGAAGTCCGGTCTGATGCTCTTTTTGAATCCGACGCTATCGAACCTCTGTGGCGCATATTGGTCAATATGGTCAGGGATCCATCAACCGGTCCAGTTTATTGTATTATCGATGGAATTGACGAATGTGCTTCAACGTCTTTGACGCACCTTGAGCACATATTAAAGAAGCTTGCAGGCTTCTATCACTTGCAGATCACGCAGCAAGCTGGCGGAGACAACCACGAGGCTTGCAAGGCGGAAGCGACCTCACCGGAACATTTTTCATCTCAACACGATGAGACCGCACCGCCGGTGTTCAAAGTGGCACTGATAAGCCGCGAGGAGCCTGAGTGTCTTCCACGAGAACTATCGGAATTTGAAAGAGTCCAGCTCACAAAGCCTGAGCAAACTCCAACCCAATCAACCGAACCGCCCATCGATGGTAAGATCGAAGACTTCAACCTGGCAGTTCCTGTTTCGGTATCACAAAGAGCAGGCTCGCTGCCTTCATCACCACCACATGCAGAACCGACAGAGAGCTCTGGATACGCTTGCTCTCTTGACCTTTATATCAGCACAAAGGTCGATGACCTCGTCCGTTCCAAGGGCTTTGATGAGGATTATGGGGATCTCATGAAGGAACAGCTGGCAGCCCGAGGTGATGGGACGTTTCTCTGGGTAGATACCGCCGTCGATCAGCTGAGCGAAAACGCGTCGCAATACTCAGGACCTGATCTATCCACTCTTCCCAGTAGGACGGATGGGCTGTATTGCCTCGGTCTACTAGAAGCTCCGCAGAGCCTGGCATCGACAATAGCATTCGTCTTAAGATGGACAACAGTTGCGTTTCGTCCTTTGACGATCAGCGAGCTCAGTTCGGTAGTCTATTTTGTCAATGGACAGCCGAATGGCCCGGAACTTGAGGAGGTGCGATGTTCAATTGGCGCATGTCGGTCCCTCGTTGATGTTAGTGAAAACGGCGAAGTGAAGCTGGCACACCAATCGACAAAAGCCTTCTTGACGGATCTGGACTCGCCTCTCCTCCAGGATCCCAGAACTCAACAGTTTCATGTTAACGAGGACATGACACACGCAGAGATTGCGAGCGTCAGTATTGCCTATGTGGAACGTTCACCTTTCCACCAAAACTGGTGGCATCTTCTTCCCCTCGATGTTGGTACTGCATCCGAACAGACTGTTGTTCCAAGTCCCGACCTCCTTGCACACTATCCCTTTATCCAATATGCTTCTCTATATTGGCCCAGTCACCTTAACTGGTCTCCTCCAGGAAGAGTCAATCTCAGATCTCCTTTATTCAGTCCTGGCAGCGACATCCGTCGGCACTGGTTCCAGTCCGTGTGGGAGGTCACACGCTGTAGGGACGGATCTCTGACACCATCGTATATGTCTCTTCTACACATTGCCGCGTTCTTCGATCTCCAGGAGCTCGCTCAAGTATTGTCGCGCCGCGAGCCCCCCAACCGTTTCAAGTTCCGAATTGAGAAAATGAACTCTGAGCTCATGACACCTTTATTCACAGCCGCCGATACAGGTAGTTTACGAGTCTTTACCTTCCTCTTGGATCATGGTGCATCACAGAAATGGAACGCTTCGGGGGAGGATATCCTTCAGTTCAGCAGCAGGAGAGGTCGGCTTGAGCTTGTGAAAATATTGATCTCGCGCGGTGCCAACCCCAATGAATTCTTGTCGGAAAATATTGGTATCAAGACTGCCTCTCTCGCGTTACGACATGCTCCCAAGAGGCTGAAAAACTACCTGATAAATGCAGGCAATCCCGAAGACCAAGATATCAACGAACTGATTCGGGTTGATTATGGGGCCAACATGTCACCGCTACAATGTGCAGTGTGCTGTGGCCATGAAGAAGTCGCCCAAGTCCTATTACGGTGTGGGGCGAACGTTCATTATACAACCACGGCCGGGTGGACGGCCATGCATTTTGCCGCGTGGGCAGGGCAAACGAATATTATACACCTCCTTCAACAATATGCGGGCAGTATATCTGTCTTATCGAACAGTCGTTGGTCTCCCCTACATTGCGCCGCTTGGAGAGGCAGAACTGGTGCAGGAGAATACCTGATCGGCCAGCGCATTTACCCAGACCTGCATTCCAGGGATATGCAAACTCCGCTCCATCTTGCTGCATTTCGAGGGCATGATGAAATGGTCAGGAGCCTACTTACGCGGGGCTCCAACGCGGAAGCGAGGACGAACAAGGGGCTCACCCCACTACATCTTGCTGCGGCAGAAGGACACGACGCGACTGTACAGGTCCTTCTGGCTTATGGCGCCAATCGGCATGCCACGTCGAATCGCGGTGAGAATGCATTTACCCTTGCTCTTGACAAAGGCCATGGGACAACAGCGCAGCTGCTTCAGACCTACCGATCACCATCGCATGTCCTGGAATCTACTCATGCAGTAGCACGCCTAGCCAGTCCAGGCCCGGCAATCAGCAGTCCCGGTGATCGCTCCTCGCATGTGGCAGGAGCAATCCCGGATCATAGAACCGCTCACATCATAGGGAATCAAACTGGTGTTGGTGTCCCTACTTATCATCCGCCAATCCACAGAAAGCCTCTAAGCAGTTCTTCACCCGCGGCCTTCTACAGGAAGCCGACGTCCTCTACATCACCTGCAACCCCAGCAATATCGGATATCTATGACCATGTACCGGATCCAGCTATTGAAATTTCTGAAAAGCAACTCGGATCACAAGATCGAGCTCCAAGCAGGGACCTGAGCACGGGCCCCATGGTCCACCCTCTCCAGAAGCTCAGCAAGGACCAGGATCTTGTCTCTCCCAATTCAGCAACCGTTGTCTCGCCATTCCAGGAGCAGCACATAATAGAAAGTCGTCCCGGTAGACCCTATCGGAGGCAAAACACCACAGTTGCACAGTCAGAGCCCCCTGGCACTCAGCACGAAAATACGCCTCCTCCACTACCTCCACGACCACGCAGGCTATCGGAAGAATTACAGCAGATGCCCAGATGGTCTTACCAGCATTCCATCCCGTCAATACAGTCTATATGCGAGAATAATCCACACGAAAAGTGCCTCGAGACTCGCTATAGGCAACAAGCTGTGCGGTGGGGGCCGCAGTACACTGTCCCACATTATGATGAGCAGCGACAACGCGAGTTGGGATATTCCAGTCCAGAGCAACGCCAATATGTGAACACCAACTCTGGCACCAGCAGTAGTGCACGGACGCATACCCATTCTGGTCAAGGGCCACTCCCCAACTTCAAGATATGAGAATCAGCAAGGTATAAACCAGTGGTGCTATGTGATTATATCAATTTTCCGTTGGCAGATTTGGAGATTTGGAGAACAAGTTCAGCTGACACCTACGCGTCAGCATTCACGTCGCGCCTTATTAATAAAACTCGCCCTATGACACCGTCCAGCACTGCAGCACGTCCCAAGACAGATTGCCGACCCAGTCAGTCACCATCATGCGAACCCCCAGATACTTCGCGCAATGCCCGCCATTCCCAGCAGACACGGACGTCGTCGACCTGCCGCCGATCTCTTTGGAGAGCTTACGGAACCATCCGGAGAAGCGGAGAAGCTGTTGAGTACCTGTAGAGAATCCCTGCTGCAACTGAACACTCGTAATAAAGGCAATGCGTTGTTAAAAAATGTATAAATAATATTTCATCTAACTTAGGAGCTCTTCTTGCTTAATTAGGTAATACTTAAGAAATTTGCCTATAATACTCCACGAGACCTAACAGGGTATAGATTATTTCTTTTAGTAGATACCCTGGGCTACCCCTAGTCCTATAACTAATAACCTTTCCTCGATATAAAGTCATGGGTAAGCTTAAAACTAATAATAGTAAGATAGACTATATAGACCTCTACCTAATAAATTACGATAATATCCTTAGGAATCAACTAGCATGGAGAAATACTAACCTGCTTAAAGCAAGCTAAAAGGAGATTCAGGCCTTTATCTAGAACGCCCACTCGGCGCTCGACATCGTGCTCGCCGCGCTAGAAGCCCAACTCGGGCTCGAATCCGGAGCTCTATTCGCTCTTCGCGCGCTCGACGAGCAGTCCGAGACATCCGTCTGTCTCCTCTTGAGTCTAACTCAAACCTCGCCAGAGTATGATTGCATAACCCTGGGCGGGCACAGGGACATTAGAACGATGACCCTCCTGTCTAATATCATTAGGGCCTACAAATTCCGCCTGCTGGAAGCGAGAATGTCCATACCAATTGGCGATACATGAGGCCCGAATCCGGTTGTGGCTAGATCATCATTTGAAGACATGTGAAGTATAGGAGGCAGCTGCATAGTTTCACAATCACATATGTCATGTCTATATTCTTACATTATGCTACCCTTATGCTGGTCTACATCTCGAACGATTATGTATATGCCACTTTTCTGCGTAGCTGAGAGAGGAGAGACCTTTGAAATGCGGTTCATCTTCCCGAAGCCCCTCCATTCTCTAACTGTCTTTGCGTTTGAATCTTGCTCCGAGCGCTCCAAGGCCCGTTAGTAATAGGCGGCTTATAACTATAACTGGTCAGGAAGCTATACTGTCGCTGCTCCCCACCATGAGGGGGCCCGTTGGGGCCATCAATTAGGCTCTAACTCGAGTCCATTGGCGGGCTTAAAGTAATGACGATGTGCCATTTGCTGTCTGTTTATATCACTCTTTATTTCAATGTATTGTTTTTTGGGAGGTGGATTACTCTTTTGGTTACCGTTACTGCCGCAGCCACAATACTATCTTACTGCTTTGCTGGTGGCTCTTGGTGGCGGATATGGTAAGGCACTGATCACCAATGGCGCCCATCTGAACGTGGCGTATCAGTCACAGAAGACGAAGACGTGGCTGGAATCAGGGATGAGTGTTGGAGGTGCCACACGTTTCACTTTTGACGTGTTCTGGGACGGGCACCCGGCAGTGGCATATTTCTTTGTTAGAACTGCCATGACGCGCGATCTGCGCGAGCAAGATACGGAAGTAAGAAATTCGCTCCAAACCCCGCATTGGCGATTTGTCCTAGATTGGAAGGTGGACCTTCGATCAAAGGGTCGAGTGGACGGACAGAGGGCGACAGAGTTGGGCTGGCGTTGGTTTCTTTGTCTGCTTGCTTGCTTGGTTAGCGCCTCCGCATATTCTTGATTTCTTATATCGAGACTCGTCCTGTTTGCTATAATCTTCCGAGTTCAGCTTTTCTCCACTGATCGTACTACCTTAATAAGTCCAGATGGCTCCCTTTTGCGACAGAGACAGGTCGCCTACGAAAAAGGTACCGGTTCTGGGCGACATGGATATGATGTCCTACAGTATAGCGGCCCGAGTTTATTAGCCAGTGAACCGCTGACCTCGTTCAGGTCTGCACAGAGCTTCTTCAGATTTAGAAGAAGCAAAGTACAAGGGTGTCGAACACGATGAGCATCCCAGCCCCAACTGCTCTGAAGCAAAGTCCCCTTCGCAGAAACGAACGGCCCTCCACGTCGTCCAAATCATGGCGCTCTTCGCCATAGCACTCGTCCTAGGGTTCGTTATCGGAGAGGCAAAGACGCCGCAGCCGCAATGGAAAGGCGGCCTTCTATGTAAAGTTCTTTCAACATACTCCAACTTGTCTGACACTGACCATGTCACCGTGGGTTTCACAGTACCAGCAGGAACGGTCCACACGGCATTCTACCATAATCTGACCTTTACACAGCGACCAGATGCAGTGGCAGAGCAGGCTTGGAGTGATCTTATACCAGGTAGGTTCACCCACCCTACAGACCTTACAGACCCAGCCAAGTCAGACCACGACTCGAGCATGATGCTGACGCTGTATGCTTCAACACATAGTTGGCCGCGGCTTTGTGCTGCATCCTGAGCTTGCCCCCGCCGTCTCAGCCCTCACCATCTTCCACCAACTGCATTGCCTGGTTTGTTACCTCCATCTCTCTATTCTCTCCCCCTTCCCGTTCACCACTATACAAAACTCACACCCTCTCATCCAGCACGCAATCCTCGCCGCCTACTACGCTGCAACCGAAGCCGCCGACCCAGCCCTCCGACCAGCCTTCAAGGCCGACGCCGACGACCCCCTGCTCAACAACACGGGCATCCTCATGGAACCTAGCCACGTACGGCATTGCTTCGACTACCTCCGGCAGACGATCATGTGCGCCGCGGATACGAACCTCGAGGTACTGGACCGGGACACGCGAGCGACCGACGGGTGGGGGCAGGAACGTGTTTGCCGCGACTACCAGAGTGTGTTTGACTGGGCGGACAAATGGGCGGATCCGTTGGGTCGCAGCCGAGGGGTGGTTTCTTAGGTAGGGGTTTCCTGCCTGTTTCTCTGTACTGGACGGCCGTATGCATGGACGGCGATCTAATTTATTTGGCCTGATATTTAAGACATCTGTGGTTTTAACTTGATTTATTTCCATTGGGGCCGACTACGCAGCTAGCTCAACTACAGACACGGCTTTCTTGTTTAGTTGTTAACAGCACTTCGTTCCTAGTCAAGCTGTCATGCGGTACGCCAGGACATGTAGAAACAATAGAGTAGACAGAGGTAAGTGCGGCCACTGTCCATGCTTGACACGTGGCAGTAGTGGAGAGAGGCCCCAAGGCTGCGCTGGCGCATGAGTGGCTGTTCCTGCCCCAATCAAACGAAACCTGAACAAGCCGCAGGACTCCATCAGAAGGTCACTGGAAAACTGGTGGGTTTCTTTCGTGTTCGGGAAAAAAAATGGATGAGATGTGTTCACCTCGCATGCAGAAAAGGTGGCGCGTAGGTCATTCGAGCGGCGCAGCTAGAATGCCTTCCATCCAGGTAGGCAGCCGCCGCAGTCAAGGCCAACAAAACCGCATCTACAACGCAGGCGCTATCGAGGAGCAATACAGGGCATCATCGACTAGGGCTGTTGGTCGGGCGCGGTGGTCGAGTGGGCTGTGATGGGACAAATAGCAATGGGTTCGATGGTGGGAGACCATCCACTTCAAGATTAAACGTTTTAAGGTCCGATTGAAACCAGCGTCCTGCTAGACCTTTTCAGGGTGGCACAAAAAGGAAGATGAAGCGGATAACTGGTTTTATAGTTGAATGTTGACTTTCTCCCCTTCCATGATGAACCCGACGCTCGTGCACGGGTCCTATCAAGCAAACAGCATCTGGTTCCAGGGAAACCCATAGACTAGACTGACCTCAAACTCATACGGGCTAAGTGGATTAAGTGTGTAAAACGCAACAATCTTGTCCCGGTAGCGTCTATTGTTCACGTATAAAAGTCCATAACGGAACTACGCGGCGTCGAAGGGCATATAGAACAACAATCAAGTTACACCTCCCCGTGTCTCGATGCCCTAAACCCGGAAACATATCTCGGCACCATTAAACTCAGAACACCACCTAGACCAGCGATACCTGTCAATGCAAGTGCCAACACCCGGAAGCTCTCGCTAAACACCTCCATAAGAACAATCGTCGTCGGTTCATCAGCTGGAAGCGATCTCAGCCTCCCCGCATAGCTCACAGCATCTGTTGCGATAGACCCCGACAACCCTCTATCCTTCAGCTTAACCGTCAAGATATTCTGAACGATTGATCCCCCAATTGCTACACCCGCGCAGAAGCCAATGCTTCTGGTGAAGCAACAGAAGGCAGTAGCGTTTGTGGCATCGTCGGAGGATACATTCGCCTGGGCAGCGTATACATGGCCGACAACGAGGATTCCATGGCCTGCACCGGTGATAATGAGAAACCAAATCCATTCAGCAGTGGCTGTTTCCCTGTTACAAAGTGACAGTAAACCGGTGGCGAGAATGGTCAGAGCCCAGCCGATGACGATAAACAATCTTAGGTGCCCGAACTTGGTAACAAGGATTCCGGATATAATGCTGGCGGGGATTAAACTGACTGTTGCAGCCAACAGGGCGGTGCCGGTTAGGATAGGGGTGAGACGTTTGACAGCATTGAGGTAGAGCGCGAAGTAATAGAATGTACCCATGAGCTATCCAGGTCAGTGAACATTCCAGGTATTCAGGATGGGAGCGACAGACCAGAAACCCTTGAATAAACGCACAAATATAAGGAACCGTACTGAAGCGCCGTAGAAACAAGGACGGCCGTAGGATTGGTGCTCGTGCACCCAGAAGCTCCCAGACAAATGTTGCAGCAATACCCAGAATTCCAATCACCAAGGGAAGTATAATATGGACTGTCCCCCAAGGAAACGTTGTGCCCCCAAGGGTGATAGCAACCAGAAAAGTAGTAAAGCTGGCTACCAACATGGCTGCACCCACAAAGTCGATTGTAGCTGCACCCCCCTTTGCTGTACCAGCAAGTACGCCCTTTGGGATCGTGAACAGGACAAGCAGTAGGCCTATTCCACAGATAGGAAAGTTAATGTAGAAAACCCAGCGCCATGTTGTCAATTGTGCAAATACTCCTCCAATTAGCGGCCCACTCATGGTTCCAATAGCCCATGCAATCTGCACAATGCCCTGATATTTCGGTAGGCATCGTAGAGGAATCACGTCCGTCGCGATAACAAGGACGAGAACCATGACTCCGCCACCTCCGATGCCTTGAATGGTGCGCCCGGCTAGCAGACAGGCAAAATTCTTTGCGAGACAGGCTATTAGTGAGCCAGTAGTGAACAGCAGGACGGAAACAAAAAGGCTCTTGCGACGGCCAAAGACATCAGAAAGACTTGCTATTACAGGCTGAAGTACTGCGTAGGTTAAGAGATAGGACGTAGCAGCCCAGAAGGCTTCAGTTGCTGTGCCACCTAAATCGCGGGATATTGCTGGCAAGGAAGTTATTAGAATTGTGGAATCAAGGGCCACAACAAGAGAAACAAGTGCGAGAGAACCCAGGATATGGTAGTCCTGTTTCTTTGGCCGCCAGTCTCCTGAATCTTCAGATGTTAGTAAGTTATATGCCCGAGAGATATTCAAAAACAACTGTCAGAAATACCATTTGTACCATGGAGCCCTTCCTCTTGCTCAGGAACTGATGCCTTTTCTCTTGAATCCTGCATGATTGCACTGCAAGAACAATTGATCGTGACATGAGAAGGCCTTAAGTCACCATATACATCCCGGGAATTAGAAGAAAAGAGATTGAACCTAGAAAATGAGTGAAGTCATAATATATCATATTTTGTATGGTATGTTTAAGCTTTCCGCACCAGCCGCCTGGTTTCCGCAAGCAGCTTGAGATGTAACCTTGATAACCTTGACACTTGCAAGATTGACAATGTCCCATGGTTCATCTTCTTCTGTTAAAAGAATTAAAGCAGGCGCAGAGAATTCTTCCGCGGTCTGAAATAGGTTCCGCGCCAGCATGGCTGCACTGCAAGAAAATAAATCTAGATTTATAAAAAGTGATATTTTCAGTCCTACCACCCCTGTGTGGAGCATTTTGTCATTTCCCACACCGCTCCTTCGTCACACCCAGAATCACCTACCTTGGTGAGTAATAACCTTGCTCCAGATGAAGTCCTTGTGCTGATATACAATTTCAGGTTAACCAAAATGCCTTCTACCATCAGTTATAGAGGATTTCCTTTACATAGCTCGCCAGACCAACCTACCCCTGTCGCATACCTTGCTTCCAATGGGTCGATTCGAGCCGGCCACAAAAAGTTTGGGGAGGATCAGCTACTGATCGAGGAATCATTATTTGTTTTTCTCTACGTTTTCATATACCTCTCGCTGTCTTTATCTGTATACTATACTTTCGGGATAAACCCGCTATTACTGGTTGGGCCGTAAGGTATGTACGACTCCAGGAGGTATAATAACTATCAGGAATGCCAATAATACTGGTAACTATAAGAGAGTGAATATTATAAGCATATAAACAGAACCAATTTAGCAATAAACAAAGATAAGACACTCTAAAATGCCAACCAGTGTAGCATACCTTAATTATAGAACTAGTTTAATGTGCTAATAAGAACCTATAGGATACCAGAACCACTGTCCCTGGTAGAGTCCAGAATACAAAGAAGTACTCTAGAGGTACCATACGGGACTCTACACATAGAGAGACTTTTAGCAGGTGGTTAAACTAACGTAATAGAGCTACTGTATGGATAAAACTTAATGCAACCACTACAAGTAAAGAGGAATTTAACGAGTCTAAGGAGCATTAGACAACAGGACCCTACCGCAGCCCACTAATAGCGAATATGCAAGCAAAGCATGATATTCTAGCCACATAATCTCCTCCAGAACTCTGCCAAAGCAAGGCTCAGCGACCGGGAAACCGTCTTCAACGGCGCCGTGCTCTGTCCCTGGCTGCTCCGAGAGGAGAAGGGATGGAGCTTCGTCAATTTCTGCCATGTTCAAGATGCAAGACAGGATGTGTTGTAGAGGTCCTGCGGTGCGGGGAGAAGGGTAAGAAGAGGATTGTGAACCTGAAAGCTATGCGATTCTCTGAGGAACCGGCGCCGTTATCTGTATAAAAAGCTCCCCCACATGGCGTGATAAGGCGCGATCTACTGGGGCCGATCCGAGTGACCGCAGACGTTGACTTTATGCTCAGAAGTTTACTGAACTTCAGAATTAGATGTTGCGGAAAGGATGGCATCAAACGTTATACGGAAAAGAAGATGGGGGGGAAAGCGAACAGGAAAAAAAACGCGGCGTCGTTTGTACCGTGGAGAGAGGCCGCCATTGGCTGCCTCCGTATATCCCATCCATCCATAGTGGACAATCCCCAAGGAGTTGGCAGGATGCGTTGTGCTGTAGAGGGCCCGGAGACCGTCAGGTGTTATTGGTTCGTCACAGCCAGCAGGCAAAGCAGTGTCCTAAGCCTGATGATCGCCCTTTGGGTGGAAGGAGGTTTGAGTGATGAGACTATCTTGTCTTCAATCTCTGTGTAATGGAGACACATTCCTCCAGGCGGTATTTCCGGTTGCGAGAACTCCTTGCCTGTCTTGGGCGACGATGGGAAGACTCTGCCGTTCTAACAAAGTCGACATAATCTCCCACTGATGGGGGTAAATAGTATTGCTCACAGCCTACCATAGATTGTGTGATTATTTCGTGCTTATACAGGTAAGATTCCGTGTGCAGCAGTTGCGCTGCCACATCAACCATCAAATCCCCATGGAGCTCGCCACCTGTCCTAGATTTTTGTAAACATGTACTCGGGGAACACCGGATCCCTCAAGCCATTTTCAACTGTTGCTCCACTCGGCACGAATTCTGCTTTTCTGATTTTTATACTGGGTCCTCTCGGGACATGGATATGGATCAAGACTAAATTGAAAAATATTTATTTTTCCAAACAATGCGCATCCGCGGGCGCCAAGTGTCCGCCGGAATATTCGGCGTCGATAGAAGGAAGGTTTTTGGTGCAACTCCTGACCTGAGACAAAGAAAATGAATCAACCTATAATGATGCTGGATTAAAGAGCGAAACATCCCTCCCTGTACATTGTTTCATAGGATGGCACATGGGTTATCGCATAGGAAACAGTAATGGGGCCCTATACATTTCCCTTCTATGCTCAGTCCAGCACATACGACCACAGGGTGTGGAGAACAGGGCTTCCCGTCCGCTCAGCCGTACTTAAGCCACACGCCGGTAGGTTAGTAGTATGGTGGGTGACCACATGCGAATCCCTACTGTTGTATGTTTTTGCAATTGGTATTTTTTATATCATTTCTATAAGCGCACAGGGACGCTGGATCCTGGACGGCCCGCGTTGAGAGGGCACCGCAGGTTGACGGGTACGGGTAATTGAAGGTATCTGGCTTTGAAGCCTCGGGTGTGCTTGCACATCCATGAAACATAATGCCTACCCGGGTCTCTAACTATACATGGCAATAATACCCTCGAGCCACTCGCGCTTGACCTTCCCCTCAGGACCAGTCTTCTCACCCAGCAGTTGCAGAACGCTCGGCTCCACCTCAAGAAACTCATGCCCGGTACAAACTTGGAACAAGGGTTTCTCACTGTCATACTCTTCCTCATCCTCATACTCGTACTTGGAGTCCTGACACAGGTTGACGTTGTAGCAGGTCAGGCAGACATACTTGCGCGTGTGTTCGGTGAGGACTGGACGATCCTCGCACCAATCGCAACAGCCGTGGTATTCCCGTTCCCCCCGGCCTGGGGTTTCAATCAGCTGCCCGAACGCTACTTGCGCGGCGGGGATGTTGTTTGCTAGAACGAGGCATCCGCCAAGGCGCGTAAAGTGGCTCGCATCAGCAATGAGGCCTTGACTGGTCTGGAGATATGTTGCCAGAGATACAATGCTACTGCGCAGGATCGATGCCTGCAGTGCAGGGTCTGGCTCTTTATCAACGGCTTCGGCCTCGCAATGCGCAAGGATGGTTGGGAGCATTCGTCCGTTTAATCTGGCCCAGTCTACTGCGCTTCGACCGCGCTCATCAAGGGCGAACGGGTCTGCCCCGTTTTGAAGCAGGAGCTCCGCGATTTCCTCGACGCCATGCGATATGGCGAGGTGGAGTGGGTAGGTGCCGTTCCGGGAGGCGGCGACGTCAACACCAGCGTCAAGGAGGATGGTGACGATATCCTCGTGCTCGTGGATTATGGCTTCTTCGAGTGCACTTGTGCCGTCGAGGCTTTCGCGGAGGATGGGAAGATCCGCGTTCAGGGTTGCAGTAAGCAGAACATTGAATGCACTGATACGCCCTGCCCTCACTGCAGTTTCTAGGGCCGTATATCCCACATTGTCCACAGCCCTCAAGTCCGCGCCGTGTTCGATCAGTAGAGCCACCATCTCAGCAGCACCCACGTCAGCTGCAGTATGAAGCGGTGTCCAACCACAATCAGTGTGCAGCGCGTTGAGATCTGCTCCGGCATCAAGGAGCGCGGTTACTGATCCTGCGGAACCGACGGCTGCGGCAATGTGTAGCGGGGTCTCGGTAGTTTGCATCCGTCCTTCAACGGGAACGCCTGCGCGGCAGAGGTCCGGGATCAGGTCGTGTCGTTTGTAGGTGGCGGCGAGATGGAGGGCGTTCATGCCTCGTGAGCCTATCGCGAGGGCGTTTGCGCCGTGGGCGAGGAGTACGCGGACTAGGCCAAGCGAGCCCTGGCGCATTGCGGCGAGGAGGGGAGTTTGGTGGCTGACGTCAATGGCTTCAATATTCGCGCCCATGTCGAGTAGATATGCCACTAGATCCTCTGAACCGGGCTGGTCGTGTGACACTGCGAGGTGCAATGCAGTGCTTGTGCCAGGAGGTCCTTCTTTCAGCTTCGCTCCCACGCTGAATAGCCACTGCACAAGATCTACCGAGCCACTATCAGCAGCACTGGTTACCAATCTCGACGCGGTATACTCGCGCTCACTCGGCGTCGCGACGAAAAAGCCCCACAACAATTTGAAAAGAGCAGTATTACCCTTGGCCGCCACGATCCCCAGCAGATCCTTGATACAAATCTGCAGTCCATCTCCATTCGACCCATCACTCTCAACCCCCGCCTCAAGAAGTAGTCGACACGCCACCTCGTTGCCGGCAGACACGGCCCGCTGGAGCGCGCGTTCCCAGTCACTGAATTTCGAGCAGACGACCGTGGCACCCGCAGCGACGAGCAGGCGAACCATGCCCTCTTGTCCGCGTAAAGCGGCCAGAATCAGTGGCCCAAATCCAGCAGAGTCGCGAGGGAGAATCGTCGAGCGAGTTCGAAGCATTAGCTGCACGGCCTCTAGGTTATCCGAGTTGACCGCCTCATGTAGCGCCGTCGTCCCCCTGACCGAGGCTGTGGGGTCGGCGCCTTGATCCAGGAGCATCTGTACGGCATTCAGATGATTCTTCTGCACCGCCCATACGAGGGGTGTAGTCTTTCTGACTGTTGGGTATGCGGCGCCGATGCGGTAGAGTTCTGTGGTGAGCAGGGCGGCGAATTGCGTGGCTGTCTGGATAAGCGCGTTGAGGCTGCGCATGTCCATGTACTTGGCAATCGCAAGGACGATCTCGTTGGGTATGCTTGAGAGCGACATCTTGACTGTGACTGCCACGGCTCCTCGACTGTTGTTGGAGTAAAAGTTGGGGTGTGTTTTCTTTTCGCGTGTCGTCCAGTCAGCGCCAAGGCGCCTCTTCCAGTTCCGTTCGACCAGAGTCGATTGAGTTCTAGATTACGGTATATCTATTTACTTGACACAAAAGCTTACACAGCAGTCAATCACGAGGTTTCGGTCGTTGGCTCCAAATATACGGAGTACTACGGATAAACTAACAAACAAACAAAGGCGAGGCTGGAGGTCTGGGGTCGTGGTAGACGGCAAATATATATTTACGACATGCCCTAACACCTCCCCAGCCACCAATTAAAGGGGAGATGATTAAAGCCAGGACGGGTTTATTGACAAAAAAAAAAAAAAAAAAAAAAAAAAAAAAAAGGCAACCAATTGATGCTTATGGAAATGGAACCACTGCCTGCAGAACTTGCGTATGAACTAGGCGAACAGCAAAGGAGAGTTCATGCTCGGAGACAGGAGCCAGGGCATATTAGAGAGCTCGTATCTGGTTCTCGTTTAGGTGGTAGCCGGTGGGTCGAGCTGAGGGGTTGAACCATTGCTGGGTAGGGTAGAGCATATACAGCCAAGATAGATCCATTTCGCTCCATCACAAAAGCCGTGGCCATGTTCAGAGAGAACAAAAGCCGAGGGCTGAAAAGGGATCCCCCGACTCAGGCGTCACCTCGAACCTGGCGAAAAAAGTCTAGGTGAGCATCCACTTCATCCAGAGGCGCAGCCCGTCCAGCATGTCTGCTCCGCATCACACCAAAGATATGCGTACTAAGAACCTCCAACGCCCCCAGACAATAGACAAACACAATCATCACCAACGGCCCCAGAATGGCAAAAATCGTAAACCCGTACGACGCATCCTGAAAGGCCGTATTCCCCGCCAACGAGTCCGTCGCAAGCCCAACCTGCATGGCCGTCAAAACAAGCGCAATGTAAATCGTCGCAGCAGAGATCGGAGCCAGGTTCTCCTGGAAGACCTGCATGGTGTACTTGTATTGTCCTCGGTATCCGCGGAGGATGTTGCCGTAGCGAAGGGCGTAGATCTTGTTTAGGCGGGAGAGGCGCAGGGCGCCGAGGTGGTAGCGGGGGTTCATGTTTTCAGAATGCATGGCGCCGGTTTGGAGACATTGCTGCGATATGCTGCGCCAGGTCTTCCAGATGAGATCTGGTGGGAGGAGACAGTGATCTTGTGCGATTGCAAAGTCGCTTTCGAAGCGGATCAAGGTGAGGTATGAGTAGAGGAAGCCGAGGGCGTCTTTGTAGAGGGCGGTGCGCGGGCATGTGGATTCGACTTGTGCGTTTGTCTCGGTGCTGATTTGGTTTTCGGTACAAGAATGTGCACATGTGCCGTTGCAAACAATGTACGCGGACCAGAATCTGGAGTCGAGAAGGTACCGGGGAAACGGTTTCAAAAGGATGTGCCGACGATCGGCCCACACCAGATGCAACGCAATGTTCTCGTCAAGCGTTATTTCTTTCGATAAGGAGAGAATTGTACTCAGAGGCTGTGGGGGTGATAAGCTCTTCGCAAACCAGAGGTATTGTATTATCCTGGTCAGTCGCCCTACAGAGAGGTCAAGCTGGATGAAGGTGAGAGGATTGTCGGCCGGCGACCAAAGGTTCATATTCCCCGACGGTGAAATAAGGGCATCTCCATAGCAGGCTGGTAGGAGAGAGGCGAGACTGCCCACGTCGTCCGCAATGTCGAACGGTTCTTCGGAGAACGGTGGAGTATGGGAACCACGCATAATGGGAATAGGACAGGCCCGATAAGACAGTCGTTCTTGTTCAAGAGGGCCGAGACACGCGATATCACGATGTCTACGTCACATACGCCTTCCATGAGGGGCAGGATGCCGACTGTATCACGGGATCGCGTCCTGCAGGAGGCTAATGCAATTGAGCGCATCCCGGACAGGAGGCCATCCCCGCGTGCCAATCGCAGTGAAGGAAGCATGAGGACTGCGTGTTACACCAAACAGGGATTGCATTGAGTTACAGTGCCACTATTGCAGCCGTTATACCTGTGCTGAATTTATGTGATATCAGTATATTCTTAACTGTTCCAATACACCTTTTCAAGCCGGAATCTTCAACCCGGTCTTCGCCTCCAACATGGCCACAACCCTCTCCTGCAACTTCTCATCCTCAGCAGCAGGAAGCTGCTCACCGAGCTTGCCCTTGGGCTCAAAGTACGGCGCCACCAGGCTCTGATCATAATCCCCCTCGGCCAACTTCACATACGTCTCAACCCCATCCTCCAACCGATCCGGCGCCTCCTTCCCGCCCAGCTTCGTAGCAACCCAGCCGGGGTGAACCGTCGCCACAGACGTCTCGCCCTTCCAGCGCTTCGCAATCGCATTCGCCAGCAGATTCAACTGCAGCTTCGTGTCGCAATACGACTGGAAATCATTCCACTCGTCCTCCCCGCGCCGCGTCCAAAACATATCCTCCACATTCGCCGGCTCACCCTGCTTATGCAGCGTCGACGAGATGTACACCAACCGCTTGGGCTTGTGCATCCGACACGTCAGGATATACGGCGCGACAACATTGACAAAGACCTGCATGGGGAGGTCCATGTCGGACAACTTGCGCTGCGGGCCCAGGAAGACGCCCGCGTTGTGGATGACGACGTCAAAGGGGCCGATCTCGTTGGCGTCGTTGGCGAGTTTGTTCACGCCGGCAAAGTGCGAGAGGTCGGCGATGAGGGTGCCCGCGGCGCCCGGGCAGGCTTGTTCGGCGGCGGCGGCGCGTTCGGCGCTCCGGGCGTGCAGGTACACCTTGTGGCCCTTTGCGACGAGTTGTTGGGCGGCGCAGAGGCCGAAGCCGTCTGTGGAGCCGGTGATGAGGATGCGGGACATGGCTTGTAGCAAGGACGGCAATTGAGAAAGAGAGTAGTGGATTCAGACAGAGCACAGGAGCTAGATAGACTTGTGCACTGAGGTGGGAAGATGCTCTTATAATGACGTCCCTCCCGCCCTTGACCCAAACTTGGACAGAGTTTGCGAATCCCAATCCACTTTTAACTCCGGCGGTGATTATATCCAGGCCGATTACCTAACTGGCACATACTCCGTGGCATGACCCACGGTCCACTGCTCGACTCTCGGCATGCTCGGCCATTGCTTGAAGGTAGCTTGTGCACGAGATGGCCAAGCGTACGAGGCTCGTCGCCTCATGTAGTGCAAAAGAGATGAACCGCGACTCTTCCTCGACGCCAAAGGATGCTCGTTTTCACTGGGTCCCTGGCACGTGGAATCCTGAAGAATGTCGGCGCTGCAGGATTAATAAGGTAGAAACTGGAGACGGCAATTGGTCGTGCCCGCAAAGCCGGTGGTTCCACTATATCAAGGGCGAAGATCTGATTGGGCGATGCCACTGTTTGCACTTTCTGCACGGCTTGGACCGGATAGATACTATGGGCGTCGGATACGTACCTACAAGTTCGACATGACCAAGTATGGCAACTGGACATATCCTGCGGAGTGTGATCCGTATTTACGAGGCTCCGGAATGGCATTACCAGTGCTTTTATCATGGCTATAAGCCTACATGGCCGATGTCTTCGCGACAAGAGGGCCTACGATGGGGGAAAAAATACATTGCGAAACTCAATCCTGGGGCTCTGAGCTTCGTCTACCACCCGATCATGCCCTCTAGTGCTAGGCAAGATCATCTCGCCGGAGCACCTCAGCTGCAAAATATGCGGAACTTGGCGCTTTTCCTAACATTACCATGATAGAATCAGGTCTTTTTCATGGCATAGATGGCCAGTTTCAAAATACTGAATTTGCGAGATGGTTTGCAACCCATCGATTTACGGCTCCGGGAGATGGATGATAGATGAATACACATCCCAGCTACGAGACCGCATATTGGAAAGACTCGTAACCAGCGCAGCTATATACACGCCTAGGTAGTGCCGATTTACGTTTTGCCCTAGCGAAGTGGACGGATCCCGATGGGATGATCTACTACACTATTCATGGCACCCTCTATTTCGATCCACGACGTACTAAATCTGCGGATCCAGATGAAGTTTTTGGCGAGACCGCTAGTATCTTCCGTGGTCTCTATGCGGCGACAAGCGATGACTCTAGTAGCGAGCGGCCATACAACGAATGCAAGCAGAGAAGGAGATGGGATCGCCCATGAGGGGTATTTATTTGGGATGAATGTGTCCCCGCCGAACCTGATATATACTGCTAAATTTTGCATTCCATTTCCCCTTGCTGCTGCAAGAGAGATGGGCTAATGGGCTGGCTATGCTGCATGGCGTTGTTTCGAGGGATTTTGCGAATCTCTTCTGCCCCGGCCCACGTCCGATTGGAGTCAGTGCGAATCAAATGTACGTTCTGGATCAGTTGTCCAGCCATGTGGCGTATATTATCTTCAGAGCGACGGGTCGTGCGGGTGCAGGGACAAAGGTGACGATCGAACCCACCGGCGAGGCGGAGGATCAGCGGGCGGGCAACATTGTCGCTCGAGTGGGAGCAGTGGCAGCTCTTGCGAATTGTACTCGCGGGGACTATAATAATGACGGGGAGATGGATAAATCGAGGAGTATGGAGGAACTCATGAATGCGGCTAGACTGGTGAATTCGGGAGAGGGTATCGCGGACTATCTACGTATACTCAAAGAGTGGAGAAGCCGTGACAAGCTGGACGGGCACGAGGTGAAGTGTGTATCGATTCCTACAGCGTGGTCGTGACGAGCAGAGAAGGCTACTTGCGCGGCATAGGTGATTCCAGGTGCCTTCAGTCTTGGTAGGCATGTGTGGCATGAATACACAAAAGGCGCTTCCATCGAGGGTGGGAGACACTGTGAGTCCCCGCAAAGCTGGTTTGTCTGCAGCTTGTTTTGTATTCACTTGTTGTTATTTGCCATCATGTTTACGTTCTTTTTTTCAATAATAGATGGGCAATAGCTGGAAACGTGCGGAGTATTGTTGGGACAAGGGATACAATGTTACAGTCATTCTCGAAATCGGCTTCACCGACAAACATAAGAGACTTCGTTTCTGGACCCGCCGCCAAAGCCCTAGTGTGTGTGGTATATTGAGCTCCAGGCAGTACTTGAGGGCCTGGGTTGCTTTTCCACGTAAAATGCAGATAGTTTTACACTTTTAATAAAAATAATGACTTCCTATTATTTTTGACGCTACAGAGTCTGTTCCAAAACTCCTCCACCAAAGTGATCTATATTGAACGCAGAAAGAACCGCCTACAACACCAGTGGGGACGGTCATCAATAAAATTGAGATCACTCCAGTGCGATAGAATTCAATCTAGTCGTGTTATCATTGACTTGTGCTGGTCATTAACCCTTGGAAGACAACTCTGCTCTCCTATCCCAGAGGCTCGATTATTTACTACAAGCAGAAGGCTTAACGTCGAGAATATGCGATGGCGACGATATTCCGGCCAGAACACAAAATGGCACTCGGCAAACATTGTCGCTCGAAGAATAAGGTGTCAGCTTATAATACCAACATTATCTAGATCTATACAAATTCCCGCTCGTTCGCAGTGGTTGCGCCAAAACAGGTGCAACAGGATGATAATCCTATATCATCACTAGAGCTCATTGAGACCATTCAACAAGGAACAAAAAGAACCAAACCCAGCCTGCTATGTATGGATGTTTCTCTCGCGAGATATATGAAATCTAATCATAGACGGTGCACCCACCCACCCGCCCGGGCTAGACACTTTGCACTGAAACCACCAGTGCACCTCTCTTCTCCCATTGTTTCATTCCATCACCCAACCCATCATCAAACCTCTTATAGGTATGCTACGACGAAGCAGTGGAACCTTATCTTAGGTCCTCGACCCCACCCCAGTCGTCGGCCCACTCTGGTTCGAGGGACCCCCACCCTGACACGGGGACTGTGCAACACACTGCTCCATGCACCGCGCATACTCCGCGATGCCCTCTGGTGTCTGCTGCTTCACGTGGCAGAGCTCGTGGCAGAGAGGCTGAAGATCGGAGCCTAATATATGCGGTTAGTCTTTCTGTGCTGCGGTGTGGTGTTCTGCGCTTCCAGGAGCTCGGGGAGTGAAGAGGTTTGTTTCCAGAGGAGGAGGGGCTCGGGACGTACAGTTATGCTGAGGAAGCACGGGGATTCCCGGGCCGCCGGGGTGGATATTGACGGGGACACCCTCCAGGGCGGGTATGCCCTCGAGGATTGGTTTTGACGGGCCCCCCTGGGCGAGTGGGAGGGCGGTTGTGCTCACAGAGAGGAGGAGGATCAGAGCGGGGACGAGGAACATTGTGTTGTTGGTTGGGTTGGGGATCAGTTTAAAAATGGAAAATGAGAAGCTGAATTGGAAGCCTTGTAGTTGAATCCTTTGCGTCTGGTAAAGGAGTTGACGGGGAGAAGCATTGGTGTGTGGTATCTCCATCGTCTTTATCCCACAACACCTTGGCGCCGAATGTCTGGATTAGGGCACATATCGCGCTCTGCAGGGCTGAGTAACAGCCATAGTGGCTGCGGAGCATTGGGATTATTTGGCACTAGGGCAGACCCGACTGATCTCCAGCCAAATCATGCGCCTCGTTCTCTTATTAGCTTCCCCCCATGCTTAAGGCGCAGTTGTCGAAGCTTGGGGGCGGAAAGTGAACCCCTGCCCAGCGCTCCGCCCCTTGCTTGGCGCACCATATTTCACTTCTGTATGGATGGTTGCTGGAACCGGGGCTAGGCCTATGTTGGGAGTATGGCGCGACTACCTTAATTAGAACCATCCTCATGGGCACGGTGCGAGTATGTTCTTTGCGTGCCGCATGCCGAGGAGGTCTCTAAATATACCTCGCGCCTCTCATGGTCAGGCTGACTATAGTTACTTCTGGATCAACGGCATTGCTGCTGGCCTAAAATTGAAACAGCATACTCTAAGCTAATGTATATTCAAGACCTTGTTTAAGCTTGGTCCATATAACGCCTTGGCTTTTGCCCCGGCAGGACGTCAATTAATCGTCGCCATCAGAATACGCAGTAAAAACTGCATCCGGCCCTGACAAATCCTCCTCGTTATCTTTACTCTGTATCTTCACTATTTTTGTCGTCGTCAGCGTCATCACAATCATAATCAGAACCAACTTTACCAACCCTACCTCGCCCAAGTCGACGACGCGGCATAAATCTATGCGTAGGAAGTGGATCAGGACCCCCCTTCCCCCTTAGTAGTTCTAAAACCTCTTCGCAACAGCGACGCCGACTCTCATACGCATACACCCAGGCGTTCTTACCCCTATAATTTACCATGCGCACATTAATACCCGGGTACTCCAGCAGGAGGCGCACAACGTTCTCTGCGCCCAAAAAGGTACTAGGTCCTAATTATATATCCCCTCTTATAATAATTAATAATCTTAGTTTTTTCTACTCTAATTAGGGCAAGCTAAAAGAAATAAAAGAGATATATTAGTAAGTACTAGCAGGCTATAAGAAGGCACTAGGCCCTAATTATGTATCTGCTCTTAGTATAATTAATAGTGTTAGGGTTCTTTGCTAGAGGTAGGGCAAGCTAAAGGAGGTAGAGGAGATATATTAGCAAGTACTAGCAGGCTACTAGATAGCACTGGGTCCTTGTTATTTAAGGACGCGCATGCTGTCTGAGTCTCTGGTATTACTTGCCACCTTTGGTGCTGGACACTCTTGTAAAAGAGATACGCTGTATAAATCCTTTATAGAAAGTGGCGTTCCTATCTATTTATTAAATCATATCTACCAAAGTTACATCTTATCAACTTGGATGGAACGCCACACTGCGTGCAAGTCTTGAATTTATAGCTGCAAGCACTTGGTACAACACTATAGTGATAGATAAAAGGGTGTGAATATTTTTATGTAAGTTTTCATGTAATGTAACAAATCCACAGAGACCCTCTCATCTGGGAGCTGGTGGCTCAATAAAATACTCATGCTAAGGCCTTGGCAGTGGGGAGAGAAGACAATTATCATGTGTTTATTAGTAAAGGCGATTTTGAGCAAGACTGTAGTGTGCCGAAAGAGCATCAAAGCCATTGAGGTGCAAAGATAGCACATCTGCGCTTTTGGAGTACATGGACAAGGCATAAACCGCGTTACACATCCCCGTGGCCCTGGGGGGCTTGTAGGAGATGGGTCCATTTAAGCCTCACGCTCGCCCACCTCAAGCTAGGCCTCGGGCAATACGAGGGGGAGAGACGCAGGCTAAGCTCTTGAAGCATCTAGCGCCATAGGCCTTTGAGCGGCTTTGTCTTTGAAGTTGGCCTTCTTTTGCACTGGTGCTTCTCGGGCAAAGGAGGGCTGTCCATCTGCCATCCCTTGCTCTATCAAAACCGCCTTGTGGAAGCGGTCATGGAGGCTCAAACTTGATTTTGTCACCATCGATCTACCCGGGAACCTCAGGTTACATGGCGCACCCGGTAGTGCCAAACCCATACTTGCGATTCGGTGTTTTCTACAGGGGTTAGAAAGAAGCAGAAGCAGACAGACCGAGCGAATATCGTCGGGATGCACCTGGTACTTGGTGAGATGTGCATTGAAACTGGAACTAATATATACATGCCGAGGCTGAGACAGAAAAGCAGTATAAATATCAGACGTGAGAATGCTAAATCAAGATTCCTCCTTACTGCCCGCAGTCTCCAAATTGTCCAACCACTCTTCCAACTTACCTAAGGAATAAGTATCATGCGTCTTGGCCGACGTGTTGAAATCCTCCTCATACCACCCCGGGGTACCCCCGTTCCACACTCGACAACCAAACGGCGCACACGACCCAAAGTCAACCAGCACTGGCTCCGGCGGCCCATCTGGTATCTCCCTGACCATGATGTTCTTCGGTTTGATATCATTATGGGCAAGCCCGAGGGAGTGCATGTAGTCCACTGCGGACCTAAGCTTGGCGAGGAAGCTTTGCTTGTCAATCATGCGAGACCCGACCTCTTTGACATATTGTTCCAGGTCGTACTCTAGGCGCTCAAGGACAATGGCCGTGATGTATCCACGGTACACGCGGCACCCATGGTACCGGATGATATTTGGGTGAGCAGGCAGCTGGGCTTTGGATCCGGCGAGGGCCTCCAAGACGAATGTTTCGGCGAGGAGGAGCTGCCAACGCCAGGGCAGGTCGGGATGCTCTTCATAAAACCACAAGTTGGGGCGCTTCACGTGGAACAATTCAGGGTTGCTGGCTACCGCATCCTCGGGCGCGATGGTCAGGTGCGCGGATTTGGGGGCCCTGGGGTAAATCGTGTGGTCGGGGATGCGCTTCAGGGCGCCCTTCCAGCCGGCCAGTCTCCGAAATGGCCTTTTTGTACAGCTCCAGAAGACCTCGTCGGTTTTTGTGAAGTAGAAGAACACATCTTGCTCCCATGTGTCAGTTTTATCGTATTCTCTGATTGTATGAAAGTCTGCAAAGCACCGGATGAGGGCACGTGGTGGTGGTTCATCATCCTGTCGCTTGCGTCGACCCCGTTTCTGTTGGACGATTTCTGCGGGGTCCGAGCTCCGACGACGGAATAGATGGCTGAGAGGATGATCTAGAGACATATGTGTGTGTGTGTGTGTGTGTGGGGAGTAGAAAGATGCTATGTCAAATGATGGACAAGTGTGGTGAAGGGGAGCCTCGTGGGTTTATATGTCAACCTCCGAAACAGGTGAGGGAGACACTCCCATTCCAGGACCGAAATACTTGCAAGAAGGCATTCGTACTTGAAACCTGGCGAGGCGTTTATTTTGGACTCTTCCGAGGTCTCTTTGTTCCAAGTTACATGGATCTTTGTGCCTCATAGAAATCCCATGGTTCATGTGTACCCTTTTGTCGTGGCAAAGACACATAAAGCAAGGCTAAAAATAAAAAAAAATCTACTTGCGCGTTCAACCCAGCAGCGGTTGTGAGGACAAAGTCGAGTTACAAGGGATTATTGGATTTCAAAGCATGTTCTTATTCTACCATGACACAGTCCGGCCGCGGCATACAGAAAACAAAACACCTGCATCTAGCAGCAGCATTCCTAGCACATCTCATGGTGACCTCGCCGGCACACTCTACCCAAGAAACTGGGTGCAAATCCCATTCTGGTTAGCGGGGCAGCAAGTGCGTCGTCGCTATGCAAGTCGACGAGTGACAGGAACCAGCTGAACGGTCTGGGGTTGCCGATAAGATCCAGAAAGCCTGCATGTCGTTTTCTCGCAGTCCATTCGTCTATTGCCCTCCTTTGTAGTCACTGTACCATCAGGATTGGTGACAGTCACACTGTAGTATTCGGTGTGGCACCTGGGAAAGCTGTTAGCACTTGGTGATGATAACGCAAGCTCCAAGGAAAGTTTTTGTCGCTTGGGACAGGAACGTACATTTTGTTTTGAGTTTATTGGTTTCCGGAGGTGAGATAGTTGAAAAGGTGCGAGCCGCTTTGAATGTCGAGCTATCGGAAAAGTCGACGGGGTAGGTCACTTGATGCAAGTTGCCGACGGATGATTGCAAGGCAAGGCTGGGGTGTGGAGATGTATGAATCTTTGCAGAAGGCTGAGACTGGGTAGGGGCAAATGTCGAGAGATGGTTGAGGTTGCGTTCCGAATCTGGGGAGATGGAGGGTGTTGGAGTTGGACAGATCTGGGGCGGGATTTGGCCTGGTTTTATAGCTTGCGCCATGAACAACTATCGCCGCCTTAAGGCTGTCGGTCATAGCGGATGGTTGATTGCAGAAATAAGTGCCTGGCCTCCTCAAAAGAGGCAGCTGCGTGCAGATAGCTAGTGCGGTCTTTCTTGACATATCGCACTCAGCATATTCAGATCACGCCCGCTTTGCTTAATTCCGATTACTCGAATAGGCCTTGATTGAACTAGTGGCGTTTTCTAGTCCTTGTCCGGACAACGAGGAAATGACAGAATCGCTAGATCTATCCTATGATGGCTTGGCATATGGCTTCTTTCTTTATTCACAGCTGGTGCTCCCTTTGCCCGAATGTCCTGCAGGTTCCAGCAAGTTCCAGCATACCAATATAACAATCAAAAAGCTTTATTTCTTTCATGCGTAAAGTGTAGATTACTCATAACTAGGCAGCGACCAGCGTCAATAGAGAGTTGCCTTGTTTCTTCTGCAGGGGTTGCTTTATCTGATACAGCCCCGGCGGGTCGCCTTTGTCACCTTATGGCGGGACAAAGAGCACAAGGTTAGGAGCCACCGCAGCCCTGCCAATGTTTACTCTTGGAGTGGGGTTATTCCTCTTGGACGGTATCATCTTCAAGCTTCTTCCCGGAGTCTGACAAGGCCTGGCCCTGTCCAAGCTTACCACGCACAAAGAGCGAAAAAGGCTTCCTTCTACCATCTGGCCAAATCGGCCAGGTCCTTGTCTAATAAATCATTGTCTGCATGCCAAAGCTCCTCTGCTACCCCACATGGGCATACTGGATGACTCCGACGCTCTCCTTTCCCAGATTCAGGGTCTACTCCAGTCCCCCACCTTTTCAAATTTTTGTGCGGCGGGAAAGCTTATACAACGCCCCACCACGAACTGACACGGATCAGATAGCTTAGAGTAGACGAGGTTGAAGTCAGCAACCTCTTCCAGCCCAGTATAACGAACACAGTCAGAAGGCTGATGCATAGGCCGATTAGGCTGGATGTCCTGAATTGACTGATGTCACTTTTTTCCGAGTTGTAGTGTAGACTGTGTTTAACCGTCGAGTTTGTTAGCCCTGGTAGTATTCTAAACTGAGTGTAGACTCAAATTTCGTGGGCGCGGGGCATGGATCGTCACCAACGTAAACCGAAATATCTTCAACGTCATATGGTTAATGAAGATCACGAAAAGACCGATAGAAAACAGCAAGCGTTTTCTATTTGGGTCGGATCCGTGTCCGGATCATTGGATTGATGTGTCTGGGATGCTTGCACCCTCAGCTCCCTCAGATGAAAAGACCTTGAGTGGTAAAATGTGTTTCTCCAGCTAGTGAGACCCTGCAAGGGGTGTCTCGTTCATAGACATCATTTCTTCTTCTTCTCATTACTTGTATATACGGCAAATGCAGCATTTAAACCAGTCAACTCCTGGATTAGCAGGATGGCGGTTAATCCGACTACGGTGATGAACCATGGCGATAGCGTAATCCCAAATTCCGTTCTATAATCCCTTCAGCGTGCAATATTAATTTTGTCTGAGGAGCAAGACTGCCCATCCGACGGTAATGCGACTATTTGTCCAGCATAATATATAGGGGATTGGCGCTCCCCCGAAGTATGGCGAGTGCTATTTGTACCTACTATAGGATCTAAATTCTATAGAGGAGAATAATGTTCAACCACTCGAGCGGGGTAGATAATTCATCCCCTATAGAGGCTTAGCATAATATCAGGACCGATACATGGCAGGTGCCAACTCTCGTGACAAGTGCACCGACCCCGAGATAATCATTTCGTCTCATGATTTAGCGAGCCAGGCTCTCTTTGTGCTTGAAACAGTCCCCGATAATTGGCTAGATTATCAGGTGGCAGAGAATATCCGCTCTCTTTCTATATTCAACCTGAGTGAGATAGTAAGATGGCTAGAAGAGATCCGGAACGAATCGTGGCCCGTTCGGCACAATCACATCAAGTGCCACGAGTCGGCCGACAGGCAACTTGATATGGAGCCAATTTGCTTTACGTTTAGAATGTATGGAAACAGCGCTCTAAAATCACAAGGCGCTCTAATATGAATAAGCAAACACAAGCAGACGGCCTTCCTCCCTGTCTCTATCAGGGCCGATGGGTGACTCCACGATGCCTCCGTCCTTCTTGATGAAATATGGTAAGTGAATCCCCGTCATTGGGTGGTATGCAGGGGGTTTCTCCGTTAAAATAGTCCCAAGGCCTGCAGGCGCCCCTCATTCTTTGACGCATGTGGGAAGATCATCTCGCCATTGGTGGATTGATGGGCGCGTCATTATTATTACAGAAGTGCTACAGTGACACGGATAGGAACATGAATAACATTGGCAAGATACAACTTTCCCCAAAATACCCTATTCCGTGGCTAACAACAGTAAGGAAGCTGTTGGTTAATAACGAGGCGCAAGCTCGAGGTTCACAGTACAGCACCATGTGCCCTCCTCCCCCCCCCTGATTGAAGGAACTCTCCCCAGGTCAGAGGGTCGACACTGATTGCATGGCCAGTAATGTCGTCGGTGTGTATAGCCTGCGATGCAAATGCGAGGAAAACGCCAGTCCAGTGATCATCGTACTCAATCAGAAGTCCTCCATCACGATACACTCCGTCATCCTTCTTGAATTTCCGAATATTGCCCTGGTTCATGTGGACGTTGTGGATTCCGTCGTTTGTATCAAACATGGACCCGAAGAGATAGATGTTTGCCTTTTCATCAATCGCTTTCTTCACCTCGGGCTCCAGGACATCAATGATATCATTGTTCTGACCGGGAATGTCATGGGGAAGGACACGCCCGCTCTGGGTATTAAAGAGGCTACCCCGAATATAGTCGAGTCCTCGACGACCGAACCCCGGTGCTTCGTCGATCGGATGGAACCCAAAGTCCAAGCGGCTCAGCCTCGGAACAATAGGATGGTCGCCCATGTCGTGATCGACCCAGTACGCGAGGCAGGACTCTCGATCGGTCGATTTGATGTTGATTGCGGCGCGAAAGAGGCCGGGAATCTCCATAGGTCTGTTCCTGTTTGGAGGGTGGCCTCGGTACCTGCGTCGAAAGGCGCTGTCAAACTCGGGCTCCTCGGTGGGGTTGTCATGGTAGTACAGCGACAGGTGCGGGGAGTCAGGGTCCTCGTAGTGATATTCAAAGTCGTATTTGACGGGGACCGCCTTCCAGATTCCGTAGTCCTTAACTGGCATTGTGTAAGGGAATCGGAAGACAAGGGTAGCTCGATGTATTCAAGGGTTGATGCGCAATAGAGCTCGGGTGAATCTGAAGCGGATCGTTTTGACGAAGTTCTTATACCCCGGATCTCTGGCCAACAGCGCGTACAATACATTTGGGGCCGGGACACTCCTTTCGTCTGTTTGAATCTCATGACCCCTGCCGTTGCATCATGACACCAAGCCTGGAGCGGTCGACTAGCAGTATCTTGGATCGGGATCGGTTGCTTGAAAGTCCCATGGTTGAGACATGGTAAGCCATGATCTCTCTTTGTCTGGAGGTTAACTCATGCCACATGATCGCATGGACGTTCTGGGCCAGAGCCCGCGCTTCGATCAGTGGGAGGAGCTGGCTGGGATAACCTAATTCTAGATTGAGTTTCACTTGAACGATCTCGAATCCGGCGCTTCCTCAGCAGAGCTAAAACTACCGCGCTAGCATAGTTCCAAAGGGGTAGGTTAACATAACATCACGTCTTTCCGTATCTAGCAGATTGTGACAATCCCGAGTAGCGTTGCCTGGTTAGAGCTGGGGGTACACACAGCTGGAAGGGCCAAATGTTTTTGGATCTAGGAACCATTTCCATGGACGTGGGTGGGGAGGCGTTCAAGATCGACAACCTTAAAATAAGTTGGTTGACTGACGAATGTGGGGTTAACTACCGTTCGCGGGATTGTGCTCATCATAGATAGCACATGTAGCAACATAACGTATGTGGCTCGATTGGTTACCATACAGACGGACCCTGGGTTAACTCTGATCCTCTTCGCCCATGTGGCGCTTTGGTCACTGTGCTACATTGCAGATAAGCAGGACGATTCCGATTTCTCCAGAACCATTGTTGGACTTAATACTTGAAACCACACTCTCCTACTCCTGTTGTCCAATTTAACCTCGCAATTCATCGCTCAGAACGATGCCCGCGACCATCGACCCCAGAACCCACGCAACACCCAATATGGAGCCGGAATATGAGGTTCGGCTCCAGTTGAATCCAGCCACTGTCCTTGACAACGAGCACAAATTGAAAGAGTGTGTCCTATCGACATTCAACATGCCCAAGTCCGTCACGAAGTTAAACGTCCAGTTTCTCGATACGGATTGCAAGGAGATCTACAGCGCCGGCTGGAGTCCACGCATCCGCAAGGCGGAAAAAGAGGACGACTTGGAACTGACGTATAAGAAGCGGTACCCCATCACGGGCACTGATATTGATGCTGCACTCAATGAAGCCGCTAAGGATGGTTTCGACGCGGGCGCTGCCAAGTACGAGGCACAGGTTGAATGGGGATACCAGAAGCACACGCTCTCTATCAGCCGAAAGAAAAGTGTAGCAGATCCTGAGGATGACGACCTGGATCTTCCCAAGACGCGGAAATCGCAAAAACTGCTCATCAATGAAGCGCCGGACAAGTTTGACAACTGGAAACACCGCAACTGGGGCACCAAGGCTCTATCAGAGTCACGCATCTTTGGCCCGGTCCTTGCGAGGCGCTCTATTGGCACGTGGAGTGGGATGAAGCTGTTCCTGGAGGTCTGGCCGCTCCTCAACGCCGAGAGGACGGATATCGAGCACATCGTTGAAGCATCGTTCAAGACGGAGAGCCGCACGACGGCATTTGCTGAGCAGTGTCGTTTGGCAGAGGTGTTACAGAGCAATGGTTGGTTTCTACCCGAGGATGCGCTGAAGACGCACCTCATCATGGAGCGCTATTGATATGGAAGGTTTCTGGGCCCAGTACAAGCATGGGTTTCCTTCCGATTCTAGTTTGGTGACGAAATCGCTGATTTGGAACAGTGGCTGGGTAATCGAAACTGTAGTTAAGCTGCACCGACCGGATAGGTCAATTTACTGTACACTATGCTATTATCAGGACTGCATATTTTGTCAAAATGTCTTCGTCGTGACTATGAATGTATCACTCTTCGCCTCCGCATCTTTGCTCTCGGGATCATTACAGTAAACAATTAACCACTGTGTCGCTCGGGAACCAGATCCAGAATATCCCGTATGCCGACTAGCTGTTGCTTAGGTTGCTAGCCATATGTCCATTGCAGAACTAATAGCTAGACCCTTGCCTCACTTTGCATTATCACATCTTGCTGCCCACTCAGAACCTCAAGATACTGCGCCATAGACACACCCTGACAAACACCTGGGAACTACCTAGAGCGGCAGAAGCCAGAGGCCTTGCGGCAGGCCAATATGCGCACCAGCCTCGAGCAACGTGTTGAGAATGGCAAGATGGCCAGCTTTTACAGCAAGCTGGATCCTGACCCTTCCACAGGTAAGCGTAAGCGCTGCACCGATTGGCGTGTCCTCGATGGGGTTGAAGAATGTCGTCCAAGCGCCATCCGCGGCGCACGGCATGAGAGGATGTGCTAAGTATGTTTGGGCTAGGTTGTGGGAAGGAAGAGGTTTACAAGTTCGAGATTGTTTAGGGGCACGGCACGCACGACGACAGCCTGGTCCTGGTGGCTATTTACGTTCCATGTAGGGAGCATGGGCTAGGGTGAATCTTGTGAAGACAGAAACGCTAAACATACAGGAAGGGTATATTGATCTAGTATTTAGTAAAAGCTACCTATTATACCCAATATTGGACTTTTATATATTATCAGAGTCTTCAAGAGTTCAACAGATCTCTCGTGTAGGCTACACAGGCTGGTTTGTGACCTCCCTATATGCGGGCGACAAGCAGTCTCGCAAAACCTGCATCTTCTATTCCACCAAGGCACCTGCAGACTCACCGGGCGTTATTGAGATAGTTTGGTCCAGTAAAAGACCTTAGGAAGTGGTTGATAATGAAGTCTAGAATATACAAGGCTTTGTTCAACAAAGGCCATGCTTATACCAAAGACCTGGGCCACAATGGAATCTTTACAATACTTCTTTGTCCCATACGTGAACAACGCCATTCTTCCTAAACAAAGGATGGATTGAAGATCGTCTATAAATACAGCGAGTGTGTCCTTGGAGAGACTCTGGTCCACATCATACCCACACTGCTCGATCATCTAGCTCCTACAACACAACCAGAGAACACCATGTCCAATCAAACAAACCAGACCCAACTGCCAATGGACCCTGACCTCGCCAACCTCCCCCCAATCCCAGGGCACATCACGCAGGTCCCCGAAGATATCTTCGAGGACTTTGATAGGACACTTGAGTGGCTGGAGCAATACGAGGGGCTCGCTACTGACGGTGCAATTCAACCCCCTGATTATGACCCGAGCGTGCTCATGGCAGATATGGGCATCACCGATCTGGTGACGGCCGCACCGCTCTCGTATGACGACATGGCGGCTCTACTTCCCGACGAGTTCTTTGGGGACTTTGATAAGAAGATCGAGTGGTTGTCACAGGGTGGGCTCCACTTTGGAGAGACTTCTACGGACACTAACGAGCCAGTTGTGGAGGAGGAGCTCACGCCGCCCACGGGTCCTACGGTGACCATGACTGGGGCCCTGACTGGATCCTCTACTTCTAGCTCTGCCACTCCTCTTGCGGACGCAAGGAACACCCCAACAGACACCCCAGCGGACACCACCAAGCCGGCGGTGCGTAGGAGCGCGAGAGTCGCCCAACGTCTGCAGGCTTCTGCGTCCTCGGGGGCCGCGATGGATCCTCCTAATTCTGATGGCGTTGAACATACCGGCGCCGTGCGAGTTCCTACTTCGAGAAAACCCTCGACAAGGGGGAAGCAACCGGTACGTGAAGTCCCAATGCTAACAAGGCATGCAGATACAAATTCCATTCCCTTGGGTGCCGATAACCACGACAGTATTCGCCTGAGCACTCAGGCACGAGGTGGGCTATCCTCCAATAGCGAGCCACTGGTCCCCATCCCCATGCCCAGCACTGACGCTGGCCAAAGCAGTGCACGAATGACGCTTCGGCAAGCGTTGGCAAAGATCAAGGCCCTCGAGGCGCTGCGGCGAGAGGACATGCAAAGGCTTAATGCGACACAGGCGACTGTGGATCTAGCCGAGTCCACGAAGCAGCGCGAGGAGGCCGAGCACAACGCAACAAAACACCAACTAAATCAGACCGAGGCCCAGCTGGCGCAGCTGCATAGGCAGCTTAGGCATGCTTGGGGTGAAGTCGGGACGCTGCGCGATGCCCAGATGAATCTTGGCCGGAAGCTTGCCCAGAATAAGACGGTGATCACGGAGGTTATGATGACCAAGATTCACCACGAGCTGCCGATGCTGCAGCAGGCCGTAAGAGACGTGAGCACTTACAGGGTGCATGCATTTGGCCTGAGATTTGCGCTGCGACGGGCATTGGAGTTGGAAACTCAAGAAGATTCACGTGCTGCAACATTATGTGGCCAATGCTTATGGCCAAGGGCGATAATGCGGTATTACCTCCATGCAAGTTAGTGACAATGTTGTACTTGAATGCAAGGGGGCTGTTGCTTTCTCTTTACAGGGCTCGCAGGGTGATAAAGGCTACGGTTAGGATAAAAATACAGAATCAACATATACAAAGAAAACTCACTGATGACTTTAATTCAGAATACAAGCGTCACTAACTATTTCTTTCTTGCATTAGGACTGACAAGTGGTTAAGGAAGATTGATTCACCATGTAAAAGCAGTGGTAAGGAGGAGGAGGCTGGCGAGCACGAACTGCACCCTGAAACTGCCTGGAGGTAGTTATATATAATAGCATCTAGTACAGATAGAAAATGCTTTTGTACAGGGGGCAGATATTTGCGATGCGCAGAAAGAAGAACCTGAACTCACGCTCCAGGTCTGCTATCCCTCTGAAGCGAACCTTCAGCTCGTCGTGATCCGGCAACTTTTTTGCTTCTTTTGTTAGTAAGGCACACTGAAGAAAGAGGTTACAAATGGCCACGACAGAGCAGTGTGAGACTGACGTACTTTCCGAGATAGATTGTTATAGATCTCCGCCAGAGTTCTAGATCCCGGAATGACAGAGAGATATACTCAGTCAACTTTAATAGCTTGGTGAAGAGCAATGGGAGTAAAAGTCTTCCCCAGTGCGCCGCTCAAAAAATCGAGACTGTGCTCTGTATACGTTTGGAAACAGCCAGCTAAGGACACTATGTAATGACCATGTATTTGGCTCTACTCTACTATTATTTTTCCACACGCCCCCCTCCTTGAACGCCTCAATCACTACCTGTTCACTCCTCTGTCCAGAAGTGAAAGAGGTCGGTCGCATTCCTCATCTGTTGCTTCCCAAAGAAACATCCGAAGCCTCCAGTCATGCATAAACGTCGTCTCCACGAGCCCAGTGATCCTTCGCTGGACAGATTTATTTCAAATCATCCCCCTCACCAGCCCCGTTTTCAAAGTCCAGAACCTGGAAGCTTCCAATGTCATGCTCTAATTCTAGCGATCCAGACTCTGTGACGGAGAACTCGAGGTCTTCGCATTCGTCGTCTGAGAAGAAGAATACTCTCTGCTTTGGTGGTAGGTCGCTGACGGTGATGTCTTGTCCTTTCGACAGGGCCGCAGGGGTGCAATAGTCGGTTTCCGAGCCGGCCCAGTAGCCCGATGTTACTGACCAGGCGGTCGTGGTCAGGGGAAGGGCGAGGGAGAGGAGGGTAGCGACGGCGGTGGGGAATTTCATGGCTCGTCGTTTGAAGAATTGAATCGACTCGGTTTGATGGGATAGTGGATTCGCTGGAATTGAGTTTTCAGAAGAGGGATGTTGTGAAAGCAAGGCAGGAGTGGTAACGGGCGTTTATATGCGGAAGCCCTGGGTTGATATGGTCGTGATGTGATGGACAGCGCAGCAACCACATTCCAGAGAAAGCAAAAACATAACAACCCTCGGCAGTCAGGGCTGATTCGCAGGCACCTGATCTGATCTGCAGCGACCTGCTCAACCTCACTGGGTTCATGCAAGGGATATCACATTGCCTCATTGATCAATGTCGCACAAGCCAGAGTTACTCCGTACTCCGGCACTCCGACTTTTTGTCCGTCGTCAGGGAGTGGCAATCTCATTTTGATTACGTTGTGGAGTACATAAATAAGTGTACTTCCTTCAAGGCGGTTATGCCCTCACTGGGGGAGTTTACAGGTCGCACCTAGCATTATTGCTAGTGCATACACATTATTATCTACGGATGATTCGTTCGGAGCGCATCTGGCCGAACCCTAAGCAGACTACGGGTGGGATGCGTATAACTTTGGCAGACCCAAGCTTTGATTGGCCAATATCCCGTAGGGCCTCTAGGGATATCGTCTGGAAAAGTCATTGAGCCATGGAAACAACATTCTTGGCTATGCATCCATAGTTATCATGACCAAACGACAGGCTCGATCTCAGTCTCACTCTTTTGATTCTCGCACAGCCGCTGGAGATTGATCCGCAAGCAATTCAAGTGCATCAATCCTCAGATGATCCGTGTTTGCATATCCACCGCGCCAGCACTTCTCGATAATCTTGCCACAGAGAACATCATCAACATTGAGAAAGGAGACAGGCTGAGAAAGGTCGGGTTCCTCAGCTGTGAAGAAATAGTACTTGTGGACCGTCCAGGAAGCGATGGAGTAAAGGATCCAACCAATGTGCAAAATCTCAATCCTGATGTTCAAATCATTTTCAGTCACAGTAGTAATATCAGCCTCGAGAGGTAATAGGATCGACTGGCCAAAGTCTGCGACTTTAAGCTGTCCATCGAGGACTAAGATATTCCGGAGAGCGATATCATCCACGAATACCCTGCGAGAGTGTATGTACGAGAAGGTCTCAGTGAGACTGAGTATCCACGCAATCTTTGAAGGAATCGCAGGTTCTGGGTAATTTTTGATATGATCCTCGAGATCTCCGTGCGCACGAGCGAGCTCAACACCATACTGAGATAAATGGAAGCACTCAATGATTCCATCATGGTTGCCTAGACGTTTGAAGACTTGAATCTCATTCTCCAGGATCTTCCGATTCATGTCATTCATGTACTCCGCATCTCCAGGATCTGGGAGTCGGGACTGCTTCGGTTTTTTAACAACACGGCTTTCCCCTACCGCATAGATAATCCCAGTCATCCCAATCCCAATCACCGGAAGGTGGAGCCAAGGATCCTGAGCAAGCGGAGGGTGCGAAGCGTCGTCAAGCTGGGCAACTGAATTATCAGGCTTGGCTGGTTGCGGGGAATGTTGAGATTGCGTCGACTCGGTGGACTGAATAATACGAAGCCATTCGTCCTGATTCATCGGTATGATTCCGTTGCGAGTGGGTGTAGAGTTAAGAGTCCAATGTAGGTATACCAATTCAAAATAGGGCGACTCGACCCCACTTTACTCCGGCTCTATGTTGACACTCACCGGGCAGGAGAAATAGATTTTCCATCTTTCAGCTTGCCAGCTCCGTCGACCCTGATGCATAGAATCTTGCATCCTGATATCGTTTATCATCTTCGTCCGCACTCTGCGATGTAGCCTTGCATGCATGCGTGCTGAGCCTGAAGTCCTGGTTTGTTGCCCGTTGAAGTGAGTCTGATGCCATTTACTGATTTAAGGTCAATTCCCGAGGCTAGCAGTCAACAGATCGCATTACAGCTCCAAGTAGTTCAATAGTCCCATAGCAAGTACGAACTTGGCCCACCACTCAGCGTACGCGCTATGCGGAGTTCCAAGGCCACTGCTACTTCACTGACCACCATTCTCATAAATGGTCAACATGTGCTCGTGGGTGTGGGGCTGGATTACGACTGACCTCTGAGCTCTACAGAGACGGCTGTATTAATCAAGTGGTGCCTTGCTGGGGGGATTTTCGTGTACCGCGGAGTGACTCTCCATCGCGAAAATGGCACTCTTTCCGCCACAAGAAGTTGGAATATGTCATTATCATTCAAGGATGTCATGGGAGAAGAAATACTGGTGCGAAAGATGGCTTTGTGGCAGCCAAGAGCCGACAAACAGCAAGCCACCCGCGCGTGCTTCATCGCTTCTACCCCGCGAATGTGTCTGCAAATCAGATTCCCACGCAGTCTCAGAAGAGTTACACTGAGAGGCCTCTGATAATAATCAGCATTGGCCAGCTTAGGCCGATCAGAGACATTGCCTTCATCTTCCTCGGAAGTGTACATCGTGTGGAGAGTTGCGACCGCTAGCCCTAAGAATCAAAGAGTCAAAGCGATACCGACTTGAACATAACCTCCACCATTCAGGCAGAATGATTTTTCGAAAACTGGTCATGAACTGCGCGTTTTATCGGAATTACCAGGAACGTCACTGCCATCGGATAACCCTCGTTGCTGATCGCAATCAAGATGACGAGGGTGACAGCCATGGCCATGCTTCAGATATCCAGATCCTCCGGGATAGGAGTGACGTATGGAAGGGTTGGAAGACTAGCATAAAAGCCCACAACTGTCCAGAGAGCTCTTGTTCCCACTGATCATTTCCCTGCAAAAGCCGCAGTCCACCCAAAGATTCGAAATATATTATTTCTCCCACAGCTGAAGAATCCCCTAAAATGCAGCCTCGCAAAGCCATCCTCGTCCCCACCCTCAGGGCAACAGACGGGTGCATCAATCCCGGCGATAACATGTGCACGGTGATCACCGCCGGCGGCTTCTTTGGAAACCCAGTCACCGGCGCTATAAGCGGCGACCGCTACGTCGACGTCGCCAACGGTGCCTGCGAGAGCATAGTTTCCAGCGGCGAGCTCGAGCCACAGAGTCCCGGGTTCTATGCGAATTTTTCAAACGGCGTATGGGACGCAGTTGGAGTATTGGGCTGATTCGGTGTGTATCTTTCCTCGGAAATCCCCTACCAGCGTGGGTTCAACGACACCTCGCTCAACTATCCCATCCGGCTTGTCTGGTGGATTACCCAGACCGACGTCTGCGACCGGAGCATGTGTTTGGTGACAGGTAGCTGATAACTCCGTTTCGTAGCAACTAGATCGGCGACGGCAATGTCCGCGGTATCAACTTCCACTACCTGGGTACCGAACAGTGGTATTACCAGGACGGGTGCGAGCAGGGCCAGGTTACCTTTGTGAGTGGTAGCCGTCTCTAGTCATGGAATGGACCCAATTCAATAGTGCACTTGTTACTCCTTCTGCTGATGCAGCTGGCGGGCCTGACATATGCCCGGATGAAAGATCTTGCTCCCTGCAGGGCTATCAGGTAGGAGGAACAATCTATCCAACATGCATTCTCAATCTATGTCACACTCTCTAACAGCTGTGCCTCACTTCCTATGACTGCTCAGCCCCCACTCAGCGCCCGCAATCTGCAGCGCGAGGGTGGGCGCATACTGCCTGGAGAATGCAAAACTGCCCGCCGTGAACCAGAAGCCCGGGACACCAGTCGGACGCCACGTCTATAGAATCCATGTCAGCACGCTGTAGTAATCAAAAGATACCAAAATAGAGTCGAGAAACTTACCCCAATTCGCTCCTGGGCCTCATCCAAACCAAACAGCTCCCCGACCTTGTCCACAACCTCCTTACCCATAATCTGCTCGACGAGCTTGCCACCACGCTCAATCCCCGTCGCCAGGATAACAAGATCAGACTCGACCTGTGTGCCGTCGGCCAGGATGATTCCCGCGGGGTAGTACCCCTGGACGCCCCCTTCGCATCTGCGGACCTGGATCCGCCCATCGATAATCATCTGGCACGCGCCCTGGTCGAGGTAGAAATGGCCGCCCTTGACGAACATGTGGTCGACAATACTATCCCCCCGCACCCCCCTCTTCAGGGCGACTCCAGCCTTCTCGAGTGCATCAAGTAGCTCCTTATCAATGGCCCCCATCATCTGCGACGCACCTACACTAAGTGTTCGGACAACGGGCCACGGAAACGAGTTGCCCAGCAGATCTGCATCCTCGGTGCTTACCCCGGGCGTATCCCACACTTTCAAAGAAACTTCCTCAAGCGCGGCCAGCGATGCAACGTAGATTTCGCCGCGCTGTACGAGCGTTACGCTCTTGGCCCCGTGGTTGACAAAGTCCTGCGCAATGTCGTGCGCGCTTGTTCCGGCGCCGATAATCGTTACTTTCTTGCTCTGCACATTAGGAATCAGCCGAGCTGACTTGTGCACCGTCGAGTGGTAAATCTGGCCGCCGAACGAGTCCTCGTCGGCAAAGGTCGGGCGGACGGGGATACCCTCACTGAACAGCCCCGAGGCCAGCACGGCATGTTTGGCAGTAATACTCCGCGCGCTACCATCCTTGCCCTTCAACTCAAAGACATACTTCCCCGTCGCTTCATCGTAGCCAATCTTGCTCGCTTCCGTATCAAGCTGAATGTTCAGCTCCATGATGGCGGCATAGTGCTCCATCCAGTCGGCGATGTGCTTCTGGTCCGGGTAGCGCGGCCAGTTGGTTGGGAACTTGAGGAACGCGTAGTGGTCTGTGTAGGCGGGCGTGTGCAGTCGGATTGATTTGTAGCGGGCTCGCCAGCTGTCGCCGACGCGGGAGCCTTTGTCGACCACCAGGTAGTCAAGGCCGAGGTTTTGGAGGTGTGCGGCGAGGGCGAGGCCGGAGTGGCCTGTTTATGATAACATTAGTATTGAGAGTCTGTCAGGGAGGGATGTCGTCTGCGGAAGTGTAGCTCACCTGCTCCAATCACCAGAACCTGCACATCCTCGTTCTTCTGGATGCTCGACGACGCCTCTCCGCCGGGAGGAGCAGGCTGAATCCCTACATCCTCCCCCCTCCTCGCCTCAGCCTCATCCTGCCCATCCAGCCTCTCCAACACCGTATAAACCGTCCAACCCCTCCACAACCCCTTGCCCACATTCGCCAGCCTAACAACGCCCCTCCCGCTCCCAACCCTCGTGCGAAACCGAAACCCCGCCTGGATAAACCTCATCCCGCCCAGATCCTCCAAATGCGGCGCCAGCGCACCGGGCAGGTCCGCGACAGCGTCCGTAAAACCGGCATCTGACTGCCAGAGATACTTGCTTATCGCCTCAGCGCTATTGTGGCATGCGATGTTCCAGGAAAAGGTCGCGAGGTCGCGCCACCAGGAGTGCTCGGGGAGGAAGAGGAGGGTAGTGGCGAGTGGTTGGTTGTTAGCGAGGGATGTTGTTAGGGCTGTGAGCCAGGTGTTGACGATTTGGGGGGCGTCGATGGCATCGGGGTCAGTGGATGGGTGGAGGGTTAGGCTGGGGAGGGGGGCGAGGGGTGGGAATTCGTCCGGCATGGTGAGTGGCAATGATGGTTGCAGGAGCTGACGAGTGATGGAACAAGGAAAGGCGTATAGAGTAAGAATATCGGGCCGTGAGTACCTTTTTATAGTTCTAGATACAACGACCAAAGTCCAGCCAGCTGGGTCGACACTCCCAGCACTGTTGACAAGCTTACTCTAGCACACGATCCACTGCACGTGTGAGGCTGATCAGTGATTATGCTAAATCATCGTTTTTACTGTTGGGATTGGACGTCGTGTCAAGCATAAAGAACCAGCAGGATCTGACCGGCCCGCTCGTCTTGTGGCCCGGCCGCATGCTAGTCTATCCAAAGAGGCTTAGCCTCGAGTATTCGTCCCAGAGGGGCAAAGTGCCGAATATAAGTTCCACAGGCGCCTCCAGCTGAAAGGAATTCGGCCCACCAAACAACCTCCGGCACACGGGGCGTCGCTACTGCTGACATTCGAGATTCGACTCTCGACGTTATACCTGGGTGTCACTGCAAACAGCTCCAACTTGGCACGCCAGGGGCTCCACGAATGACCAGTCGGTGAAGATGCCACAGCGGGCAAACAATTCTCGGAGTAGAGCGGGGTGCCTGACCTGCAGGCAGCGCCACATCCGCTGTGATGAGCTGCGTCCAACTTGGTATGCGCGATGCCACATCCGCCCCGTTCTCTGGCCAAGCCTCGTAAAATCGCGGCCAAAAGTGCTCTTTCTCATGTTGAAACTTTGAGCTGCGGATGCGCCGCTAACGATCATCCTGGCAGCCAAAAATGCCTCGACAGTAACAAACCATGCAACTATCCACACGCCGTGATCCCCCTGCGGGATCGACGAGTGCTGCAGAAGAATGCCCTCCCCCCGGGGCAGCAGGCCCCGTGGGCAGTGGTGCACACGCCGGGCTGGAGCGTCAAACGGCTACCGGCCAGCGCAGCCATGGATCCCTTTGATTCCCTGCCCATAAAGATGCCATTTCGGTCGCGAGAATTGTACCACTACTGTATGTTGGCCGTTTCCCACCTAGCCTGCGAGGGGTATGTATGGTCGCTTCTTCTTTCCTAACGCACTCCACTGCAGTCTACCAAACTGGCGCGGCGTTTTCTGTGGCGCCGGCGGATGCAAACGATGACTGGTGAGTGTATCCTGCCGCTCCCTCGCTGAAACTTGCCGTATACTAAATCGCACCCGAAGCATCGCTCTCGCAACACTAGACGAGCACGCCCTCCGCAGCACGATTCTCATCGCCGGCATCCACTATTCCTGGAACACGGGGACCTTGCAGGCCTACGAGTCCTCCTTCCTGTTTCACAAGATCGAGAGTATACGCATCATCAACACATGGCTTCAGGCTTCCGATCGCAGAGCATTTGTCGTTTGCGTGAGGCAGATTTTGACCATGTGTCTGGCCGAGGTGTGTATTCTCGCTTTACCATCGAGGATATGGATTAATCATGTATCTGGCTAGGCCTGTCTTGGTAATATCCCCGCTGCGGAAACACACCTCAATGGCGTAATGGCCCTCTTCGGTTCTCGCGAGGACGCAGACGGGGTCTGTGACAGCAGCGATGACATAGAAGGCGAGCTCGCGGATCGCTACCTTATCCTGTGAGTCCTGCAGCCGTGAGAAGACGACTCGCGTGGTCTACTAACATCCCATCAGCACATCCTGCTTCGTCTTAATCCTAAAATCCCGCCTCGAAGACTTCAAACTCTTCCTTGCAACGCAGGGAATAGATCCAAGCCAAGACGCCTCCTCCGCCGAGGCACTCAAGCTGATGAAAACGTGGCACGGCCTCGAGCACGGCGGATTAGATACCAGACTCAAAGCCATGCGCCTGTTCCCGTACTTTTTCGCGCCGCCGCCGACGGATCGTCGGCCCAGGATGATTGACGCCTCGCCCGTCCTAGACTGTCTGAGGACCATCACTACGACGGTAGATTGGGCGCGCATGGATCCTTCTCCCGCGCAGCTGCATCATGTTTGGAACGATGGCGGGCCGACCAAGTTACTGCTCGACCTGGTCAATTCGCACGTGGCCTCGTATGCAAGAGACGGCACGCACACGGCTTCCCGCTCAAGTCCTGCAGGAACGACAGCAGCCGATCCGCCGTCGGAATCCCGAACCCCTGTGTATTCCTCGTGGAGCGGTCTCTCCGCCGCAGGCGAACTATACATCCACAGCGTGCTCGGGATAATGAACGCCGGGAGCCCGCTCGAGTGCCGGCTGCTCCATCGGGTTGCGCTCATACTGCAACGGGACGTTCAGCAGACGCGTGCTGATCTGGGCGGAGATGGTGTGGTGCAGTCGCTGTGGTTTTGGAAGGTCTTCCTGGGAGGGTTGGCGCTGCACAGACACGTTAGTGTGGATGTGGAGACGGTGGTACGCGGGTGCGCGGGAGAGCTGGAGGGGCTCTACAGATGGTTTCGGGGGTGTGCGAAGGGATGGAGTGCGGTTACTGGATTATCGCATTGGGGCGATGTACAGTGCGTACTGGCGAGAGTAACCTGGCCCGGTGTACTGCCTGCAGGGGAAGTGGACTATGCCGCACACGCGTGGGCTCAAATAGCATCAGGGGGCTTAGAGTAGCCCTAGTTAGGAGCAAAACACAATATCCGCATTACTGGACAAGGCACAGAATTATGTCCTAGGATGGCAGATCGCTGGAGATGTAACATTCAAGCTATTCCCAGACCAATTCAAGGCCATGTCACGTATTTCCAGCCTAGACAACTGGAGGAAACGACCTCCGACATTGCCTTGGTTTCATGGGCTATGAATTTATATATTATACAAGGTTGCTACTATACACGTCTATTACTAGTATACGATATCCCGAATGCCAATACATCGCCCACCTCTCAGCCTGAAGTGTTGACATTCACCCACCCACCAACCCCCAAAACACCCCCACTCCCTTCCTCACCCGCCTGATCCTCACCCGCCTGATCCTCACCCGCCTGATCCTCGCCACCTCCTGCTTGCCCCGAACCAAGCGACCACTTCCTCAACGCCCTAATGGAAAGCTCACTCCGCCACCCGGCCTCGAACATCTCAATCCCCGCCCACCCAATCATCGCTGCATTATCCGTGCACAGGGCCGGCGGAGGCGCCACAATCTCGACTTGGTTGAAGCCGCGCGCATCGAGGAACGACCGCAGCACCTTCATCAGAAAGCTATTCGCGGCGACGCCGCCAGAGACGACGAGGGTCTTGACGGGGAGGTGCGCGGGGACGGGCTTGGGTTTCAGTTTCGCGCGGCTGGTTCGAGACATGGGGTAGGTTGGTGTATTAAAGGGTTCCGGGGTGCACAATTTTTCGAGGGCGATGATTGTTCGGGATGCGAGGTGTTCGAAGCACACGCGCATGGACTCGCGCGCGAGGAGGCGGCGCTCGTCCTCGGTGATTTCGGTCTCGTCGCCCCACCATTCGCCCTTTCCGGCCAGGATGTCCTTGATGGCTGTTGGTAGGAACGCGAAACTGAACGCTAGTTCCCTGGTTTGTGAGTACGGGATCGTCAGGCTCCACCCGGACTCGGTCACTACTTTTCCGCGCGCGATCTCATCACCTCGAGTCGCGGGCGCCGTGTAGTCCGCGTAGTCTTCGGATCCGTTGGGGAACGCGAATTCCTCGAGGAGTTTGCCGTACATTGTTGTTTTTGCTCTCGCAAGGAATGAAGAGGGGAGGATAAGCCGCGCGGCCTTGTCGAGGGATTCGCCAACGGCCGTGTCGGTTGCTGTCGCCAGGACGGTGTGCCGTGTCAAGGAGGAGGAAGCGACGAGGAGGGTGTGGCCGCCGGAGGCAAGGATGGAAACGAAGGGGAAGGACGGGTGTTCGGGTTTCATGGCGAAGGAGGAAGACTGCGGTGCCTCGGGGAGAGCGGTCGCGTAGATGAGTCGGGGGGTGAGAAGGTGCGCCTGCATATGATGTACGCCGATGAAAGGAATCTGCCATGCGACAGAGAGACCCTTTGCCGTATCCAGCCCAGTGAAAAGGTTCGACCGCATTCCCGGCCCGCGGGTGGCGGAGATGAAGTCTGGTTTCTGCCGGATGCCATCAGAAAGTGCAACGACCTTGTCTATTGTGATTTCAGGTTGGGATTCGGAGGCGGAAGCAGGTGGGAGGTGGGAGAGGGCCTTTTGGACGAGTTTCGCGAGGTTCTCCTGGTGTGATTCCAACGCGCGGATCGGGTGGATGCCTTGGTAGGCTGTGGAGTCTGTGGTGATGTTTTCCATGAAATGTATTTTGGCGGCGCCGGAGGGTTGTTTCGAGACTATTGCGACCGAGGTATCGTCGCTGTCAGGGAGGAGTCAGTATGCGACGCGAAGAAGAGTTGATCAAGGTACCATGATGATTCAATGGCGAGGGTCAGGAGACCGCGACGGGCGGCAAAATTGCCCAATCGCGCCTTTGACCGCAAGCCATTGCGATAGACGGTTGTTAGACCTCGTAAGGGGAGCATGAGGATGTGGCACCAGACGGTGAGCGATGGGGACAGTTGGAGAGACGTGGAGAAGTTGCGGCGAAATCTTAGCGGACCGCACGGACCACCCGGCCCTATGAGGATGCCCTAAGCCCTTATAGTGCTTCCAGAAAAGGAAACATGCACGAAAGAAAAGGTTGAGGTTTATTTACGACCAGAATGGTATTTCTCGCTGCTGTGCTGCTTGCTATGAAGAGATCACGCTTCCTCGGTCATGTCATCTGCCATGCTGTGGGGTATGGGCTGGACACTTCTGCTACCTCCATCAACCAAGATAGTCGCGGGCTCGAGATGGGTACATACTGAAAGCCTATGGGACCGATAGGCCCCGCAGCCACAGGCCTGTGACTATTAGTGCTATGACCATTCGCCGGCCTCAGTTATGAAGTTCACAACCTGAAGGTTACCCCAGGCCCTTGTCGCGGCCAGTCAAAATAGGACATGGTTGCGGCAGAATTTGCTGTCACGCAAATGTCGTTGCTTGAGAATATAAACGATCCGGCCCATTTCAATCCTCCTCATCGGGCATTATCCGGGGCCGTTTCCCCCAAGCCCGGCCGATCGGCTCCTCATCAACGACCTCCTGCGTCATACTCGTTACCAGGAGCTCCGAAAGCTCATCCGTATACTCGCGCCGATACGCAAGCCAGGGGGTCACCTTCCGCTCGCGATAGCCCTGGTCATACGAGTCGAACCCGATATGCTTGGACTTTTCGATGAACCGCACCTTCCCAGCCCGGAGCGTTCGCAGCTCCCGGACAAAGTCTCTGCTATTCAGCAGGCCAGCATCAAGCTCTAATTCTCGTAGCCCCGTGCACGCGCGTAGTAGCGGCCAGCAGTCTCGCAATTCCTCCTCTTCGGTACCCATCGGCTGCTGTTTCGGCGAGAGCAAGGCAATCGATCGAATCCTCGCCCTCTTCTCCTCGGGAATCTCCTCGAGGAAATCAACAATGAGCCGCCCGCTCTCGAACGCGAATGTATTCTCCGCCCAGAAGATCGGCCACGCCTCGTCGTAAATCCGTCGGTTGATGAGCAGCACGCCGAGATTTTCGCGTCGCGCACACAGGCAGTGCAGATATTCCATCATGTGCGGCCACTTCTCCAGCCCGAGACGGTACTGCATTTCCGGGTAGCAGCGGTCACAGAGGTAGGGGTTCCGCTTAGGACGCGCCCATGCGCTTCGCGCGGGCGTATCTGTGCTAAGTGCTTCCTCGGTCTCCTGCGTTCTCCATCTCCACGTGGCGCAATCGGCGCAGCGGAATGTCGGCATGTAATAAAGATCATCGAAGATGGCCGCGGGAAACCCGACGATACCAGTGTGGCAGCCGAATTTGTGGGTGAGGTCGAATTTGCAGGGGCGGACAAGGAGGAGGCGGTAGATTTGCAGGCGGATTTCGGTGGGGAGGGCGAAGAAGCGGGTGAGGAAGGGGGAGGAGGCCGCGTCTTGCGGGGGCGGGAGGACGGAAAATGGCGGCGGGGGAGGGGAAGCAGGCCGGGAGCCGTGCTTTAATCTCGCCTTCTGGATGTTCTTGTGTTTGGGTTTTGCGCGGAGGCGTTCAGGGAGGGTGCGTGAGAAGGGGCTCTTGGTGTGGGCTTCCGCCATAGTCCTGGGTGGCGGGCTGGCTGATAGGGTGGTTTACATGGTGGGAAATTCCAAAAGACGTGACTTGGAGTCTTATTTACAGCCCTTGGAACCGTGAATCATTGTGTCTCTGAGGGATGGGCTGTGCGTGAGCCGAGTGGCCATTGACTCATTGTGTGACGCTAGCGCAGCAGCTGAGACTATACAGCAGAGCCACCATTGGCAGCGTCCCAATACGCCACAGTCTAGTGCGCAGGCTAGTTTCAGCTTATCCATTACTTACTCAACTGTCTCGATAGGCATCAACGGTGATCATCTGAGCTTCGAAGAGGGCAGATCAACGCCTTATATGTATACCCAGTTCCTAAAGGCGCTAAGCCTCGGCGGATTTTGGCGCTCCGTCACGGACTCGAAAACTCCGTCTGGGGCAGGGCGATCTGCCTCCCCACGAATGCCTTGCTCACGGACACGGCAGAGCGTGGATTCCGTGCCTGCAGCTCAGCGGAGTTAGGCTCTTTGGGCTTGCTCCAATTCCGTCAATGCTCTGCTGTCCGCAACGATGGGCGGCTTGTGCCTGGCCGATGCTCGAGAGGCTTTGTGGTTAAATGTGTAGGATGCATTGCATTCCTTGAATTCCTGTCGCCCTGCCGCTATTTATCGAGCTTGCCTTCCGCGAATCCCCCACGGCACTTCAGGCCAACAGATTCATGATTGACACATTGCAGCAACCATGTCTCCCATAACAGTTGCCGAAGACCCGACGTGCAGTACCACCAATGTATCCTCACAGTCCGAACGCGGCCCGAGACATGTAAATCTTGAAGCCTTAACGGCCACACCGCAATCCCCTTCCTCAAGCTGGCACGAGGACGTCCACTGCATCAGCCCAAAAGACACCTCTAACCCGCTCCGACCCCCGACTTTTCGAACCATCGACCTCACTCGTACCCACCAAAAACAACACCTAGCCGCCTCCTTCCGAGTCCTCGCCCGCCAAGGCTTCGACGAAGGCACCGCAGGGCACATCTCCCTCCGCGACCCGGAGAACCCGTCACACTTTTGGATAAACCCACTGGCAAAACATTTCTCTCAGATTCGCGTGAGCGACCTCGTCCTTGTGTCTGAAGACGGCATCATTTTACCTGGTGGCGCACAGAGCCCCATCAATGCTCCGGCATTCGCAATCCACAGCGCGATCCATCGCGCACGACCAGATCTCAATGCTGCGTGCCATGCGCATAGCGTATATGGCAAGGCGTTTAGTTGCTTCGGGCGACCGATCGAAATGCTATACCAGGATGCCTTGCGCTTCTACAACGATCTCGCGGTGTATCCGCGGTATGGGGGCACCGTGCTGACCGCTGAGGAAGGGGAACGCATTGCGACTGCGTTAGGGCCGAAGTGTCGGAGTGTCATCTTGCAGAATCATGGGATGATAACGTGTGGGAAAACAGTGGATGAGGCGACGTTTTTGTTCATCGCGCTCGATCGGTGTTGCCATGCGCAGTTGCTGGCGAATGCGGCGGTTTGCCCGGGGTTTGAGAAAAGGGTTATTGATGATGAGATGGCGAAAGTGGGATACAAACGGAGTGGAAATTCGAGCAAGATGTGGCTAGCGTTTCAGCCGTATTATGGTCAGGTTGTCAAGGAGGAGCCGGATTTGATGGAGTGATTGCTCGTTATATATATATGGGCTTGTTGGTTGGGTATTCATCCATAACGGTTGCCACGAGGAAATTCATTATTGTAGCTCAAGAAAGCCCTCCATCAAGATCAGCCGTAGGAAGAGATATATTTTCATTCATGAACCCAAACAGCAGATCCTGCCCAGGGTCAAAAATATCCTGGAACAACTGCATCTGCTCAACCTCATCGTAGGCCGGCGACGAGTTCGGGAACTGCAACGCGGTTTGAGAGCGGTCTTCATGTGTTGGGTACTGCGTGTCGACGACTGAGGATAGACGGCGAATGTTAACGATGGGACTTCTGTAACATCGCGTATGGTAGGCATACCTAATGACTCCTCAACACCCTTAGCTGCCATGAGCCTACGGATTATCCGCGCTGTATCCGCTACTCCAGAGTTCGGCACAGCCAATGCATCGAGACATCTTAAGCTCGCACCGAGTAACGTTGAGGACTCTGTATATGCATTGGTATCACCGCTGACTGCAAGTGATGCCGTATTGAGCACGTGAATCGTGCACGCAACGTATACGGCATAGCTCAGTAAGTAACTGGATTTTCGCAGCGGGTAAATTGATTGGTAGCTTAGGACAAGACTGGTTATATGCCGCGCTGCTGTTGTGCATCGCTTCCATGCGAAGGCGGGTGTTCCCATGGTGCCAGTGCCACCGTGCTCATTAGGGCTGGTCGCGGTAATAAATGGCCGATGGAGCAGAACCATGAGGGAATGGTACGTTGTCAGTAGGATAATTCGGTTTGGGGCGACAATGTCTGGTGGGTTTGAGGAGCTCTTCGCCCAGGGCTCATAGGTCAGGTGATGCGGCAGGCTGCTGTACCAGCCAGTGAGGGCATCGTCGAGGGGGCGGATCCCATGACGGGTGTTGGAGGCAGTAGCTCCGACGCCGTAAACCTTGTCAATAATCTTCGTCATAATCTGGGATAATTGACAGAGCTGCTGAAAGACAGTGACTGAGTATGCTAATGGTAGAGTCGAAGACATTGGCCTCAGCCCTGGTGGCACGGAGTGATCGTAGGGCTCCCACGGCTCCAGCTCCTCAAACGTATCCAAAAAGTCTTGCGAGACATCCACATCTTGCAGTCTGATCGTAGGGGGACGACCGAGGTACAGGCTCTGGAGCTTCTCACAGACAAAGGCACCCCAGAACACCCGGCGCCGGATCTCGATTTCCTCAATATTATACTTGTTGACTTCAAGATGCGACTCTGTATGCAGACCGAGGTCGTATATCATGCGCATAGCATAGCCGGTATACAGCCACCCCTTGGACGTCATGCCTCTGGCAATGAAGGTCGACCCGAGCATGACCAGAGCAATGACGGTGGGTATACTCGATTGAATTAGTAAGCCCTCGCGCAGTAAAAGCTCATCGCATCGTGTGAAGAAACGCTGTCCTGTTCCAGGGTCTGGCGTCTCGGAGAATTTGTGCGCACATGCAAGAATGGTGAAGAGCAACAGGTCAGAGCAATACGGTCCTCCATGCTCGAGCTCTCGCATAAACGTCGGGCGATAGGTTAATAGGAAAGTGTGGTGCTGGCGGCTCCAATGGAGATTAAGAAGATGCAGCGCAAGTTCCGCTGGGACTCCTCGTATAGATGATAGACCGCGCAGTCGATGCTCGCGTTGTCTCTCCATGGCTGCATTGGCAATCAGCTGGTACCGTAGCGTCTCTGTGGATGCTTGTTGTTGCTCATGGTTGGCAAGTTGCCTCAGGCTGCTGGTCTGAACGACGGACGTCGAGCTAAAAATGCTTTCGCTGGCATGAGGGCTTTTGTCCGTCAAGCTAGGATGGTTGATAGCATAGATGCCATTGGCTCTTTTCGGGGAAACCGCTCGCTCATCGGCAGATCCCAGGACAGGGCCACCATCGGCATTGCGGTTAGAGTAATCCTCGACGAGCAGAGGAGTATCATTCCCGCCCGTACCTGAGCCCAGCAGCCTATTTTCAAACTGCTGTTCTACCCGACGCTCGTAATCAGTCGGAAGCGCGCTTTGGTGTCCCAGCGAGACACGGCCGTTGCGAAGGATTACCGACTCAAGCATGGCATCCCTTTCCGCATCACCAGCACGTTTCAGACGAACCAAAGCATCTTCCAGAGCAGCCTTCTCGCTCTCCAAATGGTCAATGCGAGCAGCAGAAGGACGTTGTTTTCGCGGACCGTTGTGGTAGATGCACACTCGGCTGCTACTGCGGCAGGTCGAGCAGGTGGGCTTGGCACTGTCGCATCGGATCTTGCGCTTGCGGCAAAATTCGCATGCGCGGACCATTTCGCAGGTAGTGTTGTGTCATCTTTTTCTCAGGAGCGAGAAGACAATTCAACAGGAGATGTTCCTCGCTCGGGACCGGGGATTGTGGGTTGGGGGCTACTTCGCTTCCCCGCATTGTGTCCCGGTGGTATACGCGTCCTCGAAACGACCGCCAGTCACAGATCATGGCTCGTGCCGCTGCGAGAGCCACCGTCAGTTCTGAAGTGGAGTCAATCATAGAAACTGACCGGTCACGTACGGTTCGTGAGGGCGCATTACGGCGCATTACGGCGGATTGTGTCGCTCCGTGGCATGCATGGTGGAGCTGGTCTGTGCTGTGGTCAAAAATTGGAAGGAGCCGGCCAATCATGTGACCAAGTCAGCTTCACATCTCATTTGCAATTGAGACATCAACTGCATTCAATTTCTCTTATGATTTTTCAAAGTGCATTTAACTCCCTTTTCTCCTTTCGTTAACGATTATCTGATCGTGGACCTGACGATCCGCTGCCGGCGCGGCCATGATGGCATCCTTCCTGGTTGGCAATACTACGGTATCTGTCTGAGGTTGGGGTTGTCAGTATTGAGGCCAAGTAGAGCGGGGCGCGGGGCGGCATTGCACGCTCTATTATTAGCTTGGGTGTGGTTTGTTTGACTACACTATGAAGCGAGTTTGTTGTGAGTAGTTTTGGTACGTGTGTTACTCAAGGCTGACCGTCGATGTGTTCCATACAGGCTCTGCTCCCAAGCTTTGGGGATCGCTCTTCGCGACTCCGCGACTCCGCTAGGCTCCCCGTCACCGAAGAGACGGAAGTTCATGTCCGCCAATGTCACTCCACTCTAGCGATACGATAGCCAGTGCACGTATGGCCCTCTTGCTATTAAGGGCTTCTTGAAGTTCCCAAGTTCTTTGCAGCATCCAACCTTTACTGCAAAATGACATTCCAATCAGCCATGACGACCTCGATACACAACTCACGCTTACGCCTTTTGAATGCGCTCCGATCCAATGCAAAGCCCGTTATGACATTCCTGGGCCTGCCCTTATTTCGTATGGCACAAATCGTAGCTCAGACCGGTGTCGATGTTAGTCTTGCTCAATAATTCCGCAGTCTCTTTCCTAACCTTGGCAAGGGTATTATCATCGACTGCGAGCATGGCCATATTAGCGACGATGCTATGCACAGTGCGACTGCCGCTATTGCTGCGCTTGGTGTATCACCTCTGGTCCGGATTCGAATGACACATGGGGACTTGATCAAACGCGCGTTGGATGCCGGGGCGCAGTAAGTGAGCTCAAGCCTTATCCATTCGTCTTCGTACTAAAATCCCAAAAGTGGCATCGTTGTACCGCAAGTCAACACGGCCGAAGAGGCCAGGGCAGTTGTCTCAGATGCAAAGTTCCCACCACAGGGGCGTCGAGGCCAGGGGTCGGCATTCCCGGCCATCGCTCATGGAATCGATATTCCGACGTATATGAAGACCGCCAATGAGACCCTCATTACCTGCCTGCAAATCGAGACAAAGACAGGAGTGGACAATATCGATGAGATCTGCGCAGTACCCGGTGTTGGTAAGCAGTCCCAACTTTAAGAATAGTCCCGCTAACATTTCCAAGACATGATTTTCATCGGGCCCAACGACCTCGCTCTCTCACTGCTTGGATATGTTCCTGCTAGAGGGGACGAGCCTGAATTTGTCGAGGCTATTGAGAGAATTGTCGCAGCAGGGAGGACACATAAGAAATGGATTTCCCGGTTATCCAATGATGGAGCTTCCTGCAAGGAGCATCTGAAGGTGTTTGATACCGTGGCGATGAGCTATGATATCCGGGCTATTAAGAATTGGTATACAGCTGAGCTGCGGGCTGCGCGCTCATAGAGTTTCTTTGAAAAGAAATATATTGCTCTGATTCTTGTGATCAGTGGCATGCACTCTTGACCACTGTGCGCTGGCATTCCACCATTCGGTCTTGGATGGGCCAGCAAAATAGAGCAACGACATTGAGATCCGAAGTCCGCAGTCGAATCACCCCCAAAGAGGTAGTACCAAGTCTGACGCCCAAGGGCAAGAATCTAAGCCAGCCAGGCGAGTTTTAGCCGATGAGAGGCCCTTTAAATTGAGGAAGAGGGACCGCAGGTTTTTGGGTCCTGCTCTAGTTGGTATTCCACTGATCACCGAGCAACGTCAGTCCCATTGCACATTAGCACGGTGTGTAACTTCTTGGTTAGAGTTCAAGGTTCTTACCAAGTGGCATAGGTATCACAACGTCAAAATGTTCTAATTGAATGGTTCTACACAAAGTCTAAACGACCCCCTGCAGCTGCTAACCCCTCCGCTGCAAGGTGTGATAACCGAGCGTCTTGCGTGCCTCGGCAATAGTCGACCCATTGCTGGTCATTTCACGAATGGCGGCTTCGCTCTCCTCAATGTTGCGCGCAACTTGGGCTACTTCACGAACCCGGTTTCGTGGCACAATCACCACACCATTGGCATCAGCCACAACAATATCTCGCGGCCTGACATGAACCTTGCCGACCCCAATAGCCTCATTGACCCCGCCCACCTGCACTCGGTCCTTGCCAGTCCGCATCCACCGGCCAGCGCTAAAGAGAGGATACTGCTCATTGATGGCGAGATTCACATCGCGGCATACCCCGTCAATAACAGTTCCCGCAATGCCGCGTAAGCCAGCGTACTGGGTCATGATGTCGCCCCAGACCGTGCAGTCGGTACGACCGCCATTGTCGATAACCACAACATCACCCGCAGCAACATCATCAATAAAGTCGCCCACACTACCAGGCGGGTCGGTGGCCGGAACGTAACGGACAGTAAAGGCCGGACCGACAGTGATCTTGTTGTAATCCGTCAATGGCATGATTCCAAATGCCTGCCCAGGGATTCCAAGTTTATCGAGAGCGTCAGAGACCGCTGGGGAGTCGAGACCAGCGAACAGCCGAACAAGCTCTTGGTCTTGGGCACTGGCGCTCTTGACCTTTTGCTTGGAATGCGCAGCCGTTGCCGCTGCTGCTAGGGACAATGTTTCTTTGTGGATGGCTTCGAACTTTGCGTCGTGCATAACCTCCGACACGGGCTTCCCAGCTCGAACGTCCTGGACCATCAGTGTCTCACGGCGGTCAATTCGTTCGCCCAGATCGAGAACCTCCTCGATGCGGTCAGCGGGAATGAATACTGTTCCACAGATATCGGCGATAACATAGTCGTCTTCCCGAACAGTGACTCCTCGCATCTGCACGGGCGTGCCAGACGCCAGCTGCACGAGACGACTCCGCCCGCTGATCATGGTCACGTCGCGGCCATAAACGGGGTAGCCAGCTTCTTGACTGCCGTTGATATCACGGCACCAGCCATCAATGACGGTCCCGCGAATCCCCTTTGCCTTGGAGGCATTGGAGATGATGTCGCCCCAGCAAGAGACTCCCTCTAGGCCGCTGGAGATGACGAGAACGCGGTCATCCGTTGTGATTGCATCGATGACCGGAGTAAATGGGTGTGGTGTTGCCACCGAGTCTGTCTTGTGGCCGACCTTGACTGTGCTGGCGCGTCCGACAATCTTGGGGCAGTCCCAGAGGGGTCGTAGGCCGTATGTCGCTCCTTTGAGGTGGAGAAAGTCCAAGGCATCCGACACGGTGCTAGTGTCGAGGGCCGCCAGGCGGTCCAAAATGCTGCAAGTACTCATGGTGATTACGAGCGAATGATCGGATACTAAACTTGACCGGGCAGAAAATGTGTATGGACGCGATTGAGAGCAAGTTGTGTCTTGGGGCCAATACTGCTGGTCCTGCTTCTTATTATAGGGCTGATTGTTCTCTTGGATGCTTAATGCATACCTGGCCGGTGCCGTCATAGCCTTGCCGGCGGCGTAGCCTCCGAATAGTTTCGCCGTTGTGAACGGAGATGTGCCTCCGTGTGCGGCCCGCGATCCCCCGCAGCACCAAAGAACGGAGTCGGACACGCCGCAGTGGAGGCAACCCCAGATTTCTCGACTCCGGACTGCGGCAGTCCGGGGAAGACTCGGGGAATCCTAGCTTACTACTCCTAGTCTGACCTTGGGGCTCTTCGCCCTGTCCTTTCCTTGTTAAATAGCAGCCCCGGTTGCACTACACGACGTGGTCTCCCGGATATCATTTCTTTTCCCTCAGTCCAAGAGCCCATTTACCCCACCGCAATCATGCCCTCCATCCATGACCGTGAGAATGACCTGGCCGACGAGAAGGAGTGCAGCTCCGAGAACGTGGAGAACTATGCCGTCGTCACCACCATCGACAACATTCAAGTCCTCGGTCTCCGGTCTGAAGATGCCGACTTTTATCGCAGCTTTCCGCCGGAGAGAAGGAAGAAGCTACTTCAGAAGGCAAGTCCTTGATTCTCTCCTTGATCAGGTGGAACTGACATCAGGAATCATCCAGATCGACATCAGGCTGATTCCCATGCTTGCCACTCTATACCTCATTTCTCACCTTGATAGAGCCAATATCGGAAATGCAAAGATCCTGGGACTGACGGAAGACCTCGGCCTGAGCGGAATTCAGTACAACATTGCTCTTAGCCTCTTCTTTATCCCTTATGTTCTGCTGGGTTAGTTGTCTATGCCATGTTTCCATTCTGCTTTGTTTCTGACTCGGCCTCAAGAGGTTCCGAGCAACATCCTGCTCAAGCGTTTCAGCCGGCCATCGGCCTATCTGGGCACCTTGATTGTCAGCTGGGGCACGATTATGACGCTGACTGGTGTCGTTCAAAACTTTGGAGGGTTGTTGACCATGCGCCTCTTGCTGGGGATCTTCGAGTATGTTATACTCAATACTCCTCTAGCTTCCTCTAGGCTTCTAACCTGAAACATTAGAGCAGGATTCTTCCCTGGATCCGTGTATTTGTGTTCCCTCTGGTACATGCCTCGAGAACTCGGCACGCGCGTGGCCTCATTCTTCTGCGCCAGTGCGCTGTCAGGTGCGTTTTCCGGTCTTCTCGCGGCCGGAATTGGCGAGATGGATGGTGTAGGTGGATACGAGGGCTGGCGCTGGATCTTCCTCATTGAAGGTCTGATCACGGTTGCTCTGGGAGTGGCATGTTTCTTCCTGCTTATAGATTCCCCGCGGCTATCGACCCGGTGGCTGGACCAGGACGAGATTCGGTATCTGGAGATACAGCACTTTATCAAGGAAGGGGGGCAGTTCAAAGAGGAGCATGACAAGACCACATTCAAGGACGTCTTGGGCGTGTTGAAGAACTGGAGGCTGTATCTCGCTGCATATGTCATGCTCTGCCAGTGTGCCTGCAACTACGGTTCGTCGCGGATTTATCTTACATCGACCTTTGCTAACATGTTGATCTCTCTTAGGAACGAAATTCACCCTCCCCACCGTAACAAAAGCAATGGGCTTCCAAAACACCGCCGCCCAACTCATGACGGTGCCCCCCTACATCGCCGGCGCCCTCTCCGCAATCCTCTTCTCCAACATCTCTGACCGCTACAACTGGCGCTTCCCCTTTGTCGCAACGCCCCTCCTCCTAATAATCATAGGGTACGCCATAATACTCGGCCTAAAAGGCCAGCTAGAGTCCCACGTCGGCCCAGGCTTTTTCGCCCTCATCGTCGCATGCATGGGCATCTACCCAACATACCCAGCAACGGCCTCCTGGGCAATCAACAACCTGGCCCCGTCGAAGCGCCGCGCAATTGGGAGCGCGTTCAATATCTGTCTGGGGAATACCGGCGGGATTATTGGGAGCTATATGTATCTGGATCGCGAGGCGCCGACGTATCAGACGGGGTTTGGGCTTTCGTTGGCGTTTGGGCTTTCGGGGTTGCTTGTTGCAAGTGTTTTGGAGGTGTCGCTTGTGAGGGCGAATAGGAGGAATGCCGCCATGTCGGAGATGGAAGTTAGGGAGAAGTACACGGATGAGCAGCTCCTGGCGTTGGGGGATAGGTCGCCGCTTTTTAGGTACATGCTGTGAGGGTTGATTTTGTACGTCTAACGGCGACTGAGCTGGAAGAGCCGTCCTTGATCTATAGACGCTCTGCAAACGCATCTCGGGTATATGAACTATCATACAGCTCTCCGTTTTCCCTACTCCTCCACGAGTCGTATCGGCCGCCTTGCGCGGGTGGCACGATCTCCTGATCCGCATTAGATATGATACAATTCCTGCGGGGTAGTAGATGGCTTCTAAAAGATTAGGGTAATTGCTGAATCAATTCACAAATCACTCCGCTTGGGACAGAGCGGCACCGCCAACTCGAAACCAACCCACCCCTCTTGTTCGACTCGCTTTCCGTCATCTCAAACAAGGGCCGGCTTACCTGGTCCACGCCAACGTCCCTGTACCGCTCCCTGCAGGGACGTTGGCGTGGACCATGGCAACTGTTCTCATTCGGTAGAGCTCAAAGGTACATTCGGAGCTCAAAAGGAGTACTGGCCATGGTGTGGGCCCGCCAAAAAAAATACTACCAGCATGCAGAGTCCCAGCAACATAGAAAGGCTATGTCGGATTAAGACGAGACATGACGCCCCGACCCGCAAGCTTGATGATACAGGGGGTGTGTGCCCTTCAGGATGCAGCGCAGAGAGTTAATTCATGGTTTCGAATGAACAAGACTGATGATTCGGATCTCAGCGCCGCTTACTGGAGTAGCAGCGGTTCGTCCAGGCCTAGACCTCATTTCCTCGTTGATAATTAGTTTCTTATCCCTGTAAGTCTTGCTTACCTGTAGTAGTGCAGATAGTAGTTAATTTTAGACATAGCAAAGTAACATATCCAAGTCCGGAAGGTCCGGCGAGCCGTGGAGATCGCAGACATCAGACCGCCATGACCAACCACTTCTATGATCCACTGCATACCGCACACTGCTCTCATAACGTTGACTATCCACGCGTCAAGTCAAGGGGAGTAGATTTGACTACATAGTTTGTGTTTGTAACCCCGAGAGTTCATTGTCTGGGGGCTTCCGGCGACGCTGATTGAGGTTGAGCTGGCGTATTAGCTGTGGCGGAACACATGCGTACTCCAGCTCAGGCTTCACGAGCAACGAACCCCAACTTGAATCACTTTCGCCAGCGGACAACTGCTCAGAGTCGTACTGAGATTTTCTCTCTGGATCGCGCAGTATCGCGTATGCATCGTTGATCTCATGGAACAGTGCGGCAGCGTCCTTCTCCTCCTGTCCCCTTTGCGCGTGCTGGCGGTCAGGATGTACTTGGAGCGCTTTTTCTCTACAGCGGTTGCGGATCAGAGCAATGTCCGACCGTTCGTGGTCAGCGATGCCGAGAATCTCGTACGGTGTCCGGTCGAGTGTCCAGATGGGCGGGGAGGCGAATTCCCTGCGTGGGGTCATTCCAATCTCGATCTGCATGTTTACCGGGATTGGTGTTCTCGACATTCGAGCCTCTTCCTGCACCCAGTGGTATGCGGCAATTGATTTGCATGTTTCTTTTTCTATCTCCTCTACCATCAAGGGTGGGGGTTGAAAAGCCCTATCTTGATTTCTTTGGATCCGCTTATTTGATGCTTCAGACTTTGAACCGCACCACACTGCAGCGGTGTGATCTATTGGGACAGAGTCGTACTTGGTGGTTGAAGTATCTTGCTTTCCTCTTCTAATGAGCCTAATACCATGGTTGCCACTATACCTGGCGCCGTGCCTGTCCAAGCAATCAAGCATTTTTTGGTCCATGAGGGCTAGAGCATAGTCCAGGGCTCTGCGCCCATTATATTCTGCTTCATTGACACTGTGTACCATCAGCACGTTGGCATTTTATTATAGACGTTGGGTGTTACATACAGCTCGCTGAAGGAACGCATATTGCACAAGGCCTCTACGATCTCTGGTTGCTGATGCATCACGGCCAGCATGAGGGGCGTGAACTCCGTCTTCGAGGTCCTCGCACTCACCATCGACAGATTCCGACACTGTTTAACGCACTGGTCGAGAAACTTGGTGTATAGTGCGTATATGCTGTTATCCCGGAGCGCTGCGATCAGTTCCATCTCTGATGCCCCGTTTTCGGCATCTTCCCGTAGCTGCTTCATAATCAAAGCTACCCAGAGAAACGTGTTGTCGTGTTGGCGAAGGAGCTCCTTGTGAAGGCGATGTTCTGTTGCTGGCTCAATGAGGTCCTCCACAACCAGCTCGCTTAGACTCTTGTCTATCACTAGCTGAATATCAGAGCCATAGCACTGACGTCTATCTTCACCTCTCAGACGACAGTACGCCACCTTGCGCAGTCGGGTTGTGATGGCATTAAGGGGGCGTGCTGTGAGGAACACTTTGATATACGCTGCTTTCCGTGGCCCGTCAGATTGACTTTCGACGGAGGTTCGCTCGAACAGAACTGACAAGGCCGTCGCTAGCAAGGCTTGGGTTGTGCTTTCGCACTCATCGAGCCCATCGAGGATGCAGAAAACGGTGCTGGCACCCTCGGCCACCACGCTAAGAAAGATCCTCCACAGGCTTTGAAAATGAGCCAATGCTGCTTCCCCCTTGTTATCATATTCGGTACCTAGGGTGCGTGGGATCGTCGCTCTAGCGGACAGAATCTGATGCAAAAGCGCTTGCAACGCGGCCACCCCATCAGCCTGAAGTTTGTTGTCGTCTCGGAAAAAGAAATGGCAGATTATCGCTCCTGGCTGACTGTGTCGCAGTTTGTCCACAATTGTCGACGCCAGCACTGACTTTCCACATCCAGCATCGGCATTGAGCCACAGGAAACTCGACCCTGGTGCCTGTATCCACTGCAAGTATTGCTCGCTGGTGAGAAGCCACTCGCAGGTGCCAGCAACGTGCGGAGGATTGCGCTCCTTGAACGACTCATAGTCATTGGGAAAACCAGATGCGGCTTCAGTTGCTTGATACAAGTGTTGAAGGATTCGAAGGCGCTTGGCCTCGGCCTTGTTCTCGTGGAATGTATTGTAATTGTTTCCGACGTGGACTGTTGCACGCTCACATGCGGAGATCGTGTCTACGATATCTGTCGCCTCCATCGAAGTTCGATCCTGCGGGAGCTGGAATTCAGTCGGGATCAGGGTGCAGGGCCACTAGGTCCGTCAGCCATCTGATCCTTCAGAGGGTGCGAAGTAGGAACCGGAGGCAGCGCAATCGATGGAGAGTCTCCTGGGGTGGAGGGCATGCTCGGCGCGTATTCACAGGATCCGATTGGTTGTCTGGGGCAGTCCGAGCGAGGCTCCCCAGGCGCAATCCGAGGTCACGAGTCGTCCTTTTTCCTTTCCGAACCCAATGCCAGCCTCGCCCTCGCGCTGTCGTTGAACAGGCAACATGATTCACTTCCTGCGATGCAAAGGATCGTCTTATACAGCTTGTTGAACAAAACTTACATTATGTTTTCAGGCGGATATCATCCCAGCCGCAACGGCCGAGCGGTAAACAAAGCCAACCAGATCAAAGCAAGAGGCAGCGCAAGCGTTCAGATCCGTAACAATTATTACTACCACGAGCAGTATGCTAGCCCTGGATGAGGCACATCTGCCACGATGAATGAATCCCCTCCGGCTGTTGATTCTGATGATGAGGCGACAAGCAGCTCAGAAGAGCCCCAGGCCGGTGACGGCAGCAACGAGAGCTACGCTGCTCACGGCAACTACCATTCCGGAGACTATAGCCACGGGGAGGCCCCATCACCATACCACTCCTACCCTAACTACCTATACGAGTCCAGCGAGAACCCAATTAGCCGCGGCACGGCCGCAATACCTCCTTCCTCCGTACACACCACCTCTTCCACAACTCAGGACGTTACCTTCGACGTCGCGATCTTCTGCGCTCTCCCACTCGAGGCCGATGCGGTCGAGACCCTGTTCGACAATAGATGGGACGCTGAGGGTGGGACGGGCCGGTACAGCAAGGCGTATCGGGATCCGAATTCATACTCGATGGGGCCCATGGGGACCCACAACGTGGTTTTGGTGCATATGCCTGGGATGGGCAAGAGCCACGGGGCAGCCGCCGCTGCGTGGTGCCGAGCGAGCTTTCCCACAATCAAACTCGCCCTTGTCGTGGGCATTTGTGGAGGCGCGCCCACTGCACCGGACGGGAAGGTAATCCGGTATGGGGATGTGGTTGTCAGCAGTGCTCTTGTGCAATATGACTTTGGGCGGATGCATGGGGATGGCTTTGTGCGTAAGGACACGCTGCTGGACAACCTCGGCCGACCGGGCATGGAGATTCGAAGCTTGCTTGCTCGATTGGATGGACGGTGGGGTCAGAAACGACTCGGTGACAAGATTCGCCGGCACGTTGGCGTTCTGGTGCAGGAGCTGGGAAGAGATTATGTGTACCCTCCAGGTCACGGCGTCGGAGAGCCCACGATCCATATCGGGCTGGTGGCCTCTGGAGATCAAGTGATGAGATCTGAAGAGGTCCGTGACAGACTCATTGAGAAAGAGGGGGTTATTGCGTTTGAGATGGAGGGCGCGGGTATCTGGGATACGTTCCCCTGCCTGGTCATCAAGGGGGTGGCCGACTACGCTGATGCTTACAAGAACAAAAACTGGCAAAACTACGCGGCGGCCACTGCTGCTGCTTGTGCAAAGGGCTTTTTGGAACTTTGGTCATGATTAATGAACATTGGTTTTTTTCTTCTACTATAACCCCTTGATACTACTCCATATTGAACCACCTTGCCCCATCATATCATTTTTGCCTTCATTTCTCCCCAACTCAAACCCCAATATCCGCCTTGGGTCCAGCATTATACGGAACATCAATGGGAATATCATATGGATCCGCCAGGGTATAGTTATAAAAATCACTCGCCCGAAAAACCGTCTCCCCTCGCACATCCAAATGCCTCTCCCCCTCACACCGCTTAAACTTGACCCAATTCGTGCGAATCCTGCCCTCGGGCCCCGCAACAATCGGATCAAAGACGTCCTCAAAGTAACTCGTCTCAATGAGCATCTCGGTCTTGCCCCGCGCATAGTTGCCGTACCCGGTGATGTTGCGGTAGTAGTTGTTGTACAGGTGGCCGTACTTCATGGCGCCGCCGCTCGGGTTCCGCACATTGGTGGAGTGGAAGAAGTTGTCGTTGATGGTGACCTTGGAGATGACGTTTTCGGTCCATCCGATGCCAAAGGCTTTGTTGTGCTTTTCGATGAGGTTCTTCGAGACGGTTACGTAGTCGGTGTCGCGGCGGAGGTCGATGAGGCCGTCGCCCATTTCGGTGAGCTGGAACATGTCCCCTGTCAGTGTATACGTTCTTTCTGTCATCAGAACGACTGGCGGACGACAGTCGGGACAGAGAGAGAGAGAGAGAGAGAGAGAGAACAACGTACATGATTCCCATCAATCCAAATATTCGTCGAATTATCCACCTGAATCGCATCATAGTCGCCCTCCTTGCCCGCCCAGTTACTCACTCCATCATAGGTCCCATGGATCTTCAGATTCCGAATAATGATATTCCGCTGCGCATTGATATTCAACCCGCCCCCTTCCAGCCCCGATTTCGCGCCCACGCCAATAATGGTCTTGTCGCTCTTGACGGGGACCTCGAAGCCAAAGGGCCGCACTTTGAGCATCCCGTTGATGCGGATGATGAGGGGGTCCGGGGACGCGGCGTACCGGATCAGGTCGTCGAGTTTGCGGACTGTGACCGTTTCGCCGCCGCGGCCGCCGGTGGTGCCGCCGTTTAGGGAGGCGAAGCCGTGCGCTTCGAGGTCGCATTTTGCGCAGGTTGGGCTTTGGGCGGTGGTGAGGGTGGTGGCTGCGAGGAGCAGCGCGGAAACGAGGGGGTTGATGATCCGCATTGTGGGAGCAAATGATAGATAGCGTAGTCGAGGAGAAGCGCAAGACTGCAAAGGAATGAAAGAAAAAAGCTGGAGAACAACAGATCCTTACTTCTATAAGCTTGCGAAACGCCATTAAAGCTCCGTGTAGCTGTCTCCAACTCAGGAAACAAGTATACCTGCAATGCAAGATTCCACCAATAATACCAACAACCGGTACCTCCTCGTACGAGCACAGGTACATAATGGGGCCACATCCCCGCATTCCCCGCATCTCCACCGACGGACCCTGAGGATGGATTTAGCCTGAGATCCGCGACAAGGCGGACTGATTCAGAACCAAGAGATTCCCCTGCAGTTGCTCTCCGCGTCTGATTCATGGATTAAATTGTGGGTATAAAATGACGTTGTTCAGGCAGGGTGTTTATGTATTTAGCCGCCATCCTCGCTGAGACCTCATGATACTGTAGGAAGCTTCGGTTTGAGATCCTTGGACGGATGGAATTGGTGGATCAATCTAGTCAGCACCCAGAATCCTGCAGATTGGCATTATCCTGGTAAGCAGGTTGCAGGACGTTGGAACCAGCTGTTTGGGTCCGGCCCGGATCCGGCCCGGAGGAGTTCAGCCTGAATTGGAGATTGGAGAAGTCTAAGTCATTGCCTCGGGCCGTTGGACTCTGCTCGTTGGAGGGGTATTGAGCAGTAGCTGCTTCAATTGGAGGAAATGTTGGATTGGATGATATGGCACAAGTAGAAGGTATACATGGGAAATTGAAAGTCCGTCTTGGCTACCGGCACGGAATCAGATGTGCAGCATCTGGCAAAAGGAGAGGATATCTATTACATTACTAGCTTCATTCAGAGGGGTTGAAACGTGGATGCAAACTAGAAGAACGCTCGGTCATATTCAATGTATGCATGTGTGTAACAAGGGGGATTATTTCTAGGAGCAAACAGGCTACGTAATCCCAGGATCCAGTGGTGCTAGACACATAACAAAAGGAAGAGGTTACAACGAAAAGTCATGTCCATGTCATTGAATAAACTGCATTCTATCAAAGTCTTGAGAATAGAGTCCATTGATTAATCACTCCGGATCGTAAACGAGTCAAATCTGACTACTCCGTCAGAGCCAGAGCCGTAGATCCCGAAAACGGTGCCTGGACAAGATGTGAATTAGTATAGAGTTCATCTCATGGTGTCTGAGGATTAGAGGCTGGAGTACTAACCAGTAAAGTCATCGCCACTCATGTCGCTGCAAGGGATACTCGATAACTCGACCTCGGGGCTCCATCTTTTACCTATCAAAGCGCTGTACGAAAATATGTAGGTCTCGACAGTGCTCTGGATACTCAACTTGATCACCGTAGCCCCTTTCAACTCCTTGGAGTTGACAACAACGTGCTCCTGCGTGGCGTGGCGGAGATTGAACGAGACCACGCCAGCAGCCAGGTCCAGGTTGGCAGATGCGTATCGGAAAGGGTCTTTGTACACAGCCAGGCCCGCATGTCCAGTCTTTGCTGCTGAAGCCAGGTCAACTTGGGCACTGGCAGTGGACACTAGGAATGTCTGCCGCCGGCCGACGAATGTCGGGCTTCCGCCCACGGCACCCAGCGGGGTCTCGGTGAGATGGAGCGTGATGGCTCCCTCCTCAGACGAGTAGTTGCGAAGGAGAGGATCTCGAATATAGATGGTCTGCGGCGAAGACAGCTGCACCTGCTCATCAACACCCGAAACGCGCTGCTTAGCCCCTATAACCCCCCTCTCCGCCGCCAGCTCATGACGCAGCTTCACCGGCTCAAAGACCGGGAATCCACCTTCCGGCCAGTCAACGGGGACCATATACGTCTCACGTCCGAGCGGGTACGAGTCCCCGCGCTCGCCAAGCTCACGTCGCGCAAGCATAACTGCCCACCAGTTTCCCGTTGCATCTTCAACGAGATCCGCGTGGCCGACGCAAGTGATTGGGGACCCGGGTGCTCCGGTGATTAGGGGGTTCTTCTCGTAGCCCTCGAACGGACCCGTTGCCGCTTTGGATCGGGCGATTGTGACCATGTGACGCCGGTGCGTGCCGCCTTCGGCAATCATTAGATAGTACCAGCCGTCCTTTTTGTAGATGTCTGTTCGGGTGAAGGCGGGTTAGCCTGGGTGCAGGGAACATATGACGGAGTTTGACGAGGGTTGTCTTACGAGGTCCTTCTGGACAGTTCCCACCAGTGCCCGTCCACACATCCCGCGCCTCTGTAACCAATTTGCCAGTTGTGAGGTCGATCTCGGCCTGGCGGATGACAGTCTGCGGCTTCTTCCGGTACCCATGGATAAAGCTCCCGGTCATATAGACCTTGCCATCATCGTCGAAAAAGAGATCCGGATCGATACCGTAAAAGTCAAAGGGCATGGGATCGCTGTACGCGGTGGGGTCGGTGAGATCGTCGCAGGTGATTAGAAAGTTGGTGTTTGGCTCAAAGTCGACCTCGGGAGCCATCGAAGTGCTCCCCGTCAGGTTCGTGCAGACAATGTAGAACGTGCCGTTGTGGAAGCGCATGGTTGGCGCGTAGATGCCGCCGGTGAAGATCTCGCGGCGCTCTAGGTTGTTGGCCTTTGTTGTTGCATGCTGTAGGCTTAGTTGCGAGGGCCGGTTGATGGCGTTTCCTGTTAGGGCCACCAAGGTTAGTACAGATGGCTTCTCGGGAGACTGCTTTGGTTTGCGACACGCACCTACGAGTTCCCAGTTGATGAGGTCCTTGGATTTGTGGATTGGGAGGCCTGGGAAGAATTGGAAGCTCGAGGTGATGAGGTAAAAGGTGTCGTCCACGCGGACGATGCACGGGTCTGGATAGAAGCCCGGCAGGATGGGGTTTTCGTAGGTCAGCGACATGGTGAGTTCGATGAAGCTGCGACCAGACAATGGAAAATCTAAAATGATGGCTGTGGTGAACGATTGGAATTGGATAGTTGCAAGCAACAAGAAGATGAGGACTTGGATTCAAGAATCGATAGCAGGTTTTTAGGCTAAATTGGAGTAATCGCATCGTCTGATGAGCCGGACCAGCAGGCTTGGCCCTCTCCGCCTCCGCGACGAGCCTCGGGGCGGAGCCAGCAGAGGCCCTCCTTCCAGCCTTCCCAACACGCAGTTCGGATTGGTGCAAAAACTTGATACCTTTAGGGTCCTGGCGTTTTGCGTTTAGCCTGAGCTCCACTGTCTTTGTCTAGCCTTGTTGACTTGGGCTCCTTCGGCCGAGGAGGGTACAGGATGCTCATGATGGCTACGCATCATGAGCCCTTACTTATAGCCTCTTCTCATCCGGGGGTCGCTTCACCTTGTTGTACAAAACTGCCCTTCTCTGTTATCTTGTCAACACATTTTCATCTGCATCACCGTCTGGGCAGCAATGGCGCCCACCAAGCAGGTATGGTACAACTGGTAAGTCATTCCTACGGTGTAACCATGGTCTGAGTCCCACTCATCTCCATCTTCAGGTACGCCGGCCTCGTGGCAGCAGGATGTATGATCCTCATGGGCTACGACTCGAGCGTCTTCAACTCGGTGCAGGCGTCGGAGAATTGGAAATCAGCCATGTCCTACCCTGATGCTCATATGATCGGCCTCATCAACACGGTCTATACTGTCGGTGGAATTGTCACTGGATGGTTTTTGAGTGGTCCTACTGTAAGAGCGCTGATAAGGGTGGACTCCCGATAGCAAAGGCTGACATGCATGGCCCAGGCTGATTATCTGGGCCGCCGGTATGGCATGGGCATTGGTTGCATGATCACCGTGGTTGCGACCTTTTTGCAAGCCTTTCCACCAGCCAAGGGCCGGCTCGCCTGTTTTATGGTTGGTCGAGTCTTTATTGGTGTCGGAACTGCTTTTGCCATCAGTACGTTTGACATTACTGCCCATCTTGCCAGCTATCTGACCCACATGTCTCCGCTCAGCTGCTGGCCCCATCTATATCGGAGAGGTGACTGCCTCCAGCATCCGAGGCAAAGTCATGTCTTTCTGGCAGATGTTTTTCTCAGTCGGTTCCTTTATCGCGTACTGGATCAACTTTGCCTGCGCCAGGAACCGGGACAAGCTGGGTCACTGGGACTGGAAGATGGTAACCAAGCTCCAGCAGCACCATGGAACTAGTCCTTTTCTAATGATATAATCCACCAGGTCGTCATCTTCCAGCTCATGATGCCACTGGTCATCTGTGCCCAACTCCCCTTCCTCCCCGAGTCCCCCCGCTGGCTCATCGCAAAGAAAAACGACTATGCAGGGGCGAAAGCCGCACTGATGCGAGTACGCTCAACGGAAGAAGAGGTTGACGCTGAAATCCTAAGCATCCGCGAAGCCATCGCCTACGAGAAGGAATCAGCCCCCAACAAGCGCGAAGTATACCTGGCCCTGGTCAAGAACAAGGCCATCCGCAAGCGCGTCATTCTCGCCTTCATCATCAATATCGGTCAGCAATTGACCGGGCAGGGAACACTCAACTCGTATTCTTCGACGATTTACCAAAAGGTGTTTACCAATGTGGATACGATCAATCTGATTAATGCTCTCAACGGCACGTTTGGCATCATCTTTACGCTTAATGCTACTTGGACGGTTGATCGGTAGGTTCAAAGTCCAGTGCACGACCTACAGAATATTCTGATCTCCTTCTAGATTCGGCCGCAAATGGCTCTTCATGGTTGGAGCCTGCGGCATGGCCATCTGCACCATGCTCATCGCCGTCGTCGGCCTCACGACCCCGAACGTCAACGGCACAAAGACTTACGGCGTCGGCGTCGGAATCGCCACGCTCGCGTTCGCATTCGCCTTCTTCTTCAAGCCATCCTGGGGCGCTGTCGTCTGGATCTACACGTCCGAGATCTTCCCCATGCACGTCCGCGCCCAGGCAACCGGCATGTCGGTTCAGATGCAGGGGGTCGCGAATACCATCTTTCAGCAGTTTTTCCCCATCTTCTTTCGGAATGAGGGGTTGTAAGTTGACCGCCTGCCCTGATTCCTGCTTTGATGATACCCCGTGGGTTCTGACCGTACACGCGATGGATAGGAAAACCTTCTTCTTCTTCATGACCACCAACGTCTGTCTGGTTGTCTTCACCTACTTTTGTCTTCCCGAGACCAAAAATGTGCCCCTGGAGCAGATGGACGCCTTGTTCGGCGACGTCGACCACATCGCAAAGGGCGCCGAGCTTATGGACGACACCCTCGGCGATAAGAAACCCGAGGCGGCTGAGATTGAGATGGCTCCAAGGAGGCAGGCGTCGGTGTAGGGTGCTGGAATTATGCTTGGGAATAGTATTTGCTGGGAATCTCTGTCAATTCGCTCTTTGATTCCCGCAATTCAGAAGGAGGTGGAATGGGAAGACGCTGCAGGACTTTTCACCTTCAATTGTCTTTTCGAAGGGACCTGACATTAGTAAATAGCTTACCAATGCCAGTATTTTGTGCTCACTGCAGTACCTCTCAAACTACCTAGTATGAGTACCAATCACTGCGTTTCCGAGTTGTTTATCGAGTGCTCGAACAGCTCAATCATGAGATATCATATACTAGGCTTTTTTCATGGTATACACGGCGCTAGAGTGTTCAATATGTAGGTCAAGGCCATAAATAGGTAACTAAACTGCTTCTCCTTGATACAAAGCAGGCTATTTCCTTAATACCAAGAACTTACAGAGCAACCAGGAAGTCCTCATCCTTAGTAGCAAGCTAGACAGAGTCGTGAATTGGCATTGATTAGAGCACACCAATCGATAGATAACAACTTTGATATTTGCAAACACAATGAGCAGTACATCACCAGCATCCCTCAAAACCATGCCCCTCCAAGGAGCCCAAGTCCCCAACCCACCATCCTACTCATCGCCGCTCCAATACTGGGTATCAACAAACTCCCCCCACCCCGCCACCGCCTCATCAATACTGATCGGTTCCTCCAACTGATAGCTCCAATCCACGCGATTCGCCGTATCAGCCCCAGGTCCGTAGTTTCCATACTCTGCATAGAAGATATTCCCAAAGTTCGGCGCCTTATCCCAGGGGTTCCACCCCTCCGGATGCACAATCTCACTCAGCTCCGAGTTCTGGAAGACCGTCCGCGCATGGTCGCGCCAGGGGCGACCCAAGAAGACGCTCCCCGGACGGACATTCACCCCCGCTGCCGCGGTGACTTTGGACTCGTTGATGACGAACCAGCCCGAGTCATTCGTGGTCCTTCCGGACGCGGTGATGTATCCGCCGGCCGCGCGCTTGAATGCGATTTCGCTGCCGTCGAACCACAGACTCCCCCCGCCGTAGATAAAATCGACGGCCCCGTCAACATACGAGTTCTTAAACACCGCCCGGCCATTCCTGTTGTACAGCGTATCCTGCCACCCCGTCAACGCAACCCCGTAGAAGCCAATGCCGTCGCTGTTGATCGAAACCGCATGCGAGGGCCCCGCGTCCCCCGCCGTATTTTCAATCACAAGGTTATACACGGAGACGTTGTCGGCCCAGATTCGCAGCGTGCCGCTTTGCTCGTTCCCGCCGGCCGAGGCGGACGATTCCCCGGCTGAGAGCGTGACTTGGTTTGCGGCGAATGTCTGGTCGTCGGCGGTGTAGCCATGGATGGAGATTCGGGCTGCGTATCCGGCGGCGATGGTCGTTTGGCCGGTGTAGTTGCCCGGTTGGATGAAGATGGTGGTTGGGGTGGTTGAGGTGGGGTCGATTGAGTCGATGGCTTGTTGGAGCTGCGATGCGGTTAGTATACGGCTGGTTTCAGGTGGCTTGGATGAACGGACAGACGAGTAGTCGCCCCCGGACTTGGCTACGATCTTGGCTCCTGGGGGTGGTGTCGTGCGCGACGCCGCACGGGCAGTCCCAAGAGCCAGGGCGCAGAGGGTTAGGGCTCTTGCCAACATATCGGACAGACACTAAGCGGCGGTTGGAATCAACCTAGGCTTATCAGAATTGCTCGGCCAGTGATGGGTCGTAGAGCCCATGATAGGACGGAGAATCACCAAGCCCTAAATATATTCTTCAGACCCATGTCCCCTCCACACTCGCGCCGAGAGCGAGACGCTCTATGGATGGAAAAATTACACCTGCCAAGCACCATCCCGGCGGAAATCAATTGTCCACAAAATCCATTTAGGCGGGAATAGCCTGTGCGATTTAACCGCCGCAAAAACTGGGGAAGAGAGAGGGTGAATCTCAGGCGAGGAGAATAGATGGTGGACTTGGTCAGGTCTGCAGTCGGAAATTCGTGCTCAATTGGACTACCCTGCTTTAGCCGTGAATAAATAAAAGGAGAAAACGAAAGAAAGAACAATTGTTTGACCCGGAGCTCAAGTGCAACCCGGAGTCGTCATGTTAACTCTGTGGATGAGAGAGTGCCCGGGATGCAACAGCCATATACATCGAACCATGGTGGCGCCGTAAGAGGCAACAAGGTAGATTGAAAAGATGTACTAACTAAGACGGGGTTTCCTATGCATATCTTCTAAATACATGCTTCTACTCTTCTGGATATGGATCAGGGAGCTATCCAGTGATATAAATCATCTCAATAGAGGTTTCTCTACGCAGCACTGTAGTATCGGCGCCGTATATCCTCGTCGAGGCTCTTTATAGCCCTTGCCCTAGTCCTTGTACGCTTTTATTGATTGTTTATCCACTGTTTTGGACGACGCACGGTACCTCAAGTCTCAATGTGGCTTCCTTGGAATGAATTGGACCTTGATGCTTAAGACAATCTAGATCTATGGCAAACTCAATAATCCACTTGATACTCCCCCTTGATTGCTGCTCGACCAGGTATGGCCTATTTAACGCAAACCCAGGCGAGACCGGATGAGATCTTCACTGTTCCACGTACTTTGCGAAGAGTATACAAAGCTAGCATCATGCACTGCCGAAGAAAGGATAGGCTGATTACTTTAGCAGCATAGTTCTCGGGCCATTCCCTTCATCCACGGGTCAGAAGCGGTGGGAATCCAGAAACAACTGTTCATGTCAACAGAACTGGCTGATTGATCTTGGCGGGGGAGACTCGGATTGGTTCGACCAATGATTACAACGCTCGTATTCCTGAACAAAGGCTTATTCTCGAATTCTTCACAAATCAGGATCCAGCTGGGCCTTGTGCCGGCTTCCCGAACCCGCAGGCGCCGAGTCTCAATCCCGGTACCCACTCAGACCTGGCTCTGTATCGTGATGCCTCCACCAGTTGTTGCTGCTTGCCACGCCATGGTAACCAGCTTTGTCCTCTGCAAACGCGGTCTGCAACTATTAAGCCAACTACCGTCACCCGTTACAGATTTCTCCCCTTCCTCCCCCGTTTGCGAATGACATCACCTGGGAAGTGGGATGAAGGGTCTTTGATCGGATATTTGTATCTACTCTGTCTCTAACTACATCAATTATAGACTTGTTACACACTGTATCCCGCTCCCGTACACACCATTGACACATACAAAGACACATTCCCCTTCCCCCCGCACGGCACAACCTCGCGCCTCCGCATAATAATCGTGGGCACCGGTATAGCCGGGCTCAGTGCCGCGCTGGGCCTACACAAGGCAGGATACAATGTCACCGTCCTGGAGCGCGTGCGCGAGATTGCAGAAGTCGGCGCGGGAATTCAAATGGTGCCCAACGCAGCGCGCATCCTCGGCCGGTTCGGCGTCCTCGAGGACGTGGTTGCCAGGGCAAATGTGCTCGAGTGGAATTGGCTTCGGCGGTATGAGGATAATGCGGAGTTGGGGTCGGCGCCGTTGATGCCGTAGGTACGTTGTGGACAGTGCGAAACTAGTTCCAGCTCCTGGGTGATGGTGCCGTGAGCTGACCGGTACGATGGATGGGGGGGGCGATACAGGTCGGAGAAGAGTACAACGCGCCCCTCTGCGTGATCCACCGCGACGACCTGCAATCGATCCTGCTCACAGCCGTGCGAACCGCCAACATTGACCTCCGGCTGAACGCGCGCGTCGTCGCCGCGGACTCCCAATCCAGCGGCACAGTCTGCCTCGCAAGCGGCGAAACGCTGTCCGCAGACGTTGTGATAGCGGCAGACGGGATCAAATCCGACCTGCGACACCAGATCGCCACGGCCCACGGGCACATCGACCATGCGCAGCCGGCAGGTGATGCCGCGTACCGGATCCTCATTCCGAAGCAGGATCTCGCAGGTGACCCCGAAGCGCTGGCGCTACTGAACTCCAATGTTGGGATGCGCTGGCTCGGGCCTGGTGGGCATATCATGGCGTATCCGATTAAGAAGCATCAGATCTATAACATGGTGCCTCTGCATCCGAGGCCCGCTGGGAGAGACGATGACCCAGACGCGGAGAGCTGGACGCAGCAAGGGTCCAAGGAGGAGATGCGGCGGTTCTACGAACGGTGGAACCCGCTCGTCAACAAGTCACTTTCGTACGTCCCCGAGGGGGAAGTCAAAGAGTGGACTCTGAACTCGCACGCGTTTCTCCCGTCCTGGGTGGAGAATCGCACGGTGCTCATGGGCGACGCGTGCCATCCCTTGCTGCCCTATTTGGCGCAGGGCAGGGCACGGCACAGGCGATTGAGGATGCGGGTGTTTTGGCGTGTGCTGTCGCTCGGCGGGGATGATGTGGATATCCCTACCAGATTAAAGGTCTACGAGCTCGTGAGGAAGGAGAGGGCGGAGAAGATCCAAAACAGTGCGGCGGAGACCAGGCTTGCGCTGCATTTGCCTGATGGGGAGAAGCAGAGGCAGAGAGACGAGGCGATCAGGTCTGGGGGGTTCGAATCCGGATCTCTGGGCGTATGAAAGGTGGCAGGAGTTTATGTGGGTTGAGTCTGTCTCGAGTCATTCCATGTCATTCCATCGAGGGAGTTGATAAAGCTAATCCTGTGTATACAGGCACAGACGTCATGAAGCAAACAGTTGATGACTAGGACACCTTGGTGAGCCAGGCTTCCGAGGCTCATCTGCAGAATGTTCAACCTACTTTATTCTAGATTGTTATATAGCAAGAGCGTCTCCAACCGGACAAGACCTCTACTTCGACTGGCGAGGGCTACTCGGCACGTTGGGAGGCAGTCAATACTTCCGTTACACTAAGGCTACAGCTGCAACATAGAGTCTACGAAGCACAACCAAAAGATTAGATAGTAAAGCTTGTTGGATTAGATCATACCAGTCATATCATAAGTCGTAAGAATACATCGCTCATTCTGCCCGGCCTCAGGACACTCGGGCGCTCTTCCGGCCTTGCATTGCCATACCAGGATACCATACCGATCCGTTCATTCTGACTACTCGACGATCCGACTGTCTTCCTCATGGGACACAGGATAGCCAGTCGGAACAAGGGACGAAGTATCGTGTTTGTTCGTCCGTCCGTCGACACATGGTGAGCATGGTGGAAGCACCATCATCATGATCACCCTGCTCTAAGATAACATCGCACACTCTCGGAGAAATTGATCATTCACTCTCTCACAATCCACCGCCTCTCCTCCCTCGAAAGCTTACGATAACTCCCATAATACTCGTCCCCATTCTCAATCGGCGTAATGCAATGCACAGTTGGGTTTCCGTTGAACTGTATGCTCTTGCTCTTCTTTTGTGACGTCGTCGCACCAGCCTGCTTCTTCAGGATGCTCTTGGACGAGCACGAGTTGACGTAGCTGTAGCTTGGCTGCGAGGTGGATGGGACTTGGAGGGTCGAGAAGCGCTTTGATGATGAGGCAGTAGCAGCAGCGGGACTGAGTGGGAGGGGGCTTCGGGGAGAGGCGATGGCGGGGGACTTGAGGTTGAGGTTCAGAGAGAGGGAGGGCCGCGAGACGGTGGATTGGGCGGCGGCGATGGAGACGGAGAGCTTGGGTTTGGCGGTGCGGATCATTTTGGCTTTTTGTGATGTGTATGGGCAAAATGTGAGGGTTGAGGAAGTATTGTAGAGGTGAGGTGAGGTGAAGTAAACAGTATTAGACGACGAAATGATATAACGACAAGACTTCGATCAACAAAGTCTTATATCGGTAGTATAGATCAAAATAGAACCAAGGGCGGTTAAAGATAGACGATGTCTGGACCAGCCAGGACAAGTACGAAAATAGAAGCGCGAAGGGAAAAGGGAAGAGGGGAAAGAAGGAGAAGCGAAGATGTTTCAGAAAGATCACTCCTGCATCGGTGGCGAGGGAGGGGGCGGCTATACTTATATCTCTGCCAGTCGCCTCAGAGACGGCAGCAGGAGGGGAGACGAGGGGAGAGACCAGAGGCAGGAGAGAACCGAGAGGAGGAGCGAGCACAGCCAATGGCTTTCTTTTGCTCGCTCTAAGCGCCGACATGATGCATGCTGGGCACACCAGTCGGCTCCCGTCACATCTTAGCCTGCAAGGACTGGCGAATCAGATGCTTTCCTCTGGGCCTGCGTTGCGCGATGCAGGGAACTCTGTTTTCAGTCGGTCCAATTATAGTCATGCTGGTTCGGCATCGACTGCTGTGGGATGCAAGGCCAGTCACATTCTTCAGAACTCTGGCTGTGGTGTTGCGCGAGATGTGACCGTTCCTCGATTTGACCGACCAATATCTTGTCGTCAAAGCTTGTGATGTGATCTATCGACCAGACCAACTTTTCCCCCGCAGTGCGCCATGTGTGACGGGATCACAGTTCAGATCCTGAAGGATCTCTCGACCAGCCTCCATTCGGCCCTCCTGCCACCTGCATCCAAGTCAGTATCCAGATCGAGACACCGTCTACAACTTCTTCAAGTCTAGCCCCTGCCAATTGAGGACACATGCATACATCCTGCACACCATCACATCACATTGCACTACCCGTTGAATTTGCATAGCAGATACATCGTTTTTGAGTTCTATCATATCATCACAGATTCGCCCGCCGATCGCTGGCCAACATCAGAACCCCCACGTCCGCCTCGGAAGAGAAAGAGAGGGGTCAGAACCCACTAGGCAAAGAGGTACTTGGCGGCGTGCTCGACGTGATCATCCGAAAACGTCGCCATCGTGTAGTAGCTGTGGTCGTAGTCGGGCTGGTACCGGACATTGATCCCCGTCACGCCAGCCTCCTTTGCTGCTTTTTCCAGGTTCTCGGGGAGGAGCTGGCCCTGCTTATAGAAGTTGTCGCCGGTGCCCTAACGTCGTTAGCCACGCTATCCCCCTCGTCTCTGGACGACAGCGAGAACAGAGGAACTCACGACATCAATCAAAATATCAACGTTCTTCCCTTTCCACCCCTTCACCAACTCCGTCGCATCATGCTCCTTCCACTTGTCCTCTCCCTCCCTAAAATACCCCTTAAACGCCTTCTGCCCCCATGGACAATTGATCGGGTTCGAGATGGGCGCAAACGCCGAAACGCTCTTGTACTTGCCCGGGTTGCGCAGGAAGAGCGTGAGCGCCCCGTGCCCGCCCATGCTGTGGCCCGTGATACTGACGCGGCTGGGGTCGAGCTGTGGGAAGGCTTCAAAGACCGTCGCGGGGAGTTCCTCCGTCACGTACGTGTACATGTTGTAGCCCTTGTTGTAGGGCTCGGCGGTTGCGTCGACGTAGAAGCCGGCCCCTGTGCCGAAGTCCCAACTGTCGTTTTCGCCGGGGATGTCGAGGCCCCCTGTCTGCGTTAGTGTCTTTTTCTTTTACGGATCCTATTATCGGGTATAGCCTGCGACGTTGTTTTTGTGTAGAGAGGTAGAAGTATCTACGTCATCGCGCCATTCTGAAACACATACGAGGGCTGGTATCCGGGTACAGAACCGCAATTCCCTTCTTCGACGCGCCGTGCTGGAAGAATCCCTTTTCGGAGCAGTTATCCGCCGTGCAGGTAAGACCCGAGAGGTAGATCAGCACAGGGATCTTGGTGGATGGACTCTTGTAGGCCTGCGGCGGGAGGTACAGGTTGAAGGACATTTCGCAGTTTGTGGATTTGGCGGCATGGCTGAGCTTGAGGAGCTTGCCGCCAAAGGAGGCGATTGAGGCTTTTGTTGTGACGGACATTGTGGTGATGATGGAGAGGATGGAATTGATGCAAAGGGAAATAGATGGGAGGAATTGAAGCCGGTGCTTTGGAGAGATAAAAGATGGCGATGAGGGGGATGAGGGGCAGCTTTCCAGCTCGTGTCACCGTCTCCACTCCCCGCATTTTTTCTCCCCAATGGGAAAGTTTTCGCTTCCTGGACATTCTACTTCGTGCGCTCAGGAAATGGTTGATAACGCTTGAAATTAACAGATAGCAATGGTTGCTATATACAAAACTCGATGAATGCCCATATTCTACTCCAGAAACACCCCAGGAACTCCATACACCACGGGCGCCGCTCCGTTCAAATACTTCAACACACACGCCTGTCGCGACCGCGCAACCGCCGCATCCAGAGCGACCTTTTCTTCTCCAACTGCTTCTCCGCATGCACCTAATAATCCCCAATCCTCGAATGTTGTCTTGGCAAATCGATCAATGTCTTTATCCGTCACGTCCCACAGCGTAGCGACCAATGCCGGTGACCCTGCTTGTAGGTAGTTCATGGGCGTGCCGTATGGTTCGTACTCGCCCGCTTCGGTCAGCGTTCCACTGCTGCAGCCCATGAGGAATGTGACAGCGCATCGGTCGAGGCGCTTCACTGTCCGCCCGCGGATGTATTGCGCGCCGCTGCCGTGTCCAAAGTAGAGGAAGAGACTCTTCGACTCGAGGCCGTCTTTGAACTCGTCTTCGGTGGGCTGACGAGTGACGACTCCGCTCCAGCCGTCAAGCCTAGATAGATCGTTCTCAAAGGTAGCCTGTGTTGTCTGCAAATCACCGGTAGGGTTCAGGATATAAGTCCCGTTTCGTCGGTCGACGCCTAGGCTGGTCCCTTGAGAGTTGCGGAACTGGAGGACTCGATCACGAAGGCATTCCAGGGACGGCACGCGACAGACAGGCAGGCCTTGCAGGCAAGGGAGCGACTCCCACGGAAACAGGTGCAGTGACTTGTCCAGGACAAGGACTGTGTTGTTTGGTCGTTGTCTGGCTTCGTTCTTCATCGTGTCATGATAACCTCTCACAGCATCCAGCGTCTCCACAACCATCATGTCGAAATCGATCTCGTCGTAAGCATTCCTCTCGCCTTGGAACTGCAAAATGTCGACAACAAAGTAAAGCAGATCCATCAGCGTATCCTCGGGATCCTCCTCATCCTCCAACCCCTTGACCCCAACAAACAACTCCAAGACGTTCGGATGCAGCGTCAGTTTCGGTCCCTCCGCCCGGGCCCCCTTCTGCCGTGAAGGCAGATGCTTGTCAAGGATGTTGTGGAAGGCTGTTGAAAAACGCGCCAGACCTCTAGATTCCGGTGGGATTGGAGAAAATATTCCCCTAAATCCTCCAAACCAGACGTTCTCAATATTCTGAAGAAGGTTCTCCATCCTGCGGTCAAGAGCCTCTCGGTTCTTCCACCAGTCCTTCTTCATCTGCCTATCAACTTGCAATTTCGCCGCGTGGGCACTCTCATTCGCAAGACGAATCAGCTCTTTCATCTCATTCCGTCCATCCTCAAATGTAAACTGCTCCTCCTCGTCATCCTCCGAGTTGCCTCGTCTGAGTGGAAGATGTAACAAGAACGGAGACCTTCCTCGATGTAACCGCGACACAACAAACTCGGTTTGGTCCGCACTCAGAGACAGCGAAAGGACATTCCAGTTGTCCGGAAGGATGTCGACATACTCTTCCGTAAAGTCAGAGACCACATCCTCTGATCCCATCAGATCTGACGTTGGCCAGTTGAGTGGGTCACAGTAATCGGCCAATTGCTTGTCAATCGCAATTGCTGAACGCTCTCGAGCGAAAGCGCCAATGCGACCAATTTCGTTCATGGTGGCTGGCGACTGTAGGGGATTTTGACATGTAGAGGCGGTAACATGCGACAACATGGATATCCGACTCATCAAGCGAGATGCAGAGTGACTATCCAGTGTGGAGCCAAGTCGCGTCGCAGGGTCGAAAATGTCGTTGAGTGACTCTCCGGCCTTAGCTAGCATGAGAGAAAAGTCCTCTGACGCGGACTGGCCCTTGGATCGCGTACCCCGAGTTGGAGCTCGAGCTTTACGTGTAGACGATTTGCCGGTAGTGAGTTCGGGTGGTGCCCTGGTGGAAAGTTCGAACGATGGCAGAGAGATGGTCGACTCGGGAAGGACGCAGTAGACCGCATGTGTTGCAAAATTTCGAATCGCGTCCGCGAGGAGATGCTCGCTCTCTCCGATATGAAGTGAGATCTTGCTGTCCCTAGTAACAGCAAACTTGCGAGCATCTGTCAGCAGCCCAGAGGCTTTTTCGAACTCTTGCTGAGCGCGCAAAGACGCGGCTTGCTGCCGAAGGATTTCGCTCTTAACGTGGAACACAGTGTTGGAATCAAGGCTCTTCAGCTCCGCGCCGGTAACAGGCGCCTTTGGCGTACTTCTTCCAGATGTGGTTGCCGGTGTGTTCCGTCCAGATACCGTAGTACCGCTGCGAGTTCTTCTCGTTGTCGATGCGACCGGTTGTCTCGTTGATCTGCTCGTTGGTCGAATTCGCAAAGTTCCCATCTTCTCCTCCAACTCGGGCATGGTCACTGACCCCTCGGCAGCTCCGAGCTGGAGAAAGCCACCAACCAACTTCTCGGCTTCACGAAGAGATCGAAACTCGCCATGATAATCCCCCTCCGCCCTATGAAGGGCGGCCAGGCTCATGTGAAGTGAAACAAGCTCAATGCTGCTCTCCATCTGCGTGGACAGCTCCTTTGCTGAAATGAGAATCTCTTGGCCTTCGGTAACATGCCCGCCAAGGATCCAGTGAGCCCCGAGCTGTGCTTGTGAGGCAATCAAGCGAACATTAGCATTGAGCGACTTGTTGATTTTCAGTGCTTGCTCGCCATAGTAGATGGCATCTTGGAATAGACCGTGGTGGGCCGAGAGGCTTGCGAGGTTCAGCAAGGAGCTATGATGCGATCCGATATGTGGCCAGAATGGCGCTCCTTGGGAGTAAGTCGAGGAAGGTCGCGATACGTCAAGCTTGGCTAATCCCTCCACGACAATCTCAAGCTCGGAACTATCGTTGGCAATAGCCTTCTCCTGCTTCTTTTGCGCAAGTTTCTCAACTTTGGCCCATATGCGACAATTCAGTCGAACAGACAGTTTAGCAAAGTAGAGAGCATCCTTAATCGAGCCCTGCGCGAATGCCAATCGAGAACTCATAAAAGCTGCATCAGCGACTAGCCTCTCCCAGGAGATCTTGGCCAGGACTGAGCACGCGCTCAGATCCTCGGTTGACCGGCTCTTTTCATAAAGCATGCGAGCGGCGGAAAGAACAGTTGCCGCCTTCTGAATGTCACCGGTTTCAAGGAGGAATCCTACATGAGCCAGCTCGTAGGATAACCTCGCCAGTGAGGAAACTCCTTGGCGGGTGATGTAGTCATCCGCCTGGCTAAGAAGCGAACGGGCTTTGTTGCAGTATCCAATGCGAGTATACTGAAGGACGAGCCTCGAGAGAACGACAATAGCCTCCGAAAACGTTCCGGAGCCTTGCAGCTCGGTGACACGTAGTACCAACTCAAGTATAGAGAGCTGAAATTTCCATAGCCCGTGAATTTCGGTGTAGTCAACCACGGCTTTCATCTGCAGAAGGTAGTACTCGATATCGCCAACACATGAGAGAAGAGATTTCAAGTCGCTGAAACTCTTCAGCATCGAGCTCCATGTAGAGATAATGAGATTCAGCTCATCTGCGGTCAGGCTGCCTTGTTGCAGACCAAGCGTCAGGCGAACCGAGTTACGCAGGTAGATCGCCATGTTCGCCATGTCGGAGTCCCTCCCGTGTCCTTTGTCGCTCTCAATAGCATCCGCTCCTTCATCGACGATTTGTTGCAGAACTGATGCGTCTAACGACCCTGGCTGCTCCAAGGCAAAACGTAGCCCCAGAAGGACAACACGTAAACGGCGGATCGGATGCTGGGACGAGTAAACATCAAAAAGCCTAGACACAATCTCCGAGAAGACAGATCGAAGTAAATCGTCATTACAGGCGGCGCTGTATATTTCGGTCAAGATACCAAGTTGCCATTCGAGAATGTGGCCTCGTTGGGTGGACGGAAGCGTCTCATCGTCGAAGATCTCGCGGACATCAGATCTCTTATTTCGCAACTTGACTTTGAGGTACGCCAGCAAAACACGCCCCAACGTAAAGGTAGGGCTCTTCGGATCCTGGGAGAGCTGATGAGGGAAAAGACCCTCTGTGTTGGAAGTGATTTTCTCGAGTGCACCGGATGCGATATGCTCGCTGATGGACTGACAGAAGGCCACTTCAGCCTCCGAGATCACATTGCCCTCTACATATGTATGGGCGAGTCGTTCGAATTTGAGAGGAGCGAAGCCCGTTAACCGCTGAGAGGATGAACAGCCAGAGAGAAGATTCGCAGATTGCTTCAGTAGCGGCACAAGTTCGCGGGCCCCTTTGCCGGCCTCCTTTTCTTTGATATATCGGGACCAGAAAAGGTTGGACAGCTTGACAAGCGCCATGCCGGTGATTGCCCCACTCTCAGCGTCAGAATCTGTGGATTCGATTGTCGCAAGAAGACGTTGGCAATCAATCAAGGTTGACACTATCTCCTCCCAGGGCGGTCGTTGCGACATGACAGAGAGTTTTCCAACGGCAACAGTCGAATCCACGGCGGCGATGATAATAGTCTGTGCTGCATCGATGCGTTTTTGAAATGTAACTTGATCGGCCCGCTCGTCATCGGCAGGTCGGCGTCCAACGTAGCGCCGCAAAAATCGAATAAAAGCATTCATATACTCGTAGATGCGCGGGAACACCTCGCTTTGAGCATGAGACTCTTGGTTTTTTGATACTAACTCGCCGAACCAAGCCATCGCAAATTTTTTGAGCTTCCCCGCCTCGACTAGCAACTCATCCAAGTCCTGGGTACTCCCTTTCAATTGCATGCTTAACGTGGTAGTAGCTTCGGAGACGGCTTCAGAAATAGTAGCTGGAGAGAATTTCATCGAGGACCTGATCCCTTGAAAATGGAGGGACGCAATTTTGCAGCGGACTGTAGCTAATCCGAGGCATTGGCCGGTCGAAAGAGGACTGACTGATTCTGTGAATAGTTGCATGGCTTCCTTGAAACAGCCCGCGTCTTGAGCGAGCTGCCCGAGGATTGTGGCGATTCGAGCAACGGACATGTTATTCTTGTTGAGGGTAGATGGTCGATTCTGCGTCTTTGCAAAGGCAGCTTGTAGTCGAACAATAGTGGTGTATATTGAAGCAAATTCAGCTTTCTCTATGCTCTTGGTTACGTTGGCGAAGTCTCCAAGATACCGTGACAAAGGATCCCACATCTCCTTACCATCATCACAAATATGCCCGGAAATCTTCCAGGACATACATCGGATTTCGAGCGACAGGAGTTGCAAAGCCAGCACAGTCGATGGCTTCAGGCGGTCCTTGCCACCGCTGCTTGATGTCTGGGACGCGTAGGAAAGAGACGAAACAGTACTGGATAGCAGCTGAAGTTGAATTGCCCCTTTATCCTTACTAAGGGCTCCTGAATCGATGGCGGCAAGGATCACATTGGCAGGGCTGCTGTCGTCGGCCAACTGGAGGGCGGACACCAGTTTCTGTACCGTAGCCGGTCGTTTCTCTGCTGCAATAAGACGTAACGCGCTGGACTGAAACGAGACCAGCAGTCCGAGCAACGATCGCACACTTGGTATGTTCGAAAATGTCAAGAGATCCGACATCCGTTCCTTCTGCTCGTCCTCCTCGCGGGTGTCCTTCCCTGCCTTCTTCCGGCTCGTCGATAGGCCATCAATATGTTGCTGAATCCTCCTCTTAAGTCCCCTCAACTCCTTGTAAGCCAAATCGTTCAACCCCAAGGATAGCAGTCTTCCAGCCAAAACACATGCCCCTTGTTCCAGTTGTAGATTCGGCATCCCATCACCCTGGCCCCCCTGTTCTGTCTTCAGAGTTCGTAAACACGAAAGAGATAACCGGGCACATTCCGCCACAGCAGAAACACCTTTGTCTGCCTCTGATACCCTATTTTCCACCGCTTGTGCCGTCTTCGATCGTGCCGACTTTGTTGTCCGTTTCACCGGTGTCGATTCCCTTGGCGACGGCGCGGTCCCAACATTCACAGCATCCGAAAGCGTCTTGAGTGTCATATTAAACACCTCCGTCGCGAGCACCAGCTTCTCCTGGGCCGATAACTGCGCGCCATCTGGCGGACCCGGGTCTTGAACCGCTGTTTTCGTATTCGTCCGCGAGCGTGCCGTCTTCGTCCGACTACTCGTCGTAGCCGCCGTACCTGCGCTTGTCGTCTTCGTAGCCCTCCCAGTTCTCTTCACGGTTACACTCTCAATTTCCGTCGGTCCAGGCGTCGATCGGAAGAGTGTTTGGAGCGACAACACCGTGGCATTGTTTGCTGTTGATGTGGAGCGGAGCGTCTGTTTTACCAATTCCGCGGGGGAATCGGCGATGAGTGTCGTTACTGTCATTTGTTAAGATGTAATCATGCCTTTGGGTAAGGGCTGTTGGGTAAGATGGGGTGGTTGTCGTGCGTTGGATTCAAGACATCTTCAAGTTGGAGGTCTGGAGTGAAGAGTGGACTGAGTCCCGCCGAGAGTCGCGGCGTTGTGTTGTCGCAGCAACGGGTTCCGAAAGGGTTTAGCCGTCAACCAAGGTTCACTTCCCCAACTCTTTCTGCCTCAGGCGCCGATCAAATTATCGCTTTGTCCGCCGCGGTTCTGAATCGCAACCTCGACTCATTTGAACACAGCACAACGAACCATGGCCTCTCTCACAATGACTTCCACACGGCTACGCCTACCTACACGGGTACAAGTCCGACTACCAACATCGTCAACACCAACCCAGCGCCCCTCCCTCCCCCACCGGCACCACCAACCACCACAATCCCGCCCCTTCTCCTACAGCCCACGCTCAATCCCACGCCCACGAATAACACAGTCCTCAATCTGGACTTCTCTAATCCCCAAATTCCTCCGAAACCGCTCTCCGGCGTCCGCAGCGCCAGCACCCACCTCGTCAACGCCGAAATCCAAAGAATGGAACCCGGCGTCCTTCTACATCATCATCTTCATCCTGATCGGGTCCCAGGCCATTCGAATGATCGCGCTGAAGAATGAGTACAAGGCGTATACGCGCAGTACGGATGCGAAGATTCGGTTGCTGCGCGAGGTCATTGAGAAGGTTAAGGCTGGGGAGGTGGTTGATGTGGAGAAGTTACTTGGGAAGGGGGATGAGGGGGTTGAGAGGGAGTGGGAGGAGGGTATGTTCTCTTCTTTTCTTTGATTCTTGATTTTTCGGCTCTCTGTGTATTCAGGGTTTGTTGAAGTGGTGGCTAACATTTGTTGTCTATGCAGTGCTGAAGGAGATTGAGCAGGAGGACTCGTTATGGCACCGAAGGAGGAAGGAGGCCGAGGAGAAACACGAACAGGATGAGGGGAAGGCTGCGACAGCAACAGCAAAGGTCGTATCAAAGGACCTGGTGGTTCCTGCGGTCGATAAGAGCACACCGGCCGGAGGCGATGACGGTGTAAAGGAGGCGACGAAACGGAGGGTCGGCTTTTTCTAAACGTGCCTCTCCTATCGAAATATATATATGCCGATGATTGAACTTTAGAGTGTTGAGAGTCTTGCGCATCCGCTGCGCGAGCGGCATCTTTTGATATGACGGCGGTTGGTATGACCTTGCGGGACCTCCCCAGTCTGCATGGCGTCATTCCTCTGAGGTCTTGGTGGGCTAATCTATGTTGGCCAAATGGCGGCCTCCGCTGCTGTACGTTTTCACCCTTGTACAATATCCATGCTATATCAAGACGCCCGTTCGGGCTGTAAATATCACTCTTACGAACCATATCGTACGATATACCACTCCATTAGTAAAAGATTCACATATACCATAAGCTAAAGGCTAAGCAACAAAAGGAAGTCGATCAGACAAGTACATGTACACTAACACAGTAGACCACCCCAGTGCGCACTCGAATTGCTATCATCAAGCAAAAAAAAAACAATATGCAACAAGCGTCACATCCAGAACGCACACTCGATTTGGTATCTTCCAGAAGAAGCTCTAGACAATCATGCGAAATCCAATAATGGTATGATATGGTATGGTACGGTATGTTGGTATAACCGCCCTTTCCCAATCTATCTGCTTTTGGTACATGGTGTAGATATGTAAAACGGCACGATCCCGAACATATCCATAGTAGTAGAAGGCGAACATGGCTATCAGGTCAAAAGGTAGGATGGGGGCCCGTGTGGTATGAGGCAAGGAAATGTACTTTCAATCCAATCCAGTCCAGTCCGAAAAGAAATAGGAGAAGAAAATAAACCAACGCATCGCTAGTAAAACAAAAAATATGTCTTTCTCTTTCTTGTCTATTGCTTGGTGGGTCGGATGAACTTCGGCCACCGCTCGGCATCCGGGATGGGGACGCGGCCGATGTTCTCGTCTAGATCGAGAATGAGTTTCAGCGCGTTCCGTGAGCGCAGGTATGGCAGGGGTTCCTTGGCGATGGGCACGCCGACGCCGGGCTCGACCTGGCCGGTTGGGCTAACCTCGAGCGCCCCGGGCATGGGCAGCCATTTCTGCAGGACTTCGTATGCGGCGAGAGTGAAACCGAACTGTGGTGAGGAACGGAGGATACGAGCGGGACCGCCTTTGAAGAAGGCCTTGAAGCCCTCCTCGCGCAGGATGGTTTGGGCGCAGTGGCGCAGGCCCTTGTATTGAGCTTCTCCCTTGCGGGCTTCGACTTGCAGACGGGTCTTGATCACATCGCAGGGTGTTGTGAGGTAGGCAGCGGGCATACCGGCAATCGCACCTGCGGTGAGGAGCTGTACGACGCCAAGCTTGTGTGTGCGGGATTCGCCGAAGAAGTCGGACTTGAGGTGGGAATAGGTAGGGAAGTAGATGGCAGAGAAGGGAACTGCACAGGTTAGATGGGTCACAACATACGATCGGTTAGACTTACCATCACGAAGCAGACAAGCGCTGGCGCCCTTGTACAAGCCGACCAGACCCAAGTTCTTCACGATCCAGAGCGCAGAACGGCGGGGAGCGCCCTCGACATTTTTGGCGATTTCGCCCTGAACCTGCAGGCGAATCTTGACAATCTCCAGAGGGTTCGTAAAGATCTAATTTGTTAGCCTTGTGAGCTATATAATGCATTGGCAGAAACACTCACAACTTGACAGGCACCCGCGGTACCACCGGAGATAACCTCGTGCATATACTTAATCTTGCCAGTCTCCTTGTCGGTGAAAAATCCACGCGCAAGATCGTTGACAGTGAGCTTGATCGCCTTCTCCGGAGCGACACCAATCAGCTGAGGAATAACACCAGAGTACAAACCAGTGAAGCCCTCGTTGCGGATGACCTTTCTGGCACAATCCAGTGAGTTGTTGTACAAGCGCTCTCCGACCCGGCTGGATCGCTGGTTCTGCATTCGGGTCTTGACCAGATCAATGGGGTACACCATGAACGCGCCAAACGCACCCGCAAGACTGCCGAGCGCAAAGTGGTGCGCAGATTCGAGTACGCTGTGGAGTACTGATTTCGTCGATTCCGCAGCCTTGTGCGCGGCGCCGGCCGCAGTCGAAACGGCATGCTCGGCAGCAGCAACAGGCAGGCGCCATGATGCATCAATGACCTTTGCAAAGTCCTTTTGTGAGAGACGGCCGGATGGCGCATCGAGTCCGGCAAAGTGGAAGAGGATATCAGCCTCCATTGGCGTGAACAGGGAAAAACGGGTAAGGCGAGCAGCGGCATTGAGGAAGTCTGAACGAGTGATCTTGCCATCGTCGCTCTTGTTTGTGGCCTCGCGAATGATCAAATCAATCATGTCCATCTCGCGCATCACGTTCTGGAACGCACGAACGGTAGCGTAGGAGATCTTGGTGCCCGTCGAGATGTTGCACAGACTCGGAAGGTTCTCCAATACGTAGTCTGACAGCTTGTGTCGCGACGTCTCCAAGATGATACGCTGGAAATCTTCCGGTTGAATGTAGCCGTCGCCGTCCTTGTCGAACACGTGGAAAGCCTGTCGGATGCGCTCCCCTTGCAATCCTCGAAGCATCTGCGCAAACTGGGGGTATGTCATGTCATGGCGGGCCTTGGTCTTTCCAATGTACAGAGCGGCCCATTCAGAGTTCCAGTCAAACGGAATGCTCTCTTTTGTCTTGTTCTCGTTGTACAGTTTCTGGAAAGTCTCCCACTTGACCGTTCCCGTCCCGTCGGTGTCGAAGAGTCGGAAGGCAATCTCATACTCGGCGTCGGGCTTCGCAAGCAGGTTCTCAAAGGTAGCCCATTCGTGGATGTTGATTCGGCCGGATTTGCGGGTATCGGCGACTCTGAAGAGGATTCCGTAGTGTTCCCGTTTGATCTTGTGCTATAACATCACAAGAGGTCAATTGAGTTTCGAAGTATGACACATCGGACGAAGGAGGAAAAACTCACGTAGTCTTCGTGCTTCGGCGCGATAGCCTCAACAAAATCGGATTCCGTCATGTACAGCTCGCCGGTCTCCTCGTCCTTGCGGGCATGTCGGAGGAAGTTGGCCCTGATCTGCTTGGACAGGCCGGGGTCCTCAATGGTGGTGCCGACCAGCGACTCTTTGACAGCTTCTTTTACGCTCGCCATGATCACAAACGCGCAAAGTCTATCCTCTATGCAAGACAGAACAGTCTAAAGGAAAGCAAACAATAAGAATAGAAGCCAAAGACCAACGCAGCGAGGGGAAGAGGAAGAGCCAAAGGGAAGGGGCTGGAAGGACGGAGTCAAGCAGCAGTCCAGGTGTGGAGAATGCAAATTATAGACGGAGGGAGAGAATGGGGGGAGATCTTCGCTCCATCGCGCAAGTCTACAAGAAAAGATTAGATGGCGATGAAATTTTCATCAGGTGATGAGCATGTAATAATAGCAATTGCCAATGGCAAATAAAATCTACGTGGCCAATTTGCTTTTTTTTTGTCTTGATTCCTTCCAGATCTCTTAGAAGAAAAAAAATCTTTGATGTTATTTGCCCCCTTGACAATAATAATCAACCCTAGGATAAAAGCGCGCTCTCCGCCTTGCCAGCGCCCAGTCAACAGGCCCGGGAGTGAGCCAGAACCCAGACAGTGGAATCCTTGAAATCCCAGGAGAACCAGACCCGGCATCGGCTTTGAGCTGCACTGTCTCATGCAGTCACGAGCCCGATGTCTCCTCACCGCCCCGAACGATATTACCCGAGATTTCGCGCAAAATACGATTCGGAGTTGACGCCGATATATTCGTCTCTCCCCCGTGCTCTGCCGGTCTGCGCACAATCACTCAGGGCCGGGTCATGACTGATTAATAGTTGATGCAGCCCCCAACTCATCGCCCGGTCAGGCCACACACGCACCGGATCTCGATCTCCAACCCGGAAATAGACCGAGGCCTGCTTACAACATACAGACTAGGGATTCTGAGCGTGAAATTGAGGCGTCAGTACTCCGCACTTGCGGCAAACTCCGGAACGCTCGTGAGGGGATCCTGTCTGTTTCTCCTCTTGGAGTTGGGGTCGCCCGCTCACCGGATCCCGCCTTGGAGTGTCTTAGTCTTGGGTCTTAGGTAACACGGTAAGGCCTCACGCGGCCGAGTGCTTGTTCTTGCCGGAATAGGTTTGCCGGTGTTTTCCACTCGCCTGTCACGCTACAACATGTGTCAAGGTGGTTTGAAGTCCATGCAGAGCGCTCAGGAGGAAGCCGAGTCAGATCTCGCTCTGGCGCTCTCAGTCCTGCTCAGGCGGTTTCACTCTCGGCATCTATACAAAGTGAACAATGGAGGATCGTACGAGGCGTCTGCGATAGAGCAATGAGGCTCGCAAGCGAGCAGGCTCGTCTCGAGGACGGATGCCGGATGTCATAATGGACGTGACATGTCCGGCTCCACACATACCATGAATGGCATGGCTTCGTCTTGGGGCAGCGCTCGCTAACTCACGAGCTATAAACACCAATCCTCCAAATTGCTTTCAATGATCTACACGAAAGACCTCAGTCAAATCGTCAATGGCAGGTTTATTCGACTCTGAAGAACTTTCACGCCGTCACGCGATTTACCATAAAGAATTGCAATATCATTGAAGATCAGAGAACCGTACCACAACCGCTATATATCCCGTCGTACTTTATACGATATGTTTCGATGCCCTGGTTCGTCTTCAGGCTCTTCTCATGCCACGACATCGTGGATAATACAATGCCTAATATTGCATTTCCCCTCGAGCTGGGGGTATATCTTATGCTGACGAACAGCGAGCAAGCCTCTCCTGGTTGATGGAAATTGTCAAGTTACAGGGTACAGATATCTCTGTTAGGCGGCTTTGTTTTCGAGTCATCATTCACTCAGGTAAGAACATCCTTTCTGTGGCCTTTCCCTGTTCTCCTTACATTCAAGGTGCAATAATGCTTATCACGTGATGGTTACACTGCATTTACGAACCATCCCAGCCCCTCAATTCAGGGTCAATTCCAGCAAACACTCACAGTCTCAGACGCGAACAGGATGTCTGTCGGCGCTTGCATTGTCCCGGAGATGACCGCTCCCATGGTGTTGTCTAGTGCACCGAGCTTACAGCTAATGCTACGGACCTTGCTCACATGGTCAATGGAGACCCCCAAGCGTACCTTGCAAAATCCCGTCCTCATTGGCAGCTGCAGTTTAGATGGTTCAATCAGATGGCTCGCGCACTTAGCTTTCTCCATGACAGGCGCGTGCTTCATGCAGATATCACTAACCGGAACTTTCTGCTGGATTCTGATCTATCGCTTATTATGTGCGACTTCTCAGAGGCGACTCTTCTTCCCTTGGACTCCGATATGGAAGCTGTGGATGACAATGGATACACGACGCACATTGATATTGGGTTCCTTGGGGCAGTCATGTACGAAGTTGTCACCGGCACCAAGTTCAAGATTGATCTCTTCAAAGACAACTCTCCCGCTGACGGTCGAGCGTATTGGCCAGCGAGAAAGTTTCTACCTTGCACACGGGATGTCTGGCTCGGGGAGATTATCAAAGGCTGCTGGACTGGAGAGATTCCCTGCGCTCACAAACTCCTACAGGCATTAGATCTTATAAGCCTGGAGCACGAACCACGGGGAGAACTCGCCTTGGACTCGTGATTGCTGACCGCTTGGAGAGACCAGCCTGATAACAGTGTCATTGTTGCTTTGACGGCGGCCAGTGCTTACGCTGATCGTTGGAAGGAAGCCATTCTTCATGTCATGGAGATGGTACACAATGTGGTATCCTTTTTGTTCGCTCTCCATAAAACAGAAAACTAGACTTCTGTAAGTCTCGAACCCCTGCTAGTCTTTAGAACAAAACAATAAAAAGTTACCTGCTATATCAATAGTATCAAAGCTCTCATGTGCTACAGCTGGTGCTTTCCAGTTGGATAGATAGCCTCAATCTTGGCGTCTGCTCATAGCTCGCTGTAGTTGGTGAGCAGCGCCGACTCGCCGAGACGCCGACGCACATACATACGTCCGGTTTGCCTTATGTTCAGTCTGACTTTAGCCAGTATGGCTCGCTTGTCCGATTACACCTATCTCGTATGCAATAATATACTAGAAAAAAAAAAATTGGCAGTATCAGGCTCCCCTCACATGCCAAGCCGACATGTACCAATTTGACGACGTCCATGACATTTCGTCTCCGACCCCCTCCGAGCTCCGACCCATGGATCAACCCAGACTCTCCCATCCCCCAGAAAACTTTGGGAAAAAGTACCTAGGATGTCGGCACTTTCCGTGTTCACATGGATACGGGAAAAGGTACCCCTACTTAGGCTAAACTGCACTTAGTCATCTCTTCACTCGCTGGAGAAGCGGAATGCAATCCTGGGTGACGCCCGTCCAGAATAGAACCGGTGAATCGCTTCGATGCATTTCTTATTGTTTCCTCCAGCAGTTGGCCAATGCGGGTAATATCTGGCCTCATACCTGTTGCTTTTCTTCCTTGTTCCCCCCCGAGTCAGACTCTGTATACTCCGAGGAAAATCTCTATTATCGGGGAGATTCCATTGTTAAGTTCGAACAACACGGGAAATTGAATCCCGTGGCTGATGGGGATTATAGCTAGCTATGTAATCAGGTGAATAATGCGAAAAAAAAAAAAATACCCAAATAGTTGCTCCTCAGTGTCTGGAGGACCGCACAGAGAAAAGTGCAGGTCACGTGATACTAGACAGTGCCCCCCCACCTTTTGGAACTTTTTAAGTTTAGCTTCTTCTCCAGCTCTCGCTAGCCCACGCGCTAGAAACACCACCACTACATCATTATCCAGTCACAGCCGGGCGATCACATCATTCAAGAGGTACGGGTGCAGTTGGACAACACCTGTGCAGCCATGACAAACACAAGGACCTTACAGCCCCCGCAATCCGAGACGGCGAGAAATGTCCACATCTACAACCACGAGGGCCAAGTCATCGGAGGTACACACCTACACATAAACACATGCCACTGTCAATTGGATCGACCTGCCTTGATCTAAGTTTATATGCGCTTACCAGCTCCAACTTTTTGGTGCCGGGCACCTTCTTGACCCACTGGAATCGTGCAAGGAATAAACACAGCTCAGCACAACGAGATCTCAGATATGTCTAACAAACTACACCTAGACAGGCACCTACCAACACGGCTCCATAACCCCGTTCCAACCTCTACGATCTGTGCCCGTTATTCCTCGACTTCCCGTCTTCCACAGCGGATCAGGAAACGTGGGCGATCTTTAGTCTGTGCGCTGATGGGTCCAGAGGTTCCATGCTTTCTAGGGAGCAGACGGCTCTGGAGGCGGGCAAGTATATTGTCCTATCGAGGAGTAAGCGAATACCCAATCCGACGGCTTGATTGATAATTGAATGAGATGAAATGAGACCAATTAGCTAACACAGTCTTCAACTTCAAAGCTGGAGACCCGATTGCAGTGCGCCCTACGGACAGGACGGCAGTCCGGCGTATCGGTTCGGGAAGTGATAGTTCGCAGAGACTCTCTTCCAAGGTAGCAGCACTCCACCTCCCTCTCGTAACAGATTGTGCTAAAGAAAAACCAACAGCAAAAGCACTTCCGCGACCAGATCCGGAAACGAGATCAAGCGTGTGCGGTGACGGGGTACAGTCGCGCGGACTTCGCAGGGTTAAAAGCCGCCCATATTGTACCAATCATACCTCGCCAGCAGGAAGTGCGGCGGCAGGAACAGCAACAGCAGCAAGGTGACCACAAATCCTGCGTCACTGACACTGGGAGTGATACTGATCTTGATCTTGATCTTGATTTTACGCCAGCCGCCTCGATGCTATGTGGCGAGGACCTCCTCTCCCCACGAAATGGTCTTCTTTTGAGTACAGCGGTTCATACTCCATTTGATTTCTACGAATGGGCCATCAATCCTATGGTCCGTTACGACAAATGAAAAGCTTTCGGTGGGGCACCGGTGCTGATGCTGAACAGGACGGCTACAAGATCACGGTATTCCACAAGCAAGATACACTAGTACCAATCGACGGCAAGGTCCTCAGTGGGAAATCCAGAAGCCAGGGATTAGAGGACTGGCGCATTAGTGATGCTGCCTTGCGATGGCACTTTGACCAAGCTGTTCCCAAGAATATGAAGGGGGCAACGGGCGAAGAGTGGCCGAACTGGGGAGATGACTTGGGTGAAGGGTGTGATCACATCGCTGAGATAATGAAGGGCCCAGCGCCAGGTGAACGAATGGAGCTCGAGTTGGAGAACCGTCTAGCGGGTTGGACAGAACATGAGCGACAACATCAAGTATCCTAGCCGTTAGATACCCATCTCCAAAGCAAGTGTTAGCCTTCGCCTATTGAGAACAAGGTATTAACGAGGTCCCATATTACTCATATTAATATATCTTAGCCGTATCCGAGAATAAGCTACTAACAACTCATAGCGGCACACCGTAAGAATTCTGATATTGATAGCGTATAAATAATCTACGGCCTCTCCAACCGCAAGAGCCCAAAAAGCACCCGCTCAACCGGCAACAGCCTCAACATGACATTATTATACCTATACGCAAGAAGAACCACACAAGCACCGACGACGGCATCAAGGATAAAATGGTTCGCCGTAGCAACGATCGTCAACGCCATAATCATGGGCCATAGCGGCGCTATAAAGCGGAGATACCAGTGCGGACTGAACTTTATCAGACACATTGCGATGAACATTGAGTTTCCAAAGTGCAGCGAGGGCATTGCGGCGATTGTGAGCTGGAATTTGTTCTGTGTCCAGGCGGACCCGCCGCGGTTGCTGTGGAGGACGTCGACGAAGCCGAATTCTTCGGGCATGAGGCGCGGGGGTGTGCAGCGCCAGAGGGTTATGATTGCGAAGGCGATGACATTCTCAAAAGCCAAAGTGCGCCGGATATTCAGCCACTTGTCGCGCTTCATAAAGGTGTAGCAGTAGACGTAGAACACGACGCCTACGATTATGTGCGAGTAGTACACGCGGGCTAAAAAGGGCACGAGCCATGCGTGTTTTGTGAGGACGAATCGCTGCACGGCTAGCTCGACGTCGATGTGGAGAAAGTGTTCTACCGCGAGGATCTGGCGGGCATGCTTCTCGGCCCTATCGAAGATGGCGTCGTGGCCGCTGATCGCTCGGGCCGAGATTGCGCGTAGGCCCTGATAGATCTGCGCTTGTGAGCCGTGTGCCAGCTTGTCTTCCCAGAATCACATACCCAGTATATAAGCAGCCAGTACCATATCTCGAGGAGGAAAGGGAAGCGCGCGAGGATGCGCGACTGGATTGTGCGGCTGTGCTCGCTGGGGAGGACACTGTCGTCCTCGTCTATCGACTTCGCATCGTCTGTGTCTGGGAGCAGCGGTGATTCAACAGAGGGCGTATCGAGGAGTGTGATGATGCGGCGGCGGCGACGGTTAACGAGGGCTCCTGCAGTGAAGGTAGCAACAATAGCTGAAGAGTAAAGCAGTAGTCAGTCAGTAAGTGAGTGGACCATGTGACAGACACAGATACACACCACCAGGCTCAAGAATGTTCTTAAAAACACCCATGACGTAGAAATACTGCAAAATAAGACTGAGGTAAAGACAAGATGAACCAAAGAATAAACACCGCCGACAGAGTCTCCGAGACCAGAAGGAAGAAGGGTCTACTTAAAGAGTAAGCCCAGCGGCGCAAAAGAAAAACAAGCATGGCAACTGCGGTCGTCATCGCTGCATGGGAGTCCCTGTCCTGGCAGTGGCAGTGGCATCGTGTACCACGTACCACCACACTCTACCCTGCATGGATTGGCTGGCTCTGGCTTTGTCTGAATGGGAGCGTCGGATTTGGCGGGAGGTACGGAGGGCCTGCCGTTCTTTCCAGACAAGGAAACAACACACCAGACCTCCGGCCTCTTCCAGCCTGATCGACGGTCCCCACTGGACTAGCGCCCAGCCTTAATTCCTGGGCTCCGGAGTATCCGGGCTCTTTGTTTGCTCTTCCATTGGCGCTGGCATTGGCATTCATATTCTTGACGCTGACTGAGTCGGTCCGGGCCTCGTCAGCTGTCTCAGCCTCACTTGCAGTCGCCGGTGGTAGATTTCAAGCGATTGGGTGGTCTCTGAATTCAGGGCTTGTGCAACGAGCAGATTGGGGTTTTATGTTTGCTTTTGCGGGCCTAGACCTGATGGAGCAATAAGCAGTGACAGCCATTGGACAATGCAGGGAGCTGGCATCACAAGCTGCGAGTTTCTTTCCCCCAGGGCTACGACGACACGGACCGATCAATCTGGGACGTTGAACCATACTCTGTGCTCAGATCTCACATAACTTATTCTTTCAATGCTATCAGAAGACTCGTCTGCACATGGCCGCAACGCAGCAACGAAACGCCAATTCATGCATGCAAATGCCTCAACTAGCTATATACCTTTTATCCCGAGTCCGTCCTGTCCTGTCCAGTCCGGTGTAATGTATTCATGGCAGCAGTAGTCTGTGCGTTCGAGGGATGTATGTATGTATGACAGTGGTATTGCGTCGGAAGGGGTCGCCGACAGAGAGGAAAGAAGCGGGGAGGGAAGATATTGAGAGGGAAGGGAAAACATCAGTCATCAAATCAAACCGAGGGGATATCTAAGTAGATGGAATGGAATGGAATGAACATGCGAGAAGAACAGGGGAATAAACCAAGGGGAATAAGCGGGAGAGGAAGTGAGAGGTTTGAGGTTCGGAGAGGGAGGTTATGTATAGATGACGATGAGATGCTCAGGCGCTGAATCGTTGGATGAATGTCTGTTGTATGTCAGTAGATATCCCTCTCCCATTGCTTGTGGAACATACCGGGAAGAACTGCCGGAACCCCTTCAGATCCAGCTGACTCAGTGTCCTCACGTACTCCTCTACCAGGTCTCCGCCCATGCCCATACCAGGGAGCTCGCGGTCCCGCAGGTACTCAATGTACTCCATACCCATCTTTCCATAGATGATCTTCTGCAAACCACCCGCTTCCGCAAGGACCTGTTTCGCAAGTGCATCCTTGGAGTTGAACGATGGAGTCGCCGGGAGAGCCCAGCATAGCGGGGAGAAGCGCGTGATCATGAACTGTCCAAAGCCTGGGAGCGCTACCTGGCCTGCAGCGGCTCCGTTCGTGGCAGCAGGTGCAATGTCTGGTCCGCCCCAGGAGCTGGCCATTCTGGCGAGTACGGAGAACGCCATCTTTGCCGTCGTGAAGTCCTCGACGTCCTTGGAGAAGTGCTCGATCGTTGTAATGACAGTGTCGAACATGGGTTGGTTCCCTATAAGTCGTTAGTTGGTGTGGCGAACTCCTACAGTGGACGAAGAGAACTTACGTTCGCTGATGATGACAGCTCCAAGATCGTTGTTCAGTACGGCCAACAAGAGAGTGAGGTACTCCCGCTTCAGCTCCGCCAGATGAATCTCATCATCCGTTCCGCTAGGGGGGTCGGCAATTCCGCTGAACACCCGCTGCAAGAACGGAGTCAGGAGAGCATCAAGGATTGAGTATATCTCACCCTTGAAGCCGAAGATGACCTGATCGAGCAGACGCAGGAAGAGGGCCATCTCATCCCTCGAAGACGTTTGCGTCAGCAGACCGTCGATCCACCTCGGGAGCTGGGGAAGGATGCGCGACCCAAGCACGCCAATGAGTCGGGAGAAGGCAAAGCGAGATGCCGTTCGGATGTTGAAGGATGCTTTGAGAGATTCCAACGCAACGAGAGTGGCTTCCGACACCTGGCTGAATGCTTCAGACACTTCCGGTGCGGGAAGCTGTGCAGTAGGAGAGGTTGCTCCTGGCATCCAGTCAGAGAAGCCTCTTGCAAGGGTACCGAGGGCCATGATGTCGTGGTGTATTTGGAGCATCGCTCGCTCATCGCCCGACTTGGCCGGGCCAAGGTTCCTCTCCATGTCCGCGAAGACGGGCGTCAGAACGGACTGTGCGTAGAGGACCTGCTTGTCCGCAGGGGTTCCGGGAGTCGAGCAAAAGATACCCACAGCTTCAAACAGATAAAGTTGACTGTTGAACACGGCGTCCGCAGACCCTTCATGGTCTTCAGACGACATCTCATCGCCATCAGAGCCTTCAGACGGAAGCTCAGCCTGGATCACCAATAGATCGCCTAAAGCCTCCACTACTGTCTGTGAAACATTGCTAATCTGTGCTCTGAGCTGCTTCACTAGACGCTGGAACAAGTACCAAGCCCGAGTCTTGACCTTCTTCATCGGATGGTGCGCGAGTTGGAGGAAGTTTTCCAGAACACCAGGAATCAGGTGAGTGTGAAGATGGAAGAAGGAACTGTAGCGAACGCAAATCTCCATATACTGCAACTGTGTCGCTGGGTGAGTGAAGGATCGGATGTCGGACTCCACCATGCGCAGCATCATCTCAATCAGCCGTTCTGCGCTCGGGTTATTTGGCTGACCCTTGGTATACAAACTGCCCGACTTGACCGCAGTATCTCCAAACAAGTACATCTCGTGCAAAGCGAGGTCGAGGTCCCTCCAGTCTAATTGAGACCCCGCCTGTCGCATGTTCTCAAAGGTTGTGGCAACGACCTCCGAAACAGCCTCCTTGTATAACCGTTCATCAATGCTTGCGACGATTTGCTGGAGGGTTCCCAATCGCTTGCGGAGCTCTTGGAATTCAGCCTCATCCGTCTGATCCTCATCGTCGCCCCAGGAGGCAGTCTCGTCGTAGCGCATCTTGGAGATAATCGCCTTGAGGATCGGAAGGAGGATAGACGAGTGTTGAGAGGCGAGAGCGGGGTTCACCTTTGCGACCTTTCGCAAGTATGAAAGCAGGTCGTTCACGCTCGGGATGATGGTGGAGCAAACCTCGTCATACTCATCAGAGAAATACCGCAGGATATGCGGAAGGAAGACCTGCAGCAGACCATTCGCCTTTTCCTTGCACGGGGCCGGGACCGCATCATTCTCCAACGCCCGCACAATATCCGTGACTGTCGTATTGACAAGCTTCGCGACCGTCTCCGCGAGGTCCGTATCGTATTTCGAGGTGAAGCGGTTAGCATAGAGAGGAGGGCTGGACGAGATCTGGGCGACCACATTATCAAGGTTCAGAAACGCAATCATGTCAATCTTGTCCTCGGCCTTCATCTTCTTACCAACGATTTCCGTAAAGACGTCAACCGCCGCATCCCGCACCTTTTCCTCACCCTCGCGCAGCTCCGTCTTCTGCGCCCGGCCTAACTGCTGGAAGAGCAAGTCAAGCATCGTCTGGTTCACCACCAAACCGATATCAATCCAGCTCACCCAGCTTCCGACCGCCTTGAGAGACATCTCCACGATAAGGTCATCCCCGTCCATCCACTGCGAAAGGATTTCCTGCCACGAGTTGGCGATCTTCTGCATATCCCTGACTCGGATGAGATCCTTCAGCGCATTCGCCCGGTCCTGCTCCGTGCGGGACCGCGACACCAGAACATCACCAATCTCATCATGGATAGAGTTGATCACACGAAGGTAGAAAACAATCCCCAGCGGGTTGTCCCTCGTCGTGCTGGACGCTGACTTGTGCGTGAGAGCAAGGAAATCGTCAAAGAACGACTCCCAACCATTCCCGTACAGCGCGGAGAAGAGGAAAGTGATGGTCTGGGCGATTTTATTCTGGATATTGGGCGGGTCGGGCGTTGTATTCTCACGGCCATACACTTGCCGCAGGTATCCCAGCAGGCCGTCCCGAACGAAGCCCAGCGACTGCAGGTCAATTAGACCAACCTGGGCGGCGCTGTTGACAACCTCTAACGAGACATGGCGGACGATATGAGACCGGGGCGGGTCCTTGGTGAAGAGGGCGAGGCAGACTTGCCAGCCTGAGGGATCGGAGCGGAGCTGGTTGAGGTAGTCGAAGGCTTGGGCTTTGAGCGTAGGGTCGGAGGTAGGGTTCCCGGCGATTTCTATGGCGTTTGCTACCTGGAGGAAACAGACAGTTTGTTAGAATGGCTGGCTGTTCGAAAATGTCTGTGGTGGCTCAGAAGCTCAATGTGCGTCACCGTTGAAGAGGGGCACACGAGGGGGAAGATCGGGGTGACGGCGGGGTTGAGAATGGCAATGTTTTCTTTTTGCTTCGCTCCAAAGTCACTTGCAAGGGCTTGATGGGCTTTTCAAATATGGCAGACGATTCGTCTCGCCCGTCCCAGGCGAGGTAGGAGGGGAGGGGGACCCTTACCTGCTCTTCCATCGTCGACCGGCCGGGCTGCCTTCAGAGTCGAGAGGGACCCCGGAAAGCAAAAAAATATCACGAGGGGAGCAAAAATTCAGGCGTCGTGGGGAAGAAATGCGAGAGGGCGACAGGGGCACAATAGCATTAGAAATCGGGAAAGAGTCTATCGGGTCATGACTTGATTGTTTGATTTTTGGCACAGGAGAAAATACAGGACTTGCTTGAGGTCAAGTTGTTGAAATGTCAAGTTGAGTGACGGTTGGGCGGTGGTTCCGGCACCTTTGCTTTCTTTGCTTTGACCAACTGCCACAACAGCGGTTCTCTTTCTTTTATAGAGAGACAAAGTCCCTTTTGCGGACTTTGGGAATAGGAGGTTTATGTCTATCTGATTCACGAGTTGCCAACAGCTGAACCACAGCCTGCGCTCATGCGACACAGAATTTTTGCTGGATTTTTTCTTGATTTTGTGTGTTCGCACGTTTGGGTCCGACCAGAAGCGGAAGTCGCTGCCCTGTGTTTCAGGCACCAACTGCCCGGAGTATAAACAAAGACCCTGCAGCGACAAAGAACATGCGGTCAGGTGAGATTCGCCTTTTGGAACTCATCACTTTTCCGGAGTGTTATACTCTCCACTTCCACGCCTGTCCTAGAGTCGCCTCAATCCTCACCCAGAGACAAGCCAATGTCGCCGCCGTTAACAACACCCCTGTTACAATGCCCGCCCGCTCATAGATATACGATGAAGTGAGCGCCCCAGACTTGGGAATCAGCATCCCCGTCAACGGCGTCCCAATGAGCGCGCCCACGCCACGGATGAGATACAGAGCACCATTGACGCTAGTAAAGTGCTGGACGCCAAACAGCTCGATCAGCGAAGCAGGAAAGAGCGAGATGTACGCGCTCGCAAAGGCACCATACAGGATTGTGAACACGATAAACAGTCCGTCGCCACTTGCTTTTGAGACTTCTCCCGTATGGAACATGGACGGGATCCAGAAGGCGAAAACAGCCACGGCGCTCAACAGCGTTGTTGCGACGAGAGCATTGATCCGTCCGTATCGGTCAGCACAGTATCCGATTACAATGCGCGAGACGAAATTCGAGGCATTGTTGAGCGTGATGAAGTTCGCTGCCGTCGTGGCATTGTACCCGAGTGTACTCGCATATGCCGCGTAGAAGAACAGCGGCGTCGAGTATCCCGCAGACTGCAGGAAACAGCCCAATCCCTGCGCGAGGAACCGCTTCGAGCGCGCCACGCGATAGTTGACCACTGGCGCCTTCATCCAGCCGCTTCGTCGTCGGAGACCCTGCGTCTGGATACGAACTTGCTCCTCGAATTTGGGCTCCCAGCGAAGCGCATAGCCAGCGACAGACACAAGGACGAGAGAAATGCACCCGGAGATCCGCAACGCATTCCTGAATCCCAAGTTTGTGATCATTGCACGCAAAGCCGGCGGCCAAATCATACCTCCAACTGCTGAACCCGAGATAATCACTCCCATGGCTAACCCCCTCCGCTTATCAAACCACGTCGGCGCAACACTCATCGTAGGCACATACGCAAGACACGTCCCAATCCCCAGGAGCACACCCTGTGTAAGGGCAAAATGCCACAGCGCCTTCCCAAAGCTAGACAGGATATACGCGATCCCAAATACCCACCCTCCAGCAACAATTACGGCCTGTGGGGAGTAGATCTTTGCCCAGTGCATTGCAAATGGCCCACCCATGGACATTAACGCGATGGCGAGGATGCCGACGAGGTTTATTAGGGCTGTTGAGCTCCCTGTGAAGGGAGTGTCGTCGACTCTGGCCATCTCCTCGTAGAGAGATTGGTAGACGCCGTAGGAGAAGATGAATGCGCATGTTGTAGACATGACAAGGAAGCCAGCGATCACGACTCGTGCATAGTGCCAGGTGGGATGGTCCTGCTCGGTTGAGGCCTGCAGTGGTGCTTGCGGTTCTCCGGGCAATGCGTGCGTATCGATGCGGGCTATCTCAATGTCATCTCCCATGATGATAGATGGTTTTCTTTACCGTCAAGAAGAGGGGTGGAGAGGGGTTAACGAGATCTCTGATGCGGAAATTTTGTCTCCATATCCGCAGCGGCTCTAGTGTGGACATGATCATCCAGTGGCGTCTTGGAGATGCTTGGAGATGCGGAGTAATCGTACCCTTACTACTTCGAGTAATCTGGCTTCGACGACTCCTTGAGAAGTTGAGGCCACGAATCTACTCGTTTGGAGTACTCCCTCCACCGATACGACCTCACTCCTCAGTGATCACCAACGAAAGACTTACTAGTTCGTTGCTGTGCCACACAGAATACGAGGCTGAACCCCATCCCAAGAACCACATAAGACTGTTCTAATCCAAGATGTCGAACTCAAGTATCGAGTTTTTCACATCATGTCCCCTCAGCTCCACCAAGCAAGCTCATCACGCTCATCCCCGGAACCCTCGAAACAGAGCGAGACCTGAGCGCCTTCTCCCGCTGCAACCACCAACTACACGCCCAGCTGTATGACAAACTACTCACGACACAACATTAACACCACCAGAGCTCAGCACTACAGTATGCAGAAAGATACGGGAACCTCGCACTGGCAACTCAAATGACCTCGCTCGGCGCCCCCATCGAGACGCCCGCGGAGTACAAATCCGCAACCGCTATACTATGCCGCGAAAAAACGGACACGCTCCTGTAGTAGACTTACTCCTTGCGCGCGGCGCCAATCCAGATCTCGCACTTAATGGAAAGCGAGCGCCTCTAAGTGCTCTGCCGAAGCTGGACACGCGCATGTTGTGAAGACCCTGCTCGACCGGGACGATGTAGACCCCAACGCAGAGAAGCCGACTCCCTTTAGGCTCGCCTATTACGGGGGCCACGAGGACGTGATTTGAATTTTCCTCAACAACCAAGTGTTGGAGGTCCCTGTCTGCAACGAACATCTGGCCTGTCGTTAGAGAACACGAGGGAACTGTCCGGGTAGGTAGTACTCAACGACGGCCGGTTCGATCTAACCACGATCCGAACCACTCTGTACTGATGTGTGCTGTTGAAAGGGGTCTTGAAAGTATAATACGGCTGCTGCTAGAACATAGTGCGGATCCCAACGTGCACAACCAGTCAATAGGTCTCACAGCGACATACTTTGCAGCCAGTGCGGATAATGACGCGGTGTTACGGCTGTTCTTCGCCCGCAAGGACGAGGATCGGAACATAGAGTGCGAGAGTTTCCGCATGGGCGTTCTTCTCTACGCTGCCTCCGTGGGGAGTGTCACCGTGCTCAAAACGCTGTTGGATTCTCCCGCGGTAGACGCGCACTCGAAGGATAACCACGATCGAAACGCACTGCTCGTGGCAATGCACCATGAGAAAGAGGATGTTGCAAAGGTGCTTTGGCCGACGGCCGGATTTGCCTGAACGAAGGCGATATAGAGAATGGGCGTCCGCCAGCGTATGCAGCATCCAACGGTTGGACGGATATCGTGGATATTCTTCTCGAGTCCGGGGCTGATATAGAGCATCGAGACGACTCTGGTCAGACAGCACTATTTCACGCGACAGAGGCAGCTTCCAACATGCTATTCGAATGGGCCCTCAACTCGGCCTGCTGGGATAACACTAGCCGGAGTCAACTGTCCTGGGCGGCGTCTGCAAGATCAAGAGACGTCCTTGACTTTCTTTTCGCGCACGGCGCCGAGCTTGATTCTAGAGACTATCAGGGATGGACGCTCTGTTTAGGAGCATGTTCATGGGAGAGAACGCAGCCGAGCTCTTGCTTGAACGCGGGGCAGACTCTGGATAATGAAGGCCGCACGCCGTTACTGCTGGAGTGATGGTATCGCCGTGGTGGCCTCTACACGTAAAGAGCGCTGTCAGGAACCTACTGGGGTGGGGCGTCGATTCCAAAGTCAGAGACAAGAGTGGCCGGACGGCGTTTTCGCTGGCGGCTGAGTTTACCTTGCATGGGAAAATGATATTGCTGCTTGAACACGAAGGAACGGACCGTGACCCAGTGGATGATCAGGGTCGGTCGTCATCCTGTTAAGCTCCATTTGTCGAGTTTAAAACTACGATGTCAAGACAGAGGATGATATCAGGGAGTCTATTTATATTCTAGAAACTTGTGCTTTGAGAACTTTACCTCGCATATATGTCTAATTATTGTCCATCTAGCACGAACTCTTCTTCGCCTCTTGCTCCAGCACTTGCAACTCCATCTTCTCGAAGCCCTCAACGGCCTTGCCATATCTCTCGAAGGCTTCCTTCTGGTAGCCGTCGGCGATCTTCTCAATGAATTCCTCCTCGTGCCAGCGTTGCCCGATAAGGTCCTCAAAGGTCTGTCCGTTTGATCGCTCTAGGGCCCAGACGGCCTTGTAAGCTGCGCCCAGCGCACAGGCGTTGTCACCAATTTCCAGCTTATACACGCCGTCACTGCCACCAAGAATTTCACCCGCAATCTTGGCGATGGTCTTGTTCTTGGACCCGCCGCCGACGAGATAGACTCGGCGCGGCTGCGCGGGCATTCCCTCCTTGGGACTTGATGTGAGACCGCGGGATCGGAGACGCAGAGACAGAAGTTGGCTCTCAATAATCGCACGCGCTTCATCATCCGGCTTGTTCCATCCATCTTCAGTCTCAATCAGGCTCCCATCAGCGGGATTATAGTTGAAGTACCACTGTCCGGGAGGCAGGTTCGGTACGATTTCCGGCCTCGGGAAGAACAGGCCCATCTTCATGGGGTTAGAGTCTGACGTCTGGCACAGAGGCGCGGTCTGTAGGGCGATGCTGTCAAAGTTCGCCCACGGGTTGGACGGGTTATTTTCGCCCTTCTTCTCATTTATTGCGTCGCGTACCTTTTCGCGCGCGAGACCGCCGTTCTTATAGCACAGCATGAACATGTACAGGCCGGGTGTGGTGGGGTGGTTGAAGAAGTGGGTTGCTGGGTCCGGCTTGTAGCTTGGCGTGGACATGAGGAAGGTAGTTGATGTTCCCAGGGAGACCATCGCATCAGATGGCCGCAGGGGCAATGCCAGGATAGTGGCTGGGTTGTCCCCCGTGGATGGGATAACTGTGCAGTCGGGGCTGAAGCCGTATCGGTCGACATAGTAACGGTGTACCTTGCCTAGATCGGCACCACCATCTTCGGGGACATCGCCGAGCTTTTTCTTCAGGTCCTCGGCGCCAGAAGAGCCGGCGCAGAGCTTGATGAGCTCCTCGTGGTAGGTGCCCTTGGGAATATCCCACAGGTTCATACCACAGACGTCTGAAATATCAAACGGGGCAATGTGACCGAGGAACAAGGACGCTAGGAAAGACGAGACCAGCGAGATCCTCAGTGTCTTCTTGTATACATCAGGGTACTTTCGCTGGAATCGCAGGATTTGCGGGCCGGTGAATCGCTATACGCAGCCCATTAGCGTTTGTCAAAACACTGGCCGCAAAAGCCTTCGCAGAACGAATTGGAGCAAACTCACATGATGCGCCTTACTCCCCGTCGCAACCGCCAAAGCCTCTACACCTCCCAAGAACTCATCAAACTCATCACACTCCTTCTGCGTACTTGCATCCTGCCAATTGGGACTATACGGGTGCGAGAACGCCCCACTAAGCTGCTCCTCAAGGGTCCTCTTCTCATCCAACCCCTTCAACAACGCCTCAGCCTCCTGTCCCCAGTACACACTCCCATGCTGCTGCCCCGCACCACTGATCCCGCGCACGAGACTAAAGTCGAGGCCCTGTTTGCGCAGGTCGCTCAACACGCTATCGAGCGCCTGGAGCCACATGGCGACGGGAGCGATGACTTCATGTTCGACCTCGTTGGTGATGACTCCCTTTTTGATGGGGAAGCCGCGGGAGTCGGCGTCGAAGTCGAACTTCGAGAGGTAGACCACTTTTAGGTCGGAGTTTACGACGAGGCCTTTTAGTTGTTGGGTGGAGAGGTCGAAGCCGATGTAGAGTGGGCCCTTTGCGGTGGCCATTGTCGTAGTATGTGGTGGTTATGTTCAAAGCGGCTTGCGGGGGATTTGTTGGAGAAAGAGGAAAGGCGCGGATGACGTCGCGGGGCTGGGAGTCTTGAAGCTCGCTCGGCTCACGATATGTAGGGTATATGCACAGAAATTCCTCAATCGCTAATAGAATGTGCGATAGGGCCAGTGTCCTAAATGCGACGCAGAAGAGGAAAAAGGAAACGCAAATCCACAGTAATGGAAACGGTTATGGTGGAGAGTCGAATGTGAGGATCACCGCGGATGGGGGTTGCGTGGGAGCTTTATACTGCGGTCAATTCGTAAGGCATTACTTTTTCTAAATGCAGAACGAGCTAATCAATCTTATATTTGGCACATGACACTGACACCAAGATGATGGATTTATCCTCGTTCTTCTAGAAGCTAACGCAGATTAGCCAAAAGATCGACTCCGACTGTTCTGCCCCTCCAGTGTCCCAGGGACTTTGAGCATCGCGGGGGTGAATTGATCTCCGGCTGATGTCACCGAGACCCTCGATTGGCATGTTACTGTGTGGTAACCCCGACGTAAGGATGAAGACCGCCGCGGCGGAGGTACCGGGGCGTGGCAAGGAGAAGTCCAGCTTTCCTCTGTTGATGTAGAATTGAGTATTGTTCCAATGTTGAGGACAAAATTGATCATGGTTGAGTGAGAGTCGAACTCACCCGCCGGGAATTTGCCCGGTTAAATTCGATCGAGGTCTGGATGCTCCGCACGAATTCAACCGAGAACCAGCAGCTCGGTCAGAGATTCCACTTGTTGACGAAAGGGGTATAGGGCACTAGTTTCAGAGAGCTGTCGAGATCTCTTGGACAGCTCCGCTCAGGGCTGACGAGTGACGAGTGACGAGCCAGCAGGGAGGGAGTTGTTCATTCGCTATCAAACATGGCGGCCAAGGGTAAACCTGGTATATGTAGCCGACAGAATACATAAAAATATCGTGCATGACCTGTGAATTGTTTATTCGCTCTTTTTATATAGAAACAGTTGTAATATCCCGCTGAAACACAAGACCTGTATGCTGTCGAGTTCTGAAGCCCGCCCTCTCATCCTCATCGCGTCTTCGCACCTGACCTTGAGCATCTTCCATTCGAACAGTCTTTATTTGCTTTCACTTTCGCTCTTTTTACTCTATTTCGCACCGGTCGAACTTCCGAGTTATCCAATCCAGCTTCCTCCTGCATATTTCCGGGTATCACATCCATAATACACGAGCATACTATCCCCCAAGACTTCGCTTTATATGGAACAACAAATGACACAAAATCCAAAACAGTTAGACATTCCAGGCCGATTCAACGCCGTCTCCGGGTGGAATTCTCGTGACCGTGTTTGTGTTCGTGCCCATGCTCATTCTCGTGGTGAGCGTGCGCCTCTTCCTCAACACCATCCTCGGGCTCAGGATTTGCTTGGCTGATGACTTCAGGAGCGATAAACTCCTCGGAAAAGTCTAGACTTTCCTGTTCAAGGGGGATAAACCGGACCTTGACGCGCTTGACGCCGCGGAGGCTGGATCCAATGGTCGCTCGAACTCGTTCTTCGATCTCCCTCGAGCGTTGAATCGACCATACCCCTGGTACAGCCAATTCAACGTCCATGAGGTAGTTCTGCCCCGACTTCATGCCTTGTACGTCGCGAATTTTGACCTGGCCGCCCTCGTTTATCGTAGCGAGTGCCTTGGCTGCGGCCTTTTGAACAGCTGTCTTGATCTCGTCGTCAACGGTGGTGTCCGCCAGTTCTAGGAGCGAGGTACGAGTGTTGCCCCATCCTGCCTTGATAACCATGAGTGAAATGAGCAGGCCGCCCACGGGATCCAGCCAGGAGGCGTCCTGGAACAGATAGCTTCCGCCGATTGTGAATAGTGCAACGATACTTGTGAGGGAGTCGACTCGATGGTGGATAGCGTTCGACGCGAGAACTGACGATTTGCGTTCAACGGCGACCTTCATGGCTGCAAGGGAAAGACTCGGTTAGCTGGCTGCTGTACCCAAAACACGAAAAGAAGACAAGAAGAGAGGCACTCACTAGCATGGTAAAGCCACTCCTTCACAATAATGGAACCCGCCGCGAGCCAGGCAGCATGAATGCTAGGCCCGAGAACATCAACTCCATGACTGTGAGAGTGGCTGTGGCCGTGGCCCAGATCCAAATGAGAAATCGCCTGCGCTGCCTCGGGGAAGAACTGATCCAGCAAAACTTGTCCGGAATTCAAACCCATGAAAACACCTCCGCAGAGAAGAAGCCCGCTTACTCCTAGCGCACCGATGCTCTCAATCTTCCCGTAACCGTTCGGGAACCGTTCACTCGGAGGCTTCAGCGACCACGCGACAGTACCCAGTGTGAGAAAGTCCGAAACCAAATCCGTGAGAGCATGATAGGCATCAGCAATCAGAGCTTGCGAATGGAAAACATAACCGCCAATGAATTTGCCAATCGCCATTGCAAGATTCGCGACCAGGCCGAGGCGCGTGATCCGGACGCCGGCGTCGTGTGTGTTGGTAGAGGTGAGGTATGCGTTTCCGCCATGGTGATGGTGGTGGTGGTGGCCGTGGCCACCGTGGTCGCGTGTCTGAACCGCCATGAATGTAGTTGTGGTGCTTGGTGTCGTGGCGGAAGTTGTAGATGTGGTCAATAGGGATAACGGCGGAACGGGGCGGGCGCGGACATTTGAGGACAAAGGACAGGGATGAGCCGGAGAATATGAGCCCCTTGGGCGAAAGAGCGAAGTAGCGGTTGTACGCAAGACTCGAACCTGCGACGGAGACGAACGCGCAAGCGGAGGACGAGTCAACCGGGGTCGTCCTCTCAAGATGGAACGACGGAGCAAGGCTGAAGCTGGTGCTGGTGATGGATGGGCCCTGCACCACAGGGGCTGCGTCAGCGGCATCCCCCCGAACTGAACCACCACCACTCCCACAACTTCACTAACTCCTCCTAGTGGAACGGCAGGTCGTAAAAAGGAAATGCAAAAAGTCAGAAAATAGCCAAATTAGAATTCCGCCCGCTCGGATTCGTCAACAAAGGACACTGTGTTCTTCTCCAGCGGCCCCGGACTAGCCCATTCTTCTTCAGGAATGACTCGAGTACCGTGCTGGGAGGAGAGGGGAAGAAGGAGCTCAAATTGGTTGGGAAGCTAAGGGGAAATGTGAGGAGAAATTGGATGAAGTTCACTGGTCCTCTTTTTCTCTGACCCCTTCGTAGTATATGAACCCCAACTACGAACCCGGCAGAGAGGAGCCGACATGCGCTGACGGTCTCAGTCGATGCAGCGCCTGGTTCGGGTCGGGTGGGCTTTATGTTGTCCCGATCGAATCCGCAAAAAGTTGGAGACCTTGGAGTCGTGATATTATTCTTTTCTTGATTTCGATCTTTATCTGATCGATAATCGATTTTCGTCGCGCGTAGGCTAGGATTTTAGGATGTTTTACGTGCGTTTCCTACTCACTCGCCCCAGTCTTAGCTTGATTACAAGCATCACCGTCATGTCGCGTGCTCAGCCTTGACTCTAGTCGCGTCCTTGTCGCAGATTCTACAGTATACCCGATGACGTACGTGCATTCGCACTCCGATTCCGGAGCATATCATTCGAGGCTTCAGTGGAGACTGGATACGGAGTACAGCAGTGTGTTTCGCTTGCGCGACACTTTATCATCATCACTCATGGTCAAGTTCGTTCAGCTAGTGGTCAGATTGGGGCACTACGATTCTTATTCATCGCTTTGCGACACACGGTCATTGCCTGTTGCCTCCGGCCACTAAAGCCGCTTTCCGCCCATCAGGGCAATTAGGTCGTCTTGCATCTCGCAGAATATATTAATGGCCTAGTACATGTCAACATCTCAAGTATCCAGTAGTCAGCAGAAATTTTTCCAGAGACATACCTGTGTCAGTTTTTCCTCGCTCGCTCCGCGTTCTGCACGACTGAATTCTAGTCGGTAAACAGACTCCCTGTTCGCATACGAGGTCTGAGCTTCTGGTTTCGGGAAATCGGCGTCAAACAACGACTTGGTCTGCGAGGTGAATCCAGGCTGTGAAAGCTGCTGCAGCAGACCGGGCGAAATAGTGATATGATGCACACCGGCGAGGGCATATATCTCGTCTGTGGAGGTCAAGCTCGCAGGGAGAACCTGCGTCTTGGCGCCTATGCTTTCATAGAATTTCTGGAGCGAGACACAGAGAGGGAGCAGCTTCCCGGGGTCTACAAATCTGCCAGTCATTCAGAACACATGCTTGACGCTGGGGCCCCGTAACAGAACTTACCCAGGCTCGAAATGCACCTTCAGTTGATTCACATATGGAGCGATGTAGGTACAGCCCACCTCAGCGGCGAGGACGGCTTGGACGAAGGTGAACAGGGTTGTGGCCAGTGTGCGGACGCCTGCTAGTTCAAGGGTCCGGCATGCCATCAAGCCTTCCCAAGTGCTCGGTATCTTGATGCAGATTCTAGTGGTATCAAACGCTGGATTTAGATGCCGGAAGATCTCCACGACTCCTGCACAACGCAAACGCCGGTCAACAATCTCAGATCTCGACAATCATGGTAATGGCTCACTGAAAGCGTTCGCAACGGTCCTCTCGGTTGAGTAGGACTCATAAGGGTTCGTCTGAATGTGAACATATCCTCGAATATGCGGGGCGATTTTCAATGCTAGTTTGACCATCTGCGAAGCGAACTTAGCATGTAGACCGGCGAGTATGGATCTCATAGAAGTTAGACAAACCGCAATCTCGACAGCCAGTTGAGCGGTATCGACGCCTTGAAAACGCGGAGAAAGGGCCTCGGCATCTGTAACAGAGGACCGGATCAGGTCCGCGTGCTCAGGCTTGGAGAGCTCTCCAAACGCAATGGCCTGATTGATGAGCTCTATTTCTCTCCATTATTCTTTCAGAAGTGCCCCACGTACTTGGTTAGATGTGCAGTCTTGGAACGGCCCCAAGGTTTTGGCAACTACGAGAAGTTAGTTCCGTCCTCCCTCATACTGACACTGAGAAGCCTGGGGAGCGTTTGTAGAGGAAATTACTTTGCTCATCCATAGTGTCACAATCCACAGTTGTCCTTTTGCGGAGGATATCAAGTCCAGTTGGGCTCGCCATGGTAGCTGTTTTACGGAGCAGTGACGGATGGGTAGCAAAATGTGAGGATGTGATGGGGTTGAACAATGTCCAAGCCGGGGAGTAACTCCAGATGAGGGGAAATACGTAGCACGTCCAGACCGGCGTGCTATATTTATACCGATGCCCGACCCCCAACTTTCCTTCGTTCACATCAGCTGATAAGAACGAAATAGTGACGAGTGACGAGTCATGTTGCTGATCTCGGCTGCAATTTGCATTTAACCTTAGCAGAATGAGTTGGCAGACTCGGCCGGCCTTCACCCCAACCTCAACACCTATTGTACGGCATTAAGACCAGGCCACAAATCAGACAGTGGTATCAGTTTTAGAATAGGAAGACTGCAAGACAAGCTTGAAGCACGACCTGATATTGTGAAGGATTTAAGGTGCAACGTAGATCTTCAGCCAACTTGAACCGTTCATCTCGGCTCGATATAGATCCAGACTACTCGGGAGCCATGGATGGAACCCCGAACCACGAAGCTGCTTCAATTGCTTGAGAGCATGACCAAGGGAGCTCAGGTGATTGACAAGGCCATCAGGGCTCAAGTCGCGCTTTCTTGAGGAATTGACGCTTGTAGCGATGTTTAAGCCTACTCAGTGGAGATAGGAGCTTTGATGGTCTATTCATACCGCACCGAGTCTACGAAGATTTTGTAACCCTGATATGAAACCCTTTCCTTTCATGGAAAGAAAGAACTGGGCGATTAACGACGGGATGGATTCCTCTCAGGGATCTCGTTGACTTCTGCGGTCGCGACAGAATGCCGAACCAGTGAAGCCTCGCTGAGCACGTCAACATCATTCCGAATGGTAGACAACGTGGGCTGAGTCCCATGGAGAGAAAAGAGAGAGAAGAAGAGGAAGCTCGAAAAAAGAGAAAGCGTCGGGAAAGTGCGCTGGTGGGATGGAAGAACAAAGTTCCGGGAAGTAATACAACAGCGTTGATTGGCCACATTCCTCTCAGCACACGAAATCCCGTGACTTTGGACGAAACCCGAGGTTAGCCCATCCCGTGATTCCGAGCCGTTGCGAGAGGCTCGGGAATTCAAGGCCACTTTCTTCGAGACGACGACGTGCAGTCCCTTTGTTTGGATTTCGGCCTCTTCACTGTTGCTTGGTTCCAGCAGATTCACAATGATTTCTCAGAAGGTTGCTCAGCAGTCGCTGCGACGGCGTATGTGCATTGAATCCCCGCAAATCCGGCAATTGATCGCTCTCTAACTTCTTCCAGTCGCCGTCCAGCAGCCCTATGCCATGCGGTGGTCTCTCATGAACGCCGCCTCACCTGCCGCCGTTGCTATTGGAAGAAACGTTCAGACAAGGTGAGCGGACAATCTGCAACTTCCGCGACCGGGTCTAGAAAGTTTTCGGTCCTGGGAACAGTCGCTTTTTACGTCATGCGGCGGGTGCCTCTGCCCCATGGGGACCGCTGAGATATTGCAGTGGTATACAGGATAATGCGCTAACAAACGCGATTAGATTCGCCGCAACCGACGCGAAGACCACCGATCCCACAAAGCTCCTCGCCGAGCAGCGTCTCCGCCGCCCCGTCGCTCCCCACCTGTCCATCTACCGACCTCAGATTACCTGGTACGGTAGTGCTGCTCACCGTGTCACTGGTCTTCTCCTGTCCGGCCCTCTTTACCTCTTCGCAACTGCCTACCTTGCCGCTCCTTTGTTCGGCTGGCACCTCGAGTCGGCCTCTCTGGCTGCTGCTTTCGCTGGTCTGTCCGTCGCTGCTCAGGTCGGTCTGAAGAGCTTTTTCGCTTTCCCCTTCACCTACCACTGCTTGAACGGTCTGCGACACTTGACATGGGATCTTGGTCGGGGTATCACCAACAAGCAGGTTGCGCAGAGTGGGTGGCTTGTGGTTGGCGTGAGCGCCGTTACCGCTCTTTTCCTTGCTTTCCTTTAGATTCTCCATGTCATACCTATGTTTGCGATTTCAAAATTTGTTCTTCTTGCAATATATTTACACCGGTGCTTTGAGGACTGATCATTAAATGGAATATATCTTTTGTGTTGCATTATATCTTCATTCGGGTATTGCCAGTCTTGCCTCCCAGCAGGGATTCGACATTGGGACCTCAAATGTCGCAGTCCCCGAGACTACGGGATGAAGCCTCAAAGAAAAAAAAAAAGAACAGCAGAGGGAGGTTGCCAAAGAAGTGGTGACATCTGTTGGCAGACTGTCGCTGGTATTGCTGAGATCGCGAACTGCTAACTCTTATCTTAGTCGGGAAAGGTCCTACCATGAAGTGCTTGGATATGAGCATGAATTTGGAAGCAACGTTCTGGCATGCTTTGGTGACAAATAAGCTGGGGGAAAACAGACAATCTTGAAAGAACCGCATTATCCCATCTCTACTACCCTCGCATTTGTTCTCCCTCAACAATCTAAATCACTTTCCAGGCAGTCTATCGATTAACTCCCAATCGCCACCGTTCCCTCAAATAAGTCATCTCGGGATGTACAGTTGTTTTAGGTCGGTTATCTCGCTTCGTGTCATCGTTGAATATGCGGCCGTTGAATCGCACTAGGTTCTCTGCTCAGTCTCGACGGGTCAATTCAGAGCCAACGATCAATCCACGAAAGTCTTACGTATGATCTCGTTTATCTGCAATGAACCCCCAAGAAACCGTGACCGGCGTGCGGGAGCCCTACGCAGGGCTTGGAGGAGGGTTCGCAGGAAAAGGTCGGGGTGACGGCGGATCTTGTACCGAGAAATCTCGCGTCGTGTTTCCCTCTTCGCAGACTTGTGGTGCTCGTTGCCTCGCCACTGGAGCAATGATATGCATGGAGAGAATACTGTTGGGAATCATCTCGCTTGGTCCGGAGGCCATGGTGTGAAGCAAAGGGCGCTTTCTCGGTGATTTTCGATAGACGTTATGGCACGGGATATAAAGGCAAAGGTATCCGGCAACGGTCCTTGTGACTGTCTCTGGTGTGGATGGGGAGTGATGGTAGTAAAGGTCTTTGTTCTCAACAATGAATTTGAGAGTCTTCTCCCTGACACCAGACTAACGCTCTATTTAAGATCCCAGGCCCTCAGCCCGGTTCCGAACCCGAGAGATTGTCTCCGTTGAACAAGTTGTACACCGCTCGAACCACGCCATCCAATCTACGGGAAGAGAGCGCGCGGATATGACAAATTCCAAGTCGACCTTCTTGTGATGGGATCAGATCTAAAGCCGTCCTCAGTTGTTTCTGCAAGGGCCCGACGGAAGGCTAGTTGTATAGAATGTCAGACAGAGCGCTTGTTGCCGGCAGGCTCCGGCCACATACAACAAGACCATTCCTGAGGCGCAGCAGGGCTACAAATCTTCTGCCTATGAAGGACCAACGCCTCTGCATCATGCACTATCGGACGGTTTTTCTCGCGGCACCGTGGTCACACAAGCTTGCGGATTCCACCCTGTGCTACCAGGCGCTGGAGAGCTTTATTGCAGGAATAAACTTTGAACCGGGGTGTATGGTTGGTCAACACAGAGCATTTGCAGCTTCCAATCAGGCAACCGACTGAGGTAAAAGTAGCGTGTGGACCTTTCGAGAAAGACTCCTAGTGTCGAGCTCGGCGTTCAAGTTGTATACAGGATATCCCACTCTCTGTTAGGGCACACTACAGCTTAAGGGCCCCAAAAACTGGCGCCTTCTTTAGATTCGCAGGCTGGCATTATTTCCGCAGCTGTTTATGTTGCTGGGCCTCATCGATATGCTTACGTCCGAGCTATGTGCACGGGCCTTGAATCATGATCGCGAGTTCTCGCTCGAGTGAGTTTCCGGATGATCTATCAACTTGCTAGGTGACTTACAGACATATCGGGTGTCGTTCAGAAACACCTCAAAGACCCATACCGTCTCATGCTTTCGACTGACTTCTCAAGGAGACACGCCTCCATCACCCAATCGCATTCTCACCCCCTAATCACCCCGTTTGAGGTTTGGAGCGGTCTGGCAAAAATGAAGAAACAGATACGATACACCACTCACCTTAGGTAAATGAAACCAGAAAGTGCAGCTTCAAAGTTAAAGTCGGTGTCCAATGCAAGCAACACGAACACGTGGACAGTTCCATAGTTACGCACCTCGCATTCTATATGAAGGTTGCACAACGAGCATTGGGAGGCCTGTTTTAAGTTTCTATAGTGTTTGAGGGTTGAAAATGCCTGTTCCTTGCCATAGGGGGGGATATCGTCGCATCAGCATATTCCTCTGCCTGCCGATTCGCTTCCCGGATTATTGACTGCGCGGAAGCTGCCAGCAACCGGGAGGGAATAGGAAAACGTAGCGATGGATAAATCGGAGGAGTGCTCTCCACCCATACCTGGCCTTCCCGCGGATGTCATCCTTGTACTCAATGCGTGAGGAGGTTGGGATCTTGTTTTGCTTTCAACAAGGGTTCATGGCTGACATTCGAACGTATACAGTTCCAGTCCCTATGAAACAACAGGCATCTAGCAACAGGGGAGAGCCAAATTCTGTATTCACTTTTTCGCTTCCCATCATGCTATCGTCACTGGAGAACGCCTCATAAGTAATCAGAGACGGCATAAATTGCCCGTCGGCTGTGACCTTTGAACTTCCTGCGTGGCGAAGATCTGAAAATATGCTTTTTGAGTCAACTGACCGGATGTCACCTACCAGTAGTAGCTTCAAACGTACGGAAATCTGGTGCAGACTCAGGAAACTCACGTCCAGTCATGATTTACCAATGGCGTCAAGCGGTCAATTCTAGATCGGTCTAGGTGCTGCAGGCGCAAAAGATACAATGCAAAGTACCTCAGATTGCCTATCATAAGAAATACTTCATAGAAGCAGGTACGGGTCGAATCTGGCGGTGCGGAAGGCTGAAGGTTTCGTCTGCATGTGTTTGTGTGATGCAGCCTGGCTTTCGCCTCTTATTACGGCGCCTTGAGTGACACTGACAGGGTTATTTGGCATTCTGCTTTTTTCCTCCTCGGGTCAGTCCGCAAAATTCCATATTGCGGTGTGAGCTAAGGCGGATGCTTGCCCTCGCAGACGGTTGCTGGAGAGGTACCTTTGGGCGGCGTAATATGACAGGGTCAAGGTTCCCGTCAGTAGCAGCTTGCTGAATATCACGGGATTGACCAATGTCTTTTCAGTTGGGGAAGCCGCATCAGACTAAAGATTGGGCCAAAAATTCTTCCTCAACTGCCGTAGCACAAGTAGTACAGAGTACGTCGATTCACCGCGTGATACTGGCCGAAGCCAAAGTAGCAGGTACCTGAGGCCACTAAGCCCGCTCGGGACTAGCGCCGAGTCTCCGAATTCTTTCCAGGCCATCTCGAAGTTCCACGCATGAAAAAAGAGCCGGACAGTTCAATTGCCTCCGCTTCTCCCATTCATTCGCGCCATCATGGCTTCTCTACTGCCAACTCGAGCGGTCAGGTCCGTTGCCTGTTCCGCATGCCGCTCTTTCACTCCGTCCGCTCCGGCAACCCTCGCCCTCCCTCTCCTTCGCCGTAACTACTCGACGGAGCAGGAACCAATCGACTACACAAAACAGCCACGATGGTCGTACACGCCTCCTCGCGCAGCAGCCCCTTTCAGTCTGCACTTCGAATCGAAACGGCCTCACTTCCCTATCAACAACGACCCGGAGAAGCTGGACAACTTCTACATCCGTTTCTTAGGCCCCGATGGTGACAAGGTTCTCTCGGATGAGGTTAAATGGCTTGCAGTGACGCATAAGAGTTTCGATCAGGGTCGCAGAGGGTTCAACGATCGCCTGGCATTCTTAGGTACGCTGCTCTCACAGCTTCCGGTGATTTTGAACGAAGGATCATGGACTGATTTCGGCTTCAACTAGGGCGACGCATCGTCGATCAACAAGCCTCTCTCGCCTTGGTGCAGAGCCCCCCGAATACTCATCCTGTCGCCCCCGATACCTATGGCCGCGAGCCATTCACCCACCCTGCGCTAGACGGGCTCGACAACCTGTCCTCTTCCACGAAGAAATATCTCACAAGCAAGGTGAACCTTGCTAGAGTTGCGCAAGAGTACGAGCTGCAGACGGTTATAAGATGGACTCCTCGGAAGGTGAGATTGCATTGACATTGCATTTGTCCGGCTTGCGCATTATTGCTAACGGTCCCAGCCCGGCAACCTCCGCAGTTCCGGTCTCGAGCTGGTCCTTGCCCATACGCTGTACGCCCTGGTTGGCGCCATAGCTCTAGAGAAGGGCGGACTCGTCGCCAACCAGGTGGCACGAGAGCGGATATTAGCGCCTCTTGGATTCAAGTTGACATAGTAAGTCGGGGTTCCATGTGAAAATAGCCGCAGGAGCATTTTCAAGGCGTTTATGATCTTTTCTTGGATATTTTTCAGTGCGTGTTGGGAGGATTGGGGAGAGTTGATATACTACTACTTAACTACTTGTACTATTACTACGACTTGTGCTATATGAAGACCACATACCATCCATTTTACCATTGAACTTTTCAATTTCATTCTGTCTCAACTATTCTCTCTTGATACACAATAAACCTCATAAATGAAAGAAAATGAATGTGCGGTTCCTCTGACACCGCCCGAGTAACAGCGCAAAATACTCGGCCAGTTCTTAATGGAACCCTCTTACGATGCATAGTCTGCGCGCCTCTTTATCGCAAAGTAGCAATAGAAAACCCGATACCAGTCCGACAGAAGGCCGGCGATGGTGATGGGCAATCGCAAAAAAAGAATTTTTGATTTGTACTAGCTTGCACTGTCTGTTGGGAGCGTTGGTACAAAGAAGAAAAGACCAAAGCTGTGGGAAAAAAAATGGACTTTATATCTGGGCCTGAATGTGATGCTAGGCCGTTTTGAGCTAGTCTGGGCTTGGCCTGTTAAAGTTAGGCCAAGTGCACGTGATGGGCATCTCGAGGTTTGTATGAATATCGCTGTAGTTATATGCTGGGAAAATAATAGGAGCAAGTAAATAAAGTATGGAACGCTAAGCTTCCCTAAGTAGACCCTGCTGTACTCTATGTGACCGTGTTCTCAAAATTCACCTTGTTCCGTCGGTAATTCCCCCTCTCGTAGCCGTATAGTTGACCCAAAACTAGGCGACCTCAGGGACCCTTCAGATTTAGCTCCTCTTTGAGATACCTTGGGGTCTTGAGCCGAACTACACCATTTCCTCTTCTGATGCTTGAGCTCTCCTATCCTCAGTCGCCGCCTATACCCATTTCTAACTCTTTGTCGAGCACCTCCCTTCCGTCGCCCGGGAGAGCACAACACCGACTAGTGGTTTCGCTGGCCTAAACTCGTCCCAAGAGCTCCTGACGTCCGCCTTTCTCCCCCGACCACTCCTCCCCCGTCCTCCGCCATGGCATCGGCCATTTTCTTCCTCGATCTGAAGGGCAAGGTATGTCTCTATATCTGTGGCTGAAGCCTCCCGTCAATTCCCATTCGGCTGCACGCTGTCGCCCGTGCTGACCGATCTCATGTAGACCCTCCTAGCCCGAAACTATCGCGGAGACATTCCCATGTCCGCCGTTGAGAAATTCCCCATCCTCCTCAGTGACGCTGAAGAAGAAAGCTCCGCTGTACCTCCGTGCTTCTCTCACGAAGGAATCAATGTAGGTTCATTGCGTGCGACTGGCTCCTTACTTGTCGCACGTCCCCCGCCGCTCCCCGCAACCCGCGCTGCTACATCTGGTTTCTGTGCATACCGCAAAATAGCAAACGCCCGAAGCCCAAAGGAGAAACATTGGATAGATTGCTTCACATAACAACTCTTGAAACTCCTTCCTAAGCTAATATTGTGTCGTCTAGTACCTCTACATCCGTCATAGCAACCTCTACATCCTCGCCCTGACCAAGAAGAACACCAATGCGACTGAAATCCTCCTCTTCCTCCACAAGGTTGTGGAAGTATTCACAGAATATTTCAAGGTGCTGGAGGAGGAGAGTATCCGTGACAACTTCGTCATTATCTACGAATTGCTCGATGAGATGATGGATTTCGGCTACCCACAAACCACGGAAAGCAAGATCTTACAAGAGTAGGCTGCACTTATTTGAGTTAAAATACCTTCGAGATATGGCTAATGGATATTCTCAACAGATACATCACACAAGAATCACACAAGCTCGAAGTGCAGGCACGACCGCCCATCGCAGTCACCAATGCCGTCTCCTGGCGAAGTGAAGGCATCCGCTACCGCAAGAACGAAGTCTTTCTGGATGTCGTCGAGTCGCTCAATCTTCTGGTTTCCGCGACTGGCAACGTGCTACGGTCGGAGATCTTGGGTGCTATCAAGATGAAGTGCTATCTCAGTGGGATGCCGGAGCTTCGTCTGGGGTTGAACGACAAGGTTATGTTTGAGACTACGGGGCGTGCCACGCGAGGCAAGGCCGTTGAGATGGAGGATGTGAAATTCCACCAGTGCGTCCGATTGTCGCGTTTCGAGAACGACCGAACCATCAGCTTCATCCCGCCGGACGGAGAGTTCGAGCTGATGAGCTACCGTCTGAACACACAAGTCAAGCCTCTCATATGGGTTGAGTGTCTGGTCGAGTCGCACTCTGGTTCTCGAATCGAATACATGCTCAAGGTACGTGTCCATGTCACCCTCACTTGCCACCGGGTTCTCATCTTCATCACAGGCCAAAGCCCAATTCAAACGCCGCAGCACCGCCAACAATGTCGAAATCCTCGTCCCAGTCCCCGACGACGCCGACTCCCCGCGCTTCCGCACAAACATCGGAACAGTGCACTACGCGCCCGAAAAGTCCGCCATTGTCTGGAAGATCAAGCAGTTTGGCGGCGGCAAGGAGTTTCTCATGCGTGCTGAGCTCGGTCTCCCATCTGTCAAGGGCGACGACGAGCACGGCGGTGGCATGACTGGCGGCTTCGGAGGAAGCATGGGCGGGACTCTCCAGGGGAAAGCGAAGAGACCCATCAACGTCAAGTTCGAAATCCCATACTTCACTACTAGTGGGATCCAGGTGCGGTATTTGAAGATTACGGAGCCAAAGGTTTGTCCTCTTTTCTCCCTTCCCTTCCCTTCCCTTCACATTCCTTCCTCACCTCTTTTTCCCGAATCAATCTGCTAAAAACCCTCGCTACTATATAGTTACAATACCCCTCCCTTCCATGGGTCCGATACATCACACAGTCTGGGGATATCGCTGTCCGTATGCCTGATGTACAATGATGTAAAGACTTCTTTTCTTTCTACCCCTTTCCCCCCTAATCTTCTGTCCATTTGCGCCTGCGTCGATTATGTGCGTTATAGTTCAAATAGATGATTCTTCTTCTTCTTCGTTATTTTCCTTGTCTCATGTGGTAGGGGCGCGGAAGGTGGTGTTGGTGGTGTTGGTGGTGATTTCCGGTTCCGTAGTAGTAGGTGCGATTGAAGTGCATTGGTCTCGGTGACTGGTATGATAAGTGCCCTGAAAGTGCCGGGGGTAGTATGTGATGGTTTTATACCCAAAGCGCTGAGATATGTAGTAGCATTTGGTACGGATATATATATATCTCTACTCGGAGCGCGCGTGAGAGGTAGACCACCAGGAGGCGAAGCCAATTGAGCTGGTGGAAACATAGTTGGGTAGCATTTGTTTGCACTCTCTCTCTTGGAGATTGCATCAATATACCTACTTATCCGAACCTGCTTTTCCACGATAGGATGTGACTTGTCTCTCTACTTTGCCCGACGAAACGCGATTCAATTGACACATGTAGTATTTGTGCACTACAAACTACCGCGAGAGGGGGAAAAAAGCTAAGTGGATAGATGGTCAAAGTAAATCATGAGTAGAGCGGAGCATATTCAAACTCTTTCATTTTCCATTCAATCCTGCCTAAATCGGAGTCAAGGATATCAATACAAGGGTCCCATTCATACTGGGCGTGAGTTGGGTATCTCAAAAGGGGAGCTTTTTTGGAGCGATGTATGTATGCATATGGCATGTGGTTAGAGACCGAAGCGGTGGTGCGTTGGGAGTCCACGGCGGGAGCGGGGAAGATCGAGGGTGTGCGAGTCTCTCAGTCTCTGTTATGAAGGGGTAGCTTGTTCTAAAATGTCGGATGCGCTTCGGACTAGTTGCTATTCGAGTCGGCGTCTGGGGAATTAGGCATGGGGAGCGGAAAGCCGTCTCCGTGGGTGGCGCCTGCGGCCTTCGAGAACCCTTCGCGGGCGAGCATCGTGTTGAGCACGGCGCAATTGTACGCTGCCTCGCCTGGAGGCACGACAACGAAGATGTATGTGTTATCTGTGAAGCGGCCGAGGAAGACGTTGAACTGCGGAGTTTTCGTGTGCATGACGATGAACCCAGCTGACGCCGGAGTCGTGTGCGTGTTCCGAGCAGCGCAGTGCTTGAACGCCTTCATAATATTTGATAACCGCTCATGACGGTCGTAGATGGGGTTCAGGTCGCCGATTTCCGACGAGACCGAGGTGACGGTAAGGAAGGTGGAGCGCTCGAAGAGGATGACTTCCTCTGCGTCGATGCGCTTCGCAAAGGCTTGCAGGAACCGTTCAATGACGGTGAGATTGGGGATGAGTTTGTGGACTATCCCCGCCCAAGCTTTGTACAGAGACTGGTCCCAGATGCTGCTGCCGAAGGTGTCAATTGTAAAGTGTTCCGTGCGGCTTCGGATCAGGGCGGAGCGTTCGTCGTATATCCGTTGGCGGTGCTCGGCTTGGATGAGGTCGAGCTTGTGTACTAGGCAGAAGACGTAGGCATGTGGGCTGTATTCTCGTAGTGCTGTTATTATCGCACTATATGTATCCAGGTCCCGTTCGACCTCACGCGACTCGATATCGAAGACGTAGATGAGGACTGCGACGTCGGAGAAGATGTTCCCGCGCTGCGAGGCGAGGTAGGTTTCCATAAAGGCGTCTTGTCTGCGAGCGCGTTCAGTCAGCGAACAGAATGGAGAAAATGACATTGCACCTACCCTCCACAATCCCAGAGATTCAACGTGAGGTTCCCCATGAACTTGACATGACTATGCTCCACATCAATTGTTGCCCCAAGCCGCCGTACATCCTTCGCAACATAATTGCTGAATATAATTGACCGCATAGACGACTTCCCCGAGCCACTCTTACCCATCAAGAGGACCTTTCTTTTCTTCTTCCGACCGTCCATTGCTATCGCTGGGTTGAAAAGGGCGCCGTAGCTCGTACGTTAACCGGTGGTACCCCGCAGCTGCCGTGCAAGAGGGAGGCAGCTCTCGTATGGCGTCGGCTTCAGCATTCGATATTCTTGGTTCTTGGTTCAGCGGGCAAATGTAGAATGAAGAATTTGCAATGACGACAGGTCAGTATTGTGGAATGCGGCGGCTTTTCAATTGTTCTGGAGTTGGAGATGCTTCACTGGACCAGCCTCGTCATAGCGTTGACACTCCGGTCTAACTATCTTCCGCTCCGTCACGTGCACTCTTACGCTCTTGAGAATGTACTCCATATAAGGATCAAGACCACTTTTTGAAGAATCTTCTCATTCATTAGTACATGTGTCAATGCTGCACTCACTGGATGCATGTTGGATCCATTGAAGAATAATTCCAAATTCGCCTAGGCCCGATCACGAAAGTATGTATACATGGAAGAACATTCGCCCTAGAAGAATATATCTACATCGTGGTATGTAATGGAGAACCGGACGAAAAGAAGTGAAATGGTGAAAGGTAAAGGTAATCCAAACAGGAAGTTAAGAAGTGGGTGAAGAGAATCGAGGGCGTGCACATGGTCGTTAAACGTCGTAAATCCACCCCAGCTTTTCTAATAGCATGGCGCCGGCGGTGTTTGGTATCTATTTGAGAAACGCGGTCGGGCAGAAGTGCGATAATTAGAAAACTGTGCCGTCGGAGCGGATCATAATGGGCGGTTCTTTTGTGTTTGGCCTCGAAACCTCGGCAATTTCACGACCACCCTGCGTACGTTAGTTTGGGTATAAAGTGGAAAGCAGGGGTAATCTGTGCGCACCTTCCATGTGCCTGCCTCGAGCATCTGGGCTAGTGTCAGTTGGTCCTCTCCAAGGAGTCCGAGCTGCCCATTGACCTCTTCCAGAAGGTCGTCCAAGAAGCCAACAGTGACTGCCCGCCATTCAACTACCACATCATCATCCGCGGAGAAAAGTGGCACAACCTCCACGCTCGGTTGGCCTTTGATCTGAGCGTTCTCCTTGTATGCGGCAATGCCGCGCTCGAGGTCAGCTTGCTTGAGGGTCAGTAGCCCCAAGTCGATCAGAAGCCCTCCATTGCGGTATTCTGGCAGTCCAGTGAGCAATTCGCTGCCCGCGACGTGAATCTTCATGAGCTTCGACATAGGGACCATGATTGAGTAGCAGAGCCACTGCGTGAGCTTGTGGAAGGGGACGATGCTTTCCCAAGGTTGAGCCGGAGGAGATCGAGGAAGGTCGGAACATGGCCAGGCATCTCCGATAGACAAACCGTCCACTCTGGTTCTTGAAGGAGGCCAGATCGAGGCGAATCCGTCTATGAGGACCGTCCATAATGTCGTGATTGGGACGATCGGGACCGATGAGGCTAATGTTGAAGGGTGCGAAAGGAGGTAGTCTGCTTGGGTTAGCGAAGACAGATAATCTTGAGAACGCCAACACTTCACGTACCAAGCATGTTCCCTGGTCTTGCGTCCACACCGAAGAACTCTTGGTTGTTCAGCGCATCCGAGAGCCTCATCAAAAGTCCAGCGCGACCTTCAATACCAGCCAGTTGATTGCTATCCGAGTGCTGGAATCCCTTGGCAAGAACTTGCACTGTAATTTTCTTCAACCCAGCACCGTCCACCTGGCAAGGTTCTGTAGAGTCGCTGCTGAAAAGTCCGCTCTTAAACATTTCCAACGTGGCCACCGCTAAACCCTCACTTCGCGAGTAGACCTTACCCGATTCCTTGGACTTGTACGACCAACTTGTACCCGCTCCAGCATCCAACAGAACTGATACCACAAAGAGGTCGATCAATCGCCGAGTCCGCTCTTGTGCATCGACTGTACTCGGCCATGACTGCAGCAGCTGATTGACACGGGGTCTCCCGCCCACATCAAAATGTTGCCAGCGACCATGTGGAGGAATCGACGAGTAGTCCGGAGCGTAGTCTCTCTTTTTGCGACAACAGAAAATGTGAGCCAAGCTGAAGAGGGGCGACAAAGCGCATCACATGATGAGTGAGGGGCAATGGCACGTGTGGGCTCACCTTGATGATAGACACCACGTAGGATGCTGTTTCGGCAAACTTGGTCATATCGACATCGAAATGATTAAGTTGATTTCGCTTAGCCTTTCTCAGGACAATATGGGATCGGTGTCGGACTGCATGGATGCTGCGTAGGTATGCTGCCGGATCCAGGGCCGGGTCGGGGGGACTTGCGATTGCGAGCTCTGGAATGGAAGAGGGCAGCGCGCCGCTTTTGTAGCCCGGCGATTTCAATGATGCATTTGAGGTGCGAGCGCTGTTGACCGAAACAAAAGATTCGCGGTCCTCTTTCTCCGCTGGGATCGAGTTCTTGGAGTCCTTGCGCTTGAAGATACCCATGGCGGAAACGAATCTGACGAGCGACGGGGAACGAGGAATTGGTTGCAGAGGAAAGGCAGGACAATCGAATTGTTCAGCCCGAAGAGAAGAGCTTGATAGACCAAGCTAGGAGGCACCAGTCGAGGGGTTATTGGACTTTGCCCGGGGCTGTCGACTCACGGGGACGAATTCGGATAGGAGAGGGGAGGGGAGGGACAATAAAAGATAATGATCTGCAGCTGCAGAACCGCGTGGCAGATTTCTTTTTCTTTGTTGCGGGACTCGTTTTCTATTGTTTGCCCATGATCTGATGATCTGAAGATCTGATTCTAGTCGGCCCCTTGAGGTAGCGAGAAGAAAGGAAGCGTGTGGAAAGGGTCTGAAAGTATCGAGGAGAAAAGAGGAGGAGAAAGAGGAGGGCCTCTGGAACCGTGGTACCTGAGCAGCAACAAATAAGCTGGAGCGGGGGTGGCCGGGAACTGCAGTTGAGTCGCGAGGCGAAAAGGAGGTTTACTAAGTTACTAACGCTCTTCAAAGTACTCCGTCGTTGTCTAAAGACCCGCGAGAGGTCTCCATTTCGGGCCCTTCGAGGCGGATATAACTCGTCGAGTGGTCCAGTCTCGGAGTCGGGAGGTGGGGAGCTTGGAGTCTGTCCAATTTCCTAGCGCCTGATGTTCGTGTGGTCTAGTCCCTGTGCGGAAATTCTGGCACAGATGCCGCCAGGATTGTGCGCACTGAACCTGCAATTATGGATCTAGAATCGGATGTTCCGACTCTGTGATATGATGAGGATTCTCGAGGGAGCGAGCTGGGAGATGTCATCTCTCCCCACCGCACATGTCATCATGCAAGGCACATGGAAATTGAAGGTTCTATTCCATGCCTATAGTACCCGCCCCTAATTACTCCGGGTGTCCGTATAGAACCCAGTCGCCGACTCCATAATAAGGGCATTGAGCACAGATGGTTACTAGTTGGCGCTATTGTATGCACGAGGGCGATAGAGTTTCTTGCTCTGCCTGTGCTTTGCCAAGGTGGACACCATGTGTTTTCTCGTACAGAGTCGGGCTATCATTTAGTCTGCATCAGTGCACTGTGCAGTGAGCACTGAGCATCTCGCTTTTCCAACAAATCCAACAGAAAGCAAAAATCCCTCGCAAAAACCTTCACTCAGTGAAAGCATCAGTGGGCCCACCCTTAGCGAGCTCCTGTCCGGAAACTTGTACCGTTGACAGCACGGGAGACGAAAGAAGGATTGATATGCGATGGATGTAATTGCTGGTGAGAACTCCACCGGGATTCCCGACACCCGTCATTCTGCTCCGTTTCTTCGATCCTTGGCTATAGCATGGAGGAATCACTTTCTTGGGGATCAATGTCCGCGCTCCCCCGTCTAAACATCAACCTGCTGGCGGACGCACTAATGCGGGAGACATTGCCCTGGCCGGACTGCTGGGTCGACTTGGGCGGTTTCATCTTTAAAGTTTGACCCCTCAGACCAGTCAGGACTCACCTGGGCAGCAACCAGAATGCACGGCCTGGGCAGAGAGGAAAATAATGGTCGACATTGGACAATTGATTGTTGTCTCCACCGGGACTAACGGGCGCAGTCTCCGCGCCCTTCGCGGCCATTTCACGCTTTCGGGCGCCAACCGACGACCTGCACCATCGGTTGCGAAAGCAACTTGAGATCATGGACGACGTCGTTTTGGACGCAGTCGCAGGCACAAGGTTCGAGTTTATACTTGGTTTCAAACTTTGAGTCGGGTCACTTCCATGCCCACGAAGGCGGACCAGAACTCTCCGGTCGGTGTTTCTTCGGGTAGTATATAGTTAGATTGGGCTGCAAGATCCTTGTTCACCTGCCTCACCCCTGAACTCGAGAGGACGGCCATCTGCTCGACCATCGACCATGCTTGAGAATGGTAATCTGCGTCCTAGCACACCAATATGATTAGAAAGCTGGCGTATGTGATCCGAAAGGGCTGAGAGATGCTGGGCCCACTCTTCATCGAAGTGTACAACAAAGGGATGAACCGATATGCTAGTGAAGAAGACGCGTGTCTCCACCATCAAGGGTGCGAAACGGTCAACGGTCAACATCCGGGAACCAGAGAGATGCAGCCAGGAGCCAGGCCTGACGGGAAGAGGAGATGTGCGGAGATGGTTTTGGAGATAGTGTTTGGTGTGTGTGTTCGATGATTCTTGGCCTTGGATCGGAACAGCGGACGGTCCATTGATGCTCGAGTGCAAAGTGGTACCATGGCACCTCACATTCTAGAATTTAGTTCTTCCGGTTCTGCCTTTGTCTGGCTATGCGACATATTTCGCAGTGATCTGGATTATTATCTCCTGCTGTCAGCGCGACAGCTACCTACTCCGGTCGTTGATGATCTCTTGAGCCTTGAGGGTATTCGGACTCCGGAGTAGCTGCGCCTCCGCGGTCCCTCGAGGATGATGTGTGGGATAAGAGGAGTAAGTCTGCTGGAAGTCAAAAGTACGTTTTGAGTCCTCTGTCGTTCGGCTGCACTGAGAGCGAGTAACCTGATCAGGGTCTAGCGTGTCTGGGAGGAAACCTCCAGCGTGCCTCTCGGCACCGCAGTGCGTGGTCTTTTGAAATTCCCTGTTTCTTCAGCCCTCGGTCACCATTTTCGAGTTCCTACTGTTCTGTCGGCGTGAGATTGGTGAAATACTTGTGCTACAAGGCTGGCTATCCCGATACTGGACTTCCTCGCTCTCTTTCCCCGCCCGGTGACTTGGGATTGGTGGGTCGACTGGCGAGGGCGGTCGAACTACTAGGTAAAGCCGTGATGGTTCAGGTTGATCACTCTGGATATGCCTCTCTATAGTGCCCGCACTGCTCGTCAGCGCGTCCCTTCTATCAACTAAACAGTTCGCTGGAGTGATTATGGCCAACCGTCAAGCAGCTTTGTCTCTTGGGACTCCCGCTTGAATTGCTCTTGGTTGATTATTTTGTTGCGTGTCGCTGTGCTGCATCCTCATGTCCTCGAGGCTCTTAATGCTCGCCTGGAGCTTGCATCATCTCTTCCGTCTTCTCCAGAGAAATTTATGGCAGCTAACGAGATCTTCTATTCTTCTGTGGAAGTCCAGCAACAACCATTCCATGTTTCTGCCTGATCCGCCGAAGTGCGATTGGTATCAGTTGCAACAGTTCAGGAGCAGCATCCAGCGGATCAACGGCACCGGCCCGATATGAGAGCGATTTCGAGAAAGTTGTACCCAGCGGGAAAGGGACATCGTTGCGGATGCGATCAGCCAGAGGGACGCCTAAACACTCGTGGACATTGGCCTAGATCCATACGGCACCAACACCCCACCAGTAGCGGCTACGATGATCGTTGTTCGAAGGACAATGCCTTGGTCCAAGTGGATTGTTACATTGACGGCTTCTATCCCGACACAGTCGGCGCTACAAGCAACACCATTCGGCTCATGACGGAGGGTCTCTTCTACCGCGTCCCTGTTGACAAAGTGTATCGGAACGGTACCGAGAAACTCAGTAATGCCTAAACGCTCTGAAACCGAGTTGACAACATAAACGCGCAATGTGCCGCGAAGAAATGCCGAGAACGCTGCAAGAAGCCCTACAGGACCAGCACCAAAAACAGCAATGTGTGTCACCTGGCACGAATCCCGCAAACTCAAGCGCCCTCCACCCGGTGGCAAAAACGTCGGAGAGAAACAGGTACTAACTCGTATCCCTGGTGGAGTTGAAGGCAAAGGAATCCGGCAGACGAAATAGGTGGCCTCTCCGTACGGAACAAGCAGGTACTCGCCTATCGGCGCAAAAGTCACTGTCAGCATCGGCGCGGGCGAGAAAGATGCAGGCCACAGTCCGTGTATCAGCGGTGTAAGCTCACTCTGGCATCCACGAAGACCTCCACGATCCGGACCCATGCCAAACGGATAGGTCACAGTCTTTCCCCATAATTTGAGTTTGATGAACAATGCCCGAAACAACAAGGGCGTCTCCGACTTGCAGGGTACAAACAGGTTCCCCATCTCCGAAAATCCGGCCCATTTGTTTCATGGCCCATGGGCCAGGGCGGGGTTTGACTGGCATAATGCCCTCGGTAGGTGTGAAGATCCGTACCGCAGATGCTCGCAGCGGCTATTCGAACAATCGCATCAGTTGGGTTCCGGATTGTTGTCGTTGGTAGGTTGCCGACAGCAACATTTCGTGGCTGTTCTTGCCAAACAACTCCTCGCATGGTAGCATTCAGCGGTAGCGTAGCGTTCCGAATCGAAGCTATTCTTGACGAAGCAAGCAAGCGACTCGAACCTGGTCCGTTTCTAAGATAATACTCCGGAAAAAGGAGGATCCAGCGGTATATAACTTGCTCAGGGCAACCAACCGCCTCAGCGGCTTCGTACTACATCCCCAATTTGAGCACAGAGCTTTATATGAACTCACAATGGTACGCGCCAGTCTCGATTTGCTGTCGTGGCCTGCACTTGGTATGACCGCGCTCAGTATGCCAGCTCCGCCATTCTTGATTTGATGTCTAGACATCGGGGTCGTGGTAAGCCGGTTGATAGGCGAGGCATTGCCCGCACTTCTATTCTTGCTAGGCCGTCAAGGCTCGCTGCGTCTTCGACGCCGTCCTTCGTGCCCTTTCTTGGGCGAGTAAGCATGCCAAGTTCTATGCCAAGCCGAAATACCGAGACCAATGCTAAGGTCAATGCCGGTGGGTTATGCATTTAAGGTTGCGACATTGCCAACTCCTCGCGGGTATAGCAAAGCGGAGGCTGCGGAGCCATCATTACGGATGGCGAGCGGGGCTATCAAGAACTGCCAGGCTCCGAGTGCAGAGAGACGGGAGGATAATCAGAACTCGATGAACTGGCGTTAACGCCAGCTTGAATTTGAGGGTAGGGCGCGGTCCAATCTCTAGAGCCTAGACAGTGTCCCTCACTGTCCCTGTCCAAAACGGAGAACGATGAACGGCAACCTTTTGACTCCGGCTTTTCATTGCTTTGACAACTATCCTTCGCAGCTAAACCTCCAATCGTGAAGTACGCGTCCCGTTTACTGTCTCCCTGCATGTTAAGCATGGCATACACCCACAACAACCACATTCCCTGGCTAACCCACTTGGTTTGGTGAACGTTTCTCTGCGAGAGCACCAATAAAACTGGGTCGCAAGCGAAGAACTGGCGCTAGCATGAAATACCTCATTTTCCCCGTGTCACTTCTCTCTAACTCGGCATCTAACGAGCTCTATTCGTAGCCTTTTGCAAATACTCTTCGAGCTGGAGTATCTTCCGTTATGCGCTCCTATTAAAGGCTGAATGGCTCACATGCGTGCCAGAATTCCAAGCTGCTTGATTGTACCCTAAAGGAGGAGCTTGGCTTTTAGGGCTATGTTGTAGCTGACTAGTATGCTCTCCATGCTGGGATTGATGCTGCAGAAGCAGGAACGACCATGGACATGCCGGAGACCAGCAGATATAATAGGATGGTTATTCCTGAACTTGAAAGAATATTGTCGCTGTTTGGTTGATCCATCCCCACTGAGGTGGGCAATGGCAGTTTGGAGGAAACCAGGATGACATGTCCCGAGAATCATGACTTCGTACTTTTACCTTTATCCGGATGAAGATTACCCAATGGTTGATGCGTCATCCACCTTTCTCAACACGTTTTCCAACCAAAGCAGTTTGATCCGAGACTGGAATATTACGCAGGACACCTTGGTTCGAACGTTCGAGGAAGCCGAGATTATTCGGAGACATGCTGCCTGTCTATGGTCTTGCTCAAGAACAATAACGCACTACACCTCAATACGCCTAGGTATATTGGAATTCTCGGTAATGCTGCCGGTGAGGGTCAAAACGGCTGTTGACTCGCTTCGGGTGGGCCAGATTTACGGATCTTGTCACCCCGCAGGAGGCGATCAAGGCTCGTTCAAGGCAGGTTGGAACAGTTGTCGAATCCCGGTTAACTAATACTTGATTGCCGAGTCTGATGTGATTAGTCTATGGTCTTACCGAGGCCTAGATGTCTGCTTGGTTTTTCTGAAGAGCTGGACACGAGAGGCCATTGACCGTGAAACTCTCCATTTAGGCTGGAATGGTACCCAAGTTGTGTAAAGCGACGCTAATGCTCGCAGCAACACGATGGTTGATACTCACTCTGCGGGACCTTGAAGTAAAAATGTCCTGCCATTTGCAGATTATCCTAATGTCACTGCTATTCTTTTGGCACACTATCCAGGTCAGAATCAGGAAAGATGTTTTATATGGAGATGTGAACCCTCCGGGAAGATTGCCATACCCTATGCATATGATGGGGCGCGACTACAATGCGCCCATCGTCACCAATAATCAAACGACTGGTGTGAATGACTGGCAATCATGGTTCAATGAACGACTCGAAAACGACTATCGGTTGACGCGAACAAGATTGCACAATGTTATAGTGTTCAGTGTCCCTGCGTTCTTTAAGGGCCTGTTACGCGGAGTGATGGGGTTTTTTTCCTACCTTCTTCACAGTCTGCAGTGCAATTCTGGGCTGATGATTTGGGACTTTCGTGTACTTCACTATAGTCGATGTCATCATTATCCTGAAAGTACTCGGCTGTTGATAGTGTGTAGCACGCGTTAGAAAACCAGATCGCATATAGCGACAAGATGATCAGCAGAGACGAGAGGAGTACCAGTATTGATAGGTCATGATTGCGACATTAGAGGAATGGTGAAGGATGTAGCTAGTATATTTAACCCTAATTTCTTCTGCCAACAATGATGTCTCAGGTTATAGTATGAAAACCCGCGCCTAGGTATTAATGCGGCGGGAAGCGAATGAGAAAGTCTTTGAAGAGGGAACTTACTCACTCAGACTGTTCAGCTTGCAGACTCTGGCTACTTGATTCTCCACGTTGAGATTAGGATTAACGCGCTGTCCAAGTCTAGGGCTCTCAGACTCTAACGTAATTCACGGTCGGTCCCATCACCCAATACACCATACAAAATATCTTTTTTTAACCTTAGATATCTCAACCATGTTAGTCATATATATAATATAACTAATTATATAGACTTTAGGTATATGGCCCTAATATATATCCTACCTATATCCCCTAAAACTAAGTACTTCTTATAGTAATATAAATTACACTGTATTTTATTATATTTTAGTATATCTTAATATACCTAGAGTATTTAAGGCTCTTAGTACTTAAGAGGGGGCTTAAACAGGCCTAATGGAGGCTTATAACTTAGCTACTTAGATTTATAACCATTGGAATCTAAGTGGTTGAGATATTCAAGTTTAAAAAATGGCATTTTATATGGTGTATTGGCTGATCGGACCGACCGTGAATTACGTTATAGCCAAATTAGGTATAGTGACTTTGCTTTCCAATGTTTAAACCTGCTCTGCAAAAGGCCCACGATTTTTCTTCCAAAGGCCACGCACAACATGTGATCTGATCTGAAAGCTAGGCGGTCAACAGAGTCTGGCAGAATAGTCCATCGACTGTGGCGGTCACAAGGCAGCCACGCGCCCACCAGCCACAGACGCTGCTCCATGGCGCTCCAGGGGAACCATTGACATTCACTTGAGCCTTTGTTGATTGGCGCTCTTCCTTACTGATGCTATGAATGCTGCTTTCTTAACCATAGACGACCTATTTTCTTATGCGACGGGTCGACGCTTCATGGTGAGCTCATGTCAAGTATTCCTTTGGCTCGTGGGGTGCCTAACTGTCCACACATCTAGTTGTCACCACTATAGACACATTCACAATGGACGATTTGAACGGCCTTAGTTGGAACTCCAACACCTCAAATGATAACCGAAAACCTCCGCCGATGAACTCGGGCCTTTTGTTATCCTCCGTGAGACGCAATGGCGCTTCTGGACGATCCACTCCCCTTTCTACCTCCTCCGGGCCGTCGAACCCCCCATCGAAGCCAGCAACTCCCAGCGGAGATAGCTTTGCCAACCTAGTGTCTTTTGGATCAGCAAATCCAAATAAGAACCTTTCTCTACAAGAACAGCAGAAGAGATTACAAGAAGAGAAGGCCAGGAAGGAGGCAGAGAACCGCGCGCGGTACGAGACACAGTATGGGGGTCAGAATGCGCAATTCTGGGACACGTTCGAGAAGGGAGGGAGTAATAGAGCTGCAGGAGCAAGCGCAATCCCTTCTAGGCAAGGGGCGTCATCACCTGATGAGGATGATCTTCTAGCAGCCTTCAATGCTTCAGCTCCAGTGGACGCATCTACCCACTTCCCAGTCCCAAGCGCCAGTCCTTCCCCGCAAGTTCCGTTCGGCGGACCGCAACGTGCGAACAATGAACCTGCTTCGACGCAACAGAAAAACGACATGGCTTTCATAGACGATGATGATCCGTTTGGGCTTAATCAGTTGAAGCCAAAGTCGCAACCCGCGCCGCAGCCTACCCAAGCGGACGATGACGATTTCCTGGGCATGCTGGGCAAGCCCGTGTCCGAAATTCCTCGACCAGAGCCTCCGAAGAAGTCACCTCTGTCCGAAAGTCCTGCCCGCTCTCCAAAACCCGCGAACGGGGTCGATCATGCCATTGCGGAGCTTGTCGATATGGGATTCCAGGCCGACAAAGCAAGCCAGGCGCTGAAGATGACATCGTCTGGTACTGATGTTCAATCGGCCGTCAGCTTGCTTCTTACCCAAGCTCACGAGGAGTCCCGGCAAAGATCGCAGAATCGATCGACTCCCAGCGATCGCCGGCCCAATCAGTCAGCCCAGAGCCGAGATCGGGGCCAGAGGCCGGACCGTGATGTGCCCTCGTGGATGCAGCCTGAGCGTTCTAGCTCATCGCGGAGCCGAAACGAAACGCAGTCACCCACGTCTGCAGAGAAAGATCCGTCACAAGTGGCTGCGGCCTTTGGCAACAACTTGTTGAAGTTTGGTAACTCACTGTGGAAGAGCGGCAGCAAAAGGGTCCAACAGGTTGTCAATGAGTTTAACACAGATCACGATCCGAACCAGCCGCGGTGGCTCAAAGATCATTCTGCTCCCGAACCTTTTCCTCAAGAACGCTCTCAGCCTCAGCCTGCCCGGACTGATTTTACAGACGAGGCGCTTCTGCTCGAATCGAGCGGTCCGCCTCGCCTGTCTCGTAAACCGACACGGATGGACGATGCGCCACCTACCCGCGCTGGGAGTGGGCCTCGGCGCCAGGAACCGCCTATTAGTGAAAGCCGTATGCAACAACCTGCCTTTATGCGACAGCTGCCTACACCTGAGCTGCGAGATGCAAAGCCCCGTTTATCGAAGTTCGCAGTCGAAGAGCAATCTGCCCAAGCATATGTTAGCCCTGCCCGACGAAAAAGGCCTGTTCCCGCCGCATCTCCCCAACCAGCCCCAAGCCAAGGTGTCGACCTGTTTGATTCTTCAGCTCTAGCTCCTACCCCCACCGCAAGACCCACGCCTCCGCCATCAACTGCCCGGCCCTCGCGGCCTGCACCGTCGTCTAAACCTCTACCTTCGCGGCCTAAAGCTCCCCCTCGAGTCATACCTCAGGTCTCAAAGGAAGTGCTTGCCTCTGTACACGCTCACAGAATAAAGGCAGCAGAAGCATACAAGAGAGGCGACTATGCTGTCGCCCATGAGTCTTTCACGAGCGCACTCACAGGACTACCCGACAAACATCCTATCGTTATAATCATCCGCAGCAACCGTGCCATGACGGCTCTGAAGATTGGCGAAGCGAAAGTAGCAGTCAGTGAGGCAGACTCTGTTCTAGACCTAATCGGCCCTGCCAAGGGCGATGCAGAAAGCATTGACCTCGGCAACGGAGAGTCCCAGAAACCGATGAAAGATTTCTATGGCAAGGCCTTAATGCGCAAAGCGGAAGCTCTGGAGCAGCTGGAGAAATGGGCTGAGGCTGCACACGTGTGGAAACTAGCTGTCGAAGCTGGCCACGGTGGAAGCACGAGTATCCAGGGCCGCACCCGTTGCGAGAAAGCCGCTGGAATCAGCAAGCCCGCTTCGAAACCCTCAGCACCGGCCAGACAGCCCCCGGCGCCGGCACCAAAGAAGAAAACTTCTGCACTAGATGATCTACAGGGTGGCTCATCCAAAACTGCGTTGTCATTCGAGGCCGTCAACCGCCTACGAGAGGCGAACCAGGCTGCCGAGAGGAATGACGAGGAGAAATTTGCGTTGACCGACAGTGTCGATGCACGTCTGACAGCTTGGAAGGGCGGAAAGCAAGATAACCTGCGTGCACTCCTGGCTAGTCTGGATACCGTCCTGTGGCCGGAGGCAAACTGGAAGAAGATCAACATGTCTGAGCTGATTATGCCGAGCAAGGTCAAGATTCAATATATGAAGGGCATTGCCAAAGTGCATCCGGACAAGGTACGCTTGTTTTCCTGCGCCTGTAGCATAATCTGGCTAACCTAAAATCCCATAGATCCCCACCAATGCTACGACAGAGCAGCGTATGATTGCCGGAGCTGTTTTTGGAATCTTGAACGAAGCGTGGGATAAGTTCAAGGCGGAGAACAATCTATGAAAGCAATGACCCTCATACTCTTCGTCTGCAGATGTTCTCTTGTGGGCATGCTTTCTGTCTATAACTGCTCCTCCTTCGCCAGGTCTTCCCCTAACTACTTTGTCAACCAAGCCCTTTCATGACTCTACTCATCCGAAACCACAGTGCTCAACCATGCACTTATGAGATATCCCACACATGCTGTATATAGATAGACACATATCGCATTTATGATACATTTACACCAGCTTAGCCCTTGCCATATACCCACTTAAATGCCGCTCAAGTGCACGTATCACTCTCAAGATGGCTCGAAGAAGCTCATGTTCATGTCTTCGTCTTTCTAATCAATATACCAGTACACAGATACAGCTCATACCTCCTCAAACTGCACTTGTGCCTCCGTCTTCACCTCACTCTCCTTCTCCTTCTCTGCCAGCTCCTGCGCCTTCTCTTGCGCCTTAGCCTCTCTTCTCAGCTGCTTCTTACTTTTCCCCTTCGGCTGCTGCGCTGAATCTGCCACATTCTGACTCGGCCACTTCTCCACACATTGCCGCTCATCCTCCTCACTCCACTCACGCGGTAGAACCGCAAACACAAGATATGAGGTATGTGTTTTGATATCTGGCTCGGAGCGGTGCACAAGACGGCCCTGGGCGTGTGCCGGGATACCCTCGTTGAAATTCGACGGTATAAATGTCGGGAGGTCTGTGTCATCCGATGTATTCTGCTGATTGGCGGCGGCGGAGTTTTCGTTATCACTCTGTGCGCCGTCGTCTTGGCCGAGGGATTCTCGGAATCGGACAGAGCGCTCTTCGACGACACGCATCTTCTGCACGGCGTCTTCGACGTTCCGCGGGAAGACGTTTGCGCTACGGACACCCTCGTACTCGAGTCCCGTCTTTTCGCGCTTCACTTCGATGCGCTTATGTTGGAGCTCGACCATGCTAATATGCAGCCACGAGTGCTGGCGCAGCGCGCTGATGGTTCGCTGGACTTGTTCCATGCATGGCGAGAACGTGCAAATGTGGACGGCTGTTAACGGGTCGAGTGGGGACTCGGCGCCGGAGGGCGGGTTGCGGACGAGGTGTTTGAGGGCGAGCCAGGGGGCGGGGAGGTCGAGGAAGACGGCGTTAGCCTTGGGGGAGGTGGAGGGTTTGCCTGTTGTAGGGTCATTGAGGAGGAACCCGTCCTGATAGACGTCGCGGTGCGTGACTTGGACAAGGGAATCGAGGCCGTGCTCGATGAGTTCTTCGCGGACTTTGCCTGCGCGCTGCGCGTGGAATTCGAAGCTGCATACTTTGCCGTTGCGGCGCCGCTTTGATGGTGTTGTGTTGTCTGCTGATGTCGAGGGGTATCCGTTGAAGACGGCGCGCGCGGAGGCGTGTGTGAAGGAGCCGCTACCGGCGCCCGCTTCAATGATGGTGGAGCCTGGCCGGACGCCGAGACGGTGGAGGATGTAGCTGTAGTCTGGGGTGTAGACGACCTGCGTCCGATGGGGTAGAGAGGCGGTCCAAAGTTCGGGGGTCGGGCAGAGGATGTGGAGGAAGCCACTGGAGGCTGCGACGGCTTTGCTATGTGTGGGCTTGTTGCTGTCGGCGTCGTCGTCGCCGCCGGGGGTGCCGCTGGCCGACTCCTCGAGCTCAGTTGCTTTGCGCTTCTTCTGCTGGCGCGGGGGCCGGCCTCGGGAGCCTGTGTCTACCTTGGAGGCTTTGATCTGCGATCCCCAAGGCTGATCGAAGAGTGTGCTATGCGGGAAGGAGCCGAATCGTGTGTTTGTGACGTTGCCCTCTTTGTATCCAAGGTTCCCGTCGTCATGTAGGCGGAGGATGGCCGGGATCGTCGAGTCTCGGCGGAGATGCAGCAGCGCAAGCTGGTCGAGCTGGGAGGAGGAGCTCGGTGTTAGGAAGGGAGATGCCATATTGCGACGGCTATTGGAGCCCACACTCCAAGATGCAGTTTCGGCCTGTATCGAAGCTCCTCTGTCTTGTTGCGATCAAATGTCAGGAAGATCCAGGCCAAATCTTCCACGCTAATCCGGTTTCAGGACCAAAGTAGGGCACAGGGCCAGGGACTGAGGGAGCTATTTTCCTGTTTTTCACTCGCCAGGAGCACACCGCCTGCGATGCTTTGTTCCTTAGAGCTCAGGCCACCAATCAGCAGTTAGTGAGGCCTGACTCCGATCAAAGGTGCTGGCAACCCCTCTATAATTGCCCAGCGACTCGAGCACCCCCCCCACTCTTTTTCTTCCCTCCTCCCCTCCATATGCCCCTCCTCCCTCTGCGGCACCCTCGCCTCTTCTTGTCCGTCCTCTCTCGCCGGCCGCCCCTTTCGTCCCAAGTGTTGACATTTTTCAAATCCATGGCTACCGCGCGCGAGCAGCCGCCATGGCGGCAGCCGACTGTTCACCCGGAGGCGCAATCGCACCTCCCTTCGCTGAAGGTTTACAACTCGCTCACCAAGTCGAAGACGCCATTTATTCCAATTGACCCCAAGGGGAAGAAGGTCTCCTGGTATGCGTGCGGGCCGACGGTCTACGACGATGCACACCTTGGTCACGCGAGGAACTATGTCAGTACCGATATTATTCGGCGTATCATGCGGGATTACTTCAAGTTCGACCTGAACTTCGTTATGAACATTACGGATGTTGATGACAAGGTGGGTTCCTAGAAAGGATGCGGGTGGGTAGCATGGGATTAATGTTTCTAGATTATCCTCCGAGCTCGACAGCAACACCTGTTTACGAAATTCGTGACCGCCCATCCTACGATCGATGCAGAGGTTCTTGAGGTTGCCCACAAGGCGTATGCCGCTTACTTGAAGAAAAACCTACTGCTGTTGAGCCCGGAACTACCTCCCTCGCAGTATCCGAAGGAGGTTGAGAAGACATATGCAACTATTTTGAGCGGGGGACCCTTACCGGGTAACGAGAAGGCTGGTGATGACGAGGCCAAGGTCAAGATGCACATCAAGACGGTTCTGTCGGCTGCGAATGTCATTACCGAGGCGGAGAAGCTGGACCTGTCCGCTGCGCAACAGACCTTCCCGGAGCGATTCTTCACCGATGCACAGGATCTTTTGCTTCCCTATCTGGATGCCTTGGAGGGATCCTTGATCGACGCCGATGATCATTCGATCTTTACGAAACTGACTCGAAAGTATGAAGATCGGTTTATGAAGGATATGGACGATCTGAATGTTCTGCGGCCGGACGAGTTGACTAGGGTGACCGAGTACGGTCAGGAAATCGCCGACTTTGTGGAGAAGATTGTGCAGAACAAGTTTGGCTACGTTACTGCGGATGGCTCAGTGTACTTTGATATCGACTCTTTCGAGCAAGCCGGATTTCCCTACGCACGACTCGAGCCATGGAGCCGTTCGGACAGCAAGCTTCTTGCCGAAGGAGAGGGCTCGCTAGTCAACAAGGCTACGGAGAAGCGCTCCAAGTCTGACTTTGCGCTCTGGAAGGCTTCCAAGCCTGGTGAGCCGAGCTGGACCAGCTCTTGGGGCCGAGGCCGCCCCGGATGGCATATCGAGTGTTCGGCAATGGCGTCTGCCCGCCTAGGTAAGCAGATGGATATCCACTCCGGTGGTATCGATCTTGCGTTCCCCCACCACGACAACGAGTTGGCGCAGAGTGAGGCGTACTGGCACTCGCATGATGACCAGTGGGTCAACTACTTCCTCCATATGGGCCACTTGTCCATCCAGGGGTCCAAGATGTCAAAGTCATTGAAGAACTTTACGACCATTCGCGAGGCGCTGGAGAGAAAGGAGTGGACAGCCCGTAGTCTGCGAATTGTGTTCCTACTTGGTGGGTGGAAGGAGGGTGTCGAGATCACAGACGACCTGGTCAATGCCGGTAACTCGTGGGAAGACAAGCTAGACAACTTCTTCATCAAGGTTAAAGACCCTGCTACAATGCCCGGAAACGCAGAGAGTACGGATACCAGTCTCGCTGATGCCTTGGCCGCGACCAAGGCTGCTGTTAATGAGCAGCTGTGCGACTCATTCAACACTCCGGCCGTGTTGGCCTCGATCTCCGAACTGATTACAAAGTTCAACAGCACAGACAAGGCCCTGCTTAACCCTAAGGATGTTGAGGCTGTTGCTCGGTGGGTCACCTTCATGGTCAACATGTTCGGCCTGAACGGTCAGACCCCTGTTGATAGCCAGGAAATCGGATGGAGTGGCATTGATGTGCCCGAAGAGGCCAAGCCATTCCTCTACCCGCTGTCGAAGATGCGTGACTCCCTCCGACAAGCTGCGCGGGCCAAGACGATCAACGCGGAGGAAATCAGCAAGATCGTGGAGAACGAAACCGTGTCGGATGCAGTTACGGAAGCTAACCAGACCTATGCTTCTGTCCTGTCTGACTTCCGTACCAAGGTGGCTTCACTCGAAGACTCGGCGAACATTGGAAAGGAGATTCTCACCCTCTGCGACCGCGTTCGCGATGTCGATCTATTTGACATTGGTGTTTACCTCGAGGACCGCGAGAACCTTCCCGCCGTTGTGCGCCCCGTGAGCCGAGACCTCATCCAAGCCCGCGAAGAAAAGGCAGCGCAGGCACTCCAGAAGCAAAAGGAAAAGGAAGCAAAGGAGAAAGAGGCGTTGAAGAAGCTCGAGAAGGGCAAGCTGAGCCATCTGGAAATGTTTCGGACAAACGAGTATAGCGCCTGGGACGAGGAGGGTCTGCCGACTCGGGATGTTGGCGGCGAGGAAATCACCAAGAGTCGCGCAAAGAAGCTTCGCAAAGACTGGGAACGACAGAAGAAACTGCATGAGACCTGGCTGGCGAGCCAGCAGGGCAGCAAGTGAGGTTTTTGGTCATGGAAAAGTTGGGCTCTTATCTAGCATTGTCGGCGTTTAGAATATCCAGGGCAGCATCTCATAGGATTGAATTGATATCTTATTCATTATTCACTCCTTAGCCCATCTTTCCTGTGGGATGGTGGTAAGAACAGTCATGTATAGAGGGCGATCACATGCCTCATCTCCCACGGCATATGCGCTGTGCAACACCAACAACGAAGTCAGGCTTAGCGTGTCATCAGACGGCATCAGAAGCCGTCTCACCACCCCTTCAACAGGACGATTCATCATTCGATCAAAAGTCTCGGCCCCTCTTCCTTTGTACCGGCTGTGTAGACAAATCAATACAGTCGGGCCGACCCCATCAGCCAGACCTCGGCAAATCCTCCCCCTCAGGAAGCGCAACAGAGGTCCGCGGTTGAATCGCGTGGCTTGGTCTTTCTTCATATATTCGTCGTTTGTGCTGCGTTTTCCTTCTTTTGCTTCAGAAAGAGTGCGTGTTACTTTTCTTGATACTCTTGGAGTCGATCTACTGTACATTCTTTTCAGAACGTTGCGACGATGGGCTTCAACACTGCTTTGACTAGGGCGTTGGGGATTCGAGGTATGGCTTTTTACCAACTTACCAGAAGTGTCACTCACCAGCATAGTCCCTGTCGTCCAGGGCGGCATGCAATGGGTCGGATACGCAGAGCTCGCCTCCGCCGTTAGCAACGCAGGTGGTCTTGGAATCGTACGTCTCAAACCGATCAACCCAACCCCATGAGTCGCAAACACTAAACAAATGACCAGCTTACTGCCCTCACCCAACCAACCCCCGAAGACCTGCGCAAGGAAATTCGGAGATGCCGCAGCATGACCAAGAACCCGTTCGGCGTGAACCTCACCCTCCTCCCAGCCCTCGTTCCCCCCGACTACGCCGCCTACGCGCAGGTGATCATCGACGAAGGAATCAAGATCGTCGAAACGGCAGGTAACAACCCAGGCCCCGTGATCAAGCAGCTCAAGGCCGCGAATATCACCATCCTCCACAAATGCACGACAATCCGCCACGCCAAGTCCGCCGTCAAGCTCGGCGTTGACTTCCTCTCAATCGACGGCTTCGAGTGCGCAGGCCACGTCGGCGAGCACGATATCACAAACCTCATCCTGCTCAACCGCGCGCGCCAGGACCTGGGTGTTCCCTTCATTGCCTCCGGCGGGTTCGCGGACGGGTACGGGCTTGCGGCGGCACTTGCGCTGGGCGCTGAGGGGATAAACATGGGGACGCGGTTCATGGCGACGGTTGAGGCACCGATTCACCAGAAGGTCAAAGAGGCGATTGTCAAGGCAGAGGAGACGGATACGGCGCTGGTGATGCGGCGGTGGACGAACACGTCGCGGCTCTTTGCGAATGAGGTGACGAAGCAGGCGCTCAAGGTTGAGAAGGAGAGTAAGACGGGCGAGTTTGCGGAGATTGCGCCGTTTGTTAGTGGGAAGCGTGGACGGGAGGTCTTCTTGAATGGGGACATTAATTTTGGAGTACGTTCCTTCCCTACCCTCCACCCTTTGCGGATCTCTATGCCTCCCAAAATTGTTGTACAAAGCAAAACTAACAAATGAAAACAGGTCTGGACCGCCGGTCAAGTGATTGGCTTAATCCACGATATCCCTACATGTGGCGAGCTGCTAGCTCGCATCGAGAAGGAAGCCGTAGAGGCGGCGCAGCGCACACAGTCGTTGTACACGGCAACGCCGCAGAGCAAGCTCTAGATCGTGATTTGTAGAGCAGCGAGCTAGATCCTTGATTTCCTTGAAGCAATACTACTTTTTACTTTGGGCTTTCGAGTTACGTTGTCATTCCCCTGTCAGGTGGTGCATATCCCTTGCGCTTGCACGAGGATCGCTATCGACTGGTCAATCAAGGGATGAGGTGAGCAGGTCCGAGGTCGTGCTCATTCGTACCTGCATGGAGATCGTCTTGCACAGCATCCAGTTGAAGACTCGGGAGCTTACGCCTCTGAGATGCGCATGGTATGTATATAAATGCATCCTCCTTGCTCTAGACACAGCTGTCGCAGCATTACATTATGCCTTGAAGGTTGACTCTTCCTCTATCTCGACTCTTGAGAGTCTAACCTACCGCTTAAGATTCGTCCTTGGAAGCAATATCTGGACCCTTGCATGTGAGCTTCTCATAAGACCCTTGCATCAAGCAACCCCGTGCTCTTCGAATCTTCAAAACAAACACGCTCTATAGACCTGATATCCGCCGTGACAGCTGAGCTTCGCCCCCAATGATAGAGGCATTGTAATCAACAATCACTTCCATGATACAGATACGAGGGGCACCAATGGAGCAAGCATAGTATTGCATCTGCACCTCACAGATCGTGATATCGTAAGCTATCCCAATCATGCAATAAAACTGAACGCACTGCATGAACGTAAATTAGAGAGATGAGCAAGATGGACCCTTCCCCGCGTCATAATCAAACTCACAATCAAACTATAGTGTATATAAGACATCTAATCTCTCGTGTCTCTGAGGGCGGGTTAGCTTTGTCTTATTATCGTTCTTGTGTGCAATAGTGCCTGGATCCAATTGAGCATGTTGTTTACTTGTTCAATTGAATTGGATTGAGACATGGATTCGCACGATTCGCCCCCGAGTTGCTTCTCGTCGTCTTTTTCTTCGATTCTTTTATCTTGTATACAAGTTCGGAAGGAGAAGAGGAGACGGAACATTCCTGTTTCTTCCTCTACTACCACCACCAATCCATTCATCAGCAGGGCGCAAAGACAAAGCTGCTCGCACACAAGCGTCTGCATCTGTACATGCACTTCCAGTCTCGACCCCGAGAAACAATCTCAATCAGAATCCCCGATTGACAACGCAAATAATGATATCAACATTACAACAACCACAACCATAACAACTACAACAGCAACAACATCAATCCGCATCGTCGACTCAGACTCCAGCTCCGAGTACGACACTGCGTCTGTAGACTCCGACACGGGCTCAGTCTCCGATTACGGATGTGGTTGCTCCAGTTATGGGTATGGGTATGGCCATGATCGGGCCTGTGAGCTAGGAGACGATGTGGAGTCTCCAAAGCAGGTTCTCTCAGGGAGACCGCTACCTCCGCTCCCAGTTGCTGTTCTCTCAACACAACCGCAAAGCACAAGTCGAAAACATCCCGAGATCAAGACCCGACTCATAGAGGAGACGATCCCCGAAGAGGACGAGGAAGAGTATCGGTACGAGGAGCTGCAGTTCCAGAAGCAGCAGCAGGAAGAGAAAGAGAGAGAGGAGGCGAAGCGCCATAAACGGACGACCAGTCGGCGGAAGTCGATGATTGAGTTGTTTAATCTTTCTAGTGTGGGGTTTGCGTCTGAGTCTGAGTCTGGGTCAGGATTGGTCTTGCCGGGGTTCTCGCTTTCGTTCTCGAATATCAATTTCAGGTTTCCGTTGCCACCTGTTTGGGGTCAGAGTCAGAGTCAAAGGCAAGACGAGGGTGGGAAGGAGGGCAAGGAGCAGGCGCAGAAGATATGGTCACGGCCACGGCCCAGGTCGATGTCTTGTCTACTGTCAGCTCTTTCTTCCTCGACTTCTACACATACGCCTCCATCCACAAACACATCACACAAACGCTCACATTCTGAGATCAATCTTCAGTCCACACAGGCACAGTCTGAAGAATCAACCCCCGAAGAATCGACCACACCCCCCGAAGAACTTCCAACACTAACAACAACAAAAAAAGAACGGCGAATGGGCACAGTCGTCTTCCCCCCATTAGCACTGCTCTCACGAGATCGCGACCGAGATCGAGACAGCACAGAAAGTAGGAAGCAGTCGCGGCCTCTTTTTTACTAGGTATGGCGTTGGAGTTGTTGGCGTTGATGTTCACCATGGCGTTGGCGTTTGGAGCTGGGGACCTAAACCGGGGCCTGGGTGGGGTGTAGGGATCTTTTGGGCGCGTTCGGTTGAGGTTTTGTGATGACTTGCTACTTTTAACTTTGGTTGATTTGTTTCTGTATTTATATGACGCGTGTATAGCTGAGTGGGTTTGTGCTGAGGTCCGGTGTGTCCGCCTACGTTGGACTTAGGGCTCGGATTCGGGGAGGGTGGTGATGCCCTATATTTGTACTTCGGTTACGATTTTCTTAGGTCTTTAATCAATGAAGAGGTAACTAATCTAATGTCTATTACAATGGTTTTATTTTCTCAATTGGAATTTTGTCCGCTGTAGATATTTCAAGAATGTCCATACTGGTGACCCATTGCTATTCCCTCAATCATGTTGAGATACAGTTCTGCTATTCTTGAACCACTGCAAAGACATCCACAGCGAGTGGTTGCTCCGGTTTGGGTGGTTAGTATGATATATCAGACCCATAAGAAAATTTGTGAAGGAAGTGAAGAGAAATAGCTATGAGAACTCAAGGTAGTCAAGGGTTAAGAGTTAGAAGCTAAACAGTCCTCGTTTGAGGCTATAAAGGGAGGACCGTGCAAGAATTTAAAGCGCCCATCGAGGAAAGATGAGGAATCATAAATAAAACAGAGTCTAATTAAAGATATATGCCACAGTCAGGCACCAATGCACAGAACAGACAGACAATCCAGCAGAACAGTCTTCATCTTCATCCCTGGTGCCGTCTGACAAACGTAAGATACAAAATTGTCAACATGAATTTAAAGACAAGTGCTACCCTAGACTAAGAAAGACAGGGACTGAAAGACCGTGCCTTGCTGCGCGAGGCAGCGAAGGAAAAGCCAACCATCCCTTCGGGTAGTACTGCTTCCAACCCAGACACCCAATGAAAGTAAATGGCTTAGAGGATAGAGCCGAGGGCAATGCAAGGAAGCCCGACGCCAATGAGGTCGCCATCCTGGAGGTACTGTTAGTTTGTGGATTGGAGAAGAGGGTTGAAAAAAAGCTTACGGCGCTGGAGCCGGAGTTCTGGCAGCAGGCGATGTTTTGCTTGCACTGCTGGTTGATGAGGTCCTGGACACCGATGAGGACTGATAGTGTCAGTATCTGCTGCAGTACGCAAGGGCATCTTGAAAGACTCACGGGCAACATCGAGCTTGGAGCACTGGTCGAAGAGACCAAGACCCTCAGCACCGGAGCCAGCACCGATCAGGTTGCTGAGAGCACCAGCAAGGATACCATCGGCAACCTCGGTGGTGTCACCAGCGTAGGTGGCCTTGTTACAGCAAGAAAGCTGAGCCTGGTCACCGCACTTGTCGGAGGCCTGCTTGACGGTCACGTCGTTGGGGACGGGGAACTTGACGTTCGAGTTACCCTTGTTGCCAACACCGTTGCCAGCGAGCTGGGCATCGGGGGCAGGAGGGCCGCAACGGAGGCGGCGAAAGCAACAATGGCAGCAGCGATGGAGAACTTCATTGTGGATGCGGTTGGAACGAACGGTGGGTTTATCTTGGGAGAGAGTTAAGAGAGGAGGAGAATGAGAGACTGGACTGTAGGAGAGCCTTGAAAGAACGTGTGATGAGGACCAGAATGAACGGCTGAATCTCACTGCCTTATATAGACAACGGATGGGCGTGTTTTGGTCCTCTCATCGCTTGCCGAATACGCAAACATGCTCCTGGACTTGCCCTGGCCAGCGAATTCCTCTCTCATCGGGAGCCCCTGTGGAATGCACCACGCAAGGGTAGCCTCCTCCAGCTCCTCAAGTTCCTCCCTCGCCCTCTGAGCATACGGTGCCTGAGGTTAGTGACCCAGTATGAGGTATGGATCGGCTTCTTTCTGCGCTGAGTGGCTGTCGAGCTTGAAAAGTGTTTCATTCCTCTGCGCCGGTCTCTGTAGATCTTGATGAACGCGGCGGCGGCCTCGACTAGGTTGCATCACAGCATGTCTCCATCAATCTCTGTCGGCTTCTAGAGTTGTCGAGAAATGGTCATTTTTCATTATTGCCATCGGTATAGCTCTCATATGATAGCGGCATTGCGTGCGAAGCGCATAGGTGATTGCACCATGACAGCACCAGCCGCAGTCAGCTCGTGCGGCATGCTGCATACCTCGGAGGTTAGTCAACCGCCCACATTGGGCCGACCAGGGTCCAGCAGCATGTTTAGTTCTGCAAGGGGTTAGCTCGATCAAGAGTCAGAGCCATGGTCCATGTGGGCGCTTGTATCTTTCATCTCCTTCTTCCTTGAAAGAGGCAAGGGGCGCACGACCTCGTCTGTTGTAATTTCCCAGCCAGGGAGAGGAAAAGTTACGCCTGCATCTTCTCCAGATCCGATGGCGATCATCAGAAACAGCCGTTGATCAGTTGTCGATCGTACTACAGCGTTGTAGAACTGCGTGTCTGGACCGTTCGAGATGGCCTTGCTCAGAGACTGCGTCAGTATTCGTGTTTTGGGTAGTCTAGCTCGCTGCCTCAGGAATGAACTCTCACGTCAGAGGCTTGAGCTCACCCATGGATTCAAATGCTGATGGCTTGTGATATTCCGTAGTACAAGCTCTTCAGGAATGCGCCTCAATAGTTGCTGAATCATAACAGTGTTGATGTGGAGCTCCGAGAGTGTAGACGGAGCATCAGCAAGCCAGTGTAGAGGTAGTGTTGTACGTGTGTATTGGTCAGAGATGGAGAAAACTTGTAACCGTTCCAGCAATCTCATTTCTCTATTCTGTGTGTTCAAAGTTCTGGTTGAGTAGAGGTTTTTGTAGCTTACTGCAGGTCAACTCGGGGATGGACAAGGCTATGGTAGTATAAGGTCTCTCAAACCTCAATATATATATCTGCGATTGCTGGCACCACACGACCGATCTACCTGTTCAAGTCAATCTGGATACCAGACGCCACAAATCACATACAAGAAGAAATCAATACCTGATTATTCGTGCAGGCTCTGCTGTCTGGATTTCTTGTTGATTGATATAAAATATAATGTCGTGACGACCCCGCTCTATGATGCAAAATAAGATGAAAATGCCAGAACAACGCCCACCTCGGAGGTCTAACCCAGTAGGTATCACAACAAAAGAAGAGGTAGACCCGAAAAATACACAAGTGGGAAGAGAAAACGGTAGAAAGAAAGCGTCAAGAGAGAAGATCAATCACGAAGCCACGCTCTCCGCTTCTCCTCTTTCTTCTCCCGCCGCTTCTCCTTGAACATCTTTAGCTCCTTCTTGGTCAGCTTCTTCGCGCTGCGCTCCGCCCGGAGACTCCGTCCGTCGTGCGAATTAGCCGCCGCGTCCACATCAAAGTACGCATTCATCTGGCGCCGTGACTTGTTCTCGTCATTGTGGTATTCCGGATTCTGTGACTCCCCCTGCCACCGCCCCGTGAACCGGTTGAACGATCCAACCGCCGCGTAATCCCCCGGGTTCATTACCCCTCCCGCCCCCGCGGTGTTTCCCTCCTCCTCCTGCTGTTCATACTGCTGCGCATACGGAGCCGTGGGATCATAGTCGCCGTGGATGGCAGGGTTGTACCCACCCACCGCGGGAGGAGAGGTGCTTTTGACCGCGGAGGAATCCTCGCCTACTGTCCCCGGAGCCGCGGCGACAGCTGGTGCTGGTGCTGTAGATGAGTCCGGTACTCGCGGGTTGTCCCATTGCGATACGCCCGTGAAGCGGTTGTAGAAGTAATATGCTTGCGCGGAGGCATCCCAGACGGGTTCCCAGCCGTCATCCTCGCCCGTGCCCGGGGGTGCTTCGGTGGGGAGCGGAGGAGGGATTTCGTCTGGTAATGGAGGCGCTGATGTGTCTGGTTCTGATGTTTTTGTTTCGACTTCTTCTGCTAATTCTTTCGCCGAATCTTCCTCCTCTTGTTCCTGTTCAGTCTCCTTCTCTTCCGCCTGTGGCGTCTCTTCTGCTTCTCCGCGCGTGCGCTCCTCCTCTTCTCGGTTTTCCGTCTGTGTCTTCACCGTCGTCTCATCTTCCCTGCTTTGCGGTACAGGAGATGTCGAGGTAGCAGCGCCCTCGGGGCCATCTCCCTTAGTTTCGGTCGTCATTTCAGCGTGTCGTTATTAGTGATTGCTGTGCTGTACTCAAATCGGAGTTCTGACGCGATGAATGCGGAGGAACCTTGGCCGCGATCGTTGGGAAGAATATTGTTCCGCCGGAGAAGAGCCTCGAGTCTGCTTCCCATTGGTCAGGATTTCTCGAATTCACATGACCGCTCACAAAGTTCTCGAAGTCGAAGATCCGAATGCTGATATAGCTTTTGTTTAGGGAAAACGGTGCTTTCAGAAGCTATTTGAGACGGTAAGCTATCTTCTTGTCGCTCTGTGTCTGTCTTTTGTGTCTCTTGGCTGGAAACCTCGGTGTTTATGAAGATTTTGCGGGACTAGGAAATCTCTTGATATCCCAGCGGGAAAGAGGGACATTGGCGGGGGTAAGTTCTGTATGAAAATACAAGTGCATCCGTGTTTGAAGTTCTACATTTGATCTTATTCATTTCTTTTCTTTTCGGGCAGACAGACAGAGAAGAACCTTTCTATACCTCTGCTAACAACCTCACAGATCTTACTAAACGTGCCAGCAAAAGCATACGCTTGCTTGGACATATATATCACCACGATCACCAATATCAGATTTTCTAAACTCTACATTACCCTCTAAAAGAGGCACAGGGAATCATGGCCCCAATAACATTAAGCGCCGACTCAATCGACGACCTCATCTACTCAGCTCGCGCAGGCGACCTTGAAGCTCTCCAATCCGACCTCTCGGCTCTGAGTGTCCAGCACAGCGTCCCTCAGTCTGTAATCATCGCCTCAGCAATCGACACGGAGCCTGAAGAGGAGGGCGGCACAGGAAGCTGCCTGTTACATTTCCCCGCCGCGAATGGGAACTTAGGTATGTACTTCCTAGCTGGGTTTCCTTACCGTCATTTATTTGGTAAAATGTGATTTGATACTAACCCCCTCTTAGAAATCCTAACACACCTCCTATCTCTTCTCGTCCAGGCTCCCTCATCGTCATCACTCAGCAAAGAGGATGTGGCTGCGGTGATCAACCACCGGAACCACTCGGGGAACACGCCGTTGCACTGGGCGGCGCTGAACACGCATCTCGAGTGTGTGAAGGTGCTTGTTGAGGCCGGGGCTGATGTTTCGGTGAAGAACGAGGCCGGGCTCGACCCGGTGTTTCTGGCGGAGAGGGCCGATTGGAGTGCGCAGGATGAGCAAGCTGAAGGACAGGAGGAGAAGGAGGGAGACGAGGAAGTTGAGATTGAAATTGGTGCCCAGAGTGAGGGCGAGGGCGAGGGTGCGGCTGCGACTGGGCCTTTGACTAAGGGGAGAGAGGTTGTTGAGTGGTTGTTGGCGATGGATAAGAGTGATGAGACTGAGGGGCCGTCGAGTGGTGCTAATGCAGCCTCAGGTTCTGGAGCTGGGGAGGAAGCGAAATGATCAATCCGCCATGGCATTGATTGCTCGCATGGTCATGTTACGTTCTGTTATGGTTTATTGTGGTATGAAAAGTTAGGTATAGACTGTGCGTCATTAGATTATCATTCTTCGTTATAGTTCTATCCTCTATTCATGCCTTCATGCTAATTCTTTCGTGACTTCGGTCGTTCTGACGCTGAGAGGAGGGATGTTTCCTCTGACGCACTGATAGCGCCTGGTTGACTGTCTTTGATCTCATGGGCCTTGGTGTCGAGCCCAATGCGGAATTGGCGGTCACGCCAGGTAACGGTTTCACCACCCCATATGGCCCAGAACCAGATCGGAAACGCGAGTGTCTCACGTCCAAGCCATGCGGAGAGCCAGTGCCGGAATCGTCGTCTTGTGGTGTCTTTTGGCGGCCGGACAAAGTCTGGGGTGTTTTCATCTAATTCAACGGTCTTGCCGGAGTGGAGCATAATGTATACGGTCCAATCTATGAGCATCCAACTCAGCATGCTGAGGCCAAAGAAGCTGAAGAAGGTGGTCCACGTCGAGAGGTCAATCGCAGCGTCGACCCCTTTGTCGTGGAGGAACCGAGGCAGCGCCGTCGTGACGCCCCAAGCTCCGTACAACGAACATAGTATTGACTCCGTGCCAGGTTCGACTAATGTTGCAAGCATCACAATGTACTTCCGGACACGTAGCCACCGCACTCGGCGCGCCATATATGATCCAACACTCATGTTCGCTATGGGCTGGAAAGCAATATCACCATAGACCAGCGCATGCTTTCCCAAGCGCTTACGCTGTTCCTTTTCCTCACGCACCTTGTTCTTCCATAGCAGGTCACCAATAAGGTGGTCTTCGCAGATGTTGTCGGAGAAGTAGTCGATGCCCGGGTTGCGCTGGCGCGCATCGGTCGGCGGCGGCGTAGTGAGATAGTCAAGATGCGAGCGCCGGAACATATTGGACTTGCCCACAATACACGGAGCAATGAGGACCGTGTTGATCGCTGTATACATCTTGGCGTGGGAGGACGAGAGAAACAATTCCTCTAGACGGCCACCTCCCACAGCGAGAGCGCCAGCCTGCCCATGTTCCTCTTTCGTGCCGGTAGCACCGGTGACATCCATAGCGACAGGCAGATGGTGCACGAATTTATTCTCCTTGCCGGAATCCGCACCAAGTCCGCAGAGCTTGTCCACCATCCGTCCGCAAACGCCCTTCCCTACCCAGATATTGCAGTCTGCGATCCAAACAATGTCGCCCTTGGCCTCCCGGTACGCGCGACTCATATTGCGGATCTTTGGATTCGGTCCCATGTCGTAGACTGGTTCATTGTCGGACAGGAACAGGGGATCCTCCTCCTCGACATAGACGCGCGCATCGATATGCGGAAAGTCGGAGACTAGTTTTTCGAGGATTGGATGGGAAGGATCGCTTCGGGAGGACACGCAAAGGCAGACCGTCAGCCTATCACGCGGATAATCTTGCCGGAAGGTTGAGGCGAGGCAGTCGTAGAGATTCGGTTCGAGACCCTTGACGGGTCGAACTATGGTGACATGGGGCGCGTCGGAGGATGTGGCTGAGCGGGATTGTTGAGGTCGTCGGAGGCAGTATCTCCATCTATGAGAGACTGTTAGCATAAACTCCAGGATGAATTATATCGAACTCTCCGAGAACCATAGAAAAGTAACAGAGAACGTACATCTTATAGTACCCCAAAGCGCACACAGCCGTCACGGTAGAATACCAGATCAGACCTATCCAGCCGAGCGCGACCGACCACTGAACTCCGCCATGCCCGGTGGCTGAACCAAAACCGACGGCGTCTGAAAACGAGCGAAGCTTTATCATGAGCGTATGCGACGAGGATAAAACATCCTATCTCTGGCCAGAATAGAGTACGAGTAAATGGGACGAACCCTTGAATGTCAACGAAGACTTGGCGGAGGTCAGCGCCTGAAAGAGGGGAAACAAAGAGAAGAGGAGAGAAGGCAGGTCAGCTGCCGCGGAGCTGAGGGTTTTGGGCTTTTCTTCTCCAGCGCAGCAGCAACAGCAGCACTGATCGTCTGGGCCAAATCGTGATTGCGATTTCTAGCACCAGGAACAGGTGTAGTTCTTGTTCCAGCCGGATATAACGGATCGTGGCTGGGATTTGGCACACCACAATTGGTCGCTTCAGCTTCGGTACTGCATCAGTGGGGCCTTTCTTGTACCCAGAGCTTGGGTGTGGTTGTTTTATGTCATTCTGTGATTATTCTCAAAGGAGAGTATAGTGGGAGCCACATGGACGAAGGAGGATATTTATGGGAAATTGGCTCGGTTGGCGTCTACTAAACCCAAAGTATATGAAGAAACACCATCCAATGGACCTGAAGTGCGTCGGCTCAAGATTCCTAGAATATTCCTGAAGTTATTCTCCAAGCTGGATATTGTACATTTGTTGCAAATTCGTGATCATTATCATCGGCTCTCGTCAAGTTTTCTTCTTCTTGCGGATTAGATTGGCCTGTAGAACGTTCACACCAGGCGGCAGGCTCGACTCTGTACTGGTGGTTGCACTCGGCGCCGTCCCAGATGCTTCGGTTTGCTCCTCCTTCTTTCGCTTTCTTACTAAAGGAGTATTCGTAATGGCAGCCGGTCCTGGTGCAGGTTTTGTAAACTCCCCGTTTGCGGCCTTGCCTACGACCAGCTGCCCTATCCAAAGCTCGTCCGCAAGAGCAGCGACCTTGTTGTTGAAGGCATTCGTGCTTGCAGTCGAGACCTCCTCGTTGTAGAAATCTTGCTCCAGAAGAAATTCGATTGCTGCTTTATAGTCCACTTCGCTCAGAACTGCGTGCCCCCGTCCGGTTTGTGGCCAGTAGAATGCGCTTCCGTCGTTTGCGGGCTGTACCTTCGTCTGATCGCCCGAGCCTTTCAAAGACTCCGAGGGGTTCGCATCCTGAGAGGTAATGGGGGCACTAGAAGCCGGCTTTGGTGCATCCTTGAGCTCCGTAAGTCCGGACTTGCTACTCAACATCGGATTCGAATTCAAAACTCCAGGCGGATTGATAACAAGCCAAAGAAATCCAACAAGCCTCCCAGCAGAACACTCCTGGCGAAAGGACATCATCTCCCAAAACTGATCGAGCGACCTAACACTTCTCCATTGCCCAGTACCTTCTGTCGCCCCGTTCTCCGGAAGTTCATCATCGAGATCTATCAAAAAGCGCGTCTTGGGATCATCAGGGAACCGCGGGACCAAGCAGCGCGGAGGAGCACCAGGATGACTACACAGTTGACTCAATGGATAGGCGTTCAGCCACCGCGGACGGTCCTTGTCGTCAGACTTCGCAGTGGGTGGGAAGAATCCCCGTGTTTCGAACTTGTCGCAGCTGGGGACGATGAGATATGCAGTTGCAGAGCTGCGGGCCGATTCCTCGTGTTTCTTGTCTTGCTCCTGGGATCCAGATTCCGGCTCATACTCGCGCAGGATCGGGTCAAGGGCGCGACACCACCATTTGATCAGACCGCGATCATCAAGGACATGTTTCTCGGCATTCTCAATACTCCCCGGGAAGAGGTACTGGTTCTGAGCACGGGCAAACAGCGACACCACGAGCCGAACACCAGGTCGCTGGTGCGTGTGCACAAGAAAGGAAAGAAAAGTGTTAGTGAGGTGTCTGAGAATTGAGCTTTTCGGTGCCGCGTTCAGAAGATGCAGGTGCCCGGTCGAATCAGCCTTTGAGACAAAAATGGTAGTCAGGTGCGCCGTAGTGTAGACCAACACCTCGATGCCGAAGACGATGATCTCCGCCTCCACGCCACCATCACTCTTGCCCTTGTCTGCAGGGGCAATAGACGCCGAGAGGAAATGATTTTCGTAGAATGTTGGTTCGGCCTCTTCGCCAGGGGATGGGGCGAAGAGAGCAGTGCTCGTTGTGGGAGTGGACGAGATATGGCGGATGGTGAGTTTCACTCCGGTCGGGAGCACCTTGGCTAAGGCGTCTCCTAGATCAACGTCGACCTTGGACATCCCGCCTGTCAAGGTCCTGGAGCCGAGGTGGAAATAGGCAGTCGCGTGCGTTATTATTATTATCACACTTTCATGGTTTTCTCTGTTGTTCTTAGACTCCTTTCTGCCCCTTGGGCCTCATCTCCGCGTGCCTTTGGTAAGAAAGATCACGTGAACCTGCTTTCTTGTTTCCCAGCCTTTTTATTATCATTTTTGCAGCTCACTTAAATGTGCACAATTCATCTTTAATTCATTCATTGGTAGGTCTATCAGATAAGAAGCGAAGGACAAATAGAGGTGAGCTTTATAGGTCCTTTGGTCAAGTTTCGAACAGTGAGGTCCATGCCTCGAGACAAGGTCTAGCAATCATTAAATCGGCCTTATATATTTTAAAAGTATTCCGCCGCAGCAGCCAGGTCATCGGCGTTTAGCAGACCAACGCCCTCGTTAAGCAGCGTCGTCCAAAGGATGTTGCGGGCCCGGATAGGGTAAGAGGGAGCACCCCAATATCTGGCGAGAATGCCCTTCTCTTTGGCGAAAGCAATCTGCGATCGAAGAGTGCCGAGCTGATCTTCGCTAAGAACGGCGTTAGGCTCTCCGAGACTGAGCTCACCAATTGCAGAGGAGAAACTGGTCGATGCGATCGGCGAGATAAGGGGAGTAATTCCAGCATTCGCGGTCTCGTTCATGGTGGCTAGGGGTGCATCGTAGAAGTAGTCGCGGTCGGCGACAGGACCAACCATGTCGTAGGGAGTGTTGCCAGTTCCAATGACAGTGACCGGACCCTCAGTGAGGGTCTCGTTGTTCTTGACGGTTGTCAAATAGCCTTTCTGGCGGAGAGGTTCCAGTGCAGCAATAACGGCTTCAAAAGTTTCAGGGCCAGAGGTCTTCGAATCGACCCATAGGTAGAGCGTTTGGCCAGTAGAGGCATCGAACACACCGCTATATAAGGTTAGAATGTACCGCTGGCGCTGAAAATTAAACGTACTTCTTTGTCGGAGCTGTTAAGAACTTGCTCTGGGGGTTCTGACGCTCAAGCACGTCCAAGATTGGATTGATGTACAGGGATTCGAACGTGCGCTCCTCAGTCAACGACGATTCGTCATGACCAATCTAGGAAATCAGTCCACACTCGAACGCTCATTTCAGGGAATACTCACATATAGAGTGCCATTGTACAGCCACACGTCGGCTTCTACTGAGATGCATCCGTTTGAGAGTGCTGAGGCAACAGTCAGTAATGGCTCGCAGAGCACACGTCATGGTAGCAAAATACCTGTGTAAAAGGGCACATCCCTCCAGTAGTCGCTAAAAGCCGTTAGGAATCGTTGATTGCTCACTTGGGATGTTAGACATACTTGTGGGAGTGCACAGGGATCTATATGAAAGTTGAGACATTAGAGTTAGTGGTCCAATCGCTATGCCTGGTTGAACCACGGAAGAATCTTCACCTGAACCAGACGGGAGCAAACTTACAGGCAAAATACCCCTGGTGAAATCAGTTGGATAACTGTACGCCGAGCTCTTGTGAGTGTTTCTCAGGATACTCTGCAACTCCGATGAACCCCCAGCGGCCTCCGTCGGAAATGCAAGGCATAGCGCGGAGACCGCGACGAAGAGCGACCGCGAAAGACCCATCTTTTCTAGTGTGAAGGGGATTGAGATTTCTGACTCTGTACTCTTCGGATGTTCCAAAAATCAAGCAGAAAGATCAACAACAGGGGAGAGAAGACGCAACAAAGCCTCTTCTTTATGAGTACTGGGGTGTTGAAAGAGCATGCAAGAACTATTGGCTGAAGATCGTCGACTCCACGGCAGACTTGGCATCATGTCAGCGACCAGGGAGAAGCAAGCATTTGCCCACCCGCGCCTTCCAGTGCCGTCTCAAGGCTTGGTATTGGAGCACGCAAGATTGACTTCCAGCTTGCCATGCCATGTCTTGGTGGGCCAATCAATATATACTTCATTGCAAAGCAAGCTAGGTATCATGAATGATGAGACAAAAGAATGGTCTTTGATAGCAAGGTTGATAATCTAGCACAGTCCAGGCCTGAATGTACCCTCCATCTTTCCGAAATGGACACTACACTTCGCGAACGGACGGAGGCCTCGAGTTGTTCTGCGACTCCGCCTGCGTGCTGCTTCGCCGGAGGCTGAGGTTCCCGATTCGCTGCACCAAGTTGCTCCCCACTGCATCAACCGCGCCCTTGGGTGCGAGTAACGTAGGGCCCTGTGCCGCCGCTTCCTGGACCTTGAATAATTTGATTGATGTTCCATTCCAAACACCGACCGTACCAGGTGTAGCGCCAGATGCAGAACCCACGACCATCTCCGCAGAGAAAATGAACCCCCACAGCAGCGATTCATACCATCCCATTGATAGTGCTGACCATTCAAAGGAATGAACACGGGCTGAGGGAGGGTCTGAGATGATGCTCTGGATCATCGGATCTTGCACGAATGAGTTGAGCTTGGAGATTAGCGCGCGGGCCTCAGCACTAGATGAGGATTGAAGTGCCGGTGCCGGCACGTTCGGAACAATAACTGAGATGATCGTTAGGATTGTATGGAGAGGCAATTCGGGTAGCCAGGACTCGAGCTAAGGGACCGGTTAGTACCATCACCAATAAATAACACCGCCGGGGTGCTCAATTATTACTTACCCAAGCTGTAGTTGGGGTGAAGCCACTCGCAGAGGGCGCTAGGGCAGCTGACATGCTGCTCTGGCTTGTCATACTGTTTTGTCTTGAAAAGGTAGGTTGTCCCGCAGGCATCTTGCCTCGGGCCTTTTCTGACATTCCGCGAAGTTGCAACGGGACACTCTCCTCAGCGACGGACGATGACACGGATTGTCTACGAGATGTTTGAACAGAAACCGAATCCTGTGCGGGTGTGTGCTGTCCTTCGCCCTCATCATCCGAGTCATCTCCACCGATGGCAAATGGGCTGCTGTTCTCCTCAGGAATACGGCCAAGAGGTGACCGCGCACCAGAAGAAAGGCTTGGGTCGTCTTCGGATGCAGAGAGGACTGGGCTGGCGAGAGAGTCACGATTCTCGGCCTTTCTCCGTTCATTCTGCCGTTCGATCTCTTGCTGACCACTCTCAAGAGTGAATTCCCGGACAGCTTCGAATCGTCTCCGGTGCTTTAGAATGGCATACACAAGATATGGATTTTCTGGATACCATTAGTGACTGACTTTCGACAACACAGATATCAACATACCTGCGAACTTATGTTCCAGAATTGCGTTGATAGATTCGAGTATAGAGGCAAGTAGGGCATGATTCGTCTCATTAGCCAACAGAAAGCTGGGTGCAGCCATTGACGAGAAAAGCTGCAGGATTTTTGAGCATGTTTCAGGAGACAGGTTCTCCACATAAGGAGCCAAGTTGTTGATGACAGCGAGAAGAGCCGGATACACCGCGTTTAGCTTGCCTTTGCTTGTTGTTATCAATGTGTGAATGGACTGCAAGGGTTAGCAAACCTAACCCTTAAAGGGAGAAAGGATTATCAAGTACAATAAGCAGAAAATCACCATAAGTCCCCTTAAAGCCAGGTATCCGTATCGTCTGTGGAAGCGTGTCTTGGGCTTCAAATGTCTTGTTCAAACTCTTTCCAAAGTTGGGCTCGACGCTCATGGTTTGTAGAATGAATATACACATCCGAACAACACCCTGTTTTGCCGGATCGGACTTGTAGGTGATGGCATAAAATATACAAAGAATTATGAAATCGTGGGATCGGTTCGAGTCGATGATGAAGGATCTGAATCGTTTGTTGCATTGCAGAGCTTCCCAGAAGAGGACCAGCATCTCTGGTGCCCATTTTACCGATTTTTGGCTGCCAGGAAGGTATGCAGTTGTAGCTTGCATCTGTAGACAAGGCTATGTCAGTAACACGCCAATGATCTGATAGCCTCTCGCTTACGGGCTGATTCAAAATCCTTGTCATGCCGTCCACGAGGAATTGAAAATCCTGCGGCCTGTGCAACCGGCCAAAGTAGTGACGATAATGATTCTTCGGTGGAGTTCCGCGACCATCCTCCGGTACCGGGTATAAAAGGAGCACGAGGAGGAATTGAAGACTGTAAATAACCAAGATTTGTCTAGGGTCTTTCCACACGACATGATCATAGGGAACTCTCCACGAGGCAGGGTTGTACTTGATTGCCTATGAATATGTTAGTGACCGCAATGTCGAGATCATACTCGATGTGACATACTGTGTTCAAGAGTGAACATAGCAGCGTCAAAACTGCCTGTTTCTCCTGGCAACTGGTAATGTGTGTGATGGCTCTGACACCCCGAACCGGTAGCAAGCCTGAAGCGAAAGATAAGCTAGATTCCGCTTCGAGGACGAATGGTAATCCTTACTGGAAGACATGTACATTGATTTCCCGGTTATTGTAAGCAGCAAGCGAAGGATTTCGCAGCGATTGTTCTCAAATTCCCTGCTCGAGCCCATCGAAGTATTGCAACCAACGCCGCTCTGCCAGATCGAGTACGAAACCTTGGACTTTGCGGAGGGAAGTTTTGGTATCGTGAAATCTGCGAAGAATAGTAGATCCATGAGAGTATCAATCAACTCCTCAGTCAAGGGCTTCATGTCTTCGTAATCCTGAGTCCGAGTGCTCGGAGGTTCCTGCCCCTCTTCCGACTGCGCTTCATCAAAAAGCACATCCGTGGCTAGCTGGGCCTCTCTGGTCTTCTTCCTCCGAGTAGTCCAGAAAAACTTCTCCTCCCATTCTTCGAGATGCTCGGCTTCGTACACGTACGGAAGGAGGCGTGTGAGAATGCGAATACAGTTGAGCGCATCTCGGCCGGGGGCGAGGTCAGGGTCAGGGAAAGAAGGATGGTTTTTCAGCGCCGTCAAGCGAGACGTTATAGAGAGTAGTAGAGTTTCAAAGTTCGGTAATGCTTGATCGCGGGTCCGCCGAATATCCGCTGGTGTAAAGAGGCTGAACACATCCTCCGTCGATTCGGGGAGCTCCCAGAACTACACCTAGACTGTCAGCAAGGCTGCCCAGGTAAACTCCCAGCTGATAAGAAGCTAAAGACGCAAATACTGACTCTAGTCCAGTAAGGATCGTCTCCAGCAATCTGGTTCTCCTCCGACAGTCGAAAGATTCCCTGTTTGAATACTAACTTCGACTCCGAGGCTCCCATCTTGAAGCACGAAGGACGTTCCGGTTCAGAAATATCCCAGCCTCATGCGGGCCGTAAGCGGTAGATAATAGATTCAACGGCGCAGTCGAGTGATGTGAGGGCTAGAGCCGGGGCGCAGGACCTGGCAGTTTGGTGTCGCGTGAAGGGAGATTGGGTGGTGATGTTGGCTTTCTTGGAGAACAAGACTAGAGATGCGGGAACCTGCTCCAAGCTGGAGATGAGTATGGGGCCGCCAACGCTCCACCAAGAAAGAGCAAATAACGTCACTACGAACACTGGAAGGTTGCTCGGTTATTTCATCCAAGTACAGATAACGAAGATGATATTTCTTTCTAACCATCAAAAACAAAAAAATCAGGCCAGCAATGCTCTATGCGCCGGAAATAGAATAATCAGAAAGCGAACCGAAACACCTCTTAAATAATAACATGATTTACATCATTACGCTCGCGTATAGAAGCGCCGCAACCCTAAGCAAATCGAATTAAAGGCTACCGTTGCTAGCAGACAGACGCCTACTCCGCTCATATAGCCATTTGTTGCTCAGTCCCAATGTCCCCTTCTTGCCTGTCACTGGCGAAGGGGTAGATGGCATAATGATCGATTCTTTGAAAGACGAGCTACGGCCTAGCGGGGAAGAGGACCCGAAACTTGGCCTGCGTCCAGTGTCCCTTCCACCATTCGCGACCATCTTATGCAAAAGAGGGCTGGGCGACGGAGAGAAAGGCGTGCCGGAGAACTGACGACTCGACGCGCTCGCGCCGGTAGACAACGGAGATCCCGAAAAGCTAGCCGGGCTACCTGCCCTTGAGCCAGATACCCGATACTTCGGAGGGGTCACATAGGATGTTGCTGGAGCGGGGGAAGAGGTAGCAGAGGGGTCGAGACCGAGGAGAGCACGCTGTGTTGGGGTAAGGGGAATGTCGGAGATTTCATCTTTCGGTCGGAAGAGCGGGTATAAGGCGGCCAGTATGTTGAAGGAAAGCAGCAATTGCACTGTGAGCAGTAACAGGTCGGAGTATGTTGGGATATCCGTTTGCCTCTGAATCCAATGAAAGCTAGGCCAGAACGGTCAGTCAAGCACGATTGGAGTGTCCAATTTATAATACGCACATGGACTTGAAGCTATTTCCAAAGAGCCAGGATGCGAAAAGCATAAAACCATTCGATATAAGCCGCTTTACATTACCATCTCCAAATGTCCCGGCCTGTTGCCGTCGCACAATCTCGTTCAGTTGCGGATGGCGCCATTTTCCAGGAGTACGAACCTCCTCAGAGGCAGGCGCGGGCGCCGGTGGTGCAGCTGGCTTGGGGGTCGAAGGAAGGAAAAGGGATGCCATTGGCGTACACGAAACGAAAGCTTCTGAAGTTGAGCTTTGATTCAAGCTTATGACCGAGGATTGATTGTGAGGACTCACCTGGAAAATGAAGACAAAAAAAATTGCGAAACTTACCTGAAATTAGATAGGATAAGTAGCTTTCGGTTACGCATCCATCTGTCTAAGCGTCTTTTGGGCTCGACCACAAAGAACCACTGAGTGAGTTTCAGGGCAGATCGCAGTGATTGTTTTGGATGCGGGCGGTCTTGCAACCGGAGAGACAGGCGCCTTTACCGCGAGAGCGATGCCTAATCGAGTAATGTGTCCTGAGCGCGCGCTAGTTCACCCCCACATAACACCGAGCGTCTCACGTCATCCAACAGTTACACCTCTGCCTGCTCGGTATAACCTCAAGCTCGGGACTTGATTCCATGCTCTCACGCTGAACCAACGGCTCTTATTGCGGCAAGAGCGAAAATGGCATCGGAAGCATCGATAACCGAACAGCTAGATGGCTTGCTCAACAATGCCCTAGCTGACTGGAATATCTACACCAGCTTGATCGCGGGCGCTATTGTCACCCTCACCGTCGTCACTTTCGTTACCTTCAAAGATCCAGAGATCCATCCATTCCTGCTTGCTCGCCAGTCAACCGCATTCCCTGTCCGCCAACCCGGCGAGTCTGCCGCCCACAGGAGCCTGGAGACCCCACATGGGTTCCCGCTGAGATCTGGGTTGAATGTGAAAGACCACGGCGCTCCCAGATGGACTAGCGGACGGAACGGCGATCTGCGCGATGTCTGGAAAACTGCGGTGCGTGGAGCGGTTGAAGAAAACAATAGCAGTGGTACGGGAAAACAGGGCAAGATCTACACGGTACTTGGGAAGCAGGCAATTGAGCATTCGCTGGACCAAACAACGGCGGAAATCAATGTTGTTGGAAAGCACTTACAGTCGGCCAATGCGAAGACAGTTGCCGTCTGCCTGACTGATTCGGTTGAGCTTTTGGGGTCTATATTTGGTAAGTTCTTTGGAAGGGGTCTTCAACTGAGTTTCGAACCGTTGCTGATTGAGTTTACTAGCTGGGGCATTCTATGGATTCAAGGTTGTTCTTGTCCCTCACAATCTCGACACGGAGGAACTTTCCGCGCTTTTACAGAAGGTCCAAGCCGACTCTCTGATCGCCGAGGCGGGCGCGGTCGACCTGGCCCTCGTGGCTAAGAAGAATGACAACCTCTCTCATGTTCTCTGGGTCGCAAAACTTGGAAGCAGACATATGGACTGGAACGCTGTGCCCAAGGAAGTACAAGGCCGCCTAGACGTAGCTGTGTGGCATGAGCTTGTTGATGAGAAGAAAGATTTGGCTGGACTGGAAGTACCTGAATGGGACCCTACGTCACCTACACCATCCTTGACCACTCTATGGTCAGGCGAATTCATAGAGTATAAACCAGAGGTAACTTTCTTTGAATCATCCTATTATTCTTTCCCATCTATGAGCTCCGTTGACAATCAATCATGACAGAATGTTGTAGCAGGTATTGCTGGTCTAATTTACTCCCTGCCTCGCAACCAACGGCTCAACAGCGGTGACCTCGTTCTATCAATCGACTCTCTATCGCGGCTTTACCCCCTATGCCAAGTGTTTGCTGCTCTCTTCTCCAATGCCTCCGTGGCCCTGAACTCTGTTGCCGGGGGCAATGTCGACTTCGCGCTTGCTACCGTTGGAGTATCTCCCACCGTCATCGTCGCGTCCTCCCGGACGATCTCCGAGTACCACGCGAAGTTCATGAAGCCACACTCCGGGCTGCTTTCCTCCGTTGCTCGTTGGTTCCAGGTCCGCTCACTGGATGCTGGTAATATGCCATCTCAGGGCTTCTTCAGCCGTCTCGCCACTGTCGGACCTACAGCGGAGCTGTCACTTGATAGACTTCGCTTACTCTGCGTTGCACACCGTGTGGATGAGGATCCCACAGTTCGCCTAAGCTATGAGCAATTGACCGACTTAAGGGTGTTCACTGGGGCGCGGGTGGTTTACGCTCTGACTGGCCCCGGCGTCGCTGGCGCCATCTCCCAAACGAATGTCTTTGACTATCGCCGGTTCCCAGGACCCAGCCACTTTGGTGCGCCTCTAAGCACCGTTGAGGTTCTCCTAACTGGTGTTTCTGAAAACACAGAACAAGGATATGTAAGTTTCTTCTAAGAGCTTCTTCGTTTCTAGTTTGGATCTACCTGCTAATACTTTTCCTCTAGCTCACGGTTTCTGGGCCGTCAGTAATCTCTGGGAAGACCACTCTCTCAGTACAGGCTCGTATTCGGGACGATAACACGTTTGACCTATGCTCATGAAGATCACGAGGGCTCCCACACAAAAATGCACCAGTTATTTCGGATATGTGTCATCTTTCTTCAACGCTCCCAATGCTTATGTGCAATGTTAACGGGCACTCGCATGCATATAGCGTGTTTTCTGAGGTTGAATTCGTAGCAGAATGCATCAATAATTGAACCAGAAAGAAATGTCTTCAAGATACAAGTACAGCTCGGTATAGTTGCTTAATGAATAATATACAAAGATAAGAGTCTTGCCCGATCACTATTTGTGTAGTGCCCGGGCTTGCAAAAGACCAGCTGTGGGAGTTTCATGGGCTTCTCTCGATACAGATATCTTGCTTTCAGCAATGACCTCCCCCAGGATTTTAATCTGTTCCTTGAATGCTGGTGCTATCGTCGGGTCGTTAGCAACCCCACTTACTTCCAGGGCAAGCTTCATTCCATTGTAAATGGGCACAATCCCTCGTAGCTGACGGTCGACACCATCCCAGTTTTCGGGGGTCTTGATAGAACCCGTTTTCCAGCTAGCGAGGAAACGTCGCGCGTAAGCGCGGACTTCGCCATTTGTATCCACCTTGCCATTATTGACAGCGTTGGCAGCGCTGAGCTCCAGTAGTACTCCAATGATAGATGGCTTCCGCTTGGGATCGGCTTTCGATTCTTGGGCCGCGTTTTCCGGCGCCTCCAGCAACCGAGCAAACTGTGACGCAAGGCGATAAGTCTTTTCGAACTTGGGACCCTGGAACTCATTCTTTTGGGCTTGTACATGGAGCTCGAAGAACAGACGCTGAGCAACATCGACGTGCCCGATGGTCACGCCGGTTTTCGCTGACTGCTTGACGGCCTCGGAGAAATACCCGAGACCATTCGTCGAGCCGGCCTCTGCGAGTATCGATTCGAGGTGATGCGCTTTGAGGACATATCCGGATTCACGGAGCCCAATGAGGAACGGGACAAAGTTGGACCAGTTTCCAGTCTCTTTCATGAGATCGATCACCTTCAAAGCGTCCTGCTTCGACGGGAGTGAATGTTTGTCGATCGAGCGGAGCTCATATGGTTCCTCATCTGGGCCGACGTACACGGTAATCGGGTTTTCCTTGAGCTTTTGGGCGTTCTGGGGCTTGTATATCAATCGTCGTTGCTCAATGGAGAGAGCATGTGGGATGAAGAGGAGGTCTCGGAATCGGCTAAGGGATGTATCGAGTTCGGATGAAGCTGTCGGGGTCCAGGTAGGGACAGCTATAAATAAGTTAGTGCCGCTGACCTCCTAGGACTCGGCCCTGGTTGGACCGGTCAAGTCTACTTTACCTGCTGTTGACCAGTTGCGTTTTTGCGCAAAGATGTTCATAGACTGACGGACGGTTCTGGAGGTTTGGCAGCGGAGCAGCCTGCCGATGGCGCCGTACGTCATATCGACTTGTGAAGCAAAGGACATCTTTTATGGGCCTGCACTTCAGACTTCAATCCTTCAGATACTCGTACAGCGTCCAGCGATTGACCTTGTGGTTTGGCTTCGTGAGGTGCTCGCGGCAGAAAAGTTCCTGGGCGGCCAAACATGCAAAAAATCTTGGCGCGGCTTCCGCCTTGTCAGATAATTTGTTCCGTCAACCAGCCAGCAACGGAGAGGTCCCATCCTCACCTCGCAGCAGTCATGGCGACCTTTACACAATTGACCCGGCGACCGGGCTCCTTGAGGTCGCTGATGAAGTCGGAATCGATTATCCAGTCTCAACTCAGTCGCCGATCAATCTCGACCGCATATTCCGCGAAGCCGGAACCTGTGCCTCTCCCTGCGAATCTCCCGGCTCAATTCCTCCGTCAATTACCTGAGCGCCTCAGACCTCGTGGTATGTGTCACTCCAGTTCTAGCTGCCAATCAATGGAGATGTTCTAACGCGAGGTTCAGAGCCCAAGAAGATCAAGGTCATCGCCCCTCCTCCGTCCGCTTGCAAGAAATGCCCGGATCCTTTAGCCGCAGTAAGAGAGGCGCAGTTAGCGGTTCTCGACCCGACCGGCGAGCGTAGAGCGCTCTTTGACTACCGGCGGAGCGAACGAAGTGCGAAAGTCGGTGATATCCTACGAGTGACGTTCAAGAACGGCGACCCATTTAATGGCGTTTGCCTGAGTATCAAGCTAGACGGCATTGACACCTCATTCTTGCTACGAAATGAGCTTACGAAAGTTGGAGTCGAAATGTCAATCAAGGCTTTCAGCCCGAATGTGGAAAGCGTCGAGATAGTCAAGAGAACAGAGAAGAGGAAGAGGAGAGCGCGGTTGTATTACATGAGGTGCGTACTATTTCTGTCTTCCGGCCCGAGTGTGCCTTGGGCGCTTGCTTTCCGAGGAAATTAGCTGACGGCTCCGTTTAGAAAACCCAAGCACGACATGCGCAGCGTCGAGAACATTGTGACACAGTACCTTCGACAGAAGTCCGCCCTTACTGGGCAGAGATCCTCCGGCAAGAAGAGGTGATATACATATGCACCGGCTATTTGACTCTTTCACGCGCCCTTGTATTTTTAGACCCAGCAAATGTATATTGAATATCATGGTGCCTTACTTTTTCGGCATCTTACTTCTTGAGCCAATAAAGTCTCAATCTAAACGGCCGACAGTCAGGAGCGACCTGAACTTGGCTTTTATATCACAGATTGAATCTAACAAGAAATGATCCATGTGCTTTGATCCTGGTCAACGACGTACATGGCCCATTCGCAACTGACGAATCCCGATCCGTGGTCCGACTCCTCATCATCTTCCCCTGTCAGAGTCTCTGACCTCGACCCCTAAACTCATGCCCTTTACGCAGTATCTACTTCCATCCATGAGAAGCACATGAAGGAAAGCCGTTTGACATGCGGCTTCGGAACGAGGAAACAACGGCTATTTCCCCGCACTAGGCTGAACAAGCATACTGTCAGCGCGAGACTGTGTTCCTACGCTCCACTAATCATCATTCGCAATGGTTTGGGCTGGCGACAACCATCCCCAGGATCTCCATTTTTGCTTTAGCTTGGTCGACCTGTTCTCGAGAATCTCCCCATCCCTCTGAATGAGGGCGGGGCACCAGTTCTCGATGGCACCTAGCCCATGTTTCTGGGCGCCAATCCACTATAATCGCGCCAGGCCTTGGTCAGCGACAGTCGCGAGCACGATTCATCGTATGTCTTGCTAACTGATTGGGCTGGTTTCCGATGCCTGTCCCGCTAAAATTACTCGAACTCTTGGGGATGGATCCGGGCAAGATCTCATTCAAAATGGTTGAATCATCTTCTCATGACAAGACATGCCGACTCACTAAATGGATCCGACCAGTCTCTGGGCGACGCCTACCAACAGTTCGCCTGGATCGGCAGGAATATGTTAGCCTAAATATTATGACATTTAAACTTATATCCCCCCGTCTTTGAACCTTTGCCTCGCGTGACGTCTTCAACGGCCGGAGGTGCGCCTCCGTTTCGAGTCTCGAGTGTAAGCTGTCAGGTCGCTACAAGACCGGTGCGAAAGATGGTCCTCTTCTTTCGACAGACATGGACTTTGACGGTTAAAAACCTGCTGGTTGTCCTTGTCCGTCCGTTATTCACGACCATCCTTCGCGCACTAATTCTGCCCGTCTTTTTCGTGGCCTTTATGTCAGATCTCCTAACCCTCAAAAACCACCGTGCCGCAGGGTTATGTCTAACTCTTCGCACACAGATCCTATGCGCGCAATCTGTTCATCCAACCGGCAACTTATGGGATAGGTGAACCGACACGCATACGGTCATTCAGTGATGGGCTGGCCTCGGTTGGTGCGGGAAGAAACAGGCTGATCTTCGTGCACAACGGTCTCGTTGGCGGCCCAATTGAGCAGGTCATAGACGAAGTCGCGGAGCCAGTAAGAGTCAGTCAAAATGAAGTTCACATTCTTGCAGACGAGTCAGAAATGAGACAATTGTGTCGGACAACACTACGGGGTATGTCCAGGTGTATTGCGGCGGCCATTTTTCATTCGTCCCCAACAGAAGGGCCCAACGAGGCGTGGAACTACACGATAAGAACCGATGCAGTCTTGGGTCAGGGAATAGACGTGGATAGTACCAGCAATGACCAGGAGATTTACCTCCTTCCGTTTCAACGCGCCATAGACTGGGCAATTGCGCGGACGAACTCATCATTCGATGCGAACGATCTTCCTAAAGAGGTCGAGTCCAAACATTCCTACTTCCAGATCCTCTACTGATTATCGCTAGACTTTGGAATATCCTTTTACATCCATGGACCAAGAAGAGCGCGAAGACGATATTCGAATACGGTACATGGGAGCCATCATCGATGTCATTGCCATCGCTATCTTCATTGGGATTGTTGGGGTGACGTATCAACTCACTGGCTTGATTGCGATGGAACGAGAATTGGGTATGAGCCAATTGATCGACTGTATGATGCCAAATTCGTCCCCGTGGCTATCCCAAGCCGCTCGCTTTTGCGCTGCCCACCTTGCTCTGGATATAGTATACGGACCTGGATGGATCATCATGGGCGGTATTCTGAAAGGCCTTGTATACAGCAGAACCTCGGCTGGGATTACGGTGGTTTATCACATTTTGACTGGTCTTGCGCTGTCGTCTTTCGCCATATTCGGTGCTTCGTTCTTCAAAAGGGCGCAGCTCAGCGGTATCTCCGTCGTCCTTGCCTGCCTTCTTCTCGGTGTGGTGGCTCAAATGGTTCCAGCGAGAAGTAATGGGCCTGTCATCATCCTCAGCCTTTTGTTCCCCTCTATGAATTACGTTTACTTCTCCATTTTCATAGCTCGATGGGAGAGGGAGAATCTCGCGGCAACTCTGACTGAGGCTGCGCCGAACAATCCATGGAGTCTCCCAGGGTTAGCCTTGTGGATTTTTCTGATCATCCAGATCGTCGTCTACCCCATTCTAGCCGCCGTGATGGAGCGAGTTTTATACGGCACGGCTTCGAAGAATCGCCACCTTTCTGGTCCTGATACTTCCGTAGCCCTGAGCATCAGGAACCTCACTAAGATATACCAGCCAGGATGGTTTTATCGGACCATAGGAAGGTGGTTTGGCAGTAACAGACAGAGCGTACATGCCGTCAACGACCTCTCAATGGACGTCAGTCAGGGACAAATTATGGTACTACTTGGGGCTAATGGATCGGGAAAATCTACGACATTAGATGCCATCGCTGGCTTGTCCAAATTATCATCCGGGATGATCAACATCAACTACGGACATAAGGAGCCCAGGCTCGGCCTTTGCCCGCAAAAGAATGTGCTCTGGGATAATTTGACGGTGAAAGAACACGTCCGGATCTTCAATAGGCTGAAATCGACTGGGAAAGTTGCAAGCGATGGGCAACTCACGCGGCTATTGAAGGATTGTGATCTCGGAAAGAAGCTAAAAGCCCGATCGAAGACACTCTCTGGCGGTCAAAAGAGAAAGGTTCAGCTGGCGATGATGTTTACTGGTGGCTCTTCTGTCTGCTGTGTCGATGAGGTGTCGTCAGGGCTGGATCCGATTTCTCGAAGGAAGATATGGGATATCCTGTTAGCCGAAAGAGGCTATAGGACGATCATACTGACAACCCATTTCCTGGACGAAGCGGACCTTCTCGCCGATCACATTGCGGTTCTCTCAAAAGGCGTGTTGAAAGCCAATGGATCAAGCGTTGAACTGAAGAGCCGTCTGGGTTCCGGTTACCGAATACATGTTCTCAACGTCCCTGGATCCGAACACGCTACTCGGACACGATTTCAAGGTGTACAAAAGGAGGCCCACTTTGACGAAACGGTGTATACAGTCCAAAGCTCTGCTGAAGCGGCACATTTCGTCTCAGAGCTAGAACACGAGGGCGTTACGGAGTATCGCATTAGTGGGCCTACCATAGAAGACGTCTTTCTCAAGGTTGCAAGTGAACTTGACATGGACTCTTCCAGAGAGAGTGTGGACTATAATACACTGGTGTCCAGTGCGGAGAGCAACGAGGGAAATATCCAGCCTGGGTCGCTACAACTGCTGACAGGTAAACGAATCGGCTTGGTGCTCCAGGCGTGGCATCTGTTTCGCAAAAGATTCACCATCCTTCGGCGCAATCCGCTTCCTTATATTGCTGCCTTTCTGATTCCCGTAATTGCCGCGGGCCTTGTTACCCTCTTCCTGAATGGGGTTCCACAGCCTGGGTGTTCGGGGGACGACTCCTTCAAGACACCCGAATCTACGCTCGCAGATCAATGGGATGATCTGCTACTTGTCCTAGGTCCATCAGACAAGGTACAGCCTAAACTTCTCGAAAGCTTTGTCCTTTCGATGAGCGAGCGGCTTGACTCCGATACAGGGGAGGTGAACGAGACAGGCGAGACATCCAGCTTCGAATCGCACTTTCATATGGTTCTTAACTACCCGGAATTTACCAACTACATATCGGAAAACTACGAAAATGTGACACCCGGAGGTGTCTATCTTGGGGATTCGCTCTGGGAACCGACTATCGCCTGGAAGGGGGACAACGCCAACTTTCCGCTTGCTGCTATTGTGCAGAATGTCCTAAACCGCCTTGTTACAGGAATGCCTATCAACATTGGCTTTGAATTCTTCGACATTCCCTCGATGCCCGATATTTTCGATGTTCTCCAGCTCATTGTATACTTTGGTCTTGCGATGTCGGTTTACCCGGCCCTTTTCGCCCTATACCCAAACATTGAACGTCTTCGAAACGTCCGCGCTCTACATTTCAGTAATGGAGTCAGGAGTCTATCTCTATGGCTCGCATACCTCTCCTTCGACTTTTGCATTGTTGTTGCCTCCAGCATCCTTGCAGTCATCATCTTCCGGGTCGCGTCCGATATCTGGTTTCACATTGAATACCTCTTTGTGATCTTCTTCCTCTACGGGCTGTGCAGCATCCTGTGCTCTTACCTAGTTTCCATCTGCACTCGATCACAGCTGGCAGCCTTTGCGTTCGCGGCCGGCGGACAGTGTGTCATGTTCCTTATCTATTTCATCGCATATATGAGCATCCTTACTTATGCACCTACGGAGAACATCGATTACTACGTCGAGGTTGCGCATTTCACCATCGCCCTGGTGTCCCCGGCAGGAAACCTTCTTCGCGCTATGTTTACTGCCCTAAACGTATTCTCCATCCTCTGCCGGGGCCCTGCGGGCCGAGAGATGGCCTCTTACCCCGGCGAAATCGGCCTCTACGGAGGACCTATTCTCTATCTTACCTGCCAGTCAATTTTCTTATTTGCTCTTCTGGTCTGGATCGAGGGTGGCTCGCCTATATTTTCCTGGCTTCGACCCCAGTCCAAGCCGCAAGACGTGGAAGATAAAGAGCCTGCTGACAGGGATATAGCAGAAGAGGCAGCGCGTGTGTCTAGCACAGAGGATAACCTTCGTCTCTTACATGTCAGCAAGACGTTTAAGAAACTTGTCGCTGTGGAAGATATAACCTTTGGCGTAGGTACGGGAGAGGTTTTTGCACTTCTCGGACCTAATGGCGCGGGCAAGACTACTACGATTTCCCTTATTCGAGGCGATATTCAGCCCACACGCAACGGCGGAGAGATCTTTGTTGACAAAGTATCGGTCTTGAAGCAGCGCGCGGCGGCCCGATCCCGCCTTGGTGTGTGCCCCCAATTCGACGCCATGGACCAGATGACAGTGCTCGAACACCTTATCTTCTATGCTCGCATCCGCGGCGTGCCAGACGTCACACACAATGTCCGCGAAGTCATGAAAGCCGTCGGTCTCACCCCATTCAAGCACCGCATGGCGACAAAGCTCTCTGGCGGAAACAAGCGTAAGCTCTCCCTCGGCATCGCCCTAATGGGCAATCCATCTGTTCTGCTACTCGACGAGCCATCGTCCGGTATGGACGCCGCCTCCAAACGAGTCATGTGGAAAACACTCGCTGCCGTAGCACCAGGACGATCTATCGTCCTCACCACACATTCAATGGAAGAAGCCGACGCCCTCGCCCACCGCGCGGGGATCATGGCCCGACGCATGCTGGCCCTAGGCACGACGGACGCCCTCCGCTCCAAATTCGGAAACATGTACCACGTGCACATCGTCCATGCGCAGGCACCCCACACCTCCGACGAAGACATGGAGTACATCCGTGACTGGGTGATGAAGAACTTCGCAGGCGCCATAATCGAGCAGAAGACATACCATGGACAACTGCGCTTCAGCGTCCCGGCGGAACCATCCCACGACAAGGACAAGGAGAAGTACACCACCACCACTACTACCACTACCGCCACTAGCGACGATGACAAGAGCTCTACAACCCGTGATGCCGACAGTGATCAAATCCACCCGATCTCACTGCACTCGGGTGTGTCAACCCTAGGCGGGTCGCAGGCAGGATCTGAGCTCGCGAAGATGCGAAGTAGTGTGAGTAAATTGTTCTCGCGGCTCGAGCAGGATAAAGCGGCATTGGGGGTGGAGCATTATTCTGTCAGCCAGACGACCCTCGATCAAGTGTTCTTGACTATTGTTGGGAGGCATCATATTCGGGAGGAAAACCCGGGGTAGTGCTTATGTTTATAAAGCCTTCTTTTTCGTTCCCTTTGTCTTGGCTGATTTGATATCCATTTGTCGTTAGTTCCTCCGTTGGGGGCTGATTGGGTTTATACGTTTTAACAAGGCATTCTATATCTTCTCGCGCACTAAATATTCAGCACAACACACCCACAAACCTGAGACCTCCCCGGGTACTATAGTATGTGACTTCACTCAAATCAGTGTCAAGATCTGCATTCGAATATAATTGCATGGCATTGGCCTATTCAGAGTATCGCCCCCCTTTTTTGCTGGGAAGGGGGGGAAGGGCCAAAGGCAATCAGACCCAATCAAAATTGGGAATTAGCAGCATCTGTATCACTATAGCATGGGATGAGATTGAGATGTTGTTGACTAGACTCTATATCTATATATCTATAATTAGTCGGATGAAGGGGTGTTTGGAGATGTCAGTTAAGTCATCGCTATTGGGAACCACAACAAAGGTCATACTGAGGTCTGAATGCAGTTAAATGGCCCCAAGTGCCATTCAGACGCGATGTGAGTCAAGCGCATATCGCTAAGATGTTGGGACGTGGATGCGTTTAGTAGGAGATCCGAGGAGGCAGATGTTTAGGCGCAGAGTGTCCCAGGAGACTTAGTAGGTAGCTATGCACCTATTAACAAGGTAGCGTTAACTCCCAGGCTAAGTGTTCAGACCATGAGACTGTGCTGTTGGCAAGGAGAAGAATACGACCCTGCTGAATTGATTGCTGGCAGATATGCAAAAGGTTTACCACGCGCTGGGAGCCAGGCATGCGCCCTGCGACGTAAGTACGCCCTGCGGCATGGGTTTCGTATACTGTACTACGTCTTGATAAGATATCACAACCAGGAAGAAGGCAAGCCGGCAGGAGCACGAGGACAATCCTTGACCGCCACTAGCCAAGCGACCTGAGCGTGGCAAACATGAAGACTCATGCGGGCTCTTTGTCTCCAACTCCATATGCATAGAGTCATAGACGAGGAACGAATCTGATAGATAAACAGTTGTGCAGGGTTCCTTGTCTGTGACGGTCATGCGGTGAGAGGCGAACCCACGTTTTCGTCACATTCCATTCCCGACTGCAGGCCAAACCGTTACTGGTTATGATCCGTCGAGTATGCAGACTGTGCGTGGGGACTCGGGAGGTTTCAGGTTGGAGACTCGAGAGTCGAGAGTGTTGCGGATATCTGCTCTTCACATTGAGAGAGGTGTTTGATCCAGATGAAAAGCAACTGAGATCCAAGTTGCTGATTGTAGTGTAGCCGCATCGCGTGCCTAGTTCCCAAAGGGGAAGAAAAGGAGGAATCCAAAGAGTTCCAAAAGTTGCGGGGAACCTGAACTGGCCGCGGCTTTTCTCCGGACAAAATTCCCTTCCTCCACATCAAAGATTCCACGGATGACCACCTCTCCTCTCTTTTAATAATCATTTGCCTGACTAGCCTAGTGGTCTCAACGAAAATGAAAGATTTTGCTTGGCACAGCTTTCGAGTCAGTTCGTGGCAGGCCCAGCCGGCTGTCGGCAACTGCCGACCTCTTCTCCAATTCTACAGGACGCTGGGTTTCTGTAGGACGCGGCCTCCAGTTTCTGTAATTTAGCGTGGAAATTTCTGACTGCTAAGTCGATTGGATCCAGAAACCGCTACCCAAACTGGTCCCCGATGCTACCATGAAACAAGATATCGTCCGCGAGTCCGCGATAGCTCACACAGATCGGCCAATCCATGCAGATGCTGCTTGACAAACAGACGCGGCCTCGAGCTATCCTGCAGTGCCCGTGCCCATTTCCATGAAAGAGGCTGGATCCTAAACCCCAAACCAGACTAGGACCCCTGTGAGGGGGCCTGGGGCTCGGGGCGAAGAGCCAACAGGATGCATTTTCGTCGCCCCCCCCTCCCCGGCTGCTAAATCCCCTAACTATATTTACTATGGCTTTTTAGGCATCTTGGGCCTTCCGGTGGGGATACGCCACTTATCTCCGGCTTCTGGAACGTCCTTTGTCAAGATAAATTTCCGCGGTTAAGATTTTCTCTCCCTTTGCTCTCTTCTTGTGCTTCCTGAAGCCTGCTCTCACGCTGTTGGTATAGCTCCCCGTGCTACTACACCGGCCATGGATGAGAAACGGGGCGTGTCAACCAGCTCAGACGCGGATACTCTCGATTCGAGCTATGAACAGAATCGGGAATGGATCCGGCACAGCAATCCCCAGGGCGAGGTGTCGCATGACTCGGGCGTCAATGTCGCAAGGGCCGAGCAGGAGTTTGCTGAGCTGAACAGAGAGCTTTCTAAGATCTCTTATCAAGCTCAGCGGCTCTCTAAGCATGCCTCTAGGGTATCGAAGAACGAAGTGCACAGCAAGGACGTGGAGCGATCCGCCAGCTCAACCGACTCTCTGGAGGACTGGGATCTCGAAACGGCCTTGCGCGGGAACCAAGAAGCTGAAATGGAGGCTGGTATCAAGAGTAAACACATCGGTAAGCTCAGTACCCGACGCTCTGCCTGCACTTTCTAACAACCTAGGTGTTATCTGGGATAAGCTCACGGTTCGTGGAATTGGCGGTTCCAAAAGCATCATCAAGACGTTTCCGGACGCCATTGTGGACTTCTTTAATGTATACAGTTTGGCCAGGGAGTGGCTAGGCTACAACAACAAAGGAAAGGAATTTGATATACTCAAAGATTTTCGCGGCATGATACGACCCGGCGAGATGGTGCTCGTTCTTGGACGTCCTGGTTCCGGGTGTACAACGTTTCTCAAGGCGATCACGAACCAACGTTTCGGTTACACAGCAGTTGACGGCGAAGTCCTATATGGTCCGTTTGATGCCGATACGTTCTCCAAGAGATTCCGCGGCGAAGCAGTCTATAACCAAGAGGATGATGTCCATCAGCCGACCCTGACTGTCAAACAAACATTAGATTTCGCTCTGAATACAAAGACCCCTGGTAAACGACCTGCTGGAGTTTCCAAGGAGGAATTCAAGGGAAAAGTGATCAGTATGCTGCTCAAGATGTTCAACATCGAACACACTGCCAATACTATTGTCGGAAATCACTTCATCCGAGGTGTCTCCGGAGGAGAGAAGCGTCGCGTCAGCATTGCTGAGATGATGATCACATCTGCTACTGTCCTAGCATGGGATAATAGTACTCGCGGCTTAGATGCTTCGACGGCTCTTGACTGGGTAAGTTGTGTGCACAAGATGTGGCCAAGACTTGTTAACAGTAATAGGCAAAATCGCTGCGGATTATGACCAATATCTACAAGACCACGACATTTGTTTCGCTCTATCAAGCATCGGAGAGTATCTACAGGCAATTCGACAAGGTTATGGTGATTGACAGCGGCCGGCAAGTCTTCTTCGGTCCCGCGGGAGAGGCGCGAAAGTACTTTGAGGATCTTGGGTACAAGGAGAAGCCTCGTCAGACCACACCCGATTACCTTACTTCATGCACCGACCCTTTCGAACGAGAGTATAAAGAAGGTCGCGACTCTACCAATGTCCCATCGACGCCGGAGGCACTCGCATCAGCTTTTGACGAGTCCGTCTTCAACCAGAAGCTTTCCGAAGAAATGGACACCTACCGAAAGCAGATTCAGCACGAAAAGCAAATTCATAAAGATTTCGAGATTGCCAACCAAGAAGCCAAGCGCAAATATACGTCGAAGTCATCGGTCTACCTCATCCCGTTTTACCTACAAGTCTGGGCCCTCATGAAGCGCCAATTCTTCATCAAGTGGCAGGATAAATTTGCTCTCAACGTCTCTTGGATTACTTCTACTGGTGTTGCAATCATTCTGGGAACAGTCTGGCTTGACCTACCAAACACTAGTGCTGGTGCATTTACAAGAGGTGGTCTCCTTTTCACCAGTTTCCTCTTCAATGGATTCCAAGCATTTTCGGAGCTGGCCTCTACTATGATGGGGCGAGCGCTGGTGAACAAACACCGGCAATTTACCTTTTACAGGCCAAGCGCCTTGTTCATTGCTCAGATCTTCGTCGATGCTACATTTGCGATTGCTCGAATTCTCGTCTTCAGCATCATTGTGTACTTCATGTGTGGTCTAGCTCGGGATGCGGGCGCGTTTTTCACTTTTGTCCTGCTTGTGTTCACCGGGTACATCAACATGACTGTCATCTTCAGAACTATCGGCTGTCTGTCGCCAGCGTTTGACCACGCCTTGAACTTTGTCTCTGTTCTTATCACTTTGTTTATCTTGACGTCTGGTTATCTAGTTCAGTGGCCAAGCGCACAGGTCTGGTTACGATGGTTCTACTACGTCAACCCGTTCGGACTGGGTTTTGCAAGCTTGATGGTCAATGAATTCAAGGGCCTCAACATGACCTGCACCAGCGAGTCTCTGATTCCGAATGGAGAGGGCTACAATGACATGAGCCACCAGGTCTGCACGCTAGCTGGTGGTGAAGCTGGTTCTCCGATCATTCCTGGTGCAAATTACCTTGCCACAACGTTCAACTACCGCAGAGAAGATCTGTGGCGGAACTTTGGTATTATGATGGCCCTGATTGTTGTTTTTCTTGCAATGAATCTGTACTTTGGTGAAGTGGTCCGGTTTAATGCAGGCGGCAAGACTGTCACTTTCTACCAGAAGGAGAATGCCGAGCGGAAATCCTTGAACGAGGCTCTGCAAGAAAAACGAACCAACCGTCGACCGGAGGACTTGAGCGCTTCTGAAGACAATATTTCGCTTACTTCGAAGTCGGTCCTGACCTGGGAAGACGTTTGCTACGATGTGCCTGTCCCGTCGGGTACCCGTCGTTTGCTGCACAATGTCTATGGTTATGTTCAACCCGGCAAACTGACTGCTCTGATGGGTGCATCTGGTGCAGGTAAAACGACTTTATTGGATGTTCTTGCAGCGAGAAAGAACATCGGCGTAATTGGTGGTGACATCTTGGTGGACGGTGCAAAGCCTGGTACATCTTTCCAGCGAGGTACTTCATACGTGGAACAGATGGATGTGCACGAGCCGATGCAAACTGTTCGCGAGGCATTGCGCTTCTCCGCCGACCTGCGTCAGTCGTATGATGTACCGCGGTCTGAGAAATATGCGTACGTTGAGGAGATTATCTCACTGTTGGAACTGGAAAACCTTGCCGACGCTATTATTGGAACAACCGAGACAGGTCTATCTGTTGAAGAAAGAAAGCGAGTCACTATTGGCGTCGAGCTAGCTGCAAAACCTGAGATGCTTCTATTCCTTGACGAACCTACATCTGGACTTGACAGTCAATCTGCCTTCAACATTGTGCGCTTCTTGCGCAAGCTCGCTGCTGCTGGACAGGCCATCCTATGTACCATCCACCAGCCAAATTCGGCGCTTTTCGAGAACTTTGATAGGCTCCTTTTGCTGAAGAGCGGAGGGCAGTGTGTGTACTTTGGTGATATTGGTCAAGACTGCCAGACGTTGATTAACTATTTCCGCCGCAACGGGGCAGAGTGTCCTCCTGATGCGAATCCCGCCGAGTGGATGCTCGACGCAATCGGCGCTGGCCAATCGCGCCACCTAGGAAACCGTGATTGGGTTGAGTTCTGGAGAGAATCCCCAGAACTGGAGCAAGCTAAGCGAGAAATCGTCGAGATCAAGGCCAAACGCGCGGAGGAAGCCAGGCAGAACCATGCCGACAAGGTAGAAGACGAATACGCCACGCCGCTGTGGCACCAGATCAAGGCCGTCTGTAAGCGGACCAACATTGTCTTTTGGCGCTCTCGCAAATACGGATTCACGCGGCTTTTTACCCACGTCAGTATCTCCCTGATTACAGGTCTTGCGTTCCTGCAGCTCGATGATTCGCGAGCTTCGCTGCAGTACCGTATATTCGTCCTGTTCAATGTCACCATTATCCCCATCATCATCATTCAACAGGTCGAGCCTCGGTACGAAATGTCCCGCATAATCTTCTATCGGGAAGCCGCGTCCAAAACATACAAGAACTTTGCATTTGCAGTGTCCATGGTGTGTGCTGAACTCCCGTACTGCCTGATTTGTGCAGTCCTCTTCTTCCTGTTCCTGTACTATATTCCAGGCTTCCAGACGGCCAGTGATCGAGCCGGCTACCAGTTCTTCATGGTCGTGATCACTCAACTGTTTGCCGTGACGCTAGGCCAGATGATCCAAGCCCTGACCCCAAACACCATGATTGCATCGCAGCTCAACCCACCCATTACTATCTTGTTCAGTTTGTTCTGCGGAGTCATGGTTCCCAAGCCGCAGATGCCGAAATTCTGGCGAGCGTGGTTCTATGAGCTAGACCCGTTCACCCGCATCATCAGTGGTATGGTCACGACGGAGCTGCACCAACGACCTGTCGCCTGCACTGCTGGAGAGTTCAACCGCTTCCAAGCCCCACTCGGTCAGACATGTGGTGAATACATGCAGGCATTCTTCGACAGAGGCGGCATTGGCTACCTGGCCAATAATGCGACTCGGGATTGCGAATACTGCGCGTACAAGGTCGGTGACGAATACTACCAAGCCTTTGAGATGAGCTTCAACGACAGGTGGAGGGATATGGGTATATACGCGGCGTTTGTGGGGTCGAACCTAATTATATTGTTCCTCGCTGTAAGTTTCCCTTCTGCTTTTCCTGAGGATCACTTCACTGACTGCTACAGGCGCGCTATCTTAACTTCAACCGACGATAGCATTTGGGCGATGAGAGAGCTGTGGGTGTTGGGTGGGAGAAAAACGTACGATCTGGAGAAAAAAATAAAGTCAATAGAAGCCATCTATCGTACATCTTTTGGAAAGAACATACCGTAGTTTGTACTGGCGCCCACATCCAAGGTTTTAAAATCCTCCGTCACCATCAGGAGCCTTTGACTTGAGGTTAAGTAACCTAGAAACTGCCGGGCAATTGGGGCTAGCTCAACCCATCTGCTCTGCAACCCAGCTATTTGGGCTTTACATTGCAGCAGTTGGGCCGGTCCTGTTACTTTGAGAAGATTCGACGATTCAAGAGGACATTGGCTAATCAACTACAGGCACCATGCATATCCAACCACCTATCTTCTTTTTTTCAACCCACAGCTAGATTGACAGTTCTGATGCAAAGCATCAGTATCTTTGATCTTGTCGGGGCTCTCAGGTGCGTTCGAGTTCATTGAGTAGAATGAGCTGACACTATTAGGCTTGATGGTTAGCCAGTTATCCTGGGTAGCTAGCTGTCCAAGGGAGTCCACAGCTCACTAACTCGCGTCCTGGTCGCCCAATACCGAAAAGCATCCATGAGGCTGTGCAGCCGGCCGGTACAAGCGGAAATCCGGCCCATTCATTGCCACAGTATTGACCATTTTCCTCGGTTCTCGCAAGTCCTCACACTCTAGTTTTGACATCGTTTCAGTATAGTCATAATTAGATAGGCTCTCTTTCAATATACCTCAAGGAGGAATGCTCATGGAACTGGCACATACACGAATGATATATCCAAGTCTTCATCACCACTTTCACCTCCATTTTCACTCCCACCATCACTCTCGCTCTCGCTCTCGCCCTCACTTTTGTCAATATCATTATGATCAAGATATGTATATTCGCCTCCCGTCTTTTTTTTTTCCAGACCCTGGAAACAGAAATCGAGAAACACGCCCAAGACAGCCATGGTAGAAAATAGCGACGAAGAGGGCCGAAAGACTGAGACATATCCAGGGGAACAGAATAATGAATAGGGGTTTCGTTTCAGCGTCGAGGTTCGGCTGATGCTGCGCAGCCATGCTGAGATCCGAGGTGAGTACTCTGTCTATAATCATGAAGCAGGACGGAGAATGTGAACCCGCCTCTCTTGTTGAGTTGATGGCCCAGAGAGATGTAGAGGATTTAGAGGGTCAGACACATGGTTGTAGTTCTGTTGACCGTAGAGCTACCAGCCACTACTGGGACTTCTTTCTGTTGATAGCGGTAGTATCCAATTGTCTCAACAACCCATTGTCTCAGATGTGGCTGACACCATGAACAAGACCTATAATCCACAACAACACACGCCTAATAACTAGTCATCCACCATATTGATTCGATCCAGAAAGCGCCTCCCTAATGAATAAGTTGCAATACCTAAAAGAAGGTCTTACTTCCTAACATCTCACTAGAGTCACCCCCATACAGACGCCCAAGACAAGATGGAAATAACACCCAAACATAGCTCCAGCAGAGACAATCTGCTACTGGCAACAAAGGACTGCACAAACGCCACGAACAAACACATCCACAAACCACGCGGACAATCGCCAGATGCGTCTTTGTCTTGTGTCTTTTGGTAGATATAAAATAGCCATTGATTTCCTGGCTATGCATTTCTCTACCAGTCTACTCTCCAGAGAACTTGTATACCGACTTCCTGGCATCTACCCGCAACAAATCTGCCTCGTTAAATCAGCCCTACTGCAATCACGATCAATCTATTACCCGTACCCGGAACACCCACCAAGATGCCCCGGATACCTTCAGAAAAGCCCACCACCACCACCACCACCACCCCAGACCCCAAAGACACACCCACCACCAGCGACATCGCTCCAAACCCCGTCTCCAACACGAACATCCCCCGCCCCTCCTTCGACCTCAACACCGTAACCCCCGCAACCCGCAAAGCGTGGGCGTACCTGGTAGCCTACCGGGCCCGAAAAGCAGCAGAACCCCCGAAACCCCCACCCCGCTACAAACCTCTACAGCACTACCACTTCGCCAAGAGCTTCGCGTGCACAAACGAGCTGTGCATGGCCGTCATCGATAACTTGACCTGGGGCCTGTTTACGTATGATGCGGCCTGGGGGATTTATGATCCCCGCCGGGCGCCGCCATTCTTCAACAAGTTGTCGCCGGGCGAGATGGAGGCTTTACCGAGACTTGATCGGCTTTTGTCGGAGGTTGTTATGGGGCCGGAGGATGAGGCGGGGTATGTTAATGCAATTATGGGATACTTGGGGTTGGTTCCGAGGGAGGTTGATCGCGAGGAGGATGGTGAGGGGAAGGAGAGCGAGGAGGATGACAGCAAGGGTGGTGGTGATGAGAAGAAGGGGAAAAAAGTGGTCACGAAGGTCGCCGATGTCGACTGGACGGTCAAACCCCCAGAGGAGATAGCGTTTGCGCAGTACCGGGTTGACTACCATGCGTATCTGCATTATTTGCTTGTGAGAAAGGGTGTGCGATGGTTCGAGCTGGGGGATTACATGGATACACAGAGGTGGAAGTGGTGTCTTGAGCGCGGGAGGGGCCAGGATTGGGGAGATTTGAGAGGGAGGTATGTTTGGGAGAGGAGAGGTGGCATCTGACTTTTGTCATATAAGTGCTTGGTTTAAGGCGTGCAATAGACCGTCGATTCACTTCATACGAACTAGGTACAAGGAATAATGCGACAGAATATACTGAAAATATGGCCATATAAACCGAGATAGAGTAGGAACTCTGGCGCTGTCGAAGCGAGGTCGATATCTAACGAGTGATAAACTCTTATGCACAAGTAAGAAACAGTCGGTCTGCGGGGTCGAAGTAAGAAAATAAAAAGAGAGGGTATATGTTGAAAGTGTGACGCTGGCCAGTGTGGCCGGAAGAATTATGTCTTCTCCGTACCAGCCATTGTCGTGTCTTGTGTGTCCGAGATAGGCTGCTTGGTGTCCGAAGGGTACTCCCGCGGCTGTGCCTCGCTGGTGTTCTTCTCCGGACGCTTGCGGCCCAGCCGCTCGCACCAGTGCTCAGCACTGACCAGGGTGTCATTGACCACCCCACTGACCTGTGACATCATATCCAATCCTTCTTGCGCAAGGACAAGGATCCGACGTGCATTGCTGGATGCTTCGGACGAGCCGTTGTCCTCTGGCACGGTGGTCGAGGCCATCTGGAAGCGTTGAGGTAGAGAAGTGAGATGACGGCGGACGAGATGGCGCGCATTCTCTGGAAGAGCTCCACCGGCATACTTGGAGACGACATCTACTACCTGCTTCAATGTAGTCAGGACATCTTGCTTGAGAGCCTGAATGCGCTGCGACAGCTGGGTCTGGTTCGATGCTTGGCCGGTGACCGTGCCGTCTCCATTTTTCTGCGGGAGATCTTCCCATTCCTTCAACGTCTCCTGCAGAGAAACAATGGATTTCCCTAGCCTGCCATTGGCCCACTTCAGCCACGTCAGGCAATACTGCAAGCTCCGAAGCGACTCTTCGCTCATTGCCACTCCCAGACCAGACGTCGAAATCATCAATCGACTCTGCCATGTGGACTGGCGTGTTTTATCCTCCCGACCAACCTCATCATAGTTGGGTGTCTTTTCATCATCGTACGGAGGGAGCGACTCGTTGAGATAGAGCTCTGGAGCATCGGGCACAGTTCTGCCGTCCATTGTTGCTTCCAAGCCCTTTTCCAAGTCTTGCTCCGTGGGATGATTATGCCCGCTTACCTTGCGGCGTTTGGACCGACTGGATTCTGATGAGTTGGAGGCGTGTCTCTGCAACGCCCAGCGTATACCACTTTCCATGCCTGTCTTTCGGCCAACGTTGCCAACGGTATTCGCGACGCGCGGGCCGATGTTGCGCTCGATAAACTCGGCACCGGACTTGAACCGAGGAGAATATGACTTGGAGGAGGTATAGGCAGAGACGGAGCCGTTGATCGCAGATGATATCAAGGGGTGGGAGGAGGTCAATAGCGAGAGAAGTGGTTCGGGTTGTGATTTGGTCTCTGGAGGGGTGGTGTGTTGGGATGATCTAGGGGATGCGCCAAAGTCTGCCAAACTCAGTAATAAGCCATTAAAGTATACACGGAAAATATGTGCGAACCTGTTCGAAGTCCTTCAAGAGCTTGTGCAGCTTCGAGATCATCCATAGACAAGACACTGGTGGCGCGACGGGAGCGGTCCTCAGCGATGGCTGTATTTTCCACTTCCATCATGGAAGGCACATGTTGAGGAGTTGAGGAGACGGAGGAAGGGTTAGATAAGTGAACGAGCGAGGTTGAAGACGAATTAGATGAGTTGCTGAGAGCAGTCGTAGCGAGAGGAGGATTCGCGGTGGCGTCTCGGACGGAGACAGACGACAGGGAGGAGTTGAGGGTCGCAATGCCGTCTACACTACGGTCACTGCGGTCCATAGCGGCTGGCAGACCGAGAGTGGAGGGGGAACGATTGAAGACGGACTGATGGAGGCAATCAGTCTACGGAGTAATGGGTTCCTTCCTTCCTTGTGAACGAGGGCCGGGCAGTTGACTGGACGTTGAAGAAACCGCAGAAGAGGGTCTCGAGACTTTCACGTGAAAAATTTTCAGCTGCCACCCAACCCAATCGCAAACTGCCGACGGCGTTTAGTAGAGAAATAATGATCGAGTGATGAAAGCAAGGCAAGTCAGGACCGAGCTGGTTCCTGCGATTTCTCTAGAGATCACATCCAAAAGTACCCCAGGTGGGTTGGTGATGGTCCGGGCAACGTCTAAATTATGTTTAGCCCTCCAAGATCACAAGTTCAAGTTTACAACGTACTACTACTAGTACGGGCGGAAAATATCCAAAGACGATCAGATGCCTCCTCTCTGCTGGCAGCACCCCTGCCCTCGCACGCTCCGTAAAATCCGGAGCAAACAAATGGACCATGAATGGCTCGCACTTGGCTTCTTGATGTGAAGCACACCGGCATCTTACATCACATGTTTAGCATGTGAGCTCGGGACAGACCACCGCTAGCCACTGACAACCTTTCCTGTCATCCCGTCGATTCCAGATCAGTGCCGGTATTGCTGCCGGGGTACACCAGAGGCAAACCAGAAGACAGAGAATGGCGCTCTTCACGAGCTTCTACCTCCCCTCCAGATTATTCAAGTTGATCATTTGTTGGGACATTGCTCTTCTTGCCATCCCTGTCTTTCTCCGCTCCAGGCCATCCATCCTATTTACGGTTTAGTACGGAGTAGGACTAGCGGCCCTGCGCCCTCAAAACTCAATCGTCACTCGTTGCGGGTCATCGCATGTGATGATGTGAATAGTGATCGGGGATATTGACCGCCTCCTGCTTCCGATCCCCGCCAGCCACCACCAGGAGTCTCCCTCACCAACACACCTTCAGGGGAGCAACACAAGAATCACCGACCGCGGTCAGCCTTATCGGTACAAGTGGGGCGGCTTGTATCAATACGATCGCTTTGTATTCACTGGGTATCCCTAGATGGTGCGACTCTTATCCAAGTATATCTACACTACTCTACAGACAACTGATCGTCAGGGTCGTAGTATCCTCCGACGCCTGTAGTCCCAAAGAACATGGCCTCAATAGCCTCGTGACCTTCAAAATCATCACTCCCGCTTTCCTCTTCTTCCTCCCCATCTTGCGTCTTCAAGCGTGCAACCACCTTCTTGTTGACCCGATAGCACGCCAGGAGCTCATTGGACACTGTGCGCGACGGGAGAGTCCGACTCTTGATCTGACAGAGCACCTCCCCAAACGCATGAAAGACAAAACTCGAGTGCGCTTGCTTTTTGTATGCATATGACGCCATCAACTCAAGCCACTCTGTCTGACTATGCCGCCAGGCGTGGATCATCGGGTGGTCCCCTGCAGCCGGCGCCGGGATGGCTCGGGCCTGCTCGGCGGCCTCCAGGGCCAGAGGCGAGAACGAGCCAGTCCCTCCCGAAAGGGACCGGTTCCAGCGCTTTTGCAGCTCGTCAATGTCGCGGCTCGCCTGCTTGAGTATCGCGAATAGCGAAGTTGCGCCACCAGCACCACCACCAATCCCATGCCGATCCGCTTCCGCCTGTCTTCGAGCCTCGTTCCACGGCTGGACCAGGTCGGCATCCCTGCTGCGGATATAAGCTGCCTCTGGAAATGCCCTCTCGAGATTAGTTAGGACATCGTCGCGCTCTACGCGCGAGACAGTGAAGCGTATGTAGTCGATGATATTACCCCGTTTCGGCTTTCGCTCGCCATCCTTGTATGCTGGGAGATTTCGGACTTGGGGACTGATCTTCTTGCGATATTGCCGCCAAGCTGTCTCTGATAGGTGCACGCCAGCTTTTCGGCCGTCGACGAGGTGGCTCAGTAGGCACGAGAGCTCTTTTGCATTTCGTGAATCAATCGACTCGTCGTATGAAAGTTTCTCGTGTTCCACAGTACATCGTCCCAGATTGGACAGTGTCAAATTGAACGTGAAGGAGCTGTCAAGGAACTCGCTCATGGAATGAATGTCACGCATGGGCACCGAATGTTTTGTGAGTCCGAAATACTCCGGCGTGCAGTTTTCATTTCCGGTCGGTGGGCTCGAGTTCTGGAACTTGCGGACAATGTTCTGGTCCCAGCATATCCACGGCGTGTCACCATCATAGTCTCCTCCTGACAGGAGATCTGCCAATGGGTGGTCGCCGGTCGTGGGGAAAACGATGACATCTTTGAAGTGCCGAAGCTCTGGTTTCCAGACGGCCCGTCGGCGTTGGATGTCTGACGGAAGATGTGCAGGGAGGCGTCCTACAAGCACGTCGATGCCGTCGAGCAAGTTGTCCTCGAACTCACCCTGCTCATCGCGCCAGTTAGTCGAAAGGCCGAAATGCACCTCGTTTTCCCCCAAGACACCGTAGGGATCCGCGATACAAAAGGCATAGGTGGACAGAGGCACCTCGAAACGCATTTCGTCAACATATCGATCAAGCAGGTCTCTCAGGCACCGTCCCAATCGCTTGCGAAGAGGGTAGAATTCGCAAGGAGTGAACCCAGCTTCCGAAAATCGGATGATAGCCTCTATATCATCTGACATCCACTGCTCCAAGCGTCTCATACTTTGCGCCATGAACGCGGGGCCGCTGTCAGCCGTTGGCCTGATCTTCTGCGCAAGGCTGCGGCAAAGGACCGGACTATTATGTTTGAGGACTTCCTCGAAATCCCGCGCTACGCCTTGGATACCCTGCCGAGCGAGGTCCGCAATGTAATCCTTGATGGGACCTCCATGATCCAAAATGGCCAAAAGTTGAATGTTCAGATCCACCGGATGTAGAGGCTTGGACCATTTGACGACTTCAAAGGTTAGCTTATCACTATCCACCGGCTCGCGCCATTCCCGGGGATGCGGTTTGATCTTCAACTGCGAATCGGAGATCTGGATCCAGACATCATCGCCGCCAGCTGAGACCTGCGATTGGTGAGCGTCAACCATCCACAACCCTTTAGCACCGGCAATTCTCCCCTGAAAGGAACTAGGGGTATTACCGGTTATGCCTAGGGAGTCGCAGATCATATTTGCGAGATTCCTCGACATCAACGCGCAACCATCGTTCATGACTTTGTGATTTGGAGGGTCTCTCAGGTATAGAACTTGCCTTGGTTTCAGCGTAATTGTGGCGAATGTTTTCGAGAGACCAAGTGACATTCGTTGAAACAACTTGAGGTTAGTCTGATCGGAATTTTGCATGGGAGACAAGTGCCACTCGAGGAGAGACTCCAGACTCATCGGTGTGTGAGCATCGGCACTCTCATCCTTTGCAGAGACTCGGAATTTCGACGGGCTAAAGCGATCTCTAAAGTCGACGCCATCGATAGCAAAGAAGTCAACCCTAAACCTTGGCTCAGCTCGTCCCTTTCGCTTCTGCTTGACCTCTTCCACGAAGAATGGCTTCCACGCCCTCCCGAGGCACCTATGCGGATTCTGCGTCAGCCACAGCGCAATACTCTCACGCAGTAGAGCAGGATGATCGGGAAGCCGGAGATAACCCGGCGGTCTGGACGGAGCAGGTATCGTCAAACTGAGGAACCGATCTGAACCGAAGCGGCGGCCGAAGCGGCATGATCGTTCCGTCTTCAGCGGGCTCAGCTTCAGTCTCAAGACGCCGGGTTCAGACTTCGTGCACCACTCCAGATCGCCCGTCAGAACAACGGCTTCAGAGTGCTTCTGTGTTCTAAACGTCCCGCAGGCGGCATCCCACGCTTTGCGAGTCGGCTTGTCGGGTACTGGCTTCCCATCTCGCTGATTGTGCCCTTCAATCCATTTCCAGAATTCGTCATACCTCAACGAGATATTGTCGCCCGCGAGCATGCGGTTGAGGGGAACATTCCAAGCTCTCCCGATCCGCTCCAGTTCATACCGATACAGAAGCGGCACCGACGCCGGCAGGGGATTGTCAAGTGAAAACGGTCCGTTCTGGAGAAGCTCCGCCACGATATCCCCCTCGGCGGAATACCTAGGCTCTCCAAAGGACGTCCCATTCAATGTAGAATCCGTGGGGAGCGTATTTGGAATTGTACTGAACTCTTCACTTAGCGTATTCGCTACCGAATCATCATAAGTAGACCCCAAATCCTCTGTAATGGCCTCTGTAGCAAAGGTGACCGTCGAATTAAATGACGTGTCAACCCGGCCACGACGAGAATTCTGAGCAAACGACGACGTGTTCGGCAAAGTCGAGAAGCTGTAGTTGGCGGCATTCTGCGCAGATGTAGGCACAGCGTCGTATCGTCGATAGTTATCAGACGTCGCTGGCGTCGACGCAGTCAACCGCTCCACAAACGTCGATGCACTCTTGAGGATCCCCGTCATCATCGTCTTTGGTGCTTTATAAGGCGAGTTATTGCCGTTCCTCTCCCTCTCCAACGAGTCCGACTGCGCGCTCTCGGGGCTCTTAACCGGTGAATTTGGCGCAGTCTCAAACTCATCCGTCGACTCCTCCGCTTCAGATTGCGCATTTGCATCCCATTCTTCCATTCGGAACCTCCTCTTCAGCGACCGACGAGTCAGAGCGGGCGACTCCTCGGGGCTCTCATCACGGAGCGCCGCCGCCGCCGACGGAGACTGAAACGACCCCTGCCGCAGTAGATACATCTCATCATCGATTAACTTGACCAGATAAGCGAGCCTTTCCTCTCGTTCTCGCTGTGCAATAACCTCGCGGCTCCCAATGCCACCGAAACTGACTGATGCCTTAGCAGCGGATTTGGTATTAGGCCTCGCCCTTTCCCCCCTCGCCCAGAGCAACATCGTATCATGCGATCCCCTTGAACAAACCCACTCCTCGAACCCGTCTAGTACCGTATTAAGATTCACCGACTTGCTGTAATAGAGTCTGCGCAGGCCATTGAAAGAGCGCCATTGCGGGGTTTCCAACACGGCTCTGTTTGCGCCTGGGGAGTAGTATTGTGGATTCGGGATGTCGAGACTGAATTGGTCGTTTAGCTTGGTGATTATTTGCGTAAACTCTTGGCCGGATTTGGATTTCATGGGAGTTAGTGGGGTGGGTAGTGTTGCTGTCCCAGCTGCTCCGCCGGTGGTGGGTGCTGTTGGCATTTTGGCGGAGGAGAGAGAGAGGGAAGGCGCATTTCGTGTTTACAGGAGCATTTCGGAACAAGACTTGAGAGGTTAAGGGAATTTGATCTTGCTTTGTTGGGTATGGTGATAGCTAGGAGATATTAGCCCTGTGACAACCTTGAACGTGCTTTGGTTTTGTTTTGGTGGGGCGGGTGGATTCAAGATGTCAACCGGCGGTTTATCTATAAGTCGCGCAACGTGCTATTTGAGCAAGGGTTGAAAATCGAGAGAAGGCGCTGACAAGGAGGCGCGGACTCGTGAAAGAAGCAAAAATGGAACGACAAGGAGGGGAAATCGAGGCAGGATTCGAGTGATGAAGCAGAGAACTGCAGGTGGACCCGCTGCCAGCCTCCGCAAAACAATTTCGTTGGCGCTCTTGACGCTGAGGCTGACAGTATCTTTTCCTCAATCAAGCGCGAACAATTCTATATATACACCATGCAAGTGGACAAAGTATATCAGCACCGATTGTGGCTCATACCAGGAACAGTTGAGGCTTTGCATCCATTGGACAACACAATTCAGTATTTCCTGCATGGTCGCCTAATTAATCCCATTGGGGTTCTGTTTGCTTTGAAGGGCCACGAGGCTGCAACAAAATGACAGTGACTATATCAGCCACACTGGAAGCGCCCGACCCTTCCATAGTGGCGGCGCTCTGATTGATGCTGCTACTCGTCCTGCGCCATCTGTCTCGGCGTCCTGTTGGCTCTCGATGCTACGCCCCGAAGTCAATTCAACCTTGGCATGACCACTGCGGCCCTTGCGCCTGCTTCCAATCTTGTATCCAAGCACGAGCGCAAAGTAGAGGGGGATCCCGAGGTAAGAGGTAACAATGGCCCAAACATGTAAGCCTTTATTGTAATGGTTCTGATCAGTGTATTGGTTCCGATCAGACAGTTCAATGGCTCTCATGACGGGTATGGAAATGCAGATCACCAAGGCTGTCCACGAACCGAAAATCCCAAAGGGGGCTTTGAATGGGACTTCCTCGTCTGGGATTTTCTGGGCTTTGCGTGCCCGCACGAAAGAGATGTGCATTATGAGAATGGACCCCCACGACAAGATGCTGAAGATGGTGACCAGGTTGACCAAATTGGTCCAGAGACGGCCCGAAAAGGGCTCGAAAAGGTTTAAATACCCGAGCAATGCTGGCGTAGCACTCACTCCTAGAGCAAACACTGGAACTCCACGCTTATCCAAGCGACGGAGGAAGAAAGGCGCGTTCTCCTCGAGGGAGAGCTCGCGGAGGATTCTGGTTGCCATGCAAAGGGCGCGACTGGCAGCAGAGACGACGAAGATGAGGATACAAGCGTTCAAAATATCTGGAAGCACAGCGATATGAGCCTTATTTACTGCAACAACGAATGCAGAAGCGCTCTGCTTGGGGGTGGTGCTCATCGGGAGCGCTAGGGTGTCATCATCGTAAGGGATTACCATGCCTAGAAGAGTAATCGTGACAAGGTTGAAGGCCAGAATCCGATAGAAAATCTGCTTGATTGCCCGCGCTGCAGCTTTCCGAGGCTCTCGGGTATGTAGCACCGCCATTCCAATGAGCTCGGTACCCAAATAAGATAGCGTAGTGTTGGGAATCGTCCGGAAAATGGCGCGAAAGACGCCCAAAGCACTTCTGTCGTCCGAGCTGGCAAACGCACTGGGCCATTTCCAATAGCGAAAACCCTTACTTTCGTGGTCCCTCCCTCCCCCGAAGGCGATGACGAGCGACATAATCATGAGCACCAACACTATCAAAATCTTGAACGACGACAGTGCGACCTCATAGCGACCGAGAAACTGGCCGCTCCAGTAGTTCATACTGATTATGACGACCAGAAATCCTGTGATATAGATGGCTTTTTCCCCGACTGTTACATTCTTCCAGTATTTTATGACGAGTAAACCCCCGGTAAGTTGGTTGATGATGACGAACATGTACTTTAACCAGTATCTGCCAGTCGAAATCTGGAATTAGGGACCCGCGAACGATGAGAAGGGCGAAACCTACATCCACCCTAGTGTGAAACCCAACGCAGGACCACAAAATCGATTTGCATGAGTGTGTACGCTGGTTGGTTCCGGCGCGAAGGAAGCGACTTCGCCGAGCGCTGACAGCGCCAGGAAGACTATGAAGCCGACAAAAGTGTAAGATATCAGATTAGAGGCGGGCTGTTGAAGTCAGTACGCTGGAATAGATTTGAGAAGGGCGCCTACTCCTGATCTAGAACACCAAGTCAGAAGTTGGATGTCTCTGTATGATTCAAAGACTTACCCAGAGAGAGCATTGGCGAAGCCGATCATTAGCCCACTGTTGATTGCCCCGCCAATTGCTACTAAAATCAGTATTGAGACTTTGCTATACCTAGGAGAACAAACTGATGAGGGTGATCTGGTATGGCTTCAACCCGACATCGATGTTCATGCGGCTTGAGTAGCGGCTCTGTATAGTTCGAAGGTTGCTTCCTGCTTGCGGACCCGACGAGCGGCTCGATGCAACTTGTGACATATCCAGGCGGCGACTTTTTCAGCGGCGAGTGTGTACAGGAGACTGAAGTGGCATGGCAGACGAGAAGCCGACGCCTCGACAAAGTCTGGGGTCATGAACGGCTCCTGTCGAGGCGCGTGCCTTCCCCTTCGGCCACCTCTGCAGGTGGTGTCGCACCTTCCTAGAAGCGTATCAAAAGAAGAGCCCAGCGGCGTGACTGGTGTTGAAACTCATCAGATTGAACTTAAAAACAGAATGAAGCGTAGGAGGTATATGTATAAAACCTGTTGTATACATCTATGATCAAGCAAAGAGGAGAACCATGTGAGTAGTGGAGATCTCCCAACCTGTATCGATCGTGAACGATGCCCGAAACGCCAAAATCTAGGTACCTGTAACCGAACAGAAGCCAAGAAAAAGAACCTTTCAAAACGCAAGCCTATCTATTCCAGAAACGGGTCTTGAAGGTGTACATGTCTCATAATACCTGCTATTGTGCGCTGCACATTCGAGGTAAGTGATGATTTTATCGGGACATGTAAAGGGAGTCGCTGGACTCGGTCCTGGGGAAGAAGCGACCTTGCAAAGAGTCGGTGGATTCGCTTCGCGGGAACATGCGCTGCTGGGCCTTGGAAATAGTTCGATCCGTGTAGATACCCTTGGCAGTTCCGCCGAATACCGAGCTGAGATACTCCTTGAATTCGATAGGATGGAAGTCGGGGTAGAGATCCTTGCACGACAGATAACCCAGGTAATCGGCATACTCTGGAGTGTTGTCGCCACGAATTCCCCATGACAGTTGGTATTCGGCCAGGTATCGAGGAATGAACTTGACAGGATCGAAGGGGTAGGTCTCGCTTGACTGACGCGCAGCAAGAACCCTGTTCTGAACCAGCTCTTCCGAGATCTAGGCCTGAGAGTCAGTATGTGTATAGAAAAGGCTAGAGTATGGTGCGCTTACGTAGTTCCTCGTGATCTGCTCCTGACTGATTTCCTCCAGCAAGTTGAATATTTGGTTTTGCGTGAGGACTTCATTGTAAGCAAAGACCATCTTGTTCAGTGTGCGGTCATCAGTAATGATTCTGCTGACGTAGCGGCCGATATCTCTCAGATCTGTCAGGGCCATAGGTGTGTTGCCGTCTCCGACAATCTCGTTGTTCGAAGCCGTCATCGCATAGTCCAATTTTCCAGATTCGAGTCTGGGGTACGAGAGCTGGTACCACCAACCGACATCGATAATTGTGTATGGGAGGCGCAGTTGCTTGATGTGATTGTAGACAATTTCTTTCTGGGGGACTGTCAGGCCATATTCGAGATTGCGCTCGGTTTAGGAGCTTACCTCGTCGCGCAACCACATGATTCCGCCGGGTGGTGCCACTGTGATGAACCCGCAAGGGATGAATCGTTGAACGCCAGCCCTTTTCGCCGCATTGGCCAAAGGAATCTGGTCCTGCTGCTCTGCTGATCCAACACAACTGATCACAACATCAATCCCTTGTAAGACTTTTTCCAGCTCATCCTCTGACGATTTCAGATCGCATTTGCGGATGTGAACTCCCTTATCCTGTAGGGCGACAACAGCGGGTTTCTGAGCAGAGCGAGGGCGAACAAGCGCATGAATATCCTGTATGTAGAAAATCGAGTCAGAAACGGGGGGTTCAAAGGGAATTTTCTCCAGGGTAGACCTACAAAGAGCGGGTTCTCAAGCAGACCGGTTGCGATTGAACCTCCGGTCTCACCCGCAGCTCCGACCAGCAGAACACTTGTTCGTGACATAATGATGCTTTAGAGCGGCAGTAGTTCGTCGGAAGAGAAGTGATCGATATGGGCGAAGAGGTAGGAAAGAGAGGGAAGAAAAATAAGATTATCAAACGGACGAGGCAAGGTAGAAATTGCTCCCCGGGGCGGCTTCTTTCACAATGATGATGCTGTTTTCAAACGCCGGGGCAGAATCAAGGATGTGACGACGTTATAAAGGCCAGCGTCCCACCGTGGATGGCCACTCGTTACCCACTCTTTCAGGTATCCCAACTGGTCGCTGGTGGGTCGATTGTGGATGTTAAGCTCCTGTAAGAGATGACGACCGGGTTGAAGCACTCCGCGAATGAGTATCCAGCGAGTGATTGGGCATCGCAGAGGCCTCCCTTTGAAGGATCAGGAGACAACTGCAGAACAGGCAACTAACTCGAGGCCAAGGCATACGGAGGGTCTTTCCTTCAGTTGCGCTTTGCAGTGAGATCGCCACGGGCCGGCAGTGGCACAGCAAGCCTTAACAGGCGGCGAGAGGCCAACCAGACGCGCCTTACGTCATGTCCCACAGAACCGCACGGCTTCCCGGTCTGTGACCCTTGGCGGAGTAGCAAGTCGCACTCTTTTGTCTTTCCTTCAACACAGGGAGCAGGGTTCCATCGTCCCAAAAATTCGAACAAATCGCGGTTGTCATCGCTCGAGCCAACGAGTGACGCCATTGGCAAAGAGAAACCAGCCCTTCCACGGTAGCGTACATTCTTGGATCCATGGAAGCGCAGATCCCGATGCAGACCGCACCGATTCACATGGAAGCCGACCATCACAAGTTGCCCAAGCCCTCATTCCCTGGCTGGACAACAGTCCCCCGCAGTTTCACTAAATTTTGAGCTGATCCGGGGTTGATATTGCGGAGTTGCAATTTGTTCTACACTTTGGTATATCAGAAGGGGGTGGTTTAAGCTCAGCATTGTGTGCGGTCCGATGACATGATTTCTTATTGGCTATGTACATGAAGGTCCAGGAAGCCTAATTCGGCTTAGCATGCTTGTCTTTTCAGGGGTGCTGACTATATGCACAGGACGGTGGCTGCGACTCAGTGCCTACCCAGGGAGCCAAGTCCAACTTAGGCACACTCGTTCTTGGCCTCGCTGGGATTGATCATGCCGGCGTTTGCCATCGCGAGATAGTTCCAGTAGTCTGTCTGTGTGCCTTCGCCATCGACAACGCCATCGCCAAAGAACTTCGCTGTCCAGTAAGAACTTCCTCGAGTGTGAGCGGCAAATGCATACAGTCCTGTGTTCAGAGCCCGCCTTCTTCCCGCCAGGGTATTGTTGAGTTCCGCTTGGATGGACCACTCGCCAATAAACACAGGGAATTTACCATCTCCTGGTGATCCCTCCGCATCCGAACAGATGAAGGAAGTGATGGTCTCGCTCGTGGTGCCACGACCAGCAAAGTAATAGTGGTGCACATCAAACACGATATTTGCGTCACTTGGCAAGAGTGGGGACCAGTATGCTTCACCACGGAAGCTGCCCTGGAACATTACTGGGATTCTGGGGTTGACAGCAGCGACCTTGGAGATCACGGCCTGGATATACTGCAAAACCCAAGCAGCTCCATCATCACTTAATGCAAGCGGGGTACCAAAGAACGAAAGATCTGTGTTGTCGACTGGTTCGTTGATGGGTGCGATAGTGTAAAATTCGGGGTGACCAGAGCTCTGGACATAAGCGAGCACCTCATCGACCACTTCGAGGGAGTACTCCAACGCTGTCTGGTTGTTGAACCACCCAAAATGCCCCTCGGCCTCTCCGAACGGCATACCATTGACGCCACCAGGAAGCGAGTGGACATCGATAATAATATGCATGCCATACTTTGCAATTGCATACGAGGCAATGTTTTTCAGGAACGAGACTTGGTTGCCGGAATAGAGCTGCGAGCCTGGCACTTTGACCCATGCAGCATAGGTAGTGGGGATACGGAGGGTGTTGATTCCAAACTTGTGTAGATTGTCGATAACGGCGGGCGTGATCCAGGTCGCATACCGGCGCTCGAGGACTGCGCTGCACAAAGGGCCTTGATTAACGCAGAGGCCCCATTCATCTGGAGCGCCCTTGGAGTACTGAGACCACCAAGTGGTGTCGATGGTGGATTCTTGCACGAGCCATCCGCCAAGGTTGATGCCGTTGGCTTTGTAGGTGCTCCAGTCCAGATATTGGGCAGCTGAAGCAAGGTTGCAGGAAGCCTGCAGCAGAAGAGACGCAAGGATAAACCGTGCCATTGTGATCTGAGCTTGTAGTTGCGGTTCGGATGACTGAGGGAGTTGTTGGCACATTTGAGACTAGAGCAATCAGGGCTATTTAACCTGCCAGGTGTATACATCTCTTCGAGATATGTCCACTATTTCGGTGGCATATAAGCCGAATTCCTTTGAGATCGCCATTGAAAACGGCCTCTTTTGAACCCTTGATGGTGTTGTTGTTTGCGAATCGGCTTGAGAAGCCAAGATGAGGACATTCCCAGGATCCCGTCTTGCACCTTCGTTTTGGCCCTGCACCCCACAATCCAATTTCCGGGGTCATTATGCGGAGACACCCTGTCGTTATCTTGTCATAATTGGTGGTGGTAAGTTGCTGTCAAACCTGGACATCTCCACATCCCGACGATGCCTTGCGGACATCGGCAAGTTGGACCATCAAGATAGTAAAAACCAAGGTGTTCGGGCTATAATCTCCCTTGAGCTGAGGAGGTGGGGGTGGGGGTTTATACTCCCCAAGGTCTGGTCGTTTTACACCTCTGTCGACGAACCCAATCAGCAGCGTCGCTCGCTTGCGCTTCCTTCGGCAATGGTTGCGAGAATGCTTCCATTTTTGCCTCTTGAATCAGCTCATTATCCCCAATCTGCTGAGCAAAATGGGCCAAAACTGTTAGTTCGGCGCAATTGCCACCGAGTGCAGCTCCCTGACCATGAAACTTCGAAGAGCATGGCAAGATTGTTCACACACGGTCCCTGCTCAAAAGCAGGAGGAGGCATACTTATAGCGCGACGGAGCCCTGACTTCGAGTGTACCAATCTGCCAGGAAGTGATTCCTTATTCTTTAATCCATTCTCAAGATTCAATAGGTCTCTTTCTAGTCTCTGCGAAATGGGTCGTCTCAAGACCGCTGGGATTGCCACTTTCCTGGCCATTGGAGGCTTTCTCTTTGGTTATGATAGCGGCATTATCTCCTCGAGCATAGCCCAGCCACACTTCATCGAGTACATGAATGATCCTGATTCGGCTGCCAGAGGTGGAATTGTTTCATCCTTCACAGGAGGAGCCATTCTCGGCGCCCTTTCAGTTTCCTTCCTTGCTGATAAGTATGGACGCAAGATGACCGTCTTCATCGGCGCGATCATATCTATTATCGGAAGCGCGCTTCAGGGGGGCGCTGCCAACGTGGGCATGGTGACTGCTGGACGACTCATTGCTGGGTTCTCCGTTGGGCTGCTTTCCGCTGTTGTCCCCATGTTCTGTTCAGAGATTGCGACAGCAGAAGACAGGGGAAAACTCTCCGGTCTCCTGCAGTTTATGCTTTCCTGGGGGTTCTTCGTGGCCCAATGGCTGGGGTATGGATGCTTCCAGGTTGACAGTCATTTTCAGTGGCGCTTCCCTCTAGCATTCCAGACTGTACCCGGAATCGTCATGGGCTGTGGTATTTGGTTCATGTACGAATCTCCTCGGTGGCTTGTCGAAAAGGAACGCTTTGAGGAAGCAAAGGCGGTCTTGAACAAGCTACATGGAACCGGCTCGAACCATGAATTTCTCGAGCTGGAGTTTCGTGAGATTGTTGACACTATCACCGCTGAGAAGCAATTTGCTGTATGGGGCTGGAAGGACATGGTTTCTCGGCCTGCTTGGCGCAAGCGTTTGATGCTCGGTATGGGAATCCAGGCATTTGGCCAGCTTTCCGGCATTAATGTCATGTAAGTACCGCTATACCATTGCTTGGGAATAGACTAACCAGTCACCAGAAACTACTACGGACCACAAATCTATGAGATCCTCGGAATAGATACAGGTACATCCTTGCAAATCATAGGCATATCGGGCAGCTTTTCGATCGTCTATTGTGTCATCGGCCTTTGGCTTCTAGACAAGGTTGGGCGTATGAAGCCTCTTATCGTCTGTTCCTTTGGCATGGCTGCAGCTCTCTTGGTCAATTCGGTCTTGTCCAAATACTTTGTCCTGGCAGACAACCCCTCTCCGAACGATAATGCCCTCCGAGCAATGGTCGCCATGAACTTTGTCTTCAGCCTCTTTTTCACAATGATCGGCATCATCTCCTGGGTATATCCCGCAGAGGTATGCTCCCTTATCTTCTCCATTAGTCCCCAACTTTCTCTTCCCGAGAGAAAACAAAGAAGCAGAGAAGGAAATTTACTAACCTCGCCAGATCTTCCCCGCCGAAATCCGCGCCCGCGGCAACTCCCTCTCAACCATGACAAACTGGAGTCTCAACCTCGTCTTTGCGCAATGCGCCCCCATAGCCCTCGAAGACCTCGGCTTCGGCTTCTTCTACTTCTTCTTTGCCTGGAATTTGATTGCTGCTGTTTGCTACATGATCTTCTTCCCAGAGACACAGGGCCAGACGCTTGAGCAGATGGATAGACTGTTTGGGGATCAGCTCGCGGTGACGGCTGGGAAGGAGGATGTTGAGCGGGCGGAGGCGGTTGAGACGGTCGTAGTTGGGGAGAGGAAGGAGGTTTGAGACCAGAGCAGCCTGTATGGATTGCAGTGGCGTGCAAGGCATTCTTGGTGGGAGGGGGTAGATGACTTCCTGCCCTTCCTTTGGTCACCTTCTCGATGTTTTAGGTGGTCTATTGAAAAGTGATATTACTGAAGCGCATCTCTAATATCTCATTTATCACCCAATGCGACAACCCTTGCCCACCTTTTAGTCGGCGAGACATTAGTCAATCACAGAGCAGGCTCGGTTATCTCTGATGTTCGGCTGCAAGGTTATAGAGGGAACACTCAACGCACAACTACAGCGTCACTCGAGGAGAAGACTGGTCAGTGTCAAATTACAAGAGTAGAGTTGGAGATAATTACTCGTTGCTACGTTGAAGCTCATACCGCATCGTATTACATATCACTTGAGCGTCGAAGTCATGCTCACTAAAGTTATGTAGCCACATCATTTCCCATCGTTTCCTACTCTTCCTCACTTCCTTTCCCCTGACCCACATACCACACTCTGACATTCCCATATCCTAATAGATATAACGGAAGCTACACCACATACGTTAGTACTCGAATCATAACCAGACAAACCAAGATAAATTCAAAAAATCGGTGGGTAACATACTTCAAATTCTCCCGATCCGTCAGATCCAAAAACGCCGTTGCGCCCAAATCCCTTCCCTCGAGTCCACCTTCCATGGCACTCTGGATCTTATCGCGCTTTTTGTTCTCCCAGCGGAGGAGAAGACCCAGTGCGCTGATAAGCACGGCTTCTACTAAGTGGCTGACGATCATGGACCAGATTCCGAGGGAGTAGGTTGGTCTGTCAGAGAGACATTGGGGTTAGTATATGCGGGTCAAGTGTAGGAAGGGCACAGGGTGAAATGTACTTTTGGCTCTCCTTGTAGAAAAATGGACCTGCGATGTTCCCTGTGCAGTATCCCAGGAAAAGCACGGCGTTTGTGACGACCTTTTTTGTGTGTCCTAAGTGTCATTTGTATCAGTCTTGTACTTTAGCGTACTTCACGCTCGGATGAAAAGGCAGCTTACCGGCAGTGTTAGCAATCTGCATACTCAGAATCAAGACGAAAGCTGCGTTATATGGGCCCGTGAGGTAGTAGCAGATCAATCGCCCGACCTTTTGGTCCGTCGGGACGAACCGCAGGCCGAATGCTCCGGCTATATTGGGGATTAGGAAGAGGAGGACGAAGACGCAGCGGCGGTTCTCGAAACGGTCGTTTAGGTAGACACAGACGAGAATTGAAATGGCAATCAAGACGCCATAAGGGATCTGAATTTTAATCCTGGTTAGCTTATTGACAGGGGAAGTACTTCTGGAGAGAAAAATGCAAGACTTGACCAGATGTATAGGATTCGAACATGCCTGTAGAAGAGTCGTCACAAGAGTCGAGAAACCGAAGCCTTTGATAATAATAGTGCCGAAGTTCGAAATACCACCATTTGGCAGGTTGCAGACGCAGCCCAAAACAAAGAAAAAGTAGAGCTTGTAGTCCATAAATGCTTCAACGACCTGCGCCGGCTTGAGATGCTTGTTCTCAATACCAGTTTGGTTCTCCCTCAGCCTCTCCACGGCGATCCTCCGCTCGCGGGGCGTAAGGCCAGGAGCATTAACAGGGGAGTCGGGAAGGAAGATGAACATGACGATACCCCAGGAAGAGCAAAGGGCGCCACTTCAAGATGTTAATTGATGAAGAGTAAGTAGATGAGATAGACAGCTTACATCACGATAAACTCATACTTCCACGAGGGAAGCGCACCCTTGATATGTCCAATGCCGTATCCGAGAAGTCCGCCGAGTGCAATTCCGAGTCCGTTGGCTGTGTACCACAGACCCATTCGCACCGGTTGCTCACGACGTGTATACCACATACTAGTAATGAGCATGAATGCAGGGTCGGCACAGGCTTCTGCGGCTCCACCTAGGGCTCGGAGGACGGCGAGAGTCGTAAAGTTGTGGCATGCGGCTTGGATCATGAGGAAGACGCCCCTAGTTCTTTAGTAGGGTTCATTGAGTAGGTCGGTCAATCTTACCACATGAAGATGTTGATCCCGAGGTATTTTCCTGTAGATTATTAGTATGAGACTTTTGGACGCAATGGTATTCGTACCAATTGGAAACCGTTGCAACATGAGGTTGGTAGGCTATCAGACGTCAGCACCATCCATCTCCTTCTCTGGTCTCTACAAGCACATACCACTGCCCAAGCCAGGAAACCAAAGTAAAAGATACTACTAAGCCAGCTATACTGCGTGCCGTGAAGCTCCAAGTCGTCAATAATCCCGAAGATGGCAGCATAACTCAGCGTCGTCTACACAGCCAGTCAGCCTGCAACTCACCCGAAGAAAGAATAGGAGCAGCACATGACATACCTTGTCGATATAGAAGAATGCATAGCAAACAGCCAGATATGGCAAAATCATAAAATCAATCTTCCACAGCACCCTCCTCGCTTCAGCAGGGTCAACTTCCTCATGCAGCTCGTCCGGGTTACTGAAGAGCGCCATGGCGGTGTCGCCCTCCCTCCCGGGAGTGAATGTCGGCTTTACTGGGGCATCTTCGTCATGATTTGCGGTTGGAGTGTTGTTATCCTTTGTGATGTCGGACCCGCCAAGCGACTGGATTCGAGATGAGAGGCCCATGTTGCTTCACGAGGTTTCAATTCCAGCAGGGGAAAGGTTGTGTCCAGACAATTCAGTCCGAACACGAAAAGTGCGGAGTAGGACACGAAGATTTATACAGCTCCATGGAGCCAGTTGGAGTAACAAGAATAATGTTGCACATGGTCACGGCTGCGGGTCGACATCGGACATCATCGCGATCAGTCAATATCCGAAATAGCCTGTATGTCCCCGTATCACTATCACTTTCTCCAACAGGGACTCGGCCAAGGGTCGAGCACTCTTGCTCGATTGGTAATCGCCTCGGATCGACGTCGGGGAATGGAAGAAGCTCTCCACATGTCCCTCTGGGCGCATCCAGAGCGGAGGTGCGGAATGGGGCTGTTTGTGGGGAGATCAGTTCAGTGAACAAGAGTAGCTCACCCCCGTCTGAGGAGCGTGGGGGTTGAGGAAGCTTAGAGTCGGTACAAGACGTATCTGCGAGGCTTTATCGTGGCTTCAGCCACAGAGGAAGCAAAGCTTCGGTTGAGAGTCTTAGGATTGACAAAGGGTGTGCTCTTGGGTGTGGCCTCAGATCGGAGTAAAGCCGATCAGATGCTCAGAGAAGAGGTTGATAGGTGGAATAAAGAGAGTAAAAGATGGTGTGAGGAGGAGAATGTAACAAAGAGGAAGAGAGCTGCATCGAATGGTGGGGGTGCCCTAAGCAACCTCAATGATTGGTTTGTGTTCGTGGGGGTGCTTCGACCTTGGAACATCCACCCTCGTTGCGGGGGAGAATCCGGGGTCCCAGCTTACCCGAAAAACAAATCCAGAAATTACATCCACTCTTGTTACCATGAGGAGCTACTAATAGTTATAACCTCGCCGGTGCCGTAAGTTTGAGTGAGTCGGCTGGTGAGGTTGCCAAGTCCGCTATCATCGACTCGAGTGATAGGATAAATACTTTGCGGGAGAACCGACTAGGACAGTGCTCGTTGAGCCACTGTATATTTGGTGACGGAGGTAAGACCTCGTCGGGATATAGCGAGCCTTTCCAAAATCAGTTGAGAAACAGATAGCCATCGAGTCGATGCTACGATACCCACCAATATTATTGATTGAATGGAATTTCGTCCGTGGTCTGATATGGCAGTCAGTATAATGCTTGTGCTGATATTTGAATAAGGTGAAGAGATAGTCAAATTAACACAAATCAAAGAGAACATTTGCCTCGAGAATTATCAGAGTGCGGGCATACAAGCATCACAAAACACAGGGGCTTGCTGTGAGTGATGAGCCTCTCCCCTCGATATCGACGCACTATGATACAAAATCCTCATCCTTCTCGATAGGACAACGCTTAAGAAGACGTCAAAAACAAGGTGAAAAGGAAAAACATACAACAGTAGGGATTCGCATGTGGTCACCCACCATACTACTAACCTACCGGCGTGTGGCTTAAGTACGGCTGAGCGGACGGGAAGCCCTGTTCTCCACACCCTGTGGTCGTATGTACTAAAACATCCTTTGAGATGGTCTATATAGAAAAAGGGCGCAGTGACCTTCCACAGATGGAGCGCTGAGCGTACTGTTGAATACCAGTCCGCTGCAGCTCAAAGGATAACCTCATTCGAATTGATCTTGCGGGAAGTGTAAGAGACAGGTCACATAGAACAATCCCTCAGACGAACCATAGAGATGCCAACGTCGACGCCAATGTAGCCACAATGCAAGCGCGGGGCCAAGCGGAGGGTGGCTCCAACATGGATGGTCTAGTTGATGTGGCAGCGAGGGGCTTCCAGGTGGCTGCATTGACTCCGTTTCTTTTTGCAGGAAATTCTGTGATTTGCTTGCTCAAGCAGCGGTGAGGAGGCTTTTCTATAGTATTTTCGCATTATCTATGGAGCTTGTAATACTCACTTGGGGGAGACGTGAATCTATTTATCAGTTGGCCAGGATGGATCATTTGTATATGAAGTTTCCGCAGGGGTCGGGTATTGTTTTGAATCCCGAAATGAGGTTAACTTTGGGGTTTAAAGGGCCAGATTCTTAGAACTGACGTTTCCTCACTCAGAAAAGTGAAGCAGAAGCGGTGCCAAGGTAATTCCAAGACTGGAGGCTGTTTTGTTGGCATTCGGGCTGGCTTGCTTTTGAGACCTTTGCAAGGCTGATGCGACCTCTGCTCTACAGTCTACACCCATTGGAGGTTTCGCAGCGAGCTAAATGTAAGCCCTGTAAGCGAATATTGTTTCTCATCTAATCTATCGTCATCGTCTCATCTCTATCGGTTTATCGTGTATGGTTTATCGTCTAGATATCGCAACCAATCGAATCAATCGCGGAAGGAAATCGGAAGCAGTATGATCTCGGCGGGATAGTATCGTTTACGGAGCGCAGTAGCCGCCGTCAACAACCAAATCCGCACCTGTCGTGTAGCTCGATGCATCCGAGGCTAGATAGAGGTATGCGCCCTTGAGCTCCTCCGCGCGGCCCTCGCGGCCCATGGGAATCTTGTCGCGCCAGATATTCTTTGTCTCTGTGGGGACAAAGTTGGAGATTTCAGTTGCAATGTAGCCTGGCGAGACGGTATTGGCGCGCGCGAACTTGACCCATTCAATGGCGAGGGATTTGCCTGGATCGTTCGTTAGAGCTAAAGGATGGAATTGTCGGTGGCTTCTGAGAAGGGTGACGTACAGAGATGGATAACGCCCGACTTGGCAGCGTTATAGGCAGCCTGCAATTGCGGGAAGTTGACAATATGTCCGCTCATCGAAGCGGTAGCGACGAAGCTGCCGTATGTAAAGTTCTCGAGCGGGTTTCCGTTTAGATCGACGCCCTCCTCCTTTTGCTTGCGCCAGTAGTGAGCTGCGTATTTGGCACAGTAATATGTGCCGTTAAGGTCAATGTCAACGACGTCGGAGTAGTGGGCTAGTGGTCCGTCAACCGAGGGGCCCTGTGTCCATGGAATACCGGCGTTGGCGATAAAGACATCCAGCCGACCATTGAAATCTTTCACGCTCTGGTCGACAGCCTGCTTGACAGCTTCGGCGTCTGTGATGTCAACTTGATATGCCTTGGCTGGGAGGCATTAATATCGCTAGTTATTATTAAAATGCGATGAACTCACCCTGCACGCCGTATTTGGCGGCAATCTCTTGTGCGCGCTCAGGAGCGCCTGTGTTGGTGTTGTACCATAGCGCAACATTGGCTCCAGCTTCAGCTAGCCCACTTGCCACTGCAAGACCGATACCAGCACCAGCACCAGTCACAATGGCCGTCTTGCCCTTGAGAGAGAACATGGAGAGCAGACTGGGGTGTGCGGGGGGCTCAGTGTTGCCATGGACAAAGTGTCCGGCTGTGTCGATGGGAAGGCCAGCCATTGTGATTTATAGGAGTATATAGAGCAGAGAATATAGAACAAGGGGCCAAAATGGAGAGGTGTGAAGGATGTGAAAATCAGGCCGACCAGGTCTTTTTATATACCAGGCAGCTGTCCAAAATCGCCCTGTCTCTGGAGCGCACGTTGACAACCTCTATCGGATCGGTCTCTGCTCAAGTCCCACCGGGCTGACAAGCCCGATGGTGATAGGTATACGAGCGATCATCACGCCGTATTTTTCGCAAATCGAGGTGGACGTGGATCCATTCTCCAACAAGCCCGAGAAGAGGCTTGGGGTTGAGGATGACGCTATGCGGCCGCGAGTTGAGGCAAACGGGCCAGCAGGCTGCAGTCTGTGCGGCAGGGGTTGCATCCTGCCAGGTCCAATGATGCAACACTTTCTTCTCTTTTAAGCGTCTCTCACGTTCAAGCAGTCTTCCTCCCTTCTTCTTCCGAAGGATTGCAGATGATCACTTCGTTTCGTAACCTCCACTGTTCAATTGTCTTGCTCGTCACGTAACGTGGGGTTAGCAGTGGGCCGCGTCTTTTCGCGGCCTGACCTGTGCACCGCAACCCGAGCTTTCGAGGCTCTGGAGGTGCGAAAGAATACAAAGGACAACACTATGCTCTTGAAGACAAATTCAGCAGAGTATACTGATGCCTTGCGACACTGTTTGCGCGATGGAATAACAATAATGACGCTGACAGGGTGTGAAATTACACACGAGTCTAGTCATCCCTAATTCCGAATGGGGATACCAGTGCTGAGATCTCTCTGGTCAGCCATGCCACACCCTCACAAGTGTCCTTCACGGATACTGAGTCAGCGGACTATCGACAAGAAGCAGGCCAGGCTTGCTGGACTATGTTATCTGAGAAAACAGGTTCGGCATCAGTCGAATGACTTTCAAGGGATGGATAACCATATCTGCATTCCTCACGCCTTAGGGGGCAATGCGGGCACATTCCTCTGCCATTTCGACAACAAACGCCATCGCCCACCCTGACATGGCCTCGCTTCACTTCCGATGCTTGTGCACGTCTCTCATCCCTATGCCTACATCTGCCGGAGGTCACAGCATACGGCACGCCTCGAACCTGACGGGTCGGCTTGACGAGAGACGCGGAACCGAAGCACAACCGGCATCTTGAGATACCTATTGATAAGCCCAAGACTCAATTCAGTCGGCGCAGCGCGGCAACATGATCGCTTTGACTACCGCGGTTGCGATAGCAGTCACCTGCTCGGTCATCTTTATGGTTTCGGCTGTGGTAATCACGATTATTTGGATCAAGATTCGACAGGAGAGGAGATCACTTGCACTGATCAAGGCAAGGCAAGGGCCATATGCTCATGGACTGCAGAACTTTCCTGCCGAAACATTGACGGAGCTGTCGCGTGAGGAAGGTTCTGCGCTGAGACAGTATGGACAGCTTCCGTACGGTAGACCTACAGAATGGGGTCTTTTATCCTCGAGAGAAAGCCTAGCCCAGACTTCAGACGATAAAACGCCAATTGAGCTACTGAAAAAGCGCAGTCTCTCTATTAAGCGCTCCTTATCGTCTCTATCCAGAGGGCATTCCAAGAAGAACTTGACGGGTCCGGGTTCCCTGACAACGCTGACAGAAGCTTCCGAAGGGCCATATTCCCAAGCATCCCCTTCTAGGGAGGACCTGATTGTTTCGGCAGTTGATGGAATTATGGAACTACCAACGGAAACAACACCGAGACAGACGCCAGAACGGGAGGATGAACAGCTCAGTGCAGACAATACTATTCGTCCCGTCTCTGGAGCGTGGCCATTGCTCCAGCAGAGAGAACGCTCTAGTGCTCTGTTTCCAGTGTTTGAAGACCACTACGAAGCTTTCGATCCATCCGGTGCCCGAGTTCGAGGCGGCAGCATCACTTCTCAAACGGCGGGCATTGCGCCTGATCAACCCGTCCCGCCCCCCCCATGCGCATATCCTCCAAACCGCTTTCGCCTATCGAAGAACGACTCTGTCCGATTTTCTTCCGTGAGCCTCGAAACGGCAGATAGCTCGATTTTAGACGATAGTAGAAGGACGTCTGCAAATGTCGACAGCAGTCTCGCCTCGCCTGCATTACCACCGTGTCCTACATTCGCCCCATTCAGCGCGAACGACGTGGGAAAAGAATGCAATCGCAGGAGCCTTACAGCCAATGCGGCCCCCTTTATCTTCCCCGCCAATTCACCTGCGCGCAAGGGCCAAAAGATCGAAACTGAGCGTGTCTCTCCCCGCCGCAGCCTGACTGCTTGCAGCCCCACACGGGCATCCGAAAGAGTCAGCCCAACACCAAGGCGAAGCGAGTCTCTATCAGCCAAACAGTCCAGAGACGAGCCCAAGCCCCATCTTGACATGGACCACATTCCACCTTTGAACACAACCGGCCGCAATACCGCCCTACTACCGCATTTCAGTCAGATGCAGCGCCATTCCATGCACAGTAGCCCGCGGAGGGATAATGACCCCTTCTACAGTGGGACAGGCTCATCGCATAGTCTGACTTACAACCCGCACGCTCCTGGACGGAGGGCCAGCAGTTTTCAACCTCAGGACACGACGCCTCACAGGTCAAACAGCCACCCCAAGCCGCCGTTAGCATCTGCCTTGAAAGGGAGCGGCCATCGAAAAGGCCATAGGCGCCAGAACTGTGTGCGGATCTCAATTCACCCCCCAATAACATTTGCCGGGCCTGCATTCTCCCCCATGGTCGAAGAACCAGAGGAAGTCGAAGAAATAGACATCCGCCGCTCGGAGATATCAGACATTTCGTGCTCAAACGTCTCGCGCAACTCCAGCGTCTCAGCGATGTCCACTACAAATCGCAACAGCGTCCAGGATGACCGCCCCATTTCCCGAATAATAGAAGGTCCTGTAGGCGCTACATTAGAGTCAACTGGTAGCCCTGTGAAAAAAAGAAGACAATCGCAGCTCGAGTCAGCCTCAACCTCCAAATCTCCCTCCGTGCCAGCCACGGCAACAGTGACAGTAACAGAAAAAGCCCTCCCCGGAATTCTTACCAGCCTCCCAACAACAACCGACAAAGACAGTCTTTCGCACACCCCATCTCCAGAGCGCAACCCGCCCGTCTGGAAAGTCTCATATCAAAACTCACCAACGCAGCTCGAGAACTCGCCTGTCCCCGGAAGTCCCCGCCGCTCTGCGGTAATGGGACCGCGCAGCCAGCCGGGGAAGCCAGCGCGGAATAGCTATCAATCTCTCATTCCGTCTGACGATGGTAAACCGCCGCCGTCGCAGCCACAGAGCCAAGCTTCATCAACTCCCGGTCCACCACGCAATCACAGTATCAAAGAATCCTTTCGAAGCCCATCAACACAGTACTCCTTGCGCCGCGCAAAGAGCGAAGCACGAGAACAAACACAACAAACTCCACCACGCAACCAAACCAGAAAGCGAGCGAGCCATAACACTCTCTCTAGCGCGAGTACGAGTACTACTATAACAAGCACACAGACTAATCCTCAAACCCAGAGCCAGGGTCAGAGTCAGAGTCAACCCCGAAAAACCCCAGGAACCCAGGTCAGCGCCGTAGTCCCCATCTGGGAAGACCGCGCCCAGAAGCAGTCCCAATCTCAACCTGCATCGGCGTCTGTGCCGCGCCGCTCAACCGTCTCGCTCGTCTATGACCCGCCTGTTTTGAATCCAGTTTCCACCGGTACTGGTGCCGGAACAGGAAGAGGAACCGGTTATGAAAATGGGAATCAGAACGGCGAGACATCCCCGCGGGGTAACCAGGCCGATCGCATGGCGCGCATGTCGAGCTATCGCAACTCAAGGCAGGGGTACTCCACACCGGCAAAGAAGACGGTTGGGTTGGGTATTGGGGCTGGGGCTGGGGCTACGACGCCGGGGAGTTTGTATGATGGGGAGGGCTTCTTGAAGGAGTGAGTTGATTGGTAAGATGAAATGTGGGATATAAACCTGGTGTGTATTTTGTGGATGGGGTTGTTGGTTGGATAATTGTCAGTGGTTTAGCGGCGTTATTTCAATGCCATTTGTTGATATTCCCCGGGCTAGGTTAGTTGTATGGTCGACATAGGTAGTAATTGAGGAGATATCCAAGCATTCATATGGACTATTCATGTCAAGACCAACAGGACGATCGCCTCAACTTTTCTCTTTTAGTCTGCATCTCGACATCATAAAAAAGGAGGTGAGTTAGTCAGTCCTCCTCCACTTTGTTTCATCACCATCATCTGCGCCCTCTCCATCACCCTCCCCTTCATCAGCCCCCTCTTCTCGTCCCCGAACAGTTCCCGCCCCAGGCCCCAACCCCGGCAACGTTGGGGCGTCCCCACCTCCTATCCAATTTCCCTCCTCGTCAAAGAACTCATGCATATTATCCGCCGTAATCCACCCCGAGCTCCCATCAACAGGAGGCGGTAGCCCACCGTCTTCAGCGCTCCCGGGGAAGACCAGCCCCGAGGCAAATGCGCCGCCTTCTTCATCTTCCTCCTCGGCGGGGTCCGGGTGCAGGTTCGAGCAGGCGGAGACAGCGGCGTAGAGTTTTTGAATCTCGGTTTCGGTTTCGGCCTCGGGCTCTGGTGCGCTTTCGCCTTGTGGTTCGGTGCTAGGTGCTGTTGGTTGTGTTGGTGGGACGAGTGTCACTTCGAGGCTCTCTTCTTCATCCGAGACCTGGGGGTATGAGGCGCTAGGTGGTTTTGTGATGTGCATGTAGAGTCCCTGGACTTCGGAAGAGTGTTCGGATCCGGCTTGTTGGGAGGGGAGTTTCAGGCGCTGGATTGCGTGCAGCGAGATGGAGGGGTACGGAATTGAGAGGCCGCTTGAGATTGAGGAGTTGTAGAGGAGGAATTTACTATATCGCGTTAGTATCCATTTTTATTGACTTTGCTTGTAGATTGATATAAAGGATGGGCATCAGGCAGAACATACTCAGACGTAACCCAAACATCGACTCCCTCGATCAGAATCTCCTTCTCGTCCGCATCCGCATCGCTGGATTCCAGATGTGTTCCATTCGCCGCTGTCCCTGCGCCTGCACCTGTCTCGCAAAGGGCATTCAAGGCCGGTGTAGCGAGCACATCGCGCTCAAGGGCAACAAGGCTACAGCGTGAGGCATGGTAGTGCAGGATTGCGGGACCGGAGTGAAAGGACTCGGGGGTGCGCGATTGATGCACCGAGAGCGGGGTGAAAGACGAGGTGTCTGGGGCGGAGGTTAGGGGCTCCATTGTGGCTTTTTCTGTTTATTTTGTTGTGGGATGGAGATGGGAGGAGGTTGCGGAGCGGAAAACTTGAGCTGCAGTTTTAAGTTCCTGGAGCTTGGGCGAGAGCGGAGATCGAGGCCGGGCGGAGCCACTTTTCTACTTCACAGCAGGCCAGATCTTCAGTGGAAACTTGAAATGGATTCATAATAGGTAATAAGATAGGTATCACTATAGTAGGCGTAAGGTCATCCTTGTGAGTTTATGTACCGGTTCACATCTGAGAGCTTAGGGCTGCACAGGAGCTTGAAAAGCGAAGCTCCTCTCTTGCGCATCATCGACTAGCTATTTACTGTGAATTTTCGAGAATGAGCGCACGGCACAGGAATTGGCCTAGCTCTGCCCCTCGCGGCACTTGCAGCGATTCAACGATGCTGCTACCGAGAGCGTTTGTAATATCATAGCTCGATCATTCAACCCGATCATTTCACGTCAAGGCCTCCAAACGCCCTATCAAGTTCCTCGCCCTCGTTTCGTGGAGCCATTGACGGCAGCTCTGCAGCAGCCGCATCAGGAGCAGCACTGTCTAGTAAGCTTTGACGCGGTTGACTCTGTGACAGTCGACTCGACGGCGCATTACTTGGCTGCAGGAGCTTCTCATCGCGATCCAACCAGCCGGGCGCAACGCGGCGTTTCTCTGCCAGATCGCGAGCAGTTATCGACTCTTGCCATTCATTGATCGCTTTATCTGCTTCGGTTTTTGTCTTGCTCAGATGCTGCTCGAGAGCTCTGCACGAGGCGAGTATGTCCTCGGGTGATGCGGCATGCTCGCCGCTCGACGATATGACGTAGCGCGGTTTAGCATCTGGATTACTCGGGTCGACAATCACGGAGGGAGGAAGGGTTGATGGGACGGATTTGTATGTGTAAGGGAGGGTGACTGCGGTGGGTAGGTTGATGAACGGGGAGACGGTTAATGGAACTTGTGCGAGGAGTGGATGGGGGCCTGCTCAGGTTAGGTCGGGGAAGCGGGGTGGTTGGTCGGGGTACGCACGGTAAGACTCGTACATCATGCTGAGTTGAGAAGATTACTGAGAGGATTAGGGGGATTGATAAAACGATGGAGATCAGTAGATTGTGATGAGGGGTGACGGCCGACGGGTTTGGTTGACCAGTCAAGTACCCTACGGGAGAGGAGCCGCAGATGAGGACACAAGATGAGGGTATCCAAGAAATGGTAGAGATTAAAATAGAATCAGGGTCTATAAGAGACGGCTGTAATTAGTGTACCTAGAAATGCCGCTTCGACTCCAACTCATCCCAGTTCTGCCTGGGATTGCTGGGGTCGCTAAATAAGGCCTTAGGCTGGCCTTTCGCCAGTCGTTCTCAGCTCGTACGTTGATCTTTTCAGCTTCTCGTCACTTCCCCATCACGCAAATTTCTTCCCTTTTCCCCTCCCGGCCAGCCACACACTCTGTCTCACCCAACTTTATCTCGAGCAGAACATGGTTCTGGGCCTCCCCTCGCGTGACAAGCATTACAAACAGCTCTTGTTCCTGGCCCGAGCTCTCTGAGTCGTGTGTTCGAAATTCCGCCGCGCTTAACCCCACCACCGCCAACGCCAGCAATCCCCTCCGCGCAGCTTCTCCTCCCCCTTTTCCGTCCCCTCTTCTTCCCTTTTGGCCCGTCGTCTTGCCTCGATTCATTCACGAGGGCTCTAGGTTTTGCGGTCTGATCTGGTTTGATCTTCTCACCATTGCTCAAGATGGACCGAAACATCGCACGGGCCGTGACCGATAAGAAGCCGGTCCCGGAGATCGACTTCACCCTGCATGTTATGGAGGATGGCACCCAAGTGTCCACCCTCGAGCGTGTTGTCAAAGGTGCGTCGCCCTGAACTCCCTTTCTTGTTTGGTTTATGCTAATTGATTGTTCCTAGAGGTGCAAGCGCCTGCCTTGACTACACCAACGGACGAGCAGTTCTGGTCTCCTGAAGACCCATCGAAGCCGAACTTGACCTTTTTGAAACAACACTTTTATCGGGAGGGTCGCCTGACCGAAGATCAGGCCCTATGGATTATACAGGCCGGTACCCAGATCCTGAAAGCGGAACCTAATCTGCTGGAGATGGATGCGCCTATCACAGTGTGCGGTGATGTTCACGGTCAATATTACGATCTAATGAAGCTGTTCGAAGTGGGCGGAGACCCTTCGGAGACACGGTATCTGTTTTTGGGTGATTATGTTGATCGCGGTTATTTCAGTATAGAGGTGAGTGGTTCCTGTCTGTCGCATGAAACTATCTGACTTTATAGTGTGTTCTCTACCTTTGGGCTCTCAAAATATGGTACCCCAATTCCCTTTGGCTGCTGCGAGGAAACCACGAATGTCGACATTTGACCGACTACTTCACGTTCAAACTAGAATGTAAGCACAAATATAGCGAACGTATCTACGAGGCTGCCATCGAATCGTTCTGCGCGTTACCGTTGGCGGCGGTCATGAACAAGCAATTCCTCTGCATTCACGGAGGTCTGAGCCCTGAATTGCATACATTAGAAGACATCAAGTCGGTGAGTACATCAAACCGGTCTTTCGAAACACAATGCTAATCCACGCAGATTGATCGTTTCAGAGAACCCCCGACTCATGGTCTCATGTGCGATATCCTCTGGGCTGACCCGCTGGAAGATTTCGGCCAAGAAAAGACTGGTGACTACTTTATCCACAACAGTGTTCGAGGATGCTCGTACTTTTTCTCCTACCCTGCCGCCTGTGCTTTCCTCGAAAAGAACAACCTACTCTCCGTCATCCGAGCACACGAAGCTCAGGATGCTGGATACCGCATGTACCGCAAGACGCGGACTACGGGCTTCCCCAGTGTCATGACAATCTTCAGTGCTCCCAACTACCTCGACGTCTATAACAACAAGGCCGCGGTTCTAAAGTACGAAAACAACGTCATGAATATTCGACAATTCAACTGCACCCCTCACCCTTACTGGCTACCAAACTTTATGGATGTGTTCACCTGGTCCCTTCCGTTCGTGGGTGAGAAGATTACCGACATGCTTATTGCCATCCTCAACACGTGCTCTAAGGAGGAGCTCGAGGACGAGACGCCCACTTCCATCTCACCCTCTGAACCTTCTCCGCCAGTGCCGATGGACACCGACAGCACCGAGTTCAAGCGACGAGCCATCAAGAACAAGATTCTTGCCATTGGTCGGTTGTCTCGCGTCTTCCAGGTGCTGCGCGAGGAATCTGAGCGAGTTACTGAGCTTAAGACTGCGGCGGGAGGCCGTCTTCCCGCTGGTACTCTGATGCTGGGCGCCGAGGGTATCAAGCAGGCTATCACCAACTTTGAGGATGCGCGCAAGGTTGACTTGCAGAACGAACGTCTTCCGCCAACTCACGATGAGGTGGTCCGGAAAAGTGAAGAAGATAGGCGAATTGCCCTTGACCGTGCTCAACAAGAGGCCGATAACGACACCGGCCTTGCCACAGTCGCAAGACGGATCAGCATGTGAGTCTTTCACACTTCAAGTCTTGACAGCAAACGCTAACAAAGCTACCTAGGTCGTCTGGTTCAGGCAGACGTCGGCATCGGGACTCCACCTCTCGCGACTCTCGAGAATTATAATGACCTCCACCCCGACTTAATGCAAGCCTTCCCTGCATGCCTGTATGGCATCAAGGCTCTCTCTCGATCGTTGTAGTCTGATGACTCTGGACCTGTATAGAAACGTCCAGTTCCCGGGACAAAGATTGCAATCTATGTATTGTGGAATTGCATTATAACCCTTCCACCTTGCGCTTTTCTTTGTCGGATGAGATACACGAACCTGTACTTGATATTTTTACTGAGGATGCAAGCTCGGGAGGCCCCATTGTATGTCCTGCACAGAAGCACCAACGTCTGCGACGCTGGCACTATGAGTTGATGAATCATATTACGAATATTTCTATATACTTCCCACTGTAACTATTTGAATTGTAGAATCACCCGCATCTATACTGTCTGGCCCGACGCTCCCGCGCCAAGACCCACGGTGCTCCAACTTCGTCCGATCGAGATGATCAAGATCCGTCATCCTAACCAAACTCCCAACCTCACTACCACCCATCATCTTTGTCAATGCCTCTCAAACTCCGTGGCTCGCTCCCCAAGAGCCTGCCACACGCGGGAGACTCAAGTACGAAACGAATACCACATTGCCCATCCTGCGCCGTCTCCGTCACCCAACGCCGAACCCTCCTCACGCGTCGAGCTCTCTCCTCTCCACGAACCCGGACGCAATCCCAGTCCCAATTGCGAATCCAATCGCGTATACCGCGCCTCGATGTATCTCTCCAACCCCTTTCAAAGGCAAACACAACGCACAAATCCAATTACTCGACCTCTCCCTCAACAGCACACACAGCCCGCCATGTCCCTCCTCGATTACGCGAGCTGTACGAATCGCTTGCGCGGATTCAGGCCATTGCGCCGGAACAAGTGAATCTCAGTCGAGTTCAACTTGCCCTTAGGGGGCTAGAGACGGAGGAGCCGCTTATTCGGGTTGCGGGTAGGTTGAGCCTTTCTTTTTTTTTGTTTACTTACATAATTCGTCTTTTCTTGCCTTGATAGTTGTTGGTTAGGTATGAACATGGGACTGACTTGAGATGACTTTAGTCCTGGGATTGAACGATGTTGCGTCGGCGAGGAAGCTCGTGCGGCTTTTACTGGCTGATCCGCTAAAGGGGAGGGAGGATTGGGAGGATATGTTGGATAACGTTTCGGGAGAGAATGGGGATGATGAGCTGGAGAGAGGGCTGTTGATTCGGTACACTACTCTTTCCCAGTCTATCAATATTGCTTCGTTTGTTTTGGGCTAACCAGTGCAGATACGGAGAGGTATCGGAGAGCATATCGAACCACCTCGTGCCTACAATCTCGGTTCCGTCGCCAATTCTGAAGAAGGGGAATATCGAGATATTGGTTACGAGTCTCGGTGCGGGAGCAGACATTTCGGGTGCCAATGCCGGTGCGCAGCTTACGGCGGATACGTTCCTTGTTCCCACCGTGACGATCCAGACGTCGCATACGGGTCGGCATAATATGGTGCGCTACCCCGTGCACAGGAGCATTGTATGCGCCGAAGGAGTCGATGGGTTACTTGCTTACTGCAGGTTAATCGCCCAAGCGGATCTAGGAAAGGAAGCTAGTTCGGTCTACGCGGCTGTCGAGGTGGGGGTTTCTGGGCCTCGTCTAAACAATGATCGGATTGCGTTTGTGGATATAAACAAGGCGGAGGAGGCGCTGGCCAAGTTTCGCGAATCTGTGCAGAACGCGATACTTTACGAGCGCGGGTGGACTGGTAGTGGAGTTCAGCCGATTGTGGACTGGTTATCGTCTCCGCGAGGTGAGGAGGGATCTTTGGATCCGTCCTTGAAGTCGCTGATAACATCTCTGGTTGACTCTGCGGAGCAGGCTGTGGTGAAGGAGGAGAACAGGAGAGTGCAGCAGGTTGAGGAGGGTTCTGTTGCTGAAGAGGTCCGAGAAGGCTTGGATAGGGCTGTCTCTACATGGGCTGAGAACGCACATACGGAACTACGTGGCTCCCTTGAGGAAGGGTTCGCCACGAAAAAGTGGCGCGGTCTAGCATGGTGGAAACTGTTCTGGAGAGTTGACGATGTCGGCATGATCACGTCCGAGATATTGGAGAAGAAGTACCTGCGCGGCGCTGAAAATGCGGTGATCTGGACCGCGGGTCAACTCGATCAAGCCGGCTTGCGAGTATACGAGAAAGAAGAGACGGTCGCCGACCCTGCTCGTGCAGATAGCTCGGCCAGCGCCAGCAGTGGGAACGTCGCCGTAGCTATCGTGGAGCAGGCCCCGAAAGAGGAGCAAGTGCCGTGGCCCACGCAAATCTCGAAAAGCCGCGCGCGCCTCCTCGAGAGCACAGTGCCATCGCTCCAGGCTTTGGCACAGCGATTAGTGCTCTTCAGCCTGTCCACGACCTCGCTGACCTCGGCTCTATCAGTCCTAACCTATGTCTCACTCCCAGCGTCCTCGATATACGAAACTTGCACCATCGCGGCCGCCGGCCTCATCTATTCCTTGCGCCGGCAGCAGCGGAAGTGGGATGTCGCGCGAACGTTCTGGGAAGAAGAGGTGCGCGAGCAAGGCCGCGCCGCCCTCCTCGAGACGGAAGAGCAGCTTCGCACAACTCTGCGAGATGGCGGGAAGAGCCAGGTCGACGTAACCGCGCACGAAGCCCGCAAAGCCATCACAGATGCCCGGGAAGCGCTCGGCAATGTACACTAGCTCTAACATGAACTGTATCATACCTGCTCACTTCCTTGCTTCCTCCCCACGCCGTAGCTCTAGACCCGTATACCGCTCAAGAGAGCTCCACACTCCCCGCGGGGACGCCCTGCCAACTGCGCAACCTCCTCCCAAAGAATCGCATAATAGGAAGCATCTCATCCCGACTCCGGGGCATGGTATCCCCGCGCCTCGAATACCGATGTACCTCCACAAACTCAAAAACATCCTTCGTCCTCTTCACCGCAGAGTCCGTGACAATATCCGAGTCCCGCCCTGAAACCAACAGCACCGGCGTCCGACTCTTCCCCTTCCCGCCAGTACTCTTCCCAGCCAAAGAAAGCGGATACGCTGCACCGATGGAAATCACTCCGCCTAGTTCTCCCGTTCCTCCATCAGAAGCAGACGAACCTTCAGGTATCAACTCCTGCGCAACAACCAACCCACTCATCCCGCCCTGCCCGAACCCCAGGACCATAATCTCGCGCAGCTGGTATCCACACTTCTCCAGTAACACCTTTTTGATAATATCCTCAACCAGGAACCTTTTCACCGTATTGAACCCCGCATCCATATCAAGCGCCCCCGTCCGCGAATCGAAGTTTACGTCGTCGCCCCAGTGAAAGCCTGGGATGTCGAGCGGGAGCGGGTTCGGAGCTTGGAGTGTGAGGATCGTGGTTTCAGGGAGGCGGAGAGATTTGGCGAGGTTTGTGAAAGGCGCGTGACTGTCGCCGAGGCCGTGTAGGAGAAGCAGGATGTTTGGGGGTGTTCTGTTGTTTGATTGAGGTGGTGGTGGGGTGAGGGTGAGCGTTAGAGAGGAAGGAAAGTCGGATTCTTGAGGCGTGCGGGTTGGCATATTGAGTTGCTTGATTCGTGTCGACCTTATTATAGATGAATAGTAGTAAGTAGGTAGTTGATTGAATGGGTGGTGTCTTGAAAGAGTGGTTGTCGTTGAGAATATCTCAATTGTGGAGCGTTGACGGAGCTGGGAGGGAGCTTAAGACAGCCCAGGCTAGTAATAGGTACTATGAAAGTGCCGATCCGGTGCAGTGGTACTCCGTATCTAGGCACGTACTAGGTACTGGTATGTACTGGTATGTACTGGTAATTGTGTTACACTTGTTACACTAGCAAAATTACCATACTATCACCATGTACAAGACTTGGTTAAAAAATGCTTCCTTACCCAATCCCCATATCAATCAAGGGATATTGAATGTTTGGGTTTCGAACTTCTGTCGGTGAAGAGGGATCCTGGGAAAACTCGGAATGGTCATTAAGTTGCAGTTCCTGTGGCTTGTTGCCAGGCCCACAACTGCGGTTCATCTATCGAAATATACCTCCAACTTAAAACCCGATCTTTTGCCTGGAACAAAACGAATTTCACAAACATTCCGTGCACCTGACTACAAGTGTAAGCTTTGAGTGGGACAAAGCATCGATTGATGATCATGTTGATTGATTGCGTAGAATAGAATACACAAGGTATGTCTATGATTCCTACTGAGTCGTTCAGCTTGCTAACTTCAAAGTAATCATTTATAGACCATCACCTACTCAATCCATTCTGTTATCATGGCCGAACTGAGTGACCTTCCCGCTGAGTTGCTGCGTCTCGTGGCGAGTCATATTGATGATCATTTTCAATCTCTTAAACAGTTGCGCCTGGCAAGCCACAGCCTATCTGCCGCTGCCACTCCAAGTCTTTTCCAGCGCCATTACGTATCACCGAGTCGCGACCCTCGAGTGATGGGTAAGATCCTGGCCAACGACTTGCTACGGGAATGCGTCCAGCAGCTCACCATTGAAGTACAGGGAATCTCACGATCTGACTATCCGAGCGTAAGTCTATTTACTCGGTGTACTTGGTCTCCGTGCGCAAGTGGCCAAGTAATGAAGCGCGATTGGCGCTTCCCAGGATGTTCAAAGATTTGATTAAACAATTGGAAGGGTTTCCCAACGTTCGAGATATTGGTATCATGTTGCAGCCAGCACCTGCTATGCTCATTGGAACAAGCACGCTCCCAACTAGACCAACTTTCTTCCGCACAAACACAATGAAACTCATTCTAGGTACCTTGAGCTCATTAAAGATGTCATTATATCAGCCTTTTGAAGACTTCTATTACGAAGATCGCATACTCGAGGAGCACTTGATTCAGACCATGAGCAACTTGCCCGAGCTTCATCTGGCTGTTAGGACTGAGGCTCTCGAAGTCGATCTGTTGCAGGGCCCCACGGAGGTAATGTTCCAGCTCCATGCTTAAATCGTGACATACATAGTGTGTGTGCTGATGTCTGTACAGTTAATTCTTCAGAGGTACGCAAAAGTCGCGTCTATCATGCTCAAACCTGCCGTATCAACTCTTCCATACTCGTTTTAGAAGGGGATCATTATTTCGGCTTTTTTACCGAAGCTGGACCTACCTCATTTGCCGCAACTCCAGATATTGTTGCTAGGAAGATATTGCTTTGGGCACGACTCTCATCTCATGGCTTCTTGTTCACGGAGGAACTTTGCTTGAACTCCATATCCTTGATTGTGTCATTGTCTTAGAGGTACATATGCAAGAAGAACATCAGCCACTTCGCTCTGTTCCACTAGAGGAGATGGTGAGAAACAGGAGCTATACAACTTTTAGCGAAGATGATCCTTCTGAAGGAGAGCTGTGGACGAACTGTTGTGCATACACGTACAAGAAGCGATGGAGGGACTATTTGTCGCTATGCGGCGGGCTATGCCACGGTTGCGATGCTTCGGCCTCGGAGGGGAAAATGTACAATAGGACTCACCTGAGTATGAAGAAGAGGCGAACAAGGCGTGCTCATATGCTAATTTCACACCGGATGAGACTGGGAACGTAAGTGAAGTGTCTTTGTGTCATGAAAGACGGCTATAATCCCGCCAGGATAACCGGGACGCGGATGCCTTACGTGGGCTGTTACGCCATATTGGGCAGAAAGCTGCTGCCATAAGAGACCCAGACTCCGAGATATAGAGACTATTTTCTCTATTCGACATCGAGTAAAGAATGCAGATAATCAGAACCTACTCGTCATGAACTAGTCAGCATCGCAGACCACGCACGGCTTCAGTTTCCCGTAGTCAAACTCGGTCAACTACTTGAGTATATGATATCACTCCCTACTGGTATTTTCATAGTCCATCAGTGCCATCTGGCTGACCATATGTTGCAATTTACTTTAATGATGCGTTGCGTCGATTTGAGTTGATTAACATCGTATGCTGGAGAGCGGTAGCATTATAATTAATACTTTGGGAGCAAGTGTGTATACCATCTTATCTCAGAAATATTCATAGATAATATAAACGCTCACGTATTCGTGGTCGGCAGTTCCTACGAGGTTTGCTATCCTGATGTCAGCTAAGCGGGCAGACTATAAATCGACCAAACACTGCAAGGCTGAAAGATGGACGCTGGCTTTGTCGCCGAAAACAAAATTTGGAGTCACATATAAGACGAACCTAAAAACACAAAGGCAAGGCTCACGAGCCAATGAAAGGACAGGAAGAGAGCGTTATTGTTGGGGGGTAATCGAAGGTAACTATAGTCGCGATTTGCGCCACCGGTCCCGAGAGGTGGAAAGTCTTCGCAGCGGCTGCGGACCCAGTCAAATTTCCTCTCTACACTGATCCTCATCATCACGTCGTCTCTCCCAGGTCACTCTCTAACAACATCGCGTCTTTTTCTTGCATTTAGTCTTTGATCCAGAGATCGAGACCAGCGAAAGTTTTCTGTATCTAGTCTCCACTTTGTACACTTCGTCTTGCGTCCCTTCCTCTTCGCCCTTTTCCCCTGTCTGTCATCAACAACACTCTGCCTCGCCAGACACTCCATGGAGATCCTCTACGCGCCTCCAACGGCAATAGTCTGATCGACCTCTAATCCTCTCTTCTCAAATTCGGTCTTCTTGCTTTCCAGGACTCAATTCCTGTCTTGCTTTGACCCGGTCGAGGGTGGCCAAGCGTCCTTCTACATCCGGAACCAGCCTTAAATTACTACTTGCACTAGTAGTCCAGAGTCAGTCTCACCCGCTTTTTTACTACTTCATGCTTCTTACTCTTATCCTCCCCAGTCGTCGATCAACACATCCATCGCATTCCATCTCCGACTCTTTCACCACGCCTTTTTTTCTTGTATTCTTGTCGCTCCTCTGTCGCTTCTCTATTCTCCTCGTGTAGGTACGTCTTTTTTCTCTTTTTCGTCCTCGGTCTACCCGGTTCTCTTTCTCGTTCCTCCTTCTGGTTCTCCAGCAGCACATACTGCCTGCGCCATGCTTTTTTCCTCTTTTCTTTTTCCTGTCCTCTTCCCTTGATCTGTTGTTATCCCGTTTTCATCTCTCCTTCCTCCTTGCATCTGCCTATAATTCACTCGCTCGGATAGAGGCATGGAAACCTACTCGCCAATTGTCTGCTGCCCATTCATTGCCAACCTGTCGCTCCTCATACTTTTCTCCTGCCTGCAGCGCCCTGTCCTCTCTGAAATAGCCGCCAAGCGCTTGTACTCCTGCCACTAAATCCTGTTCACTGTCCATGGAGAACGCTGTTTTCTTTGTTACTTTATCGTCCTTTCTATTCCTCTGTCTTTTCTTCTTATTGTCTCTTACTATCTTCTATTTCACTTCCCTCAAGACCCTTATTGCCAACACTTCTGCCCACTCCACTGCGCCGTTCTCCATAGCCGTCGCATTCAGTGCCAATCCGGCACGAGTTTTCCTACATTCTTACAGCATCATCGAAACCTCATAAACCTGACAACAACTCAAGGGAAAAGTGATGGCAGGAGTCAAGCGAAGGCTTGATGCTGCCCATGGCTCAGCCACTCCATCTACCAATAACACGTCCGCTGCTCATAATACACTCAGAGGTAAGTCTTTTTCTCCACGCACATTTGCGGCAACTGATTTCTTGTAGAACCTGCTAGCAACGACTCTTCCAACACTCGTGTGACTCGAAATTTACGTTCGAGCCGAGATGCGCGTGCTAGTCAAAACGAGAATGCTAAGAATGCCAACGCTACTGCTAGCGCTGGCACTGGCAATCAAAATAGCGGCGCCACTCATAATACTGCCAACAAGCGCAGTAACAATCGGCCATCGCGCATCATCACGCTCAAGTATGCGCCTGCTAAAGTCAATATCTTTAGCGATGTAGGCCGCGCAACGCCTGCGTCCGCGTCCACTAGCACTCGTGAAACGCGGAATAGTCGAGCACGGGCTGCCGCTTCTGCGACTTCCGCGCTTCCTGCGCTTCCTGCGCTTCCTGCGGCTCAGGTCAACTCATCTCACTTTGATGGTGCACCCTCCATCTCTGGGGTTCCCGAGACACCGCGAGCTAAGCGCGTCAAACGGGGCTCAGTTGCCGAAGAGACGCCTCGAACCACAAGGCAGTCTGCAAGACTCAAAGGCCATGGGGATTCCCTCACCGAAAATGGAGTCACCGAAACCCCCGTGGCGTCTAAACTAGAAGCAAGCCCTTTGAACATCGCCTCGAACACGAGAACGAGGAATCGAAACCGACATGCCGTAGATGCTGTGGCCAACGATAGCCGCACATCGGCACCTGTCGTCAGATCGCCACCGCCCGATGATGGAACTCCAGAATCCATAGAGGCGCCCAAGTCGGGAGATATAGAATCGTCCCACGTAACAGACCCCAGCTCGATAGGCGATGAATCACCTAAGGGTACCGTGTCTTCCGACAGAAAGGACGAATACACAATTCCCGATGTCGAAACTGAGCCAAAGCCGACATCAACCAGGTCTAGCCCCCTCCTATCGCGAAAACGCAAATCTCCAGAAACAGATGACCGTGATGTTATCATGTCTACCACCAGCTCGCCAAGCAAGAAGCCAAAGGGAGAGGATGCTGCACTAGACCGCGCATCTGAACCAGCGCTTCAAAATGGTATCGAGCACAAATTGGACGAGACATCGTTTGCAACCAATAGCGCTGCAAACTCGAGAGCAGACGAAGGCTCTCGACAGATCACGGAAGAGGCCGAGGATTCCACAACGCCAGACAATGCTACAGAGTCAACGGTTGTCAAAGCAACACGTGGCGGACGTAGCCGAGGCCGAGGCCGGGGGGCGCGGAGCAGAACTTCTGCGCGGTTTGGCATGACGAGACGAGGGCGTGGTGGTACCCGTGCTGTTCGCTCCGGGCGCACTGGCCGTCACATTGACCGATCGAGCGATATAGAGTTTGAACGCTCGCCTTCTCCAAGTGCCGCGACCCAAAAGCTGAGAGACCGCCAGCGCGAACTGGACAAAGCCTTTAGAAGAGTAGCGGCAGCTCAGCGACTAGCTTTGGCTGTACTCGCGACGCAGTCTGAGAAACGGCTTGCTCGTGACAAGAACGCGCACAAGGCTGTTCCTGAGCACGAGGAAATCAGTTTAGTTCTGAAGGCCCAATTGCACGAAAAGCAAGATATCCTACGACGAGAGTACGAGCTTAAAGTCGCACAGGAGCACAGAATCTTTCAAGCCAACAAAGAGGCTATCGAGGATCGATATCGGGTAAGAATTTCTTTTGGCTTACTAGTTAGTAATCTAATATCTTGACTTGCTAACAAGCTTTGCAGGCAGCGGTTCGTTACATTCAAGATGAGCATCTCTTTGCAAGTCACGGAGACTACATGACATTCATCGAAGGGCGCCGTGCGGCTGAAGATGACGAGCATACCGAGGTTTGTGCTGTAGCTTTCTGCGATTGACGTGATCATAGCTAACGCATTCATTTCAGACGGATGGGTCGGAAACAGAAAACGAACGAGGACGCAGGCGCCCTGTACGCCGAGAAATCATCAGGGGGTTTGTCTCTTCCTGTGTTCGTGATCCTGCCGGCGCGGCCGCGTATGAACGCGCTGCTTTTGGCTGGGATGACTTTGTGCAGAGAGCCAAACTGGGTGATGATATTGATCCGCAGATGAAGGAGATGCGAGAAGTCGGTCCATTTGCTGGGCTCTCCGGGGACGAGATCATCAAGATGTTGTTGGAAGCTACAGGAATCGTTGAAGTACGAGAGGGCGTTCCTGTAAAGGAGTATCATCCTCCACCGCTTGTCGAGGCACGTCCCACGGCGCTGACAGCCCTGGCTGATATCGCGGCTGAGCAACAGCCACGGCCTCTCCACTCACAGCCTACGCCGCGGCTCTCGGCGCATCGTGCTATTCTCCCCCAACCCCCTCAGCCACCACCAATACACCACGCACACCCAGAAACCCGACCGTTTGTGCTACCACCACCAACTCCTCGGGGCCAGCCCCGACGGCTCCTCCCTGCAGGACAGCAGATTCCGCCGATCAACGAGTCGCTTGGCCTTCCTGACCCGTTCTCGCCCCGCGGCGGGCCTCCGCAACTACCCCCTCCGCCAGGCTCCAACTTCCGGCCGCCGCCTCTACCACCACCCTATATGCCCGGCCACCATCATCCAAGTCTATATTATCAGCAGACTCCGCATCGACCTCCATATTAAGTTGTATTTGACTCGCATTTTTGTACTATATCTGATTGGATGTTTGGAAATTCTGGGTTTAGCAGGCACGGCGGAGTTGAGTAGGCTAGCTGTATTGTACTACATAATGAACATATCGCATCATCTGCTAAACAAGCTACTTCTCCCGTCGTCAGGATGGCTCAGGATGAGTCACTGCAGTGCGACTTGCGCTGTGACTCGAAACTCCGCCCGCATCGCTTCCGCCACACCGCCCACCAGGCTAGACCCCTTTCGGATCTTTTTTATTTTTTGCGCCTCGCTGGGCCTGCCCCGTCGACTACTCTATATTTACCCTGTTTCGCGCTCTGTGTTTGCTCGATCACAGAGAAATCCTCATCTTCCTCACCTGTACAAGCTTGATACCCTCTCACTCTTTCTCCCACCTCGCCCGCCCTCCCTACGCCTGGTAGCGCGCTTACTGTCTGTCCCGCCATACCCCGCCTCGGCAGACGAACGAACTCTTTCCCCTCAGCACCTCTCAAATCCTCACGTTGCATCCACTCGAGAACGTTAACGTCAACGAAACCTCAATAATGGCTGTCCGCGCTCAATTCGAGAACTCTAATGAGTCTGTTGCCGATGTTCCACCTTTTCAAGCCTTTACCCGGACTAACCTCATACTAGAGTCGGTGTCTTTTCACGCCTGACAAACTCATATGCCCTCGTGGCTATCGGAGCTTCGGAAAACTTTTACAGGCACTTTCCCCTGGAATGAAAGGGCTAGCTTGAAATGAGTAATGTTCTGACGATGAGCAGTGTATTCGAAGCCGAACTCCAAGACGTCATCCCCATCTGCCATGCTACCATCGCCGGAACGCATATCATCGGTCGTTTAACTGCAGGGTACGAACTCCCTCACCGTCCGAGAACCAGAACATGATCATCTTGTTCGTCGATCACCTTTGGACTGACGAGTATCTACACGTATAGAAACCGCAAAGGACTCCTCGTCCCCACAACAACAACAGACCAAGAATTGCAACATTTGCGAAACACGCTGCCAGATACGGTAAAGATTCAACGTATAGAGGAGCGCCTGTCGGCTCTTGGAAATGTCATTTGCTGCAACGACCATGTTGCGCTGATTCATCCGGATCTTGAGCGTGAGACGGAGGAGATGTACGTGCTTACCTTGCCGCTTTCTCTCCGCGAAGAAAAGCTGAAAAGAAAACAACAGAGTATGAAACAAGAATGCTAACAAAAAACAGAATCGCCGACGTTCTCGGCGTCGAAGTCTTCCGCCAAACAGTCGCCGACAACGTCCTCACAGGCTCGTACATGGCCCTCTCCAACCAGGGCGGCATCGTCCACCCCAAGACCTCCATCCGTGACCAGGACGAGCTCTCCTCGCTCCTGCAGGTTCCTCTTGTCGCGGGCTCCGTCAACCGCGGTAGCCCCGTCGTCGGCGCCGGCATGGTCGTCAACGACTGGCTTGCTGTGACGGGGTTGGATACGACGGCGACGGAACTGAGTGTTATCGAGAGTGTGTTTAGGCTTGGCGAGATGGGGCCCCGTGGTGTTGGACAGGGAGGCGCGAACAAGGAGAGTATCGTAGAGAGTTTTTACTAGTTTTTTCTTTTCTCTCTCTGGTTATCCTCTCTGCGGCTCTGGTTATCCCGGTTCGATTGTCGGGGACGGACACACATTCCCATGTACCTATCCACACAATGCTCAGTAATGCCTTCAACATTGGTTTGAGTTGAAGTTACTGGATAAATATCAAGTCTCCGCCATGATTACCGACAATAGCTAGATGCGTAGCATGTCCAGCCAGTATAGTTCCTAGTGGAGTTGCCAGAAAAAAGTGGCTTCTGGACTACGGGTCGGAGACTCGGCATAGTATTGAACGGAATAATTGGCTGTACGTATGCCATGTTCGTGATAGCTGTCATATCGACGCTCGCTCTCGCGACTAACTAAATAATAAATACATGTACATGAGGCATTAAACTCTAGATATGTAAAGTAGAAGCGAAAAAGGAATCAGAGACAAGAAGCGAAAGAGAAGGTGAGAAGTAGATTAGATCAAAACCACAAAAGGTGGAACCATAAGGGGGGTTGACCCAAGCTGGGTAGGTAAGAACAAAAAGGAGCTGAGATCCATGTGCAACATTATAGTCATCATGTGTCTTTTTAGTCCGTTTGCCTTCGAAACATTCGAGTGGGGTTTCGAAGGTTGGACGCAGGCGATCTCTGCGACAGACGACTGATCGCCGTGCAGGAATCATATTCGTTAACTCAATGCATCATGCATCAGAACATCAATGAGGCGGTCGAAAAGGACGTCTGGGAGGGAAAAGATTATTAATATGTCCAGAAGGAATGTTCTCCGCTGCTCCGTGCGATATAATGGAGCATCTGCGTGCGGATAGGGCAGGCCAAATCAGATCTATCTTCGAAGTTCCAAAACATAGACAGGGATCTCCATTAGAAATGACAGCCATAAATATGAGAAATCATAATCGCAATTGTACCACGTCGTGAGAAAAGGAAAAAAAAAATTGAAAAGTATAGAGATCAAGTCGAATTGCCCGGGTGAATAGCCGAATATGAAAGTTCAGGCATGGTAAAACAAGAACATATTGGAGCAGAGACCGGTATATGCGCGCAGGAGTATGCATTAATCATGGCGTTTCTTTTCCTTGTAGGAGAGACGTAATTCGTGTTGATACTTTGGCTGCGCGAGGGGGTGAAACCATGCTATCTATCGCTAGTAATCGATGGTGTGACTCATTCATCGTATCGCGTTGAAATAGGAAAAAATAATAAGGGTGCCGTTACTGCTGTGCGATGAAAGGACGTCATTCGGGTCGTTTCTCTGCCGTAGTGGTTAAAGGAACTGGGAGGTCAGGAGTAGGAGGTTCATCTGGGGGTCGAGGGGGTGGATGGACGATACTTCGTCGGCTGCTGTCCGTAAAGGGATTTCGGTCGGGTGGTAAGGTTTCATAGGGTCGGTCGCTAGGTTCTATGCGTGGCATTGTCTCCCTATGGCCAAGTTGTAATGCCTGCGGCGAAGGAAGCGTATGTCTAATGCCGGTGGGGAGTGGTAATTCTCGCAGTGTCGGACCCAATTCACGGCCAGATATATCTCTCAGCCTCTCCTCGTCGCTTGGTCCCATCATTGACATCGGCCCCAGCGGTGGCGGCACATAACGCGTTTCCTGTGATATGTTGGGAGGCGGAGGCCGACTGCTTGTTTGACTCGGATAAGCTGGTCCAGCTAGTTCAATGCCGGATGGACTTGTTGGCGTTGATGGGATCTTCACTTTATGAGGGCCAGATCGTCGTAGAGGTGGATATGTCTCCCCGCGGGCTTCAGCAGCTGCTTTGCGTCGCTCGGATTCGGCTTTGCTTGGCCGGCCACGTTTCCGTGGGGGCTCGCCTCGAGTTGTAACACCCCCTATGCCTGGAGAAAGTATTGCGGACGCGCCGCTCTCACTGCTGTAAGAGGCGGTACTGGCAGGGATACGGGGTTGGATCTCACGTGGAGCAGGCGCAAGAGGTCGTTTCTCTGCTGAGAATATAGCCCGCTTTCGTACATTACTCCCTGGGTCTATGGGAGCCATTTGCTGCAGCGGCGGCACGTACCCATGGCGCTGTGGAGGGAGTGGTGCCGTCCCTAGGTGAACCGGAGGAGGCAGTTCCTGAAACATATTTTGGAATGCTGATTGGCAGGAATTGAGCGAACGACCTGGACAGAACCTATTTAGCCGGAGTTCAGACAACAGTTGCAGGGTCGAAAATAGGTCCGGCCCGTTTGTAAAGGAGAAGTCCGTCTGTACCTGAAGGAAGAGGAATATCACCCCAAGCTGGCCGGATATTCATGTCCTTGATCATCTTCACGAAGGTTTGAGATGGAACTCCTGCCTTCTTCATGATTTCAAAAATTAGGGCATACTAAGCATTCAGTTAGCTTCTGCAATGCAGCCCGAGGGGCAGCAGCCATGAGGATATTGGTTATGTACCTTCTCCTCCTCAGTCCATGGCTTTTCCCGTTGATTCGACATCTCCAGCACACCATGGAAGCCAGATATTCCCCCGGCTGAGCCTCAACAGACAAATCGGACCAGTAGAGCCACGATGAGATATACCGTCAGATCAAGTTTAGTCGTAGATATGGAGAGCAGCCGTCCAGTGAGCAAATAACAGTACGGACAACAGGAGTCGCGTGGTCCGCGAGTACAGACAGGACTGATGGTTGGACAACGAAGGAGATGATTCGAGGGCACAATTAGCACAGCAACAGTGAGTGTGACTAAGACTAAGAAAGGGGATATTCAAGAGACAACCATAGGAGAATCAAAAGAAGAATAACCACAGAGCCTCCCAAACAGAATAATGCGTCTACACCAGTGTATAAACACGTGGTAGCTCAAAAAGGAATCAAAAGTGGGCTGGCGACGCGACAAATGAAGACCCGGCGAGACGTCAACAATCCAAACAAAGAGTGAACAGTGAAGAAGAGGGGAAGGGGGCAACTATTATGCACTCGACAGTATACATTGAAGGCCAGGGCGGGGGTCAACGAAGGGACTGGGACTCATAGAGGGTCTTGGATGCTTAACGTCCTGCAGATGGTCCAAAGGTAGGAACGGAACGGTCAACTATGGAGATAAGATGTTCAAGCGCGGATACCAGATGGGTCAAGTTGCAGTTACTCCTATGCTTCAGACCAAGCCGACGAAGCAAGACTGATGGCGTCCAGGGTTCAAGGGTACAAAGAATGGACCAGAAACAACGATAGGAAACAATGCGGATCGTGACCCTGACCTGGGGAGGGAACAGGGAAGCTGTCGTTGCTGGAGATCGAATGGAAGTCAAGAAGGTGCACTTTCAACGATGCACATTGCCACCAAACTCAAACGGACGTATGAATGGAATTGGAAAAGGAAGAAAAGAAAGAGTAATGATGGGGTGCGAAAAGAGAGAGAGAATGAGGGAACGATAGATGGAGGAGAGACAAGTGACACTCTCTCTCTGGCCCAGGAACTTTTTTTGGCTGGCCAAACGGACTCTCAACTCGGAATTGCGCAGGACAGGACCAGGACGGAGCTCACCAGCATGTGTCCGAGCGGCGAGAGGGAAGCTGCAGGGACTGTCGACCTGTTCTCGTTCGCCTCTGCTGTCTCCAGAGTCGGCGGTTGAAGGAGCCACGGGGAAAACAAGACAAGACTTCTCGGAGAAGAGTAACAGGAAGAATAAGAAAAGAAAAAGAAAATAAAGTCTGCGGAACCAACCAGGCTAGGGTGGATCAGGCCGTGTTCAACCTAGAAGAGAATAGTGTTTCAGCAACGATGGTTTCAGATGATTCCAAGCGCCCACGCGCCTTCTGCAACGAGGAGAAAAGGATGCGCGAAGAAAGCAAACACTGCTCCCATACAAAGAAAAGGGGCACGAGGGAGCGCTGGGTATCCAAGCAAGGATCTGGAGGGACTAGGAGGGACGCGAATAAGTAGGAGAAAGAAAAAAAGGGCTAACAGATGCACAGAGATGGGAAACGCGCTGGAAGCTGGATCGGGTAGAGGAGCAGGGGGGTCAGAACAACAGCTGCGGCTACTGTTGTACTCCCTGACTACGGAATCAGAAACGGGAAGGGAAAAATGGGAGTAAAAAAAGAAATATTATACAAAGCTAAACGCGGGAAAATTCTAAATGATTAAATCAAACAGAATGCAACAACGGACACAGCACAAAAAAGAAAGAAGGGACAGTGCACCATGGCCAGAATAGAACCGACCTCGAGAGAAGCTTGCCGCACTGCGGAAAGTCAACAACTCTCTTGCACTGTGCAGGAAGCCAACGCGGGATGTATATCATAGACGGTTATGCGATTGATGATAGGCAGACATTAACGCCCAAGACGTTGGGTCAACCAAGGGGAAAGAGAGAGTATCGTTGTTTTGGAATTGAGACCTGGTCAGGGAGAGCGAGGTTCGGGGCCAGCTCCCGGATGGAGGTAGCGCGGGCGATCCATCCCGACGCCAACTCCTTTTTCTGCATGGTTTTATTATTAGCGATGAGTGCTGTGCTCCATCTGGACACAGTTACAGTTAATGCAGCGTCGTGCCTTGGCCCTATTGAAGATAGCGGGAATGCAGCCACTTGATGACTGGCAGAAAATGACGGCGGCGGAGGCAGTTGATAACCGCAGAGTGGGGTTGAGGGCTCCGCAATAGGCGCAGGCGAGACCAAAATCCTGAGGGCTTGGAGAGGGTCGACAATAATAATCCAGGAATCATATAGAACCGCGCCCAGTTCCCCAGCAGCGGGTTCTGGTTGGTCCAGATGGTAGCTCAAAGTCGTTGGAGCGGGGAGTTGAGGCAAAGCTGGAACAGGTGCGAGCCCGTATCATAAGAGGCCAGCCCAATAATAAGGTTAAAAAGAAAATACTCCAGAGATACACCTATCAGGGGCCATATTTCCTGTTGCCCTCTTCCACCAGGCGAGTAGGATCGTCGTCCTCCGAAATTATTGTCATATCGATGTATGTTAGGTTCGGGAGAAGCGCCCGAGGGAGATATGTTCCAGACATCTCACTCCGGACTTAGAGTCAGAGTACGACTTCAACGGGATAAAGGGGGCGAGGTTGAACGAGCCAGCAGCATCTGGCCACCGGTGGGATGCCTGTTTTTTCCTTGCTATTATTATTAGTAGATTTCTTCGGAAAGAAGATTCGATCGATATTACCCAGTCAATAATACATAATAATGGTCCATGCACGAGAACCATGGGCATGCAGGAGAGGACGCCCCACCGATTTGAATCAACCGTCCGGGAGTCGCCCGGCAGGATGCTGCTGCGGAGATCGATTGGAGGTCATGTCCATAAATTTGTGGAGAGATAGAATCGAAGACTTTTGGAAAGTTGCTAGATGATGAGCTTTGATATTGACTGTGAAGTAGAGGCAGCTAAAGATGCTGGAGAACAGCGCCTGGCTGGAACTTGACAAGGGAAGTTGAAACTTGGGAAGTCCCAATCCGTGACTTTTTGGCAGGCGGAAGCAAAGGAAGCCCCACTACTCTCAGGTACCCGTCAGGATTCAGGAATCAGGAATCAGGCCCAGTCCACGGTCACGCTTGTAATAACTAGATCCTCCTGGTTACGACGTCTGGCCTGGGGCATCATGGTTCCAGGGACCAGGAATACTGGATGAAGCGGTTGATCGGCCTCCTCTATGTCGCGTAATGGAATATTTTGATCCAGTTGTTTCGAGTGTCATGCACGCGCAGTCGCTGGGAGACATCAAGATTTAGTCGAGTCTATCGAGGTTCTGCAAGACCACTCTTGGGCGACCACGTATTATTCCGACGTATTATTTCAATCTATCTCTTTATTTTAAGTTTCCCCTGATCAGCAGCACTTCCAAGGTTCAATAAATCGACGTCTGGCCCTGGCTGTTCGAGGCAACACCCGTTCATGCACGGAACTCCATCTGGATTGGCGATTCTTCTTCGTTCTTCCGTTCTTCTGCGCTTCTGGACATCTCAAACACTCGACTCGGCTCAACTAAAGCAAGCCCGTCGTTTCTTGAACAAAGCCATTCAGCCGTGGAGCTTCCGGAATTCCCGGTAAGTTCTCCATCAAGCGCGACGTGCTCCAAGTTTAATGTACATACTAAAATCAACAATCCCTCCTCCTCGGAGTAGGCCCATCTGCACCCTCACCCGCGCTCATGCAGCATCCAAAATGGAGAGCTCTTGTCCAATCGCTAACCGCCCAAATCCGCACCAACGCTCGAGAGCGGTAGAAAATTCCCCGAGTCCGTCATACCATCCTTGGTCAATCATCAATTTTCCCACCGTGTTCCATCTGAGTTTCCCTGCATTTTGTCCCCGTGGCTTCCGGTGTAAATTCGCCTCTTCGTACATCCTGGCTGCACGTCGGGTTGCCTCGACAATTTGGCCCTCTTGTGGCCTATGATCTTCCTCTGCTGTGCAGTGGATCATGAATCGGTTGGCGGGCGCTGAATCGCGCTCTCTGCACGTTGTTGTTGTGGGATGCGCCATATTTGCCTTAATATCGTCTCCCTGTCCTCGCTAGAAACGGCTGATCACTCCCCCGACTAAGAGGAACTTGAACGCGCTCATCTTTTCTTTACCACTCATATACCTTGACGAAAAGAATGCGATGTCATTCAAACCACAGCCCGACGCGGGTATAGTCTTACGAGTCAGGCAATCCCGCGGTCAACGTGATATGATCAGTGAGAACCTCGTTTGCAGCGATCCAACCACTTTGCAGTGCTGGGGAGATGAACAACAAAAGCGCGGACTTGTGCTAACAGATCTGGCTGACACTTGTTATGGAGTACCAATCACAGATAAGGGACTTGTAGGATCCGGGATGGTGAAAGTCTGACTTCATCGGCGGAAGGAAGGAAGATGTGCACAGAGTCGACATTCTGCCATCGCTTACAGCTGATATCCGCATGGCGCCAAACAATTTGGTCCGATTGACAACTCAATTCCTCGACCCAGTCCCTTCTTGACACCCATTCTTTGACTGCCCCCTTGGAGTCAAGTCCCCTCCATTAAGGCTGACTGGGCAGCGCCTCTTTGTGCGCGACGATACATAGTCTGAGGGCTGGGTCAGGAACAATATGTTGGTCAGTTGGCAGAAAGAGAACAGGGCCTTTGGAGATGAATGTACACAAGCACAGAGGGAAATAGAATAGATAGAAAGCGCAGATTGAGGCGTGGTCCATTGTCCATCGTCTTCCACAATTATGTCTTGGCACCCGCGAAAACGTGGACGGAAAGAAGCTCGACAGTGACTTGAGAATCTCAAAAGTTCTTTTGCTCTTCCTTCCCTCCCCCCCCCCCACAACGTCAAACCTCTTGCTTTTGTCCTTCCTTTTCTTCTTTCTTTTCTCTACTGCTCAGCCCCCATTCCCGCGTCGTTCATTTCCGCCAACCCCTCTTCTATTGTCACGACTCCTCCGACCTCCGCCCGTTGTCTGGCACGCCGTCTTTGGCTCTTGATAGTTTTGCGCGCGCCGTCCGTGTCGTCATGTCCACTCATGACAACGCGGACCCTCAGTCAGAAACCGTCGCCGATGCAGTCACTGCAATGAAATTGGAGCCATCCGGTAATCCCACCGATGCTCCAATCCCCAACGGCGGAGGGGCCAACGAGCCCGACTCGCACGCCGCGTACCCTGTGCCCTCGACCAAAGATGAGCGAGCCACGCCGTCTCTGATCAAATCGCGATCCGCATCACGAACTCCGATCAAGATGGAACCGTCTGAGATTGATGAAGGGAATCTCAAGGGGGAAGATAATGACAAGTCTAGCACAGAAAAGGTTGGAGGAGGCATTTCTGTCAAACTAGAGCCAGGGCAGCCTCCCAAGTTGGCCCGTAGCTCCTCGCAGAAGGTCGTTCCGCGACCGCCACAGCTCTTTTCACATTTGCCGGATAGTACGCGGGACGCCCAAAAGACCTTTGAGGTCATCCAGTCTTGTCAGTATGCAAATAAATACATGGGATACACGGAACACGCTATGGAATGTGATTGTACAGAAGAATGGGGTGAGTCGGCCTTTTTTTCCTATCTTGTCTGTTTCGTGCCGCCTCCTCGAACCCTTTTTTCCCTTCAATAATGAATCTGAAAATTACCTCCAATGCTTCTCGTATCGCCAGATTCTATTTTACGTACTAAGTTAACATGACTAGATTCATCCAGTTCAATAAATCGGGCTTGCGGGGAGGATTCGGATTGTATAAACCGCGCAACAAAGATCGAATGCATGAGCGATTGTGGATGTGGCCCTGACTGCCAGAATCAACGGTTTCAGCGCAGGGAATATGCCCGCGTGGCAGTCATCAAGACCGAGAAAAAAGGCTATGGGCTCCGCGCGGAAGAAGATCTACGACCGCATCAGTTCATCTATGAGTATGTGGGTGAAGTTATTAATGAGGGACCATTTCACCGCCGCATGAGACAATACGATGAAGAAGGGATCAAGCATTTCTACTTCATGTCTCTCAGCAAGGGCGAATTTGTGGATGCCACCAAGAAAGGCAACCTCGGCCGTTTCTGTAACCATTCTTGCAATCCCAACTGCTATGTGGACAAGTGGGTGGTTGGAGAGAAACTCCGCATGGGTATATTCGCCGAACGACACATTCAGGCCGGAGAGGAGCTAGTGTTCAATTACAACGTGGATCGATACGGCGCAGACCCTCAGCCTTGTTACTGCGCCGAGCCCAACTGCACAGGTTTCATTGGTGGGAGAACACAGACGGAACGTGCTACTAAATTGTCAAATGCGACCATTGAAGCTCTGGGTATTGACGATGCGGAAGGATGGGATACTGCGGTAGCGAAGCGGCCTCGGAAGAAGAAGATGGGTGAGGATGATGAAGAGTATGTGGACAGCGTACAACCAAAGTCTCTGGACGAGAATGGTGTTACGAAGGTTATGGCAGCTCTGATGCAGTGCAAGGAGAAATGGATTGCTGTCAAACTTCTCGGGCGCATCCAGCGTTGCGAGGATGAGCGGGTGCGCAATCGTGTGGTGAAGATGCACGGCTACCAAATTCTCAATTCGCAGTTGGCCATGTGGAAGGATGATTTCAACGTTGTGTTGCAGATTCTGGACATCTTGGACAAATTTCCCCGTCTGACGCGGAACAAGATCATCGACTCCAAAATCGAGTCGACAATCCGACCACTAGCCAATTGCGGGAATGAAGGAGTTGAACAAAAAGCGGCCAGCCTCCTGCAAGTCTGGTCGACTCTGGAAGTCGGGTATCGTATTCCGCGCATGAAACGGGATCCGAATGCCTCCACGCCGGCTGTAAGCCAGTTCCAGCGACGGGAGAATGTGACCGACGAGCGACGGCAGCGGTCAAAATCGCGATCGCGGTCGCGATCCATCGAGGCACCCCGTGGGCCAGCCGCGCAGAAACGAGGTGGCGGGCCTGGCCCAAGAAACCCGCCTCAACACCACGGCACTCGGCCATTCCGTCAGCGGTTTCAACCCCTGCCGCAAGGATGGTTTGCCGCGGAATCCAACGGCCGCAAATACTACTACTCGGCTCAAGGAGATACCACCTGGACTCGGCCAACGAAGCCGGCTCCTCAGCCGCCACCTCCGCCGAAAGAGTCAAGAGACAAGGCCTTGCAGGATATCATCGATGGTATCATGAATGCGAAGGAGCAGACGCCCAAGGAGAAGACAGGCACGCCTCTGACTCCTCAACCGTCCAAGCCGGCGGCTGAAGGGAGAGACCAACAGGAAAAGTGGAAAAGCTACAGCGAGGAGAAGCAAAAGAAGCTCTATGAAAACACGGTAAGTCTTGTCATTTTGGTACTGGAACAGCTATCTTGATTATTGCTGATTTGACTGATATAGCTGTATCCGCATGTGAAGTATGTCGTCGACAAGTTCAAACACAAGCTTCCCAAGGATGACCTCAAGCGATATGCCAAAGATGTAAGCAGAGGCCCCTGTTTTGGTTTGCGATAATTGACAAAGTACAGGTCGCCAAAAAGTTGGTCAACTCAGACTTTAAGAACAACCGCGTTGCAGATCCCACGAAAATCGACGAAAAACAGCAAAAGAAGGTGAAAAATTTCTGCAAAGAGTTCTTCGACAAAGCTGTCGCCAAGCACCAAGCTCATGAACAGCGCAAAGCGGAGAAGCTTGCAAAGGGAGGCGGCGATGAGACCCCGGACGTGAAGATGTCAGACGACGAAGGCAGCACCGAAAAGGGCGGAACTGGCGGTCTCAAAAGAAAGCGGGACGAGCTCAGCGTTGGGGATGGAAACACGCCCGATGATTCCACGCCGAATTCATTGACGAAACGCCAACGATCTTTTAGTCCTCTGCCGCCACCTCCGCCGGCCATCAGCCCCGACGATGACGCGAGCCTAAGAAGTGACCCTGAAGGCGATGGTGAGGGCGAAGCCGACGAGGTCGTCCTCGTCGGGAATCCAACACCACCTCCGCCGCCGCCGCCGCCTCCTCCGCAAGATGACACCGAACTCCCAGACGCAGACGTAGACGCAGACACGAATGGGAACGAGCACGAAGATTTTGAGGGCTATACAGACATGAACCAACCGCACCGAACTCAAATTGGTATTGAGGGAAACGTGTGATCCATTTCCTCACTCGTTCTCGCCCTGTTCTTTTACACTTCTCTTCTTTATCGTCCTGGAATCTCGATATTACTGCCAAAGTAACGGATAAGGGGAACTTAATCAGGTTTTTTTGGGACGGTTCGGGTCGGGTCAGCATTGCATGCATGGGGTTTGGGAGTTTTCATCTTCGTTCGCACGCATCTTGATTTCCTAATAAGTATCATCATCATCTGTTTCTTTTCAAATACCCATCCCATTCCAGTCCCGTTGACTTCAATCGCTTTATTTAATTTGGGGCTACAATCTCGCACAGTGCCGTTAAACTCGACCCCAAAAATGATCTGCCACGGATATCAAGCATCTCAGGTACCGAGAGCAAGGAAGGCGTTGGTTTGCAGAGCTTTTTCTTTTTTTTGTCTCATTTCTTGTATAATTAGCTACTAATTATTAGCACTACCATAGTCTTGGTAGGGCGCCTACACCTTCATACTAGTATATACGAGTAGGTCACAGGTGCCTGATTTATCTCTCGTGGAAGACAAAATGGCGGTTCATTTATTTACTTCTACTATTTGTATTTCTATTAGTTAGTAAGACCTAGAAAATACCTAGGTACTTAGTAGTAGCGTGGTCTTATTCCAGTCTGTGCCCAAAAGGGAACGAACGGACTGTAGTGTTCCTTCGTTCATTTGTTTCAGAGCTCCCTCCGGTCATGCGGCCGCTAGGAGCATGCTCTCTTCTTCTAAGGTCATATTCGTCACCATATTCTGTAAACCTACGGTACTTGGGGCTTGCGCACATTTGATACGTTATAGTACTGATTTAGGGAGCTTCCAGAGTACTAGATACTGCTAATTCTACGGCAGCGCTAAGCTCGCAACCTACTAGGTATAGCCACTAACCTCGCGAGGCATCAACTTGGGGTATTCATTCCAGTGTACATAGTATGGTATCTAGATAAATGAAATCCTCCGGACATTCAACTGTGCTTGACACGGCCAAGTAGGTTGCGTAACCTTGATCTCTGGCCCTCCGGGGAAGATGATTCCGAGGCAATTGTGGTACCTGAGACTACGACAGATGTTGTCGATGTCGTGGGTTCTTCCGGACTCGGCGTAACAGTCAATGGCGGCGAGGATGCTGTAACCGGCTGCGAGGGGCCAACGGTGCTGGACTCCCGGCTCTGACCTTGATCCTGATCCTCGCCCTGCGCGGCTTGTTCTTGCTTCTTTCGATCCAGCTCTAGCTGCGCCCTGATAATTCCCACTGCGGAGCCGAAGCTCTGCGTTTGTGGGATCGTGACCTTTCGGCCGATTCCTAGCGCGGGCTCGCTCATTGTTGTTTCGCGCACGAGCTTCATGAGTTCGTCCTTCCCGTCGACGCGCCGCGTTAGGTATACCATTGGCACGGCGCGTGTGGTAGTGTGGGCTCTGATGCGTTCGACTTCTTGGCGGTAGGCTGTTTCGTAGATATCAAAGTCGGCAGCGCCCGGGGATTCGCTGACCATCGGGTAGGAGAGGTCCGACTGGTCTGCGCCGGGGTTTGCCGAGTCGTCTGGTTCGAGAATCATGGATGGGCCGTCAGTGTTGCTGGGATCTGAGATGTTTGAGCCTGTAAAGGTTGAAGGGCCGATGAATAGGAAGGGGCAATCTTCTTCGAGGGGATCTCGGGCGTGGCCTCGGGTTCCTTCGATGCTGCGCTTGGTGGTGGTTGAGCTAGCCCGGGACAAGGGGACTTGTGGAGATGGCGAGTTCTCGTCGCCAACAGACTCATCTTTCATCTTCAAGCTCCAATTTGAGCCCGATTCTTTCTTTTCTGGCTTGGTCCAGAGGCCAGTGATCCCAACCGGAGAATCACTGTTGCCTAGCGATGAGTTGGGGGCGCCCGGTTTTTGTTGATGATACCCTTTGAGGACGTAATCACGCTCGAGGGCTTTTCGATTGTATGTGTTCAAGCTTTGACTCTTGTTGGAACTGGTCATGCTAGGCAGAGAGACGCTTTCCTCTGGATCCATTTCCATCGGAGGCTCAACAAAGCGGCCCTCGTACTCCTGACCGAGAATGCTTTGCATGGGTGGTTCAGCCCTGCCTGGGCCGAGAAGGCCTTTGAACTTCTTTACTGCTTTCACCTGCACACATTGTTAAGCTTGCCCCAATCAAAAACATCTAGCTAGGTACATACCACTGCTAAAACATTGCCAAGGCTATTTGTAATGGCGGAGTTCATTTCTTCTTCAGTAGGAAGCCCAACAATTTCTGCTGTGTTTTCGGCCTTTGACAGCAGAGGATCCATGCCATTTTTCGTTACCCATGGGTGTTCCTAGTTTGGTTGTTAGACCAGCAAGTCGGTGAATAGGGCGACACCACCTACACGCAGCTCATCCATCTGTATTCTTCTCGCCGGGTCCTTTTCTAGTATCCGCGATATCATGTCCTTGAAGCTTTCGTCAGGTTCCCCTTCACAAACAAGTGGGTCGTTCTTTATGGCCTCGTAGAGTTCGAAAATACTTTGCTTCTCGAATGGAAGCCTACCGTATCGTAGACAGTACAAGGTCACACCCATGGACCATATATCGGCTGCCTTTCCCGAGACGTCGCCATGCTTGACAACACATAGCTCAGGTGGCAAAAAGGCAGGCGAACCCGCGGACTTGGCCGTAAACATATCAGAGTCCTTTTCGAACATCTCTGAAACTCCAAAGTCCACAACTTTGAGGACATCCTCGCTAGTTACCAAGCAGTTGTCTGGTTTGATGTCTCGGTGCACGATGCCCTGCGCATGAAGGTACTCAATTCCCAGGATTAGGTCACGGAACCAACAACGGCAGCGCTCGTCGTCGTACGGATCCGCTCTTTCCTCGAGGCCGACTTTCATGACCACTCCTTTCTTGCACATCTCCATGACCATGTACAAAGAGTCCTGCGATGGGTCATCCAGGACTTCTATCAGCGACACCAGGTTATTATGGTGCAGCTTCTTCATGATGGCGATTTCCTCTCTGATCAGGTACAGAGCATTCAACTTTTCCTCGTCTCCAATGCCGGCTCCCTGTCGGTGGAGGGGAGAATTGAAGCCATCGGCCGAACGCTTGGGACCTCGAGATCGCCGCAAAAGGTGCGACTTTGCGCGCTTTCTTAGGCGTGTTTTTGAGAATTCTTTAACAGCCTAATATTCGTCAGCGTGGCACATGCACCTCGAAGCATGCACAAGTAAAGAATTCCGCACGTATTCGTTCCCATATTGATCGACTGCTACATGAACGGCTCCGAATGACCCGCGGCCAATCTCCTGTCTGATCACATATTGGTTGATTCTGTGTTCAGCAGTGCCGTCATCTTGGCTGAGAGTGTACTGAGATCGAGCATTGAGTGTTTCCTTATCAATTGCGTCAATAATGGTTCTAGTGAGGTGAAATTAGTACTTACCTTTACCGGACGCCGGGTTATCGGGTTGCGGCGGTGGTGTCTCTGCGGGCTTTCGAAGGATGGGGTTGACCTTCAGAACTTAGTTATTGTTGCCTAGACGTCCCTTGAAACGAGTAGGTATTGTTCAATGTAATGGAAGTTTTTTTGGGGAACCTACGCATAGCGAGCGGGAGATGGACGGGGAGGAGGATCTGGACGGGCAGCAGACCCTTGACTAGCATCCTGTTCCAGAGAGCTAGCACTCTCGTTGGCCATCGATTATTGACGCAACAGACAGCAGAAAGCCAGCGGTGAGGGAAGAGAACACGGCAGGTGTAGCAGTCACGCTATTCTTCGAGAGCCCTAGGAGAAAGGGACTTGAAATCCGGTTGCCTGGTCAGATAATGTGGGGAGAAGACCGCTGGTGGAGGGGCAGCGCGATCCAGATAAGAGAGCCACTCACCGCGTGGAGGACTGAGCTTGGTGAGCAAATGGGGGTTTCGCTGGTGCTGAAAGGCGAGAGCTGTCAGGGCGAGGCAAGAGAGGGGTCAAAAGTTGAAGAGCGCGATAAAGATGAAATCTCATGAAATGCTTCGACAATCCAAACAACCATCAAAGCAACACCCTATATTTAGAACATCCTCCGCTCTTCCACGGCTTCTCCGCCAAATGTTCTGTCACTCCAACAATTCTCCGGTCGATCAAATCATCAAAGTGCTCGTCTCCTCTCAGCTCAACGACAATTGTAAACAGTCGCTGTTCACCGCCCACTTCTATACCGCATCATCCGCTGTTAACTGTTCAGGGGGCACCTCCTCGCCGACTCGCAATTGAACTCAGCCTGGTCGAGCGATTCTCTGACGTGTCAGCATCAACGCGATGACTGTGTATTCCTTTTACATCTTCGACCGCCACGGTAAGCCAGAATTGCTTCTTCCGTTTTAAACCAATTGCTAATCTCTAGCAATCTCTAGCTGAGTGCATATACAAGCGACGCTGGCTCCCCCGACCTGCCTCGATCACCGGCAAATCACCGCGACCTGTCTCCGATACCCCAACGGTAGCCAACGGGCTAACAAGCGTTTCCGGCCCTTCTACAAGATCGCAGGACGACGATGCGAAGCTAATATTCGGGACCGTATTCTCTCTTCGAAATATGGCGCGGAAACTGGGAGGAGAGGACGACAAGTGAGCTTTTCGATCAGTCTGCTATGGCCGTGTGATGATAACAAAGGCCAATTCCAGCTTCGTCACGTACCGCACGAGCCAATATAAGCTTCACTACTACGAGACTCCTACCAACATCAAGTTCGTGATGCTCACGGATACCAAGAGTCCAAATATGCGGGTTGCTCTGCAGCAGATCTATATCAATCTTTACGTGGAATATGGTAGGTCTGATGAATGGTCTCTGAGTGGCGGTGCTAATTCGGCTTGAACAGTCGTCAAGAATCCGCTATCCCCGGTTGAGCACCCGGGTGGTGTCGGTGTGAATAATGAACTGTTTGAGCAATCATTAGAACAGTTTGTGGTACGTTCTTATCGACCTTATCGAAGAATATGTCCTGACATCACACAGACCAAGGTCCTTGCTTAAACCACTTATTGGGAATACAAACGATTCAGCCCACCGAACTAGGCCGGAAATGGATCGGGACGGGTCTTTGAGTCTCAAAAAGCCATCACTGAGCCGCCATCGCAAACGGTTTGAACTGACAGCCATCGGCCTCTCCCGGTACGCTAGCAGTGTTGGGCCCGAAAGTCCAATAGCAGGGATGCCGCCTCAAGCTCCTGCTACCAGACAACCAGTGGCCGGTAATCCTATGCTTAGGATCAGGACTAGTCGTCCTTTATGAAGAGAGCTACAGTAGCCCTCTGGCTACGCTCAGACATGCGAAGCACTACTGCCTTATAATCAAGCATCGAAGAGAATATCCATATAACGAACAATCAATGAGAACATGACATATCATACATTTTCTTCAAATATTCACAGCACAATACAAACCAAATACTCCAATATTCCCCTTGCAGCTTATTGAAAGACCAAACTCAGATGACTCTCCTAGTATCAGACTGCCCAGTCTCCTCCACCTCAGCAGGCAAATCATCCTCATCAGGACCCTCGTTGTACCCGCCTTTATACCTTGGCTTCGCATGACGCAGTCCACCTTTCATTATATTCGACTTATCAATCGCCTCGCGCTCATCACGTTCTGACAAGAAAATCGGACATTAGCCCTTTCACAATCGACCATCGAGAGCCCAGGCCGCGAAAAATAAAAGTGAGAAGGGGAGGTATACCAAGCTGCTCCTGAGTGTTCGAGAACGGCGGCTGCATCGGATCCTCATAGTCCTCTTCGTCCCTCTGAACAGGAACCCCCATGGAGAACTTCCCGCCCTCGCCTGACTCGTACGCGTAGCTATTATCATAGTAGTCGCCGGAGACGGGGGCGTCGGCATCGTTCTCGCGCTCGTAGGCGTCTTCGGCTTGACGTTCGGCGCGGTTCGACATCTTGGTTATGTTTTCTCTTTGGCTTGGGTTGTGTAGAAAATGAGTTAGTGAGTAGGTAGTAGGTAAAATTTTCATTGTTTCGGGGCGTCATAATCTCATGGGATCTATATATGCGTTCTGGATCAAGAGGTATGAGGCTATATTGACCTCAGGCAGCCGACGTCAGGGTTGTGTCAAAAGTGTATGACATGAGCGGATGGGTGAACCATTGGAACTGGTGCTGGGAGGGGTTAATCGACACGAAGTATAGGCGCTCTTGGTTTAGTCTTGAGATGGTCTGATTGATCTGGATAGTTATTGGTAGATGCACATGGTTGACTAGCGTTCGTGGTTTGGGAAATGATACTGGAGGATGACCTCAGACTACCTCGTTGAGTTCGGGTTATTATTATCTCCACATGAATGTTCTTATTATAATGTATTTCTAGGTAGCTTTAAATTTTCGCTGGAAGAATTGCATATCTTTCTTGTGTACACACACAGATATCTAGAAACTAACTATAAGATACCTATCCCATTGCCTTTACCAACAAAATATATATACTACTAGTCCTCTGTAGACATGAAGATCCACAAAAAAAAATGGGAGGAAAAAGCCAAGAAAAGCCTTAATCCCTGTGACCTCACCAATAAGATGCTCATTGAACACGTATGATTTAAGTTGTATGATTTAAAGGAGCGAGCAACATCACTTCAGGATTGCGCCCGAGGGCCGGTGGGTCGTGCTAAGTTGATAATGCAGAGTATACAAGGCAGGACTATACATGGGACATATGCAGCAATCAGATCAGTTCCTATTTCCGTACATGCAACCGAGCTGCTCCTGCTCGTCCAGCTGCATGCAGGGTAAAGAGCTAGGGGGTAGAGACAGATAGACAAACGGCTGGGTTGGATAGAAAGTTTTGCCTCCAATGATACAGTCTCACGATTGGATATTATAATTTCTCGAAGGACGAGCAGGTTGATTCCGTCTCTCAATCTCTCTCAAGGTGAAGATTAGCCCGAGCGTCCGTGTGTTGTGCTGAAATTGTTCGCCTTTGGCCTAACTACTCTCTTGGCTGGAGAGGAGAGCCGAAGCTTGAACCGTTGAAACGGGCATATTGTTGGCTGTTCCGATTTTATTCGTTCAGGGTGGTTCCATCTCTCGTCCCTCACCTCCACTTTAGGCTCCAGGTTTCTGTGGACTCCAGAGTGTAAATTTGAGAAATCGAGGGAAAGCTGGAATAATGCATGGTCGCGTCGTGTTGAGTAAGTCGGCTCGTCGCCGAGTCTCACTCACCGTCAGTTCATCACATTAGTCAGGCTATTCGCATCCCACATCTCCATTCCTACTTGGAGCTGAATGCGTGGTTTGATCCTTCGGCTGGACCAATCGCTCAACCTGCGGTCGCGAGTTCTCAAAGAAAAGACGAGCTTGAGCTGCCAAAAACAACCAAGCCAGGAAAGACACGGAGATACTTGTTGGTGCATAGAGCAGAGCAACCAAGGAGTCCAAAGTCCATTCGCCAGCTTGGCGAGAACCTAGGATAGACGATATCGGCGCGTGGTGTTTCGGCATGGATTTACCATTCTGGCAAGTGGTCGGCAAATCCTGGGCCTTAGGCGGTGTTTTAAGGTGTGGTACTTTGCAATGCTGCGCTGGACGGACCAAGGGGTCAAACCCTATGCCAGATCCCTGATATTATATAGTAAGGCCCATCTGGTTGGCTCGCTTTCCTGGTTCCTCGAATTAACGTGCCACTTCTTTATGTGGTCACGCGTCACTGCGGGCGTTGGATAATGCAAATTGTCGTCGCCGTCGACGGCTCTTCTCTGGCGGAGGAGCGGAGGCAACTGGAAAGCTCAAGAGAAGGCCTCTGTTTCTTTGTGATGCCAAGCTGACAATTGGCTTTATGGCACTACCGAGTATATGCATATGCAGTGAGAGCCAGGGTGTGGATCCTCAGTCCAAGAGTCCAAGACAAGGGAGCTCATCGCCTCCGTCTTGACTTTGCAAAGGACAAGGTTGTGAACCATGAACCGTGCGGACTCGAAGCTGTCCACGTCTGCAGCTTCAAAAGACCTCATCGAGAATCCTTTTCCAGCACAGTCCAATCCGTCCTGTACGACCCACTCCACGCATCGTGGTCCAAAAGTAAGAAATCTCCAACTAAACCCGTCTGGTCGACACCACTTCTTTGCTTTTGTCCTTCGATCTTCATTTGCCTCCGTTTTATTGGCCCAGAAAAATCCCTCGTGTTAATCTGCAATGCCCCAACCCGGCCTTATCGACGTTCTTTCCATGCATCAGGACGGTCACTCTTTACGAAACAAGTACCTCTCCCAACAGTATGGGACGAAAGCGTGGAAGTGTTCCAATATGCACGGAAATGAATTTGGTGTCCAGCGAGCCTTCGTTGCACAACAGCATGGCATCTCCGCGGTGACCAGCTGCCCTTTGTTTCCCCCCTCAAGATCCTGCGGGACGGACTAACGGCCGAGGTCTGGGGAATTTACTCGACCTCATCCGTATGGAGTAAGCTGGAAACGAAAGACTTGAGTGGTGTTTGAACCGACAACGACACCTCTTGTCGAGCAGCACATACATATCCACCTTCCCATCCCGGCAGCATACCGGGAATCGAGTATCGACCGTCAACGCCAAAACTATAGACAGAGCGGGTTGAGCCAACCACATGGAATCACTGTCCGCTCGTTAGAAATCTTCATGAGAAAAATTGCCTGTTTTGGTTGAGATTGGGATGCTTCATGATCGACCGCAAGGGCATCAACTGCTCCTCTGACACATGCGATCCCCACACGGATCCCCAGCCCAAGAGAGACAGGCGCGTCGCTCAAACTCTCCGCATCCATAGCCTTTCGTCCGCTGGCAAAGCCCATGATCTATTTGATCACACAAACTCACCTGAAGCAGGCATCATCTACAGTACCCTAATGAGTCGAAGACAAACGAACGCTGCCCATCATGAGGTAATTGAGCTGTCCAATAGCAGCCATAGCATCTTTGCATACCCTCGAGTCAAACAAATCTTAAGAACGGCTCCCACGTAGCTAGCACTAAAGTACTCTGTACTTGGCGCATCCGCGGGTATCTGTTGCTTGCAGACGGAAGAAGAAAAGACAAGACTAGTACAGAGCTAGCCACCACTGTTGGTGTAATGGATCCTATACGAGCGGACCTTGGAAGCGAAGGAGGAGATGAGTCGACCCCTCCATCTGGTGTAATAATTACACTCAGCTCCTTTGAGGCTATCTACCCCTCAAATGTCTCGAGGGAGATAGCTTGGCGTCCGGCGTAAGACTTTCTCGGCCTGCCGCCACAATCTGTAGCTCGACAAGAGTGTTGGTTGACTGTCGATACTACTAGCGGCCATCTTCCGTGAAGGCGTCTAATCAAACGCAGCGAAACCATTAGCTCCTGTAAATGATGATGTGCGGGGGACAGGATCGATCAAGGTGCACCACTCCCAGTTCTGCACAGCCTCATTCCGGCTCTTCAACTCGCGAGATTGACGAAACCACCACTTCTTGGGTCCGAATCATATCAGTTGCCTGAGGTCCTTTGAAGAGAATCATGGCCTGAAGCGGACAACATCATCCGACTGGTGTTCATTCACGAAGAGCAGACTTCACGACTGGTCATTTCGCTCAACTTGCTCCGGTTAGTCAAAGAGAAATGCGCGATCGAATTACTCCATCAACCACACATCATTCGATTCGTGGTTGCTCGGAAGCGTTGGCGGACCCAGAGTTGAGTCCAAGGAACAGAGCGCTGAGTCGCTGACAGGACAAAAGCTCATCGCATGGGGGAGATGCGGAGCTTCCCGGGAGGGAAAGACCCGCGCCACCTGGTGTATTTCATCGTCCTTGGTATGATTCAAGTTGAAGAACGGCTGGAAAGTGGTGGAAGTATGGACCACTTATTATTAATGCGCAAGCGAGCGCCACTTTGCAGCAAGCAGCTTCTCGAGGTGAGTTGGCTTGGTTGCGAGAATGTTGGGAGCTCGATACCATTTCCTGGTCGGATGAGCTCTCATTATCACACCACCTGTGCTGGCAGCTGATGTTTTGCCGGTCGTTGGTTCCGATCATTGTCAGTTGATAGATGGGCGATGATAGAGTGATAGCGTCGATCATCTTTGGGGAGAAGCGTTGTTGCAGGCTCTGTCGTCGCTGAAAGGCCCTCCTCTGTGTCTGTAACATACAGTCATCTTTGGTACAATACCGCTTCCTGCTGGTAATTATCAAAGCCACAGCGCTTAAACGGGGAGGCGGTAGATATTTAATCAAGACAGCTTTGGTCCAAGTTCTTTCAGGGATCCGCGGCCTCCTCTCAGAACCACTGGCAGCGTGCTTGCTGCAGGCGGTAATGCGTGGGTAACGGATGATGAAAAGGTTCCCACAGCAGTCACCATAAAAATAACCCTCGAAAGAAACTTGAACCTGCCTCTTCCACACCAGTGCATAAAAGGAGTGTAGTGTGTCGTAGTTACATAGAACTTACCTCCCAGTACCTCCGACCGCTATACTTTTTCGCTCATACAAGATCGCCTCCTGCTCCTCAGCACTCCTCATCTCGCATCACTCCACCTTCAACCATCTGCGACCATTCTTGCTTCCGTCTTTTCATCTCCAACACCTTGCTCTGTCACATCAACCGACCAGAACCTTCCCTCTGACTCGAGTCCGTCAACAAGGACTCGAAGCTGGAAAGAGACTATAGAAGCCAAGACTTTCTGCGGTTCTCCACTCGAGCACCGTCTCATCTGGGCATTCCGTGCCTCACTGTGCGGTGCTCTTTTTTCTTTTCTTTTTTTTTTTTTTTCCTTTTTCCTTGGCTGTGCAGGTCGCAGAGTCACTTCCGTCACAGACTAGCCTCTTCCTGCAGCCTCAGGCCTTCGATCGGCCACCACCGGCGCGGCCACTACTTTTTCTCAACTATAATTTCCCTTTCGCCCTCTCTTACCTTCCTGTTCTTTCAACACACTCAGTCCTTCATCTCGGTCCTACCTGGCCTTTCAGCCTTTGCGCTGTAGGCTCTCTAGTCTTTTCTTCTCCAAATTTCTCCAAATAATCTCACGGGGGCAGTTTTACACCCTCTTGTCACCGTGTTTTATTCTTCCCATTTACCGCACATGACTCCACAATCTCCCTCCCCTGTACCCTCTACAGTTTCCTCTACCGCAACGTCACATATATCCAGCGACCATGGCGAACGACAGGTAACACAGGCTTTGGCAGGCATGCATCTGTCTGCCCTGAATGGGGATGCAGCGCTTCCCCATTCAGCGAAACCAGCTAAGCCAACCATGGCGAATCGCATCTCCCGCATGTTCTCTAGTACGGGAAAATCCACTCCCAGGGAAGCAGAGTCGTCGCGCGAATTATCAGATAGCAGTTCGGATGGCGGAAAGTCCTCCGCCAATGGCGCCGGAAAACAATCTCGGCCGACATCTAAACCCCCGTCCAGGGCTCCCTCACGACAAACATCAACCAAAGACGTAAACGAAAAGAGACCAAAGCCTGCCGACAAGAACCAGAAGGAAGGATCAATCTTACAGAAGCGCTTCGAGACGTTCCCGGATAACTCCCACTGCCATCACCTCAAGAGCACGAGACGACAAGAGAAACTGACTGACCTCCTTCGAGACATGCTAGGTGGACGGAAAAAAGATGACCATGCCGAGGATCAGCAGCTTTCATTAATGTCGACGTGGATCGACCAGTTCAAGAGTGAACGAGACAAGTTGGCCGCAGACAAGAAAGGAGGCCCTAACGCCACTCAATCGCTGGTCGACAAGTACGGCAAATGCCAGGAGATTGTTGGGCGAGGTGCCTTCGGTATTGTCAGAATATCTCACAAGGTGGATCCGAAGGACTCGAAAGTCGAGCAGCTGTACGCCGTCAAGGAGTTTCGCCGTCGTCCCCAAGAAACCAGCAAAAAGTACCAAAAGCGACTGACCTCTGAATTTTGCATTTCTTCGTCTCTTCGCCACCCAAACATTATCCACACGCTCGACCTCCTCCAAGACGCCAAGGGCGACTACTGCGAGGTTATGGAGTACTGTGCAGGCGGCGATCTCTACACCCTCGTACTGGCTGCAGGGAAGCTAGAGGTTGCCGAGGCTGATTGCTTGTTCAAGCAATTAATGCGGGGTGTGGAGTACATGCACGAAATGGGCGTCGCTCACCGTGACCTCAAACCAGAGAATTTATTATTGACGACTCACGGCGCTCTCAAGATTACGGATTTCGGAAACGGCGAGTGCTTCCGCATGGCGTGGGAAAAGGAAGCGCACATGACGGCCGGTCTCTGTGGCTCCGCGCCTTATATCGCCCCAGAAGAGTACACCGACAAAGAATTTGACCCGAGAGCAGTGGATATATGGGCTTGTGGTGTCATCTACATGGCCATGAGAACCGGTCGACATCTGTGGAAGTTGGCTCGCAAGGATGAGGACGACTTTTACAAACGATACCTGGAGGGACGCAAGCATGAAGACGGTTACGCACCTATTGAGACTCTACATCGGGTAAGGTTCACCCTATGATTAGGCTGAAAACTCCCAAGCTAATTATGCTTTTTCAAGGCACGTTGCCGCAACGTCGTCTACTCCATCCTAGACCCAAATCCATCTCGGCGTATCAACTCATCTCAGATCTTGAAATCTGAGTGGGTTCGCGAGATCAAACTATGTCAAGCTGGTGAGGAAGGCTTCTAAAAGCCTTCTTTGCCTCTTTTCACGACAGGCGTCATTGGAGGAAAAATCATTGTCTGGTACTAAGTTTGTCCAGTCTCTGTAACCTCCATGGTTGAACTATACCTGTCTACCTCCTCTGTTTACGATAGAAACGGGTGGTTATGTGTTTCTCCCTTTTCTTTCCCGGTGGGGGGTCCCAGTCCTTCCTTACACGGCTCATAGAAGGAGGACTTCTGCTATTTCATACAGTTATGCCAGTGCATGCCTTGCTTAGCTTATGGGTTTCGTCACGTTCTCATGTTAATGTAACGAAGATCATGACCTTGCTAGAGTTCTGGTTCCAGTCCAAACATATATGTTCCATATTACGGCCTATTCTTTTATCGAGTTGTTATTCAGCATTCAATTTCTTACCTTTTTCTCTTTCTCATTACCTGCGGGTTGGCGTTTTACCTAGGTTCTGGGCGAATGAATGGACTGACATGTCGTTCAACGCACACTGTAACAACATCAACGATTCTCGAAATAATGAATGACCAAGTCCAAAACAAAAAGATCTCAATGAACACTGCTTTGCTCCAAGGTAGGGGATTCAGAATTCTATTCTCGTCGTACCTGTTAATCCCCCATGTTCCATGGTTCCCTTGTTCGAGTCCAAAGAGACCCGGATTCATCAATCACATGATTCCATGGTGGATGACTTGATTTCCCCTCCACGGGTCCACCTTGCGCATTCCAACCAAGCATTACATCATACTCCATCCAATCGACATCACATTTCCTGTCCTTCAAGCTCTTTTCCAAGTGTAGCTGTTGCTGCCTGCTCGAACGGATTTGTTTTAGTCCCCGACATCTCAATCTGAGTACGGAGTAATGCAAGAGTGGCTTAGCTGGTTATGACTTCATATCTACTTGTTGGTCCGTACGCATACGGATTTACGGAGTACTCCGTATTCACCGAATGCGAGTAGAGTTGAGGATGTAGTATGCAGCTGGCGCTGAGCTGAGCTGAGCTAAGCTGTGTACGACGGCGTACACATGCAAGTCTAATTAATGTCATATTACTTTTGTCGCGGCCCATTTTCCATCATCGTCATCATCATCATCATCTAGCGGGCAGATGTATGTGCGGAGTTTGAACCGCTTCGTGGGTTTCCCGAGGCCGGAATGCCTATTCATGTGGATTTTGAGATATCACCTAGGATATGGACGTATTCCGATGCGAGACATTGATATGAGGGGTTGGATGGATGGATGAGTTTGCGCCACAAAGGGGCCCATGCAGTACTCCGTGCAGATCAATGCATGGTTTATGCAGAGAGCGCTTGGGACGAGAATATCTGATCTTGGTGGTGCTCAGGTGGCTGTGTCGCTGTGTCTTGATTTAATGCATAGTTTCTTTCAATTATTCCTTTCATAAGTCGGCTTCTTAGATTGTATGTATACGTTTGGAGTCTCGACTTCTCGGGCTACAGTATAACTGCATTACGTCTAAGACCACGTACCCCCTGCACCGGTCTATCTCGAGTCTAGACTCGTAGATGAGAATAAGAATAACCTACCTTGAAGTAAGGTTCGGTTTGCCAGGTCTCAGGTGAGAATGCGGAGTTCAGGGCCAGGCACAGGGGTTGAGAGGATGATATTCAGGGTCCAGACCAGCCCTTCGGTCTGATCGATTTTGGCAGTCAGATTTTTGGGACTGTTGCGGGTGTAACAGCAAAAAGGGTAACATAACTGAGACCTGCGCAATAAGAGCGAATACTACCTCGGTGCATAGATTATGCTGATGTGCATGGATATAAAGCAACATGCAAGGACGATGGCCTAGACATTATTCCTCCCGCAAGGCTCAGGTATCCTGCCGGCCTCCATGCCGCTGTCGAGGCAGCTAAATCTGGTCACAGTAATCATACCGATTGTATTTCTTTGATGTTAATCAGAAGCAGCTCGTTAGTATAATTTCTGGGCGATATTGAACTGCGGTAAGGTTGGTGAAGTTCAGCCTCTTCGTATTAGGCTCGATTGCATGAAGGATCAATAAGCGCCGAAGCACGAGACTGCGGATTGAGCAGACGTATTTGAAAGGCGCTGCCGCTGGCTTTCTGGGTGACTAAGTGGCCACTGCTCTGGAATGTAACAGGTCGTGCAACATGGGTGATTTTGGTTTGTATCACCTTCGTATACTGTTGTCCTCCCCGGAACTCCGATATAACGCCTGGACCATTTTCGAAGATATCGGAAGCAGCACTCGAGAACAACCACGAGTATCGAGGTTGCCTAGAATCAGTTGCATTCCTGGCAGGCTGACAGTTCAGCGTATAGGTTAGTAGCCCGCCGAGGTATCCAGCCCCGTCCATCAGCAAAAGGATGTCCACGTTCTCCCTTCCGGGAAAAAGAGTCAATAGTTTGATCAATTGTTGTCTCAGCGCCGTATTGGAGCCGCTTCTAAAGAATAGGCAACACAATTTTTGTTTATGGGTTTGCGCTGCCATAACTGCGATCTCGGCAAAACAGCAGCAAGGCAGTACAATGCATGGGGCTGTAGGACTGTGTGTGGCCAGCCCACTGATGAGAGCGGCTCGAGTGATTTGAACATTGAATTCCCAACCAACCTGTCCATTGGCAAACTGTGCGTTGATTCCCAGTCAGCATTTATGTTTGTATCCACAAGGGTTGGCAAGGCGTAGCGCGGCCGAGGCCCAGAGCGGCGCTAGAGCACGATTGTTTGGAAGCATTTCTCTCCGTGATTCATACTTGCACTCCGGAAAAGGTAGAAACCTCAGAGGGCAGATCCTGTCGTCTCCACGAGTCCCGTGAAACACTGCCAGGCTCTTCAGGCCAAACCGTAGCTAGCCGGGTCCAGTAATTATTTGCAGTCCGTGGTCACCTGTTCCTGCTGAGCAACCAGATCTGGCCTGTGATAGGGCGGAGATTGTTGTCGATTTCCTGCAGTTTCGGGTGTGCTCTGTGAACGACGGATGACCTAGTGAAGCCACGAAAAAGAAATTATGGCCGTTCGTCAGGTATTCATGTTTCATAGGGCTGTAACTTACTGTGTCAGGTCCTGTAATTTCAAGGCCTTAGATACGGGGTTTGTATGGCTTCGCTCTCGTCGATCCCTCGGCGGTAATAATGAGGATGGCGCAGCAATGGCCACACGAGGGGCAGGCTTCCTCTGACGTCAGATCGACCCCGACGGCAACCGAGAGCTTGCGACTGTTGTCAATTCAATCGATTGTCCCTCCGATTGGAATTGCAGGGAATTCCTCTGGAAGCGCTCCAATTGTGGGCGGTATTCGAGTCCGACCAGACCAGACCATAGGGAAGCACTGCTTCAGGACAAGGGAACAGCAATCGATCAAGTGCGCGGAGTTGGGATCGCAATGTCGTTTCTCACTTTGATCGCTCTGCAGATTCCACGGAAGGCGTGATGCTGCTTGCTTAATGGAAACGCGGTAATAGGGGCCATCTGACAAGGACCACCAAGGAGCGTAGATGCCTTTTCTCGCCAGCCATATGCTTATGAATGGGGATATAGCATGCCGCGAAAGACAGAATTCGAAGCCAGGAGCGCCTACACTTAACACAGAACTTTGCCAAACAAACACCCAAATTGATGCTCACAGACGCTTGAGGCCTAGAGAAACTTGTCCAGGCCACCATGCTGAGTGCGAATATGAGGGGGATGAATGAGCAGGCGCCGAGCTCATCTTCGCTCGTCGGTATCTTATCCTCTGGATGCTAGCACAGCCGTAGCTTGTTGTAGGCTTGTTACCGGACGCTTTGCCTTCCCGACCACTTTTCGAGAGTAAAGGCATGCCGTCGACATTGCAGCAGACATCCATCATTCAGAGCTGGAGTGTTCCACCGAGTCGGGAGGCGCTCGGCATCGGTGCGATTCACCAAAGAGTAAGTGTCCCACTTTGACTGGCAATGAGGCTTTCTGTGTGTTATAGGGTCCCAGATTGTATCCAGCGCAAGCCAGAGACCGACACTTCCTAATTCCGTGCCGAAAAGAAGAATCAGAGCTAATGGTTTGGGAGAAGAAGACTCTTTTGTACCAACATGTCGTCCGAGCTAATATCTCCAATGCAACTACCCTCGCCGGCGGGTGATCTGTTCCTGGGTGGTAGGTTGAGGTTGCTTTGGTCACCACGGTGGCTGCTGCCATTGTTTTGCGAATGATTGCTAGTGACTGATTGCAATACCTTCCAATGAAGGAATTGGTCGAGTACGTGCTTTCGCCGGTACCATCGCCGCGTTTTGGACAAGGGTGAGATGCAGTCTTCGCAGGAGAGCTTCTTAGTAGTGTTCGCCCTGCTACTGCCGGCTTACATTAGCTTATCAGACTGTCAGCCAGCGTCTAGTGTTTGGTTTCCCGCAGTTTGGTGTTGCCTATATCATCAGGCTGTACATGAACCTAGTCTCCATACCTGCGACAGTAGGCATGGGGATTGGCGTATTGCCGGTGCTTGTGCCTTCATCAATTGTAATGTTGGAACTATTCAGTTAGTCGGTCAGTAGTAGAAGTATACTGAAGGGCTGAAAAGATGCCAAGACGACGCGGCCTTGGAATAGAGCGTCTGTATTTCCGTATGATACATTCATCCACAGCCACTCCACACAGCCACAGCGAAGACAAACAAGGACCCATCATCATCTTGTCCCGCATTAGGCTTCAATTCCTTGATTTCCCCTCGACTCTCCAACTCCACGTTCGCGCCTGATATTTGATCCAACAGGCCACGGCAGTATATCGCATATTCTGTATATCATCCGGTGGTCTACGCCTTGCCATTACTTCAATTAGCGCCTTCATTGCAGCCAGCATTCCGACCGATCGACCATCATGTCTTGGGCGGGTATGGATTGAACATGTGGCATTGACGGGTTTCTTCGGTTTACTAATATGAATGTTTTTTGCAGGCTTCAAGAAAAATGTCAACCGTGCTACGACGCAGGTGATGATGAAGACGGGTATGGCTCACCTTGAGATCGTCTTGCCCCGCAACCGCAACCGCGATGAACCCGGAGATCGGCCGATATAGTTGGTTCAAGATTCAAGATCTGGACGGACACTGATACGGACTGTACTTGCTATAGGACATGTGGAGAGAACGAACGATCGCGACTATGAGATTGAGGAGCGGTATGACAAGTCGGGAAGCGCACCTTAAATGGCTGTTGACTAATTGATGTCCTCGCAGGCGGTACCGGACTATGGAGGCGGCTGCAAACCGCCTACAGAAGGAAGCAAAGGGATACTTGGACTCACTGCGAGGTGGATATTCTCTATGGACAGTTTATCGAACACGGCGCTGACTCGGTGGTAACAGCAATGACGGCTTCGCAGATGCGAATTGCAGAGACGATTGACGCTTTCTACGGCGACGCCGGCGCTAAAGATGGTGTGAGCAGGAGCTACAAACAGGCAGTTGAGGATCTGGACGCCGAGACGATCAAAGCGCTAGACGGACCTTACAGGTATGCGGCTCAGCTTTCGACTTCTAAATCAAGGTATGCTTGCGCCTGAAACTGACACGACTAGATCTACTGTTCTCGAGCCGATATCCCGTTTTTGTGCATACTTCCCTGACGTCAACGAGTGCATCAAGAAGAGAAACAACAAGCTACTCGACTACGACGCCATGAGAGCCAAGGTGAAGAAACTGGTCGAGAAGCCGGACAAGGACGCCACCAAGTTGCCGCGTACGGAGCGCGAGTTGGAGATGGCCAAGCAGGCATATGAACAGTTGAACGAGCAACTGTTTACCGAACTTCCTCAACTCATCGATCTGCGCGTTCCGTACCTCGACCCCAGTTTTGAAGCTCTGGTCAAAATCCAATTACGTTTCTGCGCAGAAGCGTACTCCCGAATGGCGCAAGTACAGCAATACCTCGACGCGGAGACAAGAGACCAGTACGCTCGCGGCGATCTGGACAACAGGGTGGAAGAGGTTCTGCAGGAGATTCGGGACTTGAGCATAGCGGGTACTGTTTAACGACCTCTCTTAGCGCGTTTGACTGGTTCTGAAGCAACTGTAATACTTTTTTTGTGCTGATATATCACTCTCGCCTTTTTATCCTTACAGACTTGTGGTTACCAACACTCGAGAATAAGAATGATGCATGCTGGGGTATCTCTCTCTAAGGTCTATACTGTACAACGTTTGGAAGGAGACTACTGGAGAGTAGCCTCCGCCCACCCAATGGCTATTCTTGGGCCCTAGGCGTCGGATTCTCCCTCTCCGTCCCCCAAGCCTGCTCAACCAAAAGTTGCACCACAGGTCCCGCAGCCTTCTTTATAGCCTCCAACTCCCGTACATCCATATTCTTCAGGACATAATCCGAGACATCCTGTGGGCTCCGACTCACCGGTCTCCCAATCCCAATCCCGATCCGCAAGATCGAAAGAGCCGGATTGCCTACCGACCCAGTAAAACTGGAAGGCTGCGGATACACTTTTTTATTCCCCAGTCTCTTGAAGATGTCCTTTAAACCATTGTGCCCCTTTGCACTCGCCTTCTCTGTGCCGCCGTGCTTCACGACGATTTTCCCCAGTGGCGCTTCAAGTTCGTCGTGCAGGATGACGAGCGTCGAGCGTTTAGCACCGCCGTGGTCAAGACGCTTGAAGGTCTCGAGTTCGCGGAGGAGTTTGACGCCAGACTCGTTCATAAAAGAGGGGCTGTACCATGTTTTATAGACGGGCGGGAGCTCGCTTCGTAGGAGGGGTGCGATCGCGTCGTGGAGGATATGGCCGGCGCTGTGACGGGTTGAACGCAGTCGGCCCGGGTTGCCTATTGAGGCGATGAAGAGTGAGCGGAAGGGTTCGCGGGCGGCCATTTCCGTCGCCTCTTCTTTTCTTCTTTCGAGATGCGGATGTGGAGGTGGAAAAGCTGTGTAACTGACGTCAAAATTCTCTTCTACCCGCGACGAGTTCGCACCAGACGCGTGGATAAGACCCAGTTGTTACCAAGCGAAAACTTGCGGCGGGAGATCGTCCATTTCACTGTGGGGAAGGCTCAGACTGACAAACTGTCATCCTGCAGGTTCCAGCCATCTTTCCGCAGGATACGGAGTATTTCTTCCCGAATTCCAATTCCAGCCTGATGTGGAAGGACCTGCTGGTTTTTATTATTCATGACTGGCTTGGTGTTTCTCAGAGAATCCAACGAAACTTGGTTCAGGAACCGATTGTTCCCTCTGAAATACCACTACTATCGACTGTTTGAGAGTTGACTGGATCGAGTCAGGTCATCACATTTTGAATCACCCCTGGAACGCACACCATCAAGCATCAACTCTGATTGGAAACAATGCCTGCCTCTCTCCCGTCCCATTGGGCCCGTCAAATCAATCCCCATCACTTAAATGGCCAGAGAGGCCCGCGGCGCCTGCCGCTCCCTACCCTTCTTGGACGCCAGCCCATCCCCATCGCAAGCGCGGGGGCGAGACGATACCAGCCCAGAGGACATGATATGAAAGGATTGTGACTATCCGTTAGCCGTGCTTGGCTGGAACTTGTGCTGGATCTTGGTTTGCTCGCACCCTCGTCCATCCTATCGTGGACTGACTCGGATGTATGCGGTTGGAATCCGACAATTCGACAACCCAGCGGATTTCACCGGCGCCATGCAGGATGACGGTGTCTTCTGGCTTCCAGTTGCTGCACGTTCTGTTTCGGGTACATAAGCTGCAGGGTGGATGCAGCACACGGCCCAGGTGACGGCCTGAGGGCGAGCGCTGACTGGGTGCCCGAGTTGCTGGGGCCCTACGCTTTGGGTAAATATATACTCGGATGTAGTATACAGGAACTCCCGAGTGGGCATGCATTGACGACTTGCTTTGCTGTCAGACTCCAGAGGTTTTATATTATGGGAGGGAGATCGACACTACTAAAAGTCTAGGCTCGTGCATCTCGTAAGACACTCCGTCTGCGGTGAATCAGGGCCTGCGCGCAAGTGGATTAATATCCGACCTTTTCATCCCAGGACAGTTGGCAAAAGCAACGTGAAGCGCACAGAGGAAGGAAAGCTCGTGCTTATCCCAAGAGTCTGGGAAGTGGGGAAAGCTGAAACTCGTTTGTCCGCAGGAGTTCGAGAGCCTCGCGTACATGAAAAAGTACGAGACTCCGTCCGAGTCTCCTCTTCACGCCGCCGGGAGATTTGTTAGTCAAGACAACTAGTCTCTTAGTTGGACAATGACATCGTCCGTCTCATTATTGAGTTCGAGTTAAGACTTAGTCCGATGTCGACGCGAAACTAATCAATTCAAAGCTGTCATTAAAAATCGAGCTCCTCCCTGCTTTGCTTCGCATTCCGTTCCCAATTGACGGGCCGCACTTGATTCACCTTTTCTCCTTGGCTTTTTCCTTTTCCTTTTGGCATTTCTGTTTATACTTCAGTTCTTTTTCTTTTCTTTTTCGTCCCTTCAGCATGTCTGGTAGTATTCCTTCGGATCTACCGCATGTCTGAGTCCCACATCAACCTCGCTTCCTCCGTCGCTCCCGCCAGTTCCTTTCATTCCAGAGTGTGGATAGAACCATTACCTGCTATAAACAACTACATGGTGCCGAGCCAGAGTTCGTCATGTCATGGTTGAGAACGGGGCGGCTCCACACCCAAACAAGAGTATGCCTGAATCCGTCGAGACAGACAGCGCCCATACGACTGGAAAGCGCCGGTGGACAGACGAGGATGAGCCAGAAGCAGACACAGACACTGATTCCGATGAGATCTCAATGTTTGCCTTTTCCCCCTCCCCTTCCCTGCAACGGGGTCATACAAAAAAAGCTAACTGCGGCAGAAAATCGACAAAGTCCTTCGAAGCCCAAAACATAGAATACGTGCTTGAGAATGGCCGACGGTACTGCAATGACACATACTTCATGCCAAATGACGAGGCTGAGCAGACCCGCCTAAACATTACACATCAAATATGTCTCATCTTGTTCGACGGCAAGCTAACAAACGTTCCGCTTGCCAAAAAGAACCCCCGCGTCCTCGACATCGGCACCGGCCCGGGCGACTGGGCCATAGAAATGAGCGCAGAATACCCCGGCGCCACAATCATAGCCACGGACATTGGCGTCTTCGACAGCGGCCTCGGCAGCACCATCGAGCTACCCAACGTGAGCTTCCAGCTCGATGACGCCCGCGACGAATGGACCTATCATGAACCGTTCGACTTGATCCACATCCGCGGCCTAGCAGGCGCCTTTTCAGACTGGTGTTCATTATACAACCAGGCGTTTCGCCATCTCGCCCCGGGGGGATACATTGAGATCAGCGACGCAGACCCGGCCGCCGACTCTGTCTCCTTCCCGGGCTCAGGCGACTCCTACCTTAACATCTTTGCCTCCGCCATGCGCTCCGCTGCCGAATCCACAGGCCATCCGCGCGACCTATCTCATCTTCTCCCTTCTGTTCTTAGCGCCGCAGGCTTCACCGACATATGCGTCAAAGAACGCACCATACCAATCGGGCTATGGCCCACAAATGCGCAGGAAAAGACCCTCGGGAAGATGGGTCTCATCGCACTCCTCGAGGGCGTGGAAGCATACAGTCTACGGCAGCTAACAGCGACGGGCAACTGGACTGCCGAGGGGGTCCGGGACCTCTGCGAGAAGGTAAAGATGGAAATCCTAACAGCCGGGAGAATGACGTGCGTCATGAAGACGGTGATAGCGCGCAAACCGTTTGTGCGCTCGATGGCGCGGAAGAGTGACATGCTGCAGAAACTGATGCAGTTGGATGACGAGATGAAGAAGCAAGAAGTTTGAGTTGTTAGTACATTTCGCATTTCAAAGGGGGCGATCTGGTTGATTTGGTTACATTGTTTCTGTGTTGTTGGTGGTGTTGGTGTCGTATACTTTATACCCATTTGCTGTTTGAATTATAGATAAAAAGCGTGAGTGCTTTTTTGGTTTGGGCTCGAGGAATGGATGGAAGGCTCGAGCTGGGAAGTTGTACATCCTGAGGTCGAAAGATCGTAGCTGCCAGCAGATATCCCATTGCGTTGGGCACACATAGATCCAACGGAATAACGCGGCTCAATTGGTGAGGACGTATGTATCAACCATGGTAATATAGATAGCTAACAGTGATATTTCTATTCGAAACCGACGAAAGGAAAAGAACCGTCCAAACCGCTACTTTTGAAACCAAACTCCATGCAATGCAAAAATAACCAACAGCACGGCATTCACAACTGGAACTTCGTCCTGACCTTCTCCATCCCGCCCTTCCACTCCCACTCTTGCCCACTCGCCCGCTGGATCCCCTTATCGACTCTCCGCAACTTCAGCGTAAAGCGCGGGCCAAGCTCCTGCAGTCCTGTTCGAATGCCCTCTGCACCCTTGATCTCTTTCCCGTCTGCACCAACAACGGCCTTTTCGGTCTCACGCTTCTCTCGGAAGACATAGCGGTGGCGCCGGACGAAGATGTAGTCACGCTGATTGTGTAGGGTGACAACCTGCCGGCCCTCAATGTCAGGTTGCGGCGGGAAGAGTGTGCGGAAGAGATGTGCGGTCAACAGACCGAGCGGGGTACGAAAATTGTTTAGAATAAGCTCCGGCCAGTGTTCCGTGGGGTTTCCGTGACCTGGGATCCGCTTCCCTTCTACCCAGTTGCTGATGGAGAAATGGAACATGGGGCCCTTGGGCAGATGAACGATGTCCAGCCCCGCGGGCTTCTTGGAATCTTCCTGAAGAATCACCAAGGTGGTGTATTCGCGGTTTGAAGCAAATTGTGCGATCTCGCGAATGGAGAACTTGTGAGAGTGCGCGTGCGCGGAGCGGCGGATGTAGACGCTGTTTGGAAAGAGGTTTGTGAGGACTTCCCCTTCGTGATGGAGGGTTGAGTTGAGGGAGGTTGTGATGAGTATCTTCGGGGGTCTCTGGGATTCGGGTGAGAAGAGGGACGGGAATTTCGCGGCGAGCGCTTCGGGGGCGAGATTGAGATTTGTGCTTTTTGTAGACTGTGATGGGCTTGTCGCGCGCTCTGTGGCTGAGGGAACTGATGAGGGTTTGCGGCCGCGACTGTTTTCCTTGTGGTCCTGCTCCTCGTCCTCGTTTTCTTCGTCGCTGCTGGCGAGCATGCTGTCGCGATCATCATCTTCGTCTCCTTCCTCGTCACTGCTGTTGTCCCCTTCTTTGGAACCGCCGGAGTCCGAGCCCAATGGGCGATTAAGTTCCTCTTCCTCCTCCTGCTTCTGGCGCTTGATGCGCTCAACATCGAAACTTATACCAAGAGGATCCTCGACATCACTGCCCGCATCGTCCCAAACACGCTTTCGCTCCAATGTCAACGGAATGTTCCGCTTGAGTCGCTCTTCCTTTAACTTCGGATTTTTTGCTTCTTCCTTCTTCCTTCCGAACCGCATTGCCCGGCGAGCAGAGTCCTTGTTGCGCTTGCGTTTGATATGGAGGAGCTGGCGTCTCTGCTTGTTGCGCGTCTTGAACTCCATATCAGCGCTTGGAGGACCCCCACCGGCCCGTGACTTTTTGGATACCATCTTGTGCTAGGCAATCTGTGAGCGGTGCTGATATGGTTGGATGTTTGGCTTTCGACTTTTTTTTGCGGAGATATTTCTCGGTGGAGAAAAGTTTGACCGGCGGTAAAATCGCGTATTATTGGCTGTACAATATACGGCATATGGGATCAACTGACTCGGCCTGCTGCCCCTGGAAGACTTCAATTGATCGCGAAGTTTCGTGTAGAGCGTGCCTTTCGTCCGTCTCTGCTGGGTTAACCACACCTGTCGCTCTCTTATATTGCCATATTGCTCGTTTGAGCCTTCAAGAGTCTAATTCATTTCTTTGATCGGGCGGGTGCCTGACTTCAAGAACGGACTCACGTGTGGCGGATGACTCAATCACCGATTCGATTTCTTTTTCCCCGCCGAATTATTTCCTGCTGGAATCCCGCCGCCGCCGCCAGCAGAAGACACTTATCCTCCTCCGCTCCCACCTTCCGCGCCAAATTCCAGTTGTCCCCAGAGCAGAAAAAAATCATGGCTACCCTCGATACCAAGACCGGTCAGGTCGTTGACCGGGCCGTCCTGGACTCCATGCTCCGCCGTCGCCTGTTCTACACCCCCTCCTTCGAGATCTACGGAGGTGTCTCTGGTCTGTACGACTACGGCCCGCCCGGTTGCGCCGTTCTTAACAACATTGTCGAGACATGGCGGAAACACTTTGTGCTCGAGGAAGACATGCTCGAGGTGGATTGCACCATGTTGACCCCGCACGAAGTCCTCAAGACCAGTGGCCACGTTGATAAGTTCGCCGATTGGATGTGCAAGGACCCCAAGACCGGCGAGATCTTCCGTGCAGATCACTTGGTCGAGGAGGTTCTCGAGGCCCGTCTCAAGGGTGACAAGGAGGCCCGCGGACAGAAAGTTGAGGTCGACGCGGAGAAGGAGGCCAAGAAGAAGAAGAAGGCTAAGAGCGAGGCTATTAAGCTCGATGACGCGGTGGTCAAGGAGTACGAGCAGGTTCTGGCACAGATTGACAACTTTGGTGGACCTGAATTGGAACAAATTATCGCCAAGTACGACATCCGAAATCCGGTCACCGGCGGCAACCTTCTCCCTCCCGTCTCTTTCAACCTCATGTTCCAGACCGCGATTGGACCTAGCAGCAACATGCCCGGCTACCTCCGTCCTGAGACCGCTCAGGGACAGTTCCTGAATTTCCAGAAACTGCTTGAATTCAACCAACAAAGCATGCCCTTTGCCTCGGCCTCAATCGGCAAGTCCTTCCGAAATGAAATCTCGCCCCGTGCCGGTCTTTTGCGTGTGCGTGAGTTCCTCATGGCGGAGATTGAACACTTTGTGGATCCCGAGGGTGGAAAGAAGCACGCGAGATTCGAGGAGGTCAAGGATGTAGAGTTAACACTGCTCAACCGTGATGTTCAGCTGTCTGGGAGCACCAAGACCGAGAAGATGACTGTCGGCAAGGCTGTTGAGACTGGGCTCGTTGACAACGAGACACTTGGATATTTCCTTGCCCGTATCCAGTTGTTCCTCCTCAAGCTTGGTGTTAACCCAGGCAAGCTTCGTTTCCGCCAGCACATGGCCAACGAGATGGCCCACTACGCCTGTGATTGTTGGGATGCCGAACTGCACACCAGCTACGGCTGGATTGAGTGTGTCGGATGTGCTGACCGTAGCGCTTATGACTTGAACGTACACAAGAACAAGACTGGTGCCCCGCTGGTTGTCCGTGAAACCCGTGCAGAGCCCTTGAAGATTGAAGAATGGCAGGTTGACCTGGACAAGAAGAAGTTCGGCCCGCGATTCAAGAAGGATGGTAAGACCGTCGAGGCTGCCATCAATGATCTGACCCAAGAGGTCCGCGAGAAGCTGGCTCTTGACCTGGAACAGACCGGCAAGATTGAGGTGGAAGTTGCTGATGTTGCCGGCGGCAAGGCTGAGCTCGACAAGGACATCATCAAGATTGAGAAGCGCACACGCGTTGAGAACGTTCGCGAATACACGCCTAATGTGATTGAACCGTCTTTTGGTATTGGTCGTATCCTTTACAGTCTGATGGAACACGTTTACTGGTACCGCGAAGGTGACGAGGCTCGTGGTGTAAGTTTTTCTTCTTTCACGTCATTTGCTTATAGACTAACTTGGTACCTAGGTTCTATCATTCCCACCTGTGATTGCACCTACCAAGGTCCTGCTCGTACCTCTTTCAACCAACCCCGCATTCCGCCCCCAGCTGCAGCGACTGACGACTAAGCTCCGACGACTGGGTGTCTCCAGCCGTGTCGACGACTCCTCGGCCAGTATCGGTAAGCGTTACGCACGTAACGACGAACTTGGTACGCCGTTTGGTGTCACTGTCGATTTCCAGTCTGTCAAGGACAACACAATCACACTGCGTGACCGCGACAGCACAAAGCAGGTTCGCGCCAGCGAGGATGAGATTCTGCAGGCCCTCAAGTCCCTGGTAGAGGGCGAGGAGACCTGGGAGGACATCCTGAAACGGCTGCCCGAGTTTACTGGACAAGAGGTGGACTAAGCATCTAATTTCAGGGGAAATAAATTATATCAATTTTTTCTTTACTTTCAGCAATAAGTGTATAGAACAATCCAGCGATCATAGAAAGTTGCAATACATCCGGTGGTTGTAGAATGGATGCCAAGATCTCCAGGCCGAAACGTCATCCCCAACCGGTTCCAGCAACATTCGCCAGTTGGCTTCATCTTTACCCCTTCGCACCTTTTCGAGCATAGAACAACGAAATCTCACATTCGCGGCTTCTAGGCGGTCCACACGATGGCGCCAAACATTCCCTCGGCCAAAATAACCCTCTCCTGTCCCCTATTCGCAGCCGATTTCGACCCACGCAACCATGCTTTTCTCCTCGTTGCCGGCGGCGGCGGAGAAGGCCGCAGCGGAGTGGGAAATAAGATTGTACGCACCTTAGTCGTTCCTTGATCCTGCACACGAGATCTTAACAAAACTATGTAGACCCTCCTAAACGCCTACAAACGCCGCGAGCTCAGCGAAGTCGTCGACATCGAATTGTCGCGGGATGAGGATTCAGTGACCTCACTGGCTGCCGCGCACGCGAATGACTCCTCGATCGTTGCTTTCGCGGGTATAAACAGTTCCCTCGCTCAGCAGAAACAAAATAAGAACCGCCACCTACGATCATTCCAGATCGACTACCCTCCACGACGCGAGGTCACAGAATCCAAACCCCCGAGACAGAATAAACCAGGGCAAACTATCAACTTGTCTCAAGAGTCTCTGTTCCGCACTGTCGCCGGACCGAAGGGGCCAGGTACATATCAGAGGATCACTCGTCTGTCGCCGTGGAGGAGCGAAGACGCCCCCCGCGTAGGTGCAATTACGACGGGGTTGGCTCCGGCGGGCGAGGTTGTGTTCTTCAACGCCAGCACGACCAAGCCCGGAGAGGAAGACGTTATTGGGCGGATACGATTGGACAGTGGCGAAGAGGCGGAGGACATCGATATAACAGAGCAAGATGCAGATTCTGGGTTATTCGAGGTGGTCTATACTAATGGCACGGATGTCTTCATAACTCGTATCTCCTCCGAGACGAGATCCAATACCGCTCCTGATGTGAAATCTGTATACTCCATACCGGCAAACACTTCGGGCAAGGGACCGAAGCCGAAATTCCGCGCGCTGAGGTTCGTCACACCCTCGACTATTCTGTTGCTCCAAAACGAACCAGACCGCAAGGGCAGTCAACTCGTTCTGCTCGACCTGCGCTCTTCCCCAGCTAAGGTGCTCCGCCGATATAAGCTCCGCACGTCAATCAAGATTGGTCTAGGCCTAGACGTATGCAATCTTGCCCCAGGGCCCGCCTCGGGCATTCAACAATCGATCATAGCTGTCTCCGGCAGTGACCAATCTTTGGAAATCCTCACCCTCAACTGGGATTCGCGGGGCCCTAACTCCTCATCCAGAGGGTTCTCCTCTTTGCGGAGATACCTTACTCTCCGCGACGTCCATCCGTTCTCCATGACAAGGATATGCTTCTCCAATTTCATCCCGCCAGCTCACCCCGTCACTCCAGAGACACCGCCACAATATGTCAAACTGGCCTCTGTAAGCATGGGCAACACTGTCGTCGTACACACTTTCGCTCTCTCACCCACGCCACCCCGAAGTCGAAACCCGCACTACGTCCTCGTCAGACCCGGCGAGAACGAGACCTTAACAGCAATCGGTAGCACGCTCACAGCCTTTCTCTCCATCGTCTTCGTCATCTTCCTTGTCCAGGCCTTTACAGAGATCAGGGGTGTTATGCCGCCCTATCTCGGTATTTCGGAGTACTTACCATCTGATATTCGTGACGCCATCGCGGTACCATATAATATGCCACCTCTTCCTTCTTCATCCCTTGCGCCGTCACTCGAGACTCTAAAAACATCAAACACACCTACCGAGTCCAGATCCGAATCCGAACTTCACCCGCTCCTCCGCGACCTCATTCCAGACTCAGGATCCTCCCTCCTAATAAGTTGCAACCCGTCAAACAACGCCCTCCGTGTCGAGCCGCACACCCCTGATTCAGGTTCAAGACTCGCCGAGGAAGCCTTAGAGTCGGAGTCGGATTCGGATTCGCACTCCCATGTCCCTCGGGTATGGACCGATCTCCCAGCCGAGGATCGTCTGACTTGGAAGACACGGCTCATCAACGCGGGATTCTGGAGTGTGCAGGAGGATGAGGACGAGTCGATTCTTGAGAATATTTTCTTTGAGGAGTTGTGTCCGCAACCCCAGTCTAGTTCTGACTGATCCTGAGTTGGAGCCTGAGCCCGAGGCTGCCTCTGCGTCTGTGTCTGGCGCCCGGAACGATGAGCTTTGATTTCATAAAGTTTCCCAAGGTCGAACTTTGCATGGTCGTTCTAGACCAATTACTTCTCTCATGAATGCTCTGCAGGGAAGGACGGGGAGTCTATGGGCAAACTCTATCTGTTTGGTTTAGTGGATTTGGCTTTGTTGTATAATGGTATATATGTATGTATGTCTACGAGTGTATGCTTAGTTTCTTTCCCAGCCTATTTATCTACAAGTCTAAGAGACACACAAAATATATTTTTAACAGACACCCCTATGGTATATATATAGTTGTACGAGACACCTCAGAATGATACTATAATGGACGAAGTTAACATTTTAGTCTTGCGTTTCTAGAAAGGCCCAACACCAGCACATTAACAGTTGTCTATTTATAAGAGGTTGCTTCTTCTTTCTCTTTCTTCCGTGCGTTCTTCACCTGCATACCTGCTAGTTGTTGGCTATAAACAAATTATTTCCGTCATGGACTCATCACTAGAAAGAAACACGGGGAGACCATCCTATTTTCAGTCATATGCATGCGTTTCTTTCTTTTCTTGTCTTTTTAATCTGTAAGAAGAACGTCCAGCCGCCTTGAGAGAGGATCATCATCCGTCAGCGTGGAGAAGAGGTCTCGTTGAATCATATGCAATCGAAGCCGGGGCGACACGAGACGCATGAAGCAGAAGCAGAACCAAGATCGTTTCAGGTTAATGAAAGTTCAGGACCGAGAGATGAGAAGGGAGAATAGACGCCAAAAGAAAACGCCGAATTTATCAATGCCAAGCGGCTGTGGAGTGAGAGATGTAATGCTGTGGATATCACTCGAAGCAGAAAATGTTCGCATGTCGTAAGGTTCCAGCGAAGCGTAGATGTCGTCCACATGTGTGGGGCAAAAGTGTAAATCGTGAGAAGATAAGAGATTGACGTGTCCAAAGAGTCTTCGGAAGAAACAGTTACTGAGTGTTCTTCTTCCATCGGAGCAATTCTGCTAGGCTAGCAAGGCTGCAGCCCATTTTGAGGAAGTCGTGATCAAGCAGCTCTTGAGCTGTAGCACGGCTGTCCACAGCGACGCACAAACAAACGCTGAGGAAAGACTTGAGTTCCTTGCTCAGCTTCTCAGGTGCCTTGAGTCGAGGAGTGCCATTAGTGGCAATCAAGTAAAGAGCCTTGAGAGGCTCTTCGTTCAGATACGGAGGCTCGGACTCGATCATTTCGATGGCCATTATACCCAAGGACCAACAATCAACCTTGGGGCCATACTCCTTCTGTTTGACCACCTCAGGAGCCATCCAATATGGAGTTCCAACCATCGTAGCACGCTTGTTCTTCGTCTCCGTGAGCTTAGCACAGAATCCGAAATCAGCTATGAGAAATTGTCAGTAACACCCTAGACTGAATGTGGGCGATCGACCTACTGATTTTGACATGGCCAGCCCTGTCAAGAAGCACATTATCACTCTTGATATCACGGTGAATAATACTCTGGCTATGTAGGTGCGCCAGTCCCTTGCAGGTCTAGTGATTTTGTTAGCGGTGTCTCCAAGCAGAAAAAGAGCGTTGACTGACCTCTGCACAGATTGTGGCGATTTGATCTTCTTGAATCACCCGGTTGTTGTCAATAACATCAGTAAGTGCACCGCCCTCCATGAATTCCATAACCACCCAAAGCTCGTTGCTCTGCTCCTGAAGGAATGAATCCAGGAAGTTGACTATGTTGGCATGTTGGCTGTCTTTCATCACGATAATTTCGTTGACAATCAACTCCTTTCGCGGCTGGCTCCGCAAGTCCATTTGTTTGATAGCAACCTGGCAGCGTGGGCCATACTGCCGGTACAGCTCGCGTGCCACACCAGAAGTTGCGTTCTCCTTCACGCGCGCGACATACACGGATCCAGAAGCACCCTGACCAATCTTGCGCTGTTTGCTGTAAGACTCGTTCGGGTTATCTTTCGACACAACAGACCGCAGCCTGTCCATGACTTCATTCTCACTCATTGCGGACATGCGAACCTCCCTCTTGTGAGGATCAGCCTTCTTCGTCAGCGCAGCTTCAGCCTGCCGGACGCCATCGGGGGTAGTCTTCTTGGGTGCCTGTTTGTTTGCGATATTCAAGGGCTTCACTGGCTGCACGGGAGCGGGAAGTTTGCTAGGGGGAGGGCCATGTGCCTGCGGAGGTTTACCATTGTTCTGCAAACGAGATGCCGACTGGGATCGTGGGTCTTGAGGTGCATATCTCGCGTTCGCCGGGTCATCGTGACGGGGTGCTAGTGCACGCGGTGTGCCATTAGATGAATAATCCCCAGGTCTTTGTCCCGCTGTTGGGGGAGATGGTGCTGGTCGCTGTGCAGTCAACTGGCGTAGAGGCTCTTGCTGTTGACGGCCAGCACCAGGAGCTTGCGGCGCCGGACGACTGGGTTTATAACGATCGTTCATTGACGGTTCAGTGGGACCATATCCACCAAGCTCTTGTTTGGCCAGTGGTACCCGGGTTTTAGGGAGAGAATTGTTGTAGGCCTCCTGCTCGAGTCGGCTTTGCTCTTCCTCGCGCTGTCGGCGGCGGTCTTCTTCTATACGTCGTCGCTCCTGCTCAGCCATCTCCTTCATCTTCTCCAATTGTTGCTGCTGCTCTAGAGCCCTATCAGGACCAGACTTGCTTTGGGAGTGGCCGGATGAGGCGGAGCGGCTCGAGTAGGATTGACCGCTATCCAACCGTTGGGCGGGGCCGGGTGGTGGTGGCCTTGGTGGAGCGATTGAACCGCCCACAGTACTATTACCATAGGACTTTGGCTGGCCAGGAGCCGCGCCCATGCCTCCGTAATACTGCGGGTTTTCTTCACGGGTCTTAAGATCAGAATAGAATTCCAGGACTTCGATGACGGCTTGCGGGTTCTTCTTGTAATCCTCCTTTGTAATGGCCGAGGCAGTCAAGAGCTTTTCCCACTCCGGGGGGAGACCAACAAAAGCCCCTGTTCGCGGGTCAAACCCGACGTGCACACGGTGGCTAAAGTTCGTAGGGTTGCTCACGCCACCCATTCCGGGGCAGCGCTCATAAATCTTGTCGATCCAGTCGTAAATCTCTTCATCGGTCTTGACCTCACACGTCAAGCTTTTCGTCGGTACATCCCTCGTGATCAAAGCTGATTTGGAAGTAGCATCTTTGGGGTTGGCTAACCGGACAATTTCAAATGCCATTCGCGTATCCTCCGAGCGGGAGACACCCGTGACTGCGGCGAGAGGGATAGAAAGGACCACTTTTCCCGTCTCATTCTTCATAAAGTCCAAACGAGATTCGCGAAGAATCAGGTAACGCTGGTTCCATGTGGCTAGGAACTTATCCTCTTTGCAACGAACATATCCCTCTTTGACGACGACATACCCGCCCTGTCCTGACTGATCCGTCTTTGTCCGCACAAGGGAGGGGCTGCTTGTATTCGGGAAGAGTGACAGATTCGGAGTTGGGGTGCTCGGAGAATCCAGGTTCATTTGGCTAAATGATGTGGCTGCAGAGTTGGCCGAGAGGTTAAGCTTCGGACGGTCAGTTGGCGGGCGAGGGGCGGGCCCAGGGTTCATGAATTGGTCTGCAGAATACATGCTACGAGCCAAGTTAGCGATGCAATTTGACACTATGGTAGGTAAGAAGAATAGAGTGCGAGTCAAGGATGGAAATATCTCTCGTTGACCTACTTTCCATAAGAGGAAGCCATCTTGGCGTGGGAATCGGACGGCAGAAGCCCCGATGAGGGGGGAGATCACCTCAGAGTTGGGACGAAAGAGAAGAGTGAAACGAGTGAAAGATGTTGAGGACTGTCCAGGTCACTGCCAGATGTGCATCAGCAACGACCCTGGTAACAACGATTATGCGACAAGGCTAAAGTTGCGGACCAAAGGTCGTGGCGCATTTGCACCTGAACCGGCCCAAGGCGAAAGGGGATTGGGGTCAACCAGTTAAACGATAGAACCACGGAGTGGCAGACGGGGGGTTTGGTTCGACAATAGGGGCTGGGAGTCGACCGCTCCTTACCTACGCTTTACCGGAATATCCAAGCAAAAAAACTTCGCCCTGCAGAGGTGCTTTGAGCGTGAATGCACCGTCTCGAGATATCTTATGTCCAAACACGGTGAGGGAGGACAAGCCGAGCCCGATGAGGAGCAAGAGATGGGAGAGAACAAAGAGCGGGGGGCGGGGACCGACCGCCAGCAGAGTGGAAGCTTATTACGATGAAGTCGGCAAGGATTCAAACGGAGGACGCGAAGAAAAGGGCAAGAAGCGCTGATATCTGGGCGACTTCGAAAACCCCTTGGTCGGGGGTAAAGTGAGGGAGCTGAGGAGTTGCAAATGGAAGTTTCACCACGGCCGGTTGAGTCTTGGAGGCTCCAGAATCCCTGAAGGGGGCGGCTCTTGCGACAAGACACCGTCTCTTTTCTTTTCCCTCGATTACGGAGTAACATTAATTGATTCGCACTGTCCGCTGTTCTTCATTGGCTGTATACTTCTTCTTTCCTCTTGACTCCCTAATTATTCCCGAAGTATTTCCTTGTCCTATCGCCGCTCTTGTCGACGGTGGATGACCCTCGCAGTTTCAGATACAATAAATACTGATCCCCAGGGGATGAGCTGCCTGTGTAACAAACTAGCATGATTTGGGCAGAATTAGCATTCTGGAAGAAGCATCTACTACTGTCCAATGTTTCAATTTACTCGGAAACATGTTCATGCCCGACGTGGCTCAATTCCTTCGTCCTATTATCGTCCTCCCTGGTTTGCTCTCCAATAGAGAGCAGCGAACGGGCCCTGATGAGGCCGGGACGATGTACATTGCAACTCAAATCACCTGCTGGAACAGGATCTGACTGCGATCCAGGCATTTCTATGATGCTTTCGTTTCCCTAGGTAGTTCTCCTCGGTACTCCGTGTGTACGTAGTTTGACTAAAGAGACGAGACTCCCCACAGGCCCATCTGGCGGAGTCTGTATCAAAGAGGCTGTAAAGTGATCTAGGTTGCTCGCTCGCAACCAAGTGATTTTGGATTCATTTTGGCCGCAAGGTAATCGAATACTTATTTAATCAAAGCAGGTCAGTGAGAAAGATCAAATGATCTTAATATGAATGGATCCGTGATGTTCCTGGATCGAAGCTCGGATGCAAATCATGCGATTGTTGTGGACTGCTCCACCGAAGATCGGTTCATGAAGTTCAACAAAGCCACGCGGTCAAGGTTGCCTCTTGGGTCAAAATTTTGAGTTAAACCTATATACAACGTCATACCAGCAGCATTCAAAGTTGACGATAATAATTGCTTCGTCAAACAATAATGCGTGGGCAGTCAAACTGAGATGGTCGAGTGGATGTATATTACAGAGTATAGGAAATCATACAAACCAGGGCTACTCCCCGAAAGGATAATTGAACTTGAGCAGTCCATTCAACCCTCCTACCCATCCATCATGGGCTTCACTGTCATGAGCTTCACCGCCCATGATCCTCCGCATCACGCACGGCACCCCACCCTGCCACTCATTCTTGCCATGTCGCATCTCCTCATTCCACACGCGAGCTTCCATTCCCGCTGTCATCCCTTGGGTCATGTTGACTCCATCGATGCTGACTTCTAGCTCGCGTCCCCGGTTTTTCTCGCTTAGACGAAGTGTAATCGACGTGCTAGCTGGTAGAACCAAAGGCCGGAAACTGAGGCTTCGAGCGCAAATTGGGGTTAGAAGCACCGCCGGTACCAGCGGGTGCACGATGCTGCCGCCACTGCTAAGACTGTAGGCCGTACTTCCAGTGGGCGTGGAAATGATGATACCATCTGCGACGGCTTCCGTGAGAAATCGTCCTCCCACATATACGTCCACTATAGCCAGATGCGGCTCCTTTCCACGATGGAGGAGTAGTTCGTTCATGACATACAGCCCTTCGCTTCCTACCCCTTGGTTTGGTTCGGAACACTTGTCTACATCGACGGGATTCCCGTCAGGAGCGAATAACCCAACCTTGAGGCGGTTGCGCATCAAGATACGAGCTCCACGGTTCACACCCATGGACTTGCCACGAACCGATGACCACCCCGTGGTGCTCTCCAACTGCTCCACAGCACTCGAAAACTGAGGGTCCCCAAGGACAGACGCGCGATCTCCCACTCCCGCGCCAGACATGTACACTTCGCGAAATGCACGCTTATATTCTGCGAATTTCCATTCGCCCAAGAATCCCAGCGTACCCATGCTGAACGACAGCATCGGTGGAACATTGACACACGTGGCAAATAATGACGAGGCATGCAAAATCGTCCCGTCCCCGCCGAGTGTAACACTAAGGTCAACCTTTTTATGCAGTGCGGATGATAGTCTCTCCAAAGGTGCCGAGTAAACAGGAAGTAGCAACGACGAGTGTATTTCCTCCGCAACCTTGGGCTCCAAAATAACAGCAATATTTGGATAAGTTGAGGTCGTGTGACTGCGATTTGGGACGGAGTCAGCGCAAATATGTCCCCCTCATCATGGGGCGTACCTTATAAACTCGATCAGACACTCAGTCACTTTTGGCGCACAATCCTTCTTCACAACAAATACATTCCGCGGGGGTGTCGGCCATCGAAGGGAAAGAAGGTCATTCTCATTAGACTCTTGACAAATCAGCCCATAGATCGCGGGTATACTATGGGGGGATACATACCCTGGTAACTAGGAATCAGGCGCCTGGGAAGAGATTCAATGTCTCTAATTTCATAGTGCCTTGGGGAGACGGAGAAATTGCGGCGCCATGGTAATCGGATTAAGGGCTCAATCCTCAGTGAAATCGCTCGACTCATCACCGGCTTCATCATGCAAACAAGCAAGGCCCTGGAGTACGGTTGTTAAACTTGCTATTGAGTAACAAAGAACAACATCAAACAGAAGAGGATTTATTCGTCGTCATCTGTTCGCTAGCCTATGACAGTTTCTAGCTGAGCTAGTTGAGATATATTCTGGTCTGACAGGGTCTTTATATCGAAAAGTCGACCATTTTTTTCTGTGCGACGTAGGCCAGATAACCAGAGAGACGGAGCGGAGGATGAAACGGAACCTCAAGCTTGCAGTGAAAATACTGTCTGATGTTGGTGTCCTGACTCCTGACTCTTGCAATGATGAAAAGTCCCCAGAATGATTACGGTCTGACCGCCTTCGAGGCTTAGCAGCTTCCAAGAATCCAACGTCATGGCGTCTTTCCCCAGCTAACCGAAGTTGGCTTGTCCACAAGATCGGCTGCATCAGCCGTGATTCATCCATACTCGTTCAGGCTCCCAAGTCCTTTGTACCAGACTCATTGCATTTCCCATGTGATCTCTGGGAGGAGACCCTTTCTTTCCATCCTTTTTCCCTCACTTTCCAGATGAAATGGAATAGCCAACTTATTCTTTCTTTATCCTTAGCTCGTCCTGCTCTTTGTTTGCGGCATCGTTAGACCACCACCTGCTTCCTGTAAACACTGCTCTTTATACCTCACACGGTACATTGAAACCCATCTTCTCCCCTGCATCATGGTCGCGTCATAGTTGTGAGGCATAGCAAGCTAATGTTGCTTCCAGAGATTGTTCAGGTTTAATTCAGAATATAGAAGCGTCTCCGCTCCCCGCCGAATCCACGAATTTCCCCGCCATCATGAACGGGGGGGAGCTTCGACAGCGGAAGCCCGCGGCCGACGTCAAAACGGAACTCCAGGCTCCTAACGGCGACGAGCCGCGTCTCAAACATGGAATTCCCATGCAGGTGTTGCGTTCCCTGCTTCTTGCAACCTGGTTCAATTGCTGTTGCATCATCACCTTGATGACCCAGATAGTTGGCTCTCCTCTATACTTCATCAGCAAAAAGAAATACTACGCCTGGATGGCGTCAACGAAACGGTCTTTCGCCGTCGTCATAACAGCTCTTACTCAGTGGGGTTGCCCTACCTACGTTCGGGTTAGTGGTGACAACAGTGTACGCGGCCAGATTCACATTGCGAAGGATGGGCGGTTAAGAACGACATTTCCGGAGCGACTTGTCATGATCGCAAACCACCAGGTCTACACTGACTGGATTTATCTGTGGTGGATTGCTTATTCCAATTCGATGCATGGCCACATCTTCATCATCCTCAAAGAGTCACTCAAATATATCCCAATCCTTGGCCAGGGGATGATGTTCTATGGCTTCATTTTCATGGCGCGCAAATGGCTATCTGACAAGCCACGACTGCAGCATCGCTTGCAGAAGTTGAAGACGCAGACAATAGGCTCCGACTCGGGCGCTCCCCAGTACGATCCAATGTGGCTTTTGATCTTCCCAGAGGGGACCAACCTGTCCGTAAACACCAAGCGCCGAAGCGATGCGTATGGAGAGAAGCAGTCTCTGTCGCCTTTGAGACATGAGATTCTTCCTCGCTCAACTGGGCTGTTTTTCTGCTTACAACAGCTGAGAGGGACTGTCGACTGGGTGTATGATTGCACTGTTGGTTATGAGGGTCCTCCGTAAGTGGCATTTTGCTCTTCCTATTCAATTACGAGCGCCTGGCTGACCGACATTATCTCCATTGACCAGAAGGGGTAGCTACGCTGACAAATATTTTACCCTCCGGTCAACGTATCTTCAGGGGCGTCCACCAACCTCTGTCAACATGTACTGGAGACGATTTGCCGTTGCTGATATCCCTCTTGACGACCAGAAAGGCTTTGATGTCTGGCTTAATGCCCGCTGGACGGAGAAGGACGAGCTACTTGAGCAGTACTTTGAAACTGGCCGGTTCCCATCCGATCTAGCTGGTAGTATCGAGGTTGGCGATGGAGATGCGGCTCAGCTGAATGCGGCTGAAAGTGGGTATGCGGAGGCGTCTGTCCGGTTGGCGCACTGGACAGAAATTGGTAGGATTTTCAGGGTGCTATTTGGTCTCGCTTTTCTCTGTCGGGTTCCTAGACTCATGGGATTGCTTGGGTTGAGCAATGCTTAAGACCAACCTTGAAGACCCTGAGGGCTCCTCCCAAGGTGAACCTAGCTTGAGCATGGCTGTGTGCTACAGTACCCTCGTATCTTTATGATTGATGACCTAGGTAATTTTCAGCGACTCTAGAGAGTTGGAACAATGACCTCCCCTCTTACAGCGAAAGCAAATGAAATGTGCTCATAAAGTATGCAAGCGTACATACAACTGAGAAGGGGCAGACAATCTATGTAGTGATACAAGTGGCGGTGCAGCACAAGCCACAATGATAGCCATTGTGGCCTCAGGCACCGACGTTTCAATAATGCGTCAACAGAGAGGATTTGCGGGAAGAACTGCAGACCTGAACAAGTCAAGGCGCTGTCGCTTTTCTGCTCGAATGCGCACCACCAATAGACGCGTCGAGGCATTGAATATTCATTACATCTTGATTTTGAAACAAATATGAGCTGAGCTTTGAACTTTACGACAGCTCCTACAGCTTCTTTGTCCGACCGAACTTTCACCACCGCCTCCTCGTTTTCTTGAAGCTCGCGACATCCACATACGCCATCTCACAAACAGCCAGCATGGCGTCCTTACAGAACGGCTATTCAAATGGCATTAATGGAGATTCGCTCCCTGCGACCGCATCATTGCCCAACCTTCGTTTCTCTGACATACCATCTGCTATCGATATTCCTGCATCTACCCTCGACAGCGAGGTCGAAGTCAGCCTTGAGGGACTGCCGGACGACCCAACCGAACTCTGCACACTCTTGGAGAACGAGAAAGCGGCGAAAAACTTCTGGGTCATCATTGCGCTTGCTTACGCGAAGCAGAAACAGATTGACCACGCAATTGACATTCTGAACAAAGGTCTATCATCAGTTGCGCATGGAGCTACAAAGGAGAAGCTGGGCCTGCTTGGGTGGGTATGTTGGTTGTATATGCTGAAAGCTCGGCAGGTGCCCCGAGTAGCGCCCGAAGGGGCTTTGCACACAGAGGCCAAAACCAAGGAGTATTACCTTCAGCAGGCGACATCAACACTCAACGATGCCCTTCGATTGAACCCGTCTTTCCCACCTTTGTTCCTGGCTCGCGGTACCCTATCACTGCTACGAGCTTCTTTATTACCCCCGCGACCGGTTCGTCCAGGGGTTCCTGACAATTCGGACAGGGCCGAAGCCCTGCGAACAGCTCTTAAAAGCTTCGACGACTCGTCAAGAGCGTTCGGTGGCCGAAATGCCATGGCTATGCTTGGGCGTGCGAGGACTCAGTACCTTCTCGGGCGGTATGCGGAGGCGTTGGAAGGATATCAGAAGGTTCTGATGAGGATGCCAGGATTGACGGACCCAGATCCTAGAATTGGTATAGGGTGCTGTCTGTGGCAATTGGGCTTCAAAGATCAGGCCAAGGTAGCCTGGGAGCGGGCACTCGCACTGGTATGTTGCTTCCTCGAGTGCGGGGGGTTTTTTTTTGCTGGAGAAAGCTAATTCGGATGGCCATTTACAGAACCCTGACTCAAAAGTTGCCAATATTCTCCTAGCCGTATACTACCTTTATGACAGCTCTCGCCATGCTACTACAGACCCCTCGTTTGGCTCTTTGTACAAAGTGGCCATGACGCAGTATACACAAACAGCTTTCAAACTGGACAAGGAATATCCGATGACCTGCGCTCTATTCGGCAGTTATTTTCTCTTGAGAAAGTCTTACTCGACAGTCGAGACCCTGTCCCGCAAATCGATCGAGAACACCGACGTCATGCAAATAGCCAGCGATGGATGGTATCTACTCGGTCGAAAATCCCATTACGAAGGCGACATGACCAAAGCCGCAGATTACTATGCCCGGTCCGACCAAGCCCGAGGAGGAGGAGACAGAGGATTTCTGCCGGCCAAGTTCGGTACTGTACAGATGCAGGTATCCAACAAGGATTATGACGGCGCTAAGTTCCAGCTGGAGAAGATTATCCAGCAGACGAAGAACCCGGAATGTATGATGCTTTTGGGAGCTCTTCATGCTGAAGAGGTCTTTGCGGCGCAGCGAAGCGGGAGCAAGGAGGACAAGTCTGCTGAAGCAAAGAAGGCTATCACGCTCCTGGAAGGTGTCCGTGCCCTATGGAAAGACGAAAGCAAAAAGATCACCCCAGATGAGTCTGTCTTGGTGTATCTGTCTCGACTGTATGAGCAGTCCGCCCCTGATAAGAGCATGCAGTGCTTGATACAGCTCGAGGAAATGCAGTTAGCGGAGATACCGGACGAGGAGCGCCCTGAGGACTTGGAGGGCGAAGAGCTGAAGGCGGCTCTCCGGGTGCATCTTCCTCCACAGCTTCTCAACAATATGGGCACTTTCCTATACCAGAGTGAGAAACTCAGTTTGGCACGTACCATGTTCCAGTCCGCTCTAGACGCCTGTGTTCGATCGCAAGAGAAGGAGAGTGAGATTGATACCGATGCTCTCATCACAACGATAAGCTATAATTTGGGCCGGGCCTACGAAGCCTCAGATATGCCTGACGAGGCGAAGAAGGTCTATGAGGGCTTACTTGAACGCCATAGCGACTATACAGAGGCGAACGCACGGTTGACCTACCTCGCTCTGCGCCGAAGCCCAACAGATGAAGGGCCCAAAAAGATGGCAAAACTCTACGAGACCGACTCAACAAACCTCGAGGTCCGAGCCTTGTTTGGGTGGTATCTTAGTAAGTCGAAAAAACGGGCTGCCAACATCGCGGAAGATCATGAGCAGCGACACCATAAGCATACGCTGCAGTACTTTGACAAACATGACCGGTACTCGTTAACAGGCATGGGCAATGTGCACCTTCTTTTTGCGCGAGACATGCGACGTGAGACCGAGCAGGAGAAGGAGAAGCGCCGCAAGATGTACGAGCGGGCGGTTGAGTTCTTTGACAAGGCTCTCCAACTAGACCCACGAAATGCCTACGCGGCGCAAGGTATCGCGATCGCCTTGGTAGACGACAAGAAGGACTTTAGCACCGCCGTACATATTTTCTCCAAGATCCGCGACAGTCTGAAAGATGCCAGCGTCTACCTGAATCTAGGTCATGTATATGCAGAGCTTCGCCAATATACCCGCTCCATCGAGCACTACGAAACAGCATTGTCGAAAGATCGTGCCCGTGATGCCCAGATACTGGCCTGTCTCGGTCGCGTGTGGCTCCTTAAGGGAAAGCAGGAGATGAGTCTCGCAGCAATGAAGACGGCGCTAGACTATGCTCAGCGCGCACATTCCGTTGCACCAACCCAAGCCCACCTCGAATTCAACGTCGCTTTTGTCCAAAACCAGATCGCTTCCCTAACCTACGGCCTCCCCGAAACTCAGCGCACAGTGCAAGATGTCGAGGACGCAGCAGACGGCCTTCGTCAAGCCGTCGAGGCATTTGGTCGCATTGCACAGGTCAAGAACCCGCCGTATCCCGCCGAATCTCTTGAACAGCGTGCCAACATGTCCAAGACGATCATCAAACAGCTCGAGCGAGCTCTTCAGAGTCAGAAGGAGTACGAGGAAAAGAACGCCGCAAAACTGCAGCAAGCGCGCGAGGCACGGGAGGCCGAGATTCGCCGCCGCGAGGAGCAAGTTCGCAAAGCCCAGGAGGCCGAACGCGAGCGCAAACAGCGCATCGCCGAAGAGCGACAACAACTTGTCGAAGAAGCGCAAAGGCTTGCCGCCCAGCGCGCGGAGGAGGAGCGTGCCCGTGAAGAAGCCGAGATGACCACCGAGTCAGAGACGGGCGAGAAAGTCAAGAGGAAGAAGCGGTCTGCTACAACGACGAAGCGGAAGAAGCAGAGACGTACCGAGGAAGACTTTATCAACGATGACGAGGCCGACGCAGGGCGCAGTTCTGAACCAGATGGGAGTGACAGGGAGGAAGGCGCGCCCAAGAAGAAGAGGCGCCTAGAGCGGAGATCAAAAAGCTCCAAGGCACAGAGCAAGTACAAGAGTTCCGAGATGGTGGTCGATTCAGACGACGACGAGGCACCTGCCGTTGCTACACCAGCGGGTGACGATGACGAGGAAGAGGAAGAGGAAGACGTCGTGCAACGACGGAGAGCCAAACCGACAAGACGGATTGCTGATGACGACGAGGAAGAAGAGGAGGCTGCTCCTCCGCCTGTAGACGACGATGACGGGGGATTATTCAGTGAGCGTGAGGAGGATACAGAGATGAAGGACGACGATGAGTAGGGGGTGAGCAGCAGGTTATGGCTCTTTTATCACTATGTAGTTTATATCTCTTTTCTGTGTATCCTTCATTCCACCCATACGATGTGTAATCTTGAATCAGGCGTCGGGATGGATGCTGAAGAGCTATTTTTCAGGTGTTGACTACCTACATGATACGCAACGTGCAATAATATACTATCAGAATACGTGATCAGTATGTTACCGAGCCATCTTGGGTATAGTGTCAATGATCGCGGCCTCATGATCGATTAACCACGGCCAGTCTCACTCTCGCCGTTAAAAGTCACTTGGACTTCAACGTAAGATTCGACTATTCTATTGAGTGGTGCTCAGTAGGTAGGCTTAACCCGATTACGTTACTAATGTGTCACGGGAGTGCTCACTGCTGGGTTTCTGACTTGACTCGCACTGTCCCAGAAACCTACAGTTACGCTGACTCGCTCCAATATATTCTTTAACATTTCGGACGCCGAATTGGCCGATGAACTCCTTGAAACGGGCTCGGAAATGGATTCCAGATGTAGATACGATGCCTTGAAAGCAGAGTAAGAATTGCTGATCTGAGACAGTGGGTGCCAGACGCGGTACGAGTATGTATATATGGCATGACGCGACATTTGGTATTGAGCCTCGACTGGGCTGGCTTCAATTGAGGCTTGTTAAGAATTTGTCTTGGGAGGAGGGTCGTGTCTAAGAATAGGCCCAGATTCCCAACAAACCAGATAAGGACGGAGGAAATCGGGTTCTCTCTCATTCAAGTGCACGGTCTGCATTGATCACAATGATGAACGACCACGTTCAGAGCAGTGGTATGTACATACTGTCATACACCATGGTTTCAGCACAGCTTAACTCTACCTTGATGATTAAGTTATCACTCTCCCCATCTGGCATCCACAGCACGAAATGAAACGCGACACCCGTGACAATTCGGACGATCCGATGGTCTGAACGTGAGTACCACCATTATGGCTTGAGAGACGAACAAGAGCTACGAAATACGAACGGGTGAAGGCGCTGTTAAGGTTCGGGTCTGAGACGCTGGTGTGGTTCAGGGGGTATCTCCGGATCAAAGTACTAGACCAACTTCGAAGTCTGGTTGGAGCCTCCGCCAGAGAATGTTGATGCTAGGTTAGAAGAAGTCCAGGAGACGACGGATGGAGACAGTGTCAGCAGTGGGCAACTGAGTCCAAGCCTGGATTGGATGTTTGTCGGGTTTACTGGATGAGGAAGAGGCCGCAACTGCGACTCGCGAGGAAAGATACCAAGACGCGAGAAGGACGAGACGGCAGAGAAGGACGATCGCTCGAGGACAAGAGTTTGACCCGTGGTGCTGCTTGGGGGCCATGAAAAGGCTTCCGAGAGAAGCGTCTTGAGGAGGATCTCGTCAATGTCCAGGAAATGTCCACATTCCAAACCGACCCTGGTCGACAGGGATTGTAACCTGTAGCCATACGCCTATACCCAGCAACATAAGATGATCTGGAGTAGATTCCTTGTGAAAGCTGGGGTAAAGGACTATCCTGGTTCTATCTCCAGCTATGTACCAGATCACCTCCATGCAGCTCGCTGGGATTGTCGACCAGCCGGGATGGCTGTGGCCTGATGGGACGCGCGGGATTTTGTCGGTTCGAGGAGCATGCCTTCTGAGGTGGTGTCTGGCACTGAACCCGGCGCACAAGCACAAAAAGAATATGAAAGGACGCTGACGCTGCATGCTTGGAAGGCAGACGAGTTTGCCCTGTCCGGATCAGGCCTGACAGACCCATCGAGCTACGATTGTGCTCTGCGAGGCTGCATGGAGGTGAAACTGAGTGTGGATCGACGAGGGAATTTCAATCGCGAGTCAAGACTCAATCTAACCACAGTCTTGTGCCGTGCGACGACCCAAACCAGTTGGCGGGGCCATGGAGAGTAGAGTATATAGAAGACTTCGTCTACTAAAGACCTCGTACACTCATATTATCGAGGAACCCGACAGAATGGTCGCAAAGGTATAGAAAAGAGCAACAGAGCCAAGGTGACATATCTGATTTCCACCAAACCAGAACGTGTGGTGGATGCAGGTACGGGACCCAAATCGTCTGGCGGTGTGATCGACCAGCATGAGATGAAAGCTCGTGTTACTCCGTACTGCGTCATCCTGCACATCTGCTTGGGTTGCGGCGTTGCGTGTGTCTCTTCGCCTCTGTCTCTCGAATTCTATTTCGGGAGAGCTGGATTGGATGTGTCTCGTGCTTGATGGTCCCTCTTGAAGGTGATTGTTCTTCCAGCGAACTGCCGAGCACATGCTGTGTCCCGATCCGAGGCTGGGAGCCGATTCCACGGTAACTCCACTGCAGAGGTATAACAATTCCTCCTCCATGGACTTCGCGACAATAATACTAAAAACTCCAGCCCTCAGAATATAGGGTCGATCATCGCCCAGTCGAGGATGTCGAGTGTCAACAACTTCACGGAGTCTGGTTCCGCATCGACAGTCGACATGCCCATCACAGTAAACAAAGAACGCAAACCACGGTACGGAGTACTAGCTGGAATGATTCTGGAAGGAGGATCCATGGGTTGTGACGCGAAAAATCGGCTAAACTGGCAGGATTCCACTAGAACGAGCGAATTTACGCTGGACGACCACTCATGGCTCGAAATCTGGTGGGGAAGACGTTGAATCTTATAATAATGGGAAGCGAATGGCGATCCAGCAGTGCCTGACTTGACACCTTTTTTTTTTTTTTTTTCTTACACTCCTGCGTTTCCAGGCCGTGGACCGCAGGAGCTGTTCCGTTCCTCGGATGGTTACAAGATGGTTACAAGAGGAGTTCCCAGCCCTGAACTTCCCACGGAGGAGGAGTATCAGTCCTTTTCTTCCGCTGTTTGTATGTTGGTTTCACCTGGTGTTACAGCCAATCCCTTCCATGGGAATTCGGTGCAGCGTTGGTCTGCGAGCCTAGGGCCTTACCAGTGGCAGTGGACACTCGGAGCATCTTAGCTCATAATACCAGTAATAATAATAACAACATCGCATCGCGGGAGGCCTATCTTGTCGTGGAAGCCCCTGACGACGCGATCCAAGACTCCAAAAGACAGAGGCCCAGACGAACCACTGACAGAGCCAGAACCCACTGTCGATACCTACCCAACGCAGTGCCGCGAGTGGGATGCAAAATGAGTCTGGACGATCGAGGAACCCGTTCATCGCAATCTCGACTCTCAAGCGTGCCGGCGGCCTGGCGTTTGGTGAGCACTAGTGTCTAATTCTAAGCGTCGATGCAACGGCCAGCCACTACTCCCCAGCCCGCCCAAGCCAGGAGGCACCATCTCCTAGTTTATTCTCACTTGTTGGAGGCTAAGGCTGGGACGGGAAATTCACGTCACAATCATCCCAAGAAGCCTTCCAGGTTGATTCTCATGTCACATCCCTGCCGTCTCTTTCCTTTTCCCCCTCCCAAACTAGACATTTCGGAGATAGATAGGTAGGATCCGATCGATCAGCGCTGGACTCACGGGGCACTCCGCCCCTCCCACGGAACGTCCTGAGAATAGCTCAAGATTAATAGGCCGGAGACCTGGGACTCAGACTGTGAGGTCCCTGCGCCCTGTAGTCGCACTGCGAGACTGTCTTATGTACGTGTTAATGCAGGAGGTTCCCGTCGAGTATTCCTGGGCAGGTCCGACGAGTTACCGCAACCCTTTTCCCAGGGCACTCGTCGGGAAGAGATGCTGTGGCGTTGACCAGGGTGCGAATGTGATTCTCATGAGGATCAGGTATCAGATACGCAGTACCGAGTATACGGAGGTGGAGGTACCTCGAGCGGAGGAGTAAGAGTTACGACAGCACCAGGAAAGGGACAAATAATGGAGCCTACTCTGTAGTGCTTGCATCCGCATCCCCATACGCACATCATGCATTATTCGGAGCAGCTAAAAGGGATAATTCGAAGAATTATTTTGTTTTTATTTCCCATCGAATATTACAACGAGGTATTCCCTCATCCGGTGCTCTTCAACGCGGAATCTCCCACTTTTCTTTCGTCTGTCGCGGACTCTCTCCTTTCTTTCCACACGGACTCCAATTGCTCATTTCACTCTCTTTTCTCCTCAGTCCCAGGCAGTCTCGCAGTGACTGCTCGCTCCTTTTCTCTGCGCATCACTAGATTCAGATCTCTATAGCTGGCCATCTCTCCAATCCACTCCCGTCGCTCACTCCCGCTAGTGCAATCTCTCCACCAATTTCCCAATTGTTTCTGATCCAGACTTCTGGTCTCTCACTCTACGGCCTCTGTGACAATCGCCGTTCCATTCCTTCAGCTGCACTCCAATTGATACCTCGCGCTCTTTGACCCTGTCTCTTTTATTGCTCTATAAACTTAGCCTACTCTCGCTCGAGTCTCGGCTCGGCTCTCGACAATACATTTGTCCACAACTCCATTCTGCCTAGCCCACTACCATGGTACAAGCCAGTGCCCGGTCAATATATTCGAAGGCGTAACCCATCGCTCGTCCACCCCGGATTCTGGTCCTTGACAGTCAAATCCTCTCGACTCCAGAGAGCCTTTAGGTTGACCTGGCCCAATCAGACCCTGGGTTGTGTGATACGGACGCTGTTCCACCATGCCATTGAGCCCTCATTTCTCTGTTTCAACTTCTCGTCCAATGGCGCAGGATCTCGATCGTCCGTCCACCGGAGCTTCTGGCAGTGACACTCCTGAGTATTCGGCTCATATGCGCTCAAGGTCGACCGCTCACGCCCAGAGCCCTAAACGACTCTCTGTTTTCAGTGGCCGTTCTCGGAGCAACACAACCACTTCTACCTCACCCTCTGTCTCTTCATCGCGTCGCTCGCCCGCCTCCTCCATGACCTCCACTGAGACCGCACCCATGCCGCCTGCGCATGAGGACCGAACTACCTCTGCAGCTGGTGTGCGCCACGACCGGCATGAGAGTGTAACCAAGTCGCTGCTCCTACGTGGAAGCCGCATTTTGCGCCGCCAAGGGAGCAAGATCAACATGGTTGCAACCTTGGACGAAGAAGAGGAAATGGAGCGCGACAAGTCCCGCTTCGAAGTATCCGAGTTTTTCGGCCGTCATCACAAAGCACGATCTAATGATGCACGTAAGTGTCGCTCCCCCAGGGCCCCGGAAGTAGAAGCAAACATGCCGCGTCCTGGGACACCCTTGAGTAACCTTTCCATTTTCGGCTTGGTATAGATGAGCAGATGAAGCGTATGATTTCGGACCCGTTCGACTTCCACCATTTGACTCATACGAGCCCGTCCCAATTCAATGCCTTGGACAAGACCCGCCAGACTGACTTGGTCACGGAGTTCTCCGCCATCCGGGCCTCCCAAAAGCCTGTTGCCAACCTGAAGGGTATCCGTGCAGAAGACATCCACATGCGAAGCCTCTCGGCGGAGGACCTCTCCCATTGCCTCGCCGAATCCGATGATGTGGACCCTTTGCCTGCTAGTCCACCACGGTCTCCTGGCGCAAGGTCTATCAGTCCCCGGCAGCTAGATTACCGACCGCTCAGAGAATCACGAGTATTTGAGAACTTTTCACGACCAGTCTCCAGATATCCTCGAGTGGACTCACCTACCTCACCACCAAGGGCTTCGTCACCGAGATTAGCATCTTCGCCGGAGATCCCAGAACCTTCACCTCGAGTAATAGATGAGATTCTAGGTCTGAACTCTCACCAGGCATACCCGGAGCATGTTTACTCCACGGATGAAGACTCGACACAGAGCTCTTCCTTCGCAAACCTCAACTTGGACGACATGCTCTCGTCCAGCTTGGGCCACGCCATTAGTACCGGTCCCGAAATCGAGACTATCGACAATAGGACAGTATCCGCGCTTAATAGTCCAACCTCCGAACTGGAGGATGTACCCGAGGAAGACGAAGCGACACATTGGCACGATAGCCCCGAATCTCAGCCACTTCAGTCCCCTAGAGCCCTGGGTAGTCAGGCGCCCCCCGAGCCTGTTGTGGCTCGGTCCAAGTGCCCATCCAACGCTCCAAGATCACATCTGTCTATCAACGTGGCAAAGGAACTCTCAAAAAAATTCTCCGAGGCATTGGGTTCACCAACTCTTCCCCAGTACCGTTCAGACGGAGAGTCAATGCCGAATGATGATCGAGGCATGCAGACCACGCTCCGGCGGCAATCCTCTGTCCACCGAAAAGCACTTCACACAACCATCTATGAGTCTTGGGAGGACGACATTGACTACTGCTACGAACACGCAGCGGAGTCAACCTCCAACTTCGACTGGGCGCGCAACTCTCTTGATGAGCCACGAAAGGAAGGAAGTGAAGTAACTGACAGTTACTCCGGCCTTGGTGTCGGATCCACTCAGCCCGCGGTGAGCCCGTTACCTAATCCAAGGTACCTGGGCACCTTGGCTGTGTCGAGCCCAGATCTGCAGCCCAGTCCTTCTCGCTCCACGCCAAGCTCCTGTCTAGCCATCACCCTCTCAACTGCAGGCTACGAAAGTGAGCTCGTTGCCCCGAAGGATGGTGGCTTCTTCCACCCAGTCAGTTCTTCAGCCCTGTCGACTGCCCTAACCAAACACATTTCTCCGGACTCGCTGTACGAGGACTATCTGGCGACTGATGGAGAGTCAGATCGACATTTCTCATTTTGCTCGCAAAGTGGGTTCCACACCATCGATCACCCTCCCGTCTCTCCTCGAAGCAGCTTTTCCCCCATCAGCAAGTGCAACTCACAAGAGAGCTTGATCCTCTCACGCGCCGCTTCAATAGTACGTAAGCATCGGTCGTCCGTCTCCACCACGAGCGTCCCGGAGTTGGTACACAGCCTCGCGAGTAGTCGTGACTTTTCTACCACGGACTTGATGCTTCCTGGAGAGACAGGGTTGGCTCGTCAAGACTCCACGTCTCGCTCTTCTTACTCGTCCCACCACCGGCAGACGAAAAGCCTAGCACGAGAAATTGAAACTCAGATCATGTCGCGCCCGGACGGCAATGCCAGCACTGAATCCACCAAATTGATCTCTATGGGTGCTTCTGTACATGATCGAGCCAAGTCCACCTCCGACATGGAGGCCATCTCACTGATGAACAAGGCGGATCGCCCTGAACTCCCCCCGAAGAGCGGACATCGGAGAAAAGGCCGCACCTCCTACTCTCTCTTTCCATCACCAACACTCCCCACAACAAACGCCTAATCGATCACCATGCACTGGGCTGGGTTTGCAGTATTGATTATGAGCCCCACCTTCGCTTCATCTCTCTCAGGTCTGTAAATTTTGTCTAGTCGGGGTACCTTCAACAACCGGACGACTAGACGTGGACCTTGTCAACGACTTTATGAAAATCTCATCATTCTGTTTGCATATAATCTTTTGCGATGACTCTCTTTTGCATTGTTTATTCATATGGCTGTTTGGGCATATCGGTTCTGGTCTCGATTACATTTATCTTGGCATTTCTCAGCGGCTGTTTCCAAAAGGTTTCAGAAAACAACGTAGGGGGCTTTACTTGATCATTCGTTTTGAGCATGGGAGGACCAGTAAAAAGGACTGTATAGGAATATTATCGGCATCGTTCATTCAAAATTTTCTTTGTCTTTGGTTGCCTCAATGGTTGTTGTTGAGTTGTGAATGTCTCGCTATACACGGAGGGATACAGGATAATTGGTTAATCACACTTGTTGATTGAATCTATATGAGAGAGATGCAGAGTTATACAGTCGCAGGGGCTTTCCAGAATTTTTATGAGATAACTTGTCTTTTATCCTGTCGCAATGTTTGACGATATGTCATTGCTGTACCTCACCGCATCATCAACCGCTCGATGACCAAATTCTGCCGCTTCTTTTCATGAATTATTGCCTCAACTCTTACGACGGAGTCTTCATTGTCATTCGTCTCAACATGCTAATATCTATTGCTGCCCGTCGCCGATTCCCTAAATAGACAGCTCGATACTTATTATCATAGATTCCACCATGTCTTCCTCCCACGCTGTCGTCAAACGAGACAGCGAAACGGCCCTGATGCCGCCTCCCCCTCCGCCCAAACGCATCAAGCGACCTGCCACCGTTCTCGACGAAGACGTGTACACAGACGCCTTATCGCACATCATCGCGCGCGACTACTTCCCAGGCCTCATAGAAACACAAGTGAAACAAGAGTACCTCGATGCGCTAGACTCAAAAGACAAAGAATGGATCGCGAGTTCAAGGAAGAGGCTTACGGATTTGATGATGACTCCGAGGCGGTCGAGGCCACGATTTGATGCGGAGGGCATGACGTCCCGGGGAGGTGCTGCAGCACCCGGCGATACTCCAGCTGGCTGGGGCGGGGATACGCCCATGTCGGTGGCCTCGGTGTCGACAGCGGCTACCGCAACAACGCAGAGGGATCGGGCACCCGACGTCTCGAAGATGGGTCTTTTGGATTTCCAAGCGAAGTATACAAGTGAGGATAATGAATCATTCAATAAGTTACTGGATAAGCAGAACACGAAGCGGCGGGAGAAGTACGCGTGGCTTTGGAGTGGGAACAAGATCCCGACTGCGCCTCAGATTGCTCATCATCAGCGCGAAACAAAACGCATCGAAGCGCAGGGTGGAAATCCTGATCAGCAGAAACAGGTTGTCGTCAAAACGGATTTGGATGCCCGGCCTGCAAAGCCAGATGGATGGAAGTCCCAGGCGGAGAATTCGCTCATGTTTCTGCCTTCATCTATCGAGGACTCTTACGAGACTATACAGCAGGGGGCTGAGGCGATTTCCCGCGCGGGGCCTAAACGAGTCGTCTATCAGAACACTCGACTCGCTGAAGACGTTCCTTCAGAGTCCAGCAACGCCCCACCACCCTCGCCTTCCATCTCAGCAATCCAGGATGCAATCGCCGGCCGACCACGCCGGACTGAAACCGAGGCTAGCTACGCCGGCGGCGAAACCCCCCGAGTCAACGGGTACGCCTTTGTCGACGAAGACGAACCGGAGCCGGAGCCGGAGCCTAGAAACAATATCCACAACAGCTCTCTCGAGGGCGAAGACGACCTCCACATCCTCGGTCCCATCTCCTCAACCCCCAACCCATTCGAAATCAGGCAAAACCGCCGCCGTGAAGATCTCCACCACCGCATGGTCGACCGCGTGGCCCGGAACAAGCGGGCCGAGAAGGCTGCACAGACCTCAAAGTCTCCGCTATCAGCCAGTGCCACGCCGCGCTTCGCAAGTAGTCCACGGCTGGACTTTGGACTGAGGACACCGGGCTCGGAAGGTACGGGTAAGATGCTCTCGCCTGCGGCGCAAAAGTTGCTTTCTAGGGTCGGCGGTACGCCGAGAGCGAATTTGGGTGATAAGGGCTCTTCTTCTTCGCGGTTGAAGAACATGTGGACGCCGACGCCGAGGAGGCAGAGGTGATTTTTTTCTATGGCTTTCTACGACCCCCTAGGTTTCTTGTCTTTTCGTTGTCGAGCATTTTTAGCGGTGGGTGGCTTACTACCCAAGGCCCTACGGTAGCATAAGCTCTGCACTGTATAGAGTCAATAATGAAACATGTCTTAATGATTGATGATATCAGGGTATCGCTACACGTTTCGGCGGATTTGGCAGCCGGGCAATTGGATCTAATATATGATGCGTTCGAGTTGAAATATGTCTGGACACAAAAAGAGCCCTTTGATCAACAGTGGTAACGGGTTATCTGAAACCTATGGCCATATTCAAAAGAACTAGCTCAAGGACAATCACGCAGGTGTAGGAACCGATAATGGAAGGTCTGATAACAACAAGATAAAGCATCATGAGCTCCAACAAAAAAGCATGTATGCAAGGTCGTATGGATGAATGGACGATTGTATAACTGCTGGAGAAGATAGGGCTAGAAAAGCCAAAGCATCCCGGAGGCAACAGCAGAGCCTATCGTGAGAATCCCAAGGGAAGAGGGAATATCAAGCCCCAAGCCTGCGTTGATTTGATACGAATACTGCAGCAATTCGCCCTTCGGGCACTGGAATCCCAAAGCCATGGGGCAACTTCGGACCAGGTCATGGCATTTATTCAGGTGCGGTAGAATTTCATTGTAGGGGCCAGGTTGGATCTGTTTATCGATGAGGTTGGGGTTTCGGGAGCGGTTTCTGATTGGATCATCGCGAAGGGTGAGGTTGCTGATGTGGGTGCCATTGGGGAAGGCTTGACCGGTGTTGCGCATCATAACGTTGGATTGGTTGTTAGTGCTGGAGAAGTCATCGCATTGCGGAATCGTGACGGCGCAAAGCCAATTCTTGTAAGCAGATGCGCAAACGGTGCAGTTGACAGCCATGGAGAAGATGGTCTCATTCGAGGTGTTGCATTGGATTTGTTGGAGAGAGTAATTAAAGTTTGTGTATAGTTCTTCTGCGTATTTGTCGTACTTGGAGCGGATTTCAGATAGATTCATTGACGGATGTGAGGGAACTGCATATGCGACGTCAGAGCAGAAGTCTAAGTCGTATACAACGGCACAGTTATCATCTGAACATAGGTCAGCACTGTAGTTCATAATGATGTGAGATCGAGGAGTAGCCAATTTACTTGTTTTAGTAGAAAATGGTTTCGGCTGCCACAGCTTACCTCCGCCGCCGACACTATTTCCTGAATTGCTGGAATTGCCTGGCATTGCTAGGACGGCTATGTAGCTCGAGCTCCGGTTTAAACCGGTAACGTAGAATTGCTCCTGGAGCCCGTTGTCCACATTGACACGCGTTGTCATACTTGTCTGTAGATTGTCGCCCTCTGCGACTTGAGAGTGTTGCTCAAGGGCACAATACGACCGTGATATGCCGGCTACGGCAGTATTGTTGGCGTTGTTGACAAACATTGTATAGACAGCCGTCCTGTTTCGCCAATCTTTCAACTGATCTTGTGTGAGCATTTGGTGAACAGGACTGACAGTGGTTAAAAGAGCCGTGTCGGAGCCCGAATCCGAAAGGTGGAGTAAAGCGGTCTTCTCGTCGATGCTGTGGAACAAACCATCCGTCGACGCTGCTATCTGGTAGGAGTATGATCCAGAAAAGTTGCCGGCTTCTGGAGCGACAACACCGATGTAAACATTACTCTCAGAAGACACATTCGTACTCATATATCCCTCTTCGGAGCGATGAATAACTTGATCAGTATCGTTCCCATGATGGGGGCCTGGGTCTTGGAGAGACTCAGATGTTGAGACATAGACGGCGAGCTGAGGTAGGGGCAGTGCAGTATCAGCGATAGACTCATTGACGATTGGTTTTGAGCAAATGGTGAGGGAAAGGTAAACGGGAGTGATTGCGCGTTTCGAGGTGTTGTTGTTGAGGTTATTGGAAGTATCGTTGACGTTGTTGTCCCCATTCGAGTCCACAGTAAAGTGCGCATGCTGGATCTCACCCATCAATATCTCCCTTGTCTGAACGTGGTTGTTCCGGAGAACTGTCGCTCCATCAGGAACTCGACGAACAAGGTCCAATCCTCGCGCTTCTCCCATTTTATCGACATCATCGTCTATAAGCAGACCGGAGAATGAGCTGAGAAGATAGGGAAAGTTCACGGGGGTGTCATCTTTGGCGACAAGTTTGCCATGCCTGTTCTCCGGCGCGGGGAGCGCATGGTGTATCTCAGTCGCGATGGTAGGACTGGCAATTGCGATAAGTGCGGCGAAGAGGAGGAATACGAAGCTGGCCATGGCATCATGTCGGTGATGCATACGCGTGGCTCTCCGTCGCATAGATGGTCCCATCCGGACGAAGGCCATTGGTACTAAATGCTAGGAGAACATTAAGCAGGTAGACGGAAGGGATTCCGTCTCACGGCGGAGCAGCCGAAGAGTGAGGGTAGATATGGACGGGGCGAGAGCGAGTCATACGCTGCTGCTGGATGGGGAAGCGACAGTGGAAGTCATTGGTGATGTTTCCCTCTCAGGATGGATTTCTCTTCTGCCTGCATCTCGCCAGTGCACCGCCACAGCTTGGCATCTCCCGATTTTAGATCGCCCATGAGTATGTAATTTACGATCATTTAGGGCTGAGGCATGGTAGGTGATTGTAATAATGATGATTGAATGTAGCTAAACACTTAAGACAAAATATAGACACAGGAAATAGAAGTATAAACCAAGAATCCAACCCAGAGATATCCTGCCAATCTTGCCCTACACAAGCTTATAAAACCGGGCGGCCAGTCCACTGATCACAACAACAGCAGCCAAAACTCCGACAATACCAAAGAACCATCCATAGCCAGGTACATCTTGTCCGGGTACATGTACGTTCATACCAAACAGACCACAGATGAGGTTCATGGGCACGAGTATCGTAGCGATGAGGGTCACTTTGCTCAGAACCTTATTGGCGTGGTTTCCGAGGACCAGGTTCGTGACATTCAACTGAGCAAGATAGTTAGTGTGCGAGCGGCTGAGCATCTTCTCAAAATGTGCCAGATTGGACATCATGGTGACGACGTGATCTTGAATATCTCCCAAGTATAGTCCAATATCACCACGGGGCGTCACCGAGTATTGTTCATTGCACCGTTTTGAGAAACCCCGAATGACATCAGCCTTCCCCCCCAGGAGACGCATCAAGCTCATAACCTTCTTCCGTAGATTTCCAATCCGTGGTAGAAATGACTCGAAATCCTCCATACGCGCGATGAACACAAGATCTTCAATTGCCTCGGTTTCGACCTCAATTTCCCGAATTGCAGGGCCAAAGCTATCCACAATGTCGTCGCTTAAAAAAGAGTTAATATTTTTGATTCCAGCCGTCGCCGGGGACAGCCAAACTTGTAGGTTGCACTTACATCATAGCGTAACAAATCCAATCACTACTAAGCGACACGTAGTCGCGGAGCTTTCCGATTCTCCGCCGGACGTTAGCGGCATGAGGGTTCTCAGTGAAAGAGAACGAGATGACACCGTCACGGAAGACAACCATGTAAAAGTTTACTGGCTCCATGAATCGCTCGCTGGTCTTGTCAACCTGGTAAAATGTCCGGAAACAGACAAAATAGTACTGCTTGAACAGCTCGACTTTCTCTCGTGATTCCTGCGTCAAGATATCTTCCGTTGTCAGAGGGTGAATAGAGAACGCTCGTGAGAGAGCGCTAACTTCTGCCTCACTCGGGTTGAGAACATCTAGCCACCAGACTCCGCCCTCTGGACCTAACTGGAAAAGGTCTCTGAAAGTGTCTCCAGGTAGGACAAGATCGCCAAGCTCTGCCGCGTGCACAGTACTTTGAGACTCCGATGAGAAGAAACCAAAGCGGGTCGGTTCATTCTCGTTCTTCAAGTTGTCAAGCAGATGCCTCTCGTTCGCGTTATCAAAGATCTTCTCGTCGAACATAGGCGGCATCAGCTCCCCGGATGAACGTTCAGGGCTCGAGTGCTTCTCGTCAACTTCAGACGGTTTGTGAGCACCAGGGCGAAGGTCGTGGAAGACGTGTGAATATCTGCCCTGGGAGCTCACGCTATGCTTGCGGCGGCTGATTGAGGGCTTCATCTTCTGGTTTAGAGCAACAAATTCCTCCAATTCCTCGTAGTCAATAACCGGGATCCTTCCAGGCTCGTCAAATGGCGGAACACATGTGTCTTCCGTAGAGTCCAATTGTATGTCCCCTGGCTGGGGTCGAATAACACTGGCATTGCTGAAAGTTGGCCGTCGAGTGCCGCCAGAGACTGTCCGCTGAAGAATGGCCTCAAGATCGGGGGCTGCGTGGCTTTCCAAGGTATTTGCGCGCTCTCGGCGACGAGGATCCGCAAAGGCATCGACCGAGTTCGGTGGTGAGGATGACCTTGCTGAGACAGAAGATTCTCGTGATCTGTTTCCCATATCCTGATGCGTTCGGCTGTATGTCCGGCCATGGCGAACATTTCCAGTGGGCTCAACCGAGAACCGACGTCCTATAGCATTCAGATCGTTTGCAGATCGATCATCGTCCATTATCGCTTGTTCAAAATCCCGTGAGAACGGGCCAGAATCTCTGTAGACATCCTGAATTTGCAAAAGGTCAGGTCGCTGCGGCACCTCGACGATTCCTTGTTGCGCGGTATTCTGGCGGCTCAATGCCATATCCGCGGTTGCTTCAATTCGAGGCGTGTTATCTAGATGAAACCGATGGTCGTCCAGTTCAGGTACCGGGGTACTGAATCGGGTCAGATCCATGTATCTCTCGGATCTAGGTGATTCGGTCATTTTCAGGTAGTTAGCCGTTCAATTTTTTAAATTGATAGAAGCTGCTGCTGCCGCTTTGCTCGAAGAGTCAGAATATGCTGATCGATATCGTCGCTGAGAATCGACAGTAGTCGTGTCGTATCCAATCACCAAGGGAATAAAGATGGGTGAACTAGTCCCGGAATAGTTGCTCCTCCATCCATCAGCCAGACCCCTCGCAAGGGTCTGGCATAACCGATGCGCGTTCGTGTGCCAGATTAAAGTATTGCCGAAAGCCTAGTTAGGGGGGTCTGGTGTCTCCCCCGCAGAAGACCCTGAACTTGGGGCCCAGGAGAGGGTGCAAGAAAGAGGTCTGAGAGTAGCGAAGCCCCGCCAACTTGACTGAGTAAGGTGAAAAGGAGCGTTGTCGCTCCGTGGTTGCAAAAGGGAAAGGGGGAGCTCAAAGCGAGTGCTGCGATCAGTCCACCGCAGAACCTCTCGTTTGACTTAGATGCGTAGCTGCTTGATCGAATTGACCGGAGAACGAGCAATAATCAACCAGTCAGATGTCCGTCAGATAAGGCCGGTAGAGTCGATATAAGGTGGAAGGGAGAATGTCGAGCTGTCAACTCGAAAAAAAAATAATCAAGGTCGGCGGAGGAAAACCTTGAAAAGCACCGAGGGTATGATGCCTGAGGATTCAGCTAGTCGTCTGACGGACAAAGCGATTTGCCACAGCCGAAAACAGCTATCAAACTCCAGATAACTCGAGGAGAGTTCAGTTTCGAGAGGGACAAGAAAATAAAGGAGACTTGAAGGATCAATCTCTTCTTAACGAGCATAAAAAGAAGATTTATGCGAGACGCAAGAGTGTCAGAAAAGAGGGGCGGACAGAGATTTCCGCTGAGAGGGATAAGAGAGTCTGGAGCTAGTCTCAAAGTCAGTTCAAGGCTTCGAGGCGACCGAATGAATAATAATGGCTGCGATTTGTTGGCCTGGCAGGAAGAAAGAATCTCATTCATTCATTTCTCTGAGGGATATTTACTAATTTGAGTCATCTATAATTATCTTCTGTTGAGACTCGTCTCCTGAACTTCGAAATCCACAGCGGATTTAGGAGGCACCAACAGGAAATCTCCAGACTCCTGCACCCGCTGCACGGAGAATTCCGTCTCGCGTGTGACATTTTAGCTTTTCGTCCGGACCGCGATGAGCAAAAGCTGATTTATTCTCGCCATGATTGGGAGTCCTTCCGACGCACTCAAGGTTGACTTTGTGGCCCAAGAAGCTCGCTGTGCGACATGCCTGGAGCCCCGAAGTCGGCATGTCCCCAATTTTTTTTTCAAGCGTTTCGGTGTGCCAAGTCCACTTGAAGTACGGAGTAGTCATAGCTCGCCGCCTCGATATCAGATACTCCTCCACTCGAGGGCAAGATAAAACGAAACAATTACTTCAAAGTACTTGAAACAGATAAGTAGACAGGCAGTTCACTGCAGGAACAGTTTCCAGCCATTGGTATACCAATTGGCTCCTCATCTGTCACTTCATCCTCGATTGATCGATTTCCCCGCAATGTCCTCGACATCATTTACCATTCGGACTCCTTGTTCGTCTGCAAACATTGGCCCTGGATTCGATGTCATCGGCCTGGCGCTGTCCCTCTTTCTTGAGCTACAGGTGACTGTGGACTCTTCCAAATCTGCGTCGGAGCACCCACTCAACTGTCTCATCACATATGACGACCAGAGCAATAGCACCGAGAAGATCAGTCTGGACCCGGAGGTCAACTTGATCACCCGTGTAGCTTTGTACGTACTTAGGTGTCATGATCAGAGAGCATTCCCCGTCGAGACGCGAGTTCACATTGTAAACCCCATCCCTCTTAGTCGGGGTCTTGGTTCGTCGGGAACTGCAGTCGTTGCAGGTGTCGTGCTAGGAAATGAAGTAGGGAAACTTGGTCTGAGCAAGGACAGGCTCCTTGACTATTGTTTGATGATTGGTGAGTCCACCCTGTTCTCCGACAATATCTATACTGACTATTGTAATAGAGCGTCACCCAGACAACGTCGCTGCATCACTCTTTGGAGGCTTTGTCGGAACGTATCTCAACGAACTCAAACCAGAAGATGTTGCGCGCAAAGAAATACCTCTTAGTGAGGTGCTCCCTTCCCCGGCCGGTGGCATTGATACTGGTCGACAGCCACCGGAGCCGCCTCTTGGAATTGGTCATTATAGGAAGTTCCAATGGGCCAAGGAAATCAAGGCCATTGCCATCATCCCGGACTTTGTGGTGCCAACTGCCAATGCACGAAACGTCCTCCCTACAAGCTATTCACGAGCCGATGTGGTGAGTCTTCGTCTCCCTCTATATTGCTATCAAGGCTAAACTGGAGGCTCCTAGGTTTTTAACCTGCAACGCGCAGCTCTTCTTCCGGCAGCTTTGGGTTCCTCGCCTCCTGATCCCGATATGATCTATCTGGCTATGCAGGACAAAGTCCACCAACCTTACCGCCAGAACCTTATCCCAGGCCTTTCAGAGATCCTTCGCTCAATGACCCCAAGCACACAACCTGGTCTGCTTGGAATTTGCTTATCAGGCGCCGGTCCGACAATCCTTGCCTTAGCTACTGATAGGTTCTCCGAAATTGCCGATCTCATCATCGCCCGCTTTGCGTCCCAGGGGATCACTTGCCAGTGGAAGCTTCTCGAGCCCGCGCAGGATGGTACAACGGTGCACTACTGATTGCGCAATATGTTCTAGGACTGTCTCATTTCCCTTCCAACAATATAGACTTGGGTCTATGGAGAGACTTTTCTCATAAAACTACTCAACCAGATTCTTATATATTCGCTTTGCTTCTGGGAAGGCAGCTCCTAGGGTGCTACTCTCACCGACACGCGTATAAACATGTATCTAGTTCCATAGAGGGGGCCTAAAATGATGATAGTGAATTATGTCACTTCTTGTTCGGTCAAGGGACCCTCCTTGAGTGTATGCCGCAATTCTCCCCAATCCGGCGGAGATACCCTCTATTCGGCAGTAGGAAGCTGAATAAAATTATATACCTGTCCAGGTCAATTTGGGGAAACTGAAGTTTTGTAGCCTTAATCCTTCTCCCTATCCTTCTGAAGAAGTGTTACGCCCACGGGTGTTACTATCGGTAAGGCGGTCGGTTTCGATAAGGCTAGTTATCGATCTCGTATCAGGACAAGTTATCCACAGGCTAGCTTCAAGCACTCAAGGAGTGAGTTGCAATCCATCGCGAACCTCTGACCATCGCAATCCACTTCATCACCGACGGTATTTCCTTCAATAGACATGGACGACATCCTAGCTCCTATTCAAGATGCTTTTGAAGGCCAAATAGTGAGTCCACCAATTCCGCTCATTCACTCGCGGTCAAGGAGTTACCTGCTAACCTGGCCACTTCTATCGGAGTAGGATTTCCACGGACAACGAATCACCGAGATCCTTTCTACGGCGCTCTTGGTCTTGTCGGGTGTGAGTTGGACCATGATCTCTTCTTTATTTATCTACTGCGTACCTTGCTGACATCTCATATTCAAGGTGGTCGCGTTCATCATCGGATACATATTCCAAGATCTCAATCTCACGCTTTGGACTGGGCTGGCGGGAACGCTTCTAACAGGGCTCGTCGTGATTCCTCCCTGGCCTTTCTACAATAATCATCCCGAGAAGTGGCTGGTCCCACTACCGGGTGGTGCTGGCGGAGCTGGGGTCGTGGTAGATGGGGTCAAGGTTGCATGAGATAGGCTTAGTTACGCCGACTGGTGGATATTATGCCATGTTTCTCACAACCCGAGCGTTACAAATCCTATGTTTCATTGAAATCTTCAAAACAAGTGACATTTTAAGCTATTAACGATGACCGTGAACGCCGTCCAAGGAACCGTTACCTATGCACCAGGCTGGTTCGTCCCCCAGAGAATAACCCTATCTGCGAATTAAGCTTTACCGACCGTACTTCTGGAATTCCCAATCCTTGTTGTCCAGGGGGCAGACTTGACGAGTTTTCAGCCAGCGGGAGATGCAGTGGAAGTGGAATGCGTGCTGGATTTGTGGTCAGCGGTAAGGTCGATACAGAGTCAAGTAGGCAGTTCTTACATTGCAGATACCCCAGGCAACTGTGCATTCTTCCGTGGTAGATGAACCCTGATTTGCTTGACATTCGATGCCTATGCCAAAGTCATTAGCTCCGCACATGCTTGGGAGTCCCAGTGACGCAACATACACAGATCCATGATGTGATTTCGGCAAATGGCACAATTATCGACGACGATATCCCAGGCCCACAAAGCAACGGCGTTCCACTATTGCAGGTCTACGTTAGCTCACACATTCTATCAGAATCCCAGACTCCATGAGCTGCAACGGTACCTTCTTGACTTCGAACTTCTTCTTGCCGTCGCTAGCTCCATCTGCCTTAGATCCGGTCTTCACCTTAGAGGACGACGCCTCTTTCATTTCCACATCGGCCATGTTCAGTATGGGCTTTTGATGTCTTTCAGGTCTTTGAAGCGGGGTTCTTGGAGGAGGGGCAGAATGAGGCTGATTAGGTAGTTCGGGGCGGTGGCTATCAGTCTTCGTCCTGAGCTTGGGGACCTCTGACGCAGGTTAGCTCAGATTTTGAAAGCATCAGGTTGAATGAAGCCGAGGGATATTTAGCTACCTTGTGAAATGAGGGTCTGTGAAGAAACCAAGTTTGGAAAACAATTGTAGGCTCCGAATGAACTGCCTAGGTACCTGCTGCCTTGCCTTTTGTTTTGTTTGCAACCATGTAACAGCTTGAGCCTTGCGGTGGCGTGGCGTGGGGAGCGAGCGGTCAGCGCCTTAGTCATGGCCCATGGCCCGACCGATCCCCGCCCGACGATGCTGAAGGCTTCATTATCCTCGGGCCCGTCTCAACCTTGACCTTAACCACATACCACTCCCAATGTCGAATCTAATACAATAATGTCTCAGGTCTTTCTCATCGCTCTCTCACTCTCTTGCTCGCTCATATTAGACCTGCCGTTCCTACGAGTCTTGAACCGCTGCTTTTTTCCTGCGTTCCTCGATTGTCGAGCTAGACTAAGCCGCCTTCCTTCGCCCAGATTAGCCGTCATCATCACGGCCGTTAATCGAAATCGACAGTCTTTGGTTGTAATTCAGCGTTGAATTGTTTCTCGGTACAGGCTGCCGGGCAATCATCAAATTATTCTTTACCTGCTATTGTGTCTTGCGCAGCGGCTATTCTTATTAGTATCTTCTTACGGACTTCTTTTCGATTGCTGCGTCATACCTCCTCTTTCCTCAAGGCTGTTTATTATTAAGCCGACCTGTCGCAATGTCGACTCCTACTCAACCTCCCTTAACGCCTAAGGGCCCCCGAAACAATCGTCGCAACCAGAAGAGAATCACAACTCCATCATACCAGAACGCCGCACCGCTCGCGACGCCCCCCTCTTCGCCACCCAGGACTCTCAGTCCTCGAGGTGCAGCTACCGACTCCTCCAGCATCATTCTCTTGTCCAAGAAGAAGGGAAATCGATCGTCAAAGAAATCTCACGACGCGTCGAGGACGTCCCCTGTCAATAAGCCCAACCATCGGCACACCTCCTCGCATCCGAGCAACAACATCCCCACTTCTCACCTCAAAGATACTCACTATGCCGGTCCTACCTTTCACGCGTCGCCTGCGCCTTCGACCCTGCCGATTCCAAGCTTTATTTCCAAATCATTTCCAGAGACTGACCTCGCAACTACAAGCGAGCATGACAGCGACAGCTTTGATGCTGACGCAGATTTTGAAAGCACACCGTCGAAGCCCAAGTTGCGACCTTCAGTTTCACAGGATGGGCGGGAGTCCACCCCCCTCGATTTCCTTTTCAAAGCTGCTGTCGATGCCAGGAACCGCCCCTCTCAGCAAAGTCCTGAACCGAGTCCTCGAGTTCGCTCACCGCAGACCGACTCTAAAGCTATGCAACAGCGTAGGTTCAATACCGACACCAGCGCAATGTTTCCCCTCGAGATGGGGGCATCGGATCTGCGTCAGCCACAAATTGGGCCTTCTTTTGCCCCGTCATACAAGGATCGCATGAATGCTTTACGATCGGCTAGCTCGCCGTCACCCAATCTCCAAGACCTCGACGAGCAAGAACGGAAAGCGAAAACGGAAGCTCTGAAGACTTTATTGCTTAACCCTCGTCCGCAACGGCCATCATCTGTCTTTCATTCGAGCCACAATAAGGAACATAGTCATGAACGGCCAGGCCCTAATCCCCTGGTACCTCATTTTGCAACTCCTCTTAGGACGAGCTCCGGTCCTCCAACTATCACTTCACGCGGCGACTTTTCAGGCAAGCAACCCCCTCAATCCGAGTTCGTACCGCTGTCAGGGCCTCACCATACACACTTCAATTCGCCACAATATCACACGTACCAAGATCCCTTTGGGAGAGGAGTTCTTGCTTCGAACGTTGGGAATACGCCAAGCACGTCAAGACAAGGATATGGGTCACCTTCCGCCCCCTACCCTTACGGAAAGCTTTCCTCCAGTCAGCAGAGTCCAGCCCATTACTCTCAGTATCAATCTCAGTCGCCTGCTCCTCAGCCTGTCTCGGCCAACGCTAACCTCCCGGCATTTGATACTAAGAAGATGGAGGACGACTTACGGAGAATCCTGAAACTCGATGTTAATCCGGGTATCCCCACGAGTGGCATTCAGAGCTCACTTGCATAACGCTATCATTTCACCTGGACACTGGTCGCAGACCTTTATTTATCGGTTCTCTAGAAACCTATTGGTAACACCATGATTGCAATGGGCAGTCATCCGCTCCTTACTCACATGTTCGGGGATATTATCTCATTTTTCAACAATCTATCATTTATCTGGATTTTCTGGTCTTGTCTATCTCAGGCCTCGCTGCACTCTCTTCCTTGTTACTTCCCCAAGCAGCTAGACTAATCAGCGCCCTGGTGGCAGGGTTACGGTGTTTTGGAATGGTTCATGTTGCTAGCGGCTGGTTATGTGGTTGGTGAGGTTGGTTGGTTGGTTTGTGGGCAATACGTGTATACCATTGGTTGCATCAGGCCTGGAGTCCGGTTATGTTTTGACCACTGTTTCGAGGGCATGTTCAACGACAGTCTTTCTCTCTTACGCCCCCTTCAGTTATTTGCCATCCTTGCGATGTCATTATCTGACTCGCAGACGTCTATCGTTACCTTGATCTTCATACTTTAAACCACACTCGACTCTCTCGTTTCTACTTCCCTCTGTGCATTCATTCTGTTGTTCGGAGAGTTTCATTATCTTCTGCTGCTGTCGGGAACCGTATGGCAGCCATAGTGACATCCGCCCACTCTTTGTTCTTATGATCTTGTTATTTCCCCTATTTCGTACGATCACCTACAACTCTGTTCTTCGCGGTCGAATCGATCTTCCAACACGAATCCCGTATCGCATATTCACACGCTTCTCAAAGCAACCCATTTTTCACGTTGAAGTTTCTCCTCCAATCGTAGGGAATGATGTTTATTCACATTGGGCTCCAATGGCTCGTCTTCGATCTGCTGTAGGCCTATGGCAGATCCCCGCAGGGGTATGCGTGGAATGTATCCTCGAATCTAGTCGACTACGTGAATTGAACGCGGAAACGATTGGCAGACAAATACGTAGTCATAATCCGGGGCAAAAAGAAGACCTCGGAGCTGATTGCGGCAATCGCTGGTATTGGTGGTGGTCAGGAATGTGACCGTTCGTTTTCGGATGACGCACTCAGAAAGCTCCTAGCAGCAGGACATCCGACGAGCCTCCTATGTCTAATAATCTAAAAATGAACGAATGGGCCTGGTAATAATAGAAGCGCGTACTTGTAGTAGGTGTCGAGTGTTCTGCATGGACGTAGTGGCGACAAGCGACGATGGGGCTCCCAGGTTCCCAGGGGTCGATCGAGCCAGGTTAATTTCAACCAGACGGAGAACAATAATAATAAGAATAGATAATTACCAGGAGCCCACAACTTGCACTAGCCCCAGGGGACCAGCAAAAAGAGAACGACGAGAAGTCCCAGAATTCTTGATCACTGTTGCTTGTTGTCCGCTTTCTTTTTCCTACCACTTTCCCTCCCTCAAGGCGTCGACATCATTCCTATCGCATCCCATTCCAACCGACTTCTTTATCATCTCCGGTTTCCTTCTCTGCCTCACTCTTTCTCGACCTTCAACCAGTAATTACTCCCTGCTTAGTCTCTACTTTCACCAACAATAACTTCAAGCTTTCCCAACACGCTCTTTTTACCCATTGTCTTTGTTACGCCAACCCTCTGGTCCTCCCTTTTTTGGCCCTCCTAACCGCCTGTCCTCTCGCGCTCCGCCATACCCCTTCCTGCAGGCCTCTCCTTCAATGATCCGCTGGCGCTTTGAATAAGAACTGTGGAAGGGAAACCCGTTCGTGTTTACTGTCGCCCTACATCGCACCCGTTGAACCGCAAACATGTCAAACCCGTGAGTATCTCTTGCAGGCTAGGTGTAGCTCCTGGCCCCGTTCATCTGTTAGCATCTGTTAATTCTGTGGCCACTATAGATTCGGTTCAGCATGGCGCTCCTTTTGGCATACAATGACTTCATATGATCGACACGCGTCTCACGATTCTCCTTACCGAACGGGCAGACATGTTCCTCTCAGTCAGAGCCGCCATGAGCCTTTAACATCGATTGCGACAAGCGCCATTGAGTCCCGACCCGATCTCACAAGTCCGTACGAAGATGAGCAGCCCAATGGAGTCACGTCTCCGAACCGCCCTTACTCCCCCGGGATGCGATCGATGTCTTCAAACGCTCGACGATCTGCGGACCACGGTGCGGAAGGGGCACCGGAGATTCAGATGCAGAGTTTCCACGACGGCGCGCCGCCTCCGCCGCCCGTAAGCCATTCATGGAGAAAGATAGAGCGATGGTTGGAAAACAATTTTGAAGAGCTCTACGACAATCTCTGTGAAGGTTGCACCCAAAACGATATCAATGAGTTGGAACATGAGTTAGACTGCAGCCTTCCCCTGGAGGTTCGAGAGTCTTTGATGAATCATGACGGCCAAGAACGCCCTGGTTTGCCTACAGGTATTATATTTGGGTGCATGCTACTTGATTGCGAGGAGATAGTTCAAGAATGGAAAAATTGGAGGACGGTGAACGAAGAATTCCTCGCGTCTCCAGCCATGATCAACGCTCCGATCCCAAAGGCTACCGCAAGCTCGTCATCTGCTGTTCCTCCTCCTCAAGCGTCCAATACACTGTGGCGGCAAGACCTTTCTGACCGACAGGACTCACAACCTCCTGGTGCAGTTCAGAAGGCTTACGCACACCCGGCATGGATTCCAATTGCTCGTGATTGGGGCGGCAACTGTCTTGCAATCGATCTGGCACCGGGACCCGCAGGGAAATGGGGACAAGTCATCATCTTCGGCCGAGATTACGATTGTAAATACGTGGTTGCACGGTCCTGGGCCTCCTTTCTGGCTGTTTTGGCGGATGATCTCTGTGGCGGCAAGGCTGTTGTTGATGAAGATACGAACGAACTCAAGCTCCTAGAGTTCAAGGCTCAGAATGTGGAACCTCCGTACCTAGAAATTCTACGATGGAGGACGGACCAAAAATACGGCCGTAAGGCACCTCGCCGCAAAGCTCCCAACGGCCTAGGACTCAACACTGGGTGCAGATCCGGAAAGGAGTCCCCTTATGGGAGCCCAGGTCCAAGTGAAGAGCGTGGCAGGTCGCCACACCGTTTTCCCAATCGCAGTTCAACTCAGAGCCCCAAGACTCAGTTCGGTATCTCTAGCCCGCTTGCTCGGGTTACTGAAGAGGTCTCTAGTCCTATCCATGCAATCGCCGAAAGCGATGATGGCGAAGACGACAGCAAACGCGAGTCAAAAAGTTCCCAAGCGGAAGATTTACTGGGAGTTACAACCCCACAGACCTCAGGAAAGGAGAATGAAGGATTCGAGAACCAGACGCCCGCGAGTAAGACTGATCCTGAAAAAGTGCAAAGACGCGAATCGAACCAGAGTGCCTCGACACCCGGCCTGGATGGGGAAGTCCTGGGCGAAATGAAGAATGTCGCCATCTAAGCCATGGTTGTATGTCTGTTCTTTCTTTTTTTGGGTCTTCATATCATGAACCGTTTGATTCTACCGTTTTCGCATGGGGCTTCCATCTTGCTTTTCTCCCTCCAAAGTGTATCAGGCGCCACTGTTGAACTGATAGGGTCCATGAAGATTTCTTTCGACAACCTTGTATAAATTCTCACCATTATCCTGTTTCTTCTTTCTGAGTGAACTCGCTCGGTGCTGCTCTCGACTTTATTTGTTGTGCCTCGGACTGTGCCCCTGCTTGACACGCTGTTCCTCTATGTTATGTGTAACTTTACCTCGACGATTATGCAGTGCTAGTCGTTCAATTCTATCGTTTACTACTTCTATCTAGACTTCTCAACGTTGCAGATATGCAGTCAAATCACTAGGACATTTTCTCGATACAACTCTTCCGCTGGGCTCCGCTAGGGTGAGACTCTCGAAAGCCCGCAAATTATAGGTGGTAGAATAATGCTTCTATCTTGGCCATGAGCCTTGATCTACATGTATATATATATAGGACAGTCCAACGCCTAGGAATGGGTGGAGCACGCAAATGAGGGTACAGGTACAGTGGCTGACCATTTATCTGTTAACTTAGGCAGGCAACCATCGCCATATAGCTCCTGTAGCAGTTAGGCTTCTGCGGATGGTTGTATTCGGAAGCTGTGTGGTAATTCCAGGGCTCTGCGCGGCGCATACGGGGTAGGCTGGGTCGAATATCATTATGCATGATGCAGGACTGCAGACCTATCCCGGGACAATCACCAGCAGGCCAATCCCGGTCGTATCTCCCGTGGCTTAGCCGGTGGCTTCTGGCTAGCTTCTGCTATCTAGTATGTTCGCGGGCTTCGGAGGACCAAATGTTCTTCTCTCTTCTCAGTCCCAGTCGTCGTCATCATCACCATCCTTAACAGCTCTTGTGTTTCCAGTCCGGATACCTCGTCGCCTCCTCTGACCACCATCCTCTTCCTCACTGTCCGCCTCTGAGCCCTCGTCGTCCACAGCCTTGAACTTCTTCTGGGACAGGATCCCCTTCCACAGCAGCCTCATTTCAAGCGTGGCCGTGCTAAAGCCATCCGCCCCGTCAACCCCCCCAGACCCCAAACCCTCAAACCCAACAACACGCTCCACTCCAACCCCTTCCAGGAATCCGATGACACACGGCAAGACCCTTATCTTCAATTTCTCTACCACAAACGGCGTTTCGCGCACATCGACCCTCGCAAACCGCACATCCTGATGTCGCGCCGCCAATGCCTTGATATGCTCGTCCATCGTCGCGCAACGCGCAAAATCAGGGTGCGCGAAGTGAATCACGCAGCGGTTTATCTCCGTTGTGAAGTCTAGCAGGGCTTGGTCGCTTTTAATCGTTGGGAGGAGAGAGTCCTGCACGACTGTTGTGGTTGTTGGGTTACCTCTTCCTGCCGTGGCGAATTCGGCGTTGAGTTGCTCGATGCGGTGCGCACGGTATGAGGTATCGTCTTCTTCTTCGAGGGCTTTGAAGAGGGCATCATCGTCGCCGAGGTCGAGATCGCGGGGCTCAAAGTCCCGCTGAGGCGTATCTTGAGGCATTGTGGTAGATGGCGCTACTGTGATGCTTTTTTTTTGGCAGTGTTGTCTTTGGTCGCACGGTTCTAGAGACTCCCGGGTTTAAAATTCCGAAGGGATTGCTCGGGCGAGGAACGTGTGTTGTAACGTGGGAAAGAGTTCTCAAGATACATATCGAAATATATATCGAGTTAGCGCGGCGGGATTCGACGATCTTACGGAGTATAGAGGCTAGACTTACGCCAAGTTACTTCTAACGGACGCGCCTATAATTTACCAAGTCGATTCATTGCGACCCAGAGCTACCAAAAATTGCGGACTTTGATCAAGAGCATCACATTTATGCAAACCACATATTTGAGGATAAGGGCTGGACTTCAGAAGTACAGCCGTTTCCGGTCAGCGCACCAAACTCAATTGGGCAAAGGGCGACTGAATTATCGGAAGAGATATGTATCGTCACGTTAATTACGGCTATCTATCTTCACTCCAGCGGCCAGCAACTTTTTTTGTCTTTCCCTCTCCCCTTTCATCGTTTTTTCCCCGGCTTTCTTCATAGCCTTGTCCCTCTTATTCTTTTAGGAAGTTGACGTTTTTATATTTGTTTCCGCGTCTTCTTTTTTTTTTTTTCCGCTTCTCTCTTTTACTCTAGCAACGCCATCCGGCTCCCGCTTCCCTCGTCCACTGCGGAATCCCCTTTCATCGCCGCCTTGAAACTTCCCGGATCGCAGACACGAGCGCCTTTTCATTCAAAATGTCCGACAGCAGAAAACCCGACGACTATGCAATTGAGATGGAGAAGCTGGACCATAATAAGGGCTTTCAGGCGTCGCCGCCTCCGCCTCAACCTAGAAGCTCCCCGGCGAATTCAGTTGCCAACAATGCCGTTCTCTCAGTCCTTGCATACTGCGGCTCGTCCATTCTGATGACCGTGATGAACAAATACGTACTTTCCGGCGCGGACTTCAATCTCAATTTCTTTCTCCTCTGTGTGCAGGTATGGCAAGCGTTACACTGTATGCGGCGTGCGAATTGCTGACCGAGATGCGCTGGACGTAGTCTGTCGTGTGCATAATCGCGATTCAAACTTGCAAGGCTTGTGGTCTTATCACATACCGCGATTTCAATCTGGATGAGGCCCGGAAGTGTACGTTCTTTGAGACTCGGTCTGTGCATTGCATTTTCACTCATCATCTGCTACACAGGGTTCCCGATCACTCTCCTCCTTATCGGTATGATTTACACCGGATCCAAGGCGCTTCAATTCCTCTCGATTCCAGTCTACACAATCTTCAAGAATTTGACGATCATTCTTATTGCTTACGGAGAGGTTCTGTGGTTTGGTGGCTCCGTGACCGGCCTTACTCTTTTCTCGTTCGGCCTCATGGTCTTTAGCTCAATCATTGCTGCCTGGGCCGACATCAAGCATGCGGTCGAAAGCACCAGTGACGCAACCGCCACGGTGTCGACATTGAATGCTGGTTACTTATGGATGTTGATCAACTGCCTTTGCACGTCGTCATACGTGCTGGGAATGCGCAAGAGGATCAAGCTGACCAACTTTAAGGATTTCGATAGTATGTTGCACCTGATTTGTCCCAGCGAGCGCTTACTGATCTCTTACCCATTTAGCTATGTTCTATAATAACCTTCTCTCGATCCCCGTTCTTATCGTCCTTTCCGGATTGATGGAGGATTGGTCCCCCGCCAACGTTACCCGCAACTTCCCCCCCGCTGATCGCAACGGTATCATGTTTGCGATGATTCTATCCGGTTTGTCGACGGTGTTCATCTCTTACACCTCTGCATGGTGTGTCCGTGTTACATCGTCGACCACTTACTCAATGGTCGGCGCTCTCAACAAGCTGCCTATCGCTCTCTCCGGACTGATCTTCTTCGACGCACCCGTCACCTTCCCCAGTGTATCTGCCATCTTTGTTGGTTTCGTCAGTGGTATCGTGTACGCTGTCGCAAAGATCAAGCAAAACGCTAAGCCCAAAGTCGGAATACTGCCGACCTCCAACCCCGTTAGCGCCAGCAGCCAGAGCATGCGGGACTCGCTGCGCTCCTAGATTAAATGGGTCCGCACATAGCCCTCAGAGCGAACCCCGGAGCAAATATTCAGGGTATATTCTTCGCGCAAATGTCACGCGACCACGTTTCATGCTGACAAAAGCCACACCCCCGGGCTTGACTGATTCGTGGCTGCTTTCGCGACGGTAAGTGTTGGTGGTCTGTATTCTATTTTGTTTATCCATCGAGCCGGGACGCAATTCTATCCTGCTTCGGTCTTCTTCCTCGCCCAGGCCGTGCACTTTAATATGCCTATTTTATTTCTGCGGCGCGCATAATGCCCTTCATCACGAATACGCTCTAGTTTTAATGGGGCTTGCTTCTTACCTGGTCAAATTCTGTTTTGCATTGCCTGGTGCAGGAACTTTAAGGGAACTCTTCTGCTAGTCCCAGAGACACCAAGTGGAGGTCGCTTTCTTGGTGTTGTATATACGGATTTATCATTTTCATAATTAGGGTATAGAAAGCATGTTTTGGTTGAGCTGTTATTTCAGAAAATCGTAACTCCGGAGTAAGGCACGGACTTGGTTGCGGATGCTCTTGGTCATCGGCCCGCCGTGCGACGCCGGCCGAACTTCAAGCTCAAGCTCAGAATCGGAAATTTATACCGGGCCTCGACCGAGCAAAATTTCTTCACCAATTGACCAAAAATCCTCGCGCATCAGCCACCAACGCCTCGTTATACCTGCGAATCTCCACAAAAACAGCACAGCCTCTACCCATGACAAAATCAAAAAGAGCCCGAGTCCAACCGCCTCACACGCAGCATGCGCTAGCGCTGGTGCAGGGCACAGGCAAAAAACACCGCAAGATGAGCTCGTTTGCAAAACTCTCCACGAAGAGCAATAACTATAACGGGAACGCGAATGGAGCGAATGCGCAACAACGTGCAAAGAGTGAAAAGGGTGGCGGTGGTGGTGGTGGTGGTGCGCAGAAGGGCCAGCAGAAGCAGCAGCAAAACAGGAGACCCATTGTCCCCTTTCGAAGGAGAGACCGGATTCTGTGTATTGGGGAGGGTGAGTATTTCCCCTTCTGTCCTACTTTGTCTTTTCTCGGGGGTTCAATTGGAAGGTAGGCAGGTAGGTAGGTAGGTTTGCTATATAGACATATTTTTTACAGTCTTATGTCCCACGGGTGTCTTGCGAACCAGAAAAACAACAGGCGCAAGTCATGCCCATAGGTACATCTACGTGGCATACCCTGCCTCTACGTAACATAGAAGATGTACCTATCCTATCCTGACCTATCCATCAATTGACCCAACGAGAGATAGACGAGATCTCCTGAAAGAACCAGGGAACATAAGAAAGAAAGACCCTAACCTCTCAAACAAAATCAGGCGACTTCTCCTTCGCCCACTCCCTAGCCACGCATCACCGCTGCAAAAACCTCATCGCAACATGCTACGACTCTCAAGAAACACTCTATGGGAAATATCCGCAGGCCGAGAAGAACATCGCCGAGATACTTGCCGCCTCATTTTCGCATAAATCCAAAGATGAAAAGCAACAGCAAAATACCTCCCCAAAGGTCCTCTTCTCCGTTGACGCAAAGAAACTCGGTGCCCCGTCTGGAGGCGGGAAGGATGTTCGGATTGGATTCCCAAGAAAGGAGAAGAAGAGGCCGGCATGGAAGATGGAAGATTTAACGAGGCCCAAGAGGGCAAGTGCCGGTGGACCGTGGGATATGATATGTTTCAACTTCCCGCATGTGGGTGGGCTTTCGACGGATGTGAATCGGCAGGTCAGGGCGAACCAAGAGCTGCTTGTTGCATTCTTCAAAGCCTGCTTGCCGCTTTTGGCGGCGAAGCCAGAGAATGATGATGATGAGGACGAAGAGGGCGAGGAGGAGGAGGAGGGATGGGGGTCTGAAACGGAGGGGTCTGGAGGGGGTGAGGATGGGGGTGGAGGGGGAAGTGATGACGAGGATGGTGCTAGCCATGTCAGAGCGAAGGATGAGCACAGGACAGAGCCTGGTCAGATCCTGGTGACGCTGTTCGATGGGGAGCCATATACTCTGTGGAATATCAGGGATTTGGCAAGGCATGCAGGGTTGAAGGTCGTGACTAGTTTCAGGTTCCCATGGGCGTGCTATCGCGGATACTCTCATGCGCGGACATTAGGAGAGATCGAAGGCAAGGATGGAGCCAGAGGGGGATGGAGGGGTGAAGACAGAGAAGCAAGGATGTACGTTTTTGAAGTTAAGACAGACGACAATACGCACTCGCTGAGAAGTGCGGCTGGGAAGAGGAAGAAGAGATCAGCGACATCTGACGATTCCGATAGTGATTAGTATATGACTATAATCAACAATACGATACCCAGCCTTGCGCCCTACCAAGATTCCAGTGCCGCCGTGAAAATGATTGAAATGAGGAAGCGGACGCAAACCATGCCGCTTGAGTTACATGATGTAAACCTTCTTCATGTCACTCTCGTCGAAGATCTCTCCTGTTGTTGGGTCTTTGACTTTGCCGGCTTCGAGTGAGCCAACCTTCTTGCTCATGTCCAGCAACCGATGGAGGCCGTATATCCTACCGTTTGGCAGGACAATTGGGTCGCTTTCGACAAAACTTTTCGTGTGATGAGCGTACGGCAGGTTTCGAGCAAGCTCGTTCAACTCGGTTGAACATATGGGGCACACAGATGTGGTAGTAGAATGAAGATTTGAACTTGACGAAGTATATGCGGAATGGCACGACGGAGTCTTGAGAGCAGAAAGACCCGCTGATAAGGCGATATGGATCAAAGGCCGTGATGGTAATGAGAGAAGCTCATGATGCGTGCGGATGAACAGGTCAGAAAGGTATGTCCACCGCTCGGCAGCATACATAGACTTATGCCCTATTAACTTCTATTTACCTCTGAAGTTCGGAGAACATACCTTGTAGGGCTCAGCCTTGGTATCGGGAGGAAAAGCAAGCATGCCAGCTGCTCGATGGATTTCCGTGGATTGCGTCTCAATATACGGGGAAAGATACTTTTTGGCATGCGCCATTGCATCTATGAATTTGGCTTTATCTCCCGTTCTGATCATCTCAATGTACTGCTGTAACCGGAGCTCGAATTCTAGATTGTACTGCATTCAACCATTAGATCATGTAGTATGGAGCTCTGGGAGAAGCTGAGCCCACCTGGCTTTTTTTTAGAGCTGCCTTGTTTTCACCACACCACTGCAGGGCATCTCTTGTCTCACCACGGCGGAGCCTCTCGGCAATTCGCTGACATTGTATGAAGACGTTGAGATCTACCAGGCTTTCGATATCCTTCTCGCGAGCAAGTTGCTGCGCACTCTCTGTATAGCCCGAACGTAACATATGGTCGACAACAAGTCTATCCAGCCGAATTCGGGACCACTGGTCGTACTTGACGTCAGTCAAGCTGGGGATCTGATAGAGGTGCTCCAGATGCTGTATGCGTTTCCTTGACTGGTTGTGTATTTCTCTCTCTTGCTGATGTAGAGTCTCCATTTTCCGTTTCAAACCTTGCATTCGAGATATCATAGCATCAAGCGTGGCGAGCGTTTGGTTGGGAGCCTGCTCGTCGGACATGGAGGCTTTGGTCGTCTCTTTAAGTGCGGGGAGGACATATTCCTTCTCTCGCTCGACTATACGCTGGACGGACTTGAGATTTCTTCGAGCGAGCTCATGAGGTAGCTTCAAAAGAGGTTGGTCCTAAGCAAAAATGTTGTATGAGTACCTGGTGGTCGTTGAGATGAAGATGGAAAGATACCAGGAGAAGTTGATTCTCCGCATTAAGCTTCGTCGAGGTAAATTCCGCGGCCATGGCGGGAGCGTCGGAGGTTTGTGTGACAGGGAGATCTATGTTCTTCTGATTTTAATATATCAAACAATTATAATGACTTTTTACGCTTTTAATTCGATGGCGCTTGACTGAAGATTGTTGAATGTGGTTGATGCGGAGCTGCGGAGATGATCCGTCTGAGAGGCTGGTCACACCACCTAAACTGCCAGGTATTGAGCAGGGGACCAATCATCCAATCAGCTAACGTTACATGTCTACTGTATCTGGTTCATAAATTGGGATAAATGTCTGGAAAATATGAATTCATGCCATTTGAAATCATGCTCTTAACTGTGTAATGGCAAACAAGGACATGTAAAAGATCAAGCGAATTATAACTCATTCCCTTTTCAACCCAAGACTCCAAGAAGAAAACAAATATGATACAGGAATCTTGCCCGAACAATTCTTCGCTGTCGGCATGGTGACATCTTCTAGCGAGGAAGGAAGGAGCGCGGCAAGTGACTTCCTGGAATGACTCAATCACTCTCGTCGCTGTCTTCTTTTTCCTGCTTGGACTTCCGTCGCTCCTTCTTCTCCTTCTTCTCCTTCTTCTCCTTCTTCTCCTTCTTCTCCTTCTTCTTGCGCTTACGTTCGGCACGCTCTTCAGCGGTCTCACCTTCGTGCCTCTTGCGCTTCTTCTTATCATCATCGTCATCATCATCATCGATATCCATCTTGCTATCGTTGGCCTCTGGAGAAGCCTCCTCCTTGGGCTCTGCTTCTTCCTTGGGAGCAGCGTCAACTGCTGGCTGTGCAGAGCCTTCTTCCGGTGCGTTGTAATCCTTGTAGTCAGACTTCCACTTGGCGGGAGTGGCCTCGTTGGTACGTCCATATTTCTGAAACAGAGGTTAGTACAGCCTTCGCCCGAGATAGTGCAGCTACTCACGTCAAGCTTTCCGGCAGACTTGAGCTTCTTCTTCTCCAAAGCAACAGGCCCAAGACCCCATCTGCGAGGGTAAAGATCGCGCTCCATGATGCAACGCTTGACCTTGGCAACGACGCCATGGTCGCAGGTGGAAAGTTCAACAGTGGACATCTGAGCGATACCAATAGCGATGGCCTCACCCTTGGTGGTCATGAGAACAACTTCCTCACCAAGTTCAATGCCGGCCTCTGCCATAAAGTTAGTAAACCGGGCCCCGTGACTTTTAAAGGCAAGATAACATACCGAAGCGCAGCAGACCGGGGATCATCAACTTGGCACCGTAGCAGACAGCGTTCACGGCGCTGTCCTTGACAACAATACGCTTATAGGTGGTGAGGAGAGTCTCAAGAGGCTTGATGACCTTACGCAGGTAGGTCTCATCACGCTGATTGTCGTACAGCCACTGCGCATCCAAGACGTCGTGCAAAGTGACCATGCCGCTGTTCTCATCCATGGCTCCACTTCGCACACGTCGGAGTTCTTGCATGTGCGCACCAACACCAAGAAGAAGTCCAAGGTGAACGCAGAGAGTTCGAATATATGTACCAGCCTCGCAGCTGACCCAGAAGACGCCGAGATGTCTGTCATTGTCGAATTCATAGAGCTTGCTCTCGTGAATCGTTCTGATACGAAGCTGACGCTTGACGGCGGAGATCAGAGGGGGGCGTTGGAACAAAGCACCAGTGAGAGTCTCGAGTGCGCGCTTGAACTGAGCCTCACCACCGGGGATCTTGTCGTGGAGACGGATCACGCAGACGTACTCCTTTCCGGCACCTTGTTGGGACTTGACCAGGCGAGTGGCACGGTCAATGCAAACAATCAAGCAACCAGTAACCTTGGGATCAAGAGTGCCACTGTGTCCAGTCTTTTCCGCCCTGTTTAATCAAACGGCATTTCAGCACTGTCTCCGATTCAAGATGCAGACGCAAAATTTACCTCAGGATCCTCTTCATCCAAGCAACGACTTCGTGACTGGACGGGTTCGAAGGCTTGTCCAGGTTGATTACACCGGAGTTAATGTACGACTTCAGGTCTCGCTTGAGGGGAGAGCAGCCGGCGGGAATGGGGGTAAAATGTCCAGTCCTGACCAAGACTGTGGAGATTATTAGTACTCGGACTGCCATGGACGCGCTCAAAAGAAAGGCCGTGCGAGAGGGAGAGGATGGACCAGGTAATGGGATTTATGCGAACATACGCTTGTCGTAGTTTTTGAGCAGCAGAGGCCAGTCCTCAGTGCTAATGTTGGAGGCCGTAGCCTCCGGCTTGATCGTGTAGTCCACCGCTTCATTGGCCATTGCGACTGCTATACTGAACAGGCTGGCACACTAGAAACAAGGAAGTTGTCGAGTTGGGTGTTGGGACTCAAGGTTTTGTTCTGCCGGCAGCGAAGAAGATCCAGAAAATTTCAAGTGCGGCAAAGAGCTCCAGTGACAAATACAGTTAGCGTGCAAAGTCCGCAAAGAACTCACGTGCTGGACCATAAAAGTCGACGTCCACTAGAACAAGTAATTTTGAGATTTTGGGTAGGTATATAATTCTTGATTTCGTATTATTTACTTGGAAGTTGCAACAGGCATATTGCGTTATAAGCAAAAACATCGAGACACGCTCTAATTGCCCCCAAGTCTTCGTCCTGAGCCTCTGCTATCCCAAGTGTTTCGAACAGAAGACGCCCAGCCGCTGGATTCCTCCTGCTCGTTCGGAGGCCGGAACGCTTGGCCGTAGACCCTCTCTTGACCTCCACGCAGAGACCTCGTGAACAACCTCCTCAAGAACACTGGCGTGATAATATAGTTCTTTCCTCCACCAAAGGTAGGGTAGATCCTCGTCAGGAAGTCATACAGATGAGCGGCCACGATGCCGGTAAATTCCACAGCAGCGCTGTGATATCCCTTCATGACAAAGGTCAAGGCGAGGCGGGCCCAGGGAAGCATCGGGGTGGGTATCTCGACTACGAAAAACATGGTCTTGGTCCCCTTGTTATCCTGGGAGTATGTGTATGCAAAGGCAAGTATCAGAGCTGCGGCGAGGTATTAGCTTGGGACAACGGGCAGTCTGCAACTGGGCTCACCCTGTGTGAAAATCATGGCACCCAAATAATACCCTGCAGTTGCCTTTTTTTTAGATTGTCAGCATTTGCCGGGCTACAATGATGCGCGATTTCAACGTATGAATAAAAATGAAGAGGATTACGAGGCATCAAGGTAGTACAAGCCATGCAAAGAACATGATCTAGTGTAGTGATGTAGGGCACCAAAACCACCTGCGTAAACCAGGATCATCACGCAGGCTATCTCAATAGGCAGTCCCACCATTCCCACACGTACATGGCCCTATAAGGATCAAAAGAGAGGTACCATATGCGATGCAGGGGTGATCTTCCTCGTTTCCAGGAACCGCTTCAGCTAGAAGATGGCTGGGCGGGCAGATATGCGAGGTTTTGCGAAGGAGAGGGAAGCGTTGGATGCAGTGACGTAGAAAAAATGGTAGTGGGAAGAGTACGATTGTTCTGGTAGATATATTTCAGAGAAGAGTATCTGAGACTTACCATGATCACGGAACCTATGAATATCACGTATACGAGGAAGCTGCCTGGTGTGCTGAATCTCGGCGAGCCAAATTCCAGTCGGCTTGAATAGGTGTACACTATTGCTGGGGTTAGCGAAATCGCAGCAGACTGCCGAGACATGGCTGCATACTGAAATAAAGATCAAAGACAAAGTTCAACTTCGGATCTGTCATGAGAAATGGTGTGACAAATCGCCAAATCTGAGGCCAAATTCTCCAAGTGAAGATCAATTGAGGATAGAAGGGAACCCAAAAAGAGTTGACGCTTCCGCTCAAGACCAAGGCAGATTGAATAAAAGTAAGCGCCGTTAACGTCCTGCTTTGGTCAATACCAGAGAAGACACGTCCATTTATCAATGACAAACGTACCTGGCGACGGGAGGGAGGCTCCTGAAGTCATCCATTGCTGCTATGGTAAGTATTTGTTTGTGTAAATGAGGACAATAATATCAGCAATCAAGGTTCCTTGAACTGTAATCACTCAAGTTGACAACACCTCATTATGTGTTTGACCGCCAACTGAAGTGGTTTGTTGGGCGACAATGATAATTGAAGCCACCTGGTAGTTAAAGAGAAAAGAAAGAAAAAGAATCGCATCGGAGATTTATGTAGCTAAGCGACTGCCTGGCCCTTTGGTACATTATTGTTCCGTTCCGCCAGAGCCGCTTCGGCCCACATAGCACAAGCGGTATAGTGTTGCGCAATTGAACCTAGTAGCCTCATGCTATCAGCGGTGTTATTTGCTCCTCTGTCGGCTGTCATAAATCCACCTCAATCTACTTGATACCCCCTCGTTTTACTCAGCTTTATCGGCACTAATAGTGCCTCGAACGGCTAAACCGCCGTCTCTTCCTTCTATCCACACGTCCCAAGCGCTGACATCTTTCGTCGACTTGAGCTTACCGCAAATGGCCAACTCCTCATCGACATACACTGGGGCTAGGTTCTTGTAGTTGATCTCACTGATTGTTACATCCTTGCCGCCCAGGTGTCGGCGAAGGGCTGTGAGGAGTAACGTCAATGTCAAGGGGCCATGCACGAGAAGGTTGCGATAACCTTCGACATCTTGAGTGTAACTCTTATCCAGGTGAATCAAGTGAGCATTGAACGTCAGAGCCGAAAAGCGAAAGAGCAAGGCCTTCGTAGGCAAGATACGGTACCGAAACTCTGGATCCGTGGGAGCTTTTTATTCAGAGCGAGGTTTTCGTTAGCGAAAGCTTTCTGCGATATCAGTGAGCTCAACCCACATTTAATCATTCTCGAGGCTTGTGAAAATTCGGCCTTGTCTTGACTCAGCTGTACGGGAGTCTTGTCACGCATAAACACCAGGTCTCTGTTCTCGACTATCGATGTATGCGCTTCATCATTCTCGCCTGTAGCCCATATTCTCTTCCTCACATCGCTTTCTGCTTCCGCTTCCCGGACTGCGCCTATCTGCCTCTCTATCTTCACGATGATTTTCTCCGCACCCGGTGGCCCTTTTACAATAACATTCCGAATCCCTTCAACGCACACGGCTCTACTGCCATCGAGCAGCAATCGACTAGCAGTGGAGAACTTGACACTACCCCCAGCCCACAAGCGCCTGTTGAACGGTGACCCAGGGGTATGTAGGGTATCGGTGCCATCGGGAAGGAGCTCGGAGAGGGTGACCTGTGGAGGGAAGTAGACCAGATGGTGGCCCGCTGGTAAGTGCGACGAGCGCGTGCATGAAGGTAGGGATCTATGTATCTTCACAGATGATCCCACCGTAGGAAATAGGTCTGTTAATGTAAGATTCAGGAGATGAGAGGGCTGTGGATGCAGGTAGTCGAAGGACAAGGGTAGTTGACGGGATGTCAATCCATCGTGCAGACGCTCGGAAAATGAAGAATAAGCCCGTATTAAGTCCACAGACCCCGGCCGCTTGGTCGAGCGTAGAACCAGTGATATGATCCTGTTCATTGGAAACCCCGAAGAGTTGATTAGGAACATGTGCGACGCGGTTCTTTTGTCAGGAAAAGCCCAATGTCAACGGCAATGTGAAAGTTTGGCTTGTTTGTCTGCAAGACATACCCCAGAGTCACCCACACGATCTGCGTGTGGGTTGGTCAAAATAATAATGCATCGGGTATCATAGCTTTGGCCCTTCAGTCAATTCCTATGTCCACAGTAGAAGGGACTTTTCGCTCTTCCTGAAATTCGATAAGTGGCCGAACGTTGCTGACTCCATGGCGCCTCTCAAAGTAACCTTCCTGGGCCCCGCGGCCTCTTTTTCGCACCAGGTCAGATACTATCACAGCAAAACAAACCCCAGCACGTCATTAATCCATAGCTTAGGCCGCCGTTGAAACATTTGGTCTCTCCTCCGAACTAATACCCTGTGTATCGTTCGCAGACGCAATCGCCGCCGTTCAGAACGGAGAGGCGGACTATGCCATTGTTCCATTCGAGAATTCAACAAATGGCTCAGTTGTTCAGACATTGGACCTACTCGTGGACCGCGGCGGGGTCTATGCAGATGTCGAAGTGTGCAGCGAATATTACCTTACTGTACACCACTGCCTTTTAGCTCGAAAGGGCCTCATCCCGCTATCGCCTCGAGATTATAGCTCCATCGTCAAGCTATATACGCACCCACAAGCCTGGGGTCAGTGTGAGAAATTTCTCGCGCGAAACTTCAGAGGCGTGGAAAGACAAGATGTGTCCTCTACCTCCAAGGCGGGCGAGGTCGTCCTCAAAACGGACACAGAAGCCAATGCCGCCATAGCGAGTCGCTTTGCTGGGGAGCATCATGGTCTGGAAATATTGGAAGAGAATATTGAGGACATGGCCAACAACACTACACGATTCCTGGTGTTAAAGAACGTGTCGTTGGGGCGCACCGAGCTCGCTTTCGAAGGTGTCAAAACGTCGTCAACCCAAGACTTACCCCAGACTGTCGCAAAAACGAAGAAGACATTGACTTCATTCATGATTCGCCAGGATACGCTGGGAACATTGGCGGACGCTCTGCTGATCTTCAAAGAATCTGGCTTGAATCTTACCAGTATAAGCACACGACCGAGCCAAATACAGGCATGGAAGTATGTGTTCTTGGTAGAAAGCGAGACTGAACAAAATACAGAAGTGGTGCCCGCTGTCATGGAAAGACTGGGGAAAGTCACCGAAAATTGCAGGCATCTGGGCACATGGGCCAACCAGCTCGTGTCAACTTGATTGATATTTGGGGTTTCCTATATATACCACAATTTATTTGAAATATCATTTCAGCTGAGGGAAAGGGCCTGGTAGCAAATGTCTATGATGAGCGATAGATTTTTTTATGACTAAAAATAAGTCGACGCGAGATAAAGCATAGAACGAGAACTCTGGCACCAGAGGTTTGCCAGAACAGAACAATTTGACTGGCAGCTCAAAACGCATAAATCAACAATCCGTCGGGTCAAAGGCTGTATATCTATACGTTGCGAATCCGCCATCCATGTGCAAATCACACTTAGTCGTTGACCTAGAATTTCTAGGCAACCTCGGTGACCATGTTACGGAGCTTGGATGGCCCTTCAGATTACCAAATGCGTTAGTCTAGCCACAGATTATACGTATGGACGCATACCTCTGGGCAGCTGCATGAAGCTTTGTCCGCGTCGCGTCACGATGGGAATCGTGAAAGCTTTGAATGCGCTTTTGAAGCCGCCTTCATGTTGCATCGGGCGAGCCGTCAAAAGATCCACATTCGGAACTTCTGGCCGTTCATCCTCGCTCCCTGCGAGGCCGCTCAACCGTCAATCTAGAAAAGAAATATGATTAGTACAATCAGCAATGTAATGACCAGCCTTTGGGGAGCGTACCGTCGTAGAACTCATCCTCGTCATCAAAATCAGCGAGCTGTTCAAAATTGACCTTGTATCGGAGAAGAGCTCCGATACCACCGAAACCTTTCACAAACTGGTTTCCTTCACTAGACTTATCAGATACAAACTCTAGAGTTGCTCCAAAGTCCTTGTAGTTCTCGGCAAGCCACTCCAGGAACGAACTCGAGTCTACGACCTCCATTTCCGCGCCAGTCTCCTTGTCAAGGAAATGCTCGCGGTTCTCCTCTTGAGCCTTGGTCGTGTGAACGACGACCTCGGCACCCTCGGAATTCTTGAGGATCCATCGAGTGACATCCAAGTTCTCATACACAATCAAGGTTTCGCAGGCACCGAGTTCAAGTGCCTTTAGGGTGTCTTCAACACCGTAGCAGACCTTTCCTGTATCCTGGCTAATCTCCTCGAAGTACTTTCCGATGAGCTTCTTCTCTTGGACGAATTTGACGTTGCTCAGCGTCTCAGCGGAGAGCTCGATAGCTTGATTGAAACCATTCTCTCCACCGTAGGAAACGTCGACAACCTTGATAACCTTGGCTTGGAGTCGCTGGTCGAACATATCGGACTGGTTCAGATCATTCTTGAAATCGGCAGAACCAGCGAGAATAATACCAGCAACGTTGACTTTGTCGTTGGTAATATAGTTCTGAACAGCCAACTCGGCGATCTTTCGGACATAGTTGTGGCGCTTTTCCTCTCGAAGACGTGCGAAACGAAGAGCAGACTGACCACCACGACCGTGCTTCTTCGGTAGATCGACGCTCAATTTCTGGAGAACTTCTCGTGTATTGCCGCTTAGGGTACCGAAGAGAGCGCCATTACCGTCCATAACAATGAAACCGAATTTCTGGTCGGACTCAAGCAGTTCGCTCAGGGCTTCGGTATGAAATTTGTTGTCACAAAGGTAGAGTGACGTGTTGATTGGCTTGAAGGGTTCGAAGTCGATGTTGATCTTACGCTCCTTTCCCTCGGAGGTAATAATTTCACCACAGTAGACAACCAAGCCGTTCGGAGGCACTTTGTTGTAAAGCTTGAGACGTTGCTGGGTTGATGTAATGGCAGAAAGGACGGAAAGACGGTTGACACGGGACTTGATATTGGAGGCAGTGCCCTGTATACCTGGGTTAGCGGCAGAATCGCTTGCACCCTACAAACCAAACTCACAAATTCTTCAGCCAACATTTTTGCCGCTCGAGAGACCTGATCCTTGGGAGCTATGACGTACGGTCAGCGTGTTGTGCACCAGAGGCTGTAGACACGGAGACGTACGAATGATCAGAGAGATCATGGAAGTTCCGTTTCCTCGAGCAGCCTCGAGCCGCTTGATGAGCTTCTTAATCTTCCATATCTCAATGTTCTTCTCCGCTTCGTTCGCCTGCTGGGGCGTGCTCATTTTGGGCGAGGGCAACTGGGCTATATGACCCTGTATAGGAAACTAGATTGGCCACCTGTGTCTGAGACGCCGGTCAGAATGTTAAGCCCGGGAAGAGAGCCTTTCTAAAAATGAAGAAGGAAAAAGCAAGTGATGGAGGGGTAAATATGAGACAGATGAGTCGGTAAATGAGCAATGAGTATGAGGGAGGAGGATGGGCAAAAAAAAGAGCAGGACGGTCGACAGCCATCAGTCACGTACCTTGAGGCTGGTCAAATTGCCGTCCAAGTCCAGCGGGGTGTTTAACAAAATTCGTCAGGCACCGTGGGGTGGCAGCCGCAATATGAGAGGGCGCTGCGGCGGATGATGTAAGCTCGCTAGGGATCAAAGAGCACCGCTTGTTCCTGGCTGTCAACGACGACATTGCCACTTGATTTTTGACTCAAAAAGGAGCTCCAAAATCCCCAGCTACTTCTTCAAGCAGATGGCAATGTGTCCTTGTAGGGAGTAAGATGACTCACAAAACGAGGCCCAAAACATCATTCCGGTCAACAATCAAATTGGTAGTACTCCGGGGTACTCCCAGAGCTTCCGTACGTTGTATACTTGCAAGACACAGTCTCAGAAGACCAAGTCAAGAGGTGTCGTCAGTCAAAACTCGAGGTTACCATCCTGATTTTTGGGGGCTATGTAGTGCAGTGGTTGACAACCTTTGCTTCTTCCAAGTGCCGAAGAAGACGATTCTTAAGGACATCATACATGTGTACCTAATACTCCGTCCTGCCCTTCACTTCAAACATATGAAAATTACCTCACGTCATTCGCGAACATGTCATATAAACCAAGAGAGAATGCTAACATGAGTAAAGAAAAAGGAATATCCTCGCCTTAAGCTAATGGTATTATATTTAATTTTCGGTATCTAAAAATATTTATCAAATGGAAATTTTGATGATGTATTTATATACATCACTACATTTCAAGATGAGCTTAGTTTGACATATGTTAACTAGTCTTTGAATTTCTACCTACATTACTTGGTGGTTTATTGTGCATCGAAGTCTGCCCCCCCCAGTAGTAGACATAGACTTGGATGCTCGACCAGGTCAACCAGAGCGAGTGTGAGGCTAATCAACAATGTTGCCAAAAACTTGGATCAGGGATCAAACCCCGGGCGCTAAGGTTGAAGAATACTTGCATCTGCCCATCCAATGTCCATCGATTTACAGCTTGGCAGCCTATGCCTTTTCCAGATACGTAGGTAGTTTACCGACCATCTTATTTCACGATGCTACATCGATGTATGTAATAGAAATGGCGGGAAATGCACGAAAGACCGCTGTGATAGGTAGTAGAAGAGAAAAGAAAGTCATGTTTTGATGCTAGCGGCGTCCGCCGAAGTTCGACAAATGCCGAATTAGGAGGAGTTTGCAGGAAAACAAGACTCTAGGCCTATCTAGAGACTGCTGATGCAATGATCAAGACAATGCGAACTTATCTATGGGGCCGTTTTCCCTCCTCCTAAGACTTATCCAGAATCCCCACACTTTCAACCCGAAAGTCGGAGGGGCTTCGTTAGTCCGGGACCATCTGCCCTTCCTTATCTTTGATTTTATGTCATTGCTTTCATCTCACTGCACCTGTCAGATGATATTTGCCATGATTTACGCGTTCGCTACTGTGAGATAGAAAGCATTCCGCTGCAGATAAATCAGACCCTCGAAACTGCAGTCGCAGCAGCTAGCTCTCCGATAAATACTGTGAGCCGCTGCTCAGTGGGAGCTCTGGGCAGTTTTGGGCAAGCTCTTGGTTTCAAGGCCCCTCTCTTCGCTCATCGAAGCTTGCAGAAGAGAATACTTCTTTCACGTTAACTCCTGCTCAAAAGAAACAAGATCGGGATGTTTGACGAAGAGTCTGAGGCTCTTGGCAGTCAGCGCTCAGCGACGCAGAGAACACTATCTACAAGCTCGCCGTTGGACTCTAGAGCTTTTTCTGATCGTCGGTACATTGGAAATGACGACCTTATTCAAAGAACCAGGTAAGTATTACTCGAAAGTGATTTTGACCTCGCATTGATAAGCGTGGCAGGTCCGGCTCTTTGTCAATGCGCATCACCCAAGTAGGTGGTGTCAACAGCATTGATAACTTTGCTCGGTCGTGGCAAAGGGCCGCTTGCTTCCCAGAGGTATTTCCTCGACGTGGGTCTTTTACGACAACCGACTCGGACGATGAATGGCAACCCTCAAGTGGCAATTTCATCAGGCCACAAGGTCCATTGCATACTGATCTAGACCCGACTCTTACACGGCCTTTATTAAGCGACAATGGGGCAGCAAGCTCATACCAAAGAGATGGTGTATACAACGCCGGCCATTTGGAGCCACCTCTAGGCACATCCTATGGCACAATCTCCTCACGGGTGAGCGAGTCAGCTCGGAGACATGTTATTGAGTTTCACAAACAGCAACAAGCTCATACTGAACCTGCGGTCGGTCATGATGGCGAACAGCTGCTCGTCAAACAGGTGCAGCACGAGGATGGCACGAGGGGTAATGTTGTAGTTGGCCAGTCTACCGTGCCACAGACGGTATTCAACTCTGTCAACGTGCTAATTGGTGTTGGCCTATTGAGTCTGCCGCTGGCGATGAAGCATGCAGGATGGCTACTTGGCCTTCTGTTTCTCCTATTTGCGGCATTGACTACGGCCTATACGGCCAAGATCCTGGCAAAGTGCCTGGATGTCGACCAGAGCCTGGTAACATATGCTGACCTAGCATATATCAGCTTCGGGCATCACGCTCGCTTGGTAATAAGTCTCTTGTTCTGCTTGGAACTTCTTGGGGCATGCGTTGCACTCGTCGTTCTCTTTGCAGACAGCCTCCATGTTCTCTTCCCGGGGTTGAGCATCCCTCAATGGCAGGTGGTGTGTGGTCTGATGCTTATGCCGCTCAGCTTTGTACCTTTGCGACTTTTAAGCGTGACGAGTATTCTAGGCATTCTTTCTTGTACATCCAGTATGTCTATCCACCCCTCTCCTTACGACTTAAATTAACAGTCATAGTTGTCGCTATAATATGCATTGATGGTTTCCTTAAACCACATGCACCTGGTTCGCTTCGCGAACCGGCACAGACTTATCTGTTCCCCGAGAATTGGAGTACTCTTCCTCTGAGTTTTGGGCTCATCATGTGTAAGTCGCTCCAGTCTCCCGAGGGAAATATTGAGCTGATAATTTTAGCACCGTGGGGCGGGCATGGCGTGTTCCCTAATATTTACAGGGACATGAGACACCCACATAAGTATGGGAGAAGTTTGTGGACGACCTATATCTTTACGGTATTTCGGTCCTGATGATTTTGCCACTTCTACGCTAACCTGCAACAGTACTCTCTAGACTGTACGATGGCCATTTTAGGCTGGCTGATGTTTGGCAATATGATTCGGGACGAAGTGACAGCAAACGTTCTTAGAATCAAGGAATATCCGCAGTTCCTGTCTCTTTGCATTATAGTGTTTATCGCGATCATTCCCATCACAAAAGTCCCTCTGAAGTGAGTTTTAGCTAACCCTGGTGCGTTGAAATGTGGTGACCGATTCACTGACGAGGTCCAGTTGCCGGCCGCTTGTTGCAACTATGGAGTTTCTCTGTGGCCTTGAACCACACACCGAGCTGAATGGCGATTACACAGAGCGAACAATATTTATCCGCAAACTGCTGAGGGTGCTGATCCGTATATTCGTGGTAGCGGTCATTGTTGTCATGGCCATAGCCTTCCCATCCTTCGACAGAATCATGGCACTGATGGGCTCCGCATTGTGCTTCACCATCTGCATCATACTGCCGCTCGCATTTTACCTGAAGATATTCGGAAAGGAGATTAGCTGGAGGGAGCGGCTGCTCGATTGGTCGCTTCTGGTCATTTCTTCGGTTCTAGCGGTCATCGGCACCGTGTGGGCATTCTTGCCACATGAACTGCTCATGTCCCTGTAAGCCTTTGTGGCTGGCTCATAGAGCCTGCACCCTCCTCATTTGACATCCCTCTTGACGATTATTGCGAAGTTATTCCTTGTCCTTCCTGGATTTAGGATTTCCTTTCTAAACTCTTTGGGTTTGCGTTTTCCACTGTATTCCCAAAGCTGATATATCAACTTTGACGTTTGCTTGTTCTTTGTCAAGGAAAATCCGATGCTGGTCAGAATCTCTTCAAGTCGTTGCTCCGTGAGATATCGCGAGTTCGCGACACAGGGCGCAGGGAGCACCAGGAATAGGCTTGGCGTGAAGGAGGTACTAGACGAATCAACCGGTAGTGACTTTGTCAAAAAAGCCACACAGCGTTTCAACATTTCTCCTCGGCCAATCGGATCTGGGACATAATTCAGCACCAGCGAGAGACTGATAAGATGAAACCGGTCTTGGTCACTTAGAGGAAGCTGCCGTTCCATGAAATCCTGCTTCAGAATCCCGGGCTCCTGAGAGTTCAAGTCAATTCTCGTGACATCCAGGTTTTCATTCAGAGAGCAGGCATTTTTCGTGCTAAGGGCCCCAACTTCGAGGACGCGGAGCTTGGAAGATGTAGTCTTCAAGTCTGCTAATTGAGGATTGATCCACTCCATGAGGACTTTGCTAGAGTCACCACCGCGTTCAGATGATTGTCCAATCTTGCTTGCTAGCTGGTAGCTTTCCAACCCACCATTGGCCTGTATTTGAGCATCAATTTTGTCGACTAAAGCTTGGTTGCCCACTCTTAATGCTTGAGTACGTTGTTTGAGAAGTGTATGGTGGGAGCGAATGAGATTCCGCGTCGCTTTGGCTGACAATGCCGCCTCGTTCTTGCGTAATGTTGGTGGTCGAGTGTGAGAGAGAAGAGCAGGACGCTTTTTCAGCAGCTTTTTGGCAGTCATTTTGTAAATTAAGGCATGTACTTTGAACACCAGTCCGTGCCAATACCTAATGCCTTGATCAAGTCACCAAGATTCAAAAACTAGACCGCCTTTGATGCTGCCGACAGAAAAAGGCGGCGCTGAATAAACTGGAGATTGCCAAGATTTTTCTCAGTGGGCTGGTCAGGTGACCCACACTGGCCGGCCGCGAGGTTTTTGCTAAGCGAAGACAATCCGGAATAATTCGACTCTCGACACTGCGACAATCACGACAACAGCGCCAAACGACAGCCATGGCCCCCGTTCAGAAGAAGACAGGTATGCATATTCGAGCGATTCAGATCCATTTGGATATTACATTGTCGATTTTCAAACTGCGAGCAAGTGCATGGGTTGCTGCTTCGCATTGGAAGATGAGGGCTGCATCAAGTTCGAATGGAATTCGTCCCACGGCATATACACCAAGACGAAGACGATTTGAGCACGCACACGCACACGCACAACCCTCGATTTTGTTCTATTTCCTGTTACTTCTGTGGTTCTCTTTTCGACAAACATGAATCAATTCGAAATGGGCCTTCAGTTTTCCAGTTCTTGTGCAAATCGCTTACTCTTCGTTCTATGAACAGGCAAGTCGAAGCCCAGCGACAAGGCTGGTGCCGCCGCCAAGGCAGTCTTGAAGGGTGCAGGCGTATGTTAAATCCAGTCCCAGTGCCTCTACCTGCGCACGTTGAGATGAGAGGGGACACCCCAGGCTAAAATATTCTTCGACACATCCAGGCGCACAAGACTCGCAAGATCCGCACCTCCACCACCTTCCACCGCCCCAAGACTCTTCAGCTGTCCCGGTCCCCCAAGTACCCCCGCAAGTCCATCCCTCACCTTCCTCGCTTCGACGCCCACAAGGTCATCCTCTATCCCTTGAACACGGAGAGCGCCATGAAGAAGATCGAGGAGAACAACACCCTGGTGTTCATCGTGGACGTCAAGGCGAACAAGCGACAAATCAAGGCTGCTCTTAAGAAGCTGTACGACGTTGACACCATCAAGGTCAACACCCTCGTCAGGTACGCTCCAGAATACACAGGCTGAGAATTTTTTTTTCCCCCAAAAAACGAGTGTCTAATGAACAAATTCCAGGCCCGATGGACTGAAGAAGGCTTTCGCTCGTCTTACCCCCGATGTTGACGCTCTTGACATTGCTGCTACCAAGCTTGCCATTGTCTAAGTGTTTGATTTTCTTTTGGGTCTGGGAAACGGTTCTCTTTTGCGCGGTGGGCATAAATATCAGCTATACAGTCTACACCTGTTGCGCGATAAACAATGGCTGAATGAATTTTAAAACAAAAGAATTTGATGCACGAGTTTGTTCTAGAGCGACGTATGCGTAGTATCCTGGCCGCATCCCGCCATATCTGGAGAGCATAAAGCAATTGGCCGTGCCCTGTCCCTCCATCCCGTCTCGGCTGAAGTCACTTTACTAACTCAAATACACATGTGCTGTGGTATCGTGGAAAACCAAGAGCAGTGCTTATCAGGGACATTCGTACGATTTGTATACACCTAAATATTATACATGGACTGTCCATAAATCAGTCAGCCGGGGGTTCGCATCTGACCCCTCATCAAGCCAAAAAATCCGTAGACTCCGCTCCTATCACATCCCATCACGTTCTGGCGAATAGAGTTCTAGACACCAGATGTCCCCCATTTGGTCGCGATTATATCTACCATCAACCATCATCCATAACCTCATCGAAACCTTATTGCCTTTGCAGAGTCTCCAGGTGCTTCAGAACAGCAAGGTTGGTATCCATCCACCGGTCGACACAGTTTGACGCACAAGCTTCTTCAGTCTTATCCAGGCGGCCGGACGAAATCTTCGAGGTGATGCACTTCTTCCAGCAGGTGTCGGCGATGTGGTGGACGTCTAGATGAACGTGTTTAGCCGAAGAACCCACGTGCAATGGCAAAGGCGATGCCAACGCGGAAAGGGCTGGAAACAAAGAAAGGGGGTGCAGGTAAAGGCTCACTCTGCTGGATAGCGCTCTTCTGGGATTCGTTTTGCAGGAACTGGGTGAGCTCCTTCTTGTCGGCTTCGCTGAGCTTGGAGATGTCGAGAGTTTGATCCATTTTGTATATGTAAAGGGATGAGTTAGGAGTTCTAGAGTTGTCTATGCGATAGTAATTATGATTCGGACGAGGCGGAGGAATTGGTGTGTGTGTAAAACTCGAAATGGTAGATAGAATAAAGAGATCAAGTTGATATTAATGCGGCTGCTGTCACCGGGAAAAATGGCTTGTATCCTGAACGAGCAAATCAGCAGTGGGCGGTGAGTGGCCTCAACTCTTTCTTTTTGCGCGCGTCCTCACGAGCCAACACGTCACACCACAGCGAGATCTGAGATACTTTACTCAAGCGCAATCACATAATCCTTACCCCTTTATCTTTCACCTTTTTGCTCACTCTCGATCGTGTCGAGCTCAGCCAGAGCCCCTACGCAACAAGATGCCTCCTGTCCGCACATCCCGCAATCGCAAACCACCCCCAGCCGGCTTTGACGATATCGAAGACACACTCCTAGAATTCAGCAATAAAATGAAAGATGCTGAGAATGCGCCGCACGAAGGAAAAAAGAAGCACGAGGTTCTGTGGCCCATCTTCCAAATCAGTCACCAGCGTACGCAAGCCCTTCCCTATCCATATTCTCAAAGTAAGCTAACGTCCGCCGGCACAGGATCAAGATACATCTACGACCTGTACTACGAGAAAGAAGCGATATCGAAACAGCTATATGACTGGCTTCTCAAGAACAACTATGCGGATGCCAACTTGATCGCAAAGTGGAAGAAGCAGGGTTATGAAAAGGTACGTCGCCGCTGGCTGAAAGAAAGCGCCCTGCCATGTGTCACTAACAACGTATCCAGCTTTGCTGCTTGCGCTGTATACAGACGAAGGAGACGAATTTTAATGCCACATGCATCTGCCGCGTGCCCAAGGCCCAGCTCAAAGAGGATCAAATGATACAATGTGTTAGTTGTGGGTGCCGAGGCTGCGCGAGTAGTGATTAGACGCCAAATCGGTTATGCAAGGACTTAACGAAACATGACACTGGGCCTTTCGGGTTTCATGCCGGATCTTTAGGACGGATCGTGAGGTTGACGGCTAGACGGTCAAGACTTTCCAGCCATGTTCATTTGGAGGGGTAGTCTGGCCAGGCTGGGATACTCGGAGTCGACAATGCGCGATCTCTAACTGTTGGCCCAGGGACGAAACTTGGATGATCTTTTTGCACGAACCAGAGTGGTGGTCTTGCCGCCTGTCATTCGTCGTGGCTCTTTCAATCTCCCCGCGTCTTCGTCTCCAGAAGTGTTGGCGGGTTTTCAAGGGGTTATTCCTATCATCGCTGGGATTGTCCCCCATCGGTTTGTTCCACTACTCGCCATATCAGGCTTTGCGTCGAGCACATGATGGTATCTTGATGTTGCCAAGATAAAGAGATTAATTTCACGGCAGCAGCTACGCTTAGCTTCGGCCCTATCAACATGTGTAGGATGACTTTTGCATGTCATTGATGGTCACGATCCTCATGTTTCCTCGAGCTAAATAAACGCAATCACGGCAAGGATAGCAAAAATTAACGCAGAGGCGTGAATAGAACGGCAAAAACAGGCTCATATGAACGTTGCATACTCATGTACATCTTAGCAGATATCGTCGTAAAGGTCATAAGATCGTCTCGGGACCAGCCAAAGTTAGAACCAACGCCCAACCTTGCCTCCACCCAAAACTCCAGGAATAGGAATAACACTGCAAAAGCGCCAAAGCCAAAATACAAAAACACAAAACCGATTTAAACGCCAAATCCGACTGGTGTTTAGTCCAACGAGGTAATAGGTATTAGGACATGTGTGCGCCGCGAAAACGAAGGGGAGCACGCCGATTGTAGACAACAGAGAAGCTCATAAATTGGGATGAAGTAGGCTCATTTCGTGAAAAGGACGAATGATACGGGGAGCGAAGCTCTGGGCAAAAGGAATTTCTCCGTTTTTAAAACAGGGTGTTGCTGCTCCGTTGGAACTGAGGTCGAGGAATGTGAGGACGAGGTCTTGATGCGTCATCTTTGCTGGAACCACCAATTTTCTGGAACCCTTGCAAAAGATCAACCCCATCAACCTCTCGTGGGCTGTCGTCGAACAGGTGGAATGAGAAAAAATCTTCAGATGTATCTGGCAAGCGTGTGGAATCAGGCAGTTTTGATGGTGATTCGGGGAAAAGATGTCCCTTGGATTTGCTGGGCGAGAAAGACTTGAGGCTCCCGATTCGGTTGTTGGCACTGATAGAAGTGATATCTGCCAGAGCGTTGTTTGTTGACCCGCTTGCGTCAAGTCTTGTCCGTTTGGCTGGACGTCTTTCAGGGGAACCGTAAGCTGGAGTAGATATGTGGTCTGCTGTAGGATCGGCAAAGACATCAAACGTGGCATGGAGGCTATCGTTTGGAGTATAAGTCTCGTCTTGTATGTTGAAGGCGGGGCTCCATGGAAGATCCTCATCTAAAAGACCCAGATGTTTAATCGGCGAGTTGACCATCTGCTGAATCTTCTTGCGATGATTTCGAAGGTTGGTATTTGGAGACACCGAGGGCGGGGGTTTCGCAGGCTTCTTAAACTTGATCATAGGCGTGATGGGTGGAGGCAGCATGCTAATGTATTCGTTGCGAATAGGAGATGATCCCACAAGTGTACCAGGCTCCTTCAAGAACCCAGAATGACTTGGGCTAATATCGTGCGAAGAGCTTCGGATCCGCGCAATTTCTTCTTCTGCCCTACCACGCTTGATGCGAGGAGGTTCAATATCGAGATCGGATGTTAATATATGACTAGCCTTGTTGGATCGCATTGCAGAGGACTCCAATGAGGAAAAGTATCCACTGTCATTGATTGGATTTGACTTTCGTTTCCGATGACGTGGAGCGTTGGTAGAGTTGGCAGTATGTGAGGGAGTCGGAGGGGTGCCTGGACGAGTAAATCGCGGTGGTACAACCGGAGGAGAAGAATGGATCGCTTGTGGAGGAGATGAGCGCGGGGGAACATGCACTACGCATGCAGGTGGGTTCTCGTCAGTGTCCTCTTGCAAGGCAGGGTCCGAAGCTGGGATAGTGGCGTCCGAGGATAAATCCACATGCTTGGAGGTCTTCGCAGCGCTAGGCTGTGCAGGTGGTGGCACAGCCCACGTAGTGGTGCTAGAGGTTGGTGGATGAACAGGCTCTCGCTGCGGCACCACAGAAAGAGGAAGACTAGACATTGTAGCGCGGCGCAGAGGCTTGTCCTTGACGAACTGCGCCTCCATTCCTGGTTCGATTGCCCAGTAGTTTCCCTTGCCTGGATCGTCCTTGGGTCGTTCTTGTTTGATGAAGGCCTTGTTCAGGCTAAGATTATGGCGGATGCTATTTTGCCAACCTGGGTCGCTGTTCTTGTAATATGAGAACGTTTCTGATATCCACTTGTATATTTGGGCAAGAGTCAATCGCCTATTAGGTGCGCGAAGTATAGACATGCCGATAAGCGTCGCGTAGCTATATGGAGGCTTTGAGCCGTCATCCTCCACCGGTGGTAGTTCGTGGGGCTCTGGGAGCCGTATCGTGGCCATGTCGTCCCGTTTTTGTTTCTTTGACCGCTCTTTTAATGGAGCCGCTTCCAAGAGTGATCGTTTCATACTCTGTTTGGCGATTAAAGATGGCTCAGGAAAGTCTGCGAAATTGTCTGCGGAGGATACATCTGCGCGCTGCTGATCGATTGGAAGCTGCGTGTCCGTGCTGACGCTGGAGAAAGTTGTGAATAAGGCGGATTGTGGCATTGGTGCGGAGGAAGAGGTGGCAGGGTGAATGTAGGTGTCGAATGGGATCTTCTTGATCGGAGAGTCTGTAGTGAATGCGGGAGGAGCAGGAGCAGTAATTGGAACGTAGCTAAGACGTCCTTGACCGGAGAGCGAGTTTCGCGGGTCGCGACAGGATTTGGTTGGCGAGACTCTGTTCGAGGCGGCAGAAGTTGGATTGAGGACGTAATCTTGAACAGAAGGGAGGTTTTCGAGAGGCTGAAGGGGTAGCGGTGATGGTTCTAAGCGAGGTCGCGGTTTTGATACCATCTTCTCCTGGGAAGAAGGTGCTTCCGATGTCCGCCGTACGAGTTGCTTCGGGGTCATGGTGAGGTTTCCAGCTTGCTCCGTTTATGCCCGGCTACGGCGTGGCCGTTGACGCGCTGCACAATGCCGACGCAGAAGGAATCCTGATAGAACCCAGCTAGGCGGTTTTATTGCTCAATCGCGATGGCTCTCTGGGAAGGCGATGGTGGAGGGATATAGCATGTGTTCGACAGGCGATAGTGTTTCGTGATATACCCTTTAAGAAAAATAAAATAAAGACTTTGTTACACAAGATAGCACTGCCGGGGCGAGAGTAAGAGCGGCGTGGGCGGTTGAGAGACGATGGTGATGGGGAATGGTAGTGGTAGTAGATAGTTGCGGCGCAAAGCAAGAGAGATGGGGAGTGTCGGGACTGAGGGGGCAAGGTAATCTGGAACGTGGGCGATTCGACTTTTAATCAAAGTCCCTTCGCCTTGGTTCAGGTTGCGCAAACCAAGTGGGGTGGTGCAAGATACTTCTTGAATAATGGATCAGGTTGAATTGGGGAATGGAAGAAAGGACGAGAGCCTGAAAGCCTGACGATGTTGACTATGTCAGCGCGACAGACTGCCTTGTATGGTATGGTTACGACGCGTGCGCGTCACGCGTCTTTGGGCGCTCGCAGCCAGCTATTTCAGTGCCGGTACTGTCATAAGCTGACAATACACCGGCTGCGTTTTCAAAGGAGCGCGGGCTATTCCTGAAACAGCAGTAGGGGCTTCGAGCTTGTTCAACGACTGGCTCTCCTTGCTGCGCGATGATCCGCCACCAACAGTCATCGTGTTTGGCGATCTCGGCAGATCATGGGTCACTTCGAGACTTGTCACTCGAGTCTCTATGAGTGCGTTGCAAACACTACTTCGGACTAGGGGTGGAATCGTAAACCAACGGTTATGCCAGGGCTTTACTCAAGGACGCATTCTCCCTACTTCTGCGAGAGGATCATCCCCTCCAATATTCCTTCCAAATCAGTCTCCCTTGACTGTCTCCTTTCACAAACAAGGGATCTCTCACACCAGTATTGTAGCGGGTAGATGGTTGTACTGTAAGGAACAAAGGCTGGGTGCGAAGGCTGATAGGACGGGCTAGTAGTGAGCATTCGCTACCTAGGTAGAAAGTTTTTTGATCTGAAGGTCGCTTTACATTGCCAAGGGCGTACGGAGGGGACACACGGGCTCGTTTCAAAGAACTCTTTGACCAACTATAAATGGAGGTCCCAAATAGAGATCTATATGCATAATTTGTAAAGTCATCTAGAAAACCCAAAGACCAAAGTCAGGACATGTACTTTATCCGTCAGGCTTGTAACACCTGTACAAAAGAAATCTATCCCAGAAAAAACGCAGCTATATACAACTGGCTGAAATATCACGCAAATCATGAAAAACGCCGCCATGCAGATAAGCACCTCTCCCATCATCTAATCGTCAACAATGTCAAAGCCCGTGGACTTTCAAGGCTGCAGGGAAATTATAGTGGATATCCTATAACAAGAAGAGGTTTCGCTGAACTGTACAAGAGGTCAATAAAGAGGAGGCCGAGAAAGAAGCTCCTCTAATCAAGGAACGTGAAAAGGCTGGTATGTATGATATTGAGCGCTCGATCTGCGTCTCGCTCCTCAATGACACACGAGATGTTGATCTCGCTCGCACCTATAAGAGGTAAAGATATCAGCCAGTAATCAAAGACAATTGAAAAAAGCCATCCTTACCTTGAGAAATCATCTCAATGTTGACATTGTTTTCACCAAGAGTTGTAAACATACGTCCAGCCACTCCGACCATGTTCTTCATTTGCTTGCCGACGAGGCTGAGAATGGCCATTCCAGGAATGATATCAACGGTACCATATCTCTGTAGATCGTTCAAGGCTCCTTTCAGATCCTCATCAATGATCTGATATTCATCTCTGCCAACACCGTTTAACAGTGGTCTTTCCGAATGCAGAGCCATCGAAACATGAACCTCGCTCGTGGAGATCAGATCAATCGATAATTTCCAGCGGTCAAGGACAGAGAAAATTCCTGCAAAGAAACCATGGGAGAGGGAGCGTTTGTTTGAATGCACGTTGATGACGAGGATGTTATGTTTGATGGTAACAGCGGTCGGGCGTTTTGGGCGCTGTAAAAGGCTCGGGCTCCTCGTACGGAACAATCTCGGATCATGGCCAGGGGTCGTCCTTTCTAACTCGTAGGTAGAATCGGGGAAGATTACAGTTCCATTGCCCTTTGGGTTCATGACGTTTTTGATCCGGATGGGAATTTTGGCTCGGATAACCTGTTCCATAGTGAAGGGATGGATCACCTCTGAACCATAAAATGTCAATTCAGCGGCCTCTGCAGGGGTTATGGCAGGGAGGAGTCGCGCTGTAGGCACTTTTCGAGGGTCCGCAGTGAAGATTCCATCGACTTCCTTCCACACCTGGAGTTCCTTGGCATGAACGCCAACGGCGACCAATGCTGCGCAAAGGTCAGTGTAGCCACGGCCAATTTGGTCAAGCAAGCCGCCGGGTACAGTACCAAAGTATCCGGTGATGACCGGAACTTTGTTCTCACAGGCGTAGATCTTGCGGCCAAGAGCGGCAGCAAGGTTGTCGTAGAAACACTGATCGAGGCCTTGCCCCGAGATGTGGAAATCGATGATTTCGGAAAGATCCACATACTGCGAGTCAACCCCTCGATCTTGGAGAAAGGCAGCCATGAGGCGGCAACTCAATTTCTCTCCTGTGCTAATCACTTTATCGACGCATCGCGCACTGATTTCCCCAAGTGTCTGAGCAGCCTCCAAGACCTTTAGGACCTTTTCGCATTCGGCATTAATCTCTGAACGGAGTTGTGCTTTGATCTCGTCCGATCGAATCTGAGTATCAACGACTTGGACATGCTCTAACCGGACAGCCTCAACGAAGGAAAGGTATTGCCTTGACTGAGAGTTCTCTGCATCGCGCGCTGCTCGTAATAACCTGCCATCAAAGTTTTCACTATGAGTTAATTGTTGTACCACCTAGCAAGGGGTATAGCATCACCGAAGGGTGTGTGACTCACCGGTTGGTAGTGCCCTCGGCCTTTGTCGAACTGCTCCTTGCAGAACAAACGACAGCAACATTTTGATCTACCAGGCTTGGTCTAGGTTGAATATCAATATCAGCCTTAAACCTCATGCATGAGGACAAATTCCGGGGTAGCAAACGTACAGAACGACTTGATCGATGATATTGTGGGCGAATTTCCCGACGCTCGTACCTCCGAACTTTTGTACAACCCAATTGCTCTTTGCTGCGTTTGCTGGTGCATCTTTTAGAGCATATATGACATCTGGATAGGACTGCGAATGGCCGTTCATCTTGGAGGCGCTCTCTCTCGCAGGTGTGGTCCAATTCTAGAGCAAGTATGACTGTCCGGCAACGGAATCTTTTATGTGGCCCGGCGGGGTTGCGAAAGCGGAGGCATAATTTTTCTTCTTTCTCTTTCCGCCTTCCGTGTGGAGAGCGACAATCTTTTCATCTTAATAATTAGGTAAAGCCCGCAAACCCTCCAAGGTTCTGAGACCCACAAAGACGATGTCGGGATTATTTCCGCCCCGTGATTGGCCAAGAATAGATTTACACTGTGGTGCCTGAGCCAGCGTGGCCAGGCTAGGTATCCTCGGGCCATATTGATGCGAACAAGCAATTTTATAGAGTCGGACCGGGGGGTTTGGAGAGTGCATCTTCTACTTCTATCTCTTCTACCAAATAGTAGTAGTCGTCTCGAATGCAAAATTAAGATATTTATTCTCCAGCTCGAGATTATTTTTTGGCTCTCTGGCCCAACGAGCTTTGTCTCGTGCTGATTGTTTCAGCCTGGCGAGGCTTGACTGACATGCGGCCCCTCCAGCCGGACGGGTTCTTGCATCTCGCATCTGACGACATCGTCAACCTCATGTACCCCTAGACAGAGGTCGCGCAGTTACATTCGACTACTTTGTGTTCGTATATTTTGGCTACCGCCTTTACTGTCCCTTTTGTTCAGCGGTTTTCAGCGTCCTCGTCTCAACTTTCATCGGTGACAACAAAAACTGCGGCATACCATCCGAATCCGTCTCAATCCTCCCCACCAACAAAACTAACGGAGAAAATGTACCGCCATGGTTCAACCGATCCGACATGCCCGTTTTGCCCTTTCTCAGACCTGGACGGGAACTTTGTTGCTGAGCACGTTCAGTACTGTCATCCTGAGAATGGACTGCAAACCGAGCAACAGGAAATACCTCGGGTCAACAACGGAGTATTCTCCAAACTCCAAATTCCGGACGCTCATGAATCCGGTGATGAAACCCCTACTAGCGAACACGCAAGTCTTTCCCACAGCCTGGAAGAGGAGATGGTACTAGAGGAATATTTTGCGTTTGAGCATTCATTACCCAGGGTGCAAAAAGATCGTGCTGGAGACAGAGTTCAATCGCATTACGTCTCCAGGCAAACTACTTTGCGCAATGGTGACCGAAATGATCGATGTCAGAGAACGCCTTCGACTCAGGCTTCCCATGAAAATATCAAAAGACTCGGTGTGCGTTGTCCACTTATTTCCACATCTATATTCCTATATCAGCTACTAACCCTGGCGCAGCGCTCCGAATTGGGACCTTATGCCCATGAGAAAAAAATGCCTTTATGGCTCTCCAAAATGCTAGAAAAGGGCAACACCGCATCTAAAATAAACCTTATCACGCCAGAGGGCAAACTTTCCAGACGCCTGATTGTCGAAAACCAAACGCCCAATGTTGTGTCGGCCCTTGCTCATCTATGTGGACAGGATAAATCTGTGCAGCGAGCCTTCTTTTGCAGCACTCATGTCCATCAGATATCCAAAATGCGGAGGGAAGGGAGCTTTTGCGGATACCGAAACATTCAGATGCTAATCTCATACCTGCAAGAGTGTCGTGGTCCTGGGCATGATCACTTTCCTGGTGCATTGCCAACCATCCTGCAACTCCAAGACATGATCGAACATGCATGGGACATGGGCTTCAATAGTGTTGGGAGGACTGAAACTGGGGGTATAAAAGGAACCAGGAAATACATTGGCACCTCCGAAGTAAGTTCCTTCCAAAACCTCAAGCGAGATTCGTGTTTGCTAAAACAGTATTCACAGGCCCAGGCGCTCTTTTTAAGCCTTGGGATCGGGTATGTATAATTCCAGGATATAAAGTGACTTGCACTGCTGACTCCCTTTAGGTGTGAGGCAAGCAGCATAGGGAAGACCAACGGGATACCGGCTCATAGCGCTCTACTTTCCCAGGTAGCTGCATATTTCAGGAGCGCATGCCCTTTGGACAAGAACGAAAAGGTGGTTCTGACAAATTTGCCACCTGTCTACTTCCAACATCATGGTTCGCTCATTCTCCTTCCTACTCAAAAATTCTATACTAAGACTGGGCACCATGCACAGGACATTCTATGACTATCATAGGTTTTGAAATCCGAGATAAAGGGCATGCCAATCTCCTTGTGTTCGACCCGACGTACAAGACGCCTGCCACAATCAAACACTCTACCGCGACCACATTCAAGACCCCTGATCCAGCTCGAATCTTGAAGGGATACAGACGTGGTGGGGAGTATTTACAAAAGTACCAAAACTTTGAAATCCTCAAGTATGTACCCAACTTTTCAATGCGACTTGTCTGACCCTTCAACCAAGATTATCACCTCCCGGCATTCCGCCAGAAAAATAATAGATTGTAGGAGCATTCCATGCCAGGTACCGTAAACCATACATTCAAAGTGACGCCAGAGCGCATCCTTTCGTTACTCCCAAGTTGGACCCCACCCTCTGATTACTCGTTGATGCCTCAGGCGAAAACCCCCCACCACCTTTCTCTCTTGGCATCGAAAATTATCAAATCGCAGCGAGGGCAATCTACTCGGGCAGCTCTTGAAAAGTTGAGACTTTAAAGACCTTGTCAAGATTAATCACGCACAATGCGCACTTGTCCAAATATAATAATAACAGGCACCCCTGGCGTTGGGAAAACAGTGCACTGTGAGCAACTAGCACAGGACACAGGTTTACGGCATCTCTCCATAAACCAAATCGCGAAAGACCGAGGTTGTTATGACACCTACGACGAGGAATTGAAGACCTGGGTGGTGGATGAAGACAAAGTAAGTCTCTTTTACTCTTGATCCATCTCTTCTTCGCCACTCGATCGAAACTTTGCAACGATGCTTATTCTACCTTACGGTCTACAGCTTTTAGATGCTATTGAAGATGAAGTCCTTCAAGGAGGGTTCCTAATAGACTGGCACGCCTGTGATTTGTTTCCCAAGTCATGGATTGACCTTGTCGTTGTTTTGCGCTGTCCATCTACATCCATTCATTATGACCGCCTTAGCTCCAGGTAAGCAGCATATGCCATATCACTGACGCTTTGACCTGATTATCACTACTCATTCCTATTCCCTTGACAAATAAAGCTAACGGGTGTACAGGGGTTATCATGAGACAAAACTTCAAGAGAACCTTGATGCCGAAATCTTTGCCGTTCTCCTCGAAGAAGCCCGGGAGGCATTTGATGAAGAGATCGTGGTTGAGTTGAACAGCGAGGAGGATGGCGATGTAGACGCCAACTGCTCAAGAATTGCATCCTGGGTAGAAAACTGGAAGAGCGATCAAGCCAAAAATTCGGATTAAACCTTTTATTTCCCTAGCCTGTAATATCATGATATCGCGTTTCATTGGCGCTAATCGATTTTGATCTACGCTTGCTGCTCAGCTAACCACTGCTGTAGTTTGGTCAGGGCTCTCGATCTGTGGGAGATTTTGTTCTGTCCCAATGTCAGCATGGCAAAATTTTAATATGGAATATACCGACCTTGTCCTCTTTAGTCATCTCGGCATACGTTTTCCCTTTGTATTCAAAAATTGGATCCCAGCCTAGGAACATCCATTAGTCCTTCAGTCCAATATCGTATCTAGAACATACCAAAATTCGTCGGACCTCTAGGCCTCACAATAGTGCCCTACAAATGAATGTCAGCTTGCCTAATACAGCACACAGAGCCTGGCAAAATCTCACTTCTGTCCTTCCCTGGAAGATAATCGGCTCAGAGCCAGGACCCTGCGAGAACGCAAAAGTGCATACAGCATCTGCGCCCCTTGTCTCAAAGGAGTCGAGCATCTTATTCAACCCCTCATGGCCCAATGCTTCAAGGAAGTGTTTGCTAGAAGAATTAGTCTTAGTTTGAGAGGACAATAGAGATCGAGATGGGAGTTATCCCTAGAAGGTCATTCCTTACATATATGGTCCAGGCAGACCCTTCAAGGCATGAAACTCGAGAGCCGTATCCTCGGTCAATACTGGACCGCCCACCTATGCATCGACTTGGTCAATAATTCATTTATTCTCATCGAATGGGTTGGATTGGCTCTGTTAAGTACATACTACCTGCGCTGCATGTCTGCATTTCTCCTTGGCAATTTCTTCGATGGTGCCTTGGACTTCGGGCACATCGACCGCTTCGTTTTCGACTGTAACCACACTGCCCAGAATGGCTCTTACCTCGGCCAGTTTATTCCGGTTGCCGGTGATGAAATTGAGAGTCTTCATTTTGATTGCGAACGTTGTCTGTATTTGACTCTGTCAAGAGTGAAGGGTTGGGCGCAAGAGGCGGAGGGAAAGACTGAAGTGGAGTTGTGTGTCCCCACATGGGAATCACCTCTATGAACAGACTGCTTTCTACACCTCTAATCTATGCATATTCGGCTTGATCCGCCAATAGACGTTTATCCACAGAAAGATACAATCAAGATAGAGTCAAAATGAAGAAAGGGCCCTTGCCCCCGGGGCCACAAAACGGCCTCTAAACCGGTCCGATATATATTCAACATGGGATTCGCCATCAAAAGTAACCAGTCGCTCACAAACATCCTCCTCACCATTCGCTGCTCTAGAAAACAACATGTCACTTCATTTGTATGCTTGCTCACTTCGCGCGCAATAATGCAACTCTATTCAGCAGGTACTTCGCCGTTCTCCGGGATATCTGGTTTGTCTTGTTGAGCCATAGCCTGTGCCGAGACGATTTCAGCTAGGCGTTTCAGTCGGGGTGTTTGGAGCCCTACACAACGTAATTAGTTAGCCACGCGCACCGCACCATATGACAATGACCCGGAAAAACTTACAAGACGGGGTGTATGTTTCCAAAGCTGTGATAACTCGCGGTTCAGCGATTTCGTACGGGCCACTGTCCTCCATGTCAACCGGGGTCAGAAGAAGCACGTCGCTTTTCTCAGTGACACGAGAAGCGACCGCCTTCATGATTTCCCCGTTGATAGGCTGCTCGTAATCGGCCACGAGATATTGATTCAGGAGTTTCTGGATCTGATTGGGGGAAAGCCTAGAAGTGAACATGTTAGAACGTATAATCAATATCGACGAGACTCAAGTCTTACATCCAACAGATATCCTGGATAATCTCAATATCGTTCAGCGTAGCCTTCTTCAACTGAAGAAGCTTGGTTGCTTGCTGTGTGATTGTTAGTCACGAGGTTATCGAATTTTCTCGGTCATTGCTTACCATCAAATGTTCTAGCTGTAGAGTTCCCTCTGGCATATCATGACTCTTACACCACTCCTCGATGCGTGTTATGTTGTAATTGATTTGTAGACCTCGCTTCCAAGAAAGAAAGTTTCGTCTCATTAAGAGGTCGTTGAAAGCCGTGACACCGACAAGACGCAGAAGCTCTGTGACAGTCTGGGTAACAATTGTGTCCTCCAGGTAAAAGGCCTTCATAGCCTTGTACACATTGTTCAAGAGACTGAGGAGATTGTCCATGCTGTAGGCAGGGTTGTTGTTCGATGGCAGAAGCTTCCCAAGAAACCGGCTTGTTTCATTTGTGACAAAGCCGGGAAGAGACTGGGACTCAATGATGGCTGGAACAATCATCTTGAACAGCTTCTTTTTCAGCACCTTCATCCAAGTGTGATAAATGTTGAACTCTAAGCTTTCTAAATCATGTTTGACGATTTCCAGAAGGCGGTCATACTCATAGTTATCGGTTTTTTGCGCCTCGTACCAATCCTCGGCCAGAAACACAAATGAGAGCATCTCATGGACGTTAGACAGCCAGAAAGCGCCCGGGTTGATGGCATCCTCGCCATCATGCTGCATGACTTCCTGCTGTATTGATTGCATGACGTTGGCCAAAAAGCGCTCAGACTCTTTGACGAAGCCATTGTTCCACATCTCAGAAGTAACGAGGTTGATCAGGTAGGCGGGGAAGAGCACCTCCTTTTCCGTAGGTGGAGGAGTAGAGTTGGGTGCTGGGATCTTCAAGTTTCGAATCAGACCCATTGTCACTTCCTCATTGAGCTCGTCCTCTTCCGAGAGTAAGGTCTCAAGCTCTGCCTCCACAGAGTCAAGTCCGGACGATGCAAGTGCGGCGCCCGTGAAATTCTGGCGGCCCAACGCGCTTGGAATGGCCATCGATACAGGGCGAGGGTTATAGGCTCCACTAAATCGATCAGTGTCGATCCTCTCTGCGCCAGCGCTGCGCCGCTTCGGTTTAGTCTTTTTCGAAGACACCAAATTGATGAGCCCATTGGCAGGTGGCGGAGCAGGACCACCGTTCTGCTGATCGCCGTTTATAACTTGAGCAGGCAATGTCCTCTTCGCAACCTCCAGTTGCTCCTCAAGGTCAAGAACCTGCTGACGGAGAGTGGACTTTTCGCTTTCCGCCTCCGCGTTCAGTTGCTTGAGCTTCTCGAGTTCTTGGTTTGCTGATCGTATTGATTCACGAGAAACCCTTTCTTCTTCCTGAAGGCGCTTGACATTTGCCTGAGCCTCGGCATGGTTCTGCTGCAGTTTACTCATCTCTTCCTCCAGAGCCGTCAAGCGGGCAGCAGTAATTCCGGCTTGATTGGCCTCTGCTTGCAGCTCTCTTGACCGATTCTCCAATGCATTATGCCGACTCCTCCAAGACTTGAGCTGGGTCTCGTAGTTTTCAAGTTGAGAATTGAGTGATTTGTTCTCACGTTTTAGAGATTCCAGGTACTGAGTTAACTCGACAACCTTGTTCTCAAGCTTGTACGAGATCTGCTTCAGGTCTCTGGCTTCTTCTCTGAGGGTCTTGTACTGTTTCCTTGCCTGTTTACCTCTCCAGAGGTTTTGCACTATGACGACTTGCCGACGATACTGCCGCCACGCGCGCAGTTGCCGCCAAGAGCGGAAAGCACGTTGTATGACCTTGGCGGCATTGCCGTGAATTGTATCCAGGATATTCCGCCGGCAAAGGAAACCCTTTGTGAGCGACTGGAGAAGGATGACGTTGGCGCGAATCTGATTGTACTTTTTCCTCTCTTTCTGACCTCTCCATACCCTCTGAATAGTCGTAGCTGCCTTGATCTGGCGAATTTCTGCTGCACGCTGTCGAGCAAGGAATCCTCTGACAAGGGACTGTGTAGCAAGAACAGAAGAGCGCGCTTCAAGATATCTGCGCCGGTAGTATTTGCACCGCAAATTCTTCTGAATCATGATCGCGCACTCGTTCAACCTTGAAGTGCGGAGATTCTCCAAAAATGCAAGCATACCAGCTCGGAAGAAAATCTTACTCAACCCTAGTTGGTACTTGTCGTGTCGTTGCTGTGTGGAACTGCCAAGGGCTTTTTGTAAAATGGCATGGCACATGTTCTTGATCTCGGACGTCCACTGAGACGAGTGGCACAGCATATAATAACGAATAGCAAATTCCTCATAAGTCCATCGAGTAGGGTATCCAGCCGTACTGATCCGAACTGTTTCGAGAACGCCACAAGCCCTCAGTTGATTGAGCACCATTGGTCCTTCAAACTTCCAAGCCTCCTTTGCTTCGTTGGGTTTGATGCAACGGATGTAGTGCACCTCGGTAGAATTTATAGTGCCCATGAGCTCGATGAGAGAGGATTTGAAGATCCCACCAAGTGTGGGCTTGCGGTTTATGGCAACACCGATTTTGCGACCTGGGGCGTTGACAGGCTTGGATGATACTGCGGCAGAGTCCTTTTCGCGGACGGCGGCAGCGGTATCCAGCACTTGCTTTATAAAATCGTTGGAGGAATTGCGCAAGATTTCCATATGTTCGTCTGGCACGGTGTCCCGATTTTTCTCGATGAAGCCGTCGGATTCGTATGTCACGTCAACGGCGTAATGGCAAATGGTGAATGCTGATTTTCCAAATCGTGGTTTCTTATAAAACTTTTGCTTATCGGCAGCAAAATTATGATGAAGTTTCGTCACAAACTGCTCGTCGGAGCCCATTGGCAATCTGGACTCTTCGTCTAGAAGGGATAGGATTCCCAACTTGGCTTCGATCAGGTCAATGCACGGCTGATTATCCGAAAAGTCGATAAAGGTCCAATCAATCTGCTCTCGCACATATTCTTCCTGTTCAAGCTTGAAAACATGCTGATTGAATTCCTGCTGCAGTTTCTCGTTGGCGTAGTTGATGCAAAACTGTTCAAACGAGTTTTTGGCAAAATGCTCAAACCCGTAGATATCCAATACTCCTATGAATGACTTGGAATTGCTTAGCACCTGATCGGTCGCCAAGCCTCGGTTAATTATGTCGACCAGCCAGTCGAATAAACTCGAGTATATGAACTTGGCAACTGAATCTCTCACGACAATGGCCTGTTGCTGGGTCAAGTTGGAAGTTATCTTCTCCCCTCTTGTAACAAGCTGTTTCTTTATTATCCATTTGGCAAATTCATTGGCATCGATCCCAAGCATTTCACACGCCCTAGCTAGGGATGGTTCAGAAGATGAGAGAGTCGAATCGGTCCTTGTGGCAGTGATTTTGACATTGCCGAGGTGTAGCAATGCCGCAAGGACGCGGAAGATCTCTGACTGCTTCTCTTCGGGTACGCCAATGGTCGCTAGGGACTTTTTTGTCGCAAGGAATTCTGCCTTGTCGTCGACCCCGTCGATAGTTGGAGTCCCGCCCTGGTTAAGATAATCAAAGTCTTCAACGGACGCAAGCCCGAGTTCCTGCTTCTCCGAATCTGTCGCCCCGGCCACAAGCTGATAAAAGATGTGATAGTTGCGTTCCTTGAGAGGCTGAAACACCAAGCGTGACCTCTCCAAAAGGTACGTCCTGATCTTGGCACCAACGATATTGGTCTTGTCGTCAAACATGATTTCGATATACTTTCCAAATCGAGAGGAATTGTCATTGCGCGTCGTTTTTGCATTACCAAAAGCTTCCATAACCGGATTTGTAGCCAAAATTTGTTCTTCTGTCTCGCTAATCGCATCGGCCCTGCTTGTCGTGTACTTTCCGGGCTGGTCTGAAGATTCCCGTGTCGCAAAGTATCGCATGATGTATTTCGCGCTGACGGTTTTTCCGGCACCGGACTCGCCGGAGACGACAATCGTTTGATTCTTCCCATCCCGTAACATGTCGCTATACAAACGTCCTTAGCACATAATGCTGAGTGCCAAAGGGCAAAGCCAGTGTAATACTTACCCAAAGGCTTCCTCTGCGATGGCGAAGAGGTGGGGTGCCTGGGACGCTCGATGCTTCCCAGCATACACCTGGACCATTTGTGGTACATACAACGAATCGACGCGGGCAAAGGGATTGGTAGCAATAAGCACAATACCACTATAGGTGTAAATCTCTTTTTGCGCATATCGTAATTTGATGGCCTGTAAGACTAGAGATGAGTTAGACTTGACCAAAAATTACAATTCCGAACCTACCAGCTGGCTCATTCAAATGGGACAAGTTTGTAAGGTCTTCGCTCGCTTCAAGCATAGCAGGGTTCATTAACGGCGGCAGTTTTGAATTGTTGTCCACCTGCAATTCGGCCTGCGTAGTTTCTATCTCCTTGGTCTTTATGTAGACGGTCAAGTTAGTTTCAATACGACAAGAAGGATATGGCAACAACGGACCTCGCCATTTTCCAAGAGGAAGACAAGGCGAACTTTGTCGCCATCAACCAGCTTCTCCTTGACCTCGGAGGCTACCCAACCCTCAGTTGGCTCGGGTTGCCAGGCTCTCGTTCCAACCTCGTAGTTATGCGCCATCGGGATAGCCTAAAGAGTGCAGGCAAGTTCGAATGAGGAAGTAGTAGGGTAGTACGTAGGTTGCTCAAAAGGTATCTGGGAAAGGCATGTAGACGGGAAGCATAAACAAAGATAAATGTGAAAAGAAATGTGAAAAGAAAGGAAAGAATTGCCTTCCAGGGCAGTGACTAACAGGATGCAGTCTTGGAGAGGAGTGCTCTCATGCTGGATTGAAGCAGAAATTCCAAGAATAATGATGACCAGACTGGCCGCTCAACGTAGCCCCTGAGGAGCCTCGGGGCCCGCGCCACTGGCTGAGCCATTCTCCACACTGGTGCCAACGCCAAGAGGCAGCCAACAGACACCACCTTGCCCGCCCAAGCGTCAAACTCCCGGGAAGACTATCAACTACCTTTTACTAGGACCTGGAGCCGCTCTACCCAGATGGAAGAATGAGGTATGGCCATATGTTTCTACACACAATTGCTATAGATTTGTAAATTTGATGTCTTGTACTCTGCCTTCACCTCCGCCTTTCGATCCACGGAGTAGCCCATTCTTGTAGAACTGAAATCCCTTTTATCATGCATTTTTCATAATTTGTGCTATCAACACGCATCTTTAAAAAAAAGTGTACCTACTCCTCGCGCCACCAATGACTCGACATTAAGATATGAAAGAGATAGTGTAGAAAAAAATGGTAGATAATCTCTGCCAACGTGATCGACGCAAGGGTCCGGCGACTCCCAGCCAGTCCACGAAATTAACAAACTGTCGTATGCGTGTACATACTTCGTTTATCACGGGAGAGCATTATATAGCCTTGCAGGAAGAATTGTTGAGAAGAATGATCTGATGAGCAAAAGCGGACGAGAAAGGGGAAAGATGTCATGGAAGGTCGCTATTCCAAGCCAGCACAGGCAAACCGCTAACAACACGTGCGAGCGGATGCGGTAGTCTTGAATCTTCCACTCTAGCTCTGCTTGCACTCGGCCGCCTCTTTCTTTGGCTTGGAAGTACCATCCTGTCCAATATCAGCATATATTGACCACGAGCCATCTGGGATAGTTCAACGTACCTCTTCGTCAGAGTCATCAACATCTCGATCAGAGCCTCGGCCATCTTCATCTTCATCATCCTCATCATCATCCTCATCGTCAAACTCATCAAACTCATCGGGATCCACATCGTCACCAAGTTCTTCAAATTGAAGGGCCTCGCCAGTGAACCAATCGATTGCGCGGGGGATAAGCTTCTCCTTGATATCTTCTCCGAGCTGGTAGTCGAGTTCGAGACGCTCCTCGATATCCGTAGCGACGGTATCATCGTCATCCGCTGGGGGCTGAGGGGGGGCGAAGAAGTTGAAGAAGGACTCTGTTGGTACTGTAATCTTGACCACACGAGTCTGTTTTGTGTCTGCTAATGTATTAGTCATGGGCCAGGGACTTTCGACTTTCGAACTCACTCTTGTTCCTCTGCTTTTTGCTTTCCACGCGAACAGTCAAATCTTTTTCATCCTTCCAGTCGATCTTGGTGCCCTCGGCATGATCATAGATAAAGTCGCCTCCATATCCATTCTCCTCCTTGTAATAGTATGTTTTTGAAATCGCCTTGTTCGTGAAGAATTCGTTTTCGGAAAATTCGAAAATGAGTCTGAATCCCGGGCGATCAAGGTACTCCATGCGGATATCTGTGAGATGCTTGAGAGCGTCTTCGTCCCTGTCAGTAATCATTTCGGCGAGCGAAATCTGGTTCTTCATGGCGGAGAGCCAGAACTCTGGGATACCGGCCATCGGGGACTCCTCCTCTTCCTTCTTCGGCTCTTCATCCTTAGCTGCATCGATGTCCTCTTCCTCAGCCTTGCCAGCCTCAATCTCAACATCGGTTGGCTCGGCATCTCCATTAACGATTGTAGCACGTCTCTCGTAAAGCGGGCTGAATTTCGCAAAATACTTCTTTTCAAGTTCGAGAACCTCTTCTTGGAACTGGGCTTCCAGCTTTGAATGCTCCTTTTGGATACCCTTCAGACCGGCGACACGGCGGCGGACAGAGGCGGGCAAGGACTCAATGTAGCCGGATGAGCGACCAACAAGCGAGCCAAGTTTTCCTTGAATCATCGATACCAGCGCGGGGTTCCTTGCAAACAAAGAAGCCGCAGTAGCAGGGTCGAAGCCCTCTGTTATTCGGATATAACTGGTTAGCGTCTCCTTTTACGACAGATTTATCTTGTTCGGGAAGAAAATCACCTTCTTTGATGCTGGAAACTCCAGGTTGCTGAGCATGAGAAGAAATGGGTGCATTGTTCGCAGGCGTGTTTTGCGGTGTTCTGCCAAATTCACCACTGGTTAGAAATCAAGATGGGAAATATGTGACGAAGCCAGAATGGAGCAACGTACGGAGCGACAGGAAAATCTGCCTTCTTATTCCTAATGGGCTCAGACATCGTGAATATTCGATCACAGACGATACGGAAACCTCAAGGTGAGAAAAGTCCGTGGAGGGGTTGTCGCGGAGAGGGAGAGTAAGGGTTGAAAGAATTTGATACGCTGAGATTTTGGGGTCTGGAATCTGGCTTGGTGGGATCTTAGCGCCCTTGGGCCGAGGGGCTTGGCGGGACAATGTGGCTGTTGAGAACACCCACACAAAGATGGCGAAAGTTGGGACTGAGCACAGTAATTCAAGTAACAGAATAATGATACTTTGAAGGTATCCGATATGCTTTTATGGAGGGTTCTGTGACGACTCAAATCCAAGGCTGCCAACTGGTTACCAAAAGGTATCGCTAATCATGACCTCCCTCACACACCGTAAGCGTCCTCAACAATATGCTTACTCCGACATACTCTTAACTTTAACCATTCAAAGTTAGCCGCTGGCGAGAAACTGAGGAACAGTCTAACAGCCCTCCGGGTTGCAAATCCAACGGGAATTTGTTCCGCCCATCCCAAAGACAAGTGGGAGATGCACTAAGGTAGTACATAGGATGAACTATCTTTGGAAAAGCCCATGTTGCTAAAGGAGGCTAATCTTACTACCTCTACTGCTACTACTATTAACATCAGTTGTCCTGTGGAACCAAGATAAGTACGAACTTGCTTCAAATTCTTGCCTGACAACCCACCACCTACGTACTTAGTGGAAGGAATTATAGGATATGAGCACTAAACCATGCCCTGAGTCGGCAGAAATCCACTGCTGTGCTATGATTTTCAGACATGATTTCTAGAGTAAAATTTGATGCTTGCAATAGCCTCAAAGGACATGATAGCGATAAATTAAGGTCACGGTGTTTCCGCGGTATTCGAAGATTAGATGGTACATGTAGTAGTACCCGATTAGCCCACGAGCGTAACTGACGTCATGTGTAAACGCTTGGTTTGTTATCTTTCGTCGAATCAAAGGTTTCGGGCATCTCTGATATTTCAGATTCGGACATTCCGAGAAGTACAGCTGCAACAGCGACTTGATAATACAATATACCAGTCGTTTCGCACCGCTGGCCACACCCCAAGCCCTTACCTTGGACGAGATTCAGCGTCACTTTTAGACGCTGTCACGTGTTGCTTCGAGATCTGGGGTCGGAAGTTTATCGCATCAGATTTTCTGCGCAAGTTCACCAATGATTCACCTACCTGGCACACCCAACTATTGGTCTTGAGCTTATGTATGCTCATTTCTCAGCTGGGTATAGGCCAAGCGTTGCCATGCAGTGAAGTCGGGGGACCAGCACACAACCAATACACCCAGAGTCGCACAATGGAGCAATCTCCGTACTCCGCGGGGGTTCGGTCACCCTCGCCCACGGGCATTACAGTGACTCGGCGACGTGACTCGATGAGGAGCAGGTTTGAACATCTGAATCTGTACATTCTACTTTAAGCTGACACCAGCTTAGCTATAGCGTTGCTACGGATGTCGGAATGGCTCGCAGCGAGGTGTGTGTCCACTTCTGAACCACTTCTTCAAGATGCTGACTGCCTTTATTAGGTCTTTGATGGACCTATGTCGGAGAGCATACCATCCAGCATCGCGTCGTTCTCCCGCCGCCGGATTCGGAGAGATTCCACCACTAGCTTTTCACGCCATCAAGAAAACGAAAACACGTTTGACTGGCACCATAGAGACTCCGTGGACCTCGAAACTGGAGTCGACGACTTGTTCGTGGCCGAATTTGATGATACAAATGATTCAACCAAATTTCCGTTCAAATCAAGACCATCCTTTCAGCAGCGAAGCTCTGTCGAAGATCCACTACTCCCTCGGCGTTCGCTGTCTGCCGGCTCTGCAGATCGAGAATGGAAGAGCGGCGGCAAAGTCAGACAAGAAATCAATATTGCTTCTGAAGACGTCACAATTGTCATAACCGGCTTCACTACAACTACGTTGGGTGCTTTATTATACTACTTTTTCTGCTCGCTGACTTTGGGTTTCGCATTCCTATTATTTCGATGGTTTCCACGATGGAGAATACGTTTACTAGGGAGAGTTTCGCCGTTGAAAACCTGCAACTGGGTTGTCGTAGAGGTAGGTGCTGATAACTCCATTTCTGCGGAACGTTCTATATTGACATCTTCAGGATCAATGGAAACAATTTAGCATCTGTGAGATCCTTAGCCAAGCATACAGTCGACCTCTTTCCACGATTTTCGCCGACTGCTACAGATACCAATATGATGAGGATAGTGACCCGACTGTTGAAAACTTGAAGTATTTCGACTATAGGTATCTCCGGTTCTTCTACCATCCGTTAGAGGACAAGTTTCTTTTGATCAGCGGTTGGAAAGATCCGTCCTGGGTTAATGCAAAGTCGATGCGGGCCGGTCTCGATGCCGAAGATCGTGACAGTCGTGAGCAGATTTTTGGTTTGAATGCCATCAACATTCAACAAAAGCCGTTGTTTCAACTTTTAATTGATGAGGTAAATCCATATCGCACCCTCTGGCCCCAAGGAATGCTGACGAGGACAGGCGTTCCACCCATTTTACATATTCCAACTTGCCAGCCTTCTTCTTTGGTCTCTTGATCAATATTACTACTATGCTGCATGCATCTTCGTCATATCGGTCGTCAGCATTGGAACTACTGTTGTTGAAACTAACGCGGTGTGTGACATTTGCACCCATTCCATATATGAACCTGTTCTTATTTTTATAATCTTATTAGACTATGAACCGTTTGAAGGAAATGTCCCATTTCGAGTGCGATATCCGGGTTCTTAGAAACGGCTTTTGTAAGTACGCCATAACATCTTGTACGCTGATGCTTATTATGCCCAGGGAGATCGGTCACTTCTGAGGAACTTGTTCCCGGCGATGTATTTGAGTTCTCAGACCCTTCTCTAACCCAGGTTCCCTGTGATTGTATCTTGCTATCTGGGGACTGTATCGTGAATGAGAGCATGCTCACAGGTTCGTGATGTGGAATTCCTTTTCCGGTGACATGTACTAAAGGAGACCTCAGGCGAATCCGTTCCAGTTTCAAAAACCCCCTTGACAGATGACGCTCTTGATTATCTCAACCTAAGTGCTCCTTCGGTCCACCCGGATATTGCCAAACACTTTCTCTTCAATGGAACCAAGATAATCAGAGCGCGGCGCCCGCAGCGTGTTGACGATGACGAGGCTATTGCGCTAGCGATCGTTATGAGGACGGGATTCTTGACAACCAAGGGCGCTCTTATCCGCTCGATGCTCTTTCCAAAGCCTTCAGGCTTCAAATTCTATCGGGATTCGTTCCGGTACATATCTGTCATGGGTGTGATTGCTCTTTTGGGGTTCATAGCGTCATTCGTCAACTTTGTACGGTTAGGCGTGAGTATTGCCATCGCTGTCCCAGTTCGACCCTTATATTAACAATCGGCAGCTTTCATGGCGTCTAATCATTGTCAGGGCTCTCGACTTGATCACAATAGTCGTGCCACCGGCACTACCAGCTACCCTAACCATTGGCACTAATTTTGCACTGTCTCGATTGAGAAGCAAGAACATATTTTGCATTAGCCCGCAGAGGTCAGTATATATTCTACTCTGCGTGCAAGGGAAGCTAACTGTCCCAGGGTTAACGTGGGTGGAAAACTTGACGTGGTATGCTTCGATAAAACAGGAACCCTCACAGAAGACGGGCTGGATGTCCTTGGTTTGCGAATTATGAATGAACAGACAAGGTTTGGCTTTGCGCCGCAATCAAATACGCTCATGGTTTGGCTTGCGATCAAGTACGCTCGTGGCTAATGATCTCCAGACTGTCAGATCTCGTGTCGGACGTGTCGTCGAAACCGCCCACAGAATCGAGCGCCGAGTCGGTGCCATGCTCGGAGAAATATAATACGATTGTCCGAATTATGGCGACCTGCCACTCTTTAAGAGTAGTAGACGATGAGCTTCTTGGCGATCCCCTAGATGTGAAGATGTTTGAGTTTACTGGTTGGTCTTTCGAAGAAGGTGGGGGTCATGCACCTGAGCATCAGAGCTCTGAACATGAAACCATTGTTCCGTCCGTTGCCCGGCCTCCTGGCTATAACACATCTGTCGACAGTAGTGGTCAGGTGAATACAAGTTCCTACGCCCATTCGAAATGAATGCTGACTGACCCTAAATCAGGAAGCTATAGAACTCGGGATCTTACGCAGCTTTGAGTTCGTGTCACAGCTCCGGCGTGCAAGCGTGATTGTAAGACAATTTGGCGACAGTGGTGCCTCTGTATTTGTCAAGGGTGCTCCTGAAAGCGTAAAAGACATTTGCAGACCAGAAAGCTGTAAGTATACTGGCCCATACTTTACGCTTTAAACTAAGAAAATTCCATAGTGCCTCCGGACTTTGAAGAGATCCTAAGCCACTATACCCACAATGGCTATCGTGTCATTGCTTGTGCGGCTAAATATGAGCAAAAATTAAGTTGGATGAAGATCCAGAAAATGACGCGCACAGATGCAGAGTCTCGCTTGGAATTCACAGGTTTTATCATCTTTGAAAATAAACTGAAACACAAGTCCAGTGAAACTATTGCTGAACTGAATCAAGCCAACATACGGAATATCATGTGTACTGGTGACAACATACTTACTGCGGTCAGTGTTGCCCGAGAATGTGGTATTATTGGCCTTGAGGAACAGTGCTACATCCCACGCTTTGTAGAAGGTCAGTTACCTTTGCTGTAACTCCTACCGTTATTGACTAACAGAACTAGGCAATGCACATCACCCTAGCGGGTCTTTATCCTGGGAAAGTGTCTCGGATCCAAGCCTTAAACTTGATTCGCATACGCTGATGGTATGGCTGATCTCATATTATAAGTTCAGGGAGCTGACAGTTTATAGCCATTACCGGCTCCTGATGGGGTTGATTTATCTATCCCCGAAGCCGCCTGCAGTGCCCGTAATTACTCCCTTGCAGTCAGTGGTGATGCTTTTAGGTGGATCTTGGATCTTGAAGATGAAATCGTTGTGAAACGGGTATACCAAAACTTTGTCTACGGCCTTTTGGATTAGCGAGCTAACCTGGTATAGATGCTTGTCCGTGGCAACGTGTTTGCGAGAATGTCCCCAGACGAGAAACACGAGCTTGTGGAGAAGCTCCAGTCCCTCGATTACTGTTGTGGATTTTGTGGCGATGGTGCTAATGACTGCGGAGCGTTAAAGGCTGCAGACGTTGGCATTTCTCTATCTGATGCAGAAGCTTCTGTTGCTGCGCCTTTTACCAGCCGTCAATTCGATGTTTCTTGCGTTCCTACGCTAATCAGGTATTATCCTTCGAACCTCTAACAGTTTATTAACTAATATTGTCTGTATAGAGAGGGCCGGAGCTCATTGGTGACAAGCTTCTGTTGCTTCAAGTATATGAGCCTATATTCGGCAATCCAATTCGCATCAGTCAGCTTTCTCTATACTTCCGCCTCTAATCTTGGAGACTTTCAGGTGAGTCTCCCGCTGTTTATCCGACGAGGTCCACTAATAGTCTCATTGCAGTTCCTCTTCATCGATCTTGCTCTAATATTGCCAATCGCCATTTTTAGTGAGTCGACCATCACATTCCTCAAAATGCATGCTGATATCTTCAAGTGGGCTGGACCGCACCCTATCCTATATTATCTCAAAAGCGCCCAACCGCAGACCTAGTCTCGCGAAAGGTCCTGACTCCGCTACTCGGACAAATCACTATATGTGTTCTGATCCAGCTCGTGGTCTACAAATCAGTTCAATCGCAACCATGGTATTTTCCCTTCAATATTCGTGTCTCTTCCGTCCCTCACAAAATTTTGCAGGTTCAAGGCCCCTGATATCCGGCTGGGGGAAGACAACAACATAGAAAACTCCGAGAACACGGTTCTCTTTCTAATATCTAGCTTTCAATATACTCTAGCCAGTATCGTGCTGAGTGTGGGACCCCCGTTCCGAAAGCCCATGAGGTCGAACAGTGAGCAACTTCCCTCCACAATAAGCCTCTCTAGGTACTAACGGGAACCAGAACCTTTCCTTGTCGTCATTGTTTTAGATTTGGTATTTGTCTGCTACATGCTTTATCGACCATCAGGATGGGTAAAGCGGGTTATGCAGTTGACCCACATCTCAGACGCTTTCGCTACATGGCTATTGGGGCTTGCTCTGGGAAGTTTCCTGTTGGCTTGGCTGGCGGAACGGAAGATTTTCCCCCAGCTTGCTCACATACTTGGCCGAGTCAAGATCCTGCTACAGCCTGGTCATAAGAAGCAGCGTCGCCAGTATAAAGTTTTGCTTGAAGAGATGGGCAGATAGAGCTACTAATCGAACCAGGGGTGTCGCTCGTCGAATGCCAAGGAGACACAGATATAGATCAGCGGCGAATCTGTTAGACTCTTCTTAGACTTGAGACAGAAAAACAACACAAGTATATTAAAAACACAAGTTTATGCGACGTTTATTGTGGTATTGTCGTTTTCGCGCGTCAAATGGCATTCGCTCAGTGATCCCATGGATGCTTCCAGCCCAGTAAAGCAGGTCCGTCCTTCTTCGCTCGGTACATCAACTACAATGACAAAAATATCATCGTCAGATAGCAAGTTCAAGGAGCAGGGGATTGGGCGACATACGAAGAACCACATGCTGGCACCAAGGGCAGTGGCTGTAAAGCGATAGAAAGGTCGAGCCGGGTGGATGTGAATTGGATGGTTCGCCGCCATGTCTGCGTGACTCTTGGCAGTTTTAGCAATCGACTGCAGCATAAGGAAGGGTATACTCACAGCTTTCTGGCGTAATTGAGAGGCTGGATGGGTTCGAATGCGCTGTGAGGAGGTCGGAAGCCCGGAGGTGGAATCGGAAGTGGTCGCTTGCATCACGTGAGCAGCTCATCACATTGATCGCGTCGGATACTAAACATCATTTACCGCACGCTTGGTTATATGTTTTCCGAGTAAGACTGAGAATATCGGACTTAAGGGCTCAGTTAGCCATACAGTATCTTTTGATCAGGCATGTCCATCGGTGCCTAATGCAAGGCTTCCATCTGACTTGTGCCATAGGAACAAAGCCCAAGCGATTCGACTCCATAGGCGCAACCTTGGAGTGCATGCTGCGAGGCAAAATCAACGAGCTCCGGCGCTCGTCCTCGCATATCCATGATAGGCTATACAAAGCCGCTCTATGAACCCTTCCACCGCGAACGCCATCAACAAGTTTTTTGAAAATGGTTGCACCGTCACTAGAAAGGGACAGTAGTGGTGCTGCCAGATTTACTGGGTGTACTAGTATCAGGGAATTCGACTTTTTGGGCAAGTTGGGTGAAGGTACTTTTGGGTAAGTTCCTCGAGAACTAGGCCTAAACCCGGCTGACACGGCTTTCCTATCCAGAGAGGTCTACCGAGCAAGATCGAAAAGGGACGGCTCTATCGTCGCCTTGAAAAAGATTCTTATGCACAATGAACGGGATGGGGTGAGCTAACAACGGTTTCTTCTGAAAACCTAAAATCCTTAACCGACTGATTGCTCAAGTTCCCGATTACTGCACTACGCGAGATCAAGCTGCTAAAAATGCTGTCGCATACAAACATCATGCGGCTCAGAGAGATGTCTGTCGAGCGAAGCAAAGGTGTGTGACTATCAAAACAGCTCCTGGATGCCTCGCCTGACTCTTCACAAGGGGAGGGCCGAAAGAAAGCCAGCATGTATATGGTCTTCCCTTATATGGAACACGACCTTTCAGGACTCTTGGAGAACCCGGCAGTTCACTTTACCGAGCCGCAGATCAAGTGCTACATGATCCAACTCTTAGAGGGGCTGCGTTATCTACATGGGGTATCATCGTCCCCGCGCCTGAGCAGTTCAAGAAATTTTGTCTGACCTCCGCACAGAATTGTATCCTGCATCGCGATATGAAAGGCTAGTCTCGACAACAACTTGGGCAAGACCCCATGTGCTGACTTGGTACAGCTGCAAACCTACTTATAAGTAACCGTGGCATTCTTCAAATTGCTGATTTTGGGCTGGCACGACCATTTGACGAACCACCTCCTCAACCCGGGAAAGGTGGTGGAGAAGCCAAGCGAGACTATACGACATTAGTAGTGACACGCTGGTATCGTCCTCCGGAACTACTACTACAGCTCCGGCGTTATACTTCTGCAATTGACATGTGGGGAGTCGGGTATAGTCACCGCGAGTTTTCTGCGCCCTATTTCTAACATTTTCCAGATGTGTTTTCGGCGAGATGTTCAAGGGCAAACCAATACTCGCTGGTAATAGCGATCTCAACCAAGCACAGCTCATTTTCGGTCTTGTGGGCACACCAACGGAAGAAAACATGCCAGGTTGGAGCTCCCTCCCTGGCTGTGAAGGTGTGAAAAGCTTTGGCAACAGGCCTGGCAACCTCCCGGACGTCTTCAAAGAGTAATTTCCTCCCATAGGTATCTCTATCCTCTTCTAACTTGTCATAGCTTGAGCCCTACCGCCATTTCTCTACTCACAGAGCTCTTGAAGCTTGATTGGCGCAAAAGAATAAATGCGATAGATGCGTTAAAACATCCGTACTTCTCGACACCACCGCTCCCCGCGCGTCCTGAAGACCTTCCATCTTTCGAAGATTCACATGAACTCGATAGGCGGAGGTTCCGCGGGCAGCGAGCTGCTTTGCCCCCGGCACCCGCTGGAGGTTCCGTGGGCATGGGCCGTAACGGGGGATGGTCAACTAATTCCGGAAATAGGACAGGCGCCGAGCCTAGAAATGCTCGCGTGCCTAGCGCTGCGCGCGGGACCAAGCCGAGTGCTAATGGAAATCAAGGCAATCCACAGCGCCGTCCCGTTGATAGCTGGAATAGCGAATCCCAACCGGGCCGGCTAAGAAGAGCGGGTGAAGAGACAAACCAAGGACTTCCATCTCGACATAAAGACGGCGGTTTACCGCCCAAACCTCCCGCCCCAGCACACCAGTCATGGACGGCAAGCCACCCCGACAAGGGCGGACGAGATCGGGCGTATGGTGGTAGTCGCTATGGGCCTTCTGATGCAAATGTTGATTCATATGTTCCGAGTTACGGCGGCGGTGGACGAAGTCGTGAGAGGGACCATGGCCCTATTAATTCTGAGTGGCGTGGTGGCCCTTACCATGACCATCCGTACCCTGATTACCCACGAGATAATCCACCCAGGAGACGAAGCCGGAGTCCGTTGTATAGAGAACGACAAGAGAGACACCAATATCGCCGGTGAAAAGCACTTCTGTTATCCAACCTTGGGTTCTCTCTATCGGTTGAAGGGAATCGATCTTTTCCCACCACACCCGGTCACAAGAAGTCTGGTTACCGCCTCTTGCCGGCGTTACAAGTAGAACAATATTGATTACAAGGGGAAATCGCTAGTTTTTTTATTTATTTTTTTCTAGCAGGTTGAGACAGATCAAGAACCTTCCCAGCATTCTTGAATGAACATATAATCAAACTTTTGGTAGACAGCTGCCGTTGAGGGACTCCACCAGAACCTGAATAAAACAATCAATGACACCCTGGACTTTCCAGACCCATCTTACCTCCGCTCTTCTGCCGGGAGAAGGTACATATGCTCTAATCTATGTGGAATGATTGATGCAAACAAGTTCGCTTGGGTCCAAGAGAGTTCTTTCTAGTATAGGATCCTCGTCATGATTCGGGCTAAAAAGTTTAAATCGGGTCAGCTTCTTGCAGTTTCAACGACGAAATGGGGATGAATACATGACAGGCTTTCAAGTCTTGTATACAAATCCTTGATCGTCGTGTTATCAACACTGCTGATGTCGGCCATCAAGTAGGCCACCTAGTCACAGTCAGTACGAGGTCAATTTCATTCAATATTGGAAGAGAATATACATCGCCTCTGCTGTCCGTCATTTGCTTATCAACATTGTGATCACCAAGAACCTCGTTGACTAAGAATGGTCAGTGAAAATCTAACCTAATAGATGATGCTCGTCATGAGTTGATCGCCCTTACCTTTACGAAGCACACCAGGAACGTTGTGATGGATATAGATTACCTGCAATAATCAGTATCACATGCTGCGGGCAAAAAAAAAAAGGGCACATACCCGAGCGTGATTCGGCTCGTCCATGGTTAAAGAACGAAGGGTGACCTCTGGGAGGTTGACAGCGCCCAGTGTAGTACCTTCATTCACGTATCGGACCAAAGCGTCAGCTACTTCGACACCGATTGCGCGCTGCGCTTCCTCGGTGCTGCCACCGATATGTGGGGTCAGGATTATGTTCTTGAGAGCACGGAGGTCCGCGCCCCATTCGTTGAGATCGTTGTTGAAGTAATCACCATTTCCGGCCGGCTCATTTGGATAAACATCTAGTGCAGCGCCAGCAACCTTGCCAGATCGCATCGCGTGTATCAACGCAGGGATATCGACCACACTTCCTCGGCTAGCATTGATAAGATAGCTGCCCTGCTTCATCTTCTCGAATTGAGCTTGCCCTATCATATTCTTTGTCTCCGGGAGTTCGGGAACGTGCAAGGTGATAAAGTCTGACTCGGAAAGGAGAGCCTCCAGAGTGGGAACCTGGCGGGCTGTTCCCAACTCCATGAGATTCACTACATCATAGAAGATGACCGACATGCCCATGGCTTCAGCAAGAACTGATAGCTGAGATCCGATATGCCCATACCCAACAATTCCTGTCGTTGAGGTTAGTCTAGTACTCAAAAGGGCAACCCAAAATGGTATCGTACCTAGTGTCTTTCCGCGAATTTCCCAGCACTTGTTGCTCACCTTATTCCAGGTACCATTGTGCATTTCGTTGGAGCGGTCACCGAGTTGGCGAGCAAGAGCGATAATTTCACCAATAACCAGTTCTGCCACACTTCGGGAATTGCTAAACGGCGAGTTGAACACTGCGATACCATGCTCAGCCGCATACTGAAGGTCAACCTGGTTTGTTCCAATGCAGAAGCAGCCGATGACTATAAGGTTGCGAGCTTCCTTCAAGACGCGTGGGGTCAATTTGGTCTTTGAACGGATTCCAATCACATGTACGTCTCTATTGGAGGAATGGAAGCATTAGGAACACCCTCAAATCTAAAATGGAGAACAATAATGCACTTACCGAATCTTCTCAATAAGCTGGTCTTCCGGAAGCGACGACTTGAGAAATTCTACTTGATAGCCCTGTTTGCTAAGGATTTCGCGCCCGGTCTGGTTGACATTTTCCAAAAGCAAGACCTTGATATCCTCCGTCGCGAATGGCTTCAAATGTTTCGCGTTGGCAGCGGAAGCCATCCGGCTTGCCAGAACTGAGCCGCTATGGCTCGACGGAGCGGACTGAAAGGACGCGTTTGGCGATGTGGAGAAGCTATGGCTTTGCGAGATGCTCAGGTTGGATGCATCCTTGCTAGGTCTGATGTCTCTTGCAGATGCGGCCATTGTTGGTGTTGGCAGAAAGGCGCAAATTATGACAAGAGCCGAAAAAGAAGAGTTCAAACGTTGAACAGGCGAACCTTCAGTGTATCGATCCCAATTCTTAGGTAACTTGGGGGTTGCGGAGAGAAAAAGGACCTTGCCCTACAGGAGGACATTTCTCTTATAAGAAAATTTTAATAAGCAACTCGAGCTGGCTGCAGCTGCGGACGGGATTGTACCAGACCTACTATTGAGTCATACGAAATTGCTCTTCGGTCATTCAGATATCTGGACCACTTGGTCGTCTTAGCGCAGGGCCTTGGGTATTTCCTGGGTTTCATGACGCTTCTTAAACAATAAATTCCTCTACACAAGGGGACTTCTCTGCAGCTTCACGCAAGTACATGAATATTCGTGCTTTTAGATGAATCGCCTGGGCGATCTACTAGCTCCGGACTCGGAGGCTCGGAGACGGAGTGCAGGGCCAAAAGGTGGGGGGTAAAGGTGCCCCTCGCCGAATTTCAGGCCGGCGGCCTGAACCAGTTCACAAAATGATGGCGTGATTGTTATGCTTGAAATTATCAAAATTCACAAGTGAGTTTCTTTATTTTTTTTTGGCACTAATTTTGATCCCGGCCATATCGCCGCACATCCTGGATGTTTCTATAAGGAAGTTGAATTACATCTAACCCGAAATCCAATCTTCCGGCGACAGCAATCGATATCTAGATTTGTGAGGTGTCATATCTCCTAATGTAGCGGCTCGCTAATGACCTAGAACCAGCGAGAGCTAGGCGATGCGAATCACAATTGCATGCCTTGCAGCTTCTTGGATGCTTCATCAGCGCTGCTGCCGGGCTTTGCGGCAGCTTTAGGCCGGGATTTGGTTGAGGTGCTATCTTTTGGAAGTTCTTTGGTGTAGGGGAGAAATTCGGGAGCACCGGGGATGTATTTCCTTAGGGGCTCTGGAACAACGAATCCCTGCGCTATGTTAGTGTGATTCTAGTGACAAGAGGAGGAATGGTTCGACCGCACATCTTCTGTTTGATAGTTCTCAAGGATGCAGCACAGGGTGCGTTCCGTTGCACACAGGGTAGCGTTCAATGCGTGGACGTAGGATTTCTTCGCGTCGGTCGTCTTCTTCGGGCCGTATCGAATTCCCAATGCTCGTGACTGATAATCGGTACAGTTGGAGCAAGAAACCAGCTCCTTGTATTCTTGCTGAAAAGGGAACCAGGCTTCGAGATCAAACTTCTTCGCTGCGGCGTTGTTCAAAGCACCCGAGACTATAGACACGATTTGGTAAGGGAGCCCGAGCGACTGGTAAAACTGTTCCGAGGTTTCGATCATCTGGTTAAACGCCTCCCAAGACTCCTCGGGTTTTGTGAGGACGAATTGCTCAATCTAGATTGAGATAAGAATTAGATCAAGTGTTGGTGAGGGACTTTTCGACGTCTAACCTTCTCGAACTGGTGAACTCGGAAAATACCCCAGGCATCCTTGCCATGAGACCCAGCCTCCTTTCGATAACATGTGCTGTATCCAGCATATCTGTGGTTTGTTTGGTGAGTATACATGCATCGTAGAGATGGCGGGTTTCGCACTTGATTGGAAGATCCTTATCTTGGAGCCATTCGCTATCATGCAACGCAGACAATGGCTGCTCTGAAGTGGCGATCAAATATTTGTCGGTGGCTTTGTCCTCACTTTCTGTGACCTTGTAAAGTTCCTCGTCAAACTGTTCGAGTTGAGCCGTTTTCGCCATCATCTCCTTGAGCATAAACTGCGGTGGTTGGTTCGGCTTGTAGCCACGTTGCCAGAGAAATTCAAGTCCGTAATTCACAAGCGCAAGGTTCAGGAAAAGACCATAACCCGTCAGACAATAGCCACGGTGGCCGACGATCTTGACTCCGCGCTCAGGATCATAGCCATCCAGTCGAGTAAGGACCTCATGATGCGACAGGCAATTAGGCTTCTCGGGAACAAAATTATCCGGAGACCATGTTCTGACAATGGCGTTATCATCCTAGGCGACACGATTAATATCATACTTGACCGAAGCGCTGTTTCGAATGAGTCACCAACCTCGTTGTTGCTAATAGGGACAGATTCATGGACGTAGTTGCCAATTGTTCGGATCTTTCGATCCCTGAGTGTTTCCTTTTGGACGGCAAGCTCTTCTGCTTCTTTGCGCTGGCTCTCTAGCCCAGCTTTTTCCTCCAAAAGACTGCTGGCATCTTCCTTGTTCTGGTTTGGCGGGGTCAGTCATCGATGAGAAATAAAAGGGCGCCAGATGCAAGCTCGAAGAACCGGTGGCTAACCTTCTTCTTTTTACCAATTTCCTTGAGGAGGGTATTGAGCTGGGAGTTTATTTGGGAGACTTGGTAGCGTGCTTCAATAGAAATCGCAGTCAGCTTACTCCGTCCACAAGGCCTACCAGGTCGAGAAGAAAGCAATGACAATAAATCTTACCCCGGCGAGCCTCCTCATACAAGGAAATTACCTCGTCAACATCAGACTCAGGAGCAGACCTCCTCCTCTGACTCTCCTTGATCTTATTCGGATCTCCACCACGGTCCGTGATGAAGTCGGCGAGGTCGAGCATTTTCCGGTCTGGCTACTGTCAACAGAAGTCTAAACAGGCCTAATGGGTAACTCAAGAATAAAAGGGAACCGCCGAAAGATATTGGCAATTGACGATTGTTGGACAAAGGTGCGAGTGTTTGGCGTGGTGAGCGGGGATGGAGGGCATGAGGGGCACGAAATTTGGCCCAACTTTTGTCTCGATTCGGCGGGCCCCGTGCAAATATTTAGGTAGGGCACCAGGGAACTAGCGCCTTACCCGTTAGGGAGATGTTTCATACTCCCCAGACAATCGCCAGTGCCTAGAAGAAGGACTTTTGAAAGTGTAAGACGCGTCTACTATTGATCTTGACTATTCATTGTTGTCGCATCATTGATAGTAAAAGAATGATTTAAGTAACCAAGCCCATCACCCATGGCGCAGCGCAAAAAATACCACGCAGCCTCATAGGCGTGCAATTCGCGTCTCTACACAACTTTACCACTAATTGTCAAGAACGTAACCTAACCACTAATTTGGATAGGACAATACACTGTATAGCTGCTTCGCTACATCAGAGCCATTATTTCCCTCGAACTCGACAAACGCTTCCAGCGAATTGGGCACTAAATGCTCGCACAAGTTCAAGACGCCAGGTTGCCGTTATTATTAGTTAGATAAGGCTGCGAAGCAACGATAAGCGGCAGAAAACTATACATAAATCTGCGGGCGAAGACGAAGAAGATCCGCGTTCATTCTATCATTTCCAGCGCCTTCCTTTTGTATCACATTATTGCACACTTATTACCTCCGGTTGGTTGCGCAGGATTCTGCGATTTCTCAATTTCCCCAATCATTAATTCAAAAGCTTTTGCAACATTGTAGTCAAGACGAGCGCTAGCTTCCGTGAATGCGCAGCGAAACTCTTCTCCTAACTGTCTGCCTTCGTCTAAGGATACTTGGCGTTGTTCCGTCTTAAGGTCACTCTTGTTTCCGACGACGACGAGGGGAACATAATCCGCTCCCTGGCTCACGTTAGTCACCAAGAAGCTGAAAAGGTGGTCGCCCGGAATAGAGTACTTACGAGGTGGTTCAGAATCTTATCCCTAATGACTTTTACCATGTCGAAAGACTGACGGGATGCCACCGAGTAGACGATTATATAACCATGGATTCCAATGAAATGCTTGGAATTCAATATGCTGTATTCGTCCTAGAGCTTGGATTAGCTGTCCGAGCCCAGCAAACGAAACTTTGGTGAATCCTCACTTGGCCGGCTGTATCAACTATCTCGGTTGCATAATCTTGGCCATTGTATTTGATGATTCTACTAAACGTGTTTTCGATTGTCGGATAGTAGCTCTCGACAAAGTGGTGCTCAACAAACCGAACCGTAAGGGAGGATTTCCCTAGCAGGGTCAGCTCCAAAGGTGAACATGCAGGCCTGGGAATACACACCTACGGATCGATTGCCCACGATGGCTATCTTTCGTTGTTTTGGTGCACTAGGCATTTTTGTGGCACTGGGGTGAGGATAACAATGGCAAAGAGGGATAATAATCTGCGAGGTATTTGCGGAGGTGAAGCGTTGAGCAAAGCTGGCCGGAACCGCGGCGAACTGATGGTTGAACACTTAAGCTGGCACCATGAAGAACAACCAGGGCTATCAGATCGAATTAGAGAACGACGTCAGCAAGTTGGAACTTGGTTATGTTTCGTAACGCCCCAAAATGTTTCTCGAATAGCAAAGCGGAGGACTACTAATGTGGATGACTCAGTAAGGGTGGCAAAATCTCCAAACAAGCTCCCATCAGCTTGGATGATGCGCCCGTCTGTGCGCAAACAAATCCATAGTAAACGCTGGGCATGACGAAAACGGCATATAATATAGTAATATCACTACCTCTGAAGTACTTCGTAATACCGTTCCTAAGTACTACCTAGTACCTAGCTAGGTACCCAGGTATTATACAACTACCTATTCTGCCCAATAGGAATGGTTCTCATTTACATTGCAAACTACAAGAAGTACCTAACTCTGCACAATCTCACCTATGGAACAGCTCACCAATGGCACATATCAGTATTGGTGTAGACTTTTACTAAATCTTAGAGAAAAAAAAATGAGTGCACCGCATGCTTGACATGCACAACAAACACTCAACTACGCCAGGATTGAGCGCTTCTCTGCAAAGTCTAGATTGTTCATAGACTTCGAATGTCCCAATTAGAAGGACCTGGTGGCACAGTAGTATGGGAAACCTTCAAAGGCATCTATATACCTCCAAGCTCAAGGCAGCTCATCAGAATCTTCTTCCAACCGACGTGCCTGACCGATGATGTGCTCCAGTCGTCTAGTGAGTCTAAACTCGCCTTCATATGTTTCAGCGAGACCGTTCTCTTTCTCAACCTGTCGATGGTACTGCAAGAACTTTTCAGCGGTCGAAAAAGCCAAGACTAGTCCCTTCCCGTCAAGAGACTTTTTGACAAGTAGACGTGCTTCGGTGTTCAAGCAAAGAGTAAGCAAAAGGATAGACAAGTATCCTGCAACAACATTTTCGTGCACTTCTAACACGGAATGTGCCTTGATACTGATGTTAGAACATGTCAAGGTTAAAAGCATGGTGTTCTTACATGATCAAGAGATCTCGCGCTATCAGAGAACTGCTTCAACAGCTGCTGGAGGGGAGAAATTGCAAAATTGTTGGATTGCACGAGCATGGCTCTGGCTTTCTCGGTCGTTTCTGCCAGATTGATAAGAGTGCCGAGCGCCAAAATCACGGCGTTCAATGCATCATTCTCATTGGGAGCAGGATGTTTAGACACATCGGAGCACTCCCTGATAACAATTTCAACGAGCCCATAGACCAGTTCAGGAAGAGCGAAGCTTTCGCAAACCGCAGGTTCCTTATTGGTAAGGTTCAAGATTACCCGAACATACGACATCAATGTCGGGCGCATTTGGTCACGAGGATCCGAGGTAAAAAGCCCACGCAGTTGAGACAGGCGCTGGAGGCCCTGGCAATGGGCATCATCGAAGGGTCCTGTTACAATCGAGTAATTCTCGAGGACGGAGAATATCAACTCTGAAACGTGAAAACGACCTGGTCGCTCAGCGTCATCCGGGACATTCGCTGACAGCAAGTCCAGGAGCGTATTCAGAAACGTGGTAGGAGCATGGCGAACAGTGTGGCCATTTTCCCTGAGAAGCTTCAACGCACTTTTTATGCATTCGAGTGCTAGCAACCGGGGAGACATGCGTAGCGATTGCGACGTGCTTGCAGGCGACAACTGAGACCGAAGACCTCTAACTGCAGTTTGTGCTGTCTTTGACAGGCCCTGCAAAGGGTCGCGCGCCAATGTAAGGATGTCGTCCTCGCTATTCAGTAATACGGGGGAATGATCAAGGATGCTTGCCCATAGCGACTCGGCAAAGACACGGGAAGCTCGACCGCCGACGATTATGAGTCTGAATGCGCCAAAAGCGAGGGAAAGCCAGACTATGTTTGAGCTGATTGCGATACAGTTAATCAAGCGTTCATCAAAGCCTTGCTCGGAGAAACGATGAGCAAACCCTGCATTAAGTAGCTTGTGACACAAGTCAGCAATACTACAGCATCTGCCTGATATCGAATTGTATTGATCCTCGATGTCTTCGAAGATTGAATCAACAATCTCCCGGAATCTCGCATTGTCGCCAGCTTGTCTAAGCTCGTGAATACTTCGCACCGCTTTGTAACTATTGCTGTCTTCGTCTTCCGGGGGTATGTGTGATGCAAACGAGCCATGGGCTTCTCGGCCGGGGTTCAGTTTCGCTTCATTGTCCACACTTGGAGGCTCACTATCAGTCGCGCCGATCATATCATTCAGAAAAGATCTCTGTCGCGAGTAGGTGACTCTAGACGATCGAAGCATAGAAGACAAGGAGCTAGTCGGGGTCGTTTGGGACCGTTCAACATTTCGTGGTCGGCGTTTGGTATCATCCTCGGCAGCATTCCGACATGCAGAAGCAGGGAACTTCTGTTGAGGAGGCCGTTCATGAAGGAGAGACGCCGGGTCATCATTAGGCTCTGAGATCAGCGGGCTAGGAGGTCGATTCGTCATGCCTAGCGAGTCGATCAATCTTTTTCGTGGGGAGGAAGTGTCAGTCTTGGGTTGCGCGTCCGCAAAGCTGGCCATGCTTTTGCCATCGGAACTTGGTGGTGTAGATTTGAGTGGGCGAGCAGAACGCGAGTTTGAAGGCAACGCGCGCTTAGGCGATTTTGGTTTAGGTAGCACATCCGATCGTGAATAGCGTATAGCATCACTGGCCTTCTGGTTTTCGTCGCGACCAGGGGATGTTGTAGAAATATCCTCTTCTTCAGGTGTCGCATGGTTACCAGGATTTCCACGTCCGACACAATCCGCCTTCGTCTGACCATCTGGATTGCGCTGATGCGCCTCTTCGCGCAGTAGCTTCCTTCGCTTTCCTTGCATGGCTGTATGCGCATCCTCCCCTTGGGTGAGAGAAGAACCTGCTAGATTCAGGAATGAGCAACTTCAATTAACCAGTGTAGAACCAACGCACTCACAGAGGGTCCTCGCCAGGGGGGGTCCGATTGACGAAACAGAGGAGAGCGGATGAATAGTTGGCGTCGCTGACTGTCCATCGCTTGAAGAGGTACGAAGACTGGGTGGTTTGGAGGTGGTGTCCAAATCCGGCACGTATAGTCCAACTCGGGCCCTGTTGAATGACGATTTACCATACGTCACTGGCCGTTTTTTATTCTGAGACATGCCGGGATATGCAGCGAGTAAAATGATATAGAAAGTGTGGAGGATAGCATTTCACACATTCTAAAATAGTCTTTGATCCAGGGCAGCTGGAAGAATACTATGTTTTAATGTGGAATGAATGGGTGAGTTTTAAGTTGAAGTTAAGAGTTGAGTTCCAATTCTGGACCTTCATATTAAGTAGTAACAGTAATTTACACAAAGTCTAGTGATTTGGGGTTAGTTAAGTTATGTAGTTATTAAGTAACCAAGATGACTAATGCCCTGTCAAGGAAACCTGGAAAACAGTCATACATAAAAGTTAAAGCCACGCCCCAAGCCTCCAGACATACTATAAAGAGTGCCTTATATTTCCGGTGGCTTTCTTCCACAGTATAGTAGTCGCGCAATTGCCAAACACTTGAGACAAGCGTCCAGGGTATCATTCAGCAACCAACCAGCTGCTCGATGATCTGTGGCGCTTCATGCAATTGTTGCTTCAAGTCGTTCCAATCTATTTTAATCCCGATAAGGATTGGCAAAGCGCCCAAGCGCAATGCTCTCTCGATAAGACTAGTCCAAACTTGGAAGGTAGTCTTTCCCCCGCCCGCCCGATTATGCTACGTATTTGTTCTTTGAATAATAATACTCTACTCGCCCACTTCACAGCGTGCTGTATAATTTTCTGTTGAGTGCGAGTGAAAAGTCACGATAATACTACTGTACCAACCTACCTGCAAGCCTTAAAAGGGGACTGGCTGCGGTCTTTCAAGTTCCTATTCAAACCGATTTTGTTTACAACACCATCAGTGCCGTCTCTGATCTGTTTTGATAAATTTGCTTTCCACCGCACTCCCTTACTCACAATGAGTGGCAATACTGAACCCATCCCTTCTCCGGCTCAAGGGGTCGGTCCAGTTTACAGATCAGACAAGGAGAAACCTACGGCAACTGTGTCGAAAAGCATATCTTACGAAAATGTCCACGTCTTGCCTCAAACTCCGCAGCTGATAGCTTTGTTGACGTGAGTAAACCCGTGTTTCCACTCGTATTTCTTTGGCTCTTGCTGACATTTTTATAGTATGATCAGAGACCAGGGAACTGGACGAGCAGACTTTATATTCTATTCGAATAGAATCATCCGCTTATTAGTCGAAGAGGGGCTTAACCATCTTCCAGTTGTCGAACAATCCGTCACTACTCCCGTGGGGCGCTCTTATCTAGGCGTCAAATTCGAGGGGAAAATATGTGGTGTCTCGATCATGAGGGCGGGTGAGGCCATGGAACAGGGGCTACGAGATTGTTGTCGATCCGTACGAATTGGAAAGATACTCATACAACGGGATGAAGAAACCTGCAAACCAAAGCTGTTCTATGAGAAGCTTCCTGCCGATATCTCCAACCGTTGGGTTCTTCTTCTCGATCCAATGTTTGCAACAGGTAGGTCTACGAAATCTTGAGACGAGGCGTGTAGAGTTGCTAAACTGGTATATCAGGAGGTTCCGCAACACTTGCAGTCGAGGTTCTGAAGGCCAAGGGAGTTCCTGAGGAACGCATCCTTTTCCTCAATCTCATCGCGAGCCCATCGGGTGTTGCAGATTTCGCCGAACGCTTTCCTAAGCTAAGAGTGGTGACTGCCTTTATTGACCAGGGCTTAGACGAGAAGAAGTAAGATCCTGTACAGCTAACGTGAGCAATCGGACTAATACCATACTTTCCAGATATATAACTCCTGGTCTCGGTGACTTTGGTGACCGCTACTACACTCTATGAAATGTCACTGAGGATGACAAATCTTCTGCAAAGGCAATATGCGTGGGTATGGATCAAGAATCCTGTCCAAGCCCGAAACTTGCCATTAACGATGCCCAGTCGGGCGACCACGTTTGCGCATTTAATGAAGCATTGGAGCACTGGGTATTCCGAGCGCCTTGTAGTCAAAGTCAAAATTCATTCGGTCGTCGTTGCGTACACCGTTTATCTTTCCCAACGGCCCCTCAGTAATCGTCATAGTGGCCCGTCTGCTCCGCAAGCTCAACACCTCGGTCGTCGGGAGACAATGGGCGATTGCTGGACCGTATTCCATGCGCATCACTTTCTTCGTATTTATTTGCCGCATCTTTAGCCACTGCGTCACATGCGTCGACCCAGTCGGAGTATACATCAACCGCTGCGGAAAGGTCTGTTGCCGATTAGAATTGCTGAAAAAAATTCGCATCGGTGCATTGGTCCTCACAGTTGATGCCCGTCTGAAATCTTTGCCCGCACACTTTGCAGGAGAGATGTCCCAACCCCAGTTTTTTGTCCAATTTCACAATGATGGAGTTTTCGTGGTTGCAAAAGAGACAGGCAAATGTGCTTGGAAGGGGTTCTCTCTATCCTCTTCAGTTAGCCGTAGCTTAGATAATAGGTGAGAAATCCGCCACTACCTTTCTGGTGGTCTGGGGTTGACGACTTGACTTCTTACGCTTACCCTACAAGGAAAATGGGTCAGCGTCTCAAAGCGAGAATTGATGAATCAAAAGAGACATACCATACTTGAAAGGCCTGAGTGCAATCTGTGGAAGAGAAAGATCTAGTACCGTAAATATGTACAGAGCTAGTCTTGTACGGAGTAGATATGTCCAGGCCCTTCACATTGAACCGACTTGACGTGGAAGGGTGGTGCAAAGGGTGCAAAGTCACATGTGGGCCATGGCGCGATGAGGTACTAGGTGGCGGCATCCGATAGCACGACCCACCAATGGGTTCTCAAGACTCCAGCCTCGCGATCGTCGTCAGATCTTACACATGCTCCGTAATACAAGATATGCTACACTACTACTACCGAGTAGTCCATGGAAAACTACAAGGATGGACTTTCAGTCTCTGAGTTTAACGAAGCCCCGTGATTCAATTCTTGTGAAAAGGCTGTGAAGAACAAGGGGTACGTACTCTGGGATATCAGGAAGCGAAACCGAGGGCGAGATCTTGAAAAATGCATCCCAGCAACTTGAACCATCTGTGAAGAGAACTGCCCGCAGAAAAGTGCCGATTTATTGTTAACACCATGACTGTATCTAGATACTAAGCAAACACGATGGGTCTCGAAGCACCATCAACGAGGAGTGAAGAACCAAGTCCGTTGACAACCTGGAAAAAATGTGGAGGTGGGAAGCACGTGACGCTGTTGCCTCAACCCAATCATAGGAGGTCTTATTTGTGGATAATATTACATAAGCTGGACCATAGGGCCAGCGTCTCGCTTAATGGACTTTTCTGTGGGATTTTGCTCGCAACTTCTTGTCCGTCGAAACCGCGGCAAGCAGCACGAATCGACCCGACCCTTTCCACCAGAGTTCGTGGTGTGAACATCTCGTCTGTCCCCGACAACTGACAGATAGGCCCGAGACGCAAACATGGCTGTTGGAAAGTACGGAATTCGACCCCGATTCTCTATCGGCGCACCGCAAAAGAGATTTGAAACCTCTGCTAATCGACCGCTAGGAACAAGCGCTTGTCGAAGGGCAAGAAGGGTATCAAGAAGAGGACCGTCGACCCTTTTACCAGAAAGGATGAATACTCCGTAAAGGTAAATAAGGATGAACTACGGGAAATTGACAATGTGACTAACTTTGTATAGGCTCCCTCTACCTTCCAGGTCCGAGAGTGAGTGCAGCGCCAATATACAACTGTCCAACCCGCACCTCAAAATGTCGCACATTTGAACTGACCAGAATACGTGAAGCGTCGGAAAGACCATCGTCAACCGCACCAGCGGTCTGAAGAACGCGAACGATTCGCTCAAGGGCCGTATTTTCGAAGTCTCTCTTGCGGATCTCCAGAACGATGAGGACCACGCCTTCCGCAAGGTCAAGCTCCGCGTCGACGAAATCCAAGGCAAGAACTGTCTTACCAACTTCCACGGTCTCGACTTTACCACCGACAAGCTGCGATCCCTTGTGCGGAAATGGCAGTCCCTCATCGAGGCCAACGTTACCGTCAAGACCACCGATGACTATCTTCTGCGCCTATTCGCCATCGCCTTCACCAAGAGACGCCCCAACCAGATCAAGAAGACCACATATGCTCGCTCTTCTCAGATCCGCGCCATTCGGAAGAAGATGACCGAAATCATGCAACGCGAGGCCGCCAGCTGCTCCCTCGCTCAACTTACAACAAAACTTATCCCCGAGGTCATCGGCCGCGAGATCGAGAAGGCGACTCAGGGAATTTACCCTCTGCAGCATGTACGTACAACAAACATCCCTCTGTGCACAGTCGCAGCTAACTCTAGTAGGTCCACATTCGCAAGGTTAAGCTTCTCAAGGCCCCCAAGTTTGATCTTGGTGCGCTGCTGAACCTTCATGGCGAGTCAACGACCGATGACAAGGGTCAGAAGGTTGAGCGCGAGTTCAAGGAGCAGGTCTTGGAGACTGTTTAAGGCACGGGCATTTCCAAGTCCTTGGGTTGTATCAGTTAGGCGACCTGGACAGTTGTCGGGATTGTTCCGATGTCAAAATAGAAAAAAAAAAATCGGAATAGTGCTGTAGCTGTCAAATGACAATTTTCCTTTTGAGTTCTTGTCCTCATGCGTCCAACTGGTCTTTCGAGGCTCGATTCCAGTGCAGTGCGGCTCAACGGAAGAAAACCGTATAGTGCTCGCATGTTCTCCAATCCTTCCTCCGCGTAAATGTTCTCCATGTTCCAGTGCACCAGTGGTCAGCATAATGTTCGAGAGAGATTACAGTGCTGTTCCCCTTGGTTTGATCACGTTCATCATAGATTTTGCAAATAGTACAGGAGGTACTTTCTGTTAGCTGTGATTACTTCTCGAAGCACCCTGGGCAGATGTACTTTACAATGATCGCGAAGGAATAGGCTAAATTGAAGCTCTAGCGAAGGTTTTCCGTAATACATGCAGGAGAGGTAAGATGGTGGTTCCTGGTCAAAGAGGTTCTCAGCGAGAGAAGAGGTTCTTATAGTGTCCAACGCTCCTTTCCTAACAGTACCTACATAGATCAATACATTCAGCATCCTCTGTTGATGTAGGAGCCTGAGGCACCCTTGGCAGCGAGGTCACGTGCTTGATCCTCCAGATATCCATGTGAATATCACCAGTCTGTCGCGCGCAGGGCTGCTGTAAGGCCCTCGCGAATGTACTTAGATATTTCTAACCCATAGTCCTTAGTTAGCCTGTGGGCTAACTAAACCTATAGAGGATTTCCTTTACTTATAAAAGGTTAATTTTAACCTTTAGTATTAATCTACTATTAGATCCTTATTCTTAGAATTAAACTATTATAATAAGCTATTTTTCTTTATTACTACCTTTTATAGTACTTATAAATCTTAGAAAGGCTAAGAACCTTTATAATTTTAATACTTATTACTATAAATAGTTTATTAGGAGTAATAATAGTTGTAAGACCCTCACTATATATATATATATAGGATAGTTAGAACCTCATGGGCTGTGTAAAGGGCTGAAGCCGGACTTATATTCAATCTAGCTAGGCCATAAACTGTGTATAAAAAGCTTGGAGAAAGAGAAGTTCTCCAGGCGCGTTCTTCCTGTCAAGATGCCATGGTTATGTGTGCGGGTGCTAGCCTGTGCCTAGTATTAGGTACTAGCCCGTGATAATACCCCCCTCCTAGTCTAAACCTTATAAGGGGTATAATAATATAGTTATTATTATTAAGTTAGTACTAAATTACCTCTTAAATAGGGCTATATTACTTCTTAAAGATATCTAGCACTATATAATCCTAGATAAAATCTAGTTTTATTTATATCTTATATATCTATCTTACCTATTTTACTAGTACTTTATTATAGTATCCTTATTCTATCTTCTTATATTATATAGCTAGGATATATTTAACTTTATATTCCTCTTCTCTATTAATAAGTAGTAGGGGTGGCTGCGTATTATCTATAATTTAGGATAGAAATAGGTCTATAGTAGCTAGGTAGACTAGTTTAATATAGAAGACTAGGTATATACTAGTAGGTATATTAAGCTAAATAGTATATAGTAATAGGATATTTACTACCTAATAGCATGTATATAGCTAGTCTAGTTTCTTTAATAGTTATTATATATATATATTTTAGAGGTTTAACTAAATCTAATTATCTTTCTTATATATAGGGGCGGCCTATTATTATTAGTTTATTTACTCCTCTTATTAGGCCTATATAGAGGTAATAATAGCTTAGACCTAATTAGTAGCTTCTTATAGATAATTTATAAATATTTTACCTACTATTCTTAGTAATATTAGGATATCCTATAGCTAGCTTACTTTATCTAAGCTAATTAGGTTAACATAATATCTATATATAAAGAAGAAGAGTGAGATTCCTATTAAAGTAGTATTATAATTATTAATAGTAATAGTAACTATTAATAGTAAGTCTTTCTAGTTATCTTATATATATATAGTAAATATATATAGGATTTATTTAATCTCTTAATTAGTATATTTTATTACGCTATCTATCTAGGAGTAGAAAGTAGTTAATAACTAGTATTAAATTAATAATCTTTTATAGACCCTACCCTAGAATATACTTATAAACTAGGGTCTATAATTACTTATAATAGCTAGTAGGACTCTATAATATATATAAAAATATATAAGGAATACCTCTACTATATCCTCTATAATTATATTCTTTATTCTAATTAGAATAATACTCTTTATTAGCTAGTCTATTATTACTATATAATTTATTACTTTTATAGGTCTAGAAGGTGGTAGTCCTATAATAAAGTCTATTAATATCTTAGCCTAGATTTATTAGGGAATTAGTAGTAGTTTTAATAGTCTATACTTAATATTATACTATACTAAGCTCTATCTATAGATTATATAATTCTAAAGGAAATATTATATATCTTTTACTACTCTAGGCTAGAAAAACTATTAAGATAGTATTAATAGGTAGTATCTTACCTAGAATATACTATTATATATAAATTATAAATCTTCTATATAATCCCTATATATAGGACTTTATTCTCTAGGATCTATATTTATTATCTAAAGTAGAATAGGCCTTAATTATCTATATAGTACTTAGATAAGCTTATTTTAATATCTAGTTTAGTAATTTAGTGTTCCCCCTTAAGTAAGGTATAAGAGATTTATTAGTATATTATATTAGAGGCCCTTACCTATCTTTATTCCCTCTATAACTCTAGTTCTTTAAAAAGGGGAATATTTTTCTTAAAGTTAAGATCTTCTATAGCTAGCTATAAGCTTATCTATCCTATCTTAATCTATACCCTTTTAAGTAGGACTTAAAAGTAATTTATAAGCCTTTTATCTATAGTACTAGTAGGCATATCTTAGCTTTATTATAATAATATATCTAGTCTTGCTATAAGCTTACTAGGATAGTAGTAGAGGTTAAAATTAAACTCTATTAAAAGGTCTACCTAATATATTTACTATTTATTAAGGTATTATGCTTTACTAAAGTATTATAGATTCTTATAATCTATTATAATAGTAAATTAAGATACTATCTTTAGCTCTAGTCTCTATTCCTATAGGGCTTGTATAATTACTAGTAGCTCTTTATCATGAATCTTATAGTTTAACTTAGCTAGAGATAGCCTTTAGGATAGATAGGTACATAGTTACCTATTAAGGCTATATTAAGATAGGACTATACCTATTACCTAGCTAGATATATTAGCTTCTACCACTATTTTACGTCCTTCTTTAAAATACGCGAGAATTAGGATATTAATAAAGAGGTCCTTTAGTTCTATAAATACCTAATAGTAGTTATTATTCTACTTAAAAATAGCGTCCTTCTTTATTAGTCTAGTTAATAGTACTAAGATATTAGTAAATTATAGTATAAATAGTCTATAGAAATTTATAAACCTAATAAAGCTTTATATATTATAGATAGATTTTAGTGCCTTCTATACTCTAATAGCTTCTACCTTCTTTAGATTAATATAGATACCCTTCCTAGCTTAAATAATAAAGCTAAGGTACTTTATAGAGTCCTATTTAAACTCTAATTTTATAATATTATATTATAGTCCTACCTTCTTTAGCTTCTATAGCACTTTGCTAACCTTTTATTAATAGTCTACTAGTATTCCACTAGAGTAGATAATTATATTATTAATATATACTAATATAAAGTCGTCTAAGTACTCTTATAAGGTCTAATTAATAAATCTTTAGAAGGTCACTAGTGTGCCTATTAGCCTAAATAAGATAATATTCTATTTATAAAGCCTATATTATATATAGAAGGCCATTTTCTATTCTTTACCTAGTTAGATATAGATCTTATAAAAAGCTATAATAATATCTAGCTTTATAAACTAGCGGGCATGGCCTATATTCTATAATATCTCTTAGATTAGAGGTAAGGGGTAGTAATCCTTTATAGTTTATTTATTTAACCCCTAGTAGTTAATATAGAATTATACGCCTCTATCTAGCTTCTAAACTAGTAAGATTAGTACTACTATAGGTAACTAGCTTACTTATATAAAGTTCTTTCTAAGTAAGTCTATTAATATCTTTTATAGGTAAAGGAGCTCTTCCTTATTTATACTATAAAGGGGGCTATAAGGTAGTGACTCTTCTATACTATTCTAATTATATCTTAGTAGTATTTTATGGTTAATTCCTAGCTAGTATAGTAGTAGCTTATTAGCTAGCTATTAGCTAAAAATATCTAGCTACTACTAGTAGTATTTAGGTAGCTTATCCCTTAGATTAACATGCTTCTTTAGTTAGAGCACCTTTTTAATATTATCTAATAAAACCTTAGTAACTTATAGTTAATCTAGTATTAGTATACTATGTATTAGTTTATGAATTAATAAGGCTATAGCTTATATAACGCGTAGCCTCTTTACCCTAATAGGTCTAATTAAGCTATTTACATGGTTCTAGTATCTTATTTACTCGCCTTTCTTAGTAAAGATATCTAAATATCCTTTCCTAGCTAAGTATCATCTATTAATATTATATAACTATGGGTCCCCTAGAATCATGCTATCCTCCTATAGTCTAATAATATATATGAATATACCATCCTACTAATAGCTATGTATATCTAGGTTAAAATATATAATATAAGTAATCTAATACTAATTTAGTACTACTCTATTAAGGATTCATGGACGTATCTTAATATATAAGAGGTTAAGTGCTTAGACTAGAGACTTATTTACTATCACGTAGTAGTAATAACTACTATTAATAAGGACTAGTATAAACTAAATTCTATTTACCCTTATATTAACTATAAATAGTAATATCTTATATCTTAGTAGCTTTTTAACCCCCTTCTACTCCTACTTATAGCTTAGAATAGGAGCTATTTATTTCCTAAATTATCCTTAGTAGTTATATCTTTATTATTAGAGGTTATTATAACTAATTTATTATTACCTA